GTTCCTACGTTTACTTTGGCCTAGCCTTGACCCTGATACTATCCCCCCAGCTGCTAAACCCAGTTTGGACCCGACGCTTGGAGCGGTTCATAACATTTTCTTTCAAGCTGGTCTCACAACGTTCTTTGTGGTCGGGTCAGCTCCTAACCACAGAAGATCAGGGCGAGAGTAGTGGCCAGAAGCATCTGCGAAGATCCTCGTCTTCGTGACCAAGCTCAAGTCGAGATCGGCTGTAATGAGTTGTTCGCTCTTTCCAGCAGAAGTCAAGACACGTCCGTCAGGGCCGATGACTGCCGAGCTGCCGGCTGTCGGGTTTCCCATCACTGGAGCTCCAGCGGTCTTCATGAGGTCGATGCCAGCTTCACTGAGGGCCGACGTGCAGTGCAAGACAAAGGCTTGCGACTCGATAGCGTACGTTTGGGCTTGATTACGGCATCCCTCGGTTGACATAGACCAGAATCCAGGGCTCCCTTCGATGAAATCATTGAGTGGGGGCCACGCAGCAACATGAATCTGCTCTTGTTGACTGAGTGTAAAATACTTCAGCAGAGGCTGGATATGTTCCCAGCAGGAGAGGCTGCCAACGTTGCCAACTTCGGGTACATCCACAACTTTGGCCAAGCAGTCGCCGGAGGCATCGCCGAAGATGGTACGTTCCATATGAGTGGGCTTCATCTTGCGTCGCTTCATTCTGATCTGGCCCTTCTCGTCGATCAGTGCTTGGGCGATGTATACGGACCGGCCTGCACGCTCAGAGAAGCCCAAGGAGACGTTGATCGCGTTCTCTTCAGCTACTGCACAGATTTGCTTCATCTCTGGACTGTCGACCGCTAGGGAGTTCTCAACATAGCTGACACCCAAGTCAAAGTCAACCGGTCTCGACCAGATCCATGCAGGATAGCCCGGAATCCATACTTCTGGGAATGCCACCAGCTTAGCTCCTGCTGCAGCGGCTTCTTGGATGATCTCGCATGTCTTCTTCACTGTAGCCTCGAGGTCCAGCCAAATCGGCTCATGCTGGGTCACAGCAACTCGGACTGTTCCGGAGGCCATGGATGATGATGCGATAGTTTAAGATGAGGGAGAGGCTAGGAGCTTATCAGCTGAACGCAATCGCGCAATTATTCCGCGATTTCCGGTGATACAGCCGCAGTATGGTCGATTAGGTAGCTTTTGGACGTACAAGACGTAGGCCGCATCTCTACATTGTGCTTGTGATAGTATGAGAGGCGTGTTACCGCACTATGGATGATTTTACCGTCCTCAATTCAGGCAAGACGATGTGTGGTGGCATCCACACGGTTCTCTGTGCGTTTGCTAGCCTTGTGGAGCTGACAGTAGGTATACGAACTATTGAGTACCTATCACGCCTCCTTAGGTGACGTAAACCGGGTGCACTCTGATTTCTTCCCATAATGACTAAGTAGCCAAACCGAAGCAGTATCGAAACGATCGCGGAGCAGCAACGGAACAAAACTGGGATTGAGTAGCCTAGCTTCACTGAACGAACCGGTGAGGCAGACCAGGATGACATAGGTGCAGGACGGATCCAGAATCACGTTGCAGAAGCTTAGGTGCCTACGTAGTACCTAGTAGTGATACAATGCTACGCATCAATCTACCGCCGAAGCAATCGAAACCCATGCCATGACTTCAGCGTTGCACGAATACTGGGTACGGATGACATCGAGTGAAATACCAGTAGTAACGACCTTGGTGTTGCGCCGGACCGGATGCGGTATTAGCGGCGTTACCTTAGCTCAGCCCCACGACCAAGCTGGGGGCTGGCGCTTGCTGTAGATCGGGGAGTACCTCAGGTCTGAGAGATGAAGCGAGTGACTTCTTACAATGAAGCTTCTTCATTGACTCACTGGTATCGTACAATGTACCTAGTATGCGCTCCGTTGCTCATCTTGTACAATCCCAGCTACCTTATAGACCCGGAGTACTGATATATGGGCATTATGTAGCTGGCCACGCTAGGGTATCCCCGGGCGTGGCTGATTGGCTGCGTCGTGATTCTGGTTCTATTGAGATTCTTTTGAATAAGCGGAGGTCTTCTCGTTGAGGGACTGCTCGTGCATCCCTGACAAGGGGCTGAAAGAAATTCACCAGGGGTCGACCAAATTGACGGAAACTTGAAGGCGTCTGAGATTCACAGTAGAACACTAGGTACCTACCACGCAAAACGATCTAATGTGAGTCAGGGGAGCCCGCCCATTGATTTCGTCGATGCTTTACTGTGACCTTTATGGGGATCGCAGGAGCTCTTCTGTCAATTTTGTGGACCTTAGATGCAGTGATCCAAGGTGGGAGTAACAGGGCTCGGCGACAGCGTGCAGCCCACGTAGGAGCTGGTTGAAAGCATATCCGATACCCGGGTATCGGATCTCGTGGCTGAAATATTTTGCAGTGTTCCAAGGATCGGATGGGTACTAGATCTAAAATGGCTCGCGCGGCTTGTTATCGAGCTGCACAGGCTAGTGATGCATCATGCAGTTGTACAATGGCGCATAGGTGGCAGTAGAGTTGAAGCTGTTGATGTACTCGTCTTGAGCTTCTATAGTAGAAGTTGTATAGCATCACAAAGGACTCTTGTTCATATGTTATACTTTTGCAGAACTATGTTGCCCGAACGTGCTACGTGCGGCATTCAGGTGTTCCATATACCTAGCACCTGCTAGGTACCTACTAGGTATGCAGAACGCCGCTGTCACGGCATTGCAATTGTTGAAATGTTCGATCGACAACTACGGCGGAGAGAGGGATAGTGGCTGGTCAAGAGGCGCGAGGAGGAGTAATTTTCGCGGTTGACTATTCTTCGGGCTTTCTTCTAGCTGCGGTCGACTACCTCTCTTGCTATTCAGGTCTACGGCTCGGAAAGACTACGATGAAGTAGAGTCTACAAATGGTCGAGACGCCATGGGCATCAACCGCAATAACGCTGACGTGGTCCGGACATTTTTGTCTTAATTCCCAGCCCGGCCGTCAATTTTATCCGCCTTATGCTTTCACCAGCACGCACCGAGTCTAGATTTGTCGAATGTGTTCTGAGAGTCGTTCGATTGTTTTGCTAGGCCTCGTTGGCCTTTCCACGGCGTTCGTTTGCTTCGACATCACCGCCGTTTACAGGAAGATGGAGCTTGCTACTAAGTAGGTATGAGTCGAGCCTTGTTTCACTTGATCATCACACGCAACATCTCGCGGCTATGCCGAGCTGCGCCATACTAACATTTGGAATGCCTTCTAAATACCTAGTTTCGTATCTTGTCTCCCTGTACACAAAGCCTTATCCAAATTGTACGCAACGATTCGATACTAGTACCTATCGCCAAACGAGATTGCACACCATCTTCCCATCCAACATCCCCACTTCCCGACATGCCAAAAGGGGGAGGGGACTCGTGGAGACCTCGGGATCGGGAAGACCGGAGCACTGACAAGGCCAACATGCCACGAGGAGGAGGGAGGTCGTGGAAACCAGGGAAACGGGGAGGTCGGGACCCCGACAAGGATGACCCAAGATTAAGTGTGCGATGCGCCACCCGCGAGTGCCCTGGTCAGTCGGAGTGGGACTTTGTCGACCAGCTTTGTCCATATTGTGGACTGAGGCGAGTCTGACGATACCTATATAATGGCGATCCCGAGGCTACGAAGGAGTGCTTAGGTCAGAGTGACACCGAGAATCGTCAGTGTCTTGGGCTGCATTGAGCACCTCTACAGTGATACTACTACTAGCTAGTTACCTACAAGCTGCTGTATGACGAAGGCCTAAAAATGAGCAACGGGACAGAATACGAGCGAAGGCTTGCCAGAGACTTCAAGGTTCTTTGCGACGTTAGGTCTGTATCGGAAGCAAATTAGACGGGCGCAGCTCAATCTGAGGGCAGATGAGAGCAAGACCAGGTATCTAGATGTTCCTGGATAACATTGGACACGATGCGCCACTCCGGATCGAGGGCGCGAACTATGTGGGCGAGCATATCAGGGGATTGTTAAGATGAATTGAGACTGCCTAAGGAGCAACTTTGACCTTTAGATGGACTGCTGTGATGGGTAACTATAGGTAAGCTCAGTCTATGGATTTCCATAGTTACACCCAACTTTTCATCGCAGTTTTGAGATCGAGGAAGGCAACTTTTACTATAATAGACAACCGCAAAAGCTATTTGGTAATACCTAGTACCTCTGTTCTAAAATGAGTTAGGCTGTGGGCGACTCAAGAGTCAACTTCCGGCGTAGCCATGGAACTAGCGCGCGCCGCTACTCCTCTTCAGGCCTCAGTCTCAATGTCTCCGGAGTACGCACTTGTCGCACGATCACACACTCCTAAGCCGAGATAAATCTGGACAACCCTCTTCTTCTAGTACCTACCTAGTACATCCTCTGACCCCGTCATTCTCAGGGATGCAGCTGAGAGGCTTAGGCAAAATGGTTTGTAAGTATAAGCATAATACAGGCAAGTTTTCTTGTCACTTTAGCAGGACTAAGGTAATACTGGATCCAGAATAGGGTATATTATCTGCACTGACTCGGACCAGGGTCCACTTGACTCTTCATTTCTGCTCAGGTGTACTGGCTACTGCGTTAATGGTACTCATTCCACTACAACTCGATCCCACTACCTACTACGTACCTTTCAATCTACTTCTTCCTTGTCTCTCCTTTCGTTATCTCAAGTTTTAGACCAGGAATCTTCTCTATATGTCTCTGTTCCATCAGATATACTAACAGTATAGTGAGATACTTATTCTAAGTATTATCTCATCCTTTGATAGTCCTCATTCTCAGCTAAAATTTCCTTCGCGCTTATTGTTAGCTTGAGGCGTCTCCGTCTCTCCATCTCCATAATAAGCCCTGTGCTATAGGTAAGCATTTACTGACTACAACTATTGCTCCTATCTTTATCTCTAACCTACCGTATTTAGTTTCTTTGGTATCGCTATCTTTGAACTGTAAACTAGTTATAAAAAAGTCTTGGATTATGTGGAGGAATCTGGTCTATCCGAGCTTTCGCATTGTTTATTGTGAGGGCAAGGTACCTACCTAGTAAGTACCCACTTCCTGGCACTATAGTAACATCTCGTAGACTGACGACATGGCTTCCTGAGACTATTTATTTCCACCTTGTTGCCATTATGTACAGTGGAAGAGGCTATATGTCTACCGCACAAACCACTGCAGAATAACGAATATCACCTACCTAGCGTTTGCGCACCCCTAGTGCACATGTCATCTAGCCATGTGCGTAGTGCAACAGACAATACCTACATGATTCTCGTAGCAGCGTTGACAACAATATTAAGAACACCAAGCTCCATAGCTTTATACTACTTGGCCTGGGCAGTACTGTGACTGTGAGGTACCTTACCCGACAAGATTCCGGACTACAAGAAACACATATGTGTGTATACGTATGTGATCCCTAAGTGATACAAGAGCTCAAAGTACGTGTAGTAGACTGTCTCGCATTATGTTTCTCAAAAACGAGCAAAAGAGGGTTATAGAGAGAGGCTGTCATGATTCACCTCGTCTGCTAATAACTCTGGAGATCCCCCTCCCCCGCCCAATTTTGTCGACCCTATATGATGACCTTATTGGGAAGCCAGAAGCCTTCTCACCTTGTCGACCCGTGGTGGGACTTTTTCGGCCTTGCCGGAGATAGTTCCAGTGTGTGAGATACTGGTAGGCGGGAAGAATGGCAACGAGTACCTAGTAGGCAAGAGAGACGCTCTGTACAGCAATAAGGTACTACTTTGCAGGTAACGCCCCTAGTGCGATCCCGGAGATGAGAGCTCTCCCTCCCTACTTATTCACCTCAAATAGCAAAGTGTTTAACATGCGACCAGGGTTCCGGCCCTGGCTTTATGGACCATTTATAGGGATTTACTGTCTAAGAACTGGGTAATCTTCTGCTCCAAATGAGCCATGCGTACATCCAGAATCTTTTGAATACTACTCCCTCGGAACGGAGGCAGGTTGATTCTGCCAGTAAGGTAGGTGAATGCTGGCATGAGACTGTCGTTAAGCATCGTCTCCTAGCAGCCGCACTTGAAGATGCCAGCCTCTTCCTTCTGCAAGAATAACGTGGGTGGAGTTAAAGGGTAGATTGTGATACTGGGTAGGTAGGTGCATACCCAGTAGGTGCGAAATTATCGCATTTAACGAGAAAACACCCGAGTGGGAAGATTGCATTCATCTTCCCAGTCAGGTTGCGTTTGGGCGCTGAGTTGAGTTCGGCTACTTGGTACTGAGTCCACTCTGGAAGCTTGATAACCCTGAATGATTTGAAGTGGAGCCACAAGAGTACGAAGTGACATTGTTTCGTGGTGTTCTGGTGTTACTATACCTAGAGACACAACCACGTCACTATCACCATGCACGTGCGTAGTGCTAACAGTGGTCATCATCTAGCCGTGCACGGGGCACAAGAAGAGAACTAGCGGCAGCGACGACGAAATCAAGAGCCAGACAAACGTCAATTACCTTCAGTACATGGCCTTACAGAGCCTTACATGGTTAGTGACGAGATGTTTTACAGACCGAAAGAAGAAGAGACAGCAACAGCGAATAAAAAACGGGTTGGAAGGTTACTGAAGGCTGCCAAGTTATGAACATCTGAGGTCCATTTGCTGAAGTCGACTCAACTATTCAACTGCACACCCTACATGCGACCGTCCTCGGCGGCGAAGCAGATTTGAATGTATCAACCGAATGACAAACGATCAACGTAATCAGAGAACTTGTGAGAGCGACTCGATGTGATTGCTGCTTTCAATTACTAGGTATAATCGCGTGCCCGCCCTACGGCAATATCTCAATCGTCCGCCTCGACGGTGAGCGAATTTCAACTGTTCACACAGCAGTTCACTTCTTTCCCGTGTCGTGAATAGCATTTGGAACTGCCTTCTCAACCGACTCAGGGAGAGCCTCTTGTAGCGCCTGAGGAACCTTGGAATCTCCCACCGCGTGGCTTTCTTTGCCAGTCTCCTTGTTGCTTCCCGTGTCATGGACACTATCGGGGAGCTCGTGCTCAAGTTTCGACGGCGCCTGCTCCTGGATTTTGCGGGGGACTGAAGAGTCCTTTGCGTGGGACACGCCTTGACCTTTATCGTTTTGCATAGCGTAGAATCGTAGACTGACTGGACGTTGAATAATCCGATGTGAGCGTTTGAGGGGATTGACTAGTGATCTTTGTAGACTTGACATTGGCTTGAAAGTGTTTCGAAGACATTCGGATTTGAGCACAGCGTCTATATATATAAGGGCGTGTACACGAACTATCCATCCTCCAGAAACCATCACTGTAATATCATGACGTTCTCGAGCCATCATAGAAGTACTGTGGGTGGGAGAACCCGAACTCTAACCTCATGTCACTCGTATCGGAAGCTAGAACTCCGCCTTTAGCCCTGTCGTTCAGCAATCAGGTAATCAAATGAATCTCTATATCGGCCCAGGACATTTGGCTGTTGCTGGTGGGCGTCATCACTATCAAAGGGCAGGACTACGTGCGTGAAGGGCGGTTGAGATGTTCGAATGGTGGATGCTCATTCCAGCTCTCATGACCAACGAACGAGGCTCACGTGCGGCCAAGGTTTTAGGCAACAGACCCATTTTTGTCTTCCGGAAGTCAAAAGATAGAGCCGTATATTTTCGATACGCTCGCGGCCGAGATGCACACTGGAAAGCCCGAGGCCGTTACTATCCGGGCAGTCTAGACGCGAGGCTTGGCGGGGGACCAAGAGCCGACAAATTGAAGGGAGGGGGTCCCCGAATCATAACGGAGGCTTTTAGGAGTGCACAATTGTGATTTTGGGGAGCCCTTCAGTCGATGTCGTCGACGACTGGTGGACTTTTCACCCAGAGCCTCTGTTGCCCGCTGACATGACCTTAAGCGCGCCAAATCCACAAGGTGTTCGACTTCAGGTAGTATTGGGCATGCCGAGATCGGTCAGGAAATGCAGCGTTTGAAACTCCACCGATCCTGGATGAGGATAACCTGGCATATCGTTGGCCGAGTTTGATCGAGAGCTGAAGTCTTCATCGGAATTGAAGTTGGGGAGGAAATCGCCAACAAATTGCCCTAGATCCATGTTTGATGAGAACGGATCGATAAAGTATCCTGGCATCGACGGCATAGGGTAGCTCGTTGCAGCATAAGGATCTGAAGACGGCTCAAGGTGGCTGTTCAGCGAAGTGGAGGAGTCGTGATGTATTAAAGGAGGTCTCTGTTTGCGGCATTCGGTCTCTTCGCGTTTCTGGCCGCGGCTTGTCATGTCCATGAAGAGGTTGCGTACCCAGCGGGACAGAACATAGACTTGCTCAAATTGCTTGAGAGCTAGTAAATACGGTCGGATCTTTATCGATAACTGCTCATCTCGATGACTTGGAACCCTGGAACGCTCTGCATGAACAATCAATGCGCTGAAGATGGCTGAAACGTAGATCAAGGGGAAATGCTCTGGACTCCAGTATAACAAAGAGTCCTCGACAAAGTGCGCGATATTGTTGGCTGCCTCTAAGAGAATGATGGCGCCTTCAGGGTCGGGCTGGGCTGAGGGCGACAGCCGTTGGAGTCGACGCTGAATATTGAGGATGTAGTAGTAATAGATGACCTTCAGCAGCAAGCTGAGCTGATGGCTCTCATTCCATCGGTCCCACGTCCGCGCTCGGGTGACCCAGGTTTCAAATCCGTTCTCAATGTCTCGCCGGGCGTGAGCTCGAACGTTCGCATCTCGACTCAAGGGCAGTTGTGGTGGAGCACAATGTCGGAAATACATCTGCGAGACAGTCTGGTTGAGCTCGACCTGAAGGATAATGTATCTTGCGGTGTCCAGCGATTCACCAGGAAAGTCCTCCATTGTGAGTTCTTCGACATCGTGATCTAGATCATTAATGACCATGGGAACACCAGTCGATAAGCATAACTGCCGGTCTCGGATGAACAGACACCACCAAATACGTTTCCACCGGGACTTGTCGCTTACGGACATCTTAGAATCTTTGGTGCTGCGGTGATAACCCATACATTGAGCCGATCTGATTGATGTTGCGAGCCACCATAGTGCATCTCTGTAGGTGGTGGGTTTGCCGAACCAATAGTGAAGAAGATAGGATGACAGCACCATGGTGGTACGGTCAGAGGTGCTGTCTGCATCGAACGAGGCACAAGCCTTACTGAAAAGATCGTCTTCGGCGTCCATACGTGTGCTATAGCCCATGAGATGGAAGGTCTCTGGAGCACAATGGATGGAAGCAACGAAGAGGATGGATCGGAACAGTGTCATGGACACAGTGCCCTCTCGGACTGTCTCGAGGAACGGTACGCGGTCGACGATCGGACAAAAGACGTGGAAGCGGGTAAAGTAGGCCTCCAGTAGGCGTTCAAGAAGATGCTGTGGAGGTAAATCGGAGGGAACAGGCCTCCTTACATTGGAGGCATAAGGCTGCTCCCGAGCGCGATGGAGCTCCGAGTGCCCGGTAGTGGTGTTGCTGTGTGCAAGGACGTAGGAGGCGTACCAACTTTCTCCAACAAAATTGGCCCTTTCGTCGTTGTCCTTAGACTCGGAACCGTGCCGAGCATGCGCAAGCCTCGGCGTTGTTCCACCAGATTGGGAGCCATCGGGACCACAGATTTTGGCGAGCTCGTGATTGATCTCTGGTTCCGAAATCGATCTCATATGTGCTGAGCGTTCTGACCCGGCTGGAGGAGCACGTAGCGGCTCATTTCCCGTCTGTGGCGGTGCATCAACACTGTCTTTGGGAGTAACATATCGACCATTGGACCCTCTTAGGTACTGTTGTCAGCATCGGGGAACCGAGCAGGAGATCACTCACCTTGTGCGTTTGGACCTGACCAGCTGGCAGTGCGCCGAGTTACCTGACTTCTTGCATTCCGAGCAGGGCAGACCGCTTATCCACCCGTCGCACTTGACCCGGCGGTGGTTGCACCTTTCACAGGCGGTGCCGCGCTTCGGCCTTCCTGGCTTGGAGATTATGAGGGATGCGTCACTACTGTTGTCGGCTCCTGGAGACGGCTGCATGATCGATATCCCATCTCAAAGATCCCGATATCGAGCGCCGGCGTTGTGATAGCAATTCGAACATAGGCAAGTGAAAGAGAGGTTCGAGACTCGAAGCTTGAGACCTAAGGCCTTGGCGCGGGTGTCCAGTTTCTCCACAGTTGGGGAGGTGGGGAAGTGGAACGTGAATAAGCCACCGTGACCCGTTCCAACGTACTTCTTCATTATTACTACATTCACGTATTACTCAAAGTAGATAGGGTTGGTCATGCCGACCAGTGACTGTGTCGAATTGCGGATTTCGGCCCGAACAAACTTCACTCCTGCTTCGATAGGCAGTGAAATGGCCTCCTCAGTCACCGTCTCGTTTTGAACATACCCAGCATCTGTAACGAAGCAAGCAGTGACATTTGTAAAGCCAGTCACCGACAGCATCGCCTTGACTCCTCCTTGGAAACTTTCTGCCGCCACAATATCTCCGACCTGGGCATACACGTCGTCTCCTTTGACAGTGAAGTCAATCTCCATACCCGGGCCGTCAACGATATAAACCCGCCTGTTCTTGATACCCTCCGAGATCGCAGCCTGGCCAAGTGTCGTTGTCTTGACCATGGTGGTGGGCTTACCGATCAGAGAAGGCGGATGATGCGTGTCGCTGCCTCCAATGGCTGTCATGCGGTGACCCTTGACCAGAAGACTCTGCCATAGTGCCAAAGCCGGTTCATTGAGATCTGTGGTCTCGTAACCGTTCCAGACCTCCATGGCATCGTTGTATAGGTAGTCTGGGTCTAGATTCCAGATACACTCGGGGCAGCCCTGACATCTAATTAGCACGACCTGGCTTACTGACAGGGGCAGAATGTGAGGCGAGCACCAAAAGTCGACAAAATTGGTGGACGGACCCACATAACTCACAGCAGCTCACAGCCAAAGGCGCCTGCCGTGAGTTTGGGGGCAATGAACGTCAATTTTGTCGCTCCCTCATGGGCACTTACCATATAAGGATGGTTCACAGAAACGATCCCGCCGGAGCGATGCACTTGCTCAGCAGCATCAGCATACGCTTGATCACCTGGCTTGTACCGCCACTCGATCGTGTGGTCCCGCTCCATTCCGATCGCATTCCAATGCCCATAACGCGATGTGACCTCCATGCCTCGGCCAATCAATAGATCATCGCCTTCGGGAGCAAAGACTCCCATGACATCATTGCCGGAGTGAGAGTTGTGTTCGGTGAAGAAAAAGAAGTCTAGCTCCTGCTTGATAGCGTTGCTGACTTGCTCCTCAGGGGTGTAGTTGCCGTCCGAATAGATGCTGTGCACATGGAAATCTCCACGAAGCCAGATCTGGCCGTCAGTATCGTTGTCCATGCGAGCGCGGCGAGCCTCATTCATGCCGAGATCGGTTGGAGCGAAGGCCTTTGAGTAATACTTCTCGACCTTCTCATACCCAAACTCGATAGTGATTTCATAGTCGAAACCGTCGTCAACACTGCCGCGAGGACCCAGCACAACGTGCCACGTACCGGGGGCAATGGGTCCTGCAATATAAGAAGGCGTGGCCCCGGAAGGACTGATGGTGAACTCATCGAGGACAGTGAATGACCATCCTCTGAACCCGGCGCTGCCATTCACGGCATCCTCGATTTGATAGCCGCGCTCGTCGAAGAGACCAATGTCGAGGACATTGGTATCCTTGTCCGGATAGTCATAGCTAAAGTGCATCGAGGTGACGCCAGGTTTGACCTCAAAGGGAACATAGAGATACTCTGAGAGCTGGTTGGGGTTGATATGTCCAGTGAGAACGAGGCCCTCAGGCTCATCTCTCTTGGAAAGGTCATGATCAGCGCATGCCGTGACCGCCGCCGCAAAGGGGAGCAAGTTAGAGAACCTCATTCTGAAGTATTGACCTGAGGAGCACCATAGGCCGAAGTGAAGTTGTCACGACCATTTTATAAGGCCGCAATGATCTCACCGCTGACAAAGTCAGATCCGTAGCTTCTCCATAATTTGGACCGTTAACAGGTAACATATCTAACGCCCAAGCCTTGGATTCTCCCATAATTTGGGTAGCGTGAGCTGGGCGGAGCGGAGGCAAGCTCGTTTCCCCAATGACATATCAAGACCTGGACACGCAAGCGGAGGGTTGATGTCGGACTACACCTCGATAGAAGGGCTGGAGAACCTGGACCAGTGTCAATCGTAGAGATCAGCGCACATGTGGGCAACAAGCGAAGTCCACGTGCAGCGAAGAGAGCAATGGTTGGGGAAAGCGGCCTTATCTTGTGGGGTGAGCTCTGAAGCCGGTGCTTGGCTGCCAAGAGCGGGAGCTGTTCGACTGGACCTCGAGGAAAGCATGTTCGGAGAAAGTGCCGGTGTAATCCAAGCCGATGGGAGAAGTAGACAGACCTGGTCCTCTGCTTTTTCGGTGGTTGGATGAGGGCAAGTGATCTTAGCATGCCATACTGCGAAACTCCGTGCAGAGCACCAGGAACCATCTTGCACCAAGTGCCTGGTAACCCGCGGAGGAGTGGGAGGGCAAGTGGGCAAATTACTAGGTATCAAGATGAAGTAAAATGACCACAGCGCGGAGAGTTTGTTTGGTGTGAGTTTCATTGAGACTGTTCATGCTTTTGAGGTCTTGGAACTAGTGCTGTCGCTGTCGTGGACTAATGCCTTCTCATTCGAGACGACCAGCTATCATAGCTTCCGAAATGATGATTATGACTGGCATGAGACTTCATGCTAACAAGTCTACGCAGACAGCTTCTCGTTGGCAGTGGCGATCTCGGCGAGACTCGCGCGGCGTTCGGCCTGCGCAGCCTGTGCAGCAGTGCCAACGTGACCAGTGGGAAGTTGATTAAGAAGATCCTCGTCCCGGTCGAGATTGCGATGAGAAAGCCAGAAAAGAACGCCACCTACAAACGAGAGAACTGCGAAGACGGTGTAATTCCAGGTCAAGAGGGGGTCGGCGGATAGGGCCACCAGCGCCTCACCAATGGCGTTTGCGATGGCAGTCTGGAAAAGAGCGAAAGCTTGTACCAACGATCGCATATTCTTGGGAGCCTTGGTGAAAGCATATTCCAGAGAAGTGATGGAAGCCAGAATCTCAGATGTGGCGAGAAGGACATACGATCCAGATTGAACCCTGGCAAACGGTTAGCAAAGCTTCTGACACGTGAAGACATCCGGCGTTTGGTTGAGCCACGCGACACGCAGAACTTACCAGATCGAGATATCGGCAGGAGCGCAGTCGGTGCCATCCGGAAGACCTTCACTCGGGTGTGTGCCGCACTGGTTGTGCTTGTAGATGTAGTTCTGAACTACAGCAGCCCATACCATGGACGCCGATGCGAACATGAATCCGAGAGTGATCTTCTTGATCGGAGTGAACTTGATACCGGCCTTGCGCAATCCAGGATAGATGAGCAAGTCGAAGATGGGAATAAAGATGATCAGGGCAAGGGGATCCAGCTGGGCGACGATCTCAGGAGGTACGCCTTGATGGCGCATAGTATCGGCTTGGGATGTGAAGTTGTTGTTCAATTGGTTATAGCACACCTGAGAGATGGAAAACCCTGAATCAGCGAATGTGCTCAAAAGAGGAGGTTGTAATAGGGGCCAAAGACACCAGAGGAGTGGTAGTTCAAGGATTGAGTCCGCCAAGGCATAGGACTTGTTCTTGATACTGGTACACAACTCACGAGACAGAGGTGAATGATACAAGGTTCTTGGTGTTGGAGTACTTACCCAGTACAAGGGATACCACAGGAAGACAGTGCAAGCCTTGAAGCCACGACGGACCTCATCAACCCAGTGGTCATCAAACTTCATCCATGTGGGCCGCTGCTCTGCTGGAATGCGAGACGGCTTGACGTTCTCCCAGAAAGACATATCGCGCATATTCTTGATGGTACGCACTGGGTTAATAGACCATCGGCCCTTGGTCGCAAAGACGAACAACTTCACAGCGGGTCCCAAGACGCTGCCTTGCGGAGGAGTCAGCCGGTAGTTCTTCTTGCCGAAGATCAGCACCAAGGGACAAAGCAGGAACATGATCGTTGGCAGGAGGAAGGCGAGCCAGTATCCGACATAAAGGGCAGTGTAGGCCATAGTGAGCTGTCCAATGAGGGCACCGACGTTAATGAAGAAGTAAAACCAGTTGTAGATGCGAGCCGAGGTTTGAGCTGGATCAATGATGACCTTCTTGTCCTTTCGAGTCTCGACGCGGAGCTTTTCACCAACAATCTGCTCAGCGATAAGAGGCGAGATGTTTGGCTTGAAGCCACCGGTTCCGATGCCGAAGATGATGATGGCAATAATGAAGGCCGCCATGGCGCTATGAGGGCTGCTGAGCACGGAAGGAGCAGCACCGCCAGTCAAGATAATGTGACCAATCATGGCCATAGCGATCGAGCCCATGATCGTCTTGTATCGACCGAGATATGTATCGGCGATCCATGCGCCGAACACTAGCAATCGAGTTAGCTCGAATGGGGAGCAACAGAGGAAAAGATGCAGCCGGACAGGGGGCAGGCATAGTGTTCGAATCAGCGCTCTCGAGCGTCGAATCAAATATGAGTTGAGACCTGAGGAGATCTTCTGAAGGGGTGAAGGAAGAGCAGGAAGAACTCACTGCCAGATAATCAGTACAGCTTCGATAAGATGGAGAGGAGCGTCCTTTCGGTAGAGGAAGTGGAGAGTAAGGGCTTTGGAGAGGGAGCCGTATTGGACCTCAAGCAAAGCCTGAGGACCTCCAGCTGCCTCTATACAGTGGTGCATGAGAGCGTTCAGAAACGTACCATGGAGTAAAGTAACACCAAAAACTGAAGAATGTACCCAGTCCGGTGGCAGTCCGCTGACCCTGACCAAGTGCACCGGGGTTGTTGCCAGTTTCACCACCCGGATTAGGCGCAGCACCGGTAGGGGTGAGGAGGTTCCGCTGAACGAAATTTTGAAAGAGGATCTGGGTGCCATAGTAGGAGAAACGCTCGCATAACTCTGAGTTTGATCAGCCACTGCTCCAGGTACGCTCGGTTGGCTACTTACCGACAAAGGCGACAGTGTAGATGCGCCAAGGAATGTGATCTGCGACACGAGGCAAAGTACGGATCTCTTCATCGGTAGGGAAATCGTTTTCATCGATGATATCGGCGCGTAGGGTAGGCTTGCCTTCTATTACGGCCGGCAGCTCAGAAGCGCTTGCGCGACGGTGCTCTGGGTGGTTGGGATCACCAGGGATGAGAAGAGCAGGGTCAAGCTTTGACCCGATCCACAGGTCGTCGCTCATGGTGAAGGGATTTCTTCTTGTTCAAGGAAGTGAGGGCTTGAGAAGATGTCAACGCGTGAACGGGGGAAACTAAGGAAGGGGCGCGAGAGCCAATTTTGTACTTTCACAGGATGGAACCCTCGGTCAAACCCCGATCAACAGTCAAGAAGATGGGGTGTCAACCCGTATCGTTGCATTGAGAGGAAGCTTTCGAGATAGCAAATTCGACGGTTCGTATCGTGGTGGCGGGAGCATCTTCGGGAGGCGGCGCTGCTGCTCTACAACTGGTCGAGACCCCAGATTTGCCGGTTGCCCCACTTGTGGCCGAACCAAGCAGACCAAGCCTCGAAGCTTGAGGAGCTTATCATGGAGCAGAAAGGCTTGTACTTGCCCAATCCCGTTCTGATTAGCCAGCTGGATCTGCTCCTCCATCGTCTGCTCCGCTCCAATCACTGCCGTTTGTGCTTCGGGTTGTCGAGACCTGGCTGGCTTCTTCGAAACTTCCATCTGTGGGATACCCGGCTCCCGTCTAGCTTCTATCCGGTAGCATCTCCGTGCACACATCCGCGCGACCAGACCAATCGTTACATGGCAATTTCATCACCTAGCTAGCGACCCCTTGATCAACTGCATGCCACTGCTACCCTGCGGCACGCATCATTCACTCTTGCAAGCACGCTATCGGATCAAACGTCCCTCACCTTCCTATTTTGCTCGTAGAACCACTTTCTCCTTTCGTGAGTATCAGTCCAGACACTTTTATCAGCCGGTTATATCTGGATATTCGCCATTGTGGGGAGCGCTAGTCGGCAAGAGCGCCAAACAGCAACTTTGTGCGTGTCCAATACTCGCGTGCTGCTTTTTCTTTTTCGGGCAACGCCGCCTGCGGCGTGACCTCTTTTGTTGATCCCAGCGCACAACCGAGGTACGCTTGATCAAACTCATTTCGGATGAACGGGCTATCTTCCGTCAATACTTTGGCACGCATCTGTGTTTTGAGCCCGGCCACTGCAGCACGAGACCATACGTCGCTGCCTCCTACATCAGTCATGGTTGTGCAAAGCGCCTGCAACAAATTGAATGCCGATGGCGAGGGCAAGTTATCAATGAGTGGCGCGGCTGATTCCTGATCGGAACCTTCTTTCAGCGGGGCGAGGACCCGTTCAACCACCTCCTCCGCCACCCGCGCGTATAGCTCGGGCACGATAGAAGCTAGATCGACAAGCCCTGCTTCTTCGGGGAATGCTTGGCGAAGCGGATGGAGGGTTGTTCTGATTGCACGAAGATAGTGCACCGACCCTGTGACGTCTGCCTCATCTTTGAGGCATAGGGAGGCCGCTTGCACTAGCTTCGACTCGAAAGCGGCAACGCATGTCTTGAGAGATGATCGAGATTGAGTCGAGAAGGTATCAGGATCGCTGCGTGCTAGGCCCTCGATCAGTTCTGCTGCCTCATCCTCCTGCTCGTCGTCTGGCTCTTCAAGCAAATCTCGCCAACGCACCAAACGACTACTCTCAAAGGCCGCCGACGTGTGCTGCACCAAAGCAATCCACTGGTTGAGTGATCGTGACAGATTCAGCATGTGAGAAGTTGTGCCATGATAACGCCTGTGCACGTGATTCAGAAAAGCCGCTCCTCCTCCAGCCACGGACATGGTAGCGACCTCCGACCTCCACAACTCCAGACTCTGAGAATCGTCAGACTGGGCCTCGATGATCTTCTGGGCGATGATTCCCAGCTCTGACATGTGTTTTGTGACCAGAGCCCCAATCCGATCAGTCGCTTTCTGCTGGACCGTTTGATGTATGGCTGCGCACGATGTTGAGTTAAAGTAGAGCGGGAGTAGGACAGTGTAGAGCTCTCGACGGAGACCAAGCACCTCAGATACATCAGAAATGCAACTCAGCTGTTGATCGAGCGCCGCCGCCAAAATCTCACAAGCTTCGGAAGTCCACAGCTCAAGGCTCCGTGTGAAATCTGAAGCCGAGACAGGATCCCGCTTGAAATATGGCGAGAATGATCGAATGTCATCTGATATTAGCCCAAGAATGTCGTTTGAGCCTGCGAGATCCGAGCCGACCAAATCTATATTGAGTAAGATTGGCCGACGCTGTATGGTGCTGAGTGCATCGGTCAATGCCGTCCCAAAGACACGCCTAAGAACCTGGGACGTTGAGAGAAGATACCGAAGCACGCCAACAGCAATGTGGGGCTCTATGTGCTTGACCTCAATAGTCTTGCGAAGCCTCTCTAGTCTGAGACGTTGAGCATATTTGAAGGCATCTGCGGAAGAAGCGCTCGTGATCAAACAATAGGCACAAGCGGACCTCACCAATTTGGCGGAAGACGAATGCGGACTTGACAGAATCGTATCGATGCGAAGCAGAGTGTGTCGCCTTAGTGAAGTGACTCGTCCTTGTAGGATGTCTAGTGACGCTGGCTTGTCGTCTTTATTACTGAGAGACTTCAGCAACAGACGTGAGATGACGAGTGTATGCGCTGCTCTGAGGAGATCCCCTTGGCTGACGGATGATTTCGTCGCATCGAGACATCGCTGGAGGAGCCATAGTTCTGCGATGGTCTGGCTGTGAGTGGAGGTGGTATGTGTCTCGGGCTTGGATGGCGGACTGCATAACTGTCCAAGATCCGATATCCGAGATTCTGTAGCCCGCGTTTTCCTGTCGAGGGATACAATCTGATCTGCAGTAGACAAGAGGTCTCGATAATTGCCACTACGGAACGCGTTAGTGCTCTTCAGCCTCCCAACTCGCCCATAACAAGGACTGCACGACTCGGCGCCTACTCACCCCACTAGACCTCGAAGCCGCTCACGATTGTTAGCGACGTTTGCGCGCAGTTGTTTTTCAATGCTCCTGGTTGTCGATATTGGATGGTCCTCAAACGCTTGCTGCCACCGCTGGAGGCTCAACGTGGGATCCATCCCTTCCCTCAGTTCATCGACACGCACCAGGCCAGGCTCACAGCGTTGGCAGCATACAGAGAGGCTGTTAGTATTGGCCCGACTGGCGAAGTAAACCACGCGCTAGACGGTCGAGGGAAGTATACGGAGGTATGGACAATATTGAGCCCTTGATGACAGCAGAGTCTTGGGAGACAACATGTCTTGGCGTGACATTTGCCGGGCAACATGTTGGAAAGCCTCGTCCTCTCCGTGGATGCCCTGAAGCGTCTAATTTGTGTGGGTCGTGTTCACAGCATTACTATTAGAAGTGTTGGATGCAGCACATGTCCTCTCCTATGTCCTCTCCTATGTCATCTCTCATGCCCTACTCTAACGTGACCCCAATTCTCTCCTATATGTATGGCTCAGCGTCCGATTGGGCTCCGAGTGCCTATATGATGTTGGTATACACATTTTGTACAGAGTTGTCCGCCTCAATGAGCTCCAGAACACGTTGCAATTCTGATTCTTGATCGTCCGAAAGATCGACCATAGTCTCCTCCTTCGGATCAAACACAATATCTGCCCGCTCGATCTGCAACTGCATCCGTTCACAGAGCCTGTCTGAAACAGCAGTCACATCACTCGGCTCGGTTTCGATCACCAGTCTGCCATCCTCGCTAGCGAAGTCTGTGGCTCCAGCCTCGATGGCTTCATCCATCGCTCTTTCTGCATCTACGCCTTCCCGCTCTTGAAACCACACTTTGCCCTTACGGTCGAAAAGAAAAGATGTAGGCGTAAGTGTGCCGCCATTTCGGGTGATCACGGCGCGAAGGTCCTGCAATGTTTTTGCCTTGTTCTCGGTTTGACATTCAATGATCGCAGCGACAGTGGCGGGGAGCATAGCCTCAATTGTGATCGACTCGAGAGGAGCACCGCTGAGGGACTTGCCCTGGCCCTTCGCTATCGCATGCTCGATGGACGGTTTGGATAGCTGACCGCGCTTGGCGTTGGCGATGGCTATAGCAAGCCGAGAATTGAGGCTGGGATCGGGACCACCAACTGCGCGGTGTAAGCTATGTTGCGTGGTGTTCTCGGAGCTAAACTCACATTTTGACGCGAGCATAATCTCCTGCGAAAGCATCGTGCGCGCTCTGCTTTTGATAGCATCCTCCTTGCCTTTATCGTGCTTGATCTTCGACCATCTGTTGTGGCCGGACTTAACAGCTGCGCTACATGACAGCGACCGTGACTGCAAGCGACACAGCTGCGTACCTGTGGAGGTACGCCAGATACTCTGCAAACTCATCAGCAAGCAGTAGGACGAAGGCCTTCCGACGGCGAAGTTGAGATTCTGCAGAGCAGCGCCAAGACTGCGGAGCGCATGCGGAGCGGACAACATGCAACCACGCTGGCATCCTCATTACTGCCACCAGCCTTCTTGCACACAAACGTCCTCCGTTTCGGTCGCGGTTTGGAAAGGCGACCGTAAATGTTGTCGTAAAGAGGAAGATTCGATGCGCACCAAATCTAGCTGCGCCCAATGTCGTCCGTCGAAGATGGTGCACCAAACGGGACATCCACTGCCTCCAATGTCCCCGAACTCGATGTGTCGAAACTCCATGCCTTGCCGACGGAACAGCAAGACCTGTTCCTGCTCAATTTCGTTTCCGAGTTGCGTGATGCTGTTCACAGCCTCTCCCCCGACGCTTTGCCTCCGCAGCAACCTGCCATCAAGAAAGAGATCATTAAAATTGTCGGCTTGGGCACCCCCCTGCCATCTCGTGTTATCAGGGATACATTAGCTGGAACACTCGCAGACACATTCGATCGTGGAAGCCGCAGCCTCTTGTTTGATACCATCAACGAACTTGTTGCCGTCCTCAACTCGAGCAAGATTGACAAGGATCCCAGCCCCAAGCACGTGGCTATTGTCTGCCTTGGGAAAGTCTATGAATCTGCCGGTGACAGCGCTCTCAACCTCTCCGGCCTTGTGGTACAATCCCTTGTCAAGGGAACCAAGGCCTCTCACGTTGGTATCCGCGCTGCATCATTCCGCACACTTGGTCTACTGGCGAAGGGAACCAATCGAGGTCTGGACGAATCCTCAGCAAGAGACATCTGGAAAGCTGGGCGAAATGCTGCAGGTGCAGACAAATCCGCTGTAGTTCAGAGAGATGCATGCGACTGTCTGTGGCGCCTTCTCACCTTTACCGGCTTCTTCAACAACTCCACCGACTTCGACAAGCTGGAGTCGCTTGTGTGGAAGGCCTTTGATACCCCTGTGCCAGCGGTAAGACACGCTGTTGCCCGGCTGCTTGGTGCTACCCTAGTTCAAGCGCACTCAGAGGTCCATACAGCCGATGTCCCAGTGGTCCGAAAGCCGAAGAAGCCTTCAAAGAAGCAAGGACCGCTTTCAGAAGACGACGATGAATCCATTCGGCCTGGTTCGCCCACTCCAACAGGCTCGAAAGGAGCAATCGCACTCTCTTTCACGATCAAAGACATCATCCGCATGCTGTCCATTCAATTCGTGAAGCCAGCCATCTCCAATCATGCTCGAGCAGGTATCGCAGCCTGTTTCAAGTTCGTTCTGGCGAACCTCCCGGTCAAAGTGATCGAAGACAACTTTGGGCGCATATCGGAGCAACTAATCTGGGAGATTATCGATCATCCAAGTCTAAGCTTTCATAGACATCGTCTTCTGCTCTCTCGATGTATGGTGCAAAACATCCTGCGAGCAACAATCACTTCTGGCACGTTAACCGAGAACGCTCAGATCAACGCTGTCAGATATCTCGTGAATGATGTCCTCAAGAATTATCCAAAGGTCGTTGCAGAAAGGCGTGAGCCATCCAAAAGGATGCTTGCAGCGACCTTAGAGCTGCTTTATCATTTACTGGAATCAATAGGGTCCGCAGCTGCCGTTTTGCAAGACTCGTCCCGAGAAGCCCTTTGTCAAGTCATGCAGCATCCCAGTCACACTGTACAGAGCTATGCCGCGCAGTGCTTTAGGACATTTGTGTTGGCCTGTCCATCGCAGATGATTCAGACCATCGAGCATCTTGTCTCACAGTTGAGGAAAACCCTTGAAAACCCTTCCGACAATCGCCAAAGCTTGCGTGCTTGCTCTGGACGAGCCCTGGCAGTTGCTGCTATGCTACACTCCGCCAACCAAAAGCCAATATTCGGGTCCGTGGAAACGTACTCGAGTATCCTAGCTTTCGCCACGGATCTCCTCAAAAGGAGCGCCACGTCTGAGCTGCGCCTTTCGGCAACACTGTTACAAGTAGCCTGGACATTGATTGGCGGGTTGATGAATCTAGGATCGAGCTTTGTCAAAGTACACTTGGGACAACTGTTCCTTTTGTGGAGGAATGCGCTACCCCCTCCTTTGACACAGGAAAACGCGGCACAGAGAACCCAACTTGAACTCAGCTTTCTCTGTCATGTCAGAGAATGTGCTCTTAGTGGCCTGCTTGCATTTTTGGAGTCTTGTAATGGACTTGTCACCACAGACGGGTCCAGGCGCATCTCGATCATGCTGCAGAATACAGTGAGCTTCCTAGCAAATTTGCCTATGAATCGATCTTCTGCGGAACTCTCAAATCGACTGGTCCCAGCGCTTCAGCTGCAGGACATGGGTTTCATGCTTCGCCGGCGACTGCTTCAATGCTATGCTGCGCTCATTGGACTGAAGCATGTCGAAGTCAACGAAGTCATGTCTCACTCTGATCTGGTTGGCCTGAGCTTGGAAGTTTTCACGTCACCAGAAAGACCAGCGCAGAAGAATCTTGAGGCCTCACTTGCTTCATCGGCCAGCAATTTTGATGGACTCTGGGAGATAGGTGACAATTGGGCTTTTGGCGTCAGCAGCCTCGTGCACGGAAGAAGTGTCTTCTATCCCACAGGGAAGGGATTTGTAAAGCGTACGAGCCCTACCCTTTCCTCGGAAGCACATGATGATGATCTGGATCAACTACCGCTGTCGCCAACACTTGCAGCTCTGGAACACGATCCAGCCATTCTCTTTCGCTCTGCGCAGAGGTCAGACACTGTCGAACTCAGCCCACCTTCGACTGCCTGCATTGATGCCTCGATCAAGCTCTTTTCGATGGTATTCCCCTCACAATCTGCTCGAGTTCAAGAGAGCACTATGGAGCAGATTGCTACCGTACTAGCCATGCCAGGTCAAAGAGATCCCGGCCGCAAATCTGCGGTCCAAGTCAACTCCACACTGGCAATATTACTCTCACTAAGTGTAGCGAATGGTGAGACACCATTCCCGACTGGTCAAGTTCATCTGCATACATTTGGGAAGACTCTAGCAGAGCTATTAAAGACTCGTATGGCGGAGCCGGACTACCGTGTGCGAGCGCTATGTGCTCGAGCTTTAGCCCTCGCGTGCAATCTGGGAGGGACTCAATATACTAACAACGAGGTAAAAGCACTCATCGACAGTATTGTCACCAACCGAGATCCGCACATGCGTGCTGGATGTGCGTTGGCACTTGGCAGTATCCATGCAGAAGTTGGCGCGATGGCATCCAGCTTGCATATCAAATCGATTGTGGGTGTACTGCTGTCACTATGCAATGATTCGCACCCGGTCGTACACTTCTGGGCATTCAGAGGTTTGGTACAGGTCGCTGAATCAGCCGGCTTGAGCTTCTCAGCTTATGCTTCTAGTACTCTGGGAATGTTGGCCCAACTTTACTCCAGTGACAATCACAATTCAGAGTCTACCTCTCTGGCCACATCAAATCTGGAGCTCGAGTTCTCTACAACATTGGTTATTGCACAATGCGTTGACTGCATAATCAATGTACTAGGTCCGGATTTGCAAGACATATCAAAACCGCGCCAGCTCATCTTGACCTTGCTCCGCTACTTCGAGGCTGAGGCTTCACCTATTCTACGGCATCAAGCTCTTGTGTGTCTGGGCCATCTATGGATGTATGCCCCAGCCCACGTACAGTTTGCCAAGTACGTGCGAAATTTGCAAGACAATCTCTCGTCGAAGGACCACCAGCTCCTAGGCAGCGCGGCACTATATGGTATCGGACACCTTATCAAACGGAGTGCTAGTGAGGTTATGCGTGTTGCCAACGAGAAGCTGAATGACGATATCTGGGCGATGCTTGACCAAGATTCCCAAAACGAGTTTCTCCACCTCACGCTCCGCAATTGGATGCAGCAGACAGTCTTGACCGACCCTGGAGCATGGGTCGATAGGTGTCAGACAATTCTTTCCAAAACGCGAATTTCGGAGAAGGCCAGGGCTCCTGTCGTGACCGCAAAGACAGCCAACACGATGCCGGATCTGGCGGACGAAGAAGTTGCAGGTTTCGCAGCAGCGACGCAGGGCGATTCTTCAGAACCAGCTGCCGAGGGCCAGGAGTTTTTAAGATGGCAGACGCGCGATTTTGCTATGAGACTCCTGAGTGAAGCACTGCAGTTGGTACAGGATGCCATGTTGCCGGACCAGAGCATACCAGCTGAGGAGGCGCTGTATGGCAAGATTGCGGATATCATTCGTGTAGCCTTCGCAGCGTCCACAGCCAATGTTGTCGAACTCCGAATCTGGGGTCTTCGCATTATAGACCAAGTCCTCAAGATGTTTGGCAAGACTCCCGATCCCGATTTTGCGGAAGCTTCGCTGCTGGAGCAATACCAAGCGCAGATTGGCTCGGCTTTGACCCCGGCCTTTGCAGCCGACTCATCCCCTGAACTCGCTGCAGAAGCCATTGCTGTTTGTGCGACCTTTGCAGCGACTGGCATAGTCACCACAGCTGACAGAATGGGACGAATATTCAAGGTTCTTGCAAACGGTGTAGACAACCTGGCTCTGCCTCAACCCGAAGCCTCGATTGGGGATCTCAAGAATCTGACGCCTAATGCGCAGTCACTGCTGAAAATGGCCCTGCTGTCAGGCTGGGCTCAACTACAGCTAGCCAGCGGTGAACAGTCCTACCTGAGCGAGATTGTTCATCCCTACGTGCCAAAGCTGGCACCATTATGGCTCAATGCTCTTCAGGAGTTTGCCCAACTACGCTTCGAACCTGAAATATCCGACACGCTTGGCACTGACACCACTGCTGCGAATCTAGATGAGCGCTATGCTGCCTTCAATCGAGTCGTACGCCTCCAATTTTACCAGGGCAGCTGGCTTAGCGTGGTCAATGCTATTGCTGCGCTGGTAGAAAAGGACAGTGATGCGGTCTTCGATGCAATGGACAACAGAACAGCTTCGTCACGAGCGGCAACGAATGGAGATGGTCCACAAGGCAAGGACATGAGCTTCCGAGAGGAGCCGGTGGCGTTCTTCTTCATTCTGTTTGGTCTCGCGTTCGAAGCGCTGGTGACTCGAGCGAGAGAAGATCCATCACAAGGCCTATCGATCTTGCATGCGCTCCGCAAGATCCTGACACCTGCCGTCTCGGGCAGTGCCGTTTACGAGGAAGCGGTCTTCAATGAGACCACCGACACGCTTGAACGACTCGCTCTCACAAGCACAACACAGACCCAATCTACGCTGGTCGACATCGCCAGAAACCTCTCACTGGACCATCCATCGGCAAAAGCCCCACAGGACCGGGATGAGAAGCTGTCAGATGATATCGAGCAGCTTTTTGAGCTCACTAGAATCATGGTCTTGGTCTTGACCGGATTGATTCCTACCCTGGAGGACCCACCTGGAATGGCGATACGAAAGCTTAGTCCTGACGGGATATCCCTTGTCCACCTTGTCTTCCAGGCGCTGGTGGGTGTGGCAGAGGTCTTCCCGTCCATCATCAAGGCCGATCTACATGCATGTATCTTCCACTGCTACTGCACAATGCTGGCGACAGGTATCTGCCAGGAAGAAGTGGTGCCATCGTTGTTGCCCGTCTTTAGAAGCTTCCTGCAGGTGGTAGCCGACTCCTCCGAAGGTGAGACTACGTCCAACCTGGTACGCGGCTCGCTGCATCAAGTCATGATTACACTTTCTGTGGCGCAAAGGCGAGAACATGACGGCTCACTCACAGCTGCGAAGAATTGCTTGCTGTCTATGACTGTGATGCTTACCACTGCAGGCCACGCAATTCCAGCGAACGACGAGCTTATTCGCAAAGCTGTGGCCGAGTTTCTGGACTGTCTTCAAGACGTCGGCCTCGCTAAGATAGCTGTCAACTGCATCCGCACCATTCTGCAGAGCAACAGCAAGTCCGCTTGCGATGAAGCCGCCGGTCGTATTCTTTGGCCGCAGCTGATTCAATTCATCTGCGATCTGGGCACCGAGGACCCGGAGAACGTACGAAGCGCCATCACCCAAGCTCTTGTGGGCTCGATCGGGACTCTAGCACAAGATAGACGGCAGGCAGCAATTGCGATACTCGTCCCAGTCCTGCTCCACCGTGCAAATAAAGTGTCTCGGGGTGAGAAGGAAACAGAAGTTCGCAGGGAGGTCGCTTCACGACTACTTGATCTTGCGGGGATCGATCAGCTTGGCTTCCGTGCATCAATTGCTATGCTGGATGAGGAACGACGGGCTTCGCTCGAGAGTCTGTTACGAAGCGCAGGCCTGGGAAGGAAGCAATCCGATCAGGGTGGTCCGGAAAATGAGGAGTTCCGGGCTCCGGCGATAGAGTTGAGAATGGACTTCTGATGCTCATGGTGGTGGGCGAAGGGCATGCATAGACGTAATATACCCATTATTTGTGCTATGTTGTTGTGACGGCGTTCCTATGGCAGGACAGAGATGCGTGCTGCCTTGCTTCATTCATCGCCTTTTCAGCTTGCGGTCAGTGATTCGTGCTTGGCGTGGCCCGGACGCCTTTTTCTGGCGCTCCGACTTCTCCATCTGATGGTTGCCGCCAACCCCCACCAATCCCCCCACCCAGCTTCCTTCCTCTCAACTTTTTCGTGTAGCCTCACTAGACTCGACAGCGCTCTGTAGAATAGTTCAAGCGTTTCCTTTCAGAACTAATCTTGCCCTCGAACTAGCGCTAGAGTTATCATCGCCGAGGAGCGCTGCCAGGACCTAAGAGCGACGAGCCACTATCAACAACTTTTCTCTCCCAACACAAGCCCCGTCAACCTTAGCAACACTCGCTTCAAACTCCTCACCATGGAACACGACCCGCCCGTCTCCAAATGCATGACCTCTGACCGCACGTCATTCGCGCACCCGTCAGCGCGCACACGCTGGCCCGCCATCATCACATCCGCCATCGACGACATGCACCGCAGCGTAGCAGCCCTCCCCTCCAGCGCGCCCGCGGACAAAGTCTGCGAGGGCAAACGGATCGTGGCAGACCTCGCGGCGCTCAAGTACGAGCTGCAGCACGACCGGGCGCTGATACCCCTGGAACTCGAGCCACAGCAGGGCAGCAATGGCGATGACCTGGCGCTCTACAACGAGGAGCTGGCGCAGCGGGAGCAGCTGTCCAAGACCAAACAGCTGCGGTGGCATGACGTCGAATGGCTGTTCAGCGAGTGCTACCTGTACCGGCGGATGGCGAACCTGTTCTCGCGCAGCGCGCATTGGCGCGATTACGACGTGTTCGCGCGGCAGAAGACGCAGACGTTCCGCAGCTCGAGGCCGGCGGTGCTGGAGCTGGCGGCGCGGTATCGGGAGATCGTGCAGCGGATCCGGGAGAGCGCCGTGGCGGCGCCGGTGGAGGGTTCTGCTTCGTCTGACTCGGCGAAACCCGATGAGGCGGTGGTCAAGGAGGCGGAGCGCGTATTGTTCGAGGAGATGGCGGAGATTTGCTTGTGGGGTAATGCCACGGACTTGAGTTTACTGACGACGCTGAGCTACGAGGATATCCAGAAGCTGCAGGGGAGTGAGGCCAAGAAGGGACGCGAGGAGAAGGTGCTGGTCAATCAGCTTCAAGAGGCTTTTGAGGTATTGTGGCAGGCGAAGCAGGAAGGGAAGCAGAACCGAAGGGTGGATTTCGTGCTGGATAACGCGGGATTTGAGCTCTACGTCGACCTGGTGCTCGCGGGATATCTGCTTGAGACGGGCCTCGCGACTGAGGTGGTCATGCACCCCAAGAGCATCCCGTGGTTCGTCAGCGACGTGATTCCCAAGGATCTGGAGCAGTTGTTGGAGGTCATGCGCGATCCCAGAGGCTTCTACGAGGGTGGTGCGGATGAGGAGCAGCAGCAAAAGCAAGCCACAGCGCCGCTGGGCCAGAAGGAAGAGGAGGACGTCAAGTTCCTGTTCGAGCACTGGGCCACGCTGCACGCTGAGGGCCAGCTGATCCTACGGCCGAACCGCTTCTGGACACATCCGGGTAGCTTCTGGCGCTTGCCGCACGTGGAGCCCGTGCTGTTCGAGGATATGAAGGAGGCCGAGCTGACGGTGTTCAAAGGCGATCTCAATTACCGGAAATTGGTCGGCGACGTGAGTATCCTCCCGCTCCCTTCTCCCTCCTGGTCATCAACACCATTTCTCCTCCTACTCCGAGAAGAAGAGTTAAAGGCCCAATGACTAACGGCGCGGAAAACTACAGGCAAACTGGGATCCCACGACGCCGTTCCAAGAAGCCATCGGCCCGCTGGGCAAATCGTCTGGGCTGCGCACGCTGGCGCTCCGGACGTGCAAGGGCGATGTTGTGGTGGGACTACCCAAGGGGAAAGACGAGGAGCTGCGAGCATTGCCGGGCGGTGGTGGGGACTCCGGCGCGCGGGAGTGGGCGTTCAATGGCAAGTGGGCGGTTGTGCAGTTCTCAGATGGCAAGGCGTGATGGACGGTGAAGATTGGAGATCAAAAATTAGACGGCGACGACACATCTATGGAATGGATCCGGGAGCATAAGCGTGTAGGAGGCTGGACATGACGAGAGAATACAGATAGAACATAGAGGTTCAGAGGTTGTCTTACATCTATTCATAAATCGTCTTATCTTGGTAAGCTTTTCAAAGCCTGCTATCAGCTCTGCTAACGCCCTTCACTTGAACTGCTCGGGCTTGAAGCCTCCAATTCGTTAGCATCAAGCTCCTCCACATCCGCCATAAGGCCCACCGTCTCTTGTTTCGTTGCCTCAGCCGACGCCGTCTCGCTGTGCGGATACAAGTTGCCACCACCGAAGCCAACGGCATTGGCAGTCACGGCGTTGAGCTCCATACCACCGCCAGTCAGGCCGGACCTTCTCCTGTCCGCTTCGTCAACAGCATCATTCTTGCCCGGTTGGTCTTTGGCCGCGGCGACCCAGACGGCACCTGCGAGGATCAAGCCGCTTCCCAGCCAGCTGAGTGCGGTTGGGACAATGCCGAACACGAGCTTATCTCCGGCCAGTGCGAACAACATCTGTGTATATACCATTGAGGTCGCTCTCGTGCCGGCCCCTTTGATAACTCTATTCTTGCTCGCCGTAGGTCGGGGCGAGGCTTTCCTGCCGCGAGCTTCCAGATCTGCTTCTTCGCCTTCGATGGGTTTTGCGTTACTGGCACTACCGTACGCGAGCCCCTCGGTTAGTAACCACTGCATGATGAAGCCGCAGGCGCCCAGACTAGCCAGTAGTCCCCATTCAGTCCAGTTGCTTGGAAACCGGAAACTGACATCGGGGAAGATGATGAGACTGACCAAGCTCACAATGACGCACCAAACACTGAAGTAGTTGATGGAGATGAAAGGGTGAGCCCGGGTTCCAATGGCACGAATGGAGGTCATGGCGCAGGTGCCGCCAAGAACTCCAATCAAGCTGATGCCAACGGCAGCGAGATGCTGAGTGGGGGTGGGTGTTGGCGTGGCACTCGACTGAGAATTATCAGCAAGCATGGTAGAGTTGTTGGACGTCATGGCGTTGTCGCTGGACGTGGCGTCGCTCTCGGAGGTAGATGTGAAGAGCTTCAGTAGCGTCAGTGGACGAGCAATTAGGACGACACCGGCCAAGCTAACGAAGGCGGCGAGCTGCTGCTGTCGAGTAAAGGATTCGCCACTCAGGACCAGGCTGCAGACGTAGCAGGTCAAGATGGGCCCCAGAAAGGTGAGGACGGTAGCCTCGCTGAGCGGGAGGTACAAGAGCGAGAAGTATAGACCGAACACGCCAAAGAAGCCGCCTAAGCCTCGCAGGACTAGGAGCCAGCGAACGCCCTTGGGCCCTAACGGGAAGTACGGGATAGACTTTGTGTAGACGCCGTAGGTGATACAGACAGCAGCGGTAATGCCTTGACGCGCGAAGAGGATCTGGAAAGGGTGCATGGCGGGACCATGGTCACCGGGAGTTTCGAGCAGTCGGGTGGAGAGGTTCATGAGACAGCCAAACAACTGAGCGCCGAGGACGAGTAGAGCACCGTAGTTGGTGATCCATGCAGAATGCAACTTTCGCACTAGCGAGGACCTAGATGACTGCGATTGCGAGGCGTTCGAGTCGGTGCGCATCAGCGGCTCATGTTGGCGGCTGGAGACGTAGGACAACTCGGAGAGATGGGAGAGGCTATAGGTGCTATCGAAAGACGGCCGTGGCGATCGTCCATCGTTCAGCGAGGGCACTGAGAGGAATGCATTCTGCGTTGGCTGCTCGGCCGGTTTGTCGTTGGTGGTAGACTGCGGCTCTCCAGTGGGACCAGTGAGGCCGTCTAGTAGAGTCGGCCCGTCATTATTATCTTTTAAGGACATGGCCGTCCATTGAACCTCAGACGGGTGTCTGTTGCACAACCGCAGGCGAGGTGGGAGACACGTCGTTATCTAAGGTGGGCGGAGTCGTGCGGCCCGGTTTTGACGGGGTGATGACGGAGTGTGGACGAGACGGACGAGTGGTGGCGGTGGAAGTAAGCCTCGCTGGGTGCCTGACGCCTTGCGAGGTTGGAGAGGTAAAGACTGACGCGGTATATACTTGGAATGAGAGTATACTGGAAATGTATGCGAAAGAAGAGACTCGTAACCTTCTACAATGGTGTCAAAAGGCGCTTGCTCGCTCTCTCTGATGACTCCGCATGGAGAGTAGGTCTTGGGAACGCAACTTGTTAGGCTTGTGGGGCGCTTAGGACTTGGGGACTTAGGCGGTCGGATCTTGGCCGGGGGTGGCTGGGCCGCGTTGTGCAGGGATTCTCGTCACGACAGCGGCAAACTCGGACACGGCCTTGGCCAATTGTGCACCAATGAAGCAGCAGTTGCTGAAAGGACAGCAGTCATCCAGGGTCAGAAGCATTCATCCTCAATGTTCCAAATACTAAGCTGCTGCCTCTGCCTCACCGCGTCGTAGAGCCAGCAAAGCCCGCACATCTGTCACGTACTGTAGAGCCTCAAGCATGGGTATCAAGTGCAGCAGGTCATTGTCCGTCGGATCATTGATCCATCCCTCAATTGGGATTGCGTTATCTGCATTGACTTGTCAGAGGGCGCATCACCTGCATCATTGATCGACATACCTTCATGGAAGATGTAGCTCACAGGGCTGTTGTCCAGGATGATGACTTTGGACAGATCCGGCTCAATGCTGCTCAGGTCTTTGATATACGCCCCATTTCGGAACGTGCAGTGCTGGCGATAGTAGCGGCCCACGAAATACTTGCGCTCCTGCTCCAGCCAGTCAATGACCGGATCCGCATACTCTTGCACCGACGCCGTGAAAATCACCAGCTTGTACCACTTGCACACTTTCTTCAGAAACTCATCGCAGTGAGGCCGCTTATGCACGTAGTATAAAATCGGATGTTGCGGTCCAATGACCTGCGCAGGCTGGTTTGCATGTGCTGTAGACACGGCGACTGGTGCGTTCAGCTTGACCTCCACCATGTGTCCGGATGACATGCGGCCTCCTTTGGCCAAAGAATGGATCAGTGTCTCGTCTAAATCCAGAACGAGCGTCTTCTGCTCCTGGGATGACGACAAATGACGACTGGGTGACCGCGGAACAATGTTCGAGTACGATGGCTGTCGTCGAGGCACCAAAGGTCGCGGAGGCTGTGGCGCGTGTGGGTATCGAGTGACCTTTAGGGACGGAATAGGGGATGTGGGCGACTTGATGTTGTCCACGGTCAACGGTGTCGACTCCCCCAACGGGCTGTTTCGCTTCTGCTTTCGCTTCTTCAGCGCCGGATCATTCTGCTCCTTGATACGAATAGACGATCGCCGTGGCTCGCTGCTCCTGGAGTCAGATGACCGTTGCATAGGGTGATCTGAGTCGGATTCAGTTGAGCCGGCTGAGGTCATAGATTCGCTTGAGTAGGAATGCCGAAGCTGGGTCTCGTGCAGCGCTTTGCTGGTGGGCTTCTCGGCGGCGTGCCGATTTCTCGACCTGGTCTTCCGTCGAGACAGCACCGTGTAGCGGCCATCCTCATCTTTGAAGCAGTTTGCCAGCCACACCACAGGCGCCCCGATGGCCGAGAGGATGGCAGTCAAAGCATCGGTGATACGTTTAACAAAGCTTCGCCATGCAGACGATTTTGCGACAGGCTCGAGTTGGTGTGCAACGTCGAGGAAGGGTTTCTTCTCGTCATGCTGGTCTTTGATGGGCGACTCATTGCCCTCAGTGTCGTCGCTACCACTGCTGAGAGCCGTGTCTTTGCTCAGCAAAGGGACCTTTTCATCGCTATATGATCGGCCTCGGAGCTCCTCGCGCTCTTCTTTTTTGAGAATCTCTCCCTGGGATTTGGAACGTGGACGAGTAGTAGCTGGGGATTGGCCGATAACACGGGAAGACAGTAAGTTGAGGGAGTTCATTGTATTGCTCGAATCGCAGCGGCAGTGCAGCTCTCAGCTGCTGGAGGACGCGACTCGGACAGCAAAAGAATAGCTACGGGCGCATGGTGGTGACTTGCAGGGTAACGAGCGGCGGCCTGAAACAGAACTCTGCGATGGACGATGCCGGAACAGAGGGATGGAATGATCAAATGGTCGTCGGAAGAGCCAAATCCCTTACATAATCGGGGTACTCGAGGTGACGACGCCAGACGATGCGCAGGTCGAAGACAGCAAGCTGCGGGCAACGAAAGAAGTATCTATGTACGAAAGGAGGTGAGGAGAGGTGGTATGCAGGACCAGGTCAGCAGGGCGAAGAGCCAGAGACAGAGAGGGCCAGAATCGGAACTCGGAGGCTGGCTGGCTGGCATGACATCGTTCCCTAAAACACCCCCACATGTTTTTTCTCGCTATACCAAGCACTACCGTCGCCAGTGACTCTACGATCAGGACTCAACTATCTCGTGTTGCTCCTTTCTGCCACCTTTCTCTGCCATTTCCACCAAAACCGCCTTTCCTTCCGAACCATGGCGCGCTCCTCGGATGCGACTCCGAGCTTGTCCTCGTTCCTACGCAGCGTGTCGAACGAAAAGGTCGAAACTTCAATAGAATACTTCATCGCCCTGGTCAAGCGACGGCAGATCTCAGGCTCCAAACCCTGTGCTCTCGCAACAGCGTGCATCCTCCGTCGAGTCATTGCCACCGGCCGCGTGTCCGACCCTGCCAAACTCATCGAGAAAGTGCGCGATGTTGGAAGGAGGCTGGTACAGGCCAACCCGCGCGAGCTAGCCATTGGCAACATCGTCCGCCGCGTGTTAGGCTTGATTCGAGACGAGGAAGATGAGCAGAGGATCGCCGACGAGAGTGCAACCAGCAGCCAGCCCACCTCCGAACCTGCCACACCCCGTACTGAATTCCCCTCCGCCATTCCCACCGCATTGCCCTCCGCTGCTATTGCTCCTCCACGACAGACCCCAGCCATGGAGCGACCACCCTTGCTCACCTCTCACACTGGCGCCCCAGTCCCCACCCGTCCAGTCACGTCAATGTTCAGTATCATCTCGCACCCCACCATGAGAGCCTCAGGCACATCGTCACCCACCAGCACTCAAACACCGCCGAATGCCCTCTCTGCAACACCAGTGGATCTCCGTGCTGAGGTCCTCGAAGGCATCTCCGAACTGATCGATGAGCTGGATCAGGCCGATGAACAAATTGCCAATTACTCGCTCGACCACATTGCACCCTCAGAAACCATCTTCACCTACTCGTCATCCCTCACCGTGCAGCGCTTCCTCCTCAAAGCCGCTTCAAAACGGAAGAACTTTACCGTCATACATGCCGAGGGCTACCCCAACAACCACCGCCAAACCCATGCTCTTGTCACTGGCAACCGCACGTCGATCTCGGACGACGAATCAGAGGTCGATATGGGCATCGATGCTTTCCAGCAGCCTTTAATCAAGGCGGGTGTCCAGGTCATCTTAGTGCCCGACTCGGCCATCTTTGCTCTGCTACCTCGCTGTTCAAAATGCCTTCTCTCCGCATCCGCTGTCATGGCCAACGGCGCATTTATCGCTACTTCGGGTACCAAAGCCGTGGTCAAAGCTGCCCGGCTACACCGAGTGCCCGTGATCGTGCTTGCCGCCACCTACAAGCTCTCTCCACAATATCCTTATGATTCACACGAGCTGGTCGAGTATGGAGATGCTGGCAAGGTGATCGAGTCTCAAGGTGGGGAGCTACGTAACGGTCTCAGCGACCTTCGCAATCCCCTTACCGACATCGTAGAAGGCGCCAACGGCGAGGTCGAGCTCTTCATCACCAATGTCGGCGGCGTGGCAGGCTCAGGCGTCTACCGCGTAGTCAAAGACCAGTACCGCGACGAAGACCTGATGATCTGATTTGACACACAAGTCCAAGATAGACATTTTTGATACCCTACACTACAGCTTGTGCCTCTTTTCCCCGCTCGCGATCTTGCGGAACTCTTCCTGCGGCGCCCCAAGCCTGAAGCGCTGCAGCCCGCCAACCACTTCTCTGACCCCCTGCGCCTCCAGACCCTCCAAAAACGGCCGCCTGATCAGCTCCTTAATTTGCAGAACGCTGTCCTGATTCAAATGCTCTCCAAACCTGTCCTCCACCTCTTCCATCACCTTGGCCAGAAACCCGTCGCTATCATTCTGATCCTTGCCGCTGAAGACCTTGTTGACGAAGCCACACTGCACAAGCTCCTCGCAGCTCAGACGGCGGCTTGTCAGCAGAGCCTCATTGGCCTTGGCGATGCCCATGCGCTGCACCAACCCCACGGAAGCGCCGCCCTCGGCAACGAGGCCCAGCGACGCAAACGGCGTGAGGAAGAAGGCGTGGGGCGCCGCGTAGATGAAGTCGCAGAAGCCCAGCAGCGCGGCGGACAATCCGACGGTGGGGCCGTTGAGGGCGCCGACCAGCACCTTGGGGTGCGTGTAGAAGGCGCGCGTGATGTCGAGGTTGTTGGCCACGAAGCCGCGCAGCAGGGCGTCGCGCTGGGCGTGCGGGTTAGAGTCGTCCGTGGCGGGACGCGTGGTCGTCACGTCGGCGCCCGCGGAGAAGAAGCGGCCCGTGCCAGTGAGGACGGTGACGGTGATGTTGGGCATGGCGGCTACGTCCTGCATGAGGCTGGACAGGCGGTAGTAGTTGGGTTGGTTCATGGCGTTGAGCTTCTTGGGGTTGTTGAGCGTGATGATGGCGACTCGGCCTTGGGTACGGAGCGTGACGGCTTCCTCTGGGGTGGCCATCTTGACGGGAAGGGTGAGTAGTGGAAGAGGGCGGGCTGTAGTAGTGTCACTAGAGGGCAGCTAATATGTAGCCAATTGATCGTCTTGAGTACTCCTCGACGGTGGATTGAGTGGTAGCAAGAAAGACACAGGGTCAGATCCGAGAACGACAAAATCGAGCTTACTCTTTTCTTCGGTTACCCCAGATATAGGGGACTGACGGCTTCGGTATAAGTATGTTTTCTAATCCATGCGAGGACATCGATTTGCGGAGAAGCAGGCACCAGATACCGAGGCACAGACTGAGTCATGATCGCCCTCCAGCTTCGCCCGCACCGCTCATCCACATGATTCATGCAAAAGTTCAGTGGAGTGACGGCCTCGAATTTCAATACTTGCCATTAAACCACACGCGACAGCAATCATTCAATGCGCAGCACAATGCGGTGACCCCTTCTCCTCGCCAAGCGTCCTCGGTCATCTAGTCGTCTATCGAACAACATGGTCTTCAACGCCCTGCTCCGCTCCCTCCGCGGCTCCAACCTCGAAGTCTTCAAGGTGCGCCTGCCCATCCTCCACCATGCTGCATGCTTCCCTCTGGCCCCCTCCCCGCCTCACCATCTCCCTTTGCAATGCCCCAGCACCAGTAAACTAACACCCACAAAGTTCGGAATGTACCTAGCCTTCCCCATCGGCTGGATGTACTACTTTGGCACCAACCTGGACGAGCGCTTCTCCGTGCCGGACTTCTGGCCCACCAGAGAACACTCCCACACGCTACCGTACGACCACTCAGAGCTCAAGAGTGAGGTGGCGCGGCTGCAGCAGAAGATGCGCGAGAAGGCGGAGCGGCAGAAGCGGTTGCGGTCGCAGCAGATGGAAAATGAGAGCACGGCGGAGTCATAGGTGGTGGGTGCGCAATGGCGGCACCATAAATGTACTTTACTACAGGGCTCGAGCATTGTAGGTAACTGGGCCGAGCCGGTGTACAAAATATACGTGTGGGTTTATAGGAGCATAGCGAGGAGGCGTTGTGGGAGGCACCATTGTTCTCTGATCTCGGGATGGGCGTAATTGAAACAGATTGATTGAAGACGTTGCGTGGAAACGATATCCTATTACTCGTTTACGCACGTGAGCCGCCACCGGGCCTTTCATTATGTTCTCCAGATGAGCGATTTGCCAGCTTTCAACATCTGTCGCCATACCAGCTGAGGCACTTCAGACATTATTCGGGGGTGAACGCGTTCTTAATCTTTGACTGGCCCTCCCAACATTACTCCTGTTGATACACGCGAGACCGCCAGCGGCATAACGCAGGTCGGCCTGCGAAGAATAGTGATGACAAACGTGAAAAGCCTCCAATGGTACTAAAGCTCGTGCGCCTGCCGTACCACCTGCTCCGCCGTCTGACTCGCCATCCCCTGTACCAACTTCCCCGTCGTCTCCAGCGCCTGTTTCGTAGAACTCTGCGCCGCGGTCCCGGCAGTAGCGTACAGGAATTCGCCGTGCACGTAGTACCACAGCCGATTAGATATGACGGCAATGTGGTTGGGTAGGTAGGCAACAGCAGCGGCGACGAGGAGGGTGAAGAGGACGAGTATGATGACATCTATTTTGGGGGAGCTGAGTCAGAAGACGAAGATCGAAGAACAATGAGAGGACCGTAAGAGGAGGCGAGGAGGAAGGGTGGGAGGGGTCTACCTACTGAAAACAAACTTCTCGGTTGGCGTGAGCATGTATAACGATGTCGTGACTTCGTACTGGTACTTTTTGATCTGCAGCCAGCGGGTGAAGGAGGAGAGCGGCGACTTTGACGTCGCGCCCCCCTCTGGATCTTTGATGCCTTTGCCGTAGTCGGGCATGGCGTATCAGAGTACGAAAAAGGTACTCGCTTTGCGGCGCAGTTTTCTTGTGCCGCGTTTCGGTCAAAGAAGTTCGCAGACGCAGGCGAAAGCGAAAAGCGATCTGAGCAGGTTGCGGCACACGGTTCGGAGCCGTGCGGGTACGGAACTGTTCTTTTTTATGTGATGGGAGCGACTGAGGCAAGCAGATACACTCTTAGGAGTGGGGGATGCTGAACGAGTGACGTGGCCAACGTGGCTTGCAGGAGTGTGAAGTGTTTGCTGAGATGAGGAAGCGAGTTGTGGTAGATGGTCAGGCGTGTCGAGAGGAGAGACGCAGGGTCAAGCGAGATGCCGCCCGGTGATTCGGTGCCGGAAGTGACAGGGGCCTTCAGAAGTTTAGCCCAAGAGCCCCGGGAGCCAAGAAGAACGGCAGGGGCTATTCTGACTCCATCTCTCTGGGTTCACTCGTCTCAATTCTGGCGACAATGACATCTATGTTCATATTACAGGCTTCTCTGCGCGCCGTTGATCCCTGGTGTCTGGCCACTCATGTCCACAAACGCCCGTAACCCCATGCTAACGAGGAAGTATCCTGTTCACTCGACCAGTCTCAAATATCATCACTGGTGAGAACCAATTCCTTAACCCAAACCTTGAAACCCTTGTACTCAACCTCCTGGTTGCCGTTGGTCTCGTAGACGAGGAAGTCTTCCCAAGTGCCGCGGTCTCCCTTCGCATACGCTTCCCGACTGAGTCCTTCAATATCCATGTCGCTGAACCGTTCATAGAAACGGACTCGAGTCATCATCCTCTTATTTCCCAGGGGCTGCTTGAGAATCGCGATGTTCATGCAGGACTCGCAGCAGAAGACGTAGGCGGTCACGTCGCGCCACTTCTTGTACATGGTCTTGTTGGTAGCGGCGAAGTTAGCGATAAGGTGTTTGCGACCAAGGCGGCGTGCGAGGTCATGCTTCAAGCACCAGGGACCGAGGCCACTGCCGACATCCAGACGGCACTTCTCTAAGTCTCGACGGATATCCATCTTGGTTTCAGTGTCGTGCAAAAAGGTGGTCGCACCGCCACGGAAGGGGAAGGGCTTGCGGCCGGGGTTGAGGCAATTGCAGGCGCGGACCTCCTCAACTTGCGCGACGGGCACACCCATCACGTACGCACCAACTCTTGCCAAAATGCAGGGCGGAAGCTCGTCGAACTTGACATTCCAGGTGCTGTAGGTATGCCAGTCGCTTCCTGCGGCGTCGGTGGTCTCATCGGTGGTCCAATCGATTGGATCATCCCACGTCCAATCCCGAATCGACATCTCGAGATTGGTTTCGCTGGTGCGCGTTAGCTATAGTTCCCATACTGCCAACAAAAGTACTTGCCCGGAGATACTGAAGAGACTACTACGTGTGCGCGTCTTCTTGGATGGGGACTCCTCTATGGTGAAGGTGCTGGTTGGGGAGAGAGACCGCTTCAAAGGCGAAGATGTTGAAGAGGACATGACGTTTTCAAACTACTGTTGGGTAGTGAATACCGACTGCTGGCTCGCTTAGGTTGCCACCTACCGTTTGCTAGCAAATGGTAGCGTACAAGTTGCACAAATGACAGCGATACTTTTAATCCAGCACTGGTGAAGGTGAGTGAGAGTCTGTGAATAGGCTGAGTGATGGAGCAGAACTTGAACAACAATCCAACATTGGTGGCTGTTGCTTTCCTTAGTTTCTAGACCCGCCGAGTAACCTGTTCATAGTCAAGTGGCCTTATGTGTGGCATCTCACCAGTCCCTCACTGGCTACCTTGCCCATCTCTTAGCATTCTGCTAGAGGCATATATAAGCAGAGCCTTTGCTCCGGGCAATGCAGATATCCGCTCTATAGACTGCTATCATAGACAAAATATACATTGGTCATGTTGGTTTATCTTTGGTGCCACAGCACACTAAACAGCCCAGATTGATGGTGTGGTACTAGATAGATAGAAAAATGCCAAGACTTTACGGTAGGGACTAGTAGGTAAGAGTTGTCTTGTTCCTACTATACACAGGCACCTACATTTGCTCAGCTTCACATGGATCTCTGGAGGGCTCGAACACGATGAGTAGTCTATGTGATGTATCAATGGTCCATTCACGAGGCTAGTCGGTTCAATGCCTAAGCTATCTGATGGTAGCAGCATCGCATGATTAACCCACCTCGTATCTGTAATGGCCACGGGCTGTAGCCATATCCGTTTGAGACACGGTCTCAAATTCCAAGTAAAATTCTTGAGCCACGGGTCTATTGCCGCCTTCACCACCCGATTGCGGCTCTTTGTCGACCCGCTGAAATGCCATTATGCTGCACTTTTGACCTTACCCGATCCTACCAATGCCCATACCATTCTTAGTACGCCAGTAAATGCAACACGGGGTCATCATACTTCGTCTATTCCGATCCAACTGCTGCACGTGTCGCTAAGACGTAGATGTTCCTTCTGGAACGCCACCACTGCTCGCTCGCCCACTAATGCCTGGGGCACCGGGATTGCGTACAGCACTCAAGCTAGCATGGTCAAAGTGTGACGGCACCTGCGACGGAGGCGGCTTCTTGGGCAGATTCGCAGGTGTGCCGTACTTCTTTTGCAGCGATTCTTCGGTAGCGTCCACGTTCGCGTCCACCAATGAGTCCTGCCCTCTTGGGCTAGATGGTAGAGCGCCGGAATGGGTACCAGAAGACGGGCGCACGGCAGTGTTGTTGCGACCATGTCCATGTCCATGCCCGGCAGAGCTGGTGGAATTCTTCTTCCTGCTGCTATTGCGGCTGCCAGCGCGCGATGACGAGTTATTTGGCACAAAGGACCGCGTCTGCGGGTTGAAGAGTGATCGGTTGAAGTTGTTCGATATGGGCGCAACGCCAGACATGGCGGCATTGCTGTTCGGGTACGGCTGATTGGGCATCTGTTGACCATAGTTGTACGGCTGATAGCCCTGCCAGTTCCCTGTGGCACCCGCCACGTTCATTTGTGGCTGATAAGCAACTGGAAACTGGGTATTTGGCCAAGTTTGCTGTTGCTGAGGCGCCGGTGAAAACTGCCCGTATTGGTTTCCCATCGACTGAACCATGTTATTCATTGCTGGGTAGCCAGGTCGAGGCTGATTCTGCTGATAGCCGTAAAATCCACTAAGCTGCATCGCACCCCACTCGGCCGAGCTTTCTTGCCCATAGCCCATGGGCGATGTAGGCATGTTAGGATCAAAGCCGGGGTGAGCTTGAGTAGGTGTGGTGCCATAGTTCATCTGCGGACCGAAGAAGCCCTGATTAGGTTCGTAGATGTTCTGGGCTGCGGAATCGACATATTGTGTCGATTGATATGGCCCATGTACGTTCATGCCAGTCATAGGTGCATAGCTGGGGACGAAAGCAGATCGAGCTTCAAAGCTGTCGTCCTTGGGCGTCTTCTGCCGACGGCTCTTCTTCTTTCCACTCGAAGAACTTGATCTTGACATACTTGCCGAATTCTCTCCCGTGGATACATTCTCGCTAATCGACACCTCTTGAAAATCTCCGAAGATCCGCTCTCGCGCTGCCTTGTACTGTGCCTCACGTTCCTCTCTGCTTTTCTTGGTCTTGTCACGACCGGGAGTACCCTCAATTGGCGAGGTTAGGCCCTCTTCACTATGACCAGCATCAGATGTGGCTTTGGAAGGCGCTGATGAGCTAGGCGCAGTGCTGTCGGCAGCGGACATCTGTCGAGAGGACATGCCGGCGCGCCTCATGATCTTGACAGCGGTGGGTCCGGGAAGTTGCGTCGAGCCAGCAGGTATGGACTTGGCAAGAACTGCGAGTGATGTGGGTAGACTAATGGTGATTGCGCGGAAGATGCGGATCGATGTACCATCTTCATTGATGTGATGCATCATCCCATAATAATCGGCCAATTTATGCGCTAAGAGTCTTGCGTAAGAGTTCTGGGGAGGTAGATCGATGAATTCAACGTCAGATTGTCTGATGAAAGCCAAGAGGCGCTCCTCGAGCTGGAGAATTGACAAGCGATCCTTTGGCGACGCAAGAGCATCGAGGAGTCGCTCATCTGGAGGCGCCGGAACAGATGCCTGCCTTGCAGTCGGATCATCCTGGGTGGCCGCCGGGGGGCTGGATCGAGATATGTCTGCAAGGTCTGCTGGAGGGTCTTGAGTGGCTTCGAGATCACCGAAGCGAGGAGGATTGATAAGTGTTTGGAACCGTCGAGATGCGATAGTGATAGGATGCCCACCTGTTCGGTTAACCACGCCGCGCAATGATGGCATTAGGACATCAGGCTCGTTGGAGAAGGTCGAGTTTCGGCCGAGAGTGCTACCGGCATCTTCGTCGTCAACTGCTCTTACACTGGCACTGTCATCCGGCCTGAGGCTCTCTTTCTCGTCCATAGCGAAGGTTGTCGCGGATGCCACGCTCTTCGTATCAAAGCTGTGCTGTTTTGTGGAAGAGGTAGAAAGATGTGACTGATCGTCTTCGAGCGAATCACCACTTTCGCCATTACTCGTGCCGTTCGCCTGCTGCGGACGCTTGTTGAAGAGAGACAGGCCCTCTATGGCACCTATTGTGCCATTGGATTGGACGGACTGCTCATTGGCGTCAGACAGACTACTCGAGGGGTTTCCTGGAGAAGCCGAAAGCTGGGAACTGTCTCTGACGACAGTGCTTCGTCGCGTGCTTCCTTCCCCGGATGCCCTTTCTCCTCTATGGTTGTCAACGATAGCAGTAGGGATTGCGGGCGCCTTCATTGCGGCAACCTAGATCGTTTAGTAAGGCTGGGTGAATGAGTGGAAAAGCGCTCACCTTTGCGAACGACAGCTTAGCAGGAGCAGCAGCACCGACTCCTGGAGACGCCATAACGACACTAAGAGATTCGTCACGTCGTGCCCAACCGCCTGGTGGGGAGATCCAAGATCAGGCTTGGGAGGAAGAATGTAAAGGAGTGATGGCTCTCTGTACGGAAATACTTGCTCACACAGCACACTGCTCACCAGACGAGCCTCGCAACGGCGCAACAAATGGCTCCATGGAGTTCAAAAAATCGGTCTGGGTGTCCTGCTGCCTGTGGAGTCTTGACGCTCGCTCCTAAGTCTGGCGCTGAAGCTGAGACGTGTGCTTGATCGGTGCGACAGCTCAGTCTCCGCAGAAATGGCGATGGGGTGGCTCAGTATCAACCGTGAAGGAAGATGGGATAGGAACTTTCTTCGATGGGCTGGCGAAGGGAACACGGGCAAGGCGGACGAGGCTTGAATTGTTGCTCTGATGCTGCGGTAAAGTGCTGACCGCGTGCAGGATGCGGTCGGCGGAGGAATCCCACCGGTTCGATAATTAGATGAGAGGGCAAATGATCTCAATGCGAGAGAGAGCCCTTAAAAGAGGGCAGACACGATATTGACGACCAAGGAGGAGCGCAGGTAGTTGGAAGCAAGCGGTTTGAAGAAGTTGCGCAGTGAGGCAGAGGCGGCCATTGCAGTGCCAAGCCTTGCCCGATCCGAGACTTCTCTCCGCTCTGAGCCTGTGCTACTACGAGATCTTTTGCCCTGTTCATACGCCGCACATCTCCAGGGTATTTGTGATACTTTACTGGTATTAGGCACCCATTTCCAGGTACTGGGTATTCCAGTAGCATCAATCCCTGTCAGAGAACACCATTCCTCCTACTTTCCCGCTTATAAGTCTGGCGAGTCAGTTTTTTCTAGGCTTCCCTGAGCCTTCTCCAGCCGACGCTCTTTTGCCATTTCCAGCACTGTCGATCAGAGGATTAGACGCCATCCATGAATAGGTATCGCACTGCTCCTGGTCTTGGACCACAGAAAGCAACGGCGAACACTACTTGCCAGAAATGTCTTCAGAAAGATAGGTCTCGATCTCGTTCTCTCGGTCTCGGGCTAACTTGTGGGCTTACGCCACTACAGCTATGAATGCAAAGAAGCTCTTCAGAACAGACCTTATGCCTCTAGACCTTCTCGCAGCCAGCAGTTCAGCAATCCAAAGTTGCAGCCCAAGTTGACCAGTGACAAGCCGAACGATCTTCTCAAAAGGTGAGTCATCAGGCAATTGGTTCGACTCGTTGTGAGTGCTAACTTCATCAGCAAAGGTGTGGCGGATGATGTTCTAGCGCAAGCGGAAGCCAAGAGGCAGGCAGAGCGTCGATCAAGGAGCCCTGATGCCCTCGCTCCCTCTCCGCGAAGGCCTCGCTCCCGCTCAGCGTCTTCAGTCGACTCCATCTCCACGATTTCTACCAGCAAATCTCGATCCAAGTCTCAATCTCCCTTCCGTCGCCGGATGAGTCGCGACGACAGTCCAGCACGGCGCCCACGCCGGTACTCCAGTCGATCTATGTCGAAAGCCCGAGGTCGCAAGCGGAGGCGGCGGTCTAGGTCATCATCGTCTCGATCCCAGTCACGTCCTCGCCAACCAGGCTCAAACCGCAAGAACCGAAGATATCGCACTTCGACCCCCGAAGACAGAGGTCGGCCAAATTCTCTCCGACGTGGAAGTCATCGGGATAGTGGAAGTCCAAGCATGGACAAAAGCCAAGTCACTCGAGAGCGTCGCTCGATTGATCAGACAACCGCAACGGAAAATCGGGTTGATCGTCGTGCAGCTGGTCGTTCAGGCCCCGATCGCAATGGCAGTGGGGCGGCCGAGGGCCAGTCAGCACCAACTGCCCAACGAAAAGAGAGGAGCTTGAGCCCGTACAGCAAGCGTCTGGCTCTTACCCAGGCCATGAACGTTGCTCGCTGATTGGAACGTCTTCTTGTGATACCAGTGTTGTGTAATGGTGTACCATAGTATCATTTGCCTCTGTTAGCGTCGGCGTTGAATGAATGACGATACTCTGGGTACGGCGTTACGATGTCGTTATTGTCTTAATCGTCTCCTTCCAGACGAGGAGCAATTCAAGAAGTTGTGCAAAGTCCCGTTACGGCACAGCGTCCTCGTCGAGTTCGTCTTGTCGCTCTGCCTCATCCTCGCGCTCGCGCTCGCGAACAGCCTCTGCTAGTGTTGTACCCTCAATGCCGACCTCCTCTCCCCCACCATCAGTCGTCTGACCACCAGTCGTACGCTGCGCTTCCTTCTTGGAATTTGCGATACGGTCTCTGACCAGACGGGCAATAGCATTTTGTGTTCGGACATCTACGACCTTCATCTTCTCGACCAGCTCCCGCTTAAGATCCCAATTCGGCTTCTTTGGCTGCAGCTTGAATAGATCGATGCCTTTCTCGTTCTCTGCTTCATCCTTGGCCGCTTGTTCTTTCGCAGCCAATGCTATGCGTTCGGCTTGCTTCTCGAGAGTCTGGGAGTCGGCGCCTGGGACGGCTTCGAATCCAAGCTTTGGCCCTTTCGTGGTGAGATCGTAGTTTCGGCCAGATATGTAGACGTCTGTCTGAGATGGTGCGCTCTCCGCGCCAACTTCTGCATGGACTGCGTCGACCGTTGTGTCGGAGCCCGGTTGCTTGCGTTTCAAAGATGCTAACTTGGCGAGTCTGGCTTTGCGTTCAGAGGCCGCGGCGTCGAGACTACCCTGGGATGTAGACATAACGAATGATTGATTGTCTCGAGTTCGGACTCGGAGAGCAGCAACTACTCAGAGTTGAAGCACGAGTGTAGTGCGGTAAAAGTCGCGTAGTTTTGCGGTCCAACTTTTCCGGGCGGTTTAACCGCCGCCTGGAACACTGCGCAAACCTACAGCTACTTCGACTTTGACCGACTCATTATACGCTCCAATCCCATCGATGTCCACGATCGTGCGCATACGCATCTGACAGTCCTTTCAGGCTCAATGCTCGAATCTAATGTCCTGTCGCATAGCCGCAGCCCACCAAATATGTGCAAAACTTAGCGGCGCGGGCTTCGTGCGCTTCACAAGCCGTCCACTTCGAAACCCTCTACTCCGATCATGCCGCGCCTCCCTCTGTGGGACCCAAGGCTTTCAGGCTGCCAGGCCGTTCTCGCTATCTAGAAGGCATAGCAGACCAGGAACCTTCAAGGCCACTACACAAGTTGCAAAGACATCGGAAGAGCCAGAAGACGATGAGCTGGGATCGCCCTATGATCTTCACATTGATGAACTCGACTCAAAGGGCGTTCCAATAATACCGAGCTATTGGAAACCACTTAAGATAGATGAGGTTGTGGATGAGGGCATCATCGACGCAGTGGACGCTATGGAGTCCTTCATGAGCTTCGAGTCAGATGGGCATGGTCCGGTCGTGACACCTTTCAAGTATTGGAACAAGCTGTCTCTTCTACTTGCCTTCGCCTATCGGTCTGGCAACACACGCGCTCACCATGCTCTGGACGTTCACCGCTATCGAGCACGTGAATGGCCTCTGGAGGAACGCGATCCGGATCTGGAGTACAGTACGCTCATGTCAATCATGATTGGAAGTCTCGCCAGCTCTTCGCACGACGCGCTGCAACTCCTCGCGGGCCCTCATCACATCTTTTGGAATCAACGAGCGGACTGTTGCTACCACCTTCGTCGAATACCGGCTCGATGGCGAGAGATTCAAAAGAGCCCTACGCTAGAAGTCATGTTCCAACAACAGATCATTAGGCTCAAGGAGCCCGGTAGCCTGTGGTCTCGCACTCGTCTAAAAGTTAGGCATCTCGATCTTCTGTTGGAGCAATCGACAGCAGCCGAAGCTCTGGAGCTGGTCAAGAAGTTTGAAAAGACTTATCCTTTCCTGACTGACAAGGATGCCCTATATCTGGTTGGCTTTTACACCAAGCTTGGCGACGTTCAGAATGCTTTGCGTTTGCTACGTCGGGTTTCGCCCGAGTTACTCGAAGCGCCCCATTCGTATTGCATTGGCCGATGTGTGAATCTGCTCAAACTTGACACAGTCGAAGGAACGCGGTCTTCTCATGCTTTCCGCATTCTTCCAGCCATACTGGAGCTCGGTCTTCCGCCTCTCGATATTGTCCATAATCTCGTGGTACAGAATGCCGCAAAGTCGGGACTCATCGACGTCTCGCTAGATCTCTACCGCTTTCTCGAGACGGAAAGCATTCCAATCGATCCCCACACCCACACCACTCTGCTTAAACACAGCTTCCTTCACAAAGATCTGACAGCCATGAACAAACTCATGAATCTGATTCAAGCACGCGAGGATCTGATGCACAATCCGCATCTTATGTCCGTCATGATGAATATTGTTCGGCATATCTGCTTTCACGAGCGGAAAGCGGAGCCCGAGGAGTGTTTGCAGCACCTCCTGGCCATCTATGACAGAGCGTATAATCGAGGTGCGCTGATCAGAGTTGGCATCTTGCAAGCCGACCAATTGAGTAGCGAAGGGTCTTCCCTTCCCGATCCGCATCCGATGGTGCTTGCAAACTTCATGTGGGCATTCATCCTTACACAGACTCACGAAGCTCGCGTGCGCCAGGTCTGGAGTGCTCTCACACGACTCCTCAGTCGCAAAGATCCCCAAGTGTCGGAGTCGTTGCATTACTCCGGTGTATTCCGCGCTTTCATGTTTTTTTTTGGCCGTAGTCCCTTCACACTCAATGGCATGGTGGAGGTGCTCGAGTATCTGCTCAAACATATGCCCGACCAAGTTGAGCAGCTTGACTGGGCGATCATCATCTCGGGTTTCCTAAAGCACGGAAAAGAGGATGGCGCTAATCAGGTGCGCCGGACGATGGAGACATTCGATCAGAAATTCACGTCAGGAGGCCTGCAAGCAATCTTAGATCGTTGGCCACGGCAACGCGATGTGAGAAAGTTCATCAAGGACTTGGAGGGGGGGCTCGCTCCAACAGTGGTAGAGTTAGATGGCCAGGATGATCTAGGAATGGGGAAAGAGCAATTCTCGCTCTGAAGGCCAAAGCCGGAACCCTTTGCCTGGTACAATGCAGAGCACATACATGTATATCTATGATGACACATTGGAGATATAAATGTTGGAAGACAGTGGCAACTGTCGCAGGCTTGGAAAGGCCTAGAAGTTGTACTCAGCTCCGTTTATATTGTTGCGGGGTTGTTAAGTGCTCAGCCAATCAGCAGGCAGCTCGGGTGTGATTAATCGGACCTCTAGGTGCCTGCCGTTCTTTCAACAATAAAGATGCTCGCTCCTCCCTAACACCTTCACTAGCCTTCCATCGCTTGCGCCAGCCTGTTTTTACTGCATGATCCTTCATTTGTCTTGGAGTCTTAACATCAATCATCGCCGATGCATCATCTTTCAGTGCGCTCTCGATTGATTTCACTGAATTCGTGGTCGGTCTCCACCACCGGATTGAGTGTCAACTCAAGCGCCCGGTCTCGATAATCAGTGCCGCCAGATCAACCTCAAGCCGCTAAGCGCCCGTCTTGTATGAAGCAGCATTGAGCGTGCCGATGGTGCACTCAGGTCTTCTTCGATGCTGGTCTTCACGGTACGTGTCACATATTTCGTTGTCTAGTGCTTTAGCCCAGCCACTCGTGGCCTTATACATTACAGCTTCAAGATGAGTTATTGGTAAAAGGTCTGACCGACCTGATCATCGATGGCCGTGGAATGTCTTCTCGGTGCACCTATCTGAGATGAGGATACACTCCAAATAGGCATGATTCAGTATGCATCCGCCCCAGTTTCCGCCTAGTGTAAAGCAGGTACCGAGTCAGGCTGAAGACCGTGGCATTTCCGTTGCTTCAGTCACCTTGGAGTCTCAGTATACATTGATTGGTTTCCACCCAGCGCTGTTATTATGGGACCTGTTGCTCAAGAAAGCCACGCAATCACGTCAATGGCTACAGCGTACACTTATTCGAGCCCACTGTCAGGTGGCGAAGAAGACCGCTGCAGGAAGCATATTAGTGATTGCGTCGTGGAAGCTGTGGAGTCTTACCTAGGTACTTCGAAAACCTTCCTACAGCCTCTTGACGGCGGCATGAAGTCCAAGAAACAGAAAAGATCTGATTAGAAGCTCAACCCATTTTTCTGCATATCAACTGGTTGCTAGATACATTGGCTAACATCAGTATTGCAGACTAGCATCTAGCCTTCATCGATACTTTCCGTATTTTGGCGGAACAGCAAATATCTCACAACTCAGAAGATGCCGGTAACATTTGGATCGCGCCTTGCAGTACCCTCCAAACGAGACGACGCACCCCTCAACAAGTTCTTCTCCGACAGAAAAGCTGTGAAAAGCCGACCAGATGGTCTTAGAAGCACCCCACCACTTGGTCCGAGACTGCTGAGAGATATCTCGCCTCCAGCCATACGACGTGCCCCACAGCATACAGGGTAAGAGTCATCGTCAGTGTAGATCGTGCTCAGCTAACTCGAATTCAGGCCCAATATCGCTGATAAACCTTCGATCGATCTGAGTCATGTGTCCCACTTTGATTCCACGCTCCTAGGTGCTAGAAACACCGTGCTGTCCCACAGCAATGGCATAGCAACAGAAAAGAATTCGTTAGACGCAGACGACACCACTATATCTCGTAGCTCCCCTGTGCCCAAAACCACAGTCGACAACGAAAATGTACCCTTTGAGCTGAAGCGTCAAGGGTCGAGAGAGAGCTTGCGTCGACATTTCAATGTAGACGATGGCTCATCTGTTGCATCAACGTCGTCCAGGGGATCTCGTGCTAAGAATATATGCCGCGACTGCAAGCAAGAAGGTGGCGAAGTGCGACCCCTCATTAGCTGTACAGCCTGCCATCGGCAATATCACAGCTGGTGTGGATTCCCAAGTCCGGCGTCTATTAAAGACGGCCAGAAGTTCGTGTGTGGAAAATGCTTAAGAGGCAAAAGAATTCCTCCTGGAGTGCCGCAAGCAAGTGCCAGCCACACCGAAGAGCACCAAAGCGGCGGTGGTCCCGCGCTGATAGCTCTAAAACGAGCAGCTGATGGTCCTCTTTCCGACAGTGGTTTCAAGCGTCGCAATTTGGGTACTGACCAAAGTCTAGCAGCGGGAAAAAATGAAGAAACGACAGACTCTGTTGAAGCCAGTCCGCAACCTGCACAAGTGCTGATCGCGAGCAGCGGTCCACGGCTGTTCGATCTCAGAAATATCGACAGGTCCTTGATCGCAGAGTCTACCACGTCAACCAACGTAGAGTATAACGAAAGCGTCGAAACCGGCGACCCCGTGACAGGCAGGCAGGCGCCGGTGCTGGACACTGTTGGAGGTGTTCAAACAGAACCACTCACCCGCCAAACCCGTCATTGGTTAAAAGTTCCAGGCCAGACAGATTCGACATCGTTGCAGTCGAGTTCTACTAAAACGATCGAAAACTATCCTAAGGAGAGCCCGACCGGAAGACCTCAAAATGTTATCGATACGCCACATGCTTTGCTTCGTGGCGAGCAACAAGAGCAAAAAGATGGAAACATGTATAGGCACCGTGCGTCTAATGTTGCGCCGCTGCGGTCGACCTGTGGTGCCGATACTGACTTACGCTCGCGCGAGCATGCTCCTGTACTGGCCAATTCTGCCAGCGGGCGGAAGCCCGACCATTTCCAGGGCGGCCAAAACAGAGGAAGTGAACTGCTTAAAGCCTGGGCGTTAAGAACCGCCAAGGAATATAAAAGATTGACATGCTATCATTGGCGGTACTCGGCCTGCAATCATGAGAACCGGCCAACGAAGTGCTACTATGCCCATCGAGTCACAGATGTACAAGAGCCCGGTCACATACCATTCCCAAGTGACAAAGCGTTTACCTGCTTCGGCTGGAAGAACCTGGGGGTTTGCAGGTCAGGAGATCACTGCAGATATAGCCATCTGGATACTGGCCTATACGTGGATGCAAAAGGATTCGCGACCCGAGCTCACATAACCTGTCCACACTGGTTACAGTCCAGAAGTGGTGGTGCCTCATGCTGGAATGGTGAGAAATGTCGTTTCGCTCACCAAGACACTGGAATATATGTTGACCGCTGCGACAAGTTTGGTCTCCTACAGGATGTGGAGGGTATGGATTATGCACCCGGCTATATCCAGGATGTGGTTTCTCAGAAGCTAGAGATCTCCCCGCACCGGGTTCCCAGGTCGATGGCGAGTCCCGAATATGGACGCAGCGGAGCTCTCGATGTTGGGGCCTCGTTAGCTTCACCACCTTCAGTGACGGCTCGCTCGGATCCAAAGGCAGGCAATTCTCCTGTAACCCCCATTCGGGGCGTGGACACACCTTTCTCGCCCGTGCCAAGTCTTCAGAGCCAGACAGCTACGCATACGCGCCAATCGTCGCAAAGTTCGGTATCTGATGCCATCAAGCCTATTGAGAGGGTCAGCGAGACTGACAATAAAGACCGCGCCGCAGCTCCTGCAGTCCATTATGCCCGACGCAGTAAAGACCCTCGATTGCTCGCAATCCTGGAGAGAAAAAAAGTCTTGCAGAGTCAAAATCCTCCAAAGCGAAAGGTAGTACCCAGCGAATCATCGAACAAGCCCACTGCTCCTTCTTCAGGTCTGGACCAAACAAGTCCTAAAATGAAGAGCACCAACCAATCGATGTCTGTACTACGGAAATGCGAGAATCCACAATGTTCAGCGTCTATTTGGGGCGGCACTCGATGTAGGCGGTGTCAACTCGCCTGGAAGGGTGGCGATCGCCGGGAGTCATCTCCTGGCGTTTTCGCAGAAGACCCGGCGGAAACGACACAAGGCAGCCTTGCGGACCCTCATGCGGAGAACACGGAGTCGAAAGCTTCAGCCCCGTCGAAGGATGAAGAAAATCCAATAGCGAAGAGACCGGCGCCAGATGACCAGTGGAATATCAGCAGAAAACGTGCAAAGCCTCCGACTATGATGAGAGGAAGGCTTCCATCTAATGGAGAAATGGCTCCCCCGCGAGAGGATCAAACCAGGAAGCTTCAATCGCCGCCGAGGACCACGTCCACCGCCAATCAAGATCGGTCTAAGGCCATGGTTCGGGCCAATACGGACGAAGAAAGTTCCCGTAGCAGCGACAAAGAGAATCGGCAGCCAATGACCAGCCCTTTACTTGATGAGCGAACAACGGGTACCAGCGAAGCCTCGTTGTCAGCGTCGATGCAAGACACAAGCCAAGATTGGCGTCCTGAGGAGCCCACGAATCTCCTCATAGAAAGTAGCACTTCGCCCAAGCCATTCACTTGCAGAAACTGTCGAAGCCATCATAAGAAGTGCCTGCATGCGAAGGACGGGACATATGAGCCTGCGCTATGCAAAGCTTTCCTCAAGGATTTAGGTCCGGCACAAAAGGTCAACTCTCGCACGAAAAGCGAGATGCAACAAATTCGAGGCGCAGCTGGCAAATGCTCTTCCGCGAAGACAAAGCCCACAACCTTCCTAAGACACGACGACGATTCATCAATCTCGAACAATGCTGAGACAAGGCTAGACCCGGCGCAGTACAGCTACGAGACTGTGGAGGGCGTTGCAGAGCAGTCTGATGATGATGAGCCAATCGTAGCAGGCAGACGCCGCCGAGCTTATGCTAAACAAGCTGGTAATAGTACAGTCAAGCCGAGCGCAGAAACCGCCAACATCGAAGGCGAGGGATGCAAAGATAGAGGAAGTTCCGTGGTGCAGAGCAGTGTTGAGCCTCTTCCGGCGGGACGCACGACTGTCTGCAAGAGTCCTGTTGCTACACAAGTCGAAGAGACCCGCAGTAGGAAGGTAAGCTCATTGCGCTGGGAAAGCTTGCAGTACACGTCAATCAAAGCGCGTGCGAACGCGACTCGCGACGCTGCCGCCGAAGCTGCCTCTCCTGCATCAGCACCTGAACCCAATCGTGCAAAAACTCCACCTTATCAATTTCTTGAGAGCAGCACCCTGCAGCCTTTCCCCCGACCTATGGTCACGGCTACTGTCGAGCGACCCGGGAAAGATGATCAAGTTGACCAGGTCGACGTCGATATCAGTAGCGTGGTCAGCCGGCTCAAAGATAAAGGCGTCGTGTTCGAAGATGATTCATCAGACGATGAAGTGGGAGAAAGCAGTTCAGCACGAGAGCCAGCAGTGCTTTACCCATGGCAGAGAAAGGATATCTCCAAAGACCTATACGAGATTGCACCGATGCTGCGAGAAATCTCCATTACCGATTCAACGCGGAGTAATTTTGCCAATACAGCCACGAGCCCTAGACGGAGCAAAAAGTCTGCCTGGCGGAACCTGCTCCATTATCAGCTCCAGGTTCGCCGCGAGAAGTTCGGAACAGAGCACCCGCATCGAATGGTAGTCGCACGAGCGGACAGCCAGAAAATCAAGGCTGTCAAATTGCAGGACAGCACAACACAATCCTGGAGGCATCCACTCGATCCACCGCAACCAGAGATAACACAGATGACATTTGATGATTTTATGGGCATGCCGGAAGATCCGATCTTCGAAGACAAGGGTGGCGAACTGGTGTTTAGGGACGGGAAACGGGAGCGTGAATGGGTTGCAAGCGGCGCCATAAGAAGGACACGCAACCAAGGCATCGACCAACGATGGCATTTCATGAGATAATGGGGCGTTATTGTAACATATTTTGGCAGCAAGCCTAAAAAGCTGCTTTGAGCTTATTGCTGCATGATACCCCTTGCGCATATTTAGAGATAGCAACTGGCTAGGTTGACAGCGACTAGCTTACGCCTCTCAGCTTTTGGCGGCCTACTTGGAAAGGCTAGAGCAGCGTGCGTATTTCATCGCAAGGAATCTGTACAGGACACGACCAGCCAGAGGCCGGATATGTAGAACCCTTTGCAACAGCGTGGTATTTCCCCGCTCATCCCACAAATATCGAGACCTTACCAGAGGGCAAAGTCAGTAAGAGCTCGACGCAGCGGGACAATTCGGTCAACATACCGCCATGACCAGGCACGAAAGACCAACATATGGACTTAGGCGTTCTCCTATACGTGCTGACTTCCAGAAGATTCCCATTATCCCGTCTTTGTTGCGATCCATTATTGAAGGGAAGATGGCGTGAATATATGTTGAGGTGCAAATGAACAGGAGAATCACGAGCAGCAGCGACTGGAAGTTGAAGATGGCGGTCATGGTGAAGTCGCGGTCATCGATTGACGGAGTTGCGGTGTCGTGACCTGTGTGAAGGCTGCCAATAGATCAGTCGTTTACTTATTGGCCCAAGGTCGTGCCGTTGAGCGGCGAGGTGAATGTCTTATCTACCTGTGGAAGAGTGAGGTTAAGAACAAACTGGCCTCCAGTTGAGGCATAGCGTGTCGCCTTTCCTCTCCTGCCCGGGCAAGTTTGCCGAGGAAGGCATCGACCCCAGCTTGCGCCGCCAACTGACGACTTCTATGGCGTTCATCTTCTTCTTACCCATCTCGCCTACTGCGCAGGCCGCTTTATAGGCCGTTGCAGTCACTCTGTTACAGATACGTTGTCCGAGAAGCTCGACGCTCGTACTGCACTCCTTCACCATTCCTACAAAGCTACCACCCTGCACCACCGTGCGTCCATCATGGCTCCCAACGATACCGTCACCATGAATCCTAACCAGGTCAACAAATTTCCATACCTTAAAGCCCACCAATTTCCCGGGCCGTATGTGCGGCCTCTCAAGAAGCACAAGGCTATGGAATACCGCGCCCGCGCCGGCAAGCATCACGGCACGCTCAACTTTGGCAAGGACCTCGAGAATGCACTATACGCCTACGGCAACCCAGCCCACCCCGACATCAGCGACCCACACGCCGACTCTTTAACCTATCTCAACCGACTCCCGACTCCCAACCACTCGCACCGGCCACATCCTTTCCACAGCAGCGGCAAAGACGCGGAGAAAAACGGCCATCAGCAACCTTTCCCGGAGACACTGCGCGTGCTGGACGAGATTGTCACGGACTTCATCATCGAGGTCTGCCACGAGGCAGTCGACCACGCCACCTTTGAAGGCCGTCACAAAGTCAACCCGCAGGATATTACGTTTGTGTTCCGCAACGATAAGGCCATGCTGGGCCGCATGCGCGCCATGTCGAGTAAGAGCAGGGTAATCAAGGAGCAGAGGAAGATGGCCGATGATAAACCCATGGGAGAGAAGATGACGGTGGATCAGCTGATGGAGTTGGGAGAGGCGGCGGGCGAGGAGGGTACGGGCAAGGGTAAAGGTCGGGGCAAAGGGCGTAGGAAGCGTAAGGCGCAGGACGTGGACGATGCGCCGAGCCCGGCGGGCGGTGTGTCGGATGGGGGTTCGGAAGATGGAGACGGTGCGACTAGGGACGGGGAGGAGCCGTTGGCGAAAAGGGCACGCAGCGAGAACGCTTCTTGAGACGAGCAAGCTTGATTGGCAACCACCGGCCAATTACTCAACTACTCGCGACACCCTTTGCCTCCGAAACCAGGCTTGCCGCCCCGCCGAACCATATGGATCCTGCTTAGGATGGTTTTCGTATCACCAGCAGTTCACACATTCGGCACATACTTCAAGCAACCATGAGCTACGGCTTCAGCATCGGTATGGCTTGCATATTTCGCTATTCATTCTTCGAGATTCAGATATCTAGCTGGACGAAGACGAGATGAAAACGATAGGACGATGAGAAGTCAGCCACGATGATTTGAAAGTCGGCAAAGCACGATTCGTTGCCTTGATTGTACCTACGGGCCACACGTTTTACGGGCCGAGTTACTAGTATGGCGGCGTCCTTTATTGGACACTGGCTCACCTTTGCCAGCCATCGACGATCACCACTCACGTCTGCGTCACTTATTTGGCACCAAGCCGTCTGCAAGACCTAGTGCACAATGTCTCCGGCATTCGTCCGCGTCGAGTGCTCTCCGCCTGTTCTTCGGAGTGCGAGGATCAATTCGCGGCGTTGCTCCACCTCGGACGCCAGTCGCGTTCCCACGCCCTCTTGGACTCGCAACTTAGGTAGAGCTGAAGGAATGCAGGGCCACTGCTTCCTCTCTACCCCAACAATGCATGTTCGGATTGCTCCAACACTCGCTTAGCTGATACTTTTTCCGCTTCTCCTGTTTTACCAGCACGCTCTCTTCGTCTCTTGCTCATACTGCGTCTCGAACTAACTCTGCCGGCTCTTCGGCGGATCACTCACAGTCTACCAGCAGACACGCTCTCGCCTCTGTTTTGCCGGTTCTGTCCACCCTGTCTCCTCCCGCCCTTGTCGCCGCCGCCTCCTTCTTTGTTTGTCGAGCCTTCACCACCACCCAACGTCAGCTGTGCGGTTGCCAGCCGGTTCGACAGGTCCATCTGAGAGCGGATCGTGTTAGCCAGGTACGACACGGTCAGCACGTCCTGCACGTGATTGCTGAAGTCCTTCTCGATCTCGGTTGGGTCCACCTTGGGCGCCAGCGCCAGGGTGTTGAGCAGATATTGGCCCAGAGCAGTGCTGGGCTCGGTCTCCTCCTCAATGACGGCTTCCACGTAGCGGCCCACGCGGTCTAGCATTCCCAGCGTGTCCTCGATGGACTTCTCCAGGTTCTCAATGTCGGTGAGGATATTGGTGGTGCGGGTCTCGGTGTCCTTGGCTCCAGAGACGGCGGCCAGGCCGGCGCGGTCGGACTCGGTGTAATTGATGGTATGGGGTACGGGAATGAAGGCAGCCGAGTCGGCGGCTCGCTCATCGGTCGTGCCAACGGGGCTGGAGATGTAAGTGTTGATTTGGATGTCTTGGCCCGGCTCCGATGAGACTGTCAGATGCACGGCGGGGTAGGGAAAGGTGCCTTCGTTGGGTGACGAGTAGTGGTTCTGAATGAGGGCGGAGAAAGTGTTCAGGTCGGATGAGGTAGCATACCAGCCAACAAGGATTTCTTTGGGGTTGGCGCGTAAGTGTAGGGACAGCATAGATTTTTGGCACTCCATATCAACTTCGACCTGGTCAGTCGTTTCGGTGTGGCCGACCGCGAAGGCCGAGTGGACGGTAACGAGGGTCTCATCGTTGTCGCTCCGGGTGCCCAAGAGCGTGCCAATCACTCGATGTTGATCAAGAGGCCGGCGTGTAGAGTGATCGAGGATACTGAAGAGGGCCTGGGGCTGGATGACCACGTTGAGGGGTGTGGTTGCCGCCTGTGTACCGGCGGCGGCGGGGCCAAGCGGTCGCGCCAGGTGAAGGAAGCCGTTCTGCGAAGGCATGGTAGAGGTCCGAAGTGTGTAGGGGATGATTGATCAGGACCGTCCTCGCCTTGAGTGGGAGTTTGCAGAGTGAAGTCGAGAGAAGGCTCAGGTGCGCAGGGTCGGGCTGCGCTTCTCCGCCAGGATCAATCAATCTTCAAAAGTTCGCCGCGATTTTCGTGTGGGAGGCGCCTTGCCGCATCAGGCATGGTGATGACGGAGTTAACCAGTCGTCTATCCGCATGGCAATTGCATCACTTGAGCATCGCTCTTGACTTTTGCCATCCTCACTTTTCTTTATGGCCTGTTCGTCTGGATTTTTATACGAATGGTCCTTGGGTTGTCGATGTTGCATAGACTATAGACATGGTATCTGCTCAGGAAAGAGCATCGCTGCTCCGCAAGGATCAGTTGGAACGAAGCCTCTTTGATGAGAAGAAACTGATAGACGAAGGCGTCCTAAAAGAGGACAACCCTCTCGATCTGTCAGATTCGTTCCGCATCCTGTGTGAAGCATGTCGGCGAGGTGATCTCAAGGTTTGTCAGGAGAAGATCCAGGACGGCGTGAATATCAACGCCAAAGATCAGTTCGACTACACGCCACTCATCTTGGCGAGCCTTTGTGGCAATTACGAGACCGTCCAGCTGCTGCTTGAGTCAGGTGCTCTCTGCGAACGGGACACTTTCCAAGGCGAACGATGCTTATATAATGCACTGAACGACAGGATACGTAACCTGCTGCTCTCCTACGACTACTCCAAGTCAACAGATCCTTTGCAGCCATTGGCAGCCCACCTGACTTCTCTATTAAGCAGAGAGCAGCCTAGAACATCCGACATTACCGTCAGCGGCTTCGACGAGTCTTTTGCCCTTCATAAGTTCGTCCTAGCTGCCAGGTCACCTTATTTCAAGAGCAAGCTTTCTTCGGCTCCCGATACCGCAACATGGAAAATCCCGGCGAACCTTCCACCACAATCATTTGGCATTGTACTGAAACATGTTTATCTTGGAGAGCTACCTCGAGATATAGGAGGTGGTCCCGGCACTGGCTTCACCGATTCCGAGGTTCTAGCCGGTGTCGACCGCATCAGCAAGCAATTAGAGATACCTACGAGCCTATCACAACTCATACTTGACAGCAGTGATCGCCGGTTAGCACGACAAAGACGTCAGGACGAGGTTGAAAGGGGCCGTGATCAGCTAGAAACTTGGTTTCGTGCCAGTGTTTTGCAGCATGCCATTGAGGTTGACACCTCGAAAGCGGACGACATCATGTGGGATCGCGGCAACGCCATATTCGCCGATATCCTTCTTCGCGCGGATGAAGATGAGGAGGACGAGGACGACGAAGCGGCAGCATCAGGTTTGAGTGGGCATGTCGCCCCGGGAGAGACGACAAACGTGCTGGGCATGCCACTGGGCCCATCCTCCAAGTCTCGATCACCGTCTCGATCGCGAAAAACTCGACGATCCAAGATCTACCCTTGCCACAAAGCCATGTTGATCAGGTCAGAGTTCTTTATGACCATGTTTGAATCACAATTTAAGGAGGCCCAGGACAGCCCTCACCTCCACATCGTCTCCATAGACTGCTCACCAGAAGTGCTGGAGATCATCCTCACGTTCTTGTATACCGAGAAGGCTGATTTTGGCCTCGAAATTGCCGTTGACGTGCTCTTTGCCGCAGATATGCTGTTTTTGGAAAAGATCAAAGCGAAAGCAGCGGTTGTCATATCGACACTTGGCAATGGCACGGCGACTACCATGCCAGCGGAAGTGGCCAGAGAAGATGATATCATCGACATCTACGAAATCCTTCGTGCTGCTTGGATTACACGAGTGCAACGTCTCGAGGAATTTGCGGCACGGTACATTGCGCACAGATTGGAAACGTATATTGACGATCCCGAATTCGCCGATCTCGTCCAGGAGAGCGCGGGCAGAATCAGTGCCAGACAAGAGACTGACAGTATTGAGCTGCTCGATGACATCCGCTACTATCTGAGTGAGCGCTTCCGGCTGCGTATGGAAGATGTCAATTTCGAGGATGCTATGGACGAAGCAGAAGATGTGGCGGAAGCTCAGACCAATAGTCTGCGATCGGTGACGGATGATGGTCAAGGCGACGGCAAACCTTCGGCGGCAGCACCTCTTCTACAAGAAAACGGCGTTGGCGTACAGAACACGACCGCGCAGCATGCCATCATACAAACAGGCGCAGTTCGCACTCTCGACGGAGAAATTGCTGGAGACGAGATGGCAGCGGATGCGATCAACTACCAGATTCTCCTGGAGAAAATCGACAACCTACTAGACCAGCTGAAGCTCGATGCCTAAGCATAAGCTTTCAGCACGCTAGCCATATCATTACCGCAACATCCGCTGCACCACCAGGCTTCATGGCTCGACGCCCCTAACTTTCCTTGGGTGCCCCTTTGTCACCACGACATCCGGATCTGCTGCATGCGCGCGCTGAAGCTCAAGTTCAACAGGACAAATCTGCGCGCTCAGCAGCAGCAAACGCAACCAGCAAAGCGTGAAAAGCAGGTGGTGGCAGATGCGCATTTCAGCAAGGAGGAGAAGTCGGCCGAGATACACTTCCCAGAAGAGCGGGTCCAGCCCTCGGAAGAGAGCGGAGGTCGAGGCTCAAGGGATTACGGTAGAAGAGCCAGGCAGAGGCCTTTGGAGCATGACCAAGCAGGAGATGGCGAGGGCCACGCGAGGCAAGGGAAAGAGAAGAGACATGATTCTGAAGTAAGTCAGGCTGGTGAAGACCAATTTCGGCAGAGGACGAGGACGGAGACTCGTACGAACATCGCCAGCAGTAACAGCAATTTAAACAACAATGAGAAGATGGAGTTGAGGCCGAAGAAGAACCAGCAGTCCAGTGTGCCGCGGAGGATCACAAGGGACTCCGCGCCGCGTGAGGACATTCATCTACCAGACACGAATACACCGGCCGCTACCTTAGCGAGAGATAGTACTTAGCAGCCACGACTCAATGACGCCGGGGACCTAGGCCCAACGACAGTGATCATAGCGTTGGGGCAATCTGGGACAACTTCTTGCCATGTTTGTCATCCTGAAAAAGAGCGGGCTCATCGATCCATACACCGACCAATCCCGGGATCCTATCAGGACGCTAACATGCATATCCTCGACGCTCATCCGCCCTAGCCACGTATATATACATACGGCTCTCTCTCCGTGCCCGTGTTGTTCGAAGCCATCCAAAAACACAAAAAACAATCGACAAACAGGATTCGCTGATGGTCACCCACTCAACTACTAACTATTCGGCCTGTGGTTTAAGTTGCCTGAGCGGACGGGAAGGCCTGGTCTACACAGCCTGTGGCCGATTGCGAGACTAATTCATGCTTGTTTGCACTATAACTCTGATTCTCAACCCGATTCTTGGGTGTGGTTCCTTCACAAGGGCATAGCACCGGATGACATACCATTTCAAGCGGCTACTCACTCGCAGCGCCCAGCTGAGCATTCAGCCTCCCTGCACGGTAATCTCGGCTGCTGCTGTGTGGCCTTGAGATCATGTCAGGCTATTCAGTGAAATGTCTGATAGCATTGGAATCGAGGCATGTGGGCCCGGCCGCAGCAGCAGCCGCGATTGACGTCTCAAAAGAATGGTATCACTGGAGAAATTTTAGTAAAAATAAGCCGGCCGCGATCCACAGATGAACGCCCTTCTTCTGTGTTGGAAAGTCAACCGTATGTGTCGCGTCGAGCCGGTACGTATATATGGCTTTGATTCAAAAGCCATCTCGGGTCTTGGCGCGCCTACGAAGCATATATGACAACATTGGTCCACAGAAGATGTCCTGCCCATTTGTCAAGACGACTATGACACAAGTAATAATCGGGCGCCCTGTCCGATATGGCCAGCATTTCAAGGCAGAAATCTATCAAGATGAGCGAGACCCACATTAAGTTGAGGATATAGCAGGCCGAGTCACGAGTGTGTCTTGTCACATACGGTGATTGTCAATGAGACTCGGGGCATATTGTAATCCGATGGAATAAAAATGGGACTACACTCCTTGTCAGGCATCGAAGACACAATCACGTAGCAAAGATGCAGCAGGTGAGACATGGAATGATTCAGTTGGATGTCTTTGCATTCTAGGATTTCATGCAGCTTTAAGATGGCCTCGAACTGAAGCAACCGAGCCAATGTCAAAGCGGACGCAAGTGCCACTTGGTATTTGATAGCGGGCTGCTTTACGCTCACGTAGTGGCGCCGAGCATCGCTGGCTCACGGTGGCCTTTCAATTTTGGTTCCGTTCCAGAGTTGATACTCATACAATGATCCAGTAGGGGAAGATAGCTCCCACCGAGCCGCCGGCGCCAGATATAGAATTGGCAACGCCTAGGATGCCATGTAGGTCGAGCTGTCCACGCCTTCCTTGGGATAGTCGGGAACCTTGGCATCGAACCGCTTCTCAATCTGCTTAAGCACTTCCTCGTCCTGCTCAGTGCTTACAAACGAGATGGAAAGACCCTTGGTACCGAAACGACCGGCACGACCGACACGGTGCAGGTATGAGTCAGCATCAGCAGGAAGATCGTAGTTGATGGCGAGGTTGATACGCTCGATATCAATGCCGCGACCAAAAACGTCAGTGGCCACACAGATGCGTTTGTTGAACTCCTTGAACTCTTTGTAGCGCTTGATACTACGTTGGATGTTAGCATAAGTCATGACAGCGAGATTGCTAGAACTTACCGTTCTTCCTGGCTAACACCGGAGTGGACAGCAACGCTGGGGAAATTGCACTCGCGCAGGAGCTTGTCAAGTTCGGTGGCACGGAGAGTACTCTTCACGAAGATGATGACCTGGTTGAACTCAAGCGAGTCGAGGAGATCGTTCAACTTGCGGTTTTTCTCCGACTCCTCAAGCTTGATAGCATACTGTTGGAGACCGTGCAGGGTGAGCTTGGTCTCGTCATCGACGTAGATCTCCAGGGGGTTGCGCATGAATTTCTTGCAGATAGGTCGGATGTCTTGAGAGAGAGTGGCGCTGAACATCATCACCTGCTTCTCGGTTGGAGTGGCACGGAAGATCTCTTGGACGTCACGACGCATGTCTGAGCAGTGTTAGTGGACTAAGACGTCGCCAAGGTCGGGGATAATATGGTGCCTACCAATCTGGTCCAACATCTTGTCGCACTCATCAAGGACGAAAGACTTGACATTGCGGAGTGATAGGATCTTGTCGCGAACAAGAGCATTGAGACGCCCGGGGGTGCCGACGATGATGTTGGGGCAAGTCTCCTTGTTCTTGATGATTTCGATATCCTTCTGGATTGGAGTTCCGCCGTAGAAGACACCTGTCTTGACGTTGGGCAGATACTTGCTGAAGCGAGCGTACTCATTCTTGATCTGATAGGCCAACTCGCGGGTGTGGCACATGACTAGGACCGAGCATTCACCATCGACGGGCTCCAGCTGGTTGAGGGTTGTGAGGACGAAGACGGCCGTCTTACCGAGACCAGATTTGGCTTGGCAGAGCACGTCGACGCCGAGGAGGGCCTGCGGAATGCAGTTCTGCTGGACTGTGTGGATCGAACGTTAGATTGTGATCGCAGAACGAATGAAGGACGAAGCGCATCGCAGGTGTCGGTCCGTCCATCTCCAAGCCAATGCACTAGATAGCCGCGCGTATATTTTTCAACTCCTCCCAGCTGAGGGGTAGTGGGCTCCTCCCACTCTGCCTCGATTGCTACATCGAGAAAGACGATATCGCAAATGAGAGAGCATGGTGACATTCTCAGTGCACCACACAAACTCGATGGCGATGATTCATGCAGTCCGCATCATCCTGCTACCGGATGACGCGGACTGCAGAACGTTCAGACACCTGTTCTCAGGGTCGCGGCTTTCGCCAGCTATCCGCAGTTGTAATCTGTCTGGCTCATGCTCGGCTTGATTGTCGATTGGCCCCTTTGCTTTGGAGATGGACGAACTCGTAGGGAGTGAAGAATTGCAAGAATGTGATGGACTAACCCTCCGAAGGATGCTCGAAACCGCAATCGGTAATGGCTCGAATCAATTCGGGCTTGAGCAGGAAATCGCGGAAGCTGGACGAGTGGGCGCCTGCATAACTGCCCTTGGTCTTGTCGCCGACAGTAGCTGTCGCCGCAGATTTCTTAGCCGCGCCATTGGTGGCAGGGGCCTCTGTGGTCTGAAGCTCTTCATCGGAGTAGTCGATGAGATCCTCTTCGGCAGACATGGTGTTAGATGCGAAGTTGTGCTGTAGTTAGGCTAGAATGAGGCTCGCAGCCGGTGGCGGTAGGAGAGACGTTGGCTCGCAGAGTGTTCCGCAGTTAGAGTAGGTACGACACCAGAGCGACCGGCGTCAGTGTATCAAAGAGGTTTCGCAACGTTTGCGACTGTGATCGGAGGTCAAGATAAATCGGTCGTTGATGATAACAAAGAAGACCAAGATGTTTGCGGGTTGAGGATGAGGCAGAAGTCGCAGGAATGCGGCGGTGACCAAGCTAGTCTACTTATGTGCTAGCGTGATCAGACCTTGCGGGGTCTTGGCAGGAACTGTCTGCCCTCAACCACAAAACATATCACGCCCGCCTTTCACATCTCACGCTCATATGTGATTGTGGAAGAAGGTCAGAGTCTGACTAATAATGATCAGACCAAATGGGCAGGTCCAAGGCAGAGAAGAAGGGTGAGGGGATCCAACAGCGGCACCTTCACTCGAGGCTGTCATATCTGCATCAGGCTGCGACCTATCTCTCAACAGCACCCTGTCAGGCACCAGCCTCGAATAAAACAGCAGACCACGAGACCGACAGCAGAATTAAAGGACCCCTGACAAGATCGCAAGACGGGTTTTCGACGAACGAATCTCGACATCTTTTGACGCATGTTCGAGGAATCTCGAGAAAGACTCAAATCAGAGTGGCACGAGATATGAAGAGATCACTCTGTAAGCGGTGCCAGAGTCTCCTCGTCGCCGGTTCATCCAGCACAGAAGGTGTGCAGAATCTCAGCATAGACGAATCGAAACCCTGGGCCGATGTGTTTGAGATCTACTGCAGCACCTGCGGCACAGTCAAACGCTTTCCTATCGGCCAAACACGAACTAGACGGAAGGACGGCACGAAGGAACTTCCCCGTGGTTCCTCGGTCAGATCGGGGGATGGAAACAGTATTTCGCAATTGAAGTAGTCCTGAGATGCTTGTCCAATGCATATGACCAGAAACTCAAGTTGACCAACGCCAGGCGCCATTAGACGTCGCTTTTGATCCCAAACACTCTCGCTCGCAAATGCGTTTAGTCATACAGTCGTAGATGAATTGACATGCTGTCCATAAAAATCTTGCCGTGAGGCTTCCTTCTTTCATTTCGCCAGCAAAAGCTTCCGTATTTGCTAGGTAGGTATCATAGTGATGTTCGAACAGTCGTCGTGCGGTCAGATATTAGTAAGATGGTTGGGTCGATGTGGGTCGGTAGGTCGGTAGGTCGGTAGGTCGTGTTGCTGCTATGGGTTTAACGACGGTGTCGATCTCTTGCAGCTTGACTTTGGTGAGAGGGGGTTGCACGCTCCATTCTGCCGTCGGTGGCGTCGACCCGAGCCCGGAGACGTTTGACAACTTCCTTGATGTGGGTGATGCGCCGGAAGTCGGCGTCTAGTCTGTCGATATCGGCCATGATGCGGTGCATGCGCTCAATTTCGGCGTCTGCATCTCGGCTAGTCCGGCCATGGCGGTCGCTGCTTGAGTTGACGGACCGTTCCGTGGCTTCTTCGAGCTGTGAACATGGGTTAGCGAGAACAAAGGTCCGGGGCCAATGGAGAACCATACCTCATTGATGCGAGTGCTGATCTGTCGCATGACATTGTCGAGATGAGTCTGAAGCGCTTGCAGATGACGAGGATCCAGGATGACACGATTGGGAGGGCCGGTGCTGCTGGCGGCGCTTGCGGCGCGCGAAGATGGCTGAGAGTGACGGCTTGGAGCTCTGCCCCGGTCGGCATTACCACCTTGATGACTGCGCTGGGCCATGACTTCTTGCTGGCGGCGAAGAAGCTGGATCTCTCCCTGTGTCAGTCCTAATTCGGTGTCTGCGACTGAACGGACCGACTGAGAGGCGGACATGGACAGGGCAGAGCATGTACTGGTATTGGTGGACAGGGGGCAGGAGACTTAATCAACATAGCAGGTTTCTCGAATCCGATAGGTGGGAGGCGTGGCAGAATCAGGAGCAGCGCAGCAGAGGCAGGGCAGCGATACAGCTGCGAGATATGGCCAACGTCGTTTGTGGGAGCATGGTCGACTGACGCCGGTTGCGTGGAGGAGGTGACGGGACGGTTCCTAGGCGAGCGCAGATTGTTTGACGAAGCGCTCGAGGTGTCTCTGAGTTTTTGCGCGGTGTCAGATCAAGATCAGGATCAGTATCAGGCTGAGGGCGGGTAGCAAGCGGCGGGACGAGGGACGGCGGTAAAGGCGGGCGCTGCGGAGGCCAATGCAAATTGGATCTTCGGCTTCCAGGCGATGGGGTTACCCGCAGGAGAGAGTCAAAGAGAGAGTGAAGAGAGTAGCGGGAGGAAGCAAGCAACCCTCAGGGCTACGGTCGTTGCATCGAGCCTGCGACGAAGAAGAGAGGAGAGGAAGAAGAGGAGCGCGAAGAGCACGAGCGTGGTTAGTTTGGTGGTCTGGCTTGTATGGTCAGTCCTCCGTGCCTCTCTCCTCCTCTGTTGCCTCCACCCCTCACCCACCCACCCATTCACTTTCTTTTCTACAAAAGGCGCCCACTCAAAGCGTTTACCAGGGCTCTATTGGACCGCGTCCCAGTCTACGCAGCCGATCCTCTCACGACTCCAAACCTGCAGCGGCAACAGTATACGCTTGCAAGCCCGACGACAGAGCCCTGAATCTTTTCCATACCCCAAAAGATTCTTGTTTTAACTATAGCCTGGGCGCTGAGCTTCAGTACCACTACTCCAACTCCCCTCTCGTCTGCTCCCCAACTCCCTGCCCTACGGCCGCTCGCGCTGTCAGGACCCAGGTTACCGAGCGCTCTCAATTTCAAATTGACCTGGCACAACATACGTCTTCCGCGGCCTTTGTGGCGCCGTCTACAAGAGCTACGCAGTATTGCTGGACAGACATCCCCAATATCCTGGTTGCAGCCTGGTTTGCGCTGACTGGCAGCTGCATATTGTTCATGCACTGCTGCACCCAAGTGGACGCTTCTGCTGCACCACTGCTGCACCCGAAATCACCTTATTGCCACTTCGCTCCATCCCATTTGCCTGCGAAACCCCTGACCGGTGAGACCCAATGCCTCTGTCTGGCAAGTAGAAGTCGACCATCGTGAAACACTGCCTCACCATTTACGAGCGCTAGCCGATCAACCCCCCTTGTGCACCTGCGGCCGAAGCGGGTCGAAATACCCCCGAAGTCATAGCTCTTCTATCATCATGGCAAAGGACAAAGAACGCTCCATCAACCCTGCGCAACAACAACGCAAGCTCGAAAAAGCTAAAGCCCTCAAAAAATCCAAGGCTGAACAGACCAACCGCCGCAATGAGAAACTAGCGCGCCGCAACCCCGACCGCCTGCAACGCCAAATCGATGACCTCAAAGCTCTCGAGTCGTCTGGCGAGATCAAGCCGCGTGAGAAGACGATTCTCGAAGACCTCGAACGAGACTTGCGCGCTGTGCGCAAAGCGAGAGAAGCACTTGGCGACAAAGCCCCGCAGTATGGAGGCGGCAATCGTCCGCCACGCCGGGATGACGGCGCCAGCGAGTCGGTATTGGGAAAGAGGCAGCATAACGGGCAGCGCATACCTCCAAATCGGAGACAAAACGAGAATGAGAGTGAGACAGATGAAGATGTGCGGCGCATTCCCATGCCGGAGGACACGCCGCCGCCCGTGCCACGCCAGCAACGACGTTACTTTGGAAGTGAGACTGAAGCAAGTTACTCGCCGCATCCAGCAGCGCCGGTGATAGAGACCAAAACTACATACAGTGCCGCTCCACAACTTCGCGACCTGAAGAAGGAAGCAACCTCGCGGTTCGTTCCGGATATAGTCCGTCGCAAGCAGGATGCGGTCAAAGGCCATGGCGCGCTGGTGGAGCCTGAGGAGATGGATCGATTGGAGGCTCAAGGATACTACGGTCAGAAGGCGCCGGAGAAGGAGGCAGACCAGAAGCCAGCGGAGGCCGAGGACAACGAGGAGGTGAGGCGTCTGGCGGAAGAAGAGGCAAGATTTGAACGCGAGCTGGCCGCGGGCATGAAGGATGAAACCCCCGAGCACGAAGCTCAGAAGCTTGCACCTACAGGGCCAGCCCATACGAACAGGCACGTGGAGATCGAGGAGGTGGAAGACGAGGACGGCTGATCTTCCAAGAGAATGCACGCCCTCAGACTCGCTGTCAATCTTGTCAGTCTCAACAACTGACACGACAAAACGCCACCCCATCCACCGTCGCCGGCACTTGTGCAAATGAGACGCCCCGTCACCAACAAGTACGCGGCCACAACATCCGCTTCCTCGCAAGCGGCAGCACGAGCAGCAAAGATCTTCTCCCACTCGACAGCACCGCGTCAGCGCATCAGACTTTCCGACTGGGAATGCTACGCCATTTCGGCCGCATGCCATCACTGCACATCCTCGTCTACTTCACGAGTTGTACACACAAAACACACAACACGGCATAGCACGGCGAGCCAGAGAGGTTGTGGTTGGAGGGCGCCGAACGCAAAAAGGACGCGTGCATGCGATAATGCAATGCAATGCAATAACAGACCATAAAGTATCAGAGCCCCCCAACGGGTTGGCCTCTAGGAAGGATTTCTTCCATGTCGCTAAAATACATGTCTCTCTACAACCTCATCACTTCCTTGCGCCTTGTGCGCGTTTATGCGCACGCGCGCGCGTGTCTATTGTCTCTTCCTTTCTGCCTGTCTGTACCTCATCCCGGTCTCATTGCCGGCTAACCCAGGCGAGCGATGCTAGGCCGTCCTTGCAGCCTTCCGATGAGCAGAATGGATCTGCTACGGATCATTCGCAGATTGATCTGGCCCGAGATGGTTCTCCTGTCTGTCTGTCGCTACCGTTAGTCGCAGCATGTTGGACCAGAAATAAGAGACGCGTCTGATTGCAGAACAAGGCCGCCGAAGTCGATCTGGAACTGACAATCATGATGAGTGGGTATGATGAACAGTGCGATTGCTGACTCTGAAAAAGCCTCTCTCATTCATTTGCTTCCCCTAGCTCTACTCTAGCACATGGTGTCTTATCCTTGGACTATCCTACTGCCCAAGAACACAAGAGTCTACCACAAAAGAAAGTCTCGTCACTCCAATGAGGTCAACATCAGCCATCCAACGTTGCTCCATGCTGTGTTCCATCAAAGCCACAATGGCTCGTTTCCGACAAATAGTTCAAGTCAAGATCCAACAACGCCCACGCAGATGCCGATGCGAACGCCCGGCCGGTACACCGGCCCAAAGTCGCCAGTCTCCCTCAATCGAATTACATCACTCATATTTCGTGATCATGATGTACGCCTTCACCAATACGAATCGCCCCCACGCTGCTCATGCCCAGGCTCTCATCACCGCAAGCCTCTGCAGGGAACGGTTCTGACATCCCGCTTCAGGAAGGGACTCGGCATGTTGTCGCCCTCGGTATCTGGATCCCAAATCGGTACGGGCGGAAGATCCTTCTCCTCCCGCATGAACTTGGACCTCAGACCGCTGCCGAGATCACTGCTCATTGGGCGACCGCCTGCACGAGCTTGTGCTAGTTCAACCAGAGTCCGGCCTCCAACGACGTTGCCATTGGCACATTCTTTCGCGGTGCCGAGCTTGCTCTGAAGCTTACCAGTTGTGTTGGTGCGGCGGATTGGTGATGTGCTGCCAGTAAAGTTGGCGTCCAGTGGCTGAGTAGGAATCTTGCTCAGTCTCCTACCCGGGCTTTTGGGGGCTCGAAGGTCTCCATCGGTGGTGGACCGGGTAATGTTGCTATTGTTTGCCTGAGCATTAGCGGCAGCGATGCTGGCTTTCACTGCCTCAGCCTTGGCGCTGGCCAGAGTATTGGTCGGAAAGAGATTCGGTTTGGATGTCAGCCGCTGCATGGTAGCAGTGGTGTTCTGGCGTCCGAAGCCGGGACGACTCTTCAGAGGTAGAGGCATTGGTTGCTTGAAAGGATCAGTGCTGGCGACAGTTGGCTTCACCCGTGTTGGGCTGGGCAGTTCCGGGATCCCATCGTCTTCCTCGTCTGAGAAGTCGCTTCCAGGATCGATATTCTCCTCGTCTTCGAAATTGTACGCCAAAGTGGGTTCCCATCTAGCCTTCTGCCTCGCAGCTTCAGCAAAAATGTTTTTGACGCCAAAGCTGGTCGTCGTGCTGTTGGCAGTAACTTGTGCGGCAGCAGTACGCCGTGGTGAAAGAGCCAGGCCGGAGATCGACATTGGAGATGCTTCGGACATTTGCACGTCCATAGGTGAATCGAGTGTCGTCTTTGCCCGGGAGAAAGGAGTTTTTGTTTTCTTCGGCGGCAGCGGCCTCATGGTTGAGGATGTGGGCGAATGCAACGACAACTCCGAAAGCTCACTGATGTCCGTGGTAGACGGGAAGTCTTCCTCGCCCATGGTGTTGATGGACGACGAATAACTCTTCTGGCTTACTGTCCGGCCATTCGTTTCCTTCGCTGGTACGGGTTCCGACGGCCTGCTACCCGACTCAGCCAGCACTGCATCGACCTTGTTTTGGACCTCGTCGTCGAATTGGCTTCGCAAACGGTCCACCTCCAAATTAACTTGCCGAGTGATCTCTAAGCGAGCCTTGACCTCCCACTCCCGTCTGACTTGGGCCTCGATCTCGGCACGCATGGCCGCCTGGTCAGCCTCCATGGCTGAGAGTCTCTCTTCTGCTTGATGCAATCTCTGCTCCGCAAGCTCCTCCTTGGTCTTCAGGATCTTTCCCAACCCAACCATCTCTTGTTGCCGTCTAGCCAGCCAGATATAAGGTACGGTAAGTAAAGAGGCGGTATCGGGTCGTTGATGCGGATTAGTCTTCAGACATTGGTTGATGACGTTGGACAGGTCCTTGGAATACGTGCTGGGGATAGGCGCGTACTCGCCCTTTCGTATCCGCTGTATGAGTTGGAGGTGAGAGTTGGCATTGAAGGGAGGATTGTGGGTGCATAGCTCATATATGATGCAGCCGACCGACCAGATATCGGAATGCAGGGTGTACTTTTCCGATGCGCAGATCTCGGGCGACATGTAGAAGGGTGTGCCAACATAGGTGGAGGCGAAATCGTGGGACTGCATGAGCTTGGATAGGCCGAAATCGCCCAGCTTCACCGATTGATCGGCTCCTAGGAAGATGTTCTCTGGCTTGAGGTCTCGGTGTAGGATCATGTCCTTGCCCTTTGGACGGGTGTCCTTCTGACGAGCAAAGTCACTACCAGCCTCTGCAGGATCGACGCCATAGTGGCATCTATATAAGGCTGTGACGAGCTGACTGAGAATTCTCCACACGAACTCTTCTTTTGGGTATTCACGCTTCTTTTTCAGATCTTTGATGACTGTGCCTAGATCGCCTCCGCCGCAGTACTCCATATAAAGGTACAGCTCTTGGGTCTGCTTGAGGTGTTCGCGATGGAAATAACCGACAATATTGGGATGCTTCAGGGAGGCAAGGATGGAGAACTCGGCGTGAAGTTGATCGCGCTCCTTTGTGGACATCTTGAGGTAATTGATCTCCTTACGACAAAGGATCTGATTGAGGTCAGCTGGGCGGGAATCACGCTGGCCATGGAAGGGAAGGAACATACATGTCCATCGTTCTTTCTTCGCACCTTCCTGATGATGCCAAAGGCGCCGCGGCCTATTGGGAGTTAGCTGTAGCCAGTGGAAGGATTGAGGAAGGCGCATACCGATGATCTCAAGCACATCGTACTTGTCGTTGTCCGCTTGCACCAAGGCCATGGTGGGCTCTGCAGACGAAGATATCGACAAGGCGATGTCCGCGGGTATTTTGCTGTTTTAGTATGAGCGAGAAAGTTGCACTAAAGGGTCTCATCGATGAGTGTATCGCGACTGAGGGTTTGGTGAGGAGTGGCGACGTCGACAACGCCGTTGCCAGAGCGGCCTTGGTGTCGAAACGGGTAACCGATGCAAGAGGGTTGCGAGGGGCAACCACCAATCCGACGTCACTTCTTGGCATAAATCGACCCTCTTCAAGTTGCACGCATTCGTCCGCTCGTTAGCCCACCATCGGCGTTGTGGTTGCAGCACCTATATGCTGTTGCACAAAAGGAGAGATACCTGGCACATCTCGATGCGTTTTGCCGCACCCTTCAAGCTCGTGTTCGGTATCCTCCAGACTGTATCTGTACAGCCCTCCCAAGCCAGTACTACTTCGGACAAGGAGGCATGAAGCGCACTTGCATCTGACTCGTGTTATAGCAGCATACCGCATGGTGTAGATGAAGTTAATACGTCTCTCTAGTGTAGGCTACGACTTGTAAACGGTCCTGACCAGCGAGAGTCCCCGACATCTAGGTATTGTGATGCGACGACTTCTTGGGCGAGAAGACCACTGTAGGTTGGAATACTCCCAAAGAAACTTTGATCGCTGGCTGGGTGAGCAGATCTCATTTGGCGTCAACAGGCGCAGGGCAATGCTACCATGGGAACAGGTCAGCTGCATTGGTCCATCATGTACTGAGGTCAATGCAGTCAACCATCACCATTACGGATTGTCACTGATGGGAAGCAGTACTAAAGCTTACCGTACGCTGGATCAGCGAGCCAGCACCTATTCACAACCACAGCCTGATGATGAGAGCAGTGCTTCCTGAATACGACAAATGACTCAGCCCTGTTCTAGCCAGCAATACTGTGTCGCGCTGTTGAATGGGGTAGGACAGACCCGACGACTCGTAAACCGAATCAATACACCCATCGGGTGGTATTGACACGAGGCGCATCACAAGGCTCCTTATTTGCTTGTGGTCGACCTCGGGCAAGTAAGCATGAAATCTGCTGCATGGTGATGCTGGTTCCGAGTATTGTCCTTGCGATCTCCGAGGGTACGGAAAGTATAATTCGCGCGGGGCTCTCCGCCTGTTGTGGAAGCCAACGCTCAGACCGCGCCGCGGCTCGTATAGTGCTCCCGAGCAGGCCGCAAGGGAGCGTCTGCTTGCCCCCGGGTGCTCCAGGAGGTCGCCGGGCATCAAAAGTAAAATAAGAATTCTCCATCGTCCGCAAGACGCCTTGAGAGTACCTGGTGCGATCCTGCGCAACGACAGCGACGACCGAAGACACTAACACCGCAAACTGAGTCTGAAGCTTTCAGACAGGCAGCAGGCGCCGCGACGAAGCGGTCTGCTGTCTCAGGTGGGTCGATACTCGTAGACGTGCGTGATGCTGTCCGTTCGGTTCCAGCCCCTCGGGACAGTTTCTGTGCGAGAGCGCAGAGGCTTGCATATCGCCCACGTGGCACTACGTGAACTTCGTATCAATGTGACAGATGTCGAATCATGCCGAGCCAAATGCGGCAGGTAGTGTACGAGTGAGTTAAGGAAATACTGTTGTTCAATCGCACCGAAAATGCAGCCATCACGGCGACGCCGATGGATAGCGATGTTTGGATCAAACCTTAAGTGGCGCGCCAATGCTCCCGACTCCATGGAGAATTGAAGGCTCGAAGCTGTAACCTTGTGGGGACACCTTCTAGGTTCATCGACGTAGATGGTCGAACAAGGGGCCCAGGAATGAAAAGCAACATGCATGTCGCCCGGAGCCAATGCTGGAGCGGTGAGAGCTGCACTAAATCTGTCATATCCTGAGCCAAAGCAAGGAGCTTCGGTAAGACGTCTCAGCATGCTCCGTACATGGCTATCTACTCCGTATGGCAGGCACCAAAATTTCCCAAGTGTCTGATCCATTGGCGTGGCTCCGAGATTCCGTGGGATGTGTCACGGGTGGTGTTGGTGGCGTATTCTGGGTTCCCAGCCACAAAAGACTCTATCGTGCCCTGCACTCCCGGTTGGCAGATTGTTGTGCTTCGGAGACTAGTAGGCAGAACGTCGTGCGTTGGTCTGCTTTACAAGCTGCAGCCTTTGCCAAATCGTCGGGTCATGTTTCAAATCAGAATATGCGTTTTGGGCCACGGGGGTGTTTTCAAGGCATTTGTGTCACTACTTCTTTCTTGCGTTGGCCCAAGAAGCACTTGTAATTTGACCATCGAGTCGTCAGCCGTGCAGTAATGGGTCAGGAGAGTCAGCAATGATGCAGCCGGCTGGCAGATGCCGATGGTGATCAGAGGCTGGTCTGTGTTGCAGACACCCTGGCACCACGTGGCAGTGGGATAACCGCGAGCCCCGAGAACGGTTAAGTCGTGGTGAGTTGGAACGAAAATCTGTCCGCGCTCGCGACCTCTCACCGCATGCGGCAGAATGTGGCTGCTTCTAGAAGTGATCGACTCGTAGCCCCATCTCTGCCGTTTCGACTTTCCAGGACTGGGCGGCTGATTTTCACGGATGCAGCGGGCATGGCGGCAAGCTGCGCCGTTCATCCTTGTGGCACTTTCTTATGCTCGCCCGATGGGGCTTCTCCCCTCCGTGCTGTCCTTTTGTTTCTCATATCATGATACCGCGAATTAACGAATATGCGAGAGGAAAGGTTTGTCATGTTGCGCCCGGTAAAGGTGATTATGGTTGCTCTCAGACAAACGTATGCCTCGGCTGTTAAATTATCGGCGCTCGGACCTATGGGCTACCGCGTGCTGGCAGGTGAGACTATTCACAGGCGGTTTCCGCAACCAAAACAGTAGCCGCTCTGATAAGCGAGGTGTCTTGCAACGTGGCCAGGTACAGAGTACGTACGTAGCACTACTGTTGTTTTGTGAAGTGCTGCGAAGAGCTGTGCCAGTTGCTGAGCTACCGTATACTCGTACTGTGTACGGAGTATGCTCGCGGATAGTGGAGGCAAGACCCGAGGTCGTATTGTGCCGATCTCGCGCGGAATTAGCATCGGTTAGAGGCACGGCCACAGTAGTGGTCAAAACGCAAGTCCGATACAACGAGAGGCGTTCATGACCATGTGGGGCAATGCCTTTCTACGTGCCCTTGGTGCGGGCTAAGGATGAAGCGGTGGCAGCCTGTCAGGGCCCAAGAGTGCAATAGCTTGGAGAATGCAAGAGCGCGTGGAGAACTAACGCTTCAACTTTTCAGCCAGCCGCATGGAGTAAATCCAGATGCATGGAAGCTGCGTGTCGCCCAAAGCAGCTAGAGCTTTGTACGTACACAGAATGTTGGGTGTGTGGGAACTGTCGCTATATCCGTACCTCATGGAGAGCGAAGTGACAGTCCATCGTCTTTGCGGAGCAAAAGGTGGCAGGTAGCAACGCCAAAAAGGGTCTGTCTCTCGTTAAACAAAAGTAAGGATGCCCGGGGATGCGCTAGGGGCACCTCAAGTGTGTTCATCGATGCCGTTAGCCGCCACGTGCAGTTGGTCAGAGCTGCAGCAGCGTTTAGTGTTGTGGCGCTCGGGTGTAGCACTTCAGGCCCTCCCCTAGGGGGGAGTTACGGAGTACTGCAATGCAGCAACCGAGCCTAGGCGCTACTTTGTCTCGTATGGCAGACGATCAGGGGGACCCTCGTACCACTAAGCGATGCGCAGTGCGCACCCGAGAAATTATTGTGCGGCAAAGGAGCCTTTTTGCTCGATGAGATGCTACCCACGACGGAGACTGGGGCTTGGATTGGAAGTCGAGCGACTGCGGCGTGGTTTCAGGATGCCTGCTTGGTGATATGTGGCAGCCACTGGCCGAGTCAGACGAGATGATTGCTCAGGCGACACGAGGGATGTGCAGAGCATCAGAGATGAGACGGGGGCGATCCGAGGATCCGTTGTGTGAGGAGCGAAAATGGCAGACGATCTGCAAGCATGGCAAGCAGGGATAAGCCACTGGGCGCTGCACCAAGAATGAACAGGATGACGGTGATGACCACTTTTAATGTGGAAAGGGTCGTCGATCCATAGATCGAGGCGAGGTGTTGTGAGCGCCCCTATTGGCGGCTGCCTGCGGGCTCGTCCCAGCAGCGGCTTCTTTAAGCGAAGTCCAAAAATTGAAGTCTTGGAACTGATCCTGGTCAGTAGGCGACCTCGAGTCGTCAACCCTCGCTTGCGAAAAGTGCCCCTCCTCGTGGTCTTGGACATCCTGGGACGGTGGTGATAATCCCGTCCGTGTCTGTTTGAGTAAGAGCTTAAGACAGACGCGTGCGGGTAGACTTGCCGAGCTCCTAAGAATAAATGGGTGCCCGGGAATGCACTGGCCTTCACCACCACCAGATCGCCGAGCAGCTTCAAGATGCGCCACGCCCATGGCTGCATCACGGCGAGCTGGAACGGCGATGCATAAATTACAGGCTGTAACCCAGATCTCCTCGGCCCTGGTTGTACTATCCCAATCGACCGCATCCTTCTTACGTGGGGCTGACTAGGTGGGCTCCCCCAGGCCTGCCGGCAGCCTGTGAGCCTGCAAGCCTGCCTAGTCTCCCCTGGAAAGCTTCTCGCGGGGGGGCCGTTGCTAACTGCAGCTGCAGATCCAAAAGTCTTAACTATCTGTTTACCCTTTTTGCCCTTCTCGCGGGACCCGCCGCAGTGGTGACAATCATAATACGTGGACACACGATGAGGAGCCGAGATGGACATGGGCATGGGCATGAGCATCAAGCGCGGTGGGCATGGAGAGGGCCCAGCCCACGCTCGTATAGTCTTGTAACTAACTGGTACGGAGTACATTCATCATGGCTCGAAAGGGCCACTTTCTTTCCCGCGCCCGTGTTCTTATTCCCTCACTCTACCACCATCTTCCATCATCCCGCACTTCCCAAAAGACCCCTCCGGTGCCCCTTCTGGCGCCCCTCTCCTCGCGTCAGCAAACACTGACTTCGACCCTGAGTCAGGCGCATGGCCCGCTCCCGGATCGTGACCACATTTCAGCGTTTTTGAGGCTGCAAGTCTAAATCTATCCTGCGAGATCTTCGCCAGCCGCCGCCCTGCCCACTTTTGATCTTCACTCGGCTTTGCACATCATCTTGCCGTTTCCGAGTCTGATCTCTTCCTTCTATCGCCCTCGTGGTCTTTCTGAACCCTTCTGACCTCATCCTCAACTTCTTCTCCTCAACTACTGTTCTCCCTCCTCGCTTGAGGCCAACGGTACATCCATTCATTACCGCCCGAGGTTCTGCCATCCACCTGCCGTCTATTCATTCACAACCAAATCTGCTCTACTGGGTACGCACGACAGTTAGCTCTTCTATCCCACTAAGGGCATCATCGCCGGTCTTTGCCGCTGTCAGACCTTCGTCAGGACCTACGGCATCCACCATAACCCGGGTCTGCCTTATGGCATAGGAATTTACATCTCCGTCAAGTTATGGCTCTAGCGATCCGTCCAACACACCCCAGTCCAACTTCCTACCACTCCACCAACCCTCATCGCAGCTTTCTTTCCGTCGCCATGGATCAGCCACCCCAGACCAGGCCTTCGCTGCCTCCCATCTCTAGCTTGATCGAGGCCATGAATGAGCGAGCAGAACAACGTAAGTCTCACGCCTTCGCCTCCCCAAGCAGCATTAACGAGTTGGTAGTCAAGCACGAAAATTCGCCCAAAGAACAGGCCAGGAGAATATCGGCTGGCTCTCAAGGCTCAACCAGTCCCGACCGGCATTCAGTCAGCGGCACACCACGAAAACGTCCACCGCCAACACCAGAGCTGCCACCCGCCTCGAGCTTCAACTTCCAGCGCCCAGCTGAGAACCACTCTCCGACTTCTACAACAAGCCGTGGTCCATATCTGCCACCAACGACAGCAAGCACCAATCCTGGACTGTACTCCCAGCGATCAGCATATCCCCCCGTTCCCGAGCCTAACTCTTATCCGCCCATACCTGAGCCTCATCAGTGGTCAGCAGCTCCAGCCCACCCGCGAACTGGATCAGATCCTTCGCCACGAGACCCGGCTCGAGCAACCAATGCTTCTACGCCTCCAGCAGAGACCGGTCAGGCGCCGCAGGGTCTTTCCCAGCAACGACCTTTGCCGGCCAATTTTCCGCCTCAACTTCCCGCACAAGGGTTGCCGCCAATGGATCCTCAGATGGCCCCGACCTGGCAGCATCATCATTACTATCCACCGGCCAACCCTCCCTCGTACCCTCAAACACAGGAGCGGTACATTTGTCCCACCTGCAGCAAGCCGTTCTCAAGGCCTAGCTCACTGAAAATACATACATATTCTCATACGGGGGAGAAGCCCTACAAGTGCAAGCACGAAGGCTGCGGGAAGCAATTCAGTGTCCGCAGCAACATGAAGCGACACGAGAAAGGCTGCCACGGTGGCGAGGGAGGCAACAGTCCTAAGACTGCATGAGTGCAATGTTTACCTATGTCTGAACGAACGGCAGCGCATTCATTTTTCGGCACGAAATCAAACCCCAGGTTGTTACGACTTTTCATCTCCTTCAGCTAGGAGTAGCGTTCAAGCGAGAGACCCATCCAAAAGACACTGTTTTTATCACTATCTCAATTGCCCTCACAGGCCAGCTGGACCTATTCTTTCTGTCTACAAGTTCGGGTGTTTTACTCACGACCTCCAGTCCTGTCACAGTAGCATACAGCAGCGGTGCATTTTCCGAGCATACTGTATTCCGAATTTACCACGGGTCAGGGATCGGCTTCGGCCAGAAGAAGTTCGTTATGCGGCATTGATTTTAACACTTTCTTCGATGGCCTCCGTGCCGCTTTTGGTGCTTTTTCGTGTAGCTCAACTTTAGAACATGCACCTCAGCGACCAGAAATGGCACATTTCCGTTGACAAGCTTCTGCTTCCTCATGGTCACCCGCAGCAGTTACCTTCAATGCAGCTGAGAAATCGGCCCTGCCGGCCAACGTGCCGTCTCATCCTCGAGCCCAGCGCATCGTATACCAATAGATCATCCTCGGGTGCATTCCTCCGAGCATCAGCCGATCAAGTGTGGCTGGAGCGGGCCACCATGTCGTGTTGGTGGAGACAACCCGACCTTGCGGGAAGGGTCCCATGCGATTGGAGGATGTTGGCGAGCGCGATCGGCGACCATTTTCTTGGTGCCATGCGCCCCCGAAACATTGCTGCTGCTGTTCGTCCGTAAATGACCGATTTTATTAATCAATGTTGCTTTGCGGAGCCGATGAGCTCTGCCCAAAGTCGGAAATTTGGCCCCCCTTTTATGTGGCCGGAAGCGAGATTCAGTGGATGATTTCAGCTCATGAGCTCTGGCTTTTAGCGAACACTTGCATGGCCTGCTCTGGAAACAACGGGTGCGGAAGTTGCATCTTCTGGAGCTGCTCGTGGCTGCCTCGGAACGTTCGATGTGCTTCAATGTCGAGAGAAACATGTCTTCGCTGAGTCCTTCGAAGTATCCCAGGTCATGTTCAGCGAGCAGCAATGCCAGATCTTTGTAAATTGTCAGCGTCAGGGGCCGTCAGAGCCTGAAGCGGGCCTTCTGGTAAGCTAATATGTTGGACGCGCCACCGGGTAAAATCCTATCTCTGAGCTACTATTCAACATGATCACAATGGAGTATGGGGTGATTGCCTCGAGGAGATTCGCCTTCTAACCGGCCTCCATGAGGCTATTGTGGACGCAAGGACGTTCGAGATGCTGGAGCATAGGGCGACTTATTTCCAGGTGAAGTTGAGCAGTGAGATGGTTCAGTATGGGTGGCTTCCAGTAGAGCGGCGCAAGCCTCATGGAACGATGAAGAGTCCAACAATTACCAGTACATGGATCGGGCAGTGGTTGCTTCAAGATTGCCAGAAACATTTCTACAGCGGCACGCTGACAGATGTCTTACCGAAGCCTGGCTGTCAGGTTAACTTCAGTATCAAATGAATACGGACATCTGCCTAGGTAGTCTGCCAGCACACCTACCCAGTGCCAAGGCTCTCATTCAGTCACCAGGTAGGTAGCTGCGTGGCCACGAGCACACAGACCGATAATTTGCACCTTCTTGTTGACATCGACCCTCTGCGTTACCCATTATCCACCACAACATCTCGGTCCGCGCTCTGAGTCTAGGTACGCTTGTGATAGAAAGGCGACATTCTGCAAACATTACTAACTTGTTTGTCCTACAGTCTCTCATCGATAATACTTCCGCCTTCTCATCATCATGCCTCCCAAGACCAGCCTCACCAACGACCAGTTCCTCGCCGCGTGCATCAAGCATGCCAAGACTAAGGTCGAGGTCAACTTCGATACGCTTGCTCCAGAGATCGGTATGAGTAAGGGCGGTGCTAGGTAAGTACCCTCTGGTCTTATATCTTGTCTTTCTGACGTGCATGTAGCAACAAGTATCGCGCGATCATCAAAGGTCTCGAGGCTGAGGGCGCTGCTTGGGCTACCGATGGTAACGACGCCGCCGCCGCCGCCATTGCTCCAGCTCAGGTCAATACTCCTAGAAAGCGCAAGGCTAAGGCTATTGATGCTTCTGAGAGCGAAGCTTCCGTCAAGAAGCCCCGTGCGAAGAAGGGCGCCCCAGCCAAGGCCAAAGTCGAGGACGATCCGAATGATGCTGACGAGTCCAAAATCAAGGATGACGCTGACGCTGACATTAAGGGCAAGGGCGAGGGTGAGGGTGAGGATGGCAATGCTGCCGACCGCAAGGACGAGGGTACTTCCTGAACAACCAGTCATGACCTAGCTTCGTCAGCCACACAGGATGCGACATGATCAGTCCGTGCTACTGATCAGATATCGCTACGGAGACGCCGGCCTCAGGGTACCGGCAAAGCTGGCATTATGCTATTACTGCTAGAGTGTTGGTTGAGGCTGGTTCAGGTTGCAAGAGCACAAAGTCACGACTATGAAGCTAGGTAACAAGCATCATTCCTGCTACAAATGAAGTTTTCTGAAATAGCTTTTTTCATAGGAAACAAATTGCTATCCAACAAAACTGTCCAGAACTTTGCCTCGTTGGCTGTGATCCTGTCGAATTCGAGCTGTGTTTAGAGACGATGAAGCGTGCTCGCGATATCAGTTCAGTAGACTCAATTCAAAAGTCGAGCAGTGTTCAACATCATGCTCTATCCTTCTCGTCGACTTCCTGAAACCCCGATGCGCCACTGCAGCATGGAAGACACCATCTTGGTCCGGTATTGGAGCCCACGACGTTTGCCTCGGGACCTGTGACTGGGAAACACATAGTGAGTTGGATACCTAGAGCCACGAAGTGGACACTTTGCATTCAATACTCAAGTGAATAGTTGCGAGGTTGCAGGGTCTGCGGCTGCCTGTTCGTTGGGTGAATGATCTACTATATAAACCCCTCCCCACATCGAACCAATTTCTCTCCTTCCTCCTTACACCCACCACCTTCATTCCACCTTCGATCTTGTCCACACCCTGTATCAAGCACACTCTCATCATCAATCTCCTCGTTCAAGATGCCCCCCAAGAAGATTGACGCTTCTACCAACGGCGCCTCCGCCATCCTCTCCCAAGCCGACATTGACTACTTGGTCACAGTTCTCAAATCGGTCGAGGGTTTCAGCCCCGACTGGCGCACTATTGCTCCGGCTGTCGGCATCGCTCGCGCTGACAATGCGTAAGTTTCTCTTGAGAACAGGCTGTACAGATATCGGTATACTGACTCTTGTCACAAAGTGGCACCAAGTTCCAGAACATCCTCAAGAAGATGGGAATGAAGCTCGTCAAGGGCAAGTTCGTCGCATTGGACGACGCCGCCGCCCAGCCCACCGCCCAGCCCAAAATCATTTCCTCCAAGGGTCGCAAGCGTAAGGCCACCTTTACTCCCGCCGACGCCGCCACCGACGACGAGCACATCGACAAGAAAGCCAAGCCCGAGTCCGATGATGATGACGAGTAGAGCTACCGATGGAAGTAGTCAGATCATGATAAGTTCGCTATCTGCTACTCTAGAGACTACGAGCAATGCAAGAAGGTTTATCTTGGGAATTGAGGTTTGAGCCAGGGATAGACCATAGATAGCCACAATAAGATGAGTCGACAGCTGAGAAGATTGGATCTTGATCGCGTATTCACTTCCAAAAACTGCCGGCCATTGGATGAGAGTGACTTTTAGCGCGGTAGTGAAGTTAAAAGACTGACTCAATTCACTGCCTGCGCTAACGGTTTTGGGTATTAGCGTGAGGCGGCGAGGCGACAAGGCAACCTGGTAAATTCAAGTTTGCTAGACTTCCAAATGTGAAAGGCCTTGATATCTCTATGTCTGTGCAATGTGATCAAACTTCATGCTCTCGGCTGGATGCTTTGTCACCCTGCCCCATCTCCCACGAGTCGTTTGCCCGCTGCTATCTGTTCTGACGCCCCGGAAGGCTATCTTTAGCCTCGCAAATAATGTCCGTTTCAGCCCTTCGCCGTATTCCTTGGGCTAGCCCTCTGCTGGAAGCCACCAAAAGAAAAACTCGCAGAGAGCCGGAAGGTCTCTTCTTGGATTGAGTGCCGGTGCAAAGACGTCAAACTTGCCGTTTCGAAGCTCGCGGTAGATGAGCCGCAATTCCCAGCGACGTCTATGGACGCGCCAGATACGTATGTCGGTACGGCATCGCCTTCGTACCTCTTTCTGGGAAAGACCGAACGCTGCGATAACAGGTCCCACGGAGTTTTCAACCTCTTCCTCTGAGCGACTGCCAGGGTACCGTGTGGTCTCGCCTTCACGAATAGCTTTGCGCTCGCCGCGGCAACAAGTTTCCCCAGCGAGGACTGTCTTCTCGCCCAGTCAGTGAAGACATATGATTAGGTCCTCTCGGTATAACACCCCGCGAATGGTTGTACTTTCCAACAATCCACGCGTCAGACAACGTCTGTGAGTAGTATGCTCGACTGTGCAGAGAGGGGCAGGTAGCAATAGAGACACCGTGGTTCTATAGCCTGACTTCGGCCTCATCTTACTCTCCTCTGGCGTCGCTGTGCAGTTCGCATTCACCACCTCATTTTCTTCCTCGGGACTTCTCACTTCATCTTATACTCTGACCTCTAGCTTCATCATCTCTTCCTCTCAAAACCACTGCCAATGGACTTGTTCGCCCCTCCTAAGAATCCCTATTTCACGCTACCTGACGCAAAGTATCTACGGGGAAGCAGTCTAGATCTCTCTCCCGTCGCACGGTCCATCAAAGCCATTTACGGTAGGGTGGAAGCCATGTCTGAGCGCAAGCAAGCCGACTTCCTACTCCGCCTCATATCCCATTCGGAGTTTAAGCCAGGCTTCGACTCTATGTCAACAACGTTAGGTCTTCACAACCAAAGCGCTGTGTAATCTCATTCACCTGCCACCCGTGCAAAACAACATACTGACCTTATCGCAAGGAGACAACGCTTGAAGTCACTCTGCGACATGCACGGCTTCAAGTTGACTGGGGAGAACGTGGAGGCCACAAAATCTGTCCCCGACTTCGATCAGTCCACTCTATTGACCATGCCTGAACCTCCCGTCGTAAAGGCCGAGCCCGATGCGACCAAGCCGAAGGCCAAACGCGCCTACAACAAGAAGAAGACCGCCCCCACCAAGGTCGAAGGTGAGCATCCAAGACCATGTTCTGACGCCTACATCACACTGACACGTTTAAACGTAGAGCCCGATCGGGAGACCGAGACCAAACGCCCCGCCCCCAACACTACCAGCCCACCAAGGAAGAGAGCGAAGACTGCTCGCAACATTCCCAGGAAGCTCCCTGGCAAGAGACAGTCGAAGCTTCTGCCCGAGTTCGACAATATCGCGGGCCAATATGGACAGTATCTCGAGGATCTGAGTACACGGGCGGTTAGTGCAATGTTGGGCAAAGAACAGGACAAGACACCCGGGAGTGAGGTCGCCGAGGAGGCTGAGGCGAGCTCACAAGCTTCTACAACCGGAATCGTTGCACCAACCACTTTCGCCCATGTTGTTCATATCCATGACGATGGGGGAGACGAGGACTGAGCCATAGTCTGGTCGGAAGCCACTGCTACTGGTACGAGGGATCCTTCTGAAATGCTTACAGGATCGAAGAACCAACTCTGGGTAGAATCTGTGAACATTTAGGAGCTATTTGCTTCTAACAGAGAATGAAAGTAAATCTCAGCCCCTGGTTGGGGTCTCAGCTCTGCATCTGCGCTCGTTTCCAAGCAAACCTTTCCAAGCAAACCTGTAATAAATGCAATACCGGTTCGGCAAGAAGCTCTGATCGGGCTTTCGTCAGAGAGAAGCGTAAGCAATGATAAAGGCCAAGCCAGCAAGGGATTGTTTCCGAACTGCAACGATTTCGTCTGTGTGCAAGAGAATAAGGAATTCGGATTTTGTCATAAAAGGTGGAAATAGGAAAGGTACCCATACAGTTCAAGTGTCAGCCCTGGTTTAGGGTCCTCACCGACAGGTTTATACGTCTTCTCTTGATTGAGATCATGAGGCAACTCTAGTGCTCATCAGGGAATGCAAGCAGTCTTCACACCCACTACTGGCATATTTCAAGAAACGCAGCACCACATTACAGTAAATTTCAACAACATCCATGACCGGCTTCATCTCCAAGCATGCCAGCACGATCAGATTCTATGCACCTATTCCACCCAACACACAGGTCGTGTAATCCTCGTTCCTGTTGTCCGCACGATCACCCGTCAAACCGTCCCACAACAGGGCGAGTCCGTTGTCCATGATCCTCTCCAATCCACCTGGCATAAAGCTCACTTTATTCGGCTGCGAACCCGCCTTCTCTGAAATCCCCGGAAAGAATTGTACCGCGAACGCCGTCGCGTCTACATTCGCTCGCAGGCACATGCCAAGATGCTTCCTCACACAGACCCTCCAAGACCGCGTCGTAGCGGGGTTCAAAGGCCAAGCTCGCTGGTTGTCCATGCGATGCCCTCGCATGAGCGTACGTCGATGAGCCTGCGGCCGTGCTTGAGCATGTGGCGACCGGCCGGGGTCACGGTTGAGGAGGTTCACCAGTATCTTGAGTGGAGCATCCGCGTCTTCGGGAATATGCCCAGTTCACACCATATCATCCATAGGGTTCAAAGCAAAGGCAGTCTGGCGGAGGACAACTGGCAGACAGTAATGGTGTCATGTATTGTAGGGAGATGCAGTGGGTACATAATGTTGTCGATGCTGCCGGGAAGGGTCGCCAAATCGAGGACGAAGCCGACGACGTGGATTTCGTGAACAGGGAAACCGTGAAGATCAGATACCAGCAGTCGCAAGATGAAGGTTCGGGAAAGGTCTGAGGTTGTACAGAGCATGGGTATAAGTGCAGAGGATGCTGCCGGTTTCTGCAGTTGGGACCGCCTCGAAATACTTCTATACTTACTTAATCCTTCCCACAACACCAGACATTGGGGCTGAAAGACTTCGAGTCAACGGTCGATCATATCACTGATTTCAATGCTATCTTCATCAGGGCCCGAACATCTTTCCTTGGAAGTTGAATGACGCGCAGTCCTCAAGGTCGCCCAGACTCTTGATCCACTGCGGAGTCAGGTTCCCTGCAGCGGCGCACCTGTGGGTGCCAATCGCGGCGTAATCCCTGCGTCGATCAGTGGACTTACTATCCTATCGGCCAACTCCTCTTTTGTCGTTTATTCGACCTATCAACTCCTCAATGCTGATGCTATGGTCGGCCTAAAGCATGGCTCGGTGCGTATCGCGCCGACTAGGACTTGTCCGATCATCCTTCGATAACGCAACATTGGCACCGCAACCGAGGCTCGATGGCACTTTCAAGGGGTTGCGCCCGACCTGCTTCAAGTCACACAAAAGTGTCTGTGTCACCAGGGCCATCAATACCATTAGGAAAAGATATAGAGTTCGGTGGGTTTGTGAGCTCTTGTGCCATCTCTAGGACTCCAACTCTCCTCTACTCGGCTACCGGAAGGTGGACCAATCGTTATGGGCCGCAATTGGGATCATCTCAAGCAGCGGCTGCAAGTGTGAGTGAGCCGCCCGATTGGAACGGTCCACCTCGGCCTACGATCAGTACTGACATTTGTCGCCCAAAGGCCCAAAGATCATGACTCGTACTATGAGAATACCACGTGGTGCAACCGCGATCTGATTCCCATGCCGCCCGAGAGACGAACTTTCGGCGTCTGGGGCTATTTCGGTAGGGCAACGAAGCAATATCTACTTGGAGCTTTGACTCACGAACCACAGGATACTGGACCGTGTCAGGATCCTGTATATCCGCCTGGTCGACGGGTAGCACGCTCCTGGCCTTCGGCCTTACGCCCCCACAAGCGATTGGCGTCGTGGTATGTCCATCTTACAACGGAGCGTTCGTGAGTGACTCACATTTGGTTTAGATCGTAGGAGGCGTCCTCACTGGCCTCCTGGCGGTGGCCTGTGGCTGGATGGGCGAAGTCCACCACATCGGTTTCACCGTCGCGTCTCGGTCTTCTTGGGGCATGCGTGGAAGTTATTTTCCAGTCATCCTCCGCGTCTTTGTCGCCTGCATGTGGTTTGGTATGCAAGCTTTTTGGGGAGGACAGGCCACAAGAGTGCTCTGGGGAGCCATTATTCCAGGTAAGTGGCTGCCAGGCTCGGATGAGCGAACATGATATCTGATGACCGTAAGGCTTCGCGCACATGAAGAACTATTTCAGCGAGAGCTCGCATCTCCTGACTAACGACTTCATTGGCTTGTTGATATGGATGATTGTTTTTGTGCCACTCGTGCTGGTGCCACCAGAGCGCCTGCAGATACCATTCGCGATCTCTTTTGTGCTCTTTGCAGGCTCTTGTTTCGGTATACTCATTTGGTAGGTGGACTTCAAACACTGTCTGCCTGATCCCGGTGGCTGACCATCAAAAGGGCTGTTCACAATGCCGGAGGACCAGGTACCATGTTCTACGAGACTAGTACTGGCGATGATGTGGGCTGGGCATTCATGTTTGGCATCACTGCAATCCTAGGTGCCTGGGGTGCAGGAACCTTAGGACAATCTGACTGGACTCGTTATGCCAACCGCAGATTCGCACCGACGCTTTCCCAACTGGTCGCAGCGCCAATCACGATTTCCGTGACTGCTACCATCGGCATCATTGTCACGAGTGCGGCCCGGGATGTACTGGGCGGCGACATTCTTTGGAATCCAATTTACCTACTCGCGGAGGTACAGGAGCATTACGACTCCAGCTCCAGGGTAAGAGCTGGCGTATTCTTTGCGAGCATAGGGTTGGTAAGCTCGCAGCTTGCGGTATGGGACCTCCCAAATATCGGCTACAAAGCATGGTCACTGACCTTGTTGCAGATTTCCGTGGTTCTGAACTCCGTGTCTACCGGCATGGACATGGCAGGCCTCTGTCCAAGGTACATCAATATCATTCGCGGCAGCTACATCATGGCTATTATCGGCATCGCCACGCAGCCATGGCAGTTATTGAATACGGCGGACAAATTTCTCAAGGTTCTTAGCGGCTTTGGAGTTTTCATGGCTCCTGCTACGTGAGTGCTCCTTATTACCCTATCGAAGATGTATAAGCCGTCTAAACAAGCTATTGAACAGTGGTATCTTGTTAGCTGACTATCATGTCGTCCGCCGTGCAAAGCTGAAGCTCAACGATTTGTATACCAGTGACCGCGCTGCCATCTATTGGTTCAGTGGTGGCCTCAACTGGCGAGCGGTCGTTGCTTTTGTAGCCGGAGTTTGGCCTCTACTGCGTAAGTCGCACTGTTTCCTGCCTTCATTATTGCCTCCGGCTAACATACTGCCGCAGCCGGTCTGGTCGAAACTGTGAACACTACCGGCGCTTCTGTCGAAAATGGCTGGGTCCGCCTCTATCACCTCACATTCATCATCGGCGTTGCCATTAGCTTCGTCGTTTTCTGGGCTTGCAGCCATTTCTTCGCACCTGATGGGCTGGGACAGGAAACTCCCTTTTTGGGGGACGCCTTCCATGGAGAAGCTGCGGATATATCGGCCGCTCAAGACGAAAGCAGTGAAAATGAAGGTGACGGAAAGAAGTTTGCGAAAGAGCACGTGTCTGCTTGAGGCGTCGATGGGAAGGGGGAGTCAGTCGGCCTCATGGCCTGGATTGCTCCCTTGATCCCGAGCTCCAAATTCAACCTGGCCAGACAAGCTTACGTTGGATTGCGAAGAGGAATGATGGCTATCAATACAATAGATCTCCCATTACATCAGCTAGTAAGTTGCGTTGAGACGCATCTCAATATACTCATTTGCATTGATGGCTTCATACTTTTTCGGTTTCGTCTCACTCCAGCATCCAGGCAGGCAGTCAATAGTCTTATCACGGTCCGCGGTGACAAAGTAAGGCATCGAGTAGCGAGCCTTGGTCATACCATCGACCATGGGTGGTGCCCTCACACGATGCAATGTCGACTTGAGGATGTCGTTGCTCCACCTCTGCAAGAAATCCCCAATGTTCACCACGATTGTTCCAGGGATGTAGGGAGCAGGATTGAACACGCCCTTTTCGTGCACGTCCTCAACTTCGAGACCACCCACCGCGTCCTGGAAGAGTAGGGTCATGGTCCCGAAGTCGCTGTGTGCGGCGATACGCTCCAGTTTACCGCCTCGGAGCAGTTCAGCTTCTACGGGCGGATAATGTAGCAGCCGCAGCTGATTGTCCTGCTTGGTGTGATAGTCACGCAGAAACCCCTCTGGAAGACCCATGCCGAGCTCGATCGCTTTCAGTAAGTCAAGTGTGGCGTTGTAGCAGGTCGCATAGAAAGTGGTCATGTAGTTGCGGAAACCGGGCAGCACTTCTTCCGGAACCCAAATGTTGGGCGTATGTTCATCGTCCTCGCGGCCAAGCTCGAAGGACTCTTTGAAATCCGGCGCTTTGCGGAGCTCTGCGATTGCTGCTTTGTCGTAAACCATCTGGACGACTTTCTCGCGTCCTATGCCGGAATAGCCTCGATGGTACCATCCTTCGGGAGGATGTGGCGCTAGATCCTTGTCGGGTTGGGGAAGCTCGAAGAATCGGGAGCTCTAGAGAAAGGTCAACCACTATCACCGACGTGCAAGGATTTTCTTAGGGAGGTCTTGCCGTACCCAGCGGAAGGCTTCATCCACATCGTCCTGGGGAATACCATGGTTCTTGATATAGGCAAACCCAACGTCTCGGAAAGCCTCGAAGACCTTCTTACCAGTCGCACGAGCCTCTTCGGCCTTGCCCGTGCGGATGGGCTCTAAGTCGATGACGGGTATTACTGACTCGTCTGATCTTGCAATCATATTTAACAGCTTTTGCTCTGGCGTGGCTCAAGGTAAACGGTGAACTCTGTGGCGATCGGGCTTCTCAAAACCGGGTTGGAATTGACAAAACACGAAGTATACAGATCAAGAGTAGTGATGTATGCTCCTCCAAATACAAGCAGCGCTGTAATGCTGTTGAAGCTGATCGTAGCCACTCATCAACGTGGGCGACTGGAGTGAAGAGGCACAGCGGAGTAGCCCGCATCTATCCCACGCACCGCCTTCTCCGACTGTAGGCCATCGTGTGATAAGAAACATCGCCTCCGCCCGCTAGCTAGTCTGAACGAATCAAGCGCTAGATGAATGAGGTACAGTCCGACCTGCCAAGTTGTGGAGCGTTTCCATATGTATACTGGCCCCTTCCGGGGGTGGCTGTCGACAAGGGCCAATATTAACAGAAAGGGAATTCCTATCGGGACCCGTATGTCCCCAGTCCGTGGCTGAGGTTCTTGCCGGCCGCAGCAACATCTGTCGGGGATCTGTAGCAATGCTGTCGTCCAACAAGATACTTCCTCAAATCTTGTCATTGAGCTGTATAGCATTTCTCCACCACGAGACCATGAGCAAGTGGAAGTCTGGCAAAAGGTGACCGGCATCATGGCATTGGCGTGATTGTAGCATCTCTGCGACATGTTACGATCACCTGAGCGTCCGACACTCGTGCAAGATCGGGGATCAAAAGGGTATGCTTCTGAGCAGAGGCTGTACAACTGAACTTGCATGAGCGTCTACAAGCTGGGTGTAGGATACGTAGTACCGGTAAGTAAGTCCCGATAAGCAATGACGAGACTTGGAGGATTCATTGAGATGTGGCTTTCTTTCGCGAAGCAAGGAAAGCTCGCCATACTTTTCGGTGCGCACAAACCAGTGTTGATGCGGTATGCAATCTTCAAACGAGACTCGGGCGGAGGCTTGCATATAAGAAGCCTTTGTCTGTCATGCCCTTCAATCTTTCTATTCGCTCACTGAAGCTTAATCCAAGCAATGTCTATGGATGAATTGTCAATAGGCTCACTCTTCAGCTTGAAGGTTACTGATCTCAAGCTGGCCCTAGCTTCGTACGTATCTGACCTAAGTCTTGTTCAAATCTAGTACGTAACTGATCTATATCCCATTTCCCATAGGTCGGCGTGAATAGCTCTTCCAGGCCCTTGATTCTTGCTCTATAATGCCCTATTCACGGTGATTTCATCAGCAGCATTGCACAACGCCAAGCTCCACCTGATCAAGTAGACATACTAGTATGACCTTCAACCTGTGCAACTTGTGCATGCAAAATTTCTACCACTCGACAACTACCACCCCTTCGATCCACACTTATCTACGTATTCGACCGCAGTCTCAAACACCACAATGGCCGCTTCTAAGTCCTCCGACGAGGACGTCAAGCTTTTGTTCGCCGTCATCAGTCTTTCGGGTTTCGAGCCTGCTGTCTACAGCGATTTGGGCACATACATGAATCTCAACCCACAAGCCGCGTAAGCAAACAGTCTATTTTCGACCACTAGTACATTACCACTGACTTTATTCAGCCGCATGCGCCTCTCCCGTCTCCTCAAAAAGGCCCAGAAGGAATTCGGTGACCTTCCAGTCCCTGCCGCTGCCGCTGCCGCTGAGAAGCCCAAGGCCTCGGGTGCCAAGCGCAAGAAGTCGAACACCTCCAAGGAAGAGACCAAGGCCAAGATGTTGGAGGACGATGACGATGCTGCCAATGACGCTCCGCCTATCGATCGCAAGGAAGAAGCTCCTGCGCCAAAGAAGGCGAAGACTTCAGATGAATGAGGTTTGTTTCTCACCTTGCTGCTAGTACGGTAATACGGCTCAAGCTAACATACCTTAGCTGACTGACGCCATTAATCGTAGCCCCGTGCCATCTCCTGGAGCTCTCTACAGTCTGTCAACGTCATCATGGCTCGGCGCTTGATTGAAGGACCATCTAAGAGCATCTTGAAGTCGCTGCTAGACTCATGCTGGCTGGGGTCATAGTTATCAATCAGGTTATCTCATGTGCGGCCTTCTCGAGAAGGCGAAGCAAAGAATGGGGTTTGGGACAGAATTAGCTTGATGAAGCTTGGTGGGTCTTGTAGACAATGAAGACCGATCACCACTTGAACCTTTAGTTATTGTTTGCTCCTTTAAATTATCTAGGCCAACTGCTACAAGGAGACTGAACAGCTACGCTGATACTGGCCCTACCCTTCCAAGTGGTGTCATCACTAGGCCTCCGCGCGTTCCATTTCGCCGTGGACTCAGTCAATCTTGTCAAGAATAGCCTTGCTGTCTCAAATGATGCCTCGGACGAACGTAACCGCAAAAGACCGAGCGCCTCTTTGCTGGTGTGTGACTTCTTCTTCGCGCTGCTTAGCAATCTTGACAATGGTATCGTGAACCAAGTAGCTACATTATTAAGCGGTCCATCAGCCTACGTTGCATCAATAACAATACATTCAGGGAGAAGATACGTGGCTAGTGGAGGACCGTAATGGACACTGGTGGTCCTGTGGCCATTATAGGTGTTTCCTTTCCAGTATGACTTGTCCCACCCCCACAAATGAGCGATTGGAAGGCCTGTGGTATGCTGCGTCACTCGAATGACGTATCATACGCCTCATCTATTCACTAAGACTGCAGTAGTCTTGATTTTCGACACCCCACAACCATTGCTAACCTCCCAACCTTCCTTCCATTTCGCACTACTAACCACCTTTTCACCTTTTGCACTTCCACTTCAAACCCACGAATACTTTCTCATCACGCAATCATGGCTACCAAGAGCACTGAAGCGACCATCGACTACCTGCTCGCCTGCCTAGACGCCACCGAGGGCAAGACCAACTGGGAGCAAGTCGCGCAGAACACTGGCTTCTATAAGTCAGGCAAGTTTGCGTGAGTACCCACCTGCGAGAATCTCAAAGTCGCAGCTCCTGACATTTGACAGTATTCAGGCTTTCCGTACTATCGAGAAGAAGTACAAAGGCACAGTCATTGTCAACGCCACTGCCACCACGGCTCAAGCTCCTACCCCCAAGAAGGAGGCCAAGAGAGTCGCTAAGACTCTGCTGAAGCGCTTGATGGAGGAGGAGGAGGAGGCGGAGGAGGAGGAGGAGGACGATGATGATGATGATGATGATGATGAAGGAGGTGCTGGCAAAGTCAACGACAAGAAGAAGGTCAAGGTCGATGCCGCTGCCACTCCGACCAAAGTCAAGCAGGAAGGCTGAGTTTGGGTCCTCGTCTAACTGCGAGCTCTAGGCTTGGAAAACGGGCCGCTCAAGTGAGCTGCACTGGATAAGCAATTGACATGGGGAATGGCGAGTACTCTCGCGGTCTAGACTAGATTACCACCTGCTCTTCAAGCAGAATGATAACGAACGCTGCTTGACTACGAAGCAATTTACATGAAAATCATTTCTCTCTGACCCGAATCTCATTGGTACTATAGGCACAGACTCTGAGCAACTTGTCTTAGTTGTAGGCTTGTGAAAGCGCGTGAACAATGCGATCTGTTTCTTCGTCGGGCAGGGAATCCCCAAGGCTGAGGGTGGAAGGGGCCAAGGCTGAGATAGAATAGGTGCTAATAAGCTTTGAGGTTTCCACTAGCGCCTTGGCAGTTGGACGTACCAAAAATCTTTCCTTCTCACTTCATCATCCACCTGTCGTTATCCACAGTCAACATCACAATGGCAGTTTCGCAGTCAGTGCAGCCGAGAGGCTCGTATGCTAGTCTTCTACAGGCTCTGAGACCGACTGAAGCGCAACCTCGGGAGCATAAGCGCAGAAAACTCGGCCATCCAAATACCGAAGATGTAGCGGAGAAGGGCTCCGTTGTGGAGGAGGGCTCGTCGACGGTGGCGGAGGAGAGCCTAGATGGCGATTCCAAGGAGGATGCGGAAGGGCTCGATGCCGAGGATGAGGATGTTGCGGATGTCGACGAGCAAAGCGATGATGAGGAGTTAGCGGACCCTTTCCAGCAACATCTCGCCTTGCCCACTACCAGTGAAATTCAAGCCCAAGTCGACAGAGCTCGTGATTCAAAAGCCACGCCTACCTCAAAGACTGTTTATGGCGATTTGAGAAGGACATGGATGCCTCTGGGAGACGATCCGGACCCGACATTTGCTCTTCGCAAGGTTGCAGACATGCACCTCAAGAACCGTCTGACCACCCAGGCGCCTCAACTTCTTAACCGGTTGTCTCCGACGGAGCGGGATATTGGACGCTCCATCTTCTCGTATTCCGACGTCCTTCTTGGCAACAGAACCGTTGGTAATATCTCGAATCTGCGGGACATCTGTGCGCTTCACAGCCTCAATCACATCCTCAAAACCCGAGACCGAGTGCTTCGAAACACGGCCAAACTAGCACAAAACGATGACGGAGAACTCGAACTTCGAGATCAAGGGTTCACTCGACCCAAGGTTCTGGTCGTCCTACCAACCAAGCAGAGTTGTGTCCGATTCGTTGATTCCATTGTTAAGTACAGCGAAACAGGACAACAGGAGAACAAAGCACGATTTCTAGAAACATTCTCACGCGAGGATACGGAAGAGTGGCTCGAAAAACCAGAAGATTTCCGTGAACTGTTTGGCGGCAACCACGAAGAGGATTTCCGTATTGGCCTCAAGTTCACTCGGAAAAGTGTCAAGTACTTCTCCGGTTTCTACAACTCAGACATCATCATCTGCTCACCTCTGGGCCTTTTCCGGACCATCAGCTCCGGTGCAAGCAAAGATGGCAAGAAGGCGCCCGATGCCGATTTCCTTTCGTCGATTGAGATCATGATCATCGACCACGCAAGTTCTCTCCAGATGCAAAATTGGCAACATGTCGACTTCATTCTTGATCACCTGAACGCCTTGCCAAAAGAATCGCATGGCTGCGACTTCTCTAGAGTAAGATCATGGTATCTCGACGACAAAGCCAAGTACCTTCGACAGACCATTATCCTCTCGTCGTATCTGACACCTGAGATCAACCGACTCGCCGCTAAGCATCTCCACAATATAGCAGGCAGGGTCAAGTATACGCCAACATACAACGGTGTCATGGCGGATGTCCCCAATATGCTACCCATCCCCGTCAGCCAGACATTTGTTCGCTTCGATTCGCGAGTGCCTGTCCAGGATAGCGATGCTCGCTTCAGATACTTCTGCGCCAGTGTCCTGCCGCAATTGGCCCGCGACAAACATAGCAAGGGCATCTTGGTATTCGTCCCAACCTACGCCGACTTTACGCGTCTACGAAATCACCTCACCAATTCCTCTGACAGCACATCTGTGCCTTTCGGAAGCGTCTCGGAGTACACCTCGGTCAAGGATACCACGAGGGCACGGTCTCACTTCCTCAGTGGTCGAAACAGAGTGCTTCTGTATACCGAAAGAGCCCATCATCATTTCCGTTACCGTCTGAAAGGTGTGCGGAGGGTGATCTTCTACGGTCTGCCGGAAAATCCGGTCTTTTGGTCCGAGCTTGTTGGTTTATTAGGCATCAACAGGGACTTGATAGAGGGCGAGGTTGCAGGAGGCAGGGGCCTGGTACGCGCAATGTTCTCTAAGTGGGATGCCTTGAAGCTGGAGAGAGTGGTCGGCACAGAACGTGTTGGCAGGATGGTATCAGAACGGAGCGGAGACACTTTCGATTTTGTCTAGGCGAAGATTCCGATTCCGTGTTAGAAGGACTGTGGCTGAGATCGACTAGCGTGACGATGTCAGGGCAGAAGGCAGTAGCCAGTCACTCAGCTAAGTGCCCTGCTGTCCGCTGCCCTATCATGCCACTGACAATAACACTGACTTCACCCTGCCTGACACGGTCACCGTCAACGGTGCCAAGAAAACCCGCTCTGCCTATGCCTCTCCGCCATACTGCCACTATTTCGCGCTGCAGCTTGTCCATCAAAGCATCCTACTTTCCGACCTTTTCATCGCCAACATCCGTTCTACTCTCTTCCTATTTCTCAAACCTCCTTTGTCGCACAACTGTTCTTCTGTCATTCCCCAAGCTGCTTAATATCGTGTACCACTACGGCCATGGCTCCCTCTCGCGCGAAGAGTCGACCGGCTCGCCTTGGATAGAAAGCCACAACCCAATACTTCAACAGACAACCATTCTCGGTGCGGCTCCAGTCCATGTAACAAACATCAACATGCCTGTGCTAACCTAGCCGCAGACCTGTATTTCCAGCAAATCCCTCTCAAAGTTCCGCTCATCCCAACGAAGACCACACGGGAGTCAAAACTAGTCTTCTAACATCCACATCGCGCAGCTATGCTAGTAGATCCAAACCCTTCCACAACTCCATTATTACACAAGTCTCTGGTCCTCCTGTCAAGCCCAGGGTTGCCAAGACCGTACAGCTTCGGGTGTATTGCAGAGATGTAGATGAAGACACGCTCCTCCAACGACTGTGCAAAGAGAAACCATCGTTGAAGAGTGTGTACTATGCCGACTACACTCGCGAGGATTTCATAGTGGATTACTGCAAGCAATTCTTTGGCCGACATGGCTATTGGACCTATAGTCTTAGTTGGCAAGACTACTACTAGAAGTGCGAGTTGGAGGACGACGACACACAGGCCGATGTGCTCGTTCACATAGTCAGACGATATCAGCGGAGGTCTGCGCAGTCATCTTGCCGCCATCCCGCTAGCAAGACTTTGCGCTAGATGTGGTTCAAACGAAGCCAGCTGAGCAAATCCCAACGACGGCTGCTCTCAACAAAGGGATCAGCCTATCTCGATTCTGGGCGCTTCTCTTCTGTTCAGGCCTCATGTCGTGGGTCACCCGAGCTCTATGATAAATTATCAACCTTATCGGATCTCAATTTATGCCTGAGCAGCTGAGTATAGCGTATAAAGGTGCATCCGTCGTCAACGACTTCGTTAACCTCTCCTCGAATACGGTACAGCAAACTCCCGTACCATTGAAAGTACCTGAAGCCGATATCCTGTCAAGCATCAACGTTCCAACCCCTGCCCGAGGGATCCGGACGGCCATTCCTATATCTGCCGCCAACATTCACGACATATCTGCTTTGAATGGTGTTCATCATGCCAACTCTGGTTTGGCGGAGGAAAGGGTGCACGTTACAGACCATGTCGGACGTGGCAAAGAAATTGCGAACACAGGGAAAGTTCGGAGCCAGAGCAAGGGTGGTTCACAAAGTACCAGCAGACTCAAGACTCGCAGCGAGGAGTCGCAGCGGTCAGCGGGTGATGCTCCACAGCAAATGAGGCTAGCAAACGATACGAACATGAGGCTCAAGACTTCAGCGACGAGACACCAGCAGCGGCAGCAGCAGCAGCAGCGCAAACACCAACATCAGCATGAACAACAGCAGTGTAGTTGGGGAGAGAAACGGAAGGAAATGAAGGAGACAACAAAGCCAGAGCAGTGCCTGTGTTCGCGAACCACCCTCCCCTGCATCGCAAGAAGCGGACTGGCTGCTAGCTCGATGATTGCAACTCGATTTAGAGTACAAGACGCGAAACAGATGCGAGCAGAATAGAGCGATTGATGACCCCCACTTCAACGACCCACGCGGTCAGATGCCTGGCTCTAAGTCTGAGCCAATTGGCGGTCACTGGGGCGCGGCAGGGGCCTTTGCCGCCCGGAAGTCTCGTAGCTTATAGCGACCCACTCTGAAACGTCTAGGTCGATATACCTTTACGTCAAAACCACGACATGAAGCCTACCAAGCGCGTCGCCGGCCCTCACATCTCATCTTCGGCGTTTTTCGAAGCAGCAGGTGGCCTCCATGGAGACTGGATGGCTCCTCTGTGAACGTCTTGTCGGAGTCGCGCAGTTTCACCTGCGGCTTCCCAGGCCTGGCATTAACTAGTACATGGAAACGACCGGGGGGGGGCACTGCACTACACAGCCACCGTCTCGCTTACAGGTAGGGAGGCTCGGGCGCGAGGCGACTTCTTTAGCGCCAACATGCTATCTCTACCTGACCCAGCCGCATCACACTCGTCATCTGAGATGTTTGTCTATATCGACTTCAAGAGCGGTACTGAGACGTGAGCTTGACGAGGGCATTGACTATCTGCAACACAGGAGAAGTTCAGCTTAGAAAATCAGATGTGGGCGCGAGGAACATCGGAGCGACACAGGTAGGTTCCTGATCGTAGGTACTGCTTTGTGTCGAGTGCTGACTGATCTGTACAGACGGGTTGGAACACTCGGAGGGCCCCTGCACAAAATCAAAAAAGCGTCTCTGGCACGATTCTCCTCCTCGATCAAACCTAGACTAGATCTTCTGATTCCTGATGTCATACAGCAGGTACGGGAAGTCATTCGAGGTATCGAGCGAGACGAGCAGAAGAAAGTCGTGGTCACAAGCACTTCCTCCTCAGGACTATCCATTATTCTGGTCCACATAGTAGCAATCCTCGGTGCCGCCGCCGTTGTCACGCTCAACTCTCTAGGTGTCTGGGTTGGCAAAGAGCTGACAGGTGACATTGGGGAGGATGGTCAGAAACTGTTCACGCTGCAGCTGGTCGCGAAAGTCCACGAAATTCTCATGGTGACTTCGCTGGGCCAACTCGTTTGGTCTGCGGTCATCAGATCTCTCGTCTGCGGCGGTGGCCTTCCTTTCGCTGTTCTCGGCACCGGTATACGGCTACCTGAGCTGTCACTGCTGTGGTCGAAAGAGCTTGCCGCGCTATGCTTAGCCAAGTTTCGGGGGAAGGTGCTTCTGCTGATATTGATTGTCACCTCCATCGTACTAGGGGTGACCGTTGGTCCTGCTACTGCGACTAGCATACAACCTGCCTTGACAACATGGCCTGCAGGAAGTACTCCAGTCGTGCTTAACGTGTCGCAAGATCAGTTATGGCCTCGGGTGTTGGACCTTACCTCGCCCTCTCGACTGACTGCAATGCTGGAGGACTCAGAAGAGTTGGCACCTCACTGGTCGAGCCTTGCAAGCAGCTTTTTCGACTACTGGGGCCAACAGTACCTCGGTGCGATGTATGCGGTGCCAGAGAGAGCATCGGTGCCGTCGCCGGGCTCAGTACGCAGCATTGATGTTCGCTTTCGGGGTCCATTCTCTTTGTACCAGCCCCTTGTTACAGCAGCAACAACTCAGTCTGTGGCTGCTGCGGATTCGTTGACCGCGCTGCGACTGTTGTGGGATCATCACAACACGAACATCTGCATTTGGGCACCATACAGAGTACGAGTGACAGGAGATGTGTGCGGATACCGCGACGTCCTCTGGACGCTGAGGGCTCAGCAGCCGGTGGTGTACACCAAATGCTCGATGGTTGGAGCGGCGATGGCAGTAACATTCCCAGCCATAGATCGCAGTGGTGCTTCTGCTAGCCCCCATGATGTTCTCGAAGAGTCAGATATCGACACAGGGTCGAGTGCGCCCCGGATTCAGTGGGTAAGTCTTGAGGACGGCAATTCCAACGAAACAGCTCTTGGTGCCTTGGTGAATGTCGCCAACAGAGCTACCTCTGCCAACGCCGAGTACTACGCCTGCACGGTACAGGCTCAATGGGGCAGTGTCGAGATGCAATCTTCCTTTCTAGGGACGCCATTCCAAGTGACTGGCTCACCTTCAGACTTTTACGAACCACACATACCCACAAGTCGATATCGTGGCACCAACGTCGAAATCAGCGTTGAATGGGCCTCGGAGCTTGGCCTTGACCAGTTCGTGGGCGACAGCAACCGCACAGCTCTTGACCTCATGCTCGAAGCCGGAGCGCCGAATACGATTAGCGAGGGCAAGGTGGAAGCTGCGCTCGCGGTTGCCATTGCAGAAAACATGGCGTGGACTCATGCCGACGCTGCGCTCAGTGAGGCTGTGCCAGGCCAAGCGCTGAGCTGGCAAGCGTTTGACGACCTGGCGGCCCGGTCTGCGTCGAACGGTATGGGCTCAGAATTGACCTTTGATGCAGCCGTAGTTGGCTTTGCGTACGGCATCAGGACGGCGACAGGGATATCGACATCTGCCTTGCTTTCGACCATCGTTCTCGTAGCCTATATCTGTCTCTCGGCGGTTCTCGTGGTCATGGAACTCTGGTCCCGGAAACACGTGCATGCGTGGAGCAACGTTACCGACCTCATCGCACTCGCACTGAATTCTAGCGCGGGTCCATCTATGCACAACACCAGCGTTGGCGTAGCTGCGGTCAAGACGCTGAAACTGCCTGTAATACTGCAGCAGAAGGATGGTGGATCAAGTGTCGAAATGGTGGTGGTTGAAGATCCAGCGTCACCCATGGTCTGCCATAGACCGTTGAGAGTTGACGAAGCATACGGATAGTGTCATCCAAGCACTGGATCCATGTCGCGCTTCCATCCTTAGGGTTTCCCCGAATTGGTTCCCAGCTCCGAGGAGTAAGCGGGGGTTGGAGAAGGCTGAAGAGTGCCACCAAAACGTGCATTTTACTCCGGTTTCCGACCAGTGCTTGCACTCTCGACCCGCTTCACCAGAACCTTGTACTTCCAAAAATAGGGATAAGAAGAGGCTTTCGATGGCCGTCTCAGCGCTCGACTCTCGCATCTTCCGCAACCTGTTCGGCACGGCCGAGATCCGCGCCATCTTCAGCGATGAAGCATATGTGCGGCAACTCATCCATGTCGAAGCAGCGCTTGCCCGTGCTGAGTCTACCGCTGGCGTCATCCCCGCGGCGGCCGGCGGCGTCATCACGGATGCGTTGCGGGGTGCCAAGATAGAGTGAGTGCCCGCCCAGCTCTGCCATCGAGGCAATGAACCTCCTGGCTGATCCGAGGCAGCTTCGAGAGGCTTGCTGATGAGACGGACATCGTGGGGTATCCGATTCTGCCGCTGGTGAGGCAACTGGTGGACGCCACGCCTGAGGAGTATGGACGCTATATCCACTGGGGGGCCACGACGCAAGATATCATGGACGATGCATCTGTGTTGCAGATCCGAGAGGGACTGAAGGTCGTGCGGCGACATGTGGACGAGCTGATTGGGATCCTCGAGCGATTGTCAAAGGAGCATCGAGACACGTGAGCCGAAGTCTTCTGATCCATCTGGAGTGATTGACAGACTGACTTGTGACCCAGGCCAATGGCAGGCCGAACGCATCTACAACACGCCCTACCAGTAACCTTTGGCTACAAGTGTGCAGTGTATCTGTCGAGTACCATTCGGCATCGAGAGCGACTGACCGAGATTGAGAAACGCTGCCTACTTGTGCAATTCGGTGGAGCTGCGGGCACGCTGGCATCGTTGGGGGACCAGGGCATTGAGGTGCGGGCGCAGTTGGCAAAGGAGCTAAGCTTGCAGGATACGCCGATAACCTGGCACGTTGCTCGAGACAACATTGCCGAGATTGTAAACTTTCTCGCGCTGGTAGGTGGCTCATTGGGCAAGATAGCGTACGACATCATCATCATGTCCTCCAACGAGCTCGGCGAAGTGTCCGAACCGTTTGTGCCCCATCGTGGCGCGTCTTCGACTATGCCACAGAAGAGAAACCCGATCTCGAGTGAAGTCATTCTTGCGGCGTCAAAGCTGCTAAGAGCTGACGCAAGTCTCTGTCTGGACGCCATGGTGTCGGACTTTGAGCGAGCGTCTGGGCCGTGGCACCTCGAGTGGGTGGCTGTTCCCGAAGCCTTTGTGCTGGCAGTCGGTGCACTTCACCAGACAAACTTTGCTTTGGCGGGCCTCGTGGTCAATACAGGAGCAATGGCGAGGAATCTGCACTCGACAAGGGGCTTGATCGTTGGTGAGGCCGTTATGATGGGTCTAGCACCGGTCATGGGACGGCAAAAGGCGCACGATGTTGTCTATGGTGCTTGCAAGACCGCAATCGAGTCTGACCAGTCTCTGCTCGAGGCGTTGACGAGCCTGCCCGAGGTGATGGAAAAGGTAGGTGAGCCACAAGTGAAAGAGCTTTGTGATCCATTGAGATACATGGGGTCAGCACATAGGATGGTCGATGATGTTCTAGCTAATTCAGCGTCGAGGAGAGCAGCTTGATAGTTGATACCAGAGTGTCCGTTGGTATCGACTTCATCGTCAACAGAGACTCACAAGATTCACAGACTACATGCGCTACGTGTCGTATGAGGACTCGACGAGTGACCTACTATAATCCCCCCATTGGTACGGGGAGTTTTAATACCCTGGGACCCTTGACGGATTTATGAGCCGACATTCAAGATGTGTACTTTGATCTCTTCCGCGGCATCAGTCTTGCCCACGCTATCCCAGGATATGAAGATCGAATGCGTTGCTGGAGGTTGGTCGAGAGCCTTGGCACATGCCTTCGATACTCCACCCTTATCGATAGCCGGGTGTCGTACCTCAAGCGCGTTCACTGCCTGCTCCCCCATCCCAACATGACGGCACACGAAGCTGGCGGCGATGAGGGCACCACGGTTGCGACTGCCTTCGCGGACACTGAGCAGTCTACCCCGTACTCAACTCCGCCGCCGGCATGTAGGTTCGGGTGCTGCATCCCCCCAGCTCCTCGACGCCATCAAGATACCCCAAACACCCTCTGACTTCGCATTCTGCTTTGATATCGATGGCGTCCTTCTCCGCAGTGCAACCCCCATACCCGGAGCCACCGAGGCTCTTCAGACTCTCCAAGCCAACCGAATCCCCTTCCTCCTGCTCACCAATGGTGGTGGAAAGCATGAGTCGGAGAGGGTGGCAGAGCTGTCCCACAAGCTGTCCGTCCCATTGGATACCTCCCTCTTCGTGCAAAGCCATACGCCGTTCAGTGATCTCGGCGATCAAGAAAATTTGAAAGATAAATGCGTACTGATCGTGGGCGGCGACGGCGCCAAATGTCGAGAGGTCGCTGAAGCATACGGGTACACCAATATTGTCACACCCGCCGATATCTACGCCGCTCACCCAGAAGTTTGGCCCTTTAGCAAAAACTTTGACGATTACTATCGCTCCTTTGCGCGCCCACTCCCACGGCCCATCAATACAGACTCCCCAGCCGATAGCTTGAAGATTGATGCCGTCTTCGTCTACAACGACCCGAGAGACTGGGGCCTGGACTGCCAACTCCTAGTCGACCTCATGCTGTCTCGCGAGGGCATCCTCGGCACACTCTCGTCCAAGAATGGTGACAATTCACTCCCCAATTGCGGCTTTCTGCAGGACGGTCAGCCAATGATGTACTTCTCCAATCCTGACAGTCTATGGGCTGCCACGTACGCCCTGCCGCGACTCGGGCAAGGAGGCTTTCGCGGTGCCCTTCAGGGTACTTGGTCGTCAGTCACCCACGTGCTTAGTCCGACGAGACAACCCGTCAGCATGAAGAGCAAGTGTAACGTTATTGGCAAGCCCCACAAGACCACGTACGAATTCTCGGAAAAGCAACTTATGAAGCACCGAACGGCGCTCTTTGACGGATCAGAGTCTCCTCCTCTCAAAACCGTCTACATGGTTGGCGACAATCCTGAGAGTGACATTTGTGGTGCGAACTCATATCGATCGAAGCACGGGGTACAGTGGGTTTCGATCTTGACAAGGACCGGTGTATGGGATGGATCGCCATTGACATTGAAGGCTTTGAACCGGGAACCGAAGCACATCGTCAACGATGTAGCTCAAGCCGTGGCTCTTGGATTGAAGCAGTCTACACTGCATCAAGGTTGAGTGTACAACGTTAGCAAACAGCGAAAAGGACGATATACCATCAAAACCTCACTAAACAGAACGAATAGATTAGATGGAGGAACCAAGCCATAGACGCATCGAGCACAAGCCTACAGTTCAGACTGCTCCAAGACCAAGCCAAGATGTTTGCGCCATGCACCTCATGAACGACTACCACAAAGGTCTTTCTTCCACGCAGCAAGCTTCCTTTCTCCTAATATACAATGCCTAACCTGCCCTCCCGCAGAACCCATGCTCTCTTTCCGTGACTGACTTACCTGTCCGGCCCTACTACGATGTCACCACAACCTCGCCCCAACAGACCCGCCATGCTCCCATCCCAAACACCCACGCCTGCCAGATGCTCGCGTCGAGCCTTCTCGCTGTCCGCCCTACCCTCCACCCTCACCGAGATCTCCACCCAACTATCCGCCTTGAGCACCCTCGAGCAGCGCCTCACTTCCCTGCTACCCCTCCCCAGGCACTTACAACCCTACCATGCCGCGACCCTAGTCCGTGAGAGCCTCAGCAGCTCCCACAGGGCCCCTTCCTCTTCTTCTTCTTCTTCTTCTTCTTCTTCTTCTTCTTCTTCTTCTTCTTCTTCCTCCTCTGCCACGACATCAACTTCGGACAGCGACACAGCCAGCGTCCCATTCCCATTCCCATCCTCAGTATCCGCACCAGCACCAACACCAACACTAACCCCAATTCCCCACAGCCCAAACACCCCCGACACCCCGCAACAGCACGCACCAATCCTCCCCCTCGCGCAAAAGCACTGCTCCCTAGCGCAGGACCTCCTCCTCTTCAGCGCGCTTTACAACCCGTCCACATCGACATCGACTCCTCCAGCCTCGAAGCCAGCAGATCCAGCCCAGGCCATCGTCATCATAGCCCGCCATCTCCTGCTCGCCTATGCGGCCACGTCGGCAAGGATTTCGTCGCATTTGCGACGCGTTGAGACGAGTCAGCGGCGGGGGCTGCGGCAGAGTCAGCAGCAGCGGGCGTCGTACTCGCTAGACGGGGTCGGGGGAATGACAGGCCCGCCGGTGAGGACGACGACGACGACGACGACGACGACGACGCCAGAGATGACAACCATGACGACAGTGCTTTGGCCATACGGTATGCAAGGCCCGGCGTACAAGGTAAGTGGTCCAGACTGGATAGCGATAGGCGGTGGGCAGGGACCGGAATATGATAAGGGTCAAGGTGTGGATATGGAAGCGGGGGATGAGAGGTGGAGAACGCGGCACAAGAATTTCCGGCGGCGGAGGGCGGAGAGGGCGCGGGCCGGGTGGGTTGGAAGTGGAAGAAGAAAGTGAAAAGGAGAAGAGGAAATGAGAGGGAGGGTATGAGCCAAGTTAGTGCTTGGGACAGCTGACGGAGCTGTCTGGTGGGGGCTTTCTTTGATGATCGAGAAGTAGCCCTTGCGGGATGGTGATCATGGGAGGGGTTCGTTGCTGGGATGAACGTGGCCAAAAGAGGATGTGGTGCAGCTTCGGTCAGCTCTTTTGTTTCCTGAATAGCAGATTTGGCAAGAAAAGGAGAGAGCAGGCTGAGGGATGAGTTGATGTTGCATAGAATGCCAGAGAACTAATTGATGAGCCCTAAGGGGGATCAGAACTCTTCATGCTCCGTTCTGCTCGTGTGGACTGTTTTCGCACTTCTACTGCTCATGTCGGGTATCAAGTTGTTTGACTTGTGTCAATAAGCCGTGGGTTCAGGCTGGAATGAAACGCAACCTCCGAGACTTGAAGACCGTTTACTTCTTCTCTTGGCCGGCACCGGAAATGGAGTTGGCAAGGTCTGACACTGGTCAGCGTGCTGTGAGTCAAGTCTGTCAGCGAATACTCACCACTAGCTGTCTTGCTGGCAGTGTTAAGGGCACTGGCGGCCATGTGTTGAGCCTGCTCGAGGTAGGTCTTCTCACCCGGGGCTGACTGGTTGGCCTTGTTGGCTTCATGCTGAATCGTCTCCAAGACGTTGGTTCCTGCAGCGCTGGCCTTGTTGGTGGCATCGGAGGCACCAGTCTTGTCGGCGTAGTGCGCAGCGGTACCCTGAATGTTCTGTCCGACGGACTGAGCTTTGTCGCCAGCCTTGTCGACCTCGGGCTTGTTGGCGTAGTGTTCGCCGGTCTCCTTGACGTTAGTGCCGATCGAAGAGGCAGTATCCGTGAGCTTGTCAACGGTGTTCTTCTGGTCGCCTGTAACCCGTTAGTGGGCCGATTCGAGGTCGAGAGGGTCATTCTAGTTATCCTTACCGGGTTGCTGAGCCATCTTGCTGGTAGTTTGAGATGAGGAGGATGTAATTTGTGGGATTTGAAAGGTGAAGGACTGGTACGGGTGCGTGGTGAGTGACAGCAAGAGAAGAAGTAGCTGTTTGCAGGGTTGCAGGGTTGCAGTATATCAAGGAAGCTCCCCCTCCATTCATGTCGCGATCGCGATTGCCGGGGAAAAAATCGCGTTTGCCAGTGACGTCAGCCGTCAATCGCGCATTCTTTCTTCTCGTGCCCCTCCATCGCGCTTGGACTGGCTTTTACCATGTGAAAAGAGGCGCGAGTCATGAGACTGAGCCAATGAACAGAGACGATCGAGTCTTGGGACCAGGACAGGATGACCAACGGCCAAGCCTGTCAATGCTCAACATTCTCTATCGATTCTATGAGTAGGGAGGGTCATCAACCACCAACACCAGGGTATCACTTCGGTCTTCGCTGAAAGGGATGGGTAAGATGAAATGAATACTCCTCATCAATCCTGACTCGACGCTCATAATTACCACCACCACATCTCATGCTGCCCATTTCCAAAAGGAGTGGTGAGCCACCTTTGCTCGGACCGCGCAGAGCAAACCACAGTCATCTGCATCACATTAGCTCGGTGTCGCGAGGCTGCTGATGAACCAAGCAGCGGTTTGTGGCCGGCGACAGATTCTCCCATCAACATGCACGTACCAGGATTCTATTCGAGATGTGGCTGCTTCCCGACCTTGGGGAGTTCGTCACCCTTTCCGCCGTAGTCAGGTGGGAGTTGCTCTCCGAGCGACTGGACCTTGCTATCACCAAACTCATTCACCATGATCTTACTGTTGCTCATCGGATGAAACTTCTTGATGGTTTTGGCAGCAACGAACATCTTCATGAAGCCGTACACAAAGCCCATGATTGCGGGAACGTTGACGAAGAACTTCTCTTTGAGCAGTTCCGGGTAGTTGGCCGCGAAAACCTTGATCGTCTCGGTGGATGCCGACTTGACTTTGGGGGATTGACGGAAGAATGAGATGGACTTGTAGTCATGAACTTGATAGATCTTGTAAGGATCATACTCGGCCGTGATAGGCTTGGTGGCAGTAGAGATAGACAGCTCACGGAGAGCAAGCTCCATGAGAGCGACACGCCAGCTAATGAATCTGGGAAGGTTAGCCCCATCAACACAATAGGTTGGAGACACATACTCGGGCAAATCGCCAAAGGTATTGTTAATATCCTCCACACCGCCGTAGATGTTCCAGGTAAACACCTCTTTAGACTCTGGCTCGCCAGTCTCACTGCCATAGCTAGTCACGTAGCCCAGCCCATCAAACTTCCCCTTGGCGTGAGCCTTGCTGAGGAGATCCAGAGGCTTGGTCTCTTTACGCCAGTCCAAGGTTTTGGTCAGAGTCTCCTTGGCCTTAGCGAGGTCTCCATCGTAGGCGTTGAGGAATTTCTGGAAGACGACCTGCGAGGGCACATGTGTTTCCGGATCCGCTAATTGCACGCCCCAAATCTCTGGATATTCGTGCGCCTTGGCTAAAAGCCACAGCTGTTGGATGGGCGCCGCGGGAGGCTTCGACTCCGTCTCAGTTGCGGCGGCGGTCTCGTCGGGCTTGGCGGCAGGAGTTGTATCTCCGTTGGCGGAAGGTTGGGCGGTCGCTGCGACGGCGACGGCCGCGGCTGGACCAGGCTCGCTGGCGACCTCTTTGTTCTCAGGAACGACAGCCGTTTCGGCTTGGCCGGTGGTGCTGTTGGGAGCGCCGGTTGTGGGCTTCTCTCCGGCTGACATTCTGGCGGTGTCACCTGCTCAGGCGATGGGATGTGAATTACAACAAGACAGTGTTATCACCTGCAGAGAATACGGCGGCGGGCGCTTGATATGAAAATGAGCTTCCAGCTTAGTTGCTGAAGAATACACTCAAAAGATGATGATGATGATGTGCACGCTGATGGAAGACCGTCGTTGACGAGGCGGGCGGAGATAATCTAGATCTGATAAGCCGAGACGCCAAGCCTGCACGTGGCCTCGTGAAAGTGCAAGCGAGACGAGCAGCTTGAAACATCAGGTGCATTTGGCACCAGCCGTGTGCCTCTCAACACCCTCAGTATTCTTCATGGCCCGCAGCAGACGGGCTATTGCAAAGTCTTGAATCGAGTTAAAATATTCTCTTGGAAATTGGAACATTTCTAGCGATCTAGTATGGCTCATTACCCAGTTCGTTGCCAGTATCCAGAATGCCGGTCGTACGCTGTCAGGGTCTTCTGTAGCAGAAAAGGCTTCCTTCTTCAGACAGTCGAGAGCATTAACGTGCGCGCGGCTCCAGAATCTTGATGTCTATCTCGTGTATCCCAAAGCCAACCAAAAAAGCACAGTGCGCACTTCTAGTGTCACAGCCCTCGTAAGAGCAAGTGGCCACCTAGACGCGGTGATATCATAGTCGTTAAAAGCACAAACCACATCTCCCATCGTCACTCGCACCCATCATCATAACATGAGCTGCATCATCCTCTCCGCCGGCCATCAGAGGTTGCGCAGGGTAGAGACTTTTGAGTCGGGCTGCAAAGGGTCAGGGTCGGGCTTTTCCCGGAAAGTGATCCTATGCCATGTCCAACCGCGGGATGTCCCGTTAAGGCGTGAATAAATAAGGTCGTGAAATAGGCGTGAGAAGCGAAGGCGTGACGTCGTGGGCCTGTGTTGTAGGTATTCGACATGAGGCAAGCTCAGAAAAGTCGTGAACTTCGATTCAAGCGCTCGGGCGGTTTCCGGTGTCGCTAGCTCACAAACTCATCGTCAGCCACTCCCATTCCTGGCTATTGCCTCGCGGTCCACCGGGACCTCCAGGACCAATGGAGCCAGGGCCGGCAATACCCTGTTGTTGTTGCTGCTGCTGCTGCTGCTGTTGTTGCATCACAGATGCCATTGTCGTTACACTGGGTGTATGGGACAAGCTACCGGGCGTAGTCCGTGCAGCTGAAGGCCCACTCGATTTCGAAGAATCCGGCGAATCTCCATCCGCTGAAGCTGGGGTGCTGCCACCTAGCGAAGGCAGTACCGTCGTCGATGCCCGCGATTGCCGTCTCTGTCTCTTAGGTGCGACTTGAACCGGCCGAGACTGGCTAATGCCTTGTACTGGAGGCTTCGGCGGTGCAGCAGCTATTGGCACAACACCTGGTTTCCCGCCTGTAGTGCCTGTGAGGCTAGTGGGTGTCGTTACTGCAGAGCCAGAATATCCTGACCCCTGCTGCGAACTAGGTGATGCAGAGTTCTGATCGCTCGTGGCAATCCCTGAAGCAGGTGTCGTGGCCGGTGTCTGCTGCACTGAATTCTTGCGGGAAGCAGCCTTCTTCGAACGAGTTGCAGCAGAGCCCACAGGCACGCTGTTTCCACTGCCGCGATTTCTCTTCTTGATAACGTCCGTCTTGAGCGAAAGGGGTCGAACGACACCGTGCAGCTTCAAGAAAAGACCGCACGCGTTGCATAATGGCTGTCCCTCAGGATTGCGCCGCCACAGAGGAGTCGTCTGTGTAAAACAATTGGTGCACGTTGTTGGTGCACCATTGGCGTCGGTATTCTTTGGCCCTGGGCTGCCAGGTCGAGATGGGGCCCTACTGCTGAAGCCGGATTCGGGCGGCGAGGTAATGTTGGATTCGTGAGGATGGCCAGCTAACGCAGGAGTTGATGTAGTCCTTGGTAGTTTGGTCTGCCTTCTTGGATCCATGTTTCGATCTCGGATGTCGCTGATGGAGGCTGCAGAACCATAAGTACGGCTGAGCATGCTTCCACTCCAATCTGGCGAATCGACCATCTCTGTCCCCGCAATTCGGACATGCTTACGTGGCGCAGAGCCATATTCACCCATATTCGGGTCCCATTGAAGGCCAGAATTCAAATCCAGTGTGGGGTCGCCGCCGGGACCAAAATCTTCGTGCAACATCATGTTACGGTCGGCGAAGCTGCTTTCGTCATCTTCTCCATCAGAATCGGCACCAAATTGGAACATGTTGTCATTGCCAGCCAACGTGGCAGGCGAAACGCCAAGAACACGGGTGGGATCAATATGTTGCTGTTGCATCATGTAGCCGCTCATAGTAGGAGCTGAGCCGACTTGATTCATCGAGGCGAACATCGGCTCACCGTTAGGTCCGTAACCGTACTGAGAGCCGAGTGGAGCCATCATGTGATTCGATCGAAGGGCATTAAACGGTTGGACGTTCCTGTTGCTCCGATAGTCTCCAGCACTTTGTTCGAAGTAGAATTGGCCATCGTGTTCGCCACCAGGTTGCGGTGTGGAAGCGACAGACGGATAGCCAGATTGAGGAGGAGAATAGAATCCGCCAGCGGAATTCAGCGAAGAAGGAACCGAGTTCTGGTGATACACCGCCGAAAAGGGGCCATGTGTGACCATTGGAGATGCGGCAGGCGAGAAGGTAAAGTTTTGTTGGAATGGGCCGGCGGAGGTCAGGATGGGGTCGTCATTCATGCTAGAGTAGTCCAGGTGTAACGGCATTTGCGAATTCATACCATTCTGCTGCGGGTAGATGGACGAGTTCACATCGTTGAGGCTATAGTCGGGTACTCCATTGTTCACACCCCGATGCTCGGCGCTGGGAACAACCAGAGGAGGCACCTGTGGCGAGAAATCCGCTGGCCGTTTTCTGCCCTGTTTTTCAATTAGCGAAAGCACCCGCGGTACGGCAGATGGATAACTAACGCTTCGACGATCGTCGATACTGGTCTTCCTCACACGCTTAGGAACTCCTTCAAATCCAACATTCGGAGCGGCGCCTTTCGGCACAGATGCAGCAGGCAGGTTCGATGGCTGTGCATTAGCTTTCTGCTTTGTATTAATGGCAATGGCATGTCCATGACGGGTGCTGGACCCAGCTGAGGGGGCGTTGTCGCTCGACGAGGGCGTTGGTAAGCCTGCCGGAGAGGCAACCGAGGTGGGTACAATGAAGTCGTCCAAGTTCATAGGATCAGAAGGGCTTCCTTCGATATTCGCTTCACTGGACTTTCTTAGCTGTGCGATACCACTCGGACCCGGCCTTTGTGAAATTGCTGATGATTTCGAGACCTGTTCATCGGCCTGGTTCTGTGCCGCATTTCCGTCGGACTGTTTGAGCATCCTTGACACTTGTAAGCAAAAGATAGTTAACATGCGAGGCGCCCGACTCACGCAGCTTGTTGTTCTTGCCGCCGGCGCAAGTTCATAGCCATCATCCTCCACGTCAAGTTCTCCATTCGCTCCTGGTTGGGCAGTCTCGTCTTGGTGCGGCTGTAGAGCTTCCATATCTGCGTGCCCAAAGGATCCTTCTTCTGCAGCTCCGTTGGAGACTCGGCGTCGTCAGCGCCAGCATCGTCTCCCCATTCAGGAAAGACCGCATTGCGCAGTAGCTCGTCATGAGCGACGCCGTCAGAGCCAGCGAGATCCAGATTGCCGGCGGTGTTGGAGCTGGACGTTTGTCGGGCAAAATCTCTCACATGTGATTGCGATGCCGCTAGATCGAGGTCGGTAGGAGGGCTAGCATCGACAGGACTTGAAAAATGGTCGGCTGTGGGAGGAAATTCACAGTTGTATGATGATGATGATGTAGCGCCTATAGATTGATGGGCGGAGGCTTCGCGCAGTGCTGCAATTCCCCCACGCTTTTGACCATGCCTGGCATTCGACATGACCGGATGGCCTCTGTGTAACAATAGCGCATATGGCTCGCGCTGCGAGAGGCTCGTATGCTTGCGGGCTGCCGGAGACTGCAGCAGGACGCAGTGGGAGGAGTCTGGCGGTGCGGAATGCCTGCAGGAGAGAGAGGGAGGGAACACGGCACCTTGGACTGAGATGAACAGCCCGGCAGAATAGTGTGGGAGGGACTGAGATGAACCTATCGGCGGCCGGGCTGAAGGGTTGAGAGGCGCATGCCACTGGCTGCAGCTAGTCGCGAACAGCTGCACCCTGGCAGCAAAGGCTTAAGACTTTCGCCCGACGAAGAAATGCCGAGGGGTGCCTGCAGAGCCGGGCAAGAGGCAGCGAGACTCGAAAGCCACAAGGAGCCTGCCCCCCCCCAAATGCCCAAGCCCAAGAACGGAGACCCTCCCGGCCGGGGACTCCGGCGAGTCACAGGTGCATCAGTCGCCCCTCGAGACTCATGTGGGGACAAATTTAGACAAACCGAGCCAATTTGATGGGCCTACGACACCACTGGGGCACTGGACTGGCGCGGCGAGCGAAGCGTCAAGCACGAGGGCACTACTCGTTCGTGGAGACCTTTGACGCCATGGTCATCATGGTCTCGAAGACTGGCTGCCGGACAGTATCCGTATGTAAGGCTACGTCGTTTATGCCGAATTCGAGACGACGAGCGGCTGCTGTTCGACTATTGTTACTGCTGCTACTGCTGCCGGAGGAAGCTTTGAGTATGGCCAGACTGGATTCACTTCCATCAGTGCTGCTCAAGTCTTTTCGAACTGCCCATCAGCATCATCAGATCCCGAGGTCGATCTCACGTACAAGACTCAAGTATGACCACAAGCGGCCCCGCTAGTCGGGACTCAGCATGCTACGGAAGGCCACTCTCGGTGGCACTTGTCCTTATGGCTGATGGCCCCTGTCAGTATATGCTAGCTCAGCTGCACGACAGCCCGCTTCGCTTCCGACGTGGGGGTGTATTGATCTCCACTGCCGCCCACCTGGGTGCTGATGTGCTGATGCTTGGGATGGGCTCAAATATAACCCGCGCGACTGACGCAAGCTATCCTGCTAGCAGTGGTGATAGTCGTTTTCAGGCTGTTTACCCTTGCTGGTCAATGCCTGGGGCAATTGTCCTCGGGATCGCAGCTGCTTTCGAAATTCTTGGTTGGATCGTGCAAGCTGAACACAAAACGTGCTTTGTCGACGAGGCCGAGAACTCATGGAAAATTATTTTTTTGTAAGATTCTCAAACCTTGCCTGCTGCACGCGATTCATCACGAACCCTGGCCAATGCCGATGTCTTCCAAAGAACCATTCACCTTACATTCCCGGGCTTCGCATTCGACTAAGGTTCGACTGGCCGAGCGTCCTCCCTCCCAGTCAGCGGCTCCGGAACATCATGGTTCAAGGGAAGGATTATAGTTCATGTACTTCTCGCCTTGGTCCGGTCCACTACGGCTCTTTGTTGCAGCTGTACCTGCTCAAACTCGGCGCTGCATCACCTACTTGTGCTGTCCCACCACATGTTGGTTCGTAAATCGCGCGCGTCGCACCCTGCCCACTTCAAAATCCATGCACGCACATACACCTGCAGCAGTACCTCGTGGGATGGAAAGATCCTTGCGCACTACACTTGATCGGGCTTGGTAAGCGGGAATTGGCCTGACACGATCTCTCGACCCTTGGGAGACTTTCTCGGTGGCAGAGCCGATCAGCACTTGGGTCAGTAATGGTTCGAGTCAGCTCGCACTCTGTATAGTGTTGAACAAGGGCCAATAATGGTGGGAAAAAGTAAGCTCTGCGGCATTTCCATCCACTCGGTACCTCTTTCTGTACAAGTACAAGTATGCGCTGCTGGAGCTCTTTGTTGGGAGGTGGCGACAGAGGGGCCCCATCCGGGAATTGCACATGCGCACCAAGCTCAGGCTTCTAGAACCACTGCATCGGATATTGCTGTTCACATGAGGCTGAGCGCTTCTATCGTCCATTCTTCCAGAGGCAACAGAATTGACATGGGAGCTGCAATGGCGTGAGATATACACATGACCATTCTACGTACTGCGCTGTCTGGCCGCCGACACAACCAATTCGGAGGCATCAATCAACGAATTCCTCGGTTGGGCATTACCCACCGCCTGAAACTCCAAAACCCGCTTTGTAGACCCCTTCTGGCGCAGGGCATCGCTTGGAGAATGGGTATTGGATCGATACCAACATAAACATCGCACGATAAAGTGGTGTTCATGCTGTGTCGCCCCAGCAGTGTCGCTTCTCAACTCCATGGTCTCCATCTCTTCCAATTCCTTCACATGTCATTTTTGGCCTCCCCGACACCCGAGTGTCGGTCACAATCGGACTTGACCCCGAACCAACATCTCAACAACACCTACCTCACGCTTTGCCAGTGATTGCCTGTATTTTCTAGACCGAATGTCGATAGCCAGATAAATTTCCTGAGGCATTGCTACCACGCGTGAATGCTGCGTTGACGGTACCACTCGATCTAGGAGCGTGTGCCAGTTCGGGGGACCGTGAGAAATCGCGAGAAGGGTGGGTCGGCTCATGGTCCGCAGCCGGGGCCAAGCAAACCACTAAGCAACCCTGGTCTCTGAAAGAATACCCGGTGGATGTGCAACTCACGCTAATTCTGCCTTCGCCTTAACCAGAAAACGCTCATCCCAGTTGGCCAAACCGGGTTGTCCACAACGGCATTGATTGCCTTTTGTCATTCCGACACCTAAAACTGAGTCCCTTGTCGATGCACTGGAGAGGGCGCATGACGCAAAGTCGGAGGCACGCGACAATGGGGTATTTCTGGAGTCGATTGAATAGTTGCCAATTTGACAGCTCCCAGTTCAGGAGCGACGAGGGCGGACCGAGCGTTGGAGCGACTCATCTTGAGCGACACCCCACGCTAAGGTAAGGTCCGTGCATCATCTTCCAGGCGACATGCGACACCTGTTTCCCTTGCCGAGTATTGGTCGGTCGGTCGAGCCCATGTCTGCGCCAATATGGCCAGAAGGGTTACTGATCCGTCTCAATCTCACGTAGGCGGGTTTGGTGGGATGATTGACAAATTCGATTCATCATCTGTCTCGCAGAAGCAAGTCTTTCTGTAAGCTTCATGGGGAGAAGAGTAATTGCGAGCGCCCCCGGGTTTCAGCGAGATCGCCTGAGGAGCACATTATTGACCAAGTGCTCAGTGGAAGTGGTCGACATCGGGGGGTCCCGACGGTCGAGAGGCATGTCGATGGATTTGACCCCAGTGGCATCCAGACCTGCAATCGAGATCCGAAAGACGCTCCATAAATGTCAAGTCAGCAGGTGCGTGCTGGCCCCAGCTTCTGTAAAACCATCGAAGAAAAAGTCGCGAGCTGGTCACTCCAGATTTTCAGGCATAGCGAGCTTAAGTAGAGCCGCACCTGTTCTCCGCGTTCTGATAAGGCTGCAAGGTGCCCCATGATACGCTTATCTCGAAGAAATGCGACGTCGGTATCATGGATCCTCTTCTCCAGTCTTCCCTTTCCCGGTTGGGCTCTTGTATCCTTCATATCAGCATGTCGCCATTCGCCCATCTGCTGATTTGACAATAGAAGTCTGATAACCGGCACTTGTCCAAAGGCACATTGCATCTTCCGGGACGTCGGAGGAGCACGGCACCCAATGAGGGCCAGTGGCTATCCCTTAAATCGAATGGGTTGCTGAGGCTGCAATCCCCATCCCCAGCCCATTCCAATGTGATAAAACCGCCGGACCCATGTATTCATCTTGCGGATGTCGAGTCTTTTCAACGATGGTCTGAACCAGCCTGCTTCCCAATTCTTTGCACCACGCAGCAGAGGTAGTGTGGATCTGGAAAGATGATGATTTCGCGGTGTTTGACCCTCAAACGCAGTAGCTGCACTTGCGAGTCTATTCGTCGAGCCTCAGACTCTTCTGTGGTACCGTCGGTATCCGGCGCACGCCCCGACTCTGGTCGACGTAGTGTGTTGCTGTCTTCTCCGTCCTGCCCGGCGGATACAGCCGTCAGTGTAGTGCCGAGTGTTCCAGCGGCTTTCATGAACTGGAAGATGGAGGCGGCTAGCTCCTCTGCAGGCGAAAACTTCTCCTGTTCGGCGATAGCCTCTTCATTGCCAGCGTCGGCATCCTTGACTTGCGCAGGCGATTCTGCCGCTTGGTAGGCAGCAGTTGACTGCGCTCTTCGTCGCTTTTCGGCGGAGGTGAAGCCTGTAGTCTTTATGATCGATCCGTCTTTCCGTGAAAGAATCAGGGTAGACTCGACATTGGGCCTGTCACTGAGACTGCGGAGGGTTGCGTCGATTGACGATTGCTGCTCCGGACGTTAGCTGAGCTGCCGAGAAGAGCACACGCTGTGGGAGACCGGAACACACCTTGTCCAAGCTTGCCATGCCAGAGAGGTCGGAGGCGCTTCGTTTTAATGCAAAAATGAGGTTGGAAAAAGGTTGTGCACGGCGTGGAATCTGTTACCTAATGATGGCAACGGTCACAAGGCGTCACGGAGGGGTCATCCAGGCGAAAGGTAAACAGAGCCTCAAATTTCGTCCTTCTCCACGGACAGGTATCGCGCCAGCTTCCCCCGAATCGCGTCAGTCCGCAGGTGCCCGTGGGCAGAACGGACTCCACAAACGAGGCTGCATCTTCAAGGCTGTGAGCAGCAAGTGTAGAGCTAGTCCCAACCGGGAATAGCTGTTAATGTCCTCTTTTTGCATCGACTTTTTCTGGAACCATTTCACCCAGGTCCAGCATCCGAGCGCCAGAGGATGGGCTCGAGTGCAAAAAAGAAGCGCGAGAAGAAGAAGGACTTCCAAAAAACTAAACTGAAAGTCGGAAAAGTAAAACCTAAGGCCGACAACCATACCGAGACCAGCTTTCGAGCCAAGGCCATTGTCCTCAACCAGCAACTCAACATTGACGCCCCAAGCACGATCCAACAGTTCCATCATCATGTGTCCCTACTCTCATCCAAATCGGACAGTCAACGTCGTGAGTCCCTGGCATTCCTGACGACATACTTTTCCTCGCTCAGTCACGGAACGAATCTTCCCTTGACAATCGGTGCGCTGCTCGACAAGGCGTGTCCATTGATCTTGGATGCAAACAACGGGGTTCGCTCTCAGCTCTTGAAGTGCCTCCAAGCTCTTCCTGGGAACGACATTCAAGATCAGGTACCTCGGCTGCTGCCTCATGTACGAGCTGGCATGACCCACCTCTCTCGTGACATCCGGCTTTCCGCCATCGACTTTCTATCCTGGATTATTGCTACAGCCCCTAACGAACTTGTGACTTGCTCTGGAGGCTGGTTCTCGACACTGGAATGCTTTACCACCATGCTAGCCTGGCGCTCGACCGAGACAGGGAAATGGGGTGCAATGAAGCCAGCCCTTGGCGACTCCAAGTCTATGGCAAAAGTGATCACAGTGCTGACCGAATTTCTTGAAGCTGGGCTACTGGACCCCGTCCCCAAGATTGCCATCAACGTCATGGCCCAAAGCTTTCCATACTGGGACATCGAGCATCATCGTCTTCCCACGAAATCCGATCCATACGCATACCTGAATCTCTTCGGCAGTGTGCAAGACGAGAAGACGCAGATGTTAGAAGACCGTGAAGATCGGCTTCGTGTATACACAGAGCACTTCTGCCCCCAGATTGAGGCTGGGGTCACGGCAGGCCGACAAGAAGGAGGAGAGATTGGCAGGGCAACAGGCGTACTTGCAAAGGTTCTCGATCGTGTTACTAGGGACAACCCTACCTGAACATGGGTGAGATGCAGCAAGTTTATCCTTAGGTCCCTGTACACCTTGTCACTTTTCAATGTGTGCAAAAGGTGTATGTGGAGTATTCCAGCGTTCAGAGCAACAGCAAGCTCAAACCATGAGGCTTGTCTCGAGATTGACGAGTTGTGGTAAACATGATGTAGACGGTGCTGCCTGATGCCACGTATGGTTGGACAGCGTCTTGATGGCACGCACTAGTGGCTGCCGTTGCGATCAACTGACCACGCCTCGGGTCGCCTGGCAAAAGTGAGCCTATACACCTTATGGACCAAGCCTGCGGATCGTCTTCGGTCACTAATGCCAACCTCGTTGTTGGCCAACGGGTAGCGAAGTTGGAGAAGACATCAGCAAGCCAGCGAAAGCCGGCAGTCTGGCACAGTGGTATGACGCTAGCTGACTCAGTGTACTCGGCATAGTAAGCGTCAATTGAAGTCAAGATGAACCCGTCAGCGGCTTGCAAACAGCGACTCTGGATGGAAAGGAAAGTGTCCGACCATGAACCTGAGGAAGTGGCCAACGGGCACAGGAGAGGCTCGGACGGGCCCAAGCAAAGGCTGAAGGAAAGGATGCTCAAGACACTCACGTCAAGGTATCTGGGAAGGAACGGCAATACACGGATGCAAGAAACAACGTGATATGGGCTGATTCAACCAGCCGTGCTGTTCGACAATGTTGCAACAGCGCTGTGTCGTCTCAACAATGTCTTTGACCGTACGCTCGACTAGTGACGGCCCTCGGGGTTGAGTCGAGCTCAAGCACGAATGATCAGTCCTGACGCTTGACCTATGATGAATGAAACAATGTCTCGTCCCATGCTGCTTATTGAAGATGCTCGCACGCATCTCGTCCAGAATATATACATACACCTCTACGTATGGGTCGACTAGAGAGCAGGAACGTGGTCCCCAAACGCCGTACTTCCATATCATGTAGTCCATGTCATGTACCGTACCCCTACCGCTTTCACAGCTCATCCAGCTCCTCTTCCTTCTCCTTCTCCCCCTCTCCCGGCAGCCTCACGCCCCTCCACTCCCCCTCGCTCACCCCCTTCCACTCCGCCAAATCCAACCAGCCGATCCACGCCCGATCCCCAAACCCGCCCACCCAATAAACGCCCTCGACCCTCAGCCTCACCCACCTCCCACTGTGCGCCCCCCGCCTCGCCCCCGGCTCCCACCCCCTCGCATCCCTATGCCCGTCAAAAAAGCACTCCTTGACTCCGTATTTCTCCACCTCCCCCTCCCCCATCTCCTGCAACCACCCCAACAGCGCCACTCTAGGCAACGCCGCCGCACTCCCCGGCCTCTCGCCCGTCACCCTCTCATACCCGGCCCACCAATCCACCGCCAAGCTCACATTCCGCCCCTCCCGCGCGTTCTTGGCCGCCGTGCTGATGTCCAGCATGATGAGCGTGGGGTCCCCGTTGCCCTCGCAGTCGGCGATGTATTCGGGGAGGGCGATGGGGGCGCCGCCGACAGAGTCCGGCGTGAAGCGGTAGGCTGGGTCCGTGCTGAGGTTGTGGGAAGGGGGAAAAATGGTGGAGAGGGAGCCGGAGGGGGAGAGGGCGAGGAGGCGGCGCGCGAGGAGGGTGGAGGTGTGGCGGGACGGGATTTTGTGGGTGCCGCCGCTGGAGGAGGAAAGGGGGAAAATGTGGTCGTTGGGGTGGGCGGCGAGGGGGTTCTGGTGTGGTGCTGGGATGCTGTGGATGGGTGGTGGGAGGGACAAGGCCGCGAGGACCGAGAGGAGGGTCGTGGGGAGATGCATTCTTTGAGGAGAGTGGCTTATATCTCGGCGGCGATGTGGATGGAATGATGAGCTCGAGCGGTAGAAGTCGTGACCGCGAGGCTTGTACTTCGTTGTGGCGAGGTAGTTGAGTCCCGAGGGTCCTTGGTCAGTGGCGAGCTTGCGACTCTGCCGTATCACCCAGTATTGGTGCACGAGCAGCAATATACGGCTGTCAGGGCAATCAAGCGATCGCTGTAAGGGTGTCGCAGCTCATGCAGGCAGCGCTGGGATGCTAGCAACTTCAGTGCGGTATATGATCACTCGATACGTAGAGGGGTCAGGTCATAAAGATCTGATAAGATTATCTGGCGCACTTGGCATTTACCCGTATCTACCCGCATGGGGGTCCTGCGGGCTTCGCACCGCGACTGGCATCATGGCATGACAGGATCAACAGTCTCGGCGACGTGGGATGATTCCTGCAGCCGAATAGGAATGGCATGAGTTGTACGTAACAACTATGACCTGGGTTGTGCGGTCACCTACAGTGTACGCGAATCGTTCGACAGCACGGTATGCAACGATTTGAGCGTCTGGCAGGACGTCTACAACAGGAAAACAGAAGAGAAATATAACTTTGAAGTGCATTGGAATTGGAGCATGGCTGTGCCAGGCTCGCGACTATCTGCATATCACGTACGTGCTCGTCGTGATGTCGCATGTGATGGTTCTGCAATTATGCTCGTCCACGCTGGGAGTTGGCGAGGATGGCAATGATAGTACATAGCAGAGTGTGAGGTATGTGGAGGTAGTACAGACGAAAGGGATCGATGAGGTTGGGGTATCTGTAGTGGTTTCCTTCGTTGTCCGATTCTCGTTGGTCGCTGTCTCTTCTAGCTCAACTAGACTGAGACCAGCTGCTCTTTCAGCTTCAGAGCCGTTAGCTCTGGCGCAGAGAGCTGAGCGTGAGGGGCACAGTAGAGTGCCATACGCTTGTGGTCGATGGTCGTGACCGGTTTCTTATGTAGCGCCCAGGTCTTTGTAGGTGCTTGCCATTTCTTTTCGAGCTCATCAGAGGGGTCGTGGATCTTCAAGGCAGAATCGCTCATGATTTCATCTCCATCGCGTTCCTGCTGTAGAAGTTGGCGAACATGATCCTGAATTGGCTCAGTGGCGTTGGAAAGATTGCGCTTGTGTCCTCTTGGACTGATCTCGTGCTGCTGGGTAGCTTGCTGAGTAGCACTGAGAATCTGCTGCTGCATCTCGCGCCGTCCGGCGCAGAGGCGCAGGAGTGCTTCAGCAGCATCGGTCTCTTGCACAAGATCCTGGCCAGTGCCAAAGTCAGTCCTCGACTTCACAGCCGCAGCGCTGGTGCGCGCAGCTGCGATGTCCGAGAACTGTGGCTTCCGGCGAAGCGGATGGCCATTGATGCTGCGCGAGACAGGGACTCTCGTCTCCGGCATCGACACCACTCGAGTGAGCGGTGAGGGTTGTGGAGGTTGGTTGATTATCTTCTCGAGATTGAAAGGTGCGCTCATCGGCTGACTGGAGAGCGAGGACGACCAAGATGAGTTTGAAGATATAGAAGAGGACCGAGATCGGCCAGTAGGGGTAATGGTGTCAGATGCCTCAGAAAGCGATGGTGACGGAGTTTGCTGGGACTGGAATGGGATGGACGCAGCAGGTCTCATCCGCGACCCTTGGGCCGCACAGTAAGATTGAGGTCGAGGAGGTGGGCATCGATCCAGGTTCGCATTCGCAAAGCACTGTTTACGAACGCTGCGAAGAGCATCAACCGATGCTGAACAACGCAGATTCATTTGCGATGGTGTAGGGTAGCAGCCTTCGGGCCCGCGTGGAGTGGAGACGGGCGTCGGCAAGTTGCGCAGCTGAGGTCGCAGCGGCAAAGACGAAAGCGACTGCATATGACCTTCGGCACCTTGGACTGGGGTCGAAGCGCCGGAGTGCAGACTTTGAAGAGCAGGGCTGCTAAAGGCAGTCTGTGCCTTGTCCACTGGTGAGTCGAAAGCTGGCGACATCCCCTGATCCAGGCGGAGCAGGGGATGGGACAGATCAACTGCGGGCAGACTCTGGCGCAAGAACTGCTTCGAGCCTTCTTCTGTATCACACAGGTGCGGGTCAAGACTTGCGAGCACACCGTTCCACCATTTGTCGGAGAAGAAGGCATTTTCATCCCTAAGCGCAGGGCTGTCGTCAACCATGGCACTTAGCGCAGACCAGTCTCCAGATCCGAGGGGTGATATTTGCGCCCTGCCAAGAGGGCAGCCAGGCTTGAGCTTGGACAGCTTGCTTAGAGTGAGGACGATTCGACTCCAGTTATCGAAAACATCCTTGGTAATATGGAGTCTGTAGTCGATGGCTTCGAGATACTTCATCTCATTCTCGTTGATCTCGCAAATTCGAAGACCAGAGATCTTGCTCCAAGCGCGTGTTGAGTAGTTGCGATCTTGCAGGTATTTAGAAGCTAGCATGAGCGCTGCCAAGAACATACGTCGTCCGCACTGCATTGCACGGCACGACGACTGTCCCGGTTCTTTCGTCAAGTCGTTCTTTGGCATCTGACATTTCAGCAGCATCAGATACCATAAAGCGACTTGCAAGGTCGAGTAGCTGGTCTTGGAACGGCGCAGCGTCTCATGAATGAATACTTCAAGCGGGAGAACGCCAGCACCATTGAAGCAGCTAGACATCATGGGTGGGCAGGCTGACAGTGGCCAGATTGCGGTGATCAGTCTGGCAGCAAACGCTGAGGTATGTGTTAGAGCTTTAGAATGGGCAGCCGTGTTGCTGGACTTACTAATGAGTGTCATCACAAAGCAGTCTGCCGAGTCGGTGTCGCGCTTGAGCCGACATGGTGGCGCAGCAGGAGCTTCCGAGTTGATAGATCTTCTTCTGTTTGTTTTCTGCAGATTGTGCAACGGCTGTTTGAACGCTGTCTGTGGTCGAGACGGGTTATTCTGATCGATGGTTTGATAGGCTGGGTGTTGAGCTCGAGATTGAGGTTGAGGAACGTTCTCGGCGTAACTCGAGATAGGTTCCTGAGGGCCGTCCTTGTGCAAATTGAATCTTAGAGGCAGCGACTCAGAGCCAAGACCCGAGAGCAGCTCCGAGTGGCCATCGAGCTTCTGCTGAGCATCTCTCGCTGAAGGTTGACGGACGCGAGGAGTTGGACCAGTCTCGCCATCGCTACTGTCTTCAGAAGAGTCTGACGCCGACGAGCCGTAACTGGACTGCGACGAGGCCACAGACGCGATATCGAAGATAGAGTCCGCTACACTGGCTGTGTCATCCGAGTAGACGCTCTGACGGTCAGACTCGGCTGTCGAGGCATAGGTGGTAGGACCGGTAGCTAAGGCGGTGAAGATAGGTTTGTTCTGGAGCGGCTGCTCTTCATTGTATCGCAAGGACTTATCCCAAGGTGCAAAGACGGAGAGTTCCGGCTGGAACTGAGCTCTCTCTTCAAGCCCTGCAAAGCCCATTCTAGTGAGATGTCAAAGCGGCGAATTTTAGATGAGGTCGAGAGACCTGGAGGTGTCGAGTTTCTAAGGGAAAAGTGGGATTGGTGGAATGTGCTGAGAGACAAGTTAGCCAAACGTGCTGCGGTCAACGATCGCAATTGAGGCGCGTACTGGTGATGGATCTACCTGCTGCTGCGATCCCGCCACAAGTCAGGGTCAATTGAAAAGCTGTTGTTCGATCCGAAGTGAGAACGAACAATGCGACGCGGGGGACTGATGCTAGACTGCGACAGGTTTGACGACCTGATCGTAGCCAAACAGTGGTCCTTCGCGTTCAGCAATTCGAGGCTTTCGTTCGAGGATCGAAAGAACAAACGACTCTGGTGGCGGGCACAGTGTAGCAGGTAGATATTCCGATGATATCGACTCTGTCCAAGGACTCATGGTTCGAGCAGATATTATGACTGGAATGTTGGAGTGGAGAGGTGGTAGAAGTTATGTTGCGCAGGCGGTAGTGCTAGGCAACTGATATTGATGTGCAGATAGATGTGTGAATGAACGTGTTGCCTGGGGCGAGACAAAGAACACGATCGTGTGACTGGCGTGAATGGCACTCGGCGTAGTGAGTTGCGATATGCCAGGTGAGGCTGAGAAGAACGGTGTTCAGGCTCTCCCTATTACGACGCCGATTATAGGATCGGATTCGGATGAGAGAGGATTAAGAGTGGTGGCAAGGTGTGAGTATGACTCGTAGAGGAGGTGAAAACGCTGCCATGGTAAGTGGAATTAGCATTTGTCCTCATTGTTTGATGAGTCTGCGCTTCCGTCGCGGCGGAACGCATCTGACGGTGGCGGATGGCTGATCGGATGCTTGGAGGCACTCACCTAGCGGACAAAGGATGTGTGTCGTCGTCTTGCGAATTTAATCGTAGAATTCAGATCACGGGCGGAGGAGATTGGCAGCGTGCGCTGCTTGTGCTTGTCGACTTCATTGCTGCTGTGGTAGAGGCAGAGGAAGAGGGCGGCAGCGCGGTGGTAGTCATAGGCTGCCTGGCTGAGGAGTCCGGGCTGGGCAATTCGCCTCCCGCCATTGCCACGAAAAAACCCACCCAACCTTCTTTGCGGGCCTCTCTCCGAATGACTCAATACCATGGCCACTCACACCCTCAGGCCCAACGCCACACGAAGGCGCCTCTCGTCCACTGACATTCCAGGCAGTGAACCATTCTCTGGCTCTGATGCCTGGAACAGGGCGTGTTGATCCCTACGATCATGTTTCTTCGAGGCGAATACCTGGGTCACGATGTCTAACAGCTAGCACGCCACAATACTAATGGAAGCAATAACATAAGAGAACTTGTGGCTGATATAATTGCTGCAACGATGCTCAACAATAGTAATCATACAGTAAACATTAAAGGTGTCCTGATAGCACTCATACACCGCCGTCGAGGCATCAATCCAGGGACTGGGCCAGCATACCCTCACCACAGCACAGACTCTTGACCTTACTTTGAGCGAAGCATCAGATCGGGGAATCAAAAGCACTTACCAGGCGCCGCATCAGGCATGAGGAATAGTCACAGACACGCGGGTGATGATCCAAAAAAGATGACATGACACACCTCTCGTAAGATGGGATGGGTACGAGGGCCGAGTGCTGAGAGACAAGACAGGCAGCCGAACAAGCAAGCCGACCTCGATGCCGGGTTTCTGTCCCAATCAGGCACCGAGGAGCCAATGCTGCCAGCAAATGAGGCGTCGTACGGCCCCGCAAAGAATATGAATCATCGCGAGCGTGATTCGCCCCTCAAACGCAGTGCTCAGCAGCCCCGTCTTACCGTGTGCAACGCAGGCCACAGGCAGGAAGCTCCCGTTTGTCGCCTTCGCGCCCTGCTCCGGAATCGCAGGGTGGCAGCGAAAATACTGCCAACGTACCCAAGCATCTGGCCAGGGCGCGAGTCAGAAAGGTTGAAAAGACTTTAAGCCAGGCTGCTCTCGACTCTCGGAGTTCATGAGACAAGGAACGCTCCTCGGAGCCTGGATTGCGCGGAGTTGCGATGAATTGCCACCACAGTCCGGGCATCCTCGGGTGCTTGTACGGGTAAAGATTTGTTCTCCGACAGTCATCAAAGTCTCCACAGTGATTGTTTGCTTTTGCCTATTCATGCCTCGAGTAAGCATATACCCACAGGCGTATAGCATTTCCCATCTCAGCAATAAAGAGACTACGCGCAACTTGTGGCTGTGACAGACCAAAGGACCGTTAGGTACGTTATTTCAGCCATGGTTGAAAATCGTCAGAGGCTGTGAACCTTGGCGAGTACACCGCGACCCAAAGGGCCACCCGCAGGCAGCAGCAGGCCGGCGAACCACGCCCAGGCGCCACGCCCGATCGTTGTCCGACCATTTTCGGACTTGTTGGACCTGTCGCGATGCCATCGTGGTTGCTATGTAGCACCGTAGCAGCAAGTAAACGCCATGTACGCCTTATGCATTCGGATGCACAAGCAGCTGTGCATAAATGTGGACGATACTCTGATATGGGTTTGTCATCCGCGTTGCTCTCGCACTTATACAGAGACCGTGAAGCGAGGCAGGCCCAATGATACGCCCTTGCTCATCTCCTGTATCGCCAGATGTCGTCCAGAAGCACCGATCTGTGAGATCAGAGCACGAAGCTTATGGCCCAAGACGCTCGAAGGGCGCTTTGACAGGTAACAATCCGAGTACGGTGGGACCTGGTGGTCGAGCACCATTTGCTGCTTCTGGTAAGGGATCCAGCAGTAGAGCGTTGCTGTCGAAGAGACCAAACACAATGTCTGCCTCCGTGGCGGTCGATCTATGATGAGCAGGCGCGGCCCGAATTCAACCAAGTACGTCCAGATCGTACGTGGTGTGGGTGGATTGAGGCCCGGTAGTTGCAGCATGTCATGCTTCCGCACTGGGAGCCGATACCACCTAGATGATAGTCCAGCACAGTGACTGGTCTGTTCAGTCAGCGTCTTGTTTGTGCGTCGTTTGAGTCAATTCCTGGCTTCGACAAACAACGGCCAACGCCGCCGTAGATTGGCCCACGGTCCTGGAGTATCAGCCCCTGCAACTTGGTGCAACCATCCTGTGACGTGAGATCCTGCAAGTCAGTCGTTCCAATTAGACATTGGTAAGCAAGAAAGGAAAGCTCGGTCGGCGCATTTCACACGAAAACAGCCCGAAAGCACCTGAGCTTGGGATTGAAGAAGGGAGACAGCCGCGCAGCGGAAGTATAGGACAACATTGATATATATTGCTGTCTCTTTTGAAATCCATGACTGTCAAGCCGCCTTTCGCGCTCGCAGAAAGCCACGAAGAAACTATGAATCATCGTCAGCAACGTAGACCACACTAATTGGCGACGTCTCGTAGCACGAAGCTCGAGGAAACGCACAAACAGTATGGCAACAGAACACTAAGCCGCGGCCGCCGCTGCGGCGAGCGGCGTGTCAACAGTCTCGACGGATGCAGACGCGAGCTTGGTCTCGATCTCGTTGAGCTGGCTGTCGGTCCAGAGAGTCTCGACAGGCGCAGCGCCCTGCACTCCCACTCCAACGAAACCTCCTTGGGCTTCCCAGTCGGCTACGCGCTTGATTTCAAGCCGGTTCCAGACACTATCAAGTGCCTCCACAAGCTCAGCACGGAGCTCAGCTGTATGTCCGGGGGTCGGGGTAATCCTCAAACGCTCTTCACCTCTCGGTACGGTAGGGTAATTAATGCTCTGAACATAAATACCATAATCGGTGAGTAGCATATCCGAGGCCATCTTGGCTGTTTCCGCATCGCCTACCAGGAGGGGAACGATGTGGCTCGGATTGGGAATGACTGGAATGCCACGGGCGGTCAGATCGTCCTTCAGGGCGCGAGTGTGCACTTGCTGAAGACGACGATCTCCCTGGTACTCTGACTGATATTCGATAGCGGCCTTAGCACCGGCCATGGTAGCAGGAGGAAGAGATGTGGTGAAGATGAAGCCGGGAGCAAGAGAACGAACAGTGTCGACCATGGCTGCGCTTCCAGCGATATAGCCACCCACACAACCGTAGGCTTTGCCCAGCGTGCCCGTGATGATGTCGATACGATCCATGACTGTACCTTTCTGAGTCTCTCGGGTGCGGTTGGGATCCGCCCAAACGTCGTAATCTAGGTGTTCCGCAACGCCTGCGCCGTTCGGCCCGTACATGCCCACCGCATGCACTTCATCGAGGAAAGTAACCGCCCCATACTTATCCGCCAGATCGCAGATTTCTTCAATAGGGGCCACGGAACCGCACATGGAGTACACGGACTCGAAAGCGATAATCTTTGGTTGTTCAGGTGGGAGCGAACTCAGTTTGTTCTCGAGGTCGACCAGGTCGTTATGCTTAAAGACCATCTTCTTGGCACCCGAGTGGCGGATGCCCTGAATCATGGAAGCATGGTTCATGCTATCGCTGAGAATAACGCAATCCGGCATCTTGGAACCCAGAGTTGCGAGTGTGGCATCGTTCGCTACATAGCAGGAGCTGAAGACGAGGGCGCCATCCTTGCCATGAAGATCAGCCAATTTGCGCTCCAGACCCATGGCATGCTGGTTGTGACCGGAGATGTTGCGAGTGCCTCCGGCTCCGGCGCCATACTTGTCAAGGGTTGCGTGCATGGTCTTCAGTACATGCTTGTTACGGCCCATGCCGAGGTAGTCGTTGGAACACCAGACGGTCACACGCTCTTCTGGAGTTGCCATGTGTGCGCGCGGAAACTCTTGTGCCAGGCGATTGATGTTGTTGAAGTAGCGGTACGACTTGTCTTTGTGCTTCTTGTCCAACTCGTTCTTGTAGAAGCCATCGTAATCGAAGCGCGCAGTGGTCGGAGCCGCCGGCTTTGGGCGAATTTGTGAGTCGGGTGCGTGGACAACGTGCTGCTTCGCAACAGAGGGCGGGACTAGCAACTGTCAGAGAGGCTATAGCTTCAAAGAAAAGAAATACACACCGGCTGGAGCACCACGAATAACATTGGCAGCGACACTGGCTTTCTTCTCAGCCGAGGTATGAAGCTTCTTGTTGAGCAGATTCTTGACCGTTCCTGAGCTGCCGGTGGCGACCTTGCCATAGTTACGAGACGAGATTCTCGCGCTCTGGACAGCCAGAGCTTTGTTCATGACAGGGCATCGTCGAGCAATGTGCTGAAGGTTCGTGATGGTGCCGCCACCAGGCGACTGGCGAGTGGAGGAGGACAGAGAGCGTAGCGTTGCGGGACAGGTCTTCTGCAGAAATGGACACAAGCCCTTTGACTGACGAAGAAGAGCCTCCATGATAGTGGCAATATACAAGATGTCGACAGCGAATCTGCAGAGTGCTTTCGTGGATGAGGACAAAACGGAGGTTCGGTGAGGAACGGAAAATGTTCTATGTGGACTGGATCTGACTCTAAGTTTACGACTTCAGGAACCCCGAAACTCGCTTCTTCGTTAACCAAGCGTTTGATTCGTAGTCTGTCGCTTTCTACAGTCAGCCAGCCGCAATCTCTCTGGCTGACTAGTCCCAGAGCTGCCCATGTTCGCTCAGCACCCTCGATCAGGCCCTGAGACCATTGCTGCAATCGCTGACAGACAGTCGAAAAGACTACATAAGTGTGGGGTCGCTTATTGTGCTCTGGTCTGCTTTCAATGCAAAGCCCCGGATTGGCCAGGCGTCCCAGTACCTTTTGCTCAGTCCTCACCCGGCAGATGCTACCAACGGCAACGAAGTCGTCCGTGTGCTCATGATCCGAAGTCGGCATCGATCATCCGCATCTTGAAGTTCCCGGGAAACCTTGCTCAGTGAGTACCAAAGGACAGGCTGGACATTCCCGCGGCGCCGAGTAAAGAGCCTCAGTCCACCCGGCGGGGTGTTGCCATCTGCCACAAGTCTCCCAATGTCATGACTCTGCTCGAGGATAAGCAGGAAGATGCCTTGTAAGATACAGTCATATCATAACCACCAACGTCGTTCAGAACACCCACTGAGCCTTTTGGTTAAGCAGCCGCTCGCGGGTTGCCCCCGGCGGTATCTGACCATGCCTATTGGCCCTCGACAGCGCTGAAGATCACCCCCCGGAACCAGGGCCCTGCAGCCATGAATGTGGGTCGTTGATCCCTGCAGGCTTCGGTGGCCACGTTCTTCTACCACGTCTGTACTCAACTTCGATCCTTCATTGCGAAGGTCGAAGGTCAGTCCCGATGTCTCAGGCCAGACACCATACTCAATGCCTACATCTATGTTCACCTTCCTAACATGTCGTACCAGATTGAACCGCGTTCCGATGACGAAAAGAATTTCTTCACATGAGCAACACGGCTGATGTCGCGCGCCTGGAGCGGCGCACGGGTCCCTGCATCAGGCATCTACCCGTTAAACGTCCCAGCGTGCGACCTTGAGCGACAAAGCGAACAGAGATCCAAGGCATGCATCTATCCGAGACCTTTCCGCATGAGAAAAAACAGAGAGGAAACTTGCCAAGTCGGCGTGCGACTTGACCTCGACCTCAGTGCACTTTCACGCTGCTCTGACTTCTCGACCGTCACTCTCGCACGCGGTCTCTCAGCAGAAAGAGCTGGGAATTTTGTTTGGCACGTTCAGACTTTTGGCGCTGAGAGCCTCGACAATCGATCACGGCTGTACTCCGAGGGTGCAAGAGGCGGGCGCTGTCTTTAAGCATCTCAAATTGTCGCCGTCCCACCAGGCGGCACGATCGCGAAGATGATCGGATGGCGTCTGAGCTGGTGGCTCCTCTCTTCCCTCGCCGCGACAGCGCGTTCGTTCGATGTCCCGATCCTCGAAGCGTTGTTTTCCCGACAGCCCTTCTCGCACACGACCGCATGGCCGGCAATGACGGCAGATCTCAAGACAACAACTGGCAATGACGACAATTTCACATTTACGTTGAAGCGCCCCTGGTCAGGGAGCTTGTGCCGGCGGCGGACACCGTTACGTGGTCGGCCCTGCCGGTGTAGAAATAGGTCATCCTGGCCTGTTTTCCGCGCTGGTAGGCGCCAACCCGTAGCACTCCGCTTGCTGTGCCGCTGGTGACGAAGAAAGCATTGTAGTTTTCAATCCGAGCCACGTTGGAGATCTGCTGTCATGCTGGAATGACGGATCAGGACAAGAACATGGAGACATCAGGGCTTGAGTATCTCACTGCAAATCTATTCGAAAGACGATCACCGCCGCTTCCTACCGTCCAATGAAACGATATTCATGGAAAATACCTGTAGTCTATGAAGTGTGCGCCTCGTCGTGAAAATCCACCTTTCGAAAAGCGCACTCCTTAGCAGGGCGCTTTCTGGTCAGCGCAACATCGACTCCCCATAGAATTACGAGGATTCCCAAGACTCCGCACCCTTCAGCGTGCAACCCGCCTCGGTTCTTTTGACGAGCGTGCCAATCTTGTACACAGTCTCGCCCTGCTCCTCGAGCACCTTCTTCACCTCCCCAAAAGCCACAGTTGACACGACCAACACCATTCCAATGCCATTGTTGAAAGTCCTGCTCATCTCCTCGTTGCTGACTTTGCCAGCCTCTTGCAGCCAGTCAAACACCTTCGGCCGCTGCCACGTCGTCACGTCGATCTCCGCCGTGAGTGCGTCGGGGAGCATGCGTGGCACGTTCTCCACCAGGCCACCGCCCGTGATGTGAGCCATGCCTTTGATCAGGTCCTTCTTTACCACTTGCAGCAGAGGCACGACGTAGATGCGCGTCGGCGTCAGCAGTGACTCACCCACGCTCTCCTCCAAATTCCACGGGGCAGTGTCCGAGAGTGCGAGGTGCTTCCGCTCCAGTATCCTCCGCACGAGGGAGAAGCCGTTGGAGTGAACACCGTTCGAAGCCAGCCCCAGTAGCACATCGCCCTCCACCATGCTCTGTTTGTCCGGCAGGAGCCTTGTGGTCGACCTGTCGATCGCACCGATAGCCGTGCCAGTAACGTCGTACTCGTTGCCGTTGAGCAGGCCTGGCATCTCGGCCGTCTCGCCGCCAAGTAGCGTACAGTGGGAGATCTGACAGCCCTTGGCGACGCCGCCGACAACGCTGCTTGCGGTAGCCACGTCCAAGATGCTGCAAGTATAGCAGTCGACGAAGGCCAGGGGCTCTGCACCCTGCACGACCAGGTCGTTCACGTTCATGGCCACCAGGTCGATGCCCACGGTGTCGTGCTTGTCCATCGAATGCGCAATCTTCAGCTTCGTGCCCACGCCGTCTGTGGCAATGACGATGCTAGGAGATTTCTCGTGGAAACCCGCGGCAGCCAGGTCGAAGAGGCCACCGAAGCCACCGAGATCAGCATCGGCGCCCGGCCTCCTCGTGGCCTTGACGTCCTTCTTGATTTTCTCGACGAGTGAGTTGCCCGCCTCGATCGACACGCCGGCTGCGGCGTACGTCAACGGCGTGTCGTCGGTCTGTTCGCCGCCCAATTTGAACGCCCGGTGTGCGATGTCTTTCCGGAAATGCATGCCCTCGAACTTGATCTTGTCCATGCCCTCGTAGGCTTTCTTGACCGCTTCCTCGAGCGTGTCTGCAGTGGCTGTTGCGGCAATGACCCGGCCACCTGTGCTGAGCAGCTTCTTATCATCCATACTTGTGCCCGCGTGGAACACAATCGTGTCAGCTCCCACCTCCTTGACTGTGATCGGCCGGTTCTTCGCGTAGCTGTTGGGATAACCCTCTGCACATGCAACTACGGTGGTGGCAAACTGCGGCTTCACCTTCAGTTCCACGCCATCCAGCCAGTGCTCCGTGCAGGCGAGCATCACCTTCGCCAGATCGGTGTCGTCACTCAGCAGGGGGAGCAGTGTCTGCGTCTCGGGGTCTCCACCACGGACATTGTACTCTAGTACCTTGGGTCCAGCTTTTGTGAGCATGATCCCTGTGAACAAGATGCCCACGAACGGTATTCCATCCCTTCGCATCGAGTCAACCGTCGGCTGCACAATCTCGCGGTCAATCTGCGCCAGGAGCTCTTTGCTGGCCACTTTCGTGGGCGCGTAGCAGCCCATACCGCCTGTGTTTGGGCCCTGGTCTCCATCGCCTACCCTCTTATGATCCTGCGCGGGCGGCAGCGATCGGATAGTGTACCCGTCGGTGAACGTGAGCACACTCAGCTCCTCCCCCTCGAGAAACTCCTCAATGACGACCTGGCTGCCAGCAGCGCCGAAGTCCTTTGCGACCATGATTTTCTTCAGGGCATCGTGCGCCTCCTGCTTGCTCGTCGGGATAATCACACCTTTTCCAGCCGCCAGCCCATCCGCCTTGATGACCACATTATGATCAATGCTGTCCAAGTACTGGGCGGCCGGCTCGTACTCGTAGAAATTCCGGAATGCGGCCGTTGGGATCCCATGCCTCTGCATGAAATCCTTGCTGAAGGTCTTGCTGCCCTCCATCAGTGCCGCCGCCTTGCTGGGCCCGAAGCATCTGATCCCCACGGCACGAAAGATGCCCTCGATGCCCGCTACCAATGGAGCCTCCGGACCCACCACCACCAGGTTTAGTCCATGCTTGCGGGCGTGCGCGACCAGCTCCGTGAAATCGTCGACAGCAATCGGAACATTGAGGACTTTGTCACCTGCATCGGTGCCGCCGTTGCCGGGCGCTACGTGCACAACGTCGACAGTGGGTGACTGTGCGAGTTTCCAGGCGAAAGCGTGCTCGCGGCCGCCGGAGCCAACAACGAGGATGCGAAGGCGCTCTGCCATGATGTGTGAGGTTCTGAGGAGGCTCTGGTCAGCAAATGGCATGCGGATGGGGTGCATGGTGCTCAGCATGGATTTGGTGAGCAAGCAAATGATTCTGGTGGGCCAAACGAGCAAATTCTGGAAATGGGGAAACGCTGATGGAAGAGATGGGGATGCCATGGTGTCAATGGCTTGTAAAAGCCGTCACTTTTGGACAAGGTGTAGCGTTGTGTCTGTGCTGCTTGTTCCAGGGTTCGTGCACAGGGATGGTAGCCTCGTGGAATATAGATGGCGGACGGTCGCTTACCTTTGATATTGCGTTCGGAGAACGGTTCAAACCCGCATGGTTTCGCAAGAAGGCACCAAAGCAAACCACGAGGCTCAATACTGTAGAAAGATATCTATGCGTTGCCTGGGCGTGAAGGATCACTGAGCAGGGCGCGACCGCGAAAATCTAGACAAATTTCACGCCAAGGCTGGCTCCGATGTCGACGTCCCGCCGCTTCGCTCCCGCAATTTACCCTTTCTCACCACCACGCCCTCGACCGCTTACAGCTTCTCGAGCTCATTTGCACGTGTAGACAGCCTCCTTAGCATTCAGAAGCTGTCCGTTGTTGTTACGTCCTCTGGCTGCTGCACGTAGCTGCTACTAATACTTCTCACTCCTTTCGTGGTACCCGGCTCTTGGCACTCAGTATACCAGGATACCTTGGCTCCGGCAGGGAGCATCAACAACATGCATCTCATAAGTTTGTGGCCATGGGACACACCAGGGGTTCAGAAGCTGACCATTATGCAGAGGTCCCGTGCTCGTCGGCCAATATAGGTAAGTCACTACCGGCATACGATCTCCTCCACCTTGCCGCCTGACACCTTTGTCACCAGGCCCGGGCTTTGATGTGATCGGCCTCGCCCTAAACATGTACCTGGAGCTCCGCGTCTCTACCAAGCCACATCCCAACGGACCCACCGAACCAGCTCCTCTAAATTGCACCCTAAGCTACACCGGCGTAGATCCCGAGAGCATCGACTTGGACCCCAACAACAATCTCATAACCCGCACCGCCCTGTACCTCCTCCGCTGCCACAACCAACACGGCTTCCCACCAAATACCAGCGTCGCCATCCACAACCCCATCCCCCTCGGCCGAGGCCTTGGCTCCTCCGGCGCGGCAGTCGTTGCGGGCGCCCTACTCGGCAACCTCCTCGGCGGGCTCAACCTACCCAAAGCACGCATTCTGGACTTTGTGTTGATGGTGGAGCGGCACCCGGACAACGTGGCCGCGGCGCTGTACGGCGGCTTTGTGGGCACGTACTTGAACGAGCTGTCGCCCGAAGATCTGGTGCGCATCGAAGTGCCCCTGTCTGAGGTCCTGCCACAGCCCGCTGGCGGTGTGGACACGGGCCTGCGACCGCCCGTCCCACCCGTCGATATTGGCCATTTCCGCCGCTTTCAGTGGAGCGCCAGCCTCAAGGCCGTGGCCATCATTCCCGATTTTGAGGTCAGCACAGCCAAGGCGAGAGGGGTGTTGCCCACGACGTACTCGCGGCAGGACATGGTGAGTCTTTTCCCTCACGCCCCCTTCCCCAGTCCACACTCGAAGATCCAAACAGCAGGACTCTACCAAAAGGACAGCTACCACGGACCTCTCACTAACCAACAACTACACCCATGCTACAGATCTTCAACCTCCAACGCCTCGCCCTCCTGACCACCGTGCTAGGCGACAACACGCCCAACCCAGCACTAATCTACTCGGCGATGCAAGACAAGATCCACCAGCCGTACCGCGCCGGCCTGATCCCCGCGCTGCCCAACATCATCAGCTCCATCACACCCGCCACGCACAAGGGTCTCTGCGGGATATGCCTGTCCGGCGCCGGCCCGACCATCCTGGCGCTGGCGACGGAGAACTTTGAAGCCATTGCACAGGCGGCGATCGCAAAGTTCAAGGAGGAAGGAGGCATTAACTGCGAGTGGATGCTATTGGAGCCTGCGGAGGATGGCTCAACCGTCGTAGAGATACCAGATCAATAGAGCAATAGAGTCACGCGGATCGATAAACTACATTTCTTCTTTGCCACAAGTTCGCGGTCGAGTTAAAGACAGGTGTGGCACTCGAATGCCCTGGGACTCCACGTAATGGTCATGCGAGTCAGATCTGCATCCAATAGCTACGAGCTGGAAGCGTTGTGGTTTAATGGTCGAGGGAAGGGAATGAATGGTACACGAGTAAAGTGTGCTGAATCTATCGGCATTTGTTGGTAAAAACCAGATGTTGGAACCATGATATTTGGAGGTGCAGTTTCTGATTGATACATGCCTGCATAGTGTCGAATTGAAGGGGCGTTCTCTGCAAGGTCGCCATGAACACCCCAGAACTGCAATCCCGGCACGGCCCTGATGTTCGCTTTCCGACAGAAATTCTATGCACCACTTTTCATTTGTCATCAATTCTTCGCATCATTCACCCTGGGGCTCAGAGTCTCGCTGAAAGTAGGTCGGGGATTGCATGTATCGATTGAAAGTAAAGTGCGCTTAGAAGCACTTGCGGTGGACGATGGAGGGGCCAGACTCGTCATACTCTTGCTTCGAGATCCACATTTGCTGGAAGGTCGACAGGGAGGCGAGAATGGAACCACCGATCCAGACGGAGTACTTGCGCTCGGGAGGAGCGATAATCTTGACCTTCATGGACGAAGGAGCAAGAGCAGTGATCTCCTTCTGCATGCGGTCGGAGATACCGGGATACATGGTAGTACCACCAGACTGTCCCTCAGTTAGCAACGCTCAAGGTCTTGTGAAGCTCTGTGGCGACTTACCATGACGATATTTCCGTAGAGATCCTTACGAACGTCAACATCACACTTCATGATCGAGTTGAAGGTGGTCACGTGGATGCCACCAGATTCAAGACCGAGAACAGAAGGCTGGAATAGAGCCTCGGGGGCGCGGAATCGCTCATTGCCAATTGTGATGACCTGACCGTCGGGAAGTTCGTAGGACTTCTCGAGCGACGAGCTCTGGGAAGCGGTCTGGATCTCCTGCTCGAAGTCGAGCGCAACGTAGCACAGCTTCTCCTTGATATCGCGAACAATTTCACGCTCGGCGGTGGTGGAGAAAGTGTAACCACGCTCGGCCAGGATCTTCATGAGATAGTCGGTCAAATCACGACCAGCCATGTCAACACGGGAGATGGCGTGAGGGAGAGCGAAACCTTCGTAGATGGGGACAACGTGGGTGACACCGTCGCCGGAGTCGAGCACGATACCGGTGGTACGACCAGAGGCGTACAGAGACAGGACGGCTTGAATAGAGACGTAGAAGGCTGGGGCGTTGAAGGTCTCGAAGACGATCTGCGTCATCTTCTCTCTGTTGGACTTGGGGTTGATCGGAGCCTCGGTAAGCAGAACAGGGTGCTCCTCGGGAGCGACGCGGAGCTCGTTGTAGAAGGTGTGATGCCAGATCTTCTCCATGTCATCCCAGTTGGTGACGACACCGTGCTCAATAGGGTATCGAAGGGTCAGGATACCACGCTTGGACTGAGCCTCATCACCGACATACGAGTCTTTCTGACCCATACCGATCATGATACCGTGGTGGCGGGGACGACCGACAATGGACGCTGAGCGCGGTAAGTTCGTGCTCATCGATGCAGAATAGCGGGGTACTTACGGAAGACAGCTCGAGGGGCATCGTCACCGGCGAAACCGGCTTTGCACATACCGGAGCTGTAGACATGTATGTTAGCTGTACTCTTTTGACGGTACGTATCGTGGATGCGTCTGGCGAAGGTGGCCTCATTGGAGCTCTCGACCGTCGAAGCGAAGGGGGCGCAATCGGGAGGAGGTGCTAGCAGCGCAGGCGTATGAGCTTACCCATTGTCGATGACGAGGGCGGCAACTTCTTCTACAGAGATGTCAGCTTCAGCTCAAATGATATCGTCGAGGCCCGTGGATGATGCCGACCACAGCCAGGAAGCTGTGCTTACCTTCCATCGTTGCTGGAGGTGATAGATTAACGGGCGATTAGACGAGGACGAAAGCGAGGGGATTGGTGCTGAAATAGGATGGCAGAGGAGCAATCTCAAATCAACCGACGATGACCGGAAGATGGACGAGGATGTATGGAGTCAGGGGAGTGGATGATGTTGGGGGTAAGACAGATTTCAACCGGCGGTGGGCTGGGTGTGAGAAGGCAGGCGCCAAGACAGGCGGCTTCCGCGCTTCGTTGAAGTGGACTACCTTCACCGTCAATGCGCAAGCTTCGTTGCTCACAGCGCTCGGGCACCAGCTCAGGAATGATTGCAGCCTGTCTTAATTGCAGAATTGCCGAAGGCAGCCGAGTTATTTGCAACGATCTCACTCAAATTATTTGTACAAGCCGTTTGAAAACTACGTCTCTTCTCTATCTGATAGACGCTTCTTTCGTAGAGCCTTGGAGTGGCGGCCTAGCCACGCAATGGCTTTCGCAATGCACTCCCAGCATAGGCAGCTGCGTTTCAGCCTTTGCACTGCGCCTTTGCGCTGCGCCGTCCTCTGGAATTGACGGCAATCTAAAGGTCTTGCAGACTCGATCTGCATACTTCCAGGTGTTCCGGTTCAGCTCATAAGGCGATTGCTATTTGTGGTAGCCAATTGCTTTTCGGCGTCCATTGATACGGCTTCCCCAGGCTGCTAACGCCTCTAAAGGTCGGGTGACATAATCCCCTGGCGTCTAGTCGTTCGCATAAGCGGCATGCTTACTCGATGTTGCATTGACTCGCTCTCGAGTTCGCTCTTCAGAGTATCATCCTCCGCTGCGAAGAAAACCATCGGCGAGTTAAATCCGTTTGTGTGCACAGCCACAATGAGGGGCACTCGACTGCAGTGCTCGAGGAAAGCCAAAATGCCAAGCCAAGAGAATGTGCTATGACGCCACACTTTCCCGCCTCATTCTCGCCGACCATTTGGTCATCCATGTATACTCCCAGCCTTGCCCTGCGCTATCAAGCCATCGCTAATACCACCGACACTCATCTGAGGATGCTCAGATTGTAGATGTTGAATCTGTAGACCTGGCCTGTATTCCTGTGCCTCATTGTCAAGCCTGACGGCCCATTCGGGCGACTGCTGGCCAATAGAATGTTAAAGAAGGTTGGAGTAGATCCTAGAAAATACTTCCTTGTTCTCTCAGAGAAACAAAAATCACCAATTCTTTCTCGACTACGATACTCATCCTGTCCCCATATTGAGACACAAACACAGAGGTCTTACGCTCGAAACATATCTCACACCAATTTCTCCCCACAGTGACACCAGCAACATGGCCGGAATGGACCCAGGACTGAACGAACTCCTAAAGTGGAGCGTCGAGAACTCCGAAGCAGGGCGAGATCCCAACAAGCCTGCGACAGAGCCCAAAGGCTTGTCAGCAGATGCCATTCGCTCCCTCATGGGCGGTCCTTCAGACGCCGACCTAATGAAGGAAGCCATGGCCATCATCGTGTCCGAAGAAACGACCGAGGACTCCAAGATGACGGCCTTCGACAACCTCGAGCAACTGATCGAAAACCTCGACAACGCCAACAATCTGGAGCCGCTAGGTCTCTGGACGCCTCTCCTTGGTCAACTCGACAGCCCGGCAGCCGATATGAGGAAGATGGCTGCTTGGTGCATTGGCACGGCCGTACAGAACAATGTCAAGTCCCAGGAGAGACTGTTGGCCATGAATGGCATTCCGAAGCTGTGTAACGTAGCAGTCAAGGACGAGAACCAGCAAGTGCGAAGGAAGGCCGTTTATGCTCTCAGCTCCAGTGTGCGAAATTATCAACCGTCAATGAATGAGGCAGTGAAAAATTTGCCCTCAAGTATGGTCGGCCCTGATCAGGTATCAGCTACCGACATGGACGTTATCGATGCTATCATGGCAAAATTACGAGAACAATGAACGATGAACAATTGCTGCATGAGGTTGGCGTTGGTGGTGGGACTGGATCATATGGGACGCAGACGGAAGGACTAGACACCCAGATTGTTCAATGTCGAACATCTGGGGATGGATTCCGAGCAGTCGCCGGAGTTGGCTTTGGGAAAGTCCCTTCAATATACGGGCAGATCAGGGCACTCGATGCCAACATGAATATAAATGATTTCATGCTTTACCGCTAAAGCACCAACATACCGATGCTCTCCACGTGCCCATTCGCCGTCGCTATGTTGTACAATCATCAAGCTCGATTGCCTTGTAATCCGCCGGTCATATGCTGTTCGCCTTGCACCATTGAGACTTGCTCCGTCCTCCTTCATAGCTGCAGGTTATAAGTATAGTCATCTTCCATGTTCTGACTGACCCAGAGCACCACACTGCTCAACATGACGAGGCCGTTCCCCAGCACGTTTGCAATACCCATCCACAGTGTAGCTGACTCCGCCTCATTGATCAAGTACTTCAGGACCAATACACATACACTTCCAGCCAGCCCGCCTGCCAACAATGCGAATCCCAGGAACAAGACCGTGCGCGCTTTCCATGCCACGCCGTTGCCAGAGTAGGAGAACGAGTCGGCGGAAAGCCGCGACTTCTCAATCGAGTTGATGACCAGCATGCCGAGTGAGGAGCAGATCACGGGGATCCAGTCCACGAAGTTGATGTGGATGTTGGAGCCATTGAGGGTTCTGGAAAAGACGGCAGCGTCGAGGAAGAAGAAGAAGCCGAGGGAGAACTGCATGCTAAGTTAGTCGTGTTCAGCGATTGGGGGTCATAGAGGAACTGCATACAAGTGCTCCGGCAAAGTAGACGCCTGCGGTGCGAGTATTAGCGCTGTTAAGCCATTGAGGCTTCGGGAAACGGAAGAGGCGGTTATGGCTGTCCATGGCTATAGGCAAGGTCATATATGAGGTATCGGGAGCAGGCTGGTTCAGGCGACGTTTACAATGCGACTGGTTTGCAGCTTGTAGACGTCGACGTGAAGAGAGCTTGGAGACGGAAGTGGCTGGTACTACCGCCGAGCGGGCAGGCGCGAGGCTGAGCGCGAGCACCCACGTCATTGGTGCATGAGCCCTTGAACACGATCGAATAGAAGCACCAGTAGATCAGTCGCTGACTTCGTCAACGGAAGCTTACGATATTCTATAGCATGGCAGTCTATCAGATATTGCATGTTACTGGACGCAGACTTGTAGAAAATCAAAACAGATGCTTGCCCATCGTGTAATTGCCATTGAACATCACTGCGTGCTAAAGCTAGTCCGTATCCCAGGAAGAACGCCCAACACATGCATTCTGTAGTCCTACAAGATTACAGCTGAGCGCAGCTATAGCGCGGCTGGGTCTTCTCTGCTGGTTGTCAGCCAGAGACCGAAGGGCGACTTCAGAAGTCTTGCTCTTCTTTAAAGAATTGCGTAAATGATATAATAGTGCCGTAGATGAGAAGGCCTCCAATGATGGACATGACCATGGCGGGGATTTGGATCAATGCTGTATGGGCCAGCAGAATAGGGAGAGCTGGTGAGGGTCAGTGTGACTCTTCGGCAGCACCTGTGCCAACGTACCAATGCCCATTACCACCATAAATCCGGTGCAAAATCTCCCGAAGTCAATCACCGCATTGCCAGCACTCTCCATAAAATCATCGGGGTTGGCGCATCTTCCGCATATCCAGTTCGGCACCGGCGCGAGCACATAGGTCGCAACCACAAGCAGCGTGAGGTAGTTGTGGAAGAGCGCGGCGGATAGGATGACAAGCAGAAAGCCTATGGCCAGGACCTTAAGTTGGCGTTAGCATGAGCATGTTCATGATAGATGAACCAGCTTACAAAGGAGAGCGCAATAATAGTCTTGAGGCCTGCCGCCATTGCGGTGGCCTAGGTGGGCGGAAGTGGGACAGAGGTCGCGTGTCTGCAGGTGTGCCAGCCGTAGAGTATGTGACTCGCAGATGCTATCACGCGATATGACCAGCTATAGCGTAGGGTCTCTGGAAAATGATATGTGAGTGTAGCTAGACCAGAGTAGTGACCGTCGTCGCAGCTTGACTGCACTTGAACTCGTTGCTCCTTCCAATCGGGTGGCTGGTGCTAGGCAAGGCTGTGGAAAAGTGGAGCGTTCTATGCTTCGCGTCTCGTTGCTTGCCTGCGTTCAGACATATCCCGTTCACCTCACTATCAACTCTTCATCCGGTGAATTAGTCTATACCCCCCGCCGCTCCTCCTGAAACGCCGTCGCCATGTTCAGAAACAACTACGACAACGATTCGGTGACATTGTAGGGGCTCCGCTGAAACCTTGTCTGAACAACGATTGACCGTCTTTAGTTCTCCGCAAGGACGGATTTTCCAAGTCGAGTACGCACAGGAGGCCGTCAAGCAGGGCTCAGTAGTGGTCGGCCTGGCTAGCAAGACGCATGTCGTCCTCACAGCGCTAAAGGTGAATAAATCGGATCCAATATCACGCGAGTATCACTAACATTCAGCAGCGAAATGCGGAAGAGCTCTCATCCTATCAGAAGAAGATCGTTGGTGTCGATGACCACCTAGCAGTCGCCCTCGCCGGCCTCGCTTCCGATGCGCGTGTACTCTCCAACTTCATGAAGCAGCAATCGCTATCCTCAAAAATGACGTACGGCCGGCCAGTTCCCGTCGAACGGATCGTCAACATGATCGGTGACCGCGCGCAAACCAACACTCAGCACTACGGCAAGCGACCATACGGTGTGGGGCTGTTGGTGGCAGGCGTGGATGAGCTGGGACCACATCTGTTCGAGTTCTCGCCGTCAGGCATGACGCAAGAGATGCTAGCTTGTGCAATTGGTGCGAGAAGTCAGATGGCGAGAACATATTTGGAGCGGCACCTAGATGAGTTTGCAGATTGCAGTCGAGACGAACTGATCAAGCACGGTCTATTGGCGCTTCAAGAGAGTTTGGCACAGGACAAGGAGTTGACGATCGACAATACAAGCTTAGCAATTATCGGCATCGACGACGGACCGAACGGCAAGAAGAAGCTTCAGAAGTTCAAGCTCTACGATGGTAGGGACATCCACCCATTGCTAGAAGCAAACGTAGAATCGCAAAGCGGACCAGATGCTATGGAGACCGATTCATGAGCTTGTGCCGTGGATCAGACATGAGGCATAGCAATGGGCACGGTGTCAAGGCGTCTGAAGGAAAGGCTTGGGGCAAAGAAGTTTGGACTTGGAAGGACGCCGGCGAGTGTCTCGCGGCGGTCACCAGCCGGTAGCTTCTCAATGGCAGACACGAGGCTATCTGAACAGTTTCGAATTCAACGACCTCTTTTCCTCAGATTGGCCGATCGCTGTCCCTCGAAATTCTGGTGCGAGATCAAAGATTGCTCTAGATTTCTGAATGAATTACCCTGATCCCATTGTCAACAACGATTAGGCTCGCGTTTTCCATGCTAAAATGTGACTTCAAAGCTCTAATGAATTCGAAATGGTGATATAACCTGTGGAAAGTTCTCAATCTCTAGCTACGTCCTGGACCAGTCTAATTTGAACCTCCCTTCCGCGACTTTGTAGTCTCTCAGAGCCTCGACAACATCTTCGGCACGCTTCACCTCGACCAAGATGTCGGCATTACTCTCGCCCACGAAGCCTTCGCGAATGCTGTTCTTGACCCAATCGAGCAGGCCATCCCAGTATCCATCAATGTTGACGAGGATGACGGGTAGCCTATGGATGCCCAGCTGGTTCCAAGTCACCATCTCCATGACCTCCTCCAAGGTTCCGTAACCTCCGGCCAGCGCAACAAAGCCTGAACCTGCTCCGCCTGCCTCGACCGAAGCAGCCATCATTCGCTTGCGGGTGTGCATGTCTGGTACGATTGTGGTTGCCCCGAACTTATTTTCGGGCACGATCTTCTTATCAGGGTCTTCTTGAGATGTGTTGGAAGTGATGCGCTCCAGTTCCTCGCTGGTCATTGATCGCTCGATCTTGGGCTTGGTTTCAGGCTCTGGCTGCGCTTCACCGTTCCGTAGTGTGCCATCTTTCTCTGTGCGAATCAAGGCTCGTGGAATGATGCCATGGACCGACTTTGGGCCTTTGCGCTGTACCAGAGTCTTTGCAACTTCGCCCATGATTCCCATGGTCCCACCGCCATACACAACCTGGTAGTTCGCGTCGGCCAGGGAGTTGGCGAGGGCTCGCGCAGACTCGACATGACTGGGTTTATTGCCGGCGGACGAACCGCAAAAGACGCAGACTACGGGATCTTTGTCTGCCATATTGACTGTCTCTGGTGAGGATTGTGGGGCGAGTGATCGCAGAACTGCGGGGGGAAGTATTTGTAGCGAAGAGAGGGCGGTGTGACAACGGTAGCAAACAACTTATCTTGCCTACGAGCCTGACAAAGGGAAAGGTGCTACCATCCAAAACATAATACGTGAGGGAGTTAGAATACTGGACCGTGAAGTAGTCGTCATAATGTCGGCGAGTACCGAGCCACTGAAGTCACTGTGCTTGGCCGCGTGGCGGGGACGGTGGTCACGAGTGCTGAACGGCGGCTGGAACCTTGATCCGAGCAAGTCGTCGTGGTCAACTGCTTTGGCACACAGAGACAGCATTGAAGCATGGTGAGGATCAAAGGTAGGGACAGTGCGAGGCTCAGAGTCGCGTTTTGCTAGAGGCCTGAGGTGGTCGCGTAATGCCCGAAGCTCTGGAGTACGTACGCCATGCCATCATAGCCGACGGAGGCGAAAGCGATATTTGCCGTGCCCGCGGCAAGATAGCTTAGCACTGGGATGATAATTATTACCGCTCAGCTCAGATCGCAACAGGCTTCCCAGCCTCCCAGTCCCGGAGCGGGATGACACAAGGCCTAGGCCTAGCCTGCACCTCGCCGGTGCAGGTACGAGTCCAAGTATGCTTTCTGCCGTACACAGCTTTCCCTGGAACGTTGTCCCAAATCAGCCGCGTGACTGGGTGCTGTTTGTGAGCTGGAACCACACACCACCAGCTCCGAGACCGTGGCACGAGCTATATCCAGTCGTACAAACATGCACCTACCTACGATGAACCGCCGAGAGATCTCATCAGTACCTTGGAAGCTCAGCCTGACTGGGACATACAGTAGATTGTCTTACTGCCACTGGGGCCGAGAAGCTTGCTATCTCTGCATACGGTTAACGCATATGCATGTATCTGACTCTTTCTACGCTGGCCAAGCGAGTGAAGCGAACCTTGCTGCGGCACACGAGGCCTGTTTGCGGCTGACCAACAGTCCCTCGCCGCCCTCCCACACCTTGCAACGCTCGTTCAGGATGCATTGACTTCCCGCAGGCTTCCCCTCTATACCGGTCTCAGTAGGTCCACTCACTTTGGGCGTGGGTCGTATCAGTGCAGTTGATGCTACGACATTGGCTACATGCGACCTCTACATGGTAGGTCTCTCGGCTCTCGTTCTGCTACCATCAGCTGAAATACCCCGCCGTCCCTACTTTCTTACACAGTAAGGCTGGCTTCGCCATGCATTCTGTTCGTCGTCGCTGAGCTCCTGGGCTCGCGAGCGATTGAGCTCATATCGCGGAATTGCTGTTGATACTGTAGGAACTCGCCATTTGGCTCTTTCGCAATGTCAGACAGCACTACCACCACACCGTCGACCTCCACCGACTCGACGACCAGCTCAACAACCACAACCACCACGACGAGCTCGTTACCGCCTCCTACAAGCTCAACAACCTCATCGCCTCTACCACCCCCAACCACCACCACCACCACCACTACCAGCAGCAGTCCCCCACCTTCTACCACAACGACTAGTTCGTCACCGCCTCCGCCTCCATCTTCAACTACACCACCCCCAGCGACCACTCCGTCACCCACTACCCAAAGCTGTAAGTCAAACCTTCCTTTCTTGCCTGCTATGTGCGTCCAAACGCGCCTTAAATCGCCTTGCATGCTGTCGGCTCGGTAACGACTACTTGAGGATAACAAAACCAGCATCGTCGTCTCCTCCAACACCGTCCTCGTCGAGCACGTCGTCTTCTGACAGCAGCACCGAAACCACGACTGAGATTTCTTCCATAGCAACATCCAATACCTCCTCCTCTTCGAGTACACCTCGTTCTGAGCCATCTACAACAGCAACTGAGACCTCCTCAATAGCAATCTCGCCATCTTCAAGCATGTCACGTACTCCAACGTCCAGTGACTGTGAGTGCTCCGTGACATGTACCTCGCTCTTCTATTTCTCTTACTTCAACGGCCGACTCTACCGAAAGTGGACGATCACTAACAAGTCACAAGCTTCCGAATCCTCTAGTAGTGAGACCTCGACGTTTACACCCGAGACACTCATCACCACCAGGACATCCGTCATATTCTCAGCTACAAGCTCGGAATCAATCTCGGTGGCCCCCGTCACAAGTGACGGGACTACGGGCTTCACAACAATTACGACTGTTGTCGTGGCATCTTCGGCTGTCGGCACACTCACAGAGGCTTCGTCATATACAACAACGCCAACTGCGCTCGCGGGCAGCGACAATGCGGGCGGGTCCAGCGGATTGTCCTCGGGGGCGAAAACCGGCATCGGCGTAGGCGTTGGCCTTGCTGTGGTTATTGCCGCAGCATTCGGGTTCTGGTTCAGTTGGTACCAACGCAAGAAGCGCAAGCGGAACTCCTTGGCGGAATCGGATCATTACCCGCCCAGCTCTCTCCCAGCTATGACCTATGGTTCAGGAGGACGCGACTATGGAGCCGGAAGTGCTCTTGCTGGGGGCGTGGGGTATACTGAGAGGTCCGAGACGCGATCTGAGCTGCCGTCCCCTCCGCTCGGCAGCCCTGACCCTCTTCTAGGTGGGCTGGGCGGCAGAGCCCCAGACAGACTAGCACCAGCTGCCGCAGGTCCCATATCATGGGGATCCAACTCGAATCAAGGGCCTCACTCTAACCAATCAGTTTCAGATTACAGTGATTATAATGGACAGCAAGCAGCAGCAGCGGCAGTGGGGGCCGGGGCTGGAGCTGGAGCTGCTGCTGGCTACTATCCAGGATCAGGGCAAGATGCACATGAGCTGCCCGAGAACCAGCAAGCTCACGCCTACGGTGGGGCTCGCACCTTGTCTAACGGCTCTCAGAACCTGCATCAGCGCAACGTCTCTGGTTCATCACAGCAAGGGCAGTACGGGGGCACAGTCAGTCCTCAGACGGCTCATTCGAGAACCATGTCCGACTCTTCGTCGCATGCACATCCCTACCATATGTCGATGGGCTCTGACAATCCGTATGCAGCTGAACTGCACAGTACACCGGCCACGTCCAACCAGGGCGCAGAGCTCGAGGCCAATTTGCAGCAACGGATGGATTTCGAAAGGAAGCCAGTGCGGCAGGGCCACTTTTTGACTAAGAGCAAAGGGGACATAGACCCGTCTCAGAACTTCTAATGGCAGCGTTGGAGAGCTGGTATGTGCATGCGGGCACGAGTTGAGGATATCCACATACCGAAAGCCTCTAACGAGGCAGTAATAAAAGCCATGGAACCGCTGTCCCTCTTGCTCACGTGGCTTCGGCCGGGTGAGCCACTTTGGTGCTTGCGCTGACACTCGCTGCCTAATGAGATCACTGGGATTAGTCCAGTGAAATGCCGGATCGCCCGGACGAACTAGCAGGGAAACGTTCGTAGCAATGGGACATCGGCACAGAGGACCGAGAAGCGCGCACGACCTGTTCAGATTGCAGTCCAGAGCTTCATTCGAAGCTGTCCTGAATAGTAAAAGCTGTCCTGTCTAACAATGGCAAAGGTGCCAGTCCATGAGGCTGAAGCGGACACACCACCAAGGCGTGAGTGAGCATCTGCGGGTCGAGATGTCCTGGGCCGGTGCCACCCGGGGATAAAACTCTCTAGGCGTCCGCCAACCCGAGCACATCGTATCTGACCGCCCGACTTTAGCAAGCTTCCGAGTCGGCGGATACGACGTAAACGAGGGAGAACGAGCTGTGAAACCGCAGTGCACGGCCTCCAACGAGAGCCTCTTTCGCGAGCTGAGCTTGACTTGTCTCGCCCGGGCAAAGTAAGTCGCCGGGCATGTCTTTTAGGAGCCCTTGTCGCTTTCGCTTTCTGCTTGAGTCACAGCAACGTCTTGTAGGGCTCAAGTCATACTAGATACATGGGCTGTATATTATATCAAGCGTTCCTGGAATGAGTCCAGGATACTTTGGTGGAGTTGCAGTATACTGCATGCTCGAGGTGTAGGTGGGGATACCTCCGTACAGAGTCCGTTAAAGACCGACAGGAGTGTCCGGCTCCGGGTGGGCTGTTTGCGCTTCAGAGGCTTGACCCAGTGCAAAACTGCTGGGCGTACTCCGTTCTTCGTGATAGGCCTGAAGGGGGGGAAAGGACGACGCCCGTCATTCTGCCCAGAATTACTGATGCCTGGCGGAGACTACAGTCAAGTAGAAGACTGCTCCAGTTCCCCATTGCGTCCACCATTGATTTCCAATCAGGGACGTATGATACTTTTCTTGAATCACATCTGCTTCACGGCCGCATCCTTCACCTCATTGGGGATGCTTGTCTAGTTCCCTGCCCCTCCTTTGCCTCGCCGGCCAAGTTTCGCAATGCCCAAACCGATTCACATCTGAAACGTCGTTTATCACAAATTCCATATTCCAGCGCAGCACACTCCTCAGGCCCGGCCGTGCTCAGGGCTATCTCTGTGCTGGTTGCTTCCACTGCGCCCCGAACCGCGACCCTGTTTGTCCCTCCTCCCTCCAACCCAGCGTGCTCAAATATGGATCCACGAACCAACATGGACGGCTTGGGATACGACATGAACTCTTTCACAGCTCAGCAGCCGCCGCAAATATTTGGCGCTTATGATCACAATGGCTCCCCCATGGGCCCGATGGCCTACCAAGGGGCATACTTCGGCGATGGAATGGACGGACTGGATGACTCAGATCCAAAGCGGAGGCGTATAGCAAGAGTGTGTATCGTCCTACTTTGCGCACATTGCACAAGACTAACATACATTCGTGCAGGCTTGCGATATGTATGCGGTGACACAGCAACACGTGCGCAGAGACTGATCGGGTGCTACAGGTGCCGGAAAAAGAAGATCAAGTGTGACGGAAAGCTTCCCAAATGCTCGCACTGCACAAACTACAAGACCGAGTGTGTGTTCACCCAGGTCGAGAAGAAAAGGAATCCGCCGAAAGGGTAGGTCGAACGTCGTCGTATTGCGAAGACGAGGGAACGCTCACACTTTTGCAGCGCGAAATACATCGAAGGGCTCGAGAACCGCCTCGGCCGCATGGAATCGTTATTGAAAATGTCCGGCCTATTGACGGAGGAGGAAGCTGGTCGCACTGACCTTGGGACCTTGGAAAAGCGTTTAGCTGACAAGGCGTCCTCGTCCGCCGCCAGAACCGAGTCACCGAAGCCTACCAGAAGCGGAGGCAGCTCGACATTGAATGCCACAGACTCTCAGCAGCACACGCCGAGCCAGGATGTCCAATCCAGCCCGCAGGAGTCGGCAACATCACCGACAACTGACGGTAACGACGATAAGAAAAGAGAGGAGGTCGAGAACCTGTCTGATATGATGTGCTCCCTGGTTACCAATAATGTTGGAGAGACGCGGTATATTGGTGAGGTGCCTGCCTGACGTTGTCTTAAGAGTTGACTAACGTGACCAGGGTCGTCCTCGGCCTTCTCTATCTTCTCTAGTAAAGGTATCGAATGGGTCAACCAGAAGACAGGCGACGCTTCGTTTCAAGACACCATCCAGAATGCCGTCAACGAAGAAGAGAACAAGTGGATGTATTGGAAACCTGAGATCTTCGGCGATATCTTTGTACGCCGCGTCTTTAAGCCTCTGCCGCCCAAAGAGGAAGCACTTTCTTTGTTCAAGGACTTCTTCGAGAACTTCAATTGCATGTTCCCGCTCTACCACGAACCGACATTCATGCATCTCGTCGACAAGCAGTATTCCCGAGATCCGTACGAAGGCAGCGGTTGGTGGGCCAGCATCAACGTTGCGCTCGCTATCGCCTATCGAATCCGCGTCATGAGCAATGTCGTTCCACAAGAAGACGATCAGAAAGCATGGCTATATCTCAAGAACGCCATGGGAGTACTCACCGAGCTGACCCTCAGAAATACGGACCTCCTTAGCGTTCAGGCTTTGCTGGGAATGGCGCTCTTCCTCGGCGGCACGCCCAATCCTCAACCCTCGTTCTTCCTCATCTCGGCCGCCATTCGCCAGTCCCATAGTATTGGTCTTCACAAGCGAGGGTCAGCATTCAACCTCAACCCCATCGAAGCTGAACAGAGGAAAAGGGTGTTCTGGATTGCGTATATGCTGGACAAAGATACCTGTCTACGATCCGGCCGCCCACCAGCACAAGACGACGACGACATGAACGTCGAATTGCCCTCCAATGACCCTCCTGACAACATTGGCAATATCCCTCTCGAGGGCGGGGGCAAAGTCAATCTCTTCCGCCTCATGTGCGAGTTTGCGATCATCAGCAGCAAGGTCTACCGCCGCCTCTACTCAGTGCAAGCATCGAGACAAACCGATGGCGAACTGCTTAACACTATTGGTGAGATCGACAAGGAGCTCGAGGCCTGGAAGGACAGCATTCCTCTCGACTTCAGACCTGAGCACGAGATCAAGACGTCTCATACTCCGCTTATTCTTCATATTGTGGTGCTACATTTCTCGTATTACAACTGTCTCACAACCATACATCGGATGTCGGTGCATCACGGATACTGGACAAGTCGACTATCGGAGTACGCCATTCAAGGTCTGAATGCTCGACCACTGAATCCCCGAGTCTTCTCGTCAGCAGCTCTTTGCGTTGCTGCCGCCCGAGCCTCGATACATCTCATCAAATACATTCCTCAAGGCGACTTTGCTTGCGTGTGGCTCATCATCTACTTCCCGGTATCGGCGCTCGTCACGATTTTCGCAAATATCTTGCAAAATCCACAGGATGCCCGCGCCCGGGCTGACATCAAATTGATGGACCTGGTCGTGAACTTCCTGACCAACGTTGTGGCCGACGAGGGCAGCGGCTCGCTGAAGCGCATGCTCAGCATATGTGCCGAATTTGCTCGCATTGCGCGCATTGTCATTGAGAAGGCGGAGAAGGACGGCTCGCGCAGAAAGAGGAAGGTCAATGCAGATGATCTTCAGCGGTCAGGCCAGAGTGCCATGGCTCAAGCTCAGGCCCAGATCAACGGACGAGCACGGCCAAACACGCCAAACAAGCAGCAAGGGACTACAGGATCTCGCTCCGGAAGCATTTCCGGCCAAGCTAACGGACAGAGTGGATCGCCCTTTAACAACCAACAAGCTGCTGCGCAGGACCAGAATGCGTTCGACGCCGGACGGACGTTCTTCGGCACCCCAGACTTCAACTCGGAATATCAGGACGTTCTGCAGCCGAACAACCTCAGCCCCAACGTCGATGGATCCCAGCAGCTGCCGAGTTCGACCATGTCACCACTGGGCATGGGTGGCGCCTTCCAACAACCTTTCCTGCCGCAGGATCTTTGGCAGATGCCAATGACCTTTGAATGGGACTGGGCGGATTTCTCAAATACGCCGTACCACGATTTCCTGCCACCTGACGGCATGAGCAACCCGACACAATAACGGTAATGACGAGCACGGCTTTATTCATGATACCCCAGTGACGAGGTCGAAGAGGCCCGCATCACAACTACTAAGTTTCTCAGCTATGGATAGCTACCCCAGCATCGAGCAACACATAGGTGTACAATTACGGCGAGCAGCGGTGGTGTTTGCTTTGGTGAAGAGCACAGATAGCGTGACTCTCTGTCTTCTGTACAGTCAGTGGCTTTGTTCAATGGAGACTCACCTCATCTCGTTCCATCGATCTGTGCTGACTTTTTCCCTTCAACGCCCTGATCCCGCCAGCTGTATCTATCTCGTCTCTCGCTCGAGAGCGATATCGCACGGCATCATGACATAATGGCCTAGGTTGTGCCATAAAGCCGCGGTACTTCCGAGGAAGACTTGGTGTCCCGACAGCAACTGACTAGAAGGCGAGTATCATCCTGGTGCCCTCCCTTGCGCCACAACGTCCAGCAGCAGAGGCCTATTGCTAAAGAGCTCATGGCTCTGTGCAGGGATATGGACGTTGTTTCATTCGTCGTCGGATATGCTTGGCCGTGCAAAGGAGAGCTTGTTCATGACAGACATAGAAATACTGCAGAACCCAAAGCTGGCCCCGTTAGACAACCTCTCAGGAGAATCTGCTGTCTTTCGGCTAGCTCTACGGACACCTTCGGCAGATTCAAGGTTGGTATTTCTGGTTGGAGGATTCGGAATAACCAAAGGTCCTAGCTAGGACTACGATACTGGCGTCGAGCATCTTTCAGTACAACTTTGGGCGCAGGTTCTGGCACTCTCGCCGGCAGTCTCGTCCTGTCAAAGGCTTCCACTTTCTCTTCGATGATAATGACGAGTGAAGTTTGACAAAACAGCATTCGGGACCGCATCAAACAAAGCCAATGTATTGACCCACCCTTGTAAGTGGATGAAGGCGCTCTTGTTTCCTCTCATCTTCCCCTGCCTCCACTTCTGCCTTTTCTACCGTCCAGCTCACCAGCAAGCTGTTGTCACTGCTGCCCGTTCATCGTGGTGACGATGCCTTGTATGAGATTATTTTGTTGACCTTCGCCCCCCCGCACCTCTGATTCATTGCATCCCTCACCGACGCTCTGCAATCGCTATTGCTCTACAAGCACATGACTTCCATTCCAAAGCCTTCGTTCCCATCCCAAAACCACGCACCACACAACAGCCAAAATGCCGTTCGCTCATACCCCGCGGCCAGCTCCGGGTCCTGCACAGAGACCGCAAATACAGCCTTCAATTTAACAGTATTGCTGGAGCTTCTCAGTCCGTCGGACACCAGCCCAACCCCTCGAACTCACGCAACCCTCCAATGGGGCCGTCATTGGGGCGTCCGCTTGGTCCGAGAGGTCAGCAGAGAGCCCCACTCGGTGGTCGCGGTTAGAGTGTACGAGGCCGACCATATGGCTCTGGGTATGGTAATAGAGGCCGTGGCTAGCAACGTGGCCAAAAGCTAATGGCAAGAGGATAGTGTGGTGAGGCCAGCTGGTGAAGGCCGTCGTGAATAGTTGAGGCCTGGTGTTTCTATATGGTGCAAACAAAAGTCCACTGAAGGTCCTGGAGGATGGGGGATATTACTTTGGATTGTGGGGGGAAAAGGGTGTTGGAGAGAGAGAGAGGTGTGGGTTGATATTGAGGACCCCTCATCGCTAGGAAGTCATCTACATCAGCGCAGTGGTCACAAAGTGGCTTATTGCAGGAAGCAGCATTCGGTCAGACCGAGACGGAATTAAAAGCAAAGCTGTGAAGATGAGATCATGGGTTGTCGAATCCTCTACAGGTTGGATGGTATGGCCCATCTTAAGTCCCCTGAGCCCTTTGCAGGAGCTAAGGGTTGAACATTCGAGTATTGAAATCATTGAATTCACTCCTACCCATTCCTGAGAAGAAGGCAATATTGGAATGTATTTCTAGAATAATCACGCGCCGCTGCTACACAGGACCACGATCGATCTTGTCCACACCCTCGGCAAACTTCTCGCACGTGGTGCAGAACCCCCACGTCTTTGCGCAGTTGAACTCGATACTCTCCTGGCTGCTGGGGGGACTCGTCGTCGCCGCCCCGTCGGACAGCAGGATGCAGTCGTAGCCCCGGGAGAAGGCGTCTTGCAGGCTGCCGCCGACGCATTGCTGCGTGTGTGCCGTCAACTGTCAGTTCCAATTGGGCAGAAAAGTACAAGTTAGGGAAAAGCAGGGTGGGGGAAGAAAGGAGAAAGGAGATGGGAGGGGGGGCTTTTACATCAGTATTAACCCCCGCAAACACCAACGTCGTAATGCCCTGCTCCTCAACAAAGTCGGTCGCGTCGGTGCTCTGGCCCCACAGCCCGCTCATGCGGTTCTTGTGCAGCCACACGTCCGGCACCGCCTTCTGCGTCTTGCCCGCCTCCCATTCCGCCATCAGTTCCGGGGTCATGGCCGCATTCCACGTGTCGCGGAACAGCAGCCGGCCAGCTTCGACGGTGGTGCCGTCCGCGGTGGTGACGGGGCCGATCTCGCTGCCGAGGCCTTTGTAGATGCGGGCGTTCTTGCCGCCGGATTCGAGCTGGCGCGAGATTTGGGGCGCGAGCTCGTTGACGCCGTGGCTGTCGATGGCGGGTTGGCGCGAGGGGCTGCTGGGGTCGAGGATGGCGGCGGGGAAGTCGGTGGCGGGGACGGTTTCTGGGTTGCGTCGCGCGTGAGAGATGGGAAATGGGATGTGTGTGGTTTGGGAAAGTGGATGGGAAACACAGGGTGTTTAGTACTCACTATCAGGTTGCAGAGTCAGTCTAGGTCTCGTATTGGAGGAGATGAGAGTCCTCTTTAAGACAGGTCACTTACCCAAAGCCAAAGGCACGAAAGGTTGCCGGGGGCATCTTGCTCAGATCAGCGTCCGTGAGCCCCCAGTTGAGCCAGATGATGCGGATGCCTGCGCGGCGGGCGGCGGGAATGGCGTGCTTGAGGAGTTGATCTTGTGCCTTGAGGCCCTTGCCATCAGCAGGGCGGCCCAGAGAGGGGGAGATGAAGAAGTTCTGCATGTCGATGATCACGAGTGCGGTCTTCGCAGGACTGATGGTGATGGGCAGCGATGTGGTGGGGAGAGTGACACGCGGGTAGAGGGGTTTGGAGTCTGGCGTGGCGGGGTGCGTGAGGTCGAAACCGGTCTCGGAATCGTAGAGCCAGAATGAAGTCGTGGGCCCGGCGCCGACCAGGCCCTTGCGGTGAGATGTGTCTGTGGTGTTCATCGCGTTGATGGCAGGGGGATAGTCAGGTGTAGGCAGGGCTAAAAAGAGGCGAGGCTGAGGGGTTCAGGGGCGTAGCGCGTGCCTAAAATTGACTGTCCGCTGAACCACAGGTCAGTCAGTGGCAGCTCTGAATTGGTATGAAGGTCAGACCGACCCGAAAGACCCTTCTTACGTATATCATCACTTCCACAACATTGCAACAGCAGCGTTCATCTCCTTCTCGTCGCCTGCCCTCGCCAGTATCTACCCCGCATTTGCTGATAAGGGTCAAATCAGGACGGAGGGCAGCGGGACAACGGTTGAAAGGGCATTTAGATTACAGGCCTTCGTTGTAGAGTTCTGGACTAGGCTAGTTCTCTGCCCTTTACGGTGCACATCAAAGCGACAGATGCCCCATCTTAGGTACCTGGTACCTGGTACCTGCAGATGCTGATGCTGATGTGCAGTGAGCTACAGGCTTCGGCACGGGAAGAACATGGGGCCGGAGCTTCACCGCACCGCAGCGGGCGACCCCACAATGCCTTTGTCCATTATTTGGCCTGGACTCGAACATGTTCTCTTGATGCCACGTTAGCACACTCTCTCACACCACAATACCAGATTCCTGTGCGTTCTTCATGAGCATTTCTATCAAAAGCATCTCTTTGTGAAGCATCCTCAGCGGGTCTATCGGCATCATGGCGCAACCTCTTACTGGAACTGTCAAAAGTGTTCTTTCTGGCGACACCCTCATTCTCTCCAACCCCAAAGGCACCCTCGAGCGAACTCTGAGCCTTGCCTACATCTCTGCTCCCAGATTGAGGCGTGAAGGGGACGAGGTAAGCACAGCATCAAGGCATCAACATCCAGGCACTGACTGCCCTAGCCCTTTGCATTCCAGTCACGCGAGTTCATCCGCCAGCTACTTCTCGGCAAACCCGCTCAGTTCACGGTCCTCTATACAGTCCCAACCAACAGTCGAGATTACGGCAAGGTTCAACTAGCGGACGACGTCGAATTGCCTGACAAGATTGTCGCCGAGGGCTGGGCCAAAGTGCGTGAAGATGCGGGCAAGAAGGAAGACAATGAACAGACTCTTGAATACATTGACCGTCTGAGATCGCTCGAGTCGCAAGCAAAGGCTGAGGGCAAGGGTCTCTGGGGCAAGGGCGGCCAGATCGAGGTTTCTTCCGAAGTGTCCGACCCGAATGCCTTGGTCCAGCAATACAAAGGCCAGAAGGTTGAAGCCGTCGTCGAGCGTGTCCTGACTGGCGACCGACTCATTGCACGTCTTTTACTCACACCGACCAAACACATTCAGACCATGCTGGTTCTCGCCGGTGTCCGGACCCCTTCTACCAAGAGGACTTCTCCCGAAGGTCGTGATGTCCCGGCGGAGCCATTCGGCACCGAAGCCCACGATTTTGTACAGACGAGAATACACCAGCGCAAGGTGTCGATCGACCTACTTGGTGTCACACCCCAGAATCAGCTCATCGCCCATGTCCTACACCCACGGGGCAACATCGCCATCTTCTTGCTCGAAGCGGGTCTGGCGAGATGCAATGATCAACATGTCACGCTGCTGGGCAACGACATGGCTCGCTTCCGGAAGACGGAGACTGCTGCGAAGAATGCGAGGAAAGGTGTCTTCACTGGCACGTCGGCTGCTAAGGCTGCTGGTCCTCAAGATGCCGACTTCACCGTTGCGAGAGTGCTCAATGCCGAGACGGTCTTCCTGCGAACCCGGTCCGGCGAGGAGCGAAAGGTGACCTTGTCCAGCATCCGTCAGCCCAAGGCCTCCGATCCGCAACAAGCTCCTTTTGGCGCCGATGCTAAGGAGTTCTTGCGCAAGAAACTGATCGGCAAGCATGTCAAGGTATCGATTGACGGTAAGAAACCAGCCTCTGATGGGTACGAGGAGCGTGAAGTGGCTACGGTCTTGGCCAACGGCAAGAATGTCGCTTTGCAGCTAGTCGAATCTGGTTATGCTTCGGTCATCAGACACCGACGCGACGATACCGATAGATCACCCGAATACGATTCCTTCCTGCTCGCCGAAGAGGTGGCCAAAGAGGAGAAGAGAGGCATGTACTCGGACAAGGCGCCAGCTGCCAAGCAATACCAGGACTACTCGGAGTCTCTGGCCAAGGCCAAAATGATGGCCAGTGTGATGCAGCGACAAAAGAAGGTTCCGGCCGTCGTCGACTTTGTCCGGGCTGGATCCCGATTTGTGGTTCTCGTGCCGCGCGAGAACGCTAAGCTCACATTCGTTCTCTCGGGTATTCGAACTCCTAAACCTGCCAGACCGTCGGGTGAGGCTGCGGAGCGGTTCGGGCAAGAAGCGCTTGAATTCGCCAGCCGGAGATGTATGCAGCGTGATGTTGAGATTGATGTTGAGAACACCGACAAGCAAGGTGGATTCATCGGTTCGCTGTACGTTGGTCGAGAGAATTTCGCACGAGCTCTGGTTGAAGAGGGTCTTGCGGAGGTGCACGCCTACTCGGCTGAGCTGTCGGGTAATGGCAATGAGCTCTTTGCTGCCGAACAGAGGGCGAAAGAAGGTCGGAAGGGCCTGTGGAAGGACTGGGACCCCAGCCAAGAGCAGGAGGAAGAAGCTACTCCGGCAGCCAATGGTTCGGGCATCAACGGAAACAGTGCTGAGCCTGTAGCGAGAAGAAAGGACTACCGCGATGTTGTCATCACCCACATTGACGAGACAGGCAAGCTCAAGATCCAGCAGATCGGTCAGGGGACGGTGTCATTAACGGCGCTTATGAACGCGTTCAAGCAATTCCACCTGAGCCCTTCCAACAACAAATCGCTTGATGGCCCTCCCATTGCGGGGCAGATCGTGGCCGCCAAGTTCACGGTTGACAACGAATGGTACCGCGCGAAGGTGAGACGGATTGATAGAGAGGGGAAGAAGGCGGATGTTACCTACCTCGACTATGGCAACTCGGAGAGCGTTCCGTGGTCACGACTACGGCCGCTTGAGCAGCCTCAGTTCTCGCTGAACAAGCTCAGAGCGCAGGCCAGTGATGCGGTACTGTCGTTCGTTCAGCTACCTCCCAACCCAGAGTACCTGCGAGATGCCATCGCCTATCTGTCGGAGCAGACGGACGGACGGGAGCTGGTCGCAAACGTCGACTCTGAGGGCGGCAAGGATGAGCCTCTGTCCATCACGCTCTTCGATCCTAAGATCTCGACCAAGCCCGAAGAGAGTGTCAACGCAGAGGTGATCCGGGAGGGCCTGGGAATGGTGCCAACCAAGCTGAAGGCATGGGAGAGGCAGTCGGCAGACGTGCTGGGCAACCTTAAGCAACTACAGGACGAGGCTAAGCAGGAGCACCGAGGTATGTGGGAGTACGGCGACATTTCTGAAGATTGAAATCGAAGACCGAGATCATGTCAGGCTCGCAACGCGAACTCGGTCGAAATAGTTGCCGATTCCGGACGACTCGTAGGGCGGAATCTTAGCCTTCTTGATGCCTAAAACTTGCCCTGAAATAGGGACGAGTATGCTGCCTTGCATCGGAGGGTTTTCTAGAGTGAGCGACTGGCTGCCCTTGTGCACACGAGGCAATCATCTCTAGTCAGCTTACTCCATACTGGCCCAAGGGTCGTGCTGGCTATGGGCCATGCGCCCGCAAGAATCCCAAAATAACGAAATGTAATATACGCGGGAAACTTTTCGCTTCCGCCGGGAGCCGGTACGGGCTAAGATCGCATTTCCGCACCGTGTCGGTCGACTTTTGATGCGTGCTCGCTCAGCCGGGCTTTAATAATGACGTTCACGGGTCAGCATTGTGCAATTAGCGGCGCTCCTGCAGTAGTAGACCCTGAGGGACTCGCCCTACCCGTACCGCCGTGCAGTCCTAGTCCTGCTGTGTTCCGTCACACCGTTCGTTACTGTCGCACGCCTGACCATTTATTCCCCCTCCTCTTATCATCCAGGTGCTGGACGTTGGCCTACCGTGCTTGTCCAGCTCTGACTCGCAGCGAAGCATCGATCTTGCAGGCTTTGTGGCCCGGCTTCGCGCAGCGTCTCCACTGCACGCGATCCCCACCTCCAACTCGCTCGATCGAGGCACACCAACATGGCCACCCTCTACAGGACACTGACCGGCCAGTCGCAGCACTCGCAGCACTCGGAGAACTCACATGTCTCCAAGCCCGGTGCCAACCTGAGCAAGACCACGACCACCGATCCCTACTCCGGCGTCCTCAACCACCTCACCGAGGCTCAGTTGGAGAAGCTCGTCGAGTTCAAAGAGAAACTAGAAGCAGATGGCTGGTGGACGGCGGCTGGCATAAATGGGAAGCCGAGTCATGATGACGGTACACTACTGTGAGTGCTCGACGTCTGCGCATCAGAGCTGTTGACTGACCTCTGGTAGACGTTATCTCCGAGCCCGGAAGTTCGACGTCAATGGCGCATACGGTCAATTCACCGATACCGAAAAGTGGTTGAAGGAGCAGCGCGTAGATGAGCTATACGAGAACTTCGATGTTGAGCACTATGAACAGGCCAGGCGCATGGTGAATCCTCCCTCCACCGCATTCGGCGCAGCCCTAGTCTAACTGCTTCCCAGTATCCCCAATGGACCGGCCACCGCGACAAGCGAGGCATTCCCATTTACCTCTTTGTCATAAAGCATCTCGACAGCAAGGCCGTCAGCAAGTACCAGAAAGCCTCCCAGGCCTACAAGAACAGTCTACCGAACCACAAGAAACTAGATACGCCGGCCAAACTCCTACCGCTGTTTGCTCTGTACCACAATCTACTCAACTTTGTCCTACCATTTGTCTCCAGCTTGGAACGTCCCAATCCTGAAATCCCCGTCACGAACTCTACGAACATTGTCGACATTACTGGCGTTGGTCTGACTCAATTTTGGAATCTCAAGAATCATATGCAAGATGCTAGCGTTTTGGCTACGGCGCATTACCCCGAAACCCTGGACCGCATTTTTGTAAGCAGTCCAGTCGCTCTGTCCACCTTGCCTTCTAACTGATATAGATCATTGGCGCGCCTGCTTTCTTCCCAACCGTCTGGAGCTGGATCAAACGATGGTTCGACCCCGTGACCGTTTCGAAGATTTTCATTCTGGGGAAACACGAAGTCAAGCCGACGCTTGAAAGGTTCATGGACCCCAAAGACATCCCAAAGCAGTACGGCGGGCAGTTGGATTTCCAGTGGGGCGACCTCCCACATCTTGATGACGAAGCCAAAGCCGCGGTCGAGACGGACGGTAAGCAAGGCTGGATTGCTGGCCCTTGTCTGTGGCTCGACCACAAGCGCATTGTGGTTGGCTCGGAAAATGGCAAGCCAAGGCGCTCCGTGGAAGACATCGAGAAGATGAAGCCTATTGTCTACGCTGCAGACTACACCGAGGTGCCCGTACACCCAGAACGGAGAGCATCCTCGGTGACAAGCCAGACCATCAGGGACAAGCTCGCTCAAGGTACCGCGACCGCAAAACTTGAGAAGATCCAGTCGGAAAACATTGCGCCACAGACAGCTCAGGTGGTAGCGTCAGATGCTGTGCCAGCAGAGACCAACATTATTGAGACTGCCAAACCGGAAGAACAAGCACCAGTGCCGGCCCCGGCAGTGACGATCCCAAGCCACATCCCTCCGGAAAACGTCCGCACCGCTCCAGGAGGGTCGCACGTAAACCTCGCACCACCTTCCGAACAGGCTGCCTTCCCCCAGCAGACCGCCGAGTACATCTCGTCCGACAGTCCCAGCCCCAAGCCTGCCGAAAAGCCAGCTACTACTGCGCCAGCGCCCGCAACGACCGGTGCAGTAGCCGGCGCAGCAGCCGGCGTCGCCGCCGTGGCGACCGCGGAACCCATCGAGGCCGCAGCTCCAGCTCTCACCAATGGCGTCAAGCACACTTCCGAGCCGCCACAGCAGCAATCGCAATCGCAATCGCAATCGCAATCGCAACCCCAGCCCTCATCAGAACCGGCCTTCAACCACGCCGCCGCCATCCCCCAACCGGGTCCCGCCCCGGCCCACCAAGTGCAAATCACCAACGCCGTCGCGCAGAAGCTCGCGGCCGGAGGCGACTCGGTCTCCAGCGTGCCCGCGCAGCCCAACGGCAGCCTGGCACACCCGGAAATACTGGTCAGCAGCGACAAGTCCAAGGGGCTGGCGGTTGAGAAGGAGAAGATTGAGGAACTGCCGGCTCCCCAGAGGCCGCAGATGGATCGGTTTGTTACTGCGGCGGAGTTTTGAGTTTTGAGTTGAGCAAGCAGGAGGAGAAGAGGAGGAGGAGGAGAAGAGGAAAAGAAGATGACGCTTGGCTAGGGGTCAGTGGGGGGGGTTGATGTTGCGAGTGAGGGCCGAGGGCTCAGGGAAATAAGGAGTGTGGATCTGAGTTGAGAGAGCGAGGGTTCGGGATCAAAGGGAGGAAAATGATCATGTTGTGGTCGATGTGCGTCGTGCGCTATCGACGCGCGCACCACATTGGGAATTTTTCTCTGTTACTGGAAAATGCTTCGATTTTCCCCCGAGTCATATACGCGCGCGCGCACGCATTTTGGGAGAACGAGTCTTGTGAAACTCGACCATCTATACCCTGCAGAGATAAGGAGACAGGTCGTTTGGATGTGAATTTAGGTAGGCAGCGTTTTGTTGTTGCATGTGTCTAGGAGAGCTGAGGCCTGAGATCTGAGGCCTGAGGTCTGGGTACAAGACATTGGAATAGCTAGATTGGGGGGTGGGTGGGTGTGTGTGTGTGTGTGTGTGTGTGTGTGTGTGTGTGTGTGTGTGTGTGTGTGTGTGTGTGTGTGTGTGTGTGTGTGGCAATCCAGCAAACAAATCAATTCAATCAGCTCGATTAAGAGAGCAAGGGAAGGAAAGTGTTTGCATGAATTAACTCGCGTTTCGTTCGTTGGTAGACTCGGTAGACTCGGGGAGCAGTGCTTCGCGCCTCGAGTATTTACAGTAGAGCCAATGTCTGCCGGGTCACTGGGCAGGGGCTGAGGAGGACGGCGGATCTATTGGTCACAAAGATGGTGCTAGGATTATTTGGATGACATTGAAAATTGATTATAGCCACGTACATGTATATATATCCGTTATGTACTGTGTACAGTGGTCCAGTATTGACGCCAGTGAATCACCGTGTATTTGGGGGACGGGTCCCAAAACGACAAGAAAGGGCAAGCAGACATCGCGAACCGCGCCCTTCTAAATCAAAATCAAACGCCAGAAACACACGCGCTTGAACGCATACAGACATACATACACTCATAAATCGAGTCCAAAGAACCGACACTGCCACGCCACATATAATTCAAGACCGCATCTCGGCCAGCAGATAGGGGCCGATGACGATGCAGGCCTGGACGAAGACGACCCAGCCCATAAAGTAGCTGTAGGGCAGCATGAGCAGGCCGTTCTCGCAGTACATGCACCATATACTCAACAGGGCCACGGCGAAGAAGTGGTACACGAGCACGATCGGCCGCTGGATGATGCCAGCTAGGAGTCCCGCAGGCCCGTCGATGCAGTTTCCACCGAGCTGGAAGTAGCGGAAGCAGCCCTTCTGCAGCCACTTGAGGGACGTCTGGTCGGCGGCGAAGAGCGAGTATAGGGCTTGCGCGAGGATGTTGATGACCGAGGTGACGTGTTTGCGTTGCCAGTGGAAGTGGCGGAAGGCGCGCAGGGCGGCCTTGGTGTCGGCAAGGTTGGGGATTTTGGAAGGGTGGAGGAGTTGGGTCAGGGTTACGACGTCGCTGAAGGCGACGGTCATGCCGCCGCCCGTGAGCGGATGGCGCATGTTGAGCGCATCGCCGAGAAGGGCAAGCCCAGGTGTGCGCTGGGTGGCTGGAGGGAGAAATGAATTGGGCATGCTGCGGAGATGGCCCTTGTCAAGCGCGGAGAGGAAGCTGGGCCGGACGTCGGGTGGGAGTGTGGGACAGACGACGTTGCGGAGATGGTTCTTGACGCCTCCCGCGGCACTAGTCGCAGTGGAGACGTTCTCTGGGATATCGACTAGGACGCGAGTCTCGTGCGTGCCGATTTGGTACAGGAGGACTGGAGGGCGATCGGCGAGGGACACAAAGCCGTGTTCCGGTATGGGAAGGGGACAATCGATGAGCTCCATCCCCCAGAATTTCGAGCGAACACGTGGAGTATGAGGCGAGTATTGTTTTCGAAACTTGGAGGCGTATCCGTCGCAAATTATGGTCAGGTCGGCGAAGAAGTAGTCGCGCTCCGTTTTGCGGGTCATGGCTTGCACGCCCAGGACTTGGGATGAAATGTCGGCAGTGATGGGGTTGGTAGCCTCGGTCTCGAAGACGGTGACGTTAGGGTGGGCTAGAGCGGCTGCGCGGAGTTTTTGGACGAAGCGACCATGGTGGAACGAGCATCCCTCGGCCTTGAGGGGAGGGTCTTCTGTTTTGGCGTTGTAATTTGGCTGTCGAAGCGCATTTGCAGGGTAGGGGATGTGGACAAGGTCACCGTAGAACTCGACAGCGTAACCCTTGACTCTGATGGCATCAATGCCTTCGAGGCAGTCCCGGAGACCTAGCTGTTCGAGAGCCTGGACGCCACCAGGTTGAAGCAGTTCTCCCACGATGCGGTCCGGCTCTTTGAGCGACTTTTCTAGCAGAATAACACTGCGACCTTGATCACCAAGTGCTTTTGCAAGAGCAGAGCCCAGGATTCCGCCGCCGACAATGACCACATCGGCGGTATGATGTTCTTGCCTCCTCTCCCTTAATGTGTCTTTGTCGTGCTCGACCGACGACTCGGAGGAGGAGTCAAGGATTAGCGGCATCGCGGCGCAGCGGAGTCCGAAGTCAAGCGTATAGTGGACGGTTGAGGCACGTCGTAGACACGGCACGTGTATATACCAGTGCGGCACACGAAGGGACGATATTGGTGGGGAGTGGCGGAGTGGTCGAGGTCTTGATCTTTTTGAGATGGGTGGCATTTGATGATGATCTGATGCAGATTGGCGTCGTCGAACCACCGCGACCCTTTAGAAATTTAAGTGGGGCCCGGCCCGGCCACTGCGAGATCGACTGACGAGCTCCAAGCAATATGATTGGTTCGGCTGCAGGTCACGTGCCAGGAACAGTGCAGTCCCTCCTCGTCACCTCAACTAGTCCTCTGTCCACTATACACAGTACTGGTATCGCTAACATGTGTTCGAAGACCCATGTCAGACCACCTGGAACAGGCCACTCCAAGTCTACAACACACAGAGCGAGATTCAACGAATTTTCTTCTATCTGCATCGCCAGCCGGTCCCCGCTTCCTTCATTTCTGCTGATACCTGGTACCCTCAAGCTGGCGACTCTTCTACCATAGCAGCCACATGTATATGCCCCAGGGCACACTAGGCAATTCCAATAAAACCCCATCAATGCTGACTGCTTGCTTTTGGATGTAGAGCCCAGCTTTCATGCTTAATGCCGTGGCAATCGTCATCCGAGATCCCAATGCTCCCTGTATGCACAATTCCTGTGACCTGCAATCCTCCGTGCCAGTTGTGTCCTGAAATGCTGAAGCGGACCTATGGCAGTGTCCTTGTACATGCTGATGCGAATGAGGCGCTGGTCGTCGCTGTCGAACCAGTCACCGTCCGGGAACGCCATTCACGGTCTCTGACCTTGTAACCAATCAAGGATTTCCGTAAGAATGCTCACGTCAACTTTCCACGCAACCGACATCCTCACTCCCTCAAACAGCCTTCTTTTCGTAACTGTGCAGCTTGGACTCATCCACCCTTGCGCTGCGCTTCGTCCACGGGAAGAAAGTCCCCACCCGAAGCATTGGTTGTTGATGCATCATTCTCCGACTTGGTTGCCTTCTTCTTGCGATGCTTCTTTCGGTTGCTCGATGTCTGCCATGAGCTAGCATTGTTCGAGACGGCCGTCACGCCATTGGTTCTCGTCGCAAGCCCGGTGTTGTTCGTCTCTCTGGGCACAAGCGGCGACTGCTTGCCTTCTCTTTGCGATCCCCCCACAAACGGTGACCCCATGCTAGGTGGTGACAACTCAAATCCCGGCGACGGTGTTCTGACCTCTTGCACCGCACTGAGCTGTCGCGGTAAAGACCACGCTGTGTGACTCGGCTTATGACCGGCATAGTGTGGTTGCTCTGTAACTGCCGTCGCCTCTTCACATGTCCCCATGTCGGAAACGACTTGTGGATATTTGACGGCGTGCCCGTTAGTGAGAGGAGCAGGGTAACTTGGCACCTCGGTGGGCCGAAGCCCGCCCTGAGTTAGATGGCTCGTCGCTGTCTCATCTGCGTCATCCGAGCTCGAGGGCGTGTCAAAAGCGAAATCTTCTGACGTCGACCCGCTGAACGTCATCTGCTCCTCGCTCTCCTCTCGAGACCCACCATTGGCCCTTCTTCGACGTGGGGAATGCACCGAGCCATCGACGATCAACGGTGCATGGCTGCGAGCTGGCGAGCTGGTCTTTTCGCGACTTGCTTCAACTGTGCGGGTAACGGTGGCCCCAGATTCCCGACTTGGCGTTCTCGCGTCAAGATCTTTGACAGGGCTGGTGGTCCCCGTTGTGGCGGTGGAAGCTTGTGGCGAACGTGACATGGTCCTGGGCGACAGACCTCCGTTTTGAATCGCAAGCCCAGCGTGCGACGGAAGGGGTGAGATCGTATTGCTTGGTGGATATCCCAACAACGAAGGTGAATGCGCGACATAGTAACCGACATATTCGGCTGGCTTGCGATTGGCATCGTGATAGCTCCCACCATGACTGCGTTGGCTACTGAGAGTCGGCCCACTTTCGTGGGTCGTCGCCGAGGCCGACGATCTTCGGCTGCTGGAATAGTCTGGAATCTCTGGTGCAGCTTGCAGGTGTGTCATGGACATCGAGCTGACCAGACCTCTAGCCGGCTGCGACTGCGCACGCAGCGATCCACCCGTGACAGACGGCCCAACGGAGGTGCGTCGGGAATATCTTCTGCTGTCGGGCGTTGCGGGCGATAAATGGGGAGAAGATGGATTCGTGGTGACTCCGTTACCAGGAAATGATGGGGGAAGGAATGGCGAGGGTGCGCCGAACCGCGCTTGATACAGCGGAGCCGACAAGGGACCACGATGCTGCGCGTTGAAGGCTGCGGCTGTGATGCTGTCCAGATTGTCCTCCTGGTTACCGTAGAGAGTGCCCGACCCAGAGTAATTGCCGCGCTGCTGTGCCAGAAGATGTTGCTGTCGTAGATTTTGCTGATTGAGCCTCGCCCGCAGTTCCTGCTCTTGAAGCTGCAAGTATTGGTACTGCTGGAATAGTTGATCGTGCAGGAGGTGTTGCTGGTGTAATGCCTGACTCTGTAGTTCCTGCGTTGTCATCTGGAATGGCAAATTGCGCAGGTAAATCGGTTGTCGGTTGATGGGGTTGGAAGACCGCCTTGCAGCCACGCTGCCCTTCAGGTGCGCCGCGTTCCTACCCTGTCGATTGCCCTTGCCCGGCCGAATAGATTGTGGTTGCGGAGCTTGCAAGTTGACTGGTCTCGATTGAGGAAGTACAAGGTGTTCGGAAGGCTTGATTTCATCCGGAGGATACTCGTACTGCGCACAGCACTCTTCGACTTTGCCGTCAACGATCAAGTCGAAGGCCCTTCTAAGCTCAAGGTGAATTCCCCTCATTGAGGTATCGTCTGCCGTGTTGGCTAGGTTTCGACTCGTATTGAAAGGCTCTTCCACGCATAAGCGGTTGTCTTGAAGCATGTGCCAGCCTTTGGATGACTTCGATATCAAACCTCCCTGACGCACGGAGACGACATTCTCATCAAAATCAAACTCGTATGCGTAATATCTGAAGAACTGGTATAATAGCTCCCCAAGGGAAGAATGGTTCTCGGAACCAAATGCCGAGTACTTGGACACATTCTCGTCGAAGGTGACATTCACGCCATCCAACAATCGAGGTTCAAGGCCATGCTGTCGCTGTAGTGATGGCAGCAGAGGGGGTTGTCGTGTCTGCAGAAAGTTCAATGTTAAGCATATCCAGGTATAAGAACTCAGGGTTCCTCCGAGGGCTAGTACTTGTTAGCAGGTGGTACGCAAACAAACGAATCTGAGCATACCGGCGTCGTTGAGGATTCTCCGCTTCGCCCAATGTTTAATAAACATGGCCAGAGGCCGGACCCGCTCGTCGATGTCCACGTAACTTTTGATCAAAGCAGTGTTTTCCAGTGCAATGGGATTGTTCACATTCAGATCGCTTGCAACCTGCAGCTCGGGATCCCAAAGCTTCACAATTGGCACTTTTGCGCTCGAAACGCAGACGACCCTCTCCATACCTTTGCTCGCAAGTAACTCGGCAATCGAACAAACCCGCAGCAGCTCCTTGTTATCTGTGGTGATGCAGATGTCGACGTCAGAGTCCGAAGTCCCCAAATTGTTCCCGGTAGAGCCGAAGACATTGACCTTGATAGAAGTACTGGGCCATTTTTCACAGAGGATTCTCTCTAGCTTCGCGATGAAGCGTTTCCTACGGTCCTCACTCTCCAGGGTTGGGACTAGATGACCATACAATTCGCGCATGTCTCTTGTCAAGCATTGCTCGCGGTCGTGACTGAGCTGCTTAGCGGCGTTTGTCGAGTCAGGTGGCAATTTGTCCGGGCCGAGGGAATATGGGACCCGCCGTCTGGCTCTGGCCATGCCAGTCTCATACTTGCAGCCACCTGGAGGTGGTCTTCGGATCAGATTGCTGTGACTCGGATCAGACTGTAATGAACGAGGTGATATGTTGTTGAGGTTACGATGGAGGGAAGGGGATCGATCGGAGGCATTATCGGGATGCGGCCTTTGCGACGGAGTCGAGGGCATGGACTTCGAGTGTTGCCTCGTGGGTGGCGAGGCGGTTAATGGCTTCGTAAAGGGGCGCGACGTAGCTGGGACCTGCTCAGCAGAACCAAGCTTTGAGTTGACCTCAGACATTGTGGTCATTGATGCCGGGTCGATTGTTCCATCTCTTCCCAGTCGTAACGTCATGAGACCAAATTGTAGCACGAGTTTGACAACCCTTTCTCGGCTTGTCGGTGACAAGCCGTTAAAGACAAACGCAGCCTTCAAGACCACGTCAAATGTGACAAGTACCCACCAGGGGCGGGGCAGTATCTTCCAGGGCACTACCCAAGTTCTGGATGCGTCGCTGTCGCGACGAGGCCGTAAGCGTTTTGACCAGGGTCAAGTGCCGTCTCCGAGGCTCGGGGAACGATTTGATGTTCTTATGATTGTGTGTGGTGTCGTGGGGAGTAACAACGGGCTAGACAAATGCGTTTGTGTAAGCCCGTAGTTCCCCTTTCTACGGCTAATATAGCCTGACGTCCAAGCAAGCCGTCTTTGTACAGGGCGAGATTGTGTGCCGCTCAATGCACTTTAAATACAGTATTTCTGAGTGTACAGCACACGATGGATGTCGAACGGAGCCCTGTTTGCGTAGGCACCTTACTGGACGTATATGTACTGAGGTTGGCGACTTGAGGGATGACGGGGTTGAGAGTGAGGCAGCGGACGTTCTCTACGCGTCCCAACACGTGCGAGAGCGGCCGACGGATGTACGGAGGATGTCTGTTCAGAAGGGAGAAGGTTAAAAGTGACAGGGACGTAAGAAGCGTTCGAGGTGTACGAAGAGGTGCACGGGATGAAGTTACTACCACAGCGTACTAGCGAGAGACAGGTGAATTGGGAGGGATTGGCGCAGGACCCGCCAAGGAGACAGTTGCACCTGCACCAGAGGTCCAGCACCTGCGCCGGCACCCTCTCGACCCTGTATGGCCCTGGCCCGTGCTCCTCCCTCTTTCCCCAGTCGAGACGGCCCCTCTACTTTGAACGCGCGACGCCTGAACGCGCGACAAATAGCCGTCTGTCGTCTGATTATTCTCATTCCGACCTACCACTCCAATTTTCCGTGGCCTTTCGGCACATGGCACATGCATGGTTCAAGCCCCCTAAAAGACCTAAATCAATGTCACCTGGGCTATGTATGGGCGTCGAAGCTGACTCCCTGAGACGCCTCGTCGCGCGCCCCATGTCTCCCACAGCAATGACGGTATTTGTGGTCAGAATTGCAATTGTGTATGTCGCCTTGTGCACGTCGCCTCGTGGCTGCTGGCTTCCGACAACTGCCGCGACCGAGGCGATCCATCGGTTACGGGCAGCTACCGCCAGAAAGTCAACCGCCGTTTACATACTTTGAGTATTATGCTGTGGCTCTTGTCTCGAACTCCTTTCCAAATTTAGCCCTTCATCAGCCACCCAGTGTGGATCCCTGGATGACCGGTGGCTTTCGTGTGTCCAAGCTACACTCGGTGAGATGTAAGTGCAGGAAACCCGTCAGCCTGTGTTCAGCGTGTCAGGGGTGTAGCCAGACCAATGTCACCGGGAGATGTGTAGGTCCACCCTTCCAGCCAGGCTTGCGAAAGGAGCAGAAGGCCTGAAATCCTCGGGCATTGATATTCCACTGCTTCTGCACGACAGCATCTGTACGCCGACCTAAACGGCCTCCGAGCTGACAACAGTCGGTCGGCGTAAATGCAGTCATCACCAAAAAACGAGAATGGAAAACAGCTGAAGCAATCTCTCAGCCTTATGACCGCCAACCGAGCCTCTCGAACGATATGATGGTTGGGGTCTGCCACAAAGCCAGTAGGCAACCTCGTCGGCCACCAGTATTAGTGCTAACGAGTGAGCTACTCATAAGATTGCGATAAAAGGGCGGCGTTGACGGCGTCGTGGTTCCCGGTATAGAAGCATCTTAACTTGCAACGCAGCGCGGGCTCAACCGGGGAATGAACCAGAGGAGATGCCGCGCCAAGGCTAGGTATATGTGCCCTCTACACTCTACACTATGAACAGGTGCCGAGTCCCTACCACAATAACCGTCAATGTGCGGAGTATCAGCAGTGTCGTGTACTTGATAGACGCCGGGTGCTCGGGTCGCTGGCGGTTTTATGTACGGAATACGAAATTGCCCGACAGCTTCTCCCAATCAACAGAGGACAAGCGAAGGTGTACCCATCTAGAAGATTGCCTGCACGTTGTTCCAGGGCTCTAAAACGCCCCAGATTGCAATGCTGTCATCCCCACTGGCGTCCTCGTGCGTTGGACCAGGGTCCCTCGGAGAGTGGGATCCGCTTTGTTCCTTTTTCTGTGTCTCTGCAAAGAATTTACACGGCTACTACTGATATCCTATTCTGCGGCGCGACGACTTCGCTGGTGCAGGTTGTTTGTACCTGAGGATGCTGTACTCGCCGTCGCAGAAGTCATGCACGACCAACCCTTTGATCTCTTCTTCCTCCCTTCGCTTCGTGCGCCAGGCGACCTTATTGCGCTATCCTCCTCGCGAGACGATGCTACCCACGCTAGGTGCCTTGAGCTTAGGCTTTCACCAAAAGGGTCCAGCGGTCTTCCCTTCGCGCCGCTTAGAAGTTAGGGCCATGCCGAATGCCCGTCATCCCTCCCATCCCAAATGCTTGTTGCTTGACTCGTCGTTCCACACATCTCTGCCGCTAAGAAGGACGGCTCTCGAAGCCTCTTGTCACTTGATGCTCGTGATTTTCCCGAACTGCGTTCTCCTCCCCTTCTTCCCATTTCCCTCTTTCTGCTCGTGCGCAATCTAAGCCGCAGTCTCTCCATCTTCCTTTTTTTCCCACCTCGCCTTCGACCTCCTCGTTCTCGTAGCGCCTGTGCCTCGCCCTCGGTCGCACAACTGCGCTTCTCTCGAAGCGACCTCTCACAAGTAAGATCATTTACCACACCGGATTCCAATACCCCAAAAATTCCAAGATTTCCCGGGGGTTGCGGTCATCAACGCCGGACTGTCAATTGGTGCTCTTTCTGCCGATCCGAAAGAAAATATGCCTCTCCCCACCCACCAATGCACCTCTTCCCCTCTCGACTACCACCATATCTCTCTCGCCCTCTCTCTCTTTAAAGGCCACATATTTGAATGTCTGATCGTTGTCTGGTTCCTTTACTAATTGCGTCCTGATTTTAGCCTCTCACCGGCCGGCCGTTTTCTGATTTCCTGTTTTGCGCACTTTTTCCGATCGGTAGATTAGACCTGCATCTGTTCCTCCACCACCAGATACACAATGTCATTCTACGAGCCCCAAGGCTGGCAGGCCCCTGCACGGCAGCCTTCTTGGGAACAGCCACCACCGCCATCCCGCTCAGGTATGTTGCATTGACCAAGGCATACCGAGGATCCCATTTCTAACACCGCGGCAGGTGCGAGCTCGACCTCACAAAGAGAAGATGGCAATGCCTTCGCGATTCAATTTGAAGGTTTGTCACACGCCTGACAGACCCAGTGCCATAGGCTGATTTTCGAGCAGAGGTCGATCGAGCAATTGACAACCTGATAAAGAGTGGGAAGTTCTACCCGCCTGGTCCAAGGCGCGAATCTATGCCCATGATGGCAATGGGTAGAGGAGGAGGCCACGCTGGAGAATTCGGTATGCCTGTGCGCCGTCCGTGTGCCGATCATGTACTAACGAGCATCCAGGGCACCGGATGCATGGTGGCCGCCATTCAGTGAGCGACTTCGACCCCTCGCGCGGTTCAGTTTCCAACATGCAGAACTTTTACGCCAACCAGCGCTATCAAGGCCGCCATGGCGAGCCCGATCAAATGATGCAGGCCAAACGACGCATGGCCGCCCAACGGGAGCGGGAGTTACGCAACTACCATCAAGAGCAGCAGTACAACCGAAGTGAGCCGCCTCCCGATACAACCTTTTGATCCAGCTTAACAGTCATCGACAGGTGTCGTCGCAGAGATGGCCTCGAACCAGTCCGACCGTTCCATGAGCCCGAGCACCCTAAGCGAGGAGGGCCGTAGGGATCTTATCGCCCGCCAGCATCGAGCCCTGTATGGCGAAAGTTCCGGGATGTTGAGCCCTTCCTTCGGAGAGGAGGGCCAGCGAGACCAAGCAGGCAACATCACGGGGCCCATCGGAGCCGGTCCCCGTGGTCCGTCCCCTCGCGCCCAGGACTCCTTTGGTGCACCGGGTCAGGGAGTCCCTGGTGAAGCAGGACAAGATCAATCTCGAGCCGAAAAGACAACTTCGCCGCCGATCCAGCAACCTCCCGGGTTTGGCAGCTTCGAAGGCAACACCACCACTCCGCCCACTGGCGAGGATGGTCCCCATTCCCGACAGCTCTCCAAGTCGACGACTGCTCCTCTCACTGGGGGCATGGCCCCCATCGGAAGCCGTCCCAACCCTCAGAACCAACCAATGAACAAGCGCACGACGTCTCCTCTCCCGTCAACACTTTCATACGGCTTCAACGCTGGGGATCAGGGCAACGAACGATCCAACTCATCCAACTCGAATTCCAACGCTCCCAAAGAAGGCTCGAACAATGCAGGTATGGGTGCCTGGGGCACCGGCAGTGGAGTGTGGGGCTCCAACAAGATTGGAGCCACCTCGGTATGGGGATAAACGACCTTAACGAGTCCATGATTCAGCGCTCGGACTGTCATTGTGTGCATGGAGTTGTGTTGAACATGTCGCAACATCTCTTTGGCGTGCATAGCATTTGGGTGTGGTCATTTAGGTGTGCTTATGGTGTTTAATTTCTGGTGGCATAGCGCGTTTGGATCTCTGAGAGGGAAAAAAGCGTCAAAATTTCGAGTGGGCGCCCCTTTGTTGCAAGGGGAGCGGTGGACAACGATATGGGAGCTACCACAGGCGGGCTTGACAGATGGACTGGGAAGCGTCCATTGTTACGGGGGTGTTGAATCCCGCTTGGGTCTTGGGACAAATTTTGCGGCGACAATGCACAGCACGGGAGGGTCGGAGTCATGTCTTGCGGTTCTTGAGTCGATCTGCATCGGAAAGCGTCGCGATGGTGGGATTCCTGGGTCGATGGATTTACGAACTGTGTGGGGGGCCGCTTCGCGCAGGCCATGCATAATATATGATTGTTTTTAGGGTCACACATATGAACGGATGGCTTTGGCTGGGAATTAATGACTATCTCACATCCGACTCCAGTTGCTCAAGTCGTACAATATGTCATTTTAGGTACCTCCCGCGACATCGGAGACTCTCGTGGAATTGCTTCTCATCAAGTTCATAGCAGGTGCTACTGATTAGCTTTCGGCTTTTGTAAGGGTGCGCCCCACGTTACTATTCGACTTGACCTCGAGTGCCTCAACTCGACAGTGCTGTATCTGCACTATGAATAATCAGCGAAGCCTCTTTGTTCCGTCACACTCCACGCAGAAAGCACTATCCACCTTCACGGCATATGGTCCGCGGCGACTGAATGACACACCCGTTTCGTTACCGATGTCGCCCAGAACGACCCCTCTTCGTCATTGTTGTCCTCCCCACCAGGCTGACGGCGTGGCCGACAGACTGTCGAAACGGGCTTAGCGACATCATACAATCCTGGTCCGACGTTCGGTAGCGCCGATCGAAAATAGCATTCCATATCTCTCTCTGAGACACAGAACAGAGAACCTTGCACGGCCGAGAACACCATCTTCCATTCCGTCGACACCACATCGTGTAATCAATGCGGCATCACTGCCGAGGCAAGGTGGATACACAGTTCGCGACACGCGAGGTTCAACCCGTATACCAACTCCTCCGTAATACGGTCCGAATTGGTAGGGATCCTCCTGAGCTGCGAGAGTCCTGTGAATCACAAAGATAGTGCCACAATTTGAGCACCGTCTGATGGTAGATCCCGATCTTACATGATGCTCCTTGTCTACACCGAGGCATCATGACTCCGAATCCAGGAGGCACGAACATGGCGACGAGGACTTTCTCAGAAGAGGTCACATGGGTCAACAAAACCCCAACCAATTTTCGAGACCGTACCCGCCGCGAAGTATACACCATCAATTCCCACATCAATGGCAGCTACGCCCGGTGGAAGCGCAAAGAGAGCTCGAGACGTCTACGTTCCGAACTGGTCCCCCTTCCACGATGTGCTGGCGAGCCAATAGACGAAGACAAGCGGATTTCTGTAAGTAGCAAGCGTCTGACTCTGATGCCGCCTTTGCACTAGCTCACATGTTGTCTGTCAAAGAACGAGCTCGCCCCTGCCCGCCATGTGGTCCATGAGCGGCCTCTACCCGCCGCATCACAGCCAGTGTCTTCAACGAACACAGATAGTCAACATCGAATCGATACGGTTCAGATTAGAAACGCACACTCGGTACTTCGTCGAGGCAATTCTGACCCTTTCAATAGCACTGTGGTACCACTCACCGCGCTCAACGCTCACTGCCACAGGCTTGCGCGCGATTTTCAGGTCGGGAGTATCTGGGGTGATGAGGTGGCCCATGAGGAGTTGAAGGAGGCAACCCTTAATTGGTGGCTTGCAGACGGCATCGGTACCACGCATGCAGTGGCCATGCATGGCCTTCTTGCATGGGCCTACACATCTCGACTAAGCATTCAAGCGTACCCACCCCAGCAAATCGCCATCAATGCGCTTGAATACAAAACCCTGACCATTCAGGAACTCCAGAAGCTTGTCACGAATCTCACATCTTTCGAGCAGCAGTGTGCTGCCTGGGAAGCCATGCTGTGCCTAGCTGCGATTGAATGGTCCGCAGGCAATGCCGAGGCGGTCATGCTGCATATGAGATCGGCTCACGCCCTTCAGACACTGATGGGTGGTTTCGATGTTCTCCCTGACCCCAAAAGAGAGTCGGCCATGTGGATGTTTGTCAGTGTGTGCTTCCACTTTGCGACCAGACCACTGGTTCGACCAGAAGATTTTGACCCCGGTCCACTGTCTGCTCAGAGACATCTCAACGCTCCCGCTATTCGCCAAATAGAGCAGAGTGCTCGCCAAGCTTCGCACGGACGGTCTACCGGCACAGTGTTCTCGAAATTAGCAGGTAGCCGTTTGGTGACACTTTGGGAAGCCATGGATGAAGCCCTTCCAGCGGTCGAAGTGGTCAGGAAAAACAAAACTCTTCGAAAGGACGTTCTAGGACGGCTGAGCAGATGGCTTTTCCGTCGCAAGCTTGCCACAAGGGCTCATCTGGACCATCTCTGGCATGATACGAAGTCTCGCTACGACGAAGCTAGCCGTGAGCATCAGATGACCAAAGACGACAATTTCTCCTCCAAGAGACACATCTGCATGTGGCAACTTTGCATATGTATGGCGTCTAGGATCTTCGATGGCCTTATGTTCGAGAAGCTGCATCCTGGTGAAGACGCAACCGCTCACTGGACTCCCTACGGTAAGTCGCATCCGGCCAAGAGAACGATCAAAGCGCAGGAATCAAAAGTCTGTAATAGGCATGTACTTGAGACCTTGTACCCATGTTATTGAATCCGTTCCTCTCCGGTCTCTCCGCCTCAATTCTGTATATAAACCTATGCTGACCGTCTACAGTGAGTATATCGCGATGCTGTTCCTATCTGGCATCCTTCACGATTCCTTAACGCTTCAAGCGCCCCCTGCCTCTCGTTTCCCGGCCAGAGCTAACGACATTCACAGTTCACCCGCTACCTCGTTCACTTGACGTTTCTAGAAGCAGAAGAAGCAGAATATGCCAGAAAATCGAACCACCGAGCCCGGCATGCCCGACACCGGCTTGAGCTTGTACTGCTCTGGCTGTATTTCATGGGCACCGCAGTTGAGCACCTGATCTTCCACAGCACACACGGTGACGCAAGCAGTCCCTCCTCGGGCGCAAAGTCACGACCCTCGTGCATCATGCGCTTCCAAGCGCTCTACAGTAGGACGAGCCATGGTGGTATCGACGCCCTAGCGTCCACCTTCGAGGGTGAGCTCATCTTTGCGCCAAGCGTCATGCGGCCTTTACTGGATGGACTGGTACAGTCGCAGACTATTGGCGTCGTGTGATGATGTATGACAGCTCGCTGATGTTCCGCCTAATTGGCGTGCATATTGACGATGCGAGTCAATACTCCCATACCATGTCCAAAGTTCGCCGGTGCTAGCATCGATGGTGTTGGTGTGCTTCAGGAGCGAACTTCCGGTCTGCATATCATGTACAGGGTCGGCTGTGTCGACAGCAGTGATACGACCTACTCAGGTCGCCCATTCACGACCAGGTCTCCTGCTTGTACCTCCCCCTTTTTTCCATATCAGCCACGTACTCCTCCGCCTCTTCTGGCAGCATTCGCCACTGACCATTCTGGGCGAGGACATCTATCAGCGCCTGCCTCACAGCCTTCGGCATCTGCCCGGACGCACCGCACACAATCACCACGGTGCGGCCATCCTGCATCATGCTGGCAATGGTCTCACCGTGGTCTCGGATCTGGTCCTGGACATAGACCTTGGTCGCCTGGTCTCGCGAGAAGGCCGGCACGAGCTGGAAGCGCGGCCATCGCGCCGTCGTGCTCGCCCACTCCTCGGAGAAGAAGTAGTCGCTGTCTCGGTTGCGGCAGCCGAAGATGAGCATCGTCGAAGATCGCCCCAGGGACCGCAGCTCCTTTTCGTGTACCAACGCCCGTAGCGGCGCGAGGCCGGTTCCTGCACCAATAAGGATGTGGTTGGTCTCAGCGATTTCACTGCGGTCAGCGATGCGTCCTTCACGGCGAAGTGCGACGCGCAGCTCTGTGCCCACGGGTAGCTTGGCGAGGTAGCGCGTACAGACGCCCTGACGAATACGCTTGATGACGGTCCTGTACTTGACGATGGCGATCAGCAGCTCGAACACAGTCTCACCGCTGGGCGTGTCGTGGTATGCGCTAGCGATGCTGAATTGTCGGGCCCGCAGCATGGGGAAGATGTTGATGCACTGCTCCCAGGGGATGTGGACCGTGTCGAACTCCTGCAGGACCTCGATGATGCCGCGGCGGGGCCGCGTCGCGTAGTCGAAGTACTCGTCCAGGTACTGCGGGTCGGTGAACTCGAGGAGGCGCTCGCGGTGCATCTCGTCGGAGGTGTACCTGGCTATAGTGGCGAAGAAGGAGCGGCGGGGGATAGCGTTGATGTCGAGGTATTTGGTGAGGAGTGTCCGCAGCGTAATCTGTTGGCCTGGTTCGAGGTCCAGAGGTGGCTTCTGTAGCGATGGGCGGCCAACAGCAGGGGCGGTATTGGACTGGAGCGTCAGCGGCACGTCGGCGACGTCGTCCCATTTCAATTGCTTGATGAGCGTCTCAACGTCCTCAGCCATGTTCTCCGGCATCACCGCTATCGCATCCCCAGGAAGGTAGTCATGTTGTCCACTGGCACGTAGCTTCATGAACCGCACATCCTGCCAATGCGACGCCGGCGTAGCCCGATCATTGACCTCCAGCACCGCCGGGAACGAGTCCGCCATCGGCGGCCCCGCCTGCTGCTCCTTGCCCCCTCTACCATTGACACCCGCTCCATTCACATGACTGAATCCATTCGCACCAGCACTTTGGCGCACGCCAACACCCAGCTTCCACCTCTCCTGCACCTCCACCTCCTCCCCCAGAACCTCCACTCCCTCCGACAGAGGCCACAGCTCCAACACCCTATCCCTCAGCCCCGCCACCCACTGCAGATACGACCCCTCCACCCCTTCGTCCCCCTGCTCATCCGCCTCACACGCCTCCACCACCGCCCTCGCGCCCAACTGCCCGAGCCGCTTCCCCAACTTCCTCGCGGCCCAATTGAATTTCAGATATGAAGAGTCGCCCAAGCCGACGAGCGCGTAGTTGACGCCATGTAAGGTGGTGGGACCGAGTTTGCGGCGGAGGAGAAATTGCCAGAACTTGCGCGCGTTGTTGGGGAAGTCGCCTTGGCCCGTGGTCGAGAGGGTGATGAGCGTGAGGGTGTAGGTTTGGAGGAGGGTTTGGATGGAGGAATAAGAAGAGGGAGAGGTGGAGGTGGAGGTGGAGGTGATGAGGTCGTCGAGGGCGAGGACGTCGACGGGCGAGAAGCGCAGGCGGGTGAGGGTGCGCGAGAGCTCGTGGGCGAGGTCTTGAGACGTGCCGGTTTCGGTGCCATAGAGGATCAGAGCGGATCTGTCGCTGTTGCTGGTGGTGGGACTGGGACTGGGACTGGGACTGGGACTGGGATCTGGCGGGGTGGCGAGCGTGGCCATGGTGGGCGGCTTGGCTGTCCTGACATGTGATGGTTTAGGGAATGGGGGACATCGTGTCGTAGGTGGTGGGGGGGGGAATCCAATGTCCAGTGTCGGGATATCAGTACTGTAGAATCGGAGGAGACTGAGATTCTGACTTGATAGGTGGGGATGAGGCGAGATGTTCGAACATCGTTACATACAGTTATGGTTTATGCAGTCCGTTCATCGGCCTTGGCAGTGCTTGGCACATTCACTGCCTGATAATTGCCTTACATACCAGACCCACAGACGCTAGTCTAGGAAGGCGAGACACTATCTTGCAAGATAGATCTATCGAGTGACCCAGGAGAAGACTGTGTAGTTGGTGCGGCAGGGGGCTACTCTGTAGGTGGGAGCACCTTGAGTCGCAGATACCCAGTCAGCTATGTGAAGCATTTATATCTGGTTGGAGGAGAAGCAGTCTATGAATGAGGCTGAGATGAAACCCCGTGCCGCTTTTGCTTACACCAAGTACAATCTTCACATCTGTCCGAAGTCCAACGCCACCCCTTGTCGCCATTTACTCCTCTCATCCTCCGCAAACCCACCCAAGCTTCCCATCCCCACGACTACAAATCCCAACTCTTCTCTCCCGACATCGAACACTTCCCACCAATTCACGCCGCCCACCAGCTTCACCTCCGTCTCCTTCGCTGCCAAGTAGATCGCCGCCACCGCCAACACATTCGGCTGGTGCGTCAGGTACAGCCACTGAGGCGACAACAACGCGCCATTGAGGTGCTCGAGAACTCGCTTGGCCAAGTTCTGATTGCTCGCCACGCCCAGCGCGCTCAGGTAAGTCAATGCTAGCGGGTGCGGGAGTGAGACCTGAGGGTCGAAGCCGATTCCGGCAAGGAGAAGAGACTCGGCGTGGAAGAGCTTGACGCGGACACGATCGAGGTCGCCTTCAGAGACGTAGTGGGCGTGTTTGTCTGGATCTGGCGCGTCGGTGGGAGGGGTTGCGTTGACGAAGAGCAGGGGACTGCTGGCTGGGCGGGTTAGGTAGGCGTAGACGTTGACGATCGAGCGAGGAGAGGTGGGGATCGACGCTAGCTTGGAAGAGATGTAGAGGGCAGCTGCTGATAGGAGGTGTGATGGTTCGGATTCGGACTTGGTTTGGGTAGGCGAGTAGGCGATTTGGTAGCGTTGCAGGAGAACGATGGCGGTGGCTATGACTTCGATGGGGAGGCGTAGGAGGATGCCGGCGGCATGAGTGAGGACATAGGTGGCGAAGTTCGTCGAGTGGGAGGTGTCGGTACTCGCTGACCTGTACTGGAGCAGTTGTGACGACGTTACAAGTGGGTTGGAGATGCGTGAAAGAGTTGAAGAGGGAACCATTCTCTGTGGCAGGCCTTTTCAACTCAAAGCGTTCTCTTCTTTGGGCCAGTCGATGTCTGGCTTGTCTTAGCACCAACGAATAGTTGTCCTCCACTATTCCATCTCATACAGATTATTAGGGATGACGAAGATTGGTAGCATGAGAAAGACCGTTTGACTGACGAGGCTGCCCATATGCAAGGCTGTCACCCCCAATATACACGTCATCGCACGTGGAGCATCTGCGGAAGTTGTCGCATGAGCTTCGAGATCTGAACCCATTTACAGCTGCACAAAACAGCGGCAGACCCAGTTTCATCCTGCCTTCAACCATCTGGTGAATCTGTTGGCCCTCCAGCGCAGCTCAAATCTCTGGCCCCTGACTACCCGACCTCCAAACCCAGACCGCCCAACACCCACACCCACAGTCACCACCACCACCACCTCAATGCCACCCCCCTCCCACCACCAAGCCATCTGGACCCCGCCCAGCGACACCACATCCGTCGCCTTCCGCGGCTTCGCCACGGGCGCCTCGCGCTTCCTCTGCATCTCCCTGATCGCGCATCTCCTGCTCTCACGCATCCACCCGGTCTACCGCAACCTCACCCCACAATTCAAGACCTTCATCCAGATCAGCAGCGGCACGCTGGGCGGCTGCATCTTTGCGGAAAAGTATGTGACCGAGTATAATGACAGTATCAGGAAGAGGCGGCGGGCGCTGGAGAGGAGCGCGCGGGCCTGGAGTGAGGAGAGGGAGATTCGGGAGAGGGTCGAGAGGGAGGTGGAGGAGGAGGCTGCTGCGAGGAGGAAAGGGGACGGGGGAGGCGAGGAGGAGGGGCAGGGGGCGAGGGGCAAGGCGCCGTGAGGGTTTCAGGGGAGGGGGAGGAGGGGAGACCTTTCTACTCAATCAATCTTGGGATTGCGGACGGCTTCGCGTCAATCTGTTTACGGCTGGAGAATCACGAGGTACACTGATACGTTCCTCCGTGGGCGCAGATTAGGCTCGGTCGGTATTCGACGCGCCGCATGGGCATATACAGATTACATCTAAAGCCAGCCAGCGGCGGCTATGTACACATGTCCCTACATATTCTGCCGTGTCCTCTACGCCAGACGCTGTGCAAATGACAGTCAAAATGCCACCACTATCCTCGGTGCCTTCCGGTTGCCGTGGGCCAAATATTCAATGGCGCGACACGCTTTTACGCATCGTGCTGCTCGACCAGCTCATAATCGCCTTTGCCGCCGCCACCGCCCATAACCCTTCTCCAGAGCGGCAACCGCTGGGCGATGGGCGACCAGGAAAACCTCGAGGGGGACTTGTTGCGGCCCTTGCGCTTGCCCATGCCGAACAGGCGCGTATAAACCCACCAAGCCGCAACGCCCACGACACCAGCGAGCATGAAGCCCGCGGCCGTCAAGAGCATCCAATTCTTGCCCATCCAGAAGATAAGCTTGGCGTCACTGCCGTGCCAGCTGTCGCCCTTGTAGGTTTTGAAGAAACTCCACGCGTGATTGTCGTACTCGTCCGGCATCAGCACCCTGACGCGGCCAGGCCAATCCTCCCCCTCGTCCTCCAGCGCCGCGTGCTCGCCCATCCACTTCTTCCACATGACGCTGAGGAACAGCGGGCCCGTGCTGGCCATGATGGTAACGTACGGCAGGACCCAGGCGCGGTTCGCGCCCTCCAGGCTCTCGGTCACGCGCACGAAGAAGGGGTGTTGCGGCACGGCGCCCATGACGTCGTTGCTGATGCCCGTGGGGATGGTGCGGCGCACGAAGGCCGGGTACACGAGCAGCGGGTCCAGCCGGCGCTCGCAGCCGTCGTCCAGGTCGATGTACACGCCGCCATAGTGCGCGAGCACAAAGTAGCGAATGGCGTCGGCACGCTGGATGGGATGCTTGTAGCCTTCGAAGGTGGGGAGGAACCAGTCGTATTCTTTGGCAATGAAGTCGTGCGATTTGGCGTCGGTCCACAGGATGTATTCGTAGTCAGGCGTGTGTAGGTCGATACAGGACTTCTGCGCGGCCTGCCAGCGCGCGGGAATTGACTCGTTGATGTAGGTCTGGTGTATTATCCGGGGGATTATTTCTGGGCGTTGCGCAGGGTGGGAGGAGTCGTCGATCGCGGGAAGTTCACTGCGAGGGATGGCGTCTGCGGAGGCGTCTTCGATGAGCAGGGAGAGCAAGGTGGAGACACTGTGGAGGGCGAAGAGGAGCAGGGCGAGGATTATGATGATGAAGATGACGGTGGGACGTCGCATCGTGTATATGAGAAGTGAGGTGAGGTCGCGACTTGAAGGAGAGTAGGATTCGCGACCGGTGTCAAGGAATAGGGATCAGGGGGTCGCTGCGTGTCTACACCATGTTACCGGAGCACAGTCGCGACGATGAAAGTCCAAGGCTCGTCGTTAATGACGTCGACCAGATAGTGGTGCTACCGCAAGTATAAGGGTTCCAACACAGGCAACAGGCAAATAGCAAACGTTAAGGATGCGTGAAAGATTATTCTTGCATTGAGGCAGTGCCTGCACGACTTTTTTGCGATTGGTTAAGGAGGGGCCCGCCTAAATCGATTTAAGGGCTGGGATGCGAGATCTTCAAGCTACTTCCGGCTCGGTGCTGCCTAAAGTACGGGTCCGGCTCGTATTTTCTTAAAACGGGTCCTCACCACTGCATGTCTTCGACGTTGTCCACTTATATGATACGCTCCGCTCATACAGGTAGCTAGACACGCCTACATCTCGCAAGAATCTGCCTTAATGGTCGCGGAATCACCCTGCGTCCAAGTTGGCCTCGGTCCTTGATGCATCCTATTGCTGCTGAAGACAACAGCGTTGCTAAACGACTGCTAAGCTCACTGTTTGTTCAGCCGCAAGCGCATGCGTACCCATTCTATCCGTACTCTGGGCTACCGCTTACGAATATCAGTTCCTCGCGTCGCTCGCTTTGAGGGTCAGAGCTGGGCCACCCATCGGCCCTGGCGCATGTCAACATCAGGCATCTTACCGTCGGCGTCGGCCCGACTGATCTATCCGCGTTTACAGCCGGTACGAGTCAGCATCACCTGTGTGCTGTCCGTGGCAGCGAGTAAAGGTAGCCGGCCATTGTTCTCGTCGTTGCACTTCTATCATGTCGTATTAGCAAAATATATGCCGTGCCATCACACCCTTGCACCTTGTGTCAATGCCTATTTTGTACACAACGCCTGCCAGACCTGCATAAAGCATTCAAACGATCGTTGGGTATCTCTGAATTGCGAACACCAACGCCTCCTATGAGTGCAAATAGGAAGATGCGACATCCCTCTACTTCTTCCGAAGCTCAAAAATCGCCGACTCAGTCTCTCGTTCCAGAGTCTTCTCGTCCCGCGCATCGAAGAATGCATCGCGTTCCTGCGTCGGTGTCCGATTGTTCAACATGACCTTGTCAAATACCTTCTGCAGTGATGACGCAGTTTCCGGTCGCATATCGGCTGCCGGCATTCGAGGCGTGTCCTCTTGCCATGGAAAACCATTTGCAAGGCAATAGTTCCGGTAAAGGTAATGCTGTAACCGAGCTGTTTGGGCGTTCCACTTGTCTTCGAGTGCCGTCACCGCAATTGTAATGTCCTGATCGGTGAACGATGCTGATGACGACGATGAAGCGACGCGCTTGTGCGAATCTCGACGGCCTGCAAGCGCCCCAACCATGGTCATCCGCTTGATTGATGATGCACCTCGGTGCGTCGGTTTCGGTGACTCCGCCCGGTCCACCATCTCGATTTCTCGTCGCACCTTCTCCATCGACTTGGCCCGGTCTCCGTCCATAGCGGGCAGGTACTGTAGCATCCTGTTCTTTTCCAGGGCGTTGACGAGTACCGTGAAGCTCTGGAGATTCAGATCGTTGTAGTCACAGTGGATCTCCAAAAGCGTCTTATTTCGTTCAATCACCTCGGCCAGTGTGTTGGCGCCCTGCATCCCGAGACTCTGGTGCTCGATCCGAAGAAGCTTCAGCGTTCGGTTCTTCTCGAGCCCTCGAAGCGCAATATTGAGCCCGATCCCGAATCGCGTCGCGTCCAGGTGCGCGTGCTCGCCACTGATGTCGAGCTCTTCGAGCGTACGATTAGTGGCAAACATGTATTGTAATGCTTCGCACGTCTCTGTGCTAGCGTCGTATGGCAGAGAAGCCTTCGAAATGTCGAGACTTCTCAAGGTTGTGTTCATTGTCACGGCCTGAATGAGCTCTCTGAAATAGTGCTCCTTCTCAAAGTCCATCATCCGCATGGTCAGCGACGTGGGCCCTTGACCATTGGCGATAGACTTGGACAAGTTTGACATTCCCTGTTTCAACCTGTTTTCACTTGCATCGATATGCATCTCACGCGCTTGTCCAGGTTCTCGTGTCATGGACCGAAAGAAGATGGACAAATCTCGCCCAGTGAGCTGACACTGGTTTAGGTGTAGCTCTCGGAGGATCTCCGATCGCGGGCAAGCAAGGTAGGCGGCCAGTGAATCTACAGTCTGCTGGTTCAGCGTCGTTTGCGAAAGATAGAGAGCTTCCAGGCGCCAGGTCATCAAAGTCTCGGGAGGGATGAGTGGCTCAGGTCCATGGTTCTTGTGCACCCTCGATAAGTCAAGACGCCGGATGTACCTGAAGGCTCCAATCTGACGCTGAAACATCTCGGCGCTGAACCGCCCTTGAACGCCGGAGATGTTCATGACCTCCATGGTGTTAGCCTGTAAGGCCAACGTCGACAGTAGCACATCTGCGTCATGAACCGACAAGCAGCACTCTCCTACCTCCAGCGCTCGAAGATGGCACGTTCGCTCTGAAGCTGCATCAACTAAGAAATTGATGTCCGAGTCGGCCAAGCGGACACCATTGAGTACAATCCAGTCCACGTTAGTGAGTCCGCGTTTGCACAGCGGCACCAACGCCTCTGGAACACAACAGCTGTCGGCCTCCTCCTCACCCTCGTTTAGCGTCGGGAAGGCGGTGGAAAAATCAAGCCGTCGAAGTTTTCGGCTCTTCATAGCAAGCGCTCGGATTTCTTGACACAGCACAGGCAGCTCGTGGTGTCCTACCAGGTTGACAGGTGAGCCAGAGCGGCTGCAGACACTGTCAAAATCGGTAGCATATACATCGTAGAGGTATCGCAGAGAGCACAAATTGACATTGGCAAAGGAGATGCTCGCAAACGACTCATTGTATCTGAGAGCTTTGAAGACTGCGAGAAGCTCCAGAGTCGTGTAGGGGCCGCCGTCTATTGACGGGAGTAGGAGGAATCGAGGCGCGTCCTCACATTTGTGATCGACACTGTAGCATATCCGTGACGAGTCCACATCGTAGCCCGCGCAGTAGGCCATCAAGGTTCGATCGAAACAGTTGTAGTCTTCGACGATGGTTGGAGGCGATTGCACCTGATCTTCCAAGGCTGCAGGGACGTCGAAGATGAATGGCTGCCGCAGCCATTCGGGACGCAGATGTTCTGCAGCATATCTCAGCCACAGGACGATGTCGGCGGCGTTGGCGGAGGCCAAGCTCGCTGAATGCGGCGGTCTCAGTGGAGATTTAAAAGTCAGTTGAAAAGCGTCCTCCTCAGCTTGAGACTTGATACTACTCAAAGTCGTGATACCGAAAGACTGCACTGTCTCCAACTCACCAAAGTAAGGGGTCGAAGATCGAGCGCTAGACCGGGGGCATGGCACGAGATGAACCTTATGCAGACCGATGGCCAGATAGCAAACAGTGGAAGTGAGCTTGGTCAGGTCCTCGGCTGACGACCTGCTCACGCTCTTCGGCCCTGCTCTCTGGACCACCTTGAAGACTCGAAAGTGTTCGGGATCATAGTCGCGGTCGCGCTCGAGCATTCGAGCAACGTATTCTAAAGTGCTCCGGCTAAAGCTCGTATCCGACTTCGCAGCGACTTTACGGGCTGCCTCGCGAATCCTTTGTGTCCACTGCTCTGCGTCTCGTGGCTCGCCAAAGTGCATCTGCATTGCAGAGGACTTCTTCCCGCGCTCATCGAGATACGCGACCTCGACGGTAAAGAAGGGCCGTCCGTCGTCTAGCTTGTAAACTGCCACAACCTGGTCCAGCGGAATGCCGGATGCTATGTCCTGGTAGGCTGCAAGTTGCATTTCGGTGTATGAGCTAACGGACATTCTCGATGCAGTCCTGGTGATAGTGGCTGGGATGCTGGGGAACATCTCGGCAGCCTTACCTTGGGTGCGGAATCTTATGAGATGGGATTCGGTCAACACCACGTAATGGCTCTTCTTCCGGAACACATTCCCTGCTGCAGCCTGGATCTCTCCATGATGGAGGACAGTATTGCCGAACAGGCCTCGCTTGGGCATGTCCGGATCTTCATGCAAAGAGGATGATTTTGAATCTGAGCGCGTCAACGCGGCTTTTTCGTCTCCGTCGAGGGAGTGGAGGGACCGGAGAGAGCCAAAGACTGATCCTCGGTTTTGCTTTTGGAGGGTTCGAGGGCGGCTCTTTGGGCTGGAGGATTCGGCATTGCCCGTGGGCGACACACTGACATTGTCGAGGGTGACGGAGTGTGAGAGGTTGGTCGGCGTATTGGGACGGGCGGTAGTCTCGTGTTTCTGGCGGAACATGCTTAAGCTCCTTCTTCGCCGCTTGTCTGCCATGGCCGTAGTGCTCTTGCTGGGGTATGGATTGCGACCGGACGGCCAGCAGGTCCTATGGACACTCAGAAATCAACGACACAGCAGCCTCGAACTCCTCGTAGTGCATGCAGAAACTCATTGCCCCAAATCATGGTCCATGCGTGTGCTACACAGGGAACGTTGACACCTGTGCTGCTGTTACATTTACAACAATATGCCCTCCCAACTTTGCGTGCACCTGTTTGCCGCCCACGTGGGAGATTGCCGGAGTGCCAGACCTGCCTAAACAGATTTTAGATAGCACTAGACAAGTAGTTGAGCGGTGGGGCAAGCGGCAGAAATAGAGGCAAGCAGCTCTTCTTGGATACCGGGCCAAGTTATCTCGAGGTGCAGGATGGCGCGCGTCGGAAGTTCGGGCTCGATGACGGCGGGATCCGCCAGAGGAAGTTTCTGCGGAACTGCAACAGCGAAGATGGACTTGCTGAGCCCACCCCGGTTCGAGGCTGCAGTAGGCGAATGTATTCACGGAAACGTGAAGCGTGGAGATGCAGCTAAGAGGCAGATGAACAGCGCCGGCGAGAATGCGTAGCGAGGAAGATGAGCTCCATGAACAGTTATTGGTGGGGGGGTAAGCATGAGCTCTCGACCCCGGTCGACCATGACGTGGTTTTCCAGGTAATTAGGGGAGATTGCGCAAGCTCTGGAACAATCGACAGCCCCGGAAGCCCGTTTCCACTCCCTAGCGAATACCAATAAGGCTTCCAAGGCTTCCATGGGGCTCCGCTTGCTCGAGACATTAATACACGATGTAATACTCTCTGGGCAGCTGTCTCGCACGGTTGTGGTACAAGTTGCTGCGACAGGTCTCATTCCCAACATCAGAGATGCTTGCATGTTCATTACTAGTTATACAATGTCTCTAAAGGTTTCATCATTACCCAGCACTATTCTTGTATCTGCTGTTGTACATTTGACCCATTAGGGACCTGCCGCTGGCCTTGCCCATCGAGACCATAGAGGACGATTTGCTCTCGCTGTGCATCCAGCTCGTCTTGTTGCTGCCGCCACTTTTCGCCAGCCTGACTCATGCGCAGCAGCCGCTCCCGAAAGTAGTCCCTGCCGTCCCGCTCCTGCATTGCTAATTTCAGCGCGGCGGCACGTCTGCTCTTACACAGCCTATACTTCGAAGCCGCTCGAACCGCTGGCAGCTCCTCGATAGTGTATTCAAGTTTCCAATCATCGCTGGCCCCAAGGTTCGCTGGACGGCCTACTGGCTTGCCATTGACCGAACTGCGCACCATTACCTTGAATGCCATCAAAGGCTTGGACGAATCGTCATGGCCTTCGCTCGGGCCTGAAGAAGGTGTACCCTCGTTTGCCGAGGAGAACTCGAGCTCTGATAAACTCTCAAGAAAGTCGACATTTGCATCGCTGGTCTGGATACTGCTTGTCGCCCCCGTGACCTTCGTTGAACCCTCACTCTGTTTCGCTACACCCTCCTGTGCACCTTCCGGCTGTTGGTGAGAACTAGCGGTTTCGGACCCATCAGTCGCTGGCTCCCAAAGTTGCGACTCTTCTTCTGTGAGATCTGTGTTTGTCGAAGGCTGATCCCCCATCGCTTTGTCGCCCTTGGGATCAAGTCCATTGAAGATGCGTTGCTCATAAGCTGCCATCTCCTCCTTACTAGCACGTTGGATTTCATCCACATCCTCCTCGGACATAGGCTCCGCGAAAATATTCATGTATGGAACAGGCTCCAGCTTCGCTGTGGCTTCTCTCGTTTCGAAATGGAAGCGGAGCGTCTGACCTGGGAATCTCGCCGTTGCGCGATCAAAGACATCTTCCAGGATCTTGACGCTGAAACCGAATTCGCGGTCGCCCAGGGTTGGATCTGTCTGGCCATGTAGCGCCATGTCCATCTCTGGGAGTGAGATGTATTGAAAACCAAACATCCGCTCGATGTTGTGGAAGGCCACAAAGATGCCATCCATCCTCCCCATACGAACCTGGAGAGAATATTTGAGGAACGCCGATCGTATCATGTCGTAGTATTCGCGTTCATAAGATTCCCATTGTCCGAATCGCTCCTTGATTTGATAGCCTTGCGCAGGCTCGTGATCGTCAAGAGACATGCGAACCGCTGCCACGGCGCGTGTCTTCAAGTCAAACATACCGCTGCCAGGCAGGCGAGAATCATAAGCATCGAGCTGCGATCTCATGAGAAATTTGCCGATACGTCCATAGTGATACTGTTCGGGCTTCTCTGCCTCCAAATTGGCTCCCCCACGAGCCGACTTCCTGTATTTCTCAAAATCGTCCTTCTCGAGAGTTAAGAGCTTTTCAAGAGACCGTCCCAAACTCATCAGGATGTTGGCGCTATCAAATTCTTTGTCTGCATCGAGGGCGTAGACTCCGTCGCGCCAGCGAAGGAAGACCGCGCTGGGGGCTCTAGTCAGTCTTGTGAAGTTGGTCGAATCTGGTTTAAAGCCCCTGCTCAAGCTGTCCAGATTGATCTCGCGGAAAGCCGAAATGAGAAAGTGGAATTGGGCTATGGTAGATGTCATGCTGGACGAGGAGCCGGTGTAGCGTTGATTGTTCTGCAGGGCTAACCCACGCAGCTTCCCGTCGTCGGAGGAAGTAATGTACTCGTTCAAGGCATCGAAGTTGAATTCGGTGACAGGCATGATTTTTTCTAGGTACGGGTCAAAGTTGTAGACGCGAGACCGCGGATCCCGTAACTGATAGACGCCTGGATTGAAAAGGACTCGAGATAGGTCAAAGCTCAAGGAGCGAACATCAATATCCTCAACAATAACCGGATCGAGTCTGGCGTCCGCGGCTTCGAGTTCTTTGACACAAGCAGGGTCAAGGTCTGCGATCTTCAACGAGCCTTGCTGTTCTTCTCTCTCTTGAAGTCTGGGCTTTGTGGGGGTGCCTGGCTGATGAGGAGCACTGCGATCGGCATCCAAGAGGCGCTGTTTCTCTTTCCCCTGAACAACGAGTCTCACCGGCTTTTCCGGAAGACTCTCTGTCACCGGCTCGGCCGTTCGGGGAATCTGGTCGTTTGTTGCAGGATGGCCTGTGTCAGGCTTTTCGCGGTGTTTGTCGCCAACGTCTTGGGTGCCAGGGACCTCCTGTGTGACCTCTTTCGAAGATATCAGAGGGTGAGGACCTCCAAGCGTAAGGGCTTCCGCAACCTCGTTCAATTTCCCATCCGCGAATTCATCCAGTAATCGCTGTGCTTGTCTCCCGTATAAAGGTCGGAAGAACAGCAACATCTGTTTTTTGAGTTCCAGCTCATCGGCACTGAACTCCTGCTGGATCAAAGCCTCCATGTTCAGTGCGTCCAACGTCGAAGCTTTTGCACGCACGCGTGGTTCCGAGGATGTATTGACAGCGTGCAGAAGTATTTTCTTAGTCCTTTTCAAGGCACGGGACAGCTCGGTCAGACGCCCTTCGAGGCGCTGGCCGAGGCGCAGTATAGCCCCGTTCAACTTGGGCTTCCTCGCCCGGGACTTCGCCCGGCCCTTTGATTTGGCCGATATTGTTGCAACTGTTCTCGCAGGGACACTGGGTGGTTCATTTTGTGGATGTGGAGGATGGAGCACTTCTGGCATCCGAACCTTGGGAATTGGGCTTGATCCATTCTGCGCCCTAGCCCTTTCTGACAACTGTGAAGACAGGCGGTTCTGGACAGTGATGTAAACGAGTGGAGGCGTCGCAGAAATCGCTCGTCTGTACCGCGATGTTAGGCGCAGGGGCGCTGGAATCTCTTGTCTGCCATGTCGGAGACACGAGAGACAGACATGATGCAAGCTCATTACACCCGCAATGGCTTCACAGAAAGAGGCAGCTGTAACGAACGAAGTGCTGGAGCAAGATAACTACAGAAGACAGCAGCGCATGCCATTCGCGTCCAAAAAAATCCCGGGCCTGCTTGCCAGAGCCCGAGGTTTTGCCGTGTACGCTGCCCAGCGCCAGGTCTTGAGGTTTAGAAGGACGTCGCTCCCTGATGTCTATTTCACTTGTTCTTATAAAACTGTACAATCCTCTCTATGTCACCCCTCGCGAGGCTGCTTGCACACATCGTCAGCGCCCACTCAGGAACGCTCCGGGTCACTGCGCGCGCCACGTTCGGTACAATCAAGCAGCACCCGCACCCAACCTTGTCCAAGCACGCCTTCGCCCGCTCAGCACGTCAAGTGCAAGGTCTACGTCCGACCTCCCAGGCCCCTCGGTAACAGCCATACCAACTTCGCAGGTGATGACTTCGATGCCGCTGCTGTCCCGCTCAGCTCCGGGACGACTGCTTCGATCCAGAACGCCTCTTCCGTATGTTTTTGCTTCGCTTCCGTCGGCGGCCCTTGGTGTCTCTTGGCGAGTGGTCCTTGTTCCCAATGCCATAGCCCAATTGCAAGCTACATTGTCTAGCCCGAAGGCACGTAATGATCAAATTGGACCCACATCCACACCAGTCCAGCCGCCGCCGTGACCAGAGCAATGAATGCTTCCCTCAGTCGGACCGTCTGCCAAAGTAACAACTCCGTAATATACAAGAAAAGTACGCCCGCAAAAGTCCACATGGCTAGCACATAGAGCTCACGGCTCTTGTGTAGATTGTAGGCGGCATACATTCGGATCAAGGCGGTGTAGCAGTTCTTAATGCCGTAAAGATGAGCCTGTAAGGCCGAGCGTGGTGGTGCATTTGGACCCTGAAAGGGAACCATTGATGGAATGGGGTTGACATAGGTCGTGACAGAGTGTATTGCAGCAGAGATGGAGGTCTAGTTCATCATCGTTAGCATTCTGATATGATCAAGGGGCTGACGTACATAAAGCAGAAACCATTTGAGCAGGCCATCGGATTGTGGTAAGAGGTCCATAGTGGTCCTGGGGTCTCGAATAATCTTGAGGGACAAGCTGAAGATATCCTTACAAGCTAAGTATTTTGGGATAGGGATTGAGGTTAGGAACAGAAAGACGCCGATGTTCCGAATGGGGTTAAAGCACGAAGTGAGTTAGGCCACCCACACCGCAAGGAATACATGGACTCTGCACTACAGCCCCAGGGCAGGTAAGATCCGCTCTCTCACAAAGTCCTCAGGCTCTGCAAGCCGTACCCCCAATGCCAGGACCTGGGGATCCGGCGCCACAAAGCCTGGATAGTTCTGCTTGAAACGATTGTACATCTTGAATAGCTTGTCTCGTTCGGGGATTCCCGAAGATGTCTCGAGGACATACTTCGTCGGTTTTCCAGAGACTGGTGCATGGTAACCTCAGTTCGGAACTGATAGTCATAAGCTGTTGAGTGACTGACCTTTCTGTATAAGGTGGACAAGATCTGAATATGTCACTCGTCCACTGGATGCGAAGAGATACTGATGGTTGAGCTCATCCTTTTTGGCGTCCCACTCATCGAGGACGGCCTTCACAATCGCGGATAGATCTTTCTCAATCCACACCATTTGTACTATTCACGTCAGCATTCCAGCCCCCAAGAGCAACCTTGAACGGACAGCCAGTATCCTCCTCAATGACAGGATGACGAAACTCGATGCGGTCTTCGTCTTTGATGTAGACTGCGTGCTTTCTGGTGATCAGATTCTCGTAGAATGTGGCAGTCAAGATGAATGTGGACGGCAAGCCCAGCTCTTGAATGTAGGCGTCAACCAGATGCTTCGCTGGGCTTGTCAGAAAAATTTAACGAAACGGATCCGGCGAGGCGAGCGGGCGTACAATCATAGATCCGTGCCTCAACCTCTCCTCTGGTTAGTTGTTTCGAACTTGGCAAAGTACTCCAAACATAGCATTCGACTCCACTCCGTGAAGCAGCGCGTGCCATTGTCCGACCGTGTTCCTCCTCCAACTCAGGACGCTTGATAACGGCCTAAGCCCAAGGGTCAGCGTTTTGTCTTTGCCGCAGAGAAGATGGGTTGATGACCGGGTCATAGCTTGTTGTCACCGCGAAAACGCCCCAGCACCCTTCGAAGGCGTCATTCATCTGATCTTCGTCGTTCTGGTCCGCCTGGAAGACTTCAGCACCCGCTGAGAGTAGAGCCTCGGCAGCTTCAGAAGTTGTATTGCGTGTAATGGCACGAACTCGGTACTCTTCAGGCCACTGGAGTAGGAGCCTGGCCACTGCGCCGCCTGCGGCACATTAGATGCTATAGGGATATCCGTTGGACGTACCTTGAGTTCCAGTCGCTCCGACCACAGCGATGAGCCTTGGGGCCATATTTCCTAGTTATAGCAACCACGCCAAACGTTTTTGTTCTGGCCAGCCACGGAGTGCGTTTGAGCAAACGATGACCTCCTGTGAAGAAGTGCGCGCCTGTTTCGGAAGGATGAATGATTATGCTCAGCCATAGCATGAGTGGCAGGCCTTAGCAACTCCGCAATGCCTTGCCCCTCATCTGCGAACTGCCGTGAACGGCAGATCTGAACCAACTTGACAAATATGAAAGATGACAGCGTATACTTGGAAGACTTGGTTCGGGAGTCGTTTGGTGAAGTCTGGGTCCGTGAAGTGACGAGGTACACCAGCCGTGCACGATTGCCCGAGTTTCTGAACGTTCAGACCAGCACGCGATGCAATCGGAGATCTAGCAGCTGCATTGTTTATTAGCAGTATCTGGTTTGAGTAAGTAGACCACGAATGCCCGCGAGAAGCCTCTCGGTCTGCACGTTACCATTTGGAAGACGGTGTATATATGGTCTAGTAATGAGTGCCCGAAAGTGAAGACGGGCTGGATTCCATAAGATGAAAGAGGTTACTCTGTCTCCGCAAGGCTGCATCTCCTTGATATTGGCTCTTGGCATCTTCGGTAGAGATTATAGCGATATTGGGTCACGGTGAGGGTTGACAAGTCTCAGATGGACCCATCATGGCTTCTCTGACAAAATTCAGCGAAGCCGGCGCAGGCACAGTGGCGTAGGAGGCTCGAAATCTACAACATGGAGGTGGCAGAGTTCGCCAAAGTAGAAGGCAGAAGGTGCCACTCGAGCAACAGCTGCATGGCAAAAATGCCACTGAAGTTTCATCATTTCGTCTGAGGGCCACCAAACATATACCCGTTGCTGTCTGCTTACGTGTTCCTTCTTCCCCGCTGCGACACGGGCTTGCTGAGATCTAGTCCAACCGATCTGTTCCTCTCCACGTGCGACTGCCTGCTACTCAACGCTGTGTCATCTTGACGAGAACGTTGTTGAGCTCGTGACTTTCGCCCATGCGCTCTCCAAGTGACTCTCAATCATTTCGTCGGCGTGCTCTATGCCAGCGTCGCTGACGCCCATGCCATCAGAACTCTTAATCTCAGACCCAGGCTGTGTCTTGGTACTTTCGATCTGCGACTCGAGGTTGCTGGTATAGATGACGGCAGCGAATGAGTCAAGTTCTCTGACCTCTGCGTCGCATTTGGCGACATACTCGTTTGGCGGGTTGTTGCCGTTACCGATGGCATGGGCTTGGCGCGTAAGTATCGCAAGAATGTTGGCCAGCTTGACGCGTGGTTCGGCCGGCACCACAGTCACAGCTGAGTCAAGTTCTTGTATTCTTGGATGAGGAGCGCTGGCCTCGGATGCCGGCGGAGATTGAATGTTTGGCTGAGGATAGGAACTGGCGATGACCTTCTGGTCGATGAGGTGGCTGAACATAGTGTTCAGCAAAAGTGTGTGTATTCTGGTGAAGGAGGGAGAATCGATGAGATCGGCCGTCTCGTCCAAGAGCTGCCGAAGAGAGCCCGTGGAGGTGTCAAGGTAGGACGTTCGCTCTGGCGAAGGATCCATGGTCAACCCGGCGCCTGGCGACGACGACGACGACGTCTGAGGAGGGGTGATGACGTTGGCCTCGACGAGAAGATTTTCCTCCTCTTCTTGAGGTGGGAGCAGATATGGTAGCCAGCGTGTGGCGTATCTTTCCTGCTCCGTAGCACCTTCGACGTGCTTTCTCACGTTCAGCACTATCTTACGTAGCCGATCTGCAGACAAACCCTCTGTCGGAGACACTTGGCCGAGGGCCTCTTCTACCGCCGTCCTCACTTTGTCCAGGATCTGCGCATACCCCTTGTGCAAGAGGTGGTAGGAAAAGGTAAGGTATCGCCTATTAACCTCGTAGTTGTTGCCGAAGCTGCTGGATGTTGCATCATCATGATCCTCAAGCAGTATCGAGTTCGAGGTACCTGGGGGAGGAGGCTGCGCCAAAGCCTTCACTGAAGCGATGTAGTTGAGCCGACCCAATAGGTTCAGCTGTATTCTTGTAAAGAGCATGAGGAGCGAGAGCGAGTAGATGAAGGTGAAGGCTCTTGTGGTCGAACTGATTTTGATGTCATTCCATAGTTGAGCTTTGGTCTTACGAGGAGCATTGGGATTAATGCTCTCGCCCATCTGACTGGTATGGATAAAACTACCGGTTTGGAAACTGGACGTGCTCGCTGTATCGCCATCTCTAAAACTGGAAGACTCTGACTGGCCTTCCCCAGCAGTACGCGCTAAACGCTCTGCGCGCTTCTGTTGGAGTTCGGTGGTGAGCTGTTCGACGGGGAGTTTTTCGAGGATGTTTTCGGTAAGAGTAGGAAGGAGTGCAAGGACGGTGATCGTGCAGTCAGTCTGGTTCTGCTCAAATCGTCGCCGGATGCTGGCAGGTGTCAGTCAACTGAAGTCTTTCTCGATACGTGTCGTTTACTTCTCCTTCGCAACTCTATCGAGCTGTGACCGCTGGCGCGACTCGTTGATTTTCGTCAAGACATATTGACCAACAAAATATGTTCCTCCTACCACGGCAGCACCGACTGCGATAGTATTCCGGTTGCGCCTCAACCAGCGCCGCGCGCCTGATAACATGTTGCGTTAGTCTATCTTAGATGGACGAGATGCTGTGGCATGATCATCAAGTCATCAAGAGGACGGAGAAATGGCTCAAGCCCGTCAAGGACATGAGAAGAAGACTTGAATGAGCAGTGATTGTTAAGGACTGAGTCTTCACGCGGGTGGATGAGCACGCATGCCTTTTGATGCCCGGACAAGACCAATTGCCTTTCTGAAGGCATCTAAGCCGAGGCATCCCCCAGCCATTCCAGCCACCCTCCGATCCCAGGAGGCAGCAAGCCACATCCAGAGGCCCCCGGCCCCAGTACTGTGGCGCCTACAGTCGGATCAATGACGGTGTTTCGGGGTGCGTTTCGCCGTGCCTCAGGCATACCCCTCCATCGACCCCAGGTACCTCAACGCGCCAGCGCTATCGTGTTTCTTCTTGAAATCTATCTCACCATAACGTCTTCCTCGACTGCCTCTGGCACGATCCAAATCAAGTAGACCACCATGATCTGAACTACTGTAAATATACGGCGCCACTGAGCTGGCTGCCACCCATTCATTCCCCTCCCTTGTTTGCCCTCAAAACATTGGCAGTCGCCCCACCAAACCGCGAAACACAGGCAGCTCGACAACCGGGCTCTACGAGTACGAACACACCTACTCCTACGATTCCGCATTCGATATGGCATCTTCACCGCCGCACTCATATACCCTCGAAATCTTCTCCGACCAGCATCTTGTTCGCGATCTCGCGAAGGGCATCTTACATACCATCTTCTTCCACCGATACTTCCCCTCGATCCGCCCCTCACTGTATGCTCCTTCGTCATCTAGTGCCCCTACACCACGCACTGCTAGCACTACAGATACATCACTCCCAATACCGCTACCTTGTATCCTGGATCCGCCCGAGATCGCCGCCGCAATCGACACCTCAGTCGCAGAACTAATGTCGCAACTAAATACGCCATCAGGACCGGGGAATGTGCCGCCGGGCGGTAGCAGAGGGGAAATCGTGGTTCAGTTCTTTGACCGCAAAAGGCGGAAGACCGGTTACACGGGCGGCTGGCTTGGACGGCTGGGTGGTGGCGGGGCGCAGACGGACGAAGAGGTCTGCTGGGAGGAGTGGCGTTTGAAAGTCGTCGTCGCGAGACCGAGGAGCGAGGCAGGTGAGTGCTCAGAAATTGCCTCCTACCAATCTGCCAAAAAGGCTGAAGGAACTAAGACTTACTGATGGCGTGACTAGATCGGATCAAGGTCAGGAGAGCCATGGAGTCGAGCCTGCAGAAGACGGCGCTCAAGATCGTTGACCTAGTGAATAAGGAGAAGGACCACATACCGCCAATAACAACGAGCGAGCAGAACCCTTTCCCCTACAGGATGCTAGTAAACCCCAAGCAGCAGAATCTTGAAAAAGGGTTTGGCGGTTGGAGCTGAAAGCGCAAAGACAGCGCTGCAGAGATGTGGTGGCCAACGTCACAAACTGGATGGTGACTGGAGCAGTGGTACCAATCTGTTGATAGTCGCGTTTAGAGTACTTGGACTAGACGCAGGTGGTCGAGGGACTTGTTAGCTGGACAATGAGCCACGTCCGCCTCTCTAGCCTAGACACAGCTGAAAAACACGAGGGCAACAAAGTGGTTGGCAATCCTCAATTGAATATTGATACCAAGTCTATCGCACCAGCATTCCGCATTCCGCGTCCCATTCGTCCACCATTCCCGCACTCCCCGCACTCCCCGCCGCTTCCGGCTCCCAAGTTCCCACTCCCGATGCTAGAGGCAGCATACATAGCCATGTTGCATTTGCGTAAGTCAGATCTGTATCCTTGTACGTCGTGTTGTCCTTGTGTTGATTGTCCTGATGTCGTTCGCGTTGTGTTCTGATGGCAGTCAAGCGTCGACTATCTCTTTGAGCTCTTGTGCAAATGAGCTAGCCGAGCGCTTGAACCCGCCAGCTTCCCTTATGAAACGCTTACTGGCTTTTCCCAGCAGCGTCCGCCTTGGCCCGCAGATCGGCGGCAGTGGAGCCGGTGCTGGAGAAGAAGCGGGAGAAGACGGGCTGGATGACGGAGCGGAAGATGATCTGGGCGCCGTTGGTGACGGGCAGAGCCATCCACAGAACCAGGATGAATTTGAAGGTATAGTAGAAAGCTAGATACGGTCAGCGTGAGGTGCGGTGGTCTCGATCGAGTGGATACGTACGGAACCAGTAAACGGCGTTGATCAGGCTCTCGAAGACATTAAGGAATGCGTAGACCACCCAGTACTGCGGACGGTCAGTGTATGATAGTCTGAATTGAGGAGTGTATCTTACAGTCAACCATTGGGTATCGTCAGTCTTGCTGGCGCTGAACAAAGCCTCGAGAGAGTAGTATCCAGGAAGGATGAAACCAGCAAAGTTGACGAGGAAGGCGCCTCCGAGGTTGAAGAAGACGAGGAAGAAGTACAGGCCGCCGAGGGCGAGGATCACGTAGACCTTGGGAACACCGGCCTGCTTCTCAAAATTGTTGAGAACGTCATATTTGGACAACTAGACAGTTATAGAGTCAGCAATGAAGACTAGTGACATCCTGTGGCAGAGTAGACAATCATGGAGGTCAGAGCAGCCTGGCAGTCAGGCAGCATTGGAAAAGCATGTGCGCCGTACCTCCTTATCGAGCTGTGAGATTTGGTGTTGAGCCTTGTCTTGGAACGACATCTTGACAGATATGTGTGTGGTAGAGGCAAGTCAATGCGTGGGAATTGCAGATGAGAATGCAGGTCGAGTAGAAGTTGGACGGGTGTCTAGAGTTATCTGGAGGAGGAACTGGAAAGTGTGGGAAGAAGCAGGCGTGGGTGACAAGTATGCGTACGGTGTCGTCAGAGGTCAGGGTCACCACCCACACTCCCCCCCATCAGATCAGACCGGCAAAATTCGGTGTGAATTGCGCAAGTAGGTACTGTCGGCCGCTCGATGGTGGAGCGAATCTCTGGCCAATCAACAGAGACGCGCTAGCCTAGCGACGTTACTGGGGTTCCGGCCGCATACCCAACAGTAAACAGACACTCGAATGCCTCATATTTCGAAGCAATTGCTGTATTCACCTTGTCGCCTGGTCTCGCATCGCTACCAGCGAATCCCCTACTGCTCTGTTCGCGACCACGAGCGTATCATCAGCGAAGACGCCCTCGCGAAGACCGCTGTTGCGACCTCGACGACTCGATTTCGGTTGTTGTGTGCAGCGTAGCCGCTTCCGCCGCCCAGCCACTCCAAACTCGAGGCAAACACCAGTCCTGCGCGCCCTCGTTCATGCAATCGGACTGTACACTACTCACCTTCACCTGCTCGAACGAACAGCGATCTTGCTCGGCTTTTGACTGGCGTGCCGCAACAATTGGCTGGCGACAACCGCAAGCGAGATACGTCAGTGCCTCAGCATTCCGATTCATTTAACCAAAATGTCACAACCACAAACTTCCGACGTGGACGACCACACTCGCCCTCCTAACCGCTCAAGATCGGATACCTCGAGCTCCTTGAAAGAACGGAGACCTAAGTCTCGTACAAGCACAACTAGCCTACAGTCTGTTGACGTTGGTAATTCCTTCCAGCCACAATCGCATTCGGTTCCGCCAGAGCAACAACAACAATACATGCACATGCAACCTCACCCAGGACAGGTCCCTATACAAGCTCATGGAGCCCCAACAGCTATGGTCAATTCGTACCAGCAGCACATGCCATCACAGGTACCATATGCGCAACCCCACATGGACCCAAACCATGGCGTTGCTCAGCACGACATGCGCCCAGTGTCGCAGCAAGGCTTCCACGACAATGCCTACGCCATGCCATTCAACGGTATGCCTCAATACCAGCCTCACATGCAGCACTTTCGTCGGCAATCGGAACACTACGAGGGCTCGCCTGCTCCAGAGGACTCAAACAACGAGAACAAGCGAAGAAAAGGTACCGCCTCCACCTTAGCTAATGACCAAGAGCTGCGCCGCCTCCTTCAGCAGCACCAGGGAAAGAGCTTGAAGGAAGTGGCCCAAGAAGTTCAGAAGACCGAAGGTCACAATGGTGGAAAGGCCGAGAAGGCGAAGCAAGTCTTTGCTATGCTCTGGTAAGCTATTTGTATCTCCTATCTGCTCCTGTCCTAACTCTGCTCAAGGCTACGAGAAAGCTGTGTGCGAAGTAGCAGCTCCGTTAGAAGAGATCGTGTCTTTGCGAGATACACGGAACGTTGTGGTGGCGAGCGTGTTCCAACCCTCAACCCTGCTTCCTTCGGCAAGCTGGTCAGAATCATCTTTCCAAATGTCCAAACACGTCGACTCGGTGTCCGTGGCGAGTCAAAGTACCACTACGTCGACCTGTCTCTTGTCGCCAACGATGATGACGAACGTATGTACGCTGCAAATACATCGCTGTCTCGACCTGCTACAGCTGGCGGCGCTGCAACAGACACCGACGGCCCCACCGATAGCAAGACCCATCAACCTCGAGCTTCCACGTTGGATGGTCGGCCGAATTCTCGACACAGTATGGAAACGGCTGACTTTCCTGCTCCTAGCAATTCATTGCCTCCGCCATCAGCACCTGCACCCGTCCCCGATTCTCAACCTTCAACGAACCAATCTTACTGGCTCGATTGCCAGTATCACAATACACCAACCATCCAGATACCTACCAAGGGCCAGACCAACAATCTCGTCGCAGCTCTCCCTAAATTTCGCCCAAATGCTCCGGGCTGCATTGCAACGTACCTTGCCATGCCGAGCCCTCACCTGGTATCTCAGCAGGAATCCTCCGGACAAGACGCCCCGGTTGAGCTCCCCGACATTGCTCCGTATCTGGTTGGCGTCGAGCACGATGCAGACATTGCCAAGTCGTTGTTTCACTTATATCGATCTTATTGTACAGATGTTATCGACTCATTCCGCAAGTGTCGCGAAAAGAACTTCTTCAACCATCACTCAGCGTTCAATGGCAAGATGACTGTGCCAGTCTCTAAATTGTTCACTCTAGAGTGTCTCGCTCCGTGGATTCAAGAGTGCGATATGCGCATGTATAAGCAGATTGCCAAGTTTACTGCACCTCTGGTCCTCCAGAATGTGCCTGACATGGTATGGGGTGTCTTTGAGCGCGTAGCTGTCAAGCTCGTACAGCACATCATCAATTCATTCGAAGAGAAGTGTCCAGTCCATGTTGTGGTTGCGAAGACTGTGCCTGCTGCTCGATTCGCCAACTTGCTCAAGAAGCTCAAGACTGCCAATACCGCCACGCTTCAAATGAGTCGCCTGCTGGAAGATGGCAATACCCGTACACAGATGTGGCTCGACCTACTTGTCATGGTCACTCCTGAGACTGTACTCGACTCTAGCAATCCGCCTATGGAATGCCTGTCTAGTGTCAAGGGTGTACTCAAGCATGATCTCCGCACCCTCCTGGACCCGCTCCACGGGCCTCTGACGACTGCTGCGGAAGAGGATCCTACCAGCACCTACGTAGGCTTCCTTAACGACCCATCTGGAGGCCTCCCTGGCGTTCTTAGCTTTGACGTCTTGGACCAACCTATGGCGCTCCTGGACAAGTGGATCAGCTGGCTGCAATGCCTTCCCGAGACTTTTGAAGGCCATCATCCACAGTGCATGCTTGGCTGGCACAAGGGTTTCTGGGACAGCATACTCGCTGAGGTCGGCAACAATGGTGCAACTAGCTTCCAGGCCTGGTGGTATGCCAAAACTTTTGCTGTTTCCTTGCTCTCATGGATGGCTGAAATGCAAGGCCTGTTGATGTGTGAGGCCGATCAGAAATTGATGGATGCCCGCGAGATGGAGAAGATGCAGCAGCACCTCAGTTCGTCAACGTCGTCTAATCCAGGGAAGCGTAAGCGAGACGCCGACGACTCTAATGCTTGGACTAGTCGACCTGCGAAGCGTCACACCTCCTATCCGCTCCCAGGCTCGATCGAAACCACTCATATTCATGCCACTGCCCGGTCATCTGCTCTTGAGGCACGATCTGCTACTGTGGAACCAACGCTGCCTGAACTTCCACAGACCGCAGATTCTGACGAGACAGACGCAGAAATGGACGAGCTTCGTCGTGGTGGACCTCTACATCTGCCAAGCATCGGCCTGGGCTTTCACACCGGCCTCACCTCGCCACTAAAAATGAGCAAGACGCCGATGCGGGCGGGCGTAGGTGGCGTCAACGACGATTCGGGAATCGACCTGGGCCTCGACATTGACATGGAAGCCGAAAAAGAAGCCAAAAAGTTCCGCAAGGCGGACTGGCTGGTCAGCCTGAGCAGTGACCCTGTCGACGGCGCCGGCATGGGATCAGGAGTGATTGTCTAAAACACAACAAAGGGGAGAGATTACGCTTACTAATAGGTCCTCGAGGCGGAGAGTTGTGGTTTTCGCGGACCACGGCACGACCTGACCACGATTTTACGATGAAGGTTGGGTTCCGGTTACAGGAATGGGGTATTCGGGTTGACGCTGCCTCTGTTGGGCGTCGGCTCTATTGCGTTCTACGGCCTGGAAATGACCTTCTTGGCCCAGGTACGGTGAAATTGATTGATGCTTTGGTTTGTTGATACCCTACGGCAGGCAATTGGTCGGCCGCTTTGTTGATGATAATTTCTGGGTACGGAGATAAAGGTGTCTGAACACAGTGTTGGGATTTCTAGTGGATGAACATACAGGGAGAGTGTTGTTGGGAGTACTTTTTTGTGTAGCAATGAAGCAAAGGCCGTTTGGCTATTTGAACATCTCAAGCTTGAGACGATGTCTTGTTCTTCTTTGTTGGCGACAGCGGTCGTCCAGCCTCGCACTTAACCTGATGCAAGCATTATTGATATTGCGTACAGTACAAGGACGGCTTCAAGTCACCGACCGACCGTCGCTCACTCCGTGCTCACACTTTCTGGAGTCAATCCTGCCGCGATGTGATCGTACAGCAGGTTCGACACAATTAGGCCGCCGGGAAGAAGGGAATGAAGAAGTGGGTGGCGATTGCTCTTCTCTGAATTTTGGAACTTGCTCCAAAGCTTTGCTAGATAGGGGGGTATTTGTCATATATGAGGCGTTAAAGAATCATACTGCAGCTGCGACAGCCCATTCCGACGTGGTGAGAGCTTGCTCATGTTTTCCATGTAGATGAAGGAGATCGGCTTCCTGTACTGGATGGTCGCTGCTCTCGACAACGACCTGTGTCAGCGCATCTCGATGCCGGGGAAGAATCTCGGGCCGCCGTAGCCGTGGGCCGTGATAGCCTGAATATCGATATTGGCATTCGGACAAGGTGCCCAGAGCTTGATGAGGATGTATCTTCCGGCCCTGGCATCAATCAGTAAACTACTACTTATTGACTTCTGAGATGAACGAAACTTACACCGGAGGGTCAAACTTCACCGCGATGCTACTTCTGCTCCGCGGGATGAAGAATCTTGCATGAGGCGCCAATATATCCAACGAGTTTGCGGCGGCGGCGGTCGCCTCTGCTTCTGACACGGGCTTTCCAGCGATAGCTTCGGTGTCCGAGCCGAGTCTCTCGTAGCCCTGAGTGAGAGGAGGTGGAGGTCCAAGTACATAATGCTCATGATTGCCATAGCCACGCACAGTTCTGGAACTGGGCGTCGATCGACGGTAGACAGGGACTTGTGGTGGAGCGTCGGAATCGGTGTCTTCTTGAAGGCGGCGGGAGGCAGCTTCAGCGTCATGTCGGGTGCGGCGCAGGATGCGGCGAGCCTCTTGACCGTGCTCGCCCATTTCGTTAAGAACCGCAACCATTTCGGCGGCATCGGCGACATGGGCGACATGATCCGCCAAGTCTTCAGAGTCGCTGGTTGGGTTGGATGGGTCATTGTGCTCGTCAAGTAAATTGACAGGGTCAGTGTAGCGAGGGCGATAGCGGTCAAGGTAAGGAGGTCGGTAGGAGTCATCTGCATCGTAGTTGTGCCAGGGTCGTGGCGATGGAGGACCAGAAGTGGTAGCTGCTTCTTCCTCGTCGGATGGATCACCTATGGAGACAGTGAAGCCAGGAACAACGGCGCTATCGAGGGTAGTATCGTTATCAATATGTTGCGAGAGGGCATGAGGATCCCTAAGATATCGAGTACGATCAATTGAGCGAAGAGGCGAGCGAGTTGAATTGAAGTACGCGGAAGATGGACGGTGGTGCTCGAAACGTTGGCGGTGGAGGCGGAAGGTTTTAGGCGAATATTGGATCTCGTACTTTGCGGTCTTCTCAAGAATATCTTCGTCAGTCATAGCCACAAAGATCATGCCTTCTTGAATCGGAGCATCGTAACCTGATCTGGGCGCCTTGATGACCATTTTAGTCAGAGTAAAAGGCATACCACTGGCGTGTCGGAGTAGCATATTGCAGCGACTACTTTTCGTGCAATATACGGTTGCATCGTCTTGAAGAGCGTTCTGTGGCCATGAAGTCATGCCATGATTTGGATCCTGGTACTCGCCACCGTCACAGCTCGCAATATCCAATTTGAGCTGCCCAGGTACAACCTGCCCCTTGTGTCCGTACTTGATAGCTTTGTTCTCGTCTTCGTATGTACCGTCATCAAGCTTGCGCCGCTTCGCGCGAGAACGATAGTCACGGTTTAGGAATGTGTCTGGTGAGTCAGACATAGGGGAGATTGGACTGGTTGACGTATAAGTTGAAGGGGCCAGACCTTGTCCGAGGCGTTCTCGTTGGTGTCTAGTCAACCGCTCACTGGGTCTAAAAGCTCGGCGCCGTGTTCTGACCAGGCTCGATGGGGTGACGCCACTAGGCACTGGGGCGTTAGGCAGCGGCGAAGGAAGACGACCAGAGTCCCGATCTTCACCGGGAGTATCAACATAGGGTCTCCGATGTTCATTTTGACGTAGCTGAGACGCTCTGGCTGATACCGACCTTGACTCATCATTGGCCATGTCGTCCATCTCCTGTTCAAAGGCCTCTCGAGCTCGACGTTGTTCGGCCGGAGTGTGGCGTTCGCTTTGAATAAGGTTTCTCAGGTTCTGAAGTCTTGCGTGAACATCAGACAATTGTCTAATGGAGTTTCTCAGGCCTTGGGTGGTCTCATCGGCCTGTTCGTGTTAGTGTTGGCTCCCACGCATTGTCTGTGCCGTTGCAGGTGGGACAGACCATGTCTAGGCCAGATGACTGGGCGAGGCGGTGGCTGAAATCTTGAAGAAGTCTTATGTCTCGTTGGAAGTGGCGAGCAGGCGGCATTCAGCAGTAATGGTATGCGCTTGAGCCCATTATTGGCATAGGCTAAGGAGTGGTCGTTGTGAGAGAGTCGGGGAAGAGGGGTGATGAGTGCCTTCAATGGTCGTCGAGCAGCAGCCAGTCAGACAATGAGGGCTTCCTTCTCCACAGTCAAGCCTAGCGCGGTCCGTGGGCGGCTAATTCCTGGGTGGTTAGGTGCAGCCTAGGTCGCCCAGAGCAAAGCACGCGGGCGGCATGACGCAGGCCCCCGCCGATCCCTACAAGGAATTCGCTTAGCTATTCCCTTTTGGCGGCGGCCTCCACTGCAGGGACAAGCCCCAGGTGAGACTGTTTGACTGCATATAATCGTCGACACTTTTGTGTCTCTGGTAATCATCTAGTACACGTAGAGGCTCCTTTCATTTTGGCCTGAGTCGCGCATTCGCGTTTGCGCGACTTCACTCCGCGAGGTGCTAGTCACTTGAGGTCCACTATGGCCGTCCCAGCTACTTCTGCCGCCGAGGCGCAGGCGGAGTTGCCCTCTGAACAACCACCGCCGCCTGCGCCTACATCTGCACCAGACCCTCAAGCAGAACCAGAGAAGACTGTATCGTCGACTGCGGACTCAACCGCTGTGGCACCTGCGACGACGAACGACTCTGCACAGGGCGCCCCTCCTCCAGACTTTGTGCCTGCCGTCCCTGATCTGAACGGAACTTCAGACGTGCCGTTTGATCCCTCCGCATATGGCATGAACGGCTATTCCATGACCGATCCTAACTTCATGCAACCTCAGATGGACTTCATGCAAGCTCCCATGATGGACGTTCCAATGGCGCAGCCGATATCCGCTGACGAAATTGCTCTTTACGATCGTCAAATCCGACTCTGGGGAGTCCAAGCGCAAGAGAAGATCCGCTCCGCAAACATTCTACTTATTGGTCTCAAGGGCTTGGGCGCTGAGATTGCGAAGAACCTGGTGCTAGCCGGCGTCGGAACGCTCACCATCCTCGACGGCGAGGCTGTTGCTGACCATGATCTTGGTACGCAATTCTTCGTATCGCAAGAGCAAGTTGGACAGAATCGCGCCCAAGCAGCACAGCCCGAGATCCAGAAGCTCAATCCCCGTGTCAACCTCTTCGTCGACCCCGACATCGTCTTCAGCAAGATGCCAGAGTATTTCTCTTCCTTCGACCTAACGATCGCGACCGGACTTCCCATCGAGGCCATCAGCTCCATCAATACGTCTTGCCGCAACTTCAACCGCAAATTCTATGCCGCCGATACGCATGGCATGTACGGCTATATCTTTGCCGATCTTGTCATTCACCAGTTCGTACAAGAACGTCTACAATCCAACGTCCCTACCCAGCTTGGTAAGCGCGAAACTGCGTTTCGCAGCGTGATTGGCGTCTCTGAGAAGACTGAGAATGGCAAGAAGATGGAAGTCGTCACCAAGCAAGAGGAATACTCGCCTTTCCTGCTGTCTAACCTCTCGCCTCTCCCGGCCGAGGCCACTAAGACCGTCTCCAAGCGCAAGAAGGTGTCGCCTCTGCTTTCGTGCTTACGTGCCCTCTTCGATTTCCAACAGCAGAGCGGTGGCCGCTTACCCGTTCACAGCCAGCAAGACCTTGCTATTTTCACCAAGATGGCGCACGATAAACATCTCGAACTGCAACTGCCACCCGAGACCATGAAGGCCGACTTTCTACGAAGCTTTCTGCAGAATCTAGGCGCTGAGCTTAGCCCCGTTGTTGCTTTTCTGGGCGGTAGACTGGCACAGGACGTAATCAATGTGCTGGGTCAGCGGGAGCAACCACTGCAGAATTTCTTACTCTTCGATGGTGAGACATTCACGAGCTCTACCTATGCATTACAGCCAGTCTTCGACGAGAGCATGGCAGTGGGTATGGGTATGGATATGGCTATGGGCACGGATGGAGGCGCAGTGGATGCGGCTGCGGGTGGTCAGAACGGCACAGTTGCTGCTGCTTAATGGCGCTCGAACACAACAACATGGGACAACAATACGCAAAGGCGCACAATGATCCGAGCCTGTGTACATCATGGTGGCAAGCACCGCAACTAGAAGAAAAAGCTGATGAGGACCGAAAGAATCGGATAGCGACGTTTGGGCTTGGCATACTGGGAAGATCTCGCGAGGCGTTCATAGAATTTCAAGGCAACTTTCGAGTTTTCCTTTGGATAGGCAGATACCCAACATCGAGCCATCGCAAGTGGCAGATGCACAGCCAGCGCTGGACTAGACTTTAGGAAGCGATAGAAAGACACTTCTCCCGACTTGCATTCATCTTCCGAACATCACCGTGTTTGCGTCCAAACTATTTCTATCCTGTCTGCTGCACGCGCCAACGCCAAGGTGACCGAATGCCACCGTACTGGGCCTCCGTTTGTGACTGTCGGCACTACGAAGATTAATATCTGTCAGTCATGGCTACTTCTCTAGACGTCGACAACGAAAACAGCGACTCCGATCTATCAGCAGACGTGGCCGCCGCGTCGGACACGGGCAATGAGAATGATAGTTCAGGAGCGTTTTCAGACTCGCCATCGACGTCAAGACCACCCGCACCTGCACCCACGACGCCCTTCCCAACCCACCTCTCGGACCTCGCGCCCCAAGAAACCCTCGTGCCGAACCTCTACAAAACCCTGCACGCGCTGCACCAGCACACGCTCGCGCCGCTGCCGCGCCTCCGCTCCATCGCCACGGACGCCGCCTTCGTCACCTCGCTGCGGCGCGCCACGGGCCTGCCGCTCATCGCCAACGAGCGCTGCGGCGCCTGGTACATCCCGCCGGCCCTGAAGGCCGCGAGCGCGTACTTCAAGTCGACGGACGGGCACTACGGGCAGTGGGCGTTCAGCCTGCGGCGACTGAATCTGCAGGTACTGGATGTGCTGGGGGCGCAGGGGGGTGGGGTGTTGGTGGATAGCACGCGGAGGGGGAAGGCGTGGCCGGATGCGTTGAGGAGGACGGTGCCGTTGTGGGTGGCGGTGGTGGATAATGTGCTTTGGGGGGGGAGGGTGGAGGAGGGAGGGGACGGGAGGGGGAGAGAGGGGTTGCAGACGCCGGAGGGGGAGGAGGGGGTGGGGGAGAGTGAGCGGGCGCAGGTCGAGGCGAGGTTGGCGGCGTGGGAGGGGGAATTCAGAGGGCTGGGACTTGACTTGGGGGAATTAAGAAGGAGGGTGAAGAGGAGAATCAGGTGTGTGTGGGTTGCTAATGGGGCTTGGGAGCCTGATGGCTGGGCGGAGAAGATTAGGGGTATGGGCGATTTTAATGTGCTGGTGCTTGCGAGCGCGAGTCGGAGGGTCAGGGGTGCCGAGATGAGCGAAGGCGGCTACGTGCAGGGGGCTGGAGATGATAGTGAGGGCTGGGCTAGAGGCCTCACGAGTCAGCTGTGGTGGGAAAACAAGGACAGATTGCTGGCAGCTGGGGAGGGAGACGTAGAGGACATGATCGGTGAGATCGTGGCCACGGCAAAGGCGACGGAGAGTGTGGGTCAAGGCACGCGCATTGAAAAGGCGTCGAACTTGTTTGTTGGTGCAGGAAGGCGGGAGGAATGTGACGGCTTCGATCTGGTCATCAACTGTCAGGGGGGCGGCAAAGACGGGAAGAGCTTGCTCAACCTGAAGTGCAGAGAAGGCAAGCTTGGAAGCAAAGACCTGAGGGACAAGCTGGCGAGCGCGAAAGACGTGGCTGGCGCGGTACTGCAGCAGAATCCTCATAGTCGTATTCTGGTTACTTGCTCCTCGGGCAAAGACTTGAGTATTGGCACCGCTCTGAGCCTCATATGCCTCTTCTTCAGCGATACCGGTATGTTGATACGATAAGTCCTTTATCCAGTTCGCAGACTAACTTGTCGCAGGAGAGCTGAATGCTGCCCGTCAGCCCTACTTCATTGATAAAATGGTCATCAAGCAACGGCTTGTATGGATTTCCAGCTGCAAGTCGGATGCCAATCCATCACGAGCGACACTGCAAGCAGTCAATTCCTTCCTCATCGATCGCCCCGGTTGAAAAGGCCTGTGGCTGTGGTAGACATTTGACGCTGCTACTGCAAGCTTCAGTCACCTATTGCACTTGAAAGCACGTTGCGGCCGCCACTGAACAACGGCAGGCTTCCATCCAAGCACTCAAGCACACCATGTAGCGCTTCAGAGCGTATTCTTCGCGACCTGCACGATACTGCCTGCCTCTCCCTCATCCAATGCATCCAAGACATTCATATCCTCCTCAGTCAACTCCCAGCTGAAAACGTCCGCGTTCTCTTTGATCCGACCCTCGTTATCACTCTTGACCAGCGGCACGTATCCTTTCTGCAAAGACCATCTGACCAGCACCTGAGCCGTGCTCCTCCCATTCTTCGCGGCCAGTCCTTTCAACGTTCCATCATTGGCCTTGTAGTTCCTCACAATCGGGCAATACGCTTGTACCACAGTGCCCAGCTTCTCACAATACGCCACCAGCTCTCTCTGCTGACACCACGGGTGCAGTTCAATCTGTTCGACGTGAGGCGGCCAAACCGCGGTAGCATACTCCTGCATTTCCTTGATATGCCCAATACCCCAATTACTCACTCCAATCGCTTTTGCCTTGCCCTCAGCCCACAGCCGTTCGAGCGCCAGCCACATCTCACGCCGGCCCTCACGCCCCGAATTCGGGCTGTGGATCAAGAACAGATCGACGTAGCCTCCGCTTCCGTCCTCTCCGGGATCGAGCTTCCGCACGCTCTCGACGCATTTCCGGTAGCTCGCGTCCACGGACCCGCCAGCGGAGAGGATCTTGGTGGTCGAGAAGATTTCACTGCGTGGCACGCCGGACTCGATGACCGCCTGGCCGACTTCGGCTTCGTTGCGATAGAACTGTGCACTGTCGATGTGGCGATAGCCGGCGCGGATGGCGGACACGCTTGAGGTCTGGCAGACTGAAGGATCGGAGCGGTAGACCCCGAAGCCGAGGCGGGGCATATGGATAGGTTCAGCGCTGTTACTGGCATTTTGGCTGGTCGAGAGGGCGCGGGTGTGCAGAGGGACAGTTGACGTTATGGTAAGACCGTCAGCCATGGTTGAAAAGGATACTTTTGCCGGATGTGTGACGCGTGAGGCAGAGATGGTCCAGCGAAAGAGACGTGCTTCGTACGTGGCGAATAATATTCCTTCAGGTCCTGAACTTCTCTTTCGGCACTGCTGATGGAGAAGAAAACACAGAATTGCTCGGCTACGTGACAGTGTAGATGTGAAGCTTGCTGCGTATGTCGTTCTAGTCAATGCATATTGTATTGCATCATGTTGACGATCGACAGGCACAACCGAAGAGTGGATATGCTTCTCGGCTGTGCCTTCCTCCAATAACTCCTGTCTAGCTACAATATATCTACACAGCAATGCTGCGATACGTCCTCATTCCCTGTGACCTGCATGATATGCGTGCGAGGCACTCAGCCTCCTTCTCCTATCATAGAGACTGGGCCATAGACTCGGCCCATGGCTAACTTCCTCCCTCGGCTTCGTGCTCCTCTTCTGACGACTTGTCTCGGGGAGAGGCATTGCACTGGGCCGGGATATAAGTCTCGACATATAAGCATGTTCGTCCTTCTCACAGGACTACCAAAGGTTGAGATGCGGTAGGGACCGTCAGGTTGAGATACCAGGATCCCATCGTTGATGCTAACTGCCAGACTGGTGGAGAGGTGCTGCAAGCCGGCTGCACCGTGCTCTACCTCGCAATGGTGCAGGACGCTGAGCATCTAGATGTCGTTTTCGGCAGTCTTTAGGAAACTATTCTTCGGAGGAAGCATGCTGCCGTAACGCGTGCTGGGCTAGAGTCATGTTCGTCCAAGTGATCCCAAGGGCCTGCCTCATGATACGCGCTGCTTCTTGAAGGCATTACCGCCACCAGCCTCCCTTTGCCGCTTCTTCTCGATCTCCTCCTTCATGATTCGCTCCGCTTCGCTCATGGGTCTCTGAGGGCCTGGTGCGGTAGCCTTCTTGGAGCCACTGAAAGCATTCTTCTTGGACGCGGCTGCGAAGACATTTTTTGGCTTGGATGCAGCGCCAAACGACATGGGCTTGAAGCCGGGCTTTGCGGTTGCGGCAGTCGAGCTGGGCTTAGAGGCTTCGGCTTCCGGTGACGACGTTTTCTCGTTTGCGTCGGCTTTGTCTGGTGATTCGGCGTCGTCGGTCAGAGGTGGAGATGGGGGCTTTTCTGGATCCGACTGCTTCTTCGCGCCGAAGTTGAGCACAACTTTTTCGCCATTGTTGCGCTTGATGCCTTCTGCAGATGGCTCGTCATCCTCATCCTCCTCGGAGTCTTGGTCTCGGTATTCGGTTGCGTCTTTCCTTGCTCGCCGAATCTGTTGCTGAATCATGCGTTGCTCGCGCTCCTCGTCACCCTTATCTTGCCTTTCTCTCTTTTTGAGCGCTTCCTGCCGTCTTAACGCCTCTGGGCTGTTGTCAACCCAGGAGATGGTGAGGCTTGAGGCGCCACCAACACCTTGCTCCGTTTTCTCCTCGTCTTCTTCCACGCGGCAAGTTCCCGAACGACCGAGGTGTTTTGCAAATTCGGTTAGACTGGCCCATTTCGTAGCATTCATATGCATGTGCTCTTTGTTCGAGATATACTCCTGGTAGAAGTGGTTCAAATTGACCTTCTTCTCGCCGTGGCCTGTCCTCAACAGTTGTACGAAGTCTCGCTCGAATTCTCTTGAGAACTCGTTGATCGCCTTCCGAGGATCTTCTCCAATGGTTTGCATGTTCCTCACGTGGGACTCTGAGGCGACATGACACTTGAAACCATTCTCATCGCGCATCTGGCGTTGACATGCTTGACAGTACCATCGCAACCGTTGAAGGCCTTTTGCCTTCATCTGATTTGCGATGTGTTTGGTCGAACCAACCTCGGCGCGAGGCATGGTGGCGGTAATTCGGGAGGTCTGGCTTAGAAAGAGGAGGCTGAGCCTTTCCGGTGAGGTGCGACCTAGGTGCGACCTAGGTGCGAGGTACACGTATGTTTGTCGAGATTACGGCTCCGGCGTTGACCACAATGCGCTTGAGATCAGTGTTGTTGCGGCGGACAAAAGTCCAGAGGTTGCGCAGGCTGAAGAAGTCCTGCTTGGCAGGTCCGATGCGGCGCCTGCGAATGACGTCGCAGCGCCTGAATATCACCTAAAAATCACGAAATCACTGCCTGTGAACGTCCAAAAGTCGCCCCACTATCCTTTAGATTTATCATCTTGCACAGTCTGCTCACCTCAAGTCCTCCTAACGCTTGAACGTCGCCTTGGTGCATGAAGGTGTATCTGTTTCTCGTCTCGCAACCAACTTTTCGCATCACACTGCACTGCAGCCGCTAGAATGGTGCTTCCGAAGAGCAAGAACAGCGTTGGGCTGGGAAACAGTCTCATGAATGATCGTTTTGGCAAAGGAAAAGGCAGTGATCGAAAGAAGACCAGTGCCACAGCAGGTGTGGTCAGGACGAATCATGCTACCGGCGAAAGCTATGTCACCAACGCCGCAAAAGAGGCTTCCTGGGTGAAGATGCGCAGTGTCACTGAACAGGGAGCCCTCGATGAGTTTCTGTCAACGGCCGAGCTTGCGGGCACAGACTTTACCGCAGAGAAGATGAGCAGCGTGAAGATTATACACGCAGACCAGAAGAACCCTTACTTGCTCAGCGCGGATGAAGAGCAAGGCATCAGGAGAAAACACGCTCGCAACAGAGGACGATTGTCGGTGCCCCGGCGGCCAAAATGGGATGAATCTACTACACCTCTTCAGCTGGATGAGAAAGAGAGAGCAAACCTGCTGGAATGGAGACGCGGCCTTGCCGAACTCCAAGAAAACGATGACCTTCTTATGACGCCTTTCGAACGAAATATCGAGGTCTGGCGCCAGCTGTGGCGGGTCATCGAGCGGTCTGATCTGGTTGTTCAAATCGTGGATGCCAGAAATGCATTGCTGTTCCGAAGCGAAGACCTCGAGCGCTACGTGAAAGAAGTTGACCCTGCCAAACGTAACCTATTGTTAGTGAACAAGGCAGATATGATGACCGCACGACAACGAGAAGCATGGGCGAGCTACTTTGTGGAGAGGAGTATCAACTACAAGTTCTTTTCTGCACATCTCGCAAAGGAGTTGAACGAGGGTAAGGATGCTCTCGATGACTTGGTCGAAAGAGAAGCGCGGCAGGTCGAAGATGAGAATGATCCACAGAAAGAGATGGTCCAAGATGTGCAGGACCTCAACCTCAAGGACCAGGAACAGGAAGACTGGTCAGACGAAGAAGCAGGTGGATCAGAAGGCTCAGATCACGACTCGTCGGATGAGCGGACCAGGATCTTGACGGTAGACGAGCTCGAGTCTCTGTTTTTAGAGAACATCCCGGCCGGCAGTGCTCAGGATCGGAAAACAACCATTGGACTCGTCGGCTATCCTAATGTCGGCAAATCATCAACTATCAATGCGCTTATCGGTGCAAAGAAGGTCAGCGTGTCGGCAACACCGGGTAAGACCAAGCACTTTCAGACCATTCATCTCAGCGATCGGGTCATCCTGTGTGATTGTCCTGGTCTCGTTTTCCCTAACTTTGCCACCACCAAGGCTGAATTGGTGTGTGCGGGTGTGCTGCCAATTGATCAACTACGAGAATTCACCGGGCCAGCCGGTCTGGTCGCACAGCGGATACCCAAGCCTTTCCTGGAGAATGTCTATGGCATGAAAATCCATACAAGACCGATTGAGGAAGGTGGTACAGGTGTGCCCACAGCTTCTGAAGTGCTTAGAGCATACGCCAAAGCGCGAGGCTTTGCTACAACGGGGCATGGCCAACCAGATGAGTCTCGGGCGGCAAGATATGTACTCAAGGACTATGTCAACGGCAAGCTGCTCTATTGCCATCCTCCGCCAAGCGATCCTGAGATTGACGGCAACGAGTTCAACAAGGATCTATATGACTTTGCCCATCTGCCCGCAAAACGACAGGCATGGCTTATCTCGCACAGTGAGGAGATACCAGAAGCTGAGGTTGCGCGTGACGTTCCAGTACCAGGCCCAGCATCAGAGACCGGCGCAAGGTCGAAACAGCTTGACAAAGGCTTCTTTGGTGCAGGCTCAGGCAACGCTGGACATCTGACAATGCCATTCAACCACCAGTATACCGAGCAGGGGAAGCAGAAACAGTTGTCAGGCCGCAAAGCGAGGACTATGGCCGCCCTGGAGAAGGACCTTGACCCAACAGAGGTCAAGACGGGCAGCAAGAAACATTTCAAGTCTGCTCGGACAAAGACTCGAAACACGAGGCCGGTAGAGCAAGATGATGATTGAGTGTAGTGTTAGACTACGCTTTGCAGATGGAGCTTTCCAGGTAGCCATGGCGTCTGCGAATATTATGATATCAAGCTTCTGTGTTATAATCAATCCAGACCCTGTCAACACTTAGACTCAGTCATAATGCTGACTTCAACTGCCTGGAGTGCTCGTTTCTCACCATCACCACCTGCAGATCAGCCTTGGTCGAAGCACGACTGCCGAGAATCCTCTGCTCGATCACCCCTCACGTCTCCTAGATTGGCCTTTCCCTTCGCCCTATCCAATTGCAACCCACTCGGTTGTGCACACCACTTCCCAGAGCTCAGAGCTCAGAATGCCGTCGAGAGTCAAATGTGATTGGCCCAGACCCCCACACGTCAACGCGAGGGGCACATCATTCAGTTGCCTTGTACCACTGCAAAACGCCGTGAAGGTTCGATCCCGTCGCCCCGGATTGGTGTAATGCAGATACTAAACTGCTCCAATCTAAAATAGCATTCCTGGCAGATCTCGAACGACTGGTATGCGTTCACTACTTATTTGGCCTTTTGGCCCGGTCCATCATATAAAGGCTGGTCTGTGGTGACTAGCAGAACTTTGCCCGTCGCCCAACCTCTATCTGTGTCGGACGATCTGGCCGGTCGGCTGAGCTGATAGGCAACACGAGAACCTTCGTGATATGGACCTTGGCTGCAGAGCCAGCTCGCGCCTCCATTACAGCTCTGCAGGCATGCGAAGTATCTGTGCAACCCACTTCAGCGTCTGTGGCCGATGCCTATCACGGTCTCAAGAAGGCTGCGCGCTGGACCAGAATGCAAACCCACTCACCGCCAGGCGGTCCAAGGTCCTCCTAACAGAGCCCAACCCCATGTACGCGTGGACTTGGTGCATAGCATCGGCATGTCGGGCGCATTTGACGTCCGCAGGACGCATCGTCGACGTGACCAGCCGACCAAGATCCTGGCATGCAAGACTTCTGGGCTCTGAAGCTTGAGACCAATCACTCCGAGGATGAGAGAGAACTATGAAGCAAAGCGTGCTCTGGGACAGTGCCTTGGGAGCATTGCGAATGCCAATTCCTCGCTGCCACCTCCTTGGGCATTCGGCCGAACCAGAGTCCACGTCGCTCATGTAGGGAGAGGCTTTCGAGACCGAGACCCGCATCAATACGTGATGGCTGGAAAGGTGGGGTGGGTGGTTGCGCTTGGAATTCGTGAGATCTAATCTATTTTAGGCATAGCGGTTGCCTCGCGCCTACTTTCTGACTACTCGACAAGGTACCCAGTGCCGCTCGGGTCTGAGGATAGTAGATTGGCGTCATCGGCATGCATACATGCAAGGTGATGATGTCGTGATGCCATGCCGTCAACCCAGTTCACGCAATATCGCTGTGACGCCATGCGACCGGGTCCTGCGGCAGGCTACCAAGAGACCTTCAGGAGGTGCTGGCGGCGCACGGCAGCATACACGAGGCTCGCTTCGGATATCCGGGCGTCAGAAATGCATGACCCTTCCCGTCCACAGGGGCCAAGTGTGCCGCATACATGCATGAATGTCAGTCGAAGCGCCATTTTGAAACTAGTCGACGTCTCGCGCCCAGTAGGCGACCGGATGCCTTCTTGGGATAACAGCCCCTTTGAGACCGGGCGGGGCGGAAATACACTCTCCCAGCCTCGCAAGAAGTTATTCGGCGATGAAGGGCTCCTTTTCCCCCGGTGAGAAATGGAATGCAGTCAAGGTGAGCGTATACAGCGAACACAAGTGCTGTGTTCCGCCGCAGCATGGAAAACGACGTGCCTCTTCGAAACTGTTATCAAAACGTTCGTGCTACTGACTTTCGATGCACCTGGCAGGTTCCAATACGTAGTCTCCCACCATCTTGCTCGTGCTCATCTTCATACGCCTTGCCGTGCCCAGCAGAGACTCACCTCTTCCTCATGTCGCATCGTCAATGTTCGTACACACCATCAGGAGAACGCATCAGTAGTCTCTACCCACTTCCAGCATCTGCTCCAGGACGCCCGCGTTTTAACCTTTGAATCAACCAACAGCCAAAGCGGGCAATGTTGTATGTGCAAAATCTCTCTCCCCCCTTCTTCATGGCTCGTCGAAAAGGCCACAGTTGGGGTGCAGCACGTACGCGACCTGCTCGCTGCCCTGGGCGCCACCATCCGGGCCACCATCCTCATCGACCAGTCCCTCGCCGCGGATCGGCATGATGATCGAATCCTACATTCTCAGTTAGCAAGATTATCCACCAGTACTGAAAATGGGCATGGATATCTCCTCTCTAAATCCACACAGGGGATCTCCTCACAATGGTAGTGATAAGTAGTAAATGATGAAAAGAACTCACCTTCGTCAGCCGTTTGAGCACCTTCCCCACGAGGCGCAGCTCCGCCTGCAGCATCTCCGTGCTCTCCAGCTCGCCCTCCTGCTGCTCGAGGTACCACTGCACCAGCTCCTGGTGCTCGATGCCCTCGCCCTCGGCCTCCTCGTGGTCGCGGATCCGCGTCGCCAGCGCGTGCTGCATGCGCGCGAACTTCTCGAAGGTGATCTTCATGCGTTGCGTGGGAGCTGCGGGGGTGGTACGGTCGCCGTCTGCGGCTGCGGTTGCGGGGGTGCCGGCGTCGAAGTCAGCCATGGGAGAGTCGCCGTCGCGAGCGGTGCTTGTGGTTGGAGCGGGCGTGTCGTCGTCGTCGTCGTCAACATCGACGTCGTCGCGCTCCACGCTGATGATGGATTGGCGGAGGAGGGTGAAGGCCTCGATGACCATGGGCTCGGTGATGTCTTCGACGCAGTTGGCCTTGGCGATGGCTTCGCTCAGGCGGATCAGGGACTCCAGCTGGCGGACTGTGATGCGGTAGCTGTTACGGCCTACGCCACCCGAGTCGTTGGCGCGCAGCTCCTTGTACTTCTGCACCAGTAGTGCCTTGGCTTCGGGCGAGAAGACGGGCTTGAAAGTGCGTGCGAAGCGGATATACCGTTGCAGCTGCTCGGTGGAGAACTCGGGCTGCACAAAGGCGTCCTTCAGCATGTGTAGCTTGACGATGTGGTCTGCGAGATGGCGATCGACACTTTCGTTGCAATCGTCGAGTACGATGAAGAAGAGATCAAAACGCGACATGATGGGCGCAGACATGTTGATGTTGGCGCGCAGAGTTTGCTTCTTGTTGTAGCGACCACCGATGGGATTGGCAGCGGCGAGGATAGATGTGCGGGCGTTAAGGGTCGCATGAATGCCAGCTTTGGCAATAGAGATGGTCTGTTGTTCCATAGCTTCGTGGATGGCGACCTGGTCCGAGATGTCCATTTTGTCGAACTCATCGATGCAGCAGGTGCCAGAATCGGAGAGCATAAGGGCACCGGCTTCGATGGTGAACTCGCCGGTCTCCTCGTCTTTGACGACCGCTGCAGTGAGACCGGCGGCAGAGGAGGCTTTGCCTGAGGTATAGACAGCCCGGGGCAGGAAAGAAGCGATGTATTTCAAGAACTGGGATTTTGAGGTTGAGGGATCGCCAACAATGCAGATATTGATGTCGCCACGCAAGGCCATGCCTTCGGGGGTCATCTTGGAAACACCACCCAATAGCTGCAGGAGGAGACCCTTTTTGACAATCTCGTGGCCATAGACCGTTGGCGCGAGAGACTTGACCAGGCGGTCATAAATCTTCTCGCTGTGAACCATTGCTCGCAAATCCTCGATCTCAGCATACGAAAGAGTTTCGAGGAATGCCTCCTGCGCGCGGGAGCCGTCATCATAAGTGTCGTTGAGGTCGATCTGGTGCAGCGAGTTGAGAATGTTAGTGGACTGTCCGGATAATTCACCCATGGGCTGGCCAGGTGTGGTCGTATCCGGACATGAGAAGCAAGCCAGAAAAGCCATTCGGTAGGTCAAATCTCTTACGCCCAGCGCTTTGAGACCACTGACGCCCGAACCTCCTTCATCGGCACCTCTAAACCCACGGTTATCCTTCGATGCCTCGGGTCGCACACCCGGCACACCAAGTTGAGAGACATCAGGGACGACGATAAGCGTGCCTGTGAAAACACACTTCTCGCCAGGCTTCGTCCGCTCGACTTGCTCGCCACGAAGTATCACATCGATTGTTCGCGGCATACTGCCGGTGGGAATTTCCGAAGAGTTCTCCTGGATACGGCATTTCTGCCAGTCCACAAAGATTGAGTTGGCGATGTCTAGACGCCAGCCGATTTTGTTTGCGCAAGTAATGGTGGGACAGATGTTGGGTTCAGTGTAGCGGAATGTCTGCTCTACGTTTGGAACCACTGCATTGCAGTTCTCACAGATGAATGTTCCGTATGCCAGCTCTGGGCGCACTTCTGAGGTGCGGGTGACGGTTCCTGATATGGAGACCAGGCGGCCAATCTGCTCCGTCCGTAGCTGACGTACCCTTGTCACAAGGGGGATATTGTAGAAAGCGACAGTGAAAAGTTTGTCTGTCTGTTGACTGGTGATTTTTTCTGCAGTTGTACTTGCATCGCTAGCAGCGTTGCCAGCAAGAGAAGTATTGGCCTGTGACGAGGTGCTCATCATCTGACGATGGTCCTTGAAGTAGACCGGCTCATATCTCTGGAGAAGGTTGTGAAGAGCTCTGGTCAAATATGGCAGGAAGCGATAGTATGACGCCGAAATAGCAGAGGCCAAAATTGAGCCCTCCTTCGAGGCTAGGATGTGCTTGTAGTCGACGTACAAGGTCGAGAGTTGGAATTCTCGTAGCCCATGAATCTGGTTAATGTAGTATTTGTCCGTTTTGAGTTCGCTGGAAGGTGGCAGACCCGAAGAAGAGGGCTCTTCGACGTGCGACTCGAGAAATTGTTCAAAGGCTTTTGTAACCGCCAAACCTGTCTTGTCCTCGACTTTCTGTACGTTGCGGTCTAAAGGATTCGCGTTTCGGTTCCGCGCAGGCGCCGCCACCTCGTCGTCCTCGAAGATATTACCTTCTGAAGGAAGGCCATTGCTCTCTGAAGGGGGTGGGCGGGGTCTAGAAGAGGAGGGTAGATCGCCGGAGCGTCTGATTGAGGAAGGCGGAGCGAGAGGGTCAGTGTTCAGCGCAGATTCCAGCAAAGTCGACATTGTGTGTTGTGTTTATTTGTCGTGCTGTCGTTGTGAGTGGTGGTGGTGGTGGTGGTGGTGGTGGTGTCGATTCTGCAAGAATTCATAACCCCCCCAAACGCGTCCACGCGCAACGCGACGGAGGTCGCGTAAAGTGGTCTTGGCAAAATCTACCAATTGGCATTTGTTTCGTCAGACGGGCGGGTTCACTGCACTCTTCTTACCTTCTCCTCGTTGACACGGCATCATCAAGCTACGACCGGACATGTCCACGCTTACGGCTTCTTCATGATGGTACTCTCCGCTTGAATCGACTACACCACCATGTTGCTCGTATGGCCTGCAAAGCCATAACATACAAGTGCCCTAAACCCCTCACTGACAGATCTCAGCGCTGCAGCATTTGTGTGTCTACACTTGAACGCTCAACAATATCACGGGATTCGACGTACGAATCAAGCACTGCACATTCCTTACCATGAAAGCTGTGGCGATGGAGCAAACGTTCTCGCAGCCGTCCCTTCCACGGATGTGCTTGCGAGAACGGCAACAAGCCAATTTGGCCGAGAGAACGTAGTTATAGCTTACTCTCTGTATGCCATGGCTTGCACTGCATGGCACGGTAAGATGGGAATGACCGATCTTTGCGTAGTAGCTGGACCGGTGAGCCGTGAATACGTCGTACTCGTTCTCGACAGCATATGCCTTACCCGCGCTATTTCGGACTCGTTCCAGCCGAAGTACCTCTTCGTAGAAGTATGATGCGATCTGTCTCGCGATCGTGCCGGTTTGCTTGCGACTGCCTCGTGTGGTCCACTTCGCGGGTTGATGCGGCCGTAGCGGATTCTTCCTCAGCTGCCGCCTCGCATCAAGCGATCAAGAGGCTTAGGAATCTTGTCGCCTTTCCCCCTCAAAAATAGATGTCTCGAGCCCTTCTTACGTCTTGCTCGTGAGTTCCGATATGGCGGTTCGTTTCTGATGATCCCAGCCGTCTATATCCTTCCCCAGCCGCAGCAAGTGGTCCACGAGGCAACTTTGGGGCCAAAACCGTCCCTCGTACCCATAAGCCGAAAGTCCATTTCATAGCCCCCAGCCTTCTGTATGCGGAGTTGAGTTCAGACATCAACTTTAAGGCTCAATAGTCGATATTGCGACCCTGGCTTGATAGCTGAGTTCGAAACTCCGCCGGACAGTCTGGTTCCGCATTCCGCGGAATCAGGCAACTGCAATCTCGGCTCTTGTCATTGAACGCCTCCTGTTTCCGGTGTCTCGGAGACCTTCTGATGAAAGTCTGAGTCGGGATCTGAAGGATGATCGAACGAAGCTATGTCAGAGTCGGAGGTCCGGTGCCGATATGTTCTGAAGTTCCTGTTGCATTCCGATTCAAGGCACTGTTGGAATGCCCACGGGTCCATCGCACTGGAAATGTCTCTCTGAGTTGACAAACACTGAGCACGCCTGATACCCACACTGGAGCCTTCTCGTCCTCACAGTGCAACCAGTGTGCAGGTTTTTGCGGAAGCATTAACCTTCTGCGCACACGAACGCCTCAGTGGTCCAGGCCAACAAAACTAAATCAGTTGGTGGTTCAAGGCAACTCGGGCACTACACCTAGCTGCGTACTGGTCGGACATTGGGCGCGGGGTCAGCATAGTACAGTAAGATAGCAGTGTTAGTGCCGGAACTTCGAAGTGGGCATCTGGCACAGCCTTGTCACAATTTGTGTGGCTTACCAAGTCCAAGATCGCTTCCTAGATGGAAATGGGGCAAGCTCACATGTAAATATCGGGCACGACCTGACAAAGAGTTACCCACGGCAACGCGGGTGCGGCCCGCATACAGTGGCTGTTACACTGTAACGACCAGCTTCAGGTTGTACCATCATCCGGGATGACAACGCATGCCGCATCCACGAGACTATCGTGGCATCTAGATGCGACATGGTTGAAGAATCGCAACCATGCCTTGGATGCCGTTTGCGTGTTTGTTGGCCTGCTCACACCTGGGAAGGTCGTCATTCAGTCGTCTACTAGGATCCGGCTGCAGTAGTGGAGAATTTTGCTGGCCGCGACTAACGGAAGCAAGTTGGGAGCTCCAAGGGAGCGGCCGTATCAGATTTGAGCGCCCTCACCGCCTGGCTTGCCCGGGCTGATCCTGCAGATAGGGGTAGCCTGGACTGTGGAGGAGGCAGATTCTACCTCCAGTCCCGTGGGTGTCGATTACAGGTACACATGGCTGTCGGGCGTTGATCTTAACTGCATGATTGATGAAATACTGACATGTGAGCATTGTCGACATGTCTAGGCCCGCACTGGCGGCCGGTGGAAGAGAGACGCTCAGATTCGCACGAGTCAGTCTCAACGCCACTGGGCTCATCGTCCCTTCAGTCTATGCGTGCCCTTCCCCCAATTGGTGTGCAGCATCAGCCCGCATCAGCTGGAAACAGCCTGCTTGGGGAGTCGGCCAGCGACTGCAGATACTCTGCTTGTGCACCTAGTACTGATTTGTTGGTCTGTGCATGCAGGGCTGGCAGTATGCAGTGTCGAGGCGACGAGTGTCCTTCACTGACGACAGCAACGGCCAATGTCCGGCCTATCGCCAAACGAGAAGGACGTATTGGTGAAATGCAGCCCACTACCGTGCAAGTGCTCCAGCTTTTGTGGCATACTGACACCGTTCAACAACAAGCAGACGCAGTGATGCACCGTCTCAAGTACACCTCTACTTCGACTTTGATGTCCGTCATGTACAGTATTGGCCTCCTGTTTGTGCCAGGTCGTGCACCGTGTGTTGCAGCATCAAATTGCGAGACGTCCACGAGGCTGACTATACAGAGGCACATACCTGGTTATCGGACGCAGGCGGGCAACAAGGCGCTACTGGGAGTCTCTCTAGGCCAATAAAGTCTCATCGTGATGGCGTGACAAAGGCGCTGCCCAAGTTTGTCCGAGCAGCATCACGCTCATCATCAGTCTTGGAACCAAGTGGCCCAGAGAGCATCTCGTAAGGGGGGAGGGGGGACTGGTCAAAATGTATGGAGACTCAACAGCCGGGCTGGTGAATTTGGGAACGGGACGACGAAGTATTTTATATTGTGCAACATCAACGGACCTTCACGTTCCAACCTCGGCGACAATTGCCATGTTAGTTGATCAAGGGAAAGTGATGTTGACGACTGTGCGACGACGGTGTGGGCATCTACTTGATGGGCACCGAGAATGCGACACTCCCAGTCAGCTGGGTATTACGAGGATGAATCGACACCTAGTGGGCAGTGGGCAGCTCTTCCAGTCAATCTAGCCATCTCGGTGCAGCTGAGAGCATTGATGCCCGGCGACGCCCAGCGGCGCCCCAGTGCGGTAGTGAAATCCAAAGGGAGTAAGCGATTTAGAAGGTCAAAAGTCACCGGTTGTGACTTCTTCAACGTTCTAGCCGGGATACTCGTTGATTGGCCAACGGTCTGGACCAAAGCTCCATGACTGCGAACCACCGCAGCTCCACCGCGCTACTGGCTGCACTGCGAACCACCCCGAAGTGTTCGCATCTTGGCAAGGCAACGGCGCCCAAACCAGGGTCTTTTGCTGGCGCCCAATTTCAGACTCCTTGATTCTGATGAGTATGTATTCTGCTCCTAGCCTAGAACCTGCACAATTGTGTTCTGTCTGTTGCTCCTAGCGCATCAGTAACTACTCTTTCTGGCAAATATCTAGCAGACTGCGGTCTTAGAGAGCTTATTGGCTTAAAAATCACCTATCTGACTCGCCGGACAGCAGATCCAGCAATCCGCAGGTTCCTTAGCAGAAGCAGCAGTTGTGAGCTTGCAATACAGCAAGTCCTTCCATCGGCAAGCGAACGTCAACAGTCTGAGTTGCAGCGGCCTTGGCATTTTTGTACTGCCCAATCCTCACGTAAGATTCGGAATATGAGTGATCAAGATCAGCAACCCAGCAACGGCAGCGGCAACAAAGCAAAAGACGGAGGTGGAAGGGGGCGGTTCAGCACTTTATTTTCGATTTCGAGAAAGACCGTAGGCGTCCACCCCGGCCAGCCGAAACTTTCGCCGCGTCACACAGCCCAAGCACAATACTCCAGCCCCAATGAGAAGGAGCAACCAGCGGAACAACCCGAGCCTGCTTCCTCAGGCGCCAAGTCTCTGACAAGGAGAACGTCGCCAGAAGTGGGGTCTCTAGTCAACGAGCTCAGCCTGAGAGATGGGCCTAGGTCTCAACAGACATCCGTCTCTCACAAACGCACCGCCGAGCAGTCACCTCAATCTAAGCGACACAAACACTCCACGCAAGCTCCCGCCTCTGCTGCTATCGCTCCTCGTCAACATGTCCATGATGCCGGCCATAATCCTGTATCGACGACGGCACAGCATCCAAGTCTCAGCATTCTAGCTCAAGGAGGGCCGGGCGCTTCGTCATATAATGACAGTCCTACTAGTCCCGAGGACGGTTATGACGTCGACCAACCAGAGGGCGACATCACTATGCTTCTTCAACCAGAAACCAAGCGCATCACCCAGGACCAGCTCATTAACGAAGTCAAGGGAATCTATGCCGGACTGGTCATGGTTGAACGCAAGTGTGTGGAAATCACTCAGGCACGCGCCACCGCTGCCAGCAAGCTCACCCATGACCAATGGCAAGCATTGATAGCTCTACACAGGACTCTCCTGAACGAGCATCATGATTTCTTTTTGGCCTCACAGCACCCTACAGCGTCGCCTGCACTACGTCGTTTGGCTACCAAGTACGCTATGCCAGCTCGAATGTGGCGTCATGCTATTCACTCCTTCTTGGAACTTCTCAGACAGCAGCTACCGCACTCCCTTGAGCATATGCTGTCCTTTGTTTATATTGCTTATGCGATGATGGCGCTTTTGATGGAGTCAGTACCTAGCTTCCTAGAAACCTGGATCGAGTGCCTCGGTGATTTGGCGAGGTACAGGTATGTTGAGTCTTGAAATTTCCTCCACACGGTTCCCTCTACAGCAACCCAACAACTGCCAATCAGCTCCGTTCTCGAAAATTATCGACATATATCAAGTCGCACCTATAGCAGATGTCGAATTCAACCCAACCCCAACAACAGGGCGATAGAAACTGACTTGTTTTACCGTTAGGATGGCCATTGAGGAAGCCGACATGCGGGATCGCGAAATCTGGTCTAACGTCGCCCGCACCTGGTACAATAAAGCCGCGGACAGGTCACCCAATGTCGGAAGGATTCAGCATCACCTTGCTGTGTTAGCCAGGCCGAATATTGTCCAGCAGCTTTTTTTCTACACTAAAGCGCTGGTCAGCGTAGTTCCCTTCACTAATGCAAGGGATAGTATTATGCTTCTGTTCAATCCCTTGCTGGACAAGGATGATGCATCCCATTTTGATAGATACCCCGTCGTGGAAGCCTCCTTTGTTACCGCTTTTGGATTACTCTTCACCCGTGGCCATCCTTTGGAGTACCATACCCTAATTCAGGCTTGCCTCACAGGACTCGATGAGCAGATCATTCGCATGGGAGCTAAATGGAAAACCCAGGGCCCGGAGGTTGCTGCCACCTTGATCGCCGGAGCATTCGACTTTGGCCACGAACAGAATCCCATATGGACCATGTACCAGGATTTCTTGGTCACCGTCAAGTCACGGAGAAGCTCGCCGGAGCCCACGAACCCAGCCATCTTGGACGCCGAGGATGCGGAGACCAGAACAATCTTGCAACACGAGTTCTGGGCCAATTTGAACACATCGGATGCAGCTCTTCGAAAGGCCATACCACGAAATGCTGGTGCCGTCGACATCTCCTCAACCGAGGCAATCACTATTAACGTTCTGGGTGCCTTCCGCTCAGCTGTCGCGATCAATTCGAGAAAAATTGGCGACAGGAATATTGTACCGTTTATGCACTTTGTGCTCAGTTTTACCTGGTCACTTTCATACGTTGGTCGAGCTATGATCTATCTCGAGTCTCAGATCCCATGGCAGTGCCTCGTCACTTTTCTCAACACGGTGACTCGATCTGGGGTCTCCTACGACCGAGTCGAAGCCGAAGCATTTCCTCAGAGCATTAACGGCACCGGTCACCAGCTTCCTGAGGATTGGTTAGCCCGTGGGCTTGTCTGGACACAACATGTCTATCCTCACGACTTTTTCCGAATCAATGTCACGGACGAAGACGAGCGCACTCTTGAACTTCCTAGTCACACAGCGCCACGAGCCGAGCGCTGCCTCTGGCTGGGCGTTCGCCTGGCTTCTCTCAAGCGTTACATCGACTACGACACGACAACCAAGGAGTTTTCGGTTTCTGAATATGCGCTGAGCCTAGAGCAGGGTGCCCTTGGCAAGAGCCAGCAGTCCATACCTTCTCCTAATGATACGTTGGCTGAGAAGCCTCTCCGACCCGAAGTTGCCCACCACGAGATACCAATGTCGGACATGCAGAGCGGTGATGCAAGAACCGTTGAGACCGATGCGGACTATGTCGTGATTGATAGGGCTGATCCGGCGCTGGCCGACCGAGACAATGACAAGTCAATGACAGGAGGGTAATTCGCACTCCTATCGAGGATGCAGAACAGAGTCGCACGTTGCCGCCGCAAGCCGCCTCGCAACCGATTAGCCTCCGCCAAAGAGGCGCTTGCGGCGTGACAAGCGGGGCTAAGTGGCCCTTCAATAAGTCCGCCAAAAACAAGCCAGAGTCGTGAGACGCAGCTGCGGCGGTTGCGGAGTCAAACATGGTTGAGGGATCACCCCGCGTCCTATCACTGACGGACATAGGTACGGAAGACGGCAGCGGCGGGTTCAAGGTTGCCATGATGGTGGCGGCTGGGGTTCTGGAGCAGGCTAGGAGGAACATGAGTGTCGTTCCTTGATCAGAAGCCCATGCATCTTGTCAATGCTCATAGCACAAACTGTGCGGCAGTGAAAAGTACATTAGCCTTAGCCTGACCGAAGTGAAAAGTAAACAGTTGCGTTCTTATGCCGCCTCATTTTCGTCTGCTGGAGGCCTTTGAAATCCGTTAATCCCTCAAGACAATGTCACTGCCATGGAAGTTCGAGAACATCCTGCAGCACTTTCTAGCGCACTTCTAGCTCCCTGTTCCTCTACTCGCAGGCGGAAGGACGCCTCGTATATTCGCCGTTGGGCCTTTACGAGGCTGCCAGGCGCCTTGCGACTGGCGGTCGGAGTGAGTTGGGACAGAAAAGCTTCCAACGCGACAAAAGGTACGATTTGTCAAAAGCACCTGATACGACGGATTATTGTTGTATTCCAGGTAAGTCAGCCGCTCAAGAACATTCCGTTCGAGAAAGCCCAATGAAGTGCAAGATCGTGAAGAGTTCCTGCTGACAATAACACAATAGCAATCCGTTCGTGGTCTATGCGGTGTTGAAGCACACTATCCTCCAAAGTTTAACGCTTGCTGGTAGCATAGCAGTCATTTGTATACGGGCCGAACCAGTAGTTCTGACGTGCAAATACCATCGTCTTCATTTTCAGACTCCTCTCCCTACCATCTGAAGCCAGATTCGGTACACACTAGCTTTCCCCATGCCACAGTGGTTGCGAAAGTAGATGGAGCCAACGTCCAGACTCTCACCACCGTTTTCGCTTCTAGCTGCACGGCATCTCAATGGACGAAAACACGTTTCGACTAACAAGACCATTGATGAACACCGATCTCTACATGATGCTGTGCTTTTTTGACGGATCTACAGTCAATTCCTGATCAGGCTGAAGCCGTGGCTACTCTGTAGTTGCATGATGCTCGTTAGCAAAGACTCTCGGCGGGTTCCGAAGGGACGACCCGAATGCTATGCGCATGTTGATAGGCGGCCCAGACAGGGGCGGCCCCTCCCCTCGCCAACGGCTGCCTGTCTGGGTACTCCAGCTGAACTTGGGACGCCACAAAAGAACACATATATATCGCTCTGTTCGCCACAACTTCCGCAGGTTTATCCAATTACTGATGTCCGGATACTAGAACAATTCTCTCGTCCAGGTGTTGTCATCCTGCCGTCTCACGCCACAGCTGCGATCGCATATCGTACTGCGCAAGACTCCATTGGTCGCGCTTTTCCGAAGGAGGATTTTCAGGCTTGTGTCGCGTGACAGGTGCGAGTCCGGGATCGCACCCAGCAGGAAATATCCTCTTCGATCGAAGCATCTTCGCGGACTCGACGAGTGTGCACATTGATGGCGCAGCGTTTTGCAGCTGTAGAACACTGAATAGCTCCGTTGGCATGGCCGACAGGAGCTGAGCGGTCTGGTTTTAGCAGGTCTCTTCAGCCAGCCAGCCATGTTCTGCCGATACTGCAAACCGGGAACAAGCCCCTGCAAGTTTCACTGGTCAACGAGCAACACTCCATCGGCTTACGGACCCTTCCATCTTGGCTCAACCGAAGCTCGTGGATGGAACCAGGATCTTCGAGAGCCTCTTTGATCCAATCGCATGAACGCAGCGAATAATGCTGATGCATTAAAAGTGGCGAAGCCCATCATCCGGTGACGGACATTGGCTATCACTCTTCAATACCACTTGCCTCATTCATGGAGGTTTCCGTGTCTATCCACAATATCCAACGGCACAGTCGGTAAGCGTTTTCTTTGCTGCACTAGCAAAAACTGTCTGCCTGGCAGAATACGATTGAGGGCGGGTCGGTGCTCAAATGGCTTCTGCGGCATTCGAACTGACCGGCGCTCATACTCGAATACAGAACCAACTCTGGTCAAAGTATTGTCAAAGTGTGCGGTACTACACTGAATTATGTATCTGAAAGCGCTCTGTGGCCAACGACTCCCAGTCAACAAAGCCCCGCTCGTTCTCTTAGTCCCGACCTTCTTTGGTCAGGGATGATGCCCCGGAGGCCCGACCCAACTTACCCATATGACCTCAGGCCGAGTTCGTGGCGGTATGCAACCATCACCGCGAGGCAACGACTATTGTGCTAGCACGAGCAGTGGCGCCTCTGGTAGTGTATGGTCCAGAAATGTTCTGTCAGGACGACTCGGCCGACCAATGGCGACCAACCAAGGGGCTTCGTCGCACTCATCCGTGACTTGCTGTGGACAGATCATGCATCGGAGAACCACCAGGACCCCGTTGCTGCGCCTCAATCTGATGTCCATCCACCTGTGGTGAGCCGCCATCTGGGCCTGGCTGCTTCCGAATGCCCAATCCAAGCGTCAGGCATTACCCTCGGGTGATACGATTGTTGATGCCCGTCTCTTGCTGGACCTTATCACCCGCGTGACAAGTTCTTGTGGTGCTTTTTCTCGTGTGAGACCCGCAAGGCAACCGTCGCCACTGACCTATTCGGAGCTACGACAGAGCTATTGCATCTGATGTGGTCTTGCTCGTGCGCTGTTCTTCCCACGCGCATGATCAAAAGGTTGCCTTCTTTGTCATTGCAATCACAGCGCCAATGACAGCTTTCGTCGTGGCAGAAGAACGAAAGGGGGCTTGCTTCTGTCGGGCGGCTGATGCTTGTGGAACTTATCGTTGGCCAACTTGAAGGTCACGCTCCTCCAGAAGCTCCCGATTTCTGCTGAGCTGAGATTCAGTTGCCTGCAGGTTTCTTTGCTAATCCTCATACCATACTCTAGTCGTTGCCTTCAGCATTGTACGACCGTCCAGTGACTACGAATGCCCGACAATGACACTCGGTATGGTCGCTACCGTGCACTTAGAAGAACGACCGCGATAGGTCTGAAGAGATGGCTGCTGCCTGCGCCGGTGCCTGCCTGGGGCAAAGGAGAAGCAAGTCGCGCATCATTGCTTCTTATGCGGCTCAGAAATTTCTTTCCACTGGGCGGAAAACGCGCTGCACATGCCGATGTTGCACCCATTGAAGGGACCCGGTGAGCTCCGAGGATTCACTACAGGCAGACAAAACCTTTTGAGGACTGGATACTGAAGTAGGCTACCGCGCTTCAAGGGCGGATCCAGTGCTATTACTTGGCCGTCAAGAAACTATTTGAATTAGGCCCCTGAAGCCAATAGCCCCCCGAAATGATGCCCGTAGCGCCGTTGGCCGGCAACCCATCGCCAGATCCGCCCTGAGTAGAGCTAAATACCTTTTCGCGTGAGATCACTGTCTTCAATCGTCATTGAGCAAGTCTGGATCTTCCCCGGGAGTCGAAGATAGTTCAACAAGACCCTCCCATTGCTCGATGTGATTGCCACCGGACACGCTGGATGATAGGATCGTCTTTCACGGATTTCTGTCCTCTCTTCCGCTCATATCTGCTCCGATGATGCTACCGTACGCGCAGGGGCTATCGAGTGTCACCGGCAGCTTCTAGGGGAGGTTGTAAGTCAAATGGAGGATTATTTCATGGGTGATCGATACGGTGGTACGCTGCCAACCCAAACGTATTTATCATCAATCAAGTAGGAGCACGTTTCAACTCGCACGCTTGACGGCGAAGGAGTTTCCCTCTCTCCTTCTCTCTCGAAGGCATCAGTCTGTTGACTCATCTTTCGCCACGTGCTTGGTAATGGCTGCTATGACTGCTGGTTGCTGAGGGCAGACCAGTGTGCTCGCCTGTGTACTAATGAGCTTTTCTCAACTACCTGTCGTATTGGATCTAGTGCATCGAAATCCCTGGCATTTATGTCGCCGTAGGAGAAAGAAGTGAGCAATATCTCAATGGCGCTCAGTCAAAACAGTCAGGGAGCTCCCCGACGCCAAGACTTTTGTGCCTCACGTTTCAGCCTTGCATGTGCGTAGGATGTACCCACACCCCATAGATCTGCTTGACCAGGGTGTGCGGAGGTACCTGCGGCCCGCATTCCGGAGCCTCATCTGTCCACTGCACATGGACAGATCGCAGGACGAACAATTTCCTGCCCACACCAGCACAAACAACGCAACATGGAGGAGCGGTCATGGAGGTGTTCGACCAAAGGTCTCCTGTTGCTCTGCACGTTGATCTTCCCGTTCGTTAACTGTGGCCATGCGGACGAGCAGGTCCCCCTTGGAGGGGCCGCTGAGAACGATACCCTGCTTTGGGGTCCCTACCGACCGAACCTGTACTTCGGCGTGCGCCCCCGTCAACCCAACAGCCTGCTCGCTGGCCTGATGTGGGCGAACGCAGACAGCTTTGAGGCTGTAACCCAGGGTCTGAGACATACCTGCGAGCAGGGTGAGGATATGCATGGCTATGGTTGGGACGAGTACGATGCAAGAGCTGGAGGCCGGCAGACAATTCATGACAAGGGGAATAAGATTGACTTGACGATTGATTTCGTCAAGTCCCCGGGCCCGGGCGGCGGCAGCTGGGCTGCGAGAGTAAAAGGGCAACCTATGAAGGGGGCGCCGCATGATATTACCACCACCATGTTCTTTCATGTCGGGCTTGAGGGCTTGGGGCAGCTGGGGTTTGGCGAGGAAACGAATCAGAAAGGCGATGTTGTGCTCGAGGGAAAGTCGGACAAGCTTGGGGACTTCTCTATCGGCGTCACACAGCCCAAGAAGAACAAATTCCCAAAGAAGACGCACGCTTCGTGGGATTTGAGGCCGCTTGACCAGACTCTGATCACCAGTCTGCATGTCCCGCCGGAGCACCTGTGGGCGGCCAGAAATATTATCATGGCAGATATCAAGCCAACCATCGACAGGTACGGGAAGGAATTTGGGCAGGAGAACATTCCGCCAGCATATGCTGCCTTCACTATTTCCAACGAGCCCAAAACAGCGAGCAACTTCCATATCGTTCAGAAAATCTTGGTCGGCGCTTTCGACTTTGACATCATCTACAATTCTGGAGCCGGTCCGCGCCTGTCGTCTGCTGATCTCGACAAGCAGATTGCTGCGAACTCGAAGAGCTTCAAGGCAAAGTTTGATCAGATACTGAAGCCTCTGGCGCCTTTCACAAAAGCAGAATTCACCACGTTCTCCCAGTCTTTGTTCTCGAACCTGCTCGGAGGCGTTGGCTACTTCTACGGCGACTCGTTGGTTGATCGCTCCTACGCCGCGGAGTACGATGAGGAGAATGAAGGCTTCTGGGAAGAGACGGCGGAAGCTCGAGCTCGAGCTCAGGTCATGTTTGACGAAAACAAGGAGCTTTTCACTGCTGTGCCCTCTCGACCGTTCTTCCCCCGTGGCTTTTTGTGGGATGAAGGCTTTCATCTAGTGCCCATTGCGGAGTGGGATTTGGACATGACCATGTCCATTCTGTCTTCATGGTTTAATCTTATGGACAATGATGGGTGGATAGCCCGTGAGCAGATCCTCGGGCCCGAGGCCCGCAGCAAAGTGCCGCAAGAGTTTCAAGTTCAATACCCGCACTACGCCAACCCCCCAACCCTGTTCATGATCATCGAAACCCTCGTTGCGAAACTCGAGTCGAAGTCCCTCCCAGCCGATCAGGTCCAGAAGGTCCAGGCACATCTCAGCTCCATCTATCCCCTGCTCAAGCGGCAATACCTCTGGTTTCGTCGCACCCAGTCCGGCGATATCAAGTCCTATGACCGAGAAGCTCCCTCCACGAAGGAAGCCTACCGCTGGCGCGGCCGCAGCGTCCAACACATCTTGACCTCCGGCCTCGATGACTACCCTCGACCTCAACCCCCACATCCGGGAGAACTGCACGTTGACCTCTTCTCCTGGGTCGGCATGATGCAGCGCGCACTGATCGCCGTCTCCACCTACCTCTCCGAGACCGACGACGCCGCCACCTTCACCGCCCACCACACCGCCCTCCTCAAGAACCTCGACGCCCTGCACTGGAACGACCACCACAAAGCCTACTGCGACGCCAGCATCGACGACTACGAAGAATCCTACCACGTCTGCCACAAGGGCTACATCTCTCTCTTCCCCTTCATGACCGGCCTCCTCCCCGCCACACACCCCCACCTCCCGCACGTGCTCGCCCTGATCGGCGACCCCGAAGAGCTCTGGTCCCCCTACGGCGTGCGCTCCCTCTCCCAGAAGGACGACCACTATGGCACCGATGAAAACTACTGGCGCTCCCCGATCTGGGTCCCCATGAACTACCTGATCGTGAAGCAGCTGCACGCCGTCGCCACCTCCCCGGACGCCCCCAAAGCCGTAAAAACCACCGCCACAGGACTGTACGACGAGCTGCGCGAGAATCTGGTGAGCAATGTCTACCGCCAGTGGAAGGACACGGGCTTCGCCTGGGAGCAGTATAATCCTGAAACGGGCAAGGGCCAGCGCACCCAGCATTTCACCGGCTGGACGAGCCTGGTCGTGAGCATCATGGCGATGGAGCCGTTGGGGGGTGGCAGCGGGAAGGGCGGAGGGAGTCATGGTGAGTTGTAGAATAGACAAGAAGCGGCAAGAAGGAAAAGTCGCAGATTACAGAGGATCGGAGCAAAATACAGGAAGCACAAAAGGTTAGGATGGATAAACAAAAGACCCAAAAAAGCAATGATCATTTAGACAATTGATTCCAGCTTGCAGGTTCATGCCCATGATGTCGCTGACAATAGACTCCCCTCGTAGCAAAGTCGCTTTCAATCGTCGTCATCATCGCTGCCGTATCCTACCAAAGGTCCTGACGGTGCCGCAGGTTTGGCGGGCTGCTGCGTAGGAGTACCTGTGCCACTCCGCCCCTTCAGCGCTGCCAGCGTGCTCGCGCCGAAGAAGCCACTGCTCGCGTCCTGCCTCGTGGCCTCTCCCTCCCCGTCCATCGCGTTGGGCGCAGGAGGCGCCTCTAGTAGACCAGTCTCCCCCAATCTCTCCCCTTCGAGCTCTCTGGCCTTCTGCGCGTTGAACCAGATATCCTCCGGCGCCTCGTAGCCATCCAGGCCGAAGCCGCTCTCTAGGCGTCGCTGCTCTCTTTCTTCACGGCTTTCCCGCCCTTCAATTTGTCGCACGGCTTTCTCCCCTAGTGCTCGCCGCACGGCCTCGGCAGCCTGCTCTTCAATGCGCTGCGCCTCCCGCTTTTGACTCAGCGGGTTGGGATCGACGGTCGCCCACCGCACGTTGAGGATCTCGTTGTTGTCGAGTGCTTGGTGCGCCATGGCCTCTTTGGCAAACTGCGCGTTGGTCTCGTTGGAGTACGTCACGAATGCCACTCCTCTTCCCGTCAATACGCGTGTACGTTCGATCTCGCCCCATTCGGCAAAGTGCCGTGCCACCACCTCCTCGATGTCGTCTGTGACGTGGATGCGCCCGACGTAGAGGGTCCGGTTCTGCCGCGTGAAACTGCCTACACCACCCATGTCGTCGCGGTAGTCCGCGTGCTTGTCCCGCCCAAAGCAATCGATGTTGGGGTTGAAGTGGTCAAACATGCCGGGCAGACGGTGAAGATATGTGCACTCGTGACCCTTTGGACATATGCCGCGCGCAAAGAAAAGACAGAAGAAGGACCCGCTGGTCTTGTCTGCCGCCGTCCAGCCTGAGTCTTCTTTGATGTGGCAACGGCTAATAGCGGCGGTCTTGGAGAGCGCCGCATCCTCTCGATCGCCACCTGCCCATTTATTGTACCAGATGTTGAAGACGGTACCGGTTTGTGGTGGTGGTCCAGATGTAGATTTGAGGGCTGAAGGATCGATCTGCGGGCGGGCAGGGCGACGTTTTCGACGGATCAATTTGGTCTTCTTTGCGGGAGGTTCCGAAGATGCAGTCTCTTCTGCGGGTGTGCTCGTGGTGAGGGCCGTCTCAGGATCGGTGGCTGTGGGAGGTGGGGAGGCAGAGCGTTTGCGTGAGGGTGAAGGCGATGAGGGCCGCTCGGTGAACGCTGTACGCGCGTCTATGACTTCTGCCATGTTGAAGGCACAGTTTGGTCTACTGCTGGAAGGGAAGAGAGGGATGGCGCGCCTTTGGAAGTGGTTTCGTATTCGACCGAAGGCAAGAGCGCTCAAAAAAGTTGCCGCAACCCGACACAGCTGGGGCCGGAGCCAATCATAAGTACCGAGGCTGTGAGTCCAGGACCCACTTTCAACCTCTCAAGACGAGTACTCCCGACTACAATGCATCAGATGGAGAGTCGTATGTACACAAGTAGGGAGCGGTGTCGTTGGCTGGGCCTGGCAGTCAGGAAGGTCAGTCAGTCAAGAATGTTGCTATATCGACACCCACGGAACGATTAGCAAGCATGGGCATCGAGCGTTTTATCGTCTACGAGGTTACTACGAAACCGAAAAGTGTCTTGACCGGTCTGAAGACTGATGGACAAGTGAAAATCCTATGAAGATGTTACAGTGAGCGTGTTAGCTATGTTGGCCCAAGCACCGAGCTTTGCCGTTCCACATCTGCTGTAGCCAGACGCATACTGGTTGCATTGCAGCTCTTCCTGTCACAGGCACAGCCCAAGCTGCGGTCAATTAGCAGCATCGGCCTCCAAAAAAACAAGATAAGATTGTGCAGTGTGTGACTATGGCTTTGGTGGTCCGAGTCGTGTAGATCTCACTTAACTGAGTTAAGGAGCCGTCAGAGTCCACAGTTGTATCACGTCATCATTAAGAGAAAACAGACAGATGCAGTAGGAAACAGTTTCTCTGCTACTGTCCACGATAAGTCCTGTTGAAGGCCTTGTGGATCTAGTCGTGGATTGGCCACGGGTGTCGAAGAAGGTCATAATGATATCGAAGAGGTGGAAGCAAGGCTGCCAAGCGCTGGCTAGCCCTAGTCGAAATTGGAGCACGAGTTATCGATAACGCAGGCAAACAGTTGGCGTGTTTGCACCGCTGCCAGCAACCTATAAGTATCCGGTCTCTCTCAGACTCTTTTCGCCTCTGCATACTTACCTTGTGAGAGCGACCGTGATCAAGAAGACGGTTTGCTATTGAGGACTCTCTCCATTGCACATCGGGGTAGAGGCTTTAATCCAATGTCCTTCGGGGCTTTGGCTTGCGCAATTTTTGTCTCGCTTCTTCCACAGAAGAACTTTTCATCATTATCTTCGATTCGATCGAAGTATTGGGGAAGAGAAGTAGCAGTACAACAATCCATAAGTCTGTTGAATTGGCCCTGCTTTTGAGTGTGACCAGCGTTTGATCGCGTGAGATTGTTGACAGAAACAGTCAAGCTTCCTATTGTACGGACAGCTGTCTTTTAGGGTAATAGAAATGGGCCTGAAATGCCCACCGCACCGCACCACACCACATCACGCTCCTCTCGCTGCGTTTGAATTTCAGTCATTCTCCGGATAAAAATCACGCATTCTGCTTCTGCTGAAACGACAAGCGCAAGCTTCACATCGATCGTGGCTAGGATAGCTTGACAAGAATTCAGTGGTGCTGCGACACCGGTACCTGGTACCTGCAGCTCGTAAACGTCCCGATGACGCAGCTCACCTTCGAAACCGGTTTTCCTTGAACGCATGCTTTGAAGGCTTGTGCAATGAAGCATGCTATATAACCATAGCTAGGAAACACTCGTAGAGCCTTGCAATAACTGCAGATACCCATTGCATCCACCTCGCCGTCACCACTGGAGCTCTACCTCATCCGTACAAAGCACACGAGCACGCGAGCACAAACTCGATCTCCTAGCTCCCACCCACCATGTCCTCGAAAGAAGTAGCTCAAAAGGAGTCCGGCACCGTCGGCCAAGCGGCGAATGATACTATGAAGACCGTCACGGAGACGGCGTCGTCCGCGGGCGCCAGTCTGGCGGGTGCCTTCTCTGGCTCTCTGAGCGCAGGCACCCACGCCTCGAGCAAGAAGACCACAACCACAACCAGCGGCGGGCAGCGGCTGAACAAGGTGGAGGCTGATCGTCAGTACGAGGAGAGGATTGAGGATGAGTACGCGAAGCGCGAGGGTGGTGCTTAACAGGCAAGACCCTTCTCCTGGGCGCATTGATATAGAGGAGACAGATATTCTAGACCCTCAGAGTGCAAACGAGATCGGCCAGGTTATAACATCTCATAATTCTAGAGTGCTGACTCTAATTCAAGTCTTCATACATGGGTATCGTTCTGTCTAGTGAAACAGTGATGGTACATTCGTCCCTTTCTGCGACGGTTCAGATGGTTCAAGCGGTGGCCACAGCAGCCGCTGCGTCTGCTCCACCCGAAGCCGCCGCGTGCTCCTTTTTCTGGTACTTCCACTTTGCTAGTCCGGTGACAACGACCATGTCGATAAAGTAGTCATCACCAGGCACTAGAATCTCAATCGTGCCCGACTTTTCTCCAATCTTGCTCCACTTGGATTTGCATCGTGCCAAAACCCGATCTCCGCTGTCGAGGAGGTGTAACTCGTTGCCCAACTTCTTCTCCTTCCACTCGAGGTTCCCAACGGGTGGCCAGTCAAAGTTGTGTCGTCCAGAAAAGGACAAGGCATCTCGCCTCATCTGCATGCTGTGACCGTGCAGATTGATATCCATCTTGGAGGACAATGAGTGGAAGGCGATGGAGCCAATATCGAATGTCTGGGGGTGCCAACTGCTCCCCGCTATCCGGGCTACCCTCACATGAGGCTTGGAGAATCGGGATTTCGAGACGGCGTAGGCCGGCATTCGCCTACCGCCCTTATCGTGGGTAAAAAGCACCTCGCCCTTTTTGTCGAAGGTGAAGGTGCGAAAAGCAAGAGATTTGGATCCGTAATTCTTCGGCATTGTTGTTCTTCTTGGTATGATGGTGATTATGCAACTCTGGGGTATTTAGTGACTTGCCACTCAATCCATCCGGGGCACGGAGGATGCATTATATAGACAGGGAGCCTCATCTGAAGCACAAAACTCGATTTGGATGCTTGTACCGCTGTCATGCAACAACTGTACCCTGCCGATCCTCGCACAGGCTGGGGGAGAGGCAGTGTGCACGACCAAAAGACCAAATTAGCATCGTTTACGAGCGCCGGAGTCAGAGGCGAGAATCTACCTTAGCTAAGGAGGTCTCCGCAGCACCTGCTCATTGCAGAAACGATTCAACTTGAGGCGGACATGGTCGTACGGTCGCACCGACACTCATGATCTCCATCAAATTGGCGTCATCGTGCTGAAGGTCGCTAGGCCTCTTCAGGCGACATGTGCCGCTACTAACAGAGGCGAAGCGCTGGGCATCCCAATCACCACGTGCAAAATGTGTCCGAAATGGGGCCCACGACTGCGCCCGCTTCGCATGAAGATCGCGGCAAGGCTGAAGAGATGGTGCCTTTCAAACACCCACACCCACATCTGCCCCGCGATTGGCAGTTGGCAGTTGGCACTGGGACAAACGACATTGCTATGAATAGGAGGCCTCATTAACTTATACAAAGATGATATCCTCAACGCGAAATACCCTTTGCGGTATATTGTGAATCTGCCATCGTTTGGAAAACGAACGTCTGACCCCACCCAAAAGTTAACAATGCCCGGAGTGCCATCAGGTAAAGGATGCGACGCATGCGTCAAGCAGAAGAAAAAGGTACGGTACCGTATTCTCCTGCAGGTACCGGCGGCGCATATACTTACATAAGGAGTAGTGCGACCAATTGAAACCAGCGTGTTCTCGGTGCGCTCGCCTGCAGATCACCTGTACCGGGTCTGGCAAGCAGCGTTACAAGTTCAAGCAGGTTAGAGCTGGCCCAGTCCCTGGAGCGGGGGCACGACGCTCAGAGTCACACTCGTCACGTACAAGCAGCGTTCGATCATTATCAAGAACGCCCAGCAATGATGCAACGATGATGCTCAGCGACTTTGTCGACAAGCTTGAAGTCAAGGACATCCGCTTCGACTTGTGCTGGGCTTACGGCAACCTGCTGAGGGAGATCCCCAAACGGCTTGGCACCAATATTGCCTTGGATGCGGCGGTCAATGCTATCACCACTACTGCTTCTGACCTCAGCCTGGGATACAAGTCTCCCGAGGCACTGGTACGATACGGGCACGCCTTGACCGCCCTCCGCACCTGCCTCGACGATCCTGTCTCAAGTCAGTCGTCAAGCACGCTATGTGCAATCTATCTCATATGGATTTGTCAGGTAAGCCATGATGTGCCACAGCTCTCAAGGTCGCATGCTCACTCAAGCATAGACATGGATTGGGATAGAGCCAGAATACAACTGCGGTCACGGTTCAGGCATTGTCCAGATATTGGCAAATGCTCCTTACAGAGACTCTAAAGACCCCTTCGATACCATGCTGCTCATGACATTAAGCGGTCCAGTCGTACGTCTCTCCCTCCTTCACTTGGTTCATGAATGACTAAACGTGTGCCAGATCTTCGAAAGTATCTTCAATCCAGAGGTCCAGCTAAACCCATGGGTCAAAGAATGGGTCATGGAGCAGGAAAAGCCGTTGATCGAGAACGCCGAGACCACGAAGAACACCGGCCAACCTCAAGCCGGCCGCATCATGTCCTGTCTTGTTCGCCTTCCAGAATTCATGCGCTACAACCCCGATACCATTTGGGAGCTTCGACAAAACTACCAGGCTGTCCAAGCTACCTCAAAAGTCATGCGTGAGAGGCTTTCCGAAGCTGCAACAGCTATGAAGAGCGGCGTACCGGCAGCTCCGCCCTTCAAAAACCCTCGCGCCATGATCCGAGTTGCGCCAATGAGAATACATGCCTTCTATCAGCGAACCTTTTCCATCTTACTCGCTCTCGAAATCATTCTGAACGGATTACTGCGAGCGTACTCGCCCGAAGACTACGTGCTGGAGGTCGAGAACGACCAATTGACCCGCGAAATCATTGACCTCTCGCTAGAAGGGTCAATATGGAAACCGATCGGCGCCGGCTGGGTGCCCGTGTGTCTCATCAGTGCATGGGGCGCCACCATGGACCCAGCCAGGAAGACACAAATCGAAAAAGTGTGGGATGAGTCCTGGGCCGAGATTTCACACCATTCTCTCCCTTTTGCCGCGTCCTCGATAGGAGACACGTTCGACCAGTTACGCCTTGCGGCTTTCCGCGGCAAGTCAATGTCACCGTACCGGGTACCCTCGCCGTACGGTGTACCTACGACGACCGCTTTATGACATGATGGGTAGAGTATGGCTGGGGATGTCGCCTGGGTAGCGAAGGCGTCTTGGTCGCTTGATTCGACGTAGCTTAGAAGAGAGGCTTGAATGACTGTGTTTATATCAATTTCTTTCTCCTATACTCGAGGAGCAGACGTCTATTCTACAGCGTGTCACCTGCACTGACAGTTCATTCACTGCCTGATAGGGCTCAGCAGTGCCTCAACCCTAATCTTTTCCATCCCCCCGCCCAACCCATCGAATCTACAGTGCCTGCCCTCCAAACAAGCCGCGCTCAAAGAATCCCTCATAGAATCTCGCCAGCAACTCCTCCAGAATGGCACCCGACGTCCCCGCCGCCCTATCCGCCATCGACGCCGCCCACGCGCTCGACCCCAACACCATCATCTCCCCAGACTCGCAAAGTCCCGTCCCCTACGAACTCCACTACGCCCTCAAATGCACCGCCTACCTGCGCAAGCACACGCCCGAGCCCTCCCCGCTCCTCACCGTCGCCGTCCGCGCCCAGCACTTCCGCCGCTGGGAAGTGCCCCGCGACAGCTTCCCGCGCACCAAACCCGGATATTTCGCGTGGCGCACGCACCTAAAGAAACGACAGGCCCAGCAGGTCAAGGAGATCTGCCTGGGCTGCGGCTTCAGCGAGGACGAGGCCGCGCGGGTGGCGGCGCTGATTGCCAAGGAGGATCTGAAGAGCGGAGACGACGAGGAGGCGCAGGCGTTGGAGGACGTGGCGTGTCTGGTGTTTCTGGATGATCAGTTTGATGGGTTTGAGAAGGGCGTGGAGGAGGAGAAGATGGTGGGGATTTTGAGGAAGACATGGGGAAAGATGGGGGGGAGGGGGAGGGAGATGGTGCAGGAGATGGAGTTGAGTGAGAGGGCGAAGGAGTTGGTGGGGAGGGCGTTGGCGGGATGATGGGTCTGGTTGCGCCGCGTGTGCTATCGGGCTGAATGGCTTGTATCAGAGGTGGAGCACACTCTCATGCTTGCAAGTGTTTCGACGGGCGCCAAATTGAGATGAGAAGGACTTCGTTATCCAAGTCGCGCTCTAAGGCCATCGCACGGTCCAAGGATGCACCGCAAGTCAGGCTGCCCTGTGCCTACGAAGCCCACGGGACCTCCTCCGGCCAGACTCGGTGATATCGCCACAAGCCCGCAACAGGGATCTGCTTCTTCCTACAGAAAAGCGACTGATCTATTCCCATGCCCTCGTATGGAACGGTCCCAGCTCTACTGGTATCCAGGACTCCGGTATTCCTCTCGGACGATCCTCAGCCAGCATCGTACTTCCACCGCGAGCACGACGTCGGGCTGGCAATAATGTCTCGGCTGAAGACCGGGTGCTTGAGAGAGTCATGGCTTTATTCACTTACTTCACGAATATGCAACACCTATGCAATATGCAAGCTGAACCCATCGGGTAAAGATCTCCGGCAACATCTACCCCACCTTCATCTCCAGCAAACCATAAGCCAACCTCGACCTTACCTTGTCTGCCTGACTCCCCGGAAAGTGTTGCCCCTGGACAACAGCAAAATCTGACCTCCGGCCGGAGAACAAGCTTTCAGGTTACCATTGCTTCGGACCATGCCGTCGCCCTATGAGAAGATCGACTGCCATTCGCACTACTTGCCAGCGTGAGCAAACTGCACACCTAAACGACTGCCGATAGACTGACTTAGGCAGTGGATATGGCGAAGCGCTCGCCGAGCATGGGTAAGTGTCTCGCAGTGCTACTCTCTGGGGGCACCAAGCCTGGTTTTGGACGATTGAGAGCTTCATTATCTGAGAGATGTTACCATCACATCCTTGCAAACTATTAACACTGCTTCAGACATAAGCACCCGGATGGCATGCCCGGCATCCCAGTAAGAGTGTATCCTCGAGCAACGAAGGCCCTTCTCACATATACAGTCATGGTCTGAGGATGGCCACCTCAGCATGATGGAGACATGCAACATCTCCAAGTCGATCTTGTCCATCACCACCCCAGGCGTCCATCTAGTCCCAGGTGACGACAAGCTAGCCCGCAAGATCACCCACCTCTGCAACAACGCCGGCGCCGAACTCAAACGCCGACGACCCGACCAATTTGGCTTCTTCGCTTCGTTGCCCGTCCCTGACATCAGTGGTGCTCTTGAAGAGATCAAGCGGGCCTACGACGAACTCGACTGCGACGGCGTGACTTTCGAGACGAACAAGCACGGCGTCTACCTCGGCGACCAGCGCCTAGATCCCATCTTCGAGGAGCTCAACCGCCGCCACGCCACCGTCTTCATCCACCCTACCACGCCATGCATGCCCGACGGCCACACCGCCGCTGTCCCCGTCACGCTCTTCCCCCGCTCAACCTACGAGTTCTTCTTCGACACCTGCCGCGCCGTCATCAACCTCTTCGCCTCCGGCACCGTCTCCCGCAACCCCTACATCACCTTCATCATCCCCCACATGGCCGGCGCCTTCCCGCCCCTCGTCGACCGCTTCTCCCGCGTCGCCCCCCTTCTCGGCCTCCCGGGCGTCGACCCCCAACTCTCCCCCGACTTTGTCCGCGAAAGGCTCAACCGCCAGTTCTACTTCGACACCGCGGGCTGGCCGTTCCCGGCACAGGTGCACGGGCTGCTGCAGTACGTCACGCCCGAACGCATCCTCTACGGCTCCGACTTTCCGTTCACGCCGCTGCACGCCGTCGTCGCTTGCTGCGAGGAGCATGATGAGCATCTGCCCCAGGTGTTCAAGGAAGAGGTCGAGAAAGTTTGCACAGGCAATGCTAAAAGGCTGCTGAAGATGGAATAAGTAACCACGTAGCCAATTGATGTAGAAAAGTCATGCTGGTCTTCTTCACCACTGCCGAAGAAGGAGTTTGCCCCCCCGAGGCTCTCCCCGCATGAATGATACCAGTGGCTTACCAGAAAGCCTGCATATCTATTCCCCGCAAAAGCAGGTATAGCATTCTAATTCTAAAGCTCACAGCCACGACCATGTTGGGAAGTCCAACTCCCAGCCTCCTCCAACAATAGGCCTATAGAGCTCGGGCCTCGCCCGAATGTCGTCAGCCATTTCACGGGTTTCCTCTCACCTTCGTGACAGACCTTTGGACGAGACATGCTCACTCGGACAGAAAAACGGCAGTATAGAACTTGCTGTTCTCCGAGCCATAGGCACGCTTGGTTTGACGTGTTACTCATTCCTTCCCGAATTGCCTTGGTCAAATTTTTCAACTCTACATCATTTTCTTATCGAAACCGCTTGATCTTCAAATCTGCTGCTCGTTGATCACGTTCTCACATTCCCGCTGAGTAACACCTGAAAAGCATGGCGAGGATCTCAAATCAGCGTGAAAACAGTGTTTTGAGAGGATATCTATCTCTTCTCGTTGCAGCTTGTATGCTGCGCTGCGCTACGCTGCGCTTCAGCGCAGTGGTAGTTCAAACACGGGGTATCTGTCCCCCTTCTCCCCCTTCACTTTCCCCCCTTCCTCCCCCTCCGAACCTCCACCCGCAACCACGCCGCCAGCCCCTCCATCTCCACCCCCTGCTCTTCCCCCACCGGGCTCCTCACCTTCACCACCACTTCCCCCGCCACGACCCGCACCATCACCAACCAGTATGGGCCATCGCCCCCGTGCTCCTCCTCCAGCTGCTCCATGCTCTCCACCTCCTCTGTCAGCTCTGCGCTGATCCCCGCGGTCCACAGCTCGCGCAGCACGTCCATGCAATGCGTCGTCAGCAGCTCCGGATCGAAGCTGGTGACGAGCACATCGCAGCGGGAAGGCTGCGCGGCCGAGGCGGAGGAAACAGCGGCAGAAGAGGAGGTGGAGGCACCGGCCTTGCCGGGCTTGTTCTTGCCCTTTGCAGCGGAGGCATCGGCGACGGTGGCGTCGACGAGCATTTTCGCGACCTTCTCCAGGTTGAAGGAGAGGCCGACTGCGCGGGGAGCAGGATCGCTGCTACCGCGGGCGTGGTATTTGATCAGCTCGTCATAACGGCCACCATTAGCCAATGGTTGGCTGGTCTCGTCGTTGATGCATTGGAAGACAATGCTCTGCTCGTAAAGGTGCGCGTCCGAAGCACTGAGCGGTGCTATCACCACTTTATGCGAGAAGTTCAGGCGCTGGAGATAGCTGATGATTTCTTCCAGACGGCTTACGCGAGCGAGGGCGGTGGCGGCCATAGCCTTGGACTTCCCGAAAGCGGTCTGGAGGGCTCGACGTACCTCCTTCGGCTCTCCTCTGATAGATGCAAACTTGCCCAGACCAGCAAGTGAAGTGTCTGCAACGTTGTACTGGAGACGAGCCGCCTGTCCGAAGGCTTTCAGATGTTGCTGGCGTTGTTTCTCGTTGAGACGGCCAAATGGGTATCTTGACAAAAGTGCCTTCATGTTCAGCCAGTGCTCCTGCCGAATGTCACAGTGCTCGAGAATCAGATCCAAGATGTCCATGTGGTTGAGAACAACAGTCCAATCTACTGAGAGCAGTGCCGGGACTTGTCCAATGAAGTCTTGGATGATGTAGATCGTGGTCGCCTCCTTAAGAGCAAGGTCAGTAGCCTTGTGTGACACGAAATCGAAGTTGGCTCGTGGAAAGTGAAGAGGTTCAGTGTTTCCGTGCTCGTTTCTGGCCTCATAAATGTCGGCAAAGCAGAAAATCTTGTTGTGTTGCGGTTTGGTCTTTGCGAGGGTACGAGCCAAAGGCGTCGTCAAGTCTTTGCGGAGCTGCAGCGTGATGAGGTCGTCGTTGAGGACGGCTACAGCGGCAGCTGATGTTTCGAGTGCAATCGGGAGTAGAGCCTGGCGGCTCGTCATGACTGCGCCATGCTTTCGGAAAGTAGCCTCTAAGCGATCCTTGACGGTACCTAGAAGCAATGGCGACTGGATTGGTTCATCATCAGCTGTTGGAATATACTCCCAGGCAAGGTCCTGCAGATCGGTGTTCTTTCTCTTAACGAGCATGCTGGCTAGTTTCTTCGGATCGTGCTGGGCCATCCACTCGAGACGACGTTCCAGTTTACTCTCCTCAATTGGCTCCGGGATCTTTCCTCCATTTAAAAGAGCATTCGCTGATGGACGGTCCGCAGGTTGATGACTGAGCAAATCTCTAATGATGAGTGCTTGCTCCTTGTACTTGGGATCGTCGAACAGTCGCTGCGGTATGTTGCCGACGTCCTTACCAATAGCGTCAAGCATTGCGTAACGGCCAGAAGTGGTTGGGAGATGATAGCTCATCTCGAAAAGTATGATCCCAAGCGAGAACATATCAACCTTGCTGTAATCAGTGATATCGAGGCCACGGTTGAGCTCTGGAGCGATGTAGAACATAGTACCAACTTCAGAGCCTTTCTTTGCTGCGTTAGCAACTGCGAGACCAAAATCGCCAATTTTCGGTGTCTGGCCTGCCCCAAGGAAGATGTTATCAGGCTTCAGATCTCGGTGAGCAATGCCGTTCGCGTGGATGTAGTCGAGGCCCTCGAGAATGCCACGTAGGAGCTGCCACGCGAGATTCACATTGTCACAGAGGCTCTCTCCAACCAGATATTTCAGGGTCTTCCCTTCGCAGTATTCCATCTGGATGTATATGACCCCTTCTGTGAATGTGCTGCTGCTGCGTGTGGTTTTCCTGGGCTGGGTAGGGACGACGACTTCGGCACTGACGACAGCTACACCGCCCTGCTCACTCTCTTCCTCGAGTGGACCATCTTGTTGAAGAGAGGAGTCCTTATGTCTGGGTACTCTGGCTTTGTCATCCGAGAAATCGTTCCGGAACAGAGCCGAATCGACCTTTGCGTCTCCGGCATAAGCATTGTCATAGTCGTCGCTATCATCATATTGTGGCTCGCTCGCATCACTCTGGTCGTTAGAATCGTTAGGCGCAACGCGATGCGGCGCTGACCCTTCTGTAACCTGGAAACGTGGTGGAGCTGGCGACTGGGTAGCATCATTTCGTTGTCCTGCTGGGTTCATAGCTTCTAGCCCTGATCGGCCAAAATTCTGGGTGTATTGATCGGCCAAGTAGCTTTCTGCCATGGCATTTCCCTTTGACATGGACGGGTTGGGTTCAACCGGAGGCGAATATGTTTCTGTGTAGGTAGTGTCCTCAAGGCTTCTCTGCTTGGAGGAAGAGTCATCGGCTTCGGCCCAGGAATCGTAGTATCTGACGATCGATGGATGTTGCAGCCTTGCCAAGTTCAGCACCTCGGAACGATATTCTTCTAATTGTTTGCGGTCGTAGGCTCTGATAAGCTTCACGGCATAAACAGCCTGGTCGGCGAGTTTTCGAGCCTTATAGACGCTTCCAAACCCTCCTTTTCCAAGTCTACCGAGGGACTCCCAGTCATCATTCCATCTACTCGGAGCAACCCGGCCACTTCTAGCGGATCCTGGCAATCCCTCAATCGACCATCCCGCATGTATTATGAGTGGTCCATGCTGGAAGAGGAAGCTTGAGGTTTTGAGCTCATCGGCGCTGGGCCGGGCGGATGGATCGGGTTTGAAGAGCTTGTACAGCAACTCTGACAGACCAGTGTCAAGGTTCTGCTTCTTAAGACAGTCTCGTGGTGATGTGTATTCTTCGTAAATCGAGGTACCAAGGAGCATTTCGAGGATGATTCTGCCAAGATTCCACATGGATGTCGGTGCGGTTTGCGCTTGCGCATTTTCGATGAGTTCTGGGGCTCTCCATAATGGGGGTAGTACAGTCGGCGCATTGGAATTGTCCCTCGCTTTGTCGACCAACTCACGTAAAGCTGTGCCGTATCCATCGGAGAGTTTGACTATGGGTGCGCTCTGGCCATGAGAGCGGAAGATTATGAGGTTGCCTGTGTGAACAGCAGGGTGAACGAAGTTGTGAGTTTCGAAAAACCACAGAGCTTGAATGATTTGTCGCGTGTACTCGCGTACCTTTGCAGGGGCAAGCTGTCCAGCCGCATGGATGACCTGTCTCAATGAGCCTTCCCACGAGAACTCGGATAGAATGTACAAGTTGTATTCTTCCTTTCCTCGTTCTTCATCCGGATATTCAAGTTTGTAGCCGATGATGGAAACTATGTTCACGTCTTCAAGCTTGCAGGACTCCTGGAGAAGCTTCTCGACTTTCATCATAGTCGTAAGCATATCGTCCGGTGAAATCAGGTCCTTTCTCAACATGATCTGTTTCAGGAGCAGGGTCGGGACGTTGACACTGTCATTGTTGGGAACCTGGGGAGAGACCAATCTGTTGATCTTGTCGTCGCGTCTGAGTGTAGCGGCTCTGCCATCCACTTTAGTGAACTCGATTAGGTGCCCATCGATAGCGTCTTTGCAGAAAAGGGGTCTCTCGAAGTCAACCGAGATCGGGTTGCAAGTCTCCATATCGCTGGTTTTGCCTTTTGCTCTAGAGTGCTCACGTCGCTTTCTCTCCGTGTCCAAACGAGAGACAAGTTCCTGACGACCTTTTGCCTCAAGTTCTCGTTGCTGTTGCCGAAGTTGGTCTTGTGCCTGCTGACTGGCGAGTCTGGCAGCCGCCTCTTGCTTTGCACGCTCCTCCTCCAAGCTGAAGGGGTTCGCTTTCTCAGCTTTTGAAAGCGCACTACGGTTCAGCAGCTCGTCAATAGCTCCGGTAACTTCGTGAACGCATTCGCTTCCGATGTGGGCTTTGGTAACGTTTTTTGTTATCAAGTCAAGCTGTGTCCGGACTTTAGCGATGTCGGGCTCGAGAGTGATGACTTTGGCTTTCAGGGGGACTTTTGGGTAATCGCCAGGAAATTCAATCTCGATTTTGATGAAGAACTCTGGGTTCTCAAGCGACGTTAGACGAACTTGGAAAGCAAGATTTTCACGGTCCTGTGATGGCATTAGATCATGCATGGCGGTCTGGGGAGGAGGACACAAACCTTCCATGCGTCTTTACGACCATGCACTCGCACAAACTCGTCAGGATAGATAGCTTGAGTCGCCAGGTATTCGTTCTGTTGGACCTCTGGGTAACTGTCTATGCCACCATCTGCATCTCCGAAGCCAGGGGGCGGAGACTCGGGTGGTTTGTCGGGTGAAAATGGGGTAGTGGGGGCAACTGGGCCTTTGGCCTTGTTGGCTTTCTTGCGAGCCATTATGGCAACTCACGCGAGCGGGTGGTCGGCAAGGCTGATCCAAATTTCCGGGACAGGTGCAGTCACTGGAGCCTTAGCAATAGGCAAGAACCTGCAGAATGGCCAGCCACCATAGTAACAACCACACGAGGCTGTGGTGTCGAGGGGCTCGACAGCGTTTGCCAAGACCTGATACTGCCAAGCCGGAAGGCGGACAAACCTTTGTGAGGCGAGGCAACTTCAACTTAGAAAGTCTTGGTAACTTCGGAGTCGACCACTCTTGGACTTTTGTACTCAGTCTCGAAGGAAAAGTCGCAAAGCGTCACTCTGCGACTGCGATAGACTGATCACTCGTGGACTCTGCTGCGAGGTGCAGCAATAGTACAAGTGCCGTTCAACCTACCGGACAATATCTTCCACTAGTCAAGATGGTGAACATTACGGACAAAATCAAGGAGTCGGTTGCTTCGTTGGTTCCAATGATTCGTGCGGATGCTGAGTGGATTTCAGGATCGAGGCCGAAATGGCTCGGACTCAGAGTGAGTGTTATCGGATGATGTCTGCGAAGTCTTGCGATTGACCTCTAGCAGAGAATAAGGCCACTGGTCAGTATTTTCGGTAACGACTGATGTCGGTTGACTTTGAGGCTGATTGTTGACAGAATACCACCTTGGTCTGCTAAAAGGGTAAGTGGTCCGTTGTGTGCGATGTGGTAGGAAGTTGCGAAGTTGCAGAAGCAGACACGCTCAAGCAACAAACGCAACTGCGCGGCCAAGACATATCACGTGATATGTCTTGGCTGTAGCTGCCTATCTCAGGCCTTAAAAGGTGTCCGTGCACAATAGTGACTTCTCCTTGTGAGAAGAGTCACTGGAGCGTGGGGCCTGGGGCGTCATCACATGCTTCTTTTGAGCCGGAGTGATTGCTGCTACTGGGCAAGGGCACTCCAATGACTTCTTTCCCTATGTGAGAGCCAGTCAGCCTAACATGAGATTAGAAAACTTGCTCGATTAAGAGCACAACTTCTGGAGCCAGGACCAGGAGCTGGAGGTGGTGCTGGCTCGGGCTTCGATGTGTCGAAGTCCGGGGATGCTCGCATCGCACTGGTGGGCTTTCCTTCAGTCGGCAAGTCGACCTTCCTTTCGAAAATCACCAAGACCAAGTCTGAAGTGGCGGCATATTCCTTTACGACCTTGACGGCTATTCCTGGCGTACTTGAATATGGTGGCGCCGAGATCCAGATTCTCGATCTTCCGGGTATCATTGAGGGTGCGTCTGAAGGTAAGGGTAGAGGACGACAGGTCATTAGCGCAGCAAAGGTATGTTCACTTGTCCCAGGCTATGGCCACGTCTGCATCTCGAGCGTATGAGCAGCCAAAACACCACAGGGACTTGCCTTCGACCAGCCGTCGAACAGATCAGCCGAACACTCCCATTGTGCTTCGTCCCAGGCATTGCTCACATCATCGTTGTCTATCGCTGCACTGAATCTCCGGATCATGCTCGCAGTTGCCGAAAGCACCCGCCTGTATATACTGACTCTTCACTACAGACCTCAGACCTGGTACTCATGGTCCTCGACGCTACCAAACGCGCCGAGCAGCGCGCGCTGCTGACCGCAGAGCTGGAAGCGGTAGGCATCCGACTCAACCGCAGCCCACCCAACATCTACCTCAAAGCCAAGAAAGCCGGGGGCATGAAAATTGTAAACCATCCAAACCCCCAACGATAGTTTCTACCTACTAACCACGCCTTTCTGTTCGGACAGACCTTCCAATCCCCACCCAAAAACATCGACGAGAAAATGATCTACAACATCCTCCGCGACTACAAGATCCTGAACTGCGAAGTCCTGGTACGCGACGAAAACGCCACGGTCGACGACTTCATCGACATCATCATGCGCGAGCACCGCACCTACATCCGCTGCCTGTACGTGTACAACAAGATCGATGGCGTCAGCATGTCGTTCCTGGACGAGCTAGCCCGCGAGCCCCACACGGCCGTCATGTCGTGCGAGATGGACCTGGGCGTGGCGGAGGTCGTGGACCGCTGCTGGGAGGAACTGCGCCTGATCCGGCTGTACACGAAGCGGCAGGGCATCGAGCCGGATTTCTCCGAGGCGTTGATCGTCAGGAGTGGGAGCACCATTGAGGACGTGTGTGACTCGATCCATCGCACGCTTAAGGAGACGTTCAAGTACGCGCTGGTCTGGGGCGCGAGCGCGAAGCATGTGCCGCAGCGGGTCGGGCTGGCGCATGTGGTTAGCGATGAGGATGTGGTGCAGGTGGTGAGCAGTTGGAAGGCCTGATTATTCTCACCCGCGGGGGTATGACTACTTGAGGGGAGACCTTGCTGGTTCGTAAGGCGGGGCTACAACGGCGGAGGAAAAGTGGCGGCTTGCAGTCGCCCTCCTGTACGCAGAGGGCCAGCAGACTCTGAACGGCGGTGACAGGCTGTGAGACTCATGGCATTGCAGGCGCCAAGCAACAGCAGCAGCAGCAGCAGCAGCAACAGCAGGAGTGGCAGCACGGTTAGGAGAGGCTAAGCAAGAGCCTGCAGGGGCCGCTTTAGACCGCCATTTCTCTAAGGGGGTTGCAAGAGATCTAAGCGCTTCGGCGGACCGGTGAGCGGCCAAAACGTTTTCCATGCCAGTGCAGTGCAGCCAGTGTCACGACAGATAGCCAGCTTACATAGGAACCAAGCCCCCCACGGGGACCGGTTCAGGCGAACCCACGACGCTTGATCTCATCCTCTTGGCCGTGTCAGGGTGTTGCCCTGTATTGCTCGTTCACGCTCCCGGAGGAGCCCCGCCGGCCTATGTCGCGTGAGGAGCGGTGATGGGGTAAGACCGTAGTGCTCGCACGCAGGCATGCATGCATGACGAGACCTGGCAGAGCGTGGGGATGTACATGCTAGGGCAGGATAGGGTAGGCTAGACCGATGCTGTCAGCAGCTTAAGGTAGGCAGATGAAGGATGAAGGCTTGGCTGTCTTTTCTTAAGGGGGGTGGAAAGGAGAATTGTTTTCCGGGTAAATCTGCAACATCTAGAGGGTCTATTTTGTGCACGACACCACGGCTGAACAGTCCACCGCGCTGATATGTCAGAACCCCAAGGTCTTGCGAGTAAGCGGTTTCTTCTTGCATTGAAGCGGCCTAGGCAGTTGATGATGGGATGAACGTTCCACGGGGGGCGCCGTTACATATCGGGCAGGCATTGAGGGTCGTCTCGGTCCATCCCGTCTCACTCATGACGGTCTGCCTCGTTGAAAAAATGTGCATCATCATCACCATATGATCATTGCCGGCGTTGGATCTCGTAACATGGGTGTTCCCGCCTCGCACAGGGCCACAGTGCGGGCCGAGTTTCCAGTTATCCTACCGCTGCGCCTCGCTTCGTGCCGTCTCTCAGTTCTATTTTCATTTCTGCTCTATGTCATCTATCGTCATGGCTGTCATCATCATCGGCGGTCGTTCGTTGTGCAGCCGCAATAATGCGAGCTGATATGCATCGTTGTCAGTGGGGGCTGACTCCACGTGAGCACTCTCGCGGGCCAGAGCCTTGTCTGATTACTGGATTTGGTTAGTCAGAAGATGCGGCTGAGATAGAGTATGGGAGGCCGGATGGAAGCGAGGATGGTCGTGTGGGGTGAGAAAGCAGACGAGCTCGGAGACAGGCGGCTCGACTTACTCGCCAAAGATGATGGATGCGGTGAGCTTACCATGGCCAGATGGGAGTGCCCTCGTTGAAGGCAGGTGCCAAGAAGGCTAGAGATTTGGGTAGGCCAAGCTGCTACGATGGCAGATAGCAACCGAGCAACTCGGTATGAGCGTCGACATCATTCACTTGTCGCTGGGACTGGGAGAGCCGGCCTCCAGAGGAGCAGGACGGATTGGGAATTGAGGCAGTTGAGGCATATGAGGCGGTGGAGGAAGAGGTCCAAAAGGCTTCTTGACTCCCGTGGTATCGTAGATGCCGCGTCCAGCGTTGACGAGATCCTGCATCGTGGCTTCTTGATGTGCTGAGTTGAGCTGTTGGCTGTGTGATGTAAGTTCTGAGCAGCAACAACAGAGATCTTTGCAGAAGGCTGCTACGATTATCAGAGAATGTGTGCGGGAAATCAACATAGAAGGCAGCGACGTATTTAGCTTGCTAGCAAGCACGACGCGAAACCGAAAACAGCCAGGACGCAAATGCAGGTCCCTTGATGCCAGGACGCGAATCCGGACCCAACAGTAAGGCACGGAACTGCGGTGAGGCAGCTGTGTCAGAGTCGGTGGCAGGAAGTTGCCTGCAAAGTGCTTCGGCTCTGTGTTTCAGCGGAGCTTCTAGACACGCGGAAGGCTGATCATAGCGGGAACCCGGGGCGTTGGGGGGGTCAGCCTTCAGGGGAGACAGAATAGCGGTGAGCCCGATTAGGGCCAGCTTCCCAGCATCCGACATCCGCGCGCACTGGCCACCGGATTGGCCTTGTTGTCGAAGCACATGCTGAGGCAGAAAAGACACAAAGATTCTTTGCCATGACTCTTTGACGTTGCTGGAGCACGCCGTGTGAGAGGAAAGGAAAGGATGAGTGCGGTTGCAAATGAAACGTTGCCGTACGGCTGAATCGCTCTTTCTGGGCCCCGATTGGCTGGCCTAAATCGAGCGAGGCTGTGCCAGAGCCTGTTGAGCCACCACGTAGATAGTGACGATCTTGACATCTGACATCTGAGGCAGCACCCTGTCGGACCAGTTCAACGGCTGGAGTAACACATGGGCGGCTCAGCGTTCCTTGATGGAAGCTCATCGACGTGCAGCGTGGAAGCGCCTCTGATCAAGGATATTCTCGTATTGACACTGTGTCCCGCGTTCAGACCTGTCACACGGGGTCTCGCCAACATAAGATTCTCAAATCTCGGATCTCTCTACCGCTGCTCCACGTATCTGTTGTGTTACGCAATAGAACCAGAACCTACTCTACGCCGCCTTCGACTGTAACTCCATGGAACTGACCATTCTTGAATCGGTCTGACATCTCCTCAAACGTAACCCATTCCACCCCTGCATGGCTGTTGATGAACTCGATGAGTCGGTCGTGCATCATCAAGACTTGTGGCTTGCCACTGACTTGGGGATGGATCGAGATCGGAAAGACAAAGCCCTCTTCGTACTCTGCGTAACAGTACTCGAACTGTTCCTTCCAGAAGCGCTCGATGTGATGCGGGTCAATGAAGCCCGCTCCGATTGCAGCTTTGGCCTGGAATGGGGGCCAGTCATCGCTTGAAACGTCAAAAAACAGCGTCAGCACTCATAATTCACATACGAGGGGTCAAAGGGGATCGCGGTGACCTCGAGGGTATGGAGTCGGAGACTTAGAATAGAGTCCGCCATGACGAGGTGAATCATGACCGTCCGCTGTTGAATGCCAGTGCCATCCACGATTATGCATACTCGGACTGTGAAAGAATGTCTGTCCACGTCCACCGATTCTGGCTCTTGGGAGACTGGGTAACTTACACGTGCCACTGTAGTCGTCAGAAACGGTACTCAGGCACAATTCAATGTAACATTTGGAGGAGATCAGATGCAGATCAAAACTCATGCCAGCTCCGACTCCGGCTCTGGTCAGAGCAAGTTCTGTCAGGAACCATCTGATGGTAACAGAACGTGGCCAGAGCCCTTTTCCATGGCTGCCATTTGACGGCAGGGGCACAAAATGCAAGGCTTCTAGGATCTGGGACTTACATTGGCTGGGATCTCGACAATTTTCGACGGCTTGAGTGCACTCATTGGCTTCATCCATTCGGAAGCCTCCGCGGACTGGTAGTTCGTCTCGACGTTTGTTTCAGCAGTATACGGAGCGTAGTACATCTGGCTGTCGTGGTGCATGAAAGAATGATCGTACTCGATGGCAGCCTCTTCGAGCAGCTCGATCTAGTCCAGACAGATACCAATCAGTGGATTTCGAGGTGACACAATATCATCCAACGGAACTGATACCGCCATGACGTTCCCGAAACCAGAATTTGCCTGCCGCTGTGGAAGATTCGAGGTCTTCGTGGATGCGGGTGGGAGGTAGACCTACCGTTGCCCGGCTTGGAGTCCACGCAGGCGCAGTGAAGCCCTTCGGCTTCTTACCCGTAAACGCTGTGAGCACATCGATCGATTTCTGCAGCACATCCCGCTCCTGCTGCGTAGAGAGGAGGGACATGTATTCGTGGGTGTACCCGTGCAGCCCGATTTCGTGGCCGGCATCCCGGACCTTGGCCATCTGCTTAGGGAACGACTCGAGAGAATGGGCTGGTGTGAACCAGGTGGCCTTGATGTTGTGCTTGTCCAGGAGTTTGAGTAGTCGGTCGATGCCGACCGTTGCTCCGAATACCCCACGGCTCACGTTGGTCACGTCGACTGGAGTGCCGTCTTTGGTGTTCAGCCAGTTGGACACGGCGTCGACGTCGATCCCGTAGCCACAGAGGACCTTTTTGGGCATTGCTTCGGTATGATCAAGGCCCTGTACGTTGATGGGATACTACTAGGTCGATGGTTCTCTCTAATCAACGTTGGACAAGAATGTCGCAAGGACCCAAATAGCCAGGACGCCTCTCTGTACCATTGTCAGTGGCTGAACGACATCTCAACGCGCTCAACTCCGCCAGCATGATGATGTCAATCAATGAGGAGACGAGGCACAATAGCAAACGATCATCGAGAAAGTCGGAGTATGCAGTACTGTGCCTGCTCTGTAGCTCCTTCTCCAATCGAGATACAGTTTTGGCACCTCATGCTCTACTCAGTGCCGCCGGCATGCCCGCCACATGTTCTCATTTATTCAAGATCGCTGTGTCCCTAGATATAATCTCAAAGTTGTCATCACGCTTTCCCTGAAACAACCGAAGACAGCCCTGCAGCAAAGATTTCACCATGTTTGTCGCCGGAGAAGCGCGTTCCTTCACAAGTGTTCTCTCCGAGTCTACTCAATTGGGACAACTGAATTTGGAGGTCCGTGTCAGGGCTAGCAGCGGGAGACCTCCCAGCGGTATCAGCCGCCCGTACCTTAAGATCTCGTGCCTTCAACCACTGCCAAACCGGTGCGCTACGCTGTCCGGATTGGAACGTCAGGCGTTTCGAGCGCGAGGCGGATGCGTACTACGCTCATTGCGCCATATCGTCGCTCAGAAATCGCGAGGTGTAGCTAGCCGTTATTGGCGATACTTCGGTGGATGCATGTGATTTCCATTGGCACGTATGGCTGGACAGTCACCTCCGCAGAGATGACGGGAGGCGTAGCCACAAGCGTGGTCTGCTTTAAATCAGTATATTTTCGTCGTAGTCGTCAGATGGATTACCTTCTGGGCCGTTTCTGTATCGACAAGTAATGTGGTCGCAGCCGCATTCTTTGACAAATGCATTTCATAGCAAGGGCATTCAATCCCTTGTTACTCTCCAGCAGGCATCTAGCTGACTCTGCCAGATCACGCTCATTCTGCGTAGTACGCTCCACGCAGGGACCAGTCAAAGCCCAACAGTGAATATAGGAAGCACCAACGAAGTACCAACGTGCGATGTCGCTATACCTAGGAGTGGCCATAACTCGCTCGAACTGCTCGTGAGATCCGGTACTTCTTTTTGCCATTTGGGAGAACTTCAATGTACTCGTTCAGACCGGGCAATTGACCCAGTTCTTTCTGTTTCCGAGCCTCGAGTTTCTCGGCATTCTTCTCTTTGGACGTCAGAGGCCTTGTAGGAAGAGGCAATCCTTGGCGACGGTTGCTCTCAGCAGCGCGGTAGAATCCAACATCGTCTTTGATTTGCAGCAGCTGTTCTGGAGACGTCTGCGCGATGATCTCAGTATCGTATGATCGAGTGACACTGTCATATTTCCACTCCGGCTTATTGTCTCGTATACTCTCACAAATCCAGCATATGCAGATCTGACAGCCCGATGAGTCTGAACGGAACGAAGAAGAAGATTGAGCCGTCTCCGAGGAATGAATAACCTTCAGGTCGCTCGCTGAGTCCGCCGTATCAAAGCCGGCGTTTGAACAGTGGTTGAGGTATTGGGCTGGAAATAGACGATGTGTACGCCAAATCAGGTGTATGCCAAAGGGTATTTCGTCCTGTGTCAGGCTACCCAATCGACCCGAGGTCAGGGCTCCTACGTAGTCCAGGGCTGCTCGTTGCAAAGAGCCTGTCAGGGTTGGCGACCGGATCCACAGGGCTTGGTGGGACGCATCAATGAAAGCTTCTTGCTGATGGACTTGGAGGACAAGGTCAATAGCAAATGGAGACTCATTGGACTCGGCATACGCTGGTGGAGCATCAAGGTATGTCAAGATATCAGGTGCTTGCTCGGAGATGGTGGAAAAGAGAATTTCCGCCGGGCGGGGCAGCTCGAAAGTCATTGTGTCTCGATCGATGGCATCTCTAATGGCAGGCCAAGGAAAGCAAAGCATTGAAAGACGCGTGTCGCAGGCTTGGTGTGAAACTCTGGAGTACTCCTGTTCATCCAGGATGAGTGAATACCAGACTAAGAGAACGTCTAGTGGGCTATGGGGAGTATAAGCCAAGAGTTAGTATTCAGATCTAAAGGCGGAATATGAAAGAATTGGAACGATCGCACGAAGACCACCAGCTCCAATTGCTGGGACACCAATCTGATGATTGACGGTGCCCTCTTCAGCAAGCTGAGGTCGACACAACAGGCGGTCGACCAAATTGACGGGCAGTCTCCCCGAAGCCACAGCATGTCACTATCGAGAGCATCTGCTGCGAGTCCGAGGAGCCTGCTGGTCAGGTTTGTTGACCCCTGGTGACACTTGAAGTGGCACCACGCTGGCCTTTCTAGGTTTGGGATGACTTACGGAAGATAGTTAACAGGGAGCTGGATCTCATCCCTGATGGCACCTCCGCGTTGGCCATAAGCGATGGCATGATCGAAAACCTGGGGGAGATTTTTCCACCAAGTGGTAAATCGGGTTACCGCGAGCTGGACCAGAAGATCCCAGTGCAGGGATTCAGGCAGCGACTCCTCTGCAAAGCTCTCGTCAGGGCTTGCATCTTGGGCATATGCGGGGGGCTTGTATGATTGGATGTCAAGCTTAATAGCCTTGGTCCTGAGGTTTCGGAAACACTCAAGGAGGCAAAGGTGAACGGCAGCGTGACTAGAGTCGGGATAGATCAGAGCAGTCTTGTGTGGCGCGTGTGTAGTCGCGTCAGGCACAAAGGCGTTTCTTAGGTCGACAGGGTTCGGGATTACTGTCGCTCTGGAAGTCGAGCTCGAGATAGAGTACTTGTTGGGAAAATGCCACGAGTGAGGATCTTGGTCTGCCTGAACTCCAGACAGGCGACCCCGAACGCGGCCGAAAATGGACATCCAAGAGTCGAGAGGACGATAGCGACTAACGAGATCACTTGAGGTAGAGTGGAAATGACAATCTCCCACTCGAATCTGATAAAAGAACGAAGTGGGTGAAAGATGGGAAATGGGGAGGCGAAAGGCAGCGAAAGGAATCAGCACCCTAGGCCAGGACACTAAGCCTACGTCAAGCGCTTTCTTGCCCGTTCTTGAAGGTGCAGGATGGGGGGTGCAAAGCCATCGCTGCTTGGTGGGCGACCTATTTGCAAAAGATAGGCCACAGCTCTCCGCCTGTTGGATCCCTGGGGCTCGGCGGCGGCGGCGGGCGAAACAGCACGTGCGCGGCACAGCGGCACCCACGCCAAGCCTTGGCCTTCGTGCAACCAGCTCTCACTATCAAAAGTCGACTGCAGGTCTGCGTGGCGGCGTTGAATGCGTCAAGCAACGAGGCCGCAGCTTGTCACGAGGCATATTGGTTCGTATATACATTCATTAAATGGTCGTAGTTCGTCCTTGGTGTTACAACTCGTAGTATACAATACACGCTTAATGCTTCTGCCCCAAACATCATGGTTCACCCGGTAGATTCCAAGACAGTATTTTTGGTGGAGGAGTAGCCTCTTCCACTATAACCCTTGGAAGACCTGGTGATTGTGACCGATCCGATGTGGCATTGAGGAGCCTAGATTCAATGGACTCATGGTCGGTCACACCCCTCAACTCAGGCGTCGAAGGGGCTGTGCTGGGCAACTCTGGTGGACTAGTGCTGGGCCGCTCAATCGTACTTGGATCAAACTCCGGATCATCTACGGCAGCACATTGCTCCCTCGCCTGCTCTCCGTCTGACGGCTCGCCGTAGCTCATACTGACGGGCGTGGGTGGGCTATACATCTCGTTGGCGCTGGGCGAGTATTCTATCGAGTCTTCTGACGGTCCACGACGATGACCTTTCAAGATGCCATGGCGCTTGCGTATTGAGCTTTGCCGTGTTGCAGGCGGACTCGCCGTTGGTGTATCCAAACTTGTTGTGTTGAGCCAGCGGGAGCTCGGAGATCGTGCCAACACACTCTGCACCAACGGCAGCTCGAGATACTGATTGAAAGCACCTTTCGTGAACAACACGAGGGCCAGGCAGATCAGAACGAGCACCATCTGCAAGATCGAGATGCGTTTCTGAAGGATCAACTCATCCGCAAGAATGCCCAGTCGAGTGTTCATCGCTTCTGTCTCATGGTGATACCGCTCTCGTTGCATTTCCAGCTCGATCACAGTCGACTGCCATAGCTGGTCGTATTGCTGACGAAATTCTCGGAGCTCACTGAGGACTGTGCTGTTCAAATGATCGAGAAATGTCTCGGTCTTGGCCAGTTGCCGCTGCTCAACCTTTTTGAAGGCGTCACGTAGTGCTCGAGATTGGTCCTCGATATATTGTAGCGACAAAGAAGAATTCGATTCAAGCATCTGCAGCCTCTTTTGCACAGATTTGAAGAACGATTCTTGCATCGTTGGTGCAGCTGGTTGACTCTGCGTCGGTGTTCCCGGCGACTTCTGTCGGTCACTTGCGGTTGCGTTCGTGGAGCTACCAGGCGCCTTTTCTGACGACGAACTCCCAACCTGTGTACCATTTGGCGTTGCATTCGATGCTGTCGTCGCAGCATTCGCCTCAGGTATTGTTGCTTTCTCCGCAATCGAGCTGGGTTCCGTCACTGTTGAGTTCAAAGTAGTGTGATTCGAGTGGTGAGAAGGAGTTCTGTCGGATACGTGGTGGGTGGTGTTATGCTCGTAGCTACTTGCTGAAGTCAGGGGAGTCGAGCTGGAGCTTGTGCTAGGCTCGTTGGAAGCCTCGCTCCCATAGTTGTCAGTCACCTTCTGTTCTGCGCTCAGCTCGCGGGTGAGACTGCTGCCGGCTGCCACTTCACCAGTGTCTTTCGATGGCTCCGCTTCCAGCGATATACTCTCAGGAGGTTGGACCAGGGCTCGGTGTTCGAGGACCTTCTGGATTAGCGGTTCTGCTATAGCTTCTGGGACAAGGGCATCTTCTGGCGATACGCTGGGATTGACAGCCCCGGACTCATCTTCGTTCTCAGCCTGTGCAGACTCAAGGTCATGCTTGTATTCCTCAAGCATCGTGGTGCCATGGACTCGAACCAAGCTGACAGGGCAGTAATATTCATTACCGTAATGCGACAATAGCTCGATCCGAATGTAGCGTGCCCACATTACAGGATTTTCGATCAGAAACGCTTGCACTTCTCGAGTGTTTCTCGCCTCGAAGGTGCCCAAAGACTTCCATTTGTCAACCTTGACTGGGTACTTGTCCGAAACGCTGACGCGAAATGTTCGAAAGATAGAGCTGAAAAATTCATAGTTGGCCAGCACAATGGTGTCGATGGAAATATCATCACACAGTTCCAGAATGAGGAACTTGTTATCGGCGCTGCAGACATTCAACATATACGCGTCCTTGTTTTCCCCAAGTACGGCGGATGCGCTGGTTGCTTCCGGATTATGCTTCAGGACGTTGGCAGCACAATCGAAAGATGCATAGTTGAATCGTTCCTTGCAAGTTGTACCAGCGTCTTTGTTACCAGACTTGATCTTTGGAGGGGAGGACGCCGCAAGTTCTGCTGATAGTTGGGGGAGATCACTGCCAGTTCCATCTCGTGATGGGCTGATCAGCTCAGGGGCATCGGGTATGAAGCCAGTAAAGTCAAGCTCGATCTCAGCATCATCGCCCAATGTATCCAGGGCGGTATGCATATTGGCGGGTCGTTTCCGCTGCGCGAGCCGTTCTGGAGGATGATCTCTTCCCACATGTTCAGACTGTCCAGATTTTTGTAGATTCTGCCTCTTCCAATCCTCGAAGGACATGAACTTTCCATCGTCCAGAGGTGATGCTTCATCTGATTCGCTCCGGGGATCCTCGGCTGCTAAGTGGCTGGGAGAGTCAACCACTGGGGTCGCCGTAGGTGATCCCACGAATTCCCCTGTGGATTGAGCCGCTTCTAAAGACTCAGCTGGGGCCGTGTTATTATGAGACTCAGAGTCTGTTGTGTTGGCAACCAAAGACGCTAAGGTAGGAAGGGCAGAGTCGAGACCCGTGACGTTTGCCAGGATGCTTTCCGTGCTCTTCCAGGTCGACGTCAGACATTGTTGCGGAAGATTATGCGTTATAACGTTTGCAGTTCGAGACGGGCATGTCGCACTCGCTACGACTGTAGTAGGAGCGGTGTGGGATTGGGTTGCAGAAATGACAGACGCAGAAGCAGTGGTGATCAACCCATACAGGAGCGAGATGCCCCGAGCGTTAACCATGACAGACAGGCAGCGAGTCGAACGAATGATGCTTTTGCTCAGGAGGTCGTAGCATCTCGCTCACCGAGACGAGATACTAGTATTTTCAATGCTGTCGTCTGCGGTGAGACTTCAGATCGAGCGGTGGACTTAGTCAAAGGCCAGATGCGGTTGGCACATCGCTGGCCTCGAACTTTTGGCCCCGGCGTTGTGCCAAGCCATGACGCCGCCGGGAGCTGAACCCCAGGCGCGTACCTTTGCCGTGCGGGTCGCGACTTGGAGAAAATTATCACCTCCGATGTCAACAGCTCGATCATCGCAATTGCAGTGCTGCATCCAAGCCTTCGAACACAAATCGACGGCTTGAGGAGGGCGATGCTGGCCAGAAATGTAGGGATCCGCGCGCTTCGCCAATCTGGCTGCCTCAATAGATCCAACCTCTCTAGAGTCCGAGCTCTTCCTACCCGACGACTGTCGTCAACGTCTGCGCCACATGCATCTGCGCCAACTCCAACTGCTCACCCGCTGGCAGGTGTCGCAACTCAAGTCGACAATGTTGCTCCCAGATTTGAGGTCGAGGCGTCGCAAATTGAGATACTCGACTCGCCTGCAGCCTTTTACGAAACCCTCAAGACCAAGATTAGGGGTGCAAAGAAGCGTGTATATTTGTCTACGCTCTACATCGGCAAGTCGGAACATGACTTAATCCGCACCATCCAGGAGGCCTTGCAAAGCAATCCCAAGCTTGAGGTATCGATTCTCACAGACGCTTTACGGGGAACCCGTGAGGATCCTTCTCCAAGCTGTGGCACTCTCCTAGCACCGCTCATAACTCAATTCGGCGATAGGGTCAAGATCTCCATGTACCATACTCCTAACCTCAGAGGTTGGAAGAAGAAGTATATGCCTAAGCGGATCAACGAAGGTTGGGGTCTTCAGCACATGAAATTGTATGGCTTCGATGATGAGATCATGCTTTCGGGTGCAAACCTGTCGAACGACTACTTTAACGATCGATTGGACCGCTACCACCTTTTCAAGTCCAGAGAGCTAGCAGACTACTATCACAAGATCCATAACGCTGTCTGCGAGATATCCTACGATCTCGCGCCGACTCGGGATCAGCCGGGAGGTTTCGAACTGATTACACCATATGCGCGAGGCATCCCCGATCCCGTCTGGCATTCGAGGCAATACATAGCGTATGCGAAACAGTTACTGGAACCTTTGATCCGCCCGAAAGCACGACAGCGAATGTTTCCAGTAGAGTTTGACCGTACCAAAACCTTTGTGTATCCACTGGCCCAATTCGACATTTTACTGGGTAAACCCACAAGTCGCAGTATTATGGATTATGAATTGGCGACTTTCACGTCGACGGAGAAGCCTGTCCTAGAGCGAGTATTGACCAACTTCATTGAAGACCCAAGGCTCAGACCCGCCTCGTGGGTCTTCACGGCCGGCTATTTCAACATCGATCCCAATATCTGCGATCTGCTGATCTCTGCAGCACCTGATCACCCCATCACAGGACCTGCCAAAAAGGCTGCAGAAAAGGCGTGTACGGTCATTACCGCCTCCCCTTGGGCAAATGGATTTTATGGGTCGAAAGGCGTGTCTGGTATGCTCCCAGCAGCCTATACGTTGCTGTCACGTCGGTTTCTGCGAGAGGTGAGCAAGCGAAACAAGGACAATGTCATCCAGCTGAAGGAATGGCGGCACGGAACGGTGGGGCAGCCTGAGGGCATGACATATCACGCAAAGGGGCTTTGGATCACGTTGCCTTCCACCACGGGTCCGGCCAACGAGGCGGTTCCGGAAACGGGACCCAGTGTCGCGGTCATTGGGAGTAGCAACTACACGAAGCGGTCATACTCCCTCGACCTTGAGGTGGGGGCGCTTTTGTTGACGGGTGATGAAGCACTGAAACGTAAGCTTCAGGCCGAAACGCTATGGCTTCAAGAAGACGCGACTGTCACCACGCAGGATGATTTGGCCAAAGTTGAACGTCGCGTCGGCTTGCAAGTACGGCTCTCACTTTGGCTTGTTGAAGCACTTGGAGGAGCACTGTAGGGACTGCCGGCCATCCGCCGCGCCGGTCACCTGTCGCTACACGTGGTTCTCGACCCAGAGTCGCCGCACCTTCGTTGAGCCCGAATCACCATCTCGAGCCGAATGCTCCCGACTTACGCATGCGATTGTCCATTTCTGAAGAGGTGCACGTTTCGAAGGGATCGACACTACTATCGACCCTCTGCTGTCCCGCGCCAGACCGCCAACAGGGTCAGGCTTCTCAATTGGATGAAAATTTCAATGTGCCTCACTTCAGGCATCTTCTCTACAGCGAGGCCTCCTAAGACGATGCGACGCCAAGTCAAATCCCCGTTGGGTAGTTACCCGGTACACGGGTCGGTGAGTCCTTGTTGAAGGCCTCCGGCGAGCATTCAGCCGAGACCTTGACCACGCTCGCCTCCAGGAGAATTGTTATTTGTTTACGGGGCAATCTTGTTGCAATTAGCTGCAGCAGTTTCAAAAGTCGGTCAGAGGAGGACAGCAGCAGACTGGGACAGTGCTAAGGTTGGGGCCGCAGTGGAACCGATCGGCGGGGTTCCAGAACTGGCCGACCCGTCTTGGGGCAGTCCACTCCTCAGCAGTATTTGCCCGAAGCCAACTCTGGCCAACTTTGTAGCTTGCAGAAGACGCTCGACGCCGTCTGAATCGTGCGAGGCTTCTACGCGAGTCGAGGAAGCTGCATGAGACTACTGCAAGATCTCTCCGTTGCGGGCCAAACAATGGCATTGAAAATCTCTGCACTTACAATCAAAAGACCAATAATGACATTCTCCGAGATTGGCTTGCTCACCGACAATACCTATTCATCCTCCAAGGTGGTAGCAACCACGCTCGGCGAAAGTCGAAGCCATGCTGTGTAGAGTAAATCCTGTCACGAACATCCGGGCCATGTCCGCCGGATCACATATCCGCAGGTGCTGGCTGCAAGGCATCTACGCAGTACACGGTTACGGGGTGTCGACAAGATGGTCGAGACGGGTCCCCGAGCTCACAGCTGCACACCCTCAAGGCCGCCGCTGTGTGTTCGGGGAACTCTCCCCACCCATTTCGTCGGCTCCCATGCCAGGCTTAGAGAGTCATCTTGGCTGTACTGCTCGCTGAAGCAAGCACTGGGATTATCCTGACTTGATGGCCTCAAAATTACGCAGTTGCGCGCCAGATGGTCTGAGCAATAGTGTACTGATAGGGTAGATGGAGCTGACCTTGAGAGGGTGAGGTGATGAGGTGATGGACGCCGTAAGGGGATTTTGAAACACGAGCAGCATGGAGGCGAAATGCATCAGGACTGCTTCGACACCTTGCGTCCATCTGATTTGCCAGCAGCCGTCCGGTATGTCAAAGCACTGGTCACGTGGTCCACAAGTTGCGCAATGAGCGGGTGTTTGGAACGTCATCCTTGCTGTTACTCATGTATAATCTCGGTTGCTTACTGAACATTGACCGGTGTGCCAACCAGTAGTGATGATCATTGATACAGAGTACTTGGCTTCTGATAAGCAAGCAAGCGACGAACTTTGCCAGAGGAGATTGATCACGATGACGGAAAGACGGTAGCCACCGGTCAATGATCAAATCGCTGGGGCACCAAGACCTTTCTCCTGACCTCGCAGCAGATCTCGCACAAGAACCTCTGCTGCAGAGTGACAGTGACCCCTGGTGGGGGCGATCTGAAATGCTTGCCACCCAGAAGCATCACGTTCTCGGAGTACAGTGAAGGCATGCTCGACGGGGGAATTATGGGAAGCTAGAGTGTCACACGAGCAGCTCTGTTACACTGCAGCGAATCCAGACCCGATGGCAGACGTGGGAGTGTCCCTAATGGCAAGCCGCGCCTGTAAGGGGCAGCAGCTTTTACCCCGCGTTAAGAGCAGAAGGGCAAGGGCAAGAGCCTGCCATTGGCTGGTGAGTGCAGCAGCTGCAGGCTTTACTTGCCCCCAGACCAGCCCGGCGCCAACCTCTGGAACAAGAATTCTGGAGCTCGCTGTTCGTCTCAGAGCGAAAGCCAGAGAGTCAGATGGTCACGTAATGAAGGCAGTGGAATGAGTACTCCGTAACAGGCATCACAATCCCATTCCTTTTCGCCTCAGTGACCCATCGCGTGATGCTCGGCGAACGTCAAAGGGTGGGTGTGTGGACTTGCGGGAATAATTACGAGTACACACACTTGGGGACAGCTCGAGCTGGCAGCCACGTGAAGTAAGGGTCGAGAGCGAGATGCATTTCCGGCCTCCGGATGACTGAGTAAGAATAGTTATGAAGTCTTGAGTGAACACAGTGTCCCGGCTTCCGGTGCACGGACACCTCTCCTGGTAGGCCGATGGCAGTCTTACGAGCCAACATAATAGTCGCAGGGAGGCGTCAATAGATGGCCACGCCAGACCCGGAGCAAGCCGAGACTCGAGGCCGATCCAAGGGCCTGAGACAAAGGTTGCAGGTCAAACAGACAAAAGGGAGGTGGGCACCAGCACGAGGACGTGCTGAAGGCGGCGGCGGCGGCAGGAGCAGCAGCAGGGCGACGAAGCTCGGGAATACGCTGTTCGGCGTAGTTTGTAGCACAGCTCGAGATTGGACCTGGTCAACTTGGAACATGAGTGGGGTGACCAGGTCGGCGGCAATTGGGCGATACCGATGCGAGCTTCCAGCGCTTTCTTTCATTTTCGAGCATAGCGTCAGCCGCCATGGTTCAAGTGGTCGAGGCTGGTGCCCCAATGATGCATTAGCGGCCCTCGCGAGGGAACCCCACCAAAACAAGCAGGCACAGATTGTTGGCAGCTAGACAAAGGCTGCCATTGGGCTGACCCGTGGCCGCAGCCCACCTACCCACCTCCCAGCGACACCGCCTCTCACGACCAGACCCATCTCATCCCAGCTTTCCGAGCACTGCCTCGACTCTTAACCTCACCCCATCCAGCAACCTCCATCACTCTATTCACTTCCAACACGCAAGTGCAGGTCTCCAACTGATCCAATGTGACACGCATTCACCTCAAGCTCGCCACCCATCTCAATCACGACAGCTTGTCTGCGTGTCCTTCCTTCCGCCACATCTCTCCACGTTCTTTCCCATAACCCACCTACATTCCTCGCTGCCCGAGTAACCACCTGCACACCCTGACGGCGACCGCTTTCCCGACCCTAATCCAACTCTCTCTCGACCTCACTCATCTCCTCTTACACCCCCTCGTCCGTTGTCACATCCCGATCCCTTGCTCAGCAACAAATCTATCTGGAATCAAGAAAGACCAGTTGTTGAACATTGGTGCCTAGGATCAGTCTACTTTGTTTGCGGGACCATATCCTCTGCCAGGCTACATATACCACCTCTCGAGGCACGCACCGGAGGTATCCCTGCCGCCATATCTCCACCTTCGAATCTTCCAGCTCGGCTGCCTGTTCATTCAGTAGCAGCTGATCTTACTCATTCGTCCATCATTACTTCCCATACCTAACGACCGACACTCACGAATCTCATTACACACCCTAATAACGACTCGACACTCTACACTCCCTCGAGTCTGTCGGTCACAGTCCATCGTTCCAAACATGACGCAATAACCTCGACGCTCCGTATCCAGCTTGTTCGAGAGACAAAGAGCTTTCCTGCTCAGCGTCCACTCGACAGGCTTTTGATCTTTTGTTAACGACCCTATACCTCTATGAGCCTCTGATCCCACACGACGACTAGGAGTTCCGCGTTTATACCTGTTGGCCTTCGAATGATCCTGGTGGTTGTTGAGTTAGCGACACTTCTGGTGGATATATCTTTTGCTGTCCTGGCGACCCCGACGTCTACATCCTCTCACGACGTTCCGCTCACTTGCCCTTTCCAATCCAGGCGCCTCTCTATTTGATCTTTTGTACAAAGCGACCTCGACACCGTTTCATCTGTTCTTCTGCTTCGAAAATACACAAAAAAGTTTACTTGCATTTGCAGCGATAGACTGTTTACTGCTCGCAGAGCAACGCCTATCAGTCACACCTTATTCGACATGGAGTGCATGAAAGACCGCTTTCAGAAAGGCCAGATCCTCGATGGACGCTTCCGTACCTTGGCTCCATTGAATCATGGCTCCTTTGGGATGGTCTTCCTCGCTGAGGATTTGACTACCGGACAAGAGGTGGCCATCAAATGTCTCACCAAGCCTGGCGTTCCCGGTGCAACCTCTGTTACCACGGACGAAGGTCTTGAGGAGCTCGCTTGCCACGCCATCCTCAAGCACCATCCCCACCTAGTCAACCTAATTCATCACTTCGAGACCCCGTCTCACAGCTACCTCGTTCTCGAGTACTGCCCTCAAGGTGATCTCTACGAAGCCATTCGTCTTGGTCATGGCCCTCTGCAAACCGAACATGTTCGACGCTTCATCCTGCAGCTTATCGACGGCGTGGAGCACATGCACAACAACGGCCTCTACCACCGTGACATCAAGCCGGAGAATATCTTCCTGATGCAGGATGGCTCCGCGAAACTTGGAGACTTCGGACTGGCAACCAAGAGCCAGTGGTCTTACGAGTCCTGTGTTGGCAGTGACCGCTACATGGCACCCGAGCAGTACGATCCTGCGGGTGTCGGCTATTGTCCAGCCTATGCCGACGTGTGGTCGATTGGCATCTGCTTGCTCAATGTCCTGTTCTCTCGCAATCCCTTCTTGACGCCAACCGACTCTGATGTGCTGTTTGCCGACTATCGACGGGACAGACAGTCCCTCTTCGACATCTTTCCGTCGATGTCTCAAGACACCTTTGAGGTGCTCAACATTGCCATGGCTATTGATCCTCAGAAGCGTGATATCAAGCTTGTTCGTCAAGCTGTTCAACGTGTTCTGAGCTTTACCACCGATGATGACAGCTTGGATGAATTCTGCACCGAAGGCCGCGATACAATTCGTGCAAGCAAGAACCGAGAACCTCTACGAACGCCCTCGGTGCAGTCTCCTCATCTCGAGGCCGGCGGTGCATTCCCCTGGACCAAGGCTCTCAACGCCACTCCTCAACGCAACCTGTCGGTCATTCCCGATGCGTACGAGGAAGATCTGTTCGAGAACGAGTCGCTTCCGAAGCTCGGCGAGTCATGGTTTTCTGTTCATGCCACGACACCTTCCATGGCTTCAGTTCTCGACTCTGCATATGGCTCGTTGTCAAAGCCTATGGGTATCCGCCTGCCGACCCGCAACCCTCCTCGACCTGACCCTGTCACCGTCCCAAGCTCATTGCCTATCCGTGCATCACGTCCAATCCCGACAATGTCGTCCGTCTTCGGTAAGAAGGACGCCGTGGCTAAAAGCTGGAGTGACATGTTTGAAGAGGACGAGGAGTCTGAGCGGGAAGAAGCCGATCTTCGTGTTCGCCGTGAGAAGAACTCTCGCACTTGGAGCCAGGACAGCCAAAAGCAACTTCCTGTCCCTCCCGGTGTCCTCACCGAGTCGAAGAGCCGCTCCTCATCTAATGCTCGCCGCAGCCGGACTCCCAAGCCATACTCTCCCACTAAGGTTCACGTGAACAACGAGAACAGCGATCCTGCTGTTTGGAGACCACGCCAGGAGCCCCGACTGTCCCCCAAACAGGCTCCTGCTGACAAGTGGGCCGCGCTTGGGGACAAGCGGAGAAACATTCCCGCCGAGACGGAATCAAGCACCAAGAAGCGGTCTATGACTACCGGGTCTCGAAAGAGACCTGCCACTACCTTTGATACTTGGCGTCGACGAGACAGCCGAGCAAACAAACAACGTCCTGCATTCCTTAACCAGGACTGGCGCAAGGCCCGGGCCGTCGAGTCTGATGACGACGACCATGAGTGGGTCGGAGGTTGGCACAACTTCCATTTGTGATTTCTGAGCAAGAGCTTCATTCAGCTTGTTGGCTTTCTACCGCACGACTACTTGATTCCACGGATTTTGCTGTTTTGGTTGTCATGGGAAAAGGGTATGGAGCGACAACTAGCCCCTCGCTTTCAGTCTGTTGACCTGAGGACTTCTACGATACCCGACGAAATCGTCGAATGAGGTGTCAACTGTACCAACACTGCATTGCAACCATCAGTTTCTCACGGGCTGTTGAGGGCGCCGGTTCAATTGTAACTCCATATATCGACAGCATCATGGGACAGCATCATAGGATATGGGATTGGGTGGGATGACGGAGCGGTTGGGAAGCGTACACAAGCTCTGGTACGCAAGCACTCGTGCTGGGGAATTACACAATTCTCATTATTTCGACAAAGAGCGACCTTTAGCTTAGGACTTGTCGTCAGTGTTTTGCTGGCGACGTATATTCGAAGTAGAGAATTTGATCTCACTCAAAAAAACCAAATGTTGCTTTCTCTATGTTCGGTGGTTCTGTTCTTTTATGATTTCAACGCCTCAGACTCCGCCCTCGACCACGTCTGCTTGTCGGTACCGACAGCCACCCCATGAATAAGCTCGGCCCCGGTATTACAGCATGCCTACCCAAATGGGCCCGGCTCGGCCACGGTGCCTCGGTTCATCTCCAATTCTGTACGGTTCCCCCACCCATCAAACCCGGGGAAGTGACCTCGCTGATCTGTCTGCATCTGGGGCAATCAACTTTAACACCAGTCGAACAGCCCTTTGAGATCTCTGAGTCTTGTCTTTGTGACTAGACACTGTCGGTGATACAATCTGTAAGGGCATACGTTGTGTCACTGAGCCAGGTCCAGGCAGTCAGAACGAATCCAGCCTCCCACCTAACCTCGGTTTCTCTCTCTAAAACGACCTACTCTCTCATACCTACCCACGGCCGAGAGTCTTTCAGACACTGCACATACACCGTAGCTCATATACACCCTAAGAAGCAGACAACATCCGCGACATTAGTTGCCCTCGTCCGCCATGTCTTTCGCCACGTCTCTCGAGAATGTCACCATCCGGCCTAAGATCTCCGCCTCCGAGGCAATCCCGCCCATTGCGGTACCCTTCGTGTCCGACAAAGCCAAAAAGATGATTGACCTTGTACGAGGCCCTGCCCATGATTATACTACCAATGTCCCCCCCGCTCTCCCCACTACTTGAGCCACACACATGCTGACATCTCGGTTCCCTCTCTTCAGGTTGAGCGCTGGGTCAACGAAGAGTGCATCCCCGCAGACATCGTCTACTCGTCGCAGCTCTCTCAGCAGTCCTCGCGCTGGAATGGACACCCTAGCGTGCTCGACCATCTCAAGAAGCGTGCCAAGGAACTGGGCATCTGGAACATGTTCCTGCCCAAGAACCACTTTGCCAACGAGGGCAGCCCGGGCTTCACGAACCTCGAGTATGGCCTCATGGCCGAGCAGCTGGGTAAGAGCAGGGTTGCCAGCGAGGCGTGTAACTGCGCGGCTCCCGATACAGGGAACATGGAGGTTATTGCGCGCTACGGGTATGGACACTCTCTCCTTTTCTGTCTTTGGTATCCTCTGGGGGAGGTTCGGAGCGAGGGACGCATTAACAGAGTATGCTAACGTGACGGTGCCGGACAGCAATCGAGCACAAAAGGACAAGTGGCTCAAGCCACTGCTGGCAGGCGAGATCCGATCCGGCTTCCTCATGACGGAGCCGGACATCGCGTCCTCGGACGGCAGCAACATCCAGCTACGCATGGAGCGCAAGGGCGATCACTACCTGCTCAACGGCAGCAAATGGTGGTCTTCGGGGGCCGGCGACGAGCGCTGCAAGATCTTCATCGTCATGGGCAAGACCGACCCCAACAACGCGAACAAGTTCCTCCAGCAGAGTATGATGCTCGTGCCCGCCGACACGCCGGGCCTCACCGTCCACCGCATGCTGAGCGTCTATGGGTATGACGACGCGCCACACGGGCATGGCCACATCACCTTTGAGAACGTCAAGGTGCCGCTCGACGCTATTCTGGTGGGCGAGGGCAAGGGCAATGAGATCATGCAGGGCCGCCTGGGTCCCGGGCGTATTCATCATGCGATGCGCAGCATTGGTGCGGCTGAGGTGGCGCTGGAGTGGATGATCCACCGGCTCAATGATGAGCGCAAAGCGCCGTTCGGAAAGCCGTTGCGCGAGCATGGCGTGCTCATTGAGTGGGTGGCTAAGAGCCGAATGGAGATCGATGCCAGTCGCATGGTGAGCTTGTTGAATCTCGTTTGACGTTACGAGGTCTAATCTATTCTCAGGTGGTTCTCAATGCCGCTATCAAGATCGATCAGCGCGACGCGAAATATGCTCTGAGAGAGATCGCTGAGGTGAGTGTTACCGGCGACGACCACCGCTGCGGCCCGAGACTATGGTGCTGGTCATTGAGAAACGCAAAGTTGCTGACGTGACGACAGGCCAAGATCCTCGTGCCGACGATGGCTCTCACCGTCATCGACCGCGCCGTGCAGGTGCATGGTGCCATGGGCGTGTGCCAGGACACACCACTGGCGAACATGTGGGCACACGTACGTGTTTCTTTTACCCTCCCCTCCCCCTTCCCCCTTCCGGCCCAGCATAAACACATCTCTCGAAGATGATCCTAACGTGTGAGCGCGATAACAGATCCGCACCCTTCGCATCGCCGACGGGCCCGACGAGGCCCACCTGCAGCAGCTGGGCAAGCGCGAGAACCGCGAGCGCAAGGACGAGATCACGGGCAAGTTCAAGCGCCAGCGTGAGACGACGGACAAGATCTTCAAGTCCATGGGGTTGCAGCCTCATGTGCTGGGCGTCGAGAGGTCCGTGCCGAGGAGTAAGCTGTAGATGGATATCCAACAGTGGTCCTGGTGGATAAGGGGGGAAGCCAGATTAGCCTGGAGAATGAATAGCTGGATGGACACTGCACCATTCAGGGGGGCAGTGATGAATCAAAATGTGATGACTGGATCTAGCTTATTACTCCAGGGTTTTGGTTTCTATTTGAGACCTGTGCTGCGTGTGTACGGAAATGCGGTTCCTATGCCATTGGCATGAGGCCCTCCACGACTAACCACATTTCAACAGGTAGCACACCTCACCACCCCCTTGTCTATTCTATGCATTCTGTCATTATACAGAAGGACCTATCTCACATCTCCCTCATAGCCCAAGCCCACCGTGTTCCAATTACACAAAATCGCCGTAACGGCCCCGATCTTCCTCCCTCCTCCCACCCCGTTTCCCATCCTTCTAACAGACTCACACATACTTCTTAGCCGGCACGCTCTTCCCATTCGTCCTCCAGATCGCCTCCTCGGCCCCCTCCCACCTCTTCCTCCCCTTCTCCCCCCTCGGGCTCTCAAACAACCGATATACGAACGGCGTATCAATCCCATCCATCAACAGCCGATACAGCCTCCAGTTCCCCAACATGAACCGCCACGCCTCCCACCCCCAGCCATGCAGCTTCTCATTCAGACCATTGCCGGCGGCGGCGTTGAGGAATGTTTCGAACTCCTTGGCGCTCTGCCCGACCTGCACGGTGCGCCACACCTGGATCTGCGCGAGCATGGCGCGGTAGTTGGCGTCGCACCACGTGTCCATTTCGGCGCGGGCAGGGAGGGCGTGGTGGCCCCGCCAGATCTGCGCGATGGCGCTGGAGGCGAGGTCCCCGTTGACGAAGGCGGAGATGCTGTGGCCGCGGTAGACGCCGATGAAGGCGAGGGAGTCTGGGTGGTCGAGCGAGAAGAGGCCGCGGTACAGGCGCGCGTAGGGCATGTTGTTGGAGTTGGGGTGGTTGTCCCATTCGGGGGTCGGGTGCAGAAAGGGGTTGGCGCTGTCGCCCAGGAAGGAGTGGTCGAAGTCGAAGCCCGTGCAGAAGATGACGGTGTCGATGTTGCTGAGCGTCGTGTTGTCGCTGAAGGTGGCGGTGTGGCCGTCGGGGGAGAACGAGGTGACGCCCGGGAGGGATTTGACTCGGCCGGAGCGTAGGAGTGAGACGAGGTGGTCGTTCATGACGGGTGCGACGTTGGTGATGGGGTGTGCGGGGAGGAGCTTCCACTCTGGTTGGACTTTCATGCGGTACTTCATTGCGAGCTCAAGGGCAGTGTTGGCGAGGTACGAGGCGAAACGGGGGAAGTGGCGGTTCAGGGCAAGAACAAATCTATTCGCGCGTCGGGTGGCGCGGTGGTCGGTCGGGGCTTTACCCTCCTCGGTGCGGTTGACGATGAGGAGACCAGAACGGTGAGAGACGAAAATTTCTGGGCAGACGTCGCTGAGCTCAGCGGCGATATCGCCGCCAGTGTTGGACAGGCCAACAAGAAGGACGCGTTGATTGGCGTAGTCTTTGGGCTCTTTGAAGGCTATAGAGTGGATGATTTTGCTCTTGAAATGCTCCATTCCTTCGATCTCGGGCATGACGGGGTGGCTTTGGACTCCTGAGGTCACTAGGACGCGGTTGAATTGCTCCGTGATAAGGTCGCCGTCCTTGTCCTTGAGTGTCAGGTCCCAGAGATCAGCGTCCTTGGACCTATCGAGTTTGTGGATGCCAAGTCCGAGTCGGCAGTGAGGGAGCAGTTGGAAGTGCTCTGCATACTGATCGATATAGCGGGATACTTCAGCTGCGGTGGGATAGTTGCCTGGGTCTTTGGGCCAGGGGAAGTCGGTGAATTGGAATCGCTGCCATGAGACATTGGTCCTCGTGCTCTTCGTTACGGACAAGGTCTGCTGATCCGCAGTATATCTCCACAATCCGCCTATATAAGGATTCTTCTCGAAGCCTACCGCGTCAAACCCTGCTTCTCTGAGGTTCTTCAATGCAGCGATGCCGGTCGAACCTAAGCGTGTCAGATTCACTTCTCAAGAAGAGCCGAGCAGTGCTCACCGAGTCCTATCACTGCTACCCGCTCCCTCAGAGCTGAGGATGACCTCTGGCGAAGGCTAGTTTCCATCGCGAGTCAACTCTGCTTGGAGATGGAAGCTGCTGTTCGTGCAAGTAAAGTCATTGGTCTGAAGCTCGGAAGTCCAGTATCATGTGTGGTGGTGTTTCAAGGAAAGTGTCGACCGACGATGTCAGATACGATGTGATGATCGTCATCTGATTTGAGAGGCTTTCTCTTGACTGGTCTCCCTTCGCTAGTACCACGCGCTGCCAAGTTGTCGAGCGAGAGATACTCAGACCAGGTCTCCGTCCACACTCTTCAAGTGGGTGTTTTGATGCTGATTCCTGGTCTTTGCCGGATTACGTGCGACACGTACCTCTGAGCCAGTGTGTCAGAGTCTCGACGACATCCTGATTCAAGAAGATGGTAAGACAGAGGTGATGATCCTCGCGTTGGGATGTCGGCCGCCTGATGACCAGCTAGGCCACAACAGGCAAGCGTAGATCGCCCGTGCAGGGGGACTGCATCTGATTCGTCCGGCGCATTAAGAGCCCCACTTTAGTCCACTCCCGGCGTTGACGACAGCACCGCATCTGTAACCTCCCGAGCAACAGTCCCAGACGTCATTTCGATCGCGACTGGTTCCCTACGCACGATAGCTAGCGAGTACTCCTTGACATGTCAGGACCGAAGCGGTACGAACCGCGCATCGAGAGGACCCCGACCTGCCACGGAAGCAATCTACTGGCTAGCACTATGCATGAGGTAAGGCCGCCAGTGTATCACGCACGAGCCCATCCAGCTGTTCAAGCTTGGTAGACCATGGAGGTATCGTTCATCCACCAGACGGGCAAGCCGGGCAGATACAAGCAGAATCGACGACTGCAAGATATCAACGCCCATGTTGCTAGATACTCCCATGCCGTACGGGCAGCCAGGAGTGGACGGCCTGGACTTATACCACTCCACAAATCAGTCGCAGTAGAAGAAGATGGTAGTTGGAGCGCGCCTTCGCTTACTGCTATCGAATCGGGTGCCATCATCCATCAACGAACCCGGGCATCGGATTCCAAACCACAAATACCTGTCCCTCGAAGCCTCTTGGCTGGGGCTATGGATCCATTCGGAAGCTTTGTATTCGGCACTGACAGCAATGTTAGCCAGCTTATCTTCCACTGGGACTCTTTCATCCTCCAGCCTGTAGGCGAGACACATGATAGCCATCTGTCAGGACTCAGGAACGAGGCCTGGCAAATGCTTGTGGATTCCTTCCAGGACATTTGCCGTGGCTACGCCTTCTTGGCCTGTGCAGCAAAATTGCGCGCTACAACGACCAAGTCACCGGCGATTGCTGCCCTTGCTGAACAATATCGTCACGTTGCGTTGATTGATTTGCGACAAAGACTTCAGAGAGAGGGCGTGACCGACGATGCTCCCGGCTGCATGCTTTCTCTCATTATAGCAGACTTGGCCAATGCTGACTCTGACTCGGCAAGAGTTCACATGAGATTCCTGAAGAAGATCATACAGCCAGCCGATGGACGGCGCGTATCGATCCCTCCGGGTGCTGGACATATTCTGCTGTGGCAGGATATTCAGGTGGCAACCTTGTCATTGAAACGCCCATTGCTGGATCTCGAGCGGTGGGAGCGCGAGCAAAGTCCCGGACTGTGGCTTCCCACATCTCCAACATTCCGAGCACAGCTGGAAGCAGGCTCACAGGTAGATGGTGATGCTTTGGCTGATCCGTATCTGGAACGCTTGTTTCAAGATGCGAAGAAGTATGGTATGGTCCTGCAGTCACTTTATTCCGATCAAGTCCCGCTCTCCCGAACAAATTCCCGTAAACTGTCAACGGGACTGCTTCTATTATGCGGTCGACTCCTCGCCTACTATCTGGATCGATGCGAAGCCAGCGATTACTTCGATGGAGGAGTCGACGCCGATCTAGCGAACATACAGGCCGCCGCAGCCAGCCTGACCGCAATATATTGGGTCCGTGCAATGACTAGGGATGAAATGGGTCCCGTACGACATGCTTTGGATTTCGACTACAGCAATTATCATGCTGGTCCCAACCTCCTTGAGCGTCTCGGTCAGCTGATACAAGTCTCTGAGGCGGCCGCCAACCGGCTTGTGGATTCTTATCAAGCCTCGAAACCGAGAGAGACAGCTATACCCCGCGAGCTCCGTCTACGACTGTGGATTCTCGATATTTGTGCATATATCGAGCGCTCCTCTGGCAAGACGAACAGCGGCACGCATTACCAAGATCGATTGTCCGCGCTGCTCCTGGCAACTGGCACGGAGGACAGGATTTTTTTCCAAAATGAAGTCATTGACGGATTCCTATCACTGAACAGCGATACCGTGCTGGGTCCCTTGTGGTTTGTACCAATTTTTAGGACTGCGGCTCTTGCGAGGGATGAAGGAGAAGCACCCGTGTCAGTTAGAACAGTGATCAAGACAGGGGAAGACACTTCACGGTGGACGCGTTTCGCAGAAGCTCTGTAACCTTTCGCTGTATCAAAGACAGTGGTGTTTGCCTGTTGCAAGATAATCCAGAAGCGATGAATATATTTGTCGGATTGGTGTCTGTAGATTGACCTCAAGCTATTGCGCAGGACACTATCCTCTATTGATCTTGTATCATGGTTGTATCTCGAAGCAAAGTAGCTCTGAAGAACCCTCGCGTCCTCTGGTAGCATTCATCTGTCCATCTCCACAGCCATGTCTGCCACCTGGTCGTTGCCAAGAGCGAGACAGTATTGTCGGTTGGCAGTCGGTGATTGGCCGGAGAGACGGAGGGGCGCTTTGAGCGAGTGCCGAGATTGTGGCGGTGACGGTGGGGGCGGAGGGGCCTCGACGCGCCTGGAAATGGGCAGAGAAAGCCGACGACAAGTATCTCAGCAAACCTCGCACTGTAGTTTTATTCATACGTAATTTGTTTCTCGATCGGCTTTGTCCGGCTCCAGGCTAGTTAGTTTCAACGAGCCCCGAGCTCAAAAGAATATCTGCGCCATCCGCTGGGACGAATTAGAACACATCGCTCCGCAATGTATTGATTCTGCCTGCCTTGTCTCAATTGTGGGAAGGGCGAGGACCCTCATATCGAGGTAACGAGGTACTTACCAACTATGAAAAGATTCCTGAGCGTGAGAGCGAGAGACAAGAGCCCGCGACCAAGGGATGGCAAGCACGGCCAGGGCACCCTCGGTCGCCACCACCATCATGGCAGTGAATCGAATGTTGGCAAGGTACCACTCCCGTTCACTCCTTGAGAAATCATGCGAAGGCGCCGCAACTTCTACCACATCTGCGTTCTGTGTTGCCTGTCGATTTCAGACAGCGATAATGATTATGAGGCCGCCAAGGTAGCTGTGGGGGGCACTGTGTCTACATCACGCTGACCTTGATCCTTCAGACCACGGGCGAGCCGAAAATGAAGCCAGCAGACCCCAGCTCCGCTACTGACTATTACGTGAGTCTTCCATTCCTTGACGCCGGTCGCTGTACGGGAGCATGTTGGCCTCGACCATAGCGATAACGAGACCCATCTCCTTCAATCCCGACCCTCGCGGAGACGAAGCCGAACCGAATCACTCACGCTAATGCCAGGCTCTGTTTGAATCTCCTGGAAAGCCAGCCAGTCATGAAGAAGAACAGAAGGTAGGCTCAAATCGAACCGTCTTTCGCTGTGTCTGATCTCTCTCTAGATAAAAGGAATCCGCGTCCGACTCATGGAGACCAAAGGAGTCAAAGTAAGGGACAGCACTATTCTCTGGACGCTTCACTCTCGAGTCGCTGAAGGGAATGATGACCTTGCCTACAACTTCCTACTCGCTATATCGGATGCCTCCGAAGGCATCATCTCTCCCTACAACCCAACAACTCGGTTACGGGGCGCTGTCAATCGTCAAAGCGTCACCTGCTACCTAGACTCGACCCTCTTCGCCATGTTCTCGCGATTGGGCAGCTTCGAGGCTATGCTCTACAACACATTCGCTGACCTTGCTCGGCAAAAGCTAAGCTTCTTGCTGCGTCTCTGGGTCAACATGCTGCGAACCGGGCAACTGATTACCGTTGATGTGACTGAAAGGATCCAAGCCTCGATAGCAGAATGCGGCTGGCAAGAAGCTGCGGAGCTGCACCAGCAAGACGCTTCCGAAGCCTTCAGCTTTATCACTGGGAAACTTGAGCTGCCACTCCTTACCCTCAAGATGGACATTTATCATTCTGGGAAAGAGGACACCGCAGATGATCACAAATTCATCAACGAGAGGCTACTCGAAGTAGCGATACCAGAAAACCCAGACGGCGAACAAAAGGAGATTACTCTTGAAGAGTGTCTCGAGGAATACTTCAATAATCGCGTCGAAGTACGCAGATATCTCGAGCGGAGGACTACCATGAATTCGATGAAGTCACCAGTCGATGGGAAACTCAAAGCGGCAGCGATTCACGTCGAGACTATGGAAATCGATCCTGATTCTTCCCCTATTACTCCCATTGCATCAACCCCAAGCGGGCCCCTAACACGACCACCGGCGCGGCCAAGGCAGCAAAGCATCATCCAGGAGCGCTATGCTCCAGCACGCACGGTCAGCAGCGGCACCACTCCGCTTAGCCAAGTCGATACGGATGCTAGTGGGCGTTCTCGTGCTGGGAGCTTGAGGAAGACGGTCATGATGCCCGGCTGGCAATTCTTCAGTCTCATCCCGTGGTATACTGACAACACCCCTTCTAATGATGCTCAAGTGGCGGCACACTTTTCCTCAGTCCGCCCAGTACTAGGACTGTGCCTGAAACGCTATACCTTCCAGAACGGGCGGCCCGCGCGCTTAGGAACCTATGTCGATATTCCGGTGGAAATTGGTCTGCCGCATTTCATTCAAGAGGATCATATGGAGGATGGCACCAACTTTGGCAACTTCAAGCTGTCTCTCCAGTCAGTCGTCTGCCATCGCGGCGAATCAGTCGACTCTGGGCACTACATTGCTCTCGTCCGAGGCACGACAAGGGCACCTGAGAATGTGGCTGCCGGAGATACGAAGCATTGGCTAAGGTTTGATGATTTGGCACCGCAGCGCATCACCCTGGTCGATATCCACCAAGCATTGCGAGAAGAGACGCCATATCTCCTGTTCTACCAGATCCTTCCCATTGATGAAGCGTCTGGGTCTCGATCTGATACGGAAGCAAGCGAGGCCTTTGGCGACCCATCATCGACCTCTCTGCCCCTCAGCCGAGTCAGCACTACAGGTCTGCCGTCTGGCCGCCCGAGCTTGGAGACTACCGGTCCTAATGACTCTCGGGGCCGTTCACCCAACGAAGAAAGCAGGGCCAGCATCGTGTCATTTTCGGAGACCGCAGCAGCTGGATCCCTGGCGGCACCATCCCCACCCAGCAACGGCCAAAGTCGCAAGGGCAGCACCGCGTCTCACCAGAGAAGTGTAAGCAAGGGTAGTGATGGTGGTAGCGGCTTGGGCAGGACGCTTTCGAAGCTCACCAAGCGCAGGAGTCGCGAAGTGCCCCGAAATCAACACCACGAGACGGAGCCTGCCAAGATCCAAGTTCAGGAGATCACAGACTTGACACCCGAGACCAGTCAGGTAGCCCCGGTCGCGAAGCCCAACACACTCGCGGTCACTACTACTCCTGGGCATAGCGGTCGGAGTCACAAGAGAGACAGCAGCAAAGGCAAAAATCGACTTTCCAAGCATGGCGGTAAAGATAAAGACCTGGACAGGGAGTGCATCGTCATGTGAATGAGCGAGCGTTCGTGTCACCAATAATTGACGATTTGATGAGCTTGGCCCGAGCTTGCATTCTGCTTTGCATACAGCGATACAACCGTAAGCGCTTAGACAGCGGCATAGAACTGCTCGGCTGGCCGCCGGCACAAGATCACTAAATACCGTACTTCTCTCCTGAGTGATCCCTCTTGTCCGAGATTTGGAGCTCATACGAATATTGTTCCCGATGTGCGAGGCTGAGGTAGGCAATGCTGTTGGCTGTCGGCCTTGGCTCGGCCTGGTTGCCTGATTGCTACTCGCTGCCTGACGACCTCATCTCTAGTCTTCGTAGCACAAGGTCTTTCCGAGCACACAGAGTCCCAAGCCACCTTGCTGCAAACCTTTTCACTTCGGCCGCATCTTCGCTACGGAACCGCTCCGAAATACACTGCCTCCAACCCTGGAGCCCCGCAGTAGTTTCCCGGTCGGCAAACCGTGAGTCCAAAGTGCGGGGCAAGCATACATTCGGTTTTCACTGCGGAGACACAACCGCCTTTTCTTGCCTACCTCCCTCGTATGAATCGACTTCACAGTAACAAGGGAAAAGTGGACTCTTTTCTTGGAGGGCGTGCTGCCCCAATCTCAGACTACCCGGTGCTCCGGTACCTCACGGCTCGCTTCTTTGTATCTCGCCCCCCCTCTGCCCCCAGTGAGCGGCTGCAGGAGCCGAGTAGAGGCGTGGACCAGAAGCTCCCCTCTCCCTCCCCCTCTTCTGCTTTCTCGAGAGCGGAACCAAGACTTAGATCATTTGAGTTTTGGTAGAAGGCAATGGAATCGAGCCAGTCATGTCATGTTACCTTGACTCGAACGCACGCGGGCCACGGGGGGGGGTCGGGTGTGTGTCTCTGTACTGTGTATTGGCGTTTCGAAGCTGAGGTTGGTCTGGATGGAGTAGTAGTTGTACCCTTGCATGCGCGTGTGGACTAGCATAGTAGCCCAACCCCTCCTCCCCGCATCCTTGCAGCTGCCTTCTCTCACACTGTAGTGCTTGTGGGAGGAGGTATATATACGTACATGCACGTTGAGTCCTGAACTCGCAAAAAAAAAAGTTCTTTTTACTCCCTTTTGTAGGAACCCTCGGTGCCGGGTATTGTCAAAACAACATCCGCTACGCACCCACGCACCCACCTACCCATCTAAAGCGACCCGAACGGAGCAGAACAGTGTGCTGCTACACGCTTCTAGAGGCACAGGGCGCAGAAGTATATATCCAGCACCCAACACAACCACCACCACCACCACCACCAGAACCCAAACCCCAGAACCCCCCTCCGTTCAACAATGGCCAAAATCCAAGAAGCAGCCATCCCCGAGCTCCGCTCACAGATCGACGCCCTCACCTCCGCCGAAGACGGCGTCCCGGGCCTCGTCTTCGCCGCGGTCAACAAGCAAGGCGACATCATCTTCGAGCACGCTTCGGGAAACCTGGGCGCGGCGAGAGAGGAGCCCATGACGCTGGACAATGTGTTTTGGATCGCGAGCTGTACCAAGATGATCACGGGGGTGGCGTGCATGCAGCTGGTGGAGCAGGGGAAGTTGTCGCTGGATAGTGTGGAGGAGGTGGAGAGGTTGGCGCCGGTGAGTCTTCGGTTTCTTTCTCGTGGGAAATCTTGTTTGGTCTGTGGGGGAGGGGGGAGGGGGAGGGGGCGGGGGCGTCAATGGACGGAGCAAAAGAGGGGGGGTTGGAGGAGGGAATTCGCTGGCGGGGGTGAAAGGGGGTAAGGGAGAGAGGGACGTTGTCGGCTAATAAATTGTCACAGGAACTCAAGGCCGTACAGGTGCTGCAGGAGGACGGCTCGCTCAAGCCCAAAGAAAAGGGTATCACGCTTCGCATGTTGCTGTCGCACACCGGTATGTCCACATGACCATGAGATGCTGGAACGGCGTCCATCCCATCCGTTCCCTCATATGAAGTTTCGCTCGACCACTGACAACAATACTCTTTATCTCCCATCAGCTGGCTTCGGCTACTCCTTCTTCAACGCCAAGCTCCTGAAACACTACGGCGCCCGCGGCCTCGATGAGTTCACCGGCGTCCCCAGCGAATTCTTATCTCAGCCGCTCGTCAACCAGCCAGGCAGCCGCTGGGAATACGGCATCAACATCGATTGGGCCGGCCAGCTGGTCGAACGCGTTACCGGTCTCACCCTCAACGAGTACTTCCAGCAGCACATCTTCAAGCCGCTCGGCATCAAAAACATCAGCATGTTTCCCACGGACAGCATGGCTGACAAGCTGTGCTACATGAACATGCGCAACCCCGCGGACGGAAAGGTGTATCCCAACTTGAGTGGCCATCTGGTGCGGAGTCAGTTGATGGCGAGCAACGATGAGCAAAAAAAGGCCATCTTCAATGCCGGTGGCCACGGATGCTTTGCGCAACCCCGAGAGTACTGTGCGATCATTGCAATGCTGTTGAACGGTGGTGTAAGCGCGAAGACGGGCGAGCGGGTGCTGAAAGCTGAGACGGTGGACAAGATGTTCGAGAACCAGATTCCAGAATTCCCAGGATTTGCGCGGCAGGTACGTGAATCCTCCTCCTTGCCTGGCTATACCCCCTCGCCGAGCTTGGAAGATGAGGCCTGTGTAGAAAGATGAGCTGACGACGAGGCTTTTAGGGCATCGATCCTCCTCGGCCCGACTTCGCCAACGCGTTGCCCAACATGTACCCGGAGCCCGACGATCCACCACAAGGCTGGGGCCTGACGTTCTTCCTCCACCTGCAGGACTCGGCAGTGCATAGTAAGGGCACTGGCTGGTGGGCAGGTCTGCCGAACCTCTTCTGGTGGTGTGATCGCACAAGAGGCGTGGGCGGCATCATCGCCAGTCAGATCGTGCCGTTTGGCGATCTCAAGGTGATGGGACTGTGGGGTGGCTTGGAGCATGGCATCAACTCTGCATTGGAGTAGTGATGACTAGTGCCTTTGTGGATGCCGCATTGGTGCTGTGGGCTGTATTGTAGGACAGCCTTGCTCGTTGGTACGATCTGAAGGCTCAGCATAATTTCGGTGACGAGTATGGACTCATAAGAGTCGGGGGACCCTCAGCCATTCGAGTGATAGCTACATATTCTGTATATTGCACAATTAAGTTGCTGAAAAACCTTTAACCTGATATGCTGGGGCGACGGGACACAGACAAGATGGGGCACAGCATAGAGGCGCTCGGGCTTGTTCGCCATCGGGTCCGGGCGAGAAGCAATGAGGTTGTTAGTAGAGGACAACAGGGACTCTGCGGCGGTATCTGATGCCACTGATGCAGCATGATAGGCACACCACTCTCAAAATGGTCGAAACACTCCAGAGCCATGTGAACGAAGGGCGATTGACTTCCTCTGAACTTCTCGAAGGCGATCAACACCAAGCTAGACCCAATTTTCACGTGACTTGATCGAACCTCCAACCCGCAGCTTCAACGACCTCATCAATAGCTTGCCCGAGTACTTCTCAGCGCCTCTCCTCTCCGGTCCACCACCTACAAGCAAGATGTCGACCATCTCGCGCACGCTGCGCAATCTGCGGCGCATAGGGTTGAAGCAGTATGGCGTACGACCACTCTACATCGCACCACCGAACCTGAACCACTGACGAAAGCACCCATAGATCCAACTTCACTACCAGGGCGACACCAAAGCCGGCACGCTGGTCGGCACCGACCGCATGGGCAACAAATTTTACGAAAACCTGACGGAAGACCTCCCTCTACGCGTACGCCTGGCCTCTCCTCCTCTCTGTCACCGATCCCCTGTCGCAACCCCTCCCTAAAAACCCAGACCAGCGAACCCTCTCCGACCCATGAGAGAGAACCACAGACTGACAACGAAGCTATAGACCCGATGGGTAGAGTACTCACAAAAGGAACTCGACGCCTCACAGATCGACCCGGGCTGGCACGCCTGGATCTCGTACCTGGTCGACAAGCCGCCATCCGAGGACAAGATCATGCAGATGGGTCTGCGGCCGTGGGAAGACCACTATACGCGCATCAACTACACGCAGAGCCGGGGCGCTTACAAGCCTTATTCGACGTGAGTGCCTTTTCCTTTTCTTGTGTTCCGCAAAAGGTCCCTCTACCGGTCTTTCGCATGACTGGGGTGGTACGGAGGAGAACACGAGCGGGATCGATGATAGGAACTGGGTCGAGCTGACGATCAATGCAGGACGAAGCCGAAATACTCTGCTTGGGACCCCGTGGCGAAGCCGAGGGATGGGCAGAGTCTGTTTCAGACCAAGGATGTTCGGGAAGGGGGCGAGTATGAGCAGCGGGCGTCGTGAAGATGGCCACGAGTGGATGGATTTAGGAGCGGCACGGCACGAAGGAGGAAGAAAAGAGAGTGCTACCGCACAGCTGACGGGGCACTGTACAGATGCATCATGAGAGAGGGTTTTGGCAGGCGTTAACCAACCATACAAAGAGAAAGGGAGAATAACACCATATTGAGAGCATCACAAAAGGCCCTCGGGTATCGCTCTGTCTGTCCGCACCGGTCCACGAATCTATTCCGACCCCTTTCCCTCCTCATAAACGCCCACCCAGTTTTTCTAAATCATGCATTCGTGCGGTTCATATCAAAAGCTCGCCCGGCTCAACTCAAGCCCTTCTGCACCGGTCTCCTGAGCCTCGCGGGCCCCAGCTCCTTCCTCACCTCGTCCAGCTGCTGCAGCCCATACCTCTCATTCCCATGCTTGCCCCTCTTGCCCTTCTTGCCCGCCTTCTTCCCGCCGCCGGGGTTGGCCTTGGCCCAGTCGCCCAGGAACCCATCCATCATGCCGTCCAGGTCGGTGCGGACGGCGCCCTCGTCCGCGAAGCTCGTCGTGCTCAGCTGGCTCATCTGGCTCATCTTGCTCATCTTGCTCTGGCCCGTCATGCCGCTGGCTAGGGACATGCCGCCGTCGCGATCGTCGTCGTCGTCGTCTTCGTCTAGGAACTCGTCGCCTTCGTCGAGCGCGTACATTTTCTCTACTTGGTCGAAGCGTGCGTCGAGGAGTTGCAGACCGTCTGTGCGAGCGAGCGAGGAGGATGTCATGCTGTAGGCGGATGGGTTCGTTAGGGCGCCCTTGCGTTTCTTCTGTCGTAGGGGCGTGCCGTTGAGCGTGTAGAGCGTGGGGGCTTGGTCGTGGGCAGCGGAGGCGGCGGCAACTGAGGCCCCGCCTACATCAGGTGTTGCTTTGCGGGCGCCGGTGGCGGTGTCGCGCTTGTATTTGGCGAAGTCGGCGAGCCAGTCGCCGTCTTGTTCGGCCGCGGCTTCGGCGTCTTCGACCGAGAACTCGTTGTTTGTGGAGATGGGCTGGGAATCTGAGGTTGGGGCGTCAAGTTGCTTGAGTTGGGGTCGAGGTTGAGTGGATGGTTGTATGGGTGCTTTCTCGGTTGCGTCTGACTCCCAACCGTCATCATCGTCTGCGGCGCCGTAGTCGTACTCGAATTCATCGAGCGAGAGTTCGCCATTCTTGCCGTCACGCCCGAGAGCGCCAAAGATGTCTTCGTCGTCCGCAGGGTCCACATATGCATCATCGTCGAGAGCCTCGAGCACTTCTCGTAATCTGGGGTCCATGTCGGGCTGGAAGCCGGCGATCTCATCCGGTACATCTTGCTGGCTTTCAAGTTGTCTGTCCTTGGTGGCGGCCGTGTAGCTGGAGTACGCATCGCCATATCTGCTGCCCTCGACTAATGATGGCGCGTCGTCTTCGTCGTCTAGTGTGGCTTGCGCGAGAGCGTCTTCCAGCTTCATCATCTTGGCCTTCCCTTTGCCTTTGTACTTGACTGGCATGGCGTCGACAAAATGTGCGGCGCCTCCCCCTTCCCCAATGTCTCTCAAATGTTGCATATAGTCGTATTTTGAGTCGTCGAAATAAACACCATACTGCGCGGCCTCGCCCTCGTTCTCTCGCATCGATTCTAGGTCCACTTCATCTTCTAAATCCGCAATATGTAGATCTTTTGCTGTGGCGGGCTGTTTCGAGGACGAGGGCGTGGGATCGCCCACTGCAAACAGCGCACGCTCGCCTTCCTCGTGGATGAGAGGATCATCTTGCGAGCGGTAGAGCAGTTTATATGTCTGAGCATTATTCTTGTCGATCCAGCGCTTTCGAGGCATATTGAATGTTCGTGCAGTCGATTGGGTCAGTCAAGTATACTGCAGGCAGTGAGTGTATCGAAAAGTTCGGACTTCAAAAAAGTTGCTGAGTGCGGGGACGAGCGAGCGCGTCACAGGCAGCGCCCGCAACAAAGACTCCACTGAATGAACTTGGCATCAGGCAGTGAACGACAGAGCCGGCCTCTGCTATGCGTCGACCTTTAGTGACAGCCTCCGTGCGAGAGCTCGGTTTTGCAATGTGGCTACGACTAGCAGAGTAGAAGCAGTAGAAGCAAGTCTTGGGGTACTCGGTGGGAGTCTCCATCGTTGTTATTTCGTATCATTCGATTTCTGTCTCGCTATATAGCTCCTCGAGCCGAATCCGTACTGTCCAATGCTGCACGAAGTAGGGCCGCGCTTAGGACAACACGCTCCTGGACCGTCATCACATCCGTTAGGTCTCGAGAAAGGAATCAGTAGAGCCGCGGGCTTCTCAATGGCTCACGAGGTCATTGCTTCACTGAGAATCGGCAGACTAACCATTCGCCTTCTGACCACGCAATCTTAGCACAGCGGTCACTCCAAGCGCACCCAACGAACCGATAATCTCCGCGAGCTAGGGTGAGCAGATCGTACATGCCGTCTTTTGAGTCGAAGTTGGTCTCATCTCTTGACCATATTTCCCAGGACTCTCGGCTACGCTTTTCTTCAGCCGTCGTGCTGGCGTTGAAGCCAATGTCTCGCATTTCGTCCTTCACCTGGGGGTTGACTGTCAGTACACCTTGAAGGGATCGCGAATGGCCAACCACTTACGAAGTCGGGCTTGCATTTGTTAGCACTGTTGTACGCCTCCCACTCACGTGCTGGCTCCCGTGCCAGGGGTGGCTTGACGCCTCTGGCAGCCCGGAACTGGTTGATCAACTTAGGCATATTCTCCGAGGCCCAGCTAAGATCTTGAACTGCACCAGTGCTCTTCTTGAGCATCGATGGGGCCACGTTAGTGCTGATGGCACACTTGAAGAAGTAAGCTGCACAGTGTCGACTCCAGGCGCATCCCACAGTCTTCGCGCCTTGAGTCATGATGCTCGGGCGGTCTGTGGTGTAGGTCCTAGGACCATCGCTTCGATACCCTTCGTTTCTCCAAGTCTCGAGTGCCGCCTTGGTCTCCTTCTCCAGATCAAAAGCGGCACCGTAGCCAATATGAGAAACAACAAAGGATGTTCCGACGACAGCATTCTCGTTTGGATGACTCATGTCGCATTGATCCGCTGCTTCTTGGGCGATTCGAGCAAGGTTGTCATCCCATACCAGCTCCCAACCCTGAACCCCTGCTATGCCACGGTGGAGAGACAAAGCAGCTGTGATGTGGGCTTCGAATTGGAATCCGGTCCGAACTCTGATGGCTCCAGTCTGGCCTTCGATGGACATGAGGTGTTCGTTGAGCTGAAGGAGATCAGACTCGCTGAAGGCGGCTGGAGTGGGGGTGTGGAGGGCTTCATCGTTGAGGACAGGGCTATCAGAGGTGAGGTCGGCCCGAGGAATGGTGAAGCCGATGCTATGACCCCATAGCACGGCAAGTGTGAAGAGGAGGAAGGATAGCATCGTTGTGGTTGGTAAGTAGCGTTGTTACCTTGAAAAGTCTGAGTGTGAAAATTGGCAAGAGGTATAAAAGACGAGGTGAGATCTGCGATATAAGTAGTCCTGAGGAAAGGCCATTTCCTTCACTAATCCTTCGCCCCGTGGCAGGAAAGGGCCCCTGGTCCAGGGCGACTTGTAATTCACTTGAGCGGGTGTGAAGACGCGCATTCGGAATGGCCTCGACTGACCTGAAATGCAAGTGAGTGGCCTTTGACAGTCCCATCACTGCGGTCTTTTAGTCGAGCAGTCACCACTGCGATGCGATGTCTAGTAGGAAAACATCACATGAAGCACCTCACCTTGTTCTACTCAGGTCGAGCCTACCTACCTGCAAAGGAGAAGGAGAAGAGCACATGTTTGAAGTGATCAAAGGTGACATTAGAAGGACCTATCTGCATGTAAGGCCGGAGGCGACTCTCTAGACTCAGATGTTGTACACACAAGTCAAGCATCAGACTTGCACCTGCTTCCACTCCAAGCAGGATTTGAGCTCCCAGATCCAGGTAATTTGGCCCCTCGCTATGCTGCAGTCATCTATGCGGCCTGGTCGCGAAATGCAGTGCACCAGTCCATATGAAGTCACTCGCTCATGCGTACATATCCAGAACAAAAGGAAGAAGAAAGGGCCCTTGGTAATCGGGCGAAAGAGTTGAAGGTTAGCTCATTGCGTGGCGAGGAAGTCGCGGCGATACTTTGACAGTGCTCGCGCCACGTCTTCGAAGTCTCTGGTACCTTTGGCGCGCAGCTCAGAAATAGTAGCTTTGAGTCCATGGAGGTAAGACTCTCGGACTGCTTTATCAGAAAATTCGCTTGCTGATGACATTTGTGCCAAAATCTTGTCGTCTGGTCTAGGGTCAGACTCTTCTCCGGGGGGGAATGTAGGGCAGGGCTATCGCTTACCGCTTAGCCCAAGGTGTCGAAAATGTTGCTCCTCACAGTTTGGGTCTTGACATATCTCTCCTGAAAGCTCCGTAGGGCACAGAGGCACTTTAGGATCGATACTATTACTGTACGTTAGCGACCGATAGCCAGCCTTGGCCTCGCCATCGAATTGCTCGTTGTACCGGTACGATGGAAAGGACGTCAGGGGAGATCGATAAGCAGAGAAGCTGGTGGATTTGCTCTCGCCAGCGTTGGACAACGGCCGAACCGCGGGTCTTGCACGATGCCATCGGGCACTAGGAGTTGTCGGTGCACTACTCCGATTGCGCTGATGGCCCCCATCAGTGTCATGGACGCGGGTGGATTCAGAGTCGGCAAGCACACCTTGCTGTTCCATGAAATTGAGTTCCTTCTCAACAAGGATCTCAGCCGTAGTCATTTTGTCGTCCACAGGTGCGGCGTCCCTCATGTCGCTATCGGGACTGGTGGCCTCTTCTGCGGCATATTCGGCGGTCGCCGATGGGACATCGATGGGCGAGTCTGTTGGTTCGTAGTCGGAGGATCCATCATCTATGTCCATAGGCTGAGTAGGGTCATCCTCCGGTGGCTCGTATTCGCCTTCCTCCTGATCGTCCTCCTGATCGTCCTCCTGATCATCCTCTTGATCACCATTCTTCCCTTCGGAAGCACTATCCGACATGCTCGCGCTGCCGTCACTGCTATCACTTTCGTAAGCCTCATCTTCGGGCGTCTCATTGACCAAGCTTTGATCGCCAAATTCAGCATGTGGCTGGGCTGTGGTGTCGGCAGACTCTTGTTCATGGTGGCCTGTGTGGGTCGTGATGTCGCCGACATCTTCGCTGCTCTCGCTGTCTTCGCCGGAGGTGCCACTGACAATATCGCCTGTGTACGACGGGAGCGCATCGATCTGTCTTTCTGGAGCTTGGCCATCATTCGCAGTCATGTGCGCCATGTCGGGCTCTCGAGCTGCCGAGATCTCAACCTCTTCTGAGGGCGCAGACGTCCAAGTGCCATCGTTCGTCGCTATAGCATCTACTCCCAATGGTGGCGAGGGCTGCTGCTGGACATCGGCCATGCGTCGATCTGTAGAAGTTTGCTCGACGGACAAGGTCTGTAGCTCTTCCGCGTATCGCTTACGTCCAGTCAGACCTTCCTGCAGCTGCTCTTCTGAGCGACGGATTTTATCAAGCTGGTCCTGCTCCTCCTGGCGCGCCCTCGCCAAATCAGCCTCTAGAGCAAGAATGTATTTCTGCGTCTTCTCTAGTTGCAACCGCTGATTCTTCAAGGCCGTTTCAGTCCTCGACACTTCAGCGTCGAGGTCTGGTAAGCCGTCCTGTAGAGCCTTTTGTCGAGCACGTTGCTTCAAGAACTTTGCTTTAAGCATCTCTGCCTTCTCCGCCATTTCCGCCGGCGTCAGCCTGGCGATGGGACTGGAAGCAAAAGGCCTCGCTGGAGGGAGTGTGGTTGTGTGTGCTGCAGCGACTGTCGCCAATGGCAAGTTTTGTTGCCGTTGGTCTGTGCTGCGTTTCGGAGATTCGACGACTTCACCTTCAGACGCCTCCGAGGAGGATGCGTCATCAATTTCCATGTCTTCGCCGTCAGTCTTCGAAGAAACTCCAGTGTTCTGGCGTTTGTGGGCAGACCCAGGCTCCGCCTGATCCGGCGCATCCTCGAGAGGGCGTTTTGCGGACCGACGTGTTGCTTCACCCTCATCATCTGCAGACATCATTGTGAGACCAGGTATTCCAGAAGTGAATGGGCTAGCAAGAGAGCCAATGGAACCGCCAATTGAAGGCAGTGGTACCTGTATGGGTACAGCGTTCCCGGTGTTTTGTTGCTCTGAGGCTGTCTTGCGCATCTGCTCCATTCTCTGCCGAACAACCTCTGCTTGAGCGAAACCTTTCGCCTTGTTTTCTGACTGGCTGTCACCGTCCGAGCCAGGCCCAGCGGCAACTTGGACAGGTGGGGTGTCTTTTCGAGTGTCTGCTTTTGATGGATCTGGTGTGGTTTGCGACAGATTTGATTCAGAGGTGCTTCGTCCGGGTGCTGGCTGCTTATTCTTGGCTGCAAGTAGCTGCGCAATGCGGTCCTTGCGCTCGAGACTCGGATTCGGAACAGGAGGTGATCTTGTGTCGAGCGGCTGAAGCCCTGCCTTGACCTCATCGCCGGACACAGTTCTAGTATTACTTACGGACTCTATAGCCATAGCTACAGGCGATGGCGAAGGGCCGACTTTCATACCCAACTCGGCGTATAACTGCTTCAGTAATTCAGGGTGCACGCCTTCCTTGGTAAGTTGTTCGTACTGAATGCCGTGAGGTGCAAGTGATAGAAGTGCGCCTTTCGCCAAATTCCGCAATTCAGGAATAGATTTTGTCTTATATTCGGCCTGAGAGGTTGGCGCAGTAGCAGCCGTGGCAGTCGCTGTTCTATTTGAGGGCAATTTGGTCGGGTCATTGGCGTGGGACAATGTGGCCTGTGGCGGCGCAGGCTCTGTGGAGGTAAGATCTTGTCCCAGCAACGCATTGCTCGTACCGACTTGTTCGGAACTGTAGCCTGAAGGCTTTGGCACACCAATGGAACGCAGCGATGGTGGCACTTGAGTTGAGTGTTGGGCACCTATTTAGAAGGTCAGCTTGATTTGCAACATCGGTAAGGCCAACACACCATCAAGATTGGGGGGAAAGTATGCCCGATCGTATGCTTGTTGCTGCTCAGGATGAGGCTCGCCTTGCGACACAGTATGAGAGGATGCGCTGCCAACTTCTTGATTCTCTTTACGCGCCACCTCAGGGGTCGCATGTGACGCTGGAGTGGCCGCTGAGACGCCCGTTCGGAAACTCTGGAGAATATTCTGCGGAAAGCGAGGATCGTACGCATCGGCACCGTCATCGGAGATCTGAGTCTGAGGATGATAAAATTGCGACGAGGGGCTTGTCGACTGCTGCTGTTGAAAATGTGGGAAGCCTACGTTGGGAAGCTGTATCGGAAAGCCAGGCGGAGGTGGCGGAGGAACGCCAGCATTGGCAAACTGCTTGAGCATCTCTGGAGGGAAAGAAGCAGCAGGAAATGGGAATGGTTGTGCAGGAGGAGCTGCCTGGCTGTTGGCATCATACCGCCCTAGGTTCATACTAGGGTTAGGTGCAGGCTGAAAAGGTGCAGAGGCATGCGCATTATGCTGTGAGTACGGAGACGGAGGATAGGTAGGTCTTTGGCCATACGGCGACTGCGGCGGATAATAGGCTTGCCCATACGCAGCGCCGTAACCCTGCGCGGCGGAATTCTGGAACGGCTGCGACATCTGGACACTCAGTACGAAACCCGGAAGAGCGAAGAGCAGCTCTGATCATCGAGGTCTCGACAAACAATGTAGTAGAAGTGCGCAAGGAAGACTTGTGAACATGATAAAAGTCTTTGCAATCCCCAGCAAAGTAGCAGTCAGGACACGCCGTCCAAAGCCCGCAGGAGGTAGACAAGAGCAGCTTGTGGCAACGTCACCTTTCTGCGGCTGAAATCCGCTGGTGATAATGGAATAGCGACAGCAGTATGGATCTGCCGAAAGATTGCTGTGATGTTGGTGAACGGGAGTTCATGCGATAGAGTGAACGCGATGAAGGATGGACTTGTCCATCAAAAGTCGACTTTCACTTGGAGTCCAAGCGGAGCGCGCAGGCTAGATCGAGACTAAAGGCTTGGCGCTGATTGCCCGCAATACTTGAGCTTGCCATGCTCTGAGAAGATTTATTGGTAATTATGACCTTCCCAGCCAGACAAGAGGGACAAGGATCCTACTGGGCCACTTCAACTTTTGTGAAAGTCGTCAAAGACGCGAAGCCTAATGGCTATTCTTCAGATATGCCGCCATCAAGTTCCTCAGGCTGTTGCAGCTGAGGCTGCATCTGCGGGTGTCGAGATTGCCGGGCCTCCTGATGAGCAGATAGCAAAGGCTATGGCTGACGCCGCACGCGCCAATCCTGCTCCGTTCATGGACCGAGTCATGGGTGTTCTCCGAGGATTCAAAGGCTGAACTGCTCGAGCAGTGCTTCCACGCGTTTCACAGGCTGAAGGGTCATCAAGTAACATCATTCCAGACTCATCAAGCAGCATCTTATACGCGATAACTGCCGACGATCGTAGCGCAAATCAGTTGACCAGTATCATCAATCCATTAACGTTCTCTCAGAATAGGCTTCGCTTCTAAGTGTCTCTCGTAGTCGCTTCTGGCAGCCGCGCCTTTCTCTCTAGATCACCCACTGTGGTTATTCGGGGGTAAAGCTGCAGCCGCTACCACCTCGACTGTACCATGCGTCCAATGTAAGCCCCATCGAAGCACCTGCGGCTGACCACAGAAAGTCTATGGCTGTATCTAAAAGTCCTCGCGGCCGTCCATAGGGTGTCCGACGCGACGTCTGAAGCCCTTGACAATGCGGACTCGGGAGATGTCGAGCTGAGCTTATCGCCCGCTATGGACGTGGGGCTCAGGCTATCCTCTCATATGCGTGTTGCAGATACGTACCTGTTCTAGAACTGTCGCGAATGAGTACATATCGCCTTCGTGAGGCTAGGGGCTTGGCATTGCCCAGTCGACTTCCTGCCCAAAACGGCTAGACCAGCCCGTTGCCATGGTCACCCACCGCATGACGAGGGGGACAACAGAGATTGACTAGGGTCCAAACTGCTACACAGTAGTAATGCCTCCCAACCAACGCTCTTGTACTACTCGGTACCGCACCCATTCACGGTCGTACCAAGCCTGTGTCGCTTCCCCTCCTCCTGCTCATGCTGTTAACCCAACCTCCCGCTTCATTCGATGCTTATACACGATACTAGAAGCACCCCGTCGCCTTTCCATGGCGGTTCGCCCAACCATCCCTCCCATAGATCTTTCGACATGCCGCTAGCCTCACCCATCTCCCCGTCCGGTCGGCCACGGTCGGCCGTCTTCAACACAAACTCACCCACGCCCGTCCACAAACATGAGCGGCAGCAGTCGTTCTCTCCGAGCAGCTCGCTAAGCTCTTTGCCGTCCCACTTGCGCAATAATTCCCTTCAGCGGCAAGCGAGTACCTCGAGCACCTTTGCCCCCAAGTTCATCAAGTCCGATGAGATCAGAAAGAGCGAAGATCGGATTTCGTCCATCGAGGGCGAGAATGACTTCTCCGGCAAGAGATATGTGTGGGTTAAGGATCCAGAGAAAGCTTTCGTCCGCGGTTGGGTTGTCGAAGACCTACCCGGCGATCGCGTTGTTATCCAGTTCGAAGACGGCTCTCAGATCGAAACACATGTCGACGATGTTGATAAGGTCAACCCGGCAAAGTTCGACAAGGCTGATGATATGGCCGAGCTCACCCATCTGAACGAAGCATCCGTCATCCACAATCTACATACGCGGTACCAGTCCGACCTGATATACACTTACTCTGGCCTGTTCCTTGTGACCATCAATCCTTACTGTCCACTCCCGATTTACGGCAACGACTATGTACGGATGTACAAGGGCCAAGCGCGTGAAGACACGCGCCCGCACATTTTTGCCGTTTCAGATCAGGCCTTCAGGAAGCTGGTTGACGAAGGTGAGAACCAGAGTATTCTGGTCACTGGCGAATCTGGTGCCGGCAAGACAGAAAATACCAAAAAGGTCATTCAGTATCTCGCCGCTGTCGCGACCTCGGACGCCGACACGCCACTGACGGGCAGGGCTCCCGCGAAGCAGATGTCAAACCTTTCCCAGCAAATATTGAGGGCAAATCCCATCCTTGAATCCTTTGGCAACGCCCAGACTGTTCGCAACAACAACTCGTCACGCTTTGGCAAATTCATTCGCATCCAATTTACGAGGACTGGCCAAGTTGCTGGAGCCTTCATTGATTGGTATTTGCTGGAGAAGTCGCGGGTGGTCAGAGTGAGCCGTGATGAAAGAACATACCATGTTTTCTACCAGCTCCTAGCCGGCGCGGACAAGTCAATGCGCGACGCTCTGCTGCTCTCGGGCATGGACGTGGAGCATTTCAACTATACGCGCATGGGCAATGACACAATCACTGGTGTATCGGATCGAGACGAGTGGAATACGCTTGTTGAAGCTTTTCACATCATGAACATCTCCCAGGAACAACAAATGGCCATATTCAGAACAATTGCGGCTATCCTGCATCTGGGAAATGTGGCAGTCAGACAAGAGAGTCGCGCAGCTGACCAGGCCTCCCTCACACCCGAAGCCAAAAGCTCCATTGACAAGGCTTGTCGACTACTCGGAGTGCAGACTGATCCATTCGTCAAAGGGCTGCTTCATCCGAAGGTCAAAGCAGGTCGAGAATGGGTGGAGAAGGTACAGACTCCAGAACAAGTGAGACTGGCCCTTGATGCCCTCGCCAAAGGCATTTACGAGCGTGGTTTCGGAGACCTCGTCTCGAAGATTAATACTCAACTTGACCGCGCCGGCCTCACCAGTGATGACAATCACTTTATCGGCGTGCTTGATATTGCTGGCTTTGAGATCTTCGAGACAAACAGCTTCGAGCAGCTTTGCATCAATTACACCAACGAGAAACTGCAGCAGTTCTTTAACCACTACATGTTTGTGCTCGAACAGGAAGAATATGCTCGTGAACAGATTGAATGGCAGTTCATCGATTTCGGCAAAGACCTGCAGCCCACGATCGACTTGATCGAGCTGCCGAATCCTATAGGCATCTTCTCTTGCCTGGACGAAGACTCGGTCATGCCCAAAGCCACAGACCAGTCCTTTACCGATAAATTGAATTCCCTCTGGGAGAAAAAGTCTCCCAAGTACGCCTCGGCTCGTACACGCCAGGGCTTTATCCTTACGCACTACGCTGCTGAGGTAGAATATTCTACCGAAGGTTGGCTGGAAAAGAACAAAGACCCCCTCAACGACAATTTGACGAGGCTGTTGGCCAGTTCTCGAGACGAGCACATCTCGAATCTCTTCAGTGATTGCGTGGACGAAGCCGATGATCTATCTAGTCCGCGCAGCCGTGTCAAGCGCGGCCTGTTTAGAACCGTGGCTCAAAGACACAAGGAGCAACTTGCGACTCTCATGCGACAACTACACTCCACGCAGCCTCATTTCGTGCGGTGCATACTGCCCAATCACAAGAAGAAACCGAAGCAGTTTACAGCGCCGCTTGTCCTCGATCAATTGCGGTGCAATGGTGTACTCGAAGGCATCAGAATCGCAAGGACTGGCTTCCCTAATCGGTTGACGTTCGCTGAGTTCCGCTCACGTTATGAAGTGCTTTGCGAGAACATGCCAAAGGGCTATCTCGGCGGACAAGAGGCCGCCAGGATTATGCTGGACAGACTCAGAATGGATGCGTCAGAGTATCGTGTTGGTCTTACGAAAGTCTTCTTCCGCGCTGGGGTCTTAGCGGAGCTCGAAGAGAAGCGTGACAGCCTGATCCGAGAAGTCATGTCCAAGTTTCAGTCAGTCGCCCGTGGCTTCATGCAAAGAAGAATTGCTTTCAAGCAGTTGTATCGTGCGGAAGCCACGCGAGTGATACAGCGAAATCTCAACGTATACTTGGACTTGCAGGCGAATCCATGGTGGAGGCTCTTCGTCCGCATGAAACCTCTCCTAGGAGCGACGAGGACGGCGAACGAGGTCAAGAAACGAGACGAAAGAATAGAGCAACTCCAGGACAAGATGCAGCAAGACATGCTCGAGCGACAACGTGTTGAGGAGGAGAGGAGGCGAGCGGAGATGCATTGTCAATCTGTCCAGCAAACCCTAGAAGCTGAGCGAGCCCTTGCGCTTGACAAAGAGGAAATCTTCAAACGTCTCCGGGATCGTGAAAACGAGTTGACCGAGAAACTTTCTGAAGCCATCGTGGAGCAAGAAGCGCTAGAAGACCAGCTTGACGAGGCTGTCGACGCAAAGAAGAAGTCGGGTGAGGAGCTGACCATGCGTAGGGATCAAGTCATGCAAGCCGGCCAGATCATCACGCGACTGGAAGCAGACAAAAAAGAGCTGCAAGCACAAGTCGAAAAACTGGAAGAAGAGCTCGAGCAAGCTGAGCAAAGCGAAGACAAGTTTCAACATCTGGACCAGGAGATTCGAAGTCTCAAGAGTCAAATCAACCTCAAGGACCGCAAAATATCCGAGCACGAGTCAGATCTGCGCGAAACACAGCGAGAGCGCGACCTTCGAGCCTCAAGTTTGGAGCAAGAAATCCGGTCCTTGAAGAGTCAGCTCAGTCAAAAGGATCGCCGCGCCGAGGATCTCGAGACCAAGCTTCGCCGAGCAGAGTCATCAGCTAGCGAGGAGCGGCGGAAACGCAACGACGACTACGAATCGCAGATACGGTCCCTGACTAGTCAGCTTGGGGGCAAAGATCGGAAGTTGCAGGAGCTCGAGACCAAGCTATCCAAGATTGACCAGGACGCTGAAACCAAGCTTGCGACTGTCACCACCGAACTCAACAACTCAAAGCTTCTGCTTCGCGAGATGGAGGGGCAGAATGTCGAACTTCGCCAGCAAATCGATGACATGTCTTTTACTGCTTCCAAGTCGGGAGACAATCTCCGCAAGAAGGAGAAGGAGCTTTCCACCCTGATGGCTGATATTCGGCGGCATGAGTTGGAGAAGGACAACCTGCGACTAGAAAAGGAGAGTATGGCAGACGAACATGCTCAGATGCAGAAGCAGCACCGTGAGCTGCAGGAAGATATTGATGCCATGAAGGCGAAGCGGCAGGCGATGCAAAGGGAGGCCGAAGATGTGCAACGGCACTTGGAAAGTATCATGCCGTTCTTCAAGAGTCATTTTGCAAATGGGGCATGAGGGAGTAATGTTCGGGGTTGAGGATGAAGCATATGACACAGGCGTTATAGCATGTCGGTTTTGTCGGACTTGGGTGCTTGATTCATTGTACAGCACTAGCAATCGATTACAGTCGAGCAGGGTGGGACAGGGTATGTAGTGGAGAAGAGCCATGTAGATATGACGACGACCAAGTTTGCAATGGTAGCGATGAATGTTTTCCCGGCCACCCTTTTGAATGTATACGTTCCTCCCAGGCTGTCACTGCGCATTCAATTGAACGACTCCTTTCTCGAGCACAGTGCATGGTTTACAGGCAGTGAATGAGTGGAGTTGACCGGAGCTCGGCTGCACTTTTCTCCATTAGCTGCAGCTTTCTCGAGATCAACCTGGGACATACAGGACATGCTGCTCACCACCACCACCCACTTCTCTTGTCCATGTCTCTTTCAGCGTAGCATCCTGCATCTTATATCTCCCTGGTCACCGCAACGCCCAATACGACTGCTGCGCTCCCCACCCAACCGACACAATGCCCTCCTCCTGCAAAGAACTGCGTACGCATCTCTCCCCATAGCACTTTCACCCCACTGGCACCACGCATAACTAACGCAATCGTTCCCCACGCAGGAGCCGCCCTCGCCGCCTGCCTGCAGCAGTCCGACTGCATCCTCGTCGAGCACCACAAACCGCTGGACTGCCTCTCGCCGCCGCTGGTGCACACCCTCCCCGAACAGTGCCAGCAGCTCAAGCGCGGCTTCCGCGACTGCAAGAAGGGCATGGTCGACATGCGCAAGCGCTTCCGCGGCCATCAGCCCATCTCGGCGTCGACGGAGCTGGAGGGCGGGAACGATGGGAATCTACTGCAGCCGGAGTACGTGCTGGTGGGAGGGCAGAAGGTCGAGGGCGTGAGGAAGCCGAGGCAGCTGTATGGCGGGAAGCCGGCGTTTGAGGCTGTGCCGGAGGGGGAGAGGGGGAGGGGCGATGAGAAGGGGTTGGGCTTTGATGCGGATAAGACGAGGGGGCTGTGAGGGAAGGCTGCAGAGTGGAGAGAGAATCGATTTGGATGTGCCACAGGAGCTTTGGGGCTTACCACGCTGCGGTGGCCGTGCTCTCACAGGTGGTACACAAAGCAGAACACTGCAACCAGCCCTGCACCCGGGTGACTCGAGGCAACGATCGCGACCGCAGTGGCGCTTCACCCGGGCCGCCCAACCACAGCAGCCCGGCTTCATCTCCCCCGAGGTGGACGACCCTCCAGAGATCCCGAGCAAGCAAGCGAGTTTCAAACACGAACCTCGAGGCACTGGCTTGAAGAAAACCTGGCTGGTCATGCAGTCTCACGTCCACTCGCCCACCCAACAGCGATGCTGAACGACAAGGCCAGAGCAGCACCTTGGACACTTGGACGCAAATCAGATGGCGGCCCGCGCAGTTCGCGAACGTCTAGAGCAGACCTGCGGACTCGCACGTACGCCTGCTTGCTTAGGAGGAGAGCGAACGGTCTCCACGCCTTTTGGAACCCTGTGCAAGGCTCACAGAGGCACACTGGTACACGCCAGCAGGAGGCATTAACCATGTCAGGACACTGCCATCGCCGCCCACAGCCACAGGGTGGCACGCATGTATTATATACTAGATACTACATACATCTCCGCTTCGCTGGAGCGCCGGCTCCGTTTACTGTATCAACAACCCATTCACGAAACGTATCTACTTCCTCTACTCCAAGTTTGCCATACGTACATTAGCCTTTGTAGAATCTGCTGTGGGGCGGCAGTAGTTGGCATGAGCTCAAGATTTGGTTTCTCATATCTTCCTTTCCGACATCTCTAGCTCCTTCCTTCCCGAATTGTCTAGCTCGTGAACTTTCAGGTTAAAAACACCTGAGCCGCTGGGTAAAATCAATTTCATGAGCCAGCCGGACAGCATTGCTTTTTAGTCTAGCCATGTCCCATTTCCATTGGCGTTGCGGCCCCAATTCCAGGGCGCACAAGACCCCCACCCCCCTCGCAATGTTTCTATATGGTACAAAACTGCCCGTCCCCACCGGATCGCTCATTGGCTCACCATGCTCTTCTCCCGCCGCACCTCTCTGGGCTCCGCGTACAACCACACGCCCACGAACAGGACCCAGCCGACCACAATGCCCCACAGGCCCGTGACCCAGGGAACGGCGCCCTGGATGCGGAAACTGCGCACGTACTCGTCGTGCGCGAAGTGGCGGACCGTGACCTGGCGCTTCTCCTCGACCGACGTCAAAAACGGCCGCTTGTAGTTGACCTTGAAGGCGAAGATGCCGTGCTGGTCCGGGGTGGTGAAGCTGGTGGCGAAGGTGGTGCTGTTGACAGAGGTGCGCACGGGTGAGAGGGCGAGGCGGTGGAAGGGCGAAAGCATGCTGAATTCGAGTTGCACGCTGTCGCCGGCGGGTAGGGTGAAGGGGGCCCAGTGATCGCGAGACCATTGGGAGAGGGTGATGGAGAATTCCTGTTGGAAGGGAAACGTGTTAGCTCGGCTGACTTGAATGATGGGAAGGGCGGGGAGGACTGGGCAAACGCACCACATCGTTCTTGATACGATAGATCTCCGGGTTCGAGAAGCCCACCTGAGTGCTGTTCGCCGCAGGCTTCGCAGCATCACCCTCCTCGATCAAGTGATGTTCCACGTTGTCCACCCGCAAGACGCCCACCTCCTTGAACGCCCACTCGGTCAACTGTTGCGCAAACTCGCGGTTCACAGTCGCCACGCTCTTGCCGTCGTTGCCCTTGACCTTGGCATTGAACCACTTGTCGCTCAGCATCTCCAGGCTTCCCAGCACGGTGAAGCGCGCCGAGTTGCGCGCCTGCATGGCGGTGATCAGGCTCAGCTGCGTTCCCGTGGCGAAGCCATCGTCGCCTGCTTCCGAATCCGTCTCTTCCGCTGGACTGTAGCTGAATGCCGTATTGCTCGCCTTCAGTATCGGTGCCAGTAGCGGGCTGGTGTTGCCCAGGCTCTGTCCTACGGTGTTCGGTAATGCCACCAGGCCGCTACCGCCGAAGAAGTTGACAACGTCGGGCCGTGGGGGCCCAGGACGGGGCAGTAATAGGACTTCATGCTTGTCCGGCGAGGAGGCGGAGTCGTAGTTGAAATGGTCGACGACCAGAGCGGAGCGGTCAGACGGGAGGGCTATGTCGAGTTCGAGGAGGAGGGAGGAAATGGCGCTGGGGGTGCCAGACTGGGCGGAGAGGCCGAGCAGGATGTTGCCGCCTGCGTTGGTGAAGGCGAGAAGGGCCTTCGGTGTCAGAGAAGGGCCGTAGCCTATATAGACATTAGTAAAAGCGTCTGCTGGCGGACATGGTACTCTACCCTTGGACTTAGGCGGCGTGAGGATCAAATGCTCGTATGCTAACTCGCCGTGCCGGAACAGCGATAGGTCTTCCGTTTTGGGAGACTCAAAGCTCAGCTTGAAGTCTCTCACTGTAGTCACACGCTGATCAGCAACCCCAGAGGTATTCCCAAACCGCGGGAGACTCACACTCCAGGTCCTTCCAAAACTGCGCATACTCCCCTCTCTGGCCCTCGTCCTCCATGACCACTAGTATGCGGTCCCCGACGGCACTTTTCGCGCAGACCGCACTCCACAAACAACTCCACAGAAGGAGACATAACGAAGAGAAGGCGAGCCGCATCTTAACGTGTCGCTGGCTCTGTAGGAATGTCGTTGGCAGGAGTCCTTACTGATTCGCATGCGCCCGTCCTCTTAGGAACAGGTGGTAAATCCATGCCAAGCCCAGTCCAGCCTCGCCGCTCGTCATTGGCCGAGCAGCTACAAGCTCCAATTGAACGTCGTCCCTCGCCGCAACTGCAATTGAGATAGACCTCTCTGCGCAACCTCCTCCCTACCCACCGTCACCGTCTTTCGCGAAAGCCGCCTCTCTCTGCCCATAAGCGTTTCCTCTCCGCCAGCAGAAACGCCGGCGAGCGCCGCGTCCTCCCCACCCCATTCCTCACCCACCGTCGAACACATCACGAACCACAATGTCGGGTATCCCGCAGACCTTCTGGTCCTCGCCGGTGCGGTACCTGCGCTGGGCAATGCACGAAAAGCCGGCGATCTTCTTTTCGATCGTCGTTGGCAGCATGGGTCCGCCGCTACTGTATACGCTGCCGAGCATCCGGGCGAGATTTGGCGACTTTGACCCGCCCGCGGTGCCGCATAGTTATCCTGGTGAGTTATAACAGACATCCCTACGGCGGTTAATGGGGAATGAGAGATGATTGGAGCGGACAGGTGGATGAGGGACTGCTGTGGAAGGACATGGGCTAATTGGGTGTGCAGTACCGAAGGGTCCGAGGAAGGTGCCTGAGGGGTTCGACGATTGAGTGCTGGGCTATTGCCTATTGCCGGAAGTGAGAATTACGATACGCGAGCGAAGCGCAAAGGTGTGAGATGAGGGCACTGAAGTGCGAAGTCTACAGCCGGGACCAGTATTGTCAACGACCAGAAAAGACAAAGGTTCAAGCTTGTACATACCAACATGAGGAAAGGGCGAATATTATATCCTGTGAGCACATTTCAATGAGCTACAGCGGCAAATTCTTGAATGCGCACTTTGCATGATGGCTCTCGTTGTCTTCGTCTGAGTATCGATCTGTTCTGGCCAAAGTGATCGCTCACTCTAGGAACGGTCCATCTAATCTGACTTGTGCCAGAAACATTAATCTAGGCTAAGCAAGAAGCACGCTCCCATGACCACGTTGCGATACCTGTATGTCTAGTTGCACTAGGAGCCAAACTGCTGTGAGTCCAACGAGCCCATCCGTCAATCACGTCAACCACCTGTGATCCCTGGAACGCCTTGCTTCTCTCGCCGTTGATCCATGCTGAATGTGCCGGATGCTCTATTCACCGTCACGCTCATCATCAGCCAACGCATCAGAGTCCTCAGCACCCTTCGAGCGAGCTCTGCGAGCCGCAGCAGCGCTGGCACCTCGACTCACACTCCGAGTAGAGACGCGAGCTCTCTTCGTCTTGCCCTTGCCGTCGACAACACCTGGAGCCGCAGCAGCGGTGCCTGCATCCTTACTGCGACTGCGCTTTCGCTTGTTGCCACTTGAGCCTGCCACGACGCTAGATTCGCGAGTACCACTGGGAACGGGGCTCGCCTTCGCCTTTCCCCTGCCCTTGTCCTTACCCTGGGTGACGGGGGCCTGGACCTCGTCCTCGTTACCGTCGTCGACCGTATCAATATCGTCATGCAGCTGAGCCTCATCTGCGAGCCCTTCTTCGTTCTCCCACGGCAGATCGCTCTTGAGGATATTGGCACAGGTGAACCAGTCGACAGAACCATTCGGCATGTGGGAGCGGTTGATTATGAGTTTCTCGACGAAGTCCTTGACCTCGCTCTTGAGGAGATTCATATTCGACTCCAGAACATTACGTCCCTTGCTCGACATGGGGAAGTACTGATAGAACTGCTGGAAGTCCTCGTGGTGCAGATACGCCTGACTGCTCTGGTAGATGGCTTGATAGAACTTGAAGCCGCCATCGAGGCCGAGACGGGTGCGATGCTCGCTGATGGCTTGGGCGAACCATTGGCGGAAGAAGCAGATAGCCATCCACATGTAGATGTCGCCAGAGTAAGAAGGACGGCCGGGTTTGTCCGTGGCGTTGCGGCAGAGAGCGGGCGGGTAGTGGCCGAGGATGCGCAGCTCGATGACTTCTTTGCTGCTCTCGAGGGCGTCGTACTTGGTCTGGATGACGGACTTCATGTCCTCGTCCATCTCCGACTTGGTCTCGGGGTCGATCTGTCGCCACTTGCCAACGAGATGGCACAGAGCTTCCTTGTAGATGGTGGGGGAGTGGATGTCACGCCCAAGGCCGGCCCACGCTTTCGGATTGTTGGCAATTGACGTCCACAAGTTCATGTCCTGACGAAGTAGAGCGAGGTCGACCGTGTCCCTGATGCGCTCGATGGCGCCCATGGATTTCGCCACGTCGATGAACTCATGACAGTCGGTGACGAGCTGGACGGTATTGTCCTCGTCAAAGCCCGGCGGCTTGCCATAGAAGATACCGAAGAGGAAGCCCCAGTGTCTTAACTTAGCATTGGAGACCATCATCTGCCGCAGGTTCAGGCCCGAGGCAAAGATACTGTTCTTGACCTTGCCGTTCTCTTGGACTTCGCGCTGCTGCAGAACGCCAGGGTCATCTTGCGAGCGGCTGACGAGCTCGAAGCAATACGCGGCGGCGCCGTCTTTGCGGGCTTTGGCTGTCAGCTTCGTGCCGGGCACAGAGAGCTTCTCCTCGAAGAAGGTGGAGTGTTGCTTGAGGACTTGGGAGTGGAGTTGGTAGGTCATCTCAGGGGAGAGGTAGATGGCCACGTCGCCATCGCTGTACGAGGGGAAGGCGTTGCCGCGCTCATATTCCATCGTGCTTGAAATGCTTCTTGAGTATCAGGAGAATCAGTTCAGAGAAGGAGAACAGATCGTGGGAGCGTTAGAAGAATAGAATCACGCGAACGTCAACGTAAGACAAGGCACTTAAGTGGTAGTCAAGTATGTCACGCTAAGCAGACTGGCAGCACACGTGTGAAAGTGTCGGGGCAACAAAGATATGGGCTGAGTGAAGTTATTAGTGGAGTCCGTTCAGGCAGGACGTTGCTCCAGACATGAGAACAGTCACTGGATGGGCGTGGTGGTGACACAGTGGAGGTTGGCCAAGTTGGTGAGCGGACTCCCCTAATCCAAAGTATAGGCATCTTCATGTTCCGCTTGTGAGTCCAGAGTGCCCGCCCGTCGATATCGTCGACGCTGGTGACTGTAATCCATGTAGTCCATACGAGGGTTTAGCTGTATACCAGTCGATCTTTGTGCCTAATCATCGGGCGCTTGATCCATTGTTGCTGCTAGAAAACAGAGTAAAGTCACCCCCGTAGTGCTGTTCTTGCATCTACTGTTGGAGTGAGTCTTCAATTCCAGTCCAGCCTCGATGCTCATAGTGTTGGGTGGGCTCCTTGTGGCCATTGTTGTACCGTGTATCATCGATTGCCGTTGAGGAACGAGTCGAGTTCATGGGCCCATTGCGTCCGTTGTATCGATCGGAGAGAGAGCATCTGTCCCAGGCTTGATATCCCTTGAATTATACTAAGCAGTAGCGAGTGAGCAAGGTGCAGTTCCATTATCACGTTCCGTTTCCAGGACCGTTTTGTTCCATGATTACGCAAGGATCAAGCATACTCATCTCCGGAAGCATCAGCAGCGTACAACCAGGTCCATGGGTTCTTGTTCTGTGTTGTGGCTTTGGTAGCATCCTGAGTGTATACCAACAGGATCTTGGCCTCATCAGAGCGGCAGCATAATCCATCGGGACAGTCGACAGAGATATTGCCGGTCACCTCAAAACGGTTTGGAGGGCTTTCATCCTTGTAGGTAGTTCCGGTAGTCCTGGCTGCGACGATGCGAATAATCACGGTTCAAGTCCAAAGAATCACTGTGTCAGGCATCATCGCATTAGGGCGTCTTTTTGTTGGCGCAGCCAAACTGTGTCACTGTCGTTTTCAACCTGTCGCTGTCTCTCGCGATGTACTCCATTACAATGCTGCTTATAAACCCTGTCAAGTACTCCAAGTATGGTAGAGCCAGCCTGCTCAATTGATGGGTCCAGAGAAGTCACAAGTCCAGTGCAGTAAATTTGCAAACACTCCTTCCCGTTCGTTTCTCAACCAGCCACACATCATTGGCGTCTAGCGTCATGAGATCGAACATATCCAGATCGTATCCTAGTCCGGCTTGGAATGTTGTCGGCCTCGCATTAAGCGACCAGCGGAAGTAGGTGTCCATGGAACGTGTGATATACAAGCTCATCGCACTCACTGCGAGGAGTTCGCGCCGTCGAGCGGCTGCCATCATCTCGACTGCATCAAGCAACGATACGGGTTACTGTCACCGGCCATGCCGGGATCTGGGATCGGCGTACCCGGTCTCATATCCAGTGACCATCTGTCCAGTTCTAGGATCCCTGTATGCTTGGGCAGGTGGGGCAGCGGGTGCCGCATTCCTTCCACCATATCCGGGTTGACCGTATCCAGGAACAGGTGCACGAGTGGTTGGGGGCGTGTTGCCTCCACCCCCGTATCTCGGTATGCCTTCGGGGCCATAGTTTCCTGGTTGACTAGAGCCTATTGAGTAGGCGGGATATGGTTCCTGGCCATATGCGCCGGATGAAACGGGAGTCACGCCATGCCGTCCCTGGACGTTTCTGGGGTCGCGTAGGTCCCGGGGATCCCGGACATCGCGGGCGTGGATGTCGCGCGGGTCGATTTCACGATGGCGAGGGACTGCCTCGTGTGCATAGTCCTGGGTGTCGACGTCCATAGAATCGCCGTAGTCGGCCTCCTGGCGGCCTTTCATCTCGGCATAGGACACTGATACCAAAGCATTAGATCCATCCCATGGGGGAATACGATTAGAATCAGGCGTACCCGTGCTCCGCCCTTGCCTGTTTCTACGGTCCTGGTCTTGACGCCAACGAGCGCTGTCCCTCTTCAAATCATCAATCATGGCCTGCTTATGTTAGTAGCCGACTCAAAGGGGCTTAACTTTGTCCAATTGTAGTCCACGTACGGAGGTTAGGGCACGATAGGCTCGGACAAGGAAGCCAGTCCGGCCATCCTTGTTGGTAAACGGGCTGTCGAATGCTGTTAGATATCGTTGCTGCCAAGACGGAATGGAGCAGGGGAGACTCGTTCACTGCCTATAGTGTTGAAAGGAGAAGAGTCCTGTGGTGTGTCTTTCTTACCGAACAGTTGCATCATTGCCCAGATACCGGCAGATCTCGTGCTGGATGACCTCTCTGTCACTGTTGTCGAAGAGAAGGTCCAGTCAGTACTCGGGTTCCTAAGTTTGGACTGCTCGACAGGATCCGGGGCGACTCACATGCCAGCTCCGGGAACAAAATAATCGTTGTATCTATTTGATCGATGGTCCTCATCCATGTAGTGTTCCCTGGGATCGACGACTTCACGGGCAGCTGATCTCCTGGGAGGTGGAATATCCGGTTCTGTGTCCATCCGGTCATCTCTTGGATTGGAGTATCTCGGAGCAGTTTCTCTGGAGTAGACGTCGGCGGTCCGGGCATCTCTGGGATCAACCATTCTTGTCGGCTTGTGATCATCATAGTAGGTGGGCTCATCCCGTGCCCTCGAGACTACACCGCCGCCGTGACGGTCAGGTCGGGGCTCTAACCTGGCAGCAGCGTTGGCTCCTCGGGGGTCACCCATAGTTCTTGAGGCAGACATCAGACGGGAATCGACTATTTCCATGGGTTCTTGCGTGCGGGAGGCGCCTCGGGGGTCTCTCGGGTCCTCAATAACTCTGGTTCTTTCTCTTGTTTCCACTCTGGCAGGAGCGTGGCGGTCTTCTCTGACTTCTCGACGAACAGTCGCAGCCCTGGGGTCCTCACGCCTTCCGTAGTCATCTTCGTAACGTGGCATGGTGGGCAAGTGGGATATATGTGCGTTGTCACGTCTCGGCTTAGTGCGATCGGGCAGCAAGTCGGGCCTGGAGCAAATGGCAAAGGAACGAGTAGCAAGGCCAACCCGGCAATCCAATGAGTGGTCTGTGTCCGGCTGGAGATCCTGGGACGATCCTGTGGTAGTGGTGGTGGGGCTGTAAGACCTGTTTCTGGTCTGCGGTCAGATAAATGTGTGGCCTAATCCCGGTAGAGCTGGTGGGTGATGGAATCCCAGGCAAGGACCGAAACGTGCGCGGAAGGATGAAGGAGAGTCAGTTGTGACTCGGACAAGCAATTGATGAGGAGGGAGAGATGCTGAGGCGGAGTGGGCGCACGCAATGAACAGCGATGCGACTCCAGGCTTTGGGTGCCAACCAGAGTTTTAGCGAGCCAATGGGCTTACCGCCGTGACGGTCTTAGGCAGCAGCCACCCACGAAGCCGGGCAGCACGTCTGCAATCGATAATGGCTATCGCTACCGATTAACTGCACGGCTAGTGCTGAATGGCGATACAAGAATGGCAGCAATGCTGATGAAATGTCTCCTACTTTTTTTCAACGATGCTCACGAAATACAGCACTCCGTACGGAGTCCTGATGGACCCCAACGGAGATGGATGGAAGGCAAAAAGACTAGGCAGGGTGGCACAGGGGGGACAGAGGGCCGGACGCTCAGGCCGCAGGCGACGAAACGGCGCTTTCTCTGGCGGCGATCGCGCCGATCTCCACAGCAAGATTCTTGAGCCTTAGTTAAGCCCTAGACGGCACCCAGTACCGCGGGTGGGTGTCAGTGCGCAGCGACGCCGAACCACAACACTTGAGCAGCTCAGTTTAACAAACCAACATGAACGCCTTGAGTGACCTGTCCCGCTCATAAGCTGTCGCACAAGTCTTATTCGGCTTGTTTACATCGGCGTTTTGAGAGCCCTGCTTGGCTCCGGGTCTCCGGCGCGTCCTGCTGTCAATTACCCGCTGAGACCATGACAGTGTAGCCAACAGAGACAGCCCTTGTGGCAATCATGGGCTGGAATCCTGGCCCGACAACGCTGACAACGTCTAAGTGGATCAGCGACAGCCGCCACTAGACGATGCCATGCAGCAGGTGATTCGGCTTGTCCTCCCCTGACAGGTTGGCCGGCTTGGAGCGTTGGGCACAAACTGCTACCCAACAGCTAATCCTAGGCCACCAAAAATCCCCATGTGCCTTTTCCAACAACCGGTCGATGCAAAGCCCTGGACTAGCTCGGGCATCCTCGCTTCGATGGCGTCTTTCGTCAACTCATTCGCTCTGCGCCGACGAAGCGAATGCCGAACCCTGAGGTACATCTTTGCTAATGCATTGTACAAGCTGCCCAAGTACCAGATGCTTGTCGCCGGTCTCAAAATCTCATCATCACATCGGCTGATGATACTACGCGCGGCCATGATCAACACGATTACAGGACCTTGTATCAAGTCAACGCGACAACTCCCAACATCTGGTCAAGAGTAAACAGCAATGCTGTAACAAAAAGTGACTTAGCGACCAAGGTGCCAACCCACACCGAGATTGAGCTGGCTTTACCATTGATTCTCATTCGTGCACCGTCCCACTCTACACACCGCCAACAATGTGGCTTGAATGACCGGCTCATGCATAGATCAAAGAATACTGCATACGAGGACGCCGCTGCCAATAGTCCAAGCTAACCAACCGTCCGGGGTGGTTATCCCTTCATAGCTTGGACCTGGCGTCTATTGCAGCGACGCGGAAGCCGGTTCGAGGGAAATGAAGACGGACGCCATTCCCCGCTGCAATGACCACTTCATCGTCGTCCAAGCCGATCAATGACCCGCGGTCACGTTGGCGGAAGCCAGAATCGGTAGGCCACACCTCTACTTCTTGCCCCTTGGTCAACCCAAGAGGGTCCGTTGCGTTCACACCTATGTCCTGTCCTGCGAACTTCGCGTCAAGTACCCGTTTTGCAGCCACGTCTCCTTTCAAGGCCGTCGGCTTTGGCGCCCTTTTCTTCGCGTCGTTGCAGGCGCGATCGAAGCGGTCGATCCAGGCGAACACCTTGGGATAGTGCTTCGGGGAGATGACATCTGACGGCAGCGCTCCTTTGAGGCCCTTCATCCAGTGAAACACCCAGACCGCTGGTTCTGCGTCAGCACTGACTCGCCATGGTTGGCCGTTGGGCAGCAACACTTACCTTCGATATCGGCTAGCGAAGGCTTGTCCGTCTTCAGAACCCATTCTCTATTATCCGCCAACAGCGTCGTCTCAAGGAACTTGAAGCTGTTCCTTATGGCAGCGACTGCCTCGGGCCTATTGGCATCGACGACCTCCTTGCTCCACGGCCGCCCAGAGAAATTCTCTCTGTCTTTCTGGAATTTGACGTCCTTGACAATTGGCGTATCAGACGGGATCAGCTGCGAGCCTCTGACGAACACCCCGGCTTCGATCTTCCACACTTCGAGCAGTTTCTGCATCGCCCGTTGGTCGGCGTCTGTAGCCCCCAACGCACCGTCCGGGAATAACTCCTCCAGCTTCCTGATAATGATGCGCGTGTCACAGTAGACGTCCTTGCCAATGGCGCAAATCGGTATCCGCCGATAGTTGACGCCGATAGCCTCCAAATCCGGCCGGGGCATGATGGGAGGTTGTTTCTGTCCATTGATCAGCGCCGCAACATCCAAGTCCCTAGCAACTCACGCATTCAGCATAGTCGATGCCACGCAGCGCCAGATACCAGATCACCCGGCGGGCGTAGGGCGAGAAGCTGTAATGATACAGCACGATGCCATTATTCGCGGCGTCAGTCATGGTCGTCACTTCAGCTATTCGAAAGTCCGCAGAAGCAAAGGTAAAGAAGTGTCAGTCAAACACTACCGCCAGCTCAAGCTCGGTTGTTGTCTTTATATCTCCCTACTCCCTTTTGCTGCGACGTCTAGTTACAAGAGAACAAGGGCGCGTGCTCTACCGACGTAAAGGGCTTCGTATCTCGAGGCACCACCGAGAAGATGCCTCGGCTGCCGAGCCACAGCAGGGGTTCACACGTTTCTGCGCGGGGAAAGGCCATTGCCGTTGCGGGCCAGCCAATCAGAGAGAGGAGCTCAGTCGTTGGTACTGCATTTCCGACTTTGCGGCAGCCTTGTCACGCTTCCTTCATATACCAGATGCCTCGTTGCAGACCTGGACGGTCTAATGACTTTCGGGGTATGGCTGTAGACTTGTATTCTCTGGAAGTATAAGGTAAGTACTATCAACCTCCGACCAATTCGATCAGCTGGCTGATCCAGCCAACGATTCCGCGGCCACCAAGCACGCTGACATCTCCTCCGCCATGAGTCCGCCAGATTGCAGGCTGACCTGAGCCCATCTATTGTGCATGCTCGCAAGTTCAGGTTTCTTCATGCCTCACGTGGCCCATTCTGCGGTGGAACAAACCGCTGCCGCCGCGGCTGCAATGCTGCAAATGCCTTGAACGGATCTCCAGGTAGGTCTTGAGAGGATATATGCATGGTTGAGGATCTAGATGCGCCTAACTAGCACGACGCCGTCGCTATGTACCTGTGTAGAGGAATTCCCACGAAATCACCACCCAAGTCTTCTTCTTCTTCACAAGCGTGAACCTCGCTTCGTAAAGTCCCCGCTCAAATCACGCCAACCGTAGTCTCCGTCCCGGCCATAGGCACATACGTCCTCTTCGCCTCGTCCAAAATCTCCTCGAAGCGCCTGGCGCCCTCGTATCTGCCCTGCCGCCAGCCATGCGACCACTGGTCCTTGGCCGTCCTTGGGTATGCATCTCCATTGTACCCACAGCCATATCCTCCTCCTCTTCCTTCCCCCTGACTATCAGCGTGACCATCCTCATCTTCATCACCACACCAATCCTCCCCCCGCACTCCCCACCACCACCTCGAGCACTCCCATACTCCCTCCCCATTCCCCTCCTCCTCGGCCTCCTCCCCACACAGCCAACTCCACTTCTTCAAAAACCAGCCTTTAGCCTCCCAACTTCGCGTGTCCCACGCCACCTGGCCCTGCGCGCCTCTGACGTCGGTCCGTCCCCTTTTCCCACCCCGCGTATTGCACGTTCCCGCGGGTGTGCTGCCGCCCCAGCACACCAAGCCGCCATGCATGAGGTCGAGGAAGAACTCCACATGGTCCAAACGGCCCTCGACGCTGGCGCGCACGGCGCGCTCGCGCATGGTGGGGAACACGATGCAGTCGAGGTAGCTGGGGTGGGCGTGGAGGTACTGCACCGGCCGGGGGCGCAGCGCGGGAGGGATCATGACGGCGTGGCTGGAGAAGAGGCTGTGGGCTGAGGGGTCGTTGGCGGGGGGGAGACAGGTCGGCGGCATGGTGGCTGTGATGGTGAGGAAGCAGGTGGGGAATTGGGAGGGGTGGTCTTCGAGGTAGTGGGTGCGGGAGATGCCGAGGGAGAGGGCGATCGCGAGGGACGCGGTGAGGGGGGATTCGGCGGCGAGGTGGAGGTTGTTGAGGTGTGGGGAGGGGAGGCTGGATTGGGACTGGGAGTGGGGAATTGTGTCGGAGCCGTAGCTGTCGCGCTGGTGTTGGATGTCGAGGAGTTGTCGTTGTCGCTTGTAAGCGTAGGGCCGTGAGAGGATGGTCAAGGAGCCGGACATGTAGTCTCCGGAGACTGGGGGTATGTATGGCTGGGAAGGGTCGGAGGGAGGTATTGGCCAGTAGTTGTCTTGATAGTCTAAGGCTGGCTCGGGGTCTGGCAGAAATGATGGAGTACTGTGGTGAATTGGAAGAGTGGCTGCGAAGGTTGGTGGCGAAGGAGCGATTTGCAATGGCATGTAGTCAAGCGTGCACAGCTCGTTGGTAACGGGAATGTCGCCGTTGAGCTGGAAGATCTCGTTGAAGTTGATGATGTTCTGTGTTGGTAGTGGTGCATAGGATTCCTCGCTCTCGGGTTTGGGTTCAGGGGACCTGGACATTTGGATAGAAGGAGGCACAGAACGCGGTATTTCCTTCTTTGCGCGGCCTTTCGCTGCTGCGCTGTCGAGTCCTGTCGAAGCGACCTGGTCCTCCAACACTTCGAGCCGCTTCTTCTGCTTCTCCCGATAGACCTTCTGCGCTCGTCGATTCTGCTCTCGGCGCCTATCTGTCATTACACGCACATACGGCTTTTTAACCTGGGGTTGCTGTTCATCTCGGGCACAACGGCTATCGGCTGACGACATGAATTGTTGGGCCATGTCCACTCGAGTTTGCGTCACAGCTCTGGTGTTCATCTGAGGCTTGCTGGTAGGCTGACTGCGATATAAATGCTTATATAAAAAGCGTAGCGACGATCATGCTCCAGGATTGGAAGGTGGTTCCTGGGGCTGTGATAGACCAATAGCAGGTGGTGGTCTAGGCTACCTGGGGCGGAGAGGAGCACCGTAGGGCAGGAGCATGCCGCAAAGGTAGCGAGAGTCGTTGTTTAGGTCATCATGGAGGAGAATCGAAGTTGAGATGGGGAATTTGCGACGTCGTCCGAGACCCCGTAAGCCAAAAATCGACATGCATAGGCAATTCTTGAGTCCACTAGCTAAGCACGCTTCTGGTATTCCGGAACACGGCAACACCGCCGACCTACAACGTTGAATGGAAGCTTAGTCACACCCCTAATTGATTCGTATTAGATACTAGCTCTCAGCTAGGGTATCGAAGGACATCAGTGGTTCACCCAGTGTTGGCAGTGTAGCTGGGAAGGCGTCTGTGTCGGTTGTCTGGGGGCTGAATGGCGGGTCTGCGTCAAAGCCGCGTCCATCTATTCATTCGGACAGGACCGGACCAACCATAGCATCGGGCGGATGCCTCTTGGAGGAGACCATGTCAAATAGTAGCAGCATCTCTGAGTAATACACGATGAGATGGCTGTTTCAAACAAGCTCCGTTCTTTATTACCATTCGTGATTCAAGTAAGTACTCTCGCTAGCTAGACCGTGGTACAAAGATAGACATGACAGGGGTTGGGTCGAGTGGGTAACGCAGATCAACCCAATGTCAGCCTCCAGTCAAAGTTCCTTTCCAGGCCTGTATGCCCTTCAGAAGCTTGTCTCTGTTCTACTTCCTTCTTGACCGCCGCGCTTTCGCAACGAGCTGAGATGGTGTGCTCATTCGCGTCCTTGTGATGGTGGAACAGGCCGCGCCGTGAAGGGCCAGCTTGGATGCGAGGTACACGAGAGTCGCAATACCTACTGTTTCAAATCAACATGCACTTTTGCGTATGTAACATGGATCATTACGTTCGTACAACGGCGTGAACTCTTCTCCGCCTTCGATGCTGTGCGCCTCTTCCACCATTTGAGCTTGAAACGCCGGTTCGTAATAACAGCTTGCCGCGCCTCGTGCGTCTCACCATGACCCGCGATACAGTAGAGCGTACCTCTGTTAGCCATTTCGGAGCCGAGAGGCCTCGTACTTTCCTTCCTGTGAACCATGGACTTAATCAATGGAGGGCCACGCCATAGCAATGCTTGAAAGCCCTGGAGTCCAATCCTGCTCTCTATCAGCCAAACCATCCAAAGGGTATCTCCGCGACCGTCCCAAAATGCGAGATTGAAAATAAATATCATGCCGCCAAACACGGTTCCTGTGGCTTCTGCGCTCGCTGCGACGTCCGCCAGATGAGCTGCGGTCGACGCTACCGACCCAACAGTTGGGCGTTGAAGCTCTCATTCTGATCATGTCAGCCGTGACTGCTGGTGGGCGTCGCTGCTAGAAACCTACCTTGCGTCGCTTCTTCCGGTTGCCATCATCACTGCCGTACTCCCCGTCGGGCGAGGCATCTTCCGGCTCAGAATAGCCCTCCCCATACCCGATGAAGCTATCGTCCCCATAGCTTCGCTTTTTGCCTCTCGTCTGGCGTTTTAATTCAGCAGCACTTTGTGGGGCGGGCCTCATCAGGCCATTCGGTCGTTGTGCAGCTGCTTGAGCAGATGCCATCGCCAATGGAGCAGCTGTTTTCTTTTCGTGGCCGAGCACGTCATCCCATTTGGCTTCATTCCGCACTCGACCAGGCTGCATCTGCATAGCCTTGCGTAGCTTGGATCTGAAGTCATCTGTGACCTTGATCTCACGTTTCGGGTTCGCGGCCTCCCACTCCTCGGTGTTCTGGAGGTAAGTTCCCCTGGTTTCGGAAGTGAAGCTACCGATAGACGCACGCATGGAAGGCTCGTTGGGTTTCTCCTGTTTGAGCTTCACCGCCTTGTTCCTTCCAGCGAGCTGAAAGTCCTTAATCTGGCCTTCGTAAGATTTGCGGAGCTTGTTAATTTTCTCCTGTGTGAAAGGATCCTGGCGCGCCACACTTCGTTGTAGCGATCCCAGCCCATAGATCGATAGCAGGTGCGTCTGAACGTCAGGTTTCTGTGGCTCGACCCCTAAGATACGATGTTAATACACGCGGCAGATTATGGCAGATCGGACAGGGTGAGCCTTACTGGACCGGCAAGAAAGATATGGTTCGCCAATATCCTTGTCGAGCTCGTCCAGGTCGGGGTCGCCCGCGCTATCTTGCATTTCGATGTCACCCAATCTAGGGCTGGTACCCTCATCCTCCTTCTTTGACCGCCGCTCATGGTTAGTGGGCAACATAGACTCATCCAAATCCATCGCCTCTCCTATCCGCTGACGTTTGTCACGATGTTCATCTCGTTCCATCATGTTAGATGTGTGGTGCTCGGAATGACTACTGCTTGGGGTTGAATAAGGCTGGCTGTTGCGTTGTGTGGAGGGCCGAGTATATGACGATGCTGATGAGGGAGACCGGGGCGATGAACGCGACGCCGCCTCATCCATGTGCGATGTGTGGGTACCATGGGAAACATAGCTTTTGGTAGCGACTGACATATATTTCGGGGATGGAGGCAGCTTTGGCGAGGTCTCAGAGGCTCGCCGCCGCTTGACACCTGTCTCGGGAGGGGAGGATGGCGACAGCGGAATTTTGGGCGGATACTGCGTCGCGGACATCTAAAGACCATGCAGCTAGGTGCCAGACACGTCGCCTGCGCGCTCGTAAGGGCGGCGACGTATGATTCACCGACAGCGCAAGCGGTACTCAGTAACGTGAGGGTTGGAAGGCCGTGGGGCTAGGGTGGTGAAAGATCGGATGTTGGGCTGTCGGCGGCGGGGTTACGGGATCGCGTCGCTCGGGTGGTCGCAGGTCGCAGGTCGCCGCGGAGTGCTCACAGCAGAAGAGAATGTCGCTATCTGCAGTAGATGAGATGCTGTTGGCTGAGGATGATGCGCGGGAGAACAAAGAGAGAGAGGAAGAACGCATGAACTCACTCGTCACGGCCACGGCGACGGCCGTTTCTTGGCGGAGGCCCCGTTGCTGGCCAGCCAATCAGGCCTGAAACTTCTTGCCGTGTCGCTTAACCTGAATCAATGTGGCACGAGATTGATTACTCTCAAGCAAGAGAAGATGTCGATGTTTCCAAGAGCGCACTGTCCCCATAGCTCACGTCCCTATTGATCTCCAGACCTTTGTAGAATCTCCGGACGTAGGTATGCTGGGGCTGTAAGGGAGGGAGATTGCCACCAGCAGCGCGCCCAAGAAAAGCAATTCTGCACAAAGAGATCGAAGTGTTTTGGTCTGGTCTATTAACATGAAATACTCTCGGCCTACTGTTCCCAGTCGTTGTGGCCTGTCCTACGCCCGCAGGCCCATCTATGCAGAAACCTTCAACGCGTCCAAAACTCTCGCTGAAACGCCCCAGAAATGCTTTTAGAAGGTATCTCGGCACCGTCACATCATGAAAGGCTCATCAGTCATACCGTCGTCTACTGAGTCTGACACTGGGCTCCTTGAGCACCTTCGTCATCATCTTCCCAGGCGCCGCGACCCTCCTCACCACCAATCTCCTCGATATCCGCCTCTTCGTAGTCGCGTGCATCAACGATGTCGGTCTCGATAGCAGGCAGAGGACCAGGCAGCATCTTCTTCATAGCCTCGACGGTCTTAGGGTCACTGAAGAAGCCATCCTCGGGGAACTCTACCTCGACAATCAAGTAGAGATCGCCCTTGGCGTCAGAGCGTTTGAGTGGCATTCCTTCTCCGGGAATCTTCAGCACATCTTGAGGTCGGAGGATCTTGCCTTCTTGAATGGGGTGGTTGAGCTCGATGCCACGACCATCAAGATGCTTCACGACCACTCTGTTGAAGCCGAAGAGACTCTCGGCTAGAGTGATGTCGAGTTTCGCGCTCAGGTCGTTGCCGGTGCGTTGGAAGTTGTCGTCAGGCAATTCAACCAAATGGAAGACGATATCGCCCGTTACCTCGGCGCCTGGCACCTGATCTGCCTCGCCCTCAAGTCTAATTTGGTCGCCCTCCTTGGATCCCGGCGGAATGTACAGCTCGAGTTGCTTCTTTTCCTCCGTGGTCTTCTTGCCTTTGCACTTCTTGCACTTGTCCTTGGCGTCCCAGATTTCTCCGGAGCCTTCGCAGGCACCGCAAGGAACCATGCGTTGAGTCAGCATGCCCGGACCGACTTGGCTGACCACTTGTCGAACACCTTGACCTTTGCAGGTCGCACACTGCGATGCCTTTGCACCGTCTTTACCACCGCTGCCACTGCATTTGGAACATAGGACTTGCTTAGTCGATGTGAATTTGACAGTCTTGCCCTTGTACAAATCTTCGAGGCTGATTTCATATTTCTGGTTCTCATCTGGCGACCGCCTCATCTTCTGACGCCCACCACCCATGCCTGGAAAGGCGCCGCCCATGCCCGGGATACCCCCTCCCATGCCGAACATGTTCAAGATGTCCTCCATGTTGACATCCATGCCAGCACCAGCACCTCCACCTTCAAAGGCAGCCATGCCGTGGGCGTCGTAGAGTTGACGCTTCTGGTCATCGGAGAGGATCTCATAGGCTTGACCGGCAGCCTTGAATTGGTGCTCGGCCTCTTCGCGCTCATCGGGAGCGGCTTTATCGGGATGGTACTTCAGAGCAGCTTTGTGATAAGCCTTCTTGATTTCGTTCTTTGAGGCATCTTTGGACACGCCGAGAATTTCGTAGAGATCGATCTGAGGTGAATCGCCAGGCGTCGATGTGCCATTTGCGCCATCCATGATAGGCGGTCGGTTGTGGCTGAGGGAGCGCTGAGTTATTGAGAATGTGTTCAGAGATGGACGAAGAGGTTGCTCGGAGACAGCAAATGGTGTCAGTTGCAAACGATGCTAGAAAGCACGGCCGTGTTCCTTTGCACAAAAGATTCGGTAGGAAATGAGCAAGCGGGTTTGATAATCGTAGGGCTGCAGAAGAGACGAGACTAAGTTGAAAGTATGCGTAGGCGCCCAGGCGGGCCAAACTCTTCACCATGCGCAGAGCCTTGCACTGCTGGGTTTCCACCAATCAGCTGTAACACTTTCTCGTCCGCAGGTATCTTCTAGAAGTCACTGGCATCGACAACTTCTCGTGTCTAGTGTAGCCGAATCATTCCGTCGCCTTCCTACGCTTGAGTGTGTCTCTCTATGCAGCCTGTGACGCGCATTGGTGCTAGGTTTACGACCTGGACATGCAAATCGTGTCGTGATGCCCTGCGAGGACAGCACCATGCGGCGCGACCGAACGTGCCATCAAGATTCTTCGCTTCGACCCGGAAATTGAATCGCGGCAACCTGCCTGACTCCCCTGCTCGAACACGGTTCGCACCGAGCCCGACTGGAAATCTGCATCTGGGGTCTATCCGGACTGCTTTGTTCAACTATCTCCTAGCCCGCAAGACGAAGGGTCAGTTCCTGCTCCGTCTTGAGGACACGGATCAAAAGAGGACAATACCGGGTGCTGAAGAGAGGCTGTACCGAGATCTTCAGTGGGCTGGCTTAGAATGGGATGAAGGTCTGTCTATGGGCCTTGCACAACTACATAGCTAAACCAAGGTAGGTCCAGTAATCAATGGTCCGTATGGACCCTATCGACAATCAGAGCGTCTCTCTTCATACCACGCGCATATCCAGGGCCTGCTCCAAGCGAGTAAAGCATATCGCTGTTTCTGTTCCGCGGAACGTCTCGACGATCTGAATCGACGTAGACATGACAAGGGCCTGAACTTAGGGTACGACCGCAAATGTGCCGACATGCCAGTTGACGAGGCGGAACAGCGTGCCCATTCAGGGGAGGCTCACGTGGTCCGCTTTCGTGCCCCTGAGACCTGGCCTCGCTACCGTGATCTGGTCTACGGGCATACAGGGCATGGGGAGAAAGCGAATAAAAAGCTGTATGTGGATGCACCAGTGTGGGAGGATGCTATTCTGATCAAGTCGGATGGCTTTCCGACCTACCACTGGGCCAATGTCTGTGACGATCATGATATGAGAATCACACACGTTGTTCGAGGGTCAGAGTGGATGGCGTCTACACCCCTACACATCGCCATGTACGCAGCAAAAGAGTGGACGCCACCACTGTATGCTCACGTGCCTCTGCTGGTGGATCAGAATAAGCAGAAGCTCAGCAAACGCAACTTCGACACCGACATAGCGTCTTTCCGCGACAAAGGAATCTTCCCAGAAGCATTGGTGAACTTTGCCGCCTTGCTTGGCTGGTCACACCAGCAGAAAAGCGACATAATGAGTCTGCGTGAACTAGAGCAGTCGTTTGATCTGAAGATTACCAAGGGCAACACTGTCGTATCGTTCGAAAAGCTGCGATTCTTACAGGAGCAACACGGCCGGCGGCGCATCTCTGCTGGGGGCGATTACTTGGAACAATTGATTCGAGATGTCGCGGTGTCCCTGCTGAACAAGGAGGGCGCTGCCAAAATCGCTGCCTTGGTTGGCAAGAGAAATCTTCGGGACGTGGTTGCCAGTATGCTCCACGCGGAGTCATTGGCCTTTTCTTCTCCTTTGGACTTTGCCGAAAAGTGTTCCATCTTCGTCACGCCGCCACGGCGGCCAAAACTCGATATTGAAGATTCGCAGCTAGTGAAGGAGCTCCATATTGCCGCCTCAACGCTACTGTTTGTCCCTGAAAGCCAGTGGACACAGGCTACCCATTCTGAGAACTTGAAGGACATGGATTTCCATGGCCCCGATGCAGACCCCAAAAGCAAGAAGAAATGGAAGGGGCAATTGTATCACTACCTGCGCTGGGCGCTGCTGGGAGGTGTTCCCGGCCCCAACATTCCTCAGACCATGGAAATACTCGGTCGGCCTATCTGTGTCGACCGCATTCAACGGGCAATATCGGAATCATCTCAGGAGTCCAAGCAACGAGAGAACATGTCCACTCGACCACAGATTCTCAAAACTGCAACGGACGCCTCTACCTGGTCAGCCATCAAATCAGAGGCCACTGCCAAATCTTAAACAGACGCTATTGGACATGGCAGTGTTCCGCCGTCCCCGGGTCGCGAAGAACGGCTGCAGTCTTCGTGGAGGATGGCCCACCAGGAGTCGATAAAACTGGCGGGCAGGCTCCGCAGACTCACCGAAAGACACTCAAAAAGCCACTGCTGTGACTTCGGGAAGCATGCTTGTCAATTGTGTTCAACCCTGGTGGCGCCTCTGCCGCGTCGCCTTGCACCAGCGTGGTCAGCATAATCTATTAGCGAGCCACCTCACGAGGATTGTTCGGCAGATGTACATTAGTGGTGTGAGCATGAAGCTCGTTAGTTGTGTGCGACCGACTGCCTAATTGGCTGCAGGACGCAGTGATATGTACGGATAGGCTATCTCTCCAAAGTTCCCAGGCATGCATACTCCGTAAGGTACTTCCGTACGGCGCACGCACGGAACCGGTCTTCCCGTTGGGCAGGGATGGGAGAACCTTCTGTTGTTCTAGTGTCCTTCTGGAATGTTTCCAAAAGCCTTCCTCATTTCTCCGATGGACAAGTCATAGACGTGAGACTGCAGCCCGGCGCTTCTTCGTGGACAGGGAGGGTTAGGTTACATCGTCACTGCGGCGACTTGCCAGCCCAGCTGATCGACCACCGACTCTACCCCCCGCAACAATCTACACTTCTTACCGGACCAATCCAGTCTACAGCTACCCCTTCACGCCAAGCTTCCAAGACTTTCCCATTTCTCTTGTTTCCGTGCTTAGTGGACTCTTGGTGGACTCTTGAATGTGCCCAGAGGTCGCCACAACATGGGCACCCCGCGGTGATAGGTCCATGCGTGCGCTTCCGTTGTCAACACTTCCCATCGTCGCAGATGGCTGCGTCTTGGCTGACATGCACCTCCTCTCCGGTCACTAGCCGCTGCTGTTGCACCCTGGCGCCGCCCACCAAGCAACAAGAAGCACTCGGAAGTCACACGGCACATGAGCAGACTTGATGCACCTCGTACGTCACGCAGCATCGTCACTATCTGTCGTGTTTGCGCGCCAGACTGCCTGCGGAAAGCGTGTGCTGCGATCGCAAAAGCGTCCTTGAGCGGGTGTAGCGATAACATGGTGAGGACGTGCAGTACGGAGCACACGGTAAGAGGGCCTGGCGTAAGGTCGGAATCCACCCCAATATTCGCCTAACTGTTCGCCCTATCGAGCGACCCTGTCAATGCCCTGATTGTGGGAAAAGGCGGCAGAACCTTCTGTGCCTCCATCGTTAGCGAGGCGAGCCACCGTATGATCAACATCGAGCTCTGCCTATCTCAGTCTTCCCGATAGGAGCTCGTGGGATCCATGCATCGGGTGTATCGAAGTCTCTGGGGTGGATCTGCAACTATGGGGTATGTGATGCTGTCGACCACACGAAAACAGTGTGTTCTCTAGTCGCATCCGTGGCCGATTACCAACACGGACGGCTACGGTACCGTGTTGCCCACGACCTGCCCCATACCCCATCTTGCGCTCCGCGCAGTCTATAAAGACCCTGCTGCAACCCTCATTTCAGCAACTACTTCCTCGTCGACAGCTCTTGTTGCCTCCCACCATACATCACGACCAGCCGTACGCCGAGCCAGGAGGTCGTAGACTTTTGCCTTGACTCTTTCTCTTGTCCACTCTTGACGTATTCCAAGCCTTTGGATAAGCCTCCGCCTCTCCCGTCAGCCAAGCGCCATGCCTGAAGTCGGAGAAGTAGCTGATCCTTGGCCCCGCGGTACCCTCGCGACCGCCAAGCAGGGCGTTCGTGACCTGTTTCGCTGGAAGCAGCGTACCCAAATCACCAACGACTTTGGCGAGTCGCACTTTGTCTGGCAGAATCCCGAGCCGCTGCAGAACCCCATCAAGCTCTTCGCCCAATTGTCAGCGAAGGCATGGCTGTTCTTCATCGTTGGTCTGGCTGCTTGGACCGCAGACGCCTTCGATTTCCACTCTCTGTCCATCCAGACCGTGAAACTCGCCAAATACTACGACACTACAAAGACCAATGTCACCACAGCCATTACCCTCACCCTCCTCCTGCGCTCCGTGGGTGCTGCCTTCTTTGGTGTTGCGGGTGACAAATATGGTCGCAAATATCCCATGGTTGTGAACATGATTGTTCTTGGTCTCCTTCAGATCGCAACCATCTATTCCAAAACCTTTAGCCAGTTCCTTGCTGTGCGCTCTCTGTTCGGTCTCTTCATGGGCGGCGTGTATGGAAACGCCATTGCCATGGCTCTCGAGAATTGCCCCGCCAATGCCCGTGGTCTGATGTCCGGAATCCTCCAGCAAGGCTACTCTTTCGGTCGGTCAACACCCCCTCCTAGCCCTTTATATTCCACTAACTTCGCACAGGCTACGTTCTTGCCGCGTGCGTCAATCTCGGAATTGGCGGGTCTACCAACTCCTGGAAGATTATGTTCTGGGTCGGTGCTGGTTTCTCCATCGCCGTTGGCCTGATTCGTCTAGCCTTCCCTGAGTCGCGCCAATTCATCGAAGCGAAGAAAGAAGGTACCAAGAACACCTCAGCTGGCGCTTTCTGGAAGGAGACCAAGACCATGCTGCGCCAGGAGTGGCGCATGTGCGTCTATTGCATCATTCTGATGACCTGGTTCAATTACTACTCCCACACTAGCCAGGACAGCTACACGTAAGCATTACTCTTCCTCAGCCACATATCGGCAATCATGACCCTCCAAATACTGACAATTTCAACTACAGTACATTCATGCTCACGGAGAAAGAGCTCTCCAACGCCCCCGCCACCCGCGCCTCCATCCTCATGAAGACCGGCGCCTGCGTCGGCGGCACCATCATCGGCTACCTCTCCCAATGGATCGGCCGCCGCCGCGCCATGTTCATCAGCGCACTCATGTCCTGCATCCTGGTCCCCGCCTGGATCCTGCCCACGACCGAGCGCTCCCTCTCCGCCTCGGGCTTCTTCATGCAATTCTTCGTGCAGGGCGCCTGGGGCGTCATCCCCATCCATCTGAACGAACTCTCTCCTCCGGCCTTCCGCTCCGGCTTCGTCGGCGTCACCTACCAGATCGGCAACATGATCTCCAGCCCCTCGGCGCAGATCGTCAACGCCTTGTCTGAAAGCCACTTCCTCACCGCGCCCAGCGGCGACCGCGTCGAGGCCTACGGCCCTGTCATGGGCATCGCTACCGTCATCATCGCGCTGGGTATTGCCGTCACTGTCATGCTCGGCCCTGAGCACAAGGGTACGCGCTTCGAGCTGGCCAAGCCCGCTGGCGTCCAGGAGGAGGAGATCCGGCACAAGCTTGGCAGCGATGCTGGGCTCGAGCGCGGTGAGGTGGAGAAGGTGACCACGGGGCAGTTTGAGACTGTCGAGGCTGCGGGCAAGTCTGAGAAGGTTTGAGCGGGATTATTCGTTGGCGGACCTGTGTGGGGTGCAAGTGTCGAAGTTGAGGGCTGAAATTACCTTCCAAGCATCGCAGGCAGTGAAGGTTTTCCTTAAGTTGAGAGGCTCAGCCTGTTGCTCTGTCTGGCTGGAAGTGTAGTGGAAGTGAAACGGATGCCATGATGTGTCTACGATTATATGCTACGTAGGGGTCAAAGGAGTAGTCACGAAATGGACGATCTAGCTGGACTTTGTGTGTTCATGCGCATTCGTGACCATACATCGTGACAGCCTTGAAGACCATACAGATCGTCTAGATCGTACCGTCTATCGAATCCAGGATGGCGAAATGTAGTCTCATTCCATTATTCCCTTCCCGGCTGGCCTCACTTCACGCCGGCTTCTTATCCAACACGGACCTCCACTTCTTGGCCATTTCCATCCCCTGCGCCAGAGTCGCGACCCTGGCATCAATGCCAAACCCCTCTTTATCCAGCTTAGCCAACCTATCCCACAGGTCATCGAGCGGCAACGTAAACGTCTCGATATACTCGTTCTCCTCCAACTCCGGCTTAGGATTCTGGTTCCTGGGGTCGCTCATGTCAACCTCGACGAAGATCATCTTCGTGTTCGTGTTGCAGAAGCCCGGGTCGTTCCACATAATGAAACCTTCTGCGGTTTTGGCATCGCCAGGGATCGTCGCGATGTAGCCGGTCTCCTCCTTCAGCTCGCGGAGGGCGGCGGTTGAAATATCCTCGCCTTCGTCCACCAGGCCGCTTGGGACCTCGATGGTGACTTTGTCAAGTGGCGGGCGGAATTGTTTCTGCAGCAGGAGTGATGGCTGGCCATTCGTGTCGTTCAGTATGGCGATGACACCTACACCGTCGGTGTCGGTGTGTGTTCTCCTTGTCTAGTCGCTTGCTAAGCATTGGTGGCATTTGGGGCTGGCTGGGGATGAGCCCTACCTGTCTTTCCGCCATCTCCCACTGTCGCTCTCCGCCCGTTGGATCTTTGTACGTGATCTTGTTGAGCCTCACCCATTTGGCCTCTTCTGGTTTCTGTAAGCACTCAGCTATATAGTAGAAAAGTGTCGGGTGTAACTGACCATGGGCTCGACCTTTAGGACTTTGGCGTCCAAGGGCGAGTACGTCGACATCTTGTCGGCCATGATGTGATAGAACAGGCGCGGCTTCGAGCGAGGGTGTCTGAACGAAAGCCGGAATGGTGCTGCTCGTATAAGCAAAAGCATTAGCAGAGAAGAGTATTGCAAGAATCCGGTGACGTCGATGAAAGATGTCGCAAGAAACCTCCGGGGGCTATCGGCTTATTGCCGGGTAAGCGATCTGGTACCTGGATTGCCAAACTTCGGGGCGACCCCCCCGCGTGGCTTGAACCCTTGCCCTTCCGAGACCCACTCCGTCGAGAACAGATGTCATTTTGAAGGGCAGCGTGGCAGCATGCGACTACGATTGCCCCTCGAGTGTCTGCTGTCTGCTTCTGCTTCGATGTGCGGCAGGTATGGCAAACGGACAGTCTCCAGGAGGGCACTTCCTCGAAGTCATCAGCCATGGTGCCGACTGGTTTAATTGGAAACTAATCCCTTTCATCCTCATCTGGGCTGCCTCTTCGTTCATCTTGCTTGTGAGTGCTCCTGCTCTATGACCTGCAGGATGATGCTGACCGAAGCCAGCTTATCGTTTTCACACGCTATGTTGTACCGCATCCGCGACCACCTCGACGCAGCGAGAAGACCTTTCGAACCGTTGACCATGTTGGGAAACTGACGGAACCCGCGCCGCTACCGAGCTGGTCTGACGACCTGGCAACGAAGGTAGCAAAGGCGCAAGCGGAAGGCAAAGAGGCACAGCTGGAGCAAGAGATGGAACCTGCCGAAGTCTTCATGACCCTTGTCGTGCCCGCCTACAACGAAGAGAAGCGTCTGACCGGCATGCTGGAAGAAGCAGTCAACTATCTCGAGACCGAGTACGGCACTGCTGCAAAGGCACCGACAGAAAGCGCAAATGGTGGCTTGAAGCAACGAAACATGTCCGGTACAAACGTGCCCCTCCGCGGCTGGGAAGTCCTCCTCGTAGATGATGGCTCAACCGACAAGACGCTCGAGACCTGCACAACCTTCTCATGCAACCACATCCTGCCACCCTTACCGCGCCGGCTCTCAGGCCCGTGGACGCATCGTTCCGAATCCGGCGTCAAAGTGAAGCCATCCTCCATACGCATGATCAAGCTCGAGGAGAACCGTGGCAAAGGTGGCGCCGTTACGCATGGGATGCGGCACGCTCGTGGACAGTACGTTGTCTTTGCCGACGCAGATGGGGCCTCCAAGTTCACCGACGTTGGAAAGCTGGTCTCCGCCTGCGAGAAAGCTGAAGACAATCGTGGTCGTGGCGTGGCCGTGGGCTCTCGCGCACATCTGGTGGGTAGCGAAGCAGTGGTGAAGCGGAGCAAGCTACGAAACTTTCTGATGCACTCGTTCCACCTACTACTGTACCTCATGACGCCGCCTCAGACCGCGAAGATCAGGGATACTCAATGCGGCTTCAAGCTGTTCTCGCGAGCGAGCTTGCCGTACATCGTGCCGCATATGCATACCGAGGGCTGGATCTTTGATGTCGAGATGCTCATGTTGGCGGAATTTGCCGGCATCCCGGTGGTTGAGGTGCCTATTGGGTGGCGAGAGGTAGTGGGAAGCAAGCTTAATGTGATATACGACAGCATTGGCATGGCATATGGGCTGGCCGTGCTAAGGTTATGTTGGGCCATCGGGGTCTTCAAGCGGTAAGGTTGTCAGCACTTGCAAGCGGGAAAATCAAAATCATAGACTTTTGGGCTATAACTGGCAGCCAGGTGGCATTTATTTACTCTACGGTATACTATCAGCCGTTGTTCACAGTACTTGTCTGATATATGGCTGCTATGGCCCCTGGTGTAGGTAGCCTTGCCCATGACGGTGGAGGCTTGGCAGCAGACCGACCTGAGCCAGGACGAAGAACGATCGCGGATCGCATTTGCCCTGCGTCGCGACTAGTATTGCAGTCCCTTTCAATGACTCAGCCGCTGATATAGTCTGTCAATTCCAGTTTGCGTTGGGCAGCGGAAGAGCGAGGCCGAAGTGCTAACCTCCCAACTTATCACCGAGCGAGACCACAAGCTTCTTAGGTGCTAGCACGTGAACACGGTGCAGCACGGTAACGACATCCTGAATCCACAGCATTGCCCATCTTGGCGGTTGTAGCGGCCATCATACCATCCTTGCCTCGAGACTTGGTCAACACATTTGTCTTCTAGCGAAGTTAGGCCGAAGACCGAAGACGGGGCACTGTCAGCCACGGGACAGATTAGCAAGCAGCAGCATGCATATTATCAACTCCGACTTGGCGCTGCTACTATGCGGACGAATGAAATGATCCTGACACGAGTCACCTTGCTGGCGGAGAAAATACACTTCTTCACGGAAGAATTTCAGGGATAGCAGACTCGTAGAGAGGCTGCTGCTTCTGTTCAAAAGGACAGAATCTTGAACTTCGGTGACGAGGTATTCCAGACTCGGTCAACGAGCGATGGACTACAAATACCACAGAGACTCGTCGCGACGAGTTCATACCCGCGAACCATCACCACAGTCACCATCCACATCCTGTTTCTGCAACGGCTCTGGCCTGTCTACTAGTCGTACCTGAACCGCCAGAGCGGATGCCATCAGCTTCCCGGGCCTCCAGAATGGCATACACCTTCACCAAGACCTGGCACACAAAGCCATACCCCTTCATCTCCAGCACGCGGCCCGAGCTCTCCACCAAAGGCAAGAACGTCGTCATTACGGGCGGCGGCAGCGGCATCGGCAAAGCCGTCGCCGTCGCCTTCGCCCAAGCAGGCGCCAAGTCCATCTCTGTTATTGGCAGGCGTGCGGACGTGCTCGCTGCCGCGGAACGCGACATCGCTTCCGCCGCAACGTCAAACGACATCACCATCCTCTCAGCGACGGCGGACCTCGTTGATCGAGAGCAGACTTTCGCGGCGTTTGAGTCTCTGGCGCAGCGTGTGGGCAAGCTCGACGTCCTTGTTGCCAATGTCGGTGCCTACCTGGACTGGGGCCACATGGCCACCTACAGCGCAAGCACGCTCATGAAGTCGCTGGAGCTGAACGTCGTCACGACCCTGCACGCCAGCCAGGCGTTCTTGTCATTTGCTGCTCCGGGCCCGGTGCTGCTGCATACCACGTCGGACATGGCGTGCATGCCGGCCAAGGAGCCCTGGCACGGTTCAGGCGCGTACTCCGTTGGGAAAGCTGCGGCGCTGAAGATGATGGATTACATCGCTGCCGAGAACCCACATGTGCGGGTCGTCAATGTCCAGCCCGGGTGGATCCCGACTGATCTCACGGGGCATACTGAGGCGGCTCCGGATTCTGGTATGTTGTCCCTTCCTCCCTTTCGTTGAGGTGACTGTACTGATGGGCGAAAAGCAACGCTCCCGGGATCTTTCTATGTTTGGCTCGCCTCCGCTGAGGCTGCGTTTCTGAAAGGCAAGGTTGTCTGGGCTAACTGGGACACACACGAGTTGATGCAGATGAAGGAAGATATCGCGGGCTCGGATCAGCTTACCTGGTCTGTCACGGGTGTACCACTATGAGATGGTCTCGAGACTAGAGAATTAATAATGACAGAGTTATACTATTAAGTCATAGTCAGTACTTCGAGCAACCTTACTGCCACTGAACTGGGCAGCAGTCGGTACGATATGAGGGTAAGGTCCAGGATGTGCTCGGTCTGGGCAATTGTCATACGTGCGTGAATCCAGTGTCTGCAGTCCGACACTTTGTTCTTTGGTACGCCTTGACTGTGTAGCCAGATCGCTATCATCTCTGAGACGCATGTTTGTAGCTGCGGAATCCCAATGATAGCATCTCCGTGAATGAAGTCTACACCCGCGATTCTTAGAAGCAGGATCCTCGCTACAATCGGGATTGCGGCCGTATGATGTCTTGGGCAGCGCAAAATGCGGCCGCACACAGGACACTCGCCACATGTGGCGTGCCCGACCTCCTTTCGCCAAACATCGGTGATATAGAATACTCTTCTAACGCTTAGTCAACCCAGTAAGAATACTTCGTTCGGCACACTCAGGCCAGCCGTTTCACCTGTCGCATAAGTAGATTCTCGCCTAAGACTGCTAGTCAAGATGCTGCTAGTGACGCTCAGCAATACGGGATGCCACTCCGTGTGCAAGTACGTACACATGACCAACTTTCTTCGTTATCGATGTCTTACTGTCCTTGAAGCACATATGTAAGACCTGAACCATTCGACTTAGGCCTGACATCCAATATTCTCTTTCGAACGGCTCAAAAATGCCGTCGGCAATTTTCGGCCACAGTACGACTGGCGTCGAGGTCGTGAAGCAATATCCAGCCCAGATAAAAAACAAGACTTTCGTCATCACTGGAACTAGTGAGGGCGGTACTGGTGCAGAGGCCGCCATTGCGCTATCGCACGGATCTCCTGCGCATATCTTCCTCCTTGCGCGGTCTGAGACCAAAGTCACGCCTGTGATTGATCAGATACACTCAACCAGCCCCCAAACGCAGACTCACTACTTCCCAATTGTAAGAGTCACTCGGGATAGTGTGAGAAGAGCCTCAGGACGAATAGGTGTCAACTGTGATTCTCTATGTACAACGATTCAGTACTTGCAGGAGCAAGTCCAGAACCAACACGATCCTCCACGCGAGTCGCGTGGGAGATTGTGTGCCAAGTGTCTTGACCCCTGAGACCTTGGAGTCCTTGGCGATAGAGGGCCGTGGCGCCTCGTTGCCTTGTCTGGCCTCGGCAATCGTGACACCAATACAACTCGACAACTTCGACTCTGTGCGCTACGCTGCAGCTGAGGTCAACAAACTTGTCCCAAGAGTCGACGTTATCATCAATAGTGCTGGGATGATGCACGAAAACTTCTCGTTGAATCCGGATGGAATCGAAACGACATTCGCCGCAAACTATCTGGGGCACTTTTTGCTCACGTCATGCCTGATGCACCGCGTAGCAGGCGTTCGCTCTGATACGAGAGTGGTCAACGTCGCGAGCAATGGACATGGTATTTGTGACTTTCGCGGCATCGACTACAACTTTTAGGCAAGTCTAAGCTAGATCCGAGCCATGAGCCATTGCTAAAGATGGAGTTAAGGATGGAACGTACTATCACAGGTGGGCCGGGTACGGCCAGTCCAAAACGGCACAGATCTTGTTCACGTGCGAGTTGGCTGCCAGAGGGATTCAAGCATACAGTCTACATCCTGGTTTGATCATGGGTACGGGTACAACAGCGTCTCTAGATGCAAGTGAGGGCGAGGTGTGCGCAGAGGTTGCCAGACGCTACACTGGTAAGTCACTGGTCTTAGCGTGCTACTGGAAAACGCTGACAAGTGCTAGGCAACGAGTACACGACCAGCAAGCCAAAGAACGTGCATCAGGGATGTGCGACCGCGTTAGTGGCGGCGCTCGACCCCGGCCTAGCGGCCAAATCTGGAGCCTATCTCGAGGACTGCCAGATAGCTCAAGCGTACAAATATGCTACCGCTCCGCAGAAGGCCTTGGAACTCTGGAAATTGAGTGAGAAACTCATCGGACATGGATTCGACAGTCCCACGGCAAGATAGCAATCTCAGCATGGCGAATCCTGTAGTGGACTGGCCATGTCCATACCCTCGAACCTTCTTCTTCTACACTGAGCAGTTGAGGAAAGCCAAAAGCTTGCTGGTAGGGAGCCAACGAGTCGATGAGTGCTTAAGACTAATGACAGTACTGTACCGGGTATTATGGCCCAGTTCGCCTAAGTTGGGACGGAATTGTACACTGCGTAGCCCAAACCACGTCTGCATTTGGCGGATCTCGGTATATCCTCATTCTGTCGTTGCGTTCTAGGTTGAATTGAAATGGTCCCGGCTGAATCCCAGCGCAGCAATGCGAGTTGCTAGTACGCTGTGTCCCACTGTCTATATGGACGACTTCACGCTCTGACTGACCCTTCTGCTCCCCATGCCAAGCAATCGCATCAAAGGCGCTGCTGTAATCTTCCCGCGCAGTATGATCTACTGCATGCAACCATCTTCCCAGGCCACCAGATTGGAAACGTCTCTCCAGTGCTACTGGACTCCTGGACTGACCCAGCCCAGCCCAGCAGCTACTGCTCTTGCTCTTTTAGTACACACGCATGACTGTATGACTCAGTCACTTCGGACTCGAGACACCTGTCTTTGTAGACTTGCCTGAAGTTGGTCCGTGTAAGATAACGATGGGTATTGTCAATGGCATGAACAAGCAGAGGCGATCTCGACACGGAGGAGATGCGAAGCGAAAATAAGCTTAAATTTAGCGCCTGAAAGATGCTCCCTCGGCTCCACTCAACTGCGGCTCGGAATCGGGCACAATGACGATGGTTCTGCAGGACAACTGTTCTCAACTTGTAAGAACTCAGGCGTCTCTGATATAAGGGCACGCTCGCCCTCTCGCTATACCTGCTTACGCACGAGCGTCCAACACGTGGTTCCACTCTCTACACCATCGTCCAAAAACATGACGCCCCATGTGCACGAAGTCCGGAAGAAGCTTTCCTATCCTCTATATGGAGGGGACTTTGATCCTCTGAACCCCGACTTTCTGCTGGTCGGCGGAGGCGGTGGAGAATCCTCGACTGGAGTGCCCAACCGTATAGTACGTTTGCGATGGAGTCTGGGTCGGACACAAGCGCTAACTCGCATAGTCACTAATCGACACCTCTCGCCGCGATGAGCTTAACGAGATCGCCGAGATCGAGCTTGCGAAAGATGAAGATTCTGTCACCACTCTCGCAGTAGCTTCCTCCAACGAACACGCGCTGACAGCAATCGCCGGAATCAACAGCTCTACCATAGAACAAGAGGCAGGTAGAAATGAACACCTGCGATCCTTCCGCATAGGCCTACCTTCACGAAAGAGAAAGGCCGATGGAAGCCCCGCCGAAAAAGTCGAAACACCACGATCGCCGAGTTCCCAGGCGTTGAGCAAGTCCGCGCTGTTCAGAAGTGCAAACGCTCCCAAGAATGACACGTACCAAAGGGTTCTCCGCGTATGTCGCACAACCTCAAAGAACCAGGCACGTATTGCTGTCATCGCCTCGGGCTTGGCTCCAGAGAATGAAGTTATCACCTTTCAACCAGTCTCAAACGCTGTGACGAGCACCATTGATGAGATCTCGCGTATCAGTCTCGGCAAGTCAGAAGCAGCTGACGCTGATGTTACCGCAGTCGAGGATAACGGCCATTGCCTGGCATACTGTACGGACCATGCAGTCTATCTGCAGCAGCTACCGCGTACCAAAGGGAGCAGGATTGAGGAGCCGGTCAAGGTGTACGAGGTGTCCACTCCCAACAGGAAACCCAAATTTCGAGCCATTCGTTTCATCACTCCCGACCACATCCTACTTCTCCAGAACACCTTCGACCGCTCTGGCGCCTCTCTGATCATCCTTAAACTCAAACCCGAGCTCTCGACCGGCCACATCGCTCTTCGCAAAAGCCTTGCTCGAACCACAAAGTCTGCTGTTGGCCTCGACACCTGTCCTCTATCTCCCAATCCAGCCGGTGAGTTCCAGACCGTCATCGCTGTCTCCTCCCAGGACTCGTCCATCGAACTTCTCACCCTCGACTACCGGCCCAGCTCGGGTATTCGACGCTTCACACCCTACACTTACCTCCCTGCCGTCCACCAGGGTCCTCTGACCCGCATCGTCTTCTCCACCTATCTTCCTCTTCCGAGCCCCATAACGACTGCACCACCGCTCCAAGTCATCCGCCTTGCCTCGGTGGGCGTAGACCAAATAGTCGTAGTTCACACCTTGCCCTTACGACCTGACCCCACCACCTCTCGCACTCCACGCTACGTGCTTACCGCCCCCGGCGCATCAGACACTCTTCAAACCGCCCTCTCCACCACCGTCGCCATACTCATGATCACCCTCGTCGCCCTCCTGATGCAAGCCTTCTGCGAGATCCGCGGCGCCGTTCCCCCCACGCTCCACGCCGCCGACTACCTCCCCAGCGGCCTCAGCGCCGCGATCGTCAAGCCCTATATCGGCGCACACACTCCCTCCAACCTCCCCGAAGCCGCGGCCGCCAGCGTCTCCAGCATCGTCGACGCCATCACGGACGCCCCCAACACCATCCCCACTACGCCCTCGCTCTCCGAGCTCCGAGAGCAGCTGGAGGCTCTGGTGGCGGGCGCGAGCGACACAGCAGGCGAGGCGGCACAGGCGGGCGCCATCATAGTGCGCGACACGGGCACCGAGGTGGCGGCGGAGCTGCGGCACGGCGCGGACGTCGTGCGTGACGAGACGGTGCGTCGCTGGGAGGAGCTGAGCGAGCGGGAGAAGCATGGCTGGAAGGAACGGCTCAAGGGCGCGGGCCACTGGGTCGAGGAGCAGGGCGAGAAGGTCCTCAAGGGGATTCTCTTCTCGCAGCTGGCAGAGGTAGTGGGCGAGGCTGTACGTGGGTAGGGGTTCGCAATGTCGATGTTGGTGGAGGTTGATGGGGCGGAGTTGTTCTGTGGTGAGTGGCGAGTGGCGAGTGGCGGGAACCTGCCGTACGGAGCCGCAGGCGCGACGGCCGGCGCGTCGGCCGATGTTTGGATATGGACCCTGTCCGTGGCAAGAGGGAGGGGAGACAGCAGCGAGGGTAGCAATAGAAACAACAGCGCAAGTCCCTTTTCCAGCACGAAGCAGCAAGCCGCAACAGCGAGTATAGAAAGGGCAGTTCAGTTTTCATTTCATCACATCATTTTTTGGTCTCATTTTTGAGACGAAGCCCACAAAGAGCCATGCCAGACATTGAAACGCTACACACTGCACCGCAGTATATCTTTGTCGGCGCTCATCTCTGTGCCTGTGCCTGTGCCTGTGCTTGTGTTTACGCCTCGCTCTACTCGACGCCTGTCTTCATCGTTCCCCATCATACCCGAACCCCAGAGTCCACGCGTTTCTAGCAATTGTAGTAGGTAGTCATTCAGACGTGGACTCGTTAAGATCGCCCAACCAAACAGATCAAACACCATTAATGACCAATACTATCATTGTTTTTCGCCTGCTCGCCTGCTCGCCTGCTGGCCTGTTTGCCTTGCCTGTTGAACTGCCAAACAAACTCACCCATCGAGACCTGCATTTTGCATTCGCGCTCTCCCAATTCACTTGAATGTCTTGAAGCGATATGCACGTAACCGCTCGGAGCACCCCGTTCCAGTAGAATAGGTATCCAATGCGTCCCAGGCGCCGATACGTGCTGTCCGCTGCGCCATGTCATCAATGCCGTGCCGTGGGATACTGCCTCGCGGTATGTAGGTGGTGCTCGAGTGCGTGCTCCGTCTTTTTCGATCTCTTGACGCTCCGCCCGGACGCTAGCTGTCCTCTCATAGGCGCAGCTGCTAGATGACCGGCCTCTCTCCCATCGTGTCGTCTCTGTCGTGCTTCATGCAGCGTGTAACCCACACCCTCATATTTGCGTCGTAATCAGGCTGATCCCCCCTGTTTCTCTTTCATGCTCACTGCCGACCCTTCTCCCTCCACTTTAATAATTCGCTCAAGCTCGCTAAGCTGCACCCCATCTTCATAAATTCGTTGCGGAGCAATTCATCCGCGCTGGCTCTGCTCCGGACATCCACGCACAAGCACACCGACAGGAACGCCTTTAATTCTCTGCTCAACTTGTTCGGATTCTTCAGCCTTGGCGTGCCGTTCGTTGCGATCAAGAAGAGCGCCTTCAAGGGCTCTTCGTTGAGGTAGGGAGGCTCCGACTCAATCATCTCGATGGCCATAATACCCAGGGACCAGATATCAACCTTGGGTCCATACTCTTTTTGCTTAACAACCTCAGGCGCCATCCAGTACGGCGTGCCAACCATAGTGGCGCGCTTGGATTTGGACTCGGTGAGCTTGGCACAGAAGCCAAAATCAGCTGAAGACGTGGTTAGCATCTAGGTACGAGCTGGATGACGAGGAAAACTTACTGATCTTGACATTGCCCATGCGGTCCAACAGTACATTATCAGACTTGATGTCACGATGAATGATATCCTGAGAATGCAGATGCGCAAGGCCTTTGCATGTCTCGTTGCAGATAGTGGCAATCTGGTCCTCGGTGATGACGGGATTGTTGTCGATGACATCCGTAAGCGCGCCACCTTCCATAAACTCCATGACTACCCACAGTTCGTTGCTCTGCTCCTGCAGGAATGAATCCAAGAAGTTGACAATATTAGGGTGCTTCGAGTCTTTCATGACAATAATTTCGTTGACAATTAGCTCCTTGCGCGGCTGGTTTCGCAGATCCATTTGCTTGATAGCCACCTGGCCTTTGGGACCGTGAGTACGGTAGATTTCGCGCGCGACTTGGGAAGTAGCGCTCTCCTTGACTCTCGCCACATAAACGGAGCCTGACGCACCCTGACCAATTTTCTTTTGTTTGCTGTAGTTCTCCAGGGGGTTGTCCCGGGATACTACTTGCTTAAGCTTCGCCATAACCTCGCCTTCACTCATGCTGGACATTCGAACCTCCTTCTGCCGCTCCTCAGCAGGCTTCTTGGCGCTTAGGGCCGCCTCGGCTTCTTTGCGTGGGTCGGCTTGCGGCTTGGTCGGTGGCTGTTTGGCAACATTAAGGGGCTTCACTTGTTGTACTGGAGGCTGCGTCTTCCCGTTCACGCCGTTTTGCTGGTTCGGTCGCGATGCTGAGTCGTTTCGTGCTCGGCTCTGGTCGGCTTGGTACCTGCTGTTAGGTGACTGCTGCCTGTCTAAGCTGTCATTGCGCACCGCGGGCCCGCCCGGAGAAGAGGATTTGGGGATGGACGTTTGAGATTTGGTGGGCGCCGGGGGAGCCGGCCGCTGTGCTTGCGGTGGCTGCCGAGCACCCTGTTGGGTGCTGGTGGGTGCTCGAGGAGCAGCACGGGCGGGATCGTAGCGTGGGTCCTGCCGGGACTTATCTTGCGGCGTGAAGCCTCCCCCAATCTCTTGTTGGGCGAGTGGCGGTCGCGTCTTGGGAATAGCTGCGTTGTATTCCTCTTGCTCTCGTCGCGTTCGCTCGGCATCTTCTCGTCGTCGTCTGGATTCTTCTTCCTGCTGCCTCTGCATATCGCGCTCCCGCTTGATGCGCTGCTGCTCCTGGTTGGCAATTTCCTTGATCCTGGCAGCATCGGCTTCCATGTCGTAGCTGCTCTTGTCGGTTGTAGACCGCGAGAGTGTTGGTTTGACTGGTGGAGTATTGGAACGGCTGACATTGTCCTGGTACTTGACAAATTGATTTGTGTTGTAACGCTGCGCTTCGGTAGGCGGCGCAGGCCTGGGAGGAGCAATGCCATTTCCGCTTGAGTAGCCTAGTTGCTTGTTTTGTTGCATAGCAGGAGGTGTTGGGATTGAGTTGGGGTAAACTTCGGGCTGCTGCTCGCGCTTCTTGTGCTCGGAGTAGAACTCGAGCACCTCAATGACAGCCTGAGGGTTCTTCTTGTAATCTTCCTTTGTAATGGCGGAGGCGGTGAGCAGCTTCTCCCATTCCTGAGGCAGGCCAACGAAACCACCGGTCTGGGGATCGAAACCAACATGTATGCGGTGGCTAAAGTTTGTAGGGTTACTGACGCCACCCATGCCAGGGCATCGCTCGTAGATCTTGTCAATCCAGTCGTAAATCTCATCATCATTGCGAACTTCGCAGATGACAGTCTTGGTAGGTAGATCGCGGGCGAGTATGGGAGCTTTGGTCTGGCCATCCTTGGAGTTGGCCAGTCTGGTGATTTCGAAAGCCATCCTGGTCGATTCTGACCTGGAAACACCAGTGACATCTTTCAATTGTATGCTTGCCATAAGTTTGCCATTTTCGTTCTTCATGAAATCGAGGCGAAACTCTCGCAAAATCAGGTACCGCTCGTTCCAGCCGGCGAAGATTTTCTCCTCTTTGCAGCGAACCCATCCTTCCTTGATTATAGTGACGGGGCCATTCACCTTTTGGCCTGTGAGGGACAACGTGCTCGTATTGTTGGAGAAGTAACCGGCGCTCGGGGTTGTGACGGCGGGCGATTGCGGTGTTATGGACATAGAATCAAATGTCGAGGTAGGAACGGCGGTTTGAGAGCGCTGCAGATCAAGTCGTGGGCGGTCAGTCGGCGGGCGAGGAGCAGGGCCCGGGTTCATGAACTGATTGCTCGAATAGAAGCTGGACATAGTGAGTGATCGCGCTTGTGTGAAATTTGTGGAGGGGTCTGGAGGGGTTGCCGCGGAGAGGTGGAGGGGCCAGCCTGACTTGGCTAGACATGCAAAGTCCAACTGCAGGTTGTGAGAACAAGACAGCGAAGTAAACGTACCCATTCTGAGGTTCTGAGGCCATGATGGCAAGGCCAGGGTGCGGTTTGGTGACACAAGAGGATGGCTGGGAGCCACAACCAGACGGTCAAGATCTGACAAAGAAGCGCAGTCAGGTGTGCGCTGCCACAGGTGCAGTGGACGAGTACATGAACAGGATGTGAGACGGTACTCGACGTGGCTCAGCGGCAGGCTGCGTACCCCTCCTCGTGACTGGTGTGCTTTCTGTAGACTCGAAGCACGGTAGGTGGCAGACTGGCGGGGCGCAGGCGGTGTAGCAAGACGGGCGAGAACAGGAGAGCGGGTGGTCAAACTCGAAGTCACTCAGCACCGTCGCAGTCTGTTCTAGCAAGACTACACACAGCGACTAGGCGAGGAGAGCGGAATCTAAAAGGAGCAGGGCATTGGGGAGATTGAACATGAAACAGTCGCCAGGAGGGAGTGGTGCCCATCGCGGTTGTCAGAAGTTGACCGACAGCCAATCAGCGCCACTTCATACAGGACTGGGCTGTCCAGTCGCCCAACTCGTTAGCTCTATCAAAGTATGACCAGGGGATCAAAAATTCAGCGACTGGCTGTGATTGCTCAGTTAGGTGTTCAGCAACAGTCATGTTGCATCCTCCACACTATTTGGTGTGTAAGCCTGCAGTGTGGAATATTGAGTGCCTATGTAACCGGTGCTCCCAACGCTCACCCCTAGAAATTGGCTGCTCCGGGGCTACTACTCTCACATTTGTCTTGGGGCTGGCGTGGCTTGGAAGCCCCGAACGACTTCCGCGCCCGAGGCCACCCACAAATGGTAAACCTCCTGGGTTTTTACTCGACTTTCTCCTGAAAGCCCCCCTTTTTTCGCCACCAGGTCGATCACAGGCCCTCTTTCATTGTGAGATGGAACCTTTCGCGCGGATCCTATTGTCTCGTCCTTTGAATAGCGCGCCGACCCGAGGCGCTTCTTGCCCCCGCCCGCTGCTCGCCGCACGCTTACTCGGGAGATACCTGAATGCAAGTGCTTCCTCGCTGCGCTATTCGCCGACGGCCCCTGAACCCCGTCACATAACCGAAATCCACGCTCATTTGAGCCTCTCCTTTGAGCGACATTATTGCTCTGATCCATCGCTTGCGTGTTCCAGCTTCGGGTTGATGTCTTCGCGCTCCTGTTCGATGCATACCTGAACTGGCTATCTCGCTAGCCGCCCGATTGCGGTCAGAGATGACGCCCTTTGCTGCAAACTAATTCCTTAGCTTGGCTCGAAGCCACTTTTTTTATAGACACCCAGTCCCTCGGGATCAGCGACCGCAACTGCTGAGATGGTACAGAGAGCCACAGAGAGCCGTCCATCCTGCAACGAACTTGCATGCCAGTGGCTGAAGTGTGCTCAGAAGCCGATGTTCGAAAGCTTAAGATTTTCTATGCAATGCTCCAGACTGACCACCATAGCCAGTCTACATATCATGGTCTACGAGAACCTGGACGGACCCTTCCGTTGGTCTAGTGCTGCCCATTCTTGCTTCAGCTCGGCATCGGTCTACTGACGATCTTCACTTGGTCGTGGTAAGGCCGGGACCCAGGTCTATATTCCCCACGATGCCCCGGATGGCACAACTCTAAGACTGTTCTGCGATGGCTGCATCTCAATCTATGACCAGGAGGGTTGGAACACAGTTGTTCCTTGAACAAGACAACCGACTGCCTGGGATATCACTACATGGCGCCGTATATACCACTTGTCATTTGCGACACATTACATTCTCGTCGCTCTCGCGGACCGCCTCGGTCGTTGCGTCACTTGCAGGCTGCACGTTTGGGAGCAAATGCATGCCATTCTTGGTAGGCGTACTGACAGGTAAATAGCTTGACGCCCTTTACGAGGCTGACTTTCGTTGGTGGTTCCATGCGAGCCATGGTCCTTGGCTATTCGCCAAGACCAGACCGGTTTGGTGTGCGCTCTAATGAACGTGTGACCAGAATCCGACTTTGATCTTCTCTGTGGCATTTGCGTTGATTCTGAGCTTTGCTGCCGTACCTGCAGTCCGCTGAAATCCAGTTACACATCAGTACAGCCCTCACGCCCGAAAGTTCCCCACATCCGAGTGGCTAGGAAGCTGTGACATCTCACAACAACTCAGCCTTGTCAACCTGGCGAGTCTAGCTGCGATCTCGAGCTCCAGAGACTTCCGCGGAAGCATACAAGACACTCCCGGTCGTCATGTCGTGCGACGATTCGGAGCAACAGTCGCAAAGCATGTCCCAGGCCAACACGAGCAGTGGGCCCGATCGTCCTGGTACTCGAGTACTTCTACAGTGGCGCAGCAAAGTTCACAGAGAACGACTGACCTCCAAATTTGGCTGGACTACGCGCTCGCTTGATAGCACTTCACCATTCCCTGTCTGCGACATCTTTTTCGGGTCGCGAACAATAGTGACGGCGAGGCTGTTCTGTCAGGGGTGCATATTTGTCTTTGCTGTTATCATGTATTTCTATTTATTGGTTAACTGGTACCTGCCAGCTTTCGTATCTCTGGATGTTTGGGTCCTCGAACGCTTGAATGTGTACGGGTTTGCTGGCGTGAATTTTCCCACCTTGAAGCAGATCTGGTCTTCACACAAATATCCTCAACGATCCTGGGTACGTTATGCGGTTGAATATGCAGATCAACTGACAATATGACAGGAACTATACACGAGATTGATAACATTCATCTTTCATCGCCTAGGCCATCCACGAGGCTCCAGTTTTATTTGGTGGTTTGTGTATCTTCCAGTCTCAGACCTACCAACGTTTGAGCAGAACTTTCTCAATGCCTGGAGTCTGCAGGTTAGCCACATACCGGCCCCTGAATCCGGCAGCGGAGCAAGTCCTCCCACTGATGGCACCCACCAAGACAGTGAGGCGCCTGATAGCGATCTCAACCAGGGCAGGACTGAGGGAACCTCTGAACACAATAATAGCCACAGCGATGTTCCACAGCCAGCCCATGCTAGTGAGCGGAGTAACGTTGCCGTTACTCGGAGCCGCCGCGGACTGGTGCGCATCTTTCTTGGGCATGCTCACTTAGAAGCTCCTATTCTCTATGACGGGGTGACTGAAGAGACTTTGCTTCAGCAGCTCAGAATGTTTTACAGGTACCTCAAAGTCAAGCGTGGCCTAGCAGAAGTAGTTATACCCAAAGAGCTATCTCGGATCGACTGCATCGAGGAGCGTCCGACCCTTCTGCTCTGAACTGTCCACTGACGTTGCAGAAGGTCAATGATAGCGGGACAGTAGCGGGAAAAACTATACATACGATCGACTGCGGTCGAGCACTTCAATACTTTCACCGCCCCGACCTCGCAGTTGGTAAAATGCCGACGTTGGTCCCCATCGTCCAGGAGTTGTCAAGCTCACAAAATCCCCAGAAGGCCGTGGAGCTCGTCAGAACTCTTGATAGGAATGCTGTCTTTGGGGTAATCATTACTCCCCCAATTGCCTCGCTTGTGTTCGTTATAGTCTGGTTGTCCATCTATCTTCGGAAGACAGACGAGAATGAGGGCAAGATCGATGTCCAGGTTATCGTCACGACTGCGTTCACTCTCGCGTCATATCTGGCTACAACAGGTAAGAGTGGTTGCGTGTCGAACTGCTGTAGCCCACCGAATCGCTAACTGTCACTGCAGGCGCGTTGGTCATCGCGCTCGTTGCCTATCTCGATGGCACTCAGCCAGCCCGCGACAACCCTGGCTTTCGACGCGAGACTGAGTTCCGCCCACAGTATATAAATCTGCGGCCAAGGCGACAGACAAGATAGCGTGTGTTAGCAATACCGACCTCATGGTCGCAGGTGTTGAAGACTTGTTGGCCTCCTAAGAAGCTATTGACTGTCAAAACCATGCCCACACCAGTGTCTCACACGACAACTTCTCACTTAAGTGGTCGCTTTGCAGCTAGATCATGGGATAGCAATGTTCACTCCTCCCGAGCACCGCTGTACAGTGGGACAGAAGTAACCTGAGCTTATACCGATTGGGCAGGCTTAAGCCTTTGCTTGGCACGTGGAGCAGGCTGAAACGTCGTGCGTGCCCCTTTGGACGAGGCTAATTTAACAACTACTGAACGCCTCCCTTCCTGGGGCTCATCGTGGCCCGCTCATGGAACATCGGTGAATGCGGGGACCATCAGATGTTTTCATCTGGTATGTCTCCGGGTCACGTTGGCTCGAGCTCTTTTGTCGAGGCGTATCAATTGATATCGCCAGCAGTGTGAGACAGAACAACCACACTCTCTTCAAGTGGACGGCGAACAAGCGGGCGCAATCCCCTGCTTCAACCCGCGATCTTGTGCCGCTTTCGTCTCTTCAGGGGATATGCAAAAGCCAGCCACCGACTGCTTGCTATCGACGCCACCGCATCGACCATGTCAGCGCGTCCAGATGCTCTACAATAAACTCTGACCTGCAGCCTACCTGCAATCTCATGGCGCGGGATTCAGATATGAGGTACGTACTTTCGTTCCCTACTATCCTTCTCATTCTCTGCGACTCTCGTTCACCACCTTAATCCGCACACTCTCTTTTGATACCCGCGAGTCTGTGACTCTGCGTCCATTCGTTGCTCCGCGCCGTAGCCCGATTGCATCGTGGCCGCATTCGATTCCTTCACATCGCAGTACTGAGTGCTTTCGTCTACCCCAACCTCCATCATGCCCCTCAGTCTCGAACCGCTGGCATGGCTCGCCCTGCTGGCTTCCCCCGCCTCGGCGTTTTGGCGGTTGCCATGCAAGTCGCCCATCGTGGTTGAGAGAACCGATCCCATCGTCCAGCCAGGTGCGGTTTCCAATCATGTCCACACGATCATGGGAGGTAATGGCTTTGCTCCCACCATGGACTACAACTCGACCCAAGCCTCAACCTGCTCCTCTTGCACGGTCATTGGCGACAACTCCAACTACTGGATCCCAGCCTTATACTACCAAGCAGAGGATGGATCCTTTGAGAGCGTGGACCAAGTCGGCGGAGCTACTGTCTATTATCTTCAGCGAGGAGGGCGAGGAGAATCCCTCAAGGCTTTCCCGGCAGGCTTTCGCATGGTCGCTGGAAATCCGTTCAAGCGGTCAGGCGGCAATGACTTCGCCTCTCAGGCAATCAGCTACAACTGTTTGGGCACCTCCAATCCTGAGACACCATACTTCCCCAACTACAACTGCCCCTCTGGTCTCCGAGCTCAAGTCTTCTTTCCGTCCTGCTGGAATGGAAAAGATCTTGACAGTCCAGACCATAAGTCTCACATGTCCTACCCAACAGGCGCCTACAACAATGGTGCTTGTCCACCTGACTTTCCCGTCCACCTGATCTCGCTGTTCTACGAAGTCATCTGGGATACCAACAAGTTTGCCAACCGCTGGTATGGTAACAAGCAGCCTTTTGTCTGGGCCATGGGTGACCCCACAGGCTACGGGGGCCACGGCGACTTTCTCATGGGATGGGAAGTGGACCACCTTCAACGTGCCGTCGACACTTGCACCAACCTCTCCGGCCGCGTTGAAGACTGTCCTGAATTCAAGCTCATCCCAGATAGCCAAGCTCAAGGATGCACCGTGCCATCTGTAGTTGATGAGCCCGTCACCGGCAAGCTGAGCAAGCTACCTGGCTGCCAGACCGTCAACGCTGGCCCGGCCCAAGCAGCAGTCCAGTCCAACTGTGGCGCTACAAGCTCGCTCTCGCAGTCGACCAGCTTGGGCTTCACTGACCTCACCAGCCAGGGCTGGGCATATACTGGCTGTGGCACAGACAACTACTACAAGCGCATCCTCACCGGCGCCAGCACCAGCCAAGCGAGCATGACCAACGACCAGTGCGTGAAGTTCTGCGACGGCAAGGGTTTCAGCGTCGCAGGCACAGAGTATTCAAAGGAATGCTACTGCGGAAACTCGATCCCTGACGTTGGCGCTCCGATTCCAGGCGTGCCGGGCAACTGCAGGATGCCCTGCGCTGGTGACGCAACCCAGATGTGTGGTGGTGCTGGTCCAATCACCCTGTACACCAAGTGCTCGGGCTCGACTTGCACCAACGCCAATTTTGGTGGTCCGTCGCAGGTTGTGACGAATCCGTCCACTGGTAATGGCAGTGGTGATGATAGTAGCACCGGCACGACTGAGTTCGGATCTCCGTCCAGCACCCCAGCCGAGTCTGGTTCTGGTTCGGGAACTGGCTATGGCTCAGACTCAGGCTCGACTTCTCAACCCAGCGGGAACGCACACAGTGATAGCTCAGGCTCGGGCTCCTCTGGTTCCGTCAGCAGCGGATCAAGCAGCAGCGCTCCCCCTTCCGGCCCTGACCAACCTTCCTCTGGCAGCAGCTCTTCGACCCCTGGCTTAGGAGGCAACCCTAGCAGTGGCGGCCAAGGCTCAGGCTCAGGCTCAGCTTCGCCCCCCGCTGAGTCCAACGCCTCACCCCCTTCCTCCACCACAACCTCACCCACCTCCGCCACCTCCACCTCCCTCCCCACCCTCCTCCTCCCCACGACCACCTTCCCCCCACCCAACAACCTCACCTTTCCCCCCTCCTGGACCTACGCCGGCTGCTACACCGACACCGTCTTCCCACGCTCCCTCCCCTTCTGGTCCGACTTCAACGGTCCCCACATGAGCAACTCGGCGTGCATGACCTTCTGCGACTCGCGCGGATTCCCTTTTGCCGGCACCGAGTTCGCGGGCCAGTGTTTCTGCGGCGATGGCCTGGTCGGAGGGGGCAGTCGGTTGGCGGAGGAGGGGATGTGTGCGATGAGCTGTACTGGTGGGGGAGTGGGAGAGGTGTGTGGTGGGAAGGGGGTGTTGAGTCTGTGGCGGAAGGATGATGTGGGAGATGAAAAGGGGGTGGTGGGGAGGAGGGTGAGGAGGCATTTGGTCAAGCATGCTAAAGCGCATGCTTGAGGGCGGTGTTGGGGAGGTGGCGGGGAACCTTGAGCTGCTTGAATAGAGGAGTTTGGGGGAGATGGGCCCGGCTCTTCCTGTTTCTTCTCCCCCTTCTCTTCACTTCTTGGGGTTGTGCGGTGCAATGAGTTGCTGAAAGAGTGCAACGGCTCAGGCCTGCTCAGGCAGCGGACTCTTGGCGCGGGATGTTTGTCGAGTCACCCCTGACCCTTGACACCTGGTCCACGTTAGTCGTACCGAGTATGTATAACAAATGATCCTGGCACGCCCCACGAGGCGCTTGTTTCGACGAGTCAATGGCTCTAAAGTAGTAGCCTCCACTATCGTCCGCGTCGCAGAATGTGCTTCGCCACAGTTGTCGTCATCGTAGGATCGCTACGGCGACCAGCTGTGTCAGGATGTGTTTCAATGCCACTTTTTCGATATTGGTTGCGGAAACTCGGAGTAGTTGTCGTTCATCCAGCCTTTCGCGTTGTGTGTACTGCGTGCGAAATCACTTGCTCATAACAGCACAACAAATATGAGGCAGGGTGACTGTCGAACGCCGAGTCTAGGATCAGGTATTCCATACCAAAACTCTGCTATTGGTTTACCTCAAACTTCGACATGCCATACTGGTAGCAGACAGCCTTCTTTGCCCTTGTCTTATCTACGCACCTACATCTCCTCCGTAAGCTCGCCACCATAAGTCGTGTATCTGGCAGCAGCAGCGGCCCCAAATGTGACGAAGGTGATGACCCAGGCCCACACCGCTGCAGTCATGCTCAAGCTGAAGCCTTCAGGCATCCAGCCCGTGATGCATGCGACGGTGAGGACGACCTGGCCACATGTTATATGCATCAATATTCGCCAGTCCTGCTCATGAGCCCAAAAACGTCCTTCTGATCGACACAAAAGAGGCATGAGGTCGTATAAGATGAGCATGTGCAGCGACATGGCTTGAGAGTCACATCTCTTTACGGACTGTGAGTCCGCTGCTGTCTGGGACGGCATTGAGACTGTGACTAGCCTTGGCCCCAGAATAACCATGGCTAGTAGCATAGAACCCAGGGTAATCACCACACCAAGTGGCAGGACCTGGCGAAGAATTGTCGCGGCGTTCCAACGTACCGGCTTTTTGAAGAACTGAACTTTAGCACTGCCTTTGCTCGATGTTTGAAGAAACCTGTAGGTGTTGGTGACGCTTGCACCGAAGAGGAACAGTCGTACATCAAGAAGATTGCCGAATTTCGCCAAACACCAAGTCAAAGTGAGCAGCATTTGCAGGAATGTCACGGTTTGGCAGACCATCGCGATCTCTAGATGTTGAAAGAAAGCGCGAGCTCCTTGGATGGCGCGAACCATTGGAACCATTCCAGGCCGTATGAAGACAACGTCGGACGCCTCCTGAGCAAGTTCAGTAGACCCATCTACACTCATGCCGCAGTCTGCTTTTCGAAGCAATGGAGCGTCGTTTTGTTGGACACCTGTGAATCCGACTCGGTTGCCTGCTTTTTGCAGCATGCCGAGCAGGTCATCTCGATCTTCGGGATCCATTTCGACGAAAGTGTTGGACCCGTCGATCCGCCCAAGGAGCTCTGCGTCTCCCTTGGCCGCGTGGTAGATATCTTCCCCGCTTAGCATGTCAGTGTCAAGGCCGATACTTTGAGATAGAACTCTGCCAAAGTATTTGTCGCGTGAGGTAAGTAGCTTAATAGCGACGCCGAGTTCCCGGGCTACCCTCACTGCAAGTCTGGTGTTGGCCATGGGTGGATCGAACGTTGGTATCAGCCCCAAAAACCTCAAAGGATCATTTCCTTGCTTGCGTGCGACTGCCCACGACGCTAGGCCTCGAAGTCGTAGATCTTTCATCGTATCATTAAACCAGTCTTGGTTATCGGCGTTCTCTGGGTTCTCTGAAACACAATATCCCCAGACGGACCGCGAAGGGCCGCTGATACACAGCATACGTTCTCCGGTTGCAGACTCGACCAGACACTCGCCTAGTGTCGAATCTAGTTCGATGAATCTGAAGGCGAGGCTCTGATAGCGATCCAAGTTCGCCTTCGCCTGCGGATATCGCTTCAGCGCCTTTAACAGAGCACGATTAAAGCGAGAAAACTCGTCTTTGTCCGAAAGAATGCTGAGACCAGCGACTAGCATGAGATCATCAGGCCTGCAAGCCACGCAAAGTGGCTCAAAGATGGTGGTTTTGTTTCTATCAGCCAGGTCGCTTGCGCTGATGCAAAGAACGTCAATGCCGGCAAACCCTTCGATTGCAATACCACCGTCCTGCACGACTGCGCCGTTGTCGGTCTGAGCCCCTGCAGCTGCAGCCTGTAGAACATCGCGGCTTAAGCCTGGCTGGAATTGAACAACAGCAACGGAGATGGATGTCAAAAGGCGTAGAATGTCGTCCCAGGATGGGTAAGTGTCCACCAAAGATACAACCACTAACAACGAGCCAGCAATGCAAGCAAAGATAGTCGTAGCTATAACCCTGTACATAATTTCGAAATCGCTGGGCTGTCGATGCATTCGATTTGCAAATTTGTCTTTTGTTGACTTGAGTCTTCCAACAGACGAGCGCCAACCAGTGTTGACAACTATGAAGAAGGCGTCACCTCCGGTGATGCTATCGTGCATGTCACAGCTATCATGCAGTTCCAATTGCCGTGGGCCTTGTGGGGGCGTATGAGTAATAAGCCTGCCTTCGAAAGCAAGCACTCGACAGTCGGCCGGAAGCAGTGAACCCTGGTTGGGAAGTCAGAACCATGCAACTTATTGGGAGTCGAGGGTGGCCTACCTCGGACACGTGGATGACGTCCCCTGGCACAAGATCTCTAACAGTGACAAGCGAGAGAACGCTGTCACGCACCACGACGGCGGGATCTGAGGCATTCCATGAGTCCTCCCGGTCTTCCCCATCAGGATTGAACTCTAAGCCCAGTTGGACTCGTACATCGACAATTACTAGTGCACATATGGCTGCGAAGTGCTACCATTCTTCAGACCAAAGCGCAAATAATGCAGCAAGCTGTCTTCTGGTTAGCAAAATTCTCGGAGGGTACCCAAGTCTTGCCTCTTTGATAAGAATGTCTGATCTGAAGCATTGCCAGGCCACTGATATAAGCCAGCTTTTGTGAAGATGTAGCTCATGGGGTCCATAGGTTTGTCGGCGCTTGTTCACTTCGTCTGTGCTCAGACCAACATCAGCGCCGGTATGTAGAATCTCATCTGGCACTTTCTCTGGGCGATAGGAAAATTTCGGTCTGCTCGCGTCTCGATCTTTGTCACGACTTAGCATCGAGCTTCGCGATGCGAATAAAGCAAGGAGAGACACAATGACGAGCGGTGGAGCCGTTGATAGATGTCTCCCACCCCACCGGCTATAGCTTTTGTCCTGGGCTTTCTGAACGGAATCGTTGAGATACAGGAGCGGATAGTAAGGAGCCAACAGCATAGTGAAAACTATATCTGGTCGCCACGGGTGGTGTTCTCCATCCAGACGATTCTGGTACATGTCGATGAGTTGAAGCCACATGAATGTTTGTGCCTTCGAAAAGGACTTCGTGGCGGTTGTTGCTGCTGTCACAAAGACACTAGCATGAGGTAACATGTTGTACTAATCTCAGCGCCTGGACATGGAAAGACGGCGAGGCAAGCCTTCCTTCTATACCCAAAGTCTTTCCTGGTCATTGCCGGCGGCAGCGGCGATCCTTCAAGGCTTAGCCAACTGCCCAGCTTGCCAGGCAATCACTAGGCACTATATAGTATTAAACGATGTCTTTCCCGGGGGCAATGCAACCTTTCAAGTTTCAACTCGGCTACAAGGTGGGGGCCGGACCTTTGGTCAAGGACTTTGGCAGCTATTGCTAGTACTCTACCCTCTGCTCGTGGCTACCATGGCAATGTTCTTTATCTCCGTCAGGCATCGTATCAAGAATGACCACTCCGTCGAGCAGCGAGCTTCTTGCCAAAGCCAACCGAAGGCTGCGACAAGTCCGGCGGGATGCCTGGCTGGAAAAGTATGCCTCCAAGGTACGTTTGCACAGTTGCCTTAGAAGAGACTGGATGTCTAAAACTTGATTGATCCTAGAGCGAGACTTGGGAAGTTGTGTGTCGAACCTGCATCGATATTCTCCGCGTGGTCAACGCTCCATTGGCCTCAATGGAGGAAGCGCTGCTCGGAACGCTGGCGCAAGTTCTTGAGAGCAAGTGTCCCAATCACGCCCTGATTTTCCCAATCAATGAACTCCTGCTCAGCCAGCAGGTTTCACTGATAAAGCCGGCACACCAACGACTAATGTTCGTGCATCCCGATCCGCATGGCAGCGGTCCCAACGGTACTCTTGACGCTCCATGGGAGATCTTCGAGCACCAACAGGAACATTTCCTGCTCGGCACTGATGCAAATCGAACACAGCCTCGAATTATAGATCGGGAATGGATCGATATGGAGATAATCCAAGCATGGCGGCGAGAGTGCGAAGACAGTCACGCTACTAGCTGCGCCACTATCGAGCTGGATGCACCCGTTGACTCCCATTCGTTGCTGTTGGTGGACGCCGTCAATCAATGCCTGGTGTCCAAGACAACATCCTGCCGCTACGTTGCTCTGAGTTACGTCTGGGGGCGGACCAGCACTTTCACCACTACCAAAGCAACGCTCGAGCTACTCTGCAAGCCGGGTGCCTTGCAGCAACCATCTACGCCCAACTTCAAAATCTCCCGCACAGTGTCTGAGGCAATCCTAATGACCAAAGTCCTAGGAGAGCGCTATTTGTGGGTGGATGCGCTCTGCATCGTCCAGGATGGAGACGACAACTCTATTCAACTTAATGCTATGGCCATGATATACGCCCGAGCCTGCTTGACAATCGTGTCTGCCCATGGTGAGGACGCTAATGCTGGCTTTCGGGGCCTCCGCAGAGTCGGTCTACCTCGACAAGCTCGTCAGCGCATAGCGCAGCTAACGCCAAATCAGAGTCTTGTGAAACCAAGTTCCAAGCAGGTCTGGGACGACTCGATGTTACAGCCGTGGAGCACTCGTGCATGGACTTACCAAGAAGCTATGTTCTCACGCCGGATGCTTATATTTGCTCACAACTCGGTGAGGTGGCGCTGTAAGACGGCTCGATATAGTGAGGAGTCCGATTCTCCTGACTGTGTACATTCATACGCCACTGCTGCGCAGCGGCATTATAGCTGGTCCTCGCCACAGCTGACGCCCTCACCTGTGCCAAACCTGGGCGAGTTTGAGGCTCTGGTCAATGGGTTCAACTGCAGAAGGCTGACACGTCCTGAGGATGCCCTGCCCGCCTTTGCCGGAGTGTCACTGCTGCTCGGGAAGAAGCTTCGGGGAAGCCTCATCTCTGGCCTACCAGAGTATTTCCTGGATATCTGCCTTTTGTGGCGGCCGCTCCGAAGACTGGGTCCTGCCCAGCGTAGATTGGAGATGGTACCATCGGACCAACATTGTCTGCCGAGCTGGTCGTGGGTGGGATGGGAAACGGAAATCGCCTTCCCCTATACCTGGAACTATTCCAGCAAGCTCACTGGCCCAACACCCATCATGCTTGGACAGACTCGCTATTGGCTCGAGCGACATCGTATCTATTGTTCAAACCACCCAGAAACAGAAAAGGATTTGGATCATTTGACCAACGCCTGGTGGCTCGGGGACGCTACTGTGGCGCTAGACGGTGAGATGCCTCCAGGATGGCTCATACGCAAAATCGCGCCAGGATCTTCTGCCTCTCTTGCACAAGATTACCTGGTGCTCGGCGAGGTCTCCATCTATCAGCACGAGTCGGACCAATCAGTTGACTTTTGCTTTCCGGTCGATCTTGAAGAGGAACCAGAATCTATCGAACCACGAACTGAGAAATACCTCCATTTCACCACGAACTCCGCGAATTTTCGACTCGGAGAGGTCCGTGGAATCATGACTCGCGTGCACACCTTGGACGGCAGGCCTGCTGGGACGCTGTGGCAACACGATGAAGCTGACGAAGACTTTGTGTGCGCCACAAGTGGGCCCTTGCAGTATCGGCGCAGCGTCGAGCTCGTAGGCATCATGAGCTGTCTTATTCCGAAGACTGATAGTATCGTCTGGGACGTCGACGAAATTGCCGCGCCAGAAAGCCTCCGTGATGACAGCCCAATTGCTTCATTCGAGGATATCCAGAATGTCATGTGGATACAATGGATCGGTGGAATTGCATATCGCAAAGCCACAGGTGTGGTCAAAGAAGAGATCTGGGAGTCGATTGCGCTTGATAAAGTCGACGTAACGCTGGGATGAAGGAGCCAAAGTATGTGTTTTGGGATACTCCGGCTGCTGAAGACTCAGCACCTAGCATGTCTGCTTGATCGGCTCTCTCGATCTTCCTGTACATCTAGCCCCGGGACTACCCCTTGCCATTCATTCACCTGCCTCTCACAGCTTCGCGCTCCTCCCCTCTCTCTTCACCAACTCCCGCAATTCCCTCCTCAGGATCTTCCCGCTGGGCGACTTAGGAATCGCTTCCAGATACACGACGCCGCCCCTCAACTGCTTATGCCGCGCCAGATTCGCCTTGACAAACGCCTTGACTTCTTCCTCGCCAATCTTCGCCTTGTCCGCCACGATGTACGCGCGCGGCAGCTCGTTCCCGCTGCCGTCCGGGTCGGGCACGCCGATGACGGCGGCGTCGAGGATCCGGTCGTGCGAGAGCAGCAGGGCTTCGAGCTCCGCGGGCGCGACTTGGAGGCCTTTGTATTTGATGAGTTCCTGGGAAGGTGTCTTAGTTAGCGATTCAACCCGAGGACGATGATATGGATGGAACATACCTTTTTGCGATCCACGACATAGAACATGCCATCCCTCCTCACGCCAATATCGCCCGTCTTGAACCAGGCCCCATCCCTTGTAAACGCGTCCCTCGTCGCCGCCTCATTCCCATAGTACCCTTTGGTGACATTCGGGCCCTGCACGCACAACTCGCCCTCCCTCCCTTCCAGCACATCCGCCTCCTCCTCATCCAAGATTCTCAGCCGACAGTTCGGCATCAGCGGACTCACGCTCCCTGTCTCGTCGTGCCGGTCCCACGGCATCACGGTGACGCTGCCCGTCGTCTCGCTCAGCCCCCACGTCTGCGAGATGGAGCAGCCCAGCTTCTGCTGCGCCAGGCGCATGAGTTCCGGCCCCATGGGCGCCGCGCCGGTGATGCAGTGCTCCACGGTGCGGAACTGGTCGGTCACGAGCGGGCTCTTGGCGATGAGGAGGTAGATTGGCGGGACGGTGAAGAAGGTGGTTACCTGGTGGCGCTTGTTGTGTTCGAGGAACTGGGGGAAGTCGAACTTGGGCATCCAGAAGACGGTGCCGCCCGCGATCATGGGGTTGACGAAGTAGCCTTGACAGCCGGCGATGTGTGCGGCGGGCAGGTGTGCTATGGTGCGGTACGTGAAGGTGTAGGATGGGTCGGTGGCTTGGCGTCGTGCGAGGTAGTCGCGGAATTGAAGTTGCGGGATGAGGCCCTCGGAGACGAGGTTGAGGTGTGACAGGTTGACGCCCTTGGGAGGACCTGTTGTCCCAGAAGAGTAGAGGAGGCAGATCAGGCTGTTCTCGAGTGAGGTTGGGTCAGTGATGCGTTGCCAGTCGAGGCTCTCATGGGCTTTGCCGGGACCAGAGAGGAAATTGGGTGATGATGGAGCGGCTGGCTGAAGTACGCGGGCGTGTGACATGGATTCGAGTATGAGCACGCGAGATGGTGGGATGGAGCATTCTTTCGCGGTGGCAAGGGCCACGGCACGGCAGTCATTGCTGGCTATCAGCAGGGTGGAGGAGCCTTGCCGAACTTGGCGTGCTAATTCAGCAGCAGTGAAGGCGGAGGATGCAGCAGAATAGACGCCACCAGCAGCGATTACAGCCCAGAAGACCGTTGGCAGGAGTATCTGGCCCGATGAGATACAGACAACGACATCTTTGCCAGAACCGTTTGCCCCGATGCCAAAGGATTGACGGAGGTGGTATGCTATACGTTTCGTATAAGCACGGGCCTGAGACTTGGTGATGCTGTTGGAGGGATCTGCTGCTTCTGCATGGACGACGGTGTCTTCTTTGGTCAAGGACAGGGGACTGTCGAAGAGGAGAGACAGCAGGTCGAGGTTAGGTAGAGCATAGTCCTTCTCGGGCAGATAGACGGACATGCTGATGGGTTCTCGTAGATATGGACAGCACGGCAAATCAACGCTCAAGCTTCACGTGGCTACGAGATGGAGTAGACACTTACACAGGCTGTCATGCATTATTGATCTCGCTGTCTGTACCCGAGCTGGTACTCACAGTGCCTTCAGCCGACAGCAAGCCGAGGCAGCGTAAGTAGCATTCTAATTGGCTCGTCGAGCGACAGTCCCCTGTATGCGGCCGCTTTTGAGCTCGTGTATAGCAGCGAGCGCTTATCATCCCTGGATTGAATAGGCAGTACTAGTTTACTTGTTCTTTCCATGATTGACGCGAGATTTACGCGTGTAGGACACAGCCGTCCTTGATGGCGGATCAAACGACACGGTAAGGACATCAACAACCAGTATTCAGCGTCATCCTTCCCCTCGTCCTATCCACCGTCCATCGATCCGGGCCTCAAGAGTGACTGTGTCACATTGGCAGAAGCTTCGAAGGCTCAAGGCATAGCCTCTTCTGGGTTCGGACGCCAGGAAGTCCACCTCAGGCCATGGAAATGGCCATGGCCATGGCCAGTGACAAATAGTGGACTTCCCCGCAGTGTGCCGACTCTGCCAATTGAACCCCACTGGTCTAGGAGAGGTCTCAGGGTATTTATCTGTTGACGATCCCCTATAACTTGATTGTAGTTGTATACACCTCAATTGAAATCCTAGAAACCGTTTCCCGTGACCCCTATCAACCCGGCTGAACGATATCTTCCGCCACAATGGCTAAAGGCAGCTGCATGTGTGGTCAGGTTGAGTATGAGTATACTGGTTCGTGCAATTGAAATGGCCCTAGGTCATTTGCTGACGTTCTAGGTGAACCGGCTGTGACCGCCCTCTGCCACTGCATCGGTACAATCTGTCTGATCTCTTCTTGGGAGTCCACTGACACCATTCCCAGACTGCCAGAAGTGGACAGGTGGTCCCTACACATCCAACGCGGTCGTGCCCCGCACCAACTTCAAGGTCACCAAGGGTCAGGCTCGTTTCTACGTGCAAGCACTTCTTGCTCACAACCGCTTGACAGGTACACCGAAGGACTATGATGCCGTCGGAGCCAGTGGCAAGATCAACAAGCACTGGTTCTGCTCCAACTGCGGCTCCAGTCTCTATACCGAGCTGGAGGTCATGCCGGATATGACCTGGTAAGTGAATTACTCTGGAGGCTCATCGGTGAGTTGACATACACGCAGCGTCAAGGCGGGCGGTTTGGATGGAGGCCACGCAAGCTTGGGTAACAGTATTGGTGTCGAGTTCTATACCAAGGATAGGGTTAACTATCTCAACGTACGTCTTGTTTCTGCTTCAAGGGACATATGGCTGACTTGTTTAGGCCGTCGAGGGTGCTAAGCAGGAGACTCACTTCGGGTGAGAGTCTTGACAACTTGCCACTGGGCGCGAGTCCCCAAAAGACAATCAATTTACGTACGCTACACAATCAGGACATCCGAAAGCTCTTGTTTGGGCTTGCTTGCCTTACGATCATGATAATTTGGCCTTGACTCACAATATTCATCTCGGACAGAGGCGTATCTTCTCATCTTGTAGAACAGCGAAGCGTGATCCGCGGATACGCATCAGATCCATAATGGGAGATGCAAACAACCTAGATCATTCGATCCTATTGTGGTGTATTAAAAGATTTGACGAAAAATGTGTAAACATATACGACAGGTTAGTGCGTGCTTCGACGACGTGATAGCGTACAATGTCATGTAGATGTTCCAAGCGACGTGAAGACCGAATTTCCTGATAGAGCAAGGATGTTTTGATCATCGTCATTTGACTGGTGTCATTCGAGTCTTGGCAAAAATCTACGCTCAGCCTCACGCAGCCTCGCTTCGCCGTGAACATCTCGCGAGGCGCCGGCTTTGTCCCTCTTCCTCATCTGCAACACTCCCGCTTGCCTGACCGATTTCACCAGCACCTTCACAGGCCTTAACACATCTCCGCCACCACAAGCGTAAATATCTCAAGCGATTCCCATTGCTACCTCCACCAAGAACCCCGATCCCATCTATAGCACGATTTCAACTTCCACCGAGCATTTCCCCTCCAGAAAACTAACCTGCGCCCTCCGCGCTCCGCGCTCACAACCTCTCGAGTCACCCGCACCCGCACCACACAACACGGACCTCCCCCCCTTCATCGCAGAGACATGGCGGCCGAGCGCCCCCGCAACCTCCGCGCCTGCCTCCTCTGCAGTGTCGTCCTCTCCTACAACAGCTTCTCACTCTCGGGCTGCCCCAACTGCGAAGACGTTCTCGCCCTGAAGAACGCTCCAGACTCGATCGCCGAGATGACGTCGCAGGTCTTCGAAGGGTTGATTACGCTGCACGACCCGGCCACCAGCTGGGTCGCCAAGTGGCAGCGCCTCAGCGGCTACAAGCCGGGGATCTATGCGACGAAAGTGGTGGGGCGGCTGCCGGATGATATCGTGCAAGGGCTGGAGGATCAGGGCGTGAGGTATGTGCCCAGGGATGGCAGTGGTGGGGAGGAGGAGATGGGGACTTAGTTGGTCCAGCAAGGGCAGGCTGCGGTCTGAGGGAACCGTTAAGGATCATGTGTGGGGGAAAAGTCATTGTTACAGCATGGAGTTTTTGGACGGTGGGGGCCCAGTCGTACCGCCTAGATTCACGCATTCGGGTCTGGGATTACAGGTGGAGGTATCAAGATGCATAGATTTTACTCTCTCCAGACATGATCAGTCTGTGGATAATGCTCGACTCGGGAATAACGTCCTCCCAAACGCCCACAACATACACCCAACCCGAAGGCCCTTATTCGTGAATCAATTTTCTGCTCGTGTTTGCATGCTTACAATGTCTTGGCCATCGTCTCAAAAGCATCCAGCAGAATATCCGCATGGTGCTTCTGGAAGATCAGCATGGGCCGCAACCGCACCGCCGTAGCACCGCTACCGCCAATGTTGATACCGAGACCCTTCATCTTGGCCAAGAACTCATCGCGCTTTGGGTTGTCAAACGCAATGAAAGTACCCTGGCCCTGACCACGCAGGTTTTGGAAGTGCTCAGGGTACCGTTTTGAGAGGTTGGCGATGCCGTTATAGAGGTAATCGCCAACCTGAGCGGTATTCTCTACCAGGTTAAGCCGTTCAATCTCGTTGATGATAGCGCGGAAAAGGATGGCGCGGGCTGGATCGCCCATCCAGGTGTTGAACTGGCGATAGGGCTTGTTTGGCCGCAGCTCGGGGTTGCCGAAGTAGTAGCCTGCAGTCTGGGCTTTCTTGGAAAAGGTCACCATGTCGGGTGGGTCTTGCAGATTCCAGTGGTCATGAGCCCAGAACTTGCCAGTGGCACCGACACCCGTCTGTACTTCGTCCACAATCATGAGGACGTTGTTGCGGCGGGTAATCTCACGCAGGCCTTGGAAGAAGAACGAAGAGGCATGGTTGTCACCGCCCTCGGACTGGATAGGCTCAACCACAATGGCAGCAACAGGGTTGTGGAAGTTCTTGATGATGCTCTCAGCTTCATCTAGGCAGCGCTGTTCCTCGGCACGGTTCTCGGCCGCATGTTCCTCGAGAGGATACTTGAGCATGGGGAATGGTGCCTGGGGCCAGTCGAAAGCGGGAATGTCGATCTTGTGGATTGGCTTACTGCGGGTGGTGGACAGACTGCCAAATAGCCGACCGTGGAAGCCGGTCTTGAAAGACATAATGGACATGTTCGGGGAGCCTGGGGATTTGTTCTCCATGGACGACGAGATGGACTCGGGCTCGAATTCAACATCCGGACCGCCGCGAATCTGCTGGGCTTTCCACATGAAGGCAGCCTTGTACGCGGTCTCGTTGGCATCAGAGCCAGCCATAGCGGTAAAGACCTGGTTCATACCCTTAGGAGCCACGCGCAGAATACCGGTCTCGAGGATTGATGCCCAGTCGTGCTGAGGAAAGTTTCCGAGAGCAGGTCTGTTGATGATGGCAGAGGCCATGTCGGGAGAAGTGGCGGCGAGGAGAAGAGCGGGATTGCTATAGCCAACGGGAATGGAGGCGATTTGCGCATAGACATCGAGCAATACGTTGCCGTCGAGATCTGCAATATAGTTGCCGTAACTCTGCTGGTAGTTGGCCATCATGTTCAAGCTGCGAGTGTCGAAGACCTCGTGTAGCTTTGCAATTGCCTCTTTGCTCTTTGGACCCGGGATAGCGGTCACCACTTTCGGTCCTACAGGCTCATCGGCGAAGAAGGGAGCGCCCATGGGGGATGTGTCGTACTGCACAGCTGCGGCAGCAGTGGCATTGCGAGACTCGCTGACGCTGGCATAGGAACGGATGGCAGCTCGAGGCGCCGTGAAACGGCTGAGTGGTCGCAGGGACCTGGAGGCTCTGAGGACAGAAGCCATGGCTGCGGTTCGTGGTTGGAATAGCTTGCCTGGAGAGAGTGCTTGTGAGGAAGAGAGATACGGTGAGCTTCCTTACCAGCTTAGATTGTTTATACAGTGCCAGGACCAGCGTTTTGCCTCATCAAAAGGCGGGTGCGGCGGAGATACGCACGACTGCAATATGCCTTTTCTTTGAGGGTTGCTGCTGATAGAACTGTACCCCACCTTTCCTCCTCCAAAGCGCCGTTTACGCCAGTCCGAGGCAGCAAGCTCATGAACTAAACTGCTTTAAGCAAAGGCAAGCGTGAATCGTTTGGCCCCGTCCGTAGACGCCGGCCCGGGTTCGTTGTCATGAGCTGCATAGCCAGCGCAGGTCAACCTCACGTCCTTCGCCAGTCTCCCTCAGTTCTACGGTGGCTGAACCTACAAGCAGCTTACTCGAACACAGATTATCACAGAAGATCGCTATCCTTGCGAAGTGTTGCACAGGGTACGGCCAGAAGTGATAAGCAGGTAGGTGGCCAGACACGCAACACGTTGGTGAGATAGGATCATGATCGTTTTTTCCCATTTCATTCGTACTTGATGGCCTCAAAAGGCTTCTCACAAGGCCCTTGATGGTATCGACTTCGCATATATGCTGCTTATACCAGCGGAACATGCTTACTCCTTGTGCCCGACCTTGTCTGCAGCCTGCTCCGGCGTCAGGTTCTCCAAGCCAACAGCGTCCTGGTCAACCAGCGAGCCTTCAGTCGCGCCTCGGGTGATGTCGCTGTCGCCAGCCTTGTGCGCCTCAAATCTTGTGCTACCCTTCGCCTGAGGGTCTTGAGTCACTCCGCCGGGTACATTGTGCAGACGCTTGCCCATGGTCTGGGCGGGAAGGGCATCTCCTGTCCCGGTCAGGATTTCTTGGTGATCAACGTCGCGCGTGGACTGCAAAAAGGTCAGTGATTTTGTGAGCAGCACGAGGCAGACGACTTTACTCTTGGGATATCGCCTTGGTTGTCAGCCGCTTCGGCGAGGTTCGCTCCGCCAATCTGATTTGGGTCGCTGGCGGAAGCAATCTGGTCTGGCCTAGGCTTTGAGGGAATGAGGTTGGGCTGAGCAGCGGACTCAGGGACTTTTGTGCCATCCTTCGCCATGTCGAAGAGATCGCCGCCGCTGTTGGGTCCTTGTTGGGAAGACATGTTGCAGAATAATTGGTATTGAGGGTATCGTAGTTTAATTTGGTTGGAATGCAGTTGTACAGTACAAGAGGGATTTGAAGAATAAATTTGTCCCTTCAAGAAGCAGTACTTTTCAATCACGCGAGCTCACTCTGTACTGCGTCATCGTCGTCTTCATTTGCATACTGCTTGATGTCATACTCATGGGGTTGATGGTGCCTTGCATATTCAGTGCTCCGACCAATCGGAGATGTTCCTGCTCCGCCGCGCAAAAGAGTCAAAATAAATTCCCTATTGACTACAGCACGTTCAAGTGACCCCGATCTGACAGGAATTCTGGCCGCACGAAGGCGACTAGTCCATCAATCCTGAGTGATCTATTCGTCGGCGTTTCAAAAGCCCTTGAGGAGATTGTGGGAGATCAGGATGGCCACGGCAACTTCTTCCTTCTTGACCCCAGGGCCTGTTGCCCAGGAAAATCACCTTGCATCACTACACCTGCGACGTGATGCTGCCTTGCCAGTTATTCTCTCCACGAAAGCTGCAGCAGCCGAGGATGAGGGATATGCCGAAGGCATGGTCACCAACACTCGTTTCGGATCATTCCCTCACTCTACCATCATTGGCTCACCTTGGGGATCTCAAATCCGGGCCAGCAAAGTTGATACAGGATCTCGGGGACGGTCTAACGGCAAGAAGCGAAAAGCGAACGACATCAATAGCGACACGCCGGACTCCAGTGAGCCTGTGGCGAAGCAGGCCGAAATGGCCGAGTCTGGGTTTTTGCACGTGCTACCACCTACGCCAGAGTCATGGACCTACTCACTTCCGCATCGGACACAAGTTGTGTATACACCAGACTACAGTTACATTCTTCATCGAATACGCGCAAGGCCAGGCACACGTCTGATCGAGGCCGGGAGTGGGAGCGGCAGCTTCACTCACGCAGCTGCGCGTGCTGTCTTCAACGGCTACCCCGATATGACACCCCGTAGTGACGATCACTTCGGGCGGGTCTTCAGCTACGAATTCCACAAAGAGCGGCATCAGAAGGTCGCCGCCGAGATGGAATCCCACAATCTCTCCGCCATTGTCACGTGTACACATGCAGATGCCTACAAAGATGGTTTCCTGCTTCCATCAGCCCCTGAACAACCTCCCAAGTCGCCGATGGCGAATGCTATCTTCCTCGACCTGCCAGCGCCCTGGTCGGCAATCCCACATCTCACCCGCGAGTCTACCGACGGCAGACCTTCCGCTCTAGACCCTGAGTCGCCAGTCCATATCTGTACCTTCTCCCCCTGTATCGAGCAAGCTCAAAAGACCGTCTCCCATCTCCGCAAGCACTCCTGGCTCGACATCCAAATGGTAGAAGTCTCTCACAAGCGCCTCAACATCCTGCGCAGCTACACATCCCTCGACTACTCCGGCATGCGAGGCGTCAACCCCTTCCCCGACAACGTCGACGAAGCACTCAAGCACCTGAAATCCGTCGATCAGCGCGCCCGAGACTTTCATTCGGGGTCCACAAACCTGCCGCCGAGTGTCAAGGCCAAGCGCATCGAGAACGCCCAGACGGAGGCGCACAAGACCATGTACAAGGAGGGCTTGGTCGTGCATCGGACTGAGCCTGACCTGAAGACGCACACCTCGTACCTTGTCTTCGCTGTGCTGCCGAGGTCGTGGACGCATGACGATGAACAAAGCGCGGCGGCACGGTGGGGTGGCAGGGTCAAGGTCGAAGCAGATGTGCCGAAAAGTCAGCGTCAACTGAAGAAGGAAGCAAAGGGGAGGAAGAAGTTGAGAGACAATGAGAGGCGGCAGCGGGATGAGGAGCCTGAGCAGATTGATGTGGATCATCCCGGGGATGAGCCTGTCGCTGTGGACGTCTCAACTTGAGCTGCAGGTGTTTCGATGGCATTGGGCATGATACTACTTTAATCCCAGCTGGTAAGCCGTATACGTGGCCACCATTCCACGCTCTACAGCTGCTTCGTCTTGAACTTGCTGCAATGGGCGGAAGGAGCTTGGCTGCGCTTTCTCAAAACTCGAAAACATGGTCCATTGTCGAACCTTCACCACGAATCATCCCCAAGGCGCCGCGCAGTGGTGCTGGGAAACTCGATGCTCGTGCTCCGCTTCGTGATCGCCAACGCCCCTCGCATGTGGGCTATGGAGCTCTGGCATCGAGTTCTAGTTGGGTTTCGATGGGCCGGCTCGAGTAGACGTGAGGCGAGCGGCTATGCGCCAAGGAACCGAGAGCGAGGGCGTGAAGGCCTGGGATGGGATAAGGAGCCAGTAACGCTGCGACACTCAAAGCGAGTGAATGCTGCAACTGGTTTCTCAATCAGCTGATTGTCGGCGCTTCGTATTTCGGTACTTATTTGCTAAGCGACTCGTGTTCCCTAGAAGCTTGTGGAGGAGCTTCCTTGAGCTTGCTTCAGCTTGAATACGGGACCGGTCTTGGCACTTTCCGAATGGTCGGAACAAGATGATCGAGGCGTAGCCAGCTGGCATTACCGAGCTCTGAGATGCTGATGACGGGCTCTGAACCAGTATGCTGGGAGAGAGGATGTGGGGAGACCTTCAGCATCTCAGACCGAGCTAATGAGAGGTCTGGACTTCCTACGAAGCTGCGTTGTGCGGTTTCCAACGCAAAGTCATCGCCATGATCTTCTGCAGGGTCGAGAAGACGACGTCTAGGCCCTCGTATTGCAACGACTTTCAGTGGCCATGCACAGATGCTTCTTCGCCTGCGAGCACCATGTGTGAGGTGCCTGCGTCGTTGCCCAGCTGTACAAAGGTTGACCATTGCCGCCGTTTTTGAAGCTTAGGCATGAACAAGCATATAGCAAAGCTTTGTCCATCCCGCGCATTCGCTAGGCCGACCTACATATAGTCAGAAGAATCGCAACACAATGAAACTCACAGCATTTGCTCCATCCTTGCTGGTGTTGGCGTCAGGATTGGCCTCTACATCAGCAGGTCACGGCTGGGGGGACCTGGACTGCCTTACGGACGACGATGCGGCGTTCCTGGTCGACATACTTGTGTCGATCTCAGTCAAATTCGATCCGGAATATGTCACTCAATTCCTCACAGATGACTTTGTCCTTCAATCAGACAGCATCAACTGGATTTTTGGGATACCCCTTGGGAAAGACTCGTTCACTGACAAGAATGTTCTCCTCGCCGGGTCGTACAACCTCACCCAAACAGAACCTCAGCCGCCGATAGTGGTGTCCTATGTAAGCCACTCCCAGGCGTCAGTCTACAAAGCATCATACTCACCTTCAAGCAGATCATGCACACATGTGCAGATATCGCGTATCGCTCGACAACAATTGAGACAACTCCGGTACAAGGCATTCACATTTTAAAGACGCGACGCGAAGACGGGATCTGGAAGGCTACAGTTAGTTGGGATGAATTCAACAGTGCAGCCGATCTATTCGCCTTAGGTGTCACAGGATGCGTGCTGCCAAAGTCCTGAAGGTGGGCAAAGTTCAGATTGATTCCGCGATAATGGTGCTAGGCTATGATATAGTAATGACTATGTCGCTGTCACGCTGTATTGCATGAGAATATGAGAGATGTACTGTGTAGAGCAGTGAGAAGTTGCACTCCACTCCCTCGGGTGAAGCTCGGACCACTTAACGCGTTAACGCTGGAGTATCGCGACGCGTTCAAATTTTGGGGAAAGTGCGGAGACTGATTCAACTGCGGCAGCGCAAATCCTCGATTCAATTAGGTGAAATACCAATTCAAGTATAGCACTGGCCGACAGGAGACTCAGTCTCTACGAATCAGTGTTCCAGAAACTTCTCGTTGCTCCGTCCAGCACCTGTCTCGCACTTTCAAGGTATCATGGCCGACCAAGCTGAATCGTCCTCCGCAGGAGCGAGAAAGGCTCTCAAGGCCAACACCAATGGCGCTGGCCCCGAGTATGAGCTACCATGGGTAGAAAAGTATCGCCCTGTCTACCTAGACGATGTGGTTGGCAACTCGGAGACGATCGAGAGACTCAAGATTATCGCAAAAGATGGAAATATGCCCCACGTTATCATCAGTGGCATGCCAGGTATAGGAAAGACGACGTCGGTTCTATGCCTCGCAAGAACACTGCTGGGTGATGCGTACAAAGAAGCAGTCCTTGAGCTCAACGCAAGCGATGAGAGAGGTATCGATGTTGTGAGGAATCGAATCAAGGGTTTCGCGCAGAAGAAGGTCACGCTTCCGCCCGGACGGCACAAGCTGGTCATCCTGGATGAAGCGGACAGGTACGTATGCTGGATACGACAGCCGGGTATCTCTGACGAAGCTACAGTATGACTGCAGGCGCCCAGCAAGCGTTGCGACGCACGATGGAGATCTATGCCAACACCACCCGCTTTGCGTTCGCCTGCAACCAGTCGAACAAGATCATCGAACCCTTGCAATCGAGATGTGCTATCCTACGTTACGCAAGGCTGACAGACGCGCAAGTCGTGCAGCGATTAATGCAGATAATCGAAGCAGAAAAGGTGGAATACTCCGAGGACGGTCTTGCAGCCTTAGTGTTCAGTGCCGAAGGTGACATGCGACAAGCCATCAATAACCTGCAGAGTACGTGGGCCGGCTTCAGCTTTGTCAGCGGAGACAACGTATTTCGAGTCGTGGACAGTCCTCACCCGATCAAGGTGCAGGCCATGATCAAGGCATGCTACGAGGGGAAGCTGGACAGTGCACTCGACACGTTGAGAGAACTATGGTACGTCTAGCCTAGATACGAAGGCCGCGTCACTGATCAAGATTCTCGCAACAGGGACCTAGGATACTCGAGCCACGACATTATTTCGACAATGGTAGTCCTATCTCCCTCGCCAATGAATCCACACTGACCTGAGGTAGTTCCGAGTCACCAAAACTATTCCAACACTGAGTGAGCATTCGAAGCTGGAGTTCATCAAGGAGATTGGTTTTACTCATATGGTAGGTTCCTCGCGCATCGCCACGCAGATAACATGTCGCTGACCGAATGACTATAGCGCATTCTAGAAGGAGTGCAGACCTACTTACAGTTAAGCGGGTGCTTAGCAAAGCTGTGCAAGATCAACATGAAGCCCGAGCTGTTTGCGGCGTGATGTGCGGCGCAGTGTCTCGTCACACAAGGCAGAGATACCCAAGGATCTGGTGGCAGGCAGCCTGAAGCGACGGTTGATTGGTGCAAGGAGGGCAAACAATCCAATCCGAAAATACCTGACGCAGCGCCAAGGCCGAGATCACGGCAGTCGGGGATGGCTAAGCTCCGACAGTGCTGGACAGCTGCGCGGGATCATCGCGGGGGAGATTGACAACGTCAGCAGCAAAGAACGCGCAATGCGGGCCTTGACAGGCGGCGCGGCATGGTCACATAGGATGCATCCAAGCGGTGATGCCTGCATGTGATGTCCAGACCGGAGGGAACAAAGATCGCAATGCGATGGACACCATTGTTGAACACGGGCAATAATAACGAATGAACGAGGCTTTCTGAGCGACGGGAGCGCCAAGATGTCGAGGCTGAAGCGGGCAGTCTGCCGTCCCGAAATAGCTGTAACACCCCCGTAGCGTGAGCCCGGAGAGGGGAGATGGGCCATTTAACCAGCGAGCAGGGCCGTAAACGTTGCTCCTTTGCCAATCTCGTCCAGATCCCGCCCGCTGACGATTGGACAGCCAAGGGATACGCGTACTCCATTCATCAAAGTCCGTGTTTACGGATGCCACAAAAGACAAACCCTTGTGGAACTTCGGATTGCATGATTTCATCCCCCCCAAAAACGCCCCCAAAAATCAGCCCTAGGAAGCTGCGATGGCTTCGATGGCGCGGCTTCCCGCAGCGCCCGGGCGTATTGTGGAATACAGAAGGAGGCTGGTAGGCGCAGTAACGACCGACACCCCGTCACGCCGTGGGGCGGGGAAGGTTGTATATCTTGACCTCGTCCGCCAGCCCATCTCATTCTGCTGCATCCACCATCCATCAGGCTCATCACTCATCTCTTAATCGTTATCGTCTAGTCTGCAGTCCATTCGCCATGAAGACTTTTATTGTGGCCGCTGCCCTCTTCGCAGGCTCCTCGCTGGCCTGGATCCCCTCTTGTGCAGTATGCGCTACCCTACCCCGTCTCGCGCCTCCAACGGCTAACAACCCTGCAGTGGGATGACTGCATGTCAGGCGTCGACCTGGGCGACTGCAACGAAGACTCCGGCTGGTCCTGCCTATGTGGCAACCAGGACCTCATCTCTCAGCTCAACACCTGCGTGGCCACCTCATGTACCAACGAGACGGACCAGGAAGCCATCTACGGCGCCGTCGCCCAGCTCTGCGTCAACAATGGTGTAACAATCACCAACTCCGAGCAAGCTACCTTCTCCGCCACCTCCGGTGGTTCCCTCACACAGATCACCGCCGCTCCCTCAGGGTTTGGCCCCGGTGGACGCTTCGGTGATGACTGGGAGGAGTGGGTTTCATCTTGCAGTGACGGACTTGGGGGCCCGCCCGGTGGTTGGAGGTCTGGTGATGGCCCATGGGGTAACCACGGCTGGGGTGGCCCCGGCGGCAGCCGTGGAGGTCCAGGTGGACCTGGTGGCTTCGGTCCTTGGGGCACCAAGGCCTCCGGCATCAACTGCGATCAGTGGACTACTTGGACTGCTGGGTGGTGAGTCTTATGCACCGTGTCTAGAATGCTGCTAATATTGAGCTAGGGGTCCTTTCTCCTCCTGGACTGGTACCTGGTCTGGATGCTCCAGCACCACCGATGAGCCTGTTCCCGCAACTGTCACCACTACCGTGACTGGCACCAACGGTGAAACTCAAGTTCTGACTGGCACTACCTTCGGTATCCAGGCTGTCGAATCTGACTCTGGAGCTGGGCCCATCGCGGTCCAAATTTCCACTGCTCGGGGCATCGGTCTATTTGCCGCTGTCGCCGCTGGTATCTTTGGCGCCATGATTGCTCTGTAAATTCACGAAAGGAAGCGACGAGGCATGGAACTGAACCTATATTCTATGATACCCCGGGCTTTCATGACGGTTTGCATGGAACGGACTTGTGTGGTTTCAATGACCTTCCGGACCTACAAGGGTCCAAGCTTACGTGGTGATGACTTGATAGCGAATATTCATCCTTAGAACACCCTAGCTGCTCCTTACTTCTTCCCCGCCTCGGCTCGTACTTCCACTCCGTTCTGGAGACAAGCGCCAAGACCCGCCTGAAACGAGACTTCGAGATTCGGCTTCCGAACTCGTATTCTCCAGGCGCGGTTGACTCTTCGTCTGCGCAGTTGCGCTTCGACAGCACGTTCGTTGCCAAGGTGCGAACCGCTCCGTCGTACCTTTTTGTTGTGATTGGCCGGAGCATTCAACGTCCATGTGACTGTGACTGTGACCGGTCAACAGACCTGAAGCGCCCAGGCTGACACCCCAAAGTCAACGACACCTCTGAGAAACCCGGAAACCTAGACGCCACCATCACAGACCTCGACAATTTTCATTCGTGGGTCTGAGGTGCTGGCTCGCTCGGCTTCCAGCTCGCACGTCGAAGCTGATTGCCGGATATCTAGTTTCCGCCCGTGATATCACAGATTAGCGAGCGCGTCCCTTTTGTAGCCGCGCCTTGTTTCCCCCGCTCCTCCAGGTTCTATTGGACTGGATACCCCAACTTCAGGATTTTGCTGGCCTGGCGAGTGGTTCGTTGCTTTAAGTAACGGACTTGACGCGCTGGTAGTCCAACTCAAGCCTGCCAGAGAACAATTTCAGAAGACCCGATCGTCGCTGCTGTGTCACACCAAGCAGGCATTGGGCGGCACAAGGCTGAAGAGAGTACCCACCGTCTGCTCAGGTTACAGTACTTCAAACCAGGACGCCTGAGGGGGAGGATGCTCGTGGCGTGAGCGCAAGGTCTCTGACGAAGCAATCTTGTCGGACAGAGAGACGAGGGCCGCTACGAGGCTCGAATCAGTCACCATGGAGAGGCTAAAGGCTAAGATGCAGAGAACGGTTCTGCCGCCGGAGGATGGTAGTCGGTGCAACGAAGCTCACATCGAGCGAGACGCGTCTACGCTGCCAAAGGGTGAGCAGCCGGCGAAACCCCGCGGTGATGAGATGAAAGATTGGGCTCATGCGCGTTCGCCATCTCCAGCTCAACACAGCTCGAAAAGGATTCCTTCAACCAGAGGCAACGACACCGCTATCGTCTCCACTCCACCCCAGACCACACCCGCCTCACCCCTTCTCAACCTCCCGACGGACGTCCTCCACCACCTCCTCACGTTCCTCCCCTACAACTCCCTCCTCGCCCTGCGCCTCACGCACCGCTCCACCCGCCACCTCCTGCACCCCAGCTACCTCGCCCACCTACGCCGCCTTCACGTCGCCCGCTCCCTCGCCACCGAAGCCACCCTCCTACAGAACCACCGCCTCTCGCGCAGCCCTGCCCACAACCACCTCCGCCGCGCCACCTCGCAGCTCTGGACCGTCTTCTACGCCGCCTTCGAGTGGCAGCTGCGCGAGCGGCCCGCGCGCCACCTCCCCTGCTACGGCTGTCTGCAGGTGAAGCCGCTGAGCGCGTTCGTGGAGCGCATGAGCTCCCGTGGCTTGGGGCTGGGAGGGACGCGCGCGGCGGACAGGCGCTGTAAGGATTGTATGCGCAGGGAGGAGATGGGGATGCGGGTGGCGGGCTGGTGGTGGCGGGAGCATTGGGTTAGGAGCGCGGATGTGAGGAGGCGGAAAGGGGCGGGAGCGGGGAAAGGGAAGGGGATGTTGCGACTGCTGGGTAAAGGGGCGCCAGCGGTGGCCAACGGGCACGGTAGGGTGGAAGAGGAAGAGGCCGAGGTGGGCGTCTGCACCGTCTGCGGCACGAGCCAATTCGAGCTCTTCTGGGGCTGCGCGGGCTGTTTCGACAAAGAGGAGCAGCGCAAGCGTGACGAGTGGTACGTCGTGCTGGGCTGGACGCGCGACGAGCGCGAGCACATGCGCGGCGGCTGGATGCACTGGCTGCTGGAACGGGTCGACGGCCACCAGAGCCGCAAGGAGAAGCGGCGCCGGCGACGCTACGCCAGGCGCGCCGAGCGCGGCGGCAAGCGCTGGGGCCTCCGGAGACTGCTGGCTTGGGCCACCGGCGATTCGAGCAGACACGTCAGCTGGGCGGAGCGCGTCGAGGCCCTAGTCGACTTTCTGCAGTCGGACGGCGACGTGCACGACCCGTCGTGGAGTGACGACGCCAACGCCGACGCCGACGCCGTCGTCGTCGATGTCAAAGACCATCGCAATCGGACTGATGAGAAGACCGCCAACGACGCCAAGCGAGATCTGATGGGCGTGGCGGCGGCGCAGACAAAGAAGCACTGGAGACCCGAGCATCAGATGCCGCGCAAGAACGACCGCTGGGAGACGCGCTGCAGCATGTGCTGGGTGCCGACGAGTTCGCCGCGGTACGCGCTCGGTCTGGCGGCGTGCGAGAGGCGTCTGAGTATTGACAAGTGCTGCGAGGACTGTCAGGAGGAGGATCTGCGGAAGATGCAGAGGAGGAAGGGGCTGGATCACTTGCTAATGCGAGAGAGAGCTGAGGAGGACGCGTTGGAGTATCTGAGGGAGCTGTTTGTGCCGTAAGAAGAGAGGGGCGGACGGTTCATGTTTGATGTTTTGATGAAATATGCTGCAACGATGTGTTGCCGCTCATGGTGTTTATAGCGGGCGTTCTAGGTATCTACCTGCGATTAGGCAGGGAAACACGGCATTGCTGCGATGCCCAACTCCATGACGAACACAGACCTTCTCCGTCGGTTTTGCTGTCGGCACTAACATCAGAACCCAAGCTGTACCACAAGCTAGCAGATAGCTACTGTGCCTCACGAGACTACGCTGTTCGTGCGCCAAAACTGCAGGCTTCCTTCCTAGCCTTACGCTATAGCCGCTCGATCCTGCTTTCTTCTACGCCTGAGTGTCCTCAAACTGAGGATCTTGGTCGAGTGCTACCAGGAACCCTGTTGATGACCATCTCCGCAGCGCTGTACTTCCATCCCCAGAACAACCCCATCACTGCACACCCAACCTTACCAGCCAGTCGCCCACGCCCACGCCCACACCCCCACCCCCACCCCTCAACCCGCGATCCAAACCACCCAAAGGCTAGACAGTAAACAGAGGTGCAGGTGCATGGCATAACAACACAGCGCATGAAGCATGAAGCCAAACCCATCTAGGCCCTAGCCCCGAAGCCTTCCGGGTGAGATTTTAGTACAGGGACCCGATGAAAGCAGCGCAGAATCTCCTGGTCGAGCAGTCAGCTTACCGAAGACAGGTGAAAAAACGGACGGGGGAAACGCGGATAAATGATGATTGAAAGCGTTCGGTTGGGGAGGGACGCAATGGGTATGGCGTGTACGGTGTATGCAGGTGACGTTGCTGTAGCGGTCGGCACTAGTACGGGAAGGGGGAAATGGGCAAGATAGCTCGATGGTGTGTGACAAGGAGGAGATGTTTGTGGAGCAAGCGGGAGTGGTTGAGAAGAGTAATTAGGTAGTTGAAGCGGTGTTCAAGCCCGGACCTGCAGTAGCCCAAGAGTTGCGCAAATGAGTCTGCGAAAGCCATGAAGGCTCGTAGATAGACCCAGAGCACTTTGCTGCAGCAAGTGTCGCTCAATCGCCAATGGATACCAGATTCCTTGTTTCAAAGCAGAGTACGTTTTCGCGATGAGAGGCCCATATACCCGTTATCCACGTCGCATAACCGTGACGCCTTGATGCACTACGCCGTTGGTGCTGCTCTACGCACCAGGTGGCGGTGGTGGAGGTGGCTGATCCCACGAGCTTGCTCCAGGAGCGCCAGATGGAGGTGGCGGAGGAGCTTGCTGCTGGGGTTGCTGAGGCTGCTGATAGTAAGACTGGTAGTAAGTGTAAACGTAATTAGCGTAGCCGCCATACGCGGCATATGGGTCACCGCCTGGCTGGCTTGCGTAATACTGGGCGTAGTAATCAATGGTGGCCTGGTCTGGCATCTGAGGGACAGCGGCGGCGCCACCAGTAGGGGACATGGCGGTAGCGGGTGTCGTAGGTGTAGTTCCAGGAGCAGGCGAAGGGTTGCTCTGATTGTAGCCGGAGTGGTACGATGAAGAACGACCATAGCCGGAATAGGAGCTGCGGTGAGCATCGGCCCCATAGCCATCGGTGTAGCTCTCCATACGCTGTGGTGGCGGGTTCGCTTTGAAGTTCTCGTAGTTCTGGCGGACGCTCTTCAAGAGATCCAAGCACAGCTCTTTGCCTTTTTCGACCTGCTGCGGCTGAGGACCGGCGACGTGAAGATACATGGGTTCGTCGGACTCTTGGCCGGTGGAATGCTCCATGAAGCCAGAACCGCGGCCTTTGATCTGAACACGGCAGCCGCTTTCTTGCTGAATATGCTTGACGTAGGCTCCTCCTTGGCCTACAACTTGGGCACGGAGGTTGAAGCCAGGAACATTTTCCATGTCGAGAGGGATACGCTCTTCGGGCCATTTGCGCTAGCTAGGGTCAGTACTGAGGTGGCGCGGAGCAGCGAACATACCCTTCCGAATTCATCGCGCTCAACGGTGTCTTGGTCTCGTCTGCGGAAGCGGCGCTCGTCGACCAGATTGGGTAGCTCCTGCTTCATGAGCTCTTCAATTTTGGTGATGGCCATCTCTAGACCTGTCTTGGAGGTACTAGTAACATGGAGATACAGGGGAGGATTCTAGCTCGATCAGCGTGGGCAAGTATGAGGGCCCGTAGGAAACGTACCGCAGCCGTGGCCAAGCTCTTATCGGGATAGTATGAACCTCGAGTTGTGACATCTTGATACACATGAGCAAATGATCCTGACACAAGTAGTTATGGTGGTGGAGGGCGTACCGGCGCCAGTCTCTTCTTTGATCTATCACACAACTGAGGTCAGCAGATGCAACGGCGGGATGGAGGTGAGCAGCTATCATGAATGCCGGTAAGCTTCAGAACATCAGCCAGCGGGAGAGGGTACAGCAAAGTCAGCTTGAGAAGGGAGCGACTAGCCTGGGAGTATCAGTAAACAAAACAAGGTGTAATTACCATCTTCTGAGTCGAGCCTTTGGTCAGTGTGTAGCGATTACGCAAGTCATTGACTTCTATGTCTTTGATGTAGTCACCGTCGGCAATGTAGATGTCGCCATCCAGATTGCTCGTACTCTGACCCGAGGAGACCTTGGGCGGAGGGGGGGCAGGAGTTGGACTCGAGGTAGAGCGGATGGGCGGAACATCTACATGCTGGATGCCTTTTCGCGCTTGGAGGTCTGCATTGATTTTGGCAGCGGCCGCGGCAGCACGGGCGGCCGCATCCGATGCGCCAGCCTTAGGATCTTGTGTGGATGGACTGCGAGAAGGGACAGGGCTGCGACTTCTTCGAGGCTCGCTCTGGCGAGACGAGGGAGACCGCGAGCGACGATCGAAGCGGGAATTTTTGCGCGGCTCGGTCTGGTCGAAGCGGGAGCGCTTTCGAGGCGCCTCTTCAGACATGATGCTATGGTTTCGCAGTCTCCACTGTCAGGGACATGGAGGCAGCTCTAACATAGATTGTGGAAAGGCTCACACCATTGCTGTGATGAACTGTACAAGCCATTTTTATTTTGCGCCTGCCGCGTGAAGCGATGTTAGCTTTGCGGAGAAGCCTGGGCCGGAGAAACCATCCTCCGGTGCTCTTGGCAAGCGCACTTCTTTTGAGGACATTGCGGGGGAGACAAAGCGGGCCTGCAAGGACACTCTTTCACTCATGAACAACTGGTAGACAGACATACCTCTACCCAGGGCGGGAATATGGTCGCCTGGCCAGTACATCTCACTATTCAGGCCACTCATTGTAGACTTGGCTAAGCTGCTCAGATGCTTTTGGCTAGCCCAGTCGTCTGAGTCGTTTAGCAAACGACCTGCTGTAAACGGAAATGGCTGCGGATGCACTATCGCTGACCATGGTACAAAAGCCTAACGCTGACGACTGGGGTGGTACTGTGAAACACTTGTGCTTCGCAGCATAGTCTGGATGCGGCCGTAAAGAGCGACTCCATTTGCAAAGATTTCGTAATCCGCCAACTCCTGCTCCGCCCAGATGATGCAGATTCTCTTTCGTGGAAGGCATCAACATCCCAGTCTGGCAGCTGCGCCGGAGACCGGGTTTAACAGGGGCCAGGATCATTAGAGAGTGACAACACTCTCGACGAGTCAGCAATTAGTCGAATCGAGAGAGCCAGATGGCAGACCCGTCCAAGATCCACGGCATTCTAGTAGCCGACCGAGGCATCGATGACCCCGCAGTCATCGCGGCTTTGTAGTTCATCCGTCAGGCCAAGGTCGAACGATATGTATATAGTAACTCAAAGACCTCTGCGTTACATCCGCCCTTTTTCTGCAATACTTCTTCATTCATTTCACGTTCTTCTATTCGCAGCAAACAAATAGTAGTCGCCATCATGGGTTCAGCAGGTCCTCAATTTGATGTTTGGTCCAACTACCTCAACACCATTGATGGAAAGCAAGTCGGCACCGAGAAAACCCGACATGGCATCAACCCTGCCACAGGCAAGCCGAACCCAGAAGTTCCCGTTGCAACAGCAAAGGACGTCGATGCAGCAGTTGAGGCTGGCAAGAGGGCCTTTGTGACCTGGAGCAAGACCTCTTGGGATGAGCGCCGGAAGGCTGTCGCTGGCTTGGCCGATGCTCTCGAGAAGCACACCAATGACTTTGCTAAGCTTCTGACGCAGGAGCAGGGTAAGCCCGTAAGACCGACTCTTGCTCCATTGTGAGCCAATCTAACCATGACAGATCCAATTTGCCCAGGGTGAGGTCGGTGCCGGCGTCATGTGGCTTCGCGCCTTCAACAAGCTCGAGCTCCAGGAAGAGGTCATTCAAGAGGATGACGACAAGAAGATCATCCAGCGTTACACGCCGCTCGGCCTGGTCGTTGGCATCGTGCCCTGGAACTTCCCCATCCATCTCGCGTGCGGCAAGATCGGCCCTTCAGTGCTCACCGGTAACCCCATCATCATCAAGCCGTCCCCCTTCACGCCATACTGTGACCTCAAAATCGTCGAGCTAGCACAGCAATTCTTCCCACCAGGCGTTGTCCAGGCCCTTTCTGGTGGAGATGACCTCGGCCCTATGCTCACCGCGCACCCCGGCCCCGACAAGATCTCCTTCACTGGCAGCACAGTCACCGGCAAGAAGGTGATGGAGTCAGCCGCAAAGACTCTCAAGCGTGTGACACTGGAGCTGTAAGCCGACCTGTTATGCATTCTCTGCCTGTGCACACCACAAGATACTGACCACAACTCCCTTGACAGTGGAGGAAACGACCCAGCGATCGTTTGCGCCAACGTCGACGTGGCCGCCGCCGCTCAGAAGGTCACCTCGCTTGCCTTCATGAACTCGGGCCAGATCTGTCTCGCCGTCAAGCGCATCTACGTGCACGAGTCCATCTACGAGCAGTTCCGCGACGAAGCCGTCAAGTTCGCCAAGTCGATCAAATCCGGCGAGGGCAATGAGGAGGGCGTCTTCCTCGGCCCCGTGCAAAACAGCATGCAGTTTGAAAAGGTCAAGACCTTCTTCTCCGACATCGAAAAAGAGAAGTGGAATGTCGCTGTGGGCGGCAAGAACGACGATAGCAAGCCCGGGTATTTCATCACGCCCACCATCATCGACAAACCGGCCGAGGACAGCCGCATTGTGACCGAGGAGCCTTTCGGGCCCATCGTACCACTCCTGACCTGGAAGGACGAGGACGACGTCATTGCGCGCGCCAACAACACCAAGATGGGCTTGGGCGCGAGCGTCTGGTCCAACGACCTCGACCAGGCTGGCAGGATTGCGAGACAGTTGGAGGCTGGTAGCGTCTGGGTGAATACGCACTTGGAGCCCGATCCAAATGCGCCGTTTGGCGGACACAAGGAGAGGTGAGTTTTGACCTGTTTACAACTCCGTCTCACGAACAAATACTTAACTGTCCATACAGTGGCATCGGCTTCGAATGGAGCATCGGCGGCCTGAAGGCATTCTGCAACGTGCAGAGCTTGTTCCTAAAGAAGAAGGTGTGATTCGGTCGCCCTGAAGCGCAAGTGTCCAGTAGAAGAGCCGGTCTAAGATCTTGAAATTGTGGACGCACGGAGCCAGCCCCGCGATGTCCCGATATAGCCTTGAGAAGACCGCGCAACAAAGACGCAGCGCAAACACTTTGGTGACAATGCAAAGCAAAATGAGCGTGCCACTCTTGCTCCCCTGTAGTCTTGTCAACTTACTTTGTGACACACTCGTGTGTCTTCGTACTCCCGAACATCATGCATAGCTAGCGCCCCCCGCGGCGGCACCTCCACGGCTCGGGCCATCAAACCGACGTCTGAGCTTTACGAGCAGCAGTAGCGTAGCGTAGTAGGACCGACATCACCGCCACAGCTGCCGACCTCATTGTGGCATGTTTCGGGTCGGCGCACTGCCAGCGCGCCGGCTTGACTCAAAAGATTCGCCACTGGTAGACTCTTATCGCAGATCAGAGGTCTATTTTCGATGAAAGACATGATCGGCGGTCTCGCTGCGGACATGCAGATAATGTCTGAGGAGAGCTTGAAGTGCCGAACTCAGCCACAATTTCTTCTAAAAGTACAACCTGGTTTTCGTCGCGACATCGATCTGTGGCCATTGCCGACAGGCCATTGTGGCGGACTGGGGGCACCGGAGTCATCACGCCTCATCGGGAAGCACCTACTGGAGGGGCTGTGTGAAGATCGAAGTCGTGCTGTAAAGGCAACATGATGTACCGGACCAGCTGTGTTAGCTTGCAGCATTGTCTGAGACAGTCACGGAGATGATCATGGATCAACAATTCGTGATAAGATGATCGTGAACGGACAGATGGGGAAAACATGAATTTTGAAGTGAAATTTGACGTGAAAAGACACTGGAATCGGATGGGCAGGAAAAGCAACCCTTGTTGAATGTTTCTAGCTGTGACAGGCAGGACAAGGGCATCTGTTCACTTCCTTTACTTCCGTATGCAAAGCGCCCGTCCTTGGGCTAAGGTCTAAAGACCCAAAAAACGTGTAACCTCAAAACTCCTTATGCTGATGTGATCAAGCAACAAATCGGTAGTCCGACAACGCCTCGCTATGTGTGTGTATTGTTGTCCACTTCCCCTCGGCGCGTGTCCTCCATGCGCTATAGACATTCCGCCGTTGCTGGGGTATGGTGAAGCATGTGAGGGAAACTCTATTAATTTCTCCGCCTGTGCTTTGTGTGGTTCTCAGAAGGGTAACGGCTGATTTGGCTGCAATCTGCAGCTTCAGGTCGCCGATTGTTCATGTATAGACTTGTAGTCCCGTATTTCGGAGCCCGTAGCCGTCTCATCCAGATGTGTGATCGCACGGCGCGTGATCTGATAATCGAGTAGCACCGAGAAACGCTAGGCCAGTGGTGCATGACCCCTTCTCATGTTTGCCACCCCACGAGGCTGTGGGTGCTTTGCTACCAGTCATCCCATCGTATAGAGATTCGTAGCGACGCGTAGTCTCGTGTCTAGATAGGTTTTTGACCGCTGATGAGCCATACACGACTAGGCGGTGATTTCCATGCTCAACTTAGGTACCGATAGAGTGACATTCTGCGTGGCAGACAGAGCTTCCGAACCCAGGCCGATGTAGCCAAGCCATGCGTTGGGTTTAGGATACGGGATATCGGCAGGCAGTGTCAGGGTGCTGAAATCGTACTTGACGAGAGGCGACAAGTCACCGTTGAAATTGTTTGCAATAGTACCGGCTGGAACCATCCAAGTCAAGACTGTTTGACCAAGACCGTTCTTGCCGTAGTACAGGTTGAAAGTGACACCGTTGATGACCTCGCTAGCTTTGGAGCCTTCCGCGAGACCAATGGGCTCTGTGGCGCTACCGAAGGCTGCGAGCCAGACCATGACTTCGAACTCGGCCTTCTCGGGATCAGTGGAGGATTTCTCGTTGGTGTCCAAGAACATATCGATTGCAACGTTGGTTGCAGCGTTGACGTTGGTTAGCGCGGCAATGTCCACGGTGGTAGGGTCGCCGTTGCCGGTGCCGTAGTACCACTCAACATCGACAGCGATTTGGCCGACGTCGCTGATCTTCAGAGGAATCTCGGTCTCGTCGTCGGCATTGAGCTTGATGTTAGGGAAAGCGTGCACAGGCTGCGTCGGGGGACCTTGAGGATACTGCCAGGTTACGGACCATTTTGGCGCAATGGTCTTCGATGGATAGCTGCCGTTCTGGTAGGTGGTGACGCTCATACAAAGCGCACCCGGATCACCTTCATCCCAACCCCACTGACTATAGACATGGTTAGCCAAGCTATCGATAGATAGACCAAAGATCCGCAGCGTTGATTACGTACTTGGGATTGACTAGACATCAGTTAGTAAGACAGCCAAGAAAGGGTGCGAGTGAGCGAGTCAGCCGAGCAAGCAAGACATGGCCATGCTCGAACAGGTCAAGTCAGGTACCACAGCTGCAAAGCGGGACGGGAGGCGAAAAACACGCCCAACAGTTCCACTAGCGCAGGGGTGGGGATGCAAAAACTCACGTGTGTATTGCTGATGATCCTTAGAAACGTAAGGATAGATGCCCACTGTTTTGTCGCAATAGATGTCGGTTTCGATCTTGTCGCCTCGGTTGTTGCCAGGATTCATGCCAGGACCGCCACCCGCACCGCCGCCTGGAGGGACGGTGAAAAGAGGTTTTTGGTTGCTTCCTGAGCGAACGGCATCCCAGCCAACAAGTACGCCGGTTGTGACAGCAGCCGGCAGGATGAACAGACATCCGGACAGGATCGTTCCGAGAACCATGGCGACGCGTATCTGGGATGTCGTGGTCGATAAGTGCCGCGTCGATTAGTAGGAATGAGCGTGAAGCGGTGGTTGTGGGTGCTGGGAAAGAGAATAGGATGTCAAAACGACACGGGTGAATGATGAAGGCGTAAGTGACTACCTCGGAGATCCCAGCCCCAGGGCCGAAGATGAAGGGAGGCTTAGACGCTCTGATGACAATTTGCCGCACGCTGGGAAGTTGGCCGGAAGCTGGGAAAAAGGCAGTCGGAGCACGCGCCTGAGGGAGGGTCAGAAAGGGGCATATCGGGAGTAACGATCGACAAGCGAGAAACATGCGAGCAAGGCTTGCTGTGCGTGCCCAGCGGAGGCGCCTGGCAAGGTAACGCTCCCCCGACGCGTCAAAGTTTGACGGGCGACAGGGGCCCAGCTAAGCTGTTGCCAATCACGCCCGTCCTCTGGCTGCATTAGGGTGTTGATGCCGGCGCCGTCTCTGTTAAAGCTTCGTTGGCGCCGCCACCAGTCGCCCGAAATAATCTCGCATTCATCAAACCCTACTATCTCTGAGCACGGCTCCCAGCAAACCGAGACACTCTGATGCCAGAGCAAATCCCAGATCCTTCCCCATGAACACCTTGATTCGTGTCTGGCCATCATGGCCCTTGTCTCGGCCCCACTAACGGCTGTTATTCAGGAGTCTTGAGTGGCTCCGTTCAAGCCGGCTGGCCGCTCATGAGCACCACCGTCATCGAGAATGCCGCCGCAAATTGGCTTCCGCGAGAGTGCCAGCGAGCAAAACCTGCCATGTTGCCTCCCGGGAAGTCATCTGGCTGTACGGAGGTAGGCGAGGTACAACCCTGATCTCTCGACTCGGAGCAAAAAGCAGTAGCCAGCGTGCTCCGGACCCGTAGACTTTTCCTTGTGCTTAGGCTTCGTCCCTCTCTTCCACTCTTTCTTCACCACAGCTGTCAACCATTTCTGTGGCTCTACCACATAACACACACTGCTTATCCTAGCAGCTGTATCCAGTCGTTATCCTCTTAAGCTCACGAGGCCTTATCGCCCCGCTGTATCCCTGTGCCGGTCAACCACCCTCTCTCGATTTCTACTTCCACCTCCGCAGGCTGCCTGCAACTCTTAATCACGACTATCGCCACTCCAACCGCACTGTATCACCGAACAATGCAAGTGTCTTCACTTTGAGCCCACATATCACGTTCTTAATCAGCTGGTCGCGTTCCACCAACGACGGCATTCTTTGTCTCGACAAACGTGGCTGGGCCTCCTTGCCTCCACTCCGACTCGCCGTCACACTTAAAAAATGCCTCCCTTGCGCAAGCGGGAGAGCTCTAACAAAGCTGGTGGTGAGATGATCGAAGTCAGAGATCTCTCCCCCGCTCCTCCACAGCCACCTCAGCATGCATATTCCCCGGTAGAGGACTATAGGCCTCAGACTATGGAGTCTGTCCATTCAGATTACCGCTCATCCGCTCGCTCGAGAGACTACGGTAACTTCTCTCGTCCCACCCAAGACGGAAGAGACGACTCCTACTACTACGAGAACCGCTACTCGTCTTCGACACTCGCTTTGGACAGTCCGCATCACCACAACGGCAATATGCCCTCGGGCTACACGCCCAAATTCGCTCCACGCGCTGCTTCATACACAGACTCGCCTGCTGGTACCCGAAGCTCTTCACCATACCCTGGAGCATCCCCATATGTAAGTTCTACAAATAAATTTTCAAAATCTCAACTAATATCCTATAGCGGAGTACGGATACACTTAGTCGGCCACTCGTTCCCGAACATAACGCTTCAACTTTTCTCGCCAAAGACTGGGTCAAGGAGGGCTCGATTGCAAAGCTTCACCACAGAGACGACCGCGAGTTCTTGTCTGGCTGGAGGAGAAAGATATATTACATGATCCCTTTCCTGGCCGTCCTCGCCCTTGGTCTTTTCTGGCTGTATTTTGGCCTCCGTGTCGCCTTCATTCTCGACGCTCAGAGAACTTTTGGTCAAACATTCCCGCTCGCATGGACTTTCGTCACGATCGAAATCATCTGCTCGATTCCAACCTTTACTCAGACCTTCTGGGCTCTATTCAGTGTCAAGAAGCGTAACAGGCCAAAGCTCCGGCTCATCGGTAACGACACTCCATACGTGGATGTCTTCATTACCTGCTGTGGTGAAGATGACGACCTGGTTCTCGATACCGTCCGAGCTGCCGCTGATCTCGATTGGCCCCGTGACCGCTTCCGCGTGATCTTGCTCGACGACGGCAAGTCTGCGAGCCTTGAGCGAGCGGTGGAGGATATGAAGGATACCTACTATAACGTCTTCTATCGCTCGAGACCCAAGTTCCCTGGTGTTCCTCATCACTTCAAAGCTGGCAATCTCAACTACGGTCTCGACGAAGTACACAACATGCCTGGCGGCGCCTACGAATTCATGGCTGCCCTCGACGCCGACATGATTCCCGAACAGCACTGGCTCCGCGCTATCGTACCACACATGGTTTTGGACTCGAAAATGGCTTTGGCCTGTCCACCTCAGCTCTTCTACAATGTGCCCAAGGATGATCCCCTTTGCCAGACCCTCGACTTCTTCGTCCACGGACTGGAGCCGATCAAGGATGCTTTGGGTGTTGCGTGGTGTACCGGATCCGGCTATGTCGTTCGCCGTGAGGCTCTCGACGACATTGGCAACATTCCTCTTGGGTCTCTGGCCGAAGATGTCGCAACATCCACCCTTATGCTTGGTAAGGGTTGGAAAACGGCCTTCATCCACGAGTCTCTTCAGTTCGGCACTGTCCCCGACGACTTTGGCTCCCACTTGAAGCAGCGAACTCGATGGTGTATCGGTACTGTCGATACAGCCATCAAGCTCAAGTTCTGCTTGTGGGGAGATGCCGTCCGTCAGATGACCTTCTACCAGAAACTCTCCAGTTTCATCTTCGCTTTCCTAAGCTTGTTCAACGTCTTCCAGGTCATCTCGTACTTCGCGATGCCAATCGTTCTGATCATGAATAAGCCCTTGGTCGCCTTCTCGAACGAAGAGCAGCTGCGCTGGCTGATTCGAGCCTGCTTTGCCTCGATTATCGTCGCCAGAATCACCGAAATGGTTCTCTATTTGCCTGCTGGTTATTCGACTGGTCAGCGCGGTGCGCGCATGGCCATCTGGATGGCACCATATCTTGCTCTTACCACACTACGGACTTTCGTTCTGCCCAAGTGGCTCGGCGGTGCTACTCAAGCGTTCAAGCCTACTGGATCTCTCCAGTCGGCGCTCAACGAGCGCGATCCCAAGCTTCGTGCGCCTCTATGGAGACGACTTTGGGTGACTATCGTCAACTATATGGCCTGGTACCACGTTGCCATGGTCTACCTGATCCTCACCGCTGTGGTGTTGTCCTCATACCGATGCTTCCTCGAGAACGAATCGGCACGCAACAAGATTATGTGTCTCCTCACGCATGCCTTCTGGCCGCCACTGGCATGGATTCTTATTTGCAGCTCGTTTTGGATTCCCATCACCTACGCCTGCGACCCGCCCGATATGCCCGACCGCGAGGAGCTTCTGACCCGAGACCCCAAGACCGGTGTCGCGCACCCCACGACGTACAACAAGAAGATGGCCGTGGCACCTCAAACTGCGTGGTTTGAATTCGAGAACACGTTCATGACCCTCTACACGACCGGCATCTTTGTGTTGTCCTTCTTTTTCTGAAGAGGACCTTCGGCGGCGGCTGATTCTTGAATCTTGTTCCAAACATGGCGGGCGGCGTTCTGGGCTGAGCTTTTTGCATATGGGTGAAAAAACTGTGCTGCTGATGGCAGAAGACGCCAGAAGTACACATAATGATTGTAATGATGTAAATATCATGGGGTGGTTGGGAGCAAAGCACTGCGTGCATAACTGTTTAGACATTAGACTTCTTGTGGGTGGCATTACTCAACAGAAAGAGCAGGCGCGAAAGTGAAGAGTGGGAGGCGGAGAGCAGCACGAGGAGATGTCTGCTTGATTTTGGGCTATGCGAAGAAGGTCAGGGAAGGGAAAGGCGTCTCACAATACATGGGTATACTTTTTTGCAACAACACACACACATACAGCCCTCGAGAAGGATGTGGAAGGAAAGCACAAGAGTTGATGGCAGCATGTATCCGATTCAGACCGGACAACACAGATGTCCGCTGCGTCGAAGCATAATACACACATTCACTAAATCTCATGTTCACGCTCCTCCGACCGGGTCTGGTCATTTGTTCTGCATCATTCTCTTGAAATGAAGCATTCGCAAAACACAGGGCCGTCGAACGATCTATAAGCCGACTCTACGCGCTCGATCAGCCGTTCTTGACTGCTCGTGTCCGATGCGGCTCTGCATCGTCCACTTGCAAGGCAACCACCCAGTCAGCCGTTAGCCGGTCAGCCAGCCACACGAGGCAACCGGCCCAGACATAGCCTCCCACGATCTCCGGGACAACTGCAAGCCGGAATGTGGGTACGTACACATACACAGTACCAAGCTACTCCCCAAAGCACAGCCCCAGCCCAGGACCACGGCACGCCTAGGGCCTCCGCACAAACCTGCTCAACCTGCAGAGAACTGTCAATAGTGATCATCGATGCCAACCTACCCGCTCGAGATTGCAGGGTGTGGGGGCCAGCCCAAACGGACAAAGGCAAGTTCCGGAAAGGGAGACACAGATCACAAACACAGAACACGGCAAGTACCCCTTTCTCGACTTGCCGTCTTTTTCTCTATTTCGCTCTCTCTGTGTCTTGTTTTTCCTTTGATCGGGAGAAAGCCGTCAGGTCGGACATGACGGGCTTCTCGGGCTTTCGCTTGTGTACATACATGCAACAATACGAAGCACAATCTTAGCGGGTGAGCCATAGGACGCGTCACGCGTCGCGCCGAGGATCTCTTTTAAGGTACTACGGAGTCCTCAAGGAGTAAAGTGCCGCGTGCGTTAGGTCCTTGGTCACTTGGTATCGCGACCTTGTTCGATAGCTTTGATAAGGAGATTTGGCGATCTCGCCTGCTGGGAGCCGAGCTTCTTGGTACGGAGTGACTGGTGTCGGCGCTTTGGCGCTTTGACCGTTGGACCATTGGGGCCGTTGGCAGTCGGCGGTCGGTACGGAGTAGTCGGCGGCTGAGACTTGTGACTTGGCTGCTGCGGGCCGTTTTCCGATGGCGCTGTCTCTCATTGCTTACTTGACGAAGAAAGGGGGGATTGCAAGAAGTTGATAGTTGAGGAAAGAGAAGGTGTTGCGAAGGGTCAAGTGAGGCATCAAGATCACAAGACTTGATAGGAGCTTCTGAGTGGATGACTCTCGGACAGATGACTTTTGCGCAAGAACACCTTTCGTGGATGGTCCTTTGCTGGGTAAGTCGCTAGCAGGTGAGCCTTGAGCGGTCTGCTCGGTGTCAACGCAGGCACTGACAACCGCTTCTTCCATGGTTTCTTTCTTGGACACGACATTGTGATATAGCAGGAATTGCCCGCTGTGAATTGCTGGGTTTTAGACCGAGAGATTGGGCTGGAGGAGATGGTAACAGAGGCAAGAGGTAGGAAGTAAGTGAGGCCAAGGTGAAAGAAACTACAACTTCGCAGGCAGCTGGACCTTTTCCTGTCCCTTCCCTGGCTTGCCGACCTCACTCCCAACAAAGGCATAATCAACCTCCTCCCACTCGGCCATCTTGGTCTTCTTCGCCTGGATGTGTGGCAGGATTTCTTTGAACATGGCCTTGAACTGCGGCCGCCCTCCATGCTCCATGATGGCCTTTGCGTCCCTGTACCGCTCGAACATGATCACCTCGTTGTTCTCCCCCTTCGTCCGTCGCACCATGACGCTGTACGTGTAGGTCGCACTCTCGTTGTCCTTGACCCACGCGGCGAATCGCCTGTTTGCATCGTGTTCACGTTAGATATCATCCACCACCGAGGACGAAAAGGGCACAGGGTAGGGGACACTCACGACAAGGCATCTACCACCGCCGCCTTACTCTTCCCTCCATCCTTACACTCAAACCTTGCCAGCATCACCACCGTGCCCTCACGATGCACCTGCCTGGCTTCCCGCGCCACAAACCCCCCAACCGGCGTCCACACCCCGATCTCCGGCTCCCGCGCATACAAGCTCTCCTGCTCGACCGCTTTATGGAACGCCTTGAACCAATCCTTCTTCAACTGCCGGTCAGCCCCTTCTTTACCGTCGTAAATCTCGATGTTGCCGATCAGCAAGGGCCGGCCTGAACCGGAGGTAGAGGCAGGCGCTGCCGACAGCTGCTGGAAGGGCGCCTTGGCCCGCGTGCTAGGCGTGAAGTACGTCCATGTCGAACACAGCGATTCCGGCGAGAGGTAGTAGTCCCGCGCCGCCGGCAGCAGCTGTTGGAGCCGGTCCGCTTTGGACTCTGACCACGGGTGGATGAAGCTGATGAGAGCGTACGACATCACTGATGGATTGGCTTGGCGCTCTCGGCGACGGAGGTCGGAGGTCCGCCGTGTGATTGTGTTAGAGACAAGATAACTTATCACCAGTACGGGCCGAGCAACGCAAGAAGAGACAACAGAGGGATGTAGGAATAGTTATAGCCCAGGAGTGTGAGCATGGACGGCTAATCATTAATCCAACATCGTTCGCAACTATTTCGACGTCCCGTGAGCCTCGGCACAACGCTGACCAATGGGCGGCGAGACTTGCCTCTTGCGGCCCTCGAGGCAATGCAATGCCATGCAATGTAATGCTTGCCGTCCTCACCCTGCTCTGCTAGACAAATACATACGGCCGAAGTAGACGCAATGGTATACATCTGTGGAGAAAACGCCACTGGATTAGCTACCATCGATTTCATAACCACTTGTCATCGGTGCCTAGGCCCAGTTGTCGGGGCCAGTATACGTATATATTAATACACTCACACCCACATAGCAACGCCATGCCGACCCATCACTTCCCACCACGAATCGTGCTATCGCTTCCCCTCTCCCTCAACCCCCTCGAGAGACCTCCGCCGACGCCCTTTCCCAAGCTCTGAAAGCGACCATTGACCCACGGATTCAGCTGTCTCTCGACTTCAACATCTTTGGAGACTGCTTCCTCGCCTGCCGCCTGTCCTGCCCCCACGTCATCCACCGTGATCGGTCCCGTCATGACGCGCCCTTTGCCTCTGATCCCACGCTGACGACCGCTGCCACCGCCGCCGTTCCCAGTGCCACTACCATTCCTGCCGCCGCCCCGCTCGGCTTTACTCCCCGCCCGGGATCTGACGCCGGTCAGGGCGAAGAAAGCGTTGAGGGCGCCGTCTGCACCCCCGCCCGCGGTGGCCGTGGTTTGGGATGACCCGACGCTGTGCGCGCTCGTCTGCGAGTCTGTGCGCTCCATCTTCGGATGCACGTGGAGGAACTTCTCGCTGACGGCGCTGGCGGGCGTGCTGGGAACGGCAGAGGCCGCCGCCGACAACGAGCCCGCTGGCGTTGGGACGTGGATCGCGGAGGGGGCGAGGGTCGGGCATGGGCAGCCGCAGCCTGCTGGACAGGTTCTGGATCGTGGTGACTCGTTGGTGGACGCTGAAGCTTCTGACGGTCGGTGGGCGCCGGTTCTGATGTCGCTGACGCTGTCGCCGTCTGTGACGGCCAGGGAGCTCTGCCTTCGCTTTTGATGTGCAGGCTTGGTGCCGAACCAAGTCCTCGCGCAGCTCACGCAGGTCAGGTGGCCACACTCCACGCACGGCACGGCGAGACCCTGCACGGGCTTCCAGCAGGTGCTGCAGAAGCTGCGTTTCGATGGCTTTCGAGGTGCAGCGTTGCATCCTGCGCTGATGCATGACCATCCGATCACGACGCCATTCTTCTCGATCGCAGCAAGCACGTCGCCGCATCTCTGGCAGCACCGACCCACGCGCAGCCCTTGCTCGTCACCGCCAGGAGATGGAAGCTGGCTCTTCCGAGGGCTGCGCTTGGCGGGACTAGCGACGTCTGTTTCTATAGAGGATTCGTGGAAGCCGTCGATCTTGAGGACCTCCGCTCGCTGTACTGGGAGATCCCACGCTTCAAGAAGGGTGGCGTAGGCTGCGCGGAACGATCGGTACTTCCAGTCCAACGCGGGGTCAAGTAAAGGCAGCGATACGTACGAGTCCAGGTCAAAACTGTGCTGGTTGCGTAGAAATGTCTTGACAACTCTCTTTTTGCCTTTCATGTCGGCGCGTCGAGTCGTATCCGAGCCCTCTGAAGGAGCCACCGACCGTAGGGTCCGTCGCGTGGCCTCGGGGGTCGTGTGGCCGCTTCGCCGGAGGGCTCGAAGGTTTGAATGAGACATTGAAGACCTGAGACTGGCGTCCTTGTCTTGACTTGACGATTCTGGGTAATGGACCGAGGTACGTGAAGGGCGGCTGCTGTGGCTGCCACCGAAGAGGCCCCAATTCTGCGCGAGGCTGCCAGACGGACTGTACTTCTTCAAGCTGGACGCCACACCCCCAGAACTAGGCTGACTGGGTGGAGAGTGAGAATACGACTGTGTCAACGCGGACAGACTGGCCTGCGCAGTTGAGAGCCCACCGCTGGTGGCAGCACGCTGAATTGCTCGACCACCCTCGGGTGATGTTGACAGTGATACAGCTGTGGATCGTCTGTCGAGTTCATCAGCGATGACACTCGGTGCTCGAGACCATTCTGGTCGATAGCTTGCTGTTGATGGATCTAGAGACATAGCTGTCTCCCTTCTGGACCGGTGAGCGCCACGCTCACTGTGTGATGACAACAGCCGCGATATCTGAGGTCGCTGCCCCGTGACTGCCATATTGTAGTCGTCGAACATTGGCGTGGGCCACAACATGGCATTTGCAACTTCCAGAGAAGGAAAGTAGTCGTGATTCTCCAGTGGCTGGGCAGGCAGCGGTGCAGCTGACGTCGAATCCCAGAAAACACACGCGAGCATAGCCAGCATCTGGATGTCGGCGATTCGCTCGAAGTAATCGAACATTGCCGGGACGAGATATCTCGAGGCTAGCGGGCTCCCTCCCCAACGCAGCTGCCCCTTGTGGTCGTTGCTTTGCTCGTCCGACATGCCCATGCCATCGTGCTTCCTCTGAAGCTTGGAAGTGGTCTTCCTGGCGATGACCAGAAAATCAGTTTCTGAGCCATCCAATGTCTCGGTCAGCCTATGCAGGGGCACCGACTTATCCAGGACCATAGAAGCCAAAGTCCACACAGATACAAGATCGCTGCGACCAAGACTGCCAGCCACAGCCGCATTCTGTTTGCAAACCTCACTCCCCGGCCCAAAGACTTTATACCTCCGGGCTAGCTCTTTCTTCGAGGGAATCAATTCGTCAAATGATCGAATAGAGACAATTGTGTGTCGCTGCGTGTCCGTTGCAGCAGTCTTTGCCCCAGCCAACGTCGTCGACCGGTTTGAGAAATCAAAGGACCTGGGTCCGGGCGCGAACGCAAGCATTCCTCTCTTGAGCGGCCCATAATCGCCCTGTATATCGGTCCCCGGTTCCGATGACGATGAAGAACTGCTGGAGGAGCTCAACAGGCTGTCCGACGATTCTGAGCCGGATTCATCATCGTCGGTAGCCTTGGTCCCACCGGTCGACTTTCTCAGGGGTGAGTTCACGTGCAACTTACCGAACCCCTCGTACAGCCTACTATTCTCCGACCTCTCCAGGCTATTCGCCGAGAGTCCCGTGAGAGTAGACGTCGGCACTTTCGATTTGGGTGGGAAAAAGCAGATCAGCTTTCCTGTCTCCGACCAGACTGCACCACAGCCCTTAGCCAAGGGAACACGTATGTTGGCCGTTGAATCGAGTGCATTGCCGAGTCCCTCCAGCTGGTCGTCGTCGCTGGAGCTTGAGTCATCATCAGTGGCTTGGAGATCGCCTCCAAGGATCTTTGAGTCTGCCAACGAGTCACCTCGTACCCAGGACACAATCTGCTCCAGGCTCTGCTCCCGCAGCAGGTACCGCAGGATTGCCTCCAAACAACCGCGTTGTTGCGAAGCATAGGCCTTGGCTATTGTGTGGAGCTCCCCACTAAGAGTGTGGTGAAGCTCATCCGCTAGCGCTCCTGTCTTCTGAATAGTGATGACAGCATTGGCGCCCCGTGGATATGTTTGCGGGAAGCGGATGTCTACGCGCAGGTATATCGCATTCTGGTGCTCCGCCCATGGCGCTTGCAAGGACATGACCATTTTTCTGTGCTTGATGTCCACCGTTTCAAATTCGACTCGTCTGAACTTCTCGCCAACGTGGCGAATTTCTTCCGCAAGAGCATCCGGGTCCCAGGAGGCGATCTTGACGTTCTTCAGCCATGATATTGGGTTGATATTGTTGGTCGTGCTGCTTTTGCCATGCATGGCGATTTTGGAAGACCTTCGTGGTCCGGAAACCCAGCCTTTTATTTGAGACATTGGAACCTTGCTCATACCGACCGTTGTGCTGTTCCGCTTGCGAAAAGCATTGAGCTGGTATTGACTAGGCAGGCTCTCGCCGCGCGAGGGCCGCTCAATCGGCGAGTTGGTATCATCCGGTGAATCTCTGAACGACCGATATCTGGCACCTCTCCTCGTAAAGTTCAGATTCTCGGTCTTGGAAACCCCTTTTTCGTAGCCAATACCTTCTACCGTTTCAGGCTCAATCCGATGTAGTCGCAGCTCACGATCAGTGCCCCATGAAATCAGCTGGAATTCCCGATGGTCGACCCCATTCAGCACGTTGCCCCGTGACCTCCATAGGAATTCCTTGACCTGCCCATTATGGCCGGGAAACTTCGTGACAGGTTTGACCTGCCCACTCTCGACATGACCCTGAACAGCTCGTCTGTCATAAAGATAGAGATCGCCGCTTCCCCTCTCTGGCATGGCCACTAGACCCCACCCGAACGGTGTATGTCTTGCCCTCCACACTGGGTAAGGTGTTTCGATCACCCTGTCCGGCTCATCAACGGGATTATCGCAATCCCAGAACTTAATAGTCCGGTCCAGGCCGCAGGTGACAATCTTGTTGTGGTGAAATCGATTCCAATCAATGCCATAGATCTTGGTGTTATGCGCCTCAATTGTCCTCACAGGCACGGCGCCGTGCCGGTCATCCCAAATGTGCAGAAACTTGTCGTGGCTACTGGCTACCACATGCTCGTCCTGCCGCGACCACTTCACCTGCGTCGCCGCCGCAAACCAGTCAGAGAAGCTCACCGCAGGCCGGCCCGGCGTACGCAGGTCCCAACAGTGCACGAAGCTGTCTACGGCGCACGTCGCCAGGATATCCGGGTTGTGCGCCGAGAAGTTGATGTCAGTAATGGCGCGCCGGTGTCCATGCAGCACTAGCTGAATACTGTCCTGCCAGGACTTGGCATCCAAATTCCACACCAAGGCTTTCTGGTTCGACGTGCTGACGACCCAGTAATCGCGCGAGGCATGAGGCGACCACTGCACATCGGCGACCTCCCAGGGGGTCCGGTGAGGGAGATAGCGCGGTGGAGAGTACGGGGAGTCGAGATCGATGATGTGTAAGCCTTCCTTGGAGGCGAGTGCGACGTCGCGGCCCGAAGGGGAGATGGTCATAGAGCCAATGGGCGAATCTATGTGGAAGGAGGCGGATTGATTGAAGGTTTCCGAGTCATACGCGGACGAAGGAGCGTGGACCGACATTGTGGCGGTTCTTCTGACGGCGAGTATTCAGAGACTTCTGTCACCGCTGAGGTAAGTTATAGATGAAGGCCGTCGACGGCTGCATACAGCCTGGCGTTGGGGGGTGTCGCATGTCCTCTGACTGTCGGCGTCTGACACGTCTTAAAGGCACGCACAGTTATCGATCGCCTTCCTCATCACGCGCGATGTCTTCGTGCGTTCCTGCCGAATTCCAATTGTTAGACAGTCAATAGTAGATCAATGCAAAGGCGACTGTCTGATAGTGCATCTAACGTCGAGAGGTTCACTGCCAAGACATAGGTTGCGCCAGCCAATCGGAAAGCTCCATAAGTTTTCCCTCCTGCAGCAACGGCGAGACCGCAGTATAGCTTCAGCAACCAGATCTCGACCCCGATAAAACGCCTGTAGCGGCTCACAACGATCGTGCCACCATCGCCAGAGTCTGCTGGTGCGCGTCCGCCCATCCTGCCCACAATCCTGCGGACTGCAGCCACACCCTCACCCGCATCTTCCCTCGTTGTGGACAGCTAGGGCTCACAAGACCTCCCGGAAACCCCCATAACCACGATGGGCCAGTCCCAATCCACCGCCACAGGCGGCCCAGCCGACAGCAGCAAACACGTCTTCACAGCCAGCACGCCCATCAACTTCTCCTCCGAGCTTGTCGAGTCCCTGCAAGCCTCGTCCGAAACCAATTCGACGCGCGCCAAATCCCTCGAGCTGCACATCGCGCAGCGCGTGCAGGAAGAGCTGGCCAAGCTGCAGGAAGGCCAATCTTCCGCGCTTGAGGCCGCCAAGTCCAAGATCCTCAGCGAGCGTGAGGCGTCGGAAGGCGGAGAGGGCTTCGCTGCGGCGGCCAAGGACAAGTTGCCGCAGGGACTCGGGGGTGTGAGCAAGGAGGAGAAGGAGCGGAAAGAGGCCAGCAGCAAGAAGGTGCAGGAGGAGATTGAGCGGTTGAAGCGCGAGTTGGGCCAGAGAAAGGTGCTGAAGGAGCTGCCGAAGGAGGTGGAGGCGGCGAGGAGCGAGTTGACTTCGTGTTTGAGGGTCAACGATCGGCGGCCGCTGGATTGTTGGAAGGAGGTTGAGGTGTTTAAGCGGGAAGTGAGGCGGTTGGAGGAGGAGTTCGTCAGTAAGGTGCTATGAGGCGTGGCCTAGTTGAGAGGTTCCTCGCAGTGGGGAGCGAGTCGTTACGAGCTACACATAGACGGTCTTGGGGGGAGAAGCTACGCGGCCTAGTGGTGGTCGGCGAGCTTGAGGGCAGGGGCCTTTTGTAGAATACTCAGCGAAAAGCACAGTCTCAGATCAAGTCACCTTCAATGCACCTCTTTGAAGTCCAGTGAACCGCCTGAGCAAGGAGCAGTGGCAGCATTCTGCTGAATGGGGCACCTCGAGTCATCTTAGAAAGTGGATAGAGACTCGTGCTTGGGATGCACGGCCGTCTTGGATTACATTCGCGAGAAAATGGTCACAAACACAGTCGACGGTGTTGGGGTCGAGCGCGCCTCTGTCAGAAGCGCCTCATAATCCTGTATTCGCCTGTATCAGGCTTGAGCAGCGAGTATGCTGTAGTATACATCTTTGTTATCCTTCCATACAATGCAGTCCAAATCATTCAAAGCCACCTTCGGGCAATTTCTTTCCGCACAAAGAACCTCCAAACCTCCAATGCTTTGACCCAAAGAAACAATCCCATCTATGCACTTTTTTCATCTTCTCTAACTCTTGATGCTCTCGTCTGCCCATACGCCTGAGCTTATCCCATCTATGCCAGGGGTATCAATTCGTCATTCACTCGTAGCTCTTGCCAAAGAAAGCTTTGTCAGCAGTTGAAACACGACTACTTGTGCGACCACAGACGGGTCGATTCCATGTCGGCGGCGGTTTGCTTAAACGCTTTCTCGTGGTAGTCGTTCTTTTGCTGCTTCTGCTCCGAAGCAATGGTGCATTCTGTGTCCACAGTAGCGTTGCTGTATAGTGATGATTGTGTCGAGGTAAAGAGGTGAGGTCCGTACACGCCTCCAACATATCCGCGCTCCAGCGCGATAGGCTTCAGAGACGAGGCGTCGAAATGCTCAATGAATGTCTTGTCAAGAGCGCGAGATTTGGGCGTTGAGTACGTCACGTATTCTTCGAGGACGTCTTCGAGACACCAGCCAGTAGCTTTGCGAAAACATGCAGTCATGCAGCCGGTGCGATGCTTGCCCTTGTTGCAGTGCAGCAGCAGCGGATAGTTGGCAGGCTCGAGCATAATTGAGAGTACCTTGTTGACGGTTTCGGCATCTGTGAAAATCTTCTCGTCCTTGTTGGCGAGGATGGGAATTTGATGGTGGTTAATGCCGTTGGTGCTGATAAAGTTGGCATATTCGAGAGGGAGGCTTTCCGGAACTAGTGTAATGATGGTCTTGAGCTCCAGATCGGCCAGATGTTCGAAGTGGCCATGTTGAGGGTATGACGATCGGTAAAGCCCTGGAGCAATGGTCTGGAAGTTGATGGGCTTTCCAGATCCATCAGGTGTTGGGGGTTGAGACTTGTCATTGTCGATCGACGGGCTCTTGGGCTTGGAATCGTTCAGAGCAGTCAACTGCGCTACCAAGTCCACCGACAACCACGAGGCTGGCAGAGCCTGGTTGCAAGGCATGTTGTTGGTCGTATCGGACAGTAAAGTAGATACGTTGGGCGAGGGAGCGGATTTCGAGGTAGTCGGAGGATGCTGCTTGATCGTTCTCAAGGTCAATTGTGAGGCGACAAATGTCAGGAAGTCGTGAGAAGAATTGACAGGCGAGAAGGGCGAGTTTTGTACTCTTTCTGATGAGGCTAATGAGTACCTGTGATTTGTTGTGGTGGGTGCCTATAGCTAAAACCAGTACCGTAGTTTGCAGTGTCGAAAAAGGAAAGGTACTGGACGACCACTTTGACGCAGCAAAACCGACCCAAGATACTACAGAGCCATTTTTGTTGTAGGAGGCGGGACTGTCAAGTGGAAGTCGAGGCCTGAGGTTGGTTGTGCTTCTACGAGAAGGAAGCCCGGGGGATTTGCTTCTGATAGAACCGTACGATTTTTTGCCGGCTTCGCGGGTTTGGCGGAACAACGATTATGTCGTGTGTTAGACGAGTTGGAGATGATTGTGGTGACGAAGAATGTCGAACAGGTCGTTTGAGGTCAGATGAGACGATTATCTACACCTGAAACGGCGCTCTGGCATGTTGTGTGAAGCTGCCATTGTGGATCGGCGGCGATATTCGAGGGCGAGGCGACGGGCCGGCAGGGTTGGTACCGGCACACTGGTTTGGAGGTGAAGGAAAGGAAGACAAGAGATGAGGCAGGCAGCGCCTGTTGGTGTTGTGGAGAGCGCGTTTGGTTCGTGGCTGTCCAATTTCAGGAAGATGGAGGTTAGAAATAATTTCGCGCCTTTTCCCAGTGGTGGTGTTTGGCGCGGCGGGTGGGTTGACGGGGCTCGTCCGCCGCCTCGAGCAGGGCTCGGCTTAGTCTGCCAGCGTTTTTCTTAGGCCGGAAGGCAGACACCCACACGACGCAACGCCCGTGTGGAGGCGAGACCCGAACAAAGACACAAATCGAATCAAAGCTTACGGACGCGACTCGGAAAGTCTGCGTCGATCTAGCCTCCCTCCGCCCGGGTTTATTACGTCGTTTATCTCCGGGCAGCTCGCTGCGTCATTCCTCACACTCGAGAGCGTCACGATCCTAGCGCTTTACTTGCTGCCTTGGTTGAGCGCCCATGTTCCCAGGCACGCGACACGCATCCATGAGCTCAGCCTGACTCCTCAGTTAATCTATGGCTCTACGTATCTATTGTCTACTGGATTTGCCCTAGGATCGGCAGCGGCGGTGAACACAAAGCCCCCAATGCCTCAGCGATGACTCCTCATGATGACTCCACAGGCACTTCCCCGAGCCCGAACATTCTGATTGAATTGTTCCAGGCAGCTTCACACACCTGCTGAGTTGGAAGGCCCTTGACTTTGGCAATAACATGAGCCACCTGAGGGATAGTGGCCGGCTCATTCCGGCCTTTGACCATCAGCCCACTTTGCCACTTCTCCTTCTTCACTCCTTTTGGCATGGGTGGGCCACCATAGTCTTGAAGATGCTTGGACGAGGCGTGAGATGGCCGGATCTCACACCACGGCCCATCAGTTTCAATTTGAAGTCGCTCCAACGGTACCTCCTTGACCACTGCTAGATTCTCCTCCGTTTTTAGACTGCAGCCGTTGACGCCGATATCGAAGCCAAGACCAACCAGGCTCTGCATCTCTTCCAAAGTGCCAGTGAAACTGTGCACAAGCCCGCGTTTCGGTAATTTGTCCAAGTTTGCCTGCATGATCCGCTCAAAGTCGTCGTGGCACGCTCTTGAATGAAGGAACAGCGGCATTTGGAGCTCAACTGCCAGGGCCATCTGGCTCTCAAAATACTTCAGCTGTGTTTCCTTGGGTGACAGGAAAAGTCGATCGTAGTCAAGTCCAATCTCACCAAATGCAACTGCCGTTCCTTTCTGCTTCGCTTGCTCGGCCAGGGTTCTCAATTCCTTGAGCAGCACGTCAGGTCCCCCATCGTGCTTGTCGAAATCCTGGGTAGAGCAGGGATGCACTCCTACGGTGGCATAACACACCCCCGCTACACATATCAGTAATGTCTGACAATGTACCAGTCATTCTTCAACTCACGATATTGCTTGGCCAAGTCAATTGCGTGCTTCGACTCGTGCAGGTTCGACCCCGTGATCATCATCTTCTTGCACCCCACATCCAACGCTCGCTGCACCACATCGTGAAGATCGTCCTCGTGGGCCTGTTTGCCATGGTACTGTCCCCGGAACACCGGGTCTCCTAGGTTGATACCGACCTGCCAGGATCAGTGATGGTTTCCAAACAGCCGAGCCTCCGATCCACGCACGTCCGCGTACCTCAAAGACTCTTGCTGAGTCATGGCGGCAGGAGAAGTTGAGAAGCGTCGCCTTACGTGATTTGCAAGGCTACCTGGACATCGCCGCGTCGTGAAATGCACTGATACTGATCAGTGACAAATTTGAGACAGCCAAGTACACACTTACGTTGCTTCAAGGGGTGATGTACACCATGGGGCACCAAAGAGTACGATTTTGTCGCTTGCTGAGTTAATAGTATGCGTGTCGAAAGCATGAACGAAACACAGTGAGCATAATGTTGTCTGTTCGCCCATTGATCGAAGTCATGATATAAATCAAATCGAGAATGGTCAAGCCGGAACTCCCAAAACGGCTTAGCTTCATCAAGCCAGCGCCGCATCTAGTTGGACGAGAAAGGTGGTCACTATACAGTATAGAGAACCTCCTAACGCAATACTCAGTATGATCTAAGCCATACGCCGTGCAGCAATGTCAACGACCAGACGAGGCTCCTATGTACGTACGATGGGTATCTTTGAACACTCAAATCATCCAAAACCAACAATCCCACCCATGCTAACGAACGAAAACCCCTTCTCAATCATCAGTTGAAGCTGGCATACCTAGTAGGCTACTAGGCGTCTTTCTTTCCGTAGCGCTCGTATTGACCGCGACGTCAGCACCGGAGGCTCGTAGAGTGCTAGCCTGCGCTGCAGCCTTGACGTCGGCAGACTTAGGCTCACCCGTCTCATCCAACAATGGAATCTTGTCCAAGCTCTCGCGCTTCTTCCTTGCTGCCTCTTCGGTGCTGTCCATAGCTTGGGATGGCGGGCTGAGCATGCCATTGGCATCCTGCCACTTGGTGACGTCTCGCTTCATCTGTTCCAACTCCTTCTGGAAACGCTTTCCAAACACATCCATATAGTAAGTCGCTCCATTCCAAATACTCCATGTGAAGACTATGATGAGAAACGCGGCCGATGCCCATCGATACCAGAACCAGATCGGACACGGCAATATCGTAAGAAGGGCGTAAAGATACTGGATCAACATGAAGGTGGGCTCTTGTAGCGCCTCGCTACGCGCCAGCACAAATTTTCCGATCCATGTTCTCGAATACGACTTTCGTAGCCAGGTGAAAGAGGTTGGTCGGCCAGCGGCGATCTTCTCCGCCCGCCGGATGCTGATGAAGAAGTGGTAGGTGAATTGCCATGCTGCGTAAAAGACTGAGGAGAAGAAGAGCATCGACAGAAGTGAGTAATGTACTGGGGACTCAGGTGTGGAGTATTTGATCGCATATGCCCCCGGGAAGCGCTCCTTGAGCTCTTCTCTGCCTGTCAGATGCACTATGCAATGCAGGGTGACCGGCGGCATGACGTGGATGAACAGCGAAACCACCTTATCCATGGAGTGAAAAACAAGCGAGTTGCGCCACATGACAATGGCTACTGCGTTGTTGCCATAGGCCAGACAGTAGGTAGCAATGAACAGTCGTTTCGATTGCGGAAAAGCCCATATCGTGAGCAGACATAGCGCATTAACGAAGTAGCACAAGTCGGCCAAGAAGTAGTGGTACCCCTTGCGGTGATATGTAATGAGTCGAACGGGCATGAAATAGCAGAGTTGCACTGTGAACCAGTAATAGAAGTAGTCCGGTGTGGCACCGATGAGGTAGCCCGAAATGAAGACGTTAAGCACAGCCGAAATAAAGGATATCTTCTCTTTGATCGAGATCGTGACTGTCTCGGACCATCTCTTGTTCAGGCCATCGACCGATTTCTTGAGACGACTGCGATATCTGGCCAGCTGTTCTTCCGAAGATGGAACCCTCTTGCGCCATTCGGAAACAGCCTTGTTCCTGGCTTCAGCTGCCATTCGCTCTCTTCTGGTCTTAAGTTTATCCCGTTGTTCCGTAAGCGTGGCCTGAAGCTTCTCGAGTCTGGAAGGAAGGGCGAGGTTGTCGAATATATCGAAGAAGGTGAGTCTATCCAGCGGTGTCTCCCAGTCCTCCTGGAGCGACTGACTGCCCACGTACGAGCTATTTCGGGATAGTAGCATTGGGCTGCTAGGTGAAGAGGAGGCATAACCTGGGGTCAGCGCAGGTGTTGGAGGATCCATGCTGTCGTTGCTTTCAAGGGATGTACCCAGATGCAATGTGGACTGGTCGTCGATGGCCGGTTCAGATTTGGATCTGGGGACATCGAGGGGTTCTGACATGGCTGCAAGTGCGCTCCCAGGCGAGGGACTGATCGACTAATATAAAGGAACGATGCCCTAAAGATGCCTGCAGGAGGGGTCTCGGCTGGGAGGCCGTTGCACCCCGGATATGCGCGTGATCGAGTTGACTCAGCTGAGCACGAGCCTAGTTGACAGCGACTGATTTAATGCGGATGTTGTTTCTGCCTGGCTGTGGGAGGGGGAGGAAAGTACGTTGTGTTTGTGTTGTTGAAGACCAGTCAAAGTCCAGATACAAGCCACATGCCCCAACTCCAGGCCTGGCGTCATATCGACCTAAAGGCTGGGCATCTTTCCTCAGTTGGAGCTAGGCCCATCTCATTTACTAGCAGTGCCAAGGCGTGGACCCTGGCAGTGGGAGCGACGCGCCTTCGCGTGCCTCGTCGCTACGCGACTGCCAAATTGTCGTTTGCTCGGCCACATCTGCCACACCTGCCTCACGCGCCTGCCGCTTCCTGCATTGGTCTTGACGCTGCAGTCGCGAGGCGGCTCAGATCGATAAGAAAGTTCTGACAACCGTTTATACCGCGACTGAGCTTTGGCGAGATGGGAAAACTTATTCGCCTAGAACTGTACAGTACGTGCCCCGTCCATCGTATTTGCGGCAACCCCTAACAACTGATAATGAACAGACTTCAAGTCGTACAAGGGTCACCACAGCCTGCTCTTTGGCGATGCCTACTTCACCTCTATCATCGGGCCAAATGGCTCCGGCAAATCGAATGCGATGGATGCCATATCGTTCGTTCTTGGTATCAAGTCCTCCCATCTACGATCGACGCATCTGAAAGAGCTGGTCTACCGAGGTAGAGTCTTGCGCAAGTCAACAGCCAATGGCGAAGTCGAAACAAATGGTGTCAATGGCCACCGCGAAGAGGATGAAAATAGTCAACTTAATGGAACCCAGGAGCGCAATGATCCCACCTCGGCCTGGGTAATGGCCGTCTACGAAGATGACGCCGGTGAAGAGCAGCGATGGAAGCGCACAATCACTAGTCAGGGAGTATCGGAATACCGCCTCAACGACCGAGTTGTTACCGCACAACAGTACAACGAATCTCTCGAACACGAGAATATTCTGATCAAAGCCCGAAACTTTCTTGTCTTCCAGGGCGACGTCGAAGCCATCGCTATCCAGAAGCCTCAAGATTTGACAAAACTGATCGAGCAAGTGTCTGGCAGTTTGGAGTACAAAGCTCCATACGACCAATTGAAAGCCGAGTCAGAAGAGGCTGCGGAACAGCAGACCTACCAACTGAACCGCCGCCGTGGTATTAATTCCGAGATCAAGCAGTACCAAGAGCAAAAGCGAGAGGCTGACAAATTTGCCCAAAAGGCCAACGAACGGGACGAAGCGATTGTCACTCACAGTCTGTGGAAGCTCTACCACCTTCAGCGGCAGATTGAAGAGTCGACTGCTGAAATCCAGAAGTTCCAGAACGAGCTCAAGGAATTTCAACGCAGCATCGAGAAGCACACCAAAAGTCTCGACAATGCAAAGTCTGACTACGCGAAAGCCGGCCGTGAGGTTGGCAAGGCCGAAAAATCCATTAAGGAGAAAGAGCGTGAGGTCGAAGAGATGAACGCCTCGCTGGTTCCTATCGATGAGCAGATCTCTGTTTCAAACAAGCAGCTTGGCAAATATCAGTCCCGTATCAATACTATCAACAAAGAGCGAGCCTCACAAGCCGGCAATGTCAGCGACCTGGAAAAGCAGATTAAGGTAGTTGAGAAAGCCCAAGCTCAGTGGCAACATCAATGGGACCAGAATGCGAACAAACAGGGTGGGCAACTGTCGGCAGCAGCCCTGCAACAGTACGCTCGACTGCGCGAAGAAGTGAACAAAAAGGCATCAGCGGATCAAAGTAGAATCGAGCGGCTGAAGACTGACCGTGCCCCAGTCGAGGCCACCTTCAGGCATCTCAAAAACAGCCTGGAGAGTGAAGAATACAGGCTCAAATCCCTCGAATCCGAGATGACCAATATCAACACAAACAAAGCGAACGTGAATGAATTCATCGAACAGACGCAGACTGAGATCGATGCGAAAAAGAAAGAGCTCAACGCTGCTACTTCTAAGAGATTGCAGCTATCTCGCCAAAAGACCGAGATTGACGAGAAGCTCCAAGAAGTGCTACGAAAGCTGGTCGAAGCTGATGACGGTCGCCGTGCCACGCAGAAAGAAGTCGCTATGAGGGAGACGGTGGCTATGCTGAAGCGCACCTATCCTGGTGTCCGTGGTCGTGTCCACGAACTGTGCAAACCAAAGCAGAAGAAGTATGAGGAGGCTGTCAGTATTGTCCTTGGTCGGCATTTCGACTCAGTCGTGGTTGATACCGAGGCTACTGCTAAACAGTGCATCGAGTATCTCCGCGACCATCGATCCGGGCAAGCGACATTCCTTCCGCTTGATACCATACAGGCTACAGCCGTCAACCCGAGCCTGAAAGGAATGCACAAAGGCATGCGTCCAGCCATCGATACAGTCGACTATGGCAGCGACGTTGCCCGAGCCATATCTTCTGCTTGTGGCAATGCTATCGTGTGTGACACTATGGATATCGCCAAGGAACTGGTCTTCCGCCGTAAGGTTGATGCCAAAGCCGTAACTTTGGATGGGAATGTTATCCACAAGGGCGGTCTTATGACTGGTGGTCGTGGTAGAGACTCGAACACACGTCGCTGGGATGATGCGGAGATCGACAAGCTAAACAGACTGAAAGAGAAACTCTTGACCGACCTTGCCGCTCTTCCTCAGGAGCGCAGCCGCCAAGCTGAAGAGCAAACACTCGCTGGTGAGCTGAGCGGCCTCGAGGGGCGTCTAGCAGCTGCAAGAGACGAGCTGGCCGCCTTTGAGCAGAACCTGAGGAGCAAAAAGAGCGAAGTCAATAGTGTGCAGAAGAGGATCAAGGAGAACAAGCCGAAACTCAAGATCGAAGAGAACAGGCTCGAGAAAATCGACGACGAGATCCTAGAGTATGAAGGCTCTGTTATTCAGGTTGAGAACGAGATCTTCGCCGGCTTCTGCAACGAGCACGGCTTCGACGACATCCGTGATTACGAAGCCCAACAAGGCTCCCTGCAGCAAGAAGCGTCTCAGAAGAAACTGGAGTTCATCCAGCAGAAAGGCAAACTTGAGAGTCAGCTAAGCTACGAGAAGACTCGTTTGCAATCTATTGATGACCGCATCCAAGCTCTACGCGACAAGGAGCAGAGAGATCGGCAGCGCATTAATGAGTTGAACGAGCGTAAGCAGGGCATACAAGACGACTTGAACGCTCTTCAGGAAGAACTGGATGACATGAACACCGCGCTTGATGAGCTCAAGGAGGACTATGAAGAGAAAAGTCAGACACTGAACAAGCAGCGTCAAGATGTGGCCAACCGCAGCAAAGCCGCGGAGTCGTTATTGAAGCAAATCAGCGCCAACGAGGGAGATTTGCAGCGCTTCTCGTCGCAGCGCTACGCGGTTTTCCGCAAGTGCAAGATTGAGAACATTGCCATCCCTCTCACAGAAGATTCTAATACGCTCGAGACGTTACCTATCAACGATAATCCTTTTGGCGGCGATCCCGACGCTATGGACGTAGACGATGAAGACCCGACGTCCTCTGCTCTTCGAGTTCACAACGCCGGCACGGACTATGGCATTGTTCCTGACTTTGATGCTCTGGACGAAGACCTGCGTGAGCAATCGAACTCGGAAGTGGAAGCCCAGCTTCAAGAAGATATCTCGAAGCTTAACGCCCTTCTTGACAAAATGCAACCTAATTCACACGCGGCACAGCGTCTTGCTACTGTCCAGCAGCGTTTGCGGGACACAGAACAGGAGTACGATGACTCTCGTGCCCGCTACACCGAAAAGAAGAACGCGTTCGAGGAAGTTAAGCGAAAACGTAACGAGCTCTTTGACAAGGCCTTTGGCCACATTTCCGAGCAGATCGTGCCAATCTACGCAGATTTGACTCGGTCCGCAGAGTTCGCTGCTGGCGGTCGGGCCTATCTGACTGCCGATGACGAAGAGCCATATCTCGCTGGTGTGAATTACCAGACCATGCCCCCTGCCAAAACTTTCCGAGATATGGAGCACTTGTCCGGGGGTGAAAAAACGATGGCTGCACTGGCCCTACTCTTTGCGATTCACTCATACCAACCCAGCCCCTTCTTCGTGCTCGACGAGGTGGATGCAGCTCTGGATAACGCCAACGTCGCGAAGTTGGTAAACTACGTGCGAGGCCATAAGGGACCGGGTATGCAATTCATCGTTATCAGTCTGAAGACGGGCTTCTTTCAAGGAAGCGAGGCGCTGGTGGGCGTGTACCGGGACCAAGGCGGCAACTCGAGCCGCTCTTTGACCCTTGATGTAAGTGAATCTTCCCAAGACTTGATGCTATATTGGGATCTATTGGAGCTAGAAATGTTGTCGCTCCCTTGACGAGGCGAAAATATTGCATCCATTCCTATTGTACCTCACTGAGTACATGCTGACTGATTGATAGTTGCGAAAGTATGCCTAATGGATGCAATCTCTGTGCCACGAGACCATGCGTTGGATGAACTTGCCTATGAGATGTGTACGATACGAGATGAGACCGTCGACGGATGAAACAGGATCTGGAGTACAGCACCGTTGTGGAGAAGCTTTGTACGACAATGATAAGCAGATCGAAAGAAAGGATGAACCGTCTTGCGTGCACGGCCGTTGTGCTTCACGTACATCACGCGAGAGTACCCAAGCCTTAACCTACCCTCCTTTGCAGAGAATCGGACTACGTATCTGTGCACCTGCTCGAGGTTCGCAGTGATACAGAGGGATAGCACAGGATACCATGCGCCATGAATGAGATGACACGCCTGTTCTCTTCCTCTCGCTCTCGCTCTCGCTCTCGTGGGAAATGTCGCTGGCGCTAATGTCGAACGTCGATGTCGACCTCAAGACCAATCGTATTTATGAAAAGGAGATTCGTATCTGATTTGTAGCTTACTGACCCTCTACTAGGCCTGCTGGCAGCTGTGTATTGCTGGTGGTGGTACCGCGCCCAGCCCAAGTCCAAGTCTTTCCCCGTATAAAACTCTGTGATGACATGATCCCTTTGCTACCGTTTCGTACCTGTGTCAGAAAATGCGGTGCCCAATTCGCTTCCCCAAAATGCCCTCCCTGCTTGCTTGCGTGGTCCGCGCGCGGCGCCCGCCAGCTCTATGCAATTCTTCTGACAGTCTATCGTGTTGGCGGAGATGTGAGATGAGAAACAACAAGAACACATAAACATAGAAGCGAATTGATGTTAGCGCCCACCGGTTCTAGGACTTCAAGCTTCAGTCCTTCTTGATCTGCGCCTTCTGGGCCTCCACAGACGCCTGCGTTGTTTCGTCTTTGCCTTGCTCGCTGACATCTTGCTCGGCTTCGGCGGCCTCGCTAGCAGCGGTCTTGGCCTCAGGCGCTGCAGCCTGCTTAGGGTTTTCATCGATGTCTTTGTCGTCCTTTGGTGACTCTCGGCTGGCACCGTCCTCGCTCTTGGTTGCATCGGCCTGCTTGGTCTCTTCTTCAATCAGTTCTTGTTGCTCCTTGAGAACCTCCAGACGCTGCTTATTGGTCGCAGCTCCTTCAGCGTTGTGGACTTCGAGCTCGATTTCATGGAACAGCTCTTCAGGGATAGACGACAATACTGCCTGTAGTGCCTCGATCTGCGAATCAATCTCGGAGTCCTTGCCAGAAGTATACATGTAGGCATTTGAGAGGACCAAAAGCGTTGAAGGGATGTTGTACTTGAGTCTCAAATCCAGCCACATTTGGAGGTCCTCTCGGAGCTTGCCTGGCGACATACCGTGTGTCCGTAGGCCGCGCGAAGCACAAGCCATCTGGAGTTCTGGTACAGACAATGAGTCGACGCCCTCGAAGCTGATAGCCTTGTCGTCGCGCTTCGTCTGCCTCATGCGATGCCGGATTTGATATCGGAGCATGGCATCCGTGCCGAATGTGTTGAGATTCATATACTTGCACATACCGACTAGCTGAGGTCGAGACAAGTTGTCGAGAGTTAGATCATCCTTGAAGATCTTGCAGACCTTGATCACATCCTCCTTAGTGGGGGCTTCGCCAGTGGCTCGAACCTTGCGGAAGAACTCTTGGAACTCGGAGCGCTTAGCAGATGCAGTAGTTATAGGCAAGCCGGTCTCCCTGAGTGTGTTTCTCAGGAAGGACGAGACGCCCTTGCGTGTTTCCCGGAGACGGGCGGCCTTTTCTTCGCGTGACTTCTGGCCTTCAAATGTAGATGGCAGCAGATTGGGGAACAGCTTCAGTGCCACTGGAAGAAGCAATTCGGCGAAAGGTACAATAACGAAGGCGGAGAAGGGTACAAGTCGACCCAGATCCTGGACGGTGCGTTGTAACTAGATATGATTAGCTTCGAGACAGGAGCCTGTATGTGACAGCAGCGTACCTGTCTGTTCTCTCTCCTGCTGAGTTCGTACCCAGCGGCCATTTTCAGAGCAAGCTTCGAGGAGATTCTGACCTCGGCAGCAAGTAGCTTAGTGCTGTTGCCGTTAGTCAGAACGTAGAGGAGGTTGACGCGACACCTACCCGTCCCAATAATGACGAACTTCCTTCATGACCCGCTGGCCCAGAGTGAGCTTCTTGTTCTCCTCAGCCTTGGCAACCTTGCTGTCTTTTCCTTCTGCCTTCTCTTTCTGAGCTGCCAATTCCGAAAGCGACGCATTGGTCGCCGCTGACGTGGGTGCAACCACGCTAGGGTGGGAGGCAGTAGGCGGGCTCAGGGCCTCACTGTTCTTCAATTCTTCGACAGTCGGCGTTGGCGAGGTCTCTTTCTGCGCGCTTTGATTTTCGTCTCTCGTCAATGGCTTTTTGGCTTGATCAATGTTGAAACCAGGAGGGGGGCCTTCGCCTCCTGAGCCCCTCGAGCTGGACGTCTCGGTGGCATAGGCACGCTTCGGAATGGCAATGGCGAGGGCCGACACTTCAAAATCCGCAACATTGATCCTCCGGCGAGGTCCCAGGGTCTGAAAAGCCGAGCTAGTACCCAAGCGAGGATGGAACTGCTGCAATATCCTGCGGGAGGCAGCGCTGCTGCGAGCCACCTGGAATCTGGCAGCCATGTTGGGATAAGGTATTAGGAAGAGTCGGAAAGAGGTAAGCGAAATGTAGACGAAGCAAGATGTGCGGCGACTGAATTATCGATATAGAAGGTCATGCAAGAGAACGAACATGAAGGCGAAGAGGACTTGTTGGGCTTGAGGGAAGAATGATTGATGGTCAGGCACATGAGGCGAGACTGCAGTCCCGCAGGGAACTGGCTCCGGGGGGATCCACTTTGGTCTTTTAATCGCTCTATTCCCGGAAGGAGCTGCGGCTTGGCGTCGCCCGTCGGAGTTTAGGATTTAAGTTTGCGTTTACATGTACAGTATGCTGTAGCCCGCGAACCCTCGCCAGGAGCACGCGACAACGAAGGCGGCCCATCCATTCCTCGTGCCGATCTTTAGATCGCACACACGATCAGTCGCTACCTGCACCGTTTGCAGCAGCACCATTCGCGCCAGGTGAACTTACTCGTCGGACTCGCTTTTGCTCTGGGCTTCTCGTTGACGACACTGAACTTGTGTTCCGACGTCTGCGACCTGGTGGATTCCACCTTTCGAGCGACCTCCGACGCTTATTACCTCTCTGTCGACCGTGGCTGCGGCTTCTCGACCGGCTCCGGTGCTGATCCATTGACTCATCAGAACTGCGGCTCAGGCGACGCTGATCCCGAGTAGCACGTCCCTTGACAATATCAGCTCTTCCACGGTCTCGCTCGTCTGATGAATAGGAAGGAGATCTTCGTCGACCACCACCTCTGCGGCCACGGCCTCTCTTCGCGCCTCGTGATCTTGACCTAGACCGTGATATTGAACTTGAATAGGAACGTCTGCGGGCCCCAGGTGGGCTTCGAGGCCTGGAACGCGAGCAGCTAGCGTATCGACGTCTTCTAGGTGTTGGTGAGCGAGAGCTGGCAGATCTAGTTAGGGACCGAGATTCTCTGTCACCGGTTTCCACTTCTCTCCTGCTTGCCGCCTTGCTTCTCTGCCGAGGGGCGCTACGTGATCGGGACCTTGACGATGATCGATTCGAAGGGCTCCGTCGTCTTCTGCGGGGTGGTGAGCGAGATGGTGTTTGTGAGCGCGATCTGGTTCTAGAACGGCCGCGGCCATTCATCCCACCTCCACGGCGGCCACGTGGTGCGTATGAATCGACTTCACGGGGACCACCACGGTACGGCGGCGACCTTCGGCGTGGCGGTGATCTGCTAGAGTCTCTGAAACGGCGAGACTCAAAGCCACCACGTCCACCTCTTCCGCGCCCACGGCCTCGGCCACGATCGCCGCCTCGGTCACCGCCTCGATCGTCGCCACGTTCTGCACGCTCGCGCTGCCTGATATGGTCCATGTGTTGGTCTCTAGTCTGCTCTTGCTCTTGCCTCACCTTGGCGGCTTGCGCTGCTTTCTCAGCGTCGACCTTCTGGCGTTAGTGACTTTTTGAATTTATCATGGAGCTGAACCAACCTTCTCCTGCATGAGTTCGAGCTTCTTCGCTTCGAGTAGTTCTTTCGGAACGCCCTGCGGGTTGGACTGGGCGCTCAAGCAAAGGTTCCACAGTTCCTTACAGAACTTGGCAGCATCCTTGTCAAGGAAACCGGTGAGCGAGATTTGTAGAGACTTGATGTCAGGCTAGAGAGAGTCAGTAAAGAACGTGGATGGGAATGCATGTGCTCACATAGCGCGAACCCTCTAGCAGGTTGAAGCAAAGCTCGATTACAATGTCATCTTCGTTACCGAGGATTTCAGTGATCTTGCCTGCAATCCACCTGAGCTATCAGTCAGTAGAGATCGTTGCAAGAGTGTGACCAGCGCACTTCTTCATCACCTCGACATTCACTTTCTGCATGTCAACCTTCTGGTTGAATTCGGGCGGGAATTTGGTCTGCGCGCGCAGCTTCTGGTCCACAGAAGTTGCCATTGTCGCAACAATGCACCGCCTCGGCGCACGAGACTTCGGACAGAGGGAAAGCGTACGATAGTACTTAGACAAGTGGCACGAGCGCAGCATTACATTTTCATAGTGACGGAGCCGGCGTCGAGTTGCGGTCGGCTAAGCTTCCAGAACTGGAAGCACTACATACTCATGCTGTTTTGCGGGGAACAAACGGTTATCGCTGCTTGCTTCTCTTGCTTTATTGTCACAAATGCTACGATCAAATTCGACCATCAGACCATCGCCTTACGTTATGCTGACCTAGAAACTATCCGAGCTTCGAGAAGACCCAGAAGCGGCCCGAACGACGTTTGTAGAACTCTAGAGCTCGTTGCAAGGTGAGCTCATTCACCACCACAGGTAAGTTGCGAAGCCGAATAACTCCATGACGCATCTTTGCCGCAGTCAAGCAAGGAGACTGTGAGAACCGACGTCTATGGCAAGCTAAGTAACGGGAAGTGATGAAGAGGGAGGGGCTCATCTCGTTGGCTGCTGGTTACAGCGTCTCTGCTCCTGCCTGGCTACCATACTTTCCACTTGCAGATCCCCTGGTCCGAGTTGCATGTCGGACCTGCCATCACCAGTATATATACTGACTCGATGCGGCCGCTCTAATTTCTAATCAACCGAGAATATGCGCAACCGACTATACTGACTAGCCGTTCTTTCATTCTTTGCTCGCCCACAATTCACACTCGACGTCTGTCGGGAGCCGTCGACGTCTTCCCAGCAAAATTGCACTTCGAGCGCTAATGAACACACTCTTGGGTTGGAGTCGATACTCATACCACGTTGACGAACAGTTCCAATAGTGTGCTCGCCATCGGCATTCATTCTCTCATGAAACCCAGATGCCGTAGCACACGAGCAAAGTGACAGGGCACGCGGCTCACTAAGCTCACGATACATGTCAAGAACCGAATGTCACAGTCCGGCGCCGTGATCCCAGGGGATCGTCCAGAGGTCCCTGATCGACAGCAGGGCCACCAAATCACAAACGCCATCCCAAACAGCCCGCTAGGTACCGACAGCGGCGAAGAGCAAGAAACCGGTATCGCTACGGCGAACACACCAAGATTGGGACAAGTGCGTCGCGGTTTTTGGATAAGCGAGAAATCACCAGCCCCGAAGCCACAGAGTGCACCGGTCGAGGCCTTCGGAGAACTATTCGCCTCTCATCCGAATAATCGTGAGCATTCTAGGACCTTCGAGCAAAGCGACGAACAAGAGCACAGAGAAGAGCACAGAGAGTCTGAAAGTGCCATCGAAGAAAAGGTGGTGTATCTAGATTCTGCGGAACTGCCCCAAGCTCAACCCATTTGCACCGAAGCGACTTCCCTTACCCGCCGGTCATCGAAATCTTCAGCGGCCAGTATTCATGAAAATCGTGCTATGCTGCCGGACCAAAAACCGTTTCCGGGTATCGTCACAGCAACACAGGTTCCTCAGATCCAGGTTACCACACCTTCAAACTCGCAGCTCAGCTTGGTCACCGGTGTGCTCAACTCTCGCGCATCGAGCCGTCAGAGGACAATGGATCGATCTATACCGACACCGCCTGACTCTGCGGATAGACGAGCAGAACCGGACACTGCCACTAACCTGGCTTCTAGCTCTGTGACTGGATTCTCATCAATGGCTACTGAACCTACAGCCGCAATACAGTCTCTTCAACCATCTGATGCTCCTGTGGCAGTTCCTCAGACGGACCAGCTTCAGAACGTCCAACCAGCCCTGGTATTCGACGTGCCCAGGGATCCCATCATTGGTGTTTCTCGGGGTAGAGATTCCAACCCACCACACGCTCGAAATAGACTGCGTGGTAAGTTGAAGCAGAGAGTAAACCCGGCCCTGAAGAAAGCTAGAAAGCTCATTTTGAAGAAGAGGATTCTTTCTGTCATCCTAGGAAAGAAGCTGACGGCCGTTGTGGAGCCCCACCTCAATGGCGCAACATCTGTTCCTGCGCAGAATGTTCCGTGTGTGCCATGTCCAACGCCTCTGTAAGATCTTCGACATTCGGTCGCGAAGCAAAGTGTCCAGCCGGATGCCGTGGGTAGACAGGAGGTGCGCAAGAGGAGGTTATCCATTCATAGCAAATCAATAGGCATCCGTATGCAAGCTCATTTGCTTTGTACCAAGCTCCCCAGCACTCGCTGCACATCCATCCTCGCCTGGCCCAATTCCTCATCCAAGCCTTCTTCTTGGTACTTCATCTTCACCGACTGATGCAGCGAAATAAGCGTTGACGCGCGTGCTAGATCTGGGTCGGAGTTTGTTGACACTGTGTTGGCGCTATCCGACCCTTCTGCTTCCCTCGACGATTTGTGCACGGACACAAGCTTGAGTGCCGAGTCCGGTGGCTAACAAGAATATTAACGTGAGTAGCACTCAAGGAACGGTCGTGGTATACATACACATGCGTCCAATGACTTAAGGTCGGACAGTATCTCGGCGACCTTCATCGCTCGAGCGGCGTAGAGTAACAGAATCGGGTGGGCGCCGTACCAGTCTGTAAGGCAGGGTCAAGGCGATCAAGTGGCGATTGCTGAATGAACGTATGTCTGTGTTCTCAAACTCAGACCTGTGCCCACCGCGATACCCAACGGCGTTGACCGACGAAATTTGACTCCAGCAACAGTGAGAATGAAGTGGGGTGAAAGAGTGAGTGCCTGGACGCCTGTGTGGACGCCTCGTTGTGGCGCGCCGGCTTCGGATGCGAGGCTGGGTGTCCCTCGCCAGGCCCGCCGTGCTACTGGGGGCGCAGGGTCCATCTACAAGGGTCCCTGCTCACCATGCTCTTACCGCTAGGCTACCCATGTGTCTGTACATGGTATAGTATGAAACCCAAGTGATCTATATCTCTAGGGACGCCAACATCTGAGTATTGGAAAGACTTCTTCGAAGCCAAGACCCTGTACATCGAAGGGGAAGAAAATCATTCGGAGTACGGCGAGAGGAGCCCACCAAGACCGCTAGCAAATATCTTCGCAGTATCACAAGACGTCTCATGTCTATCACCTGTACATAAGGGCCCCATCACCAACTCTTTCACAGCATTGCAAAGCTACACACACACCCCCCAACCACCACCCCACCAAACCCCACCACCCAACAGTCATCATGTCACCCACCTCCATCCCCACAGGCACAGCCTTCAAGTCCGGCAACGCCTTCCTCGAACGCGCCTACTCGCTACAAAGCGAAAGCGAAGCCAAAGCCCTCTACGACGAATGGGCCAGCACCTACGACGCCGACCTCGCCGGCGAAGACTACATGTCGCCGACCGCGGCCGTCACCGCCCTCGCTCACCACCTCGACGAGAACGTCTCCAGCACTCCTGCGCCGTCAAGCCTCACCATCCTCGACGCCGGCTGCGGCACGGGCCTCGTGGGGCTGGCGCTCAAGACGTCGCACCGCCTGCGCGACGCCGTCGCGGCGGTCGACGGCGTGGATCTCAGTCAGGGCATGCTGGACGTGGCGCGCAAGGCGGGCGTGTACAGGGAGCTGAGGACGGCGGATCTCACCAAGGCGCTGGACTGTGAGGATGGCAAGTATGATGCCGTGTTGTGCGTGGGCACGTTGACCAAGGGGCATGTGGGGCCGGAGGTGCTGGGGGAGTTTGTGCGCGTGGTGAAGAAGGAAGGGGGGTTGGTGGTGGCGACGGTGTTGAGTGAAATTTGGGTGGAGGGCGGGTTTGAGCGCGTGGTGGAGGAGTTGCGGAAGGAAGGGCGGGCGGAGGTGTTGGGGGCGGAGGAGTTTGGGATCCGGAAGGGGGAGGAGAAGGGCGGGAGGATGTTGGTGTTGAGGAAGCTGTGAGGTTGCTGTAGTCGCAAGGTATGGTCGGTCCATGTGTTAGATACGGGCGCCGCTTTGACCATCACGGGTGACCTCCGTGAGATGATGACCTGTGTCTCGAGGGGTTCACCACTTCTTGACAGCAGCCAATCAGCCAGTGTGCCTCGTACGGGAGGCTCGAGCACATAAGTCTTTGTCTCGCCACTAGTATTGTTCCCCTGTCGAAAGCCTGAAGCTGGCCTCGAAGCATTACCATGGCTTTGTCCTCGGGGGCAGACCTTTGTCTGACTCTTGATATTGTGCTGCCGTCCATCAACCGGCCTAAAGCATTAGTAGCGCCTCGAGAAGCAAATGTGTGCGAACACGACGACTTGGTAGAGTGACAAGCACCCGCGCAAAAATGCATATTCATTTCTTGAGCCTCATCGCAATCGCGAGCTTCGTTATCGCAAGACCAGGACCGGAGTCGAAGGAAGTGCCTGATACACCTTTCGCCGTTGAGTTCCCCGACGGAGAAGACAGTCTCCCATACCCCGAAGCCAACCACACTCTGGTGACGCGCGACGAACCCCCTTGGCCAGGCGTGTTTTCGTGCCAGCAGCGCAACTTCCGCAAACCGTGCACTTGGGAGCCCACGGGTGGGAAAGGCGCCCTGGATTGCCATAGAATTAAGTATGGTGCCAGCACTTACGACCCAGATAGCTCGTTCGGTCCCGACAAGGGAGTGACTTGCAAGATGTACGGAGGCAGCAACTGCGAATCCACCACGCCAATACTCGTGGTTGAGTACCCTGGTGGAAATCTCCTGGATCTGGGCCGCAACGCGAACAGTTTCCCGAAGGACTCAGTCGAAGGCTTTTTTAGTTACCGATGCAGGAGCTGGAAGCAAACCGAGTCTGACCCGGAGCAGACCAAATACTTGCCCCTGCCGAAGAAGCCATAGTCGGCGTCTAGCGCAATGGTGACGTTCAGAGATTTGGTCTTTGGTGTGTTTATTTCTCGTGCGTCTGGCTATTGGTGCCGGCGCTGATGCTCCTGATCGACACCATGCGGAGCCGCGTGCGTGTCTTTCGGCGGATATTGCTGTAGCATTTGTAATCGTATCCATAGGAAATCGCGACAGGATTCAGGATTCGTCTCCTCCCTCAACCACTCTGGCTTTGACGATTCTCACCTCTTCGAGAGGCCTGTCTTCTGCGTTCGTCTTGACCAGACCCATCCTCTGCACGGTCTTCATGCCCGACTTGACTCGACCGAAGATCGTGTGCTTGTTGTCGAGCCATGGAGTAGGAGCAAGCGTGATAAAGAACTGCGATCCGTTCGTATTGGGTCCGCTGTTGGCCATACTCAAGACCCCCGCGCCCGTGTGTTTGAGTGAAGGATGTATTTCGTCGGCGAATTTCTCCCCGTAGATCGAGGACCCGCCGCGTCCAGTTCCGGTGGGATCTCCGGTCTGAATCATGAATGACGGTATGATGCGGTGGAAGACAACACCGTTGTAGTAGCCTCGCGACGCTAGAGTTGAGAAGTTCTTGCACGTTTTCGGGGCATGGTCATTGTAAAGCTCGACGGTGATGGGGCCCTGTTCTTGGTTAGCCAGTGAGCTTACGGTGTCGACACCATACACACCATCGTCGTTTCTAATACCACATCGGTAGCCATACTGCCGTCTTGTGTCGATCAATGCGAAGGAGTTCGCAAGAAGTCCGTCGAGCCGTCCAAAATAACGTCCGTTAGCATCAGCAAACGCCAAGAGATTTTTAAAGTGGAGGCCGCAGCCGTACTGCTCGACAGCTGAGCTCAAGGTTGCTTTGTTCAAGCACCATCTGCAGAATACTTCTGCGTACGGCCGCGAGGAAACACGAGGGCGCGTATAAGGTGCTAGAGTCTCTTTGCGTGACTGGCACCCCAGGTAGCTGGTGTCAGCCAGTCTAACCTTGGCCAAGAAGCGTTTAGCTACCTAGCATTTCCTTTCTAGGAATACTTCAAGGTCACGTCCAACGAGCTTGCAACCAACAACTATTGGGAAACATGAGTTGGAATAATATCCTCCATCATGAGTGAGTGCCGACTATGCCACAGTAGATAGCCCAGCGTCAGCCTTTATGCTCAATGAAGGTCTACTTTTTGTATCCTATCAGCTATCCAGCCACGCCAGCAACTATGCAATCAAGTTTCCGCCCTTAGTAGGAAAAGACTCTTACTCATCATCCTCATCTTCCTCCACCTCCCCTCCGCTGGGCGCTGGCGCTGGCGCTGGCGCTGGTGTCACCTGTGCAGCGCTCGCAGTGACCGCAGTCACCTTGTAGCTCTGATATCCAGGTCCTCTCGTTGGGACGACCATACCGGCGCTCAAGACACTGCTCTGTGTTTTCTTATCAATTTCCGCCATTGGAACCTCGTACACCTGAAGCCGCCAGTTACCATCGCTATCGAAGCGTGCAGACTTGGCGATTGAGCCAATGTCAGCTTGCGTCGCGCCGGTTCCGGCGATTTTGCCATTTGGAACACGTGTGTCCTTGACACGGCGAAATGCTTTGCTGTAGAAGATGATCTTCCACTGTTGTTCATTAGATGTGCCAAGGATCGAGATCGGGAAGCTCGCAGGAGATGCTTACACCGGTGCCTTTGAACTTCTTCTTCTCATTGGGCTTCCTCAGAATGTTTTTAGAAGACATGATGGCTGTTGTAGGTGTAGATGACTAGCTGGCCGAAGGAAGGAGAACGAACTTCAGGAATGATCGGGCTAGCAATGATGTGTAGCACCAGTTTGGTTGTATAACTTAACCCATTATCCTGACGATCGAGTGACGAACCTCTGCTTTATACTGCTTCCGAAGCTTTTTGTTTTGGTCTTTACGACCAGCGAGGAATTTATCGTGAGCGGCTCAGCCGTGTTGAGTCAGCTTATAAGAGTTACTGTCTTGAGGTCTTAGACCTTGGAGAGTGCATGTTATTCCGCAGGTAATCAGGAATATGATGATCTTGTGTCATACTTAGTCAAGGCATTCAGCCTTCCACAAACCGATTACAGCTGATGATGAGTGCCTTATAAGTATGTTAGCAAATGGACCGTAAGAAATCCGTGTTCATTGTTCTCAAGACGGAAATTTAATCTGGCATAGTCGTCTGGAAATGCGTTCTCACGCCCCGTGCGGCGGGAAGAGGCTTTTAGCTCTGTGGCAATCTGTCAATGTTGACTTTGGGACCAAAAAGGTGCAAGATATAGCGGCGCAATTCGTTTCGTAATGGGTGGCATTCTGTGCCATGTTGTCTTCAATAGATCTTACACTTGAGTTTTGCGACGGCTATAAAAGGCATTTGTGCAGGGGCCTTAGTCGGCTTCTTGTATGGTGGAAGAGTCGGGCTGTTAGCCGGTTCCTGACACATATATGTACCAGCACGCAGACCTAGTTTGAACTCGTTAAGCCCATCGAGCAGACACAGAGTTCATCGAGGTCTCCCGTTGGGCACAATGCTCAAAAATGCTGCTTCACCTCACCCCCTATGGAGGGAGTAGATTGCTCAGGCGCATCTACTGAGCTTAGCTCGTGGCGGATTTTCGCCTGCTTAATCGGCCAAGATTTGGTAGGGCTGACCCGCGGATTTGGTACCTGCCTTGCTAGTACCTGTCGGTAAACTTGAGCTTCGCGTTGACGAGAAGCGCCACAATCTCTTGCGTCGACTGATTGAGCTCCGAGCAACGGTGACGAGTCAGATACAATAGCTCAGCCCTCTAGCTCACTCAGCCGACGCAGCGAGCCAGATGCGAGCTTTCCAGCCTGCTCTGAGGCGGCAGCTGCTGCGACCAAAGTTCAACCCCGGACCTGCCTCGACTGTTCTACAGCCCGTTCGCAGACAGCAGCACAACAGCTATGGCCAGCACAAGGAATACTTTCAGACGCCTGGTCAGGCTCCATTGCCAGATACAACACCATACCGAGCTGGCGAGCAGATCCAAACGGTGTACACCAACACAGAACCCGGTACTTGGTCTCGGATAGCCAGAAGTCTGAGCTATTTCTCTCTCTTCAGCACTCTCGGTGCCGTCGCCGGCATGGCTCTGATCACATGGCAATATATGCAGCCGCCGTACCCTCCTGGCTCGCCGGAGGAGCAAGAAATGCTGGAAGAGATTGATGATCTGGTGAACCACAACCGCATCGCCGAAGACCTGCGCGAACAGGGCTGGATCGAGGAAGACTTCTACATGCGCCGCTCTCGTTCCGAGTTTGGGTATGGCATGAACATGATACACGAGAATCTACGCGGGTCTTCTCAGACCTTGAACATTAAATGCTTCAAGAATCCAAACACCAAGTACACCTTCATCATCTTCTTTGCTGGGTTTGGAATGGATGGCTTTCCAGACGTCATGCACGGAGGCATTACCGCGACCATGATGCTCGAAGCAGCAGCTAAGCATGCCTCCAACTTCCATCCTGACCTCAATCTGAAATCGAACGAGCCCGCAATCAAGATCGACTATAAGAAACCTGTGCATCCTGGCGAGATCTATACGATCATGCTGCCCCCAGCTGTTGTAGAGCCCTTCCCTGACGATCACTCCAAAAGGCTACTGAGGGTCACAGCCTTCCTGCTGCGGCTCGAAAACGCACCGAAGATCGAGTCGCGTTACAATCCTGCTAAGGGAGTCACGGAGCACATTGTGGAGGTGACCTCAACGGCTGGCACGGACCCAAATCTCGCCTTTGCCAGTATTGTCACCGAGATTGACGACAGCAACCCCGAGGAACCTTCGACCGGTCCAGACTGAACACCGATCCATCTACCGCTGTGAATAATTGTATTGACTGGGAGCCAAAGACTAAGGATCGAACTATCTTGGCTCTAAACATCAAAAGTGCATGCCAGGGCAGCGGCAGCGGCCTCTCACCCTGCTGCACACCTCGTCCCTGTTCGCGAGGAGTACCGCGGGTTCGGTGGCTGCCATTGCCAATACCAATATCTCCAACGCTGCAGCGGATTTCAGAGAATACGGCGCCTGCCACACCAGTGACATTGGCTAGCATACCAGCTTGTGAGTTGGCTGCGCCGCGCCACTCATCCCCGTGATACTTGCTGTAACAGTCACGCAAGCTGTTCCAAAACCTATAAAAGTGGCGGTCGTGCGGTCCGTGCCGATTGTGCAATAGCTCGTGCATCATGACATCCAGCATGAGGTACCAGGGCTGTCTTCTGAGCGCGAGCCGGATATTGCCCGTCCCATCGCGCAGTTGGCCAGAGTACGTCTCATTGTAGCCATGCAACCGACCTTCGTACATGGGGTCTAACTCTCCCAGCGAGGCGATGGAGAGGTCGAACTCTTCCATGACTGGCTTCATGCGTCGGGCGGCGGCACTCAGTGCTTGGGCTGCTTCTCGTGGGTGGGAGACGCCGCTGTCAGGGATCATCTCGGCGATGCGGCGATTATCTGAAGTGTGACGATCGGGGAACCGAGCACGAGGGCGACGACGGGAACCACCAGCTCGGGGTCGGCTGTTGGGACAGTGAGGGTCACCGCAACGGGGGCAGCCCGAGGGAGTGATAAATATAATGCTCTAAGACATGGCGGAGCAGGTTTCGCACAAGGCTTCTCTTGCGCGCGGGAGAGGAGGGAGAGTCGGCTAGCGCAAAGTAGAAAACAAGTCGAGAAGTCCAGAAGGTCGGCAATATATACTGCCAATGACAGTCCTGTCTCACTTTTCCGTGAGACATTGAGTTCAGGCTGCGGCGCAATGGGCATTCCTTGCGTCCGTTCGCGCCGATGAATCTCGACCGCCGTGATACAGCCTCAATTGCACGCGGCTGTGTGATCAGACATCATGACGGGAAGGGCATCCAGCGGCGGCGGCTGTCGGTCTCGCCAAAATCAGTCACCCACCAATCAATGCCTCCCCCTCTCATATCTGCCTGATCTCCCCCATGTTAGTCCACCAGGTCTCGCACGCTCACGACTCATGCCTTCCTCACCTCCTATCCCTCCCTCCCGGCCCTTCCCGCTCCCCAAGTCCGTCCACGAACACGACCACCACGACCACCACCGCTCCCTCCTCCACCCTCAGCCCCCAACCCAGACCCCGACTCCGATCCAGCAGCCACAGCCACACTCACAGCCGCCCTCGCCCTCCTGACATGTCTTGGCATCCCCCCCTCCCCCTTCTCCTCCCATCCAGCATCATACACTCCAGCCCTTGATACACCCCCCCCCTCATCCTCCACCTTTCGAAACACTCCCTCAACCCGGCCTCCAACCTCGCCCACCCCCGTCCCCTCCCGTCAGGGTAGCGCATCCTCGCCAGCTCCCCCAGCAGCCGGCCGTGGAACATGGCGGTGGGGGTCGAAGCTGCGGTCGAGGCGGACGGTGAGCATGTGGGTGGCGGGGTCGTAGTGGTAGGGCTGTGAGGAGGCAGAGGAAGGGGAAGGGGAAGGGGAAGCGGGGGAGCTCGGCGAGTGTGGGTAGGTGGAGGTCGAATTCGGACATGAGGGGGCGGAGGAGCCAGGCGACGGATTGCAGGCGGTCGAGGGTGAGGGCGGGGGCGTTGTGGGAGGGGTGGAGGTGTAGTGGGTTATGAGGGGTTCGGGGTTGGAATTGGTGGTGGTGGTGGTGGTACTGGGGGGGCGAGGGATGTCGGTGGGGAGGTGATGGGGAAGGAGAACGGCCCCACCAGGGCGGTGGCGGCGGTGATGGTGAGGGATTGAGCAGTGTGGCTGATGATGATGATGATGGAGAGGATGGAGAACGTCCCTGGTCGGAGGGGTTGGTGGTGAGGGAGAACGTCCCCGCCACGGAGGTGATAGTGAGCCGCTGGGCGGTATGAGTATTCTAATCACGGATGGGGACCCATAGCTACCACTGGAGGAGTCGGAATCGCAGCAGGGACAAGACGCATCGCAGTGGCTGTAGGGGGAATGAATGCGTTGACAACGGCCGCCATTGAAGGGCGAGTCGGTAACGCGGTCGAGAACGCCGAGGCCAAACGGCAGCCGGACCTGGCTGGTGCGTCGGCGAGGCACTGTCGGGTATTTGGATATACTGGGAGGTGGAATGCAGTGGCTCGGCTGTATCTAGCAGGTCCAACTATAGACTAGCGAAGTTAGTAATATTGGGTGTGCGAGCTATAGTGGCAGAGGAGGCAGGCCACCACGCTGTTTGTGGTCTCGGAGGCGCAGCTTTCAGCGGCTGGAAACATGCTCCAGGGTGTCGGCCTCGCCGGCTCCGGTATATTCAAGTCAACAGCATGCTCAGTGGTCAACAGTCAGGGTCGCTGGGTCGTTGTTTGACGATTTTGCAAAGAGACACAGATCTTGAGGTAACCATTGTCGAAATTTGGTATTCTCGTCTGATATCGAAATTGTACGATTTCACCCATAGGTAAGCTGAATAGAGAGGTTCTTTGCGAATCACAGGGTCGTCTCGAAGTAACTTCACCAGGATTGATCGATGCCAACAAGGTGTAAAGCCCTTACGCTGCTGCCACAGCGACGCATGCAGCAGAGTCGAGGCCGGCGGCCTGGCCCGGGGCTCCTGTGGTAGAATAGAGCTCAGCGTGCATGCAGATGTAAGATAGTGTTGCGTGATATCAGCAGGCGTTAGTGTCGGCAAACTGCGGTCGAATGTGGTGTGTTTGCGACTTAGGGGCGAGGGCTCCCCCGATCCCATACTCGACACTGCCAGCGGACAAGAAACGTCTGTCAACATCAGTGCCACATGATCATACGAACGTCGCTGGCGGTCAGTCGCTGCGCCATCGTATAAACATCCTGCAAACAAAAGAAATCAAGTCTGAATGACCGTGACCGTAGAAGCAACGATAACATTGTTTCTACACGATAGCTCCATACCGCGTGGGCACGAAGGTGTCCACCACAGGCGCCGGTTTCCATGTTCCATGAATCTGGCTCGTCCCATCTTCAAGCCAGTAACGTCGAGTTATGCTCTAGGGAAAGGAGCCTTTGCCCAATGCACTTTCCTTTACATGATCATTTCAAAAATCTGCAGGGGTTCGTTTGGGTTGTAGCGTCGTTCGTTTGCCAGCTGGCTGCCTGGCTCGATGGCGTTGTCGGTCATGCTCTTCTCATCGGATCGGCATCGAAGGGCTCTATGAGGTTGGGTTGGGGTTCATCTGATGATGTTAGTGATCAGTCGCAGGCGATGTTTGTTTCCTGCGTACCTTTCTCTTGCCGCCAGTCATGGTGACGTTTACGAAACGACGGGTGTAGGTTATTCTCTTCTTTGCGCGACCCTTGGGAGTCTTCTTCTTCTCTTGGGGCTCGACCTGGACATTGATGTGTTAGTGACTATTGATCTCGTTGGTTGAAGATGCTAGCAGCTGTCGCATCGAGTGGCGATGGATTGGCTTGGAGATGGCGCACCTTGGGAGTCTGAGACTTGACCTTGCCGGCACGGGCAAGGGATCCGTGAACTTTACCCATGATTGCGGTGTAGTTGTCGCTTGTCGAAAATTGATGGACGTGCGGGTACGGCGAGGAAGTTCGATGGGGGTGTTGGTGATGATGAGGTGCGGTTTCTCATCTGTGGGTGTCCGAATTTAGGCAGGTCTTGGCTCCGATGCAAATGAGTCATGTATCACGTGATCAATGCTTTTTATGAGTCAAACTCCCGCCCTTGAACTCTACTCGTTCACTGCCTGGTCGTCGGACTACCAGCATGTTGGAGCACCTTAATGTGAAGTACGATAGACTGACTCTGTCCTTTGAGCAGGCTAGCGTTACGGTCGAGAAATCGGTTTCTTGATTTCAATCAATACTTCGACTTTGTCTTTGTAATCTTTCCGCCGCTACTACCCCCAACTTCACATGCTCATTAAGCAGTCCATGAATCGCCGCAAATCCCAAGTACCTTTTGTCAAGGTCTAGACTCCACCAACAATGTCCTTGCCGTCCTCGCACACGCGAGATGCATCGAAGCCTGGGGATATCAAGGGTCCATAGCCAATTGCCATACAACCCATAAAGCTAGCCCCAGCTCATCGTATTCGGCTCGAAGTTATCAAAGCTTCTCCGCCCGCTCCCAGCAGTCCACTGCCCTGCCGAAGCTATCGTCCAATGTCAGGGACACTTCATCTCTGGCGCCGAGATAAGGTGCATATGCATCGTGCATCTGAATCAGCCTTATTCATAGCCGTTCGCGCGGGACAGCTGGGCACTTACGCAGCACATTATGATTGGTTGGTGGAATTGGAAGTAACCTAGTTGGGGATCTTTTGCGGACATTGAAGTCATATACTGGCAAGGTGGTTTCCAGTTTGGGTACAGGCTGTAGGCCGTGTCGACGCTACCTTGGAGCCAAGTGCTGCATATATAGCCGGCGAAGGAATGTTCATCTGTGGTAGCCCGCTGCGATACCCAGCTCTGTGTCGCTTAGAGTAACTGGCATCTTCGACGGGACCCCGCCTTTTTGAATGATCAGTAAACGATGAAGGGCGTGATTTGCGAGAAAGGCGGCGCTGGGCTGAAGGTCGTTGATGACCTGCAAAAGCCAAAGCCTGGTCCAGATCAACTCCTGGTTAAGTCCTTGTATATTGGTCTAGCACCTGTGTACGTGGTTCTATCACCAAGATGTGTTGATACTAACATGTCTGTACAGGGATAAGTTCATGATCGACTATGGTCAGCTTGTAGACGAATGGCCAGTGACGCTCGGTGCGGACGGATCTGGCAAGGTTGTTGAGCTCGGAGAGAACGCAGGCAAGTATGGTTTCGAGGTGGGAGATTATGTCTTTGGCTGCGTTCGTCTGGGCAAGAAGGGCCACGGCCAGGGGCAGGAATACTTTCTCAAGGAGGCACCGGTAACATTCAAGAAACCGGAGAAGCTCACAATAATCCAGGCGGCCACCATTGGCGCTGGAGCTTCGACAGCCGGGCTTGGTGTGTGGGAAGGCCTAAATGTGGCATTTCCTGGGGCCAGCGAGCCCTCTCCGAAGGATGAGTGGGCCATCGTGTTCGGAGGTGCAGGCAGCGTGGGCAGAGCGGCGGTGCAAGTGTTGCTTCTCGCCGGCTACAAGGTCGCAACGACTTGCTCCAGCCGGTCCAAGAAAGATCTTGAGCAGCTCGGCGCTGTGCCTGTCGACTACAAGCAGCCTGAAGCCGACCAGGTCGAAGAGTTCATGCGCGTGACCGGTGGGAAGTTCTGTCGCATCTTCGACGCAACTTCAGCTGATGATCCGACCCTCGCAAAGGAGCTCTTCAAGAGGATCTCGGGAGACAAGTATTTCGCCACCACCAACGATTGGCCTGGTCCGCCCGACTTCGAGGGCGGTAAGACTTATCACATCGAGCTTGGGCCTATTGGCAACCCTGAAGCTACTAAGCTGAACGAGGTTCTGAAGAAGCACATTCCTGTGCTGACCAAGTACCTCGCAGACGGTCGCCTGACAACCCCAGAGTATGAGGTGTTTGGCGAAGGCTTCGAGGCTGCAGTCAATGCCTATGCCTACCAGTCAAGTGGCAAAGGGGGGAACAAGAAGGTGGTGGTGAAGGTTCAGGACGAATAGTGGTGGTGAAGGTTCAGGACGAATAGTGGTGGTGGGATGTAGCCTGGTCCGCAGGATGTAGGGGCAAGACTGCAATGCGAGATTCAGCTGCCGCTGAGCCAGGCCAAGACTTTATTGAGGAAAAGTGAGGCATGCAGGGCATGACTTGGACATGACCAGACTAGCTCTTCAATCAGTCCTTCGCTATGCCGTTGTCTGCGATGATCGACCATTGTCTCGAGTGCATGACCTCTGACGAAGGGTGTGTCAATTTTCACGTGGCAAGAGTTGGGCGGGCCAGATTCCTCCCCCTCCCGCCCGAAGCAACTGGCCTTCGAGGTTAAGTGAGAACAGCTTTGGCAGAAGTCTGGCACGAACCGTTGGTTACTGATGCAAGTGACGACTCTAGGGTTTGGGCTGTGCTCATTGTCAATGCCGGAACTCCATGCATCGCTCGAAGGACCGTGCTCACTTCCTCGGATTCCGCATGGAGGAGGTCACGCCCTTCTGGGGAAAGTTCACTGCAGAGCCGAACACCTTCTGGAACCCAAGGACCAAGGCTGCCCCGGACGCGCGCCACGGGGACTGTATAGGTGAGGCTCTCCATGCCCACGCCATCATCAGCAGCCATCTGACCAGCGAGGCGACCAGTCTCGTTGCATGGTGCTTTGCACCACACAGCGCTATCGCATCGCCATAGCATCGAGACCCTTATTAGCTGACGGGTCGCTTCCACCCACCTGGGATGTGGTGCATCCTCTGACCGCATTCAAGGGCATACTAGTCACTAATTGACGGCGTCGTCCTAAACCATTAAGAGTGTGCATTCCGGCGCAGTGCCGTGCCCATGTAAAGCATCGCGTAGAAGTATGTTGGCGAACATGTTGGCAGCCGACTTGCAGGTAGCATATCCACTGGTCGTACAGTCGCACCGAGGAAGATTGCTGAGTGCTCGGTGTAACTAGCCGCTTCTTCTGAACAAGCGCCTGTCGAGTTGATGTTCGTCGACGTCAGGTCCGAGCCGTAGTGTCCAAGAAGTCGCCGGCCCTGGTGTTGACTCTCGCAATGACCTCGATGGCAAATCCAAAAATCGGTCATGTACTCGGTAGTCGTGTTCGCTTCATAATGCGAACCAGAATGAGGCGACGTCTAATAGCACCGCGCTGCTGTACTCTAGTTCCGGGGTCGAGTACTAGTTAAGTAGGGATCATCCTGCTTGACCGGTGGGCCAAAACCTTTTGCTTCTACACAACGCTCTACTGCACACTGTAAGACTTGTGTGCACATTGTCCAATCCTCGTTCCCAAGGATATCATTCTCGCTAAAGCCTTGCATATGTCTCTCGGCGAGTATCATGAGTCAGTGTCACTGCCCACGGCCTACGACCAAGATGGGGCACCTTTCACTTCGGGTTTCACCCGTAGCTCATCCGAGTCTCACAATTATTGATTCCCATGCCGTCGGACTCCGTATTCTTGGTCCGCAACTGGCATCACCGATGTGAGTCGATGGCGTTCGCAAGGCGGTTGACCCGAGAGAGCGGCTTGTCATTGCTTTTGAACAACTGATGAAGCGAGCCCCGGCGTCCAATTTCCACAAGCCCCCCATCCGGAATGCTGGACCGCATGTAATCTCATTTCCCGAAGACCCATCCATCTCAACCCGGACACCACGTTGACGGCCTATCTTAGGCGAAGTGTAGCCCTTGCCCTGCGTTTCCGGCGCTTCTCCTGACTCAGTCCGCATACGCGCAAAGTCTTACACGCCCGCCTCACAGACCTTCAACGTCTCTTGCCCTACAGATGTGAGGCAATAGTGCCTGGCCAGCATTGGTCGCCTGGCCTTGAACAGAGTCTTACGGATATGCTATTCGCTTGCTTTAGGGGTTCATTCGATGTTGAAAGGAGGCGACGGAGATCCAGATTGGGAAACGAATCGCAATTCGCCCGACCACGATGGCGACACCTTATATGAAGAAGAGCTGTGCAAGAGGAGGGATTCGGGGCAGCAAGCAATGGACATCGGAAGCGACAGCATACATGTTCCTAGCACGAAAATCCCCGAGCCCCATCCAAGCCACCACACCCACTCACGGCAATGTAAGCAGCGCATCTCCTCGACGAGTGCTCGCCGAAAAAGCCCTCCTCCCAAAGATACGCGTGTCCAGTCCATTCTCCTGCCATGGTGCATGGCGAGCAGGGAGATCTGCGAACTCCTTGAGAAGGGCCCTCTGGACGCCCCAATTACCACCGAGTCGCTCAAGGAGCTCGATCTATTGCTCATCAAGAACAACCTGAACTTGCGAATCGACGTGCACTTTGACCACGATCTCCATTTCATGCCTATCTCCGGGAGGCGAGGCGAGGAGAAGCGTTCAGAAGCACGGAGATATTGGCGTTGTTTAGAGCTTGAGCTGCAAGTCTACCAGCACGATGCCCTAGGCAATTGTGAGTCCTGCAGTAACAGTGAAGACTGTGGTAGTCAAACTAGCGTCCCTCGCCGGCTGCACACCATGTTCGCCCAGATGAAAGAACTCATTCTCCTCCTCGTGCCCGATGATGATCATGAATGGGTACGCAACACTCTTGACGTGGGACTACTCGTCCAGGAAGTGCAGAATGGGGTTCTTGACGTCGAGAATCTGTCGTTGTGGCTGAAGGCTCTTCTGACTAACCACTGCGCCCCGATTCGCGATGACTGGGCCGAGGAGATGGCTTCTACAATCACCTCTGCGGCCAAGAAGGGCAATATGCAGTATCTTGTGGTTGGGCTCGAGAAGTTGTTTTCCTTTCTAGAATGCATGCGCCTGGATGTTGCGAACCACCAGATTCGTATGTATCTGCACCTCTCCCCAAGCAGCACAGGGCTAATCGTCGCAGGGACCTACCGTATCCCATTAATCGAAGACGGAGTAGCTTTCCAGATCGACTATTTCGAAGCGCGGATCGCTCAAGGCAAACTCAGCGTCGAGGGCTCGCGGCACTGGTTTGCAGGCCTGTGTGAGCAGTACCCTCGCACTGTCGGCCGGAAGGTGAAGGGTCTGCACGTCCTGGTGCACGGTCTGACCGAGCTTTGCACGAAGCGCGACACTCCTCTGCCCATCACTCTGAAGCACGACCTGAGCCGACTCCGACAGATACAGCAAGAACTGCAGGACATCATCCACTTCCGCATCTGTGAACTCCTCTTCGACAAGATCGTCCGCAATCTCCGCCAAGGCAACGAGCGCCCGCCGAACAGCGCGCGCCTCTGCCCAATGCGGCTCATGGACCTAATAGAAGACGAGCGAGGCGGCGCCGAAGAAGCCAGCGCCTCGCACCCCTGGCGCGACAACGCCGACTCGATCGCCGTGGAAATCACGCAACAAGCCTTCCGCGGCGTCGTCGCCGCTCACAAAGACAGCAGCACGGCCACCGTCATCTCCCCGGAGGTCTTCCGCCACGTCCAGCGCGTGCTGCACGACAACTTCGAGGCCGAGGACGCCAAGCACGCCCAAGCCGACAGCCTCACGCCCCAGCTGGAAAGGAGGGTCCTCGAGCACGCGTCCCGCTTCGATACCATGACGCCGCTCGAGATCTCAGAGGAGCAGAAAAGGACCTACTACCACCAAGCGAGAGCAGCTGGTGGGGCCGCCGAGCACCACCACGGTAGATCGTTGCCGCAGGTCGACGACATCGCCCGACGTCTGGCACATATTTCGGTCATTCATTGGAGGGTTTGGCGGGGATTGGCGTACTTGGATCGGGAATTTTGGATAGCGCAGGGCGTCGAGTTCGAGAAAGGCTTCGAGGAGGAGGAGGAGGATGGGGACGGGGAAGGGGAAGGGGAAGAAGACACGACGGATATGGGGGAGTTTTGACTTGACGTTTTTGGGGGGGGTGGGATAGCACACTCCATTTTTGTTTCTTTGGTAAAGTCTCGGTTTTGGTCTTCTGCCAGCGCACATGATACCCCTGTCTGTTTGTACCATTTTAATACTGTAGAAACAAACACAATGCTTGCCCCATTCTCAATTTTACCGGAGAAGAGATCGTCTGATGGTCGTGGGTAGCATGCATGGCTCGTCCGCAGCTGCCACAATGGGCTGTTCTACCCCGAGCTTCTGTGTCTTCTCTTCTTTCTAACTTCCTCCTGACTTCTCCCGAGTTGCATCAGCCTATGCACCGCGCCAGAGGCCAAGCACACGACTGACTCCACAGCGTATCCGCATAGCATATCACCCATCGCGAGCTCCACCCACGCCGCATAGTCCTCTTCTCTACTCTACCAAGTACTACAGACCGAATACATTATACACCAGTGGTAGACGCAGCACGCTGTCAGTGCAGCAAACTGTGATTGGCCCACGTCCCAAAGAGGTAAGCGATGGCGCCTTGGCGCACTCATTACTATCATTGCCCCAGAGCCTATGTAAGCTAAGAGAGATCCTGGGGAAGCAGATCGCCAGCAGGCCAGAAAGTCCATCACCAACGTTCGTCGATGTCGGCGCCGTTGATGTTGCCGCGCGCACGCCGTCGTTGTGTCTGGACACCCTAGCAACGACCTGGCCGGTTCCTGCGACGATGGATTTTCCAGCGAGCTGCAAGAGAAGCGAGCCGCAGTGGCACTATGAGCATCGGCACCTACCTCGCGTGCCCGGCGTGATGCAGGGATAATTCGTTCATCACGCTCGCGTCGTCTTCTCGTTGCAGAGTCGTCAAGCATAATCATAAGTTCCCACCAGCCCTTGCCGTTGCGTGTACTCCATCGCGTCTTGCTCGGTGGCCAACCCTCTTTCCTTCCGCTTCTGCAACTCAGTCTTACCCTCTTTACAATGGTCGCACGCGTAATCACACATTGCCTTCCCTTCCTCACAGCCGCCGTCAAAATAGTCCGCCACCAGCTCGTGCCTGCACCGATCCGTGGCCTCGCAGAACTCGATCATCTTCTGCAAACTGTGTTTCTTGGCCTCCGCGGTCTTGGGGTTCTTCTCCTTTGCGATGTCCTGCCCTAATCGCCAGAGACAGCGGTCTTTGTCCTCGCGGGTGTACAGTATGACGGACGCGGCGCCTTTGTTGTCTCGCCCGCCACGCCCGGATTCCTGGATGTAGGACTCCATGCCGCGGGGCAGGCCGTAGTGCACGACGAAGCGGACGTTGGGCATGTCGATGCCCATACCAAAGGCGGTGGTGGCGCAGATGAGGTTGAATGAGGCCACGAGAGACTCGACTTGATCCGAGGGAATGGTCGGGCTGGCTAGGAAGTCGGCTTGAACCTTGAGGCGGGTGGCGGGCTCGAGACCTGCATGGTATGCTGAGGCGCGGATCCCGTTGCTGGCCAGACGGTTGGCGAGTTCATCGGCGGAGGCCCGGGTGGGACAGTAGATGATGCCGTTAGTGGCCTTGGAATAGGCATTGGGTGCGTTCAGACTGCCAACGACGCGGCGCTGATGCATTCGTGTCAGCCAGTCGAGGAGAAAGGGATAGAGGTCGCCCTCGGAATTTTGCGGATTCGATTCGGAAAAGTATTGGACATCGTAGTGGATATTGGGCCGAGCACTGGATGTAGTGAAGACAGTGGCATCCTTCATGCCTAGAAAGGTGAAGATATCATCTCGGACCTGCTTGGTTGCTGTTGCAGTCACCGCCATGATGGGTACACTGGGTAGCACAAGGTTCTTCTTGAGCCAAACCAGCTCCTTGTAGGCCGGTCGAAAGTCATGTCCCCATTCACTGATACAATGTGCTTCATCGATAGCGATCCTGGTCAGCTGGCCTTGACGGTGGACTTGCAAGAGGATTTTGCGGAAGCGGTCGAAGGAACACAACTCCGGGGTCACATAGAGAAGCCGGGTCTCGGGATGGCCACACAATAAATCTGTCTCGATCCTGTCCCTCTCTGGCCGTAATGTGGTGGAGCAAATGAGCGCGGTGGGGATTCCCAGTTGACTTGCGGCATTGACCTGATTTGTCATGAGAGCCAGCAGTGGTGATATGACGACGGTCACGCCGGTAGCGACGACGGCTGGCAATTGATAGCATAGCGATTTGCCGAACGAAGTGGCGGCGCAGAGAAAGATGTCGTTGCCGGCGATGGCCTCGTTGATAACCTCCAGCTGCAGGGGCCGGAAAGCAGCCTTCTTGAAGACTCGCTTCAATGTGAATTGGACATCTATCCGCTTCCTCCTCGGCGAGGGCGGCATGACCGCAACTGACCTCTTGTCAAACAGGGCGGACCGGTGGATGATGGTGGTGATACTGATGGAACGCGTCTCATTGCGACACCGTAGCGGAGTCTCGGCCACCGTAGTTGTTCAGCAGCTCATTGAAGCACTCTGCAACCCTTAGATCATGAATATCCGACAAGCGGCGTGCTTTCATGCTGCCGATTCGACCAACCGGCCGGGTTGCGAATGACTTGTAAGTCGTTGTTTGTCAAAATTAACGCCTTGTCCCTAATTTGGGTCCGCCTACTGATTCCCGCAGAATGTTTCCGTTTCGGGTATAGCGCAGGCGTCCCAGGCTTCGACAAGGCAGTTTGCTAAGGCTACACCACACCTGAATCGAGCATTTCCTGCGTGGAACCATTCCTTGAAGAAAGCTCTTGTCTGCACCATGCCACCCAGATTCTCGGTCTACGTTCGTAGAATCACTCCTAAAGCGTCACTCGTGTGGTCTACGTCCAGCACCACCCACCATCGCTGACCAGCCGAGCATCCCGAAGAAGCATTAATCCGCCAGACCAGCGACCATGGTTGGCGTGCCGGGACGTTCGAAAGCATGCAACACCTGCAAGAAGCGTAGAATAAGAGTATGCTGATCTCTAAAGCTTGCTGGTGCGCACTAACCCTGAGCAGTGTGGCCTCGAGAGACCGCAATGCGCCAACTGTGTCAAGTCGAATCGGCTGTGTGCTGGCTACCAGCGCGAGCGGGTCTTCATCGTCAATCAAGCGGTTCATCCGTTGTCCCATACGGCTCAAAAGGTCAAACCAGACAGTCCAGAAACCGTAGACGACCAGGATATGGGGATCACCAATCCGAAACTTCCAATCTGGAAGCAGAAGCACCGGCACCCGAAGCCGTCCACTAGTCGCCAAATCTCACTCATCCCGGCCTACCGCCAACAGCTCCTGGACAACTACATCCGCACCACCATTCCCGACGTGTCACACGCCGGTCCAGGCGCCACCTGGTGGGTTCAATCCCTCGCCCAGCTCCCCTCGCACACCCCCGTCCTCGCAACCGCTATCCTTGCCGTTTCGCTCTCCAAAGCCGCCAGTGTCCACCATGACGCCAACCTCCGCCTGCAGTCTCTCGAGCACTACACCACAGGCCTCTGGGAGCTGCAGAAAGCCCTCTGGTCCCCCGACGAGATGTACCGGGACGAGACGCTCGCAGCGTGCCTCCTGCTGGCCGTCTACGAGCTCATCGAATGTCCCGGCGGCTCACGCGTGGGCTTCATCAGCCATCAGGACGGCGCGGCGCGGCTGGTGCAGCTGCGGGGACCAGAGGCGCACGTTGACGGCTTCGGACACGCGATGTTCCTGGCCTATCGAAACATGGGGATTCTGCATGGTTTGGATCGGCGGACGCCGCTGTTTCTGGCCGAGGGAGACTGGATGACGGTGCCGTTCCAGAAGCATCCCAAGGGCATGGGTGAGCGCATTTGGGACGCCATTGCTCAGGCTCCCCGAGTGTTCCAACGGACAGATGAGATGCAGAGGAGCGTGCCGGTGAGGAGTCTGTGTATTGCGTTGGAGGCATTGGAGTATTGTTGGGAGGTCGATGGCGATCTGGAAAAGCTGTACAAGGAGTTGGAAGCCAGTATTCCCGGGCCTTTGTTCTGGCCAGAGTTGGCTGAGAAGGGGACGGCAGTCGGTGGTGAAGAGGAATGCGACGAAGCTAGGGAGGGGACACTGTTCCCAGTTGCGTACAAATTCTTCAATTTGAGGATGGCCATGGTGCTATTGAGCTACTGGAGCCTGTTGACAATTGTTTACAACGGCATGATGCTGTTGCATCGCGTGCTGGAGACTCTGCCTGTGGACAGAAAGGCGGTCAAGGCTTTGGGAGATAAGGTTCCCGCGGCACTGTTGCGTGGTATCAGCGCCGACTGTCCGCCTGGCTGTGCGTGCGGCGGCGACCCGGACGTTCCTTGCATAGTGAGGTTCGACATGAGCACAATTCGACCTCTAGAACACAGGGGAAACGTCCTTGGTCCAGTCAGAGACATCTGCCAGACAGTGGAGTACTGCACCCAGCCACAGATGCGAGACATGGGTTGGACCAGCATTGTTGCACCGCTGACGATCGCGGTGGAAACCATCAAGGAGTATGATTGGTGCCGAAGAGAGCGGGAATGGGGTAGGCATGTCTTGAGGGGCTTTCATCGCCAGCTGCCGTACCTGAAGAACATGTGGTACTGAATAGCTCCGTATACCACAAGATCAAATCCGAAGTTTTGTCTGGCAGAGTTGAAGGCATTCGTCCCTGAGCCTGCTGGGCTCGATGGATGCCGACGAAATGGAGCTTGGATGCCAAAGTTCTGTAGGCACCGTGCGTACGTAGCTCTTTCTGCCATGCAATCTGCTGAAATCCAATCCATAGCCTGTAGTATCGAGGGGACGACTCCGAGGTACATCCCTTCAATGCAGTCTATCATGAACGTGGCTACTTCTCCGGTAATGCGCTCCTCTGCCAAGGATTGCCATGGCTTACCTTCAGGCGGTGTAGTAACCATGTCCGTATTCAACAAGCCATGGCCTTTCAATCTTGCTGAGGTCTTTGATATAGATTTTCTCTCCTGTCTCGAGAAGCTCGTGGAAGATGACGTACTCGGCTTTGCGATTGAACATGAGGGAGGTTGGGTGGGCATACAGAGTGACGTTCCCAGCAGCGGACCTGAAGCTCCCATCTGGTTGCATCTTTGCCGCCTGACTGAAGAAACCGCTTGTAAGACACTTCAGAACAGCGGTCGCTTTCTCAGCACCGTTGGTTTTGGCCTGGTGTGCAGGTCCTGAGTCGTCAATTTTTATGCCCAACCTCTCAAGGTATCGTCTGAGTTGTGCTCGAATACTAACTGCTCGCGAGAGCGATTTGTGGTTCAGATGATGGTCCCGGCACCACTTTGCCTCCTTCTTGCCCTTCGTCACGAAGGCTTGGAAGACGTTGAGTAATGTCAAGTGATCGCCTTCTTCTGCAGCAAATTTGCGCCTCGATGCTTCCATTGCTTTCTTCTGGCCCTCGTGATGAAACCAGACATTGCCCTGCAAAGACGTCATAGCTGCAATGCTAAGCATCTCGGACAAGCAGTTAAATGTCTTTGTATTGGCCGAGAGCAAACATTTTGCCATCATCGGAGGAACTGCAAGTTCAGCCATTCGGGAACCAAGAGGAGAGGTAAGTTTCGCGTAGTCGTCCACAGCACCAAGAGAGTATAGTAGCTCAAAGGCACGGACCAACAGTTGCGCTGGAGGTGGAGAGAGAAACGGGAAGCGGATAATGTTGTCGATGCCGAGTGCTTTCAATTGCAATACTAACGGAGCCAAGTTTGAGCGCTGTATCTCTGGGGGCGTAGTCTCTGACAAGGCTGCAAATGCTGATTGTGTATACAATCGATAGCATTTGCCAGGCTTCGTCCTGCCAGCACGACCGGCTCGCTGGGTTGCGCTTGCTTGCGATACTGGAGTGATTGCCAGAGCGTCAATGCCGGTGGTAGGAGAGTAGGCACGAAGTTTGACAAACCCACAATCGATGACATGGACAATGCCAGGCACAGTAACAGAGGCTTCGGCGATGTTGGTAGAGACGATGCACTTTCTCGTGTTCTCTGCTGCCGGGGAGAAGATGTACATCTGCTCGGCCGTGGTCAGGCCGGCATAGAGCGGCAGAGGCTGGAGAGCCTGAGCGCTTGCGGAAAGGGTCGCCGCTCGCTCTGACAGCTTTTGAACAGCATCATGGATCTCTTCGCGCCCAGTGAGGAACATCAGAATGTCACCTGAAAGAGGCTCCTGGCTGTGGATATGAAAAGCAGTCTCGACCGCTGTATCGACATAGTTCTCAGCAGCAACATTTGAGTACATAATGTCCACGGGGTGGGTGCGTCCTTCAATGCTGATTATGCGGCATTGGGAGATGGTAGCGTTGTTGTCGGTGGAGTCAGCATCATCATCATTATCCTGGAAGAAGGCTGCCACTCTTTCTGCATCGAGAGTTGCGCTGCTAATGATGACACGGAGTTCTGGTCGACGCTTCTTGATCTTCTTGAGTAGTCCAAGGAGTATATCGGAGCTGAGTGACCTTTCATGAGCCTCATCGACCATGATGACAGAATAGCGGGAAAGCAATGGGTCGACGAGCGCTTCTCGTAGCAGCATACCATCTGTCAGGAACTTGATCTTCGTACGAGAGGACGTTACATCTTCGAAGCGAATAGAATAACCCACTACCTCTCCAACGGTACACCGCATTTCCTGCGCAACACGGGCGGCCACCGAGGTTACTGCCACACGTCGTGGCTGCGTGATGGCGATAGCCTTGCCATCTTTACACCAACCTGCTTGTTGGAGGAATTGCGGGATCTGCGTCGTCTTACCGCTACCAGTCTCACCGACTATGATGGTAAAGTGAGTCGTCTCAATCGCGTACAGGATACTCTGCTTGTGTTGCGAGATAGGAAGCAGAGCCGCTGGCTGACGAAGAAAATCAAGAATCTCCTCGTTGTCCATTGTGGATCGCTGTGGTTACGGGTGAACCACTACGGCGTCTCTTCGGCCACATGATCATCTCATTGCAGACTCAGTTACCCGTCCTAGATGACGCTCCAAGCAGAAAGCAGAAGATATCGTAGAAAAGGGACCAACGGCCTCCTTGATATTGGGGCAGACCAATGAGCAGACGTGTGGCTGTAGTCCAGTTTTGGTTTAGCTGCACTCGCCACAATCAAACCTTGGCAGTGGCTTGGGCGGGAAACTCGTCAGCCAAGAGCAAGCGAGGCATTGAGCAAGGCCGCCGCGACAGACCATCCTACCCACCGGGTTTCAAACAGATCAGTCTTCCCCATTCGACTTCTGCCTGTCACATTGCTACCTTTGCCAGCATTTCTTCAACATACAGCAAACATGGCAGACAACAAACCCGTAAGGACTGGCTGCTCGAACCGCAGAAGCATCTGTCTGGCTAACTACTTAGGCCTCTCCGGTATCACCCTTCAAACCCTCCGATGGTCCCCCAGAATCACCCACGACCGCACGTCCACTTGATTTCGATAGCGACCAGGAAGGAGGCACATCCACGCCGACAGGCGCCAAATCGGAGAATGCTCCAAACCCACCACCGAAAGACGAAGCCCCGCCAACCAAACCCCCGCGACCGATGGGTGCCAGAGAACAAGCCGAGCTGACTTTGCGAGAGGCGTTCCCTGGAGTCGAGGCTGGAGTGGTGAGAGCTGTCCTTACTGCCAGTGGTGGCCAGGTTGAGCCTGCATTCAATGCCCTTCTCGGCATGACAGATCCGGAGTCGCAGCGCGAAGCAGATCCGCCAGCGATGCCCCCTCGGCCCCCTCGTGGAGCCCCCGCTCCGCAAGGCCAGATGAGCCAGATGGAGGCCGATGAGATGTATGCTCGGCAGTTGCAAGAGCATTATGGCAACTCTGAATCACGGCGTCCGGGCGTACACAATGAACACCTTCAAGGATCAAGACAGGGCCGGCCAGGCTCTAACCCAAATCCCGACGACGTGCCATGGAGAAGTTTCATCGATGGTAATGACCGTCCTGAACGAAATATACTGTCCGTACGCTAACATATGACTCAGATGATCTGCCCGAAATTCGTGACAATATTCGACAAGGATTCCTGGAGACCCAGAAGACTGTCAACAGCTGGCTTACAACCTTCAAGAAGAGGATAGACGGCGAAGATGACGACCAGGATTTTGACAGACAGCCAGCTCGACCTGGGCAAACATACGGACAGCCACAAGGTGGCCGTCGGAGTGGCGAGACCCGACGAAGTGCTGATATGCAGAGATACGATGCTGATCCTCAGTTGATCGGAGACGACTTCTCTAAGCTCGAGCTCCGTGACGGCGACCCTCCCCCACGTACCTCTAGTCGACCCCTGGCCAATCCAAATCTCTTCAAGTCTGATGGTCAGGCACGTAAGTCACCGACAGGCAGCGGCCGCAAAGTATCTTTCCAGGACGGTCCGCCTGAGGAGATTGGTGACATGTATGCTGGCAACGACAAGCCCACCACCACGAGTGCGCAGGCGCCATCTTCTGGGAAGTCTAGCAAATGGCAGCCCTTGTCCCAAGTTGAACCATCACCTGTCGACAACGATCCTTTCAGCCTTGGTGACAGTGATGATGACAAAGATGCCAAACCGATCACCCTCAAAGATGATGAGGAGGACGAACGGGTCAAGAAAGCGACGGGCGAGGCAATGAAGGATAGCTTGGCGAGTGAGACCAAGAAGGAGACTGCCTGATACCCTGAAACGCTGTGTCTTGGTGCTGCGGAGGCATGCATGCGGAGGCAGATTGAAATAGAGCACAAAGTCGCTTTGCGTCGGCAATACATGCAGCGCAGCCGAATCGTGTTCTTCAGCACTATCTTTCACTTCACCCTGCTGCTGCGGTCATGACGATCACTTACTATTAGCTGAGGCAGTGAATGAGGTTGTCGAGGACGCGGCTAGTCGTCCGCTTGTCATACTATGCTGGGGCACTTATTTGTGCGAGAGGGAAGAAGTCCCCTCTTGATCCCGTGGCAAAGGATGGAAGAGCATGAGGCATCGAGATTCTCGGTGTGGGAGTCCGGAATCGAACTACTGTGCCAGCCATCTGTAGTATATATTTTCCAGGCAGTGAACGCGCCAAGACCAGCTCTGTATCAACCCCCACCATGCTATTGTCACACCAACCCATCCCCGCAATAAGGCTTCTCAATTCGTTGCAGCATACCACCAACGTCTGGTAGCAAAGTACCCAAAGCCATGCCTAAGGGACCCGGCGAAGGGGCTAGACAACCCTCTGAAAAAGGCCCCCAAATGTTGGGGTACCAAGTGGGGGGTCTCAGGCAGGGAAAAGGCGACAAACAAAACCTCGGTGCTAACGCCGTGCCTGGCCGTACCCACCAGCCAAACATCTGTCTTCTTCTCCAATCGTCTGCGGGTGGACTGCCCGGCGCTCTTTGCGAAGGCTAATTCGACGTGACGCCAACCATGCGGTTTGCCCACAGTCGCTGTGCGGGCTGTGCGGGGAGAGTGCCGTGGTCCGGGTTTTGAATGCTGTTAGCGAAGAGAAGGTTTAAGAAAGAGATCTGGAATGTCATATTCTCAATATATGAGAGGTCTGACATACTACCGCTACCTTCCAGACAGTAAGTGACACACGAGAACAGCAAGGCAAGCAGCACGCATTGGACTACATTATTGGGGAAAGGCACTCGACATCCATCAACACCTTGAACCATGAAGATCCTCATCACAGGCGCCGGCGGCTTCATCGGCCAGTTCCTGGCGCGCGAGCTGCTCAAGAACCCCGAGCACCAGCTGGTGCTGACCGACGTGGTCGACTTTGCCGTGCCCAAGGGCGCCGCCCACCCACAGAACGCCAGCACGACCAAGGTGGACCTGCTGGCAGACCAATCCATCATCACGCCAGACCTAGACGCCATCTACCTCTTCCACGGCATCATGTCGGCGGGCTCCGAAGCCAACTTCGACCTGGGCCTGCGCGTCAACCTGGACGCCACGAAAATCATCCTGCAAAGGATCCGCGAGGTCTGCACCAAGCGCGACGGCGGCGTGCGCGTCGTCTACTCATCCAGCCAGGCCGTCTACGGCCGGCCCTTCCCCGACGTGATCGACGAGTCCGTCTTCCCCACGCCCGAGGGCAGCTACGGCGCGCAGAAGCTCATGTGCGAGCTGCTCGTCAACGACATGACCCGCAAGGGCTACATCGACGGCCTGTCCCTGCGGTTCCCCACCATTAGCGTCCGCCCCGGCAAACCCACCGCCGCCGCCAGCAGTTTCATCTCGGGCATCATTCGTGAGCCGCTCGCGGGCCAGGAGTGCGTCGTGCCCGTCAAGGACCGCGATTTTCCCTCGTGGGTCTGCTCGCCCAAGACGCTCATTGCGAATCTCGTGCATGCGTTGACGCTGCCGCGCGATTGCCTGCCGAGTCATAAGCGCACGGTCAATGCGCCGGGGTTGCTGGCGACGGTGCAGGATATGTTGGATGCGTTGGCCAAGGTGGGCGGGGAGGACAAGTTGAAGCTGGTCAAGGAGGTCGATGACCCGGAGCTGGGCAAGATTCTGTATTCGTGGGCGTACAAATTCGACAACTCGCTGGCCAGGAGTCTGGGCTACAAGCCGGACAGCAGCTTCGAGCAGGCGGTCAGGGACTATGTGGAGTTTCTGGAGGAGGAGAAGAAATGGGCGGCTTCATAGTTGACCAAACCCCGAGGGTGGGCGGGTTTGGGGTGTTATAAAGCGTCTGAAAGGCACCATCGTGTGTGTGTTTTATGGCTTCTGCTACTGACCCAAATCATATAAAGAGCATTTTTGCCCTGGCACCACGCGACTTACAAATGCTCAAGGACTGCAATGACGCCCAGGCTCAAGCATCCTCCCTATGCGCCACCTCCTTCTCGCTCGCCTCGCCAGTCAACGTCTTGTCGTCGACACTCGCCCTAAGCTGTTCATTGAATCCACCCACACTCGCGCTCCGCCAGGGATGCACCCTACTCTCAAACAAAAGATCCACCTCCTCCAGACTCTTACCCGCCGTCTCCGGGTAGGTAAAGAAGACATGAACCGTCATGACGCAGCAAAAGACGCCAAAAATAACGTACGTCTTCCACTGAATATTCGTGAAAGCCGGCGCCACGAAATACGCCAGCGCGAAATTGAACGCCCAATTCGTGGCGGCGCTCAATCCCACACCTTTTGCTCGGTACTTGAGCGGGAAGACCTCGGAGCAGTAGATCCACGCAGCGGGCGCCCAGGTCCAGCCGTAGACGCCGACGAAGATGTACGAGCACGCGATGACGGCTTTCCCGGGGCCACCGGCGATCTGCCAGCGCAGGTTGGCGTTGCCGTTGACCTGGTCGACGTAGTGCCCCCGGGTGGCCATGATGGCCGCGATGGTGAAGTGGAGGGCCATGCAGATGAGTGCGCCGGAGAGGAGGAGGGTGCGTCGCCCGATGCGGTCGATCAAGGGGAGGATCGAGCCCGTGGTGACGAGGAAGATGACGTACTGGATGGCGGATGAGTACAGGGTCGTGTCGCCGCTCATGCCGGCCATCTCGAAGATGTAGACGACGTAGTACATGGCGATGTTGCCGCCGAGTAGCTGCTGCCACATCTGCACGCTGACACCCGCGATGGTGCGTCGCCGGACCTTGGGGCCGAAGAGGGCAAAGAAGGAAATGTCCTCGGCCTCTTTGGCGATGCGAGCTGCCTCCTTGACCTCGTCGAACTCGAGGCGGACGACGTCGCTATCCGTGTTGCCGTTGCCGTGCAGCCGGGACAGCACGTCCAAACAGTCATCCCACCGTTCCTGCGCGGCCAGCCAGCGTGGCGACTCCGGGAAGAAGATCAGCGCCAGGCCGAGAATCAGGCCGGGCACCGCCTGCACACCCCAAGCAATGCGGAACGCGGACGGGCCGGTTACGCCCTGCACACAGCCGTAGCTGACGAGGTACTGAATCAGAATGCCCCATTCGATGCTCCATTGCTGGATGCCGACGACACGGCCGCGGATGCGCGCCGGCGCCAGCTCGGCGAGGTACACGCAGCACTGGCTGCTGGTGACGCCGATGGACAGGCCCGAGACGACGCGGCCGACGATGAGGTGCGTCACATTCTGCGCCGAGCACTGCAGCACGGCGCCGACGATCCAGATGCCCGACGCGATCATGAGGGCGAGGCGTCGGCCCAGACGGTCGGAGACGAAACCGGCGGCGATGGCGCCCGCAAAGCTGCCGGCTGACATGGATGCCGTGATGCCGCCCTGGAGGTTGGAGTTGGGGTGGTCGAAGTAGTCCAGGTACTGCTCCGCGCCGATCCACGCGGACATGGACCTGTTTTTGCTGTCGTCAGCCATATGGGGGACGAGAGCACATCTGGGTGGGCTGGGGGGAAGGACCTGAGATATAGGAACGGTTCGAAAGGGGACTCACGAGATGTCGAAGCCGAACAACGCCCCGCCGATGGTGCCAAAGGCAGCCAACACTGTTGTATATGCCACATTAGCTGGGATGTCGCAAGTGATATTTGGGTAACCATAATCCAGATGCCTTACCGTAGATGTTCGTGAATTGATACATGGTACCACTTGATCTTCACACCGAGGAACAAAAGAATACCCAGCTGGTCGATTGCGACTACCTTTGAAAGGGGAGCAAAGTGGAAGACTTTATACCATCATCGTCCTCACCATTCACCATTTACCCTCTGGGCTGCAGCTTCACGTCGCCTCAACCGGAAGCATACCCAAAGGAGAAGCTCTCCCACATCTCAGATGCGGGTGTGGGGCTTCCAGGGACCAAATTCACAACCATGTCAACTCTTGAACAATCAAAGACTTGGACGAAGGCAAAGATCTCCATGTTTTATCCGGCGCCACGTGGAGAATCCCATCTCCACGGCTCCGGCAAGCAGGGGGACTGGCAGTTGTAGAGCAGTCATCTGCAGCCGAGGAAACGTCTTGCGTGTGTACGCGTGGTGGGTAGATCTTTGGTGGATCGACGTCACCTGGACCGGGGTTCTCGATCGAATGCGCGTAATTATGATGTCCAGTATAGAGAGGTCCGACCTCTGAAGACCCTTTGATCGGCAGATCGGGTCCAGTCTTGACCACCGGCTCGTTACCTGCTTCAGTATCGCTGTGAGAAAGTCAAAATATAAGGCAAGGAATCACTACCGCCCACGATTCGAACAAGATTGTATAGATTCAAGAATGCTGTAGCTACGACAGATACACGAAATCCGAAAGCTCGACGCACACATATATATACACCCTGCCGTGTGGTGAATCTTGCTCACCAGGCTCTGAGAGCAATCTCGTGCAGTGTCTCCCGCCATTGACCTGACCTGACCTGACCTGACAAAGCTCATCCTTCATAGCCCACGTCCGGGCACTGTGCGTATCGCCCCATAATTTACCGCTCTTGATACCTTCTACATGCTGTATCTGAGTCACTCACAGAACCCGTCCAGGCCCAGAGTTCTCCGTCCTCGACGGCACGCCGCCCTTGAGACCGTCTTCCCCTTTCCGTTGTCCTCCAACATCCTCAGTCAGGACCGACTATGGCAACGTTCCACCCACCGCCATGAGCGAGACTCTGCTCGAGGGCGCTGGCAAGTATTTGTCGTCGCCACGGTCAGGATTCGCAAGGACATGCCTTCGTAGAGGGTCCGGCATGGTAGCACCTCTGCCGGAATCAAATCCGTCGACCGTTGCGCCCTGGTCGCAAGGTGGAGTTCTGGGAATGGCGTTTGCCTGCCCTTGCAGTTCGCTATCCGAAAGTGCCCTCGCTTGAAATCGCAGAGGTGATGTGGATCTAATGCGGTTGATGCTGGAGTTCTCCCTGCCGCTACTTGTCGGTAGGCTGAAGTTTGCGGGATGCTGCCTCTGCACAGGCGAAGAGGCCGGGCTTTGGCATTGCGCGTTCCCCTGGCACTCACAACGGTTTGCGTTGAGGCTGCAGACGCGATTCTCCCACGTATGCAAAGAGATAGAGCCTTGTTCCAGATCGTGAAGCTCCGCGCTGCTGTTTCGGTGATGGTGCTGAGCTCCCCACACACTGGCAGATGCACCAGATTTGGTCATGGAGCTGTCTGCGAGCTCTGGGGAGGACGAACCCTTGTCGAACTGCGGCATCATTGGTGGCAGCACATTCCACGACTGGCGGATATCCCGCTTGGTTGCAGAAGGTGGTTTGCTCGACCCATTCTCCCCATTGGGGGGGTTGCGTGCAGTGCTGACGGCATTGCTCATTGGACTGAAGAGAAACTGCCTGCAGAATGGTTTGAGTGCCGGTGCGCTGGCTGCTAGTAGACCGATCCAGAGCTCAAGAAGAGACCAGATCCACGCTTCCCTGCATGAAACTATTAGCGAAGTAGGTGAGCAGGAGTACATGCACTATTAAAGATGTGACAATCGAGGATCATTCTCTCCATGAAAGGTAGATTCTATACAAAGGTGCCTTGATCTTCTGTTAAAGGCCACCGACGTAGAAGAATGAAACTTACCAGAGCGTCCAAGTAAAGTCATAGTCGTGCATTACAACACGGTTCAACATGATAGATCGGCCGATGCCAGCACCAACAACGAGATATGCAACGGCAAACAGGCTTGCCACCGCAATCTTTTGCTTACGAGCCATGTTGAGCTTCAAGACCAGCAAACTCGGCAGCAATGCGGCGTAAAAGTCGCCGACTATGGAGAAGACAGTCGACACAGTGAGCGAAACACCTTCACTGGAGCAGTAGTATTTGCCATGGTTCTCCGTGGCCCATATTCGGTCAAAAGACATCCAGTATGCCTCTACTGGCCGGCAGACAAGTGTCAATGCGATGCAGAAAGCGACGAGGTTCAAGATATTGTAGACGATTCCAATCCATGTTGCCCACCAGAATATCTGGGTGAAGGATACGGACAGTCGGCGGTAGAAGAGTAGGACCGAGATCTTGACGGCGCCCGTCGAGAACAAGTAGCACCACTGGCTCGCCCAGACGTTAAGACGATGAGGTGCTGCGGTCTCCGGCCTGATATCCCATATATGGTATCCGCTATGGTAGCTCCTGTTGCCAATGATGATCAAGATTGTCAATGCCAGCCCTATCGAGAAGGCAAAAACAATGAGCAGGTCGTCGATGCCGAAGGCTTTGGTGATCCAGAGACGGGAGTATACCCGTGCTGTAACGATCAGAAGCCCGAATGTGGCGAGGACGATTGCGCCGTAGACTAGGCCAGGTCCTCTGTTCTCAGGATCGATGTAGTTTGGCTTCGGCCAGGACGCAACCACCTCCAAAGGTGCTAGAAGGCGGCGGGTAAGTCTGAGGCCACGGATATGGAGCGTAGACACTTACGGCGTAGTGTGTCCACCATCGCTGCTTGACCAGGCGTTGTACCTTGGACCGCTTCGACTGTCGGAAACCCGGCAGCCAGCGTCTATCCTGTGTGCCGTCTGACTGTTGAGTCCGAGTTGCGGTGAGTTTCAGGAGTTCATGAGGTCGAGTTCATAGACGGGATTGCCGACCTCTACCGCTGTCAACCAAGATGGCAGTCATAGAGGCCGCGGTGTCTGTGGTTATGTGGAAATCGTGCTAAAATCAGAGAGGTGTGGTAGCACAAAGTAACCGTTGGACAAAGCTTACGAGCGATGTGGCGCTTGACGGGCAGATGTGCGGTTCGCCGATGGTGAAGCTGTCATTGTGGCATATCAGCATATTTCAGATCCATTGTGGGATCAACCTGAGGTCACTAGAGGAAGCGAGGGGTCCACAAGTCTTTGTCAATATATGGCACGGTTCGGCCATCCTGAGAACCTGCTTCAGGTTGGTATGCAGTGGATTCGACCCCGGGTATATGGACTGGCTCCGCACGCGTAACACTGTCTAGAAACTGGCATACAGCTTGGCGTAGACAGCGCTCTAGTAGCTCAGTCCTCGATGGCGTGAGTAGCGGAGACCAAGTCAACAATTCCTTTGGAAAGCCTGGCAGAATGATGGTCGCCACATCTGGGCAATGCTGACGAGGAGGCATACATGTCCGTGCAGGGGCAAGATCTCCATCAGGATGCACAACGACGAAGTAGACGCAATGTCGAGCATGGGCATCGCAGAGTGTCGGTAGCCGTCAGGTTCGCCACAAACTCGAGGCCACGATGGAACAAGCCTTGTTCAGAGACAAATCCAAAGGTTGCGCCTTAATACGAAACGGCGAAACCTGAGTTGGACAATCGTCGTCCCAGGCAATCGTGGATATGCGCCATACTAGTGAGAGTATAAGCCAACGACAGATTATACCCCTGCCTGGTACTGTTTCTTTCTGCGACGCGTGATACGCGACTTTGTTGGGCCTATCAGTCGGCCTGTAGCAACGAGCATAAGCCATGTGTCGCAGACGGACGGTCTCCACCACTCCCCTGACATGCGGAAAAGCCATTCCATCAGGTAAAGACATGGCTGCTTGCTGTGAGTGGACGACCCCTGCCTTGTCTTATTGCGGAAGACGTGCAGCTGGGTTGTTCCGCTGGTGTCTATCGCTCAGCAAGAGAACTTGATAGGCGCCACTGACATTGAGGCTAAGTTTTGAATCATATACCCTGTAGGCGATGTACATGAGGATAAGAAGGCGGACTGCATTGTCTGTTTTGTGTAGTACTTGTGGTCAGGCCGATCGCAGTCGAGACGGTTAGCGACCGGGGTATTTACCACGATCAATGCAGCCGTAACATCGCTTAAAGGGTCTTTCCCAGGTTGTGCGACGCCTTCGCGCTCTTGTACGTGGTAGGGCTGGTATGTACGACACTCGAGAAGCTAGTCCAAGAACGACTTCAGCCAGGGGAAGCAGTAAGAGATCAGGTCTTCCGTAAGGCAAAGAGCTGTGGTTGAGTGATCAGATGGAACACATTGCGAAGGCTGGCAGGCTGGCAGCTTGAAAGTCATCGAGATCGAAAGGCTTGTGGCTCATCGGTCTCTGAATTGGAGCAGCTTTGACGAAAGCTGGAAGCTGCGATCATGTGCCATTTCCATGACAGGTGCTTGCCGACCAGCATGTGTCCTACATATCTCAAGGACTTGAAGACGTATCGAAGTTGGCTGGACGGTCAGTACGGTAGTGGACAGATGCCCCACACGCCGATGCACCTTGATCGTTAAACGTCAGTGCATGCTTTTCGTGGTCGAAAGGCACTCCGCGTGGGCACCGGAGGGCATGGTCATCGAGGCTTGATGGAGTTTCGAGTAGACATGGTTCGGTAAGGCCCCCTACTCTGATGGTTGAAGCACGGGTCGCTGATGGACTTTGGACATGGTCAAACTTCTGACGCGACGGAGCGAGGTGACACCTCTTGTGAGCACTATTGTGCCTCTTCCAAGGCGATGTGTAACAACGTCTATCGTAGAGCTGAGCGACTTCGCTACCGTGAGAACTCGGATATGAGAGTTCGCCAAAACGGGACGCTCGAATCCGCTAACGACAACCCAGTTGCACAGATCGAGCACGAGAAAGCGGAGGACTCATCTCAAGAGCTCGGTCAAACGCTTGTGAGGTTCGAGACAATAGATTTGAATTGTACATTTAGTGTGGACCTCGCTTCATAATTCATGCAGACCCTGTTGCAGACTAGATAGTTCGCCCTCACCACGAACGCCAGTTCGAACGCGGTCGATCGTGCTTTCATGCATTTCCTACAATGCAATCACCTCCTTCATCACCTGCGGCTCGTGACGAGTTCGTCTTACAACTTGGCAGCTGGGCCTACACTGGTGATTTCGTTGTACAGCAGGCTGTAGGATCGTTAGTGTCCCGTTCAATTATGTCAGAAAGGAGATTCACTTACCTCGTCAGGAAATCCGCATAATCCTCACCCGTGACCTGGCCCTCAAAGTATCGAGCGGCGACCTGGAACTTGTTGCCTTTGGGAGCCTTGCTCGAGAGCTCGTCGGCCTGTTCGTGGAGCAGCTTGAGTGCGTAGCTCTTGTCGACGGTTACGCCCTCGGATGTCTTGACGCCGTGTTTGCACCACTGCCACAGCTGCGACCGCGACACCTCAGCAGTAGCAGCATCCTCCATCAGATAATTGATGGGCACGCAGCCCACGCCTCGAAGCCAGCCTTCCATGTAGCCGAGGCCAATGTTGAGGTTCTTGCGAATGCCCTCCTCGGTGATACCACCAGGCATGTTCATGTTAAGGAGATCGTTCTTGGTGACACTAACTTCCTCACGGCGCTTGAATAGCTGGTTGGGGGTGGGCATGTGCTTATTGAAGACATCCGATGCGATAGCGGCAAGAGCAGGGTGCGCAACCCAGGTACCATCATGGCCCGCGCGGACTTCTCTGAGCTTGTCTTGACGGACACTATCCATGGCCTTCTCGTTGGCCTGTGGGTCGTCCTTGATGGGAATTTGAGCAGCCATGCCGCCCATGGCATGCACGCCACGGCGATGGCAAGTCTTGATCAAGAGACGCACATAGGCATCCATAAATGGAACCGTCATGGTGACGGCCGAGCGATCCGGCAGCACAAATGCTGGGTTTTGGCGGAACTTCTTGATGACGCTGAAGATATAGTCCCATCGGCCACAGTTGAGACCAGCAGAGTGCTCGCGCAGCTCATAAATGATCTCATCCATCTCAAAGGCCGCAGTGATGGTTTCGATCAGGACAGTGCCGCGAATGGTACCGCGAGGCATGCCAATGTAGTCTTGTCCCAGCTTGAAGACATCGTTCCACAGACGGGCCTCGAGATGAGACTCCATCTTGGGGAGGTAAAAGTAGGGACCAGTGCCAGTCTTGACAAGCTCGAAAGCGTTATGGAAAAAGTATAGGCCGAAATCGAACAGACTGCCGGAGATGGCTTCTCCGTCGACGGTGAAATGCTTCTCTTCCAGATGCCAACCGCGAGCACGGGCGATCAAGGTGGGCAGTACTCTGTCTGTGCGCAGTTTGTACTCCTTCTCGCCTTGTTTGAAGTCGACCTGCTTGCGAATAGCATCATAGAGATTCACCTGGCCATTGATCATATTGTCCCATGTTGGCGCTGATGAATCTGCAGTATGATTGTTAATAACTTGACCGCATGTTCATTTTCTTGCACGTGTGCGTACCTTCGAAATCGGCCATGTATGTCCACACATTACTGTTCAGAGCATTGACGACCATCTTTCGATCCGTTGGTCCGGTAATCTCCACTCTGCGGTCAATGAGGCCGGGAGCTGGAGGAGCGCCTTGCCAGGTAGCATTGTCTCTGATATGGGCGGTCTCGGGAAGGAAATCAGGAATGACGCCTCTGTCGAGTTCTTGCTGGCGAATGACTCGTCGCTGGAGGAGATCTTTCCTCCGCTCATTAAAGGTCTTGTGTAGGAGTGCAAGGAAAGCGGTCGCCTCGGGGGTGAGGATCTTCTTCTGGCTTTCGTCCACCTTGCCGTGAATGGCGACGCCAGCGTTGAGGGTCTCAATATCAGCCATGTTTACTATAGAAGCGATAGTAGTCAATTAGAAGCAGTGGAAAGCTGTGAGGAGGTGCCGAGGGCAGGGTACATGGACATGATTGATATATCTACGTCAGAGCCGGGGCACGCACATGCTGCTTGAGCCGCGGTCGACTTCCCGACGCACTTCGCTGCGTCCGGGCGCTGCTAGGAGCCAATCGAGGCCCCGATGCTGCTATCCACCAGTTTCCGCTGGCCCTCACCAATGGAAAGCTTAAGGGTCTCTGGGGAGATCAGCCCTCAGAGCTTCGATGTGGGGTAAAGGACGAGGAAGAATTTATCAACATTCTGGCCTCTGACTGCCGACGTCAGCGCAGTTAGCCGAGTCGCGGTGATCTGCGTCACAGTGCAAATCGCTCTCTCCAGTACTTGGTATTGGCAATCTATGATGTATATGGGAAACATGAAGCCGGCCGAAGAGAGTCTCGACGAGCTCTGGCAAGACTCGACGAGTGCCGAGGCACTTTTGGCTATCAGCCCTCCAGCCCTCCGTGCGGATATCTTCCGGCTTCTTCCGATGACGATGGTCTCGAACCATCAACGCGCAAGCTTCCGACCGGAGCCTTCACCATTGTCGTAGCTGCTTCTGAAGACGATGGTCGACATTATCAATGTTTCCCATTCAACCACTTTCTCAACCTGCACGAAGCACATGCTCCGAAAAGTTCATCTTGTTTGCCGCCGCACCGCTACATATATTGCCAGGCAGCGGGATGAGTGGCTTTCAAGGTCAATGCATTGAATTGTATGCAGTCATTGATGCTGCCTAGAGGCACATTTGCGTTGGCAAGGGCGAGCAAGATCTTCCACGCTCCCTCGCCGGCGGGGCATGCCATGAGGCCGTTTGCGCCAAACGCATTAGAGGTTAAATCTCCATAGCTGGCGCCCAGATAGTGGACAAACGGGCACTGAATGCTGCCGTTGGGCATCAGTTGCGAATGGGCAACAGTGTAGCCGATCTCGCCGTCCGCAGTTGCCCAGAGCTGTTGTCCTCCGGGCACCAAGGTGTACTATGAGTTGTCAGCTGACTTTTCTTGACTGGATCGATGGTAAGTACCATGCTACAATTTGACAGCGCCGTATAGTTTCCCGGAGGACATTCTTCTTCTTCTTCTTCTTCTTCCTCGACACTCGATGGGCAATAAGTCGATGGCTCGATTCCCAGCCACAGCCTAGTGCCCGCGGCTTGCATCGGTAGTCTATCGATTGGGGTATCAGGGCTCGATACGAAGACGGTGAAAGCGCTGGAGTCAGGTCGCGGCGGCACTGGTGATGGTTGACTGGCTGAATCCCAGGTGTTGCTGGTCATGCGATATTCGGTGATGGTCAGTGTGTCGTTGATGCTCGCAGTGACCGTGAACACATGACTCGTATCTGACCGGGCTTGATCCTTTGCAGCAGCTTCATTGTGGACGAGTGCCCAAGTCAAGATCGCCACTAAAGCCTTGGTGAGGTTCATTGCGAATCGTGGGGGAAGGGAATCGTGCGTGTAATGAGTCTGGTTGGGATTTGGACGGGAAGTGAAAAGCTCTTCCCAGCATTGTGTCACGACCGCCTTCCCGAACTGCAACGAATGTATTATCCTTGTTTGAAGTGGAAGGATCTCAGGTCAGTGCTATCTCCGGGCCCTTCATTCGATTCAGTATTGTTGCGCTTGAGTTAAGCGGATCGTGCGGCTCGATAACATTCCCATATGGGTAGTAATGGCCGTAGATTGAATACAGTCTTCGGAGGTTCTCCTGCCATGCAATCCAGGCCAGCCCTTGAAGAAGACAGTCCGAGAGATCGTCCAGCTTAAGACTCGAGCTCGTCTTTGGGGTCTTCGGCGCTTTCTGACTCCCACTTTGGGTGGGCAGAAACTTCGATGCAGTCCCTTGTGCTTGACTGGAGAATTGAAGATGTCGGGTTTTGTACTTCTCGCCTCTCAGCATGTTTTTCACCGCATCGATCTTGTACTGCTTCATCGAGGAGCTGGTGGGTTTGAAATCACTCCAGAAGCCGCGCTCTTCGATTTGGGAAATCCAATATCTGTTGACTGCTGTCGGCAATACAGGTTCCACAGCACTGCTGTGTACGCCCTGTGATTTCAGGGCTTGCAGCGTTGCGTACAGCATGAACTCAAACATGCCAACGCGCAAAGCCCACTCCTGAACCGACGGTCCTCCACCAGTCCTGAATCTCTGGCGCTCAATCAGGATATGCGTCGGGCGATGCTTCTCCAGTATGCGACTTACAAAAGCGTAGGTACGCTCCGCATATGTTGCTGGATCGAATGACTCCTTCGCGGACGGAATCAATTCTTCCTCATCATCGCCTTCTTTCCGTTGTTTACGTCTTCCCGCCTTAGCTTTCGCTACAGGGACGTCCTTCTCGTTGACCTCATGCACGACTCCCTTCGATACATCCATTCGCTCCCAAGCGATGACCTCAACATTGGAATACTTCTTTTGTCCTGGTGTATCCAGCCTATCCAGCCTCGTTCGTAAATGGCAATATGCAAGATTACGGATTCCCATGTCAATGCTCACAATGCTGAGATCACGGCCAACAACCGCATTTGAGCTCGTCTCCAGGACACCCTCCAGGGCATCGTGAAGGCCCTGACACAACACTGCTTTAGTACCAGAACACGGCGTCCCACAAAAGATAGCGATCCGTCGTAAATCCTCGTTCACGACTCGTTGTCTGAGCCAGTATGGAGAAATTTTATTATCCGTTGCTCTAGTGATGCTTGCATCCCCGGCTTTGAGCTGGCATGCAGTTGTATGAAATGCTCGGAGCAGTTGTGCAGCCCTCATCGATCAGTGTCCTCGTACATTCATCTATCTGAGATGAAGTCGGTCACGTCTCGGACGCGTCAGGAGGACGCGAGACCTCAAAGCCGAAGATCAGCCGATGCGGGGAGAAAAGTTGCGGGCCTCCAACACGACGAAAACTTACAGCCTAGAACCCAGCGTTTATTCAACGACCACATCACGTACCTCTTTTCGAAGAAATAGTCAGCATGCGTAAATATCCCAACATCATCATCACCGGCACTCCCGGCGTCGGTAAGACGACCACCGTCACCGAATTGCTCTCCGTCGCTGCTGCGTCCACTCCAGCTCTCCCGCTCAAGCATCTGTCAATCAACGACCTGGTCAAATCTCGTTCTTGCCACGAAGGATACGACGAGGACCTACAAACCTACATTGTCGATGACGACAAGCTCATGGACGAAGTTGAGAAAGAGATATCCGACGGCGCAGGTGATGGCGGGTGGGTCATCGACTGGCACTCGACAGAGGGTTTCGCAGTGCGCTGGGTGGATCTGGTGGTAGTATTGAGATGCGAAGAGACGGATGTGCTGTTTGATAGGTTGTCAAAGAGGGGCTATAAGGAGGAGAAGGTGCAGGAGAATATGGATGCAGAGATCTTTGGCGTCGTGGGTGAAGAAGCCAAGGACGCGTGGGACGAAGGCCAGGTCGTGGAGCTGAAGAGCGTCAAGGCAGAAGATGTTGAGGAGAACGCTGAGAGAGTATGTGCGTGGGTGAAGCAGTGGCTGAAGGATCGCGACGCAGAGGGCGAAAAGGAGGTGAATGGCTCGGGATGAGACTGTCTACGGTGCTGATGGTTCTATTCTATGCCACGGATCAGACTCTTGCACAGACTCCCGTGGCCATCTGCCGATCGATAATATGTCTGCATCGATCCTGGAGGCGCCCTCAAAGCGGTCGATGCAGGGGTCGCCGTGTCACGCCAGTCCTTCACGACTGAAACCATATTGACTCGACTTGCTCGAGGTATGCTGAACGACACCAGCCAGGACGATGCCACCCCGGACTTCAAAGTGTACTCCGGCACGTTGCCCCAAGTCACAGCGTCTCCACCTCCTCACCAGCCAACCACTTCTTCAATTTCGCAAGCGCCTTCCCGCGGTGTGAGATCTCATTCTGCAAATCGACGCATCAGCGACAGGCTCAACCTACCTCAACATACGGAAGACTACTCCCTTTACCCGCCGCCTGCGCCAATCCACGCGCCGTGAGGATCTCGAGCTGCAGCACTTCAGCTTCGCTTTGACATGTCCATAAAGTCTTTGTACCTCGCAGCCAATTGACTTGCTCTTGGGAGGGGAATTTATTGAGAACAGGGGATGGAACTCACCTTCCGCGCCTTGTCCATCTCGGCATATGTCTCGCCTTCATACTCAAACACGGCATCCCAACCGAACGTTGGTGGGCCCCGCGCATCTACAATCTTGCCTTCGGTGCGGTCCTGGAAGAGGATGGGGTCTTGCCCTGGCCCACCACAGTATGCAAATGTGCAAACAGCGTAGGCTGTTTTGTCCGGGTATGCCACGAGAAGGTTGTTCAAGCCGGTGTGTCCGAGGGCGGCCAGGAAGTATTTGCTACAACAGACGTCAGATAAAATGGTCTGGATACTGGAAGCAGAACCGCTAGATGGCGAGAACCGTGACCGCAGAAGCCGGGGATGGCGGTTGTGAACGTACATATAGGGTCCAGGCAGGCCTTTGAGGGCCTTGAACTCGAGCGCCGTATCTTCTGTTAGCACGGGACCTCCGACCTGTAGAATACACACGTTAGCACGATCGCTTATCTTCCGCGCTCTCTCTCTTTTTCACACCATCACCCGTGCTGCATCAAACACCCATATCGACGCCATCTCCCCTCTCCTATCGTCCTAGATCCTCACACACGCCCCTCCTTATTACCTTCCCACCTCCCCCACCCCCAACATCCCAACCCCTTCGCTCACTCAGCGAACACAGTAGTAGAGAAGAACTCACACTCTCAGCCGCTCTCCGACACTTATCCCTCGCAATCTCCTCGATCGAGCCCTGAATCTCATCCAGGCCCGGCACGTCCTTACTCTGCAGGTCCACGCCACCCGTTCCGCCCTCGTTGGCCAGGATGGCGCGCACCTCCGCGAGCTTGTTGGCGTTGCCCGTGATGAAGTTGAGGGTTGTGGGTCGCGCTACGGGATTTGGGGGCGTCATCGTTGGCGGCGGTACCGGGGAAAGTGAGTCTGTGTGGATAAAAGTGTGTGGTGTCGGGGGCGTTGGGGACGGAAATGAGCGGGGGGATACACAATTGTGAAGAAGGGGGATGGAAAAATGGGAGAAGGCGTGGCGAGTCCAGAGAGTTGGTTGGGTGAGGCCTTGTTGAAGGTGAGTCGTACTGTAGGTGAGCCAAGAAGCAAATATATTACGACGGTGTATTGAGCACTGAAGATGTAATTTTGCAAGTGGGATGTTTGGGGTCGGCGGTGAAGTGCGAGCGAGGCTTGTGTATTCGAAGAGATACTGCAGATCCAGGGAGCAAACTTCACTGTTACTGTTGTGAAGAGACCAATCTGTGTCTGAACGCAGAATCGGCAACAAAGATCTGAAGGCTTACTAGTCACGGGTGGTATTCACCACCGTACTCGGTTTAACTATTCTGACACCTCATCACACCAGAACTTCATTGGTCAAGGTCACTTCTCCCCGCTGCCTTGCTAGAATAGCTTCGGGTCTTCCAAAAAGACAAGCTCGAAGCGGTCGTACTTCTGTAGCTCGTACCGGCTCACGCGGTATCCAGCCATGACTGGTAGAAACGCCTTCAACTTCTCAAACGGCATCGCCTCATCCCTCACCTTCCTCACCTCTTCCGTCGCTGGCCGAGCCGAGTCGAAGACGACCAATTCGGTGAGGTGCTCCGATGCCATCTGCACCACCCCAGGCACGACGAGCTTGCGCTCTTTCCACGTCTCGAAGCCCACCACCACGGTGCTATGCCCACTATACTGGAAGTAGACGGGCGGCTTGCCCAGCATATTTTCCCCGATTGCCGGTTCACGCATGAAGTATCGCTCCAACCGCTCCATCACTTGATCGCATGCCATCTTCTCCTTGTTCGACTGAATGCACATGACATAGCAGTGTACATTGAGCGTCTTCAAGCAGGTCTCGGCCTCGGAGGTACCAATGTATTTGCGTGTGCCTCGAATACCCCCCGTCTGCAGGAGGGCTTTGCTGTTGATGCCAGCTCTCCAGCCTTCTTCGATGATGTCCTGAATTTCCAGAATGTTCGGGAGATGCGTGGCGTAGCGATGATGTTTCGGTGCCGTAGAGCAACCACGCAGGTAAGACAGTAATGAGCTGATGCTGTGATAGCCGCAGAAGCCTGAGAGCGACGCTCGCTTATGGAAGTGATTGGTGGCAGGGTGACAGTAGCCGAAACTGACAGTGTCAAGATGCGAACCTCGACATGCGGGATGCTGCGTACCTTGTGACATTTGGATCAACGCTTGATAGGGCTTGTAGGACAGGAATCGTATTGTATGACTCGTTCTTCATCATGAGAATAGACATCTTTGGCTCGGATCCGTACTGAATGGTATTTAGAAACCCCCGCTGGTCGACGATGAGCCTCTTCTGCCAGTGCGGCATCTGCTTTTCAAAAGCATGAGGACCAAGCACGTCGCGCTGCCATAATCAGTAGACTGCCCATCAAGAGATCAGGATTCACGTACGCCCAAACGCCTGGTATCGTTTTCCACGTCGGTGGTCATGTTTTCACGAGGATTGTAAGGCTTGACTCCGCCACTCTGACCGGATTCAACCTCTAGATCGAGCCATCGCGACGTCCTCACTTTGCACGACAGGAATGCCAAGAAGAAATAGAAGCAGTTGCTCCTGCCTCAAGCAAATGAGACGGTGTTCAAATTCGAGTGCATGAGTGCTTCACAACTTATGCCGGTGCTGGCTCGGATGCATGCAACCCATCTTCAGCCCTGGCTCTGGCCATCACCCTGAGGGATATTCATGCAGTCAAGAACCTACCTGGACGCTGCGACCGTGCTAAGGTGCTGGATCTTGGGGCATTTACCATAGATATCATGGCGGAGTGGTGGGGGAAGCATTTGCGCTGTTCAATGTACTTGACCTGAATCATGAGTGCTGGAAACTTGGACCCCAGTTTCAGTTTCTTGTCTGATCATTAGTACTATACAACTTGCTGCTTGAAGAAAGAGATTGACAAGGAGTGTATCTGCTAAGTGTCATTATGAAGAAGATGCCATGCCGACTCTAAGCCCTTCGAGACCGCAGCCCATACTTTTACTACTATAGGTATGCTAAGCGATGCTATGGTGTCATCTCAGGTGTGAGCCAATCGGTAAAAACCTCGCCCCTAGGCAAGGCTGTCAGCACCGAAAATCTGGAGGCGCCCCAGGCCTCACACCGCCTTGTAAAAAGAATTCTGCCAGAGGGGCTGATGGTGGCAGAGTCACAATTAGAATAAGGGCTGACGGCAGCTCAGGTCTGACTTTCCTTTCCTCAGTATACAATTGTCAAATTATGCGAGCGTCGCCTTCAAGACACGTTCCTGTTTACTCATTATTAGTCGTTCGTTCGTCATGACCTCGACACCCCTCACCAATGGTCGCTGCACGCCATCTACACCACAAACGTCTGTGCCGACATCGGGTACCAATGTCCTTAAGTTTGGAGGTAAGCCACTCCTTTGAATGCGCTCGATCGACGCTGACCTAAGTAGGGACCAGTGTCGGCAAGTTCCCCCAGGCCATAGTCAACGTTGTCAAGCAGTCGTTGCTTGACGGCGATGTCGCGATCGTGTGCTCCGCACGGTCGAGCAGTACCAAGGCTGCGGGCACCACCAACAGACTACTACGAGCAGCCTCCGAGGCCGAACACCACCGAGATTATACGCAACTAATAGAAGCCGTCCGGGTCGATCACATCGAAAGCGCGAATGCCTCATTGCGCGACCTCGAGATCCGCTCACGACTGATACAAGAGATTGAAGAAGAATGCGACCATGTTTTACGCATACTAGAAGCTGCCCAGACACTCGGCGAGACAAGCCCACGGTCGAGAGACAAAGTCATGAGTGTTGGAGAGAAGCTCAGTTGTCGGTATATGACTGCTATGCTGCAAGATTCCGGTCTATCGGCCGAGTACGTTGATCTAGCGGACGTTGTCGATTTCAAGGTCTCCCAAAGTCTTGACCAAGACTTCTACGATAACATCGCCATACGGCTAGCGAGGCGGCTGGAGTCCATGGCTGGGAAGGTGCCGGTCATTACAGGTTACTTTGGTGCTATTCCCCGAGGTCTGCTTATGACGGTTGGTAGAGGCTATACCGATCTGTGCGCGGCGCTCGTCGCGGTGGGAATCCAAGCCAAGGAACTGCAAATCTGGAAGGAGGTGGATGGTATTTTCACAGCGGACCCGCGGAAAGTGCCTACTGCCCAACTCATTCCACAGATCACCCCCGCAGAAGCAGCGGAGTTGACATTTTACGGCTCCGAGGTGATCCATCCATCTACCATGGACCAGGTCATCCGAGCAAGAATACCAATTCGGATCAAAAACGTCATGAATCCCAGGGGAGGCGGCACTATCATCTATCCCGATGCGCCGACACGGCTAGGTATCGACTCGCCGAATTACCCGCCGAGCTTGTTCCGTTCTCGAAGTTCCAGCGGACAGTCCCATAAGATCGGGCCCAAGAGACCAACGGCTGTCACACTGAAACACAAGATCCTGGTCTTGAACATTCACTCGAATAAAAGGGCTCTATCTCATGGGTTCTTTGCGGGAATATTCTCAACCTTGGACAAGTGGAGGCTGTCAGTAGATGTCATCTCCACTAGCGAAGTTAACATCTCACTGGCCCTGCACTCGGAAGCACCGCTGTATACCGGAGGCGGTGACAACGAGTACGAGATTGTGGATCAGGATCTGCGTGGGGCCATCGAAGAGTTACGTCAATTTGGCGCCGTCGACATTGTGCCTGACATGGCCATCGTCAGCCTGGTGGGCAAGCAGATGAAGAACATGATGGGCATTGCAGGCAAGATGTTTGCTACACTAGGCGAGCACAACATCAACATTGAGATGATATCTCAAGGTACGACGACCAGCAAACCGTGAAACACACCGGCTAACGTGCATATGCAGGCGCCAGCGAAATCAATATATCGTGCGTGATCGAAGAGCGAGACGCCAACCGAGCACTGAACACGCTACACACGAATCTTTTTACCTTTTTGGATCCATAGACTCAGCTATTCTGGCATATTTAGCAGGGCGCACCGGATCAGCACTGTACATATGCGTTGGAGATTGGGAGCCCAGACCGGCAGCAGTGCCCCGACCAGTTGGAATAGAGGTTGGGCCGTACATGGGAAATGAGGGGCTTCTCATCAATGGCCATTCCGCATATGCGAAAAAAGTATGGGAACCGGCAGAGCTGTGAGGCGGAGCCTGACCGTTGACGCGACGCAAGGGGGAGGCGATCAGGCAATCATCCGGTGCAATGTCAAGCGAAGCATCGGGGTTTTTCTGATGCAGTGCGCGCAAAGAGCCCGGCTGTCGAAAGAGCAGAGATTAGACGTCGAGGTGAGACAGGCCAGGATGTGCATGTGCATGTGCATGTGCATGTGCCAGTGCCAGCATCAAGTGCCGTTGAGAGCAGGATGGGCAACAGCACGGTCGCGCTGAGGGCCTGAGGCCACGGCTAGATTCGTGCCTCCAACAGGTACTCCGCAGGCAAATCTTTTGGCCCAGGTGGCTCCCAGAAGCGACGCTTGGCCTAGGCGCAGCAAATAGGCGCTGAGCCACGCTCCATTTTCGTGATTTAGCGTGATTCTCAGCCGAGTGCCCCCAGCCAATCCACCTGCGAAGTGGGCGGTAGGCCTGTCAGGACGTCGAGAATCGTCATGCTCCAGAGTTAACGCGTTGGTTCGCGATTCCCCTCGTCGGCCTCATCCTCGTCCTCATCCCACTTGCACAGGCTGTAAAATCTCGCACAAATCCTGGCGCACATCTCGAACCTCTATCGCGACCATCTTCACACATCCCGCACATCAACTCGACCGATCTTCCTTCCATCTCCTCTTCTCTCGAATCTTCCGACCAACCTGGACTGCTATCTCTCCACCACCATTTTTCCTCCTCCGTCCAACGTGCCTTCCCCAAATTACACGGACATTCCGCGTCCGAGCGCTACCCTCCTTGAACATTCCGAGTCTTCGCCACAGGCCGCCTCTTAAGTCACCCACAGCGAGTACGGGCGTCTTTGTCAGAGCATTGATACCATCATCATTGTCTAGGCCGCAGCGATCGCAGTCTGGACGAGCACTGGCGCCGGTCCACCCTCCCTGATATCGCTGCCATCCCTTTATGGACCGCACTCGCCTACCTTAACACGCGCAATATCCTCTGGTTCGGGCTCACGACTGCCCCCCTAACTTCCTAGTCACTGCTGATCATGACCGGCCTGCGTCGCCAGGCGCCCCCGCCGCCTTTTCAGATATATCAGGATCAGGATCAAGATCCTCAGTCCCAGGATGCCGAATATCACAACTCTCAAACGTCACCGCCTTATCAGCAGGCGCAGAGACCCCGGCCACAGCTTCAGCCATCGGCCATCCCTCGTCAGTCTCCTCTTGGCTCGACACACCCGCACAATGTCGCTTTCAACCCCCAACCTTACCATCAAGGCCATTCCATGTCCCCGCAGAAAGTGCATCAATTCCACCAACCTATGACGGCTTACAATAACTTGACGTTTGTTGATCTACCAGCGCCTCAGCCTATGGCAAGCTTTGACGAATCGCCCACAAAGCGCCACGTCCCGGAATCGGCACCATATGTCGCACCTCAGCCAAACCAGGGGATGCATGTCTTCAGCGCGAGCTTTGATTCTTTCGACCAAGAGAATTATCCGGCCACGGCGGCCAACGACAATGCCGACTTCCCCTCCCCGTCGTACAATCGCCGCAACATCCTGAAGCGATCTCAGTCCGATCTCGTGCATGTCGACGACCGTGCCATCAAACGTCAGCGAGTAGAGGAAGAGACTCAGGTTCCGATTCCCGCCCCCAGTGACATGCCCGTCCTCGAGGATGACGGAAACAAGCCACCCTACAGCTATGCTCAAATGATCGGCATGGGTATTTTGAGAGCACCTCAACGTCGGCTGACCTTGGCTCAGATCTATGAATGGATCTCAACCACCTTCTCCTTCTACCGAGAAGACCCTAAGGCGGGCTGGCACAACTCTATCAGGCACAATCTTTCCTTGAACAAGGCTTTCACCAAAGTCGACCGTCCAAAGGGGGATGCTGGCAAGGGCTGCTACTGGGTCATTGTTGAAGGCATGGAGGGCCAGTTTCTCAAAGACAAAGGTCGCAAAGGCAACAACAGCCACAACAATAATATGGCCAACATGACCGTCCACGCGAGCGTCATGTGTCCCGAGCCCCAATCACTCTCTCAGCCACCCCCCTCACTGGAGCCGCTGGCGCCCAGCCCATTCATCCAAGAAACGTTTCCCGTGCAGCCACGACCTCACACGGCTCCTCCATTACCGGATCTGTCTTCAGATGCCACTGTGCCTGCTTCAGACCCGGCTCTGCACGAGGATGTGGTCTCTGGCGCGATCGATTCGACCAACCTCCCCTTGCCAGAATCTTCGCCCCCTCAAGCGATGAACTCCTCACCTCCAGTTGCGGCCAATGCCCATCGTCGCACCGGCTCATCCCCCAGCGCTCATCGCCACCAGCCTCCGGCCATAAGCCACAAGCGCAACGCGGCTACCATGGACGACAGCGGCTACTTCTCGTCACTGCCATCGTCAGCCATGCGACCGAAGCAGTCACAAGCTTTCTTGACCTCTGAGGCGGATGGCGAGCCGGCCAGAAAGAAGCGGAAGGCTGGTCGAGCGGAAGCCGAAATCGAGCGGATGCGATACTCGTCTGTGGACCCAACGCCCTTTCACTTCCGGACTACGGCTGCCAACGGTACCCTCGATCCGACTGCATCTTCGCCACCACCGCGCTCGAGTCCTGTACATCAGCCTGCTACACCACTGATCACCTTCAAGAAGCCTGCCAGGCCCGTCCCTGACTCTGTCTCTCCCAACGCACAACTTGCACAACACCGCCATGATATGCAGACATTCCTTGGCGTTCCCTCGACTCCCGACCTTTTCTTCCATAGCTACGGTCTGTCATGTCCAGATACCACTTCGCCTAGCAGAATGGTTGCAACACCTAGTGCCGGCATTGGTAGCGAGTTCCATATCTTTGATGATAACCTGTTCGCTACTCCCATCATGACGCCAGGCTATGGACGTAGCCCCCTGAAGTCGGCCAAGCGCTCCGCCCCAGGACGCGACTTGGCTAAGACAGGCACCGCATCTAGCACTCGGCTCAGAGAGATGCTCGCGCAGGCCGACCAAAACCGACTCAATGTTGCCAGAGACGGATCAACGAACAATATGATCAGTCCGTTCAAACCGAGCCCATTTCTGAGACAAACCTCTGCCGCTGCATTCAATGGCAGCCCACTGAAGTGCGTGACAGCTTTCACGGCCGGCGGCAGCGAAAACGAGTTCCAAGAACTCATGACCTTTCCTGACGACCTGTCCGATGAGATTGACACAAGTCCCATCGATCTGCTCAACGGATTTGAACCAATCGGTCTTGACATTGTCAATCCCCGGGCTGTGTCCAAGAGACCTGGTATAGGTGGCCGAAGCTTCACCAGCAGATTCTGAGGGAGGCAACCCCGATGACCACTCCACTTGAGACTGGACTAGCCATGTAGCTTTGGCTTCTTGTTTATCAACTTTTCTGCACATGCCTTTATGATTCGCCATGACTTCGACGATGCTTTAACTTAATATGACCTCACAAAGAAAGAAGAAAGGAAGAAACGACATATTTGTTTTGGGTCTGGCACCGGCGTCGGTGCCAAACTTTGGACATTGGCTGGCTGGACAATCCCAGGTTAGGGACTTGAGGATGGGTACTGGATATTCTTTCTGGTTGTTGCACAATACGATTACTCTATGGATAGGCCTTTCTTGCTTTGGGTGAGGGAGGCTCCCCCAATCGGCATAAAGATACCTGGTACTTGACGAATATGGGCAAGCAAGCACACCCTGGACATGGACAATGGACAATGGACAATGAACATGAATATCGCCGGCGCGCGACATTAAGCAGTAGTCCTGGGCTAGTGTGGCTAGGAAAGGGGTTTCCATATCACTGTTAGACAACACCCAATGCACAATGTTATTGCAAATTGATTCATGTCCTCTTCCTCGTCCTCCTCTTCCTCGTCCTCCTCTTCCTCGTCCTCCTCTTCCTCGTCCTCCTCTTCTTGTCCTTGTTCTTCTCCTCCTTGTTCTTCTCTTCGCATTCTGGTGCTACGGAGGGAAAAGCTTCCTGAGTCACTCGCCCCGATCCATGCATGTGCGGGCTCACAAAATGCGAGAGAGAGAGAGAGAGCATCTAAGAGAAAGGGAGGCTGGTTGGTTGGTTGGTGGGATCTCCAGAGGCCTTTTCGATTTACTGTACGCCTCGAGGCCATTACAAGTTTCATACTATGACTACTTATCCGCGGATCTCATTAGGTCAGGCAGGCATGCATGCATGCGCTTGATTGATCGCCCACGCTTTCGTGGTCTGGTGTCTATTAGGTACCTAAGCATCTCACACGCAACACCACACACGACATAAGCACCTCTTGCTATGACTTTTGTACAATCGCAGGACTTCGTAGTCAGAGGCGTAGTCAAGGCTTGTTGTGCACCAACCACTAGGAATCAACAATGCTTTTCCCCATTAACCTCTTCATGTCTGCTGTAATCTGGATGCATATCCTCCACGACCCAGAATAGGAGACCGGTCTAGCCAAACCCTATGAATCATGTACAATACTAAAAGAAAAAAAAAGTCGTCGCTAGAGGTTTGCGCCGTCGCTTATCGGATGCAATATTCATGGTGTCATCCAGAACAGAATATGCCAATGCTGTAATGTGAGTACTGCCCAGACCAGGCACCACCGGGCTTCAGGTCTGCTTAGAGACCAGCTTCCTTCAGGCTTCGCTCGATGCCCTTCTTGCGGACAGGGTCCAGCACCACCAGACCACGCTCTTTAAGAACTGACTCCAAAGTCTCGACCACGCGGTAGAAGCTGCTGGCCGCGCCTTTCTCCTGAGTGAACTTGATTACACTCAAATTGGCCTTTCGGCCGTGCTCAAGGACACAGTAGAGGAAAGCGTGGAAAGTCACTGGCTTGATGTGCAGGTCTACCATGAGCGTTAGCATGCGACCATCAGATTGAGTTCGGAAAACTTACAGTTGCAGGCATCAACCCGCCCTCGCACCATGTCGCCATCAGCACGTCTCTCACACACAACGTCGCGAAGGCCGTATTTGCGCCAGTCTTTGAGGACACGAACAATGTCTTTACTGGCACGACCTTTGCTGACCTGAAGGCATATGATTCGAGTCGCAGGCTTGATGCGGAAGAACTTGGCAAGCCAATTCTGGCTAATCTCAATCGGAGCATGCGCCGCGGCTGCGGTGGCAGCGTCGACGCTGGTGTGAGGTCTGAAGCTGCGCCGTGAGGTCCTACCTCCGACAAGCTCTTCATTGTTCCCGTTGGCGTTGAGATCCTCTGATGCATCATCCACGATCTCGTGGTCGGTGTGAATCGGAATGTCGGCCTGCTTGGCTTTCGCTGACTTCCCAAACATCTTTTGAAACCACTTTCTCTTCTGGCTGATCAATTGTTGGCGCTCTGGGGTGTCGACCGCCAAGGCTTTATTGTTTGAAGCATCAAGCGCCCCAGAGGCCATCGGCTCTTGTCCCGACTGATCCAAGGTCTTCTCTGGGGAGTAGCCGTCGCCAGTATAACGAGAGCTCTCGTCCATGTTACGCTTGTTCAGCCACGACCACTTGCGTGAAAGTGAGGTGGTTGATGCTTTCTTCTTCGGCGAGGAAGGTGGGTCTTCTTGGATAGTGGCGAGGACCATGTTGCTGTTGTAAAGTCGCGAATCATAGCCCTGACGGTCCTGTTGGGTAAGGGCAGGGTCCACGCGGCCGTCTCGCATAGAGTTGATAGGCGTCGCCTTGTTCTTCCGCACATTGACTGGGGATAACCTGCTCCCTTGGGGTGACGAAGCTGGTACAAGCCTCACAGTCGCGTCGTGAGGTTTGGGATTCTTGCCAAAAGGATCAGAAGCCGCGCGAGGAGCATCTTCGCGGAGACGCTTAAGATCCTCCATGGTGCTTCTCGGCAGTGGCATGCTCGATGTACGCCGATCGGCAGCAGCGTTCGCAGCCGCCTGTCCTTTCTGTCGCTTCAGCTCTTCATTGATGAGCACATCAATGGGAGCAAGCATCTTTTTCAGATCTACATCGTCATGCCCACTGAACATGTCAATCACTTTCTGGCGCTTCTCCTGTAGTTCTCTCAAAGCTGGAGTCTCTGGCAGAGGTCTATCGCGAAGGTAGCTTGAAAGACGTCCATCTTGAGTTCCGACAGAAGTGGGTGGTGTGTCAGCGGTAGCATAATGACTTGCAGCGCTGGTTGAAGAAATGGAGGATCGATTGAAAGCCTCTTCGCAAATCTTTCCAAGCTCCTGACTGACTTTGCGGGTATCATCTCGCCAACTCTGAGTCAGAGCTGGGCCCTTTTTAATTTGCATGTCCGATGCAGGTCTGCGGGGACGGGTGGCCGCTGGCGGAGTGGGCAGGCTGGGGTTGCTGTATGTGGTGCTAATCATGGACTCTGAGCCACGTGTACGGGGACGATCCATGGACACATCAGCGCTAGAGCCTATTGGCTCCGGACCAGTCGAGCGTGCTTTGGGAGCATGTGTAGGACCTGGGGCTTGTCGCTGCCGAGGGAAGCTCACTCGACGCTTGTAGCTCACGGATTTTCTCATACGGCCCACTCGCTTGGAACTTGCCACGGAGCTCTTCGAAGTAATGGTAGAGTAGGAGGTTCGCCTCGTTTGGATCGGCCGCTCAGGCTCCTCAGCCACATCTACATGAGACATCTCGTTTTGAACACGATTCAGAGCGGGGTGGCGGATACCGCCTTGAATGCTGCCAGCGCGCGCATCTCTCCGAATCACGACGGTGGGCGTATTCTTGGGACTCTCGACAATTGGGGTCTTGGACGATCTGTAAGGGTCGTACGTGCTCTGAGTGGCCTTGCTCGCCGAGATTGCCGGGTTCTTGTAATAAGTGTCACGCTTGGCTCCAGTGTCGCTGATGATGGAGAATTGGGATGGTCGTCGTGTATGACCGAGTCCATTGGCCGCAGATTTGCGCTTGGGACTCTTTGGCTGCGGTCTGGTAATGTGATGATAGTCACTGGCAGAGTACTGCAACGGATCACCATCGTAGTTTTCCAGTTGCTCGTCTCGGAATTTTATCAAAGCGTGATAGAACATTTTCTCGTGATTGTTTTCGTCATTGATGAGTCGCTCCATTAGTGTTTCGGGTGTTTCACTGTGCCAAAGCGTCTGTAGGCTGCGCAAGATGTCCAGGTCGATGTCATCGATATCCTCAACACGTTGGGTAACTTGGTCCTCCGTGAATGCGGCAGCAGGGCCGGGCAAGTTGACTCCTGGATTGAGGGAGGCATGGTACCGCTCATACTTGCGCAGCAGAGGGTGCGCCCAAATGTCATCCATGCAGATGCGACGCTCTGGGTGCTTCTGAAGAATGCGTTGAACGAGATCGGAAGCCTCGACGCTCAAATTTGGCGGCAAGAAGTAGTCGCCCTTTCTGACCAATCTCAGAGTAGTGGTCAGATCTCCGCCGTCAAAAGGTAGGAAGCCATTGAGCATTGCAAACAAGATGATGCCGCAGCTCCAGATATCGGCTTTGTCTCCACGGTATTGGAGGCCCTGAATGATCTCAGGCGCGGCGTAGTGTGGGCTACCACATGAAGTCGTGAGCCATTTGCCCGTTGGCTGTAGTGCTGCCATGCCAAAGTCAGCTAATTTTACATTGCGGTCTTTATCGAGCAGGATGTTCTCCGGCTTCAAGTCCCGGTGGCAGATGTTGAAGCGATGACAGTATGACAAGCCGGAGATAATCTGGCGGAACAGTCTAACAGCCTCTGGTTCGGGCAAAGCACCGGTGCTGGAGACATAGTCGAAGAGCTCCCCTCCTTCAACATACTCCAGAATGAGGTAAAGCTCTCCACGATTCTCCCAAATGTCATAGAGGTTGATGACGTTCGGGTGCTCGATGAGTTTCATGATGACGACCTCTCGCTCGATACCGAAAGGCATGGTCCGGGTACCCAACTTGTTGACAGGATTCGCGGTATCGCTGTCGATTCTGGCCATGCTGGCGCTCTGGACCATGGCTGCTGACTTCTTGGACACGATCTTGACAGCAACGACTTCCGCTGTTATACTATGACGAGCGAGGCGAACTCTGCCGGTAGCGCCTTTGCCGAGTGTCTTTCCCAGATGCCATGGACCCACATGCGTCTTTCTCTTGCCCTTGTTAGTGTAAACGACTTTGCGTTCCGATTCGGCGGGAACATCGTTTGGAGGATCAGGATTGTTCGCCGGACCGCCAGCCGTACGCTTCTCACGGGCAGATAGATTGCCTTCGGATTGCAGAGACTCGTGGTGGGGCATGCGTGGCGACGGAGTGTTCGGCACAGCAGCAGGTTTGGTAGGCGTGGGTTGAGGCGTGGCACGAGGCTGGCGTTCGCCCAGCGGTCGACGCCTCGGTGAGGAGCGCTCCGCTCCGGTCGATTTCTCCATGACAGGCGTAGATAGTCGCTGGTCCTATGGAAAGGAGAGGCGAGCTAGACCGCGAATTGAAGATCCGGAGCACGTGAGGATCGAAGGCAGATCGGTTGCATGACACCGCGCAGACCGGCTTCGTGGCGAGGCCCAAAAGATGGTGCAAACAGTATTCGGCAATAGGGAAGGATCAGAAAGGTTCGCAAAGATGCTTGCTGATGATGACTTCAAGATACCCGAGGACCCGTGTGCGACCAGAGGTCGATGGCTGCCGGGATCGATGCTCTGCTAGTGACGAGACACACTCGACAACACCTGTGTGTTCAAGTCACAGTGCGGTGTTTTTGTTGCTCCGCACAGCAGCCACAGCAACGTCCAAGGCAGCTTTGCCGATGAGTTCTCTCAGAGGACTTTCACCGCTGCTAAAGCAATACTGTAGACGGACATCAGTAAGATGTCATCCTGAGCTGGCCCGCATGACACCCACCTTTTCAGCCACTAGGGCCTAATCTGGTGATTTGTTGTTGTGGTCAATGCTATGTTAGGATGATGTGAATTCCTGGCCCACTTCGAGAACAATGCACAAAGGTGAGGAATGTGAGAAATTGAGCGCTGGCATACAACCCACCCAGAGTCCAAAAATCGATCCATCCAGGAGCGGACCTTCAAAAGAGCGACTTGAGCCAGACAGACGGCCGAGGTGAGGACAGATACAACCAAGTCCCTGGAGCTGAATGAGATGGGTCGTGGTTGCCTTTCGCTCTTCGTCGTCACCACCGCCACCTACCTGATGAGGAAGACGTGTCGCCGACAGGAAGCTGCGCAGAAGCTCATCTAGGCGCGCTCGATACGGCACGCCCTGTACTGCGAGTTTGCTGCTGATGTTGAAGTCACTGTCTGGTACATCGTCGACGTCCTAGCGGAGCGGTGTCGGGCCCTACCAGAGAGACCATTTTGGCACTAGACCAGACGACTCGTCCCGACGTTCCAGTATGAGATGAGACCAAATCGTGTGCTATGCTTGGGATGGGTCTCATCTGAGAAATTAAGCCATGAACCCAGCAGCAAGAAGTGTGCAGACGAAGAGGGTGGGTTAGGGGAATGCTGGCGGGTCCGCAAGGGGTCTTGGTGCTGGCACGGGCTACTACGTTCACAACGCCCCAAGAAACGGCGACCGATTGAGTCTCCGCGGTGATGCAATCTGAACTGCTTTGAGTGAACTACGACGGATTCACAAATGGCTTGTGCACGGGCATAAAGATACAAGTACTACTGTGTACTCCGTAGATATCTCTGGTCTCGGTCTAGGCTAAGACTGTCGCGCCCCAAGCCCCAAGCCCCAAGCTCGGCTTACCCCACGGCCCCAAGCAGACTGCGTTGCCGCACTCAATCGGATGGCCTAAAGCGCTCGGTGCCGATGTCAAACGTCACCATATCAGCACGTTGCGTGATGGTGAGGGGCTAAACTGCGAAGAGATGATGCGAATACTTGCAGTTCGGAGACGCGTGGCAGGCTCCAGCGTTTCTCTGGATAGACTGCTCTCATCCTTCCACTCATCTTCTTCCTTCCCTCACGACTGATCTGTGTTCAGTTGCGAGAAAGGCTCCGATAACGATGAAGTCCATCTCTGTACTCGGCCTCGCGGCCGCAGCCTCTGCCTTTATCATTCCTGATCAGGAGACGCTCAAGTCCCTGACAGTCGAGCCAGAACACGATTCCCATCCTTTCTGGGATAATATCCCCTGTGCAGAGCGAATCTGGGAAGATCTTGAGACCAAGTTCGATCAGGCCACCGACGCAGCCAAGCAGTACTATGATGAGGCTGTCGACTTCACCTACGACACTGCTGTGGAATACGGCGAGAAGTTTGAACATGCCTTCGCTGGCCAGTCATGGCTTGATTCTGCTCAAGACGATGTCGATGTTTTCGATAAACCGCCCCATGATGGCCCGCCGCATCACGGCCCACCCCGCCATCGTCGTCCTCACCACCCTCCTCACCACGGTCCTCCCAATCAGACGGTATATGAATTGATCTCAAAGAGCAAGTACACAACCAAACTGGCCAAGGCTATCGACGAGTTCCCAGATCTGGTCAAACTGTTGAACGGCACCACTGCCAACTTCACTGTCTTTGCTCCCACCGACCATGCTTTTGAGAAGATCCCCAAGCACGCTCCTAAGCCGCCCAAGGAGTTCCTCAAGAAGCTACTCACCTACCATGTTTCCCCCGAGTTCTATCCGGCTGGCAGAGTTCTGTCGTCTCGCACTATTCCCACTGCCCTCGAGGCCGAGGGCATTGGTGGCAACCCGCAGCGTCTAGCCACCGAGATCAGCTTCCGTGGTCTGACTGTCAACTTTTACTCCAGGATTGTCGCCATCGACATTTTTGGAACCAACGGTGTTATCCATGGCATCGACAGTATCCTTCTGCCTCCGCCCAAGGTTGTCACCATCATTGAAGCTCTTCCTGGCGAGTTTAGCACTCTTGATCTTGCTCTCACTAAGACTGGACTACTGGAAAAGTTCAACGACACTTCTCTGCATGAGGGTGGAACTCTTTTTGCACCCTCCAATGGAGCTTTCCAGCGTCTTGGCCCCCGGATCAACGCCTTCCTGTTCAGTAGTTATGGACTCAAGTATCTCAAGGCCTTGATCAAGTATCACAGCGTGCCCGACATTACTCTCTACAGCGACGCCATTTACAAGGCCAAAAAGGAAGATAGTCCTCGTCATGGACCACCCAAAGGCTTCTTCCACATCGACTTGCCCACAGCTCTCAAGGACAAGTCTCTCAGTGTGGACATTGCCCGGTACGGCCGTCTCATCACCATCAAGATCAACGGTTTCTCGCGAGTTGCTGTTCCTGATGGTATCGCCTACGATGGAGTGATTCACGTTCTGCCCAATGTTCTCATTCCTCCCAAGACTCCTGGTGGCGCTGGCGTTGCTGACGATGACATGGAGCTCGAGGAGTTCAAGGCGAGGATGGCACCTCTTCTAGACAACTCCGACCTGGATGAGAACGACCTGGAACTGTAAATTATCCATCAAGATTGCATCGAGTGCATAATATTGTCAGATTCGTGTCAGATTCATGCCACGACGAGGCAGTTATACCCATGACAGGGTAATATTTGAACGACCATATTTTGCGAGACGAAAAGTCCATAGAGAGGGGTGACCCAATGGGCTGTTATATGGAAATTCTGTACAGTCTACTACATTCTTTGTGCAAAGTCGATGCCACTGGAGCCTTTGATCCTACTCTTTGGTTGTCTTGACCTTTTGTGACTGATGCTCCCCATCGACCCGGACCCTCGCTCCTGCCTGACGCCATCCATACGGTCAACGAGCCCTCATTGGCTGTAATAAAGGATCTGATAAGATTTCGCTCCTGGTCTAGTCCGCATTGAGACACCAAACGCTGCAGCCAATCATCAGACGTCTATCATAGAGGGCGTACGAAGTATTACTACCTTCGAGCACGTTGGTAGCCGCGGGGTTTAAAGACATGGCTTTACCTGTACCTCGCACTGCTGTCTTCAAGCTATTGCACTCTCGCTGACTCACGACTTTGTCCTCCCAGCACCGCCCATAACATAGCGGCAGCCAGAACCACGATGTCTCTGCCGCAGCACTCCCCACAAGATGCTCTAACAGAGAAATCACATGCACAGATCGTCGCCGATGACATGTTTCTGGTCGCCTTTGAAGCAACAAGTGACTCTAGCAATCCCAAGGACTGGCCTCTTCTCCGGAAATGGGCCGTCACCTCTGTCCTCTCCGTCACCGGCTTCAATAGAATCATGGTATCAACCATCATGGCACCAGCTCTGCCATACATGTCTCGGGAACTGCAGATGGACTCGGTCGAGTCCCTGATGGCCCTTTCCGTGTACCTCCTTGCGACGGCTGTTGGACCGCTCTTGATAGGACCGGCCAGTGAACTGTATGGTCGTGCCCCGATTCTGCACTCCACAAATGTCTGGTTCTTCATCTGGAACCTGGTCTGCGGCTTCGCCCACAACAAGGCAACACTCATTGCATCTCGTCTCCTCGCCGGCCTTGGTGCCAGCGCCATCTACTCTTTGGGCAACGGCGTACTGGGAGATGTCTGGCCACCACATCAACGAGGACGGTCTATGGGCATCTACCAGCTCATCCCATTGCTCGGTGCGGCGGTAGGGCCGATCCTCGGCGGCTTCATCGTGGCCCATACGACCTGGCGGTGGATTTTCTGGTCAACGTCGGCACTGCAGGCTGTCGCCATCGCCTTCTCGTTTCTCGTCTTTCGCGAGACATACGCGCCCACTATCCTTGAGGCGAAAGCATCCCAACTGCGCAAGTCAACGGGCGACGATCGCTACCACACTCAGACCTCTTGGGCGACCGCAGGCGTCCCATTCAGTTCCGTCGTGCTCGACAGTCTCTCACGGCCGTTGCGACTCCTTCTGTTCCATCCCGTCATTCAAATACAAACACTACTGTCGGGCTGGAACTACGGGCTGCTTTACCTCGTCCTTGCAACATACTCGTCACTCTGGACCGGGCACTATCATCAGTCAGTCTCCAGCTCCGGCCTGCACTATCTTGCCATGTGCCTTGGCGAGATCTTCGGCGCACAGATTGGAGGGTTTTTGATGGATCGCCTGTACCGGTATCTTGCCTCGAAACACGCCCCCGCAGAACCGAAAGCAGAATTTCATATCCCTCTGATGACCCCAGCATACATCATGGCTGCGTCCGGCCTCCTCATTTACGGCTGGACGGCGCACTACTTGCGTCCCTGGCCCGTAGTCGACATCGGCGCTTTCCTCCTGACTTTTGGCATGACAGTCAGTGGGCAGGTCATCAATTCGTATGTTATCGATTCGTACCCAGACCACGTTGCCAGTGCCTCAGCAGCAGCACAGCTTGTTCGGAGTCTCACAGCTTTTGGCTTCCCGCTGTTTGGGCCAGCCATGTTCGGTGGCTTGGGTTACGGTTGGTCGAATACGCTGCTTGCAAGCATATCTTTAGTACTGGGACTGCCATCTACGATGCTGCTCTGGCGGTGCGGAAGCAAGCTCAGGGAAAGGATTCTGGGTAGCTCGGGATAATGTTCCCACGCGCAGCAGAACAATACAAAAGTGTCTGACTACCTTAAGAACTGCCTTGAAATACCACGAAAGCCGTCATGTTCCATTCTTCTCGAGCTTGGACAAGCCCTTGCCAGCAACTATCTATATCCTTCCACCAACTTCAGACGAGAAAGCAGTTCGAGTGTCATGTCTGGCTGCTATTGTTTCTGTTCAATTCCTTCCCTCCTGCTCTGCCACATGAGTTTGTAGTCATGGTCAATGACATGGCTGATCCAATTGCAGAATTCAGGAACTCACTGTAACCGTCCGTCTCAATCAAACACCAACTTGAACCGGAAAATCTGCACAGGTATGAAGGCCCCAATTAAGTCATTCATAAGCGAAGGTTATGAAGTACGAAACTGAAAAATGAAGGTGGTTAATTCAACGTAAACAGTAAAGACAACGAAGAAGTGGTCCGCTTGAATGCTGTCGTTACGTCTATAAACACTCGACCAGAATCAGACTCTTGAACAGTCAGATGTTGTCTGAAAGAATTTGTGCGTCTAATATCAGAATCAAACTTGGTATCAGAGGTGGAGACAACATCACGCAAAACTCGATCCGACTTCTCCTCGTTGTATACCATGGTTCAAGCCAAGTTCGGAACTAAACGATCTGCTCATCGTTCTGTGTGGCTACCTCTAGAGCTCTCCGAGTCGTTCTTCGCGATGCTTTTGGATTCCTTTTCCATATGTCGTAGATTACTACGCTTTGGACTGGGTTGTCGTCTCGGCGAAGACAGTAAATCGGAAAGGGGTCCAAAGAAGTGTGAGCGGGGGCGTGCTGGTCCACAACTCCGAGCCCCTTGACTAGGTCGAGGCAATGCTGCTGGTGATCCAGTAGCTGGAGAAAGGTCCACAAGCATTAGTGGACGAACCAATGTCACTGAATCTTCTGTTGCAGTCTGCATTCGGACCAGTCCAGGATAAAGGCAGCAAAGAGGATAGTTGGGCCGGTCGTCCATCAGTACTTCGGTCCAAGTATCCATATCCCGCCATTGACACGCATCTGACGACCATTCCGAGCTTGTGTGCTCCGCTAACGTGACACGACGAACCTCGTACCGATATATCACACTTCGCATGTCTTGATGGAGTTTCATCGCAGAGTAGAAGATGTCTTTTCGAAGTGAGGATTCGTATTTCGTAAATGCGTTGCGGTCGTGAAAGCATTTTTTTATTTTGCCTTTGGAAGTGTCATAGATGGCCTTAAATTCTCGCGTTTGACGTTTCTCGAATTTCCTATCGCTCGTCAGAGCCTTGATAGCTTCCGATCTCCATCTTGCTCGGCTGAGACTCTGCATATCTAGCGTAACGCAATGATTAGGACAGAAGACTATATCAGTCGATGTTGCAGTTAGCCTACCATCTTCACGCGAGTCCCTGTCCATGGCAGTCGTCACCGCCGTAAGGACTTCCTTCTGTCTTTTGGAAAGCCCGTGTGGATACGGCGGACGAAACACCCACTCTTCAAGCTGCCTTTGAATTGCGAGAGAGAGGACAAGCTCCTCTTCTTTCTCATACTCACCGAGCGCCAAGGACTGCAAGCCCATCTTCTTCATAAGGGATCTTCTCGAGGAACTAATTCCTTGCCGCTCTGACAACACCGAAGTAACCTCGCTGTCAGCAACCACGTTTGCGATGAATGTATCGACTGCGCTGCAAATCGAAGAAAACCGTTGTTTCATGGAGAATTCAGATATTTGACCTGGGGGCTGCAGTAGCGAGAAGAGCTGCGCTTTGAGTCTTTCGTTCTCCTCGGCCATAGTCCTGTGTTGAGCCGTGTTCTCACCATCGCTTATGTTTGTCGCTCGGACTTCGTCGAAGTCCACGGGAAAAGACATGCTATTATAAAGTGTCAGCCTCGTACGGGACGTAGCTCATTTCACCGGACTTTGTTCAACAAGGCAATGGGCAAAAGGCGAACCGTGTGAGCAGATGAGAGGTTGATTACACGGCTGTCGACCTGAGATACCGAGAAAGATGCGTCACGTGGGCTCGACTGCAATGCAAGCCATGCTCCCCCCAAACTCTTTCACCACTTGCTAGCACAGAATGGCACCGAATCGGCCACGACCAATCAACCGCACCGCTTTCTGATGGGCCACGAGAGACAGCGCGGCTGCAGCAATGCCGGGAGCTCCTGGCAATAGCAAATGAATACCATGTGACATCGATGCACCTACATCGTCAGAGGCTCTACATGGTCCTATCTATTGGTTAGCTTGCAACCTTGCCAAGCTGGCACGAGTGCCGCGAGCTCCCCGCCTCACTCACGTCGCCTGGTCTGTGTGATCAGAACGAACATGTTCCTGATGGAGACTAGACTGATGTCGTGGAACACACCTTCGGTGATTTGTCCAATCTGATGACCGGTGTGTCGGTGCAGCTATGCCTTACAGGAAGGTACATATCTATAGGGTGACGTGGCAAAGCTCGACTCCAGACGGCCCAGCCTCACACATCTGACCTTCGAACGAACGGATAGCTCAAGCGATCAGGAACCGCACGCAAATTCCTTATTTGCACCGTTTCACTGACTCTTGTGGTGGTGCTTCACTAGAAGTTGGGTAGCAAGGCTGATACGATGAACGGGTCACAACCTGTCAAAATCTTGGTCGCTATAGACTTTGGTAAGCCTGAACCTCGAACGTGCTACTGATATTCACGTAAATCATAGGGACCACGTTTTCCGGCATAGCGTGGGCTCCCACGTGGCCTATCCACGAGGTATGACTTTTCTCCAGGCCGATTTGTGGAACAGTGAAATGATAGCGAACAGTCTAATCAGATCCTGATAGATCGCTGGCCCGGCGGCGGTGGCATAAGTGAGAAGGTGCCAACGTGGGCAGCATTGCCACGAGCTACATGCCGCTAATGCTGACCGATCTCAGAAAGTTGCAATATCGTTCCGCAAATATCGAGCGAGCGAACCCCGTGGCCTGGGGGTTCGCGGTGGACAGTACGGCTGACCACCAGTATGCCCTTTTCAAATTGGGTCTCGATCCGAACAAACATCGGGTAACGGGACTCGCACTGGAAGACACTCAGGACTTTCATCCCTCTTGGAGCCTGCGCGAGACTGAACAGCTAGTAGAAGCATACATCTCAAAATTGAAGAGTTGGATCGACACCTAGTTAAGTGACTCTACCACTGCTATGTATGCAACCAACCCGAGGGAGTACATTTTGACTTGTTCCGGCAATCTGGTCAGACCAAGCAAGAGACCTCACCAGGCGATGCGCCGCAAGGGCATTAGGAGTGACTCTTTTTTCAATACGCATGGTATCGGAGCCCGAAGCCGCGGCGCTCTTTGTACTCAGGCGGGAGTATAGCAGGAACGGCTGCAGCGTTGATGACATTCACGTTGTCTGTGATGCTGGAGGCGGGTGAGCATTGAGCAATATCCTGCATGCCGCAGGCCCCAGCCAACTGACACCTATGACAGAACCGTCGACTTGATCTCGTACAAGGTCGCTAGCGTTGAGCCAGAGCTGCGCCTGGTCGAGGCTAAGCAAGGGTCAGGACATCTGTGTGGATCCATGTTCCTCGATCGAATCTTTGAGAGGCACTTCCGGGATCGTTTCGAAAACAATCCTGAGTTTAATGCAGACGCCGTATCTTACGCACTCAGAGAATGGATCGAGGTCAAGCAGACATTTGATGGCAGTCCAGACAGACCCAGGACGATACGTACAATCATCCGTTCGGACCCACGTGGAATAGCGCGCAATGTGTACCGTTTGCCGGTCAATACACTCAAGAGACTTTTCCGCCCCGTGGTTTCGGAGGTCGTTAGACTTGTGCAAGATCAAATTAGGGACACCCCGGGCCGCGTCAAATCAGTAATCCTCGTAGGAGGTTTGGGCGAAAATCCTTATCTCCAGCAATACCTTAGGGCTCACATTGAGCCTGAGGTCAACATTCCGGAGAACAGGTACGTGCCAGTGTTCAATGACTCTGATCCGTACGCAGCTGATGGTCTCGGTAGTTGGTCAGCCGTGGTAAGAGGGGCTCTGATCAAGGGACTTGTGGAGGCACAGTCGCTAGTGCCAACCGTCATATTCGACGAAAGACGAGCGCGCAGGCACTATGGAACGACTGCCTGGGTACCATTCGATGCCAGTCAACACGATGAAGCACCAGGTCGAGCGTAGGGCCTCAGATGCTGATGACGTCTTGACTACAAGCTGACCGTTTCAGCGATATCAGTTCCCTGACAGGGGAAAGGCGGATTAAGTTGATACATTGGTTCTTGCGAAAGGTGAAACGCACGTCCACGTTGCAGCGAAAGTCGTTGATTTTATCATCTAGGGTAAGGCTGTCAAGGAGAATGATCCCGCAAAATTTGGATTTGATTGGGACCAGCCGACATCATCGCCACTGAGACCGTCCATGTCCATATGGTGTCACGAAGATGAGGCTGGCACGGGAAATCCACCAATATATGATGACGATCGTAGGTTGACCCTGATTTTTAGTTGTCTATACTGACATTCCGGAAGCTAGCGTCCAATGGCACGGCACATTGACCGCAAATATGGAAGAAATGCTTACTCCTGTAGAGCGCCAGGCTTTGATTGTGCCAGGGGTGAACAACGTTCAACACTACAAATTCAAAATCGAAATTTTGATGCGGCTCGAGTCCGCAGAGCTGACATTCCGACTTATCTGCAACGAACGACTATACAACGACAAACTAGACTTCAGATTTGAGTCTTGACCAAGATGCAGAGATTTTCTTTCGCTGCACGGGAGTTGGGTAGCAGTGTGACCCCTTTCTCTCCGACGCGGCGAACAAGTTTTATATAGTTACGTTTGTACACCAGACCGTTTCAACCGCTGCCGGACTGCTCTATCATCGTACTCGTACGAGGTTCACGTTTCTTCCAACGCCATGGTTTGGCAGATTGGGTCCTCCGCCTGCCGGCCAGTCTCCGGGTGCTGCACGACCATTTCCCCCACCCCTTTCCGCTGGCAAGTTCGGTCCGCCACGAGGTGGCCACGCCCCTACAGGCACATTGCCGCCGTCATCCCCGCCTCCGCCGCCGCCAGCATTGCCGTGGTTGTTGTCACTACTCGCATGACTGCTGTCATCATCGATTGATCGTTTCGAGTCTGGATCAGTGCCTCGCCAACACCAAAAGCACCTCCGGGCTCGCAAGATGATGAGTAGCCCTAGTGAGAAGGTGACCGTCATGACGATAAGTATTATTCCTATGACATCGTTTCTCTTCACCATCGGTCCTAGATGTTCCGATGATGTACTGCGCAACGTCAGCAGCCTTCTTATGTCCACCGTCCACGCGTATCCGATCAATTGTTGCAAAACCAGGAGGCTATTGTAGTTAGATTCTGCAAAGTTGCGACCCGTTGGGGCTTACAGGACCACGCTTGCACAGAGAGAATAGATCTCCGATAGGAGGGCCCTCACGACCTCCACCAGTGGAACAGGTAGGAGACTGATAGTCGTGGACGGTGTAAACAGAGAAATTGACAGGAAACGAAGCGACGAAGCGTCGAACTGAAGCAACGCGTCAGTATGCGAATGTTCAGTACTGCAGAGAAAGTTTGGGACGCGGCGACAGGACGGTAGAAACGGGTTTGACCGTACTCGGACCTCATCGAGGAAGGGATAACGATGGGTGTGATGTAAACAAAGTTCCGAATGGGGTTGTAACCTGCTCTGGTGATTCTCATGGAGCCTTGCTTCATCACTTGCAGTCAGGGCAAAGTACATGGGATAGCCGAGACTAGGGGCAGAAGACTGACACGAACGACTGCAAGGGACCGTATCATCGACCTCCTTCTTCTCATGGTTAGACCCTCGTTCTTCGCCAGCTCAGACAGAACAACACGCTCGTGGTGCATCCCGAAGCGCCCGTTCAGACAAAGGCCCACACTACCCCTGTCTTATCGCCTGATCAATCAGTTGTGACTGGTGCCTTGGCGCGTGATGTGGCTTACCGAAGTGCAGGAGCCTACAGAGTACCTAATGCATGGTACATACACCCAGGGTCCACGCCCGCTGTCCTTGTTACTTTGATCTACCTACTTGTTAGAGCAGGTGGGTCAGAAATTCATCAATCAGGGAAGGTAAATTCGTCTTCTCCTGCTTTGACAGGTAGGTGGGTCCAAAGTAACGAGGACAGCGGGCGTGGACCCTGGGTGTAGATGAAGGACCTTGGCGAAACCAGCAGGACGCAGGACACTGAGGTCCCCTCGACAGCTAGGGCAAGACAGCGTTGATTGTCCTTGTGAGATGCACTCGTTCAGACAATCTCCACAAAAGGCATTTCGACAAGCCCTATGGGTGAGGACCGTAGCATCGGTCGGAAGTCGCTCCATGCAAATGTTGCAATCGTCATTTCTGGCCAATTCGGGCCGTGTTGGAGATAAGTCGCAGTCCTCCGGCACCAGTGGCTCGAACAGCATGGTTCGAGGCATGATGTTGTTGCTTTGGTGTAGGAGTTCGCGAGATAACGGTGGGCCGATGGATGACGAGCGATTCGAACTCGGTTCTTGTACAGATCCATCTTTGAATCGGAACAAGGCACCTCGGGTGATGTGCCATACAACGAGCTCTTCAAAGGCATTTGTCCAGCTCTTTGTGGGGATCAAGTCCTCAATAAAGACGACTGACAAAGGCATGCTTGTAGAGAAGTGTGGCTCGCAGCCAGGCAGGAGAGCTCCGAGGAAGACTGACTGAAGCTTGGAGGATGGTGACCACTCGACGTCCACGGCAAGAAGCGAATGGCCCTTCCAGCGTCGAGATAATGAGATTCGGAAACCGTTCCGGATTCTGGCCGCTCGTGGATCAGACTGTGGGCGGAAGGCGTGTTCACATGGTCACCGCTCCAGTATCGACAGCTCGGCTGGTCTCGTCGGCCTTACTTCCACCTGGGACAGTCACACCCATTCGTGCCAGACCCAACCGCATCGACTCGTCATTTCTGTCAGGTTCTTTCAACATTTCTTCAACTAGCTGAAGCCGTCGCGAATATTGCTTGACTCCTCTCTTCTCATCAAGTTCGATCATACAGCCATGCATGAGCATCGAGACTGTCTGCTTGTTCGCGATGGCGAGCAGGCTAACGTTGACAGCCAGTAGCACTAGCAGTAGCACCTTGCTCATCTCGTGCATGCCCATGGACATTCCTGCAGCCCCGTAAGTTAACAGTGTGGAGGCAGACTGCACCGAGGACTCGATAAAGGTCGGCTCACGCAGCCATTGACCTGACGTTGTTGCTTTGAGATCATCCACCACACCCCTGATTCGGACCCAACGATCTTGGCTGAGAAGAACAAGGAGATCCCCCTTGATACCCGGCTCGGATTGGCCGTGCCAACTGGCGGCGGATCGGCGGGCAATGACGATCGAGTTGCATAGCCTTACAAGAACAAGGAGGCCCAGAACGATTAGTGCGGTGCCGTCACCAAGGGCAATGAATACGCAGAAGACCATTATAGTCAGAGAAGGAATTGATAGGTAGGCCAGAGTCGAGATAGAAGTGGTGTTGTGAGAGGCCCACAGCCTTGAGAATAGTCTGGCTCCCAATTGGCTGTCTCCAAGGCATCTAGAGACGGTCAGGTTTGTCAAGGCACCAGTCTTGCTGATTCGCTGCAAAAAGAAAACTGTCGCAGGATTCTCTACTCGAAAGACGTAGCCCGTGGTCAAAGCAGCTACAGCAGGATATTCTGCCTGATTGAGTTGTGTTGCAAGTGACTGACGATGGAGACCAGGGCAGATAACGAGGGAGTCGAGGAGAGTAGCGCCTCCAGTGAGAGCGGTCCGGACGCCCACAGTGGAAATATCAGCAAGTACAACCATTCCAGCTGCGCCGCCCAACGGAAAGGTGACCTCCGGACGCCACAATGGTGATTGTCTGAGCCAGTTCAGTCTGCCTTGGAGCTCGCTCATGATTGCGAAGAAGCGGAGCTGGGTTGCCGGAAGTCAATGGCAAGGCTGAATGATTGATAGGCGGCGATTTCGTCTGTCTCTCGGCTCGGTGGTGTTTAAATCTTGATTGACCGCGTTTTGATGAGGGCGAATCCTCTTGAACAGCACAATCGATGTGGTACGGCGATCTTTTGATCCATTCATGTGCGGGACGAGTTTTGGAAACGCAACAAGGGACTAGAAGTCGCGCTCCAGCTTGTCAGACTGAATTTGAACGAGGCACACACGCGCCAGAAGCGGGAGGTACACGTACAGCATATCCACACAGGTACACCAGCGGCAGGCTTCGCGCTGAAGTATCAATATGGACAGACGACCAATGACAAGAGAAGCCTGATAGTTGAAGTGGTGACTGATGAACTTGGCCTCGAGATCAATAGACCACTTTCGCATCGAAATACCTCTTCCGCCGTTGCCCCGCTCTGCTTCCCCGTCGGCCTCACTCGCCTCGCTCTTTCACCGACATGGTGTGAAACAGAAATTTGAGTGCCAGCCAATGCAGACAGGAGCTGGTACAGTAATCTCAAGCCTCCAAAGGGTAGTGTTACTTCCTTTATAGGTCGTCTCGGTATATCCCGGAGGCGACTAGTCCTACCCGACATTACCGCGGCCGGAGTGCTTCATCCGAGGCTTCTTTGACCTCATCTATCGTCAGATCCTGCATGGTATAGTTCCAACAGCCTTCTGACTTGCATCTCCTGCCGAAGCTGGTGTCCGGGGAATCCGCCAAGCAGAAACTACCCCGGAAGATTTGCCGCCCCGGGTGGTGTCCCGCTGCGTGGGCGGACTATAACAATGCTCAAGATTTTAACCAGGAATCCGAGGCACAACAGATGAAGCATTCCCAGCGACCCTTTCCCAATCAAGTCTTGGACTCGCTGCGTGACAGCTAACTTCCACAAAGTAATCGAGCCTGCTGACTGGGTCCGTCAGTACTTTCCTGGTCTCAATCACAGCAGTCTCACCTATCAACCAGAACCTACACCAATATCGACCGCCATGTCAACTTCTACCAACTCAACACCCACCCCTCATGATATCGATGTCCTCATCGTCGGCTCAGGATCTGCCGGCCTCGCCGCTGCCACATGGCTGTCAGTTCTTGGCATATCATCTCACAACCTTGAGGACCCGACGTCCGGTGGCGTCACCGTTCTTGAGAAGCGTCCTGGGCCCATGACTATGGGCCAAGCAGATGGTGTGCAGTGCCGCACTGTCGAGATGTTTGAGTCGTTCGGCATATCAGAAGAGCTGCTGAGGGATGCGTATCATGTGCTGGAGATCGCCTTCTGGCAGGACTCCAAAGACGGCAAGGGCCTCAAACGAGTCCGCTACAGCGAGGATACGAAAAAGGGCCTCAGTTGGCAGCCGCATGTGATCTTGAACCAGGCAAGAGTGAATGGGCTCTTGTTGGGCAAGATGGCAAAAGAAGGGGGCATGAAGGTGCAATACGGGTGGGAAGTCAAGCATGTCGAGCTCATTGAGAATGGTAAACGTGTCAAGGTCGTTGCCGAAAACCTCGAGGGCCAAGTCCAGGGTGAGTGGAGGGCCAAGTACGTCCTTGCCTGTGATGGTGCCCACAGCAACGTTCGCCGCGCTATCGGCTACCAGATGATCGGCGACACTACCGACGCTGTTTGGGGTGTCATGGATGTATACCCTCGAACAAACTTCCCCGATATCAGGAAAAAGGCCACTCTGCATACCGACGAAGGCGTCTTGTTAATCATTCCTCGCGAGGGCGGCGATTTGGCCCGCTTCTACATAGCGATGCCTCCCGGCACGAAGCCTAAGGAAGTCAAGCTAGAAGATCTGCAAGAGGTTGCGCGCAAGATCTTTGCGACTGGAGGATACCAGATGGATATTGCCGGCACTTTTTGGTGGAGTGCCTACTCTATCGGACAGCGACTGGCTTCGGGGTTCAGTCTCGGCAACCGCATCTTCCTCACAGGCGACGCTTGCCATACCCATTCCCCGAAGGCCGGCCAGGGAATGAATGTGAGTCTGCAAGACGGTTACAACATCGGCTGGAAGCTCGGCATGGTTCTCAAGGGCCAGGCCGACCCCTCACTACTCCATACATATGACTTTGAACGCGGCAAAGTTGCAGCAGATCTCGTCGAGTTCGACAGAAACTGGACCAAGACCATCGCGAAGCACACCGACCCCGAGTCCGGTACTACCAATGAAACGGCCATCAGCGACGCATTTATCAAGACGGCAAAATACACTGCAGGCCTGACGTCGAAATATGAGCAGTCAAGTTTGACTGACGCCAAGGGCAGCAAACAGGAGCTCGCCACGGAAGTGACGGTTGGCATGAGATTTCCGAGCTCGCAAGTTGTGAGGTTCTGCGACGCAAAAGCTATGCAGTTATCGAGAGCTCTGAAAGCCGATGGCAGATGGAGGCTGGTGATCTTCGTCGGCGATCTTCAGGAGAATGGGAAGAAAGCCAGGCTGGACAAGGTGAGTTTTGCCTACACCGGTGTGTAGGGTTCACTGACCCAGATACCCAGCTCGGGGAATACCTGGACTCGGCCCAAGGCCCAGTGCGAGCCGCAACACCTCTCAACGCAGATATCGACAGCGTTATTGACCCTATTGTCGTGCTCCATGGCAAGCGGCACGCTACGGAGCAAGAACAGATCCATCCATTCTTCTGGCCTACAACAGGCAAATGGGGCATGCGAGGTAGGAGCCGTTACCCCTAGCCTACACTTCGATCATGCTAAGTCTATCAATAGACCTCCACAAGACCTTCGTCGACGATGAGAGCTATAATTCAGGACACGGTCATGCCTATGAGAACTGCGGCATCGACCCCAAGCACGGCGCCCTTGTCATTGTCAGACCTGATCAATGTGAGTCGAGACACAACGAACCCATCTACACGTAGACTAACGAACTCCTAGACGTCTCCAAGGTCATCTCTGTCGACGACCACGCCGCCATTGGCTCATTCTTCGCTGGCTTCCTGAAAAGACCTGCATCTACATTGCCTAATTAGCGCAGAATGTAGCTCTCTATCTCCATCACGCGCACAGCAATGGCGTTATTTGTTGGACATCATAGTGCTGCAGAGCACAATATATAACTTACACCAATCCAGCATTTTCCTCTCTCATCCCAGCAGCACGTTCCAAGACTCGTGCCTCGCACTCTCCATCATCATGGCCTGGTCTGCAGTCCAGACCAAGCCCTCATCTTCCCTCTACCAACGACTCAAACACAAACCACCTGTCACCAACAGCCCGTTCACGATCAGATGCTGCGCCAGCACCCACGCCACCATGTACAGATACTTGGGACTGAAGACGGTCCAGATGAACAGATGCTCCCGCAGCACGAAGCACGCCACCATGACAGCACACGTGCTGCTGGCGGCAAAGACGGTGAGCCGGACAAAGTGGTCAAACGCGACTTGCCTCACCCTTCCCTCGCCTCTCCTCGAGACGCTGCCCGCCGCAGGTACCTCTTTGCCACGCACCTCACCAGCACCCTCTTCAATCTCATCCTCTCCAACAGCCAGCGCCGCCTTCCCCACCAACAGCCTCGCCGTCGCCACACTCCACCACACGGGCCCCGCCCAATTCCCCGCAAAAGTCAACACCCCCACCGCGACAACATTGTAGCCACCCACGCCGTTATACGCACTACTCAGATCCACGCTGCTGATGGCGTTGGTGCCGCCCATGGCGAAGAACGCCACAAACTGCATCACCAAGCCCAGCAGGCCGAGCTCGGTCGCGCTCAGGTGTCGCAGGGCCGGCGACACCTCCAGCAGCCGCACCTGCGCGTACCACACGAGGAACAGCGGGATGTTCTCCGTGCGCGTCTGCATGATGAGGAACAGGGCTAGCACGTCGTGGAAGACAGGCAAGAAGCCACTGGCGCTGGGGCGCTGTGGCCGTTGCTGCTGCCGCTGCTGCTGCTGCTGTTGTTGTTGGCCGCCCCGCCAGGGGATCTCGTAGTAGATGGCGCAGGCCAGCAGTTGCACCAGGCCGAAGAAGGCCAGGCGCGCGAGGTTCAGTAGTGGGTAGCCCTGGGTGAGCTGTAGGACGGGGCGGAGTGGCAGGACGGAGCGCACCAGCTCCGGAGCGTCGGCGGCGGTGAAGGCGATTTTGAAGACGAGCGTCGACATGCTGACCAGCACGGGTAGGGCGCCGAGGTGGCGCGACTGCAGCCACGAGGTGGCGCGGGCGCTGAGGTTGCGGGAGTGGACGCTGTAGGTGACGAAGATGAGCGTCCAGAGGAGGTAGGGGTTCGGGAGGACGAGAGTCGTGAGGAGGGAGGGGGCGCCGGCGTATTTCTGGCCGGTGGTGCGCCAGCGCTTGGTGAGGCCGGAGAGGAGAACGGTGAGGGCGAGGGCGCCGGCGGCGCCGACGTGGCGCGAGGAGTGGCTGGGGTCGTGGAAGCGGGATGTTTTGAGTGTCAAGAGGCTGAGATACAGACCGGAGAACCAGTACCAGAATTGGTGCTCTTCTTCGACGTAGCTGGAGGCGAACATCGTGATGGCGTAGAGGGTGTTGAGGAGGAGGAAGAACAGAGAGGAGAGAGTGGCGAGCTGACCGGTGGACGATGTGAGCAGCGGACTGATGGCAAGGACCAGTGCAGACAGCGAGATGATGCTGCCGATGAGAAGCTTGTTGGTGTCATAATTCGAGGCGGTACCGCTGAGGGCGTTTTGGGCCTTGCGAAGGAACCTATCGAGGAAGAGGGCTGCTATTTCGCTGTCAAAATCGTCGGCCGCATGTGCTGCATGGGTTCGTTCGATCTCGGTCCAGAGGCACGCTATTTCTTGGGCATCGGAAAGAGCTGTTGCACAAGCATCGTCGTCTAGTGAGGATATGTTGTCAAACTCCTTGGGGAAGGTGGCATGGGCAATGCGGGATATTTGGCGGGCGTTTTCGTAGAGCAGGCTGTAGCGGTCGGCGGGATCAGACCACAGAGCTAGCATTCGTGGGATTATTCGGCCAAGGTTGTTCAAGGGAACTGGGAAGTCGAGGAAAGCGGCCAGGGTGGGCGCCAAGTCAGATTGCTCGACCGTACGGTAGAATGAGAAGTCCTTTTCAGGTTCGATGGGACAGGCACTGCCAAGGAAGGCGTTCTTCAGCTTGGGAGAGATGAAAGTAAGCGCAGTTGACACTTCTCCGGCCGAGTTTGCGCCGTGATTCCCGGCCTCGTTCATGCCGTGGTCGCCAAGAAGCACAAGGAGTGTTGAAGACAGATGGGCTTCTGACTGGATAGCTTGGTACACTCTTTTGACGATACCATCCATCTCAGCCTGCTTAGCGGGCATGTTTGGCCCCCCTGGCCCCGTCTTGTGGCCAATGTGGTCGAGGCCTAGGTAATGGAAAGTCATGGCAGTCCAATCGTCGTTTTTGAGTTCCGTGTCCACGTGTCTCGTAACATTGTTGTCGACTTCTGTGAAGTCAGACACAAAAAAGCTTGTGGTACCATCGGCCCTGTCAAAGAAGCCGGGAAAGAGCCTCAGCCATGTGTCATCTCCGTACATGAGCAAATTGCCAGTACCCTTGGCTCTGAGTTGAGCAAGCCATGAGTCTTGTGTGGCCAGTGTCGACGTGGTGTCCGACTCAGCGAAGTTGAGCACGAGATCGACAAAGCTAGGCACAGATCCCGTAGTGATGGCTTTGACCCTCGGCATGGTGATTGTCGGTGGACTAGCATGCCCTGTGAAGGGGATGGCGGCCCCCTCCCGAACCAAGCTCTGCGTGAAATGGAAATTCGAGGCATTGCCATAGACAAAGTCACTACGGAGCGCGTCCACCACCATGAAAACCACTTTATTGAATGGTGGTGGACGTCGCACTCGCAGACTGTCGGGCTGCCATGTCGCCAGCCCAGGAATGAAGGCCTTGTATGGGAAGAATCCCGCTGCGAAGATGGCGATCGCTGCGACCAAGAGTGCGTTGGCTAGTAGGATAGTGGCCACTCGGAACGTTGATGGCATTTTCCTACTTCAGGGGCTGACCTCTCTCTCACAACCACATCATGGGGTTGGAGTCTGCGCAAAGAATTCTGGCGACTGACCCTCTGCTTCGGGCGCTCCAACGGTTAAGTATGTTTGCACGGAATCTGCTCCCGTCGAAAGGCATAAACGAGACAGCCCCAAAGAGCAAGACGTGGCTCGCATGTGCCAAGAAGGGACGTTGACCAAGTCTTGGCACAAGATGTGAACATGTTACATATATGCTTGTATCTCGACACGACCGTGACGACTGTGGCAGCCACGTTTCGGGACTGCACAAGTCGTGACGATAAATCACAGTTCTCAGGCAAAACTAGCCCCATGCGATATGGGCAAGATGTAGAGAAAACGTTCAAGCTATTCTTCAGTAGAGAGCTTTCGGCGAGTCACTAAAACTACGCGTCCTCCGCATACGTCATGTTAGTGGACGCGCCGACACGTGATTTTTGCACGGTCTCCAAATTGGCCAGCAGCTGCGCCTACGATTCTTCCAGACCTTTGTTTCCTCGAGCGGAAAGTAAAGCGTCGTCGCAGAGGCTGAAGCGCAATGGCTACGTCGATGTGGCAGGTTACCTGAAATCAAACCGCACCCTAGCTTTTAGCTGGGCGAGACCTTGCATCATGGCGCATATACACTCTTTTCAAATCGAGCCTATACAGCGCTTCACCAACCAGGATGCTGCCATCCGGCGACCTCGTGTAGGCGCAATCCAGAGACTGTGATAAGGAAAATTAATGTCGCGCAGGAATTCACTTACTTCTCGTACGATGAAGAGCACAAGTTCAGACTCGATGCCTCCAGCCTACGATACTACTACCCACCTAGCTTGCCCGCAGATCTGAGCAAGGGCTTCGATACATTTCGCCAGCTAGACGATAGTGCCGATGACCATCTAGACGGGCTTTTGGATGCAATGATTGCCTTCGAGCGCGGCAAGGGTGCAAAGACTGAGGTCGATATCATAACATGGCGAGGCATGATGACCAAGGTGTGATGGATCCGAGCAGTCGTGGACATGGGCTTATGCGCGGTGATAGATCATGACGGTTCCCTTCTCCCACCTCGACGAATGGGAGATGAACGCGACATTTTTCCAAGACACAATATTCATCGAAGAGAACCATGCCAAAAAGCTGGACTCCCGCCAAAGGCAGAACAACTCGGGTGCACATCGCGGAAACATGTCCCAAGACCTGATGAGTTTCTGGGGATACAAATTTGAGACCATTTCGCTGATGCCCAAGCCGTGGTCCGAAACGCCGAGAGACTACCTCGAGAGCCGCGAAGACGAAGTGGTCAGCAATTATGCCCAGTACTGTTCCATTGTCCGTACCGGCTTTGGCAAGACCAAGCTTGTCATTGGTGGTGAAGTCGACGCGGTGGAGGCCTTCAAACCCGAGGATAAGAGCCAACCCATCAGATGGATCGAACTGAAAACGACCGCCGAGCTTGGCAATGACCGAGACCTGGTCAAGCTAGAGCGCAAATTGCTCAAGTTCTGGGCCCAGTCGTTCCTCCTTGGAGTACCAAAGATCGTCGTAGGCTACAGGTCTCAGCAAGGTATACTGCAGCGTCTGGAGGAGATCGAGACGCAGACCATTCCAGAGAGGGTCCTGCGTGGGAAGCGTATGTGGGATGGCCAGACCTGCATCAATTTCACATCCAGCTTTCTTGATTGGCTCAAGTCGACAATCACAGGTGAGGGTACTTGGCGGATTCGAAAACGCGAGAAAGTACCCTTCCTCGAGGTCTTCAAGGTTGAACAATCCGGCACGGGGGATATCTTGTCCAAGGCTTTCCTGGATTGGCGTATGCAAGAACTCCCTAAAGTTCCAGCTACTGTCGATGCAGATGGACCGAAGCCGACACAAAACGGCCAAGCTGCAGATGCTGCATCCACAGCTGCCGATGCATTTCATCCTGAGCCTGCTCATGATCCTTCAGTCAATGGCGATGGGCTTGATGCACGGAAGGCCGAATTATTAGCTGCCATTCATGGGGCTGCCGATCATAAGCCGCCTTAAAGCAACCAATTCAGATCTGAAGTCGATTAAGAACCGTCATCCAGTGTCTGCGATGGGGGTCAGGAAGGCACGTCGACCTTGTGAATGGGTAATTCCTCCTGATGCTCCAATGATTCAGTGCGTTGGAGATATTCCAGCTTCGCTTGGTGCTTCCTGCGACCTTGAAGAACTTTCTTGTGACTGTTACTGGCAATATGAGTTTCCCACTCTTTGTCAGTCATCAAGAATCTGTCGCAAACCTCACAATGACGCCGCACACGGAGCGACCTCTGTGGACTCTCGTCGCGGACCTTGCTAAACATCTGCTTGGCCAGATCAGACAGACTCGAGGGCTCTGGCAGGTCCTTTGCGTGGAGGAAAGCTCGTGCTATACCCTCCGCTTGGGGTACGAGGTGGGAATGGAACCGACTCAGATCTGTGCCATCCAACAGCAAGAGCCTGTCGGACACCCCGGCCTGCTTCAATGACTTGGCGAAACTCATTCGGATATAACGCTCCTGACGCTTTGCGTACCGCCGTGTGCCTGCTTTGACGGACTCGAGCGCATCCTGTGCCAAACGTGATACTTTGGCGTCTTCCAAAGGTTGAGGCTTGGATAGCTGCTCGGCAGCCCAGGACTCCATCTCCTTGTAACCAATAGAGACCCAGATGCCTTTGGACTTATCAATGTCCGTACCTTCAGTTCCAAGTTTTTTCTCTTCTTGCTGTAGCTCGAGTGCCTCTTCGAAGAGACCATTCGTCACCATCTCTCCAACTCGCGAGTTCAGCCGCTGTTTCAGCGCAGAGTCCTCTGCAGCAAGCCACAATACCAAGGGATCGTAGCGCAGCAGCGACTCCCCACCGCGAGCCTCCAGTCCCTGTCCGGCACCTCCGTCTATAACTTGACCATTGCTTGAGACCTTCTCCCTCTCAAGAGCCTGCTCCCGATAGATGTCACTGACGCGTCGGCCCGTGCGCAAGCAGATCTCCAGACTTCGCTGCACCCGTCGCCAATCTTTCGGATGCCAGCTCCGCGCCATCTCCGGATCCAGCCTCTTTAGCTCCTCATACATCTCTTCCGGGCTCGCGCCCAGTATTGGCCACCGTTTGATCCCCTCTTCCACACTACCCATATCATTTCCCAACGACGACGACTCCAGCGCCCGTTCCTCCCCCTCTTCACTCTCCGCCTCGTCCTCGTCCCGCAGCATCCCATCCCGCACCACCAGCGCATGCATATAGTACCCCGTCCCACCCACCACGATCGGCACCTTGCCCCGCCCCCGCACCTCGTCAATCACGCGGTCCGCCTCGCGCACGTAGCGCCGCACCGTCCACGGCGTCTCCGCCGGGCCGATGGCGTCGAGGAGATGGTGCGGAATGCCTTGCTGCTCCGCGGGCCGCAGCTTGTTCGTGATGACCGGCAGCCCGCGGTACATTTGCATGGCGTCCGCGTTGAGGATCTCGCCGTTGAGGGTCCGCGCGAGGGACAGGGCCAGCGCTGACTTGCCGGTGCCGGTGGCGCCGAGGATGAGGATTAGGGGCGTGAGGCGGGGGGAGGGTGCGGGCGGAGGTAACGTGGTGGTGCTGCCTGACATGGCGCGGATGGAGGTGGGGAGGCGGAGGAGGGATGGGGGAAGGGAGGTGAGGCGGGCGTGCATTAGGGTCCAAGCATGCGGGTGCTTCAAATCGCCTGGCGGCGGGGGAGGGGGGGTCGATGGGCTAGCTTGGACTTCGGTGCGAAGACGCGGCCTACGTTGGCGCGTCAGTGTACAAAAGTGTAGTCGACGGGTAACTTTTTTTTTTGGTTAAAGCGCAGTTGGGGTCATTGTTGGAGAGACGAGCACCAGGAGATAGACAGGAGTTAAGATAACCTGGGGCACAAATTCTTGACGGCGAGGTCCGGCCGACAGACAAGGACGGTGACGCCTTCATCACGCCTTGCTCCCCAGGATGTAACATATCTTAGTTAGAAATACGCTCTAGTAGTCGTCGGGTGAGTCACTGTTCTTCCCCATACACGTGGTATCAGGGTTTCTTTCTTCCCGCCTTTACCGATACTCTCTCTTAATTCTTCCCTTCTGAATCTTTTCCACACTCCGCCTCTCCCTCCCTTCCTCATCCATCACCTGCACGACTGCAACCCACCATGGGTTCCGCATCAGCCCCACCCACCATCAAAGTCAGCTCCCTCTCCTACAACTTTCCCGACGGCAGCAGCGGACTCCGCGACGTGAAGCTCTCCCTGCCCGCGGGCAGCCGCACGCTGCTCATCGGCTCCAATGGCGCGGGCAAAACCACGCTGCTGCGCCTGCTGTCCGGCAAGCGCATGGCGCCCGCCGGCACGGTGAGCATCGCTGACGTGGACCCCTTCGCCGCGGGCCTCGAGGGCGTCACATACCTCGGCTTGGAGTGGGTGTTGAATCCCATCGTGCGCACCGATATTGAGGTGCCTACGCTGCTGGACTCGGTCGGCGGTGCGGCGTTCCCAGCCCGCCGTGATGAGCTCGTGCGTGTGCTGGATATCGATCTCAGGTGGCGTATGCATACCGTGTCTGACGGCGAGCGTCGGCGTGTGCAGCTTGCTATGGGCCTGATTCGGCCGTGGGATGTACTGCTCTTGGATGAGATTACGGTGGACCTGGATTTGTTAAGTCGGAGCAGCTTCTTGGAATGGTTGAGGGGTGAGACCGAGGCGCGGGGTGCGACCATCGTGTATGCAACTCACATTCTGGATAATCTGGTCGGGTGGCCGACACATTTGGTTCATATGGCGCAGGGCCGGGTCAAGGAATGGGGAGCTATGGAGAAGTATGATGCGGAGAGCGACAAGTACAACAACAGCGGCAACAGTAGGTTGGGGGAGTTGGTTTTGCGATGGCTGAAGGAGGATCTGGCGGAGAGAGGTCCAAGAGGAGGTAAGGGGGAGGGTGCAGCATATCAAAACCTGGAGGGGCTTGGCGGCTATGGCCTGGAGAAGAGAGCTTGAAGAGCAGAAATACTGGCAAGGGAGTTCCGAGAGGGTGGTTTGCTTTAACAGTGATACCCCGTCGGCCTTCAACAAGGTCGAGCAATGCTTTGGAAATGGAAAGTGGCTGTCGATTTACCATCGACCACAGGCCTTAACGCCTGTTCTATGAGACGTGAAGAGAAAATGATTATTCACGGTTGTACGCCGTCAATGAGACATTGTACGTCTATACGAAGAATCCTCACCGAGCTGTCCGCAGATGCAACTGCCAGGGGGATCCCAGGGCCATCTTTGTCTTGGCTCGGTGCAACAAGTCTCCAGGCAAGCCGATTGACTGTCGTTGCTGGACAATCGCGTGCTGGCAGTGTCAGGCTTCCAACCAGTGCCATACCTTCACCTGCATCGATGAGGTGAACGGACATAGTCCCGTCGTCTTCACCCGCAGCAAGGCAGACGACGTTGCTCTTACTAGTAGCTGTTATTGCCACCGCAGTGACCGCTGTTTTTCGGCTGATTGTCTGCGACAACGCGAATTCCTTGTCCGGCTGCTCTTGAGCCCATAGTTTGATTGACTTGTCTCTCCCAGCAGTTGCGAAGAAAACCCGGCTCCCTTCAGGGCACCAGGCAGCATCGAGAATCATCCTTGAATGTGCTTTTGGGTTCGATTGCAGTAACTGCCAACTCTGCGAGGCTTGCGTTTGCTTGAATATGGCCCACTGCCTATCTCGACCGACACTCAAAAGGAGACTGTCCGGACCCGGCGACCAAGCTAGACGGGTCACTGTAAGTGTATGCGCAGACAGCGGCGGCCGTATCTCATCCCATGTTGTTGTGTCATATAGTCGGATCACTGCGTGATCAAGCGAGCTTGCTTTGCATGCTGTGGCCAGAGTGTGACCATTTGATGCCGACTCGGAGATCTCATAGCCGTGGCCGTACAGCTTCTCGCGTTCAGGCCAAAGAGTGTGTCTGGCTAATAGATCTTCCGCTGGAGGCTCCTGAAGCTGTTCGAATGAAGCGCTATTATCAACTACTGGTGCTTGATCAAAGCCGTTGGATTCGGGAGCATCGTCGATACCGGCAGCCTCATCCATAGCCTTGTTGGACAGACCGAGTACTGGAATGGATGCAACTTCGGGGAGAGATTCCTCTTGAGGCTCCTGCACTCGACACAAGCGCTCGAGCAGTCTGGCAGTTGACTTAGGTTCGTCGAAAACTCGTAATAGCTTCTCATCGGCACCAGAGGCAAATTGACTCCCAGTCGTACTTGAGACGCAATTCAAGTCGTAGCCATGGATCTGTGGTCTCGCGAACTCGTGCCAAGTCCGTTTTGTACCCCGTCGCCATTCTGCGTGGAGGCGTGTAGTCTGGTCAGATCCAGTAGAGAGCAGATAAGAGCCGTTCGGAGCCCAGGAGATACCATTGGCCGAGCCTACGTGGCCAGTGACAGCTGTCTTTTGCGTCCAATATTGCTGACCCAGATCGAAAATCCATAGCCGCCAGCCTCCGGTGCGTCCCAGGCAGGTTACTGCATTGCCTTCCGGTGACCAAAGAGCATTCCAAAACCCACCCGCAGAGCCTGTCGCTGTGGTCGCACCCTTTTGGCCGCTTATCTCGCCCAGCCTGGTGACACTGACCCAGATCCCGGACGATGGATCTGGCTCCCAGATAGTGAGTGACCCGTCCGCTGAGGCTGTGAGCAACTGTTCAGACTCGGGACTTGGGTTCCAGGCTGCGGAGTAGACCCAGTCTTCGTGACCAAGAAGCAATGCCTCGAAAGTGATCGCGAAGCTGTTTTCATCAGCGGATACCGTTTGTACTTTGGCAGTCAGTGAGCCTCGGTCCACAGCAATGTCAGCATTATCGCGAACGATGCCGTTGGGTTGTTCTTCTCCAGAGCTGAACTTCCACAAACGCACATATTTGTCCGCACTTGTCGAGGCTAGCAGATAGGCCCCGGACTTCAGGCTTCGAAGTGACAGGCATCTGATCCAACCCTCGTGACCGCTCAAGGTTGCACAGTGCTTGACCTCGGGCTGAGTACGGAGGTGGTTCAGGGCGTAGACATATACATCGTTCCTCGTACCTCCCGCAACTAGGAAAGCGGAGTTGGTTGAAGCTGAGTCTCGGAAGTGGCCGAGTGCGAGGCTGAGCGGTATGAACCGGGGTTGAGTCTTTGTAGCGCTTACAAGAGTGAGTCCACCGTCTTGCCAACGCCAGAGTTTGATGACAGAGTCGGCGCCACCAGTAGCTAACAGTTCTCCGTTCACAGAGGTGGCGATGCAATTGACGGCGCCTTCGTGCCCCTTGACCGTTGCAGTACAAGACCACTGGTCTTCCTCCCCTGCTGTCCAGATCCTTACCTCACCATCTGCTGATCCCGACACGATGATCTCACTTAAGTCATGGTCGTTTGGCTCTTTCAGGAACCGAATGGCCGTGACTTTCGCTCCATGACCATTCAAGAGCGCGTAGATCCCGCGGACGTCCTCGTCAATTGGTCTCCAGAGAGCGATATTCTGATCTGCGCCATAAGCCAAGATGCCGGAGTGACTTGACCAGTCAGATGCGGCGCTGTGGCGATTACCGCCAGTACTGATATACTCCGCGGCCGCCAAACTATCCATGGCTCCTGGAATGGTGGCCGTATCAGAGCAAAAACTTTTGAGATCGTGGATTTGGGTGACGAGGCTGTATGACGAGGCTCCGCCATTGACCTAAGCCTCATTTGGCAAAGCGGTATTCAAAAGTGCTGGTGCTTCTGGACAGAATACGAGACCTCTAGTATTTCAACAGGGTAGAGGAGCTCTCCGAGGGCAGATAGCGTAGTCCAATAGGAAGGTGGCAAGCCAGAGGTTGAGCTTTCAAAGTTCTAGAGTAGTAAAGCAGAAAACTGCTATAACGCTGTATTGACTATGATGGGGTGGCAACACTAGACATGGCACAACCCAAGCATAATGGGGTAGTACCTCAAATGAAAGAATCTAATACATTTTAGAAGCCATCTCAGAACGTTATCGTTATCTAACACCGTGGGGGCAGCAACCGATATTATGACTAGATAATGGGTAAGAAGGATCTCAGGCAGTGAAAGCTTGGCACAGTTTCGTTTTGTTTACGCGCCGTACGAAAGCATGAGCGCACCTTTAAATGATCTGTTCCGATTGTATCTGCACTTTGTACACACTCGCCACCACTCGAGAACGTCGCTGCGAATCTCGCGACCATGGCGCCTCCTGCTCGCGTTCCCTCTCAGCCTGATCTCTCACCAACTCACAGCCTATCAGGTTCCCCGACCCGTACTGCGCCTGACCCTGTCCGCCGCAACCTCTTTTCCGCGCATCTCTCCCGCCGACCCGCCTCGTCACAGTCGACAACCTCTCGTCCCAGTTCACAATCTCAAAACGCCACTCAGCCACCATCTTTACCGTCACAGACCCGCAACATCTCACCCTTCACCTCACCACCTCGCCTGTCCCCAACGCACCCACTCCCACCCTCCTTCAACGAAACTTACGACCCAGTCGTCTCACCCCACCGCTCACTATCACCTCGTACAGTCGCTACGCTCTTCCCCTCCTCCTCTGTCGTCGCCCTAAACCCGTCCACCGGCCGCCCCATCCTCCCCAACCTACCTACGCTCCCGGCGCGCCTGCGCCTTTCCGACTCTGACGACGATGACGAAGAAGAGGAAGACGACGACGACGAAGAGCACGACGACACACGCGGTGACGCCCAGTACCACGATCCTGTCTCCGGCGCTGAAGCGTACATGCAGCAACGCGGCCCATATGGGCAGCGCCCACCCGGCTCAAAACAGCAACAACAACACACGTCCGCGAATCCCTTGTATCCTGACGACTCTCCCTCCGCCAGCGCGAGCGGCAGTGCGCAGCACGACGCGCTGGTGACGGACCTGATGAGCCGCTATCGCGCAAGACGACAGCAGCAAGGCCGCTCCAGCACGGTGGCGAATATGAGGCCGCTGCAGGCGCACAGCGCGGAGCGGGTGGTCGAGGAAAATGAGGAGGCCGAGGAGGAGGAGGAGAGGGCGGAGCTCATGGCGCACTTGATGGGGAGGCTGCGACGGGAGGTGGTGCGGGTGGAGGAGGAGGGGTGGATGTTTGGGGACGTGGATGTGGGGGGTGCGGGAGATGGGATGGGCGTTGCTGGTGGAGGATTGGTGAGCGGAGGGGGCGCCGGCACTGGGGTGGGTGTGGGAGTCAGCGAAGGCTAATAAATACCTTCTAACGAGATGGGATATGTGACATTAGCGGTCATTCAGCACGGGCGCTGGGGAAGATTTATTGCCTCGGCCGTAGACAGTCGATTGGAGGTGTATCAATACCACGAATCTAATGTGTGTGTATTCACCCAAGCCTTTCTCCGTTCGTTGGTGATGTGCATGTACGTATCGCTTAACGCTCACTCGATATGCAACAAGGTATGTTCCGCTCACGCCTGAAACCCGGAGCTCTAATCTAACTCCATCGCCGCTGGCGCGGACGGTGGCTTTGCCTGCACAGCTGGCTTCGGTGTGGCTGCCCGCGGTGTCCCTCCTCGTGCCTGCCCAGCTGCACCACCGCCGCCTCCAAACATCATGTTGCTCATCATGTCAAACAGCGGATTGCTGCCACCCTGCTTCGGCATCCGGATATTGAACCATATCTCCCCAACGTTAGCCAGCGCTTCCCCCCAGAATTCCTCCACCTCCTTCAGATGGCCGGCGTAGTGCTTCGCTAATTGTCGGAATAATCCAGCGTCATTCTTTTGTGCGGAGAGCAACAGTAAAGCGAGGAAGTTGAGTAGAGGAATGGATGGGAAGATGCGGACGGAGGATTTCGCCGAGTCAATCGACTGCGTGGGCAGCGACGTGTTGGAGGATGTGAGAAGAGAGGTAAATTGCGCAAGAGCTGTGGTGGCGGAGGCGAGGTTTCCGAGCACGAGATACGGAAGTACTGAACGCGATGCGTACAACGCCGCGGTGTGGGGAGAGTCGGCGGTATACCACTGGTAATGTAGACTGGCAAGGATTGGGGCACTGGACGGCGTGCCAATGAGCAGGTGGCGTTCGGCATCATAGGCTTCGCCTTCTATTATGCCTGTTAGTAGGTCCTAGGCGAGTAAGGCGCTATACGCACCTTCGGCGTAGAGCTTGCCAACGGCGTTGTGTAGCTCTGGATCGCCGCGCTCAAGCTCCCCAAATTTGCCAGACCAATTGATCATTTCTTGCACGAAGCGCTTGCGCGTCGGCTCATCTTTCTGGAAGGCGTGTAGGATTTCAAGAAGGCGCTGCTTGTTCTCCTCCGTGCACTCGTATTCGCCTTTTGTGTATACATCATTCAATAGCATCATCGAGAGATCTCCCCCGGAGCCGCCTTGGCCAGCTTTGAGGAGTAGTAGCGCGCCATTGTATAAGACGTCGGCGGCGGACTTATAGTCGGTCGATTTGAGGTATCGTGAGGTGATCACACGGAGCTGCTGGTGGGCTTCATAGTAGTTGCCTTCTGCGATGCTGGACGAATGGTAAGCGGGTGTCTGAGAAGAGCAGGTGGGCTTGCGTACCGTTCTTGCTGTCGAGCGATTGTCTTCGCAATCTTAGACGACATTGTCTTACGGGCTGTCGAGATGGAAGACCGGACGCTGTAAGAATACCCGCGGTCGCAAAGCAGTCTGAATGTCCCACCTTGGTTGGTGAAGCGCTTCCGCTACCTCTTGGAGGGGAGGCAAGCCACCTCGGACTACGTCACAAGCCACAAGGCTGACAGTAGGCTTGGCGTTTGCCTTGTCAGTCGGCCATCAAGTCAGGCCTCCAGCAATGAGTCTACTACAGTCAAACACACTTGCGGGAGCAAACCTCAGACGCGCAGTATATGGCTGTCAAATTTAACTCCTGTGAGTCATGCTCTAGCTCGGCTCCTTGACCTACGTGCTCCGTTGTACCACTACAAAGCGGTACTTAAGCAATGGCTACGGCTTCAACCCAAAGCTGTGGACTGGTCCGTCCATTCGACTTGAGTCCTGCTCTAGGATCACATCTTCCGTTGAAAGAGTCATGAAGCACTTGTACACCGACAAGTTTCAAGCTAGAGTGGAGCAGTTGATGAAGACGCACCACTGCCCCGGGATTGCCGTTGCCATAGTACAGGAAAATCATGTCGCTTCAGCGGGATTTGGACAAGCCAACACTGAGACGTCTGAGCCCTGCACAGCCGATACAATCTTCGATATCGCGTCAGCCTCGAAATCGTTGACTGCTGCATCAGTGGGATTGCTGATTGAGGACGAGTCCCACCCAGACGTGCGATGGGATGCAGTCATGTCCGAACTATTACCAGATGATTTCGTGATGCCTCATCCAAAGTACACTGCTGAAGTTACGGTCGAAGATATACTGGCTCACAGAAGTGGAATGCCGGGGTAAGCGTGTCCACAGAGACGAGATCGCAACCACTGACCTGAAGAGACACGACCTATCGTATCTAGGTATCGGATCTCCTAAACCTGACGACGCTCGCTCTATAACAAGAAATCTTCGCAATCTACCCTTAGCTGCCCCTATCCGAACAAAGTACATGTACTGCAACATGATGTACACTGTGGCTACGCACCTAGTGGAAGTAAAGGCCGAACAGAGCTTCGCAGACTTCCTGCAAGCTCGTTTCTTTGATCCCCTGGGCATGGACTCGACTTGCCTTCAGCCAGCAGCTGCACGAGCCCGGGGACTAGGTGACAGAATCGCAACCGGGCACCACTGGGTGAAGAAGAAAGGCTACAGTCGATTTCAGACACCAGATTGCCCAGAAGCACAAGGCGCAGGATCTATCATGACAAGCGCGAACGACTTCATCAAGTATGTCAAGGCTTTGATGAACCAAGAAGGGCCAATCACAGAGAGGCTGTACCGTGATCTGATCCGCATGCGCACCATTGCCAATCCGAACACTAAGTGGTTGCGGCCTCATACGTCGGCAGTGATATATACTGTGGGTTTGGAGATATACTGGTACAGAGGACACATGATCGTTGGGCACGATGGATCGATCGCTGGCTTCGGCTCTCGCTTCTTCTTTCTCCCAGACCTGAAATTCGGCGCTTGTATTTTCGGTAACTCAAGTGATGCAGCGACAATCACAGGTATACTGAGTCGAGAACTAATTGACATAGTTCTTGAGGTACCAGAGAGCGAGCGATGCCAAAGTAGCAAGCACGGCATCCCTACTAGGTTCATTGAGCCATCTAACGCGCCGCCGAAAGCCACCAAGTCCGAGCCCAAGCAATTGTATGCCGAAAAGCAGAAGCCAGTCAAAAGAAATGCCCAAATTCAAGAGTCAAACTCGGAGGCGGAGGCACAGGTCCTCGATCTTGATGCTTACACCGGTCGATACTGGAATGCTGGCTATCATACGATGATTGTGGAGATCAAGAACGATAAGCTGTTCATCGATGCCACCGATCGCTCCTTTCCCCTGACGTTGACCTTCGAGCACGTTTCTGGTCAGACCAAGTACATAGCACGTGAGACATACGTTCTAGAAGGTGGCAACAATCCTCTAGATACCGAGTTCGAGTTACACGACAACAAAGCAGTGAGAATGGGCTTGAACTTGGAAGACGAGGAAGGCAGGATGATTTGGTTTGACAAGGTCACATAGCTCTGTATTTGAAATGAGGTGTTGCTCAAGTTGTCAAGATGAATGCATTCAGCGATGGCTCTACGGTCATTTTCATGTTCAAATCAAGGTGCTCGCAGTCCACTGACTTCGATACGCTCCACGTCGGATTCTCCACTCTGCAGGCGTCTGGTGTATTGCTCATACTCGCCACTCACGTCTATGACGTGCTTCAGATGCGTGTAGGATAGCTTCTGCTTCTTGAACTTTGCCAGCTGACAAGCTGACGTTACGGCGTTTCGAATCTGCCGACCGTTCAACTCTTCGTTGCCAAGCACCTGCAAGTGGTCTTCGAGGTCCTCAGCGTCGATGGGCTCGTCGAGGTCGTTGAGGCGCCGGATGAAGTCCCGCCACACTTTGCACCGCTCCGCATGATTGAGATCTTTGTAGTGGAGTACTAGTTGAATGCGAGATTCGAACGCCTCGTCGAAAGCCCCCTACTCGGTTGGAGGTGAGAATCAGAATGCCGTCGTAGTATTCCAGCACGTGTAGGAAGATCGAGACCAGAGCGTTGCGGTTGAGGTCGCGCAAGTCGCGTTCTGCGAGGAAGACATCGGCTTCATCAAGGAGCACAACTAAGGAAGTAATCAGCTCGGACCACAGCAGTATAATGTAGTCTGACAGCAACGATCAAGACGCCTGGACTTGCTTACCACAATCCCAAATCTTGCCGAGGTGCAAAACCGCTGTCAGATGCTTTTCGACTTTGGACGGCTCCGTTCCAATCTCGCCGCATGTGATTCTGTACAATGACTTTTGTGCAATCTCTGCGACACTCTCGGCAGTGAATGTCTTCCCAGTACCTGGACCACCGTGGAGCAAGACGATGAGTCCTGATCCTTTCCCTGATATGACATCTGTTGACTTTCGGGCCTCGAGGAGATTTTCGACCAGCGCCAGGATTAGCTCCTTGGTAGCGTCTGCCATTATCAGGTCTTTGAATGCCTGTTTGTTCCAGTTCACATCTCTCATCTGGTCGACAAACAGTTTGTCTGTCTTTGTCAGTGTGCTTGGCAAATTCAAAGACACGAGATACTTACACCATCTCTTCGCATGTAGATGGTAACCATTGAGCATGGTGGGGAAAAGCAGTAGATCATCGCCACCTGGTGGGCTATCTTCCGCCAATCTCGAAGCAGAAATGTCAGCCAAATAGTTCGAGCCATCAACATTGTCGTGTGGATGTAGTTTGTTGTAGGTTGTGGCGTCAATGATATGTCGTGCGTCGTCCTGGTGTTGTTCAATAAATTCTATTCTACACTGTGCCGAGAGCGCTTACAAACAAGTCCCTCAGTGGGACCGCTCGTGTAGGCAACAATGTGCTTGAACCTACACTTCCAGAACATTCGGCCTCGATCCTCGAGTTCTTGTCGGATTCTGCTGCTGGCGTACATCAGGGAATAGATGTCGAGTCTTGTTATATCAACTTCATCATTCTCGAAGGTTACCTGCAGCTGGAGGTGGTTCACCACATATTTGTACCGAGAAAAGCCATTGAAAGCCCAATGCCAAGCTTGGACGGTCCAGTCGTATGAAAAGTAGTGAACCTCACTGGAGGGTGCGATAGAGCTTTTCTCGCGGACTCGCCGCGCACGCGCTGCATAAGAGTCGTCTCCGGTGCTGATGTGCCCGAGAACCTCTCCCTTTCCTCGGGTATGGTCAGTCAACCAGGATGTGGCGAGGAAGGCCTGCTTGTCAGCACCAGACCCCTCTAGGAGAACATCGCCGGGACGGATCAGGTACTGCATGTACCGTCGGGAAACGCGAACTCGCTCGAACATGTCCTTTGCTTTCACGTAGTCCTGACCGTGGGTGTCCATTACCTGGTTGACCAAGAAGCAGAGTCCTGCCACGAGCTCTGTAAAGCCCAGGAGAAAGGTGCCTGGCAGGATCCCGAGCTTACAAATGGCAAAAAGAGTTTTAAGAAACTTGAGCCAGGAACAGAGCAGAACTATACAAGACATTTAGCCTTGTGGCATGAGTACGTCACTTGATTCAGGCCTAAAGGTGTGTTACTGACAGAGCGTTAGTTTTATGAAACAGAATCCCGACAAGTCTCTATACAATCTACAATCACTATAACATCACGCAGAGGTGATGGCGTATGCAGTTAATGGTCTTGAAGGCATTGATGCGCCCTGTGTGGAGACGGTACGGAAAAGTTGGAATGCTTTCACGGCCGCGTTCCGTCGAGAAAACGCTAACAGCCCCAGAATCCTCTACAGGTTTTGTCAGATGAGGAGATTGCGGAAGTGAGACAGTGCATCGATATTGAATGACTTAGTGTAGGGCTGATCTATCTGGGTGCGTAGACACATATATATTAGCGATCAGTGGGTATCTAAAACCTTCTGTCGTAACGTCGCAAAACTGTTAGGAGGACCTAGGTAAAGATCGGACAGGCTAAATACAATGGATTACATCAGTTGCCCCTATGTGACAGAGGTAGCTCAACGCTTGAAGAGCGTTGAGGATATTACGCCCATCATCAAATTCCTGTGCACGGATGGCGCGTGGATGAATGGTGAGTGTTTGTCGTTGCTGATGCCTAGTGCACTTGCTAACAAGAGGAAACAGGCCAGACGCTGTTTGCGAATGGTGGCTACACTTCGCGCTAGATCAGGTCGTTGTTTCCCGGTGTGGTCTGCTCTTGAACGGTCTCTGATCGTCAGTATGGTGACACGATTGTTGGTTACGGATTTGGGACGTTGGCAACCTTCGCACGAGGCTGTGGAGCCACCTATCTATGGCCGTTGTAGCACCCCCGTGCATGGCTTGTCGAGTGGAATGACCAGACTGGGCAGAGCACCAGGTGAATGACTTTGGGTTTCCCACGTCTTGGCAGCCACATGTACAGTCGTATACATCGATGATCATGGACAAATCATCGTATTTCTGATCGGCAGACGCTTGGGAATCATGCCAGAGAATTCCAATTTCTTGCAGGCGGACGCTTGCCCTCAGCCATTGACGCGCCTCCGCTCCTTTTGCCTGTCCCTTGGACTTGTGGCCTTGTAAAGGTACTGAGATACTACTATCTCACACGCCACTGCGCCTCTCTCGTTCAATGTCATCAATTTCCAGTACTCTGACGATGTTTATGCGGTGGCTTTGACTTCTGTTGTATCACAAGTCCAGGTCTACCGTAAAATGACGCAACAAGTCTACAAATATTGGAATTTCGGCGCACAACTACCCGCTCCCCGGCGTCGCGCTCAGATACCCGCCTTGCACCATCTAAGGTCTACGCCTAGTGGTCTATCGCTCAACCAGAGTTCATAAATGTCCACCGCGTCAGCTCTTTCGCGACCACGTCCATATATTGCCTCGTTATCGGTGCTTCTGATTGTTGACGTTGCCATACTCTCTCAAGCCAGAGTTTCCATGACAGGATCTGGTTTGGTCCTGATAGCCGTTTCCGATTTGTATGCAGGCAGCCTTTGCTGTTCCAGCGCCGCGGCAGCGGCAGATGCCGCGGTCAACACAACCGAGCTGGCAACGACAGCCTGCTGAAGCTGCACGGCTGCTGGCCCACTCGCCGCCAGGTCTGTGATCGTTGCGAGGTCCTGTTCTGTGAGATATTCTCCGGGCAAGCTGTAAAAAGAGTCCTGCGTAGAGCTCGGCAGCTCCGCTGTGGCATCCACCGGAGACTCTGGAGTATTTGGCACTGAGCCATCTAGTCTTGAGGGAGTGGCTTGGCCCTCTGAACGAGATACCGGCGCTGATTCCGCATTCGGGCCCGAGTCTGGTTCTGGTGTCTGGAGAACCGGAGATGAGTCAACACCGTGGACCTGCTCCAGCGAGGTGGGTGCCACTTTGTCCGCTGCCGCCGGACCTTTGCCGCTGGCTTTTCTCGCCGTCTTTCCAGAGACGCGACGACTTGTGCCAGGTGGCTTTGACGGTGTCGACCCCATATCGCCGTTGCTGTCTTCTTCGTCCCGGTCCTCACTCTTGCCTGTCCCACGTATACGTATATTCACCCAGGGAAGCCCATTATATCCGCAATAGAAGTCTCTGATGTCAACTGGAATTGTTTTCCAATCATAGGTGACCAAGTGAGGGATGAATTCCTCCCGCAAGAGTCCGCGGCCAGTTGGTTGCACTAAACCGTCCTCATTGATTCGGTATCCGATGCCGTACGGATTAAAGTCGCGCATCCAGGATTCCCAGTATGTTACTACCTCCTTGGCCTCGTCTAAGCCTAAGCTAAACCACTCATTGTGAGTTGACCCGCACTGACATACCTGTCGGCGTCTGAGACCTTTCGATTCAAGGTCGGTGTGGATAAGACGCTCCACACGTCTGACACAAGACACAAGTGAATCTGGTCCGTCGAAGTGGTCGGGATATTCGAGTGTGGTTGCTTTGTGACACTTTCTTTCCCATTTGTCGGTTCTGCTGTCCGGAGAGGACTTCGTATACCCTATCTTGACAAAATCTGGATGTTTTTGGCTGGTGTATATGTAGATAAACCCGCGGTCTACTTCTTCTTGAACGATTGGAGTCTCAACGAGAGTCCGAAACTGAAGTTCATGTGATCTCACGAATGGAATCATGCCTGTTCTTTGACCTGGTCGACCAGATTGTGGTGATGCATGGGTTGACTTGGATGATGATGGAGCATAACACTCGTCTTGTTCTGCTTGGTGATGGTCATGCCAACACAGTGTCTGAAGAGCACGTGTATATTCCGAATCGAAGCTTGCCCTGCTCCGATCTAAATCTTCGTTGCTGACTGGGAAGGTACCAGGCGTACTTTGTGGGAGTGTAGCTGAGTCACCGGAGATATCTAAAGAGTATCTCTCCAGGTGAAGATTTGGTGATGATGCTTTCCGCTGGCCGTAGAATTTCTTTAATTGGTCGATCCATTCTTCTACCTCCTCGGGGACTGCCTGGTGCGGGTGAAGGTGGCAAGTACAGAGTTTTGCGTATTCTTCGAGAAGGCGAGTCAGAGCCTGGTTCTCTGGCAGAAGAGTAGAGATATATCTCCAGGCGTTGCAGGCGGCATTTTGTTTCCTTTGGATGGGTTTTCCGCATCGTTCCCCATCAGATTTGCGGCCAATGCATAAGAACTTTGAGTCTCCGCCGGGAATGTTTGGGCGAATTGAGAGGATGGGCTGTAGCAGTCTGGGGCCTGCTTTCACGGGTTTGGAGGGTGGAGAAGGCGGCTCTTCTTGAGACACAGAGCTATTTGCAAGAGAGCTTGCATCGTGAGCAGGCATGGTACCGAACAAAGTAAAACGAGCGGAGTTATAATGCCTAAATGCCGGATTGCATTCGTTAGTGGACAGGGCGGTTGGAAAAGTTAGAAGTGGGTGAGCAGCCTGTGGGCGGGGACAGCTCTAAAGAGCCATTAGACTATCATTATAATCGATCATGGTGCCTGCTCCCAGCCTGCTCATGGGAGAGCTCGACTAAGCGAGACGGGGGCCGGGGAAGGCTGAGCCGGCGGCAGAGTACGGCTCAGCCCGACCTAGGGGAGAAAACGGAGCCGCAATTACGCCAATTTCAAATGGCTGACTTGGCGTGACGAACCACTAGATTATGACGAGGCCCTATGGCTGAGTTGAAGTTGGTCTCGCTTAGCGGTCAATCTGCCGCGCCTTCCTTTGTGCCCCGAACGAGGTAGCTATGCTCTTCAAATCGGAGGGATTCAAGGCATGCGCCACTTGTCATGCCACTAGCTGCGTGGCATGCATAGATGAAACCAGACTTCTTTCCAACGGAGCAGGCCTCGAGCACCACCTTTTTACTCAGGGTGGGTCTCCTTCCGCGATCATGCGCCGGTGTCGCCTGGTGAGCCTGCAGACGGTGTCCCACTGACTGGAAGATTAATAGGGACATTTATCCGCGACGATTTTATACGCACGTCTCTCGGTCTTGTTCCCCCCAGAATACTCGCTGCGTGAATCTAATCGGATTCGCTTCCGAAAAGATTGGCAAGGCTTGCAACGTGAGCGAGAGCCGCCGCTAATGGTCCAGCTAGTGTACTGTAGCCAGAAGCTTTTCAAAATAGTATGTGTATTAGGCGGACCTAAGTAAAGGTCAGAGGAAAGGCGAAAAGGATACCAGTCGAGGGTCGTCTGTATAAGGCTTAGGGTCTTGGCATCTGTGATACCGGAGCAGCTTTGTCAAAAGATTGCCAATGATGCGGCACGCATTGAGTTATGTTGTGTACTTACTGGACTACACAACTTACGCATTCCTCGCCCGACGTGCCATGAGTCTGACCAGTCTTTCAGACGCGCGCTAGGCCACCGACTGGGTCTCCGTGCAGTTCGCTCAGGACATGGGCCTGATCGACCAGCACTTTGAGCGCCACGCGCTCAGCGCCGCCTCCGGACACAACGTCTTCCTGATCTTTGAGGACCGCGAGTGGACGTACAGGCAGTTCTACGCACGATCCCCAGCATCTACGCCGGCTCCACGGTCGTGCTGAGCAACAAGTTCAGCCACAAGACCTCCTGGCCCAAAGTCCGCATCTCGCGGGCCGAGATCGCCCAGTACGTCAGCGAGCTGGCCCACTACCAGCTCAACGCGCCGCCTTCGCCCGCCGACAAGCAGCACCACGTGCGTATGATCTGGGGCAACGGCCTCCGGCCGGACGTGTTAAAGCCGTTCTGCCAGCGCTTTGGTGTCGAGACTATCAACGAGATCTACGGTGCAACCGACGGCTTCGCCATCTCCTGGACCGCCAACCGTGGCGCCCTCTTGCACCTGCTTAACGGCGCGCGCAAGAAGCGCATCCGCATCGACGTCGACACCGAAGACATCCTCCGCGACCGGGCCACAGGCAGGCCGGCGAAGCTGGCGAGACCATCCACAAGGTCGATCCCGTGACGCAGACCGCCACGTTTTCCAAGTACTTTAACAACGAGGTGGCCGGGCTGAAGCGGTACATCACCGACGGCTTCAAAAGGGCGACGTGTGGTTCCGCACCGGCGAACATGATGCGCGAGGACGCCGACGGCCGCCTGTTCTTCGTCGACCGCCTCAGCAACATGTTCTGCTGGCGCAGCGAGAACGTCTCCACCAACAAGGTCGCCGTCGTGCCGGTCGACAACAACGGGACGTCCGGCGACAGGGATCGGCTGGACGTCGCGGGGCTCGCGCGCCACGCGCTGGCGAACCTGCCGCGCTACGGCGTGCCGCTGTTCGTCCGTGTCGTTCGGCAGCTCGAGTACACGGCGACGAAAAAGATGCAGAAGGGCCGGTTGAAGGCCGAGGGCGTCAACTGGCAAAAGATCCGCGAGGGGCCGGGCAAGGAGGACGCGCTGTACTGGCTGCCGCCGGGCGCGGAGGCCAATGTCCCGCACAGACGAGAGGAGTGGGAAAGCATCAAGAGCGGAGCTGCCAAGCTGTAGTCACCCCAGGTAAGGATTAGATGGGGGAGATAGACAGAGCAGGATGGGGTATTAGAGACAGCCGGCTTCCTCGACGGTCTGGGGGAAAGGTTTATCGTGGTATCCTACTCATTCTCCAGACATTGGTTATATTTTGTAGACAATTTCGCGTCTGCTTAAATGACGCAGAAGCATGCGGGTGTGACTTGACCGACTGGCAGTGCAGTCCAGTGACCTGCGTACTCCAAAACCAATTCCACGCAACTAACATCGAGTTATATTACACTAATCTTACAATCCCCCCATGTTGTCCAGGTCTCAGCTTGCACAACTGCCAAAAGTCTTGCTGACACCGATGATTTATATTCTCGTATGGTAAAGAGCTCAATAGTTCGTAAAGTCAACGACCTGGGCTGGCCATGAGCCTTGCCCAACAGCTCTCGTGCTGGCCGTCCGAGAGCGTCCGATGCGTCTCCATCGCGCGGCCGCTTGTTCGTTGCGGTGGCCGCCACCTCCATCAGCGGCAGTCTCTGTGCTGTAGTGGGACTCCCCATCCCGTGGAGCACATCAAGGTTCATCTGCCGGAAGCCAGTGTACAGGGTGGTGCCCAGGTATGACTCCAGCGGCCCGGCGTTGGCGATCTCGCCTCACTTCAATGCTTCAGCGCCTTGAACCACGATAATCAGATTGCCTAACGAACCTGGATCTGAGGCTGATGCGGAGACGATCGCATTAACTTCGGTCAACATGCATTAAGATTTTACTTCTCCCTTGCCACGATGTATCACCTCGCAAGCGTCCTGTTGGGTGTTAGCACCCTTATTGCCCACCAGGTTAGCAAGACATTGCGCAGGTAGGCCTAGGATAGCCCCTCCAAAGTGTCAAGAAAGTCGCTGAGGACGTTTTTGACGTTCCGTGTGATCCATTTCAGTGCCCAAGAGGATGCTAGGCAAGTAGACATTGTGGCTGTTGATAAGGAGGAAATGCTCCCCATGATAAGTAACTGATAATTGGGGAGAGGCGTCTTATTGAAGTAAGCCGATTGGAAGCCAATTGACGCCTGTGACGTAGCCATGGCTAAGTATCGTCAACAACATGCGCGTTTGTGAACGTATAATGCATGACAGTGGTCCACTGGTGGTCTCAATATAAAGCTGACACCGAGCCACACTTATTAATCATCCTTTCAGGCTTTCCTTTGTGTCTTGCACATTGTTTACAAAACATCTCGCAAGATGCCACGCGAGGCCCAGTCGGAACAGCAGGACTATGGGCCAAGACGACCTGCAGTAGCTAGTGTTGGTGGATATAAGCTCAGAGCTGATAGGTGACTGAACGATCAGCAATAGGATTAAGCACTATCCTTGTATCAGCAATCGGCTATCTGTGTCACTCATTGTAGCGGAATGATAACAGTTGTCAGAAATGCCTAGACCATCAGGCAACCTCACTAGTTTATTCCGCCCACTGCACGGCAGATTTGTAAACATGCTATGCCCAAGTCACAAAATGACAACTTCAGGGCACGAGAGATGGCAGCCATCTGGCTTTCCTAAGCCAGAGGTTTATCTCACCTTGGGGCCCCATGCCTCAGCTTGATAAACCCGGCCTTCGGAAATCGGCACGCAGCGCGCTGACATCGGTTGGCATGCCCCGCTCCGGCAGCACCCTCTTACCCCGCCTCTACACCGCCCACAACTTCACTACAAAGATGCATGGCAGTGCGTCGCCGCCTCCCCTTCCCAGATCCTTGTGACCCTATACCCAACACCAACACATGTCAGATGCAGTATATTTGGACAATTGTGAGGCAAGGCAAGCGGATATCACGCATCACCTTGTCCAGATATACTTAGTCAACAGTTGCTTTCTCGCCAGCGGTATAGTGGCTATGGTAGAGGTAGACAGCCCTTAATACCTCCTGCGTCCATCAAGCCACCTGCTACCTAATCTACTGCGTTAGTGTAAGAGTCACTCGGGATAGTGTGAGAGGAGCCTCGGGACCGATAGGTGTTAACTGTGATTCTCTATGTACAACGATTCAGTACTCGCAGCAGCAAGTCCAGAACCAACACGATCCTCCACGCGAGTCGCGTGGGAGATTGTGGCCAAGTGTCTTGACCCCGGAGACCTTGGAGTCCTTGGCAGTAGAGGGCCGTGGCGCCTCGTTGCCTTGTCTGGCCTCGGCAATCGTGACAGTTAGTGACAACATCAAGTGTAGCCATCTTACGTGCCAAATCCAAAGCTGCTTGAGTTACTAACAGTACCTTTCACACTGACGTGCTCTGTCACTACAGCATTATAATTAGGGTGTAGTATAACCTCTACACTCCCTATAAGCACTTCTAAACCTCAGACCCCTAGCAAGATACTCTATTTACATAAGACATTCCTTCGTGGTATCAGACACAGCCATACACCCAAGACAGTTAGGTCTAGCTATATCTTAATAATAAAGATACACAGGCTATAGTACGGCAGTACATCAACCTTAACATATGTAAAGGGAACAAGTCTACCTACTTGTACCATCATAAGAACTGGTTCTTCAAGACTAACGAGACCATCCTGCCAAGTAGTAGAGAATGTGATAACACCACCTACTTCAAGCTAGAATAGGGCCTAACGCTAGACAGCAAGCTCCTTCATGCGCCGCCGTAACTTAACCCAGCTGATGTCGACCAAGCGCCCCTTACCTTTGCTTCACAACCTAAATGTACCTACTGGCTGACGCTGAATCGTATGAATCTAGACTATCGCGATGCGGTGCCGACACTCACCTATTCGCTGCCCATCGTCAACGCCGTCTATCCCTCCCTCACAATTAAATGTAAAAGAGACAATGAGTCATATGAGATCGCTGAGAATCAACTGGCGGTGGCTACAGCACTGGTTCTATGCAACCGTGTGTGCCTACACTGCGAACACTTGCAAGCCTGTAATGTGCCCGAATCGTCCTGAGCGTAGAAAGACTTTGATAGGGGTGGGTATGAGGAAACTGGGAAACATCAAGATCCACTGCAGAGTCTTGTAGTGTTTTCCTATCTACCACCGCCCGATGGACGAAATCTTCTCCTACATTTCTCTGCAGCAGTGCCGGAGCCGTAAGATGTGGCGTGCACTCGCTACCGATCTTCAGCTCAATGCACCTAGAATGACCCACAACAGTCTACCTGCCGTTGGAGACCCACTCATCGCCACCGGGATATGTCGTTACTTTGCGATCGGACGGACCCTTCATAACAACCTCTCCATCCCGAACATTGGAGGTAAGTTTCTGCTGGCAGTCGCAGTATCTCGATACCTGTCGCCCGGTCAGCTACGCGAACATGTTTTGCTTGGGGCGTCGGAAAGGGGGCAATTGCCACGCGACTTACTGTAGACCTCTTACAGGAGCTCCACTTGCTACACCGGCCAGGTTGGCCGTCTTTGGGTGCTCGGCACTGCTGGTGACAGACGTCTCTCGTCAACGTGTTCTTACCGCACGGGTGCGGGTCGTTTTCATCAGGATAACAGCCCCAGACCAAGTAGACCTTTTTGACCTCAGCTGTGGTTGCGTTGATCTTGTTCGCGAGGTCAGCCGCGCTAGCACTAATGCTTGCGCTAGCACTAATGCTAAAGGCAAGGAGAATGGCCAAGGAAGCGAGTTTCATGCTGATTGTTCTGACTTTGGCTCGTCGAAGTGTGCTTACTGGATGGCTTGTCAAGGTATTGCTAGGAACGGCGCTACAGGTTGAAGTACTGCCGCAGTGTAGAGCTCAAGACTCAGCCAACTTGATAATGCACCTTGGAGAAGCCTAGGCCAATGATTCCTTGCTATCAAATCCAAAATGGGACGTTGAATTCTTTGTCTTCTTTGCCAGACTTTATGCCCAATTCCATTATTCATGATAACCCTGCTTCGAAAGAAGCCTTGTCCGTGGTTTCCAGGTCTGTGCGGTGGTGGCAGGTCCGAGCGGTCCGCACAGTATGGCAGATACATCGGCATCCGGACGGAGTGTTGTTCTACATCAGACCCAGACAAAGCTTATGGTTCTGATACTAATAGAGCTAATGTCATAGTATTGGTAATAGTCGGAGTTCCTTACTGCTGTTCACTGGTCTTCTCGGCTGTACGAGTAGAGCAATGCCAAGATTTTCACTGCCTGAGCCCCCCAGCTTCCAAAAGTGGAATGCGTCTGAGCCTCAGCTTATTGAAGCGCAACTAGGGCGCTTTGAGATTGCGCTCCTCTTCTTCATGATCCCTGAGACTTTTGGCAGGGCGCTGAAGGAGCTGACTGACTTTCCTCCGGGAGGTTAAGGAGGTGGTGGAAGGGGTTGGCAATGGAAGGGTGAAGGGTGAAGGATGAAGGGGAACAGGGTTGGTGGTGGCCTGCATAGTGGAGGTTCAGGAGGTGGGGGGAGGAATGTGGCTTTAGAAGGCTGAGTGGGAGGGATTGCAGCCTTGGCTAGATAGCCCGCTATGATGGCTGGCTCATTCCTCAAGTGACTCCTACGCCAGCCGTGGACTCATAATGCGCCAGAAGGGAGTCCACGACCCAATCAATGCCAGTAGCAAACACCACCACAAAGTCGTTCTCCAACTTCCACTACTCCCAGCCTTCTACGTCCTGGCCGCATTCAGCGGCTGCTGCGGCGGCGCCGAGCCGTAAGCCGCCTGAGGTGGAGGCTGCGGGCCTGTCGTGGCATCCGGATAGGTAGTCCATGCCTCCTGCGGCGCCGCAGGCTCGAATAACTCGATGGAGCCATTAGATCTGCGGACGGCAACCTCCTTGCCGCAGTGAGAGCAGTGGTGATGAATGTCCTGAAACCAGCCGCACAAGCAGGGCAGGCAGGCGGCGCAGAGGCAGACTAGGCAAAGGAGCGCACCGACGATGCTGTGGGTGTGAGTGTCAGTGGGGAGTCTTAAACAGTCGCATTCGGGACAAAAGTGTTGGAGAGACAACGAGAAGGAAGTTGGGCGACTTACAAAGCGGCGCTGGTGTCTTGCTTGTCGATTGTGGTCACGGCCATGTGGTGGCAGTGCGGGCAGGCGATCCTGGCTGGGTGTTGGTCAAGGTCTCTCAGCGGCATGACCGCGACTGGTGCCTGACCCTGCTCAGCGGCACCTGCCAGACCGTACGCCGCTGGCGTTTGTTGTTGTGAGAGTTGATCGTGATTTCCTTTCTCATTGCCGGCATAGGCTGGTGGTTCATCCATTGCCGGCGCCGGTGCGACGGTCACCGCCGCTGGGGTGGGTTTATCTTCAGCAGCCATTATAAGTGTTAGTTTTTGTGAACGACGGGGACTGCTCCGACGTTGAGTATGCTTGCACGAAGTGCGGTTAGTAACAAGAAACAACAGAACTGTCGCAAGACGAAGAACGTAGCCGGTCAAGATATAGTAGTTGCACCCACACCTGCTCGTAATAGTACGCAAGTTCCGATTGGGCGAACAGAGGTATGTATGCCCCTGACATGGCCTCCAATCTGCCTTGCGGCGAGGCTGTGCGTGGACCACCAGAGAAATAGAGCACGTGGCTATGGGGGCCAAGACATGGGAATGAAAAACCCGATGCGGTTCCTGTTGCAAGAAGAAAGGGGTCCACGGCCAAGCCTTGGAACTCACTTCTGGTGTGGATGATTGTGCCGGAGTAAAAGTATCATATGCAATGGTGGTCAGACCGGTGAAGTTGGCTTACAGTACTTCTCTCGGACAAGATGGAACCGCTGCTCAGATATGATATCGACGCCCTGCTGCAAGTTTAGCGTTGTGTATAACCTCCGTCAACGAACAATGCTAGATTCCACAGTCAGCACGTAAATCCTTTCAGGGAGCAGAGGAAAAGGGAAAGCCAGAACTTGAACTCACCACTCCCACAAACGAAACTACTTCGTCCCCCGGCCAAATACACCACCCCATCTGCAATCTCCTGCGGTCTGCCCATCCTCCCCATCGGCACCATCGTCCTAACCCTCTCGTCCATTGCCTCTTTGACCACCGCATCACCCATCGTCATCGGCGTCTCCGTATACCCAGGGCAGACAGCATTGATCCTCACACCCTGGGCCGCGAGATCCTCGCTCGCCGTGCGCGTCAGGCCCAACACACCGTGCTTGCTCGCCGTATAAGCAGTGCTCAGCGGCACACCGACAGCCCCCAGGATGGACGAGAAGTTGACGATGACGCCGCGCTGCAGCTCGCGGCCATCGATGCTGGAGCGCAGCGGGGCCTGCGTCAGCATGATCTGTGCTGCGGTCCGCAGCACGAGGAACGTGCCCGTGAGGTTGACGTCCAGCACGCGCTGCCAGTCGGGTAGGGTTGCGTGTGCTGCACCGCCTGCGTGCTTCTTGGCTATGCCTGCCGCGGAGACAACGTAATCGAGGCGGGTGAAGGTCTCAGCGGCCTGCGTCAGAGTCTCGGCCACATCAGCTTCGGAGGTGACGTCGCACATGTAGGTCTCGATGCGGAATGGAGGTTTGTCGGCACTGGCTGGAGGGTGCTGCAGCTGTTGGTCCCGGGAGGAACGCGCGGCGAGAATCTCGGCCTTGAGGTTCTCGAGAGCGGGTCCATTGACGTCTAGAAGCGCCAGACCTGAGCATCCATCGCGAGCGAACGTATGGGCGCAAGCGGCACCAATACCAGAAGCCGCCCCGGTGATCAGGGCCACGCCGGGAACGTCCATGGTTCGCGCAGGACCGCTGACTTACTGATAGTTTCGATTGCAATCCTGGTAACGACTGTGCTGTCTCTGGTGTTATCCGTGGGTTGCCTGCAGCTGAGCAACGAGTCCCCTGCTGGTAAGTACTCCGGCCCTGGTATCTGGGTCCCGAGGTGATGCTACAGTATAGATGAGGGGGTCGCTTCATCCTGTGGGCTGTTGATTGGCTCTTCGGCAATGTACCCCAAGTAGAGGAGCCAATAGGACTATACTGTCTTGCTACCCCAGGGGTCTGTGGTGCAAATTTGGAGTCGATTGAGACTTCCACCTCTTGCTCTCAGTTGTGGACAGCAAGCAGCGCCGATGGTGTCGTGGCTGTATAAGCACGAGAGTACGATGTAAGTCCCGATCCCGTTCCCCACCGACGCGCCAGCTTGTTAGTCTCAGCAGTAATCAATTACTTCTACACTGTCAATGTATACATGGTCAGGCAAATCGTAAGCCTTGCCATCTAGCGGCCTTGCACTCCTCACACCTGCGTCTGAAATCGATGGCACTCCCTGAGTACCTCGCCACGTGTCTCACCGTCTTCCCCGTGACGTTTTTATTCACGCCTGTCATCCAACTGTCCACCTCAGCGGACAGGGCGCCCTCGGCACACTTGTGCACATGTCTCGTCCACTCATCCACGGCATCTTGCTCCGGCTCCACGTACGTGATGCCGTGCTCCTTACAGTGTGCGAGGAGGTCAGAGACCACCTGGACTGCGTGCTCAATGCTGCGAGTCGCATTGCCAAATGGCTGATGGGGACCGAGGATCATTGTCATGTTAGGCATGCCTCTCACGGTCAAGCCCAGGAACGTCTCCGGGCGGTGGTCTGGCCAAATGGCCTGTTTTCCCTTCGCGTCATCGCTGCTACCGATGAGTGGTCGGTCGTCCTTGCAATGAAAGTCAATGGCGTTGAAAGCGCCTGTGATGGCATCGAAACCCGTTGCGAAGATTAGGACGTCCAGCTCATGTAGTGTGCCATCTGACATCTTGATGCCAGTCTCCGTGATGCGCTCAATTGGTTCTACTTGCAGATCTACCAAGTGGACATTGGGCTTGTTGAAAGCCTCGAAGTAGCCACTCTCGAGTGGCACACGGCGGGTCCCGAAGCCGTGTGTTTTGGGTATCAGCTTCTCAGCCGTAGCCGGGTCGTGTACTCGTTGGCGGATTTTATTTGCCATGAACTCTGAATATAGCTCATTCGCTTCACGATTGGTGTAAGTGTCTGCGAAAGCGCCGATCCACTTCCCGAAACCAGGCTCCGAATAGAGCTTCTCCCACAGAGCAAGCCGTTCTTCTTTGCTGACTTCGAGAGACTTGCGTGGATCAGCCTGGTGAATGAAGCACATGGGTGTCTCGGCGCATCGCTGGAAGATGGCAGAGTATTGGCCCCTATACTGCTCCATCTGCTCCAGAGTGATCTGTTTGTTGTGCAGCGGAGCGGACCAGTTCGCCGTTCGTTGGAAGACGTGTAAGGATTTCAGACTTGGCTCTTTAGCGACCTCGGTAATAGTCTGGATGCCAGTGGCACCTGTGCCGATAATGCCAACACGTCTATTGCCAAAATCTCGAGTCATGTCGAAGTCTTGCGGCCATCGAGAGGTGTGGAAAGACTCTCCTTTGAAATCATGGACCCCTGGAATGTTGGGAAGTGTCGGAGACGACAAGAAGCCCAGACAGCTGACGAAGAACGTGGTCTCATACTCATGTCCCTCCTCATCTGTGAACAGCCAGGTTCGCGAGTCGTCCTGCCATCGTGCTGATTTGATCCTGGTGTTGAACTGAATGTCCCTATACAGGTCGTGTTTCTGGCACACAAGCTCAACATACTTCAGCGTCTCGGGTTGAGGTGAGAAAGACTCTTTCCAGTGCCATTGGTCGAGCAGGTCCGAGTCCCACGAGAAGCCATACGAGACGGATTCACTATCAAAGCGCGCACCAGGGTAGCGGTTCCAGTACCAGGTGCCTCCTGGTCCCGATCCGGCCTCTAGAACTTTGACACGCCAATCTGGGAATCGCTGTCTGAGATGATACAATGCACAGACACCGGACAGACCAGAGCCGACGATGAGGACATCGTACTGTCGTTTGGCTTCGGGTGGGACTGACCCCATTGCTGATATAGCGACAAGAGCCCCACTCGAATCTCGCGATTTGCTCTTTACCCCGATCGGAAATCGCTAACGCCTCCTGTGGCGGTAGCAGGCGAGGATGTTCCTAGACTCTCGTCAGTGAAGCACGCAAACCAGATCTATCTCCCGTTCAGTGTCTGGATCAAAGAGACTATCCATGACCTTGATAGAGACTCAGATGTCATCCGAGGTTGGACCCCTCATCCGCCACTGATCGAAGCTACGGAGCAGTTGGAGGCGCTCTTGGCAAAACCTGCGGAAGTAACTAAGCGGCTCACCGTAGTCGTTGTACGGTCGTCCCATTCACATCTCCAGCAGCAGAGTGAGCAGCCACGGCAAATGCATTCAACTTTACTCTTTGATGCTCTGAAACTGTGGGATTGCACCTTCGAACACGGGTCAGAACGGAGTGACAACCGACCACCAGTGACTAATGATCAGCCCCACAACGAGCCCCTTAGCGATAGCTGTCGCTGCGAAGAAGAGAAAGAACATCGATGGATCCATGCAAAGTGGAGGTGCTCGTTCATATCCTGTGTTTGGGTGGGTTGATGCTCTTAGTGCCGCCATGGTGGTGCAGATAATGCTGTTGCCCGCTCGCGCCCGAACTTCCATCAGGGCGGCGCTTGCAATGCCGCATTAGGCAGAGCCACACGCCTTGGCACAAGACGTGATTAGACACCAAATGCGAAAAGATGCGAAAAGATGCCTCTTTTGGGTAGGTCGACCCCTCCTCAGCCAGCAGGTATAATTACCGCTGTTGCTCTTCTTTGACACTCTTGTTGACCTACCGCCGTCTCGAAGCAGAATACAACCCTCCTACAGATACGTCAAATTAGCTCTCAAAAACAAGCACTCGATCAAAATGGCACCATCTTTGCATCCTCTCATCGACAACGGCTTGACCAAGGGAAGCAGCAGCCACCCAGGAGGTACACTGAAGTGCCAGTGTGGTTCCAACAAAGTTGAAGTCTCCATCAAGGGCGACGTCCTCCACAACCATGCGTGCGGCTGCTCCAAGTGCTGGAAGCCCAAAGGAGCACTCTTCTCTGTCGTTGGCGTTGTCCCGGTCGACAACCTCAAGGTTACTGCCAACGAGAAGAAGCTGAAGATCGTGGACGAGAGCGCCACCATCCAGCGCCACGCCTGCCAGGAATGCGGCGTCCATCTCTTCGGACGTATCGAGAAGGACCACCCCTTCAAGGGTCTCGACTTCGTCCACGTCGAGCTATCGGACGAGAAGGGCTGGCAGGAGCCCCAGTTTGCCGCATTCGTGTCCAGCATCATCGAGCAAGGTTTCGATCCCAAAGGTATGGATGAGGTGCGCGGGAAGTTCAAGTCAGTCGGGCTAGAGAGCTACGACTGTCTGTCACCGGCCTTGATGGATGCCATCGCCACCTACACCGCTCAACACTAGCAATTACAGCAGACGAGGACTCAAAAGCAAGCAAAGTTGTGAATGGTGGAGGGATTCCGATTTCGTACCGACACGTCGCGACCGATAGGCAACTGGAGATTGTCTCGTCAAAAGCTCTGATAATGGGGTAGACGCATAATGTAAATGTGTCAAAAGCTCTGTGTTCGTGCTATGCTGGTCACTTGAGCGCCAGCATCAAATCCACTCTGTGCCCAGTCAGATGCCAGAACATTGCGTAACGTGCCAGATGTAAGGAGCGGCCTTGCAGAGGTGAAGATTTCGCGATTGCACCAACGTCTTGTTGCTCCGCCGTATCACTGCCTGTTCCAATACACCCACCTATCTCCTCCGGCTATGGTGGGCAAACGAAGCAACTCATTGAATCTCTGCATCTCGAACGACAATTAACAGCTCCAGTCTGCGCAGCAATCTTGTATGCCTATATCTTGCCTGAGCCAGAAACAACACCCACCTAGCGGCGCTTGAATCCTCAAGAGTCTGCATTTCACCTGCCTTATTGGTATCCCACTCACCGGATTCATGTCCAAATATTGGAAGCCCTCGGATCCTCTAATAGTCCCATAAAGCTCTCGCAGCCGGTAAGAAATGAAACTTGCAGACCCCAAGTAGTAGTGCCACGCGCTTTGACAGCAGTCGTTAGCTATGACATCGAGCTAGCGCCTCGTCCCCGCTGTCCGAAATTCGCTATTTCTACAGTCTCCCTCAGAAGTATTTCAACATCCCCTGGTAATAGAACCCCTGCTAACAGAAAAATACCTAGTTGTACCTGAGTATACTGGATGCGAAGGAAGGCTGAGCTCGAAAGGAGGAGGTGGGGTCAAGAGTCTTGGCGAGCGTCATCTTCGCCGTCGTACCGCGAACGCTATGGATCTGAACATGATCTAGTGTTCGACTTTGCATTGCCACCCGACTACATAACCTCAGACAGCTGAATCAAGCCTTCGAAGTCCGCTAGAACTGAGCCCGCAACAGCCTCCATCATTCTCGCTCGTTCGTCTGCGCGCCTTCTGCGCCCTCTCGCCTTGGCATCGGCGTCGCCACTGCTGTTCAAGATGGCATCCAGCACCGCCAATGGGTCTACAGACGCCCCGCCGAAATCTATCGTCATCATTGGCGGTGGCATCATAGGCGCATCTACTGCATACTACCTCACGCGGCACCCAAAGTACAACCCTAACAGAGACTCCATCACCATCCTCGAAGCAACGGGTATCGCATCCGGAGCGTCGGGAAAGGCCGGTGGCTTGCTCGCTCTTTGGGCCTACCCAAGTTCACTTGTGCCGCTCAGTTTTCGCCTCCACAAGGAACTCGCTGCCGAGCACGATGGGGCTACCAGATGGGGCTACCGGGCCCTCGGTGTTGGCTCCATTGATTGCGTCGGCCGACCCATATCGGCTAGCCGCATTCCCGGCAAAGGCGAGGAAGTCCAAGGTGTGCATGAGTCTTCTATATCAGGTACGGGGGATGGCAACGTCAGCCTGCAAAAGCGGAGCGCCGAATCGTATAAGCGTCTACGGAAGATTGGCCTCCCCTCTGATCTCGACTGGGTATCATTCGACGCTGCTCGCGGATACGATTCCATGGGCTCAGAGCGCGACACGGCACAGGTCCATCCCTTGCACTTCACGACCTCCATGGCAGACCTAGCAACCGAAAAGGGCGCCAAAGTCATCATTGGCAAATGCACCTCGATCGGCACCAAATCCAAACAAGTCACATACACCACCACCACCACCTCCCCATCAGAACCACAAGTCCTCTCTGCGACCGACATCATCATCACCGCCGGGCCCTGGACCCCCCACATCTACCCATCTGCCCCAATCGGCAACACACGCGCACACTCTGTCGTCATCACCCCAACGCGCGAGATCTCGCCCTACGCGCTCTTCACCTCCATCTCCCTCCCCAAGAACTACAAAGCCGGCGTCCCCTCGCGCGCCCAACACGTCACGCCCGAAATCTACGCCCGCCCCTTCAACAGCGTCTACGCCTGCGGCGAAGGCGACCACCTCGCACCCCTCCCGTCCTCCACCGCCGACGTCGAATGCGACGCCTCGCGCTGCCAGGACATCATCGACCACGTCTCCTCCATCTCGGACGAGTTGCGTGATGGCACCGTCACCGCCCGCCAGGCGTGCTATTTGCCGCTCGTTGAGGTTGGGGGCGGGCCCCTAGTGGGTCCCACGGCGGACGAGGGCGTCTGGATGGCCACGGGCCATACGTGCTGGGGCATCCAGAACGGGCCTGGGACGGGCAAGCTGATGAGTGAGTTTGTCATGGATGGGGAGGTCGCGTCGGCGGACGTCAGGGGCTTGGATCCGAGGAGGGTGTTGTGATGATGGTGGTGTCATGATCCATATTCAGGTTCAGGTTTCAGAACAACGACATAACATCTTCAGGGCGGTGGGAAAGTGTGTCTATCAGAATATGAATATAGCTGTACCTCAGAGGAAGCCAACCAGGACTTTTTTTTTTCAGGTCTTAAAAATATTTACACAGTTCTTTCGCCCAATATTTCAAGTCTTTTCCGTTGCACGGAGCATCTTCTATGCCCACAACGCCACGCTATGCTTTCAGGAAAAAAAGGGGTATCTCGAACCACACAGCCCACGCAACGCGGTCTTCTCGCGGAGAGGTCGCTCTCGGGCTCACGACTCCAAATTGCAGCGATGACCAGCCGCCAGCCAGGTGGCTGGCCGCCTCACGAATTCTCCAGCACCGCCACCTCTCGGTCTAAAATGCGCAACAATTCCTCGGCCTTGTCCTCGATCCTCTTCTTCTCGGTTGCCGTCAACTGCCCGAGCACGTATGCGCTCACGTCGCTTTGGTCTCGACTACTGGGCCTGCCGATGCCGATGCCGATACGGACGTATCTCTGGCTGCCAAGCTGACTGAGGACGCCCGCACTTCTGAACGAGTCCTGAATCGACTTGATGCCATTATGACCCTTGGCGCTGCCATCTCCCTTGCGCACTTTCAACACACCAGGCGAAGACTCCAGTTCGTCATGAAGTACAACGACGCCAGTGACGGCACTGGGTTCCTGGGACGAGGTAAATGCCTTCCATGCCTGGAGAAGATTCTTGCCCGAAACATTCATGAGACTAGTGCTCTGCCAAAGAGTAAACTGGGGTATGCCCACATCGGCGCCGGAGCTCACGAGACCCGTCATCGTTTTCGAAAGCGGTGGGAAGTGGAGTGTGGATTGCAGCGCCTGCAGGAGGTGGTGACCAGCCGAGTGTCGCGTCGAATGATACGGCTTAGGATTCCCAATCGAGGCGATGAGTAGACGCACCGGCCGCGGCGACACCATGGGTGCGGTCTGTACAGATAATATTGGTTTGGCCGACTTGACGGGCTTTTTATTTATTCGCAGCGGCGCGACCTCCAGTGACGGCGAGTGCTTGATTAGGGCAACCGGTGGTATGGGAGTCGGCGGCAGTGGCCGTTGCGGTTTGTTTCGTGGTGTCGACGAAAGCGACAACAGATCTATATTAAGTTCGCTGACATCTTCGATTCTTGCTACCTTCCGCCAGTACTGAAGAGTCTCGGGTGAAGGTGGCTGCGCAGAAATATCAGAGCCGCTGGCGGATTCAGGGTCAGATTCGTCTGAGCTCGGTACGTATGACTGGGTCAAAGGACTGGTCCTGCATAGGCGACTGCGACTGCGACTGCGACTGCGTCCGCGTGACTGGAATGTACTGCCTGCGGGCTGATTAGACATGGTGTCGAAGGCGACGGCGGAGAATCTTAGTGAGGATATTGTCGACTTACAACGACGTTAATGAGCGACAATTAGTTGGGAAGCTCTCTCTTTGTGCCGTTGTGGCAATCAAGCGGTCGGCTGAACAATGACTGCACAGTCCAGAATGCGATGAGGTTGACAAAGCAACGAGCCAAGTTGGACTCATTTCTCGCGCAGCCAAGCCTCGGCTCAGACTTCCGTGACTCGCTTCCGCTTTCGGTTTCGGCTACTGCCGGGTAAAAGTTATTTCTGGACGTCTTGACGATGACGGTCAATCGGGACGATACCCGCGTCGTGTCGGGTCCGGCGCAACGAGTTCGTCGTCGTCCAGATTGTATATGCGATCGATGGGGTCTGCAGCGGATGCAGTTCGTGCCTTCAGAGGCGACCCGAAGGCGCTCGTGTCGCTGCTCGAGCGATCCAGAGGATCGGTCTTGCCATCTTCCGTATTGGTCCTGGCCCGAGTCACCATCTCGTTCTGACTGTCGGTTGTCATGGTCTTGTCGCTGGTCGGCATCGTCTTGGTCCACAACCAGCTCCTCTTGCGCGACCTTTGCATTGACCCATTGGTCCGTGAGCGAACAGTCTGGCCGGTGATTTGCCTGACATTGCTATCCTGTAAATCGTTTTGTGTTGAGTCGCCGAGGAACGACCTCAGATGAAATATCCTCCTGATCAGGGCCCATGAATATGGCATATTCGAGACAATCATGGTGGTGCTAGCCTCACGACAGTACCAGTAGACCCATGCGACAGCGAACGGATCGTGGAAGCTCGAGTACTTGCTTAAGATGGCGCATACCATTGTGAAGAGTCCCAGTGTGAACGGGAACACCATCAGCAACTTCTTCTTCCATGGCAGCTGCTGTTTAAGCAGCAAAGGGATGGGGATCGCCATGATCATCACATCGCTCGACAGATTGAACACCAGATTCGTGATCAGATGATTGAGCGCCGTTGTGCACTGAACGTTGTCCGTGGGAACCTTCCAGTAGTCGCTGAAGGGGCGACACCACACTCCAAAGTAGAGAATGAACATGACACAGTATGTTGTGACGACATACGCAGCCACGAGTTTCACAGCGAGATGCTGCCTTAGATTGTGCGTGATTCTCCAGAAGAGAAGCAACAGACAGACCTTGGTACCCCATCTGCGAACGCTTAGTTAGTCTCGCATAGACGCGTCGATTCTAGGATCCAAGACTTACTGGATGGCACACATCGACTGCTCCACTAGTAGCACCGTCTTGCTGCCATAGGTACGCCTCGAGATCTCCTGAGGCGTTAGCTCGATCATGTCGGCGGGATTGATGAGATTGGTCGAGACATTGAGATCAACGTTCAGAAAAGCGATGAGCACGATGTACAGCCCCTGTTATATCCACACACACACACGTTAGCCGCACAAACATCTGTCAAAGCACAGGCAGCGCAAGGATCAGGGGGGGTGGGAAGAAACGCACGGTCAAAAACGCCATCAACCAGTCCTCCACCATGAGTTTCTTCACGGATCTGAAATGCCATATCCGCGACACGAACCGTGCGATGACCATGCACAGTGTCACGGCGCACCACGTCCAGGACTCGACGATGAAGCTCGACATGGCGCCGCAACAGCCCTTTCGCGATGTTCCGGAGAATCGCTGGTGGGTGCTGTGCTGCTGGACTCGAGGACTCGGGACTCGGTCGAAAAATCGGTTACGCACTCTTGACGTCCCCACGGCTGAGATGCGCAAAGAATGGCATTGTGTTTCCCGAAGCGGCTGACAATACTGTTGGAATTTTCCGTCACACCTGTGTCCCTTCCTTGGTGGACTGTGTCAAGTCACAATGCCCAGTTGAACAAAGAGCAAAGCGCGATCATCCTTTCTCCAGGCAGGGAAGAGAGAAGAGCCCACATAAGCAAGCCACTTTCGGATCCATGGGGCGGGTGTTTGCAAGGAAACGGGGGAGCTATGTGGAGTAAAAGCCGCGCCCCTCAATGGCCCAGAAACAATAACATCCTTAACAAGAGTTTTTGACTTTCGGGGCTGATCAGGAGCCACCGATCGATCCCTCCGGTGAGCGAGAGGCTCGCAGATACGGAAGCCCCGAAAAAAGAGCGCGCTCTTGGGCTCCGCAACTGGGCCTGGGGCCGCTTACCGCCGGGGCGTGAATGCTTGGTGATCTTCGCCTACATACCCCCCTTAACCTTTGCAACCCAGGATGTTGGGACGATTGCATGCCGGAGCTTACAGCGGTCTTTTACCGCTGCAGTACACACGATTTCCTTGCTCTTGCGCAGAAAGCCGACCGATTCCTATGTAGATACGTTTCCTTTGCTTCTTTCTGCTGAAGAAGCGAAATACTAATGTAGGTGACCCAGGCTAGCCCCCCCTAGGCGATGTTTGTTGCCCGATTGCGGCATAACAGATCAGAGCCAAGCCCCTGAAGGGCCGAACCACGAACACAAGGTGAATGATCGGCGGAGGCATGGGGGGCTGGTCGGAGCGGGCGCACCCACGAACAAGGCAACATGGGTGCAATGCCCTTAGCAGTGATACAAATGTTCCTGTAATGCAACAAATGAGTGCCACACACAAAGGCTCGCTAAGAAGTGGATAGAGAGCCCCACAGATTTATGGCCTCTCAGGCACATATTTTGTACTACCATTATGTTTGACCGCTATAGGCCGTATGTTCTATTCACCCTAACTGTTGCCCTGTGGTGCTGTCGTATCTAATGCCCTGCGTATGTACTCTGTGTACGTTGCTGTAGACCCTCGGATCGCAATGTCGGCGGCCGTAGGTCCCGTCTCGTGTTTTTGCCTGGTCGGCTATATGTACTGGTATAAGGCCGTAAACCCTCCTGTCCTGAGCCTTCCCAATGAGCGTCCTATGGCCCCAGAGTTGTATGCATGTCTATTCCACCTACCCACGATGAGCCGAAAACTGTTTCCCCACGTCCATGTCCGTAGACACCCAAAGGAGATTCATGCAAAAGCGTAGACAGTCCGAAAACAAACTGCCCTCTCCTCTTACTTCTTCTCAACCGCAGCCTGCATCTCCCTCATCTTCTCGCGATGCAAGTCCAACATATCCGGCCTCCTCATAACCTGATCCATGACGAACTGCTTCTGCTGCCTGCTCGCCCGCGCCTGATCCTCCACGAGCCTCTTGTGCTCGCGATCCACCAGCATCTGCGCCCGCCGCGACTCCACCGAGGCCTGGGGGATCTGATTGATCAACGCCCCCTGTTGCTGGCTCATGCGCCAGTCGGTGAGCAGCATCTCGCGCCGCTGCTGCTCGCCGCCGAGGTCGCGCTTCGGCGGCTGCCGTGACTCGTAGCTGTCCAGTCGCGTGTCGGAGGAGCGCTGAGGAAGCGCGACGCCAGACATGTAGCTGCCGGAGCGGGAGAGGCGGGGCGTCGAGGTCCCCGGACTGGCCGTGTGGAAGCTGCTGTACGAGTCGTTGCGACCGAGCTCGTAAGGGTGCGAGTGCGAGAGCGAGACGGCGGACATGCGCGTGGCGGACCCGCCTTGTGAAGGGGCCATGACGCGATCACCAGGAGTTCGCACTTGTGTTGGACTCATCATACCGCTCGCGGGTCTGCCGTGAGTCTGGCTCATGACGCGTTGAGGTATCGGTGCAGAGCTCTGACGGGATTGTGAGCGCGAGGCAAATTGCGTGACCTCGTTTTCTTGAATAGGCTTAATGGCGATCGAATTCTTGTTAAACGTGCTTGAACGCTTGCCTTTCAACGACGGCCGCGTGGCTGGCGCGGCCACCGCTGCTGGGACACCGCTGCTTACCACGGGTGTTGTGGCTGAACGGCTTAGGGGCCGCTGAGACTCCTGCAAGTTTGCCACGATACCATCGGATCCGGCGGAAGCCAGATGTGGTAGTGGCGGAGAGCTTGAGGGAGACAGGGTTCTCGTTGCATCAACTGTCGGAGGGTGGACAGGGCTGACGGAATCCACCGTCGACGCTGCAGCCGGTGGCCCTGAGATCGGGGCCAATTGAACAGGCGCCTCGCTGTCCTCGGTCGCGATCTGCTCTGGTTCCGCAAAGATCGGCTCCTCAGCGTCTGCAATGTGTTTCGCCCACTCGTTAGTCCTGTAAGACATAACCACATGGGAGACCTGACTTGGTACCTGACTGAGAGCGCCCTTGGTCAGACCATCCGCTATTGAAGACGGCGCCGTTGTGTGGGGAGTCTCGGAACCGTCGGAGGCATCGCGCCGCTCGCTGTGTGATGTAGTTGACCCGTCTTTGCCTGCTTTTGCCTTATCTTCTGGCGCAACTGGCCTAGACAACTCCTCTGGATCTTCCTCAAGCTCAAGTGCCGGCTCCGGCGACGTAGATGACGCGGCAGAGATGCGATAGGCCACGTTAAGAAGGTCCTCTGACTTTCCTGCTTCTGCGGGTGCCACGCCCGGCGAAACGACGATCGTTGGTGTTCCGGGTGCAGAATTCATATCAGGCACACGCGAGATGCGTCTCAAATCGACCACATCATTGTCTTCGTCAAGGGTAGCAGCGAGCGAAGATGCCCTGCTGGCTCTTCGTGATGGCGGATCCAGATGTTCTTGAGATTCCGATGGCCTCAGACGATCAGAAGAAGAGCTTAGCCGAGGCGACAAGCTGAGTAGCGAACGGAGAGAATGTCTCTTAGACAGCTTCTTGGCGTCCTTGGGCTCTTGCAGATGCTGAGACTTCGTTGAGGCGATAGAAGGAAACAAACTTGCCTCAGATTCGCTTTTCGGGATCCTGAAAGGCAGGGGAACGACCTCTGGTCCTCGAGAAACGCGCGCGCCCAATGTATCCGCTTCTTGAGATGGCTTCTCGGGCAGATGCGCTTTCTCGGATGCGTCCCCCTTGGTAGAGGGTTCTGGGTCTAGGGCAACCAGTGCTCGCTGTCTCTCAACCGATGCTCGTGCCTCCTCGGCCTCTTGCTCCTCAGTGATAGCGTCGACAGTCATGCTGCTCTCTCGCTTGATTCTGGAGCCCGTCTTTAAGCGACGCTCCTTTGAGCCCGGCACCGGGGACAGTTCCAAGGTCTCGACCGATGACAACCGCTTGTCTTCGTAGGGTATGATGTGGGTGACCTGCCGTTCAGGATGGACTTCGCTCCACAGTACCGTTGACCGCTTCGCGTTGAGCGTGTTACTGTAGTGTTTCTCCCAGGTTGCGCGATCTCGATCGTTCTGGCGTTCTAGCTGCCGCCCCAGGGCCTCTTCGACCACATCCCGTCGTCTCTCATCGTCCAACTTGACTGCATCTCGCCGCAGCCTCCTGTCGCGGATGATTCGCCAAAGTTTGATCTGGGATAGTACTCCGATGATTGATGCGAAGACTATCACAATCAATTCCACAATCATGCCCCTCGTCATGGGATAGGTGTCAGTATCTAGCGGAAAAAGGTTATTGTTCAACTCCCAGATGTAGAACCAGAACTCCTTGAGACCTGCTCGGGTGAAGCAGTCGATGCCAAGCACGAACGCTGTAGCACCGGCAAAAGATGTCGAGCCAATCAGGCCATAATTCCGAGTCCAGTGGCTCCAAGAAAGCGCCCAGACTGCCACGCAGAACACTCCGACCATGATTCCTTTACCCGTCTGATCCTCGACAAGGCCGCCAGGCTTCAGGCACAGGAACCACATGCCCAGGCAGAAGCCACCAAGTAAGCAACCAAATCCCTCGGTAACTTCTTTAAAGATCAAAGACCCACCGCCAAAGATACTGCCGGTCATGAATGCTGCGACAAAGTATGCTCCCTGAACGGCGTCGCTGATGGGCGGTTTCATCACATAGTCGATCAAGACCGTCACTGCGAGGGCACCCAGGTATGCGTTCGAAAGGAATATCTGGGCGAGTCTGTGCTTCACTCCAATCAGGCTATATCCCACTCCAGACAAAATAAGTATGACACCGGCTATGCCAAATGCTGGGGTTATTCTGGGTTGAATTGGAAGAAATACGTGGTCTTCGTCATTGTCATTGGTCGCTGATGCTGCCGCATCAGTTGTCTGTGACGGTCCTAGGTTGGGCGCCTCTGTGGTTGCAGATAGTGTTTGCTCAGCTCTGGATTCTGTCGTCTCAGGAGAGGCGGTATTCCTGGAAGTAGAAGAATCTAGAGGTCGTGAAGATTCAGCGCTCCTTGACGCTGATGTGGTTTCTGGAGCATCGCTCTGGCCCAATGTTGGGGCGTCGCTTGGTTGTCCATCCTCGGTAGCTGCTGCTGAGGACGTGGGCGGACCACTGGTTTCTGACGGTTCTTGCCTTACGCGCAATCCTCGAAGCTCTGGGGCTGACTGGCCATGGCAAGCTAGTAGGCATGCGCCCAGGAGACACAGATTGAGACACCGCATGTTGCGACCGCAAATATCTCCAGCGGGCGCGCCGGCTGCGGCTGGGGTATTAGACACGCATTCGAGTCCAGGAGGTCAGGGTCGTATATGAGGATGACAGAAGGAAAAATTGGAAACAGAAGTATATGCAGCAAGTACCGACATGTGGCGGATGTGCCTGCAAGAGAAGACAGGGAAAAGCACGGTAAGGAACGCACAGAAGACAGGACAGGGCGAAGACGCGGGGCAATGGTCAGGTTCAGGTCAAGCTAGCACCGGATTTGCGGGAATCGAAAGATCGATGAACAGGGGGCGTCAACGTGGTCTCGAAGCGACAAGAGGGACAAGCGCGGCTCTTGTCCATGAAGTAGGAAATTGGTCAGATCCTGCTCGTGTGGCAGCTTCCGAGTGGCTGAGTTGATGTCCATATTGATGTCAAGCCCGCTGCCTAGAGAAGGCAAGTCGACAAATATAGGCAAGAATGGCAGGTTTTTGGCTTCGGGAAATTAATGTTCTGGAGGTCGGCTGTCATCAGGCCAGCGATCGTTAATAAGGGTCCGGGTGAAGAGGAAGCACCTCGCTTCCATGCGGCTGTTCCTTGACCACGGACCTTCTCCGCTGCAGGATCGTTTGTGGTTGCAGTGACCGTACGAAAAGGTCGCTTGAGTCCCGCAAGGCGTCAAGCGACCCTCGGTAGGCCTGCGACTGTGGCAGTGAGGAACGGCGATGGGACTCGGGAGATGTGATCAAGAGTGATGTTGAAATTGGATGCAGCTTATCTCGATCAAACTCTGCGACGCGCATGCTGATTGGCGACTATACCACTTAATGGTCGTGATACTCCACTCTCCGCCTTGTCGCTCTTTTCTTCAGACCCCCTGCCAGCTCGGATGCGGGTGCAAACGTCCGGGCCAGCCGAGTCGTGCGCCTCAGCACCTTTTCTGTGGTTGACGCGACTGGAGCATCGCGTCCGTCTCGTAGACCGCCTCGTATTTGACGACAGCGCTCGTAGCGAGGGCCTCATCAGTTCAAGATCTGCTGGCAGCCTGTTCATTGATCCGTGATCGGCGTCAGGATCCGCACACATGTCTGAGATGTGGCAGCATGTTGTTGCACGCCCAAGTCCGATGATTGATGGCGTGGGTGCTCGTATCAACATACCGGAATTCGGAAAGCCGCCAACTTGGTTGAGCTTTCAGGCTGATTGAGTTGAGTCGCCCGATTCCTATGGTAGTTATATCGGGGAAGCTACTGATCCAACATGTGACAAAACCTCCGGCGAACATGCGCCTGGAAAGCAGCCTGTACAGTAGAAGCGAACGTGAGCTCTAACATGCTAAACCCATGGTGATGAACCAGACCGAGCCTGCCAGATAATGGTCCCTCGCTCACGAATCTTACGCAAACTTGAGTCCTCCCTGAACCTCGTCCCTCTCGACGTCCCTCGAGATCTCATAAGTCAATACTGTCATATCTGCATACGTCATCATCAGCCTGTATCGTCTGCTGTTCTCGACAGCCTTGAAACCGGGCGCGGTTTTCGACTTTGCCCATGGCCGTTTCTGGGTGCTTGCACCGGACGAAGACGTCGCCGATGCAGCTGAGGTCCTTCTATGCCGCTTGGCAGCGTGTGTAACTCTTCTTTCAGCCTCACTGTCCGAGCTCTCCAGCTCTGTCAGAGACTCGGGCAGGACAAATACGCCCGGGTCGAATGAAACTTGCACCCCATCATTATTGGAATCTTTACCCCACGCGCCATCACCAGTGGCTAGCGAAGGTGTCTCCAGCCAGCGGCCTTGGATGGGCGCAGCAGCGATACCCAGAAGCCAACTATTCGGCCGCTGGCCGGCGCGCTCCTGCCGCTTAGTTGGCAAAATCCAGTCGGCGCGTAGTCCAAGTGTACCAGTCTGGCGATTCCGCGTCAGCGCATAAAGTGCACATCTCCCCAATTGACTAGCGATGATAACAACACCAAGCTCTGGTATCTGCTGCACCATATTGAGGCGTCGCATTTGGCTAACCTGCCCTCGGAAGGGCATGGGTAGCTGCTGTTGAAGAGGATCGTGGCAGAAGACATGTGGGACTCTGGCTCGATGTGCATCAAGCAAACGAACGTTGACGGTACTGCAGTGCAGAGTTGGAATGTTGGGAATCGACGTATCTTCTGGCTTCTCATGACCTCGGATGCGCCGTCTTTTCTTGGCTTTGGCCACTTCTATCGGGTCTGCTGGTGAGTCTCGAGTTCGCGCACGAGGGGAAGTAATGGACATCGGGCCAAATTCGACATCTACGCTGCTTCGCTGCGAAACATCAGAAAACGATGTTCCGCTTGCAAAGCTGTCTGAAGAAGCTGTCACATCGTCGTCAGATCCCTCGTCTAGCTGAGAACCGCCAACACGTGAGTCATGGTCAAATTCATCATCAGAGTCTTCGAGCTCGCTGTCGTAATGGTCGAGAAGGATGTCTTCAAGGTCTGCCGGGGGACCGGCACCATCTTGCTCCTGGGCTGGTTCGTTGCGCTCATCCACAACCTCTCCCGCCCGGATCGCCATTGAAGTAGTCTCGGTACCAGTAGGCAGTCCCAAAGGACCGCGAGCCGCATCTTCGTGGCTGTCACCAAATTCTTCTTCTGAGTAGTGGTCAGCGACTTCAGTGTCCTCCTCGAGATCGTCCTCGTCGTCAGAGAGCCGAGCCAGGATTGGGTGTCGTTGACTTCGACCGGGAATAGTCAGGCGGACAATGTTGGTAAGATCGTAACTCTCGCCCGCGTTTTCAGAGTATTTAGGAGCCATGTGATGGCCGCAGAACTGCTGCATTGTACGAGCTTCTCGAAAAGCGGCGGGATCTAGCGCGGCAACAATCCAACCCATGTCTCTGTCAACGTCGTCAGCGTATCCAAACATCCATGTCTGTCGACAAGTTCCCCTCCAGATCTGCCAAAGTTTTACGGAGCCGGATATATCGGTGCTCAAAAGCCAAGCGCCGTGCTCGTCGTTGCTCGTGTTGACAAACGATATACTGGGAATGTTTGATGAATGACCGTTGCTGCCACCCAAGACGATCTTATAGTTGCGGTCGCGTGAAGGAGTGTTTGTTGCCTGTGTCTCCGAGGACCAGTCTGTCCAATCATTATCGACCAGTCCAGCTTCGACGTCGACCACATGGTCTGTTTCATTCTCCTCGGGTTCCTGCTTAGTTAGCGCAAAAGCGTAAACAGTAATCTTTGCCGTCGTGTCTTCAGCATATGTCGGATAGCGCGAGGTGTTAGCAGAGACGGCAATCATACGGGCTTCTCGGTGGATGGCCAGACCCCACGCCGACTCCTCTACCCACTGCGAAAAGAATGCACGCAAGCCAACGTAGTCTGACCTAGCGTCTGTGCTGAATTTGTATGGGTCCTTCTTGATAGCGTCTTCAATCGCTTTGGTGTGATATGCAGTGACATTTCCAGAATCTGTTGACGCCAGGAGAATTTCCTCGCTGCCCAAGTCGCCAACGATGAGATGATTAATCGAATGAGGATGGCTGACATCGAGGTACCCCTCGGCATCCACGTTTGCCAGCGTTGGGACAATGTAGAGCTTCGGTGTTCTTTTCAGCTTCTGGAAAGGGAAATCTGGCTGGTAGACAGCAATGCCCGACTTGGATGCGATGAAGTAGAGATTGTATCTTTGGGAGAGCGCTGTGAGATTGCAACGCCAACTCGCAGTCGGCGGAGGTCTATACAAGCCATCTTTCACGAATCTTTCAGCACCAGTCTCGGTACTAGCCATGTCAATGTTGACAGCCTGAAAAGGCCGGGGATCATGTTCGTCCATGATAGGGCAGGAGCAGGATGCCTCTCAGTCAAGCGAGAGAGCATCTGAGACAAGTATCTGCGAAGACCTCGGGTCTGTTATCTTAACAGCAAGTCATGGAGTGTGTACCGCATGCGATAGATCGGGAGCTGGGGTCGGAGGCATTTGGCACGTTATGGCAACCAACGCAGAGGCAGGTCGCCCGGGTTGGATGAGGCGCGGTATCAAGGCCGTAGAATTTCAATATGGGCAGTCGATGCAGCCTGCGAGGCGCATATATGCAGATAGCCTGAAACGTGCGGAGGGGATGTGCTGTCGGGGATGAATGCAAGGAAGCTTGGAGCGAATGGTGGGGAGTGTGGCGTTGCGGGCTGCAGGCGGAAAACAAACCGGCCATTATAATCCGCTTCAACGCTTTGCAACTACCTCACTTGCCAACCTGGGGTCACAACCATCTGCGCGCTTTCTATTTGACGTGCCGCAGTTACTGTCTTGCACATGCGCATCGCCTGAACCGAGCTGGGTCCGGTCACTCTAGCGTGCAGGAGAAGCATTATCGATACCCCGTGATTTGAACTGGCTGTCGAGTCAAACGCTGTCTCGACTTCATCCGTCATTTGAATCTCGGATTGCTGTTCAAAGTCTTCATTTGGCTCGCTTTTCACGCTTAAAATCTACAGCATGGATTTGGTCCAGACTGTACGAAAGGAGGGGAGCCGTGGTGGCACAGGCGACTTCAAATGGAGTGATGTCCAAGCATCAACCCATCGCGAACACTATCTTGGGCACAGCATCATGGCTCCTACTGGCCGATGGGCGAAGGGAAAGGACCTGACATGGTATGCAAAGGGCGATCAAGGCAGCGACCAAGATGCTGCCGCCGTAAGTGAAGCTGATGCTCGCAAGGAGGAAATCAGAAAGATCAAGGAAGCCGAGCAAGACGCAATGGCCCGGGCCCTAGGCTTACCTGTGCCTGACCGGTCAAATCCGAACAATCAAGAGCTCGGGACTCGGAGGGAGGTGCAGCAAGTGATCAAGGAAGCTGGCGGTCGTGACCAACCTGTCAGCAAAGGCATTGGATATGAACGAGAATCTGCGGCAGGAATGGCCAACGAAACCCCAGACCCGGAGCGGATTGAGGGGAACGTTGACCAACAGGATAAAGAATTGCGGTACGCTCTCAACGAATACAAGAGACGCCACAAAAGCGATCGACGTGAAAGCAGAAGCCGAAGCCGAGACCGCCACAATGACAGAAAGCACCGTCGTCACAGAAGCAAAGACCGGGAACGGAGAAGGCGTTCGAGGTCTCGGGACAGGGAGCGCCCGAACAAAAGCAACTCAGGCCCAAAAGGTGTTCATCGAGGCCGGGACAAACGCGATAGGAGCCGTTCACCGCGTCGTCGTGATTATCGCGGAGATCGACACAGCAGCCGCCGAGACTGATGATACAAGCATATAAGTTGGAGGCAGAGGGGTTAACAACGATTCTGGGAGGCTGGGCGTAGTCCCAACACCAATAACTGCGGGCCTCTAATGCGTGACTAGGGAATTCCTCCTGTGCGATGCAGCTCGACAGCCTCGAATACATCGTAATCCTTTGCATCACCATCGGCGCTACTGCGACTTCTCGCATGGCCTGGAGCAGCACGCTCAATGTCCGCAGCCACACTAGTGTCCACAAATTCTTCGAGCTCTTCGCTGACCGTCTTGAGCTTCTCCTTCACACTGGCTACCCCCTCGACGCCGACTATATGTCGAGCTGGGGGGTTCTCATGCCCACCAATAGCGGTCACCGCGTGCACGGTTTCTGCCACGAGCTTTGCTGTATGTGCCTGGCTCAACGGCGGGTACAGGCTAACCACCTCATTTCGACTCAATAATGATGGCCCACTCTGTCGCTCAGCTTCCGAGGACGGGGAGTGCATCTCTTCGCTGGGTGACTGAGGGTGTTCAGCCCGGATTCCAGGCAATCTGTTGAGAAGGCCATCTAAAATGCCTCGAAACAGTGGAGCATTGTTGCCCTCTTCTCTCGAGTATGCCTTCATTGGTGGTGCGGAGGTGACTTTATTGGTCAGAATACCAATTTCGATACTCGCCTGGACAATGGTCAATTTGATGTTGAAGGGCGCGATTTCGTAGGCGATGCTGTCACAGAAGCCTTCAAGTGCCCAGCCAGCTGCACAATACATCCCAAGACCTGGCGTTCCCAAATGACCTGTAATGCCCGTCAAGACAATGATGTGGCCGTTGGTCTTGCTGCGCATTTCGGGGATGACACCTTTGATCATGTTCATGGGCCCAAAAAAATTGCGCTCGAACTGGTCACGGACCATAGTCAGGGTGCGTGGAGTGGCGGCCAGCTCCTCCACCGTGCCAATCACCGCTTCGCTGGTGCAGCAGAAGAGAATGTCGATTTTCTGAAACGCGGCAATTGCTTCGGCGATGGCTGCTTGACACTGTCCCACGATCCTGCGAGCCTGTTAGCACAACAAGCACCGGATTGTCAGGTTGCGAGATGCAATCACCGTATATCCAATGCCACGATTTTCAGTCGATCCTTCCAGCCATTAGAACGGCCAACTTCAGCCAGAAAGCACTTGAAGCTGTGACTTCGTGCGCCATCCATCTCAAACTCGGTAGCATTGATACCGGACACCACATAGTCGCCGTGGTCAAGCACTTGCTTTGCTAGAGCTATGCCCAGGGAAGAATCTCCACTGGTAATAAACCAGACGCGAGGTTCATTGCGAGTAGGGAAGTTTGGACCTGGTATAGTCGAGTTACCACCATTGGCCATGCTCGTGTTACAGCCTCACATCTCAGGAACTGCTGGGATCAAGTAACAAATCCAAGGAGTCGGACGAGGTACGGACAGGCTGACTTGAGCTCTGGATGGAGAAATAGTAAATGTGATGTACATCGACTTTGTTGCACCACACTGGGCAAAGCTCTCTAGGCGCCCCAGTCCCGGCTCCAGGGGTCGCATCCCCACCGGCGAGATGCCGTTGCGAATGGCGGCGCCAAGCTGTGAGTTGAGCGGAACCACCAGCCTCTGCACGTGGGGCTAGCTGCGTTATCCGGTCTCTAGTGGCATCAATTTCCTGTGCAACCGTGCAACTGTGTTCTCTCCCTCCAGCATCTTATTGCGTGGTATTTCACAAGATGCCCGAAGCAGGAGGCAGCGGCAATGCCGCCGCAGCACAGCCTGAAGAGCAGAAGGTAAGATGAAGCGCTGACTATTCGAGCTCCGATGAATTGACATGACTTACAGTCCATGTTCTCATCGCTTGCCCAAGGCATCGGTATCTTCCTCATAACTCAGTTCGCTATCTCCCAATTTGGGAGTTACTTCAGCGGCGGCAAGAATGCGTCGCAGTCATCTGGCGTTGCAACGACACCGGGTGCGCCCAACTTCAACTTCGCCGAGCGTCCCGCTATCGAAACAATCGCGAATTATAGCGCAATCCCACATAACGTCGGACCGATATGGCCGGATGAGAGTACCTTGGACATGAAGATCTACGTGGCCCCGACATCCGGCGTGTCCTCGTTCGCCACACTCAGCAAGAGCGAGCTCGTCTTGGATGAGAAGAACATCACGCTGGGCGACTATAATGACGTCCGGGAGATTTCTACTGAGATACCGATTCCGGCGCCTGTTCAGCACAATGGCACCCTTTGGGCGCATTTCTTCCTCGGCCTTTCTGGCAGTCAACTTGACCCCACCGAGGCCGATTACAGCCCGGCTAAAGCTGCCCATTTCTTGCGTCCATTGAATCACTACATCCCGAAGAAAAGGGTCCGCAAGCTAAAGAACCTCCTCGATAGCAAAGACGATGCCGAACATGAGGCCGAGGAACCCCAGGGCCTTCAGATCTCTTCCTATTACCACCCAAACTTCACCATCTCTATTATCCCAGGCACAGGCGTACAGAACTGGCAGTCGATGCACCCGGGCCTTCGACGCAACATCGTGCTCGAGCCAACAGGCGCTCGCGACTATACCGGCAAGAATGGCTGGTACTACCCGGTCGTCTTTCTGAACACCTTCTGGCAACTCCGCTCGCACATGACCGAATTGAATGACACTGTCCACTCCGTTCCGCTCAACTTACAGCTCAAAAACCTTGCCAACTGGAAATACAGCATCATGGCCACCATGGATGACGGAATGAAGCAATCGCAGATGGCCGCGGCCCAGGGCCAAGCTCTGCCTGGCGGTGGTGACGGCTCTGAACTTGAAAAGTTCAAGGAAATTCTTCTCGACACGAACATTTACCTGCTCTCCACAACATTTTTTGTCTCCATCTTGCACATGATATTCGAAGGCCTTGCCTTCAAGAACGACATCAGCCATTGGCGCCAGAAGAAAGACAACATTGGCACGTCAGTGCGCACTATTGTGGCGAACGTCTTCATGCAAGCGGTCATCTTCCTATACCTCATGGACAACAACGAGAATACTTCTTGGATGATTCTAATGGGCCAGGGCTTCGGTATCTTGATCGAGGCCTGGAAGATCACCAAGACCGTGAACGTCGTTCTGCGTCCCCCTCAACCTGGTTCGACCTTCTCCTTCTTGCCCTATGTCGTCATCTTCGAGGACAAGCACCAGCTCTCGGAGACCGAGCAGAAGACCAAAGAGTACGATGAGATCGCCTTCAACTATCTCTATATCGTCGCGGTCCCCCTCCTACTCGCCTACGCCGCCTACAGCCTCATCTACGAATCCCACAAATCCTGGTACAGTTTCGTCATCGAGACCCTCGTCGGCAGCGTCTACGCGTATGGGTTCCTCATGATGGTGCCCTCGCTCTACATCAACTACCGTCTCAAATCCGTCGCCCACATGCCCTCCAAAGCCATGACCTACAAGTTCCTCAACACCTTCATCGACGATCTCTTCGCCTTCACCATCCGCATGCCCACTCTCCATCGTCTGGCCACCCTGCGCGACGATGTCATCTTCTTCGTCTGGCTGTACCAGAAGTGGGTCTACAAGACTGACTACACCCGAGTCAACGAGTTCGGACAAGGCGGCGAGGAGGAAGAGGAGGAGCAGGAGAGCAAGAAGGCATTGGCGGGCCAGGACACGAAACAGCTCAAGTCCGCCGAGCCGGTTGAGAGCGCTAGCATTGACGCCGCAAAGGCAGATGCCGTGAACGCCAGTGGCGTGGAGAAGAAGGGTGGGAAGAAGCGGAGGTGAGGGTGAAACAGTGTGGACGAAAAGGTGACACGAGCTTTATTCGGCGGATGTGCAAAGGCTGGCTGGTGGTCATTGGCCATTTAGCTAGGACAGATGGATATACATGTGCGAACATATCAGTGTACAAAAATAACTCGCATCTAGATTGCCGTACCTTGAATGTGTGCTCAGTCTTGTGTGCTCAGTCTTCAACTGTATTTCCATTCTCGTGCCATTTTTCTCTACTTTCGGCAGTGGTCGCCCGCCCCGTGAGTCCAGCCGACCTATACTGATCTTACCGATCTCGAGTGGTCGATCTGCTCCATGAGGCAGCCAGTCTTGAGGGTAAAAAGGAGGCGGCGAACAGGAGACGGAAGAGCCGAATCGTAAGCAGCGGGGACTTGTAATGCCACGGCGGTGGAAACGTGAGAAGAAGGCAGCCCGCAACGTAGTGAGGGGCGAATAGTGATTCCCGAGCAAGAGCTCAGACACATACATGTATAGGGTCCTTGGGCGAGGTCCTCTCGGCCAAGGAAGGTGGTTGTTTTGCGTCGTCTCCGCTGACACCGTAGTCGAGACCGGTTTCTAGAGGCGTGTGTTATGAGCAAGCGTGGACGGAGGGGCGAGCCTCGAGATCGGCGTCTGAAGCCCAAGTGAGCGTTGGCATGAGACACGGTGTACTGTATGGCCACGGTTCGGCATCATCAGCCTCGCAGTCAGCCGCGAAGAGTGCTTTCACAGTGCAGTCCTCGGGGAGCATGGGCATGCATGTGGAATCCGTTCGCAGCTGCAAATGAGGTCGAAAGTCCTGATACGACGCAAGGCAAGGAAGGCTTGTAGAGCCAGGCACGGCCGAATTACCAGGTTGAAGAAGTCCCATGTCGGCAGCTGAAGTCCTGTCACGTTCGGGTTGGCAAGTGATTCCACAGCGGCTTTCGGAAGTGCACTGAAGCATTGGCGTTCTTGCTTGCGGCTTGGACATTGGGTTCCACGATCTGCCTTGCAAGAACTCAAGGGACTTCCGTGGACTCGAGGTACATGAGGCACATCCGCAGGGGGGGTCTTCGTCCGCATCGAGGCAGGCAAGAGAATCTTCTGGTTGCTTGTGCATCGCGAAGTTTGTTTCCGAGAGGCTGTGGTGATGGGGCAGGGTCATGGAGGAGATCGTCGATGGTCGTGATGATAGTCGGTGTGCGAGAAGCCTAGGCAATGAGTATGATTGATCCGCTGTACCCAGTCACTGTCAGAGCGAAGGTGAGTTTGTATCACAGCCATGATGGCTGCAGCAGGCAAACACAAGGTGGATGGCGAGGCCCTGCCGTTGCGGCGGAGCTGAAGCGTGCAAAAGCGTGCCATGAACGCTGCTGACCTGGTGGCGCAGAACATCCTTGCTGGCATAGCAGGAACGCCTTACACACTGAATTCCCAATGGAAACAGACAGACTCACTGAGCAGTGCCACCAAAGCGCCCAGGTGCAGAATCAGGGTCGAGCTGCCAGTTCCACACAGTCTGGTCTGCCGTGGCTGTGAGGGCTCCGGACAACAACGAAGGCTCAGACTCACTGCGTCCTACATCCGAACCATCGCTGCTTGCATTCTCAGTGGTGGCGGTGCAAGCTACTAGCTGACAGACCAATAATTCGGTGGGAGGAGGCGAAGCTTGGTCCTACTAAAGACTCCTGCTTGATCGGCGTACGAGGACGCTTTCACAAAGACCTTAGTGTTGTTCGCATTCTAGGCACCGCCAGCCAGGATGAGACGAAACAGTACTCAAGACTGCGCCCATTGAAAGGTGCTTAGACTTGAGCAGCATGGACGGCATAGGGATTTTGGCCTCATAGGCGCCAGTGTCGCAGGACCGAACTGTACTCAGTTGAATGCGCCACCCCTGCTGCGCTTTTGAGGCGGCTCTTCATAGTGAAGCGCCGCTAAGATAGCTTCTTAGCACCATATACACCGGGAAGTGGTCCTTTGTGCAATATATTCGTCGGAGAAATCTGCCTGGCACGATACCCCGGGCACGAGACTGACAGTGGCATGGGTGACTAACACCGGTCAGAACAGCACCTCTGTGTTGGTGGGTGTTTGACTGTATTCGACATCTTTGGGAACGGAAAGAGCGGTGTATCGCTTCGCCCAGATTCAGACAACGCGTGGACTGTTCGCGAACCATTTCATTCGGTCATCTTGCATCCCTTTGCCTGACGTGACCGCATATGATTCGGCATGGCAAAATTGTGTCTTCGCACATCAGCAGTGGTTGCGCGGAAAATGCAGTGTAGAGTACGACTTTTGCCAAAGAGACACTGTAGGTCGACGTTGACACGGAGGCTCCGTGTGGGGCAGCAGGCAACCAAAGCACCTATCTTCTCGTCACGCTCTGACTTTGACTTGATATGGTCGGACGCGCCGCGACTACTTACGGGTTTAGGGCATTGTGTAACCAAGCTCGACCTGTTAGTCAGGCATCACCGGTCAGAGCCCGACGAATGGCAGATTAGAATCGGGAGAACGTCCCGACCCCCGACAGCCGGCGCCGGAAGAGGTGAGCACATATTGTCTTATACGAGGTTTCTAGTGTCAGTCTGGAGTGATGAAGTGTACAAGTGTATAGGTGGGGAGAAAAGATCGGGGAGAGGTGAGGTTGGGCATCAGCAGCGGTCTAGACGGGAAGGCGGATCTTGGCATTTTCAGTTGCCTTATTTCGTGACCTCCGCTCGGCCCCACAAGGATGGACGCATACTAGAAGGAATGTCACGAAGCAATAAGTCGGAAATTCCCTTTAACGATCAAAGTCCTTATCATACAGGTGTGGCGCTAATATGCAAAAAAAGACCGCTCTGGCGCCTAGATCGCAGCCAGGTTCTGAGCATACAGATGATGGGGCGGGATACCACATATGCTTGGAGTCTTGATCAATCCAAGAGACTGTCACGACGATCTGTACTTGCATTCACCCGGTTGTGTCCTGATCCTTGGAGATCAAGAAAGGACAATGCATGCTTAGCTTCCACCTCAGCTGCAGAACAGCGGGTCCGTTAGCCGCAGCCTTGCTAACCGCAGCCTCTCTCACTGTTGCGCACCTCTCAACCTGTGCTGCTCGCAAGTGCCGACAGACACAAGTGATGTCTGATGCTGGCGCGAGGTATGGAGTATGGGTAATTGATGAGCGTCCGTGGTGAGATGATCGTAACTCCATCCTGGGACGCATCTGAAGATGTGTAATCCTGGGGTGAGGACAAGAGTCGATCTATGTTGCTTGTTCCCACAGCCATGAGTGCATAGACCTTATGCAGAAAAGCACCTAGAGAAGCTGTGGTGGTCTCGGGTACTGCTGTCCTCAGGAATGCTCATGGTGCTGAGCATCGTGTTGGGAAGCTTCCACAATCGTTTCGGGATACAGGCTCTGGCGGTGATCTGTAACCAGTACAAGGAATCGACGGTCACGGCTTTGATCCTCAATTTGCAAGAACATAGACGCGCGATGGCGCTATCTGCGCCGACGGCCACTGTCGGCGGCGCTGCTCCTGCGTGGCTCTGGCGGCGGAATCTTGTCATCCTTTGCCGGCTTGACATAAGTTCTCTTGCAATGTCGGCAAAGTTTGTGCGTTGTACTGCACGACGCTCCCGAGCAAGCAACGTGTAGTCCCAGGACGTTCTTCTCGCCACAATCGCAACAAACCCATATGTTTGCTTTGTGGTGCGACATACCGGTGAGTGTTATGCAATTGATTCCGTTGACAGGTATTAGCTGGATGTCGTTATGGGAGCGTTGTACTGGGTATGTCAACGACTCGCTGACCTCGTTTATATATTGGCGAAAGGAGGCACCCCGACCGCCATAGTCTTATGTTCGACGGGTCTTAAAAGGAGGCGCCAACACCTGTCGGAGCTGTCAAGCGCCTCATACAACCAGCGCCGAGTGCCGCGCACCAGGTTCGCACGCCGTAGGCACATTGCAATGAAGTGCAAGGTGGCGGTACCTTGGATACCACCACGTATTATTGGGTATACCGCTCCGCAAGTAGCCAGATCAGGTTATGGGGAGATTGGAAGAAGTTCTGAACCGTGGCCACAACGAGATTATGCAAGATGCTGTGTGACCGTCAAAAGGGACAAAGATACCATGCTCCTGGTGCTAGGGAGAGAGTTGAAGGTTTGGTAACTCGGTCAGCTCTCGGCGCTTGTAGTGTATCCAGCAGTCTGCTCCGCCTCTGAGGAATGTCGAGAGTATGTTTGAGCCATTGCGACCGATGATGCCACCGCCCGCTTGGTCGAATGCGGGACGAGCAGACAGTGGCTGAGTAGTAGGCGCCTCGCCTTTCCAGTGGCTCGAGTCCCACTCGCAGTGTAAGATCTCTGTATCGTAGAGCAGGACGAGCCAGCTGGGAAGACTAGGCTTCCCTCGCTCCTGCCAATGACTTCGTCCGGCTTCACCAGCGCAGAGATTGAAGAGCGCAGCAGTTCGCATAGCGCCCGAGGCGTCGTGGCTCAGCAGCACCGCAAACCGGGCCACATTTCTTCGGAAATCGGCCCAAGGCCAGCACAACCGACCTATGTCGCCAGTCATTCAACACTATGATTTGTAGCGTCCTGACAAAAGGCAGACAGACTACAATCTATATTTGAGAGGCTGGACCACGCCACTGCCATTTGGACGCTACCTGAGAGGCGAGGGACGTCTGCACATGGGCAAATTTGGCATGACGAAGCTCCTCCTGACAGAGCAGCGAGTACCTTGACCGCACTCAAGGTGGCGCAGTGACGAATGGATGAATCCAGTGCATCATGGCAGTTCCACATCGATGGGCAGAATCATGGTGGAAATTTTCAGAATTTCTGCTGCTCTCATTACGTGGCCAGTGATGAGCAGATGTCACATCAGCGTGTTGATGTCGTTGTCGAGGAGCGACGCATAAGCTCAGGTCTTTCCTGTTAAGGCCTAGCCCTCAGCCTAGAGGAGTAGCGCAACGTCCCCGCGAATCATGCCTGCAGCCAATCAGAAATGCATTCGCTTGTGTCACAGCCCTGAGCAATATCGACAAGTGACTTCAGGCTCGCTGCGTATTTTTCTTTGCCATGGGACTGGAGTGAAAGTCATGGATTTTCCGCGCCACCTACCAAAAGAAGCTTCCCTACGCCTTGCGGGCGGTGGCCGGCGAGTTCGGAAAGCAAAGTGCCCGGAAAGAGTGCGCATAAGTGGAGCTCTAGTTGCCTCGTTGCGGTCATTCCGTTTAGTCCCAACTCGGCCATTGCACCAAAGTCAAACCTCGCGGTAGGTCCGTCGAGTGATCTAGGAAGCCTGCTCAATTTTGTCCAAGGCCGGATGTCCTGTGCTGTGCTGAGTAGATGACAGTGGGGTTGGCTCAGCCTGCGGCAATGACGGCTCGTTTTGATGTGCTATGGCCGCGGGGGTGCTGGCCAGAAAGCGAGCGGTAACTCACTTGTGGCAGCTCCATTGAGTCTCTCCGATGCAGATACTGTGCTGTAGCTCGAAGCTCGCTGTTGTGCAAGCGTGCAAAGATCAGATCAGCCGCTCATCAGAATACTCGTAGCGTGTCAGGAGATGGGCTCGAAGATGCCGCCAAGGTGCCCTTTGCAAGGAAAAATGGTTGCATTCAAAGCTACCACGTCTATGTGTGGAAGAGTCTGGGAAAGAAGATGGCGTTCACCTGGAAAAGGGCTTACTTATGCCATAGACATTAGGCCAAGGCTTCTCGTCCCATGAGCGGCTGAAAGGCGGACAAACACGGGTGGAAAGAACGGTACCCAGAGACAGGCCAACGTAACGTTTTCAATGTGAGCCTCAGGGACACCTTTAGTACATACAGAAGTGCCTGGATCAGATGCAATCGGATCCCTAGCCGCACACGCCTCCATCCATTAACCAACCTGTCGGTCCCACTCAACCAACAACTGTCCAGCAGTGATGAGCTACGGAAGCCCCGAGACATTTGCACCTCGACTTGTCTACTGATATCAGCATCGGTGTTGATGGGATCGTGAAAGGGCTTACCGAATCATGAAGTCGGCACATTAGCCTATTTCTTCGATATCACTTTGCAGTGCGCACATCTTTGGTGACCACATGAAGTACAAGCGGCATTGATCTTGACGGTTTTCGGCCCATCTCCACAGTGGCAGCAGAACCACAGATAGGAACAAGCACGAATCGCCTCTGGAGGCAGGCCGGATGGTAGAGCGGAGTCAGTATTGACATCGAGGTTTGGGCCAGAGGCCGGCACATCCTGCATTACAACGGCAGAATGGCTGTATGTCGGATTTCCGACACTCCAATGCCCGTCCGCGACTGGCGCTTGAAACGGATGAAGACTTCAACGGGACGTTAGTAGAAAGGCGCCGGGCAGGGGTACGACTAACCACATAGTGATCGTTCGGAAGGCTTCTGGGGCGGAATCCGGCTTCAATGGTGCAGTCAGCTAGTAAGTGATTTGAATGTTCATACAAAAGCAGAAGAGAAGTTGTTTGTCCAAGATAGAATCGGGCAGAGCGTCGAGTTCAAACTTATACCCTGAGTCGTCCCACAGGAAGCAGCTCATCAAGGACGAGCGGGCCTCTTCAAGCGACAGTGCCACATTCTGTCTGCCTCGCAGTCCACATCGAGAGCCAACGAGAATGATGAAAGCCATCTCTGATCATTGAGTGGCACGCAAGCGACCTATAGCAGGTGTGCATATTGTGGAATTGGTCTAGAATGCGTTAATTTTTGTGATGTTGCAAGATCCACTGTGGTCAGTAAGAACATCTTGAGGAGCCAAAGCTTGCCAACAACGTCGAAGCGATAATCCTTCCTTTTCATCGGGGTTCAGAAGTCGAGGAGCAATCATAGTCCTAGGTTGCTGAATTAGGACAGTGAAGATGCCTCAGTGGGAAGAAGTCCCGCTTGAAAAGCACAAGAAGTCATCCACTACTCCTAGACACTATCCACAGTCCCACTAGCTCGGGCTGACCGTTGAAACAGCTGACAAAAATGACATGCAAGGCTGTTCGCGAGTAGCGGCTGCGCTTGACCGGCGATCTCAGCACCAATCTGAATAGCCTACTGCCGCAATGCATCAGCTAGGCTATGCTAGAGGCAACCACTGACTCTGAACAGGACCTCAAATTGGTTGCGGACCGGATGCCAGGCTCCTCGTATGCCTACCGGCTCCTGGGTTTCGATTGTAGCAGCCTGAAAGAATTGCAACCCGGGTTTCCGGAGCACTGGTGTAGTCAATTCGATTTCAGGACCTTCCGGCAAGGCGCCGAGGCCACTGGTGTGGACTCATAAATAGGTTGCGAAGCTTTGCAGACAAGTCCGGTCACCAAAATCAGGCAAAGGGCGGCTATCACAGCCACCCAGAAGGCACCTACACGCCACCTGCAACTGTGATTGGAAAGGCCGTGAGAACATCATATCCGGGCCACACGCAAGCGGAACTCGACAACTGTTTTGTGTATACTGTGGTACTAGGAGCATGAAGTGTATGTGAAGTGTATTCTACTGTGTAGAGTCTCACTTGACGTTGTCTGGCACTAGTCCGATTCTGGGCTAGTCAATTAGCCAGTGCCCAGCTTTGATGACGAGGCGAAGCCGCGAGACGAGACGCAGTTCCAACTACTCTCCAGTCTTCATCCGTCAACTCCGGACGTGATGTATACGCACCGATCCTGTGCATACGACTGCATACCGTGCGTTGCTTCCTCATGATCGTTATATCCCTCAGACTTACGCACTTTTTGTGAGAGAAAATGTCAGCAGCGGCTTGCTAGTAGTGCAGTCGCTTTCGCAATGCCGGCGAGCGCCGCTGCCAACCGCAGAGCCAACGTATGGACAGCGCGTATCATCCCAGTGATACTCCTTGCAATCATCGGATATGCATCTTGGGTCGTCACCAAGGTCGAATGCCTCGACTATCTCCTCAATCCCAGTCCATCCTTAGCACTACCACGTCAAACGGCTCCCGCCATCGCTATTCTTACGTTGTTCTACATTCTCCTGCTCATCCTTCTAATATGCTATGGCCGCCTAATCCACACGGTCCTAACGAACCCCGGTGTAGTCCCTCGTGGGCCGCAGTGGTATATCGAAAATCAGCGCAAGACAAAATCCAATAATGCAAATGGTGGCTCTGAGAAGGAAGACAGCCTCGACGCGGACTCATCAGAGGGCTATTCTGCTAAAGGGACATACGCTGATGCTGAGAGCTACCGCGTTCAAGATTTCTGGACCAAGGACGTATTCGTATGCCAGCACGATGGCCGACCGCGGTTTTGCAGTGCCTGCTACAACTTCAAACTCGATCGTGTGCACCACTGCAGCGAGCTCAATCGTTGCGTATACAAGATGGACCACTTCTGCCCCTGGGTGTCTGGCATTGTGTCAGAAACGTCTTTCAAGTACTTCATCCAGTTCACCTTCTGGACTGCGGTCTTCTGCTTGTTCAATTTGGTCCACGTTGCGTATTTCCTGGCCCAGCGCCAAAGGCATACCTCCACATTCGACGTACATTGGATCCTTGCAATCGCCTTCTCGGCGCTGTTCCTACTCTTTGGCTTAGGCATGTGCGTATCGAGTCTGCAATTTGCTTTCCAAAACACCACGACTATCGAAAATATCGACCGGAGAAGTCACGTATACTATCTCGCCGTCTACGTATCCGAGCAGACTTGGACACGACTCGACCAAGCACACCGCGACAACAATCGATGGATAACTTATCCTCGGCCTCCACAGGAGCAATTACAGCTTCTCCAGAATGCTGGCGCTGACTATCCGGAAGCCACAGTGGAGATACCGCCTCCTGCTCAGTCCATCGCGCCATCCTTGACAACGCATGCCCCAGCATCCGTACGAGAGGCGTCTACACAACCGGTCCCGCCTGAGAACAGGATGTTTGCTATCTTGGAGACTGAGCCGGGAGATAATCCTTTCGACCTCGGTCCTTTCGAAAATTTCAAAGAGGTCATGGGAGAGCGCGTTATTGATTGGTTCCTTCCACTGCGCATGTCACCTTGCGCTCGACATGCTTCTCCTTACAGCATATACAATATGGGCCGCGTGGTTTACAAGTTGAAAAAGAGGGCAGGTCTCCTGGAAGAGGATGACCGCAGCCGGTACAACAAGAGTCGGCGGAAGAAAAGTCGACGCAGAGCGAGTCATTCCACGGGTGAAAGGCGACCCGCTAGCAGCAGAGTGTCTGCAGCATGATCTTTACAGTTATCGGCAAAGCGATGGGATGGACAATTATGCAAACAGCGTCGGCGTTCGGCGATCTAGCGCATTTCCGAATTCAATCACCCCATCATCTTAACAGCAGGGATGCTTGAGATATACATTCGAATATCGCTTCTTCTGTAATTACCTTTTGTGATTAGGACGGCCGAGCATCAACTGAATACTTCGCTACCTCTGCTGTGTATTCGGTTATAAGTGATATTGCGGGGAATACACCGCGCCTCCTGGTCACGACCACTCGCTTCGTCCGATGGTCTCTTGATACAACTCTGGTGCCTGATTGACGGCAATTTAGACACGTGCATTGCTATGCCAGAAACTACAGATGTCTATCATCCTGTGTGGCTCGAGGTATACCCTCCCACATCCCTGGACGCGTTCGCCAACTGATGTATCAAATTGCATGAACCCGTCTTCCCTCCAGCACTATCCTAGAGAAGACTGTCGTCCATCATGCATATCGTGCTCGCATTTTGGTGCTAGGCCAAAGACTCAGAAGCAATATAACAACTGAAATCGAGCAGTCCAGGTCGATTTGGTGTGAGGTATAGGCCAGCTAAGAGGCATACTCTATTCAATCACCTCCACTACAAGCTTGCCTTGTCACGCAACTTTCGTGGACTTGTGGCGCGCACTTGCTTGTTGACGATGATATATAGGAAACGGAGGTAACTTTATCTCATCCTGACTCCGGGAGATTCACATACCCATCCTGGAGACAGTTTGACATGCTCTCGACTTTTAGGTAGGCAAGGACGACAGCCATCGTGGAATCATCTGGGTCGAACAGAAGCACAGTGTCGGCACTCATTAGCCATTGAACCAAACTGAGCCCTTCCAGCAGCTCTCTCGCCATTGCTGGTAGAGATCTCAGGACTACGGTCCACCACTAGCTCAGGCACCTTCTGTATTTCGCCCAGCAGGGCCCAACGCTCTTCGGGCGGCAGCTTCCGATACTCTTCATATGGCCCATGCGGTACTTCTCCGGATGATGCGCCTGCCACAAGAGTTTGAAGAGACTAGTGCCTCGGCCGGTCGAAACCGCATGCAAAGTAGGACACGCTCAAATATCCATTGAGGAACTTTCACAATACATATGAGACCCAAGTCAGCAGGCCATGGCCGACGGGAGGCATGCTAGGCGTTGGTAAAGAAACACATTTGCCATTTCAAGAGAGATTATCATCCGCATTGCGAAGATCAGCAGGCAGGACGGAGCCACGTCTGTACTATCTAGCGAGTATATCAGAAAGACATGTCACATGCAAAGCAGCTCTCGACAAATGTTTCGAGACCGCGCCCGCGCCTATTGTCAAGTACTCTCACTCCTTCCTAGATCCAAGTGAAGAATGAGCCGAGGTGGCCCACCACAGCGCGTAGGTACGATAGAACAGACCAGACCAGACCAGACCTGCTGCTTGTTCTGTTCCCTCGCTGAAATGGACACGTTACGTTACGTTTTAGGAAGGATTCGGACAGCTGTGTGGCTTCATGGGCCGTAGGTTCCCCTCCGCGGCGAAAGGCCAGTCTTCTGAAAGTTGTGTGACGAGGTATGACATACATAGCGTTATGGGCCAATCGCGGAGAGGGGGGGGGGAGAGAGAGAGGCAGGAGGTGTGCTATCGTGAACGGTGACACTTGCTCTCCTTCCTCAACGCTGGCTGGCGGGAATGAAAGGGGGCGGCGAGTCACTCGGTGTTCAGTTGTTCCTTGGAGAGGTAAGGATTGGATAGCCAATGTGTCACTTGGATCTCGTTCAGTCTTCCATAGAGAGGTAGGTGTTGGATAGAAAACCTATCAATTGGGTCTCCTGTTCGTGAAAATGAGGTCGGAGGCGGGCGTGTGGTGGTCAACGATGGTTCTTACGACCGGGAGGACGCGGCAGGCACGGACTGGTGCTTGACCAAGGCATCTCCGGCTAGAGTCTGGAGAGGGGAAGGAACGGCAGCGGCGTCTGGATCGTATCCAGGCTGATCAAAGGATCCTGGATGAGGGCTCAGCGTGGCTTCACATCAGACAAGTCAAGAGGAAAGACGACTGACTGCACGCTGCCCCTCTCGGGCGCAGCGTACAGCGAATATCCTTGGTACTCACTGCTTCATGCGAACCGAAATCTGATGTGCTGGCCCTACGGAACAGCTCGACCAATACGTTCGGAGAGGGAATGTGATGATGTGTCCGCTGCGTTGACATCTTCTGCTCCTCTTGGACCTGTGCGCTTTTAAGCCTTTGCATGATCTATATGACTCCTCTCTTCCTGCCCGCAGGCTCAAGGACGCCTCATCCGGCGTCGAATGAGTCGATATAGACCGTTCACATGGCTCGAGTCGGCGGGTAAGGCCTGCCAGTCTGCGAAAGCTTTCCGGCGTGTAGGTTTTGCGCACATCAACGGCCCAGAGGTGACCCTCCCACCATCCTGTGATGATCCTGCAGCCCGTCTCGAACCTGGAAACTTCGCTCGGAACCGCATATCTCCTTCCCCTGCAAGACTCGAGGGAGCCCGATAGGAGGCCGAGGCAGGGAGCGGGTTTACCGGCCCTCTTTGCCACGTAGCGTAGACAGATCATCAGGTCCAAGAGACTAACGTTGAGGCCTAGGTAGGCAGTAAAGCCCAGGCCTCGAGCCCAGGAAGGACACATGGGTGTGGGCTCAGCATATTGGCTCTCAGAGACGCTTTGCTTCGTAGCTAAGGCGCGGGTTCGCCGCTGCTGCAGCTAGCCCTGCTGGGGTCATTGCCACTGGATGTGGGCCAGCGGTCGGTAGAGGCAAAGATGTTAAGGGGTGTGCGATGGTCTCTACACGCAAAGTGTAGGGTTCATGACGGACATGCAGTGACGCTGGTTCAGATTGAATCGCAAAACAGCAATCGCTCCTCACATCTTGTTTGCAAAATCACTTCCTCGACCCTTGCCTGCGTGCGCCGTGAGGTCAAAAGTCCTGGTCGGAAGGGGAGCATAACCGCCCCCTAGTAGTACTGACCAGGGTGCTGACCACGCCGCATATCCACGCGCTGTGAGGAGACCACTGAGTCCACAGACCAAGCAGGCATCTGGCCTCTGGCCCGGGCCTTCTCTGCGCGGTTTGTGCGTGGGGACATGACCACGGTGCTGACTTGTTTTCCTTGCCTTGCTTTTCGACGGGCGTACTCCGTGCTCCACTCATATCCGCCATCAAGGGTAGGGATAGAAAAGCCGCTACTGCCTTTGGCACTGCAGAAGGCGCTGGGGTGGGTAGCAGTGATCCTTGGGTGTGGGAACTGGCGGCCAACGCCAACATACCGTTCGGGGTTCTGCTCACAGTACCGCGGTGATTTGCAAGATTAGAGATGGACAGGCTTGCTAAAAGATGAGTGTCCCGTAGAGTCCACATTCTAAAAACTTGAAACAACATCGCCCTCGACGGTGTCGAGCTTGGAGAAAGCGAAGGGAGGCTCTGCGGAGATGCCAATCATCTACTCCGGACCGACAAACCATGCTCGGATCATGGAATGAGCGAGGCGTGTCAAGATACGCGTCGACTTGTGATCCTGAGCCGTTTCTGATTCCACCAGTGAGTTTGTTTGCAATCTTCGATGAAGAAACCTGAAACACGCTGCGCTGTCAAGGGCTGAACACTGGTTCATCCCGTGCCGTCGAAAACTCAGATTTAGCGCGCATCGTATCGGGGGATCCAACCTCATCCAAATCTGAATGATAGTAGTCACCGAGATTGAGCACCTAACGTTCAGATAGCTTTGTGATTATGGAGCCGACGGTCGACAAGTGCGTTTCGATGATGTCCTTCTCCGACGACCTTGTGGTCCTCCCGCAGTGTAAACACCAAGACTCCTTAATCTCAGCCTTACCCCACGGCAGGGAAATTGACGCTGCCACCTCAAGCCCAAATGCCCCGCAGTGGCCGTTGATGGCGTTGTCCCAACGCGCATACTCCGTACGAGGGTACAGTTCCGTCCGTTGCCTGCTGACCTGCGGGATAGTGCAATGTCCGAGAGTCAGCCAATGCAGGATTGGATTGAGCCCCAAACCTAGCTTAGAGGATAGAAAGCATCAGTCGAACAAAATCGATGCACCTTGTCCGCAAACGAAAGCGGAAACAAAGTCGGATATCGGTGCTCGTAACGACTGTGTGCTGGGCCACCAGCCGGTTCGCGAACATGGCAAGATCTTAGCAAGCACGGGCCCCGGCTGTCTTCGGCTGCGCTTTGATGATTGTGGTTAACCGACAGAGCACGAGCCCCCGAGGCATTTCCTCAGACGCCACGGCCATCAGATACGGGTAATTCTCGCTCTGTACGGAGTACCAAATTCTGTCACTCTGGGTGTTTGCTGAGACGAGATTGAAGCAATCAGGCATGCCGTGATGCTAGTAGTACGTAGTTACCTCGCTTGGCCCAACTCCTGGTTGTGTCGATCAAGACCAAGAGCAAAAGCCGGTGGATGTGTCCGTACCTGGTCCCAGCGTGTGGCGCGTGCGCAAACGGACGTCTGTACTATGCAGGGTAACCACGAGGTGAGCTAGTGTGGCGACCTTTGTGTCCGTGCGGACACAAGGATGTGAGCATGGATACTGTATGGCACTCAGTCGCCGACCAGCTCCCTGTATTTCGCAGTGACACACACGTCCATGCAAAGCACGTTTGAGCGCAATCGAGTAAATGGCTAATAGCCGATCTTTGCCCCAGTCGATGCCTCGCCAGGTTGTATTCAATGTCCTGCCTGTTGCAATGTTCGTCTCACTACCCAAAGTACGCCGACGAGAAATGTTGATCTTAAGCCTGTTGACCATCGAATCCTTGCGAGCACGTGAGACGTACGAGCTTAGACCATGGTTGCAGGGTATGTTGGACAAGATATGGGCCCATGATGGGCGTGAAGCTGAACTGCAGTATCTTTGCTTCTGGCTCACAGACAAAGCCTAGGATGCCCGGGCCGGAGTTCGAGACGGATTCGCGAGCGCGTAGATCGAGAGGTCAAGTGGCTGATGCATGTTCGGCTTCAAGGGGTTGTCTCTGAGCGAGTATCTTCGGCCGTAGAGTGCCATCGAAACATCACACTGGGTTAAACAAATGAGGGGGACAAGAGGAAAATGGTTGAAGCGAACATCATTTGGATCGGCAACAGCTCCGGCGCAATAGGTATTGTTGATGCCTGCCTGGACCATGGCCACCGTTGGTTGCGCTATTTGCTTTGCGAAGCTGCCCGGTCGGCGTGGCCGCGAACGCAACTGCCGATCTTTGAATATTGCCTCTTCGAGAGCCCATTTCTCCTTCCTCCCCTCCCCTCTGCCTCAGCGCAGTCCGTGCTCCAAACCCGCTTCTCCTAGGAAGTGAAAATGTAGATGTCTCAAGAAGTAAAAGGTCGTTGCTTGCCCCTCCTCCCCTTCACAGGTATGCTGAGCCTCCGTACACGTTCATTCCTTCCCCTCTTCGCGTTGCAGATCTTCTGTACAGCGAAACGAAGCCTGACCGGCTCGTCATAGACCTAAAAGTCTCCAAGAGAACAAAAACAGATAGAACCATATATGTGCAAGCCAAGTTTTTATGTCCAACACTCTTGTTCTCACGATTGTCGAACTCGCTTGCCAATCGTACCCTAGCAAAAATCCAACGCCCACACCTCCAGCAAGAACACAAAGTGAAAAAAAAACAATGGTAGCTCGAATCCAGAGCATGTCGAGGAAGTAAAACGGCCGTCATAATCCATCGTAAAAGCCCAGAAGCCAGGGCACAAATCCTTCGCAAACAGCAGTCGAATTTCCTTCCCCACCGACTCAAGAAGATTGGACATGTCGTCAATAAAGAAGTAGAAAATCGCAAATGGGGTATCCGCAACGATGAACAGAAGATGGCAACGCTCACCGTGCCATTTTCGAACGTCCGTAGCCGCTTTCGGTCGTTGTCGTGGTTGTCGTCAAATGGTGTAACCAGCACCGGGGGTTCAATTTCTGATTCGGGGGTACCGGGGCCATTCCACGGCGTGTCTCAACGACTGCGCGTATTGTACAGGTCGGATAATAAGCGCTGGGACGTGCCACACAATACACCTACTCTGACGAGACTGTGGCAGGCGGTTGGTCGGGTGGGCTGATGGCACTGGTCCGTTCAACCCATCGTCGCTTGCCGGGGCGCGTTTCGAGATGGTCGGGCACAACCGAGACATCTTGTCCAGCAGACATCAAAGTGCTTCTTTGCTTGGTTCGATAGGCGTCCACTAGAGTCATAGTTAGCTTTGAGTACGCAGTGCACGGTCCTGCAAACACTTACATGCGCGTGCAAGGAAGACGGGGCGGTTCGAGAAGACTCGTCCTTGTCCCCAAGCCATCCTGTAGCCCAGTTCGTTGACCTTCTCCTCTCGCCCTCGTTTGCTTCGTGAGACCTGCGGCACCGTTACTTCCGCCTCTCCACCTGGCAATTGTAGCGGAACGTTGGTCTTTCCAACAACAGGAGCTCCACTATCGACCTCCTGTCCCTCCTCAACGTAGCGGTCGCCTCGAGAAGGCTCTCTGCTGCCAGGCATTTGAATGGGGTAGTATGCTCGAGGAAAAACAGAGTTCTGTTTGCGATAAGAGTCGGGAATCTCGCTCATTTCGATTTGGTCCAGCGTCACCTTCACGCGGACTCTCGCATTCTTCTGCGTGTCTTCGACCAGGATGAATTTGCGACGTTTGTCCTCGGGTACATCGCCAAACAGCGCAATGTCGTCCTCGTTCTTCTGATCCGCGTCCTTAGAAGCCATGGCCGCGGGGCCACCTTGTCGACCGAGGTGATGCATACCGGGCGGCATGGTGGGCGGCATCGAGGACATGCTCGTTGGAACTTGTGGGTAAGCCTGGTAACTTGGGAAGACGTGTGCTTGTCGAATGTCATTCGGACTCGGCATATGTTGGCTGGCAGGACTTTGCCGGTAACTCTGATGAGTGGAAGAGTACGCAGAAGCTGCTAAATTGTCAGCGTGATCAGTCAGTTGAGATATGGGCTGACTTACGGGGCATGTTGTCATGACCTGTAGGCGAGAGGTCTTGTCCATGGTGATGGATTGATTGAGGGGCAGTCGAGATCGTCCCCGGCGGTCTAGAACTGGGGGCAGGCATTGAGTTTTGACCAGGAAGCCCTGCTGAGCCTGGAGCACTCGGTCCAGGTGTCTGACTAGCCGTCGACGGTCCCATCTTCGATCTGGTGGTGATTTTGGCTTGCCGTCGGACCCTCCTACTTCGCAAGCGAGGATCCTGGTTGCTATTCCTCCAGCTGTCGACTGCCCGCTGAATCAATCCTCGCTTGCCGCGTAGACAGGTATTCAGTTCTGCCAGGGCCCATCCGACCTGGTTGCAGTCCGTTTCGTAGTTCAGTCGATTGCCTTTGTACTGGTCTTTTGGCACTGTTGCCCGAGGGTAAACGCAATTCTCGGTCTTGAACTCGTTGGAGAGAGCATTGGTGTCCACCGACTCGACGTCGCATCGAATAGTGTACTCCATCTTCACGCGGTCTCGCGAATACTCGAACGCGATCCATTGAACTCCACTAGAATCCTGCTTCACAACCAGTGGGGTGGTAGCCGGAATTGGCCCGGGTGCTGCGCTTGACCCGGTAGGAGGCGCTTGCTGAGATTGCGGCGTTTGTAGATTCGAGCTCGGCGGGGCAGGAGTATGCTGCTGCGGATATTGGGAGAGCATTGGAGGCCGTTGCTGCTGCGGTGTTTGATGATGCTGGCTGGGTTCGGGTTTCATGCCCATATATTGCTGGTTCTGCTCGGATTTCATCGGCATGTACTGCGATTGCTGCGGCGGCTCATTCTTCATCCGGGGGCTCTGGCTAGAGATTCCTGGATGTTGGCTGGACACGCCTGGTTGGGGTAATTGCTGGCTATGAGGCGGATATTGCAGCATTGACTGGCCACCCATTTGATGAGGCGGCTGTTGGCTTTGGCTATGCCCATAGCTCGTTGGCTGGCTCATGGGTTGATACTGCGGATAACCGTACATCTGGGGCCCCGGATGGCCATACATTGGCCTGGCTGGATCGTGCGACTGGGGCGAGGTCACCGAAGCAGGAGAGTTGGATTGCGGCGTATTGTAGATGGAGGGGTAAGGGCGCTGCATGGTGGCGGTTGCGGCCATAGACTCTGGTTTTTCTTTGACATTGGTCAGAATTTTCGCACAACGGTCGGTCACAAGGCACTTACCAGCTGGATAATAGGGTCCAGCTGCACTATGTTGACTTCGGGGGCTTGGGTTCTGGTAATATGAAGGTTCGGCCGTCTGTTGACTCTGGAAGTGCTGCTGATGTCCCAGGAATGGCGACTGGAGGCCAGTCTGCGGATTGTAGACACCAGCGACAGAATACGGCTGTTGCTCAGGCTGGCTACCGCTCACCACGCGCGGCTGGTGCTGAGGGGTTTGTAAAGGCGCCGGTCCTGGATACGGGTGTGATGGACGATGCTGCATCAAGACAGTTCGTCAGTACAGTTCACCGCAAGGATGGTGAGAGACGCAGGACGTCAACAAGGCATGTGCCACTCGGGGAATAAGATGATGAACATGCGCCCGGGGTGTAAGATGGTCAAAACGAAGTAAAGATCAAGAGTGCACTGAGTAACCAGGATCGGCGTTGGGCTTGTGGAGAGATTGGCGACAGGAACACCATTCTCGCTTAGACGACGGCCGGGTACTGGAGCGAGTTGGCAGTTGCCTGGTAGGTCGCTTGTGTCCGACAAACAATGGAGAGTGGGAAAGGCGTACTCTTGGTGGTTGTCCTGCTCAGATAGGTGCTCGGTCCAGGACGATGGGAACAAGGTAGTATCCTATTGGCCAATGGATAAAAAGGGACTCCAAACAATGCCTGTCAGGGCTTGGGACCAGGGCAGACCAGGGCAGACCAGGGTGAGGGTCAGAGGATGGAGAGGGACAAGTATAAGACCGAAACTGTTTTGGTCGAGAGCCAAAGATCGAGAGCGCCCCAAGACTGGAGGATGTGGTGAAGTTGAAACAGTGGGCGATTTCGGGAGACCAGGGCGCGGCATGTGATAGATTATTTCCGGAGCGAGAGAGGGCTAGGGTCATGGAGCACGGTTTCGACTGGAGAGAGCAGGGGTGAGAGAGATGAAAGCAGGGCATACCATGTACTATGGTGCATCGATGTGCTGGTCGAGAGTGGTAGAGGTCGGTAGTAGTGGTGTTGAGTAGTCTGGGACAAAGAGAGCGGGCTGAACAGGCCAACGGTCGGCGGGTATGGAAGAGATAGACGTCAGAAGTGGCGGTGCAGAGACCGGCCCTTATGAATGGTGTCTGCTGGGGTAGGGGTTTGGGCGAGCGGGCGAGTGAGCGTGGAGCGGCCAAGGTTGGGTGTGGTTAGGCGTGGTGCATCAGAGCCGAGGATCGAAGTGGTGGAAGAAGGAGCCGGTAGGTGGGATTTTAGGTGCAGAGGGCGGCGGCGGCAGCGGCAGTCGTAGCGGTGGGAGAAGAAGCGAATGTCGAGTCAAAAGAGTTGAATTTTGGATTTGCAGGGGTGGTGGGTACAAGAGAGTGAAGGGTATACGAGAGCCAAAAGCTTCCAACGGCTTTGTAGGAAGCAAAAAGTCAAGATGATCTGGCGCTAGGAAAGGGCAGGGTGGTGGTGGGGATTGCGCATGCTGGACCTTAAGAGATAGGCGGCGGGAGTGGCATTTGCAGCCATCAGATGGGCCGGGCAAAGTTGAAGACGTCTGGCGGTGGAAAAAGCTCGCTTGCAGGCTTCAGGAATGGCGTGTGAACGGCAGGTGGTCAGAGAGGGACCCTCTTGGAGTCTTTGAAGCCCGGGAGGTGCATAAGCCTGGCTTGCAGGACGACATGTCAGTGGGTGGACCAAGTTAGGCATGTTCCAGTAAGGTTGCAAGCGGAGGTGATGCGTTAGCCAGCCTGTGTAAGCCGGGATATGGGCGCTGGCAGTCGAATCAGATGGGATTGCAGGAGGCATCGGACCCCGGCCCAGGAGACAGAAGGACCTGGGCTTGCGAGGATAGAGTTTAGGCGGAAGCGAGTTGACACGACAGAGACACTGAGAGACACTGAGAGACACCCCTGTCGTCCACAAGGCACCCAACCTTGTTGGTGCTAGACTCGAAACACGCCCAACGGCCCCGACGATCATCGAGCTCCTGCATCCCATGCGGTGGCAAGACATGCCGCGTGCTGCCAATAGGCGCGCCTGGTCGGCAGTCCACAACTAGTCATGATCATGATGCTATTCTTCCATTTCCTGCCCTGCCCTGCCCTGGTTCGTCGCTTGCCGGCCCTCGAGTGGCACCGCGAATCGACTTGTGGCGAGAGAGTTGCCATTTGGCCCAACCACTATTGTATATCAAGAGCTGGAGTCTATATGCTGTGGCTCAACCAGAGTTATAATTATGGGTGGGGGCCGGCTACTTTGGAACGGGCTTTACTTGTCGGCTGAGTACCCCCGAGAGCGAGGAAGAGAACAAGAGCCGGAGCGAGTTTGCGCTATTCTCGGCACACACACATACACACATCACGAGTCATTGAGCGCTCCCGTAGTCAGTCAACACTACACGGCTATGGACAAAGGCCTACACAGAGTACAGTCTTGTTGCTGACGGCCGGAGATGCGTGGCGTGAAATTGGATGCGACGAGCTTGACTACTTGTGGCTGTACCACCGTGTGAAAGTGGATATTTCTGTCGACCCAGATGAGGCGTGTGTGCAGTACTTCGCAAGTTTGCCTCAGGCGGAGGATGGAGCTGCCGTTCTTGTTTCTGCAGAGTGTGGGCTCGCTCGGGTCCTGCAGCCCAGCTGCCAAAATACACTCTGACGCAGCCGCCGGAGCCAAAAAGCCAAACAGCCAAACGATGTCGGATGTTTTGATCGCGCAATTATAGCATCTCCATTCACCAGCGAGATTGACGGACGATACGCTGGATTTTGACGCCCGAAAAGCTTGCGGTATGCATCATGCAGGAGACCTAAAACCTGGCAGCAGCAGCAGCAGCGGCGGCGGCGGCGGCGATGACGGTCTCGCTCGTGCATCGAAACGAGCAAAGGCTTTGTTTAGCTATGTACGCACGTACCGTACTACATCTGTAACCGTGGTTCATAGCGTTGTTGAAGTCTATCAAGTACCAGTGTTGCCCACTTTTAGTCCACTCCGAAAACTTCGTTCCCCTCCGAGCCGCGGAAGGTTTTCTTGTCTCTAGTCGCGTGTCTCCGCACACGTAGCCAAAGCGATTTCCCGACGGGAAGGCCAGCCACACCTGAGACTAAGACGGTTGATCACTTGTCTGGAGCTTGCGCAGGATAAAATTAGTAAGAGCATAACGCCGTACGGATACTTGCGTGCTACAGTATACAATACTGCATGGCCGCTGCGGCTGTTACGCTGGGTGATTTCGTATCATCACAACCGGCGCGCAATGGCACGTAAACAATTCATCAACACTGGTTTGGGGCGCTTCTCCTCCACTCCCCCTCCTGCATGTTGCATCAGCCACCCGCACAAGATCCAGCAAAAAGCAAGCACTTGTTTCGATCGTGGCTTGATGGACTAGCTGGCGTGTCCGAAGAAGCGAAATACCAGGGTCTGAGCGATACATGGAGAGATATCTCAGGAGCATGGGTGGGGAGCACCCACAAGCCCTTAGCTCGGGCAGCCACCAAATCTTGCGTCCTGTGCCCAGCTGTTTCAGATCCTGAATCACATCACTTCGCGAAATGACCTGCCGCGCACACACAGCAGCATCGATCGCGGTATGCTCGTGTATTATGGACATCCGGATACATTCCCTGTAGAAGCGTCACATGCTAAGACCCCCCCCCCCCCCCACACGATTTCCCGCTTGTTGAGCGAGATCGATGCCCATCTCGCGCGCGCACAGTGGAAACAGGTCCTTAAACCTCGCTTATAGCCTTTGGGGAGCACTTCAGCGACAAGCACAATTTCACATTGTGCCGCGCTTTCTCAGACTCGAACTTGCGATCATACGACCCATGTGAGAAAGCATCTTGCCGGACATCATCGATCATCGCCCGCGCGACGGGCAGACCATCCATCATTCTGCGAGGAATGTGTCGTCGGTCGCAAGTCGTGCCCCTCCCACGCCCCGCGAGGCTCCCCGAGAACAAGATTTGCCAGGTCTAGACAACCGAGCAAAGCCAACGCCCCGGGTACAAGCGGGAGTGTGGCACTGACCATTGTTAGGGCTTCGAATCGAGACGCTCGGACGCGGCTTGGGATGGCCGATGCAGATCAGCTTCCCTGCTTCCCGGCGTCCTCGGACGAGGGTTAACCGCATAACCTTGCAGCGATCCTTCTTCCTTCCCTTGCACTCCGATCTGCCCAATAGATTGGGCCAATCATGACTCTACTTTGCGCTCTGACCATATGGCCTCGTCCCAGTCGTCTCGCGGAGGCCCAAGTGATAGGGGAGCGGTGTGCTCTACCCTCGTGTCTGCGGCACTTTCTACTGTAAACAACATTGGCAGAAACATCGAGTTGCATTCTGCGCCGTGGGCTACGCTCTCGGGCGCCGATCAGTCTCACGCAGCCCGCCAGAACCAAGACTCGGCTGACTGCAGGCGCGAGCGCCCAGGAACGCCCCGCGACCGGTTCTGGGCGCCGGTCAGGAGGGAGGTTGCATTGACTATTGCATGCCGACATCTCCCCTCTCCCAGCTCAATAATCATCTGCCGGGTGAAGTCCGGAGTTACATCTGTAGATCATTGATCATGCGCCAGCCCATCAGAAAGTCTGCTCCCTTGCTGCTGCAAAAGTGGCGGGGAGGGGGCCAGGACGAACATCGGAATGTGGCTTGAACGAGTTCCGCCGAAATAACACGTGGTGGTACTTTCGATGAGCGTGCGTCGCCGGTTTTTCCTAGCACTATCATCGCGTGGAGAGACTGGGATCCGACCTGCCGAAGGTACGCAAGATCGTCAGGCACTTATCCGCCCAAGTGACGAGGCCGCGTGGATTGCTCCTTGACCACCGTCCGGAGAAGGCTTCTGAGGGCGGTCAGTCACCGTAGCTCACTGTTAGCCCACTAGAGGGAGGGCGTGGGCGTGAAGCTGGTTGGCTGGACCAAGCAGCGGTTGCTGGGAAAACTCTCGAGACCCTTGCCCAAGCGTGGCTTTGCCGGGCGGTGAGTGAGGTCATGACAACGAACACATGGGTCCCAGTCGGTCCCAGTCGGTCCCAGTCGGTCCCAGTCGGTCCCAGTCATCGTCAGTGGCGGTGCGCCGAAGCCTATCACAACCTCCTATCCAACAATTGCGCTTTACGTCCGTGCTTTTCGGTGGCTTGCTCACCAGATCTTCAAGCGCTTCTCTCCCAACTTTCACTCGTAGACGGTGAATCACCGGGCGACGGACACTCCAGTTCTGTGAATGCAACGTCTTGCGATCAATACCCCAATAGGTGATGACTACTAGTCTAGCTGTCTTGCAATTGCTCCGTATCTTTCCTCAATGACGAGCGGCAGATCTATTAGGGAAGGTGGTCCGGCCGGGCCAAGATGGAGCAAAGGGCACCCGAGTGCCCACGCCACGACCCCCAGATAGGTATTTTCAACCTCAGATCCGTACACCACCCACGAATCCGCTGTAGCTCATTACGATACACGGTAATGATTCTGGGCCTATTTTATTTTCCCACGAGCCCAAGTGAGTTTTTCGCTAACCAGGTGGCCACGTTACGTACCCTGATCCCACGCGACACAAGGAGCCCCGTCAATCAGGGTTCACAGTCTCCCATCCGAGCTGAAGGGGGTCCGCCAACCGGTTAACCAACAAAAACTTTGTTCAAACAACCCACTGCCCGCCAGTCCGCGTACATTGGTACATGCAGTCAAGCCACAGCTGAACTTTCGCACGAGACCTTCACCGTTATGGAGGGTCTTGGGTCGGGCTCCACGGGCGGAGAACCGATGTGCTTCATTGACCAAGTCCTCTCCCTCGACATGACGTGATTTGCATCGCAGCAGCCTCGCCGCTCAGCGGCCCTGCGACGGGAAAGGTATCTGAGCATTGCTTGGTGCATGAACATCTAGTAGGGCAGGGCACAGTACACCTAGAGAGACGCAGTCAAAGTCGTGTAGCGCACACACCGTATACCCATTGTTGAGCGACCTCGTTGGACATAGACATCCGAATGCGGTAATCTCTTCAGATATGATTCGTGTAGGACAAAGAGCCTGCCAGCATGATGCAGAATGCTAGATCGCTATAGATAGTGCCTCTCCTCGAAATTCGCTTAGACGAAACGGCGGCTATTGTTCTGCACCTACCCTTCGATATGCGAGCTGACCAAGCAGCGATCCAAGTTCCAGTCTGCCCAACACCATTTCGTGGCACAAACATCTTCATGTCGCCCATTGTGCAAGGCTTCAATCTCCCGAAAACAGCAGTCCCTCCGTCCCTTCCGTGTAACGTGTCAACTTCCGCTCTGCTGGATGCTCCACGATCCCAAGCTACATTTATGCCGTGCTGCAAGGCCTGGCTCCCCTGGCTCGGGTTACGATTCGGCCAAACAGGTCTGCGATTTGCTAGGCTTCAGACCAACACCAGCTTGACAGGCTGTCAGCACCCGTCATCGGGTTGGCAACCCCGTTATACGTTGGTCGAGTAGTTTGTGCTCTCATCAAGCTTGACCTCTGGTATAGGCACAGCCGTATATTCTTGCGCTGACTGACCTTCATTGAGGTATGTCTGAGGATCTACCCCCGGCACAGCGGGTTTGGAGTCGAGGGCTCGTTGTGGCTCATCAAGCTCGTTGTCGCTGATGGCATCTTCGTCAGGCCGCTGCTGCCCCCCCTGGGCACGGCGCCTATCCACCTCCTCCTTCCACTGATTCTCACGTTCAGCTGCGCCGGATTAGCTCCTTCATTGCATGCGAGGAATGCGCGTGTACTCACCTCTGATCTCTTGGGTCTTCTCTGCAAACTTCGCAATCTCCTCTCTCGTGACGACGCGGAGCACAATTACGTAGTCGTCCCTTTCCTCGAAGCGCTCCTGTGACCGCTCAAGCGCCTCGGGATTCACAAGCATTCGGCTAATTTTAGTCCAGCGCGCCCCCGGTGGGATGCCTTGCTTGCCGGCGTCCTTCAACGGCGCAACGCCTTCGCGAGTGGGGTTGGGATCTTCTGGGAAAGGAGTTGTACGCTGAGGCTTGAGGATACCTCGGGGTTTGACATCATCTCGTTTCTCGATCGGTTCAACGAGCTGCACCCGTCGTGGTCGGTCATCTTCGTTCTCGCCGGGTGAAAGGGTACGATGCTCTGGAGGGTACTCGGAAGTCTCGGGCTCGCGGTTGCGGGATTTGTCGCGTCGACGTCGACGACCTGTGCCATCTTCCCCAGGACTAGGCTCCCTGTCGTCCTTGCTGTCTGGGGGCGCAAGTCTCGCCTCGCTGGATGGGGCATCCACCTCGTCGCGATCACGATGGCGATGGCGATGGCGACGCCGGCGACCACCGTCGTCTTCATGCGATTCGCTAGACTCGTCACCGCGCTTCGAGCCACCATGGCCAATGTCCTCTCGCCCACGGTCTTCCGGCGGCGGAACATGGTCTTTACTCCTTCGCTCGCGAGGCATCTCAGCCTCTCGTGGGTCGACTTCAGCATCCTCCTTCTCTCGGTGTTTGTGGCGACGTCGACGCTCCTTGCGCTCATCGCTATCCGAGGCTTCCTCGGGCTTCTTAGATTTTAGAACAGCATTAGCAATAGCTGTAGCTCCAACGCCTGCAAGGCCGGCGGCGGCGGCCTTCGCCGCACCTGACCGCTCAGGGCTGCCTTCTTTTCCGCGCGGTTCCCGGTCGTCGTCTGGTCTCTTGCCCTTGTCCGAGGGGCGAGGGCGTTCACGATCCTTGTCGCGATCACGTTCACGTTCACGGTCCCGATCGCGCGGTCGGTCTTTCTCCCGTTCCTTGTCTCGGTCACGTAATTCCCGTTCGCGCTCCTTGTGGTAATCTCTCTCCCGGTCCCGCTCAAGCTCTCGTTCCCGTTCCCGATCCCGACGGTAGTCCTTCTCGCGATCGTACTGAGCGTCCAATTCTCGCTGTCTTGGCTTGACAGCAGCAGCACCGTCATCATCATCTAAGCGCTCGCGCCTGGTTTTGGGCATCGGGCGATCATATTCATCGCGAGCCGAGCCGTAGCCCTCGTCGCGGTGCTGATGAACAACTGGTGTACGCATTGAGTGCCGTCGTTGCGGTATGTCGCTGGATTTGTCGGGCTCGTTATCGAAGCCTGAACGGCGAACAGGTTCCAGACGATCCGGCTGGCGAGGAATTGGTGGCGGACCCATCTCACGTCTGCCGGATGGCGGTTTATGCTCAGGTATCTCCATGGCACTCACTGGACGCTCGCGTCGTGGAGGGTACGGCTCTCTTGGTTGCGATGACCGGACAGGGAAGTCCCTGGCGAATTGCTCCCTAGGGCCGGTGTAAGAGAAGTCGTCTTCCTTCACACCCCTTCCGCCCGCATAGCCTTTTGGGTTGCTGTAACCGCCAGCCTGATGATACTCTCCACGTCTAGTCCGTGGAGCCGCCGGTATGAGTCTATCAGCATCCGCGCGATTTGCGCTGTAGTGACGCTGATGGTGGTCTGAGCCCCCAGATCGAGCAGGGAGGAGGTACCTGTTGGGCTCATCTCGAGGCGCTGAAGGCGCTAGTGGGGGACTTCTAGGGATGTCTCGAGATACATTGCTGACGACGGGCTTACTATATCGCGGCGGAGATTGGTTCTTTGCGATCATGCTCAGAGGCCTTCGGCCTTCGGCGGATATGGTTGAATTATTCCTCGGTCTTCCATATAAGTTGATGGGATACTCGGTTCGAGACACATTTCCACCATATGAATCATCACGGTACGAGTATCTTTTGACTGGGCCTGGGTCGTAAAGACTGTTGTGACGGGGAGGATAGGGCTCAACGGCGGTCCTGGGATACGGATGGTACGAGGGTTCGAATTGGGTGGAGATGAAGCCAGTCGAGGCTCGCGGATCGTGGTAGCGTCGACCAGGGGGTGATCGTGGCCGGTAGCGGTTGTCCATGGGTTGGAGAGGCCCGGGACAGCACCCGTGGTATTATAGTAGCAGGGATATATCCTCTCACTCAGGGGACTGGTATAGAAGTCCGACAACACTTGATCGTCGCAGCGATCAATATATCGGACGCAATCCTGGCAAAGAGAGTAGCAGCTCTGACGCAGGAAGGGGGCGATGATGAGACGGGTGAGAAGTGGCCGTGGTCTCGGCGCAGGATTCTGACGATAGCGGGGGAGCGAGGGGCCGTTTCGCCCCCAACGGTAAGAATGCTGCTCGTGTTCTTGCTCGATGGTGCACTTTACACAAGGCTCCGATAATTGAAGCAGACTCCGCGACTTCGGACTGTCGTGGTCGTCCTCGCTTGCAGTCGTTGTTGAAAGGAGATGGAGCAGACCTAACTTGAGATTGTCGTGGCCGTCGACGTCACCGGTCTTGAGATCCTGCAGGGATATGAGTCTTTGCCACAACCTGAGCGCTCTCCGTCCTCCCTGGAAGAACAAGAGAAAGGTATTGTCTGAAGCTTGAGGAGAGAGGCCACAGTTGAATTGTTTTCTGCTCGGCAGTGGCGCGTAGTCTCCTGCGGACGTGGGGACTCGTTCAAGTCGAAGTGCTGGAAAAACATCTGCTGCCCGACGAATGCTGCCCAACGCATTTCACGCCATCAGGGATCGTCCGTTGACTATCGATGATTGACAGCACGCGTTGCGACAATGTGGTCTCCGGACTCGTTGACTATCGAAACTCCAAGCGTGCTTACGACAAGTGTTAAGGGCAACCAGCTTGCCCAGAGAACACATGGTAGTCGGGCGCTGTGCAAAACCCCACTTCCCTTTGGTCCCGTCGCTACCATGAGGTGATCTCATCCGGTCAGCGGTAACGACTACCGCACTCTTGCCGGGCTTGTTTCACCAAAGTTTGTGCAACTCCCACCACCTCCGGGCGCTCACTCGCGACGCCTGGCTCGTTCGGCGTTGAGCGGGATGTGCGGTTAAACCCTTTCACCGGTTACCAGACACGAAGACTTGATATCGCTATCCAGGGCAACACCAACAGTGGAAAGCAGTATCAATCAGGGCTGTTACTCGAACGTCTTGACGAGTGCAATCCGGGACCGTCGTCATGTATTCATCAGATGACAACTAGCCTAGTTACCGCCGGCGAAAATCCCACCACCCTAGCCCAACGTCTGTCGGGCGTCACTTGTGTTAACCAAGCCGAGGGGTCACGGGGTGATGGACTATCACGAATTGAAGGCTGTGTAGCAGGCCATACGCCCGAAGGCAACTCTTGCTTCGCTATCTGGTCACACTGTGGCTGTAACTGACTAAACGGAGACAGAAGCCGGAAACATACCCCCAATGCAGAAGATGGGAATGATGTCAACGCCTCAAGTACTATACCGTCAGCACTTATCTCGGTGTTCTTCGCATCGGGCTTGCTTGAAGTCCCACAGGTAGGCATGTCACGAGTCTCGTTTCCAGCATCGGCAACAGGACGCGACAGCCACAAAAGGCATCCTCGCCCTCTTTGCGACCGGTCCACGACCTTCCAGACGCGTTCTACCTTGCTTGGTGCTGCAGCACAGCCTTGCAAGATTCCTCGGTACTTCATATCGATCTGAAACCCACCACGTGCTCCTGTTCGCAATGACGATGATGCAACCCTCCAGATTCCTATACCGCAGCCATGCGCGCTGATCCGCAAGGGCTTGGAGGCAACCTTCCAAAGTCCTATACAGCAGTTGTGAACAGAAAGTATGCCGCGCCCGATGCGGCAATGCCGATATTTTGCTTCAGCATTTTAGGACTTGAGGCATCACGAGACTCTGCTTTATGACCTTTTAGCCCGTTATATCCCCTTGTATATGGCAAAATACATGGGAGTGAAGCGTTACGAGCATGAAGCCGCCCGGTACAGCGCCAAGAATGTATTTGGCTGGGACTTATACCGGCGTCAACTGCTTCTGCCACTACTCAAAGTACGTTTTACTCTCCCGTCATTCACTGCTTCACCATAGACACGCAAGCAGCACGCGGACGTTCTGGAGCACTATTTACTCCTGTAGGAGCTCGCAGGGCGTGCATTCGCAGGAGGATGGCTGACGCGGTGTCCAATATCAAAGTATATAGGTAAGAAGCAGAGCGAGCAGTCCTCTCTCGAGCAACAACTCACTCGAACACTCCTTACCACTTCCTTTCGAAACACTTCCTTGAAGATATCCTTCTGCACAACAGCTCGTTAGGTGCTTTGTCCCAAGTGGACCGACCAGGACTTTACCGATTGCATTCAACCTTCGTCAACAGGACCTCTGCTTCCTTCTACTTTTTGTATCTCCATACCCATCGTGAGATCGCGAGCAAGCTTTGGAGATGGCCGCGGTTAATAACCCAACCCTTTGGGGCTGCCATATCTGCAAGTCCGGACCCTATGTCATTGCACACACCATCAGGTGCCCCAACACCACAAACGGAACGAACCCATGTCAGCACGAAATGTGCAAAGACTGTCCCAAGAACGGCCACATCCCTTCTATTTACTCTAAGCCTATTCTCCAAACCGCACCCTCCCGCGGCGAGGAAGGCCACGCCATCCTCTCTGCCCAATCTGCCCACAATGCCCACAACGCCTCCTCTCCCGACTCTGCCAAGTCTCCACGCTCCTCCGAAGCCTCAGCAACCCAGCGACCTTATCTCAACCCCCGAGCTCTACTTCCTCCGGGTCGCCACAGCAACAGGCCCGAGCGCTTCTCCTCCGCCTCACGCCCTCGCCGTCCCAACACAGATGGATGGTGGAGATGCTCCGAGTGCCGCAACCCCGTCAATCCCGTGTATTCCAAGACACAGTGCACCATCTGCGACCACGTTCGCTGCAACTATTGCTCGCCTCCACCTCCGCCTCCCCGACGCACCAGGTAAACGCTCTCTAGTGCCTGCAGGCTCACCCGGCTCACGAATTTCGAGAAAGAACGGTGAGATTCCAGCCGCTTTTCGTCTGCAGTCTCACCATAATCGATGGCCGGATGCCTGAAGAGCATTATTATCCTTCCATTCGTTTCCTGCCTCCCCCAGCCGTCCCTGCCAGCACCACCACCGTCATTACAGCAAGCTTACGACGTTCTCACTTCTACCCAGTGCGCGGGGACTCCTTTCGTTAACTATGCTGGCACGCCAGCACACTTTCTGCGCCCAACCCATTCAATCCATTCATTTTACCTCTTTTCCGTTGACCCATTCAACACGTACTACCATCTGATCCAGCACAGCACAGCACGATCCACGTTCATTTCACTTCCCCACCGGACCAGCGCTCTTTCCCCCCACAGTTCCTTCCTCTCTCTCTCTCTCTCTCTCTCTCTCTCTCACACACACAGAAACGCTCTCCGGAACCCCTATGTGGAGGCGGCAATGAGCAGAGATACGCGGCAGATATAGGGGATAGAGACGCAAGTCACCACACACACACACATATATATACATACAAGCCAGACCAGAGCAGAGCCGATGACCAAAGCACACTCGTTATATAAGCGGACTCGAATGTATGATCTTGGTCCCCGCATTTATATTCCACTCTGCTGTGTAGCACCCAGCCTCATTCTACACGACAACTGTAGAGATCGAAACGTAGACGTCGCTTTCCAGTCCATCGATTCTTGCACGTACAATTTCATGAACATGTTCGACCGCGCGCGTACTACAGCGCGTCAGAAGCACATGATCGTTGCAAACACACCTACATATAAGCAGGCGAGCTTTGCGGCACTGACGAGACCAAATAAACAACACACAAGGGAAAAAGATTACAACAATGTCTCCGTTGAAACCTCAGCACTACTAAACTATTCTATATATACACAAATAATCCCCTGTCCCTGCGATCCTTTTGTGATCCGGCTATCAACACACATCCCATCCGAAAAGGCGGCGCAGGGCGTCCGCCCGGTGCCTCTAACCAATAACCAAATGTTTTGACCGCCGAACGCTCCTCTGACCAAGTACACTGTTCCGTCCGATGATGATGCTGTAATGCTTGCGTTCTGTCGTCGTGTCCGTTATGCCATATCCGTAGGCTATATCCTTGATTCCATGTCTCATATCTTGCCTGCATAAAGCGAGGCTCGGCGTCCGGATGAACACCCGTGGCTCTCGAGTAGACGTCACTTGCACTGGAGACCGCTTGCGTTCCTCCGCCTCTATTTCCCTTCGAGGGCCTTGGATTGACCTTCTCAATACGGAAGGATTGTCAAAGTGAAAAGAGTCAACAGACGTATCGTCGTGGGCCTGTTGACTTGACTGTATCTTATGTCTGTCCACTTTTCGAAAAATCGACGCCAACAACAGTTTTGCCGCCACAATCAGGAATCTCAAGGCCTTTCTTCAGATTCCTTGCCGGGTCCATGAGGCCCCATTTGTCTTCCCATTCCTTACCAGGCTCATTGTAGGCAACCTTCCATGGCTCGTCGAAAGCTGAAAACCTGTCTGTATGTTAGCTCTCGAAGCAGGAAACGTAATGAGGTTTCGTGACTTACCAGAAATAGTCGGTGCCATTCTCCAGTGCTTGACAAACCCAGTCCTGCATGAAGATATTCATATCGTCCACGCTAGCGACAGCACCGGACTGGCCAGGGCTACAGTCTCCCGTTTCTCCACCACAGTCTGTGCCCCCACCGCTCGGCCAACCTGTCTCGGAGATGATCTGCCCAACGTTGGGGTTGCTGGCCGTCAGAGGCACGTTATGATTTTGCCAAAAGCTCCAAGTCCAGCCGGCTGCTTCTTGTACTTCAACACCCGCGAAGAAAGGATGAATGTTGGCCATAACGTAATCAACATGGCTTACAAGGACACTATTCCAGTTGTCGCCGAGATCGGAAGTGGCGATGGGCAGATCCCAGCCGTTCTTCTTGAACTCCGCTCGAGCATCATCGAGAAAGTCAGCAAGCTCTTGCTGAGACTCGGATTTGGACTCGCCGGCCCTGAACAAGGCCTCGTTGCCAATGATGACGCCCTTGAAGATTGAGTGATCCGTGTAGTCAGTCAAGAGCTGGTACATATGCTTCATCTGGCGGTCGTTGGTGGTCTGGTTGGTGTCGATCCACACACCCAACCACACTTTCATGTCCGTAAGGTCCAATTGCTTGATCGAATGTAGTACCATCTCAGTTTGGTTGCAGTCGATACCGTATAGACGGACCGTATTGGTCAGCTGAGAAAGGACGGCCATATCGCGAGTGACATTGTTTGGTGAGGGTGGCCATTTCTCACAGGTCGGATATTGTGTGCCCCACGGCGTATAGTCCATTGCAGGGAAAACTTTGCGGAGATTTTTGTTGTTCAGTAGGGCTTTGATCTCGGCGGAGTTCTTGTCAAGGTCGCCGTTAGCAGCCAGATCGCCCGAAGCGGTATTCCAGGTCGAACTAGCAGCAGAACCACTGCCGTCCGAACCACCACCGGAGCCTCCAGAGCCGCTGTTCTTGGACCCGAGAACGCCGCCAACGACACCGCCAACAATGGCCAGAATGACAACAGCCGCGATGCTGATGCCAATAATCCACCTCATCTTGTTGCTGCCTTTCTTCTGGCGCGAAAGCCACTCCGACTTCTCAGGACCCGAGCCATTATGGCCGCCAGGCATAGCATCGTATGAGATGTCCGAGTTTGACTTTGCTTTCTTTGCAAACATGCCTCCTAAGATTCCAGCACCGGCCCCGGCACCTGCTGCAGCCGCGGTGGAACCCATTCGCTCGCTGCTCCTCTGTCTGCCCATTGGCATGAAGCTCCGTCGTTGAGGTTCGGGCATGAAACCATCGTCACCATCGTCTGCGATATCGTGCGGGTTCACACTCGCTTGGCTTACGGCGGGATTATGATTTAGGCTTGAATGGTGATAGGGTGAGTCGTGGTAGCTGGGATGCGACATCGTGGGGTGAGGAGGATAATTATCGAGGTGCATGTCGTATCCAGAGTAACGTGAGGAGTAAGGATCTGGGGTGATTGAGCCGGGCGTTGCTGCATTGCCAGCCAAGGGTACAGAACTGTAGGATGCTCGATCACTGTTAAAGACAGGCGAAGGGCGGTTGTAGGGATCGTTTGATAGGTAATCGCGGTCGTACGAAGCAGGCGCATTGCCGGGCATTGCTCGCAGCGCTTCTAACCCGCTTTCCCGTTCATTGCCGTCCGCGACGCCTTGAGCGACGGACGTCAACCCACCCCCGTATGCACGGTTCGAGAAATTATCCATCCCCGGTGTCACCAAAGAGGTTGGCCTATATGCCTGACTGGTGTCAATTCTGCTCAAGGAGGGACTTCCGTGGTGCGCCGGGGGCAATGGCGGTGAATCATCGGTGTACTGTGATGGTATAGGACGTCTCTGCAGTTCACGTTCTTGACTCCAGCCCCGCGAGTGTGTGGGACTCAATTGCTGGGGCGGTTGAGGCGAGGGACTGCGATATTGAGGAGGAGGTGAGATAGGATCCCTTAATGGAGAGTCGCGATACGCAGGATGTTGGGATTGGTGGTAGTTATCGTCATTGTCAAAGGAATAGGTCCTGCCTCCAGACATGGCTGCGATTCCAGTCGTCAGCAGGCTCGGAAATGTATCGGTGGAGGGCGCTGAGAGGCAGCGGCGACCTTGGTTACACTCAAGGTGAGCGAGTGCTGGATGGGCGAAAAGGTGCGGATGGTCGCTGGTCTGAGTGAGTGAAAAAGAAGAGAAGATGTAGCCGCTCTGAAGCGCTGCGCAGTTTGGTGGGATGCTGGCTAGATGACGGGCGATGGAAGCAGGATCTGAGACAAAGTCTAGCTGGGATGTCTCTGATACGGTGGGGGCGCAGTCGCCCGCCCGAGTCTACGCAAGAGCGGCGATAGAAAACAGATGGTTCAAAGGTCCTCCTTGTACTTGATTCGGTCTATACAGTCATAGTCCGCAATAGGAGAGAATGCACTGTGTCTTCACTCTTCAGCAATCGAAAAGGAGCAGTTCCAAAGTTGGTAGTATTCTTCCCAGAGGAGGCTGGCCAGGCTGGAGTCTTTGGTTGCCGCAGCAAACCTGTCGCCCCCTCACTAGTCTTACCCCTTCCGAGCAGTGCGTTGGCCCCCCAGCATCCTTAGTGGGCCCCCCGGTTGTCTCCACTGCTAATCCTGGCCGCCAATAATGGCCTTTGTAACGAACTCCTGCGATATCCCTGGCTCACAGACTGTCATTGGCTGCGCTCTCCTAACCTCACGTCGAGCGCTCCTTGCGTTGGTTTTTCACGCAAGGACGCTCGAGCATTAATTGAGCTCGAGGCTTTTGGCGATGGTCAACCATGTGCTTTGAGTCCCAGAACTCGTGCTGCGAGTGCTGCGCTTAGCTTGTTGCTGCTGGGCGCTCATCCAGCGAGTCTGCGGGCCACCTCTAAGCCTAACCGGCAAGGTCATTTGTGGGCCGGCAGTAGGTTTAGTGCTCTGCGCTTCGACCTTCTTGCGCTTTGCATCGGTAGTCGCAAGAACAGCAACAGCATCTTCGTCGCCGTCAGCAGCCCTTCTCTTGGATCCCTGGCTAGAAGGTGACACACTGACAGTTGGAATATTCCGAATCTGATAGCGACGTCCCTTCTGCACGACCTGCGATCCATCCTCGTTGGCGACTCCGAGGCTGACAAGTCTGGAGAGCGCCATGTACTGGAATCGGAAAATGGCGTACGGCTGGTTTCCGTCAGGATAGGTTCCACGGACGGGCTCCTTGAGACGAGCCTTCTTCTGCCGGTCGACATGGTCAACTAGATGTGTGATCTCAGGTCCGATACTTTCATCGTCATTGGTTGAGACCGACGGCTGGTCGAAGCTATCCTTGCGGGAGGGCTTCTGAGGCTTGGTCCGGCTAGGTCTGAACATGGTAGGCGGTGCACCCTCGACATCGGACATCCCATCATCCCATTCTGTGAGCTCGGGCTCGCACACCTTCTCCTCGATGTAGCGGTAGAGGCGTATATCAATCGTACCTTTTTTGCCTGATTTTCCGCCTGCATGTGGGCCGGATCCATCGTCGTTGCGCATTACTGGCGGTGGATCGCTACTGTTCCCAAGTGGAGACAGGCCCAGCTGGGCCAGGCGTATATCGAGGTCAATCTCGCTGAACACCCAATTCAACTCTTTGAACAGCGTCTCACCCCGACGATCGGTGCCGTTGGGAACCATGGAGCCTTCCAGGGTTATACCTTCCTTGATCGCTTGCCCACGCGACAGGCGGATCAGAGTAGGCCACTTGCGGCGCTCTGTACCATCGATGAAGATCCGCACAACTACATCGTAAGGAGGTTTCCCTCCGTCCGAGATCGTCTTCAAGCGCATGCCGGAAGTGTCGATGCTGTTGCCAGTTGAGAGGTCCTTCTCGTTGAAGTCTAAGAACGGCCCTGGGGCTCGAATGCGGATGCGGAATTGCTGGTCGGTCTTCGATTCGACTTTAGTGCTGACGGTTCGCTGAGCGTAGCTCGAGCGCGTGCGTAGATTTGAAGTCCCATATTCGGGAAGAGTGGCACCATTGAGAGTCTCAACAGTGACGTCAAAGCCGTATCCAGCTGGCATCTTGTGCTGAAGTCGTTGTCTGAGGTTCTTGTTGGTAGTTTCGCAAGAGAGACTCACGTAGCGCTTGTCTCTGGCTGGTGTTTGGGGCGCTAGGTGCTCGACGTCTTTTGAGTTCCTAAATGTATGAGCAAGTAGCTGAGTCTGTAAGCCAGAGGTATACATCTAAGATGATGGGTCGTAGGCTCAACATTGGAGCGAAGGGCAGTCGTGTCTGCAACAAAGCAAGAGCCCTACGTCCCTGCCTAGCAGTGAGTCCAAGCCCTTTGCATGAAACTGGCAGACGAGCTGGTGATATTGTTGTTGACGCTGACCTGGGGTGACGTTAAACCCGCAGCGTGCAGCGTCAGGCACCTTTATAAGGCACTTTCGGCATGGGTAGCCACATCGTGCCGGGAGGGCACCATCGCTTCCGGATAAGGGGCCCTACAAAGAACGGGGTGACAGTGGACTATCACGAGTACAGGCAGGGAACTGCCTTCGCCAGTCGTACTTTGGAGTCGGTCCCCACCGCTTGTTGTTGACCGAAGACGAAGCTGATTCTTCTAGAACGGGTATAAACCATCGAATGTATCTGAACAGATAGGTTCCTCATATGAGAATGTGAGAATAGCTTGCCGAAATCGATTTAACTTGTAGAATTGGCCCAACGATGACAAGCATTAGCATCGGCTGCTTTGTTGCCCTGTTGCGAGCAAAGAGCCACGTCACTTGCAACTCTGTATAATCTCCAAGTGGTCGCAAACGATCTGACGGCGGCCGCTTTGGCGGCCCGTTGCAGACAAAGAGCCAGAAAGCATGCAGTGTACTGCCGCAGCCTCTACGCAGAAGCTGCAATCTCATAGCCCAGCAGAACTTCGGTCGATGCACCCTCCCAGCCCCTATTGCCTCCTGTCGACATCATGAATCGACAAGCAGGATCAATGTACAGCTGTGAGATGACGCCAGTCCGATGACCTGGAACGATCAAGAAGGGGACCGTTGAGCGGGCCGCATTAGACTCTTTGAGGTCATATAGTCGTAAGATATCGAATGAGGCACAGATTAAGTGTCGCCCGTTTGGCATGGCTCGCACCGCAGTGACTGCACCACTTCCATGTGGAAACCTCAAGACTCGTTCTGGTCCCTTGAGCCCTTTCCGAAGGTCGTATTCCTCGACAGTGTTATTCCGGCGCCCAGCGTAGATGTAGTTGCCATCCGGAGACCAGCATGCACTCAAGCACCAAGGAGGGGTGTTTCGTGGCACGATTCGTGCCACAGGGTTTGGTTGTCGGCGATCCCATACACGAATGGCACCGTCTATCGATGTAGCGAGAAATGTGGAATCCGAGGTCACTGAAGAACTCGAGTCTTGACCTTGCTCCGACTGTGAGATGTCTTCCATAGGATCAATGTGTGGCATGCCGTTGGTCATGGGGTGTTCGCCTGTGCCGGAGATACCATTTGTTTGATGTTGGTCGGACTGAGTGTCGTCGGGGATTTGGTCTGGAACGTGTGGTCGTACAGGCTGAAGTTGGTCGCTATTCTCGGCCGTGGTGTGATCGCCCGCATCAACCACTGGGGGGCCATTTGCCATGGCACGCTGCATGTCGTCGTCCTCTCCAAATGCATCTAGCTCTCCCCCATTACCGATGACCGCACCAGCAGAGTCGCCAAAAAGGTCATCATCGCCTTCATCACCACCGAACAAAGAGTCTGGACTTTCTTTGCCCTCTCCTGCTGTAGGAGGCTGGCTCCCAGCACGGCTGTGGACGCCGTTTGGAAGGCTCTCATCTCTCTTGGAACTGGAAAAGCCATTGACGGTCACACTCTCGCCCAACTCCACAGGGACAGGAAGACTCGATATTGGCCGTGACTCGATACACGAGATCTGACTAGCACTCGAGGCGAATGAGGTTCGGACCTTGCCAACTTCTAGATCCCAGTCAAGAACAGACTTATCCCAGCTGCCAGACAGCAGGCTCTTCTCATCTGAAGATAGAGCAAGCACCGAAACTGCTGAAGTGTGCTTTTGTAGGAGCGCAATCTCCTTTCCTTCGTCGTGCCGAACAGATTGGAGGCGGATGGCTCCAGATGCGGTACCGGCGAGTAGCCAGAGCGCCTGGCTGTGACAGGCCAAGGAGTATACTGGGGAGATAGTTTGCGATGTCTGTGCTTCCAAAGCACCTGCCGGCCGATTTTTGACGTCCCAATTCTCCCAGTGCGTCATCAGCACCCCTGCCTTCACGACACTATCCACAAAGGGGTGCCTTTGTGCGACGGTTAGAGCGAGCTTGTTGTTGACGGTATCAACCCAATTGTACTTGCGAATATATCCATCGGTCCCGCCGGTGAAAACCCATCTTGTGTCGAAAGTTGCACATATTGTGTTGACAGATGTGCTCATCGGAGCCGCCATGGTAGGAATAATGTCATACGATGAAGCATTCAGCATCTCTGGGAGAACTATACGCCGGGCTTCTGCATCACGAGAGGCATCAAGCTGCTCGGCGAGAGACTGCTGCGTGTTGTCTGCAAGGTTAGAGTCGGGTTCACCGGTCTGGTCTTCATTGTCGGACTGTTGGCTGTCAGGATCTTCGTCGTCGTCCCCGCCTCCATCACCGTCACCATCATCATCGCCTTCGGCTTCGCCATCACCGTCGACATCGTCATCCTGGTCCTGATCTAGATCCCCGTCCCCGTCGCCGTCTCCATCCATGTCAGCGTCGTCAACATCGCGCATCGTCTCGTCGTTGTCGTCGTCAGAATTGCCATCTTGAGAGCCAGCAAGATCGCGATCTTCGTCATCGTCAAATTCAGGCATTTTGCGAAGGGCTTATAGGGATAGCAATAGTTTGAAAGGCGACCGAAGGAGGAGAGAAGGCGTCCGGGACTCGGATTCGTGCCAGATTCGTGGAAAAGCCGCTACGCTCGGAAAGGTTTAGCCTGTTTGCCTAGATAGCACTGCCCAATTGCAACAACTTGTACTTGTCCCATCAACTTCAGAGTCAGACTCATTCGCGTTCTTGATATTGTGTTTCTCTTCTGGTGGCCGTAATAATATGTGCGTGATATGTAAGTGAAGATACCCAGCATTTCCATGCCTAGGTTTGCCAATCTTCTTTTGCCGCGCGCGGGTAGCAGATGCCGTGGATCACTCATTCCCTAAATACGTAACAGGCCTTCACGAATTATTCTAGCTTGGTGAGCCATTGTTGTTATGCTAGCTTCCACCTGAGCTCAACTTCTTGCAACCGGAAGAACCTTCTTCCATCATCCGAATTCAATTGCGATCGATCGTCCATCGCCGCCGCCGTCGTCTGCCGACACCCTTTTCGAAACCTTATACTTTATCAACCATCTTCCCCATGCTTGTGACGGCGGCTTTCGATTCAACAACGCATTGTCGGTGATTCCGAGAGGCGCAGTGGTCCCTCCGAACCTTCGTCACGGACAGAAACATGGCCAGGGGTGCGGATCGAGGACAGGCTCGTGGCGTTGGTCGTGGCGTTAGCTGGGGCCGGGGACGAGACCTACCGAGCAGAGGTAAAGGACGTGGTAAGTGAACAACACTGGATCTGTGAATCGATCGCCAACATAACGGTTGTTTGTACGATGCTGCTACTGACCCTCGTCCATTAGGAAGCTACTCACAACCTCGCAACCAGACTCCAAATTGGGACACTACAGCTACCACTCGTAAGTGACTCCCATTGTTCATGTCCTCAACATGAGATCGTCATGCTACTGCTGCATTGGCAAGGTGCTGATCTCCGTCGTGAATTTCTTCCTCACACATTCCATTGCCCATCTATCTGTGTCCGAGTTCGATGTCTTCTAGATTAAAACTAACAAGTGTGCAGCCGGCGAGATCAACGCAGATCTCCCTGAGCGGATCAGAGGGTCGTATCGGCGACAGGTCGATGCTGCTGAGCCCACGACAGGCAATATCGAATTCAAGCTAAACCCCGACATCCGCAAATATCTCCACCAACAAGAAAACATCACTGCTAATGCTGAAGAAGGTGACTGGCTGAAGTTGCCCGAAGTCCCAACTAACGAGGAGGTCGCTTTACTCCCTGAAGAGGAAGTCGAGTTGGCTCCCAACAAGATCCGTGGAAAATGGAAGTCAGTGGACAGATACTTGAAGGCACACTTCGAGCTTCTTCGAGAAGATGCCATGAGTCCCCTCCGCGACGCTGTTGACCAAATCAGGAAAAATCCCGATATGATGGATGATCACACAATGTCAATCTACGAGAAGGTCCACATCGTGGGGTTCACCTTTTCCCATGCTGGCATCGCAGCCCGCATCCAGTTCTCGACATACCGTGCTCAACGACGCATCCTCTGGCAAGGGAGCAAGCGCCTGGTCTCGGGCGGACTCGTGGCCCTAACCCCGAGGGATGATAAGTTTGCAACCAAATGCACCGTCGCTGTTGTGGCTGCGCGTCCCCTCGAGGGTCTACAACAGAATCCACCAGAAATCGATCTCTTCTTCATCCGCCCCGAGGATATTGAGATCGATCCGCAGCAAGAGTGGATCATGATAGAGGCCAAGACAGGATACTACGAAGCATACCGTCATACTCTTCGTGCATTGCAAAAAATGAGCAAAGAGACGTTTCCCCTTTCACAACACATCTGCAGCATGTCGACAGACATTCAGCCCCCGGCGTACGTTACCGAGAATCCGGTGATGGATCTCTCTGCGGCTGCCGGTACTGAAGCCGAGGAAGGTTACGCAGAGGTAGATGTTCTCACCGATTGGCCCGGTCCAGAGAAGAGTGGCCTTGACGAGACCCAGTGGGAGGCTTTGAACCAAATTCTGACAAAGAGCCTGGCTGTGATCCAGGGTCCTCCAGGAACTGGTAAAACTTATGTGAGCACTGTCGCTCTCGAGATTCTCAACAAGTACGTCAAAGGAAGTGACTCCCCGATCATCATTGCCGCGCAGACGAACCACGCACTTGATCAATTGCTTGAGCATGTATCCAAATTCGAACCGAACTTCATCCGCCTTGGAGGCCGAAGCACCAGCATTGAAGTGAAGAAGCGTGCTCTTTGGCAGATACGGAAGAATGAGAGAATCAACTTGATTCCCGGCAGTCTTCTCGGCAAAGCTTCTTCGAGCTATCGCACCCAGTCTGCAGAGCTTCGTAAGATCTTGGAGCCCATGCACCAAGACCCAGGCAAACCTCACTCGGTCGAAGTGTTCCTCCATCATGAAGTTCTCAGCAAGCAGCAAGGTGAGTCTCTAGAAGCCGGTGCGTCGCGCTGGGTGTCTGCCGATGGCGCCGAGAATGACCCTATCCAGCTGTGGATGGGCCATGCCTTGGTCAAGTATGCTGTTGAGTACGAAAGCGAGAGCTTCGGCTTTGATGAAGAAGACGAAGACCTCGAAGTTGAGCAGCTCAAGGAGCACGAGGCTGAGAACGGGGTGAATGACGAAGAAGATGCACAAGACATGCTTCAAGGCACATGGTGCAGCGTCCAGGACCACTTTGCGGTTGAACCTCCTTCTGAAACCGCTCTGAGAGAAGCTGCTCGACTGCTTGATACTACTCAAGACCTGTGGAAGGTACCCCAAGCCATGCGCGGCCCCTTGTACCATGTCATCACACAGCGTTTCAAGGCTAAGCTTCTGGCGCGATTCCGTGCAGGTGCGGAGTCGTATGAGAAGATACGACTCGACCTCAAGACTGGAAAAGCGGAGCGGGATAACTATTACCTGCAGCGCGCCCATATCATCGGCATGACGACCACGGGTCTGTCCAAATACCGACATCTGATCGCGAGCTTGAAGCCGAAGATTGTATTGATCGAAGAAGCTGCAGAGGTCTTCGAGGCCCCAGTTACGGTCGCTTGTATGCCGAGTGTGGAACATCTCATTCTAGTTGGAGACCACCAACAGTTGCAGGCTCATTGCAGCGTGCATGAATTAGAAGGCGAGCCATATTATCTCAACGTCTCGCTATTTGAGAGACTCGTCCGCAACAACATGCCATACGCGGCTCTTCTTCGCCAGCGCCGCATGGACCCTCAGTTCCGCAAGCTCCTGGGTCCAATTTACCCTGCGCTCCATGATCACCGGTCGGTCCTCCAACGGTACAGAATGGACTGGGGTATGGGTGATGTAAGAGCATGGTTCTTCGACCATTCCTGGCTGGAGTCACGCGACGCTCAAATGTCGACCTACAACGAAGATGAGGCCAGGTTTATCACTGGCTTCTACCGCTACCTGGTCCTCAACGGCGTCGTGCCCGACAATATCACCATTCTCACATTCTACAACGGCCAGCGAAAGCGACTTCTGAAGGGCATTCGCTCTTATCCTGAGCTCAAGGAGCGTTACCACAACGTGAAGACTGTTGATTCATACCAAGGCGAAGAGAACACAATTGTGATTTTGTCACTAGCCCGTTGCAATATGACCGGGAAGATTGGGTTTCTAGAAAGCCGTAACAGAGTCTGTGTCGCGTTGTCCCGCGCTAAGATGGGGTTTTATCTGTTTGGAAGTGCGGAAACGATCTCGAAAGACCCAATGTGGGTCTCTGTTGTTCAGCGCATGAAGTCTACTAACAGCTTTGGTTCGCACATGCCTGTCATTTGTCAACGTCATCGCACGCAATCAAGAATTGAAATGCCCGAGCACTGGGCAGAGAAGGTGAGCATGGGTGGCTGCAAAGAAAGATGCCTGGAGGTGCTGCCGTGCGGACATGTGTGCGGGTTCAAGTGTCATCCTTTCAGTCATGAGGCCGTCTCTTGTGCGGTGAGGTGTGAGAAGAGCCTTAGGTGCGGCCATCGGTGCAAGACGGCCTGTTTCGAAGAGTGCTCGTGCGACTGCGGGACTTTTCAGCGGACCGAACTCGAGGAACAGTCGCGTGTTACGTTCTCTTCTTCGGATGCTCGCGGAGAGGACGAATCCTCACGCGAGCCGCGGTCCCTCAACACCAGCGAGCTTGATGTGTGGAGGGGTGGGAAATATCTGAGTGGTGGGCATAACTCTGATCTCTCTGAAGGCATCATTTACTTACCTAACCAGGGCTCGAGCCTACTAGAGTATCGGACAGCAGATGGGGTGAATGGTCAAATGGCCACGCGCAGTTGTGGGATGCAGGTGACGGATGGGTGGATCCACAACACTCGGGAGTACAATGGTAGAAGCGACTCTTCGCCATTTGCGACCAGCCGGTTTTCGGAACAGGAGCAGGCTATAGGTCGAGCTTTGTGGGACGGATACTCTTCAGGGGGCGTCAAGGGCGATGATGCACAGAGGGCCTCTTCAACGGAAAGCTCACCACCCAAGGGTTTTGCGAAATCGAGTTCACTGAAGCAATTGAACTCAGCAAACGCCCGAGACGGCCGCGGTGAGAAGACCAAGTGCATGGGAAACGGCCGCATGAAGTTTACTCAAGTGTATCAGCGAGTTACCACTCCCAGCACCGCTGGCGATGGCGTGTTTGACGATGAGACGGCAAAGAAACCTAGCTCCGCCACGAAGTTCGGTAAGCTCATCGATATCTGAGGGTCCCAGAGCAGACGATTCATCAGTGCAGCAGAGAAACCGGAAGACCTCTCACCTCACTACATAGACACTACCTAAGCCAGGCCTTCGGCTCCAAGGAGGGATGTCGGTCAGGATCGAAACGCAAAGGGCCAGGGCCATACCACAGGCCGTGGAAAAGCTGAGAAGCACTCCATAAATACTGTACAACGATTCTACCCATGTACGGATAGGCCTTGTAAGGCTTCCAAACCTATGTTCCTCCACCACACTGCATGACAGCCGCTCGAGCGATGACCCCTCCCGTACTTGTATCATCATCCGCGCGATCTGGCATGACGTTTGGCATCGGCATCGGGACTTTGCACCAATCAGCCGCGCTGAAGCATTACCCCATAGAGCTTTTTACCCCTCGGGAAGAGGCAAACGGAGTTGCTTGTGGCTTTCCCCAGCTTTGGGGTTCTGATATTTCTACTCGCTTCGTGGCTATCTTATACGGAGAAGAGCTCTTTTTTCTTGGAAATAGATTGCGTGACGAGCTCTGTTGGACTGATCGTATATACGTCCACGTGTGTATATTGCGTGGGGGTGTCACCACCACCACACAGTAAGGGGGCCCTTCTTTCGCTTTCGCTTTCGCTTTCGCTTTCGCTTTCGCTTTCGCTTTTTTCGCGAGATACTTCACAAACGCAAACAAGCACGACGAGATCAAAGTGAGGAAGACGAGAAAAAGGAATCCAGTTCAAGAAAAAGATGGCGAGCGCTACGCAAGTCAAAAGTTTTAGGGAGATGATAGGAGTGGTGCCCTCGACGGCAAGCGCCAAGGACTCGACGTTGGTGATTATCGATGCGCAGAACGAGTGAGTACCTTACCCCCTGTTCGTTGTGCTGAGGAGAGGGTCCCTCGGCAGCTTTCTTTCCACTGCTGCGTTGGATCGTGAGGCTGGGTGTGTGTGATTGGCAGGCAGCTGCCGTACTGGCAATCACGGGGGGCATTGAGCCCTGTTTGGACTGCTGATTAAGATGACGTGTATTTTATTTGTTCGCTACATGGGGGGATCGGTCATGGGCCTCGCGGGCCGGGGGGGAAGGGGGCTGCATCCGGTCCCTTGACCCGAAGCACTGTCGTCACAAACCCACCGCCCTCTCCATTCACTGACAACTCCTCAAGATATGCAGACGGTTTGCTCAAGACCCAAAACGTCAGCTCCACACGCGGAGCCATCGCGGCGCTGCTCGAGAAATACCGCGCCTCGCCCCACTCGGGCAAGAACATTGTGCACGTCGTGCACGACACGCCACAGGGCGCTCCCGTCTTCAGCCCCGGCACGCCCCTGGCAGACGAATTCGCCGAGCTGCAGCCGCGCGAGGGCGAGAAGGTGGTCCACAAGGGCCAGCCAAGCTGCTTCGCGGGCACGGATCTGCACGAGTACTTGGGTGGGCTGGGGGATGTGGGGAAGAAGGTTGTGCTGGTGGGCTACATGGCGCATGTGTGTGTGAGCACGACGGCGAGGGCGGCGGCGGAGAGGGGGCTGGATGTCGTGTTGGCGGCGGATGCTATTGGGGATCGCGACATTCCTGGCGGACTGGGCGGGCAGCAGTTGACCGAAGTCGTGTTGCGCGAGCTGGGGGATGCGTTCGGCACCGTGGTACAGGGGAAAGAGGTGAGCTAAGCAGGAGGAATCTTGCGCAGACACTGCTGTCCTGTCTTAACGGTTTGGGAGATCAAGTCTTGGTGGGACTCGATCCACAAGCCTTGCCGCGATAGATAACCAGTAGGGTAGCGTAACAGAATCTGCGTGGATAGTACGACTCTGTTCCTTGCATTGAATCATGGCTGTCGGATGCTGGGTGGTCCGGAGCTCACACGTCGTTGACATATCCCGGACAGAGGTCTGCTGATGACCGAGGTGGCGACTTTTCCACTCGGTCAGCAGGGCGGTAGTGTAGGAATTGCTGGTGGAAGGGATAGTTTGCCATGTCCAAATCCGGTAGTCTTACCGTGTGATGTTCATTGGAGAAGCGCTCACACACCCGTGCATTATTCTCGTGCTCTTTGCGACGAGACGCGGCGTGCTCGGTGGTGTGAGAGTCCTCTGCAGGCTGACGCATGTTATGCAACTCCTCGTAAGAGTACATGGAGCCATCGATCTGAACCACCGTGTGCTTCGGGAATGCGACGCCGCCAGCGTTGCGGTAGTAGAGATCAATTTCGTTGGTGAGTAAGAGATCCGGATTGCGGTACAAGACTCGCAGCTCCACATCTTGCTCCGCGCCGGGTGTGTACGCGAAGCTGCGCGATGGGAGTTGCTCGAAAGCTATTGGGTGTTGAACGGCACTTATGCCCAACCTGGACAGGAAGTCGTGGTCTAAAGAATTGTATGTTGGCTCTTGAGCGAAGCAGCGTGGCCGAGATTCTTGCAGACGTTCTGTGATGCTATCAGCCTTTTTGATTGAGTTGCTTGAGGAGCGGGCCTTACCAATAGTATCGACAACGGATAAGAATATCGCGGTCTGGACAAGGGCAACCTCGAACCTTTCAATCCAGCCTTGTCGAAGCCCGCAGTAGGAACCGGATCCGAAGATTGTGCAGTTGTCCACCGTCCGACTTCTGTCTAGATGTTCCCCTATTGCTGTTTGAAGCGCTGCACAAGATGGTGAGGCTAGCCATTGATTCTTAGCCTTATCAAATTTCTTCATTATGGTGTCGATGCTGACGTCAGCAGATGGGTATGTCCGTTCAGATTGAAGGTCGAAATCAATGTCCTTGAATGGCTCGTTCAAGGTTCCTTCAGCAGCGCTGTGAGTCTGAACCGTGGTGTGGGGAGGGCCCTGCTGTGCCTTCAATTGTGCTGTGGTTGTGATCCTAGTCCATCCATCGTTCCCGACAACTTCGGTACGTTTAACGCGATCATTTTGTTTTTTCCTCCTGCTCGTGTGAGGCATTATGGTGTGTACTCACAATGTTTGGACGTAGAGAATCAAAATTGGACTCTTGCGCTGTGTAGCGACCTGAGCGGTTCTCGGAGCCCACAGTATGTTACAGAGCAATGTCAACGAGTCCAAAGACCAGGTCAAGCATGAGAGGCTGACCGTGACTCCCATTAAGCCTTTGCCCAGGTGTATTTTGGTTTGCAATCACTCGAATTGATAAACAGCGATGTCACGATTCCGACTCAGAAAAGTCATGGGCCTAGCCGGAGTTTAGCCGACAGGGCACTGCCGAAGCTCGCGGGCTAGCAGTCTCGGCAGTATCAAAGGGCACGAGAACAAGAGGAGTACGTCTGCAGTATCCAGGTACGAAGAACAGGCATGGTCAGGTGCGAGGATTTTATATATATATATGCTCAAAATTACGCTCACGATTGCGGTAAAACCTCGCAAGTCAGCAGAGATCACAAGTGGCCGTTCCACATTCAAAGCTGAAGTATTTGCCCCATCTTTCCCCATACGCCGTGCTGGGCTATGCCATGCCGCTGGTATCATCAAGCATCATGTTGGTTTCGACTTTTTGACTTGCGCCAATCTCAGATTCAGGCAAACGTCAAAGCCACTGCCGCCGCTACAAGCGTTACCAACACCGGGTAACTTCGAATCGAAGGTGCCGCGAGCGATAAGCTCTCGGTGGTGAAGACCAGGTTGTAGTTGATCTGACTGGCGTTGAAGCAGTTTTCCGGCGTGACCTCAGGAATGTCGTCGTCCTCATCCGGGTCTGCAAAGGTGATATCGGCACAGTTGTAAAGGGCAGCGCCGTGTCGGGCAATCTCGATGACCTGAATAGTGGCATTATCGCCGGGATTGACAGTAACATTTGCAGGGAGTGGCACGTGTGGCCAGCACCAGCTGCCGGGATATGGCTCGTTGGTCGGGCCGACAAGCTCGACGCCATTCAACATTGGGAAAGACATGTTGGGTGGGTTGGTGCCGAAGCCCATATTAATGAAGACTTGGGCGCTGACATGGCCTTGAAACCAACCCGGTTGAAACGAGACCGCGCCGCCCCGAGTCGGCCACTTGGTACGATTTGTCGAGACGGGCATGCCACCACCTGAGACTCCTTCAGCATCCCAGATCGTAGACAAGATGCGAGAAACTTACATGGGTAGTTCCATTGCATGCCAAACGGCCACAGGTTACCGTCCTCACCACCGGGCATCAGCCCTTGGGTATCTTCTACCGTACCATTCGCATGTAGGTTGTCACCTCTCCATCCAGGGTACACGATGACGGTATGTGCGACGGTATACTGTATCAACGACAGTAGCGCAACGTATGTGTATAATGCGGGCATCTTGAGATAACCGGGGCGGAAAGGTACGGATCGCGGAGGCGGAGGGAGGCCGGTCCGAGATACCTGGCAGATGCGGCCAGGAACGATGGAGGAAGATCTCGTTTGCCTTGTCGAGAAATGCAACGTGCTACAGCAGTCTTCGACGGTGAGGTCGTCGCTGCGGTCTCAACTCATTGCTGAAGCTTGGCTGCGGAGGAACAGGAGCGACCAGAGGAGGAGCCAGCGCTTTTGAGAAAAGAGCAGTACAGCGCAGGGTCCTCCTCGTGGCCGATAAAGCCAGCCACAAGGCAGGATTGGGGTGACAGAGCTAGACGAGGTGCCATTTCTTACCAGTTGCAAGCACACACCGCTGTGGTTGGTTGATGCAACAGCAGGCCATCAGGGAGCCGCCGTGTGAAAGTGGAGGGATAAGCATGCAGACAGCCACTGAACGAGCATCTTAGGCGTCCAGACGGCCATGGCCTGCGGTAGAACAAGGGATCACCACCCGGGCGGCTGCAAAACCGTCGCCCGGGGCGGTGATTGGCCGCCCAGGTCAGCACGGCGCCTAGGTCAACGACGAAGAGTGCCCGTTCCCTTTTGCACTCTCTTGAGGAGCGCGCTCATTGCGTGGAATGCCATACTTGAGACAGTAGATTGTCGCCATCATGCTCGAAACATGCCAACACTTTATGGAAGTGTCGAACACGGTACAGAGCAGGTCCGACCCACTGACTGTTCGGCAATCACAGAACAGTTTAGCCCTCTTCCAGGCCTCCTTTGGGGAAAGATAGAATTACGAATCATCAACCGCGACGAGTCGATATATACAGTCAGTAATTTTGTTCCGATCATGACGCAGGTCTTTGCCTTTTCATCAGAATGAGGCTGGTGAAGTGTGTACCTAGATTACTCCGTGCGATTGCGCTCCGTCCGAACAAATCGGCCGATGTGGCCTCATGCAACCACCAAGCACCACACCCACCCATGCCCGAACAGGAAATGACTTCTTTGCAGGCGGCGAATAATTATATAATATACCGGCCAATGACACCTCTCCGATCCGACAGGTACCCGCATCGCGAAGCCGTTTGCTCGGTCAATATTAGCTGGACGCTGTTTTGGCTTACTATTAGATGGCTTGGAGAACGACACTGCTAACGTTGACAGCCCTCACTAATTTATCTGCGCCGGGTTTCGACCCGGTTTGATACAGTTTGCTTTGAAATCGATCAGTACCTGCGGGACCGCACAGCGGGCGTGGACTCGGACCATTGACGATGCCATATCCTATAAAGAAGTACAGCACCGCCGCCATGACTTCTACAACGGCCACCAAACTATCTGAACAGCAACAAGAACCTTGATATTCGCTAGACACTTTCGCATCCTTCATATTTCTCACAGCATGCCTACTCACGTCGTTGTTGGCGCCTCCCGAGGCATTGGCTATGCCTTCCTCGAAACCCTATCCAAGGACCCCAACAACAAAGTCATTGGCCTTGTGCGCACCGTGGAGCCTACCCAGAAGAAGGTCGATGCCGACGGTCTGAAGAACGTCACGATTCTGCACGCCGACCTGACAAAATATACCTCCCTACTGGAGGCCGCGAAAAAGGTGTCCTCCATCTCCGAATCGGTCGACTTCTTGTGGAACAACGGCGCCTACCTCTCCGAATTGATGGTTACCAAATTCCTGACTGATTTCGACCTGAGTGAGCACGACAAAATGGTCGAAGACATGCAACATTCTTTCACAACAAATGTCGTCGGCGTCATTAACGCCATCAACGCTTTCTTGCCCCTTGTCAAGAAGTCTTCCATCAAGAAGGTCATCACTATCAGCACTGGCATGGCCGACAACGACTTGGTCAGCAAGTACGGTATCTGGGAGTCGGCCTCCTACTCCAGCAGCAAGGCCGCCCTCAACAACATCATCTGCAAATACGACGCCAAATTCCGTCCGGAGGGTGTTCTGTTCTTGAGCCTGAGCCCCGGTATGGTCGACACTGGCGGCAAAAGTAAGTCCCATGATCACCTCGACATGTAACGCGAGCATCTCACTAACATGGTCAACAGTTCCCGAGGATAGCGAGTTGCCCCGGAAATTCTTTGCCTACACTCCCAACATGGTCGCACCAATCACCCCGGCCCAGTCGGTCAATTACATGCTGAAAGTCGTCGATGCTTCCACCGCAGCGCAGGATGGAGGACAGTTCTACAGCCACCTGGGTAAGCACCAGGCCTGGCTCAACACCGCCTGAAAGCCGTCCAAAATGGCGCCGTTAGCGGCCGGATGTGGGCCTAGGGCAAAGGCGTACATCTTAGAATAGCATCTTCAATATAAACACAACATACCTCTGACCCATTGCTCATCTGTCTACTTCCATTGACTCCCCCCGCCCCGAAATGCCCCATGTTCTTCCCGCACAGGCTAAAAAGGCCGCGGTCGAAATGTCAAAGTTCTAGCACAAAGAAACTCCTGCTCGCACCATCTCAAGATCAGGTACCCTATCAAGCTGCACCGCCCCATTGCAACATTCGTCCCCTCAGGATCCTCTGCCCAGTCTCACATGCCGGCATGTACCTGGTTGAAGTACCTACAGAAGTAACCAGGCAGCGATACGGCGTGCCCCAGCGACTAATAGCGCAACCCCTGGACACGTCAATCTGTGCCAGGCCGTGCTAGGTCGCCGTTTTGGGGCCTTTGGTGCTGAAAGTTGGGAGATATGTGTTGGAACATGGCTACAGAGGTAAAATTTTTGCCTGTATCAAGATGCTCGGACTACGTATGTGGCCGTGATAGGAGCTTTGCACAGCCTGGCGGAAGTCTTGGCGCACGGGCGGAGCGAGGGAGCGAGGGGAGCTAGGAGGATGAGCGCCATGAGATGAGCGCTATGGGAGCTTTGAAGCTGGGTTTGGCTTCATCGCCAGGTATTGCAGGCTTGTTTTCATGTGGGACGAGATTATTGATCTGTAAAACGCCGCTGGCCTAGTCGCCCAATTGCTCGACTCACACCAACGGCTGCGGCTCCTTGACCTTCATGGCAGGCACCATACCAATGCCTGCCTTGCCGTCGCCTCCCATCTCCTGTATGGTTGTCAGCAAATTCGGCAATTCGAATAGCGTGCCAGATCGAGAATGACGACTCACCCAGTACATCTCAAATACACTCTCGACAGTATCGACAAAGCCCGTCCAGCCCAGCCGCCTCGCCTTGTTCATGTTCATACACCCGCCGACGCCCATGATGGCGCCGTCACCGAACGTGAAATGCGCCTCGATGTCCTCAAACGGATCATGCGTGAGCTTTCCGTCACTCTCCTTCATCAGCTCCTTCCACGCCTGATGATTCTCCTCGTCCTCCGCCCACTTCCCCAACGTGAACTGCAGCCTCACCTCGGTCGGCGGGCCATACCCCATGGGCGTATCCTTCCCGGCCTTGCCCTTGATGACCACCGGCTGCTCCAGCACATCCGGAGGCGGACCCACGCCCTTCTCGACGCCGAACCAGTCGACCAACCTCTCGAACCAGCGGTCCCACGTCACGGGGCTGGTGTCCTGGCTGTTGAAACGCTGGTTGCGGCACTTCTCCTCCAGCACGGCCCACTCGCTCAGGTAGCCCGTCAGGCGCGCGCTCGAGTGGAACGCGTAGCCCTGCCAGCCGCTCCAGTCGCCGGGGAAGAGCAGGGGCTGCCCTCGCTTGGCGCACACGGCGGCGTACACGGCGAAAGGATGCAGGGCGTTCATCTGCGCGTTGGCGGTGGCGCCGATGATCCAGGCCGGCATGATGACGTTCCAGCCGGTCTCCGGGTGCTCGGCGCAGTACGCGAACAGGAGGTCTTCCTGGGGGTAGTAGAAGTTGGGCTCGAGGTGCTTAGGTTGCGGGTCGGATTCCAGGCTGGGCACTCGTGCGCGGCCGAGGTGCACGCCGTAGTTTTTGGCGCCGGTCTGCAGGAGGATGCGCTTGGGGTGCAGGTCGAGGAGGGGAAGGCTGGAGAGGAAGTTGCGCAGGAGCGCGCTGTTAACGTCGGCGAGCTCTTGGGCGTTGGACCATGGAGGTGAGTTCGGGGGTGGTTTGGGTTGGAGGTAAGAGTAGAAGAAGACGTCTGTGTGTGAGGGGGCATGATCAGTGGTTAGTGGAGGTTTTGTAGATCCGCACGGTGGTCTGCGTTCATGTTTGCCTTGCATGAAGGAGAAGAGGTGTCAAGCTTCACACTGACAAGCAGTAAATCAATGGCAACGCGTAGCAGCAGGGACTTACAATCCACCCTCTCAACTCCAGCCTTCTTCATGGCCTGGGCCAACTCCTCTGGACTCTTGAGGAAATCACTTGCCACGTGCTGGATCTTGCTCCGCTGCTCTGGTGTGAGCAGGGCCATCATACTCTCTGGCGGTGGACGTCGAGACATGGCGTAAATCTTGCTCCAGCGCTGCGGAGACTCCAACAGCGCGCGACAGGTGTGAAACCCAGAGATTCCATTGGCGCCGGTGACGATGGCCGTGAGGTCCTTGATTGAGTCGTCGAACTGAGGCAGGTTGTGGTAGATGCCGCTTTGGCGGAGCGGGTAGTGCTCGGAGCCCATGGCAGCTTGTCGCTTGATGTGATAGAAAACCCCTACCTGTTTCTATTGGTAATCCAAACGATATGCACCTGGGGAAAGCCTTCACTGCAATGTCTGTTCAGAACTAGATATCAGAACTCAGGATTGTAGATTCTAGCTGCAGAGACCCCATGACATTCCAACGACCTTGACCGGTATTTATAAGCTTCACGTCAACTCACAGCGATACCAGCCCTGACGTGTAGCACGTCTCCTCATTACCAAACTTCGCAAGCTATCCGCAGCCCCGGTGCTTCAACGAGAAATACAAGAGGTGCGGAGAAGAGTAGGGCCATGGGAGAGGGGTAGCAAATTTGCCCGAGGATACTGGGCAGAGCACTCAGCTCGGTACCGCGATGTGGTCTCATTTGACAGAAGCCGACGTGTGGCTTGGTCTGCTGAACGAGTACATAGGACTCTTCACTGCGGCAGGCAGCAGTGACTGTAGAGACCAAGACTGCGGGAGAAGACGAGAGCACAAACAAAGCTGCGGAACCGTTCACCCATGGTGCCCACGGATCCGTCCTCGCTGTCTCGTCCGGCCAGTGTTGTCGCCAAATGCGATAAGCGAGCGAGCCAACAAGTGCCGCTCAAATCCATATGTCATTCATATCTATTCATTCGTCGAAAGATCTACTTCGTGATGGGTCGTCAGGTTTCTTGTTCATAAGTGTCAAAATCAGATCATGCGCCCTCGCTTCTTTCCAACTGAAGAACTGACCTATACCTTTCCATGCTTCGCTTGCTGAATTGCGAGAGTTGTATTTTGAGATCGACCTTTCCGTCTGGGATTCGTGGTTCTAAACACTGCCTACTCATCGCTCATCGTCTCCAGCCAGGTGGTGGAGGCGGGCGACCACCCCGGTACACAACCTCACGCTCGATATATCGCTCGTCTTCGTGATCCCAGTGAGGTCGAGGAGGAGCTTCGATTGCTGGTCTTGGACGAGCCGGCTCAAGAGCCGGAGGCGGGGCGACTCTCGACTCCCAACCCATTTCGCGTGCTCGTTTGCGGCGGTCTTTACGAATGTCCTCCGAGAGGCCCACGAGGCGAGCTACATCTTCCTGCGAGACTGTTAGTGCTGCGAAAAGTTTTATGTGACCAACTTACATATTTCAGGTAGGAAATGATGTAATAGAAGTCATCCGTCTCCTCATATTCGTAGCCCATCTCTTCGATGGCCTCCTTTACCACCAGATCTTTCGTAATTTCGGTCCAAAGTCCGTCAGTAGGATCACGCTGTCTGCCGTACCGCCCTCCAATCTGGCCTCCCGATGCTGGAGGACGGTCTAATTCACCAGAATAATGACCATCGTTCCTCCCGTCAGGAAAGAACTTGCTCCGACGGACGCCGTTGTAGCGCTGCCAAGTAATCTCTTGTGCCCCGCCGCCTTGGCCATCCATGCGGACACGTTCGGTACCGGGCGGGACATCGACGATTCCCCAGTCTCGTGTCGCACCGTTATATGCTTCACCAGGGAAGCCTCGCCGCAGGGCAACATTATTGTAGTATTCTGCTTCCTCCTGCATGTCACGATCGTAACCGGGGCGATAAGGAGCAGGTGGCCCTGGCGGCGGAGCTGGACGTGGTGGAGGGTAGTCGTCGTAATAATCGCGCGGTGGAGGCGGCCGAGGAGAGCGGCCTCGGGCAGGGCCGTCTTGTCGATCAATGATCAATTCTTCGTTGTAAGGCTCCCCATTACGCTCACCAGTACGGCGGATCTCGATGCGTTCTTCGGACCGCGAACGAGCTCGTGGTGGGGAGGGTGGAGAAGGTGGTCGCGTTGCAGGGCGCCTGGGAGCAAGAGCCACCTCAAAGCCGTGATCGATATGACGATGGTGGGTAATGACCTCCTGATGGATAGGAGGAGCGTGAATGACCGGAGGATCAGGAGCTGGGCCGGGCCCTCTGGTTGAAATAGACGACGGAGAGTTGGAACGCGAAGTCCTGCGGATAATGATCTCTTGCTGCTTTTCACCACGACCGCGATCCTCTTCTCGGATGATGATCTCCTCTTGGGACTCGCTCCCAGCACGGCCCCTCACCCTTGAACGCTCACGCTCATGGGAGATGGGACGAGGGTCCATGCGGCGAGTATAGCGGTCATCAGAGCCTATCTCACTGCGTGGGCCTCGTCTCGACATTCGGTCGTCGTCGTCATCTCGACGGCGGATAATTATCTCCTCTCTCTCCCGGTCACCGCCCCGCTGAGAGGGCGCCACGCTTCTGACATCGTCGTCCTCACGTCGGCGTATTATGATCTCTTCTCTTTCTCTAGACTCTCTTGGGCGAGGGCCAGGCGGTCCTCGGGGTTCTGACTCATCCCGGCGAATTATGATCTCTTCCCGCTCATGCTTCTTCTCTGGCTCTGGAGAAGCTGGTCGAGGAGGACGCTGCACAAATTCATAGTCTTCGGTTTCTCGGGCTCTCAGAACGACGGGTCCAGCCTCTGTGCGGCCATAGTCTTCTCGTAGAAAAGCCGGAGGCTCCCGCGGCCTCTCGCGCTCCCTCACCTCCTCCCGGACCAAGACGTCTCTCTCCCGCTCACGGGGTGGAGGGGCCCGGCGATAGTCGTCATAATCTCGGTCATCGTACCTGACGCGGCTGACCCGAGAGCCGTAGTCGCGCCTGTCGTCGAAGGCTGCCTCGCTGCCGTAGCCTCGTCTTGACATGTCTCTTTCACGTGCTCATCTGACGAGTCACACGGGTGCTCAGTCAGCTGGAACCGTTGTCAGCCGCTGGAATTCGGGCGCCGAGTGAGTTTGTAGGCAGAATCGCGAGAGAGAGAGACGAGGCGCGCAGCCAGGTGAGCAACGAAGAAGCGAACAACAGAAGGTGAAAGAGTGCAGAATGAGTTGAAGACATCCAACCTGAGGGCCAAGTGGGGGAGGCGGTCATGCAGGCGAAGCAGGGCTGAGGATTTTAGTGGGCAGTAGTCCGCCATCATTTCGTCCAACCCAACCGGAGCCCAACGAGAGCAGACTGTGACGTTGACTGATGCATGGGAGCCCAGTCCAAGCCAAAGCTCAGCCAAGTCGGCCCTCGTGCTTAGTATTGAATGACGAAAGTGCGCGTGCGTTGAGTCAATTAGCAGGTTGCAGCAGAAACAATATGTCGAGATTTAGAAGGCGCCCTGCTGGAATGTCTTAAGTTGGTATCCTGGGCCTAAGAACGTGGCTCGGCGGTCCCCCTCCTTCAGCCCATACGCTACAGTCCCATCTGTTCAAAGGTCGCACTTTTGAGGTGGAGCGAGCCATCGACATTTGTTTATCACGCCGTGCAGCAAGTAATGGAGGGATCACAAGCAAGCTTTTGTCTTCATTCATTTATATGCATGCCTCGCGGAACCCATGCTGACCAACGTCACTGTTGGGCTGCACTCTGTACACCGGTTCCTCTTGAAGCCCGACCTCGAAGGTCTTTGGCTGCACCTCATTATATTTGACAAAGGGCCTAATTGAACCCCCAAGAAAACGCCCTAGCCGTGAGAGGCGTTGCTGTACATTGTCCCATTTCCCGCCCTATGCAATGCTTTGAAACGAAAGGCTTTCTTCGTATGCTGGAAAGTTCCGGCTCATCGTAATATCGTATTCGAACATTTCTCCGGTTTTTGGATGTTTTGAAACGCCCAATTCGAGAAATTGTGCCTGGTTGCCCATCAACGGGTTGAAGGTGACAAGGAGACTGTTGTGGAACAGGCTCAACGCTTGATGGCTTCCAGGCTGGGCTTTGTGCCCGGGATGTGAAAAATGTTGAGTACCAAGTCTTGCGCTCATTGGCAACGTCAAGTGTCGGGATTAGCAATCTGAAATTGTCAGTCACATACTTCACAGCAAACATTAGCCTCAGGAACGTACCCGCAATGTTCGTGAGTAGTCTCGGTTGTCGTGGAGAGAAACGCTATCCAGTTCATCGTCTGGATGGTAGAGAGCACTAGGATTGAGCCGTTGATCTGTCCCTAAACTTCGACGATCGACGGTCGATGAAGCTGGGTCAGGACTTCGGGGGTCGTAGCCAAAACCACCTCCAAACCCACTAGTTTGAATCCGTGGTGCTTTGGCACCAAGAAGACCTGCTTGAGACATTTGGCTGACCTGTCTCGACGGAATGCTGTTGCTCTGTTGGCCGCTACTGCTGCCGCCAGTTCTTTCCGCAATGAAGCTGTTCGGCAGGCTGTTCTCACGACTACGACGGCGCCGTCGGTAGAAGAACCAGACTAGTGCACCGATAATCAGGGCGAGACCACCAACCACACCAATGACGATTCCGGCGATAGTACCGCCACTTACGCCGCCTCCGTCCCCAGAAGCGGACTGGCCTAAGACCGAATTGTCACTGGTGGCGGCGGGTTGTGTCACGACAATAGTTGTCGCCTGGCCCGTAACGGTGGTGATCAGTGTATCAATCTGAGGAGGCGCTGTTGTTCGTGTGGGAGTTGATGTGGATGTGGACTCCGAAGACTATTGAGGAGTTAGCACCAGGCACAGCTGTAAAACCAACATCATCGAAGCCCCGTCCACGATCATAGATAAGCATATTTGACATGCTGTGTACAGAAAAGAGATGGTCGGTCATACAGATTGTTCCGTCAGAGAAGAGCTTGAGAACCGGGAGCTTGTGGTCCTCGAGGAAGAGGAACTCGTCGGTTCAACGCTCTGCGAAGAGACCATGGTTACCATTGGAGTGGACAGGGACCTGGACGAAGAGGAAGAGGGGAAGGAGCTAGAGGTTCTCCAGTCTGTACTAACCGAGGATGAGGATGAAGAAGAGGAAGAAGTCGTTCGGGGTGCCGAATTGCCAGTACCAGAAGTGCCCAGGGGTACTCCTAGTGGGATCTGATAGTACCCGTACAGGCCATCGTCCACGTTGCCGCACCATTCTGAGCTGATTCCTGGACAACCTGAGTTGCAGTCCGATGTGTCGACCTGATCCGCGGGAACGTAGTTGGAGCACCAGCATTGGGAATCCTGGATCACGGCAAAGGCGAAGGACCCTTTGCAATGGTCACTACATAGGCCGGTTGATTGGTACTCGGAGGACACTACATCTCGTCAGTTGATTACGCTGATAGGTTTGGAAAACGCGGGTCGTACTAGGTGAAAAGAGGCCAGCATTATTTTCTGGTGAGCAATAGCTTAATGTCGGTTTCTGGGCTCTCGTAGACGCCACGAGACACGAAACAAGTAGCACGAAGGCATGCAGCCTTTGTGTGGCCATGGCAGTTCGCCGCATGGCTACCGTGGTGTTCCTGTGTATCCAGTGCTTGAATATTTTATTGAAGACGCGGTTCTGTTCGAGGTACTGCTTGGACAGTAGCCTGCAAGCAGAGCAGGACAGAGGGTGATAACGACAGAAGGCTGAGCTTGCAGTCTATCGGAGAGGTCATGTGGCGCGTCGTCGACGGCACGCTGAATGTTGCCAATGCGTCGCGCGGTCGGTAAAGACAGCGGTCGGTCGAGCTCGCAGTAGAATGGTCCACCAGCTCCGGACACCCTGCAAGTGAATGCAGAGCAGGAGAATCAACCGCAGACTGGTCCTGCCAGCGAGGGCAATAGCAGGAGGGACTCGTGAAGTGGGTTGGTGAGAGGACGAGGTCGGCGGCGTGGTAGAGAAGATTGGGGGAAGAGACGGTTAGACAAATGGTGACAAGAGGCCAAGCTGCTTAAGCGATCGCAGATATGAAAGATTCGTCCTAGCGGCGAACAAGGTTTCCAAGACAAGCTAAAAAACCTGGTTGTACCCTGCGTACATGTACCTTCAGCTTCAATCTGCTTGCTTGTCAGAATAACAGACCGTCGCAGACAGTAAATGGCCGATTGCGCATCGCAAGGGGAACTGAAAGAAAGGAAAAGTGTTGCATGAGGCGTGCAGTGATGAGCAGTAAAGTCGACGGGTCATGGATGCTGGGTGAAGTGGTGTACACACTAATTTGCAGGTCGCTCCTGCACTCCTCCATGAACCCGGCAATGACTTTCACTACTTCAGCATTCCGCCGATTGGTACCAATAATAATACAAACAGCACCCCCATGCTCGCCGTTTCGAGAAGGCCTGTCTTTCCACAGCGCCTGTTGCAGCCTGCAGCTGCAGCCAACGGCAGCGGCGCATAATCCGGCCGCGCAGGTCACGCCTCCCGCTGATCACTGGCATAAACGGGGTCATTGCTATTGGCAAAGACTCAGCATGTAACCCACGGACCACTCCTTGCTCGAGCTTGCATCGGCGGCTCCTCTGTTGGGTCCTCAAATCGCTTTTGTGCTACGCTCAGAGTTTTCCAGCTGCTTTGGCTTGTACCACTACATAATAATAACGAGGAGCATGATGCGAGACGAGAACTGGGATCTCGAACTAAGTCAACAACGATGAGCTCGTCAGCTAGCTAGCCTCGATCTGCCACGCCTTAGCGATATCCTCGCTCCTTGCTGCATCTTCCTTGCATTAATGTACCACAAGCGAGCAGAAACTGCTTTAATTGCAAGCTCCGCGTCGCGATACAAGTGCCTAGGCGGATAGCCCGGACGCTGTGGCGAAATTCAGCTTGGAGGCTGCAAGCTGGCAGAAAGTCAACTTCAAGCTAAAACTCCACACTCGGAAGATATGATGCAGATGATTTTCTACCCGAGGTACATGTATACATTACTATCCTCCTCGCCTTTTCGGTGCGTTGCAAAGATGCGGCGAATCTCCGAGAACTTGTTGAGTTCCTGCAGTGTGCTGACCTCGAGGTTATTGTATCAACAAACAGCATGGATTTCTATCCAGCATCCCAGTCACTAATTGTCACTCTTGTTCGCCCGCGCCGGGAGCTCCTGGCCAGACCTTCCATCGCATGCAAGGCACCCCGCGTGCTGAGCTTCCCACTTCCTCATCGACTGTTCTTCTATAGCATACCATTTGGGCCGGGAATACGTATGCCTTAAAGCTGGCTGACTATAGAACCTAGGAAGCAGACGGGAGCAAAGCTAAGATACCACTCTGCTGACGGCCTGGATCAATGGTTCGCAAACATGGTTTCGAATACTTTCGAAAACATGTGAGCAAACGTACTCCGGACCGCCGACCATGTTTACTGCTGGCGTGTACTGTGTAGTCGCAGATACCCAATCGTTGCATAAGTTATGTATTGTTGATCCCTGCCGCCCACCAGTGTATCTTGATGGCGCTGTGACGCACGCATGGGGTCAAGGAAATTGGCTGTCGTCAACCATGGCTAATATTTATCGACAACAACAAAAATAGGTATAGTTTAATGCCGGCTACAAGGCCCCCAATAACGACCGCCTGATCTTCCCTCCACCTGACCTAAACTGGCAGTCTCAAATTTCGCGGGTTGATGCGCGTGTTTCGTGAATCGTGATCAACCTTTTAGCACAGTGAATGCCGATTACCGCGAGGCCCTGCCCAATAGTAGGTCCTCGAAATGCGTTTCATGGCCAACCAACAAGTGCTCCTCGCTGTCGAGTTTTGTGTTTAATCCTGTTATGCACTATGTATGCCCTGTGACCGTGAGCTGCCGGAGCGATTTTCAGGCTTACATACACTGCCAGGCTACCTGAGATGTACATTAAAGTGTTGTCGTGTACCCAGGTCAGATAGCTCGCCGGGTCTGACCACACCGAGCCTCTCACTTTACCCCATAACCTGTCTTGCCTCATGGTTTCAAAGGCAGCGACGAACCCTTTTGACCTTTAGCGCTGATTCGTTCGGGCCCTCTGAAAATCCCGCTGTCATCTTTTGCTGCAGTGAGCTTTCGCGGTCTCGGAAACAGTCGGAAACAGCGCTCACGCTCGGAGTGCAAGCTGTTACGCACTCCCGCTTGACCACCACCGGCTTCTTGGGAATTTACGCTTCCGAATCTCAGGTTATGCTTCCCCACGGTTCCGATTTACCACCCCAGAATGCCAAGGAGACCTGCTCCGACCAATCGCATGCAGCGATGCGTTGACCTCGGCTTCGACGTTCGACGCTGGCTCGACTGGGGTCTGGACGATGAACAGCTTCCGCGCTACTCGCTGCGTGCGAGATAGTCCGAACCGGTCAAACACATCACGGCCTTTTATCTTTGTTGCTCGCCTTTCATCTCTCTCGAAGACGTCTTGTCTGTAACCTACGCTTCGTTGCTGCGAGGAGGATCGGTTGCTCGTTCTCGTTCCGATCCAGCTCGCAAGTGCAGCTACCCCTCCACTAATACATCTATATTTTTCTCAGCCCAAAGGCTCGGGGTGGTACCTCCAGCGTCCACACGATGGTGTTCTACCCTCCCTCTCTCGCAGGGACGGTCCCCGAGATTCCTGATACTCTCTCTATACCCGAGTTCATGCTCGACGAAAAGCACGGTCGCACGCCTATCGCGCAGTCATGGAACCCCTACGTGTGCGGTCTTTCAGGTGAGACCTTCACGATGCAAGAGCAGAAAGACCGCGTCACACACCTCGCTCGCGCGCTGTCTAAAGAGCTAGGATGGAAAGTCAATCAGGGTACCGAATACGACAAGGTCGCCGGCGTCTTCGCCCTCAATACCATCGACATCATGACTCTCAGCTGGGCCATCCATCGGCTGAACGGCGTTTCGTCGCCCGCAAACGCTGCTTATTCCACAGAAGAGCTCAACCACCAACTCACCAACAGTGGCTCAACATGCCTCTTCACAGTCATGCCCCTCCTCGATACAGCCCTCAAAGCTGCCAAAAAAGCCAAAATACCCCGGAATCGCATCTACATTTGCGAAATGCCTGGTGACAAGGACTACCCTGAGGACCTCAAGCGCCTCTCACAGCTCACGAAAGAGGGCGAGTCCCTTCCTGAAATTGAGCCTGTCAAATGGTCCAAAGGCCAGGGTGAGCGCCAGACTGCCTTCCTCTGCTACTCCAGCGGCACCTCTGGCCTGCCCAAGGGTGTCATGATCTCGCACCGCAATGTCATTGCGAACACGATGCAAATCACCGCTTACGACAAGCCCGGCCGCGAGCACGTTGGTGGCAAAGATTACAAGGACGTGGCACTCGGGCTACTTCCTCAGTCACATATTTATGGCTTGATAGTTATTTGTCACGCCAGTACATATCGCGGCGATAGGGTCGTCGTATTGCCCAAATTCGAAATGCAGCAATATCTCAATGCAATCGTGAAGTACAAGATCAATACCCTGTACATCGTTCCACCGATTATCATCAACATGGTCAAGAACCAGAAAACGCTGTCTAACTACGATCTCTCCTCCGTCAAGCAGATCTTCACCGGCGCCGCGCCTCTTGGAAAGGAAACAGCGGAGGAGCTGAACCAGCAGTATCCGAGCTGGCTAGTCCGTCAAGGCTACGGGCTCACGGAGACCTGCACCGTTGTGTGCTCCTCGTCGCCTTTCGATATCTGGTTTGGCTCTTCAGGCATCCTGCTACCCGGCTACAAAGCCAAGGTGATGAGTATTGAGGGTAACGAGATCACGGGCTACGACCAGCCCGGTGAGCTGCTTGTCCAGTCGCCCTCGGTTGTCTTGGGCTACTTGAAGAACGACAAGGCTACCAAGGAGACGTTCGTGGACGAGCCCGAAGGCCGCTTCATGCGCACGGGCGACGAGGTCGTGTTCCGAAAGTCTCCAAACGGGAATGAGCATATCTGGGTGGTAGATCGCATCAAGGAACTTATCAAAGTCAAGGTACTTATTAGACTGCCCTTTCCCCCAACCCCAACCACAAATCTTTCCTAACCACCCCCATCAGGGCCTCCAAGTCGCTCCCGCCGAGCTCGAAGCCTGCCTCCTCAACCACCCGGCCGTGGCAGACTGTGCCGTGATCCCCGTTGCCGACGACCGCGCCGGCGAGGTCCCCAAGGCCTTTGTCGTCAAGTCCTCCGAAGTCGGGCTCGAGGAGTCCGACGCCATGCTGCGCCGCAACATCAGCAAATTCGTCGAGAAGGAGAAGGCTCGCCACAAATGGCTCGCCGGCGGCGTGGAGTTTATCGACGTCATCCCCAAGAGTCCCAGCGGCAAGATCCTGCGTCGGATGCTGAGGGACAAGGAGCGTGAGGCGCGCAAGAAAGGGGGCGCGAAGCTGTAGATGGAAAGTTTTTTGGGGTGGGGGGAAGAGCTTTCTGGGTATGGAAGAATCTGTTGATCAAGGGAATGGTAAGAGATGCGGCGAGACCGGTAGGCAAGTCAGAAAGCGGAAGCGGGAAGAAAAGAAGGAGAGGGCTTGTTCTGAGCTTCTGCGAGCCGTGGATGGGGATCGAGATTTGGTGTCGAGAGGAAGGCTGCTGCTGGTGGTCCCCCAGTGCTAGCTACCGCTTCGTGTTGCAATTGCGTATCCTCGAATAACGCTGAATTCGAAATGTTGTTGCCAAAGTTGCAGTCATCATGCATGTGAGCTTCAGGACTATGAGATGTTTTAAAGCAATCATATACCGCAAGCCATGCAAACGACGAACTTACAAGGCCCTACCAGCACAGTGCTCACAAGAGTTACTCTTCGTGGCTACAAGCAGGACCACGAATTGAATAAGTCTCAGCGCCTAGTCGAACACGCAAGCAGTCTAAGTCGAGAACGATGCCAAGGTAGGAGACTATATATACATGTACGTGATCTACGTAGTATTCTGTTCTGGGCTCGACCTCGCGGTCTATCCAAGCTCTCATTACTGTTGAGCCGCTCTATCTCTCGGCGGCCACTTTAGTCTAATGTCGTAGGGACATACTCTTGACCGTGGCAGAAAGGTGACAGTCTTAGTCAGAATCCCGAAGCGATTCGGTCTATATGCGAACGAGCGCATGAAAGCAGCGCTGAGTTTCACAACTATTTTGCAGACCGAGACGAAGGAACGCTGTAGAAATAGCCTCGGAGCATCTTGAAGTGGTGTCCGTGGCCTAGACGTCGCACCACACATCCCCCGAGTACATCTAAAAACCGTTCTAGGCGACAAGATAATCGTTATTCAGGTGTTGTTGTAATGGTACTAGGCCTCGATGTGCCGACACTGATACCTCTCAATCCGAAGGTCGGCTGCGTAGCAGGTGAGTCGCGTCCAGAGCTTGATCCAGGCCGCTTTTCAGGCGGGTGGTGGCCCTGAACTTTGCCAGCCTTGCCCGAGGATTCGATATCTGACCCTCCGTCGGAAGCATCGCCTGTCTGAGATGCTCCATTAAGCTGCGCGACAGGCGTTCGCGGAGGTTGGATATCGGCAAGCTCAAGAGTCGAACGCCTGTAATCATCTGTCCAAGGCGGAGTTGGGGATGCCATTGCTTGTGAAGGTCTGACGCCATACTGGCTCTCACGCTGACGCTGCGCGTAGCTCTTTATTTCGGGACTGTGCGGATCCAGGTCTGAATATGACGCTTCATCCTCCGACCAGCCTATGCTGCCGCTGTTCTGACGTCGGTGGAATTGCGCTACATCCTTCAAGGTGAGCGCAAGCGCTCGATCAGATCGACCGTCGACCGCATAATGCTTGAGTGATTCGAAAACGTGGGGAAAGACGAGCTTGTCGACCTCTTGCGCCCAAAGGAAGTCCAGATGCTCGAAGTGCGGAACTTCGACGGCCATGGTGTGTCTCGGCAGTTCTTTGAGCATGACTCTAATGTCGACCAGAGAATCGCTTCCGCCATATACAAGTAGGATCGGGGTTTTGATGTTACGGGTTGGGAATTTCGCAACTTTGTAATACCTGTTGCTTGCTCCGATGCTCAGAGCATTGGAAGTATCATCGTCATACATCTGAAAAGACTTGTTCCGGATAATTTGAAACCAATGAACAACAGACTTCGTACTGGTGAAGCTGTACAGATGTGGATAGGCGGCTAGTTTCTGGTGCGCCGACATATTTCTACCATACCAGGCAAATAAGAAGCCGAGTGACATATCGATGAGCCTGACAAATATTGGCGGATACAGTATGGACTGCCACATGGTGGCCGAGGACAGGATCGATTTTCTGCCAAAGGCGAGGAAGAGGACATCTGGGCTGGCTTTGATCAGCGAATCAACAATGCCATTGTTCAGGCCTGCGGGTGACATGGCTGGTGCTAGAGCAATGAAGACGTTGACTTTTTCATTTAAGCCTGGGTGGATGGAAAGTGTAGCAAAGGCCTGTGCAGTGCCCTGACTGAACCCGATGTAGGACAAAGTAGGTTGCGAAGTGGTGTTTAGGATGTAGTCGATGGTGTCAGGAATGTCGTGGAACGCGAATTCATCCATAGAGAAGTTCCAGAACCTTGGGGATGTCGGAGAGAATTGCGTGGATTTTTTGCTGTATTTGTTGCCTCTGTTGTTCCCAAGCCATACATCGTAGCCCTGGTTGACCAAGGCGAATGGCAAACACCGCTCCTCTTCCGTTAAGCACACCCACACCTCACTGTTCATGAGTAATCCATGGTGAAGATAGACAACAGGTTTGCTGGTGGACTCTGGACCGGCGTTGACCCGCACATGGTCAGCCTCTTCTCCCTTTGCGAGAGGAAGTCGGTGCACTCCAAGCAAGTATCCGTCTCCAGTCTGAACGACATGTTCTTCGGCATAGTATCCAAAGAGCGCACACAGTTCCGTGAAATCCGCGCAAGTTGCGATTGAATGAGAGATTGCTTTGTTCTTTTGCCGCGCCTGCTTCGATTTTGGGGAGGAGAGCCGATTGAATAGCTTCTTTGAAGTATTATAGCAGAAACGAATGATCGGTTGCGGCAGGCCAAGAGTAATGATGCGAATGAATGCTTCAAAGGCGACAAGAACGAGAGATCCTAGTAATGCCAGGTACTCACGCCTATAGCTGTTAGATTCATGCAGGGTCAGTAGTTCGGGAGTACCTGCCAGAAGAGCCTCCCAATGAAGGGCACTCGAGCCATAATCCTGTGTCGTTTGAGTTCGTGATGATGCTATTGATGCGGCCGCAGCCATTCGTATGGGAGTTGGAGGCTGGCCGATGGCAGTGCGAAGGGGGAAAAGGCGTCTACCAGGTAGGGCACGAAGTCGCCAATATTGAATCATGAGCACTCCGACATGTGAAGCGCTCGAATCTCGGTTGGGCCTATGACGTGGGTCAGGTTCCAGAATAGCAATATAACCGAGGGTCACGTGTGCAATTTGGTCGAGAATAAATTTCGATTCTCACGCGAAGGTTGTTTTCTGTTCTTCATATGAACAACGCAAATTTCAACCTTCCTGCAAAAGCGTTCCTACGAGGTCGCCATCCAGTGATCCATGATGTACGGAAATCGTCTATTGGAATGGAGATCAACCATTATGGCCGATCTTGGGTGCAGTGCCAGCCATAGTTGCAAAGCTCGTGGCTGGGACTGCAATGATTGACCGCACATCCCCCCAAAAGAGGACTTCTTCGCACGGAAAATCATCAGATTACTCTGCATCATTTGCACTACGTGTGTTTCGTCAGGGGTATCGTAAACGTCCCATATCATCCTCGCTCGAACCAGCTTTCGATCCTCTCGACTATGTCGGCCTTCTTGCCGCCAACTGGTATCTTCTTGATGGTACAGAAGTCCTTCAGCTGCGGGACTGTGAGCGAATTGATCTTCTGACTCTGATACAGTCCTCTCATTTGAGCCTCGCTGATGATTTCACCGGGCTCGGTCTTGACTTTCTTGCTCTCGGCAGCGCCACGACCGGCAGTGGATGCACCATTCGTGGTCCGCTTTGACCCAATAGTCGCAGCATCTGGATTCTCGGACAGGTATTCTTTGTATGTTGCCTCGAGAGTTTTCCCCCATTCAATGGCTTCGTTCCCAACGCGTTTGTCGATTTGTCTGTGCTTTGGGATCGTCTTATCCTCAGGCTTTGCCGGCAGGTCTTCGTCCAGTGCAAGCGCTTGTAAAATCCGATAGTGCCACTGCAAGCTTGGGTTCGGATACCTGGAGGGGTTATAGATTCCTTTTGGTAAATGGAGCTGCTCTGATAATTTCATTAGTCCTGCGGAGGCACATCAAGAACTGACGACTTACGAATCATGGGTCTCATAGCATCAACAAGCTTGTCCGGCGCGCGAAGCGGAGCATCATGTGTACTGGGTGGGTTCTGTCGGATGTCATCCACGAACGGCAATGGTATCAGATGTAGGCCTTGTGGAGCTTCCGTTATTGACATTGCAATAGGGTCGGTGTCCTCATCAGAATTATCTGCAGACAGCGTAGGAATCAAGGCAGCCATAACGGGAGTGGCGTTTCGACGCGGAATGAACCAGCATAGGCCGAAGAGCTGGGCCTTACGTAGTTTCTGGTACAAAGCGCTGTAGACGCGGGTGCTGCCGACGTAGTCTTCCTCTGATGGATACAAAAAGGTGGAATTCTTGACGTTTGCCCACAGCGGCAGCTTTGCTTGAGGCTTGAACCCAATGATGCGAATGACAGGATCTCCGAAATCACGCAGCTTCTTAACTTCGTCCATCGAAAAAGATATCTTCTCTCCTCCAAAGATGAACGCTTTGCGCATGTCTTCTTTCTGGACCTCCCGGCGCTCATCTGGAACTACCAAAGAGCGGCTGCCAGTTGCAATCTGCGGCTTCTCGCCACCCAGATAGATGTAGCAGCTTCGTGCCGGTTGCTGGTGTTTATAGAGTAGGTAGCCTTTGACGGAGATTTTGAGGTTGGGCGCGATCTCGAGAGGTACAGCAGAGAACAATGCTCTCTTTGGGGTGATCTTAGACGCGATATTGGACAGAAGACTTTGCAACAAGTTTATGCCATCTGTTGAGCCTGTCTTCAGCTTCGAGGTGCCGACATCAATGACAGCAGAGGGGTTGTAAATGACAGCATCGGGATCACTGGGTGTGGTCTTGTACACAATATCGTCGTAGAAGATCTTGGAATCGAATTCGTGTTGAGGTGAGGAGATGGGGAACAACTCGATTGTGACTCCCAGGTCATATAGATCTTTGGCACGCACTGTAGCTTGGGAGCGGAATGCTTTGTTGTCCATATGGGGGTTGTCATTGTCAGTCACCAGGAAGAGCCGCCTAGAGGTAAAGTTGGAAGCTTTCTGCTGAAAGATCTGGTTGGCACAGAAGAGAACGGTATGCATCCCAACGGTCTCCTTTGCTGGAGTGAAGAGCCTCGCAGACTCGGCAGCATCATCTTGCGCCAGTCGCTTCAATGCCTTCACGTCATCGGCTTCTGGGATATCGAGATCAATTAGGAGGTAGCAGTGAGGGAATGACCAGCCGCCCCGAGAATGTTCGTCCTCATCATAGAACTTCGAGGCTTCTGTTCCATAAAGCAGGACACCCATAAAGTCTTTGGGCGAAGCAATGATGCGCTGCTGCATCAAATGGTAAGCAGACTTGAGCGCCGCGAGTAGTGGCGAATTAGTGTCGGCATTCTTGGAAGATGACTTTGGTGGCTTTCGAAGCATTGATTCGCTCACCTCAATGGCGAACAAGACTGCATCTTTGACGGCTTTGTACCCAGTCTCATCGATCTCCTCATCTTCATCTTCATTCTGCTCGTTGCGGCCGCCATCGTCGCCATCTTTAGGCCGGTATGCTAGACTGTCGCCCATTCTGCTGGCGTAAAGAAAGCTGGAACGACAGGTGATTCTGCAAAGACGGTCGGGGTCTAGGCAACGAGTAGGCGCAAGGCTACCATGTCGCCCGTTGCGCGCTTTCTCCAACTCCAACAAACGCGGCGCGTCACTACCGACGCGCAGTCACGCCGCTTATGTTGCAGACATTTGATTGGCTACTTGGGTACCCAAAAGCTTCCCATGACTATGTGAGAGCTGCGGCGATCGATCCACAAAATGATCAAGACATTTGTTCGTCATCACAGCTTACTACTATATCCCCTCTCTTTGTTGCAGACCCTCACGACGATGCACCGATAACACTAGATACGCCCTAAAATGACGAACTCTTCGCAGGTGCATTCGGTTATGCGAGCACTGCGCCTAGCTACTCGTGCCGTCAGAGGTGGTATACAAAATGGCTGGCAACGAAACTCGATGGCGACTGTCGCACCGCCAGTCACTCAAAATGCCGCTGGGTCCCTGGGGCCGACAGCGATGCTATTCCTGAACATGGGAGGACCATCTACGACCGGCGAAGTTCACGATTTTCTAAGCAGACTATTTGCCGATGGCGACCTAATACCTCTGGGAAGACTACAAGCATACATCGGGCCGCTCATCGCAAGCAGGCGTACGCCCAAGATCCAGAAGCAATACTCAGACATCGGCGGTGGCTCTCCAATTCGAAAATGGTCTGAGTACCAGTGTGCGGAGATGTGCAAGATCCTGGATAATACGTCTCCCGAGACGGCGCCACACAAACCATACGTTGCGTTCCGATACGCCAATCCCCTGACCGAAGACACTTACGCAAAGATGATGGATGATGGGTTTGGTCGAGGGAACGGAGGCAGGGCTGTCGCTTTTACACAGTACCCGCAGTATTCGTGCTCCACAACCGGCAGCTCGTTGAACGAGCTATGGAAGTGGCGAAACAGGTTGGAGGGCAAGCGCGGGACAGGTGAAGAGCAGCCCGAGGGTGCCATCAAATGGAGTGTCATTGACCGCTGGCCTGCTCACGCTGGCTTGGTAGAAGCCTTCGCCCAGAATATTGAGGCCAAACTCGCAGAATACCCTGAACACGAACGGAAGGATGTCGTCCTGCTGTTCTCGGCTCACAGCCTGCCTATGAGCGTAGTCAACAGAGGCGACCCGTACCCAGCGGAAGTTGCGGCAACTGTCTACGCCGTCATGAATCGACTCAAGTTTTCGAACCCTTATCGGCTTTGCTGGCAGTCTCAGGTTGGTCCTTCGGCGTGGCTGGGTGCCCAAACCAGCGACTCGGTCAAAGAGTACGTGGCTAGGGGTCAGACTAATCTGGTTCTTGTTCCAATTGCTTTTACCAGCGACCACATTGAAACACTATACGAGCTAGACATGGAAGTTATGCATGAAGACGCTGGGGGTCATCCCGGCGTCAAACGAGCGGAAAGCCTGAATGGTAGCCCGGTCTTCATCCAGGCCCTCGCAGACATTGCGAGAGACCATCTACGGAGCGGAGAGAGCTGCTCACGGCAGATGGGCCTACGATGTCAGGGATGTAAGAGTGAGCGGTGCTTGGAGCAGAAAAAGTTCTTCGCTGGCCAGTCGAACCTACTACCGGCCATTAAATAGCATCTGTTGTACAATACATAAGAGCACTATTCTGAACAAACACCTTCGATTGCAAGAAATTCTGTTGCCTAGGAGCTGTCAATTTGGCTTACCAAGCCAACAAACGGGTGGCTTGAATCCGTGCACTTGTCGGTCGATGTTTCCGCCGAATAACCCTGTTCTGCATCACTGCGCAGGATCCGCGATTGGGGATTTCCGAAATCTAGAAACAAATTCCCGGACCTTCCAACTGTCCATTACGTCAAGATATAGCATAGATAGATATGGTGCATCTTTCAACTAATGGTTAGTTATTGTTAGTCTTATTTCCAAGCATTTTTGGAGGGGTGTACAAGTACTCAGGACATGTGAACCAATCTTCGTCCACCGAAGCCTCCGTAGCGCATCTTTGCGTAGCCCCTAACTCTCGAACTCGGCCCCAACCACTGCTGCTGTACCATCATGGATCAAGAGGACGCATTCGCGCAGGAGGCGCAAGAAGAAGTCCTGGCCAGGAGGACGTCGTCGGAGTCAGAAGACACTTCCAAGCCGCAGCTGCGCACCAGCATCACGGACGAGGGTGACTTCAATGATGAGAGCAGTCCTCTTATCTCCGATCGATCTCGAGCTTCGCGGCGCCCTGGCGCAGGTGTAGCAAGAGCTGGAGAGAGCTATACGAGGGCCATCAACGAGCCTTGGAACGGGTCTCATGGTGCTGGCTCATTGCCATGGTGGAAACGGCCCTCGGTACCTCGCGCCACTGCTATCTACGAATGTGTACTGATTGTTCCTAGATATACTGGCTGTTGCCGGGGTTTTTACCTTTCTGTCTCGCATTCGGAGGCCTCATTGTGCCAAAGCAATACCTCGTCCTCGATTTGATATGCAGAGACTACCTGTCCGACCGGGCCAGGAAAGACCCTACATTCAAGTTCATGCCCGTCGTCCTCGGCGGCGACAACCCCCAGTGTCGCGATCCGGAGGTGCAATCCTTGGTCGCAAAGTTCAACCTCTATTCAAATCTCCTGTCTGGACTCTTCGCAGCTATCGTGGCTCCTCATCTGGGTGCTCTGTCCGATAGATATGGTCGAAAACCAATTATGCTGTTTGCCTCACTGGGCGGGTTTGTCATGGAAGTTGTTACCATTATTGTTGGCTCAAATCCGGACACTGTCTCGGTATATTGGATACTCCTGGGAGCCCTGCTTGACGGACTCTGTGGGTCTTTCACCACAGGCATGGCGCTTTCCTTCGCATACGCATCCGACTGTACCGCGCCCGAGCATCGCAACAAAGCCTTCGGCTATTTCCATGGCACCCTGTTTACGGGTGTAGCATTCGGGCCTTTGTTGTCTGGATTTCTAATGAAGCTCTCCGGAACTGTCATGATTGCATTCTGGCTTGCGTTGGGCTGTCATTTGTACTTCATCGTCTTTCTTATGCTTTTCGTGCCAGAGTCGCTATCAAAAGAAAGACAAACACTTGCGCGGGAGAAGCACAACCTGAGCCGTAAGGAACAGCCAAAGAGGGGATGGTGGAAAGCCTTCCGTGCATGGAACATGTTCGAGCCATTGTGGGTTCTAAGACCAACAGGTCCTGGTACAAGTCCTGCTCTCCGTCGGAATCTCTTCCTTATTGCAGGCATCGACACCCTTATGTTTGGTGTAGCTATGGGAACTATCAACATTGTCCTAATCTATGCGCAGTATAGGTTTGGATGGGACGAGGTTGCTGCGAGTTTGTACGTTTCCTCGGTCAATATTTGCAGAGTCCTCGCCTTGGTCGGTCTACTCCCTCTGCTCATTCGGCTTTACCGACATCATGGAGATCAACAACCTGGCCACCGAGGTTCAGATCGTTTGGACATCAGCATCATCCGCACCTCACTCATTTTCGACTTGATTGGGTATCTTGGGTATGCGCTCACGCCGAACGGTGCAATCATGGTTATGGCGGGACTTGTTGCATCTATTGGTGGCATTGGATCGCCGACTCTTCAATCGTCACTTACCAAACATGTTCCGGCTGACCTTACGGGACAAGTCTTGGGCGCATCGGCACTATTGCATGCGCTTGCCCGTGTTGTTGCTCCTACGGTTTTCAACCTGATCTACAGCAAGACGGTTAAGATCTATGCTGGCATCGTGTTTGCTTGTCTAGCGTTCATTTTTATCATTGCTTTTGGCATGAGTTGGTTTCTCAAACCTGGTGGTATGTATACAAATCTGTTCATTGCATTCGACTGACATCCTCCAGTGTACTTGAAGGAAGTTTCCGAACACAGTGACGAAAACGAGGAGCAAGAGCATCATATGAGTTGATACACTGTAAATGCATTTGTGGAATTTGTCCATGTGGCGTTCGTGGCTTGGGTGTTACACGTAGCGGCATGAGAGCGATGCATAGCGCTTTAATTGCAATCTGAATTCATCATGCACACACGAAACAAATCAATTTAGACAAACATGTTTTCACCGCGGTGCCGTCTTTGAACTGGTCGGTACAAGGTGGTGCGTGGTGTGATGCAGCGATACGAGACTCGAGCGTTCTCTGCTCTCCACCATAACGTTTCCACTTCAGGTTCCATTACTCCTCTTTGGATGAGTAGCGCAAGCTACGTTCTACACCTTCCGCGTGTCGCTTGTAGACCGACCATCCGCACGATTCCAGAAATGGCAGCAGTCTTATAGCTATTCATTTCGTATCCCCCAGTCATCTAATTTCACCGCGTTCCCGCGTCACCGCTATCCATATGGACCGAGGACGCCATGGCCTCGAATGCGCCCCCGGTCCCTTCGAAGAATGCCTTGCGAGCCCTTCGGAACCTAGCCTTTGCCAATCCCACAATCATCTTTGGGGCAGTTGGTAGCGCATGTTGTGCAGCCGCCGTAAGCTACGAAGCTCAGCGGCGAGTACGGCTGGCCGAACAAATTATAGCAACAAAAAGAACATTGCGGTCTATATCTGATGGCAAAGGCAACGCCCGCGCAAGGAGAATGTTTGAGGCGGCGGAAAAAGGGGAGAATTTTCTCCTCGATCCCAGATCCGCTGGACGAAGACAGCGAGTTCGGACTCACTCGACTGCAATCGCTCAACAAGATGATGTCGACAACGAGGAAGCTTCCATCGAGATCGAGAACATACGGCAATCTCTTGCCCAGATACCTGAGAGAGCACAGAGCCGAACTCGTAGAAGATTGACCTCGACTAGAAAGGATAAGAACTATGCTACAGAGGCGCCGGTATCATCGTCAGCGCAGCCCGCAGGCAACGACACCCGGCATACATTGTCAGCGAAGACACCGAGTCTAGCCAGACGGCATAGTCAGGCCAATAATTCTGTTCCGAACAATAGGAGCCCAGTCAAAGGAGATACAAACACCGCCAACTCTTTCCTTGCGACGCATAAGCTATCAGCGGACGTGGCCTACAAACCACACGGCTACAGCTCACATGGGCAAGCTGCTGCAAGCTATGCGTGGGCTATGGATTCGCAAAGACAACGCAACAGCGCATCTGGTGAAAAGGTGAGGGCTGCGTCGATGCGGTCACACAAAACTCGGGATTATGTTGTTTATGGTGCGCGTCGACGCCAACCTCCTTTGGATGCCTCTCTGCCAAGTGAGCTCACTTCAACAGAGGCCTCGCAACCTTCGGCGTTGGGCGGGGAGCATATTTATAGCATCTCGACCGCCAATGATAATCCGCGAGACTGTGCTAGGCCAGACGATGGTTGGGAAGCGATGGCGGATCCCACAAGGTTGTCTTCCACAGAAGCCAGACGAGGCGCCAATGGAGGTGAAAAGGATTTGCTCAACCCAGGATTTGATGATGTTGGCGAATTTCAGGCTTCTACGGCCTCCTTCAGAAGAGCTCAATCGGACCCACACATGCACGCATCCCGGGACAATGTTTCATCCCCAAGCAGTGGCACCGAGTACTCACAACAGCGTCCCTTCGAGTGGCAGAGCCCCGTCTCGGATTTTGTGGATTTATCCGCATCAGCTGCTGAGTCGTCCACTGGTGTCACCGAGGAAGAGCTTCGTTGGGTACGTGCCGTTGGCATCAATACACCTGACCTCCACGAGCTTGAGATGGGGGCATACTCCGCGCACGTGCGCGAGGGCGGCTTATCAGCCGTCTATAGACCTCTTAAGAGTTTTAGCTCTGTTGAATCCCCTTTTGTGTTCCGCCACAAGATAGCCGCCGCTCTCGTGGCGGGAGATCTCGATGAAGCTGAACGCACTTTCAGCGAGAACTACAATCGAAAACTCCAAGGCTCCACGCCTGTCATAGCGATACCCTTGATTCGCAAACTACTGGCTGATCCGTCCAGGAGACACCGGGCTGCAAAGATCTTGTTTCCCGAACCACGACGACAGAGAACACGCTCTACGGTCCAGGGCCATTTCGCCCGTGTTTATCAGTATTTGCGGGTGATTTGTGCGACAACCCCAAATTGCGACGAATGGGTGGTTGAACTGAGAAAAGTGCTGGACATGGCGCAAGCCGAGGCTGTCGAGCTTAACGCGAGCATCTTACTGTGCGTCATTCAGTATGTTTGTGGGACCGGACAAGTGGCCAAGGCCGAAAAGCTGGCCAATTCGTTGTCAGACGAATACGGCTTAGAGTGGCACATCGACCTAGACCGAGTCCTGGTGCTTGCGTACGCTACAGAACACGACTGGAGCCCAGCCAATCGTATCATGCAGTCTCTTCAAGACCGTCTGGTACCGAGAGAACGCCCTCACTGGTATTCGTCTCTGTTCCGCGATGTCTTCGAGCGGTATTTGCAAGATCATGCACTCGAACCTTCGTACGACTATCTGGTGAACGCGATGAGCTCTTGGAGATTGGCACCAACCAGTGCAATCTCTTGCACGCTCATTGGCGCGTGCATCAGAGCAGGCGATTATGGCCGTTTGCGACAATGGAGCGAGACGATCCGGGTGATGTGGCCTCGACTGGACATTGGCACAGGTTTACGAGCCAACGCTCTGCAACTTGACACAATCTGGGCAGAACAACAAGCCACATGTGAAGACATTGAGAAAGCATGCCTTGCTATGGCGTTTGACTGTGAGGATGATCCTTTCTCTCAAGACGTCCGAGCTATCATACAGCACGCAATCGAGTCCGACTTGCGAAGACAAATCAGCAATTGTGCCATGCTATCTGAGAAAGCGCATATCATGATCAAAACCAGTTATACGCTGCCCACTCTTCTACGGATTGGAGACCAACTTCTGACGCAGTTGGATGAAAGCTCTGAACCACACCAGAGCGCAGCCTATGAGAGCCTTTCACGGCAGCTCCTGGCCGTTGCCCGACTGAACAAAGTTATGGCCGGTTGCCTTCCCGAAACGCCATTCAACGACGCTATCTGGCATGAATCCGTCCCAATCGCACCAGAGACAGTGGACAGTGTCGTTCCGAAAGATGATTTAACTCCTTCGATACCGACATCGCTACAGTCTCCACATCTTCCACATATAAAGCTGATATTGCCGATACTTGCAGAGCATTACCTACAGCAGCAGCAATCGAGGAAGCCGCTGTCGCATGATTTACTTGAATACATCATCTCAAAACTCAAGTATGTTCGCCGCCTTGACGAGGCTGCTAGTCTCATGGACTTGATCACACGAAGTCCCTTCGTGACGGGCAAGGGTGGCAAGTCTCTGAGTCCACGACTCTACAGTGACTGGCTTGATATAGCGACCCAACTGATGTCGACCAGACATGCTGGTAAAGCCATGTGGGCTCTCCTTGACGCATGTCGACATGTAGTCTTGAGCCCGAAAATGCTGATGCAAGCGGCGGACTGCAATGCCATGTTCCTCCCGACAGGCTATGCACATCGTCCTGTTCGACGTCAGAAAGAGATACAGTATCTTTACAAGCGACTGGAAAGGATCCGCTGGGTTCAAATGGGCATGCCCAACCTCACTCCATCGTTGCCGCGATGGCGCACGTGGGGGGAGCGAATGCAGGAGGAGGAAGAGCATGTGGCATGAGCACCTCCTACTTTCTAAGCTACTGATGGCGAAGCTGCTCCCGTCCCACCAGCATGCATGTCTTCTTTGACCTTATCGGATCCAAAAGACAACGCTGAAGCACAACTCATTGGGTCAGGCCACCACCGTTGAAGCCCTATCTGATGGCTCTTAGCTACCTGCAATTATAGAGACTATTGGTAGATATATTCCATGTATGACCGGTCCATCCCATGCACCTAGACATGAAGTTTGCAGGATAATGCACAACGCTCCATGGCAAATTTCTGCCGATCAGAGCACATCGGCGAATGCTCCTCCACGGTACGTTCTTCACCTGCCCGCGGCCAATGACTTTCCGCACGCGGAGGCGGAGATGCGGCCGCATGACAGCAAGGGAGGGGCCATGGCTGTTGGCGGTGTCTTGAGAATTCCGCTCTATGTTACCGGGTGGATTTTTATTGGCGACCGGTACCTGTGCTAAGTTGACTATAATATACGAACTTTCATTTGACTCAAAGAGTGGCACTTCCATTCAAGTCTCGATTCTGGTTCCTCCATCAGTGCGATCTCTTGCTTGAGCACAGCATTAATACAACCAGTATGGCAGACCTCCCCCCGCAAACTCTCACAGGCAAAGTCGCCATTGTTACGGGTTCTGCTCGAGGTCTCGGCGCCAGTATGGCTCTCGACCTTGCTTCACGAGGGGCCAGTGTTGTGATCACCTACACGTCCGCCTCCTCCGATAGCATCGCCTCCGACCTCGCGTCACGGATTTCGTCGCTGGCGAACTCTTCAAGCGCCATAGCTGTTCGCGCCAACATGTCAGACCCTTCGGCTCCAGATACCATCGTTAAAGCTACAGTGGAAGCGTTCGGCCACATCGACATCCTCGTCAATAACGCTGCTATCCAGGTTACGCGGAGTCTCAAAGATATATCAACGGCGGACTACGAGAGCGTCTACGCAGCCAATATTCGAGGAGTGATCTTCTTGACGCAGGTTGTCCTGCGGCATTTCAGGGCCCCGGGGCGTATCGTGAACATCTCTAGCGTGGGTGCTCGGTTAGGCTTTGCGGAGTTGAGTCTGTATTGCAGTAGCAAGGCGGGCTTAGAAGGGTTGACCAGAAGTTGGGCGGGCGAGCTCGGTGAAGATGGTACGACGGTCAATGCAGTGGCGCCGGGCCCGGTGCAGAGTGAGATGTTGGAGAGTATCCCAAAGGAGCTCGTGGCGAGGCAGAAGGAGGACACGCCCGTAGAGAAGCGGTTGGGTACACCGGAAGAGGTCAGTCGCGTGGTATGTTGGTTGGCGAGCGAGGACGCGAGCTGGGTCACTGGGCAGACCATCAATTGCAGCGGTGGGTTTTCGATGATCTGAGCTGCGTCTACTCTGACTGGTCTCACGCTGAGGTGACGCTCGTGATGGCCAAAGACATTGGTATAGGGTAGGTCATGGCTTCTCATGTGTCTCAATCGAGTCTTTTGCCCTGGCTAGCATCTCAGTACTTTTGGCCTTGCGCTACCCCATAGCTTCCTCCGCTAGCATACCACGCAGCCATGATTAAGTCGCAGAGATCCTTCGCCTCCACATCTTTTAGTGGCATATGATGACCGCCTTCGAATTGCATCTCGAAGCATACATCGCTTTCACAGACTTTGAGCATCTCCACACACCCAGTCCTGACATGATCGTCATGTCCCCATGCATGAACGGTTGGCACCTGCCTGAGCAGCTCGTACTGCTCCTCTTCAGCCTGGTCGCTCATTGCAATCGGGGGAAAAGGCCCTCCAACCACGACGCCGAATTTGATTTGCCACTTGCAGTTCTCTTCCTCGCCAGGGTGTGTCTTCTCCCATAGCTTCTGTCTGAGTAGAAGACCGCCTACGAGCCTTGCACCCTGGCTGAAGCCGATGAGGCCCACCACTCGCTTCCATCCCTCACTGCCCGCTTCTCGCTCGACGGCGTTGTCCAAGGCTTGGTCGACTAAGCGGATTTCTTCAACTGGCGTAGGCTCCACAGATCCGTCACCTAACCTCCATCTCCGCGTCACCCATCGATAGAATGGCGCACAAGACTCAAAAACTGGTAGCATCCCATGACCTGGATCGCCTTCGTGGGGCGCTTGTGCGAAAAGGAACTTGAATTGGCCTCCCAAAGTCCATATCAGTCGCCGACATTGAATCTTGAAGACGGTCGAGGTTGAGCCTCCGCCATGTAAGCAGAGAATAATGGGTCGCGAGTCCGGCTCGTCGAGACCTTCTTGTGCTTGTAGCGCCATGAACGCAAGATCCAGAGGACCCTGTCTAGTACGCTGCAGCTCCCACGGGTGGTACTTTGAAAGCACCAGATAACAGAAGGTTGCACAGATTCAGAGTCAGGACGAAGCTTTGGGGCATACCTGGTCCCGCAAGGCTGGGCCATTTAGGGATAGCCTATGTAGCTGAGCCTGCATTTCGTTCAATTTAGGCAGCACGCGCCTCTTTTCCTTTACGCCAACAGGACCCACGCGCCTACCGGTACCTGCCGCCCGTGAGCGAGGACGCGTGCCAGCCTTGTGAGACACTCAACAGCTTCAATGCTCTATGTTTGTCCAGGCGCAACCGTCACATAGAGTGCCATTCTGTTTGCTTCCGGGTATTCTGCCCTTAAAAACACTCATATTTCTCATCCACATGTTTTGATGCAACCTTACTACGACATCACGCAGAGCACAATTGCTCACATGGCTTCCGAACCTTCCCCAGATACGATCAAAACCCTCTCCGACTTCACAGGCGTCAGCCATGAGGCCGCCATCATTTTGCTAAAGAAGAACAACAACGATGTTGCGCGCAGCGCAGATGTCTACTGGCAAGACCCCGTAGGCTCGCTCAGAGAAGACCCTAATGCGCGAACATGGGAGTACCAGGACAATGTTCCGTTCGACGACGGTGCAAGCACTGGGGCAATGCCTGCTACCCGCCCACCATCAAGAGCAGACAACAGCAACAAAGTCGTGGATCTCTCGCATACGCACGCCGAAGCCACGGCAGCTGCAGACAAACAAATGCAGGACGACGAGATGAACGATCCCGAGATGCAGCGTGCCATCAACCTGTCGTTGGGGAAGCCCGAGATGCCGGAGCAGGAAAGCGGTATTACAGGTGCTGGTCAACAGTTTGGGCCAGCCAATCGACCGAGCTATGATCCTGCACAGTGGTCCATGGTTCCTGTGGCGACATCAAGAGAGCTGATCGATCACCCCTCCCCATCGAAAAGACGGCGAAAGGAAGGCCAGCCAGCATTTTTACGCCCCTCTAAAGAGTCTGGCTATCTCGCGGCTCTTTTGACCATTTACCACTCCATCCCGCTGGCACGTGAGGCGTTGCTTATGCCACCGATGAAAGTTCTGTCATATGGATACAATTCTGCCTGGTGGTCAGGTAGTTCAGACGAAAACTCCAAGTCGCTTTCTATGGAATTAGATCAGAATGCCGACAAGGACAGAATTAATCTCCTTGCCGAGTTGCAATGTCTGATGGCCTTTCTCGACGGCACCACCCGCGCTTATGGTAGCGTTGATGCACTGACCGATCTGAATGCGTTCAGAAATTTCCGTCATGAGGCGAGTACATCGTTCTCCCATTTCCTTGAAGCCTGGAAGTATGCCGCCGTAGCTCAGCACCCACAAGAGCAGGTCACCCAGATTTTCAACTCAACGGCCGTTAGAAATGACGCCGGCTCTATTCAAGACAAGGAAATGGTATGTGTCGAGCCCATAGTCAACCATATACCCGGTCAGCTGCTGGTCAGTCTACTGGATAACACTGTCTGGAATGATACTGTTGACGAGCTGGAGGATGTTTGGATTTCGCAGGCCGCAGAAATCTTCACGATTCGTCTATTTGACCCAGGTCAGCAGCTTGGAGGCCTGGATCTGACTGTTCCGCCGATCTGGTACCCTGACCGGTACATGGAATCTCTGAGAATGCAAGCGCTGCGCATGCGAGAAGAAGTCCAGGAAGTCCAGCGGCAATTCAATCATTGTATCGCTCAACAAAGGCGGCTGACATCATTCATGGGCCACGACCGGCGGCCCATCAGAGCCCGTGATGTTCTTGAAGCGGCAGCCAGACTTTCCAAGACTGCCTTAAAGGATCGGTATGGGGAGCACCAGCCGAGTGCAGACCTAGAGGTGTTGAATGTCAGCTCGGTAGAAGAACATATTCGAGCCGCCCTGCAGCGGATTGACGACAAGATTCAATTGCTGGAAGACAGAAAAGAGCCTCTGCGTGCGCGGATTCAGCAGATCCGAATGCAGTACACCGCGCCTGGCGACAATCCTGATGAGCCACCGCATATGAAATATGTGCTGCAGGGTGTTGCAACCAAACCAGAGATTATGTATGTTAGAGAGCGCAACCAAGATCTCCTCGGCCTAGATGATGAAGAAGACGTCAAGCATCAGGACTACCAGTGGTGGCGCATCGAATGGCCGCAGTCTCGACAATACGACCAGGCAGAGATAAAACCACCGACGATAGGTCCCATGCCTAAGACCGAGGCAGAAGCGAGTGATGGTACTGCGGCCACAGACATAGGCGATGCGCCTTACTCAGTTGTACCGGTTGCAGAAGACGATGTCATCGAAGCAGCGAGAACAGAGCATCACTCGGTCGTGCTAGTGTACGCCAACCAGAACGCAATGAGTTTCCAAGGCAAACCCATGTCGCCTCCCCTACGGCAATTTGTGGAGCAAGACAATGTCAACTTTGCTAAGGAGTTGCGAGAAGAGGCGGACGAGCAGGATGACTCAAGTATGACCTGGGAGACCGTGCCGCTGGCTGCTGGGGGGGCTGTTCGGGCAGACCGAGAAATGACTCCGATGTCAACTAGCACGCATCGCGGGGAGGATGGCCAACCATCGCCGAAGCGGCCCAGAAGCTCGGATGACGGTTGGAAACCACAAGAAGAGGGTCTTCCATCTTATGACGAGGCGGTTGGGAGTCCAGTGCCCGAGATGCAGGAAAGGAGTAACAAGATTGGTCTGTACGCGGAAGCCATGTTAGAGAAGTACGGCAACGAAGATGGCACAGCGACAAACGATCAGGAAATCGGTGAGGCTGTGCATGTTGAGCGAGCAGCGGATCTACCTCGATAGACGATCAGTACAGACGAGAGTTGGGCTTACATGATCATGCAGATACTTTTTGGGACCAAGCCAGCCAGGCTCTACCAAGCCATGTATTATCAGGAGTCAGCCAGTACAGGTACATTGCAGCACAAGTGGACCAGGACTTTTCCACAAGAGGCAGGGCTCTCAGGCGGTTAGCCAATTCCGAAGCTCACTTGCAGAGTGATAGGCGCCGGCACCGAAGTGCAGTGCAGGCTACTCCGTATCATGCTCGTGCAGGGATGGCAGATGCCGGAGGCGGTGACGCTTGAGAGAGATAGCGCGAGCGAAGGCTTGGAGCCTGAGGCAGGGTCTGCATTTCCAAGAAAGTATCTCACCTGGTCAATCAGCCGAGTCAAAGAGATGTTAATAAAGTGTAATGAACACGTGGACGGTCTCCGAAGGGCCAGTACCTCCATATTCGGATGCGGTTTGCATACATATGCCAGGCCACCGCTTGTCCAAAAGGGAGCAGGGAGATCTTGCGACGCGAGGTTGCTGAGGAGTTTGATTCGCATGGGCGCGAATGCAGCTGCGATTTGTACTGTATGTGGGAGCGACTGAGTACTGGCAATCTGGCGTCGATACGGACTAGCGGCATGCCATTCGGCGGAATAGCGGGCTGTGGGCTGGGCAGCATCAGGTGTGGTTACACAGCCGGGCGAGGGACGGCTCTCAGCAGCACCTGTCGCAACCACAGGCGAGCATTGTCGGGGATTTAGCATACGAGAAGGCGGCGGCGATGGTACTTTCGCTCATGACAGTCTTCACCAGAGCTCGGAGGGTGATGCATTGGTGCGACAGTGATGGTCGCTGAGGCAGGTCATCACGTATTGAATTGTATACCGTACTCCGTAGTCCACCACGCTTTGTCGACACTCGCCACCGCGGGATAGCGGTAGTCGGAACTTGGAACCAAGTCGGCAAATGGTGCGCAGCAAATCGAAGGCCCGGCCCAAGGCTGTCCACTGACAGACCATGCCATCATGGCGGCACACGCTGATCTGGCGATCTTTGATGAAGGATGGAGCCCTTGAACGGCTGCGGTGGGATCAGGGCCGATGGCGCCGACGGCAACAAGGCCCCTCTGGTTTGCTCTGCTAGTCCGTAGCCGCTGTGTGTGCACGATGCACCGGGATTCCACGCTCTGGCTTTGGGGCTACTGCAACTTTAAGCCTGGGGATGTCTACCCGGCGACCAGGCAGTCCACACTCTCTGGAGGGTGGATAGGGCAGGACCAGGGTCTGCGGGACGCCAGAGAGTCGAGACACATCCCAAACAGTGGACTGCAGGCCAAACGGGCAGCTAGAAAGAGCATTCAACGACGATCCCCATCTCGAATCGAGCAGACATTCGGATGACCTCTGAGGTCGAGTGCCCTCATCTCACCGTGCAGACCTTTGTTCCGTTGTCGAATCTACCCGCCGCTAAGTAGGCGCAAAAGACGGTAGACTGGCAGGGTCCAACACGCTTTGTGCAACGATGCTGTCCCCTATAAGGATCGCGATCAGGACCGCCTGGGTGCAGGCTGAACAAGGCCTACTCGCAGGGTAGAGGCGGTCAGGCAGCGCTGGGTGTCGAGTGGAAGCTTAATTGGCAAAGCAGCACAAGCTCGGACGTGCTTCTCGCATCCCTACAGGCTTGAGCATCTTCAGCACAGACCGCGGCTTGAAGGCGGGTCTCCGCTGCAAGCCACAGTAGCGCATTCGCCCCAACCACAGCAGCCTTCGAATCTGTTCCCGGATCTCCTGCCCCAGACGACTTCGAAGCCATGTCTAGCTCGAGAGCTAGCTGCCGGTAGTCCAAATGTCGCCCGCCGTCTACTGGCAGACAGACGCCGCCAAATTGTTCCGCGTCCAAACTTCCAACGCCAGATTCTTAGCCCACTTCATGTGGCCGTGTCGCTTTCCTCGAGTGGCTCTTTTTCGAGTCCTCCTACGAGTCCTCCAACGAGTCCTCTTCTATCTTTCGCCTCCTGCTCTGCTATCGCAACCATCATCTCGTTTCGATCCGACAGTGTGCCGCCCTCCCGCGTGCGCCATATCAGACGCATCTTGTTTGATCTACCAAATTGGCAAGCGAAGGGGGGCAAAGCCTGTTCACTACCGTGTACTTTCGAGTCCAGCATTTCGCCCTAACTCGCGCTCTATACGCGTTCCGGAAATTCCTGTGTCACTTCGCTGCTCAACTCTGTCAACATTCTGTGTTACAATCGCGCACTGTATCTGGCATCTTTGCTCTTGACAGCACGATTGTCATCTACGACATATCTCAACGACCTCGTCAGCACCCCTCGCAAGGCTGGCCGACCGGCGATCTCCCCTTAGCGCCCTCATCTCATTGATTAGCCTGAGCGTGCGGTGCGAACGCGACACAACACCTTTGCGTGACTTGCGCGCTACATCTTGAGCAGCAGATGCGCACAGTTCGTTTCACTCAGCAGCCATTCCGGGGACTGTCTCGACCCCAGCCCAGCTTGTCCTCTGGAGTGCAACCATCGGCATTCATTCTTCGGAACGCGCAATCGCCGACTAAAGCATGACTGCGATAGCCGCCATCCGACACGAGGTCCGACCAGAGTACCCGTTCACCATGAGCGCAAAGCAAGCCGCCATGATGACCGATCGCAGGATGTCCACCGCTAACCTGGAGAGCAACGCCTTCCCCACCACTATTTTACTTCGCAAACTCCCGAAAAACACTTCTGCTGAAGCCTTGCGCACTATGCTGCTGTTTGCGAAGGACTTGAAGGACACCGAGGTCGTTCCAAACGAATACGAGGAGGATGCCGGCTTTGCTACCGCCATTGCCCGCTTTACGTCGGTCAACAGTGCGTCTGAAGCACGTGCGATGCTCGACGGAAAGCCAAATACTGCCGGACAGGCCAACATGATTGTCAACGTTATATCTGGGCCGGCCCTGGGCGCTCTAGGAAGGAGGAACACCATTGATCCACTGGCGGCTCGCAAGGTCGCCCATTCTGTGTCACCTCCGCCCAATGCAAAATCATCTCGGTTCAACGGCACTTTCCAAGCCATGGACAAGGTCTCGCCTCCTGTGATCGGGTCGCCTCCAGATCAGTCCTCAGATGCCAGTTCACATATGCAGACCATCTTCTCACCCCACTCGCCGAACGCGACGATGAAAGATCGCAGGATGACCGGCAAGCTAATCATCGGCGAGGAAGGAGGTGACGACGAGACTGGCGATCTTATCAACGACCCCCTCTCGTACATCAAGAATCAACCGCCATCGCGACAGGGCAGTCAGCCTCCCACGTCCGCATTTGCAGGCCTAACGCTCAATACCGATGTCCAAAAGGCTGTACCTGGAGGACGAATCACTTCTCCCCAGTCGGCAATGCACCCTTACAGCCCACACAGTAACTTCACTCCAACCACAGGACCCCGATCAGCATATCCGAACCAACAATTTCTGCGACATAATTATCCTCCTGTGAACCCGGCTGATCAGAATCCGCCCTGCAACACTCTCTACGTCGGCAATCTCCCTATCGACACCTCAGAAGACGAGCTGAAAGCATTGTTCTCCAAGCAGAGAGGTTATAGGAGACTTTGCTTCCGCACTAAGCAGAATGGACCAATGTGCTTTGTAGAGTTTGAGGATATTTCTTTTGCAACTAAAGCACTCAATGAGCTGTATGGTGTGCAGCTACACAACAGCGTCAAGGGTGGCATTCGCCTGAGCTTTTCAAAAAATCCTTTGGGTATACGGGCGGGTCAGCCTGGCGGCAACAATCATTCAACACACGTAGGGCCGATGGCTACCAACTCTCCGGGTGGGATAGCTCCTGCAGGCTTTTCGACGGCCAATGGGCCGCCACCGGGCTTGAGTATGCCGTCTATGATGGCAACGTCTGGAAATGCCCCATTACCTCCAGTCGGTGGGCCAGGTATGGGTGCCGTCGCCTTTATGCACCAAGGCCCCGGACTCGGAGGCGGTGTGCTGCCTATGCCAAGGCAAGTGCAGACGCCTCCATCAACATCTGCGCCAAATACGGGTCCGATGTACCCCGACTATATGATGGGCCGTTGAGAGTGTGCGGCCCTGGCGATTGCGCAGTGGTAATGAGACATGAAGTGCTCTGAGACGGCGTCATCGGTCTTCGCGAGCACTTCGTTTTTACATAGCGTCGTTTTTGTCATGTTCAGCGAGCGGCATCTGTGGTTCCCTCGAGGGGAGGGTCGGGGACGGGGCATTAAGCATGGACACAACACATACCAACAGCCTCGGGATCATTGGCAGCAGGAGCGTCGGCAGAGGGTTTGCTATGCGCTGGAATGGGTTCCTCGTTTCTGTTTTCTGTGTTTTCACTGGCCTGGAATTCCCCTTTAGCAAAGAGTGACAGGCTTCATGATACAGCATAGCACGAGCAATGTGGTGTCAGCGGAGGGCGAGCACTTGGGAAGCGGCGTTTGTGTATCTCGATTCCAGCAAGCCTAGGATGGGAAGGATCGGGCTACCGCACGGTTATATAGTAGCTTCTAGCATGTGCTGTGATCTAATGAGGTTTTGACTCTTTTTGGAGCACTTCTTGAATACCTACCCTCGGGATACTTTCGGATGGGAGAAACATCCCTTCTTCGCTCTAGGGCAGCAATATGAAGCGCTCCGCGGCTTCACGCGCAATTCTGGCATCGTAAGCTTTTCGTAGCCCATTCTTGTTGTCTCGCGACGCCGATTCTAAAAGCAGGAAACTAGTGGGACAAGGCGGACATTTCAAACCAACTGGCACAGGGCAGACCCGGACAGAAACCTGGCGAGCATCCAGTCAGTGGCTGTCGTCGCCTGTTTAGTTGGTAAACACGTAGATAAACGCGGGCCGGCAGGAACGTCTGACCAGTGGCTTTGTTGGCAGCCGGAAAGGTGCGGCGCTGCTTCGTGCATCGGTGAGGCCAACCTGAATCGAAGATATTCCGGTTAAGAATTTCAAGACTCCAATTTCACAGTGACAGACCAAGCGCCATCTGGGGCCTTGCCTTACTCATCCCAGCGGATCTTCCAACGGCAAGACCTTCACGTTCCAATATCTCTGTGGTTAATTATGATTTACTCTACGCCACCGCGGCTGTTATGTTTGATAGAATGAGGATCCGTGAGAGTGCTCGAAGTCGGATACCTTTACTAAGGAGCTTGTCCGGTACCGTGATTGGCAGATCGTCCAGGTCCAAATCGCAGGCTGAGGGCGATCGCCAGCCGCAGTCAGAGAAAGACATTCCTCCATTACCTCAACGTCCGCCGTCCAAAGATTCCAAAGTCGTCGTCGAACCTTCGACTCCTGCCACGTCGAATCATCCCTCGATTGTCGTCGATTGCGATCCTGATCCGCCCGCATCCCCCCCGCCGCCGCCGTCTGGAGCTCGTCGCCCTCGAAACCGACATGTGCCCGAACCGGTAGCCGGAGTCATGCTGCGCAAAGTATGGGTGAAGCGCCCAAACGCTTCGGCCACGCGCGTCGAGGTCAATGGGGATGATCTGGTTGACAGTCTTCGCGATGTTATCCTGTTCAAATACGCCAACTCGCTAGGCAGGACTATCGATTCACCTGACATTACGCTCAAGATCGTGGCTCGTGACCAACTCAATGCTGGATCTGCTGGCCACGAACGGACACTTGGACCTGAAGAGCCCATCGGGCGCACCCTGGACGACCACTTCCCCGGGGGGCAAACAATTGAAGATGCTCTCATAATTGAGCTTGCGAAAGGGCGAACACCTCGACCATCGCCCCGCCCAGGCAATCATCAAATGACATACTATCTTCCCTCCGAACACTATCGACCCGACGATGCTGCGCGAGACTACTTTGGACCTATGCCGGTGCAATCACCGCATATCGTGCAGACAAATCACGGTCCGGTACACTCGATGGCCGTGCTTTCTACGGGCCAGCTTCCTCCTCTGCCCAGCCCTGGCGGTGGACACTCACGCCGGCACGCCGGTCGTCCAAAATACGGACGGCAGCATACTTCTTCCCCTACAGTCCTTCACACAACACAACCGAACGGTGCCCTAATAGGTATGTCTTTCAACTCGCGCCCTGTGGCTTCCTCACTAACGCAGCCAAATCAGAGCCTAAAGCACAACTGAATAGCCAACCTTCCGCACCGATTCCCACGCCACCAGCTCCATCCGTCGACCGAGATAAGCCTTCCATCACGCCTCCCAACCGCGTTTCCTCACCACACCCCGGCCAAAGGCCAAAAAAGAAGAAGACCTCCAGCTCCCGCCCAGGAGCTTCGGCAACAGCTAATGGCGACGGCGCCAATCCGAAGCCCGCCTCGGCTTCGCTGCTCGACGGCACTGTGCCTCCCATCAACGTACTGATCGTCGAAGACAATGTCATCAATTTGAAGCTACTCGAAGCTTTTATGAAGCGCCTGAAAGTGCGCTGGAAGAGTGCTCAGGATGGCAAGGAAGCCGTCGAGAAGTGGCGAGAGGGTGGGTTCCATCTGGTGCTTATGGACATTCAGCTGCCCGTCATGAACGGACTCGCGGCCACAAAAGAGATTCGACGATTAGAGTTGGTGAACGGAATTGGTGTTTTCGGCGGAAAGAACGGGAGTGGTGGCGGCAGCCCAGGCGAAGCCGGCCACGAAGTCCGGGAACTTAAGGCAGAGGATAATCTTGGTGACAAAGCGGGTTTCAAAAGTCCTGTCATTATTGTTGCGTTGACGGCCAGCTCGCTACAGAGTGACCGTCATGAGGCCTTGGCGGCAGGTTGTAACGATTTCTTGACAAAGGTAAGTCGATTGACCCTGGTCCTGGGCTCTTGGACCGTACTGACATTGTTTGATAGCCTGTCAATTTTGTGTGGATGGAGCGCAAAGTCACCGAATGGGGCTGTATGCAGGCGCTCATTGACTTCGACGGCTGGCGAAAATGGAAAGAGTACGCTTCTGCAAAAGAGGCCGCCGAAAGCCCCGCTGAGCGGGAGAAGAGAGAGAAGGAGGAGAAGCGCAAGCAGAAGGAGGCGCTCAAAGCGATGTTTTCGAAAGGGCCGCCAGGCCTAGGGGCCAAGAAGGACGAAAAGAAGGAGGAAATCAACCCTCCGCCTAACGGCATTCATGCCGGCCCACAAACGCCGAAGAAGGAGGGCGGCACTGGCGGGAAAGATGGCGGGAGTGCGGCCGGGAGTGTGGGCAAGAAAAGGCAAGGGAAGAGGGGCAGCACCGGGAGCCTGGCGAGTAAACCTGGGGCCAGCGAAGCCCTGGACGTCGTTGGGGAGGAAGACGAGAGGTGACTGCAGATAGCAGGCTGTTCTTTGTTGACCGTGATCCGCAGTGTGTGGACGAAGCCGGGGTTCACTTGTGGTCATGCCAACCAGGTGTGCCACCCCAGATCGTGGGCTGCTAGAGCCCGCGGCTGTGAAATTAGGGGGCAACCTTTCTTAGGTCGAGCGTTCGAGCGAGTACATATTAGTGTAATGCTATTTGGATTTGGATCTCTATGTCTTTGTGGATATGGGGGCTCGCAATGCTCCGTGTTCAAGAAGGAGTTGGTATTGCCCAAACCGTTGCTGTGTGTCATGTGAGACCGGACTGTGGTAGAGTGACAAGGACCATCTCTCTGCCTCTCTGCAGTACCTCTTTCTGTTCTCAACGACAGCTGTAGCAGACAATAACTTACTTATCACCGAGGTGAGCAGAAAGGAAGATGCCAGTGAATAGATCGAATCCAAGATAAACTTGCCTCTGCAGGAAGGCCGTGAGCAGGAGCCGCTTGACTCAGCGCGAGAAGAGGCACGCGGATGAGGATGTCGGAGAGTGACCGTCTATGGGGCAATCAGCAAGGTGAGGCACACGATGGTCAAGTGAATACCCTGAAAGTAGGAGGTCTGGACCAGACTCAGGGGAGGGAGGCTCGAGAGCAGGCAGTGAAAGGCTTGGCATACCATACCTCACTTCCAGGCAGTGCAAGATCTGCTCCGGATGAAGCAGTATGTACACGGACTCGTTGCTTATCGGAGGATCGCAATGAAGCGCCTGTCTATCAGTCCTCAAACCAATGTGCCTGAGCTTCCCGGCAATGCAGAAGTAACCAACGGCGAGGATCCGCTTTCTAATTATCACCTATCCCAACTACTGACTTGGCGACATAGGCGTTGACTGTCGGACATCAACTCGTTCTGTTGGTGATTGCAGTGATCGGTTGGCGTAATAGTACGACTCGGGAATGAGAGAACTGTGCCCGGTACGAATGTGTCTTATTGGTGTACGAGTGTCAGCTCCATCTAAGCAAATAAGGCAACCACTTGTAGACCCCAAAATGGCACGCTTTACCTGCTAACTTGACAGACTGAATCAGTCATTAGACAAGCCCGCGCACACCCATACTGGAGCTCAGCGCAGCTCTCAGAAAGCGTGTATACCTCTCCCATCATCCTTGCTCACCACACTTTCCCCACCAGCACACCACTAACCAGCAACCATTCAGCCGACTCCCGAGCAGAACCTCGCCACCGTACGCTCCGTCATCTTCAACGTGCAACAAAAGCTCGACCTATCCGTGATCGAGACACTCTGGTCCCCCGATTTCGTCAACCACAGTGGCCCGCCGCACGACCGCGCGGGGGTCGGGCCCACGCTGCAGTAGCTGCACGCCACGTTCGGCGACATCCGCATGGGGATCACGCAGAGTATCTGCCAGGGCGACGTGGTTGCGACGACCAAGGTCTTGAGGGCTGTGCACGTGGGCGAGTACATGGGGATTCCCACTTCGGGGCGGCGCGTGAGCCTGCGCATCACGGACTTTGTGAGGATGGATGCTGAGGGGCGCATCGTGGAGCATCGGGCTTGTACGGGGCAGTTGGAGACGGAAGAGGAGAAGAAGAAGTAATTTGTTTCTACGGGAAAAGAAGTTTGTTGCGGGTGTGCCAAACCGCGGAGGTTTCAAGCTTCAGCACGAACTCCAGCGTCGTCTTTCTCCAGTGCCCTATTTCGCTTTCTCTCCAGGAGCTTGTTCAGTTTCTTCGCGACGTTGAACACGCCTCCTGTGCCGGTTCCGCAGATGGCGCATGACGGATCTTTCCTGTACCGCTTCAAGGCACACGATTCACAGAAATAATGCCCACATTTCGTGATGATGGGGTTCTTGTACTGCTCGGTGCAGATGACACATGCAAAAGGAATGCTCTCTAGTAAGGCATCGTCATCCTGGTCATCCGTACCCGATTGGCCGTTTCTGTTTGCTGAAGCAACAGTCTTTCCCTGCTGCTTTTTGCCCTGTGTCTGAATGTCCCACTCTCGGTCTAATTGCCAGCCCTGCGCATAATCTTCGCGAGCGTGCAAGAACTTGCACGAATCTCCAAACCCGCAGAAGCCGGTCTTTTTGTAGTCTTTGCACACATCAGGCGCAAAATCGGTGACTGTGATGGTGCGGACGTTTGAGGAGCCCTTTTGTGGCCCAACCGACTTCGGCTCTCGATCTGGATTCCTTTGGAGGAAGGAGGTATAATTGGCAACGCCTTTATAGGTACCGTCCGGTGCGGATCCACTGCTTTGATTCGGTGCCGGGTGCCGCGTAGTTGGACGAACCTCGCTATTCTCGTACCAGTCTTCTGTTTTGGTAGCGTCATCTTGTGTGCTCAGGACCTTGACAGAGCTTGTTGTTGCTGGCACAATCTCAGCACGCTGTGAGCGATTGGCAGCCGAAGATGCGGCAACAGTAGCATTTTTTCGTCTGCGCTTTATCTTTCGGCCGCCCTCATCTTCTGAGGAGGTGAAGCCCGAGTCTGAATCTGATGGTGGCGGCGTGGCTTCTCGTTTGCGAATGTTGGCCTTGGCTTTGTTCCCGCGCTTCTTGAAAGACACGACAGGCGCTTCGGTGTCCGCCATATCGAATGGATGTTGATCAGAGCTGCGAGAAGAAGCGATATGATTAAAAAGGGCGAAATAGCACGATGTCGATACAATTTCGATGGCGTTCTGCCTGCGACCGCTTGCTTGCATAAGCCAAGGATATCTTGCCGCTAGTGTCGATCTCCCGAAACTCTAAAACTGCTCGTTCCTGTTCGCGAAGGATCTCCACAGTCAGACTGCACCCCAAAGAAGCTGCGTCTCCCCAACTTGAACCACTACGCATTTCCATCGCTTTTCAGCGCTCGATAGATACCTTTCCTTTCTCAATGTTTTGTTGATATCAAATTCTCTCCTTTGTCGCTGTACTCACCATGCCTGACCATGAAGCTGGCGCCGAGACCGACCCCCCCGAGCAAGATGTCCTGTCTGCCGCTGCAGACCAGCGTGTTGAAGCAGAGAACAAGCGGAAAACTTTAGCATTCAATGTCTCGCATATTCTCGTATCTCTGCTACTATTGTGGTTTATGTACGCGCCTGTCGCCACTAATGGCAATACTTTACTGACCAGATCAGGACCGTTCAGATGCTCGGATTACTCTTTTTCGCGAAAGGTTTCCTTTTGACGCGACTCGTTCTCGACAGCAAGTCAGACTGTCGACTTCTGCCAGATGGCACAACCATTACCACTGAGAATGGATGCTGGCATCCTAAAAGTTTTGAAAAAGCAATTGTAATCATAATAGATGCGCTGCGCTATGATTTCACCGTCCCTTCACACGCTGCTCCCAGCGACCGTGCTCCGGGATACTACCTCGACAATTTACCCTTTTTATATGATACAGCTTCTAAATCTCCCGCAAACGCAATCCTAACGCCATTCATAGCCGATCCTCCGACCACGACTCTACAGAGACTAAAGGGATTGACTACTGGCACGCTGCCTGTATTCATAGATGCGGGCTCAAATTTTGCAGGGACTGATATTGAAGAGGACAATCTCGTGGCACAACTGAGGGCCGCTGGCAAAACAGTGGTACATCTTGGAGACGATACATGGCACGCATTATTTCCCGGATACTTCGATGCAAACCTTACCCACGCATATGATTCTTTTAACGTCTGGGATCTGCATACCGTTGACAATGGGGTGATTCAGCACATCATGCCTCTCTTGGAACACAGTCGGCAATCCTCATGGGATGTGATCTTCGGCCATTTCCTAGGAGTCGATCATGCGGGGCATCGCTATGGGCCGAATCACCCTGCTATGGCTGACAAGCTGCGTCAAATGAACGGTGTAATTTCCGATATTGCAAACGGAATTGACTCCGAGACTTTGCTGGTAGTCATGGGCGATCACGGTATGGACACGAAAGGCGATCATGGCGGCGAGTCGGATGACGAGGTTGAAGCTGCCCTATGGATGTATTCAAAAGCACCTCGATTTGGACGCACTGACCCTGCTCATGTTTATCCTCCCTCTACAGCTAAGGAGCGTACGGTTGGCCAGATTGATCTTGTCTCAACACTGTCCCTTCTCCTCGGACTACCAATTCCCTATAATAATCTGGGTACGCCAATACCGGAGGCATTTATTGGACCAAACAACAACGGCTGGGAGAATCTAGCTGCGGCGGAGCTTCTCGCGCTCGGCCAAGTCCAGAACTATCAGACTCAGTACAGCAAAGCACGCGATCTCGGGACCAATGAAGCACAGCAAGAAAGCCACCGGCGCCTTTTGGAATCTGTACGGGCATCTGGGAAGGATAAGTGGCAGAAGGTTCATCAGCATTATCAACAGTGGCATGCAGAAACGATTGGCATGTATAGACGACTTTGGGCGAACTTCGATCTGACAGACATGGTCTGCGGTGTGATCATCTCAGCAATGGCTTTGGTTGCCTTGGCTATTTTCTCCCGACTTTCGACTGGTGACAAGGCGAACGTTCTGCCTCAGCTGCTGAGATCAATTGGTCTCGGAGTGGGAGCCGGTGTCATTACTGGACCAGTGCTGGGTGTTGCCTTTCCGGAATACTTCACAGCCATTCGGGGGTGCGTTTTCGGCGCCGCGGCCGGGGGCCCTATGTCTTTTTTCGCTAGCCTCTGGCAACAGCGAACAGGACTTTCGCAGCACCTCAAGCCGTCCCTGTGGGGTGCAATGATGTTCTTCTTCTGCATCAGCCAGGCTGCAGGATTCGCGGCGAATTCGTACACGATCCACGAAGATACAATCTTGCTATTCTTCTTGTCCAGCTTCGGCGTAGTCGCTATCATGTCGTCTTTGCGGCAAGCATCAAATTCCGACAGAATCCTCGGGACATATCAGTCAGTTGTCTTCACCATTCTGACACGTCTTGCATCTTACTCTCGCCTTTGCCGAGAAGAGCAAATGCCAGGGTGTCGATCAACTTTTTATGCTTCGTCAACCTCATCAACTTCGGCACCATGGCAGCTGCTAATCCCTTTAATCATTGCGCTGTTCCTTCCAGAAATCGTCAAGGCTTTCTACCAAGGGACTGCTTCTTGGGCTGGATCTTCCGGACTCTGGATCGCATTCGGCTTCCGGATGGGTCTGGCGCTTGTGGCCACTTATTGGGTGCTCGATGCAGCAAACAATGGTGAATGGCTCGCAAATCTACTTTCTCCGTCGGCTCTGATGACGATCAATATCACCATTGCGCGGTTGGCTCTTGCAGTGGCACTGCCTGTGGGCATCGCCATTTTCGTATGGGCAAAACCGTGCATCGACATCACGCTCAATCAGGGGGCCAGGATGCCCACTGCAAAGGGTGACTCGCGCCCGCAGATCGTGATTCTCGGGTACGCCAACGCGTTTGGAAGTCGATTTTTCTTCCTTATACCGATCCTAGTTGTGGCAACCTGTCTGCTCCTGCCGCCAATGGGTCAATTCTCACTCGCCATTTGCACCTGGCAAATATTGTGCCTGCTCGAGATTCTCGACACCAACTCGCTCACGATAACGGAAGTGTCCAACTCGTCCGTTGGACCGGTTATGCTTGCAATGCTTGGGTCTTATCACTTCTTCAAAACCGGGCATCAGGCAGCAATGGCTGCTGTGCAGTGGAACTCAGCGTTCGTTGCACTACGCACAGTGCAGTACCCATGGACGCCTTTACTGGTTATGCTGAACACATTCGGAGCTCAGATTCTGTGCGCAGCTGCGGTACCACTCGTTGTGCTCTGGAAGCGCCCAATCTCCAGAGATGGGCTTCGTGGAATTTGGAGCGATGTGGCCAATGCAGCACTATCCCATATGTTATATTACGCAACCATTCAACTTGCGACGACCCTGTGGGCAGGTCACCTTCGGCGACATCTGATGCTATACAGAGTATTCATGCCCAGGTTTCTTATGGCTAGTGGGGTGTTACTAGTCGTTGACTTTACTCTGATCTTCGTGGCTCTGCCTGGGGCACGTGTTACAGGTCTCAGTGTGGGCGAAGTCTTCGGTTACTGAAGCTGTCGGCCTGAAGAGGAGGCAGACTTCGGAGGAGCTGTGCCTGATCGTTGCCCCGGCTTGGCCCTGGAATACCCCTGTTGATCAAGACTTCTAGTTGCGACGTCCAGTGCCTCGGGCGCTACGGGATCTCAACGGCCACCTCAATCATGCTGATCAGCCTCGCTTGAGTCTTGACGGGGACCCTGTGCCACAGAAAGTCAAGGTTGTGCCAGCTTCAAGAGCATGCCAACAGGATTGCTTTTGAGGGGAAAGGTTTCATGCTCTTTTCCATTCAAAGGCAGCCCGTTGCTGAATCAACCATAAAGACAGGAGTGTGACTAAGGGAGTAGTTGCATATTCATCCGACTCTTAGTCACCAATGCAGGCGCTAGGAATCTTTCCTGGATTGGGAAAACCAAAACGCCAGCAACAGGGAGTGATGGTAGGTTCACGGCGGACAAGCCGGCCCATGTAGGAACATGACGGAGCTGCACGGCCTGCGCATGCTGAGTCGTTGACAGTTCTCGGTGTTGGTGGCTCTAAATCTTGTGCTCACGAGCTATGAGGGGCAAGACACGCTGAGCCAATCGGTGACGTAAGTCGAGTGGTGGGGTGGGCATCCTCGTGTTTCCTGGTCGCTCCGATGCATCAGAGGAGCAAAGGAAATGTTTCCAGCCGCAAGCTTGTATAAGAACTGAGACTGCTCCCACCACTTGTCTGCGTTTCTCCTTCACTCCCCTCTGCTCGCCATAGCGTTTCAAATTCGTTGATCAGACATTGTTCCTACCAACCGCCATCATGCCTGTCTCTGTTCCCAAATCTACTAGGTATGTCGCCGCAGCTTGTTCTGATTTCTTAACAAAACCCTACACCATGACCCCGCAGGCATTTATTGACTTTCTACCACAGCCTCCATGACCTGTTCAGCCTGAAGGGCAAGGTCGTCATTGTCACTGGTGCATCCGGTGCCACTGGCATTGGCACCGAGGCCGCCCGTGGCTGCGCCGAATTTGGTGCCGACGTCGCCATCACTTACAGCTCCCGCCCACAAGGAGGTGAGAAGAATGCAAAGGAAATCTCTGAGAAATACGGCGTCAAGTGTATCCCATACAAGTGCAACGTCGGCGACTATGCCGACGTGCAGAAGTTGGTCGAGAACGTCATCAAGGACTTCGGCAAGATCGATGTCCTGATCGCAAACGCTGGCCGCACTGCCAACGCCGGTGTCCTGGATGCCAGTGTTGATGACTGGAAGGAGGTCATCGACACCGATCTGACTGGCGTATTCCACTGCGCCAAGGCCGTCGGCCATCATTTCAAGGAGAGACAAACTGGCTCGCTCGTCATCACTGCCTCCATGTCAGGTCACATTGCCAACTTCCCTCAGGAACAGGTAAGCGCACAGGAATGAACCCCTCGGTATCCAAGCTGACACACGTAGACTTCTTACAACGTTGCTAAGGCTGGCTGTATCCACCTGGCTCGCTCTCTTGCCAACGAATGGCGGGACTTCGCCCGCGTCAACTCAGTTTCCCCTGGCTATATCGACACTGGCCTGTCTGACTTCATCGACAAGAAGACTCAAGATCTCTGGCACAGCATGATTCCTCTCGGCCGTGATGCTAAGGCTACCGAGCTCAAGGGTGCCTACGTCTATCTTGCGTCCGATGCTAGCTCGTATACCACTGGTGCCGATATTGTCATCGATGGTGGCTACACGGCTCGTTAGATCAAGTGGGCGCGCGTGTCTCTTAAAAGGCACAATATTGTACAGCGCCGTATGCAGTTACGACATGAGGCATAGATAGCCGAACTTGATGAAAACAAAAGTCATTAAATCAGCTCTTCTGTGTCTTCCAAAGACTTTGCGCCTTAAGTTAGATAACCCATATCGTCTCAACAGAGAACAACGCGCTCACCAGCAACTAGTACTGTACGAGGCCTTGTACCTTCCGTAGGAGTTGCTCGTGGATAGTCCAATTGACACATAATGCTGGAGCAGGCGCAACCTTCACAATTGACAGGGCGGCACTCTCATTGCTCTGCTGTCGCGTCTCCTGCCACTCAAAAACTCTCTGTTGATTTCGCCGCTTGGTCTCGTCAGCATTCTTTCAATTACATGCGCCAACATCGATACCAAATCATTGTCAGGTCTTCTTCTGGCCCACCATTCCTTACTTCAGCTTGGATATGAAGATTTCTCTCGTTATCATGACCGTCCTGGCCTTTGTGGAGCTCTCTTTGACCGCTCCGACCGAAGAGAGATGCGGTCCGGACCACGAAGACCACAAATGCTCTGGCAACAAGTGCTGCTCGCCTGCCGGCTACTGTGTAAGCACAACAGCCTTACTCCACACGCAATCGGACAGCGAGTTCCCCGGGGCTGGCGTTTCCCTCGAAGTCTCGCAGTATGGTCGCTGATCCTGGGTAGGGTACCACTAAAGACTTTTGCATGGTCCCTCAGAATTGTCTTCGAAAGTTTGGCCGCTGTGATTCTGACGCGGTGCCAAAGGGGCCATCCACTGCCGACGACAAACGACCCATGGTTGGAAAGGTATACTACGGCATTCCGGTCGTACGGTGCAGAACGCCCGGTACCGTGGCCATCACATACGATGACGGTCCCTCAGCGAATACCCACCATATCCTGAACATCCTCAAAGAGGCGGGGGCGAACGCGACCTTTTTCGTTACCGGTATCAACAACGGAAAAGGAGAGATCGACGTGAAAGACCAATGGAAGGAAGACATCAAGCGCATGGAGGCGGAGGGTCACCAAATCGCATCTCATACCTGGTCTCATCCAGATCTCGACAAGATGACAGCGGAACAACGTCACGTCGAGATGCACAAGAATGAGCGTGCTCTTGCCAATATCATCGGGAAATACCCCACTTACATGAGAGCCCCCTATATCAAGTGCGGCAAGGACTGCCTACGTGACATGAAAGAGCTTGGCTACAAGGTGATTCAGTGGAGTGTGGACAGTACGGACACCGAGAAGCCGAAAGATCTCGATGCCATGAAGGAAGCTGTGGACTCGGGTCTTGAAGCAGCAGGCTCTGACGGCCGTGCACTCTTGATTCAGCATGATACGGTCCCAATGTCTGCCATCCCACTCACCAGGCACATTCTGGCTCGGATCAAAGACAAGAACTTGAGAGCTGTTACAGTAGCCGACTGTTTGGGGGAAACGCTTGAGGATGCCTATCGCAAGAAAGAACCAGTCAAGACGTATTGATAACAGCCCATGGCAATGAATACTATTCGTACTAGTATTGATGCACCCTCGATGCCTTTGCCGGTGCTCGTTGACTGACCTACAGCGGAGTTCAGAACAGTCGTTTGCAGTGAGCTGTGAGCTCGACGGCGCCCGCTCTCCTGAGATGAGCATTGAGCCAATCATACTGCACGTAATTTGAATCCGCCGTGGTTTCTCCGGCCGATGCCGCAACCAAAAAAGTGTCGCAAGCGTCCGTTCTGGAGGTGAATGCTTCCTAAAACACTCCGAGAGGGTCGTAGTTCTAGAAGTGAGCTGGTCGGAGAGACATACTGGTGTTTGCTATGTGATCAAGTCATTCAAGCTCCACTATCTTCCTCGAGTATCTTATGCAGGCTGCACAGCGGCCCGTCCTGAACACATCAATCGCAATGCTTCCTCGAGCGCGCCTCTGGTCCGCCAGCGCACAGCAGAATGTTCTCAACCCCCGAGCGCGAACGTTTGCAACCACGTCATGGCGCTGGCAGCAAGCTTTTCACTCCCAGCTCCAGGATCCCTCGACATCCGCTATACTTTCCTCCCTCAAGACCTCCCCTCGAATACCGCAGACTCTCACCGAGAAGATCGTGCAAAAGTACGCAGTCGGTCTGTCGGAAGGCAAGCTGGTCAAAGCGGGCGACTATGTGACCATCTCGCCGCACCATTGCATGACACACGACAATTCGTGGCCTGTTGCGCTCAAGTTCATGTCCATCGGCGCAACGAAGCTCAATGATCCTAAGCAGGTTGTTATGACACTGGATCACGATGTGCAGAACAAGACTGAGAAAAACTTGACCAAATACAGGCAAATCGAGGAGTTTGCAAAAAAGCAGGGGTCAGATTTCTATCCAGCTGGCCGGGGAATTGGACACCAGATCATGGTGGAAGAGGGCTATGCGTGGCCTGGGACGTTGGTGGTTGCCAGTGACAGTCATACGAACATGTATGGTGGCATCGGGTGCTTGGGAACGCCAGTGGTGCGGACAGATGCGGCGAGCATTTGGGCAACGGGGAGGACTTGGTGGCAGATACCTCCAATGGCGAAAGTGTCGTTCACGGGAGTGCTACCCAAAGGCGTGACGGGCAAAGATGTGATCGTGGCGCTTTGCGGGCTGTTCGACAAGGACGACGTGCTGAATCATGCTATCGAATTCGTGGGGTCCGAAGAAACCATGAGAAGTCTGCCGATCGATGCGCGTTTGACTATTGCGAATATGACGACGGAGTGGGGAGCCTTGTCGGGGCTGTTTCCGGTGGATTCGATGCTGCAGGGATGGTTACGATCGAAAGCTACCATGGCGGCTGTCGACGAAGCAACTGGGACCACTGGAAGCACAAGGTTTATGCATCAGCGGCTAGATGAGCTATTCTCACAACCTCTCCGCGCGGACCCTGGTGCTGCATATGCTAAGACTCTACACCTTGATCTCAGCACGCTGTCCCCTTATGTTTCTGGTCCAAATTCTGTCAAGGTTGCAACACCTCTGAATGAACTTGAAGCCCAGGACATCCCCGTCAACAAGGCTTACTTGGTCTCCTGCACGAACTCCAGAGCATCTGATCTTAACGCTGCTGCACAAGTCTTCAAGGAAGCAGCAGAGAAGAATGGCGGCCAAATTCCCAGGATCGCAGATGGCGTCAAATTCTACATTGCTGCTGCCTCGGTACCGGAGCAGCAAATTGCTGAAGAGGCAGGCGACTGGCAAGCCCTTATCGAAGCCGGCGCAGAGCCGCTGCCGGCAGGTTGCGGACCTTGCATCGGTCTCGGTACCGGCCTCCTTGAGCCTGGCGAAGTCGGTATCAGTGCCACCAACCGAAACTTTAAAGGTCGTATGGGTAGCACCGATGCTAAGGCATATCTTGCCAGCCCTGAAGTCGTTGCGGCTTCTGCATTGAGCGGCAAGATCAGCGGTCCTGGCTGGTATGACAAGCCCGAGGGCTGGTCTGGCGTTGTTCGGGGAGAGGGTGATGGAATTCCCGAGGAAGAACGCTTGATTACCGCTTCCGAAGCGTTGGACAAGATCATCGGTCAGCTCGATGATATGATTGAGACAGCTGAACAAAAGTTCAGCGGCGCCCAACCTACTGAGCAGTCCTCTGCCGATGCACCTACCGGCGCTACGGAAGTCTACCCTGGCTTTCCTGAACGCGTAGAAGGCGAGATTGTGTTCTGCGACGCTGACAACATCAACACGGATGGCATATATCCTGGCAAGTACACCTACCAAGACGGTGTAACCTCCGAGAAAATGGCTAAGGTATGCATGGAGAACTACGATCCTGGGTTTTCCAGCCTCGCGAAGCCAGGTGACATTTTGGTATCTGGCTTCAACTTCGGCTGTGGTAGTTCGCGAGAGCAGGCTGCCACTGCCATCCTGGCGAAGAAGATCCCTCTTGTTGTGGCGGGCAGCTTTGGCAATATTTTCTCACGAAACAGCATCAACAACGCGTTGATGGGCTTGGAAGTTCCGAAGCTCATCCAACGGCTGAGAACGACATTTTCTGAGAAGGCTGCACAGTCGCAGGAAGAGGCGGTTACAGAGCCTGCCGAGAACAGAGAAAGTCTAGATTCGCCTCCTACCGGTGCTACGGATGTCAGAGAGAAACTCTTGACTAGACGGACCGGCTGGAAGCTAGTTTGGGATGTGAAGAAGAGCCAAATTCAAGTCACAGAAGGTGATGGAAATACCTGGACCGAGACAGTGGGCGAGCTGCCTCCCAACGTTCAAGAGATCATTGCCAAGGGAGGACTTGAAAAGTGGGTGCAAAACGAGATTTCTGGGAAGTGAGCCTGAGGCCTATGGGCTCTGCGCAGATGCAGGCACAAGCCGACTTCTAAGTGCCGCTGGACTCTGGACCACGAGCAGGGCCTGACCATCCACAGCAGGGCTGCTTGGTTGGTGCAAGAATAAATATGGAAGCCGAGGTCGTGGATCAGGTGTTCTAGTGCCAATTCAACCATCACAGCAGAACCTGGTCCGACACGTGGGCGCTTTGCAGCTAATGAGTCGGATGCTACTTGCACAAGCTCTATACATTGAGAGGCGAACAATTCATTGGCAATACTCGGCAGAGCCTGGAACAGAATGCACCAGGGGCGGTGGAAGAAGGAGGATCCTGTTGTGAGTGGTAGAGGGTGGGATTTGGTGGGGACATAGCTGGCGGAGGCTCTTTCCGAGAAGCCGCTTCACTCAGATCAGGTGAAAGCGATAATTGCCGAATATGCAGACTGTGCCTCGTCTCCTGCATGAGGCATGCCAGGTACGACTGAAACACTGCCTGGAAGAATTTTGGGGGCCTCGACCTGTGGCTGAGGTGTTTGGGCGACCAGTACATTGGCCAATAGGACTCAGATCTTGGCGAAATTATCTATTAAAAGGACCCTTTTCTTGTCGCTATTGGCACCACGTACACTGATAAGCCCACGGGCAGGTATACTCCTCTGACAACGTTAGACCGTTTCATGTCAATTCAGGGCTGACTCTTTTTGCCTCAGTCTTGTCAGGCAACATATGGATCCTTTTCTGGCAGGGGCTGGGTCGAGGCGCGCCCAAACCCACCTGTTCACGACTCCCTTTGGCTTCTCACTGCCTTCGCTGGCTGCATGAAGACGACCTGACACCTATTATGGGGTCGTACGGCTCAGCGGCAGTGTATCCTTAGAGCCCCTAAGCAGTTCCCCAAGGTATATATTCCAACACGAATGGCTGCTACTATGGGTAGATTCAGAAGCCTTCCGTTCACTCGCCTAGCAGGCGCACGCATTCTTCATACACTCTTTGTCGGACGTTTCAATTCCTTTCGGTTTCTGATTATAGTTACTGTCACTATATACAGCTTCCTTGCCTTATAGTTCTTTACTTACCAATCATGGTTGCGATACCCACCTATCTTTTGGCCGCTTCGGCGGCCTCACAGATCAAGTCGAGATCACCAGAGCCGGCTGTCGAATCACAAGACTCGGCAGGGTTCTATGGCTCAGTGATAGGTCCTGTAGTCGGCGGCAACTTCCCTGATCCCGCAGTCATCTACGATGCTGGTACTTCATACGCTTACTCGACGAACTCTGCGGGTGTGCACATTCCCATGGCGTCTTCTCAAGACAACGCTTCCTGGTCCGTCATGACTGGTCATGATGCCCTACCGAGCCTCGGACCATGGGAAACCGACGGCCAAATCTGGGCCCCTGATGTTATCCGTACTGACTCTGGATTTGTGCTGTACTACGCCGCCGCCACAAAGGCCAGCAACGGCCAATACCACTGCATCGGCGTTGCCACGAGCGAGGACCCTACGGGCCCCTTCGCCCCTCAAGATCAGCCACTCATCTGCCCCGATGGCCCTTCCACAGGGGGCGCTATCGATCCGGATGGGTTCCAGGACAGCGACGGCAAACGCTACATTGCCTACAAGCTCGATGGCAACGCAAATGGCAACGGCGGCAACTGCAACAACGGCATCGCCCCTTTCCAAAACACGCCCATCATGTTGCAGGAAGTCGATCAAGACGGCGTGACGCTCATCGGCGGTCCTACACAGATTCTGGATCGTGACGAGGCAGACGGCCCGCTCGTCGAGGCGCCCTCGCTGCACCGATCTGACGAGGGTATTTACTTTCTTTTCTTCGCTAGCAACTGCTTTTCTTCGCCGCAGTATGCTACCTCGTACGCCACCGCCACGTCCGTCGGTGGACCCTACACCAAGGCTGCGCGTCCGTTGCTGGTGACGGGCGATGGGCCTGACGTCTACGGCCCCGGTGGCCTCGACATCATGGCCGGCGGCAACTTGGTCAGCTTTCACGGCATCTTGGGCCAGAGTGCGTCGCCTGCGAGGGCGGACGTTGGCGGTACCCAGGGTCCTTTGGTCAGGGGGATGTATACGGGGCAGATGACGTTTGGTGGACGGGAGGTGAGCTTCCAGGTCTCATCGTAAGGCTGGATGGCTGGCCAAGACGTACTTTCTTTCGCGATTTCTGGAAGGTTTCTGAGCGACTTTTGTTGCAACAACCTAGCACCATTGTCTGCGTCGACATGCTAGGGCTTGTGGGGATTCTATGGGTGGTGGACGGTGTTGACGAGGGGGAAGGTGTCTGCTTGGTTCCTTTCATTGTTACGATTCTTCTTTTGGTATTGATACCCTGTCTTTGGAAAGAAACACACGAACGAAACGCAGCGATGATGACTATAGAAACATAGAAGCAATGGTGACAAGCACCTCTACAACCACCTCCCTCCTTGGGTATATCCCTTGCATGTATTTCACAGCCAGCGGTCGTTCCTGGCCTATCTCTCTCCAGGAGATCTCCGGCTTGTCCTCCGCAATCGATCTAGGACCAAGACTGTCCGTCCGATGGACGTTGGATTTGGTCTTGGCGTGTCGACGACTTCCCTGCGCTAGAACCGTGAAGTGAGGTGAGATGACTCGCCGAAGTCGTGAGCCTGTCTTGCTCTGTGACTCCTCTGGGCGCAAACGTCGTAAGCATGTGTTCGGCCACTTAGTATGACAGGCGTATTGACCGCTAAGCGTACGGAGTATTGGCCCCCGAATGCAAGGCGGCCGTTGACTCGGCTATATTTATGGATGCTAAGTGGGACTCATACATTCCGTGGCATCACATGGTGGGAGGTCTTCATGGCAACTTGAGCAACGAACGAGTAGACGGTGGTTGCAATTACTAGGATTTTCATAACTTCACCAAACAATCTCCGCCCACTCAGCACTGACAACACGTGCTGGCCGAATCGCCACATGTCGAGAATAGGGCCTGGCTCCAAGACTCGGTCCAAACGATTTCGCAAACCCATAATCGCAATATGCCTCATGCATGGACGCCGCGGTAATATCACAATATCTGGCCTCAATCCGTCAATGAGCCCTTCCCTGGTGTCTCAAATAGTTCACTAGAACAGAATGTCCAAACAGCAGCAGCAGGCTAGTGCACCCATTATACCCGCGCAGATACCTGCTCCTGCTCCACTGCCACCACGTCGGTCGTCCGGAGGATAGTAGCCTTGAGGATATCCTCCTTGAGGAGGACCGTAGTACATGCCGCCTTGGGGCGGTCCATAGCCAGGCCCTTGCGGAGGGCCGTAATTGGGCTGTCCACCCCATCCGCGACTTTGGTCGTAGGATCCTTGAGGCTGTCCGTAATATTCTGTAGGCTGGTTGGGGTACTGCCCGTATGGGTTTTGCGCAGGTGGGTAGGCACCAACTTGTTGTACAGGGCCAGGACCGGGCGAGGCACTTGAGTTTGGTGGATAGTAGGGGCCAGCATCGTGGTGAACCTCGGGGGGCGGTTGAGGGTAGCTCGGCGGGGGAGCGTCTTTCCCAGGTGGAGGCCCGCTTGGGGCATTGTACTGGTCAGCCATTTGCAAGTCGGAGTTTCCAAATGGATGAGCGCGGGAGTTGTTAAGGTGCAGTGAGAGGATCTTAGAGTGTTCGCAGAGCAAAGGCTGGCGCGCGCGACAACAGAGCGATGGTATGCGACGACGATGAAGCGAAGAAGGAAAGAAATGGCAGATGTGCAGTTAAAGTGAAGAATGGCAGACAACAAGTGCTGCGCCACGACGCCCCCGCGTGGCCTTCCAAGTCCGCCTAGAACCGCCGAGTCTGGACACGAGTTCAATGGGTGTGCGGCTGTGTGACGGGTACAGGGGCGCAGATTTGCATCTGGAGTGACACCTGGAGAGTCGTGGTCATAGAAAGTTTGCGGCTGAGAGAATTGCCAGATGTTTGAGAGAGGTTTCAGGAATATCGCAGAGGAAGTCATGAGGCAGTAGAATCGTGGAGTCGTAGGCGCAGCAGAAGTTGAGCCGAGAATCCCGAACGCAGAAGAGAAGCCCGCGTCGCAGCCAGTCTTCTCCTTCGCGTTTGTTCTACGGACGGTGTGTGATAGCCAGTCATTGCTACGGCTACAGAGGCTGAGATGCACCGAAGTATTGCACAGCACTTGTAGCTATGTAATCTCGAAGACATGGGCCTGCCAAATCCCCATCTCTACTGTGTACTACCCTTATTACCCGAGTATCACGGCCTCGCCGCGGCCGGTATCGCTGCTCCGTGCAAGAGGCAAGTTCCAGCTTCAATTGCCGGAACATTCCAGACACAGGCACGAGCACTTAAACAGTTGGTGCCTGCGAAACTGCACATGAATCCCATGCACCAAAATGCATCGGCGATGATCTTTGGACAAATGGTGTACTTCTGTACCATCATCAGGACCCTTGTCTCCGATGTTCGCAAGGACTTGACCCACCAGTACTTCAAGCTGTTCGCGTCTTGCCAAGCGAGATGCAGTAAGTTCGTAGCCTGCACAAGGCCTATGTAGATAGATTCAGCAGCCTGCGGGTGAGAACAAGCTTCTGTCGGCACATGCGCAAATAAAAGAATTCCAGGCCAGTCCCTGCTCTGTGGATGATAGTAGATATCGCCTCGTTTGCTCACCGACCCCTTTTTAATATCTCGAGTCGCTGATGGTTGGCGATTGAGGTCCAACTGCTGGGAACCGAGTGTTGGTAGCAATTCATGCCAGGGGATTGGCCCGTTACCATGCAGCAAGTCAACAGCTGTTGGTCAGGGCTGCTTTGTCCCTATCTCCTCCGTATCACGTCGCACAACATGCTCTGAGCTTGCCTCAGCCATATCAACACCGCCGGCCCTTTGTCGTTTCCGGCCGATCGTCTGGCGTGACATGCTCGCGGTTCATACCGTTGAATCGTGCTGACGGTGCTGAGAACCAAAATTTTCGACCTGCAGGGCCACTAGCTGAGTTGTGGCTTCGGTTCGATACATGTGCGTCCATACCACAGCAAACCATTAGTCCGTCGACCCCCGTGCTCAACAGCCGTCGACCAAGTCTACCCCCAATCCAGGGGTCAGGGCACATGCTTCTGTTCTTCCACGGGTAAATCCACTTGCCGGGGGCGGGCCATTGCCCACGCGCTGGCCACCCCCGATCCCTGTCATCTAGGTCCCGCCCCGATAACGACTTTTCGCTTTTCGTCGCCCATCAGCCTTCCTTCCACTCAATCACGTCTATGATCTGGCTCCATCCCTCCCACCTTTAGTCCTGGCTATACTTTGAAAGTGGCCCTCAAGGTCTCCGTCCTTTCTCTACCTTCTCCGCAATATGAACGTCTACCTTTGGTACCACTTCTGCGACAATTCTATGGTGAAGAGCGCGATGCGATAGCTTCCCACGCTCATTGCTACCTGTCCGTCTTCCAGCTCAGGGTGCGTCATCCGCGACATGTCAACACCCGCCCGAGATAAGGATGCTAACACACGGATGTAGATATCAGATATCTGACCTATCGCTGCATACACCGCATTTTGCTGTCCCAATTCTTGCTCGCTCCTACCTGGTCCCCTGGCCACAGTCGGGCGTCTGCCTACGATACTGCTCGAAGCCTTCCATGCATCAATATAGTCCTCCTCTAGCGAAGGAGTTGTTGACCAGGAATTCGGCTCCATCATTGTATTCCTGATGTTCGGCAGCAGTGCGCTCCCGCTCCCCTCCAACTTCGCGGCTCAAGACCACCATCGCCCCCTCCGGTTGACTAGCGATTCCCGCGCATCTCCCGCGGGTCCGTGTCACTTTGTTCTCTTACACCCCTCTGTACAAAACCAACGATGTTCTTGTCAGTACTTTCACCACAACCGAGCTGCTCCCGGCAACATCTGTGAATGTGGCCATCAGGCTTGCTATCATGTTGCCCAGCCAACACCTCAGGAAAAGTCCCGGGAAAGTATAACAGTCGCTACAGGGGATGCATTGCTAGAGAGGATCAAACGGCTAGAAGAGACCATACACCATGAACGCGAGATCCGGGAGACGGCCCTGCAACGGGAGCGCTCGCTTTGGGAACGAGAAGTTAGAATTCTTCGCGAGGCACTGGCGCCGTTCTATACCAGCGAACAAGATATGCGCCGAAAATTGATCGAGGTTGAAGACCGGGTTGAAGGCAACTATGATGAGCAAATTCGGTTGAAAGATCGCGTGGTTGCGGTGGATGACGCCAACATGACTTTGGAGAAGCGGGTTGATGAGATTGAACAATCCAGATCCAAGCGACGCCGCGTCAGCCGGCAACCGGTCCAGGAGGATGTGCCAATGTACCCAAACAGCAGTGACGAACGCCGAATCTCGGATGAACGGTCTGTGAACTCGAACTCGTCCTACGCCTTATCTCCTAGCAGCAATCTCATGCCGTTGGCCCCAGAACGCGAAGAGGCTCGATCAAGTGGTATCTTGAACTTGGTCGAGATGACGGCACGCTCACGCCTTCATCCAACCCCACCTGTCCGCGCCGTACAACATCGTCCAGAAGAAGCCCGCTCCAGCGGCTTTCTTGCCCTTGATTTGGCGGAACGGCTTGGCAAGAATCATGGCACAGGCGTTGCACCGGCCGCTCCATCAACTGGACCACCCCCGCCACCCTATATGTCATTCAAAGACCGATATAGCCCGCCAGGATACGCTCAGTCTGATCCGGATGCAACAACTACACGACGGAGCCCAAGCTTTGCACCTCCTGGACAGTCCCCCGGCGATCTATCACCAAGAAAGAGAAAACATTTGACCGAACACATGGCATTGGACGTCCTCGCCGACGTCAGTATGGCGTCGCCGTTGATTCATGGATAAGTGGGACGTCTTCAATACGCGATGCCACCTCACTGGCCGCACCACAGTCGCTTGTGCCCGTACACGACACTTAAGAACATCCACTCACTGCTTGCCGTGTTCTTAGGTCGACTTGCATTCATTTCCGCCCCTCAACCATGATGATGCTATTCGGGAGGTCAGTAAATTTACATCGGGGTATAAACCAGAGGCGAGTATGGCGGCGCAGCTACAGTCTTGTCTCTGGTCTGATTTCCATTTTTGCGGAGAACTCACTGGTATCCATGGCTAGTTTTTACCTCGGCCCATTGAGGACTGTTGGTGGTGCTCGGTTGCAGCTCATATGCAACCTTTTCAAATTCCCCATGGAGGCTCCCTCGTGTCTTCCAGCCTAAAGCACCTCCTGTATGATAGCGTTAGAAGCGATTTATTTGGATAGATGGCCGGCGTTACAATTGCCTTAAAACTTACCTTGCCTGGCTTTGTCTTCGCTGAACTCGCGTGCAACTTCGTAGTTTTCTGGTCAGACTCGAATCGGGACAGATGGAAGATCGTGTGAAGCAGCGGGAGAGCCAGGTACAAACTTTTTTCTGATGTTCCAGGGGACAGGTTCCAGAGATCACAGAGAGCTGCTCAACTTCGCTGGCCCGACTTAAATTCAAGACTTACCTTCATCGAACTTGACACCATCTCGTAGTTTGGCGAGAGCCTCTTCTTTCTTGGAATGCTTCTCACACTGAAGACCAGCGTGTTAGCAGACGGAACTGCTGACACAAGCACATGCTTACCAGAATATGCCTGGCATTGATAGATTGGGCGGCTTTTAGCTTACTGCCACTGCCATTCGTGTCACTTTCATTCTTGCCTTTGGACTTGCCTTTGCTAGAATCTTTCTTCGGAGGCATGATGTTGACAGTCAACGACGGCAGCAGCAGATAGACACGTGTGAGAGATCGTCAAATTTCAGAGAGCGATGATACAGAGTCAGGATCCGCCCACCAGCAACGCTGATGAAGCGCCTAAGTTGAGGTGGTGTCTGGCACTGATGGTGCTGTGAGCCATTATGGAGGCTGGCTCGGCTGGTTGGAACGATCGGTAGTGGACTTGGCCCCTCATTCAGGTTGGCGAGGGCTGGATCCGCAATTCTAGCATCGATATGCGGCCAGAGTTTTGGGTACGCTGAGGGCACCCAGACAAAGCCGCTGCTCGGTGGCACTTGCTCCTTGCTTTGCCGGGCCCATTACCAATTTCCCAACAGACCTCCAACACCAAAGTCACCATCAAATGTAGAGCATCAATTCAGCTGTGAAGAAATGTATATCACATTAGCTAGTTCCTTGATGAGAACCAGGGTTTCCTCTAATGGCAGCAGCAGATCTGCCTCCATAGTATACATAGAATGCAGAACCCCCCTAATATGCTTCATCTGCGCCGCGGATGGAACGGGGAAATCGCAATGATCTGAAGGACCTCCAGCTGGGCAAGGCCTTGCATCCAAGTTGTGATCACTGAAGTCTCTGTCCCATCATCAATCAGACCCGTTCCCATAATTCCTTCATCCACCTATCCCTCTCATCGTCATAAGTCACTTCGCTACTTCGTCGGACTACGCGTTTAATTGTACTATTCGCAGCACTCAAAGAAACGATGCCTGCCCCTTGATCCACAAGCACCTGTAAACCGACTCGAGTCCAATTGCTTGCCTGCAGACAAGGGCAGAGCCTCACCACCTTTCCCGCAGGATCAGTGCCCGCGCCGCTTCGACTGCCTGAACTACTCGGATCATCGCCGGCCTATTCGACACACTGGCTGCACTTGACCGAGTACTAGCGGCGCGATCAACGCAAAAGAATGGAAGAGTGAGTGAGAAATAAGCGCACAAGGTAGATAGGGATAGTCGCGCTGCCATCGACAAACGCGGTCTGCCAGACTCAATTGAAAGTTGCCGTCGCGACACGTCGCAGGCCTAAGAAATGTCTGGATCATACCCACCTGCGGCGTCGCCTACGCAGGCAACCCGCCCCTACCCTCCTTACTCACCAACTCACCCGAATCGTCCGCCCTATCCCAATCACGATTACCATCAATCAGTGCCGCCATCGCAGCACCTTCTGCAGACGCCACCCCCGTTCACGCCGGCAACCCTGGTGCAAAGTCCACACTTGGTAAGACCAACATCACTCGCATCAGGTCTACCCTCACCTACGGGCCCTCCACCGCCACCCAACGGCTCGAACTACTCCATCGTCTCGAGTCCTCCTTATCCTCTGCAAAGATCTTATTCTGGACAGTACTCAGGCCAGCCGATGGCGCAGTACGATGGCGCTCCTCCTACTCATGCCCATCCATCAAGTCGATCTGGCTCTGTGCTGCAGTCGCCAGCTAGGGAACAGCAGCCTATACAGAATGGTGTAACCCAAGATTATCATCAACCTGAGTCGAGGCCACAATCAAAGGACGTAAGTGTCGCAGTTTGACATTTCTTCAATGTGCACGATAGACTGACTACTTCCCAGACAACAAGAGCGAGCAATCCAATGTCGTTCGCTAGCATCTTGGGCCCTTCTAGCAACGACACCTCTCCGCCCAAACCCATCGAAGCCAAAATACCACCGAAACCGCTGACACCTTCGAAACTCGAAGCGCCTATGACCGAAAAGCAAGATTCTTTTCAGGTGCAACCTCCCGCTCAGCATACCACAATGATACCCGCCACCAATGGCTTTGGCAAGGTGCCTTCTGTCGAGGAGGCATCTACGTCTCCGGTAGCCCCTATCATTGTACCGAAACCTCGCCGATTACCCACCTCACACGAGAGCGCAAGGATCACTAAAGCCTACGAGAACATCGATGAAGCGAGCAATCTGGAGGGAGGTGACTTCGTGGAACAGCGCACTCTCTACCGAAAGAAAGATGAAAAGCGTAAGCAACAACTGGCGGAGGTTGACGGCAATCAGCGCAAACGTCGCCGTGTGCAAGCGCTCGATAACTTGAACAAGAACTTCAACGGTATCAATGATGCTGCAGGCGCTCGGTTCCGTGTTCGCTACCTGGACGATGCGCGTGCTGAGATCGCTGAGCGTGATCACCAGAGCGAGAAAGAAAGGAAGAAGGATATGCAACGAAAGCGCCGCAGAGAGCAACAAATGCGAAATGAAGCCGACCGTATGGCTGAACTCAAGAGCTCCCTCGACACTGAAGGAAACCCTGAAGAGGTCGCTAAAATCATGGAGCAGATTGATGCTTCGAGCCAGAAATTGCGCAAAGTTGCCGAAGCCAACAATGGCCTGCCGGAAGGTCTCGATATTCCTCATATGGCACACAACTACGAGGGCGGCATGACATCGACTTTCGCAATTGGCACTCCTGAGCCAGAAGAGCCTCCCAAGAAACGTGCTAAGCAAGGCACTGGGCCTAGTGTACGACTAAAGAAATCCAAGGAAAAGAAGCAGGCGGAGAAAGACGCTGCCGAAGCAGCCTACGCTGCGATGGAGAGGGACTCAATGCTCTCAATTGCTCCCAGAGATGAAGATCGAAAGGAGTTGAAGTCAAAGCGTTCAAAGGACCAAGCTGGGCTCGTCGCATCTGTCAACTATGAATCCAAGGGCTACAACCAAATATACGAGCAGATCATTCGCGATATGGCACGCAAAGACATGCCAAAGGTCTATCGTATCAAGCAGACTTCGCTGCAGACACGCCAGGAAAACATGCGGAAGACCGCCATTCTGGCAAGTAAACAAGCTCGCAAATGGCAAGAGCGTACCAACAAAAGCATGAAGGATACTCAAGCGCGAGCCAAACGTGTCATGAGAGAGATGATGTCCTTCTGGAAACGCAACGAGCGAGAAGAACGTGATCTCCGTCGCATGGCCGAGCGGAAGGAAATTGAAGATGCTAAGAAGGCTGAAGCTGACCGGGAAGCCAACCGTCAGAAGAGGAAGCTGAACTTCTTAATCTCACAGACTGAGTTGTACTCCCATTTCATTGGGAGAAAGATCAAAACAGACGAAATCGAGAACTCGACCAATGATCCAGATGTTGCTGCTTCTACGAAGAAGATCGAGTCTGGAGCCGCGAACGCCCATACCGTCAATCTTCCCGACTCTGTTGCCGATCTGACTGGGAAGACTCGAGTCACCAACTTTGAAGACCTCGACTTCGATGCAGAGGACGACAGTGCTCTCCGTCAAGCTGCCATGGCCAACGCACAGAGCGCTGTTCAAGATGCTCAGGACAGAGCGAAGGCCTTCGATGGCGAGAACCAGATGGCCGCTTTCGACAACAGCGACCTGAACTTTCAGAACCCAACCATGGCCGGCGATGTGCAAGTCGCCCAACCAAAGATGCTGCAGGCTCAATTGAAGGAATACCAGCTCAAGGGTCTCAACTGGCTTGTCAATTTGTACGAACAGGGCATCAACGGCATCTTAGCTGACGAGATGGGTCTCGGCAAGACAGTGCAATCAATATCTGTCATGGGGTACCTTGCTGAACAGCACAATGTCTGGGGGCCTTTCCTTGTGATTGCGCCAGCATCAACATTGCACAATTGGCAGCAAGAGATCACCAGATTCGTGCCGTCAATCAAAGTCTTACCATACTGGGGCAACGCAAAGGATCGTAAGATCCTGCGCAAGTTCTGGGATAGGAAACATATCACCTACAACAAGGATTCTGAATTTCATGTCCTGGTCACTTCGTACCAGTTGGTGGTGCAGGACGCTCAATATTTCCAAAAGATTCGTTGGCAATACATGGTCCTTGACGAAGCTCAAGCCATCAAATCATCAAGCAGCTCACGTTGGAAGACTCTGCTGGGCTTCCATTGCCGTAACCGACTGCTCCTCACTGGTACGCCCATTCAGAACAACATGCAAGAATTGTGGGCGCTGTTGCATTTCATCATGCCAACGCTCTTCGACTCGCACGATGAGTTCAGCGACTGGTTCTCTAAGGATATTGAAAGCCATGCTCAAAGCAACACCAAGCTCAATCAGGATCAACTCAAGCGTCTGCACATGATTCTCAAGCCCTTCATGCTGCGCCGTGTCAAGGCCCACGTCCAAAAAGAACTCGGAGACAAGGTTGAGAAGGATGTTTTCTGTGATCTCACCTATCGTCAGCGAGCAATGTATGCCAACTTACGCAGCAAAATCAGCATCATGGATCTGATTGAAAAGGCCACAATGGGCGACGATCAAGACACTGCTACGTTGATGAACCTGGTCATGCAGTTTCGCAAGGTGTGCAATCATCCCGACCTGTTCGAGAGAGCCGATGTCAGTTCGCCTCACTCCTGGTCGAACTACGCCGAAACAGCCTCGTTTCTGCGAGAAGGCTACTATATACAATTTGCTTATTCGGTACGCAATCCCGTCCAGCTTGACCTTCCCCGGATCCTCTGCAACGATATCGGCCGCTTAGACATGGCTGGTCCCAACAATCCCCGCGCTGGTTTCGAACGTGCCGGATTCAGGAATGATGCTCTTGGGCACATGATGCGGATCTGGTCACCGGATTACATTAAAGCATCAAATGATAGCAATGGGGCCTTTGCCTTCCTCCGCTTCGCCGACACCTCTTACTCCGAGGCTGCCGTGGCTGGAACCAATGGCTTGTTCGAGCGCGCCGTGAAGCAGCGATCGGGAGCTCGGCGCAATCTACTGGTTCATGAGGACAGCGAAGACAACCCTGTGCCTGCTCACGCCATGTTCAATATCACAGGCAACGAAAGGCGTAAGATTTTGACTGAGCTGGACCCAAACTCTCCCCTTAGTCGCCTCTGTAACGTGTCCAAGCAAGCCATGGAAAACGATGGGCTTAACGTCCTGGAGCCGGCTGCGCGGGTCAAGGTCACGGCCCCACCGATCGAGATCAGCTGCTTTGATCAGAACTCGGCGAATGAGCGTTCGCTAACGATGTTCAATACTCCTGTCCGCAACACTCTCTTTCCTCTGGAGGATGGAGACGAGCAACGCCTGCTGGAGAAGGATGTTGATCCTGCGTCAGCGCCCGTCGCTGGCTTGCTCCCGGCACCAGCCTCCAACAAGGCTCGCTGGACCAACATCAGTGTGCCCTCCATGCGCCGCTTCGTCACTGATTGCGGTAAGCTGGCCAAACTCGACCAGCTCCTCCACGAACTCAAGAACGGCGGTCATCGTGTATTGCTCTACTTCCAAATGACGCGCATGATCGATCTGATGGAGGAATACCTGACCTACCGCAACTACAAGTACTGCAGACTTGACGGCAGCACCAAGCTAGAGGACCGTCGGGATACTGTGCACGACTTCCAGACGCGCCCTGAGATCTTCATCTTCCTACTTTCCACTAGAGCCGGTGGTCTTGGTATCAATTTGACGTCCGCGGATACTGTCATTTTCTATGACTCGGACTGGAACCCGACGATCGATTCACAAGCCATGGATCGTGCTCATCGTCTTGGCCAAACCAAGCAAGTTACAGTCTATCGCCTAATCACCCGCGGCACGATTGAAGAGCGTATCCGCAAGCGTGCCATGCAAAAGGAAGAAGTCCAGCGCGTCGTCATTACGGGCGGTGATGGTGGTGGCGTCGACTTCAACACCCGCGACCGACGCGAGAACCGCACCAAAGACATCGCTATGTGGCTTGCCGATGATGACCAGGCGGCGATGCTCGAACAGAAGGCCAAAGAAGCGGCAGAAAAGCCCGAGGAGGAGGGCAAGAAGAAGAGCAAGAAGGCAGCGGCGGCTGAAGCAAGAAAGAAGCGAAAGGGGGAGATGAGTTTGGATGACATGTACCATGAGGGTAAGGCTTCACCACACATTGTTTGCCTGATACTAACAATGGCATAGGCGAAGGACATTTCGAAGATGCATCTGCGAAGGCTTCGGGCGCAGCTACGCCAGTTAGCACGGCTGAGCCTCCTACTACGACGAAGAGAGGCCCACGGGGAGGCGCTGGTAAGAGCAAGAAGGCGAAGACAGCGAAGCAGCGTCTCGCAATTATCGATGCTGAAGGTGACCTGGGCATGGGCGGTGGGGCAGACTAATCAGTGGTCATTGGAAGGTGTTGGTCGTAATCGGAAGGCGGCTTTGTACAATTATTCTGGCTTGTACGCCTGCAACACATCGTTGTAAGATGGGGATAGACAGGGAGCTGCAGGTCAAATCTGACTCGGAGCGCCAAAATGAGGGCGATGGAGGCCATTACTGTGCATCGAGACATACGTAGTAGGTAGAGATAACTCTGCGGACAGCACTTCAACCTGCAGTGGCCTTCGTATCCGTGTCTACGTTCGACCTTGCCCTGGCTCATGGTCGTGGTACCGAGAGTGGTGAACACGAACGGTACCCACTCGTTCGATCCCAGTAGCTCCTTAGAGTCACACAAGTTCTTCTGAAACATCCTAGCGTTCCCAGCGGCGCCTAAAAAGATGTATATTGGTCTCTGGAGGAGTCTGATCGAGTGCGTGCAGTGGTCGTGCAGATGGCCTATGCTAGTTGACGTGGTGGCGACTGAAGTGATAACAGACGCGGCCAGTGCCAAGCCTCGGAAGTTTTGTTTTCGGTCACAACAACAATTGGCTCGACCACCCCTGTCAGCTTCAACCCTGGCACTTTCCTCTCCACTCTGCACACCTATCCGAACCCGGCCTGGCCTTGCCTTGCGCATCTCCAACGACTCATTGACATTCCCCAGCCCCCACTTTGCCGCCGCCGCCATGTGGTGGCCCTTCAAGAATCATCATGGTCCTCCTCCGGATCCTATGGACTGGCTTCCTACCACTCCTCCTCAGTCGCCCAGTCCCTACCCTCTCAACTACCTTCCGGGCGGTTGGCCTCTCGAATTTCCGCCGCCCGTCTTTCGCCGACCTGCCGAACCGGACGCCTTCCTTCCGAAAGCAAAGCGAGTTTGTCGCGGAATTGGCCGTGCAGGCGCAAAATCCGCAAAAGTCGCAACCTCCATCGGATCTGGCGCTGCTCGACTGGGAGCGCGCGCAGTATCACACACGACCAAGACTGCAGCTCGCCTTGCAGCCAGAAGCACGATCTACTCAGTGAAACTCACCGCCAATTTTGCAGCCCATAGCTCGGTTTCTGTCATCCGAGCCTACAACCGCCGCAACCCACGGCAACCTCGTGCTTGGACCGCATCCGGCGTCCCGTACCATCGCGTTGACGGCTACGACTCTCCACGATTTAGCAAGCTTCGCACAGAAAATAATCCGATTCCACTCGCCCGCCAGGATTGGGTACAGACGTACGAAGGCAGCTCCGCTGTCTACGAGATGGTTGACACCGGACGCTACCCACACACTTTCAAGACTAAACTCATGAAAGACGCCGAGTTAGCGAGACAGGCCGAAATGTACAGAGAACGTTCCATTGAAGCCAAATTATGGCGAGCAAAGTACGAGAACAATCCTTTCATGGATGTGCCCTTCGACAGCCCATGGGAAGAAGATCACACCGAGCATGGTGATCAACTACAGAGAGAGCTTGCAAAGGCAGTTCCCAAATCCCCACCAAAGCCCATACAGGCTCACAGCCATGATAGCCCTGCCAGCCCGATGTCTCTAGCACTCGAGCAGGCCCGCAAGGTTCGCTATACAAAAGAACGAATGTTCAGTGGCTCAGGCGTTGCCTCCAGAGCGGTTGCGAGATGGGAAGCCGAAAAGAGAATCCGCTCCGAGAGAGCTGCAGCAAAGACGCACGCAAAAGAACAATCGCAGAACAGTCTCGCCATAAACGGTGAATTGAACAATTCGAAGGCATCGGTTCCACCCTCCACTGCCCAAACCGAGGAGACACCGCCCACCGGCACAGCACGCTCGGACGATGACCTCATGGATATCTCTTATGATAGCCCTAGAACTCCCGACCATTCGCAGACCAAGAGAAAGTCTGTTACCGACACCACCGACATCTCGTCTACTTGCGACTTCAGTCCCCTCGAAACCCCTCTCGCATTCAAGAGAGACGCTCACAAACAGATATCAAGCTATCCCACATCCACCAGCAGTCTTGAAAACTTGCCCAGTTCCTCGGACCCTTCCGGATCCCAGAATGCGGACCAGCAGATTGTCTCTCCCACCGAGCCAGAGCTTCCTCGACGCCCTAGCACCGCTGGATCAGAAACTTCTTCTTCTTCCACCACCGAATTCACTACGACTTTACGATTATTCCACATCGCATCAGCAGACGACGCCGTTGGTTCATCATCTATCACCCCTAAGGTAGCACAGAAAGCGCCTCCATCCCGCATTTCATCAAGCGGAGTGGCTAAGATTCCAGGAGGATGGGACGATGATGAAACCACTGTTGATGACTACGATGAAGAGAAGGCTAGATATGATGCTAGCCATGCAGCACGGCGCTCTCTCAGGCATAGGAAGCAGTCAAAGGACGAGGAAACCAAGACCGAAGAAGTCAGATCCCCCGTATCAAAGAAGAGCGGCACACCTGTCAAGACGCCCAGACACAGCAAGACCAAGGGCAAGATCATCGAAACAATTCAAGAGAAGCAGGAGCGTGTTCGCAGAGCCGCTGAACAGTTCAAAATCTCCGCCCTGTCTGCCGAATGGCAAGATAAGGCGCAACACGCACTCGAGCACGGCACCAGCACTTTGAAGGCCGGTGATTTTGCACGAGTTCTCCCAACTGGTGGCCAGAGTGCTTGGCTGAACGACGAGACCATCAATTCATATCTCAGCATCGTCGCAGCTCATGGCCAGAATCATCTCGGAGGTGGGAAGTTTGGAACAATCACCCACCACGCATTTAATTCCTTCTTCTACACCAATCTCGTCACACCGGGCAAAGGCCCCCAGTTTCTACAGCGCTGGGCAAAGCGCGCCAGAATTGGCGGCAAGAACCTCCTGAACATGCACAACGTTTACATCCCAATCAACTCGAGCTCCCACTGGACGTTGTGCGTTGTCTCCGGGGTCGACAGAACAATCACATACTACGACTCCTTGAATGGGAGTGGCACCGCCAAGATGGCGGAGGTGATGAAATGGGTGAAGATGGAGCTAGGAGAAGACTTTGTGGAAAGCGAGTGGAGGATGGTCAAGGGGGAGAGTGGCCAACAGGCCAACATGGACGACTGCGGGGTGTTTACGGTCACCAACGCGCGCTCGCTGATGCTGGGCCACGAGCCCAAGAAGGCCTTTGGCCCAGCATTGGCGAGCGTGCAGCGGGAGAGGATCGTGGCAGAGTTGGTGAATGGGGCGCTGTTGCCGATGGGTTCGTGAGAGGGGAGGAAAGAGGAGAAGAAGGGGAATGTTTACGAGACGACGACGACGATGCCGCCGCCACCGACGCCCAAGGCGTCGAGCCTTTGGTTTTTGTTCTTCTGATTTTTGATCAATGTTGAGATACCCCGCCCACTGTGGCTTGTTTTGTGTAAATAAGAACTTTCAAAGACATGGACGCCTCATTGCAGTGACTATTGACTTGGTTACTTGACTTGACGTGTGGTATTGACGACACGACAGTCACCTCCTAAACCCAACAGCAGAAGTCACGAATTTTGGCTGACCGCTCTCATTGATTTCTAGAAAGATGGCGACCACCTGGGCAGCTGCTTTGATCGCGTAACCTCCTCCCATTGCGGACTCGTGTAGTTTTCTTTTTAGAACCGGATCTCATAACTGCCTGCCCTTGTCATGTACCGCACCCACTTGACACTGCTATAGTTGCCCTTTTCAAACACTTTCAAGTACCGCACCAACAGGCCGCTGCTCGTGAACATGAGCAGGCTAAACGTCATGCTCAGCGGCGGCCGACTCCAGGCCTTCTGGTGGGTCATGGTGGTCAGCTGCGCCTCGGCGCTGAGCACGAATTCGCTGCCGCCCACAAAGCGGGCAATCTTCCACACGATGCAGTTGCTTTCCGGCTCGTACTTGGCTTTGCCTTGGGTGGTGCGCTCGGTGATCTTGGCGGTGTTGAGGGGCGTGGGGATGCGCACCACGACGTTGGTGGCGAAGAGCTTGGAGCCGTAGTTGGCCTTGACGGCGATCGAGTACTCGACTTTGGTGGTACCGACTTCGCGCACGATCGCGTGCACTTTGAAGGGCAGGTTGACGTTCTCCGTGGCCCGGTAGCGCATCAGTTCGAACTCGCCGTCGGGTGGCACAAAGGAGATGGTGCGGTCCGTGTCGAACTTGGTCAGTTGCACGCACTGGTGGAACTGGCAGTCCTCGAGGGTGACGGAGCCGGCGGCTGCCCGGGTTGCTTTGCGTCTGCCGTCGGCGTTGCCAACGGGCCCGACGTCGACGCCGTCTTGCGTTACGGAGCCGACGAGCAATTGGTCGTTGAGGCCGAATTTGCACTCGGGCGTGCCGGTGAGGTAGGCACGCATGACGATCTGGCCCGTCACGTCCGCGCGGAGCACGGTGCCCGTGGCGGACATGAGAAGGTTGACGTCCTCGATCACGTCGACGAAAGCCTCGTTTTTACGGTACTTGATGTCACCGCGCCGCCAGGACTGTGCGCCGGTCGCTTGCATGGTGATGCGAGAGGTGTCGGTTGCAGGCGCCGAGACCGAGCGGATGGCGGAGGAGAGGTTGTCGGGAGTGATGTACATTTTGAGAACATCGACATCGGTGTTCTGGGGGTAGCCGAAGTCGAGAATTTCTGCACAGGTTAGCTGTGGGGGATTCATTCCGACTTCTGCAATCACCATCTAGTAACTCGTAAATGAGCACGAAGTTGTTCTTGACAGCATCCTCGTCGAATTTATTGAAGTAGCCCTTTCCTAAGGCGATGAAGCGGTAAAGGAACTCGAAAACAATGGCGGCGTTGGCGTTGCTCTTGGTCACGGCGGTGACATAGATATTCTCGTGCTTGACATGACTGAACGTCGTCGAGCCAAGAGTGAGTATGGGAGAGCGGACTTGGGCATTAGAGATGACTTGTATTCGGAAGATGTCTGCCAGCCGCGGCCGACAATCGGGTCGAAAGGCCCGGAAAATGAGGTTCTCGCCCTTCTGATTGAAGAGCAAGATCCCGCTAAGCATTTTGAACAACGCTCATGGTTCTATATGGCTATCGAGGAAGAAAGACGGGGGACGCGGAGTCGGGATAAGGCTCGGAGTGGATCAGAGAGACTTGGCGATGGACGTGGCTTCAACTGCGGCTTTCCACTCTTCATTTGATGCTGCCTTCGTTAACGAGGTCAACATGCTGCCGTCAATCGCATTGAAGCGATAGCGTTAGAAGAAAACCTTGCGGTCATACTCTGCATGCTGAACATGCGACGAACATCTCGACACACCACAGGATCGCGTTGAATTTCCACAGCGGGACCTGTGAGTCCTGGGGGGACGAAAGACATGGCGCAAACGACTGGCGATGTCGGCCTTGATCCTGCAGGATCCTATGTGAACATATCCTGCTTCGATTTGCTCCTCATCGAATTGGTTCCGCTGGCCGAGCGCATGGCACGCGAGTATGAAGCCTCCCTCGATCGACCAAGTTTCGCGAACAGATCAACCAAGAATACAAATGCTGCCTCAACGACTGGCGGGGCAGGAACGGTCATTGCAGGCGACGGGCAACCAGAGACAGAGCTGTTCAAGGAGACAATGTATTACAGGCTGGAGAGCTTGGGCTACCGAGTCGGGCTGGGATTGAGCGAGCGCTTCTCGAGGGATAGACCCCGGATTACAGATCAGCTGGATGTTATCAAATTTCTTTGCAAAGACTTATGGATGGTGGTGTTCAAGAAGCAGATTGACAACCTCAAGACGAATCACAGGGTGAGTTAATCGCAGTACCACGGGAAATCTATGGTTGCTAATCGGGGACAGGGAGTGTTTGTTCTGACGGACAGCAAATTCAGGCCATTTTCCAGGATGAGCATGGTCAGCGCGGCGGAAGCCGTTCATCGTGCGCAGCCACATCTGATCTTTCCTTGTGGCATTATTCGTGGGGCGTTAGCCAGCTTGGGCGTAACAGCGACAGTACAAGCGGAAACCCAGGACCTGCCGGCTGCAACCTTTCAAATCAAAACGGCACAGGCCAAACCTTGACGTTATGCTATTCAGATTTCATTGAACAAACGGCCAAAAATTACGATCGTCGCGTCAACAGCGCTGGAGGTCAATGTTTTCATGACATTTAACGCCTCCGATGGGTGATCTAGAGATCTACGAACCATGCTCATGGATGCATAAGATGCCTCATCACTCATACTTGTCATGGTCGTTCTGAATTCTGGGCGTGGACGACTTGTTCCCACTCCGACTGACTGTGCTCCATCAAGCTACGATATGACACTGCTGGGCAGGCCTATCTTGTGAGAAATCGCTTCATATCTAGCTGGGAGGGCTCTTGACGAAGTTGACGCCAGACTCGATGTTGCCCTTGAGCCCCTTGATGGCCTCGTCGAGCAGCTTCTTCTCATAGTCGTTGGCTTTAGGAAGGATGTTGATGGCCTTCTCGACACCGTTGGGCTAAAGGGTGGTTAGTGGAGGTTTGTTGAACGGATTAAGAGAGACTTACGCCGAGCTCAATGGGGACGGAGAAGTAGTCGACACCGGTGGCCTTCTGAATCTCCTCGCCACCAGGAACACCGGGGAGGTAGACGAAAGCAGGCTCGACAACGTTCTTCTCGCCCTTCTTGGCCTTGAGAAGAGCTTCGGCGAAGCGGAAGCCAGCGTATGCCATAGAAAGAGTCGCGGAGCCGGCGCCGTCCTTGGCCTTCACGACCTCATCGCCACCGAACTGGACACGGTTGACGAGAGCGTCGAGCTTGTCAGCAGGGATATCGACAGCAGGCTTGGCCTGGCTGAAGAGGGGCACAATGGTGCTGCCAGAGTGGCCACCAACGACGGGGATCGTGGTCTTCGCAGGTTCCTTTGCACCAGAGATCTCACCAACGAAGGTCTCAGCCCGGACCACATCGAGGGTGGTGACACCGAAGAGCTTCTTGGGGTTGAAGACACCAGCCTTGGTCAGAACCTCGGCGGCAATGGGGACGGTCGAGTTGACGGGGTTGGAGATGACCAAGATGTACGCATCGGGAGAATACTTGGCGATGGCCTCGATTAGACCTTGAACGATGCCGGCGTTGGTCTTGAAGAGGTCATCACGGGTCATGCCGGGCTTGCCTGGGATCTGTTTAGCTCTCTGAGGCGGAAATCTGAGGGTATGTCTTACGGGGAACGCCAGCGGGGATGATGGCAATGTCAACACCGGTGAGAGCAGCCTTCTTAGCATCCTCAGTCTCCTGGGTCTTGCCAGCGAAGTCACCCTTGGCAGCAACATGACCAGTGATCTTCTATGCGGTTGTCAGCGTTCTTGACCGGCCCAGTCTCTTGCTATGACCTTACGGCAACGGATGAAATGTGGGAGAGATCGGCGGCAACGCCAGGAGTGTTGACAACATCGAAGAGGGTGAGCTCATCAATGAGGGGGGAGATCTTGCAGAGGAGGGAGAGAGGCTGCTGAAGTTAGCCGAATCCCAACAAGGTCAGGATTGATCTTTACCTGGCCAATGCCACCAGAAGCGCCGAGAACCGCAGCCTTGACCATCTTGACGGTGTAGGGTTGTTGCTACGCAGCTTCTGTTAGCTTCACAACCGTCTTGATATAGTCTTCACAACGTTCGGAGACGACTCACTGTGAAGTTCTGAAATTGTTGTGTTGCCTGGGTGATGATTAAAACCAATGTGGAAGGAAACTTGTGAACGTGGATGAATTGCACAGAAGTTACGCGAAATGAAAGAGTGTCTACAACTTTTCAAGACTGCGGTGTCCAGATGAAGGCGGGCCGATGGGCGTAGTGGGGGAGCCAGCAGTGAATCGACGGCCCTTGGCAAGGCACCGTGCCCCGCGTCGCAGATCCGGAGCCCTGACCTTCTGGTGCAGTTTCGCCTCTGGTCCGCCGGCAACACCCGTAGAGTGATCCATTCCCTGTGGTAGACATAGAGTATTTCCCGGGTCAAGCTCTCTTTTTCCATGCTGACGTTACCTAGTTAGATAGAGCTCTTTCGGCGCAATACGGAGGGCGGGCTGTCTGCTATGTTGCCATCGTTGAGCTGCCTGGGATCATGTTCAGGAACTCACAACTCAGAGGTCACCAGAAACACGACTGTGAGACGATCGAACGTAGTCAGTTTCAGCATTGGAACAGCTACAGAAACCATGTCGAGCCGCAGCTGTCAGCTATCACTTCCACTGCAACGGCTCCCTGGAAACGTGGTTGACACTGATCCTCAGACTTTTGTACGGAGGACAAGGTCAGCATGAGTATCAACGAGTCTTTTCATTGAACCAGTGGTATTTGTCGTGATAGCATTAACGCCTCAGATGCTACCGATCATGAAGTCTCTATTGGACTCTGACCATGGTGGACGCCCATCCTCCCTTCCACAACCGCTCAATCAAGCCGCAGTCTCGGCCTTGAGAGCCTTATAGCCACGGGGCTTCTTCGCGGGGGCATCCTTCTTCGGCCGCTGGCTGTCTTTTAGGGCGGAGGAACGCTGAACGGCATGGAGGTTCAGATCAGAGCGGTAAGAGTTCTTGCCAACACTGTTGGAGATGTTCGAGTAGGTCCTGTGCAACTCGTCAGCACCTCAAACTTACTCAGTCCGGGAAATTTTCCTTACTTGCGGTTGGTCGTGCCTTTGCCATAAGCGTGAGTGTTGAAGCTTGAAGCCGGCTTGTTGGTACCGCTGCTCTTCTTGGTCTGGAGAGTGACGCCGCCCTTCTCGTTGGGCTGCACCGAAACAGCCTTGTCGCTGACAAAACCGGCGTACTTCTTTGAATGCTTGTTGGTCAGGTTGAAGGGATCGCGCGAGAACTGCACGCCACCAGCGTTCTTGCGCTTGACTAGGAAGGCATTGTTGCTTCCTGTTATTCCTCTTTTAGTACGAGTCACTTTCGTAGCGGTCGGGTTTTGGTGGGGGCTTACGGACAACCTCCCAGAGGAGATCAGCAGAGACGTTAGACATTTTGGCTGGCTGTGCTCGCGGGTGGAAAAGGACCTCGATGCTGTAGCGAATTTCTAGGACTTGCGACTGCGAGGCAGCGAGACTACGGTGCGGGACCCACAAATATTGCCAAGCCTTTGCCCAGCGGGTGTTAGACGGGTCCGGGTGCCGAGATGCGCAATGCCTCCCGCTTGTGTTCGAACGCCGAGCGTGCCTCACCTTGTCTGACCGAGCACCGCCGCTAGGCGTCACTCTTCGTTCACTTGAGCCTCTGATATCGGCAGGAGGTTGCTTCATGCAACGCAGCAATTCCACAGCCCATCCGAGCGGGATCTCTGAAGATCATTGATTGAACGCTCGCTCTCTGCCATCACATCCGACCGTTCCCGCAGCTGCCACTCTCACCATGGCATACATCCTATTCAGTTTCATTCTCCTCTCGCTCATCCTCGGGACAGGTAAAGGCACCGGCTTTATGGTGTTGACTCGACTAACATCCTCAGTACTCTACCTGACACGGGAACGCTGGACCGCCTACCTTCCTTCGCGGATGCAAGATGCCATGTATAGCCGCCTTCCGACAACATTCATGGGCGATGTCGAGGGCGGCTTTACCTCAGCTGACTTCGATCTCAGCTCAAATATTACCGAGGGCGATAGCCGGCAAGGTTTGGATCCCAAGAGCAAACGTGAAGTGCAGCGTCTTATGAAGATCCGCGGTATTGGCTTTGATGAAGCCCGCAGGGTTTACATGGAGCAGTCGTTCAAGAAAGCGGGAATTGGCAGTGATGGAGTTCCAAGAGATCCGAAGTTTGTTAGTTTTTCATAGGCTACGCGTGTGAAAGTTACGATGAGAGGGTGAAGGTTTCTTGATTGAAAAGAGCGAGGCGTTTCCTGTGAGGTTTTGGATCTGCGAGCGGTCAAGGGCAGGGGGCGTGAGAACTTCCTTCGTCGCCTAATGTTCTGAGAATCGCCATGTATACGGTGAAAGGGCAATGTGCCTGATTGAATGCTTAAATCGGACCTGTAGATCTCACAAGGCCATCTTGGAGGGAGATTGATACCGGAAGTGTTCATCATGAATCTCATTGAGAGCTTGACTAGGTTACAATCTGGATGCTCCGTGGAGCTAATCGTTCCCTCAATGCATGATGGTGGACCAATGTGCAACCGATCCAACGCGGAGTTGCTTCCTCGTATCTATTCACATATCGAACCATCAACGCCCAGATAATGCCGCTGAACGCCCCAGGGAAATCAAAAGTGATAGGATATCTCACATATCCGTCGTCATAGCGCATGCGAGGCTGCTCATGGCCTAGCGATGGAGCGTTGAACGCTCGCCAAACCGAACAGATTTCACGCTGTGGACTGAGTGAATACCACAAAAGCCCAGCTTAAGTCACCTTCTTGGCGATCTTCTGTGCTTCATATGACCGGTCATCGTCGCCCTCGACCTCCTTGAGGACGTTCTCCATCTCCTTAGCCTGGCGCTGCCACTCCTTCTGCCCCATCTTGGTCTCGCGGCGGAAGAGCTCCTCGTTGGGTCGACGGTAGCTGCCGCCCAGTCTGTCCCACAAAGTAGTATACTGACCGTAATCTGTTCCCTGGTTAGTAACAAGAGACAAGTGCAGGCAGGTATCAGAGCACGAACTGTAGTTGAACTAGAGAACGAATTAGCCGGCCACTCCCTCTGACAAATAGAGGGCGCACTTACATAGAGATGATGCATGGTATGACAAGCTGCACCGTTCAGGACTGGAGAGTCGGCTAGGTATTCGCCATCGTGGATCATGACTGTCCAGATATTGACGACCACGAAGAGTCCAACGTAGGCAAATTTCTGGAGGGGAAAGAGGAATGGGTACAGATGGTAGGGGATTGACTGAATGAAGCCATCCAGCGGGTGGAACGCGTGGGAGGCGAAAGGCGTAGGCATAATCCACTTATGATGAGGTTTATGCAGCCATTTGTAGACTGCTGGGTGATGAAGACCGCGGTGGAGGAAGTAGATACACATGTCGGTGAAGAGGAGGAAAAAGGGGAACTGCAGGAAGTTGTAGAGCCAGAAGGGCGCCTCGTCAGGATGGTCGTACAACTTCGCGTAGCCTCGGACGTCCAGCAGAAAGCACGGGGCCGTGAGAAAGGCCATACCAGACATGCCCCACAGAGCTTGACGGATCTCCAGCTTCACTTGATCTTTGAGGAATTTGGGGTGCTGGAAAGCGCTCTTGTCGAACACCAGCCAGTATGACAAGCCGGAGCACACAAAATAGAGCACATTGCCGAAGATCCTAGATGTGTTAGCAGGAACTCTAGTTTGCGTGGAAGTCAGAAGCCGTACCAGGTGATCAGAAACAGCGTCAGAAATTGTCTGTAGATGTTGTCTCTGGGCAAACTGCTCTCATAAGCCCAATGGTATGGCTGGACACTGAAGAAGCGGGTCGAGGGCTCGTACACCCACTGCTGTGGTTGTTGGGGTGCGCCTGTGCTGCCCTCACGCACGCTGGAGAAAGTTGCGGTCGCAACGGACTTGACATACTGAGCGACAGGTGACGTGGAGTTCGCGGGCAGGACGGTGGCATAGACAGGATCGAAGAGGAAAGTATCGAATAGCTCCAGAACGATATCCATGGCAGGCAAATAGGAGGCACACTGTGCCGGAGCGGAGGCTGAACACTGTACGCGCTTCTGTGTCCGTTCTCCGACTGTGGTATGACAGGAGCCGGTCAGGGATCAGTGGCAGTTGAGCGTCCAGAAAGCAAGGACGGGGCGCATGCGATTTTGTGAGGGAACAGACTCGGTGGCGTGAAATCGGTAGAGCGCATCCCCGACGAAAAAAGGTAGTTCGAGGTGGAGAACAGAGCACTCCACGGAATGAGCTGTTCCAGTAATGCCCAGCGATTGGCTCAACAGCCGATACTTGGCCAGCTAAGCATTGGTGCTCGCCTATCACATTCGCGCCCTGCTGCAGGGACAATTTCTACGGCGCAGACCACGCGCCCGGAAAGGCACCCTGCGGCGTGGGCTCATTTTGATTGCGATGCGCCCTGGCCGCCATCTGATTAGGGTTAGGGTAATCGGAAGTCGGGGAAAAGTTCCCGACGAATTGTTAATTGTTCGCAGTCGTCATCTAAACTTGAGGTTCGAAGACGTTATCGAAAAGTCGAGGGTGTCCAGACCTGCCCTTCGATGTTCTGCAGGATACTTGCCGCGTAGACTGCTCTGCAACATGTTATTGGATTTGGGCATCTGCACGTACAGTCGTTATTGTGTTCGTTAAGCGGTCCCCAGCAAGTCTCGATGTCTGTACCCATCTCCGCCTCCTCTGGCAACCGGCGGCACCGCTTGAACCCTTCTATCGTGGAGACAACCGCCGGTCTGTCTGCTGGATGCGTCGCGACGCTCTTGTTGCACCCTCTGGATATCATCAAGACTCGACTCCAAGGTACGTTTCCTGTTGCAGGTATTAACCAATCCTGACTCTTTAATAGTCGATACTTCTGCCCACCCACTACTCAACTCCTCCAGAACGGTTCTTCGAGATGTTTGGCGGAACGAAGGCCCCACTAGACTTGCTGCTCTATACCGAGGACTGAGCGTCAACCTTATTGGCAATTCTGCCGGCTGGGCTTTGTATTTCTTGTGGTACGGGCAAGCCAAAGATATGGTCAGAACCTATCGCGGTTACACTTCAAGCCAGGACCTTACGTCTGTGGACTATCTCGTCGCATCGACGGGCTCTGGGGCACTGGCTGCGGTCATCACGAATCCCATTTGGGTTGTCAAGACGCGAATGCTCTCGACTTCGGCCACTGAAGCAGGAGCATACCCTGGCCTCATTGCTGGCCTGCGTTCCATTTTGCGAAAGGAGGGACCGAGAGGCTACTTTCACGGACTAACACCCACACTAGCCGGAGTCTCTCACGGCTCACTGTATTTCATGGCCTACGAAAAGCTCAACAAGTGGCGTCGCGACCGCCGAGAGGCCCAGGGTGGATCTGGGCAACTTTCGAACATGGATACCATCATGAATTCAACTCTGTCCAAGCTCTGGGCTGGCACCATCACCTACCCGCATCAGGTCTTGCGAGCGCGTATGCAGACTCAGAACTTGCGCGGCGCAGAATCACCAGCTCAGCCAAACTTGAGCGTCAGAGCACTGATCCGAACCGTTTGGCGAAACGAAGGCGCATTAGGCTTCTACAAGGGTATGTTTCCGAACTTGCTTCGTGTGGTCCCCAGTACCTGCATTACCTTCCTGGTCTATGAAAACGTGAAGTGGGGACTGCCCCTGCTATGGAACAGAGACAGCAGTCCCGGCGAACAGGCCTTGAGACAATAGCGTGTCAGCCCGAACCCTGGAGGGTACTCATGTGCACGATCATCATCGGTGACGCCCCTAAACTACCCGACATGTGAAACATGAAAGATGAACATCGGTTGTCGCTGTCGCGATGCCGAGGCTGCCAGCCCTTGTTCCAAGAAACTCCCCCGGTCGGAATCGCCCGAACCCCAGCCTCGCCACTCCAACTGGCCATATCCGCCCCTATCCGCGGCCTTGATCCGCCCTACGAAACCTTCTACTCACCACAAGTCAGACTATGCATGCTTGCGGTGTGAGGCCCGAAGGCAACGGCTCGACCTCGTCGCCACCTCCACAATTCAAGAACAGACTTTGAGACTATGGCCGGCAGCCAAATTTCGCGTACAGGCATAGCAAATCTGTCGAGGCATTCCGGAAGGTGTGACAAGGCGATCTTCGCAAAGACGGTGAAAGTTCACATGTGCAGTGGTGATCAATGCCAGGACGATCCGCTCTGTCAACAAGGTTGCAGTATCTCGGCTACTGCTGCAGTAGCCATCACAGAATCAAATGCAACCTCCTCTCCACTTCTCGAGATTTTCCCAATCTTTCTTTTGGTACCCGCCACCGCTCCTGGCGGCAGGGCTGGGTTCGGGGCCTAGCAGAATATAGTCCTGGTCGTGCTGTGATCTCCGTGGCCAAACCACACTATTATACAGACTGTCACTCTTGACACATGGCAGATAAAATATCCGAGCGAGTCTCCGTAGTCTGTAGAATTCGCATCCGTCTCGTTAGTTCCAATTCCACGAACCAAGGTACTTACGGAGTACCCTGTGCCGATCTAGCGATGCCTCGTGTGCACGCGAGAACAGGACACCACAAGACCTTGTCTAGAAACGTCGCCCAAGTTTGTGTGTGGAGCTGTCAAAAGCGGACGCGTGAGCGCGGCTCTGCAGATAACTGGACGCCGGCCAACCAATACTTTCGTAATTCGGCAGAAGGAAGCGAGAGGAGGGGGCCGCGCGCTGGCCCAGGCTCCATTGAATCCGGCCCCTACATAGCGCCTCCAGCGACTTCGGGCTCCTGCAGCTCTACAGCTCAAAAGAAAATATCCTTGATAGGGTGGACAAATGCCAGACTGCTTGATGGCTAAGCAAGGGCTGACGAGTCAAGGGCTGAGCCTCCATAAGTCAGTCTAGCAGTGCTTTCAGTATCTACCCCCAAACGAGTATATACCAAGATACCGCGTGATGTGGGTCACTTGCACCAACACCAGTCTGGCCGGTGCCGACCGGGAGGAGAGAGCAGAGCAACCCAGGACAATGCTGCAGTAGACCAGAAAAAACAAACATTGCCTCTTATCTAACATAATCTCATCGTTTTCCTGATATCGTTATTTGTTACTCCGATATAGAGTACAATCTCGTGGTGCCGCAACCCTTGTGGCTGACCGCTGTAAAATGGTATATATCGCTTGCTTTCGGTAACGACAGACGCTATATGGTAGATCCGTATAAAAATATTCAACAATAAACAGCTAATGTACAGATAACCTCCCAAGGTATGTGTTACGATGTTGTTAGTTTAGGTAGTATTGTTGTAGTCAATCTTGGTGCTTCGAAACTCCCGTCTTTGAGAAACGCTCCATCCAGTTCCGGAATCGACATGGGTGCAGAAACATAAGAAAGTCGTCTCGTGTCGTCGTTCTCACTCGCTCGTCCCACTGGTGCGCTCCTGCACCGCAGCGGGTACTGCTTCAGCTTGTTTGCGAGCAAAATGTTTCCTTTCCTCCTGGAGCTGTTCTGGTAGCCACGCTTCTTTGCGGGCTCCGTGCCTTGCCTCAGACGTTTTCTGCTGGGTAAGGCCATTGCTCCTGCACATCCTTGCTGGCGTGCATCGACTCGATATCCTCCTGCTCTCTGTTGCCCACGGTAGAAGTAGGTAGAGCCTTCAACTCGAGCCACTTGGTCGCTCCGTCCGCTCGTGCGGCAGATGCTGGTCATGCCAGGCGGTGTGTAGATTTTCGTGACTGAATCAGGGGGTTCAGTCCCTTCGACTTCTTGCTCTCATGCGAATGCATCGCTTTCGCAACTAGCGGCTTCCGCCCCCCTCGCTGCCATTCAAGATATGCCGCTGCCTGTGTCGAATGCTGGCCTTCCTACAACAACCTCGACCTTTCGGCCTTTGCCACGGCCTTTAATGCCTTTGTTGCTGTTCTTGAACAGGCCGGAGAAGTATGCCTTCAACTCCGTGTCCCCTTCCTCGTGTTCGGCAAACTGGTCGCTCAGCCGTGCCAGCGTCTCTTTGTGGAACTTGTTCATGTGCGCCTTCAAATTGCCCAGCTGCGTAAATACCTTGCCCTGAATCATCTCTCGTCCGCTAGCGGCGTCGTGGCTCCGCACACGGCAGTTATCAAGAATGCACTCGTACCGTTTGCCCCGCGAGCCAGGATCTGAGGAGGAGCGCTTGCGGTTCGGGCGCTGTCCAATGTGGCGCCGCTCATGGGTGCGAAGGTTGCCGAGCTGACTGAAAGTCTGCCGACAGCTCGAAATGGAGCAGGTGTAAGGCTTCTCGCCAGTATGTGAACGGAGGTGTATCTTGAGGTGAGTTGGCTGGGAGAAGGATTTCAGGCAGGATGTATAGGGACAGATGTGCTTTTTAGGCTTACCGCCGCTCGCATTGGCGATAGATGTAGGCGTAAGAGGAGTAGCAAGCGCTGGAGTTGGGGCGGAAGGTGGCGAGAGGGTATCCATCGGGGCGGAGGCTGGAGGAGAGGTTGAGGTAGGTTGGATGGCTCGCATAAGGGCGTCGACCTCGGAGGAAGGCTGCTGTTGCATCAACTGGGGGGCCGGCTGCGAGGTAACTGACGGTGTATGCCGAGTGGTGCTTGCAGAGAAAACACTGTCGTAGCCCGAACGGTCGGTGATATCACTGGAGACGAAGGAAGAGGGCGTTTCCGAATAGCAGGAGGCAACCTCGTATTCGTCGAAGACGGACATGTCTTCGACACCCGTGGCCGATGCCGGGGTCATGGGAGTGTAGTCGAAGTCGCTATAGTCAGCGAAGGTATGAGCCCGAGTCAGGTTCATGGGCGGGTGAACTACCGAGTTGAATCTGGTGGCCTCGTAGTTGTAGTAGTCGAACTGTGGATTGCTAGCAACATAGGACAGTGGTTGAACAGGCTGGTCGGCGGACGTCAAGGCAGGCTGCGAAGTAGGTGGGCCGGACATTGGCATCGAGGTTGGTATCATCCAATTCCGCAGCTGTTGCATATGCCACTCAACAATCTGGTTGTTTGAGGGGCGGTACGACATCCTGTCGGAGCGTGCCTGGGTCGATGATATTGGTGTGTAGGGGTAAAAGGCGGATGGTCCGAATAGCTCATCACCGGAAGATCAGGCCCGGGATGTGGCTCGAGACGCGCTGCAGTCGGCGACTAGCGCGAACTGTGTCAGACAGATGGCGCTACGGGGTATCCAGAGGCAGCATGTGCGTGGCTGAGCTCCTTGTGGGCGAGGGACAAAGGATTTAGAAGTCTCGGAAGCAGCAATGGGTTGCAAGAAGGAACGCCTGAGAAAGATAGAACAGGAAGTGGTAGAGTATACAGCAAGAGTGTGATCCGTTCAGCTTGTAGTGATCGGATACCTTCCTAGGCATGCGGACGTGGGAGTAGAGGGGATATGTATCCCAGGCCGGACCAGGGTACATGCAACCCAGATTGGTGACGCTAGCGTGGGCGCTGCGTGGGGAGCTTTGGACTAGCCTGCCCAGTTGTCGTGAGCAGGGGTCGAAGACACTAGTGACGAGAGTCATCGTGGATCAATGAGCGCGAACCAATGCCCGAAACTTCCGTCGGGGCCTCCCGCTCCGTGAGGTCGTCTTCAGTGTACCCCCGACGGCACTCCAGGGTGCCGTATCCGCCTCGAGGCGGGCCATCAGAAAGTCTTCACAAGGTATCGCTTATCGCGAGGAAATGCCTCAATCGTAACACTTCGTATTGGAGGGGTGCAGGGTCCAAAAGCTGATGCAATTAAAAAATTTTCATGTATGCTCGAATATCGAAGTGAAGGAGCACCCGAGACGAAGGCCGGCTGAAGGTTGTCGAGACAGCGGCCAGCAACCAGTGGTCAGACGGCCCAGCAGCTCACATCACCAGCATCCTTGTAGGTGAGTGGGAGGCTGGACGTGGTGGAGTGGGATGGACTCAAGAGGACAAGAGCAAAAAGGCGGCCATGAGCATCACGTTCTTGCAACTCGCGCCGCTTGGCCTCCTTCCTGCTTATGAGCCTTGCCTCAATAGGATAGTACACCCTGATGGACCTGTCTCATCCATCCACTTCCTTCTGGCGGTATTCTAGCGAGCTTCTAGTCAGCCGCTATGTTCTTTCTAGCCGCCTTCTACGGTGGCCACAGTGGCCCTGAATGGTGCTGCTATTGGGTAAACACCTTTCGGCCCCAGTTCTGAGTGGAGGGCGGCTTCCTCTTTGAGTTCTCGGAAGCGTCGCTTCTTCTGTTCAGTGACGAACGATCTGAAAATTGCGGCCGGCAGCGTCGCATGGACTGAACCTTGCAGAGACGTACCTTGATACTATCTCCTTTCCGTCCGTAGAGCAACGCTATCGATGACCGCTGTTCGGATCGCATGATAAAGGCAGCTGCCCGACAAAGCGTGCGGAAAAAGTTGTTCGCCGTACAGGACTGCAAGCCAGAGTTTTATTGTCCATGTTGTCGAGCCTTTTCCATGTATACCCGACTGCCGACTCGCCCATGGTAGCTAGCAGGGGCGTAATTGTTCGTGGGGGACCAGAATTGCTACCGCTAGGGCGAGCGGCCCCAAAAGAAATGAGAAAATAGTGCCACCTGCAATTTGAAACGGGCAGCTCGATCTCAAGCGCCCATCTAAGACTGCACCGGTACCAATAGACACGATCAACGGTAGCCCCTCTCTTCTAGCCCCCGTATCATAAACTTTCTTCAGGATGGATACTGGAGCTCGGTACTTGACTTAGCTGCAGGCACTGGACCTCTTGTTGTCTAGATCCGTCCCGCAGCAATGAGCCACTGATCTGGGTGAACAGTTCCACTCTGGCGCCCTCGGTGTCCTTATCATTGCTCAACTGCTAGGTCCCGCTAGAGACAAATAATTCTATGGCATGCTTGCGTCGCAGGCTTTTATCTGTTGGCACAAGCCTAATGACGTGATATCGACAAGGAGGGCACCTCAATAGGAGGAGTGGGTTACGAGTAGAGTGCCTGGTTGCGCACAGACTGGGCTCGCTGACCAACCGCCCAGCCGAATTCGAAGGTGGCTTGCATTCTTGCTCGAATGACAGACGGTTTTTTACACATAAGACGCGGGATATACAGTGCCATCCCACCCACTGTCATCAGGTTTATTTCATGGTACGAGGGGTTTTCCAAGCCCGGGAGAAACTAGCGGCGCGGGTGTGCGTGCGGAGGCAGGCGAGGCGGAAGAGCCGATCCTAGTGTTTGAAACCAAACATCTGCCATCATAGGACAAAGCACTTCAGCAAGCGTCATGAACATGTAAAACGTCATCTATTGGGGAGTTGCGGATAGGGCCTACATAATATCGCAACTGATATCTGTTACTCATATCGAAATCTGTTAGTGGTAGAAGACCGATCGAGCGTGGGGGCGGTGTGCCAGCTCTGTGAAAGAGAGGTACCTTGCATATCGAGCTTGTCCAGTCCTGCAGCATCAAGGTGCATGGTACCGTGGGGATGACCGGGGCATAAAAGACGGCGCCTGTGACGCTTTGTTCGCCATCTTCGAAGCGCTGTAGCACGAGTCAAGCGGTGACTGCATGTATGCCATGTCGTTCGCGGTCGTCTGGAGGACCACTCAATGTTGCTGAGATCAGTCGACTTGTGGTCCATACCCCATGCCAATCTGATCGGATCCTGCAGGGCTGCATCAGGTCTCATGATCGCCGGACTATATCCGAGCTAGGACCGCTATCGAGCTCTTGCTGGCTAGCGAAGGGCTGAGTCCAGAAAGCCATGATGGTGCCATGACTGCGGCACCGAGTTCTTGCGAGGAGGAAGCGATAACGTGGGATGATGATGTTGACGAGTACGAGATGCGGACGGTCGGCGTGCAGCTCCGGGGAATCGGGAAAAGTTGAGGGCCTATCAAGTCGAGTCTCGAAAACCTGCGAGCATGTCACGGGCGTCAAGGTGAAGCCAATGCTATCCGACAACAGTCTTGGCGCTGCCACTCGCTCGTTCCGTCTACAGTGGTCAACACCATGTCTGCCTGAGGTAATGCTTGATCGCTGACTACTTCAATGAACGCAATTGGGCGTCTTCTACTCTGATAAGAAGCTTTCGGATGATGTGGCGCAGCCTCCGAGGAGCCCTGATTTGCAAAAGAACTTGTCTCCAAAAACTGATACACCAGTCCTCGATATCTCTGCTCGTACCAATCGGTCGATCCATCCTCTGCTTACTTTGTGTATCGGTCTGCACCATTAAGATTCTCTTGCAATGTATTGACTCCAGCATCCCGACGAAAAACTTGTCAGTGTCGGAGGAATCTACAGCAGCTGCTTGATTCACCGGTTGCTTCTGGGCCATTGCATGCTACTTCGCCTCTACAACTCAGTCGACGTACCTTTTATTCCCATATGGCAAGCTGGATCAGTCCTGTCATAGGATCGTTCCTTCTCTTAAGATGCATTCCATGCGTTCACATGCGTGCCAACTTCACCCATTAACTCATGTTTCCGAAAACCGCGAATATAAAAGTCAGTTGACGAATGACCCCAGCCACACGCCTAACTGCATACACCGTGCTTTAGATGCTCACGCCCACACAGAAAACGACGGTATTGTGCTAGCCCAAGTCAGGAAGAAATCATCCTCAAATTCAGGCAACCGGTGTGGTCAGCGATGCAGAAGGCTGCGTGGAGGGCGATTGTCTCTCCTTAGCCAGGGCTTCAGTCGAGATCTAGACATTTATGGCGGCAAGTCCTGAAGCGGCTGGCAATTGCTGCTTAGCTACTAAGCCATCTGGCTCGGTAGGTTATAAGTCTATCGCGGAGTGAATTGATAGAAACGGATCTTTTGGAATCGATTGTATTTGGAAAATCTAAACTCAAGTATCATCGAAGAGAGCAACAAGACAGCGCTGGCCGTCCATCCATCGAGAACCTTGCGTGCTAGTGACGCCGTCGCCGGTACCCATCGTAGACGCTATGTATCTCGTGGCATGCAATATAGCAGCCAGAAACAGACATGATTTTCCTGTCGGACCGGCGTCCGTTTTCTACTCACCGGTGTGGCCACGACGGCGTCGATACGCATGAATTGCCACTGGTCTCAACCATTTGCCGACATCTGCAGTAACGCTCTAGCTTTGTTCTGAGCGTTACCTCGAGCAAAGCTCCATCGGCTGACGGAAAGCGTATGCGAATCACAAACCCGCCTCTTGCTCAAATCGCAGTTGCCATGCTGCTCGAATTGCCAAAGTTGCACCTCAAGCGGCTGCTGACCCGGCTGTGCCACCCCTGCCAAGCCGCTATTGACCTTTTCTGTTTGAAAAATATTGGGAAGCCAAATTCTCTCCGTGTTCACTGCTCTCACGTACGTACGACTTCTAGCGCTGGTGATAAGATGAGTAGCTCCAGATACGAGCTTTCATATCACCGGATCCGGTCGCAAATAGGTGGCCAGTTGGGCAAGGCGCAACGGAAATGACGCTGTTCTTGTGCCCCTGCAGCATCATCTGCGCATTACCCGTGGAAGGATCCCAGAACTGGACACCACGATCCTTGCTACCGGACATGACCCAGTCGCCATGGGGAGTGAGGCAGACCGAGAGCACATAGTCCTAGTCACCGTTAGCAATTGGAATCTTTGCACCGAGGTCCGAGAAGACTGAGGCATACCTTGTGACCTTCAAAGGTCCTGATGCATTTGCCAGAGTTGGTAGCGGGACCAACACCGCGACCGCCGCCTAGCTCCCACATCTTGATGGTTTTATCGAGAGAGCCAGAGACCAGCTCACGGCCCGTCGGCGAAAACGCCACGCTGTAAACGCTATCCTTGTGGCCTTGTGGCCCCTCCAAACGTTCAGCCAGGTATCCAGACGCGCATTCCCAGACGCGCACGCTCTTGTCCAGCGAACCGGCAGCAACGTAACGACCATCAGGAGACATAGCAACGGTAGTGACGCCGTCTTCAATGCTAAGCACCATCATCTGGCTATTGTTTTGAATATCCCACAGACGAACGGTCTTGTCACCGGAGCCTGAGGCGATGACATGGCCGTTCTTCGAGAAATCCAGAGAATAAATGTCTTGCTCGTGGCCATCGAACGTGTTGCGAATGCGGCGGCTTTCGATGTCCCAGACACGGATGCGCTTGTCTTCGGCACCGGTAGCCAGGAGCTTGCCATCAGGGGAGAAGCATACAGATCGAATGTAAAGATCTCCCTCCTTATCGGCGACGGCGGTGTCCTGAAGCTCGCAGATCTTGCGGCCATCGTAGGCGTCGAAGATCTGAGCACTGCGGTTGCAGCCGGTAGCAACGAATTTTCCATCTGCGGAAAAGCGTACACAGCACACAACGGACTCGTGGAGTAGATTGTGTTCAAGCTTGACGTCCAACAAGCGAGGAACATTTGGATTGAAGACGGCAAACCAATCATCACCCATGTGCTTCATGTGAGGTGGGAGGTTGTCCGGCTCAAGTTCAGCAAGGGCATTGCCAACTTGTGGAATCTGACCATGACCAGACATCTGATGATGCCGGCTGAGGGCCATATCGTGAGCTGGAGGGGTTGGACGAGGCATCTGGGGAGAGGCACGAGGATCAGTCTGGTACGGCGCGGGTTGAGGTTGGCCGGGATGTTGCTGCGGAGTAGCAGGGCCTGGTCCCCGGTTGGGAATGTTGCGATTTTTGCCCAAGCCAGGGGAGTTTGTGGGGGGTTGCTGAGCGTAGCCGTTCAGAGTCGGGCCAGGTTGGTAGCCGGGGAATGAACTGGGAGGTTGAGGAGGTCCTTGGAGCTGACCGCCAGGTGGGGGAGGCTGCAAAGGATGCTGCTGCGGAGGAGGCTGCTCTGGCGGGGGTGCAAGACCAGGACCGCCAGGGCCTTGGTTAGCCATGATACCGCTGAATAGACCTCCTCCACCGTGACCGAGGGACGGGGGCGGTTGCGAAGGCCCTCCATGTTGCAGCGGGCCACCAATATGTGACTGAGCGACAGGAGGGGCGCCGCCGCGCAGGTCGAGCTCGTGTCGGAGGCTGCGAATCTCGTTCTCATAGTCTTGCTTAATCTTAAGCTGGTTCTGCTCAAGCTGATAGACCTTGTTCCTGATCAGCTCCATCTCTTGAATCTGTTGGGCGACCTGGCTCTCGAACTGCTCAGAGCTACGGTTCTGGTTGTCGAATTCGGCGCGCAATGAGTCAAAGATCTCATTGAGGCGTGAGTTCTGCTGATGACCTGGTGGCGCAGGTCCCAAGTTGGGCTGCCCACGATGTTGTGTAGCGTTGAACATATTGAGGTTAAGGAATGAAGAGACAGGTTCGTTAGGCTACCATGAAAAAGGATGGATAGAGAAGGCAGGCGGGTGAGATGGGGCGATCACCATGGAAAGTCGGAGGAGAAAAGAAGATCTTGAGGAGGCTGTGGGAGCCTGCCGTACCTAGACGCGGCGCAGTTTCCCAGCAAGAGAAACCCTAATACGCTATACTGTTTTAGGCCGTGAGGACCGGCACAGACGTGGAACGCGGCAGCCGAAGGGCTGTAGAGATTAGCTTGGCTGACAGGCCTTAGGCGTGGCCAGGGGGTGTGGTAGCTCCGGCTACGGGAAAGGGTATATTCAAGGGAGGGGGGGGGCAAGGTGGCATCAAACAGCGAACGGCGGACAGCGAACAGGTGCAATGTTACAAGCCTCTCAGCAGAGTTTAGGGAAAAGATGGACAGCCGAGTTGCACGCGATGCAGCGCATGAGCTTGTCAGGCTGGGGGCCAGTTGGCGCCGAACGCTGAACAGCGGGCCCATCAGCCCCCAGAGTGGGTCAGTGGAGCTCAAGCTCACCTGCAGCCTTCCAGTGCTCCGGGCCTGTGGTCGGGCACTGGGGCCACTGGGCACTTTGCATGGGTCTCGCCTGCAAGGCATTGACATGCAGGCTGGAGGCGCAAGCTTTGCCCCTGGCACTGTTACACAGACCCTTCCCTTTTAATGCTCAGTGGACAATTCGAGACGGTCGCGTCTGCACTGTGACCGCCCAGATCAGAATCGGGATCAGATATTCAGTCTTTGTTCTTCCGAAGTTCGAACACGTGACTTGCACGCAATCATTGCGTGACGAGGGGGCGGGACTCAAGCCTCACCAAGAACATCCGGCTGTGGCACGGGCTGCTTTGGTTGATGCCCGTATAAAGGGCGACATCGTTCTATGGACGACAGCTTGCGACTACGCTTCGCCGCAAAGTCATGGACTTACTGGACGTATACACAGGTATAGCATGCCGCTGTGACCTGATCACGTGCAAATCGACGTGTACGTGTCAATAGAAGTCGAGATGAACTGCTAGGTGAAGTGCTCAGACCGTCGCGACGATGAGCAGCGTATGGATATAGAGCACCTCTTACAGGGTGTTGTGTGAAGTGTACCATCTACCATTTTCCAACAGTTACAAGAGGGGACAGCGTATCCAGCCCGTGCTCATGTCGTCCGCTTCCCATCGGATCGCAGACGCTCATCTTAGTCTTCGGATGAGGGCCAATAGCTTGGAAGCAGAGATCTGAGAAGGACAAGAGTTGATCCTATTATGCCTTCTCCGGCAGCGCTCAACGCCGCGCACCCAGAATAGCGGAGCTGCTGATAGTACACCCTATACGGCATATGCATCGATCCCAGCTCTTTTTGCCAACCTGTGCCATAAATCTATTGTACATTCATCATCAAGTCGTCTTCTAGTTGGCGAAAGGCGAAATCAAGCTGCAAGCGGTCAGTAAATGCTAGCGGCAGGAATTGACGGTATCATACTTGATCAATGATGGCTTCGGATCGCTTCTCGTAAAGCCTTGGAAAGATTAGAGACGGTCTTCCATACCGCGTCCATCAACTTACCAAGATATAGAATCAGAGGTAGATAGCCATAATGGACGACTTCTCGGGTGATATCTAGGATTTTAGAGATGCGCTCCTGTTCATCTCAGTCAATCTTTGCGCGGCATACAACGTCTGTACGACTACGCACCTTGGACTCTTCGGAGAACTGAATCATGCCGGCCATGTTGAGGAGCTGATCGAGGATTGTATGCTGAAGGTGAGGTTATGAAAGCGAGGCGACAGTGTTGCGATGAACGTAAAGATCGATGGAGTGCTGTCGGAGAACTTTGAACTTTCCGCCGCAGCAGCTTCGCAGCCTTGGCACTAACTCCGACGTTAGAACTTTTGCAACTGACTGTTGTATTGCAGTTCCCCGCCACAGGCAAGTCGTCTACAGAGACGTGAGACGACACACCCAAACACTGTGACTTCGCTGTCGACATTCCCGGAAGTTGATCCCCTCCTGCGCCTTCAGCGCCGCCATGTCAGGCGCCCGCCATTGGGAGCAGGACAAAGACAGCACTATCTACATTGGCAATCTTGATGAGCGTGTCGCTGACGCCTTGGTCTGGGAGCTATTTCTACAAGCTGGCCGCATCGCCAATGTCCATCTCCCAAAAGATCGCGTCACTCAATCCCACCAAGGATATGGCTTCGTTGAGTTCACCTCCGAGGAAGACGCCGACTATGCCGCCCGCGTCATGAACCAAGTGCGCCTGTACGGCAAGCCAATCCGAGTTAACAAGGCTTCAGCCGACAAGCAGAAGAGTGTCGAAGTGGGTGCCGAGCTTTTCGTCGGGAACCTAGACCCTATGGTGGACGAGCGCATTCTATACGACACCTTTGGCCGCTTTGGCACGCTTGTTGCGCAACCCAAGGTACGCACCCCCCATCCTTTGCACTTTTCCTCGGGAACAGAACGCTGATAAAATAAATATAGATCGCACGCGACGAGTCTGCTCTCAGCAAAGGCTATGGTTTTATCTCCTACGCCAACTTCGAGTCCTCCGACGATGCTATCGCGAACATGCACGGGCAATACCTCATGAACAAAGAAATCAGCGTGCAATATGCCTACAAGAAAGACGGCAAAGGCGAGAGGCACGGAGATCAAGCCGAGCGTATGCTCGCCGCCCAAGCAAAAGCGCACGGCGTGCAACCCATACCTGCCACCATCCCCATGGGCGGTCCCGTGGGCGGCCCTCCTGGAATGTTCCCTGGCGGCGCTCCTCCCGCAGTCCCAGCAGGCTTTGGCGCGCCAGGTGGTATGAATGGAAGCTACCAGAATGTACCACCACCAACGCAGAATCGTCCCCCACCGACCCCGAGCACACCACTGGCAGCGCCGCCGTCTGGGCTGCCAGCGAGGCCACCCCCGTCGCAGGTCGGCTACGGAGGGCCGCAGGGGTTCGTCCCAGGCTTCGGCATGCCACCCGCACCTGCTGGTTTTGGAGGTGCACCGCAAGGAGGCCCTCCAGCGCCAAACATGCCCACCCCGTTTGCCCCGCCCCCAGGATTTGGAGGGCCAGCAACTGGAGCGATGCCGGGACCGGGGCGAGGAGGTCCAGGAGCGCCGCCCCCAGGACTACCACCTGGCTTTCAGGGCTTTGGGCTGAGGAAATAAGGAAGAGACTGGCTCTTCACATGGTTTTATCGAGAATCTGCTAGCAGGGCTCTAGAAGCAGCGGCAAAATCCTGGTCACAGGCGTGATGCGTGCAATGCGATCGAGCATCGATTCGTCCGCATAGCTATCGACAGAACACGCACTATGGACAAGATTGCAGCCATTGTCAGTCTGGTAGCTATATGCTACTGGAGCAGCACCCGCGTCCGGTGGGAGGCGCACATGGCCCGCAGAAGAGTTGCGAGGGACGGAAGACCCTGACGTGCGATACAGTGCGGAGATGGCGCTGTACTCAGCGTGTCTTGTGCCTCTATGCTTTACTAGGCTTGAGAAGTGAATGCCGACACCGACCTTGCTTCCCACGCTGTCTATCGACAAGGAAGAACCATGGAAGCGTTACAGGGAAGGCGCCAGACATGGGGACATGTCCTGGTACGCGACCCCTAGCTGAATGTCCGTGGAGGAAACAGGGTATTTGCAGCAGGTACAGACGGAGAGAATGCGGCTCTCCTCAGCAGCGCATCTCGGAGAGAGCATGTAGTACGAGGACGTGGAAGAAGAGACTTGGGAGGAAGTCTAGAATTAGACAAGCGGCATATCGTGGAAGCGCTTGCCAAAGTTTTGACAGATACCCTTAGCTAACAACAACGCTTCCGGCCATTTTGGATCCCCTCTTTCCCATGCTGTATGGTACAAGTCGCCTAGCACCTCGACGTGACGGTGGCCTGTGATAAGATGCCACCCAAACCTATGCAGGTCTTACACCTCCGCATCCATCTGCGATTCTGGCTCGCCGGAGCCCGTGGCGCCATTGGCGTCACCGTGTCCGTTCGTTGCACGTGTATCCTGCATCGTGATCTCCTCCATCTTCTCGTCCACGATTTCCCGCTCAGGCACCGGCTTCGCCATCTCATCTCTCACCCACATTTCCATAACCTTCTCCTTGCGATCCATGCACCAGCTCCATTTCGCCACCCACACCTTGACCAGTGCTTCTTCTTCCTCCGTTAACATCCTGTCCCCGTTCGCGGCCATCTGCCCCGTCTGTACGGTTTGTAGTCCTCGCTTCATCTGCGCAAAGAGCGCACGGTGTCCCGTCATTTCAGTCTCTAGTACACCACTAAGTTCTGTGCGCTTCTCTTCATCGAGGCCCGGCGTACGCGCTAAATGCACCACTTCCTTGACCTTCATAGCGACTTTACCAAGCACTCCCGTGACGATTTCCCAGCTGTGAACCCTGCTGAGGCAGCGGCCGCCATCGATACCGGTGCCGAAAGTCCATGCAATGACGCCTTCGGGTGTGAGAACCTGATAGTTGACAAGCTTGAGTGTGATGATTGACGCGGTGCCAGGCTGGAACTGCCAGTACTCAAAGATGCTGGAGATGATCTGAGACTGCATCGCAACGTTATCAATGGCCATGAGCTTTGCGAGGACGCTCTTAGATCGGTCGACGATTGCTAGTACGTGGGACAGAGATTTGGATCCCACCCAGGTTATGCTGGTTGCCAGAACGTCGATGGCAATAGCCCTTGCCTGAAGATCATTAGAGCCACCGGCTTTGGCTTCGGCCTCAACCTGCTCCAGGATTGGCTCCATCTCGTCGACTGAAGCGCGTTTGCGAATAAGCTGGACGATCTCCTTAGCTTTGTCGCCAAACGGAACACCTTCTTTCTCGAATTTGGGCATAGGCGCATCTATCTCTTTCTCCTTGGCAATGAGGGGGCCATACTCCGGAGGAAGCGTACCACGAATCCGAGCAGCAAAACTCAAGCGGATTTCCTTATCCAAAGAGTCCAGAATGAAGGCTTTCTTGGGGGTGAGATCACTGAGTTCAAGGTCCTCCGTCCATTCAGTCCATTTCCAGGTGAAGCCGAAGTTGCTCAAGTGATGGGCGAACCATTCAAGGAAACGACTGCTCAGCTCAACATCCATTCTGTCCACATTGCGATACAAGTATCGGATAGCGCGACCAAGACTGGGCGCAACCGCTTGCGGCTGCAGTCTGCAAGCCTCGGTCAAGACGCTGTGATAGTAGACAAGCTTGTGCTCCGGAGCAGGAAGCTGGAAAAGATTAGCAAAGCAGGCATCAACAGCCACATCTTCGGACTTCCATTGGACCTGACCCTCGGGAACAACATCGCGGACCTTGTCGAAGGCGGTCCCACGGTGTACAAAGGTCCTGGGAGCAAAGTACAAGTCAACATCGATCAGAATCTTCGCCGCGGTGTACCTGTTTGTATCGAGAGCGTTGATCGTGTCGTTGATTGCGTCACGGATCAAGACCGATGAGGTGTCAGACGGAGGTGGGACAGTGGCAATTTCTTGGTCCGAATAGACAGAAAAGTAGATCTCGGGGAAGATCGGCCGAGGCCCAAGTGGCATGTTCTCAGGCAGAGTGATGGTAGGGAAAGGCTGCTTCTGTGCGTCCGATAGAGGATACTCTTCATCTGCGGGAGCCTTCTCAGTTGGCCGCCACGGTCGAGGCAGGCACGACAGAGGCCACGAGTTCTTTGCTTCTTCTGTCATGTGTTTTTGAAGGATGGCAAGCAAGCTCTCCGAGCTGGTGGGACCTTGAGCCTGCAGGGACGGGTACGGATCGACCAGAGTTTCGAGTGTATGAGGCGTCGAGGCAATGATGTCGGTCTTATCGAGTAATGCGCCCGCCTGTGCCTCGATGTCATTCGCGGATGAGACCATGGCATAGGGGATTGTGAGCAGGATGATCTTGACCAGCTCAAGACCAAGCGCATCGTCGGATGACTTGGTCTGAAGATCAGCTGCTCGTACAAACAGCTCTTCAAGCAAGGGGAAGACGCCCTCGCCCTCAAATAAACCTTGAAGGCAGCTCAAGAAGCGGATATACAGTTTTGCCTCTCTCCAGTTGCCCTCAAGGATGTGCTTCTGCAAAACGTTACCCAGCTTCGTGAGAACATCAGCTCCAAACTCCGGTTTACGCGCATTCGCCAAAAGCACCACTGAGGCGATCCAGGTGATCTTGAAAGGTTGTTCGACAGTCCTGCTCATGTTAGTCTCATCGTTGGGGAAAGGCTGGAACGCGTACATTGCAATGCAGAGATCCAAGACCCTCGAGGTGAGGTCGGAGTCAAAGTAGTTGTCGGCAATGGTCTTCGCAAGCCATCTGACATCCTCTTCCACGGTGTATTGAGTCCATTCGCACAGACTCTGAAACTTCTTGCCAATTTTGCTTGCAAGGGGTTCTTCATAACGGCGGCGTTGGTTTCGTCGGTCGTCGTAGTCTCGGTCGTCATCTCATTAGACAGTCAGCAAGAACAGCGCGACATTCGGAAAGAGTGCTTACCTCTGTATCTGCGCTTGCGATTGTTGAATTGACCTCCTCTTCCACCCCGAGGGGGCCCGCGCCGATCGTAGTCTGCCATGGGCCTAGGCGATGCGAAAACGTTCGGAATAGAAAATTAGAGTGGACGAGGGAATTCCAACGCTGTCCAGAAAGAAATGACAGGACTGCGCCGATAGCAGGGCGGTTTGCGATTGGGAGTGAGGTTGGGATAATAACGGCTGGGATTCGGAAAACGCAACTTTCGAACACGACGCGCTTTGCAACCAAGGTACCTCGCTGCTCACTTTACACGAAGCTTGGCACTAACGCAAATCGACTCGCGGTCTCTGATTGAGAGACACTTATACGCATCTCATTAATACTTCATTTGTTCTTGGGACTGGCCAATAATTGAAATCGTGTATGACATTCTTTGCAGCGCTCCGACCCATCTCTCTGGTGACTGTAGCGAGCGCGACGATTGGGTATGGTATCATTCCATCAAACATCATCAGCCGACGCTATTTGATTCAATATCGTAGCGAGAGCAGCGCGTCCGGCCTTCGTCAAGAAAACGCTCTTGAATGGACACTCCTTCCGCAGACAGGCCGCAATGGGTCTTAAGTACAGAACTCCCCCTGACCGCCTATGATATGCCATTGAAAGCTTCCAGAACATTTGCCTTCTCCCCCGTTCAATGCTCTGTCTGAGCTATGCCTCTTTTTGCGACCGACCTGATTCATGAAAGGGCCACTTTTGTGGGCCAATAATCTGGTCTTTGCAGAATACCGGCGGTAAGCACCTCGTTAGTCCAGCCAAGTGGCCATGCACACAGACAATGTGTTTCTCGCTTGTGCGTGACGCCTCGAGGGTGTATGCATGCAGGATCATTCGGAGGGGACAAATTCCAACATCAAAACCATGTCTTCGTAACCTGGAATGTCGCTTTGCTCAATCAAGCCGTGCCATCATTTCGTCCTTATTCATAGGAGTGAAATTATCAATATCAAGTCCTTGCGCGGCCAGTCGAGGCTGGATATGCTGTGGAACCAGCTTATGATTGAGATGCGGGGCGATTGACAATTCTGTAGCTTCTTAGTATCACACATGAGTATAGACAAGGGGCCACTTACCATGTCGTGAGAAGTCGAAAAGAGCTGGAAGATCCCTCAACGAGTTTCCAACATGACGTGAATCAGGCAATCGCGTTCCAGGCTCTCGCAACTCGTCGAAAAATGGCTGGCACATGGCGTCGATGGCTGACAGTCGCTGGGTTGGCGTGTATTCCAACAGCGCTCCGATCAGTTCGATAGCTTCCTGCGATGCCTTTCGGAAGACCTTGTTGAAAGGATGAGGCTTGATCTGAGGGAATTTGTGCTCCATGTAGTTAGGGTTCATGGTGCGAATTTGGTCGCGAGTCGGCGTTCCGAGGACTTTGATGATTTCCACCAATTGGTCAATGCCAGACTCTCCGGGGAACAGAGGCTGACCAAGCATCAGCTCCGCCATGACACATCCGGTCGACCAGACGTCTATCAAATTGTTAGCAGAAATCAGAAACAGCTGCCAAGACCCATCATACCAATCTTGGTGGTGTAGTTGGTGGCACCGAATATCAACTCGGGAGCGCGATAGTATCTCGAACAGATGTACGAGACGTTGGGCTCATTCTCGACCAGGATCTTGGCACTTCCAAAATCGCACAGCTTAAGCACACCAGTAGCAGGATCGAGCAGCAGGTTCTGTGGCTTGATGTCTCGATGACAGATGCCTTGTGAGTGGATGTATGCGAGCGATCGGAAGAGTTGGTAGATGTAGAGCTTGACCTCGAGAATTGGCATGCTGGTCTTCATTTTATTGAAGTAGCGGGAGGCGCGGTATACGGTCTCTGGCACGTACTCGAGCACGAGGTTGAGGTAGACCTCGTCTTTCTGGGCCAGGAGGATTGGTTAGCAAAGATCGACCACACGGCGTTAAGAACTCACCCGCTCGCCGTTTGAATAGTAGAAAGCCTTGAGTTCCACAATGTTGGGGTGTCGAACAATGCGCATGATCTGCAATTCGCGGTTCTGTTCATATATGAGTATGCACAACTTGAGGATTCGGTGCAGAATAATTCTACCTTGAAGCGTTTGTCTTGTAGAACCCGTTTGATGGCAGCGTCCTCACCAGAAGGCGAGAGCTTTGTCTGAAAGACGACACCAAAAGAACCATTGCCGACGATTTTGCACTGGGTGTACTGGATCTCTCGCGTCTCACCGGTCAGTCCATCCTGGACTTTCTCTCTAACGACTTCTGCAAAGATTTTGTCAGCGAGGGGTATAGGAGGTCGCTGGGCGGGCAACGACGTACCACCCATGCGCAGGCCTGAGAACACACCTCCGGGTCTATTTTGTGACATTGTCCTCTTTCTGGGGTGTTTCTGGCTCCACTTTGGCGACTGGAGGACTACTGAATGCTGGGTCCAGCCTTAGAGGATGGGAGACAGCGAAGCGGGGAGGTGCTGGACAGAGTAGTGCTCGCTCGAACCAACGGTGCAGCAAGTGCAATCGAGAGTTGACGAGAGGTAGATGCAGGAGTGCACGTCGAAATGAGGAGTAGTGGGTTGCAGGAAACGGTGTCGAAGTGCGAGGGTTTGGAGGCAGTAGGGTAGGTGGAGGGTATATTTGGCGGACGCAGCGCTAATTTCCCCACTTTGTGCAGGTCTGGGTGAAGGAGGATGGCTTTCGAGGTCAGGTGGGAACTGCGCCGTGACAGGTGATTGAGGTTAATTCCCAGGTCGCGGTCGGGCAAAGAATGTTCAGAAGAGGTTTTGCAAATAATAATGAAGAGGCAGAGATGATGTTGCAGGATTCGAGGATGCAAGATGAGTGGTTGGAGGGGGCCAGATGGTATGGTGAGGTTGGCAGGTGATGGATGAAATGGAATTGGCGGAGGGCGAGGGCGAGGGCGAGGGCGCGGCGCAGGCGATGGTGAGAGTTGAGGAGTGCACTTGCTGCTTTCACAAGGACCGCACTGCACGCTTTTCCTTTGCTGCTGCACCGGCCTAAATTCTGGCGAATGACGAACGGGGTAGCCGCAGGTCAACCGCAAGCGTTAGGAGGTGGGCTCCTCTCTGCTATACGAGTCGACTTGTCTGCTTGTGCACCCTCTCCAGAGCCAGGAACGGCTCGAGGCTCTGATACTGACTGTTGGGACCAAATAAGAATCGATACTAGCAGAGCTGTCAAAGAGAAGGGGGGAATGAAGCAAGACCAGCAGGCGTTCGAGAAGCCCTTGACATTGGCTTTGGCATCCCTGGAGGGGGCGCCGGCAGAGTTAAGTTTAGCGTTGCTTTGAGCTGGTCTACACAACCTGGTATCAGATGATCAAGTGACCTTTTCGTCGCCTCCACCTGGTGTTCATTGTCTGCCGCCATGCCTATTCTTGCTTATGTTCTAAGCGGCCCAAGACGTGCCAACCTGATGGCAAGGCTGCTGGTGTCACAGATTCGCCAGATTCCAGGCACCGCCTCGTGAAAGCTCATGCGCAGGTACCCAGTGTCCAGCCAGTCCGAACACCGGGCCTCAACTGCTTAGGCAGAGATGGCCATCTGCCAGATCCACGACTCACACGAGCAGTAATCCCGGAGCGTTCGGACTTTGGGGGCGGGCGATGCCTAAACTATGGAAAGGCAGAGCCGCTGTGTGGGAACTCGTGCTTGCGACTGCCAGCCCTCCCCTGTACTTGGCCGCCTCGTGTTTTATTGACCGTTGCCGATTCTGACTGATGATACGCATGCATGCCAGGCAGCTGGAGACAGCTTCAGCGACTGTTTCATTTAGCCTTGTCCCGACCTCAGGTGCACTCATCTTGTTCACGGACCACCGTCCTTTGAGAGCTCCATCTTGCTCCATTTCTTCAGGCATCAAAATGAGGTCACTGACGCATTGACCCATACCCAACCGGCGCATGCTTCGCATATCCCCAGCAGACTTGACCCTACCCAGCTAAGCGCCCCCTCGTTAAGACTCTAGTTAAGACTCTAACTGATCAGTGCTAATCTTGCCTCACCACTCCAGGTGGGTATCAAGCACGTTCCAAGCCTTGTTCCTCGCTATCCGTATGTCACTGCCCCGGGCCTAGAGGCGGTTATTGGTAACCTCCTTTCGCCAACCGGATGATCGCCTGTTCCTCCTGTCAACAGCATCCAAATTAATGACATGACAAGCTCCGTTGCGATGGCATCCGTTTCATCCACAATCATCAATGTCACATGTCAGTGAACAGTCGAAAATAGTAATGTCAGGTGCTGTGCAAAGCCAGCATCACCAGGTTCAACCCTTGCTGAGGAGGTTCGAATTACTTCTGCAACACTTCGCTGAGAGTAGCAGAGATGTCCAAATGCTCAAACACTCTACTATAAGCTGCATGGTTGTCAGACCCAATAAACGCCCCGAGAAATGCACTTGCCTGCAGTCAGCGACCTCTGCCGTCTATCTGACCCAGTCATCCATGCGCCGCTAGCTTCAGCCCATGCTTGCGGTGCTTGCTTCCACCTGCATGGTCTCGCTAATGCTTGCAGCGACATCATCAACACAGCTCACCGTCATCGACTCCTTACCCCAGCCTCCAGCTCTCCTCACTAAATCCCTGCGTCATCTAGCAAATCCCGTTGCTTACTGTAGGGTTTCACGGATCTATGGTTCGGCACGTGAGTCGTTTGGCTCAGCGACTCACAATCGTAAGATGACATATGACGTATCCCGAGCCAGTCGCGACGATAGTGATCCAGACCAAATGTGCAACGTGGCGTGAGCTCGTATTACAGGACACGAACGAGGCTGAAATCCGCCGATGCACCTCAACAAATTATGCTCTCGACATACGAGCGTTGATGCCAGTAGAAGAAAAACAATTCGCATGTGCACCAAATCCATACGTTCCACTCGCCTGCCCGGCTTCACCTGATGCAGATTCTCGGGTCACACAGCATCTCTAGTAAGTCCGCCTATGCATAAGCACCTTTTTAGTAGGGTAGCTCGGGCGGGTGACATTGTAATGCGAACCACGACCGCTCGACTTTTAGCGTACTAACCTCCGAGTCGCTACTGTTTTTCTAGACGGTAGCCTCCGCTCCGCCTGGCGGCGGGCTTGTCAGTGACATTGGACATCGGAATCCGATTCCCGCCGTTCTGCGCGGAAACTGAAGTCGCAGTCACTAACCATAAACGAGCTTCCGTCGAATTTGGTCCAGCCCAAACAAGGGTCGATGTTCCTGGACCATTGCTGCTCGACACTACTCTCGTACAGAGTTCATAACACTACTGTCAGTTTCCTCAGCGATGTGAAGCTTGTCACAGTCCGATTTCGATCTGCCACGTACATAATCCCAAAAGGGCCACCTGCTATTGCCAATGATAGCAAAGGCAGTCACTAAAGATCGGGTGCCAATGCGTGACGAGTGATCTGCCTAGCAGCCTTGTTGCACCTCCCTCCTAGGTCAGCGACACTGGAGCTGCAGAGGTCCCTGATTCATGGAACCGGTGGATTGCGAAGGTAAGCACCTACCAATACTTTCTACTTGGGGTGTATTCCTGCATGAGACCACCCTCGATCGCATAAGTCGTCCTGTTGACGCGAACGATTGCTTTCATAGCATATGCCCTTGCCTCCTCGTCACAGCCCCACCCGGCCTCCCGCAATCGGCGAAGGAGGGACACACGATCAACTAAGAGGGGAGCCCGGAATGATGGGACAACTCTCTCCTGGTAAGGATCGAGGCGGACACATAGCTGGCATTAGGCCGGGTGGTAAGCCTGAGGTGAAATACAGAAGACTAGTTACTGTACTGATAAGATATCGAATTCTCACGTGAACTATCCAAGAGGCATCGGAAGCTGTGCAAGATCATGTTTGTTGTTATGTTGGTACATCTCTTTTCGCCACTTCCACGTCAAAACAAGCGTGCGTGCGCAAGACCCTGTCCGTCCGTTTCTTTCTATTATGCAACTACTCGTGGGTCTTGCCTAGCTGCGCACGTAACTCGCTTTTGGTACCTGTGACGCTCATGGCTGCCAGGCGTGGACAACATCGATGCACATCCGCCCATCGTCATGTACAGGCTAAACAACATACAAAGTACAGACGTTGGTGCACAAGGATGCTGCGCAAACACCCGCCGGAAGTGGACACGTGACCCAATCGACAGATTTCGCTAGATTGCGTTTCAGTCGACAGCGTGTCCTTGGAGAGGAGGTAGTAAAACAAGTGATGAATCCCGAAGTGGTGGACACATCTAGCAGCAGTTTCGCGGACGCTTCGAGAGAGCCGGTTGACGGTTATGGTAAGATAAGGAGTCGGTTAGTACGGTGGCGAGACCTGCTCGGTTCTCTGCGCAACTTCTTCCAGTTCCTCGGGTGCACCATCTATCGACACGGCCACGCCAAGCTTGTGAGTGCTCTGCCATGATATTAGCATATGTCCAGGTTGAAGAGCGGAACAGGAGGCGACGTACCTTGACCTGGTCAATCTCCGCAGCGAAAGTCAGGGTGACGGGCGGAGCTACTCTCCGCTCGAGGACGACACCCAGCTTCCCGGCACTGTCCACCTGTGCGCGGTACACGCTGGCCTGGAAGTTGTACTTGACACCTAGGGTAGTGGTGCCTTCTTTCCGAGGCATTCCCATCATGCCGCCTCCCATGCCTGGCGAGAATTGCAGGCTGCAGTCCACACCCGCCTCGACCTTTTCTGTTAGCCTCCTCCAGTAGCTTGCGCTCATCTGACCTGCGGCCAGCACTTGTCCCGCTGCTACCCAGTCATCACCCTTGTATCTGGCGCAGTAGCTGGCCGCAGTCTCCGGTTTGGTCCCCATGCTGGCGCGTTGGTAGACACCTTCAATACCTAATGCCAATCGGGGGGTGATGGATTGTAGGTAGCTACCAATGTAAATACCAGTGAGACCGCCTTCCATGATGGACGGTGTAAGGGCTTTGACGGAAAGGGAGAAGTCGTCGCCAGTGTATTCGTTATCGAACTGCACAACAGACTGGTCTTGCCGGGGATCAATCTGGGTTTGCGTTTTGGTGACAAAGCGGTCATTCCAGCGCAGGTTGCCCCATGCAGTGACGGATCCATCAGAGGCATAAGCGCCTTGCATGAAGACCTAGATGAAGCGTTAGTCCCTGATGATTGTAGGCGCAGACGAGAAATCATACTCTGTTTGTACCATAGATACACATCAGCTGCCAAGGGGGCAGAGCCTGAGAGCCCATTGCGAAGCCATGCTGCAACCGAAACAGAGGATTGACGGAGAAGATCTTGGTCAGATCGCATCGGAGCCCGGAGAACATATGAGCACTCAGGAGGACATCCCGTTTTACTTCGCGGTCGATGCCTTCGACGGTGCCCGGGTTCGTCAAGCCCATCGCTTGCCGCTTCGCCGCCAGGGAGGCATAAGTATCTGATATGACGGATGTGATGACATTGTCTGTGAGAAAGGAAATGGAACTCGAGGGAGCTTTTTCCTCAAGCAGAGGCGCAGGCACTTCAGCCATGACGCCGGGCAGCTGGGCGAAGGGTGGGCAGGAGGATGGCGAGGGAAGGGAGAGCGCAGCTTATAACTGCAGGACTGATAAGGACAGGACTGAAGGAACGAAGGTCAAAGGAGATGGATGGAAGGATGGAATAGTACGCTGCTACGAAGCTTCGCTCCTCAAGCAGAGTAGGCCGCGCAGGGAAATCTTTCCTCTAGCGCGCCAAGGCCCATATCCCGGTGCCGACGCTTCTCCGATCCGGAGGATGGGGAGGCGAAGGCTCGAGGCTATCGCATGTGTCATGGCTCGTTCACTTATCAGCCTCGGAGCCACCAGCAGCTATATCGTTATTGAGCTGCACACCTGTAAATCAGACCGGGACTGGTCAACATGCGGACTTTCAGACAACTACAATGACGTCTCTGGCAGACATCTTTCCTATCTGCTAGCACCTGCATGGTGAGCGTATAAACTTCTTTCCGCCATTCTCAACGATCTTCTCTCCGCCATACCCTGACAGCTGGCTGCTGGCGTCACAGTCAGGTGTTCACCACTCGCGCAGGCGAGCTACTGGACTTGACAGCAAACATGGACACCCTCTTAACCGCCGAGATGGCTATCAACTCGCCACGCTTCCGTCGGAAATCCAGCACTTTCGTGGATGCCATTCACGATTTGCCCGAGACTGAGCTCATGGCACCTGCCCAGCTTTACAGCACCGAGTCTGGTCGTTTGTTCCATTCTGGGCGCATAGCTATTGCGACCGTTGGCTTGCCCGCTCGTGGCAAAACCCATATCTCGGTCGCTCTGGCTCGGTACCTGCGCTGGCTGGGTGTCAAGACCAGGATCTTCCATCTCGGTGACTATCGCCGCGCGATTATCGGCCAAGGAGGAGACGTTCCTGATGACTACTTCTTCGTCAACGCTTCGGCTTCCTCAGTCTTGCTGCGGCAGAAAATCCTCAAGAAATGCCGAGAAGACATCTATCACTTTCTTAACCACGAGAACGGGCAAGTCGCGATCTACGACGCTGTGAACCCGTTGGCTGCTGGACGACGTTCATTAGCCAAAGAGTTCGCCAAGCATGACATCAAATGCCTCTTTATCGAATCCAGCTGTGACGACCAGCGTATTATTGAAGAGAATGTTCGGAGCGTCAAGATATCCTCACCGGACTATCGTGGCTGGTCCGAAGCCGACGCGGTCAAGCACTACCTCAACCGCATGTCGGCCAAGATTCCGCACTTCGAAACCATGGAAGAGACCGATCTGGACTGGATCAAAATGATTAACGCCGGTGAGCGTCTTATCGTCAGCAACAACAACTTCTCGTATCTCTCCCACCGCATCGTCTTTTATCTTCTCAATCTACACATCAAGTCCCGTCACACTTACTTCGCCCGCGCTGGCACCACGCTCGACGAAGAGTCATACAAGGCCGATGCCAGCCTTTCTCAGCAGGGCAAAGAATACGCGAAGAAAATGACAGAAGTTCTACTCAAGCACCGCGAAGAAGAACGTCAAGCCATTAAAGATAAAGGTGGGCCCGATACCCCTCTTAAGCCTCTCACTGTATGGACCTCCACTCGCAGACGGACGATCGAGACTGCTGCTTTCTTCGCCGCACGCGGGTACCGCGTTCGGCAACGATCGCAGATGAGCCAGCTGAACTCCGGAGTCTGCGAGAAGAAATCCGAGCGACGAATCCGACAAGAGTATCCCCACGAGGTGGAGAAGCATGAACTAGACCCCTATCATCACCGCTATCCCAGAGCAGAGTCTTACCATGATGTTGCCGTGAGGCTTGAGCCAATTATTCTCGAATTGGAACGCGAGTCGAACGACTTGCTCATCATTGCGCATGAGTCAGTTTTACGTGTCCTATATGGATACTTGATGGCGGTTAGCGCGGCTGACATCCCACTCCTCGCCTTTCCGCGGGATGAAATCATCGAGGTACGCAGTCTCTCGTTCTTGTTTGCCCCTCCTGACAATTGTAGATTATACCCGCATCTTACAACAACGAAGCGAAACGTATCAAAATCCCTGGTCTACCACCCGAGATCATTCCTGCAAGCCCCGAGGGTCCCAAAGCGCCGGCGCCTCCTTCAGGCTTTGCGACACCGCTGCCCGGGCTAGGCAGCGGACTCGGTAGTCCCGAGCGTGTCCCTGGCACCCCGGAGCCGCAACCAAGGGATGGCTACAAAACGCCGGAGGACGCGGAAAATCTGAGCTTGCGGATGCATGATGTCGTCTAGTCCTGGCAGACCGTCGCTCCATAGGAGCCCCAGCGGCAGGTGTCGGGCAGTTGGCTCGCTTTGGACAGATCGGCACAATGGGAAGCTGGAACGTTTGGGCATATCCCGTCCATCAAAGCCTTTCCCCATATGTAGCTCTGCCGGCCTCGAGTAGGGCATTCAGCCACCGTGCAATGTCGATACGAATAAGATGTTATCCCCATCCTTAAGCTCGTATTTATCCTCATTCTCCAGTTCCCAGTCTGCATCGTTAATGAGGACCAGGATTCCCGGACGTCTATTGTAGAACGTGTCAGTGAAAGCCGCTCCTCTTGGCGCGAGAGTAGCACAACCGTTGCGACATAACCGGTATCGAGAAAACGCATGTCAAAAGCATAGTAAAAGGCAGACTTACATCCCGCCATCCAGGACGAACAACTCCTTCCTCGGATCCTTGATCAGGTTCTCGACGAGCCAGCTGATGAGGTCGCCAGCCGTGGCGGGCTTACCATTGGAACTCTTGTCCGGAAGATTGACGGTGTGTTTGGGCACGTTGTCAAATAGTATCTCGAGACCACCGCTGCAGTGGGTCAGTGGATGGTATGGCTGATAGTGGGCAAAAGAGTAGAAGAAAAGGGAGGGTTTTGGTGAGAGAGACAGGCATACGTGAACTCGACTTTGATTTTGATATTTGAGGCTGGGGCAGCAACAGCCGCGGCGCTGTGATGATCGACGGTGGTTACCATGGCGTTGGCGGCGGTCGTAAAACCTGCGCCTGGAGACCGGAATCCTGTGTCGTGTATGGGTATGTGGGACGAGATATGGAGGTTTTGGCAGAGCTCGATCAGACATATACGTTCTGCGCCTCAGGCAGTGTCTTTGCCAAGCCAAAGCCTTGAAGCGTACACAGAATGAATACTGAGCCTTTCCTGGGCACCCAACATCAAGGCGACCACGGACTGCACAATAAAGATTCAAGCAGGATGATAGTCACATTGTGGAAGGAGGCTTATTTCCATCTCTGAACTTTTTGTTTTGTTGCTACCTAGCATTTCGCGCCACCGGGCTCCGATAGCTACAGAAGGCAAGCATCCGCTGTTCTAGCATTGCTCGCCACATAAGGGGGTATCTCGTACAAAATCATGGCAAAGATCTCACGCTCCTGCTCCGTCCACTGATCTGGCCTCACTCAGTCAGCCTCCTGGCCCTCAAAGGCTGGCAGCTCCTTCGCAATATCATCCCAAGACTTCTCACCATCACAGAGCGCCTTCACCGCAGCAACGATGTCGTCTTGAGACGCGCGGACTTGCTTGGTGGAGTCTCGGTCACGCAGTGTGACAGTGCTGTCCTTGACAGTCTGGAAATCGATGGTAATGCCGAGGGGAGTCCCAAGCTCGTCATTACGGGAGTACCGCTTGCCAATGCTGGCGGAGGAATCGTCGGTCTTGTTTGCGACTCCAGCCTTGCGAAGCTTGGAGGACAGTCCGTTGAGAAACTTGCGCAGGTCAGGATGGTTGGACAGCGGGACAAGTAGGACTTTCGTGGGCGCCACTATGGGAGGGAATGAGAGCACACCACGAGCCTCATCACCCTCACGCGTCCAGAAGACGTGCTCCATGAGACTGTAGAGTATGCGGCCGATACCAAATGAAGGCTCGATGACATTGGGAGTGTATTCACGAGTGTGCTCAGTACGCTTGCGCTTCTCGATGGTGATGAGATCCTTCTCGAGCTCGGTTTTGCCGGAGCCAATATTGGGGGTATCGATCGTGATTTTTCCGTCTTTCTGCAGTTCAAGAGAGAGCTTCTCGCGGAGTTCCTGTGAGAGAGCGTCCACAGCGTTTTCAACAGCTTTTGCGTCCTTTCGGAATTTAGGGCCAAGTTTCTTCTTATTGAGCTCGGCCTCCCATTCTTCAAGCACTAGAGGTTCGGCCCGAGTTTGGCGGACGACCAAAGGAGCACCAGTCTTTTCCTTGTGCACTGTCAAGTCGTAGGCTGATCTGTCAGCACAACCGACACACTCGATCCACCCGTAACTGGTGAAGAGCTCAGCATCCCAGCAGTCAGCAGCATAGTGAGCCATCTCGTTTGCCATATGCTGACGGAAACGAAGCTTGCTAGGATCCACACCAATCTTGAGTAAGAACTCCTGGATGCGAACAAGAAAGTAGCCGAGCGTCTCGTTGTCTACAAGTTTGGATCTGACAGCATCGCCAATGGTCACCTCCTCGAGCTTGGTGCTCCCAGAGAGCTGGACATCTCGGTTCAGTAGTCTGAGCTTCGTGTTCTGGACGTCCTCGAAGCGCGGGTGTCTCTTCCCAGATTCCGGGTCCACGAAGTGTTCAATCTCAGCCATCAGGAACTCGCGCACTCTCAGTAATCCAGATCGCGGAGCGATCTCATTCCGGAAAGACTTTCCGATCGAAGCGGAGGCGAAAGGCATCGCCTGCTGGTTGAACTCGAGCAACTTCTGGAAGTTCAGAAACTGCCCCTGGGCAGTTTCAGGGCGTAGGTAGCCATTTGGTCTGTCTGCAGCCGGACCAATCTGGGTCTGAAACATGAGGTTGAAAGCCTTGGGAGGTTCAAGCTCAACTCCGCTGGTGGGACCCTTGATGTTGAACTTCTTGATAAGCTCTCCGAGCTCCACGCCGCCGTAGTTGTCGATCTTCGCAAGGGTCTCTTCGTACTCCTTGACTACAGCGTCATCCAGCTTCTGGGCAGCCACAGCTTTGACTTTCTTCTTTTTCGCGTCTTTCGCCTCCTCAACTTCGATCTTCTGCCCACGAGCTTCCTTGTCGGCTGTCAACCGAGCCTCGAGCACTTGCTCGACAAGGTGGTCTGCGCGGAAGATCTCGCCAGTCTTGGGATCTTTGCACATCCAATCGGCAAATTTGTCAACGTGCCCGGAGGTCTTAAGAATAGCTTCTGGTGTTAACATGGTGCAGTCGACTTCCAGCATGTCCTCCTCGAGAACAAAGTGTTTCCTCCACAGGTCCACAATGTTCGCCTGCAAAGAGCACCCTGGGGGCCCATAGTCGTAGAGGCCCTTTTCTCCCCCGTAAATCTCGAACGCAGGAGTGTAGAATAGTCGTCGTCGCAGAAGACCGTCGAGAACACCACGGTCAAGAGGTTGGCCGGTCTTAGTCGTGCTTGTCGACATGTTGACAGGTGCCTTACGATCGACCTTTGCTCTGCTAGCTGCGGCAGTGATTGAAAAATGTCTTGTGCAAGGTTGAAAGCTTGTATTGAAGCAGCGCGGGAGGCGCAGGATGAGTCGCATAAACAGTGATGGTGAGGATTGCAGCTGTTGAGGACGGCACACGCTCTAGATAATTTCAATGACTGTGGTGGCTGGTATGTAGGAGTCAGAATACATCTGGACAATTATTGACTCAAGGAGAATCCATACAGCCTTGCGCCCCTCGACAAGGCTCCGAGATTCCAATAATTTTGCGACCAGACAACGAACTTTTTGCAGTGCTCATTTATACACCCTGAGAGGTGTTTGCAGTATCAACGTAGCCTTGATACAGTCGCATTATCTTATTCCATCGAACGATAGCCCCAGATGCCTGCAAGACGACTTCAACTATCCGACAAGGCGTCGCTGCCTTTCAAGACCTCCAACAAGCAGAAGCGGGAAGATCTCTACATTAAGCAGAAGAAGGCTCGAGGCGCCATAACGCGAGCAGAGAGGTTTGCACGCAAGAAGGAGGAAGACCGGAACCCTAGACTTCGTGAGGAGCGACTGCGGCGAAATGTGCCGCATACAATCGACAGCAAGCGGGCCTATGACGAAGTAGCGGATGAGCCGGAGGACGGCGGTTTAGGAGTTGCATATCACGTCGAAGGTGTGAAGAGGAGGAAGCTCTTCGAAGATCAGGAGCTCCCGGAAGATGCGCCTGCGGCGACAGAAGGACAGGAGGACGAGGATGAGGACGACAGAGACAGTATGTTAGACACGGACTCTGAGAAGGAGGACGGAGATGATGTGAATGTTGAGGAAGCAGAAGTCGATCCCCTGCCCTCAAAGGCAGAGATCCGGACCTCGAGCTCTTCAAGACCTCGGGCAGCCTCGCCGACACGTTCGACGACATCCACCGCTCTGTCTCTTGCCCCTGCCGCGCTGGCTGCTAAGTTTCCCTCGCTCTTCCAGAATGGAGACGAACTTCCACCCACGCCACAAGTTCTGATCACAACCTCTATCAACTCCACACTTCACTCGCAAGCCAAGACGCTGGTCGGTCTGTTTCCGAACTCCAAGTATATTCGCCGCTCATCACATCGGCATGGCTACAAATTCTCGGTTCGTGAGATCTCCTCGTTCGCCCACAACCAGGGTTATACGGCAGTTGTCGTACTGGAAGAGGACCAGAAGCGGCCAAGTGGTATGACCATGGTGCATCTGCCCTCTGGTCCTACTTTTCACTTCTCAATATCGAATTGGTATGAATCGAAATCGCTGCCAGGCCACGGGAAGGCTACACCACATGCTCCAGAGCTGATACTCAACAACTTTACCACACCACTGGGTCTTCTAACAGCACACTTGTTCCGGTCGCTTTTCCCACCTAAACCAGACCTCCAGGGGCGGCAAGTGGTCACATTTCACAACCAGAGAGATTTCATCTTCATGCGTCGCTTCCGCTATGTACTCCGAGAGAAGCGAGAATCCGAGAAAGTGGTCGTCGGCAGCGATGGTAAGCCAATAGTTGGCGCCGAAGAGGTACGAGCAGGGTTGCAGGAGCTAGGCCCACGCCTGACGCTGAAATTGCGAAGAGTCGACAAAGGCATCCAACGCAAGTCGGGCCAGGAATGGGAATGGAAGGGAAAGACGGACCGCGTCAGGACGAAGTTTCAGCTATAGTTACCCAGAAAGATTGAGATTTGGCCCACTACACAATGGTCTCTCGTTGCTTTCAGCCAATCCGTCTTGCTTGTTCTAGCACAGAATATCCGACGCTGCCATATCTCTCTCTCTCGTGCCGCTAATTTGTCTGGCGTGAACGCTGCATGAGTCGTCGGCGAGGTAGGCGACGCGGCTAACCCCAATCGGGACACAGGCTTGGCACCCGAGTACCTCAATTCTGAAGTAGATCGGAAGACTGACCCTTTGGTGGTCTTACAACCTGCTGAATTGCCCAAACCCGCCGCGATGGAAGAGGACGCCCTAAGGCAGTACATGCCCACGTCCTTTGGTGGTGTAGGTGGTGGCTTTGATCCTGATGCACAGATTGAAAACGCCAGGCGGAAACTGCCTGAGACTCAGCAGGCACAAGAAAAAGCAAAAGCAGCTTCGGGGTCAGAAGACGACAGTGGCGATGACGACGACTCGGATGATGAGGACGAGTATCCTACTTCCCACGAGATCGTCTTCAAAACGCATGAGCGGCCACTCACCACCATCACGGTAGACGCCTCGGGTTCTCGCATGATTACTGGTTCTACAGACTGCACAATCAAGTTGCACGACTTTGCTACACTGGCACCCAACACATTACGAGCTTTCAAGTCAGTCGATCCCACTTCGACGAAGGATGCTGCAATGTCTGAAACACACCCAGTTCACGTTGCAAGATTCAATCCAAACTCGCCAAGCCGCGTCCTGGTAGTGTCTGCTACGCCTCAAGCAAGGATATTGTCCCGAGATGGCGAACAGATCATGGAATTCAACAAGGGAGACATGTACCTCCGTGATATGAACATGACCAAGGGTCATATCAGTGAGATCACCTCTGGCACGTGGCATCCTTCCAAGCCAGAACTCTGTGTCACCGCTGGCACTGACAGCACTCTACGCATATGGGACGTGAACATTGGAAGCAAGCAGAAAGATGTCATCGTTCACAAGTCAAAGACTGCCGGCTCCGCAGGCCGGAGCCGTATGACAGCGGTGGCATGGGGTAGTCAAGTTGAGGGTGGCAACAACATTCTCGTCTCTGCTGCCCTGGACGGCTCTATCCTCATATGGGGAGGCGATGGACCCTTCACGCGGCCCAGCGCCGAAATCCGCGATGCTCATACGCCAGATACATGGACTAGTGGCATCGACGTCAGTTCTGACGGCCGGCTCGTCATCACACGCGGTGGCGACGACACGATCAAACTCTTCGACACTCGCAAATTCAAAGCCCCAGTCTCAACCACCACACATCCCTCCACCTCCTCTCAATACCCAACATCCAATATCATCTTCGCCCCGAACGCCTCCGCTGTTCTGACCGGCTCCCCATCGGGTGACCTACACATACTCAACCCTGCCACTCTGCGCCCGGAGCTCGTCACCCCCGTCACCCCCAACTCCCCACTCATAACCCTCGGCTGGCACAGCACCCTCAACCAGATCTTCACCGGCAGCGCCAACGGCCACACACACGTCCTCTTCTCGCCCAGCACCTCCAACAAAGCCGCGCTGACCATCCTCTCCAAGCCGCCCAAACGGCAACACATCGACGACGACCCCTCCTTCACCACCGCCACCGAAGCCATCTCCTCGGACTCGATCGTCAACCCAGGCACGGCCGGCGAGGCCATCCAGGGCTCCACGTACTCATCGCGCCACCCCACCATCGGCCTGACCGCCAGCGGCAAATCCCGGGACCCGCGCCGCCCGCACCTGCCGCAGACGACGCCCTTCGCCAAGTCGCAGCCGGACGAGAGGCACATCAAGGAGAGCATCCCGCTGAGCAGCATGCGCGAGGAGGACCCGCGCGAGGCCCTGCTCAAATACGCGGACAAGGCGGACAAGGACCGCATGTTCACGGGCGCGTGGAGCAAGACGCAGCCCAAGACCATTTACGCCGACGTGGAGGGGGATGACGAGGAGATCGAGCCGGCGCAGAAGAAGCAGAAGCGGTGACAAACTACCAGTAATTCTAAGACATCATGGGAAAAGCCCAGTTGTTGTTCCTGCAGAGTTCGAATGGTTGTTTCGGCCGTTTCGAGTGACCGGTGCCATGATAGTAAATCAGACTTTGATACCCAAACAACGCCTTTTTAAACTCATAATTCCCGCACAACTGTTGTACACCACGATGCCCCTAGCTTTGCCGTGCTTGGACCTGGACCCGGACCCAGTTTTGGTACGCAAAGCCTCACTGATGCCCTGGTGGCCCTCCTCATGACTCTGGTGCCGGGATTTCGGAAATGGATCCCCAACGCATGTTTGCGGGTCTTGCTAATGTCCTGGTGTCCTCATCGTAAATCTGTTTTCCATGTTTAATTCTTGACCATGTAGCTAGCTCCGCGCTGGCCTTCCTGGCGTCGTGTTGCTTTGCTCGTGGACCAGTTCCCAGATCGTACCGGTCGTTTGGACATGAGCCTTACACAGGGAATGCCAATGAGAGCCGCTCCCCTCCATATGAGCCCCTTTCAGGCTCGCGCTGACCGCCTGAAATCCGAGGTCGCTGCGCAGGCCATTATTGTGCCCTGATCATCCCCGGTGGGACTCCTTCTCTGACCTGAGTTCAGACCTGCTTCTCCACCTTACCCGTCCACGCCTCCTTAATGTCCTTTCTGGATGGACGTACCAGCCGCTTCATTCCTATCCATGGCGTGTTGATAGGCGACTCGCCCGTGAATATCAGCAGGTCATAGAGGAAGCCGCCTAGAGCAGTGCCAATGAAGGGGCAGACCATTGGAACCTGTGTTGGTCAGTCTCTGTCTAAACGATCCTCAAAAACATGTTTGGGAAAAATGAGACATACCCAGAAATAATAGTCTCCGGCCCGCCACACTTCAGGTCCGTATCCCACCATATACGTAAACAAGCGTGGACCGAAGTCACGCGCCAGGTTGATGGCATAGCCCGTTTCCCAGCCGAGAGTCGCGCCGATTCCAAAGATGAGGAAGAAGAGCATCAACGGTGTCTTGTCGCCTGCGCCAAGGTTACCGTCGTCTTTGAGGGCAAAGATGACGAATATCAGTATGGCAGAGGCGATGATCTCGCTGAATACCTGGCCGGTCTTGGTCAGGAACGGTTGCGGGTATGTGTTGAAGACTCCGGCTGTCGCGGTGTCTGAATAGCCGGGGACGGTGCGGATGCCGGCGCCGCCTTCAAATTCGTCAATGGCTGACTTGTAGTTCCCGTAGATGACAGCGGCGCCGCAAAAGCAGCCAAGAACTTGTGCGCAGGCGTAGGGCAGCCATTTCTTCCATGGGAACTTGCGGTAGAGGCACATGCACATTGTCACGGCTGGATTGAGATGTCCGCCAGCGCCGCCAGCTACGTAGACGCCGAGCATAACCCCGATACCCCATCTACGGAACATTTTAGTGATGCCCTCCTAGCTCGCTGCGAACAGAACTTACCCCCAAGATATGGACTGATAGTCGCCCTTGTTTTGGCTGGACTCTGGAAGATTGGGATTCGCCGAAAGCATCACCTGTGCAACCGAGCCGTCGCCGAAGATGATCATTATGAAGGTCCCAAGAAATTCCTTTGAGTAGAGTCAGTGCTGCTTCGTAAATTGTATACCAGTACTTACCATGAAAGGCTCACGGAGGTGGTGCCGTATGCGGGACCAGAGTAGATTGTTGTGGTGTTGGTAGTCTTCCTCCATCTGGTCATAACGATCGGCATTATCGATAGGTGGGCCATGTTCGGCGTGATATGGGTAGTCGGTATGCGCAAAGGTCACTTCATCGCTGGCATTTGCGGTGGATGAGGATGATTCACCGTGATCAGCCGACAGGGCAGGTGGTCGGAGACCGGCATCGACCTGTTTCTGTTTCGCCACAGCCTCCATGGTGCACAGACGAGCGCAAATAATGTAAAACAATGGCAGTGCTTAGAGGAGGTACTGACAAACGCAATGGGGACAGAAAAAAGGCGGAAATGTTAGTATATGGCAATGTAGTAGTCGGGATACCCACCCCGAAGTCTCGTCTCGCGCCATTATCATCATGGCACATGATAACGGAGAGCGGCTGACGGGATTCGCAGTTTCCACCATGCACTCCACAGTGCAAGCCGACCGGGCCGGAAAAGTTGTGTGCTGTTGCGGCGCCACCATCTGCATAACAGCGAGCAGACAGCACGAGTGGACAGGTTCATCGAGTCACGACGTTGCTAGCGCTGTATGAAATGGCTGCAGGAACGCGGGGAAGTTAGCTAGGAGGAGAATCAGACCTCAGACGAGGGCAGACCATTCCGCGCGCGAGGCGTCCGCACATCTGCCGTTGATGTGCGCATCGGGGTGTGGCCGAGAGCTGAGACGACCTGAGTGGACGGGCTGAGGCGAGGTTGGGGCTGGGTGGACAGGCGAGCCTAGGGTGGTGTGTCAACCGCGCAAAGTGACGTCGTTAGTGCTCGCTGTCGCATTCGAGCGGCCAAGACCAGAGGAGCGGCAAATGCGCAGTTTTTGGCGCCAAACAGGCGATCAGCGGGGTCTGATCGACCCCGGCCTGGATCTGTTAGGTATAACAGCTCGAGTTCGGTCTCTGGAGACCGAGAAGTCGAGGAGTCGCAAAGTCGGCAGGCCGAGGAGGTGGCACGCTTAAGCGGGATCGTCATCTCACTTGGCACGTGGATGTTGCTTATCAAGCTGTCCGGCTGAGAGTGCTCGGGAGGAATTTGGCTATTCTTACCAGGTCAGCACGGAAGAGATGATGGGCATATCGGTAGCCTGCGGACAAGGCAGCTGCATCTGATGGTAGCCTTGGAAAGGCGTCGAGGACGGGCTGCATCCAGGTCGCACGCTCTTGGCACTGCTCCCCACCCGCATTGATGACTCCTGGATTCTCCGAGCCACAGCCAGTGCCACGAAACGAATATATGAGGGCTGGAGCCGACCTGAAGCCTCGCTACTGACTCGATCGATGGTGCGGAGTGGTTTTGGCCTGTATATAGGCCGTGGGGATACACTGCTGGTGGTCATTCGGAGGAGGCTCTTTGGTGAGGGGTAAAGCCCGTTAATCGTGGAAGGAGACTTCCAAGCACAGAATCTCCGTTCGACCACGCGAATAGGAGCGGCCTATTGCACCTGTTTTATCGGGTTCGATCAGGTAGGTTTTGACATGACGATATATAGTAAGACCGGCCGCTCTTGGATCCTGCTATTGAAAGCAGAGTATCCATCGGTTTCACAAAAGTCTTCTGCAGTTTCTATACCACGTCCCGAGCCACCTTTTCCCTCTCGGTCTAACAACATGTCTACACCAGCCGAAATTGCAGCAGAGTCGCTGCGCTCGAAACAGAAGCCCCTCAAGGACCAATACCGTTCTGACCCATCTTCGGCGTTCATCACATTGAATTCCTCGGGCGACCTTGATCCAACATCGACTTCACTTACCTGCAACCTGGCCTCCGCCGGCGCTGCCCAGAAGAAGGTGGCCGGACTCCACAAATTAGCGGGAGGTGAAGGCTTTGACGCAAGTGGGGAACTGTGTTCTGGAGACATGCTGTTAGAAAGTCTTGTGGCATGCTACGGTGTAACTGTCAGAGCCGTAGCTACGGCCATGGGCATCGCAATCCAGGGCGGCACGGTCATTGTTGAGGGCGACCTTGACTTTCGTGGTACGATGGGCATTAAAGGTGAAGATGGGGCTCAAGTACCAGTTGGGTTCCAGGCCATCCGCCTCAAAGTCCGACTCGAAGTTGGGTCCGAGGACAAAGACAAAGTCCAGAAACTGATCGAGTTGAGCGAACGGTATTGCGTCGTGCTGCAGACACTGAAGAAGGGAGTCGATGTTGAGGTCAAGCTTGGCCATATCGGAAAGCCTGTTCCCGACGCTCGAAGCGATTCTCAAGCTCATGAGGATGGAAACGGACAAGGCGAGGGCATGGCGCCGGCAGTTGGGAACGAGGATGTCTTGAAGCTGAATTAATATTGCTCAGCGACCTCCCTTCGTCCAGGCTGGCAGCAGTGCACCAGTTGTATCTCCAACATTGTGCCTTCACAAAGAGGCTGGTGCTGTGTACGGAGTCTCGCATCGTTCTCTACACAAGGACTCGGCTCTGGGAGGAGTCGGTGTTCGCAATCGTGTTTCCAAATCGACAGTGATGCCAGTTCCAGCCTCGAATCTCCAATGCCGTTGCCAAGCTTCACGAACCGCGGCGGGATCATCTCCCGCGACTCTCTAGCAGCCCAAATATCTCACGATCCAACTTCGCTTAACACCACTCGAAAGACGGTAATGACTAGCTGCTGATCTCACTGGACCCGGCGATTTGGACAGCACTCATTGTGGACATGTGATTTTTGGCGATGGCTGTCATATCGACGCAGGGGTATCAGGAACCCGGGACTCCCCTGGAGTTGAATCCGGCTTGACAGGTAGGCAGAATCTAATCCTCAGCATTATGATCTTCCTGTTCGACGATTTATTTCCTTTGGGTGCATTCCTTTGATCTTCAACGCGGGCGACATGCTTCGCGGATAGAATGTCCCGCCCAGCGTACTTGGTCTCTTGACTGCTCGTTTCCAGCTTGCAGCTTCGCAGCCCGCATCTACCACCACGATCCCTTCTGTTTCCGAGTCCCTTGCCCTCATCGAGGCCATCGTTACGAGAACTGTAGCCTGGGGTGGGGTCTCGGTGTTCACAAAAGTCGTCCAGGGGAAGAAAACTGTGGATTCGACCACTATAATAGGTAACAATCACTGTATCAACCAATACCGACCACTCTGCAATCAGAGATTCGGTGCAGCCGGGTTGAGTGACGAGAGTCGGTCCAAATACGGTCTAAATCACAACAGTCACCACCAACACAGGTGCGCTGGCTGCCTCAGCGAATCTTCCACCCAGTGTCAACGATACACAAACAATAACACCGCCGATGACGACCTCAGCGGCGCAGCAGGAGGACGGAATTTCTGGGCAAGACAGTCTCTCAGCAGGCGCAATAGCAGGCGTTGCGGTAGGCGCTACTCTGGGCGCTTTGCTACTCATTGCACTTGGCTATCTCTTCTTCCGCCGCCGTTCCAACGCTACAGCTCGGCCACGATCCACGACTGTTGGCGGAGACATCACCACCAGATCTGAGGATAGCAATAATGCGTCGTCGACACCAGTGGCGGCATCAGAGAGAGATTTTGACAAGCCCGAGACGGAGCGGCCGGAGGACATGACTCACCCGGCATATGCCGCGAACCGCCTCAGCGACCATATGAACTTGACGGGCATTGTCTTTGAGGACAAGGAGGATGAGCCCATGTATGTCGGAGTGCCGGCTCACCTCACCGGGCAGAAGCGATGGAGCAGACAAGGCTTCGACAAGAATTCATATAGTTCATAATTAAAAGGGATGCTACCCCCCTCCCCACCCAATCAGCGATGCGGTGTTAGCGGTGGGAATTTTATGGTTGACGAATATTGCCATGACGGCCATCCCATCATCTAGCCTTAAGGACTGATAGGAGAGTGTCTACAAAAAATAGGACGACGCCGCTCGGCCCAGTTCGCGGCTCGCAAGCGTGATCGATGGGATGCCAGCACTGGCAATTGCGACCTGATGGACATGAAAAAATGCAGCTCACGGCGGGGGGGGGGGCGCATTCGATTCTCTGCTCCTGGTCTCACTTCACTTTGCCATACATGCACAGTCGGCCCTGTCCTACTACGCCATCGTCTCCAAAGTCTCTTCGGCACGTCTTCGCCAGCAGGCCGTCGTTCCTTTCTCGCACAAAGCTACAACCTCTGGCCCCCTGCTCAACAGCTGCTGGGGTTACTCGTGCAGGCAGCTGCTCAACCCGCTCGCTTGAGGTTGGGGTGCGAAGACGGCAGCGACTCTGGCTCATTCTACGGCATTATTTGGTTAGACACATTTCGTCTTCTGAAGTTCCAGGGACCGCATCTATGCCGAGCTCAACTTGCGGTTTAAGAACAGGGTCGCTGTCTGGAGGTTCAAGGATACTAGGGTGGGCGCCCTTCCGGAGCAAGACTTTCGCAATGCATGCCCTGTCTCTCAGTGATTTGGCGTATGGGTACTCGCAGAGCACAGTGGTGATTGGGCAGCGACTGGAGAAGGTGTAATGTGCGAGAGGGTTAGCGACGATACTTGTATCATCACATGAAATGTATCAGATATGAGTGGACACTATGAAGATTTCAGTCCTAATTCTGCTTGATCGTATCCAGTATGATTTGACAATATCATCTACCTGAATCTCGTCGCATCTCCCCAATGGGATCTTAGCAGCCCTGTCTTCTCTGAAGTTCGCGCCGACTAACAATCAGCTTCTGTCGCCCAAAGATCTGCTCTCGGAGAGGACCAGCAGGCCAAAACTACTCTTAGATATCAACCCCAAGATTCGAGCGCTTCAAACGCGTGAGAAGCGCATTATCATCATCATCTCCCCAGAACCTTCTTCAGCGCGACGCCGAGCCTCCGCTCCTCGTCACCCGCCGCCATGGCTCTCCAGCAAACGAAGCGATCCGGCCTCACGAGCACGCAGCCATCTTCGTCGACCTCCATCTTGCGCGACCAGTCCCGATAGACATCCTCCCAGTCCTGCCCCCACCCGATGCTGTAAGCGCGGATGTCGATGCCCAGCTCCTTCGACGCCGTTTGAGCGGCGGCTTTCCACCCTTGGCCGCCAATGCCCGTCAGCAGGCAGAAGACGCCGTGCCCGGCCAAGTCGTGCGTCGAGACGTGGTTCTTCTGGGGCATCCGCTTGTTCAGCCACGCGTGCGGCAGTCTGCTGCCGGGGTAGGTGCTGGCGCGGTGGTACAAGACGGGGTCCTCCGGCCATTGCGGGGGCGCGTCCTTCTCATCGTCCACGACGACGCCGTCGCTGACGTAGCGGTGGTTCATCTCGACGCCGATGCCGTGAAACTCATGGGACGTGCCGTCGATGGCGTCGTTGAGCAGTTTCCTGCGGGCGCGCCCGGCTTTCGTGGCCGATTTGAGCTCTTCCATCACCGCCATGCGTTCTTTCGGTGTGGGGAGCGTCAGACCCATGGCGTCCCAGACGGGCGTGTGGTCGCGTAGGCCTTGGTTCGCGCGCGTGACGACGCCGAGGCCGACGGGCTGACGTTCCGGGCTGAAGGTTGAGAGCAGGGAGTGGGAGGCGAGGCCGTTCTCGACGTATTTGATCTTCCAGGCCAGATTGTAGGCGTCTTGGACGCAAGTGTTGGAGCCGAGGCCGTTGAAGGGCGGGTGCCGGTGGACGGCGTCGCCGAGGCAGTGGATGGTGTTGGTGGGGTCGGAGTAGCGCTCTGCCACGGTTTCGTTGATCAGCCACTTGGATACGTCGAGAATCTTCAGTGGAAGCTTGTCGTTGCCCACGATCTTTCTGCACTTGGCCTCCCATTGTGCCATTGTGGGTTCCTTATACTCGACTTCTGGTTTGGGAAAGAGAATGAACATCCACTCGTGCCACGGCTTGACCATGCGGATCAGGCCGCTCCACGCAAAGTCGTCATAGTCGTCTTCTGGTTGGAAGACCCAATGAAGGTTGCCTTTTCTGGCATCGACATAGTCTGACAGGTCCACTTGGACCAGCACGTTCAAGGCCAGCCCTTGACCTGGTTTCTTGATGAGCGGGATTTCCAGCTGGCGAATGACCTGGCTGCGGCCGCCATCGGCGCCAAAGAGGTACTTGGATCGAACCAGATACTCGCTCCCGGTTAGATCATCCGCGAGACGGCTGACGATCAAGCCGTCGTCCTGACGCTTGAAGTCGAGGAATCTGGTGCGGAAACGCACATCCCAGCCTTCGGCAGTCGCACGCTGGATCATGATGGGCTCGAATTCGGTCTGTGGCAGGTCCACGTGCCGGCAAGGCGTGTGGCTCTCGTACTCGCCGTGGCGTTGGGGGTCGTTGCCCCAGGAGTAGATGCGGGCGTACTCTTCGCCGGTCATGTCGTGACACCAGCGCGTGTGGATCATGTTGTCGCCGGCGGTGGCGAGTCCCACAGCCCTTTCCTCTAGGCCAATGTCACGCAGGCACTCGAAGCAGGCAGGGTTGGTGATGTGGGCGCGAGGTGTCTGGGATGTGGTTGGGGCATTGGAGATGAGTAGACCTGTCATGCTGTAGGGTGGGTGAGAGAGGAAGCATGCTAGAGACGCGCCTGCTGGGCCGGCTCCTACTATCAGCAGTGGTGTGTCGATGGTTTTGGCGGGGTGGCCCTCGCCGTTGACCAACGCCGTCGACCCCATTTTGGCCGCGTGTTCACCGCTGTCCGTTGGGTTTGGTTTCCTGTGAAGTGAGTCTGTCACGAGCAGACGAAAGATCTCTTGTCCGCCCTTGAGAGCGCGCTGGGTGTGTCAACATCTAAAATAGCCAGACAAGCAGCGAAGGAAAGTGGGAGATATCCATGGTTTAGCGTCCCGTGCGGCGTCCACCCCGGCTCTGGGCCCAGACTGCGGTACTGGCTTGCCCCAAGCAGGACTAAGACTGGGCTCCGGACCCAATCAGCCCAGCAACAAAGTCGACTGTGGTCACCGGATGTGTACCGCACTTCGGGTGTGGGGCGAGCGGAGCAATATCGCTGGGAGACGGCCAAATTCTGCTGTTTACCTAAGAATTGGAAATCCACCGATACACCGCGTCGGAACGTGAGTCTCCAGCGAGCGCTATTCGGGTGCGAGCGCGAGGGTCAGAGTGCTATGTTGTGATGGATTAGTTGATTGCTGATGCAGGTTCTTACTACCGCATACTACTGTACCTGATTCATCCCCACACTCACGGCCTGTTCTGGGGGAACCGGTCCCCGCTGATTTTGTGATTTTGAATGCTGACGATTGGCTTACCACCACAGCACGAAAACGCAACGCTAGCCGTTTTCGTGATGATTTCAATGACGTACTGTAGATCGGAACAAGTGCTGCAACGAGGACTGAGTCGCGAGCTCACCCATGTCACAGAACGAATATACCTCACCTGCGTCGCAGAAGCTGACAACGGCGAACGAAAGCACGAGGCGAATACCCACCGCTCCAAGCAGCTCTCGACGTGACCGTAGCAGCTAGTGGCACCAGCAGCATCCGTTTCCTTCACACGTCCCTGTCCACCGCAGGCATCGCCTGAATCACTACAACCATGCTCTTCCTCCGGGCAACCTCCTCCTTTCGGCCCTCTCTCGCCAGCACAAGTCCGACCGTCCTGCTCACCCGCCAGCTCTCCTCCCCCGTCAGCAAGAGCACCACCCGCACTCTCCGCGTCCCGTCCCTCTTCCGCCATCCCGCGCGTCCCCTCGCTGTCGCCTTTGGCCTCTCCCTCCCTTTCCTCGCACCCTCTCGCCCGACCCTCAACGACTCTTCACTCGGCCCGGCCCAGTTGCCGTCATTGAGCGGCCAGGGCGAATCCTCGTCTCCGTTCTCGAGCTCTGCGCCGGATGCAGCAACAGGAGGAAAGAAAGATGTGCCGGTGTTCAAGGACGGGTCGTTGAACCCCGCGGCCGTCAAGCAGATTAGTCTAGGGGGCATGCTGGGATTGGGGGCCGGCGTGTTGCTAAGTATGTTCAGTCGCATGCTGGTACTGGTGCTGGGTGTCGGAATCGTGGTCTGGCAGGTACGTGACACTTGATCATTCTTTCAGGCGTGGAGATGGGTTCAAGATTGAGCGAATAGATGGTTGGAGCTATTTGGTGATGAGCCATCGAAGATCGATGCTTTATAAGATCTCACTAAGCCGTCTCGCTATGACTGTTGACCCCCCCGCTTGACTGAACAACCACTAACAGTCCGTGTTCACAGTACGCGGCACGGAAAGGCTACAACATCATCCCAGTCGAGAGGCTGCAGCGGTACGCGAAAGGCGTGAATGTTCGGAGTGCCATCCAGCAGAACGTCGCGTTCAAGATCAGCTTTGGACTCGTCTTCGCATTAACGGCGTTCGGAGAATTCTAGCACTCTGCTATGGGGTATCATGATATACAACAATGGTGGCAGCACGGCTCGTGAGCGAGAGCTACTCTAAGTTACGAGAGGGAGGCCAAACCAATGTGTTGGCGTCTTTGTGCATTCAGGCTAAGGGGTTTTTGACTGTACAGATTCAAAAAGACTTGTTTGACCAATTGCAAAGCTTCTTTCAGACTTGCTGGCTTCACACGCCACAAAGGAGTTCCCTCCTTGTTCGGCGTTTCTGGTGAATGTGCAGTCGAATCAACCGGCAGGGCACGGGTGCCAATCATAACTCATACAGCAGCACAGCTCTTTGCACGACACAAGCTCCGATTCAGATAATATCAGGAAGTGCCTCACGCGGCCAATTCCTTCTCCCACTCAGACACCTGCTGCAACGTTCTGTTCAGCTCCTCATTCTCCTGCTGCAGACGATCGACAAACTCCCTCAGTGAATCGACCTCTTTTCTCATTTCAGCACGCCCCTGCTGCAGCAACTCATTCATCCTCACCAGGTCCTCCCGGCTCCCACTACCTCCCGCCATTAGCTCGCGTTGCAGATTTGCATACTGGTGGGAAACGACTTCCAATTCATCATTGATCGCTTTGGCAGCTTTGGCAGCAACACGGAGCTCGGCTTTCAGGGATTCGACCTCGGCCAGCAGTACCGTTTCTCTGATCGATGTGGCAGTCGCTTGGCCGGGGTCAGCACTCAAGGCGCGGTCGACTTCACCTAGAGCCGTGGTCGCCTGAGCCAATTGCTGGTCTCTCGACAACGCCAATTTCGCGAAAGAAGCCATGAGCCACTGCTTGTGATTCTCAGACTCTGCCCACACCGGTTGGAGCAGGTAGCTCCAATGGTAATCATCTACAAACTCCTCACACAGCTGTCGGACTGCCTCCCATCTGTCCTGGCGTTCCGGAAGGACTGCTGCGATGCCGCGAGTAAATCGGTGGACCCATTTCTCGCAAATTTCGGCGGTGAGACGGTGTGTGGTGTAAGGGGCGTCTATATCCAGGCCAAGACCCTTGCAGATGGACGTCTTCGTGGGCGCTTTCGAGTCAATGTAGCGAAAGCCGGCAACGGGGGCGGGGACGATTTGTTTGGGGTACTGCCTCTTCAAGTGCGCGGGACCCCTGGTATGGCGGCCGTCGGGAGCCATCTTGTCAAGGCTTGGTCAGTTGGTATTCTGTGAGCAAATACGGCTTAGAAGACAACCTTACTATGCGGAGGATGGTGAGGAGAGTGTCTGAAGCAAGCGACAGGGATCGTACAGAACCTGAGAGCCTCTTCCTTGGAGCGAGGAGTGAGGGGTTGTTGTGTGAGGCCAGTGGGCATAGCGAGGCGGAAAAGAAAGAACATAATAAATGGCGGAGGATCTGTGTGCCGGCGCGGAAGCCTTGCACTTCGCTATCTACCATCAAGCCACCTCACCTCCGGCCCTTCACTCCTCTCAGCGTTCTTTTCGAGCATGCTCCTTCTCATTTCCTCCCACAACCACTTCCACCTCCGTCTCAGCATCGCTCCACCCTTCCACCTCCCTCTCCTTCACCTCCAGCATGTCCTTTCCCTCCTCCTTCCTCTCCTTCTTCCCCTTCCCCAACCCCAGCACCCGACTAATCAACCCCCTCTCATCCTTGATCTCCGGCAAGCCAAGCATGCGTCTGCGCTCCCGCTGCTCCTGCTTGCGCTGCTGCTCGCGCGCCAACACAGCGGCGCGCATGCGGCGGTATTGTTGGACTTCCGGGTCGTGGGCTACTGAGTAGCCAGAGACGGCGGACATTGTGGGTTTTGGTGCCGCTTGTGGTGGCGATGATAGATCACTGGTGGCGGAGGACTGGGAAAGTGAAGGTACGTGAAGCTGAGGTCGTAGGTGAATTTGGATGGTGTGGTTGCTATGGTGTGGTGGTGAGGTCAATGTAGCCAGCACCTAAAGGGCGATGACAGAAGCTCAAGGTCAGATCTGGGAAGCAAATGGGTTGCTTGAGTTGTGAGTGGTGTTTGCTTGCTTGCTTGTAGAATTAGACGTGTCAGAGCCTGCTCAGATTCGCTTGACACCGAGCACTCTTATATACCATGATTGAGACCCATCGGCCACCTAGGTTTATGCAGCATGCAGTGGACCTGCTCCATACCCACCGCGCGCCCAAGCAATAGAATAAGGCGCGTGAGAAATAGCTCACCTGAGCAGGGTGACCACCCTCCACCGATCGGGCCATGTACGCACGAAGAGAGACGGCCCGGCTTTAGATAAGGCTGGGTGCTATCAGGGGTTCCCGCGGAAGATTCGGCAGAAGGCTTAGCTTCTTCAGTTCAGTCATCTGGGACGCCAATTGGTCACAGAGCCCCCGAAGACGCCGAACGGTGGACATGGCAGGCGGTGGACAACGAAGAAAGAGACACCCATGGGCTGAGATTGGGGGTTGTGCAGAGGGCTGTTCAAGGTAGTGCACAGAGAGCTTTCTCATGGTAGAAGAGTCAATCGCAGAACGTCCGTGTACAAGAGCACGGGGGAATGCTGGCGACCTCGGAGAGCGCGATCAGAGGAGCGGGCCATGTTTCGCCGTGCGAAGATTGCACCATGCAACGAGGGGCACACAATCTCCAGGAAGAACAACAAAGCATGTACTGGAATAGGTAATCGTATGAACCGCTTCCTCGGTTCAGTTAAAATGGTCTTGCTGGCTGCGGCGAGCTTGCCAGCTGCTCCAGCATCGCTTCTCACTGCGCAGTGATCTTTCGTTGCGCTATCATCGCTCCTACTCGTTTTCTCTTACGCCTAGCTTGGGCGCTCGAATCTTTTGTATCTGCCCAACCCAATAGATGTCACAGTCACAGCTTCACAATACCCTCGTTGAGCGCCTGCAGCCATTTCTCGTGTGCTTTACCCTGCGCGGCCCATTCCTTCCGCAGCTTCTTGACTCTGCTCGGAGGCAGGGCTTCGCCGTCCTTTCCCTTGGTAGGCACGCCATCTCCATCCCACTCGGTGAAGTCCTCTGAGTTCGGACTCCGGAACATTTCTTGCGGCGGGACCTTGCCCTTCATGAGCTTGTCCATCGCTTCCTGATCGCGCTTCTTCTTGGCCTCCTCCTTTACGCGTACCTTATCCTCTTTTTCACGGCGCGCGGCACGCAGACCCTCTGTGACGGGTCGCACACGGGCAACGCCAGAATCTTGATCCTCAAGATAGATGTTGAGGTGCCACAGGTCAAAGTCGCGAATGCGGTCGCAAAGGGCAAGGATGTCCTTATTCAGGTCAGCATCACCTGTCGCTGCCTTGTCTGAAGCGGCAAGAGCACTGCCTCGGAAGTCGCTCAGAGCACGAGCTGGTGAAGGTCGTTGAGGACGATTGCTGAATGTGGATTCTGGTATCGCGATACTGGATACTATCTCCTTGACCCTGGCAGGCGTGATGGTCTTGGCGATGGCGGCTTGCCGCAACTGGTCCCGCACACTCGATAGTGGTCGCACAAATAGCTGCACTTCTTCGGGAAGCGACAGGCCCTCCCATCCGAGCGCGCTAGATGAGGCGGTAGCGGATCCATTGAGCCCGAACGTATTGACCATTCGAGTGATGAAGGCAGCCGGGGCGTGGTGGTCACCGCGGGTGAAGGTTGACTTGTCGGCAGAGTTGTAGATGGTGATGAGCTCGGAAATGGCGTACATCACATCCTTCGTGGCGAATGAGCGGAGAAGTGCATCCCGTGTCTTGGTTTCGGCGGTCTTTAGAGGACTTGCCATGACTGACGGCTCCGAAGATGTGCTGGAGGTCTTTTCGAGACTGTCAAGGGCATTCAGGAAGAAGTTATCGACCCGATCTTCCCACCCTCTGCCTTCCAATACCATATCGTCTGTGATTTCGATCCCTTTCCGCCATTCGCCCAACAAGAATACAATTCGAAGACTTCTTGACGTCCACTCCTTTTTCTCTCGTAACGCTTCGTGTATTGTGGTAAAGTTCTTTAGTGACTTGGACATCTTTGATCCCTGGATCGACAAATGGCCCATATGCAGGAAGTAGTTGACCCATTGGTTTTCGACGCCGGCATGGAAATAGGCTTCGCTCTGTGCGAGCTCGTTGTCGTGATGTGGGAAAGCGAGATCGATGCCACCAGAGTGTATGTCCATCTGTCTACCCAGCTTTGCCGATGCCATGGCTGAGCACTCAATGTGCCATCCAGGTCGCCCAGGACCCCATTCACTAGACCAACTCGGCTCCCCAGCTTTCGAGGCTTTCCACAACGCGAAATCTGCATCGGCCTTTTTCCCGCCGCTACTCTTCGACAAGGCTCCTTCTCCGTCATCTTGGAGCTCCTTGTCGCCTCTCGACTCCGGTTTGAGTCTCGCATAGGAATAGCCAGCGGTCTCAAAGTTCTTGATGTCGAAATATACCGAGCCATCATCGGCTTTGTAGGCGAATTTGTTGTCAACAATCTGCTTGACGTAGTTTGCAATCTCATCGCCGTACTCAGTCACCCGCACCAACTCATCAGGCCTTAACACATTTAGGTCGTCCATGTCTCTGAAGAACCGCTCCTCGTATTCTTTAGTGAGTTTCGTGAACACGGCGTGGTCGTCACCTCGTATGCTGGCCTTGCCCTTCTCATCAAGTACTAAGCACATTGGGTCGTTCATTAGCCGATAGAAGTCCAGAGGCGTTAGCATCTTGGGGTCCTCCGACAGGGCTTTGGCAGCTGATCGAGAGGTGTTGATATGCATCTTGACCTTGGCTTCGGCATCACCAGGTTTCTGACCAGGCTCAAGGCTACCACCATCCAGTATGTCGCCATAGGTCTGCTGAATGACCGAGTCAAAGTGCGCTGGAGGCGGGGGCGGGGTTGTAGATATTCTCTTGAGATTCTTCTTGATGTAGAATAACCACGCATCGTGCGCATCTTTCCTGACCGCATCGTCTATGAAGTAATGCGACTCTTTGTATGCGTCGTACAAATGCCGTTGTCGTCCTCTCAGAATAATCTTGTCATCCACATCTGTGATGTTCATCACGAAATGCACCTTGAAGCCGAAATAATCGGACAAGATCCTTCGTATGATGTCTATGGTCACATAATTTCTAGCGTGGCCGAGATGGGCATCGTCGTAGACGGTGGGACCGCAGGAGTACCAGGTAACGTGGCCCTTTTCAAGGGGGACGAATTCGACTTCGGAGCGGGTGAGTGAGTTGTAGACTTTCAGGCCAGGCTCGTGGGTCTGTCCAGCGGGCTGAACCCATTTTGGTTGCGCCATTCTGACGCAGGAGAGGTAGGAGAAGGAACGAAAGGACGGAGCGCAGAATGAACGCCTCAAAGAGTGCATGTAGCGCCTGGCCTGGTAAATTTGACTCACTGCGGCACGCAAGGCACGCAGGGCCAGGCCAGAATGACACGATTGTCCATCAATTTAGGCTTGGCAGGGCAGCCGCTAGCTTCGGCAACAAGCGAGGAATGCTCCACTCGAACCGCTCTGCGGGGTTGGCGTCAGTAGAGCCAGAGCCTTGTAGAAAATGGAGACCTTAGGACAGATGGGAGGATAAAGGGCTCAATGTACATTATGTCTTGGTTTCCAGTGGTGTCGCTACTTCGTTGCCCAACTCCTGCGCCGATTAGACCATCTTCATTCCGTTCGTGTCCAAAGTCTTTGCTATGGTGATAACACAACTAGACTGGCTTTCCTTAAACTCATCTATGAGTCGGCGGCGGCGTCCTGGGGCTGCCTCCATTCATTTGTGCTGAACGAGGCCTAGGGCTCTCGGTATGAGCGCCATTCTCCTGTCCTCCAATCATTTTCTCCATGAAGCTAATGTAGTCATATTTTGGGACGTTTCGGTCGCTCTCCATGTCGGGCCCCTTGTGCTCAGGCATGCTGTGCAGGAGGTCATCGATGAGCTCGTCCGGGATCAGAGAATGACGCAGATCCATCTCGGTCACGTAGGGTTTGCCGTCGGCCACTTCTTGGAACGACTGGAAGACCTGTTCAGCTGTGTTCTGATCCTCTGTCACCGATACCATGAAGCGAATGAATTGCTCAAAGCCAACTCCTCTTGACTCGCGCTGTCTGCGTGAGACTGGCGACGAAGACGGATCAATGCCAGAGTGACAGATCTCGAGATACTTTTCGTGCATCTCCTCCTCATCGTAAACCAAGCCCAAACTCGCCAGAGCTGCACTAAACTCCAACTCCTGTAATGTGTTGGTGCCGTCTCGGTCGAAATGTCGGAAGACGGATTCGAATTCTTCCAGTTGAATCGGCGTCAGATTAGTCATGTTCCTAGCCACCATCTGATTCTCCAGAAAGGTGAGCTTCTTCTGTACACTTTGCCTTACAAGGCCCAGTTCATATACAAGTTCGTCATATGTGTAGGTCGTGTAGTCGTTCTCGTCGATATTCGCCTCCTGACACTGCTCGTCCAGCAGCGCTATGCCGTCCAGATACTGCTCCAGTGGAGCCAGATTGGCGGAAAGTCGTTGGGCATGCTCGAGTTGGTCCTCCACATCCCCTTCCAGGCCAGAGATGGCCAGTGAGAGGGTATTGAGTGTCAGAGCAAAATCGTTGGCTTTATCCGCGAAGCTTCTTCGTAAGGCATTTTTGATGTCTCGAATAGTCTCGTTGATGAGTTTGCTTCGAGCCTGCTCATCTGTGGTCAAGGAGTTCCATTCGTGGTCGCAGACTTCGATGCGTAGCTCCTTCGGGGGCTCATACGGTCGAAGCCTGTATGTGGTAAGTTTTGTCTTGAGGTTACCCAAAAGTGCCGACAGCTCAGACTTCTCGGCTACCCAATTTCTCTTCTGATTCCGCTTGTAGGTGGACAGATCTTTTGCCTGCTGCTTCGCGTCTGCATACGTGCCGGCAAAGGTAGCTGTATGCCATGTCTGGCGCTGCTGTCTGATTTGTTGAAGCAGGGCTCGCATACGTTTCTCATAGGCGTGCTCCATCTCCCAAGCGCCTTGCATGTTGCTCACGAACTTCTCGACTCTTCTGCCCGCATTCTCGACTCTTTCCATCTGACTAAAGGCATGGAACCAGTATGCGATGTAAGTCATCAAAGATCGCTCATCGGGCCTGGGCACATCCGCCACGTCTTCCACGTCAAGCAGGTCTGGTATACCAATCTCTTTTGAGGCGATGTCGAATGCCAACTGCATGTTACCCTTGTGGTCTGACTTGTCAAGCGTATCGAAGTCTATAAGATCTGGTCTGTGGATATCCAGGAGGGCGCAGAAGGCGAGGCCATCGTTCCACGAAGCGGAAAAGTCGCGGACCTCAACACCCTCGTAGCAGGCAGTCTTACGTTGACACCACAGAAGCAGTCCTTCTTTCGCCGTCATACCCGCCTCATTGATGTCGGAGATGGTGAAACGCAGAATGAGAGTCCATATGAGACCGAGGATGATCTTGTGGTTGCCGTCAACTACATCTTCAGCGCCGATGTTGGTCATCTGAATGCCGCGCAGTCTGATGTAATCGAGGGACTTATTGATATTCTCGAACTTCTGGACGCGCAATTTGGGATTGGAGGCATATCGCCCGAGAGACTCATTGCTGAGGACTTCGAGCAAGTGAATGAGGATGATGCCGTCGGAAAGATCAGTAGCGAGCGACGTAACGGCGACATCGCGGCTTTTGACCTTGCTGTTCAACCTGTTGGGGGTCAGTCGGTGTTCAAAAGGCCCTCAGCATAATGCATACCATTTGGTGAATGTCTTCTCCTGAACATTGACCCACTTCTTTTCAAGAGGCGCCATGGGCGCATATCATTTGGAAACGAATAGTCTATAGGCGATTTGCGGTAGCGACAGGCAGAGGCAGCCGGGATGTAGCATGCAGGTGACGATAATAGCAATCACAACCACGATTTTACGGTCGAAGGCGGTGATGTGTTGGAGTATGGAATATCTGGATCAAGCGGTATCACAAGTAAGAGTAGTGGTTAGTGCACTACCGGCGATCTGCGACCCCGGTCGTGTCAACAAGGAAAGTTGGGTGCCGGTCGGCGGAGGAACCGGCCAACTTTTTAGGCAAGCCCCGAACGGGCGGTGGTCTAGGTACCCCTGAGAAGCATAAGTGGGCTAATGCATAGATGTGAAAATGCCCTATTGCACGTCCAACAAGCAATTACACATCGTGTTCATGGTAACTGCTTGTAATATCACTAGTAATAGTATGCTCCTGGCGTAGACCTGTCCAAGGTACCATAGGCATGAGAAAAGCCACCCGTCAGAAAGGCTGTGGATAAGGCGTCCGTCCAGGTGTGTTCCGGCTGAGATAAGTTCTGACTTGATTCGGTCCTCACCATGTGTCACTGCGGGTAGCGGATAGTGACGCACTCGATGTCGTTGACCACAAGCCACTCTGGCTGGCCGCCCCCTTCACTGACCCATGTCTTCACGGTACAATTCCATCACTTATCCGCGAACCTATTGGGTTGTGTTCAGTCTCCGAGCCAACCTTTCCTTGCAGCATGTTCTTCCCACATCACCACCTGCTTCTTCCAGTGTACCTTCCTAGCTAGCAGGTCCTCGACACGGTTTGCCCCCGGTTGCTGATTCTTTTGTTGAACATGGGCTCGATCAATGGCCGTAGCGAGTGCTCCTGTTGGGTAACACTGCTCACTAGACCTTCATACCTCCCTGGAGTCATCATCCTTGCTCATACACTGAACAAATACGAATCCAGCCACCCTCTGATCGTGCAGTACACCTCGTCACTTGGTGATGAAGCTATCGCTGCGCTTGAGGCTGAAGGTCTGGCTTCTCGACGCATTGTGCCTCAGAAGGTCGAGCTTTTGCTGCCCCCCAAAGGTAATGAGAATACTGCTAGTGTTGCCGAGCGCTTCAAAGACACCTTCACCAAGCTTCGTGCTTTTGAGGTGTATCGCCAGGGTTTTACCCGCGCAGTCTTTCTGGATGCCGATACCGCAATCTTCAAGCATCCGGATTCTATCTTCGACACTCAGCTGCCTGGCAGAGACTGGCTGGGTGCTAACCATGCATGTGTTTGCAATCTCGACCACGACGACTGGGCCCCACCGGAGTGGCACAAAGGCAACTGTGCGTATACGCCCTTGGACCATCCCAAGGATGTTGCACCTTATATGGGAGGTGGATGCCGCCCAACCTACCGATTGCTGAATGGAGGCATGTTGTTGTTCTATCCCAGCGAAGAGCTTTGGCTAGGCATGCTCGAAGTCTTCAATACCTCCGATCGGGTCAAGACGTACCAATTTCCTGATCAAGACTTCCTGGCCGACTTCTTTCGGGACAAGTGGCTACCTATGTCATGGGCCTATAACGCGTTGAAAACCATGCGTTATTGGCATCCTCACATGTGGTCTGACAAGGAGTTGGTAGTTCTCCATTACATTGTCGACAAGCCGTGGGAACGCCCGGTCAGCAACGCTGGTGTGGCTGGCCATCTTGGCCGTGACGGCATCACACACGAATGGTGGTGGGAAGCTTACACCGAATGGCGTATCTGCAGAGAGGGCACTGAGGGCAACCGGCTTGTTCTTGCGTTGATGGACAATCTGGTGGGCAAAGAAGAGCCCTTCACCGAGGTCGTTCCCCTTCCACAAAAGCCTGGGGTGCCTGAAGACGTTGTCCCTTATGCCTGAACGTTAGCGGCGAGCCTGTATCGAAAGGTATCATTGCCAGCATCGTTCATGCGATTTATCTCTTCAATCGCTACCTCTCGTGCAGCACAACTTTTGAATCTCTGCCAGAATCAGAGGGGAGGACACCTCCTGCTCGGCGTCTGGTAATCTGGCTCGATCACTTCTATGGTTCTGCCCCTAATCATGTATCAACGTTAGCACTACTACCTTCTTAAGGGGACTGGAGTCTCGTATCTTCGCCAATCCGGTGTCTGCTCCAAGATTGCCAGCTAACAACCAACCGTCTGGATGCGGCTGTGTGCCAAACTTCTGTTGTCCTGGTTCTGCCTCCACGAGAGCTGCAGGATCGGACTTGACAAGCACTTGTCACATCAGCTGAGCAACCTATGTCAGCTTGGGGCACTGCAGCATATGAGCACGCTGGGACAATGTCCTGTTTGTCTGTGCTGGGCCCTATGGTGCCTTGTTGCCTCTCCTTCACACACCGGGACTACCTTACACCGACTCCGGCGCTAGTGGTTACACTGGGTGCCTTCTCTGCCGCCTGCAAAAGTACCACTTCCTCTTTGTTCCAACTCTTCTCCGGAAACATCTTCTCTACCAACCTTCAACAACTTTCCTTTCATCACAATCCTTTGTCTATCCATCTCCTGGTGAGGTCCAGCTGTAAGGTACAGTACCTTCCATCTTTTGGTAGCAACGCGGACTCAACTGACACTCTTTCAGGACGTTCCAACCAGATCGTGAACGGTTCTGCCTGCACAGCTTCATCACTCATCATCACCATTACCCCTCCCAAGACAGCATTGCTGCTTTGACCAATTCAACGGATCTCTAGCAAGGTGAGTCCATCATACTACTATGCTGTTCCCTGCTAATCACGACCAACTAGCTGCACACCTTTCAACACTCATCACCACTACCCGTCCCAAGAACATTCCTGCTGCTCTGGTCAAGTCACCAGGCCTCTCTAGCAAGGTCAGCCCATCCAGCTACCATGCCATTCATTGCTAACTGCCATCGCTAGCTTCTGCTATTGTCTAGCAATTCCAGACTATCTTCCAGTAGAACTTTCTGTGGGTTAAGATTCCAGTCACTGACTCTGTTCGCCATGCCTGTAAGTTATTTTACCCCATCTATAGCTTCTCAACCAGCTGACAGTCCTCTAGCTCAAGGTTTGGATCATGTTCGATTTGGACAACACTCTCATTGATACAGAATACCTCGCCTTCAATTGCGTAGCCGCAGTGGCCAACCGTGTTCTCGAGTCCAAGGGAATCACGGAGAAATACACTTCCGACAAGCTCATCGGTGAGCCAGACTTCTTTGGCCAGGCATGGAAAACTATGCTCAACAAGCTGGCCGAGAAACATGGCTTCGAAATCACTGACCAAGAGCGCAAGGCCTGGCGTCAGTGGGAGGAAGAGGCGGTCATTGCCGCTGTTCAGAAGCATGGCAAGCCCACCAAGGGCGTTGTCGAGGTGCTTGACAAGCTCACCGAGGAGAAGAAGTACCGTCTCGCCATCGTCTCCTCCTCCAGCCTGCCCCGCATGCTGGCTTGCCTCGACGGTGTTGGCCTTCGCAAGTACTTCGAAGATGCCCACATCTTCTCGGCCAGCACTAGCCTGCCTGTTCCGTCCGCCAAGCCGGCCCCAGACGTCTACGAGTTCGCCCTCAAGACTGTTGGTGCAGCCGCTGATCAGGCTGTCGCGGTTGAAGACTCGCTGGGAGGCGCCACGGCTTCGGTCGGCGCCGGTATTGACACCATCGGCTATGTCGGCTGCATGAACATGCCAATGTTCCAGATGCAGCTCGAATACGACTTCCCTGAGAAGGGAGCCAAGGCCACAATGACCCATTGGGGTCAATTCTTTGAGATTCTCGCCAAGATCGAGGCCGGCGAGGAGTGAGTGGAATTCAATTAATGAAACTCACTGCTGCGCAAGGCAGCCAGGAGAAGGAAGAGGCTAGGTGAAGTTGTTGCCGCGAGTCACTGGCAGTGCCAGTGACATGGCCAGATGAAAATAGACATTCATCAAGAAATGATATAAGATCTCCCCTGTTTTGTATACTAGTCCCATGTCGTAGTAATCCAATCCTGCTACTGCTGTGGAAAGGATTTGGCGTGACCGGATTCCACTGTCGGTCACCCAACTATATGTGGCTAGAAGTATGTGTGACCAACCCGTGTGATCGCAATATGCAGACTTTTGTTCTAAAAGACACGACTAGTCAGTCATATTGTCTTGCATTGCCACTCTGACCGCCCGCTTTTGCTATACCTTATGAACACACTCCTTCATACCCCTAGTAGTTGTTTGTTCATCTAACGCTGAAGGTTCTCAGCTGGAAGGCTAGGTTCACCCCACCTAATGCTTGCTATATGCCTTGATGGAGTAGCTATACGAAATGCTTGTAGTTTCACAGAGGATTACTGCTACTACCTTACTCCGCCTTTTAGCTCCGTTACTTGTTAAATAGGCCCTTAAGGCGCAGGGTGAAGCGAAAAGATAAACTGCCTGTAGAGTGTGTAAACGCCGGCGTGACACTTCCTCGTCACTGTTTTCCCTTATGGCAGCAAGGCTGTTATGCGACTCTACGTTTTTCTACATGAGCGCGACTCTTTAGCACTGCCATTGTTATTCTATACAATTTCTTGTACAGGTCTCCTCAGCAGCGCGCTCTTACTGCATCGAAAACTGAATCCAACACTCCCATTCAGGAGAAAAGCCAAGTGCGTTTAGACATATTAAACCACGAATACAGCAACATCAATGACATCCGCGACGCCATCAATAAAAGGGGGCGCCTTTCAAGGGTATCCACAACAACCCCAAAGGCAACAGCAACGACAAAGTGTAATCCAAAGGGGATTGTACATCAATACTGCAAACGCAAGGGTCATTCCGTAAAAGCTACAGGACCTCCAGTATCCTGCTCTACTATCTTTGCCAAATCTTCAACAGATAGATATATAACACGAGCGTGGGGGCAAGCGAGCCTTCTCGGCCCCATAGGAGCAGTCAGGACCCGACTGAGCCGACAACGAGAACATGAGGGGCTCTGATATCTTCCAAAGCTCGCTCGACGTCGATGCCATCACTGATCATCCAAACACCAACGGTCGACCTGCGAGCTCCCAACCACGACCCCTCACGCCAACACACTTGCGCCGTCCCATGACTCATGCACAAGTATGTGCTGTTTTCGACGACTGGGGCATCAATGACTGGTATGCTGGAGTCGAATCTGTCCGGGCACAGTTTGGTCTGTAGCCTTCGGTGCTTACCACGGGCCGGAAGCGTGGCGCTGAGGAAATGTTAGGGTGTGATGTCAATAACAGCCAGACGGATCAGGCAAGGCTTCTCAATACAGAGCATGATGCCGTGGTACCGGCTGGACTATACGGCAGTGCGCCAGGATGTCCGCAGCTCGGTCAAGGGATCCAGCGGGTGGAAATGGAAAGGAAGACCACCGATTTGGCCTGAGACCGGTGGCGAGCCACAGCCAGGGCTATGGAATATATCAGGGTATCTCTGGCTTGGCTCAGCAGCGCCCAGTTATTCACCATGGCCACCACGTCTATCAGGTTGGCCGGAGATCTGCAGGGCAGTACCCATTCCAGCAAACGAGTCAGCAACCACCTCAGATGGTGGCAATGCCTGGAGGCAATGGACACTTTTCGTGGGGACGATTACTGTCGTCTGCCGCTTCTGCTGCGGTTCCCACCCATGAAATACTGCATAGGTTCGAACACCCTGAACATCGGTATGGCAGTATCAAGGCTAGAGATCGACCGCGGCCCAGTCACATGAGAAATTCACCTGTTGGTGGGGACTACATCCAAGCAAACTCTCCAAGAGATCGCTCGGAGCTCTACGGAGCATTATATCCCACGTTGAAAGTGTTGGTTGAGACAATAAGCCGGGCTTCGACGCCGCTTACATGTTCGATCGACCTCAACGCCCGCTACTCGGAGGCTTGGGTCGGACTCAAGCAGATGGTCCATGAGGAGCAGAAGCATTCGAAAAACGACTACCAAGAATGTAAGGCGTGCAAGGAGTTGCCCAGACGCGGGAACATTGATACTGGTTGGCTCGACTATGTTGAGGACTGGGATATGCCACATCGAGGGCTGGAAACCCAGGGACAACGAGACGGGTGACTGAAGAACTTCTGGAACTGGCCGGAGCGGGAGCGAGAGAAGAAGGAAGCGGCACCTATCATCTTCCACCCGAAGCTTGCGGCCAAACCAGAGGCTCAAAATACATCCGCAACGGAGAGTTGGAGATGGGCATGAAGGTGTGGGTCGAAGGTATTGGTAGTCGAGTTGTGATTACTAGAATGATTTAGATTGGTCTAGACACTATGTCAAAAAGCTTCATTCAATGGTAGAGCCGTGCCGTTAAGTAGCTGTATACCATCCGATTCTGCCTGAAGAGCACACGAGGCTTCCGACATTAAGGGGGTTTCACAAGGTCACGTGAACCCTTCTTCGGTGCTAGGATTCGCCGATCTGGGGCGAAGTCTAAATTATCGCGGGGGACTCGTAGTACAGACGTTTAACGACCCGTCAGTGGCATCGCAGCTGTGGTTCCCGCGTTCATTGTGTGCGCAGTTGTGCACTTCCGCGACTGATGATTGCTGCTCATTGTCCCGCGATCGAACAATCTCTACACCATGGCTTTGTAGCCTTTCCCCTCAGCCAGCTCCTCCGCTACGAACGATATCGCGGCTTCGCTTCGAAGTTCGGACAACAATGTAGGAGGGCGAGCAGTGCCTTCAGAAGCGCGTCATCACGAGACCTCCAATTGAGCCTACCGCCGTGTAACCTCCACTGGCGCTCCCAGAGCCCGCGACAGAACGTGAACGCCCTCGGATCGCGCCATGCAGAGTCGCCGCGAGCGCTTCACCGTTCAACTCCTTTGGAGTCGTGGTGGGAGGATCTGGGGGCACGAGCGCGCCAGACACTTGGGAGTGCGGTTGACCAATTGAAACAAGACTATGACGATGCCCTTGCTGAGGCGAAATCAGCTAAAGTACAACAGTTCCTCGATAATATAAAGCCAGAAGAGTGGGAGGTGCTAGTTCAGAGGGCTTTTTGGTTATGTCACAAGGTGTCAGGGCGGACGCAGCTCAAAGAAACTGACGTATGCAGATGGATGGTTGGTGGAAACTTCGATCGCTTCCCATGGATGGAAGACAAAACCCTTAGTTGGCATACAACTGTGAGGCGAATCCTTCAGGATACCTCCAAGTTCCAGAAACAGTCCGTCACCACGCTAGGTGGATCCCAAGAGATTCGGTACATCTCACTTGAGATGATGCGAGCTCACCAGCCCAAGCCGACTGCCAGACCCCCAAGGCCCCTCACTAATTCAACTAAGCAGTCTTCTGCTTCTGCTCAAGGACTTGCACCGCCAGGTCTCCCTAAGGCTCCGAGGCCAGCGGCTGTCCCACCAGTCCGCCCCAATCGACCGTCTTTGCGACCTACGGTGAAGGCTCGGCGTGAGATGGAGCAATCATTGTCTGATGAAGACGGCGAACCTCCGCTCGAAAATGAGGATCCCGCAGATGATGCTCCGCAAGAGCTGCCGGACAGCGAACTCTTGACAGAGGTAAAAAGACTTGAGAGGGATACCAGCTTTCTAGCGTTGCGCATCAGCGAGTTGAAATTGGAGGCCACCTCTCCGACCAACCAGGCCATTATACGTGCCCGGGCAACGAAGGAGTTCAACGAGAGACTTGGACAGCTGGAGGACCAAAAATACTCTATCGCGGTTGTTTTCCCGTTGGAGAAACACACGCAAAGGATGAACGACTTGGATCTCAGAAATCTAGACCTCCCCGAGAATTTGTTTGAGCTTGGGCGCAAAGATATGCGGGCCGAATTTCGAGCATTCTTTCGGCTTGAAGCATTTCGAGACTTGCAGAGAACGGAGGAAAATCTTGCGGATCTGCTTCACGAGCTACTGGATCGGGCGCACCCAGCACTCGAGCAACTCGAGCACAACATATGGCAGAGGCGCAGAACTTTGCGTACCGCAGCAGAAAGCCATCTGCAGGAGCTGCATTATTTCAAGCAGATGGACACGTTGGAGCAAAAGAAAAAGCGACAAAAGTCGCAAAGAGTCCACGAAGAAATGAAGTCCCTTCTTTTGATCCTGGAGGAACCGCAGGGTGTATATTCGCTATACGATGCTGAGCTTGGTCATAAGATGAGAATGAAGACCTGGCTGCTATGGGACCTTTTGGCAGCCGACATTGAAGTCACTTCAAAGCTGTTACATGGACTGAGGAGCAATGTTTTCACGAGGCTTCGACATACTTTCAGCTCATCTCTCCACGGGCACCAACATCGGGCGTTGAGAATACAAAGTTGTCTCTCCGATATGAGCGACGTTTGTAAAGAGATGGACAGGGAGATCTTTAACCTATTCAGAGCGCACAAGCGAGACAATACCCACCTAAGCAGATATATGACTAACGCTGTGTTACGTGCTAACCGACCCGCCACGATGGTAGCACAGTCTACGGGTGAGATGTACCAGACGTTCCTTGATTTACATCTGGATGGACTGCGATGGCCTCAGACAGCGGCTCAGCACCACATCGCTTCCACATTGGGCCCTGTGTGGCTCTATTTGCGCCAACAACGCATTCTCCAAGACGCCGTGGAGGAGCTCGTGTCCTTCACGACCAAGGCTGCTTCACGCTTACAACCTCGGACTGATGATCCGAATGACTGCAGCGAGCCTGAGCATCTCCACCTCAATCTGGATGGCTTCTTAGAAGCGTACAGCAACTGGCTTGCCGACCGTCGAGATCTCCTGTACTGCCATAACGAATGCTCGACCTGGTTTGGCATCTTCAAATTGCTCCAGCCCAATCTCGTTCGAGACACCTCGTATGGCCAGAAAGTCGGGCCTTTGGTCAGGCGGCAAGTCGAAGTCCTTGAATACAAGCCCATCGTCGAGGCCGTAAACGGACTTTATCGCGAAAAGCTGTCATGGCCGATAGACGACTATCTCTACCCCCAGCAGCAGGCCATTCCCGTCTACTACATTTGCTCGCCGAAGTATCTGCATAGTGCTTTGAAGACTCTCAAGGGCGCCAAGGTTTTAGGTCTGGATACGGTCATCCGCCAGCAGACCGTCTACTCGACATACAAGACGTCTCAGGCCACCGCACTGATGCTGGCTTCGGAAGATTGTATACTCATTATCTCGTCGACGATTCTGCGCGAAAATGGATATTCTTTGTATGAGCATGGCCTCTTGGATCTTAGAGATCTCCTCAGCGATCCGCAGATATTGAAAGTCGGTCCTAACATGACCTGGACCAGGGAAGCTCTCTATCACTCTTTCGCCATCGACATGCAGGGCTGTGTGGAACTGGGCGCCCACAGTGCCAGCGGGGCTCTGTCAATGCTGGATGAAGATCGGAACTGGCCATATTTAGAAACATTGGCACGCCAACACGATTCAATCCGGCTGTACGGGCGGCCCGGCGTAGGAGCCGGATTTTTCTGCGTCGTCAGACACCTCGCAACACGCGCATACGCAGCCTTGAAGATATATCGCGATCGGTACGGATTTGAGTCTCCGCCGAAGTCTACCCTCGCGACGGATGCCAGATCCGCACCCGCTTTTGGCCCACTTCATCTTGATGATGCGTCTGTAATCACAGGCCCTGATTACTTTCAATTGGAAGTGCGCGGCGCTTTGCAAAGGTTATCCTCGTCTGGTGGCTCTGGGAAGAAGATAGCCGGCGCCAAATTCCGGACGGATGTGCTGTTGGCCGAAACGTATCGGATGGCCCGACATGCGCTTGCTCGCATAAAGAGCCGCAATGACAACGGGCCTGGGACACAGATAGCCCTTGAGCATTTGCAAGCTTATCATCTTGCAACGACATTTACAGAGAATGACCCGAGGGTCGTTGGAGAATTGTTGGGACTACGATCGCCCGCAAGGACAATCTTGCAAGTGGCGGAAGTCGCGAGACTCCCACTCAATGACTACCACCGTGCAATGTTTGTGGCTGTAAAGGAGTCGGAGCCGCCGCTCGCGCAGGAAGGACGCCCTACGGTGACGCTACGCCGAAGACCGTGGTCAACGCGGTCTAAGACTGCACCCGCTGGCTCCCTTCCAGCAGTTTCCGATGATCCAAACGAGCACGACGCTCTGACCGACACCGCGACTGAGTCTCCCATGGACCATGCGCCTCCTCATGACGTGCAAGGTCCACCTCAGGGGCGAGTCCGCAAATACGTATTTTCTGAGCGGGTGATTCGGCGTCTGAAAGCATCGCGACCGTCGGAGCGGCGTTGCGAGCGTCAGTGGAGAATAAAGTAATCAGAACTGTCCTTGCCGGAGACAACGGTGTTTGGCGACGGCCCAGAGAACCGGCCGATCGGTCTGACGCGTAGTCGAGCATGATATCTACAACATGTGAACAGTGCATGTGAGTTTTGAAGACCGGGGACGGTGAGAGACGGGTTGATAGATATTCTCACTCATCTCGGCTTTCCTGTCAATCGAGCCACTTTCTAGCTTGCTCGCGTGACCAGTAGCCCTATGTATTTCCTCCGACTCCAGGGGGGCCGCCGTCCTCGACTCTCTGCTGCTTCGTGTTTGCATGAGCGACGACACATGCCCATCCAGGCTTTGCTAAGTCCAGTCCTTGTTGCCGAGCCTCCCCATGCTATGTACGACTGATGGCGCCATAAGGCTTGGCGGCATCTTTTATAAGACCTCGGACCTTGAACACCGGTGGGTATAGAGTACCAGACCAGATTGCCAGCCATAGCTATGGCTTCCTCCAGGTCGTGTCGTCTTTCGGCTCTCGTCGTGATCGCCCTATGCATTGGACTGTGTCTCGGCGGGAATGAGGACAAACAAGAGCCACTCCAGACCCCAAGCTCGAGCGAGGGGGTCGACCGTCCGAACATTGTCTTCATCCTCAGTGACGATCAGGATTTGCACATGGACTCACTATCCTATATGCCACATTTGCAAAAGCACTTGATCGACGAGGGGACCTTCTTCAGGCGGCACTTTTGTACCGTCGCGCTCTGCTGCCCTTCCCGAGCCACCCTGTGGACTGGCAGAGAGGCACACAACACGAATGTTACAGACGTCAATCCACCTTACGGTTTGTGATGTTGTTGATAAATTGAAGCCGTCTTACTCACGCCCAGGAAGGTGGCTATCCCAAATTTGTGAGCCAAGGGTTCAACGATGCATACCTTCCGCTATGGTTGCAGAATGCCGGCTACAACACATACTATACTGGGAAACTCTTTGTTCGTCCAGCCCTGTTGCCATTAGCCGCATGTGTGACTCTGCCTGACCATCCAACAGAATGCTCATTCGGTCATCAACTACGATCGACCGTATCCCAGAGGATGGACCGGATCAGACTACCTCCTCGACCCCTTCACCTATGAATACCTCAACGCTACTTTCCAAAGAAACCAAGACCCACCCGTGAGCTACGAGGGCAATTACTCAACAGATGTTCTCCTTGGGAAGGCCATGGGATTCCTCGACGATGCCCTCGCCGAGGACAAGCCGTTCTTCCTGACCATCGCGCCAACAGGTATGGGCGAGACACTCCCTACCCTTATATCCAGCTGACCATCACCGTCACCAGCTCCTCACAGCAACGTCAACATCCGAGACAACATCATTGACAACTTTACCGAGCACTCGGTCACGCAGTCGCCTCCTATCCCCGCCAAGCGCCACAAGCACCTCTTCGCCGACACCATCGTGCCTCGCACCCCACACTTCAACCCCTCCACGGTCTGTATCCATTTCCTCCCGCCCTTCACCCACAGCCCTTCCGGAATACTGACCATGCACGAAACTGCAGCCCAACTCCGTATCCTGGATCTCGCGCCTGCCACACCAAAACGACACCGTCCTCGCCGCCAACGACCACTGGTACCGATCGCGCCTACGCACACTCCAGCCCATAGACGAATTCATCCCCTCACTGCTCGACCGCCTCTCCTCCGCCGGCGTTCTCGACAACACCTACATCATCTACAGTACCGACAATGGCTACCACATCGGGCAGCATCGCCTCCAGCCCGGCAAGCAGTGTGCGTTTGAGGAGGACATCAACATTCCGTTCGTTGTTCGGGGCCCGAGAGTGCCGAAGGGGCTACGCTCCGGCGTGGTGAGCAGCCATGTCGATTTTGCGCCGACGATCTTGGACTTGGCGGGTGTAGAGGCGCGGGAGGAGTGGAAGCTGGATGGACGTGCTATTCCGCTGACAGAGAGCGATCTCGAGGCGGCTGAGAGCGGTATGGGGAAGAAGGGTAAGGGGTGGAAAGAGCATGTCAATGTTGAGAGCTGGGGGATCATCATGAGCGAGGGCAAGTATGGCGCGGTGTTGTACCCGAACCACACATACAAGGCCTTGAGAGTCGTGGGCGAGGGGTACAGTCTGTTGTACACGGTGTGGTGTTCGGGCGAGAAGGAGCTGTACGATGTTGAGGTGAGTAGTTCGCCCCTGGCGTCCGGGATCCCTTCCCCCCCCTCACCCCCTCCCTCCATCCAAACCAGCCAGACCACGGGTCGCTCTCATTTCCACCTCTCGCACCCCATCTCTCCCTATTCCCAGCTAACGACGACTCTAATCCCATCAAGGCTGACCCCTACCAACTCACCAACCTCCACCCCACCAGCAACGCCTCCTCCTCCGCCGACCACATCCTCCACTTCCCACTCCCTTCGCCCACCTCCTCCTCCTCCTCCTCCCTCTCTACCACACCAATCACCATCTCCCGCCTTCTCCCCCGCCTCAACGCCCTCCTCACCGTCCTCAAAACCTGCGTCGCCACCCAATGCACCGACCCCTGGCGCGAGCTGCACCCAGACGGCTCCGTGCAGGACCTGTCCGGCGCGCTGGCACGCGGATTCGACGAGTTCTATGAGAGGCAGGACCCCATGGAGTTCACGCGCTGTGAGAGGGGGTATATTCGTGAGAGCGAGAGGCCGCTGTTGGGGGTGAGGCCCTGGGGTATGGGTGGGGGAATGGAGTTGGAGGTTGATGTTGGGGCTGCGTCTGCGGTGGCGGGTAGGGAGGAGGGTGTGGGGAATGAGGCAGAGGGCGAGGGGTGGGAGGGGTGGGCGGAGAGGACGGAGCTGTGATTGCGGGAGGAAAAGACGTCGAGACGGGCAGGGAGGAGGAGAGGGTAGGGGGGACTGCGACAGGTTGCCCTGTGTTGATGTAACGGCTTCAAGCGAGACCCTGATATTAGGGTATGAGAAAGGTGGACTGACGAGCGTACACGGAACTTTTGGTTGTGTATGTAGAATAGAAGCATATCTCGTATACAGCAGGACAAAGAAACATGTTGGTGCTGCCATTCATCCAGGCTTACGAATGCCGGGTCTTTCGCCTCTTCGCCGTGGCAGGCTCAGCAGCCGCGGTGCCGTTAGCAGCAGCGCCACCAGCAGCAGACCTGTCAAATAACCATTCGTAAGCCTTGATTCGTCCAATCTTTCAGGTGGGTTTGCATAGTATGTAGGGCAGTACAAGAAACTTCGAACAAGAAACAACAAGTCCTTTAAACCCGTAGTAGCATCAAAAGCGTGATCTTTGTTGAGTTGGTTGAACCCTCACTCACCTCCACCACCACCACCACCACCACTCGTTCCATATCTCAAGTTTTACAAGGGGAGGGGGCAGTACATCTTCAACACGTTTTAAACACACTCACCCCTGCCTCATCTCCAGAATCCCGTCAATCGCCTTTTCCAGATACTCGACGAAGCGGCCCGGGTTCTCCGTGGCGGGGAAGTGGCCGAGGCCCTCCATGGCGGTGAACTGGGCGCCCTTGATCTTGTCGGCGGTGGTCTTTGACATGTCCGGCGTGGTCGACCAGTCGTAGACGCCCGTCAGGAAATGGATGGGGCACTTGGCGGTGTCGATCTGGTGCACGCGGTCGCGCGCGTCGAAGCCGCCAAAGTAGAAGTCGAGGTCGCCGTGGAAGATGCCGTAGGCCTGGCCCGAGTACATGTGCCAAATCAGGTTGCGGTTCACCCAGGGGGCTTTGGGATTCATCATGCCGTAGATCCAGTCCGGGTTGAACAGGCTCTGGTTGACGACGGGGCTCTTGTCGTTGAATTGGCGCTCCATGGTCAGATAGTCACATCCCTGCCGTCTTGGTCAGTATCCTCTGATTTCTTTCTGTATGCCAGCTATACGTACTTGCAGTGGGATGGTGCCGCCAGCGCCAACCTCATCCGCTCTGATCGCGACCGCCACGCAAACCTGCCCGGCCATACTGGCACCACAGATGATTGGCTTCTTGAGGCCCAACGCCTTGACAACTTCTCTGATCGTGCCCACATATGCCTCCTCGTTGTTCGTGTGGTTTCCGGGAATGTAGTTACTGCCGGGGAAGCTGCGTCCATGGGCCGGCAGATCAAAGGCAATCATCGTGCACTTCCGTCTCATTCTGGCATCGTTCATGACGCCGTGATACTGTCTGCTGTCGCTGCCTGCCGTGTGAAGGAAGACGATCGGTACCGGACCCTCACCAGCAGTCTCGTAGAAGATCTTGGTGCGGCCCCAGACAGGGCAGTCGACGTATTTGTAGCGGCCGGTGATATGATCTTCGGTAGCTTCTTCTTGTGGATCTTCGCGGAGAGGTCCGTGTAGCCCTTCACGCAAAAGCTCGAGGAGACGTGTGGCCAGATGGCCGTATTGTGCGAAACGTGTGGCATCGCCTTGAATGCCGACGCCCTCTTGTTTAATGTTCATGCCCTTACGCTAGTCAGATAAAGTGAGGCCGTAGAGCGAGGGAAAGATCAAATCTGGGAGGCGAACTCACCTGGAGGCCAACAAACGACGTATAGGGTGCTTTGGGGTCGGCGTCAAAGAACTTCTCCCATTGCTCGCCGTGCGCTGACAGGGTGAAGTCCGCTTTCGAGGCATCACCCGTTGAGACCTTGGTGCGAGAGCCAGAGTCGACGTTGACGAGAATGGCCTCGCCACCTTTGGAGGCAACACCCATGGTAACGGGCTCGACGATGGCATTAGTGTCGATAAAGGCCTGCCATTGCTTGTCGTTGTCAAGGATCTTTTGCAGGGATGATACGGACTTGGACATGGCCTGTGGGAGGCTGTCCCAGGTGTGGGCTGTTCCGTTGGCAGAAGGCATGTTTATTCAATGCTTTTAAAGTGTTGTTTCTTGTTATTTCTCACTTTTACCTCATGGGCGATATGCGATCTAGGACACGGCATTCGCGAGCTGACCGGCAGTCCAATACTTATAGCTCGCGACACCCCTGCCTAGAGCCATCGATGTACGCTCTCTCCGCATTTCTGCTTTTCGTGTCGTCTTACGTCGCTCCCTCAGTCCCGAGAACCAGTCATCGGTGCCGGATGCTGATGTGTGCGTCTCGAAAGAGGACCTCGGATGGCTTGTAAGGCAAACCTCCAATGACGGAGGACTGACCCCGCAAACGCAGAGCTTCAAGGGGTCGTGTCCCCTCTTGGGAACACCGTGATTTTCGTCATTGCGCTGACAGATGCATGATTGACTTCGACGTCGAGAGTCAGGATGGCTGAACAAATGGAGAGAGATGTGCGGGCAACGAGAGTTGGAGATGGATGCAAATCGGGACAAGGGTTCGTGGGACAGCGAGCAGATCAACATCGTGTTGGTTTGGTAAGAGTGCTTCGGCTTTACAGCAGTTCTTGTTTGAAGGACCAATGGTCCGTGTTATGGAATACATGAAAACCGCCTTGCGCCATTGTGCAAATGCTGGCGCTATTCTATACACGGTCAGTCCAGTGCACAACCGACCTATGAATCATCAATTAGCCGCCGCTCCTGCCATGACTTCTGCGCCAACTCCATGAGCGATTCAAAGTGACCGCTCGTTTCGCACATGCTTCTGAATGACCCGCCCTCTTGCTGGAGGAGCTCCCATGGGTCAGCATATTCTACCACTTCACCCTTGTCTAGCACCAAGATCTTATCGTAGTCAATGATAGTCTGCAGCCGGTGCGCAATGGTGATCAGAGTGTGGTTCTTGAGCTCCCGTAGCGTGTTCTGAATACGTGTGTCCGTGGCATAGTCGATGGAAGCGGTGGCTTCATCCATGACCAATACCTTGGGCGATTTGAGCAGTGCTCGGGCAAGACAGAGCAATTGTCTCTGACCTTGGGACAGATTAGAGCCTGACTCGGCTACGGGCGTCGACAGATCCAGGAAGATATTTCTGTTCTCCTTGGAGTTCGTCATGGCCCGAGCAAGTGTCAAGTCGGATGAGATGGTGCCACTGCTCTGTTGAGACGAGTCTCGTTGGCTTGGATCCCCAACCATAGTCGAGGCCTGGCTAGAGGGGTTGGGAGTGGCAGATCGTGATAGCTCGTCGGCATCCGATATGAGCTGAACCTTCCTCAACGCGGTGAAAATCTCTTCATCTGTGAATAATTCAAACGGGTCGAGATTGTTTCTGAGCGTCCCCGAGAACAACGTCGGATCTTGGGGAACAATGGTAATTGCCTCACGAAGGTCCTGGAGGCCGATGAGACCAATATTCACCTCGTCGATGAGGATGCTGCCGTTTTCTGCTTCGAGGCCGCGGAATAATGCTAGAGCAAGCGAGCTCTTACCGGCGCCGGTACGACCAACCACGCCCACTTTCTCACCGGGGGCGATCTTGAAAGTCACATTCTTGAGTACTTGATCCAGATCACTCCTGTAGCGAGTGCCGTAGCCGATGAATTCGACAGATCCTCGAGCCGGCCAATTTGCTGCTGGCGCGTTCTCAGGGACTCTCGCGTCCGCCTCTTGTTCTACGTCGATGTATTCTTGGATGCGCTCGACAGAGTTCATATTTTGTTCGTTAGCCGCGTAAAGACGGATGAGCCACAAAACATTCTGACTGAAAGTGATTCCATAAGACAAGGCCAACCCAGCAGCACCAGCATCAATCGTGTTGGCATTAACGACGACGAATACTCCGGCAAAGAACGAGACGAAAGCGCCTGCGGTATCCATTCGGAAGGCCAGCCATCTGTTGGTAGCCCAAAGATAGATGAAAGGCCGGTTGTGGGTGTTGACTCGATGCTGGCTGTCCTGCATGAAGCGCGCTTCGTCGCCATAGGCACGGATGGTAACGACTCCGCTGAGAGTTTCACCAAAGTGCTGGAACAGCGGGCTTCGCTGGACTGCCTCGATTCGCTTAAGGTCCCGAGAAGACCTAATGTACAACATACCGGTGGCAACATACATCAAGCCGATGAAAACGCCCGGGACCAAAAAGCCAGGCGTAATGGTAGAAATCAGTACCACGATTGTAACCACTGAAGCTGCGCTGTGGATCATCCCTATAGCCACAGGCGCAACTTCTTGATCAACGGACTGCACATCTTTGGAGAAGCGGTTCGTCATCTGCCCGAGCGGCGTCGAGTCGAAGAATCGGAACTTGGCTCGAAGTATACTGGACAGAAGCCGATCGTGTATCTTTCGTGATGCAGCAAGCGAGCCCCAGAACAAGACCAACTCCCTCGATATACAAATACCAACATATAAGATCCCAAGTAAAGCATAGATGCCGAGGTAGTAGGCAACATCGACGCCGAATGGGGAAGAACTCGACGGCTGGAAGCTCGTGCTTGGTTGAGGAACATGTACGGCCTGCAGACCAAGAGCATCTGTGGTCGAATATGTGCTGAACTTTGAGAAAGCATGGGCGTAGTAATTCCCTGTGCTAGAGGTGTGGTATGCGTTGGCCCATTGACGGATCCATACGTTCGTCGCCACAGAGCCAAGTTGGGTTGCAATGAAAGCCATGACTGCGACGATCCAGTAGTACCAAGGGCCCATCGCCTGAAGATACATCTTGATTGTTGTGGATTTGACGCTGCCAGTTGCTTTTGTCTCGATTCGATGGTCCACGAACTGTGCATCGGATTTTGGACCTTGCGAGTCATCTCCAGGAATCCCACCAGGAACCGCATTGCCATTTTCTTTCGCCTGAGCATTTGCTCGCTGCGAAAGCCCGACCGATGACTGGACTCTCGAAGGAACAGCAGAGGTAGCTTGCGAGCCAGGTCGCGACCTGAGGTCGTCGCCAAAAGCACCGCTAGCCACCACATCTTCCGCAGAGCCCTTGCTGACGATTTTGCCATTGTTGAGAACCACAACGAACGATGCTTCTGGAACCGTCAGGGCGATGTTGTGTGAAACTAGAATACAAGTTCGGTTAATCATTAGAATGCCGGTCAGAGCTTGCTCGAAAATGTGCTTCGCGGTATGCGAATCGACGGCGCTTAAACAATCATCCAGAAGTAAGTGCTTCGAGTTACTGTATATCGCTCTTGCCAGTGAGATTCTCTGCTTCTGGCCTCCGGAGAGTGTGATGCCTTTCTCACCAACAAGAGTCTGATCCCCTGCATCGAGGATCTCGAGATCACGCTCGAGCGCGCATGCCGAGAGAACCGCATTGTACCTCTGCGCATCAAAGTCGCTGGCGAAAAGAATGTTCTCCTTGATAGTAGCGTTGACGAGCCAAGCCTGCTGTGCGCAGTATGCCACACTCTCAGTTAGGCCAGTCTCGGGGTCGGGCCTGAGATCTTGCCTCACGTAACCCCCAGGTATATAGACTGTCCCGTTCAGAAGCTTCATCTCTCCCAAAAGAGCCATAAGGAGGGAGGTTTTTCCGCTGCCAGTTGGTCCCGCGATGACATTAAGCTTGCCAACTTCAAAGTCCACGTTCATGTTGATCAGTCGGAAGCCGTCACTCGAAGCCTTATTTGTCTCGGACCCTTTGGAACCCCAAGTCAGGGTTGCATCTTTCAAAGCAATTCGTGTGTCCGCAAGGTGATCATGCCTTGATGAACGGAGCTGAACGTATTTTTCTGTCTCTTCTTCGTTCAAGAATTCTTCAACGCGGTCAATGGAAACCTTCGATTCTTGCACGTGAGCCACCATATCCGCCAGCTGATCAAGTGGAATGCGGAGAAGAGAGAACATGGACAGAGCCGGAAAAGCAACCGAGGGAACAAGGGGCCTCTTCTCCACCAACGTAAATATCAAGAACGACACGAAGGTGATCAGGACAGGAACTCCACTCCAGATGGTAGCTGCGAGTGACCACAGGACATATTTCCTCCACAAGGCCGAGAGTTCGACTGCTCTTTTTTTATCAACATTGGCCTTGAATCGTTGCTCCCAGGCAAAGTATTTGATAATTCTGATGTTTTGGAGGACCTCGTTCGTTGAGTGAATGCGCTTATCAGTGGCTGCCATGATCCGCTTCTGCGCTGCCTGGAATGACTTTGCGATGTAAAGATTAAGCGGAAGCACTAGACCCATCAGTGCGATGCCTGCCAGGGAGCTGAGTCCAAGCACGGTATAAAGAAGTAAGACAGCCATGACAAGCTGAACAGGTACGGCAGCCCACAGAAAATGGAGATAAGCGCAGATCTCGGCCACTTTGAACGAGTCAATGGACATCAGATTGATGATGGTGCCATTGCTGGCCATCGCATCAGGAGTTTTCACTTTCGAGTCTTCTGGTGTGATGACATGATCGTGTGTCTTGGTTTGGGGCGTATGCCATTTGGAAGTCAAGCGTTTCCATAGACCCAGCTTAGGTGTTGGGTTCTCTGCGCTCGACTCTGCATCTGCCGTCGACGCAGCTTGTCTCCGAAGCGTCTTGGAGTAGATTTCGCCAACGATGATGGCGCGAAGCTGAATAGTAATCTTCCGCCCAATCCATAGCGACTGACCGTCACCGATAGCGGGAATAAGCCCAGTCACGAAGAGTAGGACAACATATAGCCACGCCGCTGTGACGGGCGTAGATTTGGAGTCCTCGAGGTATTGCAAGATCGCTCTGAGCAACAGGGTGGGCATGAAAAGGAAGAAACTTGCCATCATAGACCATGCACCCTGAATAAGAATCTTCCGCTTGAAGTGCAAAAGCAATCGAACAGCCAAGCTATGAGTCTTCTTGACCTGTCGGAAGCTGGCAAGTACAGGCTCGGCCTTGTCCTTGATTGTGACATTCCAGACATCGGCGAGTTCCAATGGTCTCTTATAGCCTTTCCAGACAATCGAATCAACCCAGCTGAAGGTCACAAGGGACAATGGACTTGCGAGGGGCTCTTTTGAAGGTTCGATGTCGCCGTCGTATTCCTGGAAGACGCTTTGATTGCCCTTTCGCGAGCACAAGGCGATCATCATCAAGAGAGAAGTTAGTGCGAAATGTGAGATGGTAACAGATCGATAGAGACGGCCGCCAGGGTGGATCAGTGTTGAGCGGAAGATCCAGACGTGCAGGAGCCACTGTGCTCCATATAGAAGAGCAGTATGGTTCCACAAGCGCGAAAACGATAACTTCCATGTGGTTGTGGAATGCAAGAACCTCAGGCAGGCAAGGGCTGTGATGTAGATCCAGACAGCCAAGTTCGCAGTCGCTGCGTGCGCCCAATGCTTCGAGTCCCATGTTCGTGCAGATGACAGTTCCGCAATTGACAGGCCGACCTGCGCCAACAGCGCAATCAATTCGACTGCGACTAGATAAGTCTCGCCTTTGGGTCGGTCGACATCAACAATAGAATGGCGAGCATGGCTAGCATGGCTGATAGTCTTCTGGAGAGTGAGATCGGAAATGCTATCTTCTGCACTGTCTTCGTCTTCATCAACTTCGACTAGCTGTTGCCTCGCCGAAGGACCTGCTTGTTTCTGCTTGCGTTGCCGCCATGTGCGCAGGGTCCCTTTCGCCGTGATCACGACAAGCGACAGGGCGCATGTCAAGAGAGGAAGGAGGATCTGAAGATAGCTGTAGAAAGGTCAGTATTCTGGCCCGACGGAGCTTCTTCTCGTTGTCGGTACTCACTCGACTTGGAAGCAATAGCTGAAATCATCTTTGCGCCATATCGGGCCCTTGCATGTGCCCAACATTGCCCTCGAATTTATGGCCAATAACCCACTTCAACACTGGTTGGATTGGCAGACTTGAGCATCGCTGTACCTGTAGCGGCACAATGTCGGAGCTACAGATAGAATGATGGTAGCAACGATCATGCCATATAGATATTCACAGAGCTATGAAGGCGGCAGATGGACAATGGTGCAGGAGAATTGCTGGAAAACAAACCTCGACACGTTGTTCGAGGAATGAATGGAGTCCGATCAAATTTACTCCATACCTTCGTGCCGCAAAGTTGGAGTCACCAGAGTGCCACTCTTTTGCCCGCCATGACGTGCTTCAAGCCTGTCGACTCGCCTAGGGGTGTCAATTAAGCTTCTCTTCGAGGGGTGGCACTGACCAACAAACGGTGGTGCAGACAGCGGAAATGATGCCCGTGATGCTCCGACTACGTCGCCCGCGGCTGGAAGGTCCAGCCTGTCTCGCCTGGGTGTGTGATTGATAAACGCCTGGACTCTGACAGCCGCCACCCAACCCTGCCCTGACTTGACTACTGGTATCTGTCATCAGCTCCAGTCACCCACCATGCCTCAAGTCACGGGCCTTTGTTGCTGACAAGAGACAAGTCCAAGTCCGCTTTGTGCCTCGACCGACGCGGGTTATCATCTCATCTTCAGCTCGCGCTGTTGTCCGGACCGCGCCTGGTCACTTGATACTCATACATTCAGGCCGAACAATCGCCAGAGGGTGACAGCGCCGAATAAGCACTTGGACAATTCACTCGACGAACCTTGCAGGATTGCACCTTGAAGAAGATTCTCAGCTGCCGACAAGTACTTACTTGACCTTCTCCCCCGAATTCATCCACCGTTCCTCCCCAGTCACAAACCACATCTGGCCATCGGCTTGCCCATCATGTCTCAAGCGGTGCTGATGAGAGAGTACAAAGAGCTCTCGAAACAGAAATGGGTCTCGGTCGAGGTACGTTCTGGTGAACCTGTCTCTAGCACGTGAAATATAGGCTAACAAGGTACATAGCTGCACGAAGACAACGTCTACTTGTGGGATCTCGCCCTCATGGTTACCAACCCTGACTCGTACTACTACGGAGGGTACTTCAAAGCCCAAATGACGTTTCCCAAAGATTACCCTTACAAGCCGCCGGGTACGTACATCTCCTGTCCGAGAGTCACACACAGGCTAATACTCCTACAGATTTCCGCTTTACACGACCCCTGTGGCACCCCAACATCTACCCGGATGGTCGTCTTTGCATCTCCATCCTGCACGCTCCCGGCGAGGACATCATGTCCGGCGAGGAGGCTGGCGAACGTTGGTCCCCCGCTCAACGCGCTGAGACCGTACTGCTCTCTATCCTCTCCCTGCTCGATGATGCAGAGGTATCCTCTCCAGCCAACGTTGATGCTAGCGTGCAGTTCAGAGACCACAAGGACGACTTCAAAGACCGTGTGAGAAAGGATGTTGAGGCCTCGAAAAAGGATGTTCCCGAGGCGTTCGAGATGCCCACCCATGAATCCACCAAGCCTCCCATCGAAGAGAAAGTCGACGATGACTTTTGGGTTGATTCTGATGCCGAAGAGTTGGATCTCGACGACGACTTCGACTTCGACGATGATGCCGCCAACGGCAGCGAATCGGACGAGGCTCTCAACAACGATTCCGAGGATGATGATGATTTCGACGATGACAACAACACAGACACCATTGATACGAATGCTGGAAACGCGTCCGCTAAGAGCAAAGGCAAATCTAGAGAAGAAGACGATGCCGAGATGACCGACGTCGAGTGATTTCGGGATATGAGCGTACTCATGACCGTGATGCCCTCATAGGAGACCTCGCAGCAGCGGCGTTTTTTCTTCATGCATAGCATTGGCAGAGCACCAGCATCTGGGTGGTCCTTTTTTAGCACCGGCGTCTGGCGTGGAGTAATTTCTTAGTCAACGATAGAGGCTAACGGCTTTGACATTTTTCGAGGGATTCTCGGTCTACGCCAGGCTACTTGGGATCGGAAAGGTTCTGCTAGGTAGCCGAAGCCAGATATTTGGTCACGCATACGGCATAGCCGAGCAGGTCCTGTTAAGCTGCACATTGTACCTCTATTCAACCCAGATTTGATGAAGGTCGTCTTTGTCGTTTCCCTTCCAGCATTCCACATGACATTACACCCTCCTGAATCTAGCTCCCTCAAGCGCAACACCAGAGAATCCTCCACGCAAGCTGGGTGCTCACGACTTCACAGCGCTGCCACCCTCAACTTCCCTAACGAGCTTCAAGATCTCTTCAACACACCTCTCCGGCTGCTCCTGATTCACCCAGTGCCCAGCCCCATCCACCAAAACCGTTCCTCTATAGCACTCCTCCGCCACACTCTTCCCACTCTCCATCGCCTGCACGGCCCCGGGCTCCTGATACGTTCCCCAATCACTCTTGCCCGCCACAAAGACAGTCGGCACCCTGACTTTGCCTCCGTTCCCCCACACAGCCACATCCGCCGCAATCTCCGGGCTGGTCTGCAGACCGTACCAATTCAATCCGCCACGGAACTCGGTCCGGCCGTACTCGCCCACGTACACGGCCAGCTCCTCGTCAGGCAGCCAGCGGGCGCTCAACCGCTTGACGTCCGTAGGGTCGAGGACGCGCATGTCGCGGTTCACGTTCTCACGCATGTCGGCGTCTTGGTCCATGATGTAGTAGCGCGGCATGACCTGCAGCTCCTCGGCGGCCCAGGCCTTCAGCTGGTGTGGTTGCTGCGGCCAATCCGCGCTCTTCAGGTGGAAGTATCCGCGCAGGAAGTCGTGTAGCGGCTGCCCTGTTGGGTACGTCATCTCCTGGTTCGCTGGCGGCGTGCAGTAGTACCACTTGTAGTGCTGGCGTGGGCGCGCCAGCTTGCCTAGCTCGGCCTGAATGTCGATTGGCTTGGGAGGCCGCGGCTGTGTGGTTTGGACGGTGGAGAGCGAGGGAGAAGTGGAGAACGGAAGTGTGGGTGGGCCTTTGCTGGGGTGCGACATGAGGACTAGGGACTTGAAGAGGTCCGGGCGCGATAGTGCGCAGAGATACGCGGTCATGGCACCGAAGTCATGGCCCACGACTGCAGAGGCCGAGGTGTAGCCCAAGGCGGAGACGAGGGAAACGGCGTCTTTGATGAGGTTGAGCGGCCGGAACGAGTCTCGAGGCAGAGGGTTGGGGGAATGGGTCCGACCATAGCCCCGCTGGTCAAAAGCCACGGCGTGATAGCCGGCAGCGGACAGAAGGGGGAGAATCTTGCGCCAAGAATAGGCAAGTTCGGGAAAGCCGTGGATGACAAGGATGAGGGGGGTATTGGGATTTGGGTTGGTGGGAAGGGACTCAATGATGTGGAAGATCAGAGAGGTGGGAGTGCAATCAACGTATCGAGACTGGAGGCCCGGAGGAAGAGGGACTGGCGGGAGGGTCTTGGGGTCGACGGCATTGGCCGGGGAATCCTGGTGGGTGTAGACCATGTTGAACGAGGTGGCCGTGGTGAGTCTCACGACGAAGCGAATCGAGGGGGCGCACAGCCCGACTATATACCAGTCAACTCATCGCCGTCCGCGCAAATTGCTTGGTCGTGCGGGGGGCATCCGTTACCTATGTGATGGGAGTCACCGCGCGCAACCTCGGGTAAAGGATGATGCGAAGCCCACAGACGGGCGGCATCACTCGAATCAGAAGTTACGTGTGGAAGTCTACTGATGCAAGTATGCGTGGAACGAACCTCGCTGGCGTGTACAATGGATGTCTGTACAGGATGGGCTTGCTGAGGTGTTGATGGTCGTCCGGGGCACGGCCTGGCACAACAGACCTCGGTCTACGGATACTGTCGGCCACAATTGTCTCCTGAAGGATGATTTTATTCGTCTGAATCTGCGGGTAGACATGGACAGCTGCAGAACAGAACATTATTCGTCGCACAGTCAAGAGTGGATGGTGTCAGAGTTGCGAACATGTGGACGAAACGGAAGACGGTGAGACAGTGGAATGCTGTCATCTTTGGTGACGTTGTGGCTGTACGCAATGGTGGCTAGTGCTCGGTCTAGGCCACCGCTATTGGCCGGGTGGTCCTCTGGCAGATTGGGCAAGGCGAGAAAGAGGCGAGTGCTTGGTCGATCTGGGGGCAACTGGCTCCTCTGCCGTGACCGTATCATCTCAGCTGGAGGGCACCACTCCAGCAACTTAATCGAATCGTCCTTGTTGTCGCTCCGGCACTTCCTTGCTTGCCTCATAATTACGTTCATTGCTGCCTCTTTTCCTTACCCGTCGTCCCCTTGCGCCTCCTTCGCGCTGCCTTCGAATGTACCTTTCCCTTTTGCACTGTGCGGGCTGAGCCTGCGCATCATGGAGATATCTCACAGCTATTCATCCCACGAGTCCAGCTCCAACGCGCCATAAAAGTCGTTGGCCATCTCATTTCAGTCGCACTAGAATTACATTCTAGCTCCTAGGTTTTGAAAACCCGCTATAAAGGGACTCGTCCGTGGTTTCTTTCCCTTGCGTGAACGCTCAACGCCACCAAGATGCCGAGCCTCTTTCATCGACGGACGCGGTCCGCGAGTGCTCAAGTAATGATGTCCTTCCGATTGCTTAGATAGCCTGCTGACTGTGACTACCCAGCGCCCGCAGCAGGCCACCAGTAACTCAGCACACATGGCTGCTACTCAGGCCTTTTTGGCCAATCGAGTGTCTCAAGGAAACCTATCCGCCTCCGCCGCCGCCGCCGCCCTCCGAGCAATGTCCCCGCCTCCAACACCTGTCGCCGATGTCCAGACCAAGCGAATGCAGAGGCGGTCATCGAGTGCTTCCGGGTCCCCGGCAAATGCCTCTAGAGGTCGTTCAAGAGGTGGGCTAGATAGAACATCAAGTTCAGGCTCTATGACAGAGAGGACCTTTCGAAGTCCATCACCAGGTCGTCCCACTACGCCCTCTGGTCCTGGTGTAGCTCCGCCTGTTCCCCAACTGCCGGCAGACATCCCACCTGTTCCCAAACTGCCGGACAGGTCTTCGAAACGCTCTCTGAGCCTGGATACCTACGCCTCGAAAAAGCAGAATCCTACCCCACAGCATACACCTGCAAACGACCCTCAAAGCATATCAAAAGCCGCGGCAGCGATCAGTGTCGGACAACATGCACAGGTCGGAAATGGAAATGTGGCTCAACGTGCCGACAGCAGAAACTCTGTCAACTTTTCACGGCCTCTCTCGCCCTCGCCGCAATCACCGGCCAGTCCTGTAGGTGGTCAACGGTCCAACCGCAACGGAATTTCTGGGCCGGAGGCAGAGAATGTGCAGTACAGCGTCACGGCCGCAGCGCAGCAGCCCGTGAAGAAAAAGAAAAAGAAGGTCGCACCCCGGTCTTCTGAGGGGAGTCATCTCCAAAGCGGCAGTATGGCTAGTAGGCCCGTATCGACACCTCTCGCCCCCGATCCAGAAATGCCTCCCGTAGCCGCTGCGGTCGAGCCGAAGGAGAAGAAAAAGAAAGTTGCGTTGACCGGTCAGAATTCGCATTTCCCGCAGTCTTCAGATGCAGCGTCGTCGAATCAGGATTCAGATTCGTCCCCTGAGCATACACGCCGTGCGCAGCGAGCGGCGGGACACCTTGCCAAACAACCGTCGATTGTGAGGGAGGACTGGGAGGGTGAGCAAGAGCAGCAGCTATCCGAAGCTCAGGAAAGGGAGCAACAAGGGCTCAGTCCTGTGGCTAGTCCAGCAGCTACTGTACAAAGTAAGAAGCTGACGGCCGCGAATATGTCCAGAAAAATTGAAGAGCCGATCACGCCTACACCAAAATCCCAGCCATCACCGCTGGAGGCCTACCAGGATGTGACAGAAGCTCCTGCAGAGGCAGGCACCAGCCACCTGACCGTACAACAGCCACAAGTCAGCCGAAACAGCTCCATCAGCCCTTCGAGATCGACTCGGTTCTCGGAAGAGCCATCGGATCTTGCGGCCGGGAGGAAGCACGAACCACTGCCTCGGTCGGTGTCGCCTGTAAAATCGGCTCTGAAGCATCATCACCCCTCGACGGTGGATGACCGCCTCAGCAAGCCTCGTGGATCGAGTGCGACTCCGAGCGATGCGTCTGACTCAAACAGGTCAGCCGATGGTTCAGTCCGGCGGCAAAAGAGCGTGAGGGTCAGTTTTGAACCGGAGCCAGAGGTCGTTGGCGTTGCTGCTGAACCACAAAGTACCGACAGTCCGGTGATTCAGAGTCCTCAGGCCAAAGAAACGAAGAAGCGAGGCTTCTTTGGTTTAGGAAGCAGTAAACCGGCACTTACGACGATACCATCCGAAGACAATTTGGATGAACACATGCAGCCAAGGCCGCAGCTGCCCTCCTTCGGCAGCATAAGAAATAGGCAACGACGGGTCGATTCCTCGGACTCTGTTGAGGTTGCCCCTACGGCGGACAAGCTGCTCTCCTCTCCCAGCCAGATCTCCTCGACTTCGTCGGATGGCTCATCGAGCCCAGATATTCCGGCACAAGATCAAGGATCGTCGAGTGATCATGCGATTGGTGCTATCCTGTCCCGAAACGCTGCTCAGAAGTCCATGCCCCAAGACCCACTTTTGCCTCTGCCGCCGGTAGTCACTTCTGTAGAAGGCGGTGGTTACATGTCTGATACCGAGAGTGACATTACAGTGGAAGAAATCCAGCCGCAGGTGCAATCATCAGTTTCCGCCGAGATGCCGAATGGGCAAGTACAATCGACTACCACCCAGCCACCTCAAACGATGCATCAACCCAGTGACACCAAGGCTGCGGAAGAGAAAGATTTGTCTACTTCGAACATCCCTACAGATGTTCCAGCATTGTCTGTGCAGCCTCCGACCCCGGGCATTGAAGATGAGAAACCTTCCGATCAATGGTTGGTAGAGGTGCCTGGCGGTTTCCCCTCTGCTCCAGAAGAGATGGTCCAAGCTGTGCCTCAGGCCACCACGCCTTCAACCAACGCCTCCAGCAACCCTAGTTCTGAAGCTCGAAAATTCGGCCCTTCTGAGGCAGAACTCCGCAAAGCACAAGCCGCACCTGAGGAAGAAGAGTCGGCATCTGATGGCGATAGCATTTACAGCGATGCGGAAGAAGATCTTTCAGACAGAGAAGGCTATGGTTCGATTGATGCCATTGTAGAGAGCCCGATTATCGAATCGCCCCGACTGCAGAAAATTCAGACGCCTCCGCAGAGTCCGCTCGCCGAGAGGACCGATCGACCACAGGCTGCTGAGCGCACGGCATCGTGGGATGATACTCAGCAGCACTGGAGCGGTATTGCACAGCAAAGTCGGCAAGTGAAAGCGGCTCCACTTCAAAAGACGCCCCAGCCGGCAACAGAGCAGCTACCACAGCCAGCACCGCAACGGGCATCGCAGCAGGCCACACAGCGGTTACAGACTGTCACTGCTCCTGCAAAACCTAAGAAGAAAAAGAAGAGCAGCACTACCGCTACAGCCGGTGCTTTGGCTGCAGCCGTGCCTGTCGCCCGGCCGCCACCAGTCGACAGGACACAACCGACATCCATGAGGAGTTCGATGAGACAGCCAGCTGCACCTCAAGCTAGCAATAACGAAGCTGGCGCAATGCGGACTTCCATGCGACAAACTGGCAATGCTCCAAATCCTCGCGGCTTGCAAGCTTCTAAATGGGCTACCGAACCGACGAGACCAAAACCACCGCCCCAGCCCGTTGCAGCACCAGCTTCTCCCGGCCGGGCTGCTCTGCAGAAGAAGTACATTCCTCCGGCCAACACTGCTCCAACGGCCAAGCCAGCCTACAAGCCGCCCCCTCCGCCAACAATTAACAACAGCGACTCCGACAGCTCCTTCAAGAAGGCTCGCAGGTCAAAGAAGTCCGCAGATGGTAGCTACAACATGCGACGCAGCATGCGCAGCGCTGCGCAGGTTCCTCCCACACAACCCGGCGGACGTGGGGCAGTTCGATCTCTGTCACCACCTGTGCGACGACCGTTTTCCCCGGCTGGGGACCAGCGCCCGATGCGGACCAGCATGCGTGGGTCAATTGAGGCAGCCGCACCTACGCTAAGAGGCCCCAAGGAGCAAAAGCGGTCTTCGTCTTTGTTCGGAAAGCGAAAGGCTAAGAGCCCTATGCGTGCCGGCCCCATGCCACTGACAGCGGGCCTACGTTCGAGAATCGGTGACTCAGACGACGAGGACGGTCCAAGACCGACTTCCTTCAGATCCAGATTCGAAGACTCGAGCGATGAAGAGGGCGATCCTCAGCCTTTGCGGCCCGTCCGAGGCATTCCAAGAAGGCATGACGAGGGCGACTCGACCGACCTGGATGACAGCTCCGACGAGGAGAAGAAAAAATCGCGACGCCAGTTGCAGCCTGCTATCAAGATTGATACCACTGCAGCTCAACAAGCCGGACCCGCAGCAGATGCTCCTCTATCTCCTACTACGATGAAGAAGAGGGGCCTCTTCTCCCGCTTTCGCAGCAAGAAAGAGGACAAGGGCAGCAGCCCGAAACCTCGGAAGGTCAATACTGCGGCCGATCCAATCCCTGACAGCCGGCCAGGCACGAAGGATGATGATACACCGTTCGATGGTAACATGGGCTTCGGCTCAAGCGCTGAAAGAGACGCCATGATTCGTCAGACAATGGCCAAATTGGAGGCTGCCAAACAAGATCAGGATGGCAACCCACCTGATGTTGTCTCTGCTGACCCTGGCCCGGCGTCTTCGGCTGTTGGTTCTCCTGCATCGTCCAAGGTCCCAAGGCCTACGTCCCCAGTTGCAGGCAAGTTGCAACGACGTCGGCCCGAACGTGTAATGAGCGACTCGTGGCCACTGCCTGATGTCCAAGCAAAAGAAAGCGAAGATCGGCCATCTACCAGTGCCGGTCCAGGCTCTTACAAGACGAACGGCATGTCGAGCTTGCGGCCGGCACTCCACGAAAGGAAGCCAACCAACGAAACACTCAGCACCGACGGTGGTAGCCCATTGACAGGTAGTAAGAGCAAGAAGAAGCGCTTCCCTATGTTGCGCAAGGCCTTTGGGCTAAAGAGCTAGGGCATCTTTCTATTGCTACTCGGCGTCATTTGCTCATTCGTGATATGTGATTTTGTGCTAGGTTTGGCAAGGCCTGTGAATTTTTCGAAGCAAGCGAAATCTCCGAAAAGTGCTTCAAATATGACTGGAGATGAGAGAAGGCAAAGGAGGCATTGTAATTTGATGTTTGTTATACCCCCGGCTAGCATTAGCACATATACACGGTTGTCCTGCGCACAGCAGATATAGTCTCCTACTAATACTTAATCATATCGTTCATTCTAAACGATGAGACAAGTTTCATGGCTGTTGCAGTGTCCGACTTTGAGAAACGGCAAATGTACCGCACTAGATCCTGGGACAATGCAGAGACTTCAGCCGAAGCAGCCAGTTGCCGGCATCTAACGAGATTTGACGGCGACCATAGTGGCGTTGGGCAAGAGGAGCAAGTGCCTCTCGGGGAAAACTGCATGTTTTCCTAAACGGCTGCGCTTGCGTGGCTGAGTCAGGATGTACTGTTGAGGTAAGCCGATAGCACATCCATGCGTCAATTATGTGCCCTCTGAGACCATACTGCTTCTCCGTGGAGCGTGAGTGGGCGGTTGAGGAAGCGAAACCATCGAGCAATGGGATAAGGACGGATAATTTAGCCACCGCAAGCTACCCCTGCGCCCTTACAGAGACGATGAGGAAGCAGGTGGGCAGCGGCAGAGTACGGAGATGTGTGAGGAGAATGGTTGGTGGTGGGGGTAAAACTGAGAGTGCATGAGGGTGCTTCAGATGTCATGGCGGGGCACTCCATCCGCGCGCGGCGCCACCCCAACTGAACAAAAGTTGTTCGAGGCCCTGTTGTGATTAAATCTTGCTTCAGTATACTACCTTTGACCACTGCACATCTCGAATCAATTCTCAATTTCACTCTTGTTAAAACCACCCAGTTCGCAAATATGTCGTCGTCCCTCGATCAGCTGAAGGCTACCGGCACGGTATGTTGAACCCTCCGACATCAATGCCCCTACTAAATTGTTGAACAGGTCGTTGTCTGCGACTCCGGCGACTTCAACAGTGAGTTTGACGGCTTTTACAACTGATTTGAGCTAATTTTGTCCAGCCATTGAGAAGTACAAGCCTCAGGATGCCACTACCAACCCCTCCCTCATCCTCGCCGCCTCCAAGAAGCCCGAATATGCCAAGCTCATGGATGTTGCTGTTGAGTACGGCAAGAAGCATGTACGGACAGCAATCCACCATCAAGGAGACGTGCGCTTACACTAAACCAGTCCAAAGATATTGACGCCCAGGTCGATGCCACTCTAGACCGCCTGCTGGTTGAGTTCGGCAAGGAAATCCTCAAGATCGTCCCTGGCAAGGTCTCAACAGAGGTTGACGCCAGACTCTCCTTCGATACCGAGCGCTCCATTGAGAAGGCTCGTCACATTATCGAGGTAAGCTCTACAAGAATCGTGGAGTAAAATCTTCTAACATCGTAAAGCTCTACAAGGCTGAAGGTATCGGCAAAGAACGCGTTCTGATCAAGCTTGCTTCTACCTGGGAGGGTATTAAGGCGGCCGAGGTCCTCCAGAAAGAGGGTATCAACTGCAACCTGACTCTGATGTTCTCGCTTGTCCAGGCCATCGCTTGTGCCGAGGCCGGCGCCTTCCTCATCTCTCCCTTCGTCGGCCGCATCCTCGACTGGTATAAGGCCGCAATGAAGAAGGACTTCCCCGCCAACGAAGACCCAGGTGTCAAGAGCGTGGGTTCCATCTTCAACTACTACAAGAAGTATGGCTACAAGACCATTGTTATGGGTGCATCGTTCCGCAACGTCGGCGAGATCACCGAGCTTGCTGGCTGCGATTACCTTACCATCTCTCCCAACCTGCTTGAGGACCTCTACAACTCCAAGGACGATGTTCCCAAGAAGCTCGACTCTGGAGCTGCGGCCCAGCTTGATATCGCCAAGAAGTCCTACATCACGAACGAGGCCGACTTCCGCTTTGACTTCAACGAGGAGCAGATGGCTGTTGAGAAGCTGCGGGAGGGCATCAGCAAATTCGCCGCCGACGCCGTCACGCTCAAGGGCATCCTCAAGGAGAAGCTCGAGAAGGCTTAAGCAAATTGATAATATGTGCCTTCTTTACTGAATGTCGGCGAGTCCAGACGAGCCAGACCCTGACATCGCCTGTGGGCGCTCGGACTGGCTCGATGCTATGAGTACGACCCAAAATGAACATAGAATTGAACCCGGTTTCAACGCGGACCACAGTCTGCCGCTCCAATGAATGACATTCATGCTAAGCTACCAGAAAATACCGCACCTACTACTGCTTGGCCGAGCCTTGAGGGCTCACCCCCCGATATCGCAGCCTCGCTCGGCCTCATACTTTCCACATGCCGAGTAGCAATGCTCTTCTAGACATCTCTAGGTATCGTTGGAGTTCCGGGTCTGGCTAGTATGGGCTCGGACCGTCTGACGCTCGAAGGGTACTTAGGTACCTTGCTTAAAGTACCCGACTAACATTCGCTGATAAGCGGACATTGAAAATTTGTCTTTGATGCGGGGCAGCGCTGTGAATGGCTGCCCCTCAATGATGATCGCGCGCTGTGCCATGACAACATCGGTGCAACGAGTTACAAGTACAAGAGCAGCGTCCACTTCCGAGGCACCGCAGTCTTACTCTTGCTCCTACTTCACATTTCAAATCCTGTAGTCCAAGAACCCCATCAACTCGTATAACTCTTTCACGTGAATAACACCGTCAATATGGTTAAGGCCGGTACGTTTGCTGCCCCTCTCCGACTGCCCAAGTACTGCGGGAGAAGTTTGGTGGACGACATTGGTCATCATCCCACAGCCTGCTTTGCCGTTTCATCGGCCGTTTCTACGGACGGTTCATCCCCGCTCTCATCAAGAGTACACGCATGAGCTCTTACACAATGCTGACATTGGTTTTGTGACGCAGTGGCTGTCCTCCGTGGTGATTCCAAGGTCACCGGCTCAGTGACCTTTGAGCAAACCTCCGAATCCGGCCCCACCACCGTCACCTACGACCTCCAGGGTCACGACCCTAACGCCGAGCGTGGCTTCCACATCCACCAGTTTGGCGACAACACCAATGGCTGCACCAGCGCTGGCCCTCACTGTATGCTTTCCTGAACCGCGGAGCCCCCGGAAGCCATACCGGCCGGGGCTTTGAACTAAATAGCAAACAACTGACAATGAGATACAGTCAACCCCTTCGGCAAAGGCCACGGTAGCCCCAGCGACGACGACCGCCACGTCGGCGACCTAGGCAACATCAAGACCGACGGCCAAGGCAATGCTAAGGGCACCATCACCGACTCGCAGATCAAGCTGATCGGCGAGCACTCTGTTCTGGGCGTAGGTCCCCCCTTTCCCTACAACTACCACCTACCCTGATGACCTCTTCCTGAGCCACCATCACCATCACGCGCCACAGGTACAAAGAAGCTGACGATGGCATTTCCCTCTCATGTAGCGCACCGTCGTCACCCACGCCGGCACCGACGACCTGGGCAAGGGCGGCAACGAGGAGTCCAAGAAGACGGGCAACGCCGGTCCCCGTCCCGCTTGCGGCGTCATTGGCATTGCCCAGTAAAAACGCAATGCGATGTGTCACTGGATTGTAGAGCGCCGCGACTCTTTCAGAGCAGGCTGCCGGTGCAATGGGGGCGTCAATCCCCGCTATCTATCCTCTACTGGCCAGTCTCTGATGACCCGTTGCGACCCTGCACCCTGCGAGCACACTACCGTTGGCAGCAAGCATGCATGCATGCCAGATATGGCTTGAGAAGCCTCTAAAATTCCAGATTTCGAGATTGATCGATAGGCTGCGACATGATAGCAAGAAATTCATGAATCCCAAAAGCTGTGTATCTACACACGTTCTCCCAACAGACGCATCGTTGACCATGGAGGATGTTTTTTTTTGTTTTTCGCGCGCTGGTGCCCATTCACTTGCCTGATGTACTGCCACTGCACTGTACCACAAGTCCTCGCCGCCTCACCTAGTACTTGGGTACTTCTCTCTGGCCCGAAAATGTTACGTCTCTTACGAATCTTATCACACGCACGTACAATGTAGCATTGGAAAGTTCTAGACGGCTTCCTCTGCAGAAGCGTTCAAATCATATGGTGCCTCGCCATGCTGGGGTATCACAAATCCTGATCATAACACATGAATGTAGCCATACACCCACACACACACACACAAACGACATTCCCGCCACCCTGCTCCTGCCTCGGGGATCCTGAATATCTGATCAGTACACGCCCGCAACCTCGTCCCTCAATCTGCCAATGCCCTGCGCCGTCCGCTCTCTCTCCAGCACCCCCCTCGCACTGCCAAAGCCGCCGAGGCCCGCCGCACTGACGCCCGCGCCCGTGCTTAATCCCATCCGCATCTGGGCAGTAGCATTGTGGCCATTTCCAGCCGTTGCCCAGACAGGCAGCAGCGACTTCTTCGCAGCGGGCCAGGCATCGACGTCGAAGAGTAGCCAGGCTTCGTCGACTGTCCAGGGGCCGGTTGTTTCCTCGCCCGGCTCCTCGGCTATGGGCTCGACATTCACGCCCCGCACATCCTTGATCGATACGGTCCGCGTGGTGGCGGCCGCGGAGTCTACCTGAACGGGTTCGGACAGCGTGCGGCGGATATTTGCGGGGACACGAGCCTTGCTGGGCGACGTGCGCCGGACGCTTGGACTGTCACGTTGAAGTAAGGCGGCGGTGGGCGGGAAGTCGGAGAGGAGCGCAGAGGGGCCACCGAATTCATCGTCCGATGACGATGCAGAGACGGTGGTCTCAAGGTCCTCCTGCAGAGCATCGTTAGCGGAGAGAGTCCGGCGGAAGGGGCGCGATCGCGATGGGGAGGGATAAAGTGCAAGTTCCGTGGGGGCTGGTGCTGGTGTTGGGCGCAATGTCGGCAACGGAGGCGGAGGCATGCGTTCTTGGATTGTCTTCCGTGAAGGTCCGTCGGTAAATGCGGGCGAGGACGACCGACTGCTGTATGGCGATGGCGAACGCTGGTGTTTGATGGGCGAGATGTTGATGGTGCTAAACCCCACCAGTGACGGAGACTGTGGCTTGGGACTCAGGTCGATGGGCTCATCGGCGGTATCCCCCGGGGGCTTGGTGCCTTCGAGCATGCGAACTTCGAACTCCTGACTTGATTCTATGCGCTGCTCTGCTGAAGGCGGCGGCATTGGCGCGTCGACATCCTGTGGGACAAACAAAGGGGAGGACGTCAGATCGATTATTTGATTGCCAGAGCCTCGCCTACTTCTTGATGCGATGTCCGCCTCATCGATTGAGGTCCTCCGCTGTATAGGTGAGTTCGGGTTTTCCACCCGCGTATTTCTATACCAAGTATTCACATCTGCTTGCGACTCCTCGAGCTGCCTATGTGTGTTGGTGGGGCCGGGAGGTCGCTGGGGCTGGATGCTGGATTCAAAGGACTCTCCTTCACCGGAATTCCCATCGTCAGGATTCTGACCGGATTCTGTGCGTGAGCTTAATCGTGGCGGCCGCGTGGATTCTGGCGGGGGGTGTCTACGTATTCCCGAATCTTGCACGGCCGAACCCGGCAGTAAGGCTCGCGACATCAGCTTACGTCGAGGCTTCTCCCTCGAAAACTGGAGCTGGGTCGTCCCCAGCCGAGCTGTATAAACGTTCAACGCTGGCAGAGAATGGTTGGACGCAGCCGAATGAGAGCGCGGCGCAGACAAACTGTGGAGTCGATCGCTCAGCAGCTTTTTGGGCTTCCCAGACCCTCCAGCCGGCTTCTGCACAGCTGACATGGGCTTGGGGGATGAAAGACGCGTGTCTGGTCCTGCACCGGGACTGCGTAAGCGCTTCTTGGCTTCTTGCTGTACTTGCGGTGACCGCTGGAGAACAGGCTTGGGTCTGGTGGGCTGTACTGGCTCACCGTCCGATGATAGATCGCAAACCTCTTCCACACGTCCAACTAGGTTCTGGGTAGATTTGAGTGGTTGCAACTGGCGCGACGGCTTCGGCGAGACCAGCCTTCGTTGTTGTTCTGGGACAGAAGCCTTCGGCGAACGTGGCTTCGCCAGCTCACTCTGTGGAACATTCTCCTTTCCCAGGGCAGTTTTTTGACGCTTCGCGGGCGGCTCTGCCGAGTGGACAGCCTGTTCGACCTGACGCCTGTCGTATGGCGACTGATAGGGCGTACGGACGCGCCCGACAGAGCATTGACTGGCACCGAGGACGTCTTTTATTGATTTGAGCTTGTTCTGAGAGGCAGCAATTCTAGGTATACCCGGAGGACGCTGAACTGCTGGTCTCTGTGGACTCGGGCGTTGATGCACAACCTGATTCAAATCGGTCTCGGTCTGGCCAATAGGCTCACCAACCTCAACCATGACATGGCTGTCCAGCAACAACTCTGTGCCTTCGCCCACCTCGCCGTCTTGTCGATAGTGAGCGTCACCGATGTAGAATTTGTTGTCATCGTAGACCATGACGCGTTTGTTGAACGTGTGGTAGCGGAGGGAGCCATCGTGCCACTTTTTTGCTTTCTTGCGGACATCGCGCGTGTAGAGACAGCGAAACTCCAGAACTGGGGCGGTGGCCTGGGAGAGGGGGCCGGGAAGATTTGAGGGCGTAACTTGCGCGCCTCGCGTGCCTTGCGCAGTCGCGGGGGCCATGACTGCGGACATTGATGGCTGCGGCGGCGGCGTGGGCTCGCGTCAGCATGGTTTCCTCACGGCGACATCAAGACGCCTGAGACATGTGAATCAGTTGACAGCAGATCAGTCCGGGGTAAATAAAAGGGCACCGTTGATCGGCAGAAATGCGGCCGGATATGCCAAAGTTTGAAACCTGCACCCAACGCGCGTCAACGAAGGCGATGAATCCAGAACAACGTCCACCACTCAACAGGCCACGACTGCTGTTCCTTACCCTCATCTCCATTACTTCCTACACACCTTGCCCTCCCTATCCATGCTGCTCATCTCTTGTTCTTGCTTAATGCTGCAGCGTCTGCTTTGGGCTTGGGTCCCTTCCATTCAAGCCCTTTATTCCGTTCTTGTCGCTCCTTAGCTGCCCCCCCTACGCGATCCACTTCAGCGGCCCCCCGTCGTTCAAGCTATACCCTGACCCATTAGAAGTCAACGTACCACACTAGACTAAGCCTAATAATATTGTCTCCAGCAGTCTGGTCACCATGCAGAGCGTCCAGCGGCAGTTTGGCAAGTACATGAAGAGAAGTGCAGACGAGAAGACCATCTCGGTGCTGCTCAAGGACTTTGAGGAAGCAGATCACTTGCTCACGAGGGTGCGCCTCTTAACCATGTAGCACAACCGCCATCTAACACCTGTCAGATTATTGACTCTTCCAAGGCATGGAAAGAGGCCTGGATTGCTATCCTCACTCACCAAACACGCATCTTCACCGAACTCGAGTCCTTGTACCAGCCAATACTTGGTGCTGGCGCCGATTATCATGGCCATACCGCAGTTGAGACGGACCCGGAGACCCTAGCCCGCACCTCGAGGTACATGTCCGAGAGCGAGGAATTGAAACGAGATCTATCGGAAGACGTGGGCCAGGTCGACACCCGCATGATACATGTCGCCCAATCCGCCAGAGAGAGCCTGCGTTTCTTAAGGAAGACGATCAAAAAGCGAGAAGATCGGAAACTCGATTTCGAGCGATACCAGGGTCGCGTCGACAACACCAAAAGCAAAACAAAGCTCTCCGATCGAGACAGGGCAACCCTGACCAAGGCGGAAACAGAGTTACTCCAAGCCACCGATGCCTACAACAATGCCGACGAGCACTTACGACAAGTACTTCCTCCTGTACTAGCCGCCGTTTTCTCCCTCCTACCACACATCCTTGCGGCTCAGATCGAGATTCAGAACAGCCTCCTTGGTCACTACTACACCTCTGTGCATACCTATTGCTCGCAAGAAGGCTTTCCCAACCCTGCACCTCCCATGGACGAAGTCATCCGCTCATGGTCTGACGCTTTTCTTCCTGTGCAGAAGGAAGTCGAGTCGCTCTGTCTTATCGCCTCTGGCAAAGCCGTCCGCCTCCCAATGTCCCAAAGCGAAAGGCCTAATGGCTACCCGACTAACGGCCAACGGCGGCCCTCTGCACACTCCACCCTCTCGAACCGGGGTCATTCGCCTTCACCAGCTCGCAAACTTCCTCCGTCGCCTGAATACGAAACCAAATCAAAAGTGTCGCCGACACCCTCGCCCTCTGCCAATTTCCTTCTCTCACCAACCGAGCAAACCCCTCTCAGTGCCTCGCCCGCCAGTTCTTCCGTCTATCAGACCCCCGGCGTCGCAAGCTTCTCACCGGCAGGTCCCAATACCGATTACTTTAGTCGAGATCGACAGCCCTCATCTGCCACACAAACCCTCGCAACTCCATCATCCATGTCGTCTCTGGCTTCAGCCACCTCTACCTTGGCGATTGGCAAAAAGAAGCCCCCTCCCCCACCTCCACCACCACGGCAGAACTCACAGAATTGGGTGTTCGTGACAGCATTGTACGATTTTGGTGGGCAAGGAGAAGGCGATCTAGTGTTCCGCGAAGGAGACCGAATAAGGGTCATCAAGCAAACAGAGAGCAAGGACGATTGGTGGCAAGGCGAGTTGCGGGGGGTAAAGGGGGCATTTCCAGCCAATTACTGTGAGTAGTGCTGAGGATTCTCAGTGATATTCGGAACGAGTTCTGCAGTTGGTGCCAAAAGGTTACTGGATATATGGACGATGGCCGGAGCTGACTGAGCGAGGGTAGCGACGACGAGTTCGCAAATTTACTTGTGACGGTCTCCTCATGGGACGACCTATTTCATTCGGACGACGACCCGAATTGGCTTCAATCAACAAGAGCCAATCGATGTTCGTCTACTGCAAAAGGGTCGATCAGACCGGCCAAGGTCCAAGCAGAAGGTGGACACGCCAAATGAGGATCAAGCAAAGTATTACGACTTGCAATCCATGGTTTGCACCATGGACACGATACGCATAATTATGGTAGATGCAACGGCAGGCATAGCCGAGCAGGTCAAGCAGACACGCCACAATGGTCGGGCTGGAAACAGGCCGCATCGAATCTGCATACATGGACCGCGCTTACGGCTCTCGATGTGCAACAATGACGAAAAAGAGACCCAGTCGTGAGGACGGGACACCAGCAAAGCCGGGCGTTTTGGCGGGTCCTGGGTCTCTGTGTGTGGGGAACTCGAACGCACCCCCTTTATTTGGTGCGTGTATGGCATGTGATATATGGCATCGCGTAGCGATTTCCTCCAGCGATATATCATATACTTGGCGGGTGATACAGTGAGAGTGAGTGACTGCCTCTGATAGGTCGCGCGCGCGCGTGGCGAGCACAGGGAACTAGCGAGAGAAAGGGAAACGAAAATTTGAGTTGAAAGACTCAAAAGAGAACCATCAAAGCGAAAGCGGTTGCAAGACACCGAGTGCCCGCTGCCCTTCATTTCTAGACCTATCTCCGTTCCTTCATGCTGGTAACAGTCGGGGTTCATGCCAAAATAGCGTATTGCGAGATTCGTGCTGGGCATTGGTAGACAGATGTTGTTCAACATTGATGATTAGCTGGCAGGCAACAGGCGTGCTGTCCTCAGACATTGACTGGAAGAGAGGGGCAAGACCTTGTGACGCGACCGGGACAGACGTGCGGCAAAGAATTGGCGCTCTACTTAGGCATTCGGCTGATTGATACGAGATCGTGTGGACGTAAACTCGACAAGGCTTGAATATAAATGTGGTCGCCTCGTTTGCCTTGCGGTGGATACGTCGGAGACGCTGTAACACTAACCCTCGTTTCAGCTCTCGCTCCACATAAATTGCCCTGTTGATACATACGCCTGTACCACTCTTGCTACACGTGCGATATTATGGATAACAGGCCCGTGCTCTCCTATTGTTATACCCGTGCGTGCAGTGGTGAACCCATTCAGACCCAAGTAGCCAATACACAGCATTATTGATATACCACATATCAAACAAATGCCGGACTTAGCTCCCTATTCCGCTCCTCGTCTGATCCGTTCATCCGTCTCTTCTTGAGGAAGTCGCTTACCATCCGCTTGCTACTCCACAAACCAGCAAAACCTCCCTTCCCGCTGTCACCACTCGGCAACTTCTGTTTGAGCTCAATATCAGGAAGAGCGGTATCCAATTCACCGTCAAACGGGTTCGCCCCAAGCCCACCATATCCCCCAGGCCCGCGCTGGGAAGGGCGAGGCGCAACACTCAACCTACCAGAAGCCATATCATCCGCGGCAGTCTTGCCAAGATACATGCTGTCGAACGGGCGGTTTGGCTCCGGCACATCCATGTTGAAAGGTCGGCTGAGTCTGGCCGAGAGTGATTGTTTGACTCTGTCTGTAGGGCTCTCGTCGTTCTCTAGCGCTCTCAGACGACCGGGCGTGCTAGACTTCTTGATTGTGGGGTAGTCGTCGTCTTTGGAGCTGAACACCGACTCACTGGCTCGTTTGCGAAGCCTGCCATTGCCGCTGCGCATTTGAAGTCCAAGTCGTCCAGGCGTACTCATGGGCGGAGACTCGCTTCTTGGGGACGGTCTATTCTCCTTCCTTACGTCCTCGTGCTTGCTGCGTAGAATTTGACTTTTGCGTTCCTTCAGCATTCGAGCAATATTGCCAGGACTGATCTTCCGAAGTGTTCCGCTCGACTTCTGCGTGTCATCGTTCTTGTCAGAGTCTGCTTTGAGATCGATAGCACTTGCTTGTTTCAGAAGTCCGCTGTGGCTCTTTGTCAAGCTTGAATTCCGCTTCGGCACCGGCGTAACGTGGCTCGAAACTTGTTTCAGATCAAGAAGAGGAAAGTTTTTGACAGTACTAGCCCGAGAAGTTGGTCGTCCAAAGCCGCCACCGCCAACACCGACGTCCTCTGGGTCGATCTGGGCATGTTCGCGGTAGTGGCTGGCAGTCTTAGAATCAAACCGGGTAAGTGTGTCGACCTGACCCTGAATCCAGCCTTTCCATTCACGCTCGCTGCTATTGGCAGTGGATGGCTTGGCCTCATTCTCTACTTGAAGTCGTGGTTGATATCTGTTCGGAATTATCGTAGCCATTCCGATGTCGTCGTCAACCTCTTGAAGAGGGCAGTCCAGCTCGTCAGAGCCGACGTTAGCTGGCACATAACTTTCGTTTGGACCTCCATTTGTGGTGCGAGAGTAGATACTCTCACTGCTTAGGCAGATGTGACTTCGTTGCAGCGCATCACTTTTGTGTTTGTGGGCAAGTATGGTATTCGACGTCGGACTACCTCCACTGGATCGTAGTAAGTCTTCGGATTTTCTCTCATTGAGAAGTTTGCGAAATGAACTTGGCGTCGCTCGTTTACGCTGCTCGGAAAAGGGAAAGAAGCTCTGCTGCTTTGCCTGTGAGACTAATTCTTCTCTCCGGCGCTCAACGTTAGCCTGGTGCTGTGCAGGGTCTACACTCGCGCCAGTGACGGGATTAATGCAGTTTCCCTCTCCACCATCGCTCATCGAAGATGCTTGAGTGGTCATCGACACAGCTCTGATTGTAGATTTTCCGGCGTCAAGAGCTTTGTTGTCGTGATTGAGTTCTTGATTGTTATGAATTTCTTCAAGAGCGGTCCGAGTGTGCTCGATCTCGGCCTCCTCCCCGCCGATACGTCTCATCAAGGCCGAGTAGATTCGCTGACTGTCCACGGGAGGCATAGGCTGTCCATTTTCATCCTCATTCGGAAGTGGGTCTTGAAAAACGCCGATGCCACCAATATGGCGTCCTGCCGACGAAGAGGGCTGATGTGGTCCGCCATCTTCCTTGATGATTGACAGCCGGTTGCGCTCGAGGCCACCAGCACGAAGTGCACTGGAGGTGGTCGATGAATTGGTCCAGCTTGTAACACGGGAGCGAGAGGTTGCCGAGTGTAAACTCTCCCGGCTCGTCGATGGGTTGAATGTTGGCGAGAGACGATCAAGCTCTTCCTCCATATCGGCACTAGGCTGAGATGGGACGTAGAAACTCTGGCGACGTTCATCGTCTTCGTCAACGTGATAATCGTCGAAACTTGTGGAATGGTCTGGCTCTTCAAGTTCCGTGCTGAAATGACGGCGGGTTGCTTCAAGCTGCTGAGGTGGCAATGTTGCCTTGTTGGAAACAGACTTGCCAAAGGCTTTCATAAATCGGTGCCTCACCGTCGCCGAGAAGGAACGCTTGGCGGACACAGGTAGCATGTTGCCAACAACCGCCGGGTCTGAGCTGGTGGTGTTCACGGCGTCCGTGAAGGCTTGAGAACGTACGCTCTTTCGAAAAGCCTTATTTGGACGTCGGATTTTCTGAAGGATGAATGATGGCTTTCTCTCAGCCTGTGGCGGCCCAGGAGCATCGAGGAACTGGTTGCGAGCTAAGGAGACTGCTTCATCGTGGTAGCCTGTGCTCGTCTCGGCCCTTCTGTCAATGGGAACTCGGCTTGCAGGACGGAGGAGATTGAATGACTTCCTGATTCGAAGACCCAGAGTCGGCTCAGATGCGCCGTCAATGTTGATGTTCGCGTTGCTGACTGCATGGCGCAATGTTGGAGCCTGACTGAGTGGCGTATGAGGGCTGCGGGGAGTAAACGAACGACGTCGAGGCGTTAGGAGTGATTTAGAGCGTCGAATTTTTCGATAAGACGACGGCTCTGCACCAAAGGTCTCGCTCACAGGCCCGAACTCCGATGGCTCGATCTCAGCGTAGGCATGTATCTTTCTTGGCTCGTTAGGCACTTGTAATGCGGCACTTAGGCGAGGGGCTCCGCCCTGAAGGACCGATCTCTGATTCCGCAGCTGTGTAGCAGGGGAGAACTGCACGTGATGTTGGACAGTGGCCTTACTTCGACCGCTTGCGTTGCTGTGAGCACGGTAGAGGTCGGTCGAGGAATGAGACTGGGATCGATCCATGGCTCGATGAGCGGCAATGAGGGCATGAACGCGGGATGCCTCAGGGTTTTGTGGCTCGGATGTGATGGGATGCTTGCGTCGCTCTTTCACAGACGCAGCTGATTTGGATCGATGCAGTCTGCTGGAAGTGATCTCAAGTTGGGATGGCATATTGTCAGTATCCAAAATGCAGCCCTACCTATGGCTCCAGGCCACGAGATAAGGAAGTATGAGGCCCTCGTTAGTTGGATCACGGGTCTGGCCCGTTGAGATGTCAATCCAACGAGAGTTGTACTTGCCTGATAACATCGTGCTTGCCAGTCAGAACGAAGCAGCTAAGATTCGAGAGGAATAAATGGCAGGTTGGGTGAGGGTAAGAGCGACGGACGCAACGGTATATCCTTCAATACGCTTCTCGAAGTCTCGGGTCACGGCATTGGAGCTATAGTCGGCTGGCTGTTGCAGGATTTGGAGACGTCTCCTCGCTGCCACTGTACCTATCGACTCGCTTTCGTCGCAAGCTCTTCATTTCCAATAGTCAACTTTCTGGACTATCATCTCAAACGACCCTTCGCCAGGGCCTGGTTGAGTATGATAGACCGACTATAATTTGGCTCGGTCGGATGATGATGATGAAATGAATGAAATGCTCACACATCATGATTCCAAGAGCCCAATTGAATCTGGCAAGGATGAAAGGTATCCCTGAATAGGAACTTGTGCGTTTTCTACAACTGCACATCCGCCAGATTGCGATGACGTCAACGGATATTTGCTCAAGATCAACACTACTTTGGTTTGCTCGCTGGCCCAAGAACATCTCCAAAGGACAGGTGCAGTTGGATCACAATTAGTATATGTCATGGCTACACTTGACGCATGTATTGTCACCTTCAACTGTGCACGCAATCAGATCAGACCGGATGTCTTCGCTCCACACCTCCTCTCGGTCACCTCAAGTACACCGGACCTACTCGTCCTCTGCCTACAAGAAATTGCTCCTCTTGCTTATGCTTTTCTCGGTGGCTCATTCTTGACCCCCTACTACAATGCGTTCGCCACGGCCGTCAATATTACAGACGCAGGCTATGTCAACGTTATTTCGCGGAATGTTGGTCTGACATCCATTATGATTTTTGCCAAGGTCGACGTTGCATCAAACATCACTTGGATGGACACTGGAAGCACCGGGGTCGGCGTTCAGGAGACAGGGCATAAGGGCGCGGTCGGCGTACGAATAGGCTACGGGGAGACGGTACTCACTTTTGTTTCGGCCCATCTCGCCCCAGCGGAAGATGCCACGCAGCGAAGAAACCAAGACTTCAAGGCCGTTGCCGAGAGACTCGTATTCGTTGCTGAACAAAAACACTCGGTCCGCGATGAAAGGGACGAGGATACACCGCTGCTGCAAAGCCCCGCCCGTGGTACAGGGGCCAAAGGCATTTATGACCCAACGACGCATCTTTTTGTTGCCGGTGATCTCAACTATCGCACCTCATCGCGCCCGCCAACACCCGAGGATGCTTTGTCGTTTCCACAGCCAACAGCGGACCCGAAAGACCCTTATCACTGGTCGCATCTCCTGAAACAGGACCAACTTCACAAAGAAGTCGAAGCAGGCAGGACCCTTCATGGTCTACACGAATCGCCCATAGAGTTTCCGCCTACCTACAAGTACCGCAACAAGGAGGACGTCACCCAAGATGGGGAGCGACCATGGCAATGGGCTACTCATCGATGGCCGAGCTGGTGCGATCGCATCTTTTACTCGCCAACCAACCTCAAACCTCACACATACCAGGCTCTGCCGCTGTTTGACACGTCAGACCACCGTCCGGTAGCTTTGTCTGTGTCGATCCCACTCCAGAGTGTTTCCAGTTCATCGTGGCAAGAGGCGCCGTTCAAGATTGACCCAGAATGGAAAGCCAAGCGGAGTGCGGCGAGAAGGAAAGAACTCGCCGTTGGCATTGTGGCATACTTGACGTGGACGACGGAAGGTCAATGTGTGCTGCTGGCGACCGCAATTGCTGCGTGTGGCCTAGGATACATCCTTCGATCCATAACGGCGTGAACATGTGCAAGCAGAGGTCGGTCAAAGCAGGTTCGGCCGATATCACCTCTGTATTGTAGCACAGTCAGATTGCCGAGCGCGGCGCGTGTGGTGCTATCTACATGGATGGTCTGTCGGAACGATGATCAGGCGAGCACAGCCGGATCATTCACTATTTTGCGATCGCGGCATCAACGCTACGACCATGCTCAGGGGAGCCGGGGTCGAAAGGGAAGACAAGCAACAATGCCGGCGTTGTAGTTGGGTATCAGGCCACGATCGGGAACACCCCTGTCTAGTAAGCTTGTCTTGAAACATGGCAGCGAAGAATCAGCTATGATTGCGCAATGTGATGAGCGCACTCCAACTCTTAGAAATCGTCGCAAGACTCTCCTCGCTCGTTTGTCGTTATGGATGAAGGAGCTGGCCACACGCTCTGACCACTGTTACGCCGTCATCGAGAGGTAATAAGAGCGTCTTGATGACAATGCTGTTGGAAGCGCCCAATGACAGCAAATGTTCTAGCTGCATTCCAGACCTGCCAAGATGAATACTCCTTAATCACAGTCATCAGAGCTAGTCTCGTTTCTAACTGGACTGCACAATTTATCACCCACAAGTCGGAGTGATGGGCATCGTTTCAGCAGCCGAAACGATTGACGGACGCCACACCGTGGATCAAACCAGGGTTATGGAGAGGCCGGTCTCGATGTTTGAACAGCATGTGGAAGCGGTGCAGTGCCGCACCTCGACGAACGACACGACAGACACTCTCACGCAAACCATAGGCGGCCTCTGGGCACGACGCGTAGCTCATGTGCGCCTGGGATCAGTCGGATGTGAAGGCATCGTGCTGGTTGGGAAAGTCCCGTGCCGGGAGAGTTTGCCTGACCGGCTTTAGCCTTGACGTTGCGGGTGGGCCGGGAGCCTAGAGAACTTTTTCCCTGGGGGGCCGGGGGTTTGCACCGCCTGGCAGGCAGAGTCAGCGAGCGCGAGCAGGATCCTGGCTGACCCGCACCAGCGACCCTGCACGATTGTTTGTCCTATTGCTAAACATAACAGCGTTGCTGCCTCACCTGTCGTTCATTTATACTTCCAAGTCCGCTTCTCATCCTCCTTTGCGTCTCAGCCTCTTGCCCTTCAGCACTCCAGACCCCTTATATACTAGTACCAACTCGACCATCCACTTCACGACTACCACTGGACTATTCAACATACAACGTGTCTAGCAAGTACATCTGGGCTGATAACATTTACGATCTTCCAACGATCTACACTACTCCACCGGTCAATCGACATGTTCTCCTGCTCCAACCAGCCGCGTGGCTGCCGTGGGCGCTGCGACATTGCAGGGGGCAAATGTGGTGAATGCCGAGTATGTTCACTGCCATCTTCTCCTGAGCCGCTGACATTGACCCTTCTATCTAGATGTACAACTTCCGCAAACCAGCATCGTACAAATCAGTCTTCTCTCAGCCTCAAAATTATCGGAGACCCTTTGGCACGTCACTGGACCACGAACGTGATGCCACTGATGTCATTGTGCTGAGACGGGGCGCCATGGACGAGAGATGAGAATGGATGAGACTTGCATGCAGGGTGCGTCTACGGCCTGCCTTGGCTTAGGCTGCCCGACATGCCCAGTTTCTCACTCTTGGGCTCCGCCCTGACCATCCTCTGGGGGTAATAGATGCTACATCATTGCGTCAAAAGTCTGATGCAGCCACGCTCAGCGAACCCGGAACATTACGCCAAGTCAGCAGACAATCACCAGCCAATGGCTACGAGTGTCGGCACTTACACAGCAACATCCAAGCGGTTTCATGCGTAAACATCGAAAGCGACACTTCGGGAAACAATCTCGCCGCAAAGGAGTTTGGCCTGTGTTTAGCCATGCTATCCAAGTCGACAAAGCACCCCACCCCTCACACGGCCTTTTTACGGAATCTCCATCTTTCCTATCTTCAGAACTTTCCGGAGATCGAGCAGCAAACGGGGCGATGAACGGAAAGGCTCTTGGCTGCACCAGGGCGCATGCATCGGACATGAGGATGCCAGAGCAGGGGCTTTCACACCACTGATGCAATGCATCAAGGACGGAATGGTGAGATGGAATACGAGTATTGAGGAGGAAGATGGCTGCGTGGGTTCTGCACCATCGCATTGCATCGAACTTTTTCTTCGCTTCACCCAACACCTATTAGGGATGTGTTCATGATCAACGGGATCGATACAAGGAAGTCGCGTATCCAGCATATCGGACTATAGAGCATTGCAACCACAACTTTTACTGTATTACCAGTGTAACCCATTAATACACCACGATTCTTCGCAGCCATTTCGTTGATGCGCTTCAGATCGATGACAAGCTGCACGAAGCGAGTCACCCGTATTCGTTCCTGTTCCACAGGAGTCGACGGGTACTGCTGCCCTGCGTCTTAACCACCCACCCAACCAATGCACACGACCCTGACGCTGCAAAATGCCCAATTCGTCTCTCCAATGCCTCAACAAGCGCATTCACCGCTTGTCACTTGTCTCTCGTCTCCGTAGGTGTACATCCACCTTGACAACACATCCGGCCATCACCATGCACTACTACCATCGTCCTGCATGCTCATCATTGCGCCTGAATGAAATGGTACTGTAAGCGACACATTCGAACACTGTTCTAAAAGGGTGGAAACACCAAAAGAAAGCCCACTTGCCATACTTCCCAGGCGGGGCGCACCCTGCCTGTCCACAATGCACCAGCCCAAGGGGCCTCCGGGGTTATACTGCCCTATCGATGCTTTCCCTGCCGGCTGCCGGCGCCTGAAACTGCCCTCGCTGCTAGCCTTGGGGCCAAACAGCCCGAACAGGCCATCTTTAAGGACGCTTGAGCTGTTGTGTTTTAAATATAGTTGGGCAACTACGGTGTTGCTGTCGGCGCATTTTTTAGGCCGTACTTCGGGACGCGCCACTATGCGTGATACTTGTTCATCAACGTTGTGTGCCTTTCGACGAGGATACACACGACATTGCCTCCAGAGGTGAGTTACTGATTCTTGCTCGAGGGCTCGGGGCTTGCTGCTCCATGGACTTCAACGGTCCGGCCGACAGCGACAACTCGTCACTCACCTGGACGTGTCTACAGTTTGTGTTCCACTTTTCCAGTCACAGTTTGCCCGTGGCCCCAAGGGTCTGCCAGGCACCAGCCAATATGGGTTTTCCGCCAGAGACGGTAGGTGACTCATCTACCCCTACCGACAACGTTCACGCAATGCTACCGTGAGGCTTGAACGTAAGAGCGAGACCGAGTCGCGCGTATGCCCTATACCCTGCGGTCCTCTGCATAGGTTGTGCGTGTACGTTGAGGCTTTTAATCTCGAGCGAATTTCTACTCGACAAGCTGCACAGGATAAGCACTTAGCAAACGCGAACCCACACGCTCCACGCGTTGCCTTACGGAGTACGAGGGGCCTCGGCTTTTCGACGCCTTGCTCGCTGCACAGAGCTCAACACTCCACCGGGAGCACAATTGAGCGCATCTCTCGGCACGAAAAGAGTCCTCTTACAACATTCTCCCGCCAGCATGACCCGCGCCACCACCGCTCTGCGCGTCTTCGCAGACGAGATTGGCTTCCTGACCCTCCTCCACTCTCCACGCGACACCAAACTCCTCTTGCTGCAGCGGCTGGTCCGCTTTTTGGCCTTTGGCTCTGCAACTCTCGTCCTCGTTCTGTTCCTGCGCGCTCTCGACATTCCCGAGGCCCGCATTGGGCTGTTCATGACCCTCACCCTGCTCGGCGACGTCGTCATCAGTCTGGTACTCACCGTCTTCGCCGACGGAATTGGGCGGCGGGTAACGCTCGCCTTTGGCGCGTTATGCATGGTGGTGTCTGGCATCGCATTCGCGTTGAGCAGCAATTTCTGGGTGTTGTTGGTCGCGGCAGTATTTGGGGTCATCAGCCCGAGTGGGAATGAGATTGGACCGTTCAGGGCGATAGAAGAGAGTGTGATTGCGGGCTTGACTGCGAGAGAGGAGCGAACGGGCTTGCTGGTTTGGTATACCATTTTTGGGTACACGGGCGCTAGCCTTGGCGTGTTGGTGTGTGGATGGGCGGTGGCCGGGGTGCAGAGTCATGGCTGGGAGGTTTTGGAGAGCTATCGCCTCGTCTTCTGGGTGTACGCGATTCTAGGGGCGGCGAAGTTCTCCATGTGCTTGTTCTTGACGGAGCGGTGCGAAAGCAACAAGGAGAAGGCCGAGGTAACCTCGATACCCGCCAGCGGCGACGAAACCCAACCCCTACTGGCCAGTGCAGATGACGAGAGTACGCTACACTCGGAGAACAATGCCGCAAAACCAGCACCTCCCTCGAAAGAATCACCACTCCAGAAACTGCGTCCCAAAATCTCCGACGAATCCATCTGGATTCTCTGGAAGCTCTGCCTGCTCTTCTGCATGGACTCGATGGCTAGCAGCCTCGTCAGCTCCAGCTGGATGACCTATTTCTTCGCCCTCAAATTCCACCTGAGCCAAGGCACGCTGGGGACCCTGTTCTTCGTGTGCAACGTGCTCTCCACCATGTCCAACTTCGCCGCCACACCCTTGGCTCGCCGCATCGGCCTCATCAAGACCATGGTCTTCACGCACATCCCCGCCTCCATCGCCCTCGCCCTGACGCCGCTGCCCAGCAACGCCTTGGCCGCCATGGCTCTGCTTGCTTTGCGCTACAGCACCAACAGCATGGATCAAGCGCCCCGGCAGGCTTTCATCTCTGCCGCCGTGCTGCCCGAAGAGCGCACCGCCGTCATGGGCGTGCTGAACGTGGGCAAGACGCTGAGTCAGAGCGTCGGCCCGTCGATCACGGGCACGCTGGCGGAGAAGAAGCTGTTTTGGGTCGCGTTCGTTGTTGCTGGCGGGTTGAAGGTGACGTATGATGTGTTTATGCTGGTCATGTTCTTGGGGCACCGTACCGTGGAGGAGAGGGCGGAGCAGAGTTTGGTGGGCCAGGCGGAAGCTCCGCTTGAGACAGAGGCTGAGGCTGAGGGTGAGACGACCGGGCGCGCGGAGTCAGGAAGGGATCAGAATGCTTGAGGAGAGCGTGTAGCTAGCGAATGATCAGTGAGGCTTGCGAGCCGGGCGAGAGATGCCTTGGAAATATGAGCTCGAGCAGAACGTCGCGCCTGAGGTGGTTGAGCCTGAAGGCGCCCGTGAGTGGTTGTCAAACAGGCAGTGAAAGTCTCGGCATTTCCTGATCTATTCTAGCCAATATACCGTACTTGTTGCCTTGCCAGTGAATCTAGAACCCCTGTACTGGTCCGTCCCACGACAGACCTACGGCAGACGACTCTGTGCTGCCTTGCCAAGTCCTCACCCAGGTTCATCTTTCGTATCCAGACGCTGACGCGTAGACAAAGCTCGCACTGATGCCGCCTTTGCGCATGAAAAACGCAGGAACGAGCCGCAACCCAGCCACCCACAGCGACACTCACTCACCCACCCGCCTCGGCCTCGGCCTCGATAGCAGGCACCCTCCTAACCATGGTCAAAAACTCAAACTCATGCGTACAGCCCCACGTCCCCTTGGGCATCATCTCCACGGGTCCCACGCGCTCAAACCCGCCTCGCCGCCGCCAATACTCGCCGTTCTGCTCCTCGGCCAGCTGGATCCACAGCAACACTTCCTTACCCCCGTGCCGCTCCCGCTGCACCTTCTCCAGCAGCGCCTGTATCATCAGGCCCGCGAGTCCCTTGCCGCGCGCCCGCGGCGTGTCGACCGTGATGACGGCTTTGACTTCGTAGCTCTGCCCGGCGTCGGCGAGTTTGAGGTCTTGAGGCATGGAGCGTAGAGCGGCGTCGACGGCGCCGTTGGCTTGGGGGCGCCATTGCCGGAGGCTGGCGCTGCCGAGGATGGTGGGGCCTGAGTGGGCGATGGCGCAGAGGCCGGAGTCGGGGCCTAGCTCCGTGGGGAGTTCCGAGGGGGTGTGGAAGCGTGGTGTGCCGTTCCAGGCGGAGTGGCGCGCGAAGGCGGTGTTGATGGCGGAGACGAGGGAGTGGAGGAGTTTGGGGTTGCTGTCGAGGGAGGCGGAGGTGTGGATCGTTATTTGGATGTCGTTCGAGGAGGAGGAGGGGGAAGGGGAGGAGGTGGAGGTGGAGGTGGTGGTGATGGTAGATGCGGAAGCGGAGAGAGTCTGTGAGTTCATGGTCGGGAAGGGGTACTTAGGATGGATCTGAGGGTGAACACTTAGATAGAAAGGAGGAAGTTGTTAGATGCTGTGAATTGGCTTTGAGCAGCACGTATTCAGGCATATGTCGAAGGTCAACTTGATGGCTCGTAATATGTGTCGCCGCTCGATTTGCAAAAATGGTTGCAACATCGTTCTTAGTGCCGTATCATTGCGGTAGGTACCGTGTATATCCAGCGTGAGTTCCGCGAAAGTCGCGAGCGCTACTGCAGGACTCGGAGGCGAAGTTTCTTACAACCGAGCCACTCAAAGCTTCGGGGCCAATTGGCCGTCATGTGCCGTACAGAAGGGTTCCACTGCTAGAATTTTCTGTGGGATATACATTGTATTTTTGAAAAAGCTCTTCAACAATCGCAACAAGCAACCACAGCAAGCGATCTCATGCATCAGTGGTTTAGTGGTAAAATCCGTCGTTGCCATCGACGGGCCCCGTGTTCGGTAAGTCTATCTGATCACCTCCTGGGATGATCCGTACTAACAGATCAAAGATTCACGGCTGATGCAAACACTTTCCTTTTTGTCGTTTTGCTCTCTGTAAGCCACAAGAGCGATCCTGTCCTGGAGCGAGAACGTTCTATTTTTGCTTTGGAAGGCCACTGTGCGGCTTACAAAACGTGTGGTGGGCTAGTCATCGCCTAATGGCCCCGCAAAACTTGGCGATTCCGGGGGCCGCCAATTATGGGTGTTGGCATTGAAGCCTACACCCTAGCTACATCTGTATGCGTTATACACCATGCATTACACAGGTTCAATCCCACGATCCTCGAACAGACATCTCCCAACAGCTTCTTGTCCAATGAGACAGGTGTGCCGCTGCCGGGGATAGCAGGCGTCAATGCCAAGACTTTACTGCTTCCTCTAGGTATCCAATCTATACTGTATACAGATGCAAGTGCCGGAGCCAGGCTGAATCGAACCGGTTCGATTGATGCTCTCCAACTGATCTGAAGCGTGCTAGAATACCAAGAGGCTTGCCTGTGCGCTCCCTGCTATTGCTACCATGGCTTAGTAAGGAGTGATTCCTTTGCAATGAAACCAGCCCTATTCCGAAGCTCGAGCAATGTGGCTCTCCGATCGCCAGCGCAAGTCACCATCAAGAAGGTTTCCTTCCCACCCATATAAATCGAATCGCGCACAGACAACATCCAGCTGATCTCAAGCATCAGGAAACCTCATATCATGCTGCGGAGGACAGAGGCTCAACGGTTCATGGACGTGTCGGTTCCTACGATCATAGTCGAGCACGAAGTTTTGTGACTGCCGAGCGCGAGAAGCTGCAACTCACGTTGCCAGAAAGCTGCAAGAGCAACGCACCGGACAACGCGCTTGAGATAGCTTGTGAGCACGAATGCCAGGAAGGTTGCGCAATAGATATCCAACTGGAAACTGTTCTGCCGACAGACACCACTGGAGAGGATCACGGAGCTCTGCTTGCGACGACGTGCCGGGTAAGCAGCCGTAGCTAGAGGTCCTCCAATCTAGGTGCCATGCTAGGGGTTGTAGCCTTGGACTTGGTATGGTGAAGCTTAGTCTGAGCTGATTGGCTCGGAGGTGCCATTCCATGCCGCTGAGAGCGATCGATGCAACTGAGAAGCCAGATCCTATCACCCTGCGACCACTGTCAAGCAGTCGTGGGGTTTGTAGCCGGATAGCGGGCATAATCCATATCTACTGGATAAAGAAGCGAAGGGTGTAACGAACCGTAGCGGGGACGGGCATCACGAGCGAATGGTGATCGAGGGTTGCGTCACCGCGGGATACTCGGGGAATGACTTGCCAGAGAGAAGGGGGCAGCAGAAGATCGTGAAGTCATCGTGCGGTTGAGGGAGAAATGCTGACAAGCATGCTGTTGGTAAGTTTGAGGGGTCCCATATATGGCCAAGGAGAGCGACATGGAAATGCTGAGACGCAGTGATTTGCATATCGCGCCCAAGCTTGTATTCTAAACGAAAGTGAACTCACCACACGACAGCCTATCGAAGATGTCATCTCATTCTGAACTATTTGGGCTTAAAGGTCAGAAGGAGCCGGGGTTTCCGAAGGAAGTCACCGGAGCCAGGGAAGGAGCTGGAACACTTGGAGGTGCCAAACACCCAACCGGCGATGCTTCAAGCGGCGAAAACTACAATGTTGCTGACGAGAATAATCCCGGTCGAGCTGGAGAAGAGGGTACAGTTGGGGGCATGAAGCAGGGAACGGGGGACAACACGGTTCCCGGAGCTGGTAGTTCTCTGATGCCAAACCAAGGATCTGGCGAAGTCGCTCCCGAACAACACTCTACGGCGGACATTCTCAATCCCACCAAATAGATAGCTTTTCTCGCTGGCTATCCTGGCTTGGAGAATAAATGAACGAAAACTCCCGACCAGAGATGTGTGATATGTCCCATGTAATGCTTGTTACGAGCTACGCGAGAGCGGCGTGTGGTCGTACGCGCTGGCCAAGGATGTGACTTAACCAACAGCTGTCACACGTAGGCGGCGGCCAGCACGTCTTTAGGTCTTATAGGCCATCTCGCTGCATGATACTACCCAGCAACGAACACTGTCAATCCAAGAAGCAAGTTTGTTTGAAGTCTAGATGCTGGTGGGTGCTTGGGGTTGACAAGGCCGGGGGAGGACCTTCCGAGGTCGCGGCGGGCGGATGCAGGTCGATCGTCGGCGCCAACTTTGATTACACTTGCAACGCCATCAACACATCTCCCGGTAAATCACAATTCTACGCGTACAAATCCAATCTGATCTTGCAAATAATTGCACCATCGCTAGTTGAATATCTGGAGCTTGTCTGTGTTCCACTGATTCCGGCGACGCGGCCTCGAGCTTTACGGCGCCTCATACCACGGTAGTGCAAAGCAGCGCCCGGTTGCGCTGTTCTGTACCAGCACTACCAACGACTCGATAACTTGCAACTGCCCCCTCTCGTGTTGCCCATCACGGCGTTTCCAAGCCAGTCCGATCTCCCCGAACAAGACGACCAGATCTGCTTCGCGCCCCCTCAGTTCCCTCTATCAGAAGCATCCTCCTCGAGCCCTCCTTCACCGCGACCACCCCCCTTCTCTTCCCTCTACTTTCCTACCGACGCCGAACTTGATCGATTCAAAACAGTTGTCTCTGAGGCACCAGCTGGGTCCTTTCTCGCCACAGCTCCGGCACCCTCCTTCGCGGAGGCTCTTGCCGAAGACGAGGCTGACCAGACCGCCAAAGACAAGGACAAGGACGCCAGGGGCGAGTCTTCTGGCAAAGGCGTCGACGACGGCGAACCTCCTCCTCCCTACACCGAAGGAACAAGCCCGCTTGACTCATTCACCTACATCATGGCTTCCGCAGGTGGTCCCGCAAGTATCATCACACAAGTTCAGCAGAGTCCTGGAGCCCCAATAAACTCGTTAGGAGGTAAGTCCACATAGCTCGACCACGAGTCGATAGCTCACTACGACGTAGCCGGCGATGTTGGTGCGGACGAGCAGATTACATTGGACCTCAGGTGCGTCAGTCTATCCGGAGCCGAGGACGATACTGACACAAAGCAGAGGCACCCGCTTCACACTATCGCGAGATGAGCTACTTACTCTACCCGAGTTTGTGCTACTGTCGCTTTTCCCCAACGGTCTTTTGCCTGACGGTCACATGAATACCTTCCATGAGGGCGACGTTTACCCTGTCGATGTATGTCTTAGCCACCCCAATATGCTTTCTGCTCTTGGCAATCCCAATGTCTATTTCGGAGATCTCACACTTTGCTCGCAGTATGATCCGGCATCGCTTCAGTATATGCTAGAGTTCTTTCGTGGAGTGGCTCAATCTATTCCCTCTTCGTCACCTTCGCCAACAGCTCCGCCCGAGACCGACCCCATATCCATCGAACCTCTACAAGGCTCAGCTCGCGACATGCTCCAGGACCGTGCCGGTATAATCGTGCTGCGGGAAGACCTGGACTTCTACGTGATTCCTCCCAAGCAAGACATCGACCAAACCGAAATGATTGAAGTGAAGAGGGCTGCCGCGAACTCTCTGCTTAGACAGGATGGCATCTTTTCTGGCTTGAAGCGAAGCGAAGAAAACGGCACCACAGAGCAGCATCTGATCGAAATGCTTACAGCAGGGTATGTCTCCAGTTCGTGCGAAGAATCCAACACTAATCTACATATAGCGGTTTCGATCACGACGATCGCTGGGGCCATCGAGCTGGCGAGCCTAACAAGGCTGTCATCTGCAGCTTGGCCCTGGCTCGACTACGCACAGACATCAAGGGCGATATGGCTAACAACAACGTTGTTGGCATGGCTCAGAAGCTGCTACTTTTCTGGCGCAAGCCTGCTCGTAGGTGTTGGTGGGAGGGTATCGAATTGACGGATGTAGAAGGTGTCGAGGGTAAGGTCAAGGTCTGGATCCGGAGAGTATGGACGCTTGAAATGGTGAGTTCGGCTCTTGCCCCTTGTGGTCACTGTACTAACCCGTCCCAGAGCGTTATTGGCTTGCGGTAGTGTTTGTGTTCTCTTCATGCTTCCGCGTCTACATTTGAGCGAGTTCTACGTGTCTGGGCGTTGACCAACGGTGGCTCTTCTGGCAAATGGGAGAGAGAGCTGTCCATCACACAGGCTAGGGGCCTAAGCTGTACCAAACAGACTTGTCAGATATGTGTACTGAAAATAGGAGTGGACACGGGATGCCTGAATATGATACCGTTTTCCTGTGATCATGCTGCTGGTAGCTGTAGAGCAGCTTGGAATGCACCATGCAGCCGGGCTCGTCGAAAAGGCTTGGCATTCTGCGGAGGAGAACGTCGAAGTCAGTCGCGCTCCTGCGACTTTCAACGCGACTTTTGGTGCAGACAAACCCGTTTCGCATTCTACGTCAAACAATTTCATCGCATCGCATCGCAATTCCAGGACAGCACACTCCTTGCGATGAGATAAGTTTCGCGATCCATCATGGCGCCTGCGCAGTCATTTGTGTCGTCGTATGCCCCTCGACTGCGGCAGTATGCCAATACTCTGATACAGCCTGTCGCGCAGACACAAAGTTTAGCACAGGGCGGTAGAACAACCAAGCGTGGCACGACCATAATCAATTACGCCGATGATGCCTATGATGACGATGATTTCGATGATAGTGAGGGTCCACGGCGGCCAACGGGCCTGCGATCCATACGAAGGGAGGATCTTGAGAAGAAAGAACCGCAGGCCGAGAAATTCGGCAAAGAGATCTCTGCGCCTGTCGATTTGCAGCCTATACAACGCGACTGGATGACCAGACGAGTGGTTAAGCCTGCAACCGACAGAGAGGCGCATATTCAGGCCCAGCTGCCGACTACCTTGATCCCCATACGCATCGATCTTGACATCCAGTCATGGGTACCAGATGCACCATATACGCTCCCTCAAACACAGTATCCCAACAACTACAATTTCGCGCTGCCCATGTACAAGAGACCCGAGCAAGTGCCCAGTTACAAGATCCGTGATATCTTCCTCTGGAATCTGCATGAGAACCTCATCACGCCCGAAGAGTTTGCTATTACGTTTGTCAAAGAGCTCGACTTGAATGTTCCGGAGCAGAAGAAGTACATCGATGAGGTGGCGAAACAGATCCGGGGACAGTTGGAAGACTACGCCGGTATCGCGCTGCATCCGCTCTTCTTCACCCAGCCCCTGATTCAGCAGGGTCTTCTCAATGGCGCGAATGGAGCGCCTAGCTTACAGGATGGGCGGATGCTCAACGGCGATTCGCAGGTTGGTACACCAAGAGCTCAGATTGGAGCGTCGATCTCAAGGCCAGCTTCAGCAACACCCGCCACCAATACACCTGCTCCATCAACTCCTCAACCTGCTGCGCTCCCTGCTGGTGCGCTGGTAGAAGCATCTGCATCACTGGTTCCGGCCGAGCAACAGAATATACCAGTGGAGACTGACCCCTCGTTAAACCCTGACGACACATATCGGTGCATTGTCACTCTGTCCATCTATCTTGCTTCGAAGCTTTACCAGGACAAGTTCGAATGGTCATTGCTCCATCCCCCGGGAGCCGCCGAAACTTTCGCCAGATTAACGTGCGCTGATATGGGGTTGGGTGGTGAGTGGGTGCTCGCCATTACGCACGCCATTTACGAGGCTGTGCTCAGACTCAAGAAAGAAGCGTGCGAAGGTGCTATGATTTTGGCAGGCGAGATTGACAACCAGGCCGTTCGAATGGAGGAGGGCGCCGGCTGGCGGTACGATATTGATGACTTTGGGGCGGAATGGGAACCAAAGTTTGAAGAGCTCACCAAAGAAGAGATTGAGAAGAAGGAAGGCGATAGAGAGCGTCAGTTGCGCAGGCTACGAAGAGACGCAGCCAAGCTCACATCCAACGCTGGCATGTTGCCTACAGCACGAGAGCAAGAAGCGCAGCTTCGAGGCAGCTATTTCGATATGCCTGGCCTGGGCAACATAGGCGGCGACGAGACACCTCTCTTCGGTAGGGGCGAACGAGCCAAGAAGAAGAGGAGATTCCGGTCGCTGAGTCCGCTGGCTAAAGCCGGTACCCCCGACGTATCTAATTCAGCTGGGGCGGCCTGGGGCGGCGAGAACAGCAAGTTGACTGAGGACGAGAAGCGCACCTGGCGTTGTCGACACTGCTGGATCCCTGCTGGTGCTGTATGGGCCGTCAGAGACGGCCCGCTTGGGCCTAGGGTGAGTTTCCTCTTCCACAATGCCTTCTCCTCCAAGCTAACCTGCGACAGACCCTCTGTAACAACTGTGGCTTGCTCTATGAGCGCGACAAAAAGCTGCCGATTTGGTCCAGAGATCTACACAAGGGCCTCGGCAGGTAGCATTCGTTGGCACCCCGTTAGTAGTTCTTGCCTGTCAGTGGTATCCTTTGGGCATTGCATTTTGGTGTGATAGAACTTATGGGCCGAGAGCTCTGAAGAGCTGTTATTGAGAGGATTTTGCAAGAGATCTGCAGTGATCCCTGAAGCCCCGATGTTCTCGAATCTTAGGTAGCACGGCGTTCCGAGATGACATCTGGGCTGAGATGTGCCGGACATTGAAAACGTAGGGATGCCTGTCGGGGGATGTACAACACCTGGGTGAGGCGACGTGCAGACATTGAGCGAGGCTCAAGCCATCAACAACTATGGATTTCTCAATTTGCTCTTGTGCCACTGCCTCTTCCTCAAGAAGCCTTCTTCTCACATGCGCAGATTGCCCTAACCCTAGCGTCTTGGCGGCTGCGGCGAGGGCAACCGCGACTTTCGGTGCGCATGGGATCAAGCCAGATATACTCCGTTACAGCCACCTTGCTCCCGTCTCAGTGGTTGTGAACACAGACTGAGTACAGGCTTCAATTCATTGCGTCTATCACTCCGTACCCGGCTTCGCGTTTCGGCGATTACCATGGTGAGTCTTCGCCGGGCAGTCAACCCCCCACCCTCCAGAGTCGCGAACCTACGGCCACGAAGCCGTGTACAGGAGATGGGCAGAGAGCGACTGACACAGGTCTGCAGGCGCAAACTATCAAAGACTCCGGTCATGATGACATGATTGTAAGTGTGGCTCCGAGCATAACCCTTCTGGACTAGCCCAGCTCGTCGACACAGGACCGCCGATCGCGATGTGGGCTACTTTGCTAACACTACTTCCTAGCACGATGCAGTCCTCGACTACTACGGCCGGCGGCTGGCGACCTGTTCTAGCGACAAGACAATCAAGATCTTCGAGGTGGACGGTGACCAGCATCGGCTAACAGAAACATTGAAAGGGTGCGTTTGGAGCCATCATGAGATGGGAAGAGTGTTATACTGAACCTATTGCCTCACAGCCACGACGGAGCAGTGTGGTGCGTAAGCTGGGTATGTGTGTCCGTTCCAACTACTGTGGGCGTATCTGACGGGTTCGAAGGCACATCCCAAGTTCGGCACTCTGCTCGCATCCTCATCCTATGACGGCCGAGTACATATTTGGCGAGAATCCCCAGGTCAGACACCTTCGCAAGCACCGACATGGTCGCTCGTCTTCACCTCTACCATCCATACCGCCTCGGTCAATATGGTGGCATGGGCGCCACCGGAGGCTGGTTGTGTCCTCGCCTGTGCCAGCTCAGATGGTAATGTTTCAGTACTCGAGTTCCGTGACAATCAATGGGGTCACACCATATTCCAAGCGCACGGCGTTGGCGTCAATGCAGTCTCGTGGGCACCAAGCGGCGTTCCTGGAGCGACAATGAGGAAAGACGGTGGAGCTGCTGCACAACAAGGCCCCGTCAGACGGTTTACGACAGGAGGTAGCGACAATCAAGTCAAGCTCTGGGAGTACAGCAGCCAGACTCAGAACTACGAGAACGTTGGCACATTACCAAACGGCCACTCGGATTGGGTGAGAGACGTTGCATGGAGTCCTACTCTCCTCACCAAGAGCTACATCGCCAGTGCCAGCCAGGATAAGACGGTACGAATATGGACAAGCGTCAACCCTGCTGAGCCTTCGACTTGGACTCTTGGCAAAACTCTTCAGTTCGATGCGGTGCTCTGGAGGGTTAGCTGGAGTTTGAGTGGAAATATCCTGGCGGTGTCTGGTGGCGACAACAAGGTGACATTATGGAAAGAAGACCTGAAGGGCGAATGGGCGCAGGTCAAGGAAATCACAGAATAAATGGGGCCAGGGATGAAGCCGAGACGAAGAGGATCACGTGACGAGAACCTCGCGCTGCTTGGCAAGGCAACTCGCCCCTTTTTTCAGACGTCAGTCGAAAAGTTGAGAAGGTTTTTCAGCATGCAATACAACAACAATGAGCGATTGAACCTGGCAATGCTATTGGAGCATCCTATGTCCCTTTGCTGACTCGGGTACAGGACAACCATTCTTTTGTTGGTCTTTGTTGGACTAGACTAACTCGCTGCACCTATACACACTTGGCTTGCTCCTACCGTCCCAGACTTGTTTTACCGGCTTAGCATCAAACTGACCATGTTGGGAAGAAATATTACCTGATCGGCTCAGAACCACTACTCAGGGCGGTCCTACCTTCAAGATTTACTATGCCATCAGTCTCTGGTGAGTTCATCCCAGAATGTCATTCTCTCCTATGTTTATGGTATGGTTCTAAACTGATTGACTGGCGTACATTGTTTGGCTCGACGTTTACGTTTCTGTCAGACTTCTATAGCCTCCTGCAACCTGGTCTGACTGCTTCCTTGCACGCAGGATAACGTTCGACTCGGTGCCCCACCGGCAGCGGTCTTCGATTATGGTTCGGTATAGTTCTATAGCGATGTCTACTTTTACTCACCTGCCTAAGTTAGATGACTCTCGACCTCGAGGAAATTACCTGCAGCTGATACTTGGTTGACTGCCTTCTCATTCACAGGTGGTATGGCCCCGGGAAGGCAGCTTACCAGCGAGTCTTCGGCGCCTGACGTCTCTCTCTCATTCCAGCCTTTCTCTCGTCATTGTCTCCGTCTGCCTGTGACAAGCGCCTCACCTCAAAGCTTCCACCATATGTCACCTCCAGCCTTGTTTACCACGGCCCGACCAATGCCGCCTTGTTGCCTTCTTTGTTGCTAGCGTGACATGACACCGAAACAAAGATCTTCCTGCCCGGCAGACAACGGCTCTTGGCACTGTCGCGAAAGGAGGCACAGCCTCGCGTTTGTCTTCCTCTGCGGCCTCCGAGTGCGTGCTCTGATCTTTGCATCTCATCCCTTCTACCACACCTTTGTGATTACCTCGTTCCTGTCGAATCATCCTCCTGTTATTTGCAGACAGTGCTTTTACTCGTTACTTGTCCGCTTTCGACAACAGACAAGTTCGACGACGGGTCCTGTGGTGCTGCGCTTCCTGGACATATCTGTTGCAAGACACTTCTTCTCATAATCCAACTTTTCCTCTACCCGCACTACACATCACTAGCTCTCCTCAACTCCCTTGCACATACAGCAAGATGGAGCCAAAGATGATGCTGTTCCTCCTCCTCACCTTTATGGCGCTCATGCCCTCGACTTGCGCTTGGAAGCCTCAGCTGGGGGCTGCTTTGGTTGTCAGCGGCGGTATCTTTATTATGAAGACCAGCTTCATCAGTCGCCGAAACCAGCCTGCGACCTCCAATGAAGACCTTCGCGCTCCGGTTGCCTCTTATTGGGCTAATGACCTCGACCTCAACTCCCCCTCTTCCGCCAATTACCCAGCCGTCAATTCTCCGATGAACGATGCTTCAGTCATCGATTACTCTCAGCTTCAACCTTTTACTCCTGTCTCCTCAATCGAGTATCCTGTCTGCCGGCCACGCGTGTATATCCCAGACGAAGAGCTCCTCCTAGTCGATGAGGATGAAGAGTCTACCAACAACAAGAACACTGCATTCAGTCACCTCTCCACCATTCTAGTCCTCTCTCTTCATACGCTACGAGCCTGCATCGATAGGACTCTAGCCACCATAATCAAGCATGGGCTCAAATCGGTAGCCTCGGTCATCTTTCTTGTCGCCTTTCTCGCCGGACTGCAACGTTCTCTGCTCAAATGTGGACTACAGTTGAACGACTTCGGCCTTGTGCTCTTCTGTGTGACACAGGTCACCCTCAACTACGCCCGCACCATTACACGAGGCCTTCGTCCGTTCTATCTCAGTATGCTACAGCTCCCAGCTTGGGCCATTCCCATGATGGCGGGCGCGAGCAATGCACTCATGGTCTCTCTCACCTACTTTGCTCAAGTCATTAGCACACTGGTGGCCTCATGCTACAGTCGTGTGATGCCAGACATCCAGAACTGCCTCATGATCCTCCTCCTCGGAGTCATTGGCATTATTCTAGCTTCGGGATTCGTCATCATCGGAGTGGTAGGCAGTGTCTATATGGTCTTGACCTTTTGGTGTCAAGCTCTTCTCCGCCCCGGATGGGAGCTCTTCTGGTGGAACATCGATCGAGCCACCATCACCTGGGCTCGTTTCCGTGGCAGAGCGCCGACCCAGGAGCAGATCAATGAGCTAAAGAAATCCATGATGCAGGAATTCCAACAAGTCTTGCTGGCTAATGGTGCCGAAGTGGCTCGTCGTGCGTTCCGTGAGGATCTTGCGCAAGCGAAACTGTTTGGCGAAGGTACGATTGCTCCTGAAGCCCGCAATGCTCTGCACAAGACGTGGCGCAAGAATCGAGAAGCTGTGCGCCAAGCTGCTCCGGGCGTGGCTGAGGATCTGCTGGACGGCGACAACATCGAAGACCTCATGCTGCGGTTCATTGCGGTGAATGCCAATAAAGACCGGATTGCGCACAAGGAATACATCGATGCACGTTTTGAAGAGTACCGGCCCAGCCCTGTCATGATGCGCGCCATCACTCGCGAAGTTGTTGACGATGCTCAGCTGGGTGCCATGTCTGCCGACGCCTTCGAGAAACTCACCACCAACTTCGAGCAACTAGTCTGCGACCAAACCAAGCGCAGCTTCGACTCATTTAGGCCTAAGTACGACGGTGCCATTCAAGTTCGGACGCAGATTAGGAAGATGAGCAAAGAAATTATGACCATCAATGCCTCACTGAGGACTATGGAAAGCACTCGAGCTCAGAATTTCAGAGTAAATCAGCTCACCGAGGACAATGCGCAGATGCGCAAAGAAATGAATACGATGCAGCTAGCTCTGGCTCAAGTCCTTAGCCGACGAGAGAGCCGTAGCTCGGACATGCAAGGCGCGTCGACGGAACCTGCTAACGACCAAGTTCCTTCCAAGCAGCCTGAACACCCCGTTCAGACTCTCCCTTCCCAGCAACACGAACGCACCGTTGTGGCCCTCCCTCCTCAGCAAGCTGCGCATCGTGTGGAACAGCCATCGGCCATGGAGCGTCAGATCGACCGGACTGCTTCGAGACTGTGCACCAGACAGTCGACTCAGCGGACTAGCCTCCTTGATCCCGCGGAAGACGGTCTCAACCGGACTCAGAAGACTCGGCGATCTGCTATGGTCCCTCAGAAGCCTATGCAAGTTCCTCCTGCCGTACAAAAGCCTACCGCACTCCCACTCCTTCCGACAAAGCTTGCGGCTCCGCTAGAAGAGGTTCCAAAGCCCGAGCCAAGCATTAAGAAGACGCCCGCCACTGGGCCGACCTCTGAGGATACTAGTAAGCACACCCAGACGCATGTGCAATTCGCACTTGCATCTCAAGAGCCTGTCGGACTCCCGCCTCGTTCAGCCGACCGCGCGACTCTGGTTTCAGAACCTCCAAAGGCAGAGCCTGTTGTCAAGGTTGTTTCGAGCAAGGCCGAACCCTCGCAGGATTCTAGTAAGCAGACTCAAACTCCGATTGCGGATGCTCCAAAACCGGAGCCTGTACTTAAGGATGCTTCTCCCATGACCGAGGCCACCGAGACTGTAAACAGCGAAAGACATCAGGAAACTGTTGTCCTTCCATCTGTTCCAGCCAACATTCCAGCTCCGGTTTCAGGGACCTTGGAATCAGATCCTCTTGTCGCGCCTGTTTCGACCAACGACGATGTACCAAAGCAAGAGATGCTGCTGCCAGAGCCAGCTATCAAAGCTACGTTGATTGAATCACACGTCGAGCCTCTGGCTGAAGCCGTGACCGAAACTACCTCGATAGCAGTCAACGATGTGCCAAACACTACGACAGCCTCGCTCAGCATGGCTCAAGAAGTTCCAGATGTGGCACAGATCCACACCGCGGCGGTCTCTAGCCCATCCGAACTCGTTGATCCCGCCAACCTTGGATGGGAACCTGCGCAGATGCGCGGAGGCGTTCATAGCGGCGGAAACAAGAGACGCAGTGCCGCGAGCAAGCCTGCTCAGAGATACTCTCCTTACTCTCGGCCGAGCTTACCCAAGTCTCCGCAGCTGGATTCCGCCACGCCTCCTCCGGTCATTCTGCCCATGTCTGCCTCAGCTGCTCCATCCGAAGCTCCTGCGACTGCCTCGGTTTTGCCTTCTTCGCCTGGGTCGTCCACATCTTTCGGCCCTACGCCGCTCACGAAGTCTCCGGTTGGCTACACGCAGACTCCTAACCAGGATGATGGCCTAGGCTACCTATTCGAGTCAGACTCTGAGGACCCCCAGGAAGTGAAACTGGGCGGGACTGACGACAACGACTCATCGGAACCATTCACGCGCGAGCAGCCAAATGATGATGCTGACATGATGAACGGTGTAAATCAATCACCTCCTACAAGACCGTTCAGCCCTAGTGTCCTGGCTCGTCCTGCAGGCGCGAACGCGCCAATCGATTTCAACTTGCACAACGCTTCTTCACAGTCACAGCAAGCTCCGGCTCGTCCCAAAGGCGCGATTGCGCCGATCAATTCCAGTTTACAGAATAGTCCGACACAGTCGCATCAAGCGGCTGCGCCAAGTACTACTGGTGAAGCATTATATGGGAACTTCAGCGGTCTCAATCTTGGACTTCAGCCTCAACCCAAAGAGGAAGATGCAGACACTGATGTGAACATGCCTGATACGGGCACTTCTGTGACCATGGCCATTGTTTCAGAACCAAATGTCTTCGGATTTGGCACTGACTCGCAGCCAAATGTGGACACGAACATGGCGAACAATGACATGACATCAACCTCTCAGCCCATTACCGAGACGCCTGCTGAGTCGGCGAATGCGCCCATGACCAGCTTCGATCTGTCGTCTCTTGGTTCTACAATGCCTCCAATGGCTCCCTTTGATGAGAACCAAAACGCTGCTATGGAGGTCGAGCCAACATCAGCTCGTCAAGTTCCCAGCAATGTGCACCCACTGTTTGGCGGCAGTGGCTTCACCGGCGTAAGCACTCCAAAGCCACCTAGAGATCCTGCTCCTCCCACCGACGCTCATGATGTTGACATGAGCAACCCTCAGCCATTGGGCGACGGCCATCTTTTCGGCACCGTCCTACCATTGCAGCAGGCACAGCCATCAAGGACACCTCTTCTGTCGGCTCATGCGCAGCCCAAGAACGATGCTCGATCTCCGAGGATTCCAGTCTCTGTGAAGAGAGCGCTTCCGGGACCAAAATTGGTCACGAGAGAACAGCTTAAGGCAAAGGCTGATGCCAATGTTGTGTCGGTGGCCAAGAGTAAGGCTGAAGCTGAGGCCGAGCGCAAATTGCCTAAGGTCGCAATGGATCCGTCGACGGTTCTTACTGACGCCAGCTACGGTCCTCCTATCTCGGACAAGAGCCCCGAGAAGAAGCCAGAGAGCATCGCGAAGCCACAATCGAAGCCAGTCCCGAATTCAAAGCCGCCGGCCAAGAGTAGAAAACAGCTTCTGGCCGAAGTAGAGCAGAGACGTGCGCAAGACGACCGACTGAGAGCTCAAGAGAATGGCACTTCTACCGTCACACCTTCTGTTTTTTCCTCTCGAGCTCCTCTAGCGGCTACTGATGGCTGGGAAGCTTTCACCAAGGGTTCGTCGTCTTTGTCAGGGCTAGCCTATTCCGCGACTCCGTCCAAGAACATTGTGTCTGCTGGTGCTATGGCCGCGAAGCTGGCGAATGATCCGAATTCATTATTTGCCACTAAGCCGAGTCCAAGCGGCCTGCGCGGAGCTCTCGCCAATGTCCACGAGTCTGATTCGAGCCCTCGGAACACTGGCGCACCGCGGATCCCGGTCAAGCAACAACAGTCCGCCGCTCCCCTGCCTCGGTCCTTGCCGCCCGGATTTGTCTACGATCAACAGGGTCGACGAGTCCCTGCTAAGCAGCAAGGCGAAGTGTATCACGCTGCATATGCTGCGCCTCAGACTAGCAGCATTGGACCTGCCTATGGACCACAGGGAAGCGCTGGACAGCAAAAGACGGGCGGTGCAGAAATCAACTACACCATCTTCGCTGACATGTTGCGTGAGAACGCTGATGAGGAAGCTAAAGACGCCGTGCCACCATCAGCTCCGTTGGATGATGTTCAGCAGCTATCTCAGGAGCAGATTGCTGAACAGCAAGCTCGCCAGGCAAAGAAGCGACGCGCCTCGGATGAGCAAGAAGGTGGCCAGATTCCGCAGAAGGACCAGAAGGTCAGCAAGTCTGACGTTCCGCAGCGGGTTGATCGTCCGAGCGAGAAGGAAGAGCCTAAGGGCGAAGCTTTCGATGTAACTGACCCCCGCTACCTCGTCTTCAACCTGATGTATGCTTCCTGCTGGGCACAGACTAATCAGCCTCAACAGGAGAAGCCGCACGCTACTACCTCTGATGAGCAGCCACCGCCTGAGCCAATCGCTCCGAAGTCGCCGAGGAAGTACCGCGTGCCCAAGCTTCGAAAACCGCGAGTCAAGGGCGATGATAACAAGGAGATGTCACAATTGTTCGAAACCCTCTACTCCGACGACCAGTGAACGCTGCTGACCATATCTCTTACAGCTCAGATACTGCTTCAACGCCTCCAAATGCCGAGCAACTGCCTACACCTCCTCCTACCGCCACCTTCAGCTTGCCACAGAAGCGCCGGTCTCCATCACCGCCGACGGACTACGCCAATGCGCCGTCCGCGGTCAAGGTCGTTGACACGAGCACTTTAGATCTGACGCGGTCGACTGTTGTCGAGGGCAATGGGACAGAGGTCCCTCAGTCTGAGGAAACGACTGCTTCGGGGACGAACGAGCAAGCCGTTACGGAGCAGACTGAGACGGCTGCGCTGGAGGGCAAAGACACAGTCACTCCCGTGTCGAGCGAAGCCACTGCTGCTGATGACACCAACGGCACAAATGCTCCTAATTCCACGATCGAGAATGGGAGGAAATAGCTCAGATGAGGCCGCGAAGCGTGCCCAACAAGGTTGGAGTATTCAGCTCCACGCCCTTTACGCTGGAGAACCAGTTTGACATCGAGGATGACGAGGATTGGAGGGATAAGGATGATCCTGTGCGGAAGAGGAAGCGATATTGAGTTGGATTCAGGGGCATTGAGTTGGATTGGATGGGAAGGAAGGAAGGTAGGGGAGATTTGAGAGCACTAGCAGTAAAGGTCTGTATATCTTTTTGGGAGGAGGTGCTTTGATGGTGGCGAGATCGGGGACGCTACTCTAGCGCCTCTGTGTGGTGTGAGACTCGATTGAGGGGGGAAGGGGACCAAGGGAAGAATGTTCTGAACGATGGAAAGATGGAAAGATGGAACGATGAGACAAAAGAGAGAGAGAGAGAGAGAGAGAGAGCACTAGCACCTTTGGGTCTGTAACTCGACATGAACTTTTGGATCAGGATAGACTGATCTTGATACTGAGACAGCAAGGAGGAAAGCTGAAGTTCAGACAGAGGTGAACTTGTTATGTTGCTTTGGGCCTTTGTGTTGTATCAAAGATGACTAGCAGCTCAGTTCAATCAAGTTTCTGCGGACTATGAGGGACTGCTATTTTCTGCGCTGGTCTGCCAGATGACCAGACGCCGTTGCTGTCAGCTCTCCTCGATTCCATGTTCTACACTTGAATGGTATTCGGATCTCAAGAAAGTTCATAATTCGTACACGAGGTGCTTTTGCTTATTTCATATTTTGTACACGCCCACTTGACCGACTTGCTCTTTGAAGCTCTTGTCATGGAGTAGAAGCTTGCCCAGAATACCTCGCAGCGGGCCCTGCTCTTCTCTTCCACCTGCCCATACTTTGGGACCGGCGAGCGCGCCGACGAAGCCGTCGGGACCGGAAACGAAGACCTGGGTCGGTGGAGCTGAGGAGTTGCGATCTTGAGGCCACGATACTGGTGTTGAGGATGGTGTTTGTGGCGTTGACGCGGCCGAAGTTGAGAGGGGCGCAGGAGTGATGCGCTTAAATGTCTCTCGGATGCTGTCCTCAGTGATGAAGGTGGACTCTTCGTCCACAAAGTATGAGACCGAGACTTGTCCCGGGAAGCGAGTTTTGAACGCCTCGAGTTCCTGCACTATCAGGCCTTGATTGACCTTGCCGGGCGTGCGGCTGGGGCCAAACCAGCCCAGCCTGCCGGCCAATGATGCTGGCTTCAAGTCGCTGACGCCGCCCTCGCAGTCCTCGCGTCGGCGACACGCCCACAGAATGTGAATGGTCTTGGCGTTGGCGAGACCCTCCTCCGGGGCGGCAGGAGATCCTGGCGGGCGCAAAAGCAGGGAAGCGGCCTGCAACGCTGGCGCGATGCCAGTGCCGCCAGCCAAGAAGATCATCCTCTGGGTTCCTTCGGATATGGAGACTTCGACTTGCGGGCCTCTCATTTCGATCTGAGAATTCAGTGGCAAACGGTGCAACCAGCTAGAGACTTCACCATTGGGCTCGTGCCGTACTAAGAAGCGTAGACCCGTCTCATCTGAGGGCTGGTTCTCTGGTAAAGGCGTATATGCTCTGACCACTTGAATTTGTGGCTGCTTTAGCTCGAAGCTAGATAACCCCCGAGCTGCCAGATTATTGATGGCGCTTTGGGTGTCTTTTCCAAACATAGGGTTGAGGTGAAAGATGGATGCTGTCGAGGATACCCTTTCCTTCTTCATCAGCTTATAGCCACGGAACGTCGTCGGGCTGTCAATCTCCGAATTCAACACCTTTCTACGTCCAACAACAATCATGCCGTAAAGGCCCATCAGGGCTCCGCCTCCAAAGAGGAACCAAAGTCCGATGACACGCCACCTTGACCTACGTGGTTTCGAGACTGTCGCAGCAGCGTCCCCAAAGTATTCGTGGTGTTGCCGTTGCTGCCGAGACGCACGCTTACGCTGCATAAAGTCCTCACGCAGGCCCGGTGGTATTTTCGTCTTTCCTAGGTCGAAATCCAACTGAGCCCTTGCGTTTTCAAACTCGCCCGCATAATCGTGCTCAATGCTCTTCATCCAGGCATGATCGTGCGTTTGACGCGCCTCGGTGAGCATGTCATCTCGCTCCTTTGCGAGTTGTCTGAGGCGCTCTTCGAACCGTAACTTCGCTTGGGGGTTTTCCTGAGCGGACTTTGGAAACGGGGATGTCGAGGCCCATCGTGTAGTGAGCCGTGCAGTCTGAAGCGTCGATGTCCGAGGCTTGGAGATTAAGCGAAACGCGCAGCGGGCACATATCGACTGCATAAGGGCTGCGAGTAGATGAGCCCTTGAAGGGAGGAGAGGATGCCAGGCCTCGTAGCTGCAGGAAGAAATGCAAGACGTCAAGGAACCTGGACAAAAAGAAAGACGAACTGCGGCACGCGTCTGGGCTTGGCTGTCGGGAGAACTCCGGGCCTCATTCACTGCCTGAGAATTGAATCGTCGAGTAACCGTTGCCGCAGACTCAAATGCCACGTCATAGGCGTTTTAATCCAAGTAGCAATGGTGGAGAAGATTGAGCTATCTTGCTGCAGGGGATGTTTGAACAGGCTACCAGCTCATTACATTCGATCAATGTGATGGGCTCATTCTGCTGAAGAGCACCGCAAGCAATGCTCGATCCGGCGGCGGAGATAATCAGTTCCGATCTTATCCGCCAAGCCTCGTTTTAGGGGCAAGGCTGAACGCAGCAAAACGGCAATGACGCCCGCCGCAGCGCTGCTCCACCTCAGATTTCAGCATCAAGCCTAGTCTTCCCCAGGGTTCGAGAATAGGAGTTTGCGACAGACACGTACAGCTGGCACCCCGGGTCATATCTCTGCTCGACCGCAGTTCCAGCATGACACTACGATAGCAGCTCCCTCCTCTCCCCAATGTCGCGACTGGCCTTCACCGAATCCCAGCGAGGACCTGCACGCGACTCCCTCGAACTTGCCTCGCTTGCCGATTCCGATGAACACGACGATCTACCCTCAGAAACATCCTCTCCATCAGGTATCTCCTCGTCGCGTCGCCTCTCCCTAGAGGATGAAGATCCACTCGACAGCGCAAATCCGGCCGGTCGTGGCCGTTTGCGTGGCCGTTCCTATTCCGTCTCATCTGCGTTCGACTTCACTCCCGCCCTCTTCCCACTTTCTTCCACCAGCGGCGGATACACTGCGCTCGGCGCGCCAAGTCAAGTCTCGCTGACTCTTGAACGTGCCGGCGCCATCGAAAACCTAGAGAAGAACAAGACATTGACATACTTGAACGGCCTGTCGCTGGTGGTTGGACTAGTCATTGGGTCTGGCATCTTCTCCTCGCCCGCCCAGGTCAACTCTCACACTGGCTCGCCCGGCGCGGCACTAATAGTATGGGCTATATCGGGCGTTCTCACCTGGACGGGTGCGTCGTCATACGCTGAGCTGGGAGGAGCCATTCCCTTGAACGGCGGCGCCCAAGTCTACCTGGCCAAAATCTTCGGAGAGCTAACAGGTTTCCTCTTCACCTGGACCGCCATCCTTGTACTCAAGCCCGGCTCCGCTGCCATTATCGCCATCATCTTCGGCGAGTATGTCATCAGAGCAGCCATCGGCGCCGATGTAGAGGATGTCAACCCCTGGATCAACAAAGCCCCAGCCTTCCTGGCGCTCGCGGTTGTCACTTTCTTCAATTGCATCTCCACCCGTTTCGCCGCCCGCATCGGTGATCTTTTCATGTTCTTCAAGTTCATTGCGCTGATTGCTATCACTGTGGTTGGCATTATCGTTGCTGTTACCGGTCTGTCCTTTAATGGCCCAGCCAATACCGACTGGAAGACCAAGGGCTGGTTTGAGGGCACGTCGACCGACATCTCTAACTGGGCCGTTGCTATCTACGCTGGCCTGTGGGCCTTCGACGGCTGGGACAACACCAACTACGTGACTGGCGAATTCAAGAACGCAGCCAAGGATCTGCCGCGTGTGATCCACACGGGCATGCCTCTCGTCATCTTCTGCTATATCCTTGCCAACATCGCCTATGTATTCGTCCTCCCTCTGGCTACCATCAACAAATCAAACACGGTGGCTGTACAATTCGGCAATCAAGTCTTTGGTGGCATCGGTGCCTTGGTCCTCGCCCTCATTGTCTCTGGATCCTGCTTCGGCGCCCTCAATGCCACAACCTTCACCTCTGGCCGCCTGGTATACGCAGCAGGTCGTGAAGGCTACGTGCCCGCACTTTTCGGCAAAGTTGGCTTCGGCACCTCCACCGACCTAAGTGCACCGAACAAGTTTCGCAAGCGGTCCTGGTTTACCAAGAAGATAAGCAAGATCTTTGGGGATGACGCCGGATTTGGATATACGCCCATTAACGCTATGATCCTCAACTCGCTGCTCACCGCGGTCTACGTTGCCGTTGGTGAATTTCAGACCCTCATCACCTTCTACGGCGTTGCCGGCTACACATTCTATTTCCTGACCGTGCTTGGATTAATCGTGCTACGCATCCGCGAGCCAAACCTCGAACGGCCGTACAGGACGTGGATTACCACACCCATAATCTTCTGCTGCGTCAGCTTGTTTCTGGTCACGCGGGCGGTTATCAACCAGCCGCTGCAGACCTTGGTGGTCATAGCCTTTGTGGCGAGCGGCATCCCTGCATACTATTGGCGTGTGCGAGGACGGGATGGTCCAAAGGGCCAAAGAGACGGGGAGAGGAGGTTCTGGCGGCGATGGGGCCGGAGCTGACGAGAGACAACAAGTGGACGATTGTATATTTGCGCATGTCAGGCACAAACTGAAGCTAATGTTGATTGAAATATTAATGTAAATGATTCCAAACTTCCCTTGGCCTTCCCTGTCGTCATCGTTCATTTTGCGGCGCATCCTACTCTACCGCGCACTAAAGTAATCGGCCTAGCCATCTCAGCGTTGACCGACAGCCATTCCGCCAGGTAAGCGAGAGAAAATGCCTCTACGCCGTCACAGTTTTGTGTTCACCCTTAGGCTTACCATTCAGAGACCGTGTAAAGACAAGCACTAGTACCGCCGCCCGGAAGACCGTTCCCATGGCCACTAATCATGGGATCATTGTATGCACCAAAGGGCGGCGGACCTGCCTGTCGTTTCACCGTCGATATACTGCCACATGCGGGATTGTACCTGCATTGTAGCTACCGTGGTAGTCCTTTACCGGCATCGGCTATGGTAAGCAGTTAGATCAAGAGTGTCACAACATGCTTGTTGCTCTGTCTGAGTCTCATGCTCACTGCCTCGGTCTCGAGTGGTTCTGTCGATACAGGTCTGCCGTAGCTGGGCTTGCGCCAAGAGGCAGTGAATGTGAGCTTAATTCGAGGCTCCTTGATCTGAGATCTTGGTTGCTCGGGGAGGTGAAGCACTCGAAGCTGCGGACGAGGCAGGACAGATAGTAGATCTAGTCTATGCATACACTCAAGACTTGTTGGAGGTTTCATCTGTGCTCTACATGTCCATTAGGAGGCAGGTGATGAGCCGTGGCCAGTTGTGGAGGGCTTCGCTCATCTTAGTCTGTAACTTGTAACTTGAAGGAGTGATACGGATCGCCAGCAGACACGACAAGTCCTGCATCATGGCATAAGCTTATTTTGGAAATAATGATATCGTTTCGAACCACTTTGCTAGGCAACAGCACGAGGCAGCCGTGACTGCTGCATGCTTGGCATGCACGACTATTCCACAACCCGTTCAATAGGCCTGCCTTCTCTCTGTCAACACTTGCACTTCCTCATCCGTCCGTCTCCTGCGATCGACCGCCTCGCTTTCATTACAATCCTTCATCTTATGAGCCGAGATCCCCGCCATGCTCTGAACCTTAGCGAGCCGGAAGCACCACGACAACGAACCACAACTCGACGATTTCCAACCAGCACCTGCGGACCGACCTGACCAGAAAATACAGTTGCCATGTCTCTCCCAACCATGACACCATCCCTCGGCGCCGCGTTCTCATTTCTCAAGCTTCCTACCGAAGCTCGACTTCTCGTCTACAGCCACTGCACCTTCGACCCAACTCTCCATATCAGCTTTTGCTACAAAAAGGGCAACGACTACCGGGGACCCCTAGGTCCACCTATCATGCGTACTTGCAGACTCATTCGCGAAGAGTTGACTCCGATTTATGCCCAGGCAATTGATCATATCCAAGTTGATACCAACATCCCCTTGCAGATACCGTCAATCTACTTTGCCAGCGTCACCAAGGTGTCCCTTAAAGTTCGATGGGGGGCCTTGGATTGATGACCGCCTTGTACCAAATCTGAAAGAGCTGCTCATCGCAGTACCGATGAAATTTCAAGCCGCGACTGGCGCTAGCGAAGCAGGTCTCGAAACATCCGCAGTACTGATGGTCCTCGATGCTCTTGAGCTTGCTTCGACAAACCACTACAAGCAGCTGTGCAAGAGAATGGAAGCCTAGTCGTACAAACTACCCTTTCGAGTGCTGTTGGAACCGTGCTGCTTCTGTATAAGGCGATCCGATGGCAAGTACCTTGGCATGCGGCTTGGACTAGTGATCGACTGGGCCACACTAGATATCGTGGAGGGGAGTTGGCCCATGCTTTACGTCGACTGAGCGTCGTGAGACGTGCATGTCGATATTATCCATGGTTTCAGGGACAATCAGAGTCTACCCATCATAACAAAAACAAAAAAGCCGACGTCCAAAGCGGAGGTGGCCAGGGGAATCTGAGGGGATGAAGATAGGATAAGAGATCTTCGACACGGAGAGTGTGCTCCTACGAGACGCGCGCAGCATCAAACACCTAGGAGCCACAAAAGGGTGCATGGAGGGATACTCTATGGACCACGATGGGACACCGACAACCCGTATCTGACGTTTGCTCGAGATGGGCTCCGAGGGCGCGAGCTCACAGCTGGTGACTTGCCAATACTCTGACCTGGCTTGACGTAAGGCAGAAGGAATCCAAAAAGAATTTGTTGCCAAAAGCCACTTCATCCCGAAGCGTTCTAATCTATCGTCTCGTCCGATCCAATTGAAGCTTTCTACGCACTATCCTTCCTAATCCTGCACGGCCGCCATCCCCCTCGCATGCTCCGACGCCTTGATAAACGCATCCGCAAACGCGGCCCTCGCGCCCCTCCTCTCCAGCTCCAACAACGCCTGAATCGTCACCCCCCTAGGCGAGCTCGTCGCCTCCCGCAACTCCTCGGTCCCCACACCCCCATCAAGCAGCAACTTCGCCAACCCCAGCAGATTCAGCGCCGCGATCTCCCGCGCTTGCGCGCGCACGACACCCTGAGCCACCGCGCCGTCCAGCATGCCGTCGAGCGCGAGCGAGAGGATCGCCGGCGTCGCGGCCAGCGTGGCCGCTACGGGCATCATGGCTGCGGGTAGATAACGCACCGAGCCGATCTGCGAGAAGACCCATTGCGTGATGGACAGCTCCTCGTGGGGGAGGAGCAGGGTGGCGTCGTTGAGGACCGTCGTGCACTGCCGGATGCGGGCCGCGAGGTTCAGCGTCGCTTGCACGACGTGGCACGGGGGCGGGGCTTCGGGCTCGGGCTCGGGCTCGGGCTCGGCTGGGTCGGTCGACGTCGACTTGTAGAGCGCGTCGAGGATCTGGGACGGCGGGATGCCCGCGAGGACGCTGAGGACGAGCTTGCCGCGCACGGCGTCGCCCATGCCGGCCGCGCCGAGGACCTCCCGGAGCATGTACGGCTTGACGGCGAGGATGATGACGTCGGCGTCCTGCGCCGTGGCGACCAAGTCGCCTTTCCTGATGCTCAGTCTGTCCTGGTATGACGAGAACATGGACTGGAGCTTCTTGACGGACTGGTCTGAGCGCACGCAGGCCGAGAAGGATGAGATGGGTGCGTGGCCGTCAGCGGAGGCTTCGAGCAGGCCGCTGAGGATTGCACTGCCCATGGAGCCTGATTGTTGGGTCAGCATGTGTATAGAGGCAGGAAGAAAGGGCCTTCGTATCTTTCACCGTGAGGCCCCAGATCTTGACTCACCACATCCTATGAACGCCAGCTTTTTGCCTGAGCTGAGAGATCCCATGGCGTCGGTGGCCGTAGCAGTGACCTGCTATTGAGGATAGCACTCAAGAAAGTACCGGGTCGACAAGTATATGATCTGACATTGGTCTGGATTGGACCATCATCGTGCCTCTCTACTAACCAACAGCGCCCTTTGAGCACAAGACGTCGTGGGCCGCCGCTAATAGAGCTTGGCGTGATATATCTACAATATTCTCCGGTCGACCAATCGCACCCCATACCTACCCATCGGTTGTCTGGGCCAGGGTCATTTAGTAGAAATAGACGACCAGTGGCGGCATAGCGTGAAAGGAGTCCAGACGATGTACTAGAGTGGCGAGCATTTTGTGGCCCTACTTCTCTGCGATCTTGGGATTAGGCAGTCTCTCAGAGAGAAGCACATTTACTGACGGATATTGGATAGTGAAACCTCACTTCGTTCTACTTCGTACACCTTTTGCCGAATCACCGAGTCTTCACGGTGAGATCGCAAGAGCAAGAATCAATATAGCACAACAATGATAAGCCCATTCACTTTACGTACCCATTTCGTAACCCGTGCAGCGTTGCAATACCTTCTAAACCCGCTCAGGACTGACGCCAGGTCCTTCCTACTATTCCCAACAACTGAAACCTCAAGACTCGTCCTCACTTGTTGATCATTGACCTAAGTCGATTGCTCGCTGATCACAGACTACCTTGACACTGGTCTGTGCTGCTTCATCTAGTCCAGATTCATGGCCGCCCTTCCAGACCGCGCTGGAGACTTTGACCCCTTGAGACTTTTCACAATGCCTTCAACAAGATCTGGGTGCAGTGGATGAGGGTTGCCTGCCAGACCGGTCTCGGGATCTATCATGAGAGGAATAGAGTTCTACTCGTTCCCTGCTGTACCAGGGCGGCCTGCATAGCCTTGGGATTGGGGTCTTTGACCTGCCATGTACATCTACTAGTCATATCAGTATTTGTGTGCCTGTGAGAGACTTGTTCGCTCATACCTGCTGGCCACCGGCGAAGCCGCCTTGGGCATAAGGGTTGTACATATCTTGACCTGCAAACATCTGCGCGGGCTGGCCGTACTGGGTGGGATCCTGCTGACCGTCTCCACCCATATGAGGACCAGGATACATTGGCGCCGGGCCGCGGCCGTACTGCTGATCAGGAGGAGCCATGCCGCCGTGCTGCAACTGAGCGTAGTCGGGTGCGCCCAATTGCTGTTGGGGCTGATTGGGCTGCTGAGCCTGGGCAGTCTGTTGGCCTGGTTGCTGGCCGCCAGACGTGTTGGGCCGCTTAGCCTGACCACTGGACTCTTCCCTTGGCACAATGTCGATCAGGAAATCGAACATGTCAGACTTGGCAAGTGCTGCAGCGATGTCGGAGCGTTGAAGGGTTCGGCGTTTGTTGTCTTCAGCATGGATCCATGCTCGCATCGTAAGTTCGGTGATGAAAATATCGCAGCCTTTGGCGAACAGGATGGGAGCTTCGGCGGAAATCATCTTGACTTCGGGATCAGCCTTCATAACCTTCTTGATGCGAGCTAGGGGCAGCTGATGAATCTTGAAGTCATGCTGATCTGTCTCCAGGTGGTTGATGGTTTGTTGCCAGTAGGTAGCAAGGATATCTCGAGAGGCTCCAGTCAGGCCTTGATTGATCTGGACGAGTTAGTCTGAGTCAGCGCGAACAGTAGCATGCTTACATTTGACCAGAGACCTGAATAGAGCTCAGTATGGGGAATGTAGCCTTGCGCAGACAGCTGTGGATCAATATCGTGATTAGTAGAGCCCTTGTGGAGGTAGACAGCAAGAGAAGCGGAGGGGATGCATTCTGCGGCCGCGTGGGAGTTGATCACAGGTACTGTCGATTCGTCCTCAGCCTCGGGCTTGTCTTCAGCCCTGGTCGCGCAGTCGGAGAGAGTTTCTATCTTGACGCGATCGCTATTGCTGCCCAGGAGAAAGTTTTTCCATAAGCGTTGCGGCAGAGTTGGAACAGGCGGAGTGGCTGATTTGCGGGACGGCATAGCTAGACGTCGACTGGCTGCGATAGGACGTGGTCGTTCTCACAGTGGAGCTCCGTTGCGGTGTCGCGATGCAGAGCGAAGATCAAGATTGGTGTAGAGAGAAAACAAGCAGTGGCTCAGTGGGCACGCGAGGGAAAGGGCAGCTGAGGTGTGGATGACATCCAAGTGAGTCGCGGATGATAGAGCTACGTACCGCTGCGCTGGCGCCTGCGATAGATCCAAGTCAGTGCTGCGTTCTCTCTTGCGATAGATTCACGGTTTGCGACGTGTGTCTCGGGCAGATGCGCCCACACCAGACGCTCGCAGGACGACTTACCATAATGGCCGCCTTGACTAATATCATAAAGTGGCTGTTGGCGCGGCGGCTGCTGGCCGGCCTGCTGTTGCTGTTGGTCCATTATTTGCGACCAGTGTGCGAACTATGTGGAGGGGCACGGTGGCCGTCCCGAGGCGCGGGAGGCTGGTATAGGTGGTCGTGTTCGTGATGCGCTCGACGAGGAAACGCGGTCGCGTGGTACGGAGCGCTGGACAGGCCAGAATGGGGCGCAGAAGCTGGCGAAGACGAGCAGGAGAGCAGCGATACTAGAGTAATACAATGTGGGAACGAGATACTGGCGGTGTGGGAGGGGAAGAAGGAAGACAGGCGTGGGAGAGGCGTAGTTTGGATACGTTCTAGCGGAAGAAGCAAGCCAGGCGGGGTCTGCGTATCCTCTTTGCGCTGGAGATGGGGGGGCTGGCACCTGGATTTGCGGCTGTGACGCTCGGAATGATTGACCTTCTGCACATCAAAAACCAGGACAGAAATGCCTCTGGGTCATATAGGCTGAAGGATTACGGAGGCACTGCATTCATGCTACTGAAGTATTTCTAGCCCGGCCATGGATGTAAACAATGGCGTTGTAGACGCTCCAATAAGGCACGACCCAGAGGGGCTCCAGGGCCGCAGTGTCGTCTCTGGTTGGCGCCCAAGGTCCACGGGCGACGAGCTCATCCCACTGGCTCCGCGAGAAAAGAGCCTTCTTCGCCTCATTCGAGTGATAGGCCCATATACAGACCGGGCCCATGACCGCATCGACTGCTCGCCAGGTACCAAAGTGCTCCAACTCGCTGGCACGACAACAGACTCTTCGTGTTGCATGCAGCACGCATCAAATGACCACGCTGTCGGGACTCAAATCATATTGCCCCTGCTGATCGTGACGAGGTGACTGGACTTATACTTGTAAAACCGGCTTTGTCTTCAGGAGGCTTCAAGGACCTTTCATCGGTCAGCTCACCGCTACCAGTCTTTCCGAACCTGCCGTTGATGGATCGCAAGCAGCATTTGCGATCTCGACTGCCGTCGCCGCAGCCTCATTTTCAGGACCATCAAGGTCGAAGCGTGAGGTCGCGGAAGTATGCCTGCATGAACAGCTGCAACAACACGAGACTTTTGCTTCATCGGTTGGGCATCATTGCATATGTGCTGCAATGTGTGTGAGATGCGCTGGCAAGCGCCGCCATCGTTGATGACATGGTAGGTCTTCCAGAACCACCGTAGCGAGTGGGACTGCTCCGTATAACACGTGACACGATGCCAAGATCCGATCAGCGAAGATGCCCCGGTCATCCAGAGAAAAAAGTTCGAGGTTCCGTTTTACCACAAAACCGCGGTGTCTGTCTCTCGGAATGTCGCTGGACGTCATGGAGAGCAGCACGCTTTCCGAAGATCAGATTGATCAGTTGTTGCAGGAAGCAGAAGCCAGACTTCGATCGAAGACCGGAACGAGTGTGGCAACTCACTCTCAAGACGAGCTCACTCTCTCCCTCAACGAAGACAAGCCCGAGTTCGCGAAGCGCCAGCCCATCCCAAGCCTACAACATGGGCTTGACAAGACCTCCTACATCCAGGACCACGGAGGTGTTGCTCAGATTAGGCCCGAGCTCTTAGCTTCGACAGATCAACAGAAATTGGCAGATCAGCTGCGGCCCGTCGATATCAAGGGCAAGTCCAAGAAAGAGGTGAGTCTGTCGCAAAACCGCATCTGTTTGCATGAGGAAATCTATCCCAATCTTTCTCGACGCAGATCAGCATCTCATTCTGACATGCCCTGCCCCCATGAGAGCCTTTCAATCTTGAAATTCATAGTTACTCTGACTTGCACCGCCATTTCTCACCCGTTCTTCAACGCTATACGCGCATCGCAGCTGACCCAGCTTCTCCAGGATGGCCCCGTCGATGCTGGCAAAGAGTGGTTCAATATGCCTCTAACCACTGTGACGCCAGCTCTCAAACGCGACCTCCAGCTCATTCAAATGCGCTCTGTGCTTGATCCCCACCGACACTACAAGAAAATGAACTCAAAGAAGCCCAAGATTCCACAGTTCTCGCAGACCGGTACCATTGTTGAAGGCCCTACCGAGTTCTACTCCTCCCGCATCAACAAGAAGGACCGCGCAAAGAACTTTGTCGAGGAGGCTATGGCCACAGAGCGGGACTCTGGTCGTTTCAAGAGGAAGTATGCGGAGATCCAAGCGGTCAAGACAAGTGGGAAGAAAGCTCACTACAAGAAGCTGATGGCAAAACGGAAGAAGAGCTGAAAGCATTCACTGTGGTACAATGACTTACCTTACAGGCCTCACTACGAGCCATCCATGTCGGGATTCCTGGGGCGAAGAAGCACTCGTGATCCGTCGTTCTAGACCGTCCCGTTCGGGATGAGAGACAGATATCCACGACCACGAATTGCGTGCCTCTAAACGAATTAACCATGCTTCATGGCCTGGCCCCTCCTTCCAACTATACGCCATCTCGCCACCTAGTGGGCGCCTGAGACTAGGCACGAACGGCCCGTTCGATCATTGCCGGAAGGTCATCAATCCCGCGAGGCGATCAGTGGCATAAAACCACACTTGGGTTCCACGGATCTTCTGGGATGTTGGCCCCCAAACCTCAGCTGGGAATTTGGTTCTGCATGTCAGCCCAAGGCTCGTTCTGGACCGCGTTGCCTCCCAAAGCGGATGCCATTCTTCCCGATGCTGAGCCGCCCGGTCAGAGCAGTACTAGATTCGGACACTGTCGCCCCCAAAAGCTTCTCAAGTAAGACTCAATCAGTCCATCTGGGTTCCAAAGCGGTCCATTCGCATCGTCGGAGGCAATGCTTCAACCCGTATCGCGAGTTTGTCGGGCCGCTCAGCCCTGGCACGCCTGGACAGCTCGCTATTGCCTCGCGAATGCATACTGCACTCTGGACCCATGCCACCATCTTATCTGCGTTCTGCCGCCGGTTCCACATGGTGAAATCGGTCATGCAACATCGTTGGGTTTGGGGGCCCGATGACCAAAAAGCTGTACGGGGTGGTTCTCTCAGTCGAGAGTCTGGTGTGCCACCTCACTTCGACTACGGCCTGAGCAATGCAGGCAACTCCAAACACGAGATGTCCGCAGACGAGCTCTCGTGTATGCCAATGGCGCATACCTCAAAATCACTTACAGGAAGCTCCGCGCTTTCACGCTAGCTAGCTTTCGGAACAAAGATTCATTGCTTGCTTCATCTGCTATGTCTTCGGACCTGCCCTGAGTGTCCCCCGAGCATGAACGTCCCCCGCAAAATGAGCAAACTGATCCGATATGTCCCCTCCGTATCCACGCCAAAAGTTTCTTTCGTGGTATCTCATCTTGTCTTTGCAAAAACGTGGTAGTAATCGAACATTGGCCCCCCTTTCCCCTCCCTTGATGCCATCATATGTTGCCAAACCTCAAAACACGAGAGGAAAAAACGAAACGCCTCTCTTTCTCTCCAATGTCTCCCATCAAGCACCCGCGTCCCCAAGAAAAAGCAGCGCAAATCATATGCCTCATGTGATGTGTACGTATCTCTAAAAAGAAGTCGTTCGTAGTGCTGTGTGGAAATTTCATGATGCAGCGCGTATGTTGTCCACCTCTCGTGTCTGTGTCTCTGACCGTTCTCGGGACCCAATGCTTGCTCGCTTGCTTGCCCCCGCCTCCTGCTTCTCTCCCGTCAAACTCATGGGGTATATCGTGTCATGCGCATGCTATTGTTCGCCTTTCCCAGAAGAAAAAAGACCAAAAGCTCCGCCTCCCATCACAAAATGGTGCACCATTCATTCGTTGCTTTCCGCTGAGCCAGCCATACCTTTGTGTTCGCTCGTTCATGTGTTGTTCATCAAGTCCAAAATCATGCAGCCAGCCGCTCCCCTCCGGGCAAGCACCTGGCCTTCTCCCTCGCCGTCTTCTCCCGCTTGAGCCCCTGCGCCGCCCCACCCAGCACACTCCGACGCCAGCCCCTGCCACTCTCATCTCTGCCATCCCGCTCCGCTGCCACCACGGGTCTCAAGCCGCCTAGACCGCCGCTGTTGCCGCACGGAAACCCCTGCGTCGCTGGCGACGACGTGCCAGAAGCACCGGCAGCACCGGCACTACCAGCACCAGCCTCGTCGCTCGCGTTGTGATTCTTAGGCACGCCAAATACCTCACCCGTGCCTTGCTGCGCCTTCCACTGCTCGGCCATGGTGCGCATGCTCTTCTTCCGCTCCACCCTCTCCAGATACTCATTCATGCCGACGACATTGCTCTTGCTGCTGCTGCGCCCGATGCCGAGGCCCGCAAGCTTGCGCTGCTCGCCCTGCCGCTGCTGCAGTTCCTGTTCCACGCCAAGGACGCGCCACGCCTTCGCGCTGCGACCGCTCATGACACGGCCGAGGGACGACGCAGACTTGTTGGGCGTAGACACGGTCATGGTGACGAGGGGCGCAATGGTGTCGCCACCGCCGGCCTCGCGGCGCCACTCAAGAGACATATCGTCGCGGCCCACTGGGGAGTCCGAGTCCGAGTGCCCACCGTAAATGTCCGTGATGGGGCTGATGGGCACGTCGCTCGAGTCCGTGGCGTTGCCGAGAGACTTGCTGCGCCCGTGCTGCTTGCTCGCTTTGCTCATCACCGAGGCCCGCTTCTGGATCGTGGCTAGCGTTGGTGTCAGGCTATCCCTCGACCTGGTCACCGGTCGCGGACAGTGGCCGTTGCAGCGGTCTTCGGCTCGCACGCTGGTGCGTTTTGACAGCTTGGGGAGCGGAGATACGATGTCGTCTGGCGTCGGAAGCTCTACTGGCGCGCGCACTTCGCGCATTCGAGTCTCCATTCGCAGCAGCTCCTCCGCCCTCGGCAAATCGATGCCACTGCCTGTATCCGTCATGGCCAGAGCGCGCTTCGCGTTCTGCTCTGCGAATCCTAGGTCGCAGACCAGGTAGTTTAGCGCACGATCCGTGGGGTCAACGACTGCAGCGACTGGTGGTGGGGCCCGCGACTTGTACGTGTGCGACGGAAATGGGACGCGCGGCGTTGATGTCACGTAGCTGACGGGGAATAGATTGGGTCCCAAGCGCGTGCTGGCTGTGCGATTCATGGTCAGGGTATGGAAGAAGGAGGGGTCGGTGGTTGGAGAGGCCGGGAACGCCGTGATGGCGACTGAGCCTTTCGATGGCTGCTGGCTGTGTGCAGAGGCTGGGTCACAGTCCGGGCGGATCTCGAGGGGAGGGGGGCGGTGGACGGATACGGAGACGGGCCTGCGGCGGATCGTGGGTGTGCTGGTGTCGAGTCGGAGCGTCTGAGCCGCTGCTTGCGGATCGCGCAGGACGGTGCTGGAGAAGCTACTGTCCACGGATTTCGCATGGCGGTGCCGTGCTGAGGCCTGTCTAGGCAGAGGTACTGTGGCTGCTTTAGCTGTAGCCTCGGCCACCAGTCGCTCCTGATACACACGCCCGAGAGCCGCCGTTAGAAATGTAGCTCTTGTGTAACCTGCAGGCGGTAATGGCCAGCGTGTGAGGCCAACCTTCTTCGCAGTATCGTTCGGGGCACCGGCCAATGTGAGGACGACCTGCGGACCTAGCGTAAGCAAGTACGACGTCCATTCTTGAAGAAACGCCGCCTCGGATACGCCATCGCTTGGGTTCCAGAAATCTAACCACCCAGCGCGCAACGCCTCGTCCGTTGTTCCCTGGTAAACGTCCAGTAAAAGCTGCATACACTGCCACATTTCGTTCATATCCTCCAGCTGCCCTGCCGACAGTCCCGAGCTGTTTCCGGTCGCAAAGCCCTCGGCTCTGCCCGGGCTTCGGGTGGCATTCAACCAGTCCAGTTCCGCAGCGGTAACCTCGCCAGCTCGCTGGACTGCGCTGTCGCCGAACCAGGCACAGAAGGTCCAGACCCGCCACAATGCCTCGTCGATGTCTCTCCCGGCCACCTCATCGGCACCTCTCAGCGCGGCGATCGTGCGCAAGCGGCACACACTGGCGCACCTTTCGCTCCTCAACACAGCTCGCTTCAGTGCTGCCAATGTGCGCACATCACGCGAGTACTCGCGCAATCGGAACTGCTGGCTGCCTTCCACTGCCAAAACCGAGCGTCTCGTCTCCCATGCTGCGGGCGAGGTGCGGAACAGGAGTTGGGAAACGAGGCGAGACTCGTTGCGGGCGAAGGTGTTGTAAAATCCTTTGCTTACCAAAGCTGCCGTTTCGAGGTCCTGTACACTGTGTATTTGGGACATGATGCGATAGATGACTGATTCGGCGGTCGAAGTGGTGATAGTACAAGGTCTATTGGCCGGGTTGGATACAGTGCGGGCTCGGGAAACAGGCTTTCGAACAGCTAGGGGACGGACACCGGGTACCAATGAGCCTGGAAGTTCGGGAAGCATAGCAGGGACGGGGACGGTGTTTGATCGGGAGCGGGCATTAGGATGGGAGCCAAGAGGTTTGAAGGAGTTGAAGTTGCTGCGGATACGGAGACCATGGCTTGGAGGGGACATAGGTGTCGAAGTTGCCGGTGAATGCGGCATGAGTACATTGATGCTGGCGGATCGATGATGCGACCGAGATGGCTGCCGCATGGAGGCAATGTGTGCCTGAGTACTTGGCGACCGCTGGCTTGTTCTGACGGGTGAAGGGTTGGGTCGTGAGAAGTTGACGACTTTAGAGACATCTCCTGCTCGTCGTGGTCGAATGGGTAGAGGCTTGTCTAGGTCGAGGTTTTGAGAGGTGTTTGAATTGGTGGAGCCCCAGGTACTGGATCTGGAAGGCTTATTGATATGAACGGGAGACTCAACCAGGACGGCTTCGTTCGCAACTTTTGGGAGAGCAGTTGGTCCTGCTTCAGGCGAGTCGTCCTTTGGCGGCGGAGTAGGTGAAGCATCATCTACGCTCGAATAAGACGAGTTCCTTGTGATGGTAGGCGTCACAGAGCTCTGACCAGACGATGTGATCGATGACGACCCAGTCGAGTCATTTCGCACCGGGACAGGATGGCTATCTGCAGGCATCGTTGGGACTTTGTGTTGTTGCCTTGTAGGTGCCAAGGCGGGCCAGGCAAAGTCCTTTGCGCCTACCGATGATACGTTCACGAAAGTACTCGAGGCTGTGTCGCTCGAGGCGCGGTTTCCGGCATCGAGGCTGGCAAAGCGGTCGAAGAGATTCGTTAATGAGCTTGTGTCAACGTGCGAGATTTGAGGAAGTTGATGGTTGGTAGCGTCAGGGAGATTGTCGGCCTTTCGCAGCGTCACTGGGATATAGTCCCGGGAAGCTGATCTTATCCTTGACCTCATGATGACTGTTAGCCGTGACTGTCGTGGACGGTGTACTGATATCCAGGGTTCCTGGGTGGCTATTGGAGGGGTCGCATGGCTCGTTGTAACACAACCAGACGGATTATGCGAGGTTTGTCGGCGAGGGAAGATGCCAACGTTGCGTGATGTTGGGCAGTAGTGAAGATCGTCGTAGGTTGCTGCGAGATGTGAGGCCGTGAAGCTTTGAGGTTGTAAGAGGGTTCGAAATCAAGTCGCCGACGAGGTTGGGGGAGACCTTCCAAGGATATAGCGGAAACGTGAATTGAATGGGCAGGGAGCCAGAACAGGAATGGTGAACGTGGAGAGGCTCTGGACGATCAGGAACAAGGGTCTGGTTGGGTGAGCCAGCCCCGGGAGGCAAATGGGCGGAGGGGTGGCTCTGCCTTGCCTAGAGGCTAAGTTTAACCCTCGAAGCTCGATCCTTGGGGGCGGAGTCGGCGTCCTGGGGGCTGTGGACTGTGGTGCGTTTGAGGCAAGCGTCCCTAGTCGGCTAGTCCAGGCAACCCGTCCAGCGAGTGGCTCGCTTCAGGGCAATGTGATGGGTCGTGGGCTGGGGTGGCTGTTCATGGACCATGCAGTCCTTTCGAGGTAGGGATTATTGCTGCACCCGATCTTCCGAGGACCGTAATCCTGAAGCGTATCAGTAATGCACCGGTCTGCAAACGATGCGAACAGGAAAATGCCGACTCTCCATCCCTGGCAGGTTTATCCAGGCGCGCTACCTGGACTTCATGCCAGAAAGTTGCCGCCCAGGTCTCTCAGAGCTGGGTCGACCAGGGCAGCAGTGCATTGCATGCCTGAGAAGCCGTGACCACGCGCATGATCTGATTGAGGCGACAACGGCGGGAGCGAGGTGCCTGCGAAGATGATTCGCCGAAAATGAGCTGGTCTCAGACACGAGACGACGATCTGCTGTCCAAGCTGATCAAACCTGTTGGAGAGGTGCATGGTGCGGCTAGGGTTGTGTGGTGTGGCCCGGCTAAAGGACGCGCCGTGCACGTGACAATGGCCAATACCACCGCCCATCGCGATTGCTTCGTGATTCTCTAAGATTACCGATCAACATTCCTCCCGTTGTCGTGTTTCATGTGCCGACTGTACAACAAACATGTCGCCAAGTCGACGTCAAGTATGACGAAAGTGACAATGGAGATCGCCGACCGTGGCTCCGGCGTAATCGAAGCAAAAGAGAGAAAGGGTGCAAAGAGCCGACGAGAAAAGGGGATGAAGCGATGCGTGTCTGAGCGGCTATGACTGAGAGCGCCCCTATACCCCTACATTGGTCTATACAATCTCGCATCGGCTATTGTACGCGCGATGTCTTCCTTTTTGCCGTCGACTGGATGAATAGCCGGGTACGAAGTCCACCTGATTCAAGTTGCTGCATCCAGGACGGCGAAACAGGCTGTCATACGGCTGAAGCTCCATCATGGCTGCTTCGAAATCTTGCCGCTGTGCTTTTACGAGCAGCATTCTGCCGGCGCACACAACATCCTTGCTATGGTCTAACGCGACGGACTGTTTGACTACAGTACCATCTTGAGCGCGTCTTGCCTTGAGACCGGCCTTTCCCTGCCTCAGCTTACTGCGAACAGCGAGAGATAGATTCCCCAGAAGAGTCCAACGATAGAACCTACGAGGATTCTACGGTGCATAGGCACAACAGTAAAGTTGAGAAATGACACGGCTGGCCACAACTTCCAGCCCGCCATCATGAGCGGGAGAGTCTCCTAAAACAATGTAAGTGTCAGCACGACATGAGCTCAGATTTGCGCCCTACTCTTCGCACAGTCCGTTGAATGGCGTTGCTGTCCTTGCCGCTTAGGGCAGCAAAGAATGCAACAAATGCAACAGTGTTGACGACAGCCCCGATTGTCTGGTCGAGAGCAAATTTCTTTGCAGTATTGATCTTATGGAGAGACTGAGATCCATCTAGGCCAGTCACATATCCTGGAAATGTCTCTTCAAGGTATTGCTGCCAGAGGAAGTTCGGAGGACAGGTGAGGAGGGTGAAGAAGACAAATTGACCGAGAGCGACGAGGTTGAGGGAAAGTGGTTCCTATCAGTGGATGAGTGGAAGCGCTTTCTTTGTCAAATTGCGGCGGCAGCACTCACGTCCTTCTGGTATGCTTTTATGCCTTGCGCGAGGAGATTCGATAGCGCAGACAGGACAGCGGCTTGGAGGGTCGCGTTAACCAAGGGCGACGGCATAGCGGCGGTGACGGGCTTCTGGCCGTGATGTACAGTCTGAAATGTGGTGCAAAGGGATTATCATATCCTAATAACAATAACGCCGCCGAGCGAATCAAGCACAGAAAGCAGTCTATAAGTGTTATCAGTCGTCCGTGTCAGCGGTGAAGTCGAGGGTGCGCAAGCGGCCAGATTTATTACCTGGCACGTTCCGGCTAAAATACTACCGACATTGTTGCCCCTCTCCCCAGTCCCGTCGGTTTTCCCTCTTAGCATCCTGCCCGACATCGACACATCGCTAGAACACTGCACTGTTCGCACGAACGAGTCCAAAGGAAATGTATCAGGGAGATCGTTGTGTTTAGCTTTGATTGCTGCGTACTAGTGGGCGGGGTCCCGCCGTATCTGCACATACTGGTAACAGGCGCGAAGGTAGTAAATGGCACAACTTGATATTTGTTACACAAACGCGTTCCTCTCCCAGCTGGCAATGCTGGTTACTCCGTGAGTCGAAGCTCCCACGCCGAGCCTCTCCAATAACATTTCATTTATTCGCGTCGGTTGTGCCTCGGATCTCGTTGCTGGACTGCAGAGAACTGCAGGTCATCCATTCGCCGCAACCATCATGATGGTGCTGGCATCCCACCAACGCCTCTTGGGCATTCTTGTCCTTGTCCTCCTATCAATTTTATTGCTTTCGCTGTTTCTTGTTCTGAACATCACGAGCTTGTACAACGAGGGCTTGATCCACGGTCATTCCGCACGGCACATCCTAGCTCAACGCATGTTAGGCCGAGAACATACCTTCATCTGCGCCAGTGACGAAGGCTTCTTGGTACGACCAGAGATTGTTCTTGAGACGGGGGAGTATGTACTAAGACATTACAGTATGCAGGTCGCTGGTTGGTCTCGGCAGATCAGTCAAGAAGAGACACCAGTGTTCCGGGTAGGTCATCATCAACCTCGTGGAACATGGGCTCATTACTGAAGGCGCCACCGTCGACTTTACCTTCACAAACTCGACATCTCTGTTACTCTCTTTGAGAAATGGTCGTCTCACGAAAGACAGTGCCCACGAGATACAGCGCTCAGAGCATGTCCAGCACACTACTATCGCTTCTCGTCGCCCAGACCTGCTACTCGCACCCAACATCAGTTTACTCGTCGTCCTTGAGGGCCAACACGCATTGTATTTCAGCCACACAGGTCGTGGTACACTGAGGATCGCGTCGGATCTCAACAAGACAGCAACCTACGCAGCCCGCATCACCATATTAGGCTCCGGTGCGGGCATGACAGCAAGCACACTTGAGCTCGAGGGTATTTGGTTGAGCAAAGGAGGGTATCTGCTACCTGCTGAGCCGTCCCAACAACGACCGGTGATTGAATTCATCAGTGCCCTTTCCTACGCGAGCCCAAAAGACACGATTTCCTCCTTTCCTACACTGCTTGCGTTGGAACTCAACACGTCTTACTCAATTGTTCCGGTAGCCGATGCGTGTTTGACCGATATCTGCTCCTTGGGCACTCCATCGGTCCAAGACGTCTATTTCCGCACTGGACAACCGGGACTCTCACGTTACCGCCTTCCACACAGGCACACAGAGCCTGCGGCGCTCCTCATGGATATCGGAGCGATTGATTTCCATCATTTCCTGCAGGCCAACTCCGCCGAGGATGGAATCGACCAATTCGTGGACGGCTTTGTGAAGTCATACGTGAAAGTGGTAAGAACTATCCGCTCCGCTACACATGAATATCAATCTGTCTTCGCCGAGCATACTCAGAATGGAGTCGATCTAGACGCTAGCTATGCCTACAACTCGGCGCCCATCCTGCTTCCGATCTTCCTTCTCACGCCATTCACACCGACAGGGCGCCTTCAGCGCTTGCTGGGCCGCGCCATATCGGATGTTGTCCGCACGCTGAGAGACCAAGGAGATCTGGCTACAACATGGATCGACACTGACGGTTGGCTGGCGGAGGCCGACTTCACACGCGATAGTACTGCGGATCAAGGGACTCGGCGGCTCGCAGAATCAGGACATCTGAAGGTGGCAAGCCACATTTCAGCGCACATCTGTCCTTCGGTAAAGGGCAAGTGTCCCTTTCAGAAACACGACACCTATCAGGGACAGCTGTACGTTCCCGACGAAGCTGGACTGGGCAAAATGTTGGAAGAGCGGAAGGTCATGTTGATCAAACAGGCAATAGGCTTGTCTTGATGTTCGCGTACAGCTGAAAGACATATCTGTGGGCATAACCGCAATTCACTAAATACATCGCACTTCTGCACCGTCTGGATACTATACCGCTTGGTGGGACCCAGTAACTCTATACCTGACTCCGTAGACAGAAGATCGTGTTGGAACAGTCGATGAAGAAGAGGACGCGTCTTAAGGCAAGGACAAAGCCGCTGCCTAAAGCTTGTGCCAGACCAAATGCGGCGAGCCCTCATGTCAGCAGTGCAGTGGGTGCGCCACCCCGCCTACGTCACCTGCCCCAGGCGCCCGCCACGACTTAACTGAGTGGCACAACCACGCGCACCACCACCGCGTCTACTCCTCCTTTAACGCGTCCAAAACGATGGCTCCCTCACCCTCTGCAAGCTTCTACGACCTCTCAGACGATGAGGAGGCCGACTACAACACCATTACTGAAGCCACCTCGGGGAAGGGCGTAAAGCTCCTCTTCTCAAAAAGCAAGGTCTATGTTCACCCCACCTCGTCAGCCAAAGGGAATATCGCTGGTTTCATTGCCCTCGTCCAGCAGAAGCCCTCTCCAACCGAAGCTCGTCCGAGCTCTTCTCATAGCAGCAAAAAGTCACAGAACTCCTCTAGCTACTTTCTAGCCTGGGTGCCAGAGTCAACCCTTGGACAAGATGACCTGAGTACATATGAGAAGATTGACTTGCCAGACGCTGAATCTCCTCCGAAGCGGGCCAGCTTAGTACCTCCTATACCTCTTGCTACATTCGATGGTGCCACTGTTGGACCATACGCCTTTTCTCTGCCTCTATCGAGCATATACTCGATCCTAGTCCGCCCCCCAAGCTTAGGTTGGTGGTTTGGGAGTATCGTCATCAATACACGCTCCGGTTCCAGTCTCCCGGCGCTGTTCTTTCATGACTCGGAGTGCGAAAGTACAATCTTACAAAAGAAGAAGCTAGCGAAGGAATCATTTGATCCGTTTGGAGAGCATGGCGGCCTGTTCTGGGGTGGCGATGAGGTTGTCAGGTGGCTGAAACGATACGTCGACGTTGAACGGAGCACCGCTGAGCCTTCCGTGTACTTGATTGACCCCTCTGAAGAGGACAAACTTGGCTTTGGTCAAGGACGAAAGTCTCTTGAAGAGCCCACCAGCCCTACCAACACAAACCAAAAGAAGCCCCAGCAGAAGCAACAAGGGATGCAAATGGATCCACTGACAAAGACGCTGAAGGAGACACGGTGGAAAATACTGGAGCAGCTGTCGAAAGTTACCACCTTTACGAGACGGACTGCTGAGGACATTGTTAACAACAAGAATGTTCCTCCTCAAGTCCGACGGCTCATTCAGAATCCGGAAGTGCAGACAATTCAGGATGAATTTGACAGTGCTCGGCTCTATCTTGCAAGATGGGCAATGGGTATTGCAGAGCAGAGTGAGAAAGAGAAGAACCAGAGAATATGGACGGCCAAGGATGTGCTTGAATTGGAAGAAACTGGCGTGGGCGACTTCGAAATTCTGGACATGGAGGCAGGGCGGATGTCTCTGGGTGCGAGCAAGCGAAAGATCGTTGATATGAAGGAGTGGGAGTCCTTCTTTGATTCCACTGGTAGACTGTTCGTCACACCTGATGAAGTCAAGGAACGCATCTTCCATGGCGGACTTGATCCGGACGATGGGGTACGCAAGGAAGCATGGCTCTTCCTCCTTGGAGTATACGATTGGAACAGCACCAAGGAAGAACGACATTCCTTCATGAATCGCAAGCGAGATGAGTATATTCAGCTCAAGGGTGCTTGGTGGGATCGCATGGTCGAGGGTCACCCCACCCCCGAGCAAGAAGAGTGGTGGAAGGAGCAGAAGAACCGAATCGGTAAGTGTTATCTCTTCTCCCTCGACGCGAGATCTGCGTTCGACGTCTAACCATTCGCTGACCTGGCTGCCGCCCATATAGAGAAGGACGTACACCGCACCGATCGGCATATTCCGTTGTTCGCTGGAGAAGATATTCCTCACCCCGACCCTTCTTCCCCTTTCTACAACACCGACGGACCAGGCACGAACGTTCACATGGAGCAGCTGAAAGACATGTTGCTCACCTATCTTGAATACGATACTCCACCCTCAGAATCACATCCAGCGCATGTGTACAAAACTTCGAATCCTCACCCTCAGAACCTTGGCTATGTCCAAGGCATGTCTGATCTCCTCTCTCCTCTCTACGCCGTCTTTCAAGACGATGCAGTCGCTTTCTGGGCGTTCGTCAACTTCATGCAGCGTATGTCCCGAAACTTTGTGCGCTCACAGAGCGGTATGAGGTCACAACTCTCGACTCTTGATCAGCTGGTGCAGTTGCTCGACCCTAAATTGTATCTTCACCTACAATCTGCTGATTCAACGAATTTCTTCTTCTTTTTCCGGATGTTATTGGTATGGTACAAGAGAGAGTTCGATTGGCCGGACGTTCTTCGATTATGGGAGACGCTGTGGACCGACTACTTGTCTTCTCAATTTCACCTCTTCATCGCGGTTGCTATCTTGGAGAAGCATCGGGAAGTCATCATGGAGCACCTAAAGCAATTTGACGAGGTGCTGAAGTATATCAATGAGCTCTCTGGGACCATTGAGCTTCGGGAGACACTCGTACGCGCAGAGGGTCTGTACAAGCGTTTTGAGAGGACAGTTGGCGTGGTGGACAGACAGACTGCGCTCCCTGCGCCGAACGAAGGCCTTCGTAACCGGAAAGGCAAGGGCCTCATGGAAGACGAGGCAACTACGAGCGAGATGGGCCGACTGATCGACCGCAATGAGGAGGAACGCAAAGCCAAAGCTCGTGCCAGCAAAGAACCAGCCACCGAAGCAGAGCAAAAGGTCATCACCGAACAGCTACGTCAGCTCATGGAGCGGAAAGTCTTCTGGTTCCCACCGGAATGATCAAGCGGGCCCATTATTATTGTTAGAATTGTATGAAATACGACATGACGGCATGGTCTGGCGCTTTGCTACTGGAACGCAACCAAAATTTTTATACACCACTTAATTCCAGTTCAGTATTTCTTCCTGTCACTCTGATATAGAACGGTTTGTCCTTATCTGTCACTCCGGCTTTGCTTCGTTTGTTTGCCTTCTGGAAGCCTCGTTGCCTGCGCCAAGCCCCGCTAATTTCTGCTAGCGCGTTCGCCAGAACTATTTCGACCGCGACCGCACCTTGCGCAACTTGCACCTTTGCAACTTTGCAATCTTCTTTACGATTCTAGTCTATCGAGTTTGGACATCTTGTGCCTTTTGAACGTTATTTGTGGGGCTAACGACTGACTTGCTGTGTCGCTTGCTGCTTGGTTGTTTTGGTTTTCAGGTTCATATGAGATGGTTGCTAACACTTTAGAAGTCAGGAGACTAATTCTGCTGGAGTTCTAAGCCGCAGGAGCTAGCTCAAGATCTACTAAACGCTCGAAGCGTCCATCTGTCGCCGAAACCTGCACGCTTGCAGATGCACAGGTGAGTCTGTCTTCGAGCGATGCTTCTACCACAAAACACTTACATCACTACAGATACGAACGAGCCACATCTTATGTGCGACGCAATGACAGAGTGGACAAATGATGTAACCTGCCAACGATGAGAGCACATGTCCATGTGCCTCTTGCAATACGAATACGAACGGTCTCAGACTGTCTACCGGAGTGGACAGTTGTTGACCGAGATATTCACGAAAATCTGGAGATAGGCGACTTGTAAGTGCCCACAACAACTTTTATTCCAACGCTGACACCACGTAGTGATCGCAAAATTCTCCAGATGAAGGGCCTTGAGCCTGGCTTAAGACAGGTCAAGTGCGAAGCTGGTGGCATTGGCAGCAAGCCTGTACGCCACCGAGCCGACTTATTGAGACGATTGACGCGAGCAGACACTCGGCCCGCGAGCCTAGAAGAGTCTACTCCAAGATTGATTGGGACATCAGAGGCCCTGGACACAATCCTAAAGCTTCTGAGTCTCAACATGATACGGAAACGCTCTGCTGACTTCGATCAACGATTGATTCGAGGTAAACCTGTCGCCAGTCTGCAACATTCCAAAAGATGCTGATACTCTTAATAGTCACAAAAACGAACCTGAGCAGACAACTAGCTTGTCTACCTCACCCACGTTGCAGACCGAGAGATCCTTTGTTACAGACAGCCGTCACAGGCTAGTCTAGTTGCCTTCGAATGCGAGCCTCCGTCCCAAGGCTACATATCGTTCAGTTACGGCACAGTCGACACGGTAGACCAACTCTGCCTACCTTGAGGAGTCAAGCCTCACTGTCCTGCGTTCTCCTGCTACTTCAGCTTGAGCGTAGAAACAGTCGTTCAGTCACGTCAGACCCAAGCCGAGAGATCTAGGGGTATAGTCTTGGAACGGCAAGACTCTCACACCTACCTCTTATCTGCCAGCTTCCAGCTGGTAGCTACTGGAGCTGTGTGTCCGATGGACACGCAAACCCTCTCATTCTCGGATGCTGAAGACCGTCATAAGTCTGAAGCGCAGTCACGGCATTGCAGCTTCGAAGCCCTTTCACCGGTGCTTCGTTAGCGCAAGCATGATACGAATATTAGGTATGTTGCCTCCCTCCTACGCTCTAGCGAAACGTCCTTTTCTTTGCGGCACAGCAAGTGGTGGTGATCCTGGCCATGAGATGGCTTCTTCGCAATGAGCATACGGTGTCGGTGAGTATTGCCGCCCACATTGCCCTTTGAGCTGACGAGAAGCAGCAAGTCGAAGACGTTGCAGTCGAATGGTGCAACAGCACGGGTTGCAGGTCAACGAACGTGGCTTCAGGAGTATGTGTATTTGGCAGGTAAAAAATCCAACGTGTGGCTCATCGTCCTTGATTCAAACTTTTCCGGTGATGCTGCCAGAGGTCACCAACATCCCATTGACGGCTCAAGAGGTCGGGGTTTGACTCAGCAGAGACGATTGTGAGGGTGCCGTTGGCGAAGATAAGCGTGTATGAGACGACTTGGTCCCCGATCAAGCCATCTTGGCCTTGTAGGAAACCCTCCCTGGAGTCGAGGGTGAGCCCCATGCCGACGCAATCGCAGACACCAGTAACTGGAGATAGATCAATCGTATCTCAGCAGGGTAGGGGCCTAAAAGAGAATATAAAGGCACCTCCCTGTGCACTTGCCCGCCGCGCGCGAGTGCGCTGATAGAGCTCGCTGCTTTGATGCCACCGCCAATGGTGGCGGACTTGCAAATAGAACGGAGACGAACCACTAGAGTGAAGTAGGGCGTCCGCTTGCAAGAAGGCCTTGCAGAAGGCTGCCTGTGTGGCATTCCATAGTATATCACCTTGCAAAAAATCAGCGAACTGACCAGCAAGATCGAGATGCGACTCAAAAGACAAGACGCCCTTCAACCGATTCTCACGAAGATAGGGTGTTGAGCAGACCATCCTTTCTTGCTGGATGAATACCGCATCGCATCTATCAGGTCGGTATAGGGGGCTGCAGTTGAGGTCCTCGCAATTAGCCGTGGCTGCGAAATGGGCTAGAGGCTGCGTCTGTGTGAGTATCCGTGAGTCCAGTACCCTCCGATGCACCTGGGGCATGGATGGCGCGCCCCCCGCCAACCTTTGCAGACTCTGTTTATGCAGTGACAACATGAAATCTTTAGTTCAGGGAAGATGGTTGCGAAAGACGAGGTTGGATCCCGATGGTCTGGGACGAGCTGAGGTACTCGACGCGGACCAAACAACAGCAAAACTATGGCAACTAGGCAGCGACACCACCGACGAAGCATATATATTGTAATCTGTTTAATCAACTCCGACCTTTTGGTGACGATCTATAGTATTGACTTACTACGTCCTCAACTGTCGCCGCATAAACCGCCCGAAAAATGGCAGGCTATATCCCTGAACTGCCCGCGACCACGGGCTCGGTCCGGCAATACCGACTGCTTTTCCTCCGGCCAGTTGCACAGTCGACTAATGGACTACGGATTGTGCTTGTCGGACAGGCCAACATCACCGGATATCTGCCCATTTCTAAGCATGACCTGCCGCAGGGCTTCCGTCTTGATAGATACCGAGCCAAGGAGTACGATCGCTTCGTTGAGACCCATATGAGAGACTACTGCCTGTCTCCGCTGCGATCAAATAGACGGTGGTGAGTCTTCGAACGGCGATGGGTTTGCGCCTGGCTGACGACTCCTGTAGGAACTTCCTCGCCGAGATCGAGGCCAGCAATGTTGTGCACTACTACGGCGACAGCCTGACACCTGTGACGGCGGTGTTGCTTGATCGGCCGTGGCAGCAGAAGCAGGACAAGTCTGGGCCTGCGATGCTCAGAAGGCTCTGTGAAAAGGTCCAGAAGTGGAGAGACTCCAGGCAGCGGTCGAGCTGGAAAAAACTTGATGCTGAGGATGAAGGTAGACCACTCCTGGAGGAAGAAGCAGGGTGGTAGTCTGTCACTACTCTGTAAGCGGCTTCAGAAGCCACAAGAATCAGTCTGGGCGCCTACCTCGTGACGAAGCAGTGGGACATAATGTCCATCCTTGACTCAATACGTACTCGAAGGAAGGCCGAGTTGAAGCCATGGTGCGAGTAACAATGCTTTCTGCGCCTTGAGAATTGCCGTATCCTTCTTGAATTGTCCGTTTAGCCTGCATATTAGTCGTTGTGCTCTTCAGATTGACGCGCACGCAGATCACTCTCCGTGACGCCATTCGAGCCAGGAAGCACAAAGCTGCACGCCAGTGCGTCCTGTACTCGACTTTTCGTGGCCATCGAGACGCGCCTGAAACATGGAGTTAAGGATACCCGTCATCGACTCGCAGTTGGTCGAGTGAGGGTGGTAGGAACCAGGCCCAATTTGCCTGTAACGACTATCGCATGAGCGGAGTGGGAGTAGGTTGAGGTGCACAGTTGATATTAGTCTTCATTAGTCGTGGTACCTCACAATGCAACGTCCTCCATCTCGCCGCCTTTGTCCTTCTTATTGTCTGGATCTTTTGCCTCCGAAGCGCTCGCTGATGCTGCTTCCTCGTCCGCATCCGAATCCTCGTCAACTTCTTGGGCAGAAGCAGCCGTTGTCCTCTCCTCAGGTACACGCGGCTTCTCCGGATCGTCGCCTTCGTCCTCACTTTCATCATGTGTATCTTCAGCGATCGTTTCTGGGCGGTTTCGCTCATCCTTTGGCGGCGGCGTCGGAGGCTCGTTGACCTCTGGACCTGGTTCTCCACTGACTGTGCTCTCCCGATCTGGCGACTTCGGCCCCTGGGCGCGCAGAGGTAGCTCTTGCTGGCTTGCTGCCATAGCTTGTTGGCTGGCTGGAGAAGACATGGCCGGAGGGCCAGATAAGGATGGGTTAGAGCCGATGTTGCGGTGTTTGGGGTTTGCGTCCAGGTAATAACCCTTCACAGGGACTATGTGCCCTTCTCGTTCGCACCCTTCGATCCATTCCGGCCGTACCACCGGGATATTCATCTCATTTGCTCTTTCCCAATCTTTGCCACGACCTTCAGTGCAAACAAAGTGCGTCGTGTCTATCCGCGGCGTATCGATAATCTTAGCGCCTATTCTCTCGACTGCCGTTTCGAGAGCCTCGCGTAGCTGCGGCGGCAGGACACCAGGTGTGACACGAATGCCAGTCAAGTTCTTCATGTCGTGTGTCTTGACGTTGAGGACATTGCTGGTGTATGTACCTCCACTTGTGCGCAGCACCAAGTAAAAGGAGTATTCCGCATCCATCTGAAGGCCACTGATCTTTGTGCTCAGCATATCCATCGGTCTTGGGATATTGCCTGCTTTCTGTCCATTTCTGTACAAAGCCAACGATCGCAGGGTTGTAGTCGCAAGCTGTATGGGATCCCATTCGAGAACGATAGTACTTTGGGTAGCATTGCGTAGTCTGAGCTCCGGCGTCGCAGGTGTCTGAAGGCCATATGTGTTGAGGATCTGTGACTGGAGGGATTCAAAGGCAGCTTGCGACTTCTGTTCTGCGTCAAAGTTCTGGGACACTGTAATGTCGACAATAGAGCCGGAAGTGATTGAGGGTGGGAGTAAGATGGAAGGGAACTCTATCTGTGGGGTGGTTAGACAAGTTACGGCCAGAATCAAGGAGGAGTACCAGGCGTTTGTCCTCAGTCAGAAGGACTGCGACGCCAGCGTCAACTTTGCCGACCGTCAAAGAGACCAGCATGTTTGATGACAGAGACGTGCACTGGAGGTTGTCGAGGGTGGTGTAGCGAACGGTGTGGTCAACTGCGCGATCTGGCTAGACGAGAGTTGCGCCCGGAGTCGAGGTCGAGTCGGCCTCGCGACAGGAGCGCGGCTTGGCACGCATGACATCTGGGTCATCAGGTCTATACTAACTCAGAGAGCAATTGATTTTATTCGTACATGGGTATTAGGAAGAACACAACATACAGCCCTCAGATAGCAGCCTGACACGGACTCACAATCGCTTTGGCGAGAGCCCGTCCTAGCCAGTCTTCCGCTGTTCTGCCTCAACGGCCGCCACGATCTTGGAGCACTGGCCTAGCACGACCTCTTCAGACTCATCCCATCCAGCACCCTTTATGACGATGAGCTCCAGGGTTCCCGCAAGACCCTTTTCCCATGTGTTCTGTTTCCGGCCTTCCCTCGTATATCCATGATCCCACAGAGCCTGGCAGAACAACTTATACCATTTGCTTTGCAGCGCGTTTCGTTGCACCGTCTTCTTGAGAACGGACGCGGATGGGCGTGTTGTTACGTGCCAGCGAAGAGTATCTTTGGGGACAACTTCGAGCCAGGAGTCCATCTTTGCACGACCAGGATAGTAAGGATTGTCCCTAAGCAAATTTTGGTCGTAAAGATAATGAACAATTCCCTTCTCGTACCGCACCTGGACATTCAGTCCACCCGAGTGGCGTAAGTAGCGCGCATTGAATCGAGCATTCATTGCGGTAGAAGTGACGCCTAGCAGTCCTCCGAGACAGTAGTCAGCTCGTGTGTCCGGTGTCCAACATTATCGGAGGAGGCTACTTCGAAAGAGCGACGAGTGCCTGGATTGGCCAGCGGCTAGTTGCAATCTCGGTCGTACGGCATTGTGATGAGTCTTTGGATGGGATGAAGTTTCGAATTCAGATGGTTGCGAGAGCCATACGACGGGGTACCAGAAAAGGGTCTTGGCATATCCCAGCTTGGTATAGCGCCCGCGTCTGCTCGCCAAGATTTTGGATCGAGCGCACTTGGAATATTTCGAGGTAGTCGGCAATTCGTCCTGCGCAGCCTCCCACTTTAACGACCTCACCTGTTCTCTCCCCGCTTACAATCTTCGATTCGACTGCCTATCATCCACAGATAGAAGGTCGTAATCATGGCTGTTGGCAAGTACGTGCGATCCTGCCACAATGCGACCAAGCCTGTGCTCACACGAATGTAGGAACAAGAGATTGTCTAAGGGCAAGAAGGGTCTCAAGAAGAGAACCCAGGATCCCTTCACCCGCAAGGACTGGTACTCAGTCAAGGCACCTTCCACCTTCCAAGTCCGAGAGTATGTGGCCACCCACGAAAGCCTGAAAGGGATCAAGAAATCTAACAAATCATCAGTGTCGGCAAGACTCTGGTCAACCGCACGACCGGTCTGAAGAACGCCAACGATGCTCTCAAGGGCCGTATCTTCGAGGTCTCCCTCGCCGATCTCCAGAACGATGAGGACCACGCTTTCCGCAAGGTCAAGCTGCGCGTCGACGAAGTTCAGGGCAAGAACTGCCTCACCAACTTCCACGGTCTCGACTTCACCTCCGACAAACTCCGATCCCTCGTCCGCAAGTGGCAGACCTTGATCGAGGCCAACGTTACCGTTAAGACTACCGATGACTATCTACTACGCCTCTTTGCCATCGCCTTCACTAAGCGCCGGCCCAATCAGATCAAGAAGACTACCTACGCTGCCAGCTCCCAGATCCGCGCCATCCGCAAGAAGATGACCGAGATCATCCAGCGGGAAGCCACCAGCCAGACCCTCGCCGGCCTGACTGGTAAGCTCATCCCTGAGGCCATTGGCCGTGAGATCGAGAAGGCTACACAGGGTATCTACCCGCTGCAGAACGTCCACATCCGGAAAGTCAAGCTACTCAAGGCACCCAAGTTCGACCTGGGAGCGCTGTTGGGTCTGCACGGTGAGAGTGCTCAGGATGACAGTGGTGCGAAGGTCGACCGGGAGTTCAAGGAGCCTGCTCCTCTGGAAAGCGTGTAAAATCGTGATGGACGAGCGTGGTGGCAGTTGTTGTTGTTGATGATGCATGGCCGGAAGCATAGGTCATGCTAGGGGACGATCGTACTCGCCTCGAAGATGTTGCGCAAATGCAGCACGAGCAGCACGAGCCTCGAGATGAAGCATTGACGAGGCAATGAAACTCATTCAGGGCGTTGTCAGCTTTTGATATCCCAAAGGATCTGCTCCGCTTCTAAAGCCATGGCAATGGGATGCTTACTTGATAGCCGGTAGCATCAAAAAATCGAGATCTTCAGAAATTCAATCGTCTTGTTCTCTGATTTTACAAACACCTGCGTGCTAGTACTACAATGATGCTAGGCAGTCCTTCCTAAACTGATTCCAATAGTACATCACCGTCTAGCATCTGGGCCACTCGACTGATCTCCTACCCCATCAGGCGAAAGGTTTGCGCCGTTGCCCCTTCCGCAACAAGCAGCACGGCTGCAGCCCACACCACGAGTACTGACAATCTTCAACTCTATTTGCTGGACGTCCCCGTTTCTAGCACCTTTCCATCATCTTTCTGGCAAGGGCCAAGAATGTCGCACTACGACACCACTCGAGAGTGAATAGACGTGAGGGCCGATCCGAATAGCGAGCAAAGGGCATACTCAGGACGAGCAACCCTCGCGAACGACCCAGGTGTGATACCTTCAGAGGTGTTCTCGGACCTGTCAATACCTCCGAATGCTTTTACTCCCGATCGACCACTCTCTTAATCCACTCCACCGCCCCGGCCCTGAATTCCTCAAACTTCTCACTCATCACCCAGTGGCCGGCCTCAATATCCAGCAGCTCAAAGCGGGGGAAGAAGGACCCAATAACCGGCAAACTCTCATCACTCACATAGTGGCTCTTCGTGCCCCTCACTATCAGGGTGGGACCCTCATACCTCGCTTCCCCTGTCTGCCGAAACGGAAAGTCCGCCATGTCCGGCAGGCTCTTTGCCAGCGTCTGCAGCGGGATGCGCCACCGCAGCGCCGTCTGCGGCTTGGTCTGCCCGTTGCCCTCGGCTGTCGCCACAGGGCCTTTGACCAGGTTCGTGAGCAGGAACTGGCGGATCGAGACTTCCTTCTCGTACTCGGCGAGGATGGCGTCGGCTTCCGACTGTTTTGTGATCGGCGGGCGGGCGTCTTCGATCTTCTTCATGGCCGTGACGTAGGCGCCGAAGTCGGACTTGAGGGCCGCGTCGATGGGTGCGTTGTCCACGGGAATGAGGGCTGAGTAGGCGGTTGGGTGGCGGAGGGCCATTGTCATGGCGACTTTTGCGCCCATACTGTGCCCGATGAGGATAGGCGTGGGGATCGAGTGCGTGCTGATGAACGCCTCGACGTCCTCAGCCATGGAGGTGTAGGTATGGGTCGCAGCATGGGGGCTATCACCATGGTTGCGCAGGTCGAGTGTGTAGACTGGGCGAGAAAGGTCTCGAGCTAAGACCCTGCTTGGGGTCAGAAGTTGCTAGAGTAAAGGGCTAGAGCTCAGCATACTTACTCATCGTGCGATTATTCCGCTGGGAGCCGAAGAGACCGTGCATAAGAAGGATGGGCGAGTGTGGCTCGGTCGTGGGGTGGTGAGGGTCATGGCGGGTGTATGCCAGCTCAACCTTGCTGAGACGGGAGTACGAAGTCGAGAAGAGACGACCAGAAGGACAGCGCAGGGCCGCACGGGTTGGTATTCGAGGTGGCATGACTGGCAGGGCGGTGCTTAAGCGATAGCTACAGTCAGCATGAAGCAGTGCATTTGGGACCGTCTAGAAAGCTTTCTCGAAGTTCGGCACGTCATATGCAGCTCTCAGCCTTGCGTAGCCTCGTCGAGCACGACGAGCAATGGCGATGTTCTTCTTCATCACTTATAATTTAAACATTTTGAGTCTCCTCGTACTCGTCCGCTCGTTCTATTCGGGAGATGAGCCGCTGTATCCAGCGGGTGCTACTTCGGTCATCACGATGGCAGCTTCCGACTAGACTCGAGATCACTTCTAAGAGGTGCCATCTTGCACCACCAGCCAAGACATATAGCACCTCCTCAGGCATCCCTTCCACCACCTACCCCAGCGTCTTTTCCGGCATCCAACCGACTGGCGTACCTCACCTGGGCAACTATCTCGGTGCCCTCCGTCAATGGGTCGACCTGCAATCCCAGGCCCTAACCAACCCAACTCATGACCCCTCTTCCCTCATCTTCAGCATCGTCGACCTCCACGCCCTGACCGGTCACCGGTCTTCCGCCCTCCTCGCACAACACCGCAAGGAATCCTTCGTCTCCCTGCTCGCCATCGGCCTCACCCCTCAACACAGCACCCTCTTCCTACAATCCGATGTCCCACACCACGCCTCTCTGCACTGGATCCTCAGCACCGTCGCCTCAACCGGCTACCTCAACCGCATGACGCAGTGGAAATCCAAACTCTCACTCCCCGACACCGCGACCCTGACCGACAGCACCGCCATCGAGAAGCTGCGCCTGGGCCTCTTCTCCTACCCGGTCCTGCAGGCGGCCGACATCCTCCTCTACCGCCCGGCCGTGGTGCCCGTCGGCGAAGATCAGGCGCAGCACATCGAATTTGCACGCACACTCGCGCGCAGCTTCAACTCCGCGTACTGTGAGGATGGCGAGCCGCTGTTCACGCCACCCGAAGTGCAAATCAGCGAGGCGCGCCGCATCATGAGCCTGAGGCGCCCCGCGCAGAAGATGAGCAAGAGTGATGTGGATCCGAAGTCGAGGATCCTCATCACGGACAGCGCGGAGGAGATCCACGCCAAGGTAAAGGGCGCGGTGACGGATAGCGAGGAGGGCATCAGCTATGAGCCTGCACGGAGGCCCGGCGTGGCGAATCTGCTGGATATATTGCGGTTCGTGAAGCGGGATGAGCGGGCGCCAGAGATGTTGGCGGGCGAGGTGCAGTGTTTGTCGAAGAAGGATTTCAAGGTGTTGGTGGCGGATGCGGTGGTAGAGGAGTTGGCGCCCGTGCGGGACCGGTATCTACAACTAATGGCTGAGGGGAACGCGGAGGTGAAGGAGGCATATGAAGGGGGCTTGGAGCGAGCCACGAGGAAGGCGGAGGAGACAATGAAATTGGTCAAGGAGAGGCTGGGCCTGGTTGAATGGAGATGAGCACGAAGAGCTGTAAGCGTGTCATAAAAGTCCATAGACTGTAAAATAGTAAAAGACTGTACAAACAGTAGGGAAGGTAGTCAAAGAAGATCTACATAACGGCCTTGAGCTAATAATCACTTCGACACTTTGGGCTCGTTTAAGCGGCAGAAGGAAGAATAGTTCAACTAGCGCTCGAAGAGAAGGCCTTGCAGAATAATAGGGCGAAAGTGTTCGACTTGGTCTACCAAAAAAGCCTAACCAGTACGTGGTCTTGCAAGTTCCCTTTTCACCAACCACGGATGCGTCGGCCGCATCCTCGCTAAGCGGGAGAGAAGCCCTGTGCATGCTCCTCGCTGCCCACTGATGCGTCGTCATCGTTAGAACCGGTGGTTTGAAGCCTTTGTCGGGGCTCGAGAATGGTCATGTCATTGTTCGTAGGTCGTGTCCAGCCCATGCCGTCGTTGTGTAATGTGGACACGATTCGTGTCCGCATCGTTGCGTCATGGTCTGTGAGACTCCCTGCAGTGCAAATTTGTTTGTTGGTTGGGTCATGATTCGGTAGAGGTCGTCCAGAAAGTTTGACCAAGATGCTCCCACAACGAACGTTCAGATGTCGTCAATGTCGACCTCCTTGTCGGAATCACTGTCACGATCTTCGTCGAACTCAACGTTGTCGACATTGCCCTCCTCGTGGCCGTATGTATCTGTCTCGTTGATCTTCGCACTTTCGGGTAGTTCGCCGTAGGCTTTTAGGGAGCGAGCTTCATCGGCGTTGTACTTGAGGATAACATCGCCCTTGGCGTCTTGATAATCGCGAAGTGAGAGTAAGATGATGTCTCCTTGGTTGATCCAGACCTTCTTGCGCAATTTACCGCGGATGTGAGCAAGCCGTTTCTCGCCATCAAAGCACGAGGCTTCTAGGCGGCCGTTGCCGAGCATCTTGATGACTTGGGCATATTCTTGACCCTCTTCTTTGAAGGTGAGTTCGCGCTTCTCGTTGTCGTTCTCGTTCTTGCCACGACGCCTATTCTTGCCTCCCTTTCCCTTGTTCCTGTTGAAAGGTTAGTGAACTTGCACCGACCGGTCGCCGGGAAGGCGGGGCGAAAACGGGCGACGTTCATGATGAAACAACAAAATGCAAGTCAAATCCATCGCGACTGTTCCAGGGAACTTACTTGGGCATATTGAGAGTCTTCTGAGGGTCTGTAGTGGTGGTGGATGAAGTGTTGTGTTGTGGATGTCTTTGTTGGTGGCGTTAGTGGGGGATAATTTGGTGCGTTGGAAGAGTCAGAAGACTTGAACTAAGGCAGGCGCAGTCTTTTTATCTCCGGTGACCCCGCCACTGCCTCCCATCACGTGACAGCGACTTGAGTACCTTCTTCCCAACGGGTTCCTTTGTTGTCGTGACTCACCATGCTACCAACGGAGCGCTGCGTCAAAATTTCGCTGGCTATCATTGTGATCCGGATGAGTCAGCTCTCTACCTGCTCCACGAACAAACTGACTGTCCAAAATGTTCCACCTTCGCCCTCCGTTGATTGCAGCACGTTGGTCATTGGTCTGACCTGAAATGCGACGCTGGCTGTCAATGAAGTTGTCAGAATCCGCTGGCCGAGAGCTGGGCTCTCCGCGTGACCATGAAGGCAGACACGACTTTCCAGAGCTGATCTGTTGCCAAAGCAATCACCTAGGATTGGTTCGGATTCCGCGTGGACCACCCATGTCTTTCCAAGGTAAACTTATCTCATATTGCCAAATGCCAAATCCAGGGCCTTCATGGTGTCCGGGGTCCAGCCTCGTTGCGAGCTCGAGAAAGTATCGCTTGAACGGTGGACCAGGAGTCTCCAACGACCGCTGCCAGCGGCTTCGCTCTATCCCTGACAAGGCAAGTGACAAGGCAACAAACTAGTCCCAAGGTGACGATGATAGTGCCCCAAATTGGTCAGACTCTGAATGCACACTACTCACTGCATCTGTCCTTGAAGCGAAGCCTCGACACGGGGAACACATTTTGTGGGAGAGAGAGTGTGTATCAAGCCTGGTGGGATCATCACACTCGTCGTCAGAAAATGTTACCTTACCGTTTCGAGTAGCAAGTTAGGACGGACGCGGAATTGCTCGAAGATTGTCTCGAACCGCGAAAAATATTCATATTATGGCATGCAATGGATTAGATCAAACATGCCAGCATGCTTGCAGCCTGTCATACGCCTAGCTTTTCCTTGCACAAATGACTCCCAAACAACACCCAACAAGTGTTCGTATCGTGTAGCCATTACTGAGACTTTCCAGCGGTCAAAGGTTTCTGAAAAGCATTCATGGACTGGTAGCAACACACTCATACGTCAGGTCAGCTTTATTCTCCACCATCGCCTTGCTGACTTTGGATCAGAGCGTATGCCCAAGTAAGTAGGGTATACGAGATGCTCGAAGAGCCAGGAGTAACAATCCTGGGCATCAGCGGTCTGGGCGGTGATGTGCCTCGAGTCAGCGGCTCCTTGTTACCCGCCCCCCAGCGTGTCTTGTGTCTCTTGCGTTCGAAGATCATGCACTGGAGGGATCTGATCTGGGGTGGATGGTGTATATTGGGTCCTCGCCGTTGGACGGATCAGCCTTGAGTTGAAGGTCCAAGTGCTACAAGCGTTATGTATGATTGATCCTTACGAGTCCGAACGTGCACTGGGATCCGTCTGTGTTCGCCTCTACACCGCAAGGGATTGGCGATGCACCCCTGCAGTAGCATACGCCCGAATTGTATTGAGCTGTGCAAAGCTAGAGTAAGCTCGAAATAGACGGCCTGGTTGACCAAAAAGGCATTGACTGCGGGAGGTACAACGATATCGAAAGGGGACTGCAGGAGTTACTCTGAACTCCATCCAAGTCCCTCAAGCAGTACGTAGGAAGGCTATACATAGCAGACGCCGGAATGATTAATCCCAAAGATCCGAACTGCATTCAGATCTTCGCATCCAAACCGCGTGACAGAATCGATTGCATCTCGCGTTGAAGATCTTGCACAATTTGGCCCGCAGGTTTGACGTCCCTGATCAGGCCCACCGAGGCGCCAGCGTACGTAGCCAACCGTCCCTCGGGGCCCCAGCCATCGTCTCCTTTCGCAGTGGCCTCGTCATGGAGCACTTGCAGGCTCTCGAAACTCGCACCGGCTCTGTGATCGATGAACGATCGATTGATGATTGTACGGGGTGCGTACTCTTTCGGCCATCCGAAGGTGCCTCGCAGATGGTTATACAACAGCGTCCGCGTGGTGCTGGGCCCGCCGTCGCTGGCTCGCACAACCTCCTGCTGATAGCCTTTGCTGATGCGTGCTTCGCTGGCTGCAAGGAAACGTGAGCCTAAGGCGACACCCTTTGCACCCAAGCAATGTGCTGCAGCAGCCCCTCGACCGTCGGCGATCCCACCGGCGGCGATGATGGGTATGTTGCTGCCACGCTGGCTGAGGAGGTCTGCGATCTCGGGCACCAAGGTGATGATGCCTGTTCCGTCCTCGGCTCGGCCATGCCCACCAGCCTCGGCGCCCTGGGCGACAATAACATCTGGAGGCCGCGAGAGCTCCAAGAGGCGTTCTACCTCGGCGACTGTGCCAATCTGGACCCAGACCTGCGCATCAGAGTAAGCTTCGCGGACGCTTCGAGACCACAAGTCGATGTCCTTGCGTTCGTCCCGCGGCGCAAAAAGCCAGACCGCACACGGACGGTACTGCTCAATGAGTCGCGTCGCCGTCTCGAGGTGATCCGACCAGAGCTGAAAGCCGACACCGACCGGCAGCACCGACGACGTTGCACCCGAGGCTTTGGTCGAGCTGACCGAGTCAAGACTCTGATACTTGGTGCGTATCAGCTCGCGCGCTCTTTCCAGGTCAGGTTGCATATGCTCCGTCTTCGCCCCCGGACCGATGAAGCCGAGGCCGCCAGCGGCGGAGACGGCGACGGCCAGTTCAGGGCTTGCGAAGACGCGCATCGGCGCACCAACGACCAGTGGTTTCGTGATCCACGGTAGACGTGAGAGGAAGGCCATAATAGCTGCTGCACGATTCCCAGCTGTGGATGTGAGAGAACATGTTTTGGACAATGTGTACAACAGCACTGGGAACAGTCGTCAACAAGAAATACCTATACGCTGTGACGATGCGGGAAGAACCCCGCAGGATCCCGAGGAGAAGACTGAGGTCGTTGTCATAAGCTTTTGGCCTACATTAATCTTCGGGTCAGCAGCAACATCCCGCGCTGGGGGATATGTAATCATTTTGTTCGGTACCGAAACTACGGGTGTGTCGTTTTGCGTGATGAGAGGCCTGATAGAGCCCAATTGACGAGCCCGCGGAGTTGTTATGGTACCGCGAGGCCTGAAATCGCGCATTCTCGGTCCTCAGACCTTTCACCGATACAAGCTTAGCAGACTCTTACTTGGGGATCGTGTTGCTAATATGCTAGCTCAACGAGTTTCCACGGCATGACTCCCTCGGGCTACTTCCGAAGAGATGCAGCGGATTGCCTGAATGATGGAAGGAGTCGAGGAAAGGGCGGATTGAGAGATTCACTCCTCTGTTTAGCTATAGACCGGAGACTGAAGTCGAGTAACTCGATTGAACAACCACCCTGGGAGTAGACAACTTAAAGTCTCTCGTCGTAGGTCCATGGCAAGTTGAACTTGCTCAGGTTCCCTGGAGATTTCAACTTTTCTAATCTGCACATCCGCACGCTTATTTTTCTGGTCATCACATCTTGTCTATCGTGATCGTCTCTTGATCTCGTCGTCACATATGGCAGAGGACCTGCATCTCAAAGTGCGTCTCGCAACTAGCCCTCCACGTTGGAAGAATTGCCTGTTCAACCCCGCTCACGACTTAATATCGGCATCCTTCAGCTTGTCCGCCACCGCATCCGCACTCGGCATATCTCTCTTCGCCCCACCTTCGGGAGCCTCGGGCTTCTTGTTCTCCTTCTTTGGCTCGCCCTTGCCGCCCTTGGTCTTGCTGCTCACCGTATCCTTCGGCAGTTCCTTCGTGTAAGGAATCACGTCCGGCGTGCCCTTGGGCATGTACGACTTGAGCGCCTCCGGCACTCTGAAGCCCTCGTCGGTCTGATAGTTTTCGAGCAAGCAGCACAGTGTTCGCGACGTAGCGCACAAGGTTCCATTGAGCGCGTGCGCATAGGTCTTGCGGCTGTCGATGGCACCCTTCTTCTGGCCATAGCGGACCTCGAGCTCGCGAGTCTGATAGTCAGTACAGTTGGAGCAGGAGACAAGCTCTTTATACTCGCCCTGATGAGGGAACCACGCTTCGAGGTCGTATTTCTTCGCGGCCGCGTTGTTGAGGGCTCCCGAGACGATGACCACCACCCGGTAGGCAAGGCCGAGTGACTGGTAGAACGCTTCAGCAGTCTCCAGCATGTGTTCTAGAGCAGCCCAAGAGTCGGAAGGTTTGGTGAAGAGGAATTGCTCGATCTGTGCGCAGAGTTAGTGGTTGCGGAGGGCCAAGATGAGAATGCTTACCTTCTCAAACTGATGCACACGGTACAGACCCCAAGCATCGCGGCCGTGGGCACCAGCCTCTTTCCGGAAGCACGTTGAGTAACCGGCGAACTTCAGTGGCTTCTCCAGGTCCTTCTCCGTCATCCACTCATCGGCAAACATGGCGGAGAGTGGTTGTTCCGAGGTAGCGATCAGGTACTTGTCCTCTGCATCCTTGCCTTCGACAACCTTATAGAGCTCCTCGTCAAACTGTTCGAGCTGCGCAGTCTTACCCATGTAGTCAGCCTTCATGAAGAAGGGTGGCTGGATGGGCTCGTACTCGCGTTCGGTCAGGAAGTGTAGGCCGTAGTTGATGATGGCTTGGTTGAGAAGAACACCCCATTTGCGTAGGAAGTACCCGCGGTGGCCGACGAGCTTGGTGCCGCGATCAGGGTCATACACTTCGGCACGGGTCATGACCTCGTGGTGGGAAAGACAGTCCTTCTTCTCCACAGTCATGCCTTCTGGAGCCCATTTCTTAACCACTTCGTTGAAGTCTTCGTTGTCGTTGACGGGGACGGAATCATGGACGTAGTTGCCAATAGTTTTGCACCGACGGTCGCGCAGTTTTTCCTTCTCGGTCGCCTCGTCTTCAATTGTCTTCTTCTCCTTCTCAAGATCGACCTTCTTTTGGAGTAGCTCGGTAGCATCTTGCTTGTTCTGAGAGGAATGAGCGGCATGTCAGGAAAAATCGTGGACCACAGACCTTCTTCAGCTGACCAATTTCTTTCTGGATCTTGTTGATCTCGGCTCCGACTTGGGTGACCTTGTATCTTGCTGCACGTGAGTCAGTAGGTGTGAGGCGATGGCTGTGCGCGCGGGGCACGAACTCTTGTGAGCATCTTGCCATAGGTTGGTGACCTCTTCGACGATGTCCGCGCTAGCATATCTTCGGCGCTGGGATCTATTTGCGTCAGGAATTCTGCTCCGCTCGTGGGCCGGTCAAGACGTACTCTATAACTTTCTTGGGGTCACCGCCGCTGCATTGGAGTCAACAAATGCGGGACGATATTTTGCGGGATGCGCCTACCGCTCGGCAATGAAGTCTAGAACGTCTAACATGATGAGTAGGCGCTGTCGGAAGAGAGGTTGCAGTGATCAAGGAGCTATGAGAGAAGTGCAAATGTTCAGAGCAGAGTCACGATGTTGCGCAAAGTGCAGTCATAATTTCCCCATACATGCAAAGTTGCCTTTTGCCTGGCTAGCGCAGCCTCGTTAGGCAAGGAGAGGGGCACGCCTGGAAAACAGGGGCACTGCTGAACGCGAGGCGCCTATGAAGCTTATCGATAGCTGTTGCGGCGCTGCGGCGTTCCTGATCAGCGCCCGAAAGCAGCAAGTGAGGGGCATCATGCAGCTGGCATTATCGCGGGGATGTTCTCCCCAAAAATTATTGCCCATAGATCCCAGGATACAAGGGCAGCTGTGCGCGCGAATTACGGGACAGTCAAGAGGACCAAGTGATGGCTCGTAACGTCATTGCATCTACTGCATATACTGCAGCAGTTCAGAGTCGCTTGACTTGTGCTGTCCTCACGGGAGATGTACAGTGTTCTTGAGATGGCGTTGCATCTCCTCTCGTCCGTGGACTCCCTCTATGGCCCAGTAGCTCTAGCCCCAGCAAAATACCAACTTCAGTAATCGATCTTGACCTGAACGCCCCCGAATCTTCTTGAAGGCCGCGCCCGTTGGCGGTGGGAATCATTATGTTACATGACGGCGCACCAGTGCTACATGACGCAGCATTTGCCTCCGCCTGCGGGCTTGTCGGGTTCCTGCGATTTTTCGATTTCGGCAATCATCATCTCGAAGGCTTTGCCAACGTTGGTGTTATTCCGGGCACTCGTCTCGACCCAGCCGCAGTTGAGCTCGCGGGCTAGGTTCTGTCCTTGCTCGGGGCTGATCTTGCGCTTGGCCTCTGGGACATCACTCTTGTTGCCGACGATGACGATGGGGACGGACTCTGCACCCTAAATAGCGATGTCAGTATCTGACTCCCGGTGGCGGAGATGAAGCATATGTTACCAGGTGATTGAGGATCTTATCTCGAATGATGGTGATCATCTCGAAGCTCTGAGGTGAGGCAACGCTGTAGACGAGCAAGTAGCCATGCAGGCCAATAAACTAGCGTGGAGGATCCGTCAGTGTGGGATGGTCTCAGATAGGGCATATACATAGTCAGTCGTAGCCAATGAACTTACATGCTTGGAGTTGAGCAGGCTGTATTCATCCTGCGCCTTGTTTCAGTAGGTTGTTGCCTTACAAGGGCAGTCATAGACTCACTTGGCCGGCGGTGTCGACGATTTCGGTCTGGAAGGTCTGGTTTCTATGCACGATTTCGTGGCTGAAGGTGTTTTCGATGGTGGGATAATAGCTTTCGACAAAGTGGCCTTCGCAGTATTGCACTGTCAATGAAGATTTGCCTGTGTCACAGCTGTTAGCCGTCTGCGCAAGCGCACACAAGCCGGGCACCGTGGGGCACGGGTCGGCGTACCAACTGAGCGGGAGCCGAGGATGGCAATCTTCCGCTGCTTGATGGATGGAGCCATGTTGCGTGCCGTCAACGTCAGCGACTGTAGCCGCCTCCACACTCTGGTGCAACGTGAGGGTACGGCGAGAGTAGGGAAAGATGTGGTATGATGAAAAAAGAATACAAAAATCGGCCAAGTATCGCGTCCCTAATTACCAATGCGCGCAAGCGGGTGACGCTGCGAGTGAATAGAGTCTGCCAGCGCTGAAAAGGAATCTTGTTTGGTAATAGGAACTCGACACCCGCAGCAACGTCAATGCTCCTGCCGGCCGGTCGCGTTGTGGTTCTGCCTATAATGATCGTTTCTTTTCACATGCTGCGATCCGAAAGTCGGATGCATTGTGAAGCACGTATGAGGCCGTCCATCAGTCCCTGATTACCGTGGCTCACCGCATTTTATTTTCTTCATTTTCGGAGATCCGCCGGCAGCGGCATGGAAACTACAAGGAGCCGGGGACGAGCTTCTACGCGTCACGGCTCCAGTCAGCAGTGAAGAATCAATAGTCTAGACGGCGAATATCGCCGGATGAAACCCATACGCGCCATTCGGGCCGTCGGCTAGCCTCCGTTAGAATCTCCCGGGGGTGCTATTTGTCTAGGCTGCATGCCTCCAACATACCGGTATCCGAGATGTGGCATCAGGTATAGAGGTGGACCGGGTCGTGTGAGCCTCGAGAATTCATCGAGTCTGGAATATGCTCTGACTATGTCTCGCTAACCTGGGTATCTCGGAAATCAAAATCGTTATGCAAAGCTCATGAACCCCTCGCATATGCATGCCAGTGTATGCCTACGTCTTTCAACACGTTGACACCTCCACCAACGCGGTATCTCATGACCGCCTGCTCTTCACCGACTCGATCGTTAGGTTGAAGCGCTCCACAAAACGTTCAACGAATGCTGCATCCGGATTGATGCTCCTCATCCGTTCCAAAAATGTCGCCGCCCGCTCCATCACGTCCTCGAAGCTCCTTCCAATAGTAGCCGAGATGTGCTGCCGGATATTGGCGTTCAGGCTGAGCGTACATAGAAGCAGGGATATGTACCCAAAAGGTATCAAAATCGCCGTTTTCGATTCGTCGATCGCCTAGCACAGTTAGCAACAAAATCCAGACCAAGGCCGGAGTCTCGCTCACCTCATCCGTCTCGTCAACGTAAAGTTTGAAGAAGGTGACGAGCCGATCCACGCGGCTATCTTCGCCAGGCTGGCTTTCCATCATCTGGACCCTGACTTGCTCACTACTGTCAACAAAGTCAAGCAGACAACCGAGGGCGAGAATGACCGAGGAGAGCTTGTCCGAATCAGCGTCGTCCTCATCTTTGAATGATCCTGCCACTGCTCGATCCGCCAATCGGGGAAAGTGTTCCTCTACTATTGCAAAAACACTTCCGCTGAGACCAACCGATGCCAGTAGCCCAGTAATAGAGTCTTTCTGGTTCCCAAGCTCGATGACCAACTTCAAGCACGAATGTTGTATGGCAGCATTGCCACTTCGAGCCCACGACAGAAGTTCGCCTAGCTGCCGACCAAATTCGGCCACTCGAGCTCGAGATAACTTCTTGCCAATGCTTCCATTCGAAGCCTCTGACAGCTCGAGCCATGCAAGGAGTAGCCGAATACTCTCAGTATGTTCCGTTTCCAACCCGTTGGGGGCGTTTCCCATTCTGGCTTGATGTGAGGCAATGGTCTTCATTGCTGCTTCTAACCATGGTGCTGGTGTTGGAGGTACCGAATCTCCCGAAGCGATGAGTTTGCGGAGCATAACCTCGACTGCACGTATCCCGATTCGAGAGATGATGATGTGGCTCGTCTGTCGACCCGCACTTGCTGACTGATCTAGGACATGATGCTCAAACTCAGCCAAGTCACCGATTAACGCTCTGGAGAGATTCTCGCCTCTGTCCTTGGCAATCTTGGACAATGGGCGACCTTCCTGTAAGAGATTTGCCGGGAGCTGCAGAATGCCTTGATAGAGTTGATTTAGGAGCTGTCCAGTCGCTGCTTCGGAATGAGCCAGCGTCCAGAATGCCAGCAACATGATGCTGGCACTAATGATATCTACCTCGGCACGGATGCAGTCAGTAATCCTTGCTACCTTTCCTTGATCGAGGAGATGCCTCTTGAATGCTTGCTCTTTCAGCTTGCGAACCAACTGCATCAATCCCGTAATGCGAACGGCTTTCGTTGGCGATGCAATGTCTTCCAGTAAGCTGTCCAGATCTCGATCGTAGCGGTTCACAGCCCCTGCCTGCCTCAATTCGTGAATACTCTTGAGCTGGACACTGTCGTCATCGTCACTCATGTCAAAGTCCAATTGTGACTGCTGCGAGTTGGTCAATGCATCTATCTGTGACACTAGCTCGTCCACTGACTGTTGGCTGGCCTGCTGACTGTCCAGCTCCCCAGCCATGTCTCGTAGATGGGATCTTTGCTTGCCGTATTTTCGTGGCTTCACGGTATCGCTTGGATGCTGATTAGCCTCATGTTCCTTTATCGTCGGAGGCGTCACTGCTATCTCGTGCATGCCTCTGCTATGAGACCTGTTCGAAGTGGGGTCGTTCGCAGCAGCAGAGTCGTCCGGCGAGCCTCTCATCTGAGTGCCATCATCGTCACTTTGGTGTGACTTTGCGCCCTCGAGCCGATCGATGAGACGCCGTCGTATCCTGGGAGGACCATGAATCGAAGCATTGTCCTGTTCAACATGATTTGATCTTGGCACGATATCACCGTGTCGCTGTGGTGTCAGACGAAGGGATGTGAGCTCGAGCTGACTAGGGCTGGAGACGTCGCTGGCCGGGCCATCTAGTGCTTCCCGCTTGCGCTTTGACGCGCTACGTGTGGTGGCCATAGATGATGCTGAGATATCCGAAGCGGGAGAGCCAACGTCCGTTGGTGTTCGTGGAGGGGGAGTAGAGGCTCGAGACACAACTTTGGGTTTCGGCTTACGACTTATTTGTAGTGACTGGCTGGAAGCCAGTGTGGCCATTCCGCTGTCATGTTTCTTTCTAAGCATCTTGGACTTGGGCTCGAGAGTGTTCTCACCCTTGCTTGAATTGTTGGCCACGAGGCCATGGGACAACCGTGCAGCATCGGCTGCCACAATGCCCCGAGTCGCCTGCTGCGTGATCTCGGTTGAATCACGCTTGGCCCCCCTCTCTTCCACATCAGAGCCGGTTGGTGTAATCTTCCTTCTTTTGTAAGTCTTTAGTATAGGCTTCGTTTTCGTGTGCTCTTCTTCTGAGGACTCAATATCAAATAAGGATTCCGTTGTTGACATTGGTTCTGGGAGAAGTTTTCGTGCAGGTGATTTGAGCCTTGGCCTATTGGCATCCCATTCGGCCAGCAGTTCATTGTTCAACTGCATGGAAACGTCGGGGTCCTCGGAAATGTCGCTGACGGGAGTCTTGTCCCGGGATGGCGCAAGTGAATCAGCCGGTGAGGGTTGGAGTGTTGTACAGAGCGGGTCAGGATGCGACGCGTTGTCGAACAGGTCATGTATCAGCGCTTTTCTTCCCATCCTGCCATACTTGTTTACGCGTTTACGCGGGCCGTCCATGGTGGTTGTGAGGAGAGGCTCTTACGAATCGGCAGATGCCTTTGGCCTTGGTTCGCGGCGGCGACGTGAACGGACTGTGGACATCATTCGCTTGTCTAAGGAGAGAACATGAGCCAGAGTCGATCCAAGTTGCGTTCACTGACTGCAAATTCGGGTCGCAGCAGTTAGTGACCCAGGCAGTGCGAAGTTGAGTGGACTGCAGTAATAGGAGACGAGCCGAACCAACTGCCATGATGCAATACCAAAATAATGCCCGAACGCCGAAAAACATTCAGCCTCGTCTTGGCATTGACCTCTGATCTGTACCTCTTACTCATTCACTAAGCATGTCGAATCACTTTACATTAATGCTCTGGAGTCACCTTGCAGTTTCCAACTTCAGAGCTTGGGGACTGAGCGTGTGGCGGGCATAGTTGCAGCTCCTCTGCGGGCCCAGAGACAAGCAGCTATAGATTCTTTGTGCAGAGCACTGCCTCATACTACATGACAAAATCGCGGTGGGATTAGAGGTGTTTCATCGCGACATTGCAGTATCAGGCTCTCAGCCAGGATAACGCCAGCCTTTGGAAGTGGGGACCATGATGATAGCCATGGCTCGATTTCCATGGCCCTCTCACCCTTTCTATACACCTCTACGGACGTTCCACGGTGCCACAGCTTGATCCGTCCGCTCCTTCTGGAAACCGATCAAGTCGGCGTCTCCGTCGTAGGGACGTTCATCGGTAATGGCTTCTCTGTCTCAAATAGCTTCGTTACAGGCTTCTTCTTCTTCGTCGTAGGCGTACGCGTCACCGGCGTCTTCTGTGTGTTCTTCGCCGCATCTCTAATTCTGGTCGGAAACACTTCTGGAGGCGTCCTCCTCTGTCCCATCTGCCACTGTCTTTTTCCGTGTCGTAGGATGGCTGCAAATCGGTCGAAATTTCTTGGGTTCCCGCCGGACTTCACATATCTTGCCCGCTCTGCATATGTTTGGTGTCGTGCAAGTTTGAAGAGTTTCTGGTAGCTGAACTCCGAATCCTCGGGAAGAAAATGTCGTATCTCGGTTAGGGGCCCTGTCATCATCTGACGACGAGCGGCCCATTTGTCGCGCCAGATCAGTACAGCACGGGCACTCGACGAAGATTCAGGCTGGGCTTTCACGTCAGGTGCGTCGCCCTTGAAGCGATCTTGCCGATGATCATTCACGACTATCGTTCCGTCATCGTACCAAGTCTCGATTCGTAAAGTCCCACCTTTCTTTAGTTGGGCTTGCTGCACGAGGTCCCTGACTCTCTTGGCTTGGGCTGAATCGCCTACTTCCATAACAATCAGGTAGGCACTGACCTGGCGAGCAATCCTGAGAATATGTGGATAGAATGTGTCGCCAGGATGCAGTCGGCAATCCGGAGCCTGGGGGGGTACCAACGCCATTTGAGGCTCATAGTTGCGCACGCTTCTCTCGGTACGGCCACCTAGGTTGTAATCTGCAGGTGCTACGTAAGGCGGATTAGAAATGACAATATCCCATCTCTTCTGGTGATTCCATGGCGCTGGTTCTGCCAGATTGGCAAGCTCTTGCTTACAGACTCCTTTGACGAGACCGAGTTTTGTGGCGTCGATGTCGCGGAAGATCACCTCATCTTTAGCAGTAGACTGGAGCAGACCCTTTTCTATATTGTAATCAAGGTTGCGTCGAGCAAGTCGAATTGCGTCCATTGAAAGGTCCAGGCCCATGATCTGCAAATCCATTGGCAGGCTGCGCGTCTCTTGCGTAGAGGTGGGAACCGAGAATATTGGATGTGAATCTCGGCGCAGGAGCTGGTGCAGCAGAAGAGCAATGGCACCGCTGCCGGTGCAGATGTCGAGGACTCTCAGGGTGGTCCGTCCGGTCTCCCCTTTCCGTGGCTCGCCGATGGCGATGGAGTGATGAAGCTCTTTGACAAGCCTCTCCGTGTATGCCTCCGTCTCAACGCGTGGGATGAGTACATTGCGTTCGCATAAGATCTCCAACTCCCCGAAAGGTTGATCGCCGATGATGTACTGCAAGGGCTCGCCCGCCGCTCTTCTTCTGACAAGTGCCTCGAGCTTGGAAAGCTTCACATCGCGGAGTTCATACGGCGAGACCGCTAAGCCTGCGGCTTGGGCAGGTGGTGGCTTCAGTGAGCTCTTATTCGCATGTTGTTCAAGCCAGCGAAGCTCGTTTTGGGCAGAATTTAGGTCTCCCGTCTGGTTGAGTAGAGGAGCCAGAAATTTGCTCTTGCGCGTGGCATGGCGCACAATGGAAGCAGAGAGCCGCGGCATGTAATATCCATGGTCCGTCACGACTAACGCAGCAGGTTCAGATTGAGACGCAGACGCGGTAGTGAATATCGGACGGAAACGGTGCCCGGGCGGAGAATTTATCCGCCGCGGGCCGACATTTGCCAAGAAGACATCTCCTCACCTCACGTCAAACACCGTCCTCCTTGCGTTCAAGCGGCCATGCTTGAGATCCAGTCGTACGTAAAGATCTTCGCGAGTGGTTCATGGTCATTCACATCACACCTCTGTGGATCCTCGTTCCACTTTTCACCTACCGAAAGCTGCAATGCTCCGTCTAGTATGATGATCTACCTAGAACGGAGCTCGACGCTTATGCACGCCGATCCTGAGAGAGGCAGTGAGCACCTAGCTCGATCCTAGCTCCATCATCTTCGGCAGTACAATGTCCACTCGATAACCGATTCTGCTGTCACGGAGAATGGAATGACCCAATGTGAAAGGGAGGCTCGCCCTTGGGTTCCATGTGGCTGCCTGACCTCGTGCGCGACCTCCTCACCTCCAGTTAGCCTACTGGATAGGCTGTCACTTTTGAAGATCCTATGGCATGGGAACTAATCTTTAAGCGCGACGATAAGTATGCTGCTTCCCACTTCGTCGTTGTTTTCAGTCGTGCCTTGATTTTCCTTGTCCCAGCCTGCACATTGAATGCAGCAGCGCAATTCTGGATCTTTGGTGCGATCGCATTTGGCAGCCTTGCGAGAGTTGCTTTCCAGCATTCGACAACAATCCCGAAGCTATCTACGGTTGATTCTGCCCGAGTCCAACAAACGGCACAGCCAGAGTTCTACGGCCATGGGCTCAAAGGATCTCGAGAGTGGTCTTGGTGGTATTCACCAGCCTAATTCCGTTGCCATCGATACACCGGCTCGAGCATTGTCACCCCCCACGTTGCAGCAATATCATAACCGTCAAACTGATGTCGAGACGCGCCTCATGAGGTATCGCCATTTGCTCGGTATCCACAGGGACGAGGCGCTGGAAGGTCCCTCTAGACCATCTCCCAACAAGGGCATTTACGAGCGTGTCATCAAGGCCGAACGCGAATACAAAAAACAGTATACTATCTACGCCGTGCTCATCAACAGGTACGTCTTCTCTACAACCCTTTCCCTCCGTAGCGTCTCCCACGTCGACTGCTAATCATTTCAAGTGCCTTGGGTTTACAAATGGTCTTTGCGGCCGCGCTCACTGCTCTTGGTGCCGCCAATGGCTCTAGAACCGCTATCACTGCTCTTGGTAAGGAGCTCTTCTTCATATTCATTATCAAATGCTGACTGCATAGGTGCCATGAATACGATCAGTGCTGGGTAGGTGTCAACTTCTTGCAGCCATGGACCGAACAACGTTATCAACTAAAGAAGCGTCTCTGTGGGCGAGCCTGTAATCCTCGGCAGACCGTCACAGAGACCCCACAAGTTCGAAATGACTAACAACTTAGTAGATTTCTGACATATTTGAAAGGCTCTGGCTTACCCAACCGATTGAAGTACTATCAAAACGAAATGTCCAAAGTTCGGATGCATATAGAACAGAGGGAGCGTGATTTCTGGAAAGGCGAAGGGGACCTTCTGGATCCGCTCGAAGAGGTGGCCTTTATTGAACATATGTTTCAAAGCGTCCAACACGATATCGACTCCTCCACCCCGGATCGGTTCCTTTCTTCTGCAACCCAAGCAAATTCCAACAGAAACCCTGACCTTCCACCATCTTTGAGCCGCGGCCTCTCCTATAGAGCGAGCCAGATCGAAAATAGTTGGAGATCGGCCACGGTTGATGCGGAACGGCGCTTCACCAACACAAGGAGCGACCTTGAGAAACAAGCCACCGATACGGCACGACAGATGGAGCATAGAATTAATGATACAGCACAACGGGTGGAGGAGCGAACTAACGATACCGTGCATGCAGCCGAGAAGAGGATGGCAGAGACATCGCACAAAGCCGAAGATCATGCAAAGGACACCGAGTCGAAGATGTTGCAAGTTGCGGAAAATACTGCTGAGAAAGTGCTGCATATGTTGAAGGACAGAAGAGGTCCAGGGTAGAAGGGCATTGGCATCTACAGTCCCTGTTGATCTGCCTGATAATTTCAAATCACTAAAGGTACATCATAACGATATCGACCTCATCCCAGACTGTTCTCACAGGAAGTTCGTTCACCCTGGTTGCGATTCAGTGAAGTTCGCTGTCACATGGGCCATTGAGCTGACGTGTCCTTTAATGTTACTGAATGCTTCACTTGATGGCTGGCTTCACTTTCCATGCCAATAACTCGTGTTCAACTCATGTTGCGATCCAGATCTTCAATTACTTCATTCATGCTCATCCAGCTCGTCCACTCCTCCATCTTCCATCCGTTCCTTCCTTCGAATTCTTCCGTCAAGTGAGTCTTGCTCCTTCCACTCACCCGTCCACTCCTCTCCACATACGTCAACTGGCTTTCCGTCCGCCTTGCTTACTTCAACATGAGAGGCCTAGCCCTCCGCTTGGAGCTCGACAGGCGGGGCTTGCCTCTGTTTTTCGGTGGCCGACTAAGCCACAAATGGCTTTGCAGAGAGCTGGACTTGTTCATCAAATTATTTGGCGGCAGATCAATGGTTCGGAAAAGTGACACCAAACTCCAGCAGCTCGTGAAGCTTTTTCGGCTCAAGCCTGGCCGCAATCACGCAGACCGAGCAACGAGCACTCGAAATTCTGCATAGACATGGGCCGCTTGCACTTGGAGAAGCCCGAAGTAGTGTTGTTTCGGGACAACCAGCAAGAAATACGACTTGTCGTCCAACCTGCAGTGCAAATCTAGGAAATCAACTCCCGATCGCCGGTACTCCAGCGATCTCGACCCAAAAAGATACAGTTACGAAACACGATCAGACACAGGTAAAAGCTTGCCAGATATGCATGCAAGCCTCGCTATTGACGAGTTTTCCATCAATCCATAGGGGCCATTCGAGCAGTCACGGCGCTTTTGCAACCTGTCTAGAGTGCTTCGCTACTCATATTGACACATCTATACATTCATGCTCACTCGCCAACATCCCTTACCCTGAGCGCAAGTGTGAAGCCATGCTAGACCACGAGCCGATGCGTGAATATACATCAAAGCAAGCATTCACCGCTATGATAGCTATTTACACAAGACAAAGCTCGAAGAACGACCCAACTTCGTCTTCTGCGCCAACAGGACTTGCAACTTTGCGGGAACCATTGACATACACTTTGCCAGCTACTTTGTTTGCCCAACATGTTCGACCACGAGCCTGCACTACTTGCAAGACTCAGTGGCATCCAGACGACAACCACGAAGACAATATGGCCAAAGTCAGACAAGCCGAGATCGAGGCGCAGGCTAGACACGATTGAAGTCTGAAGAGGCTGAGAACACACCACGGAGGCTGGACATTGGTACGCGGGAGTGGTGCATACTTGAAGCACACGGGGCCCAACGAATTTGATGCATACTTGAAAAATCTGCGTTTTGATCTAAAGCAGCCAAGTACATATGGAGGTACAACGACATACTAGCTATAGCTCCTCACCCACTTAATCATAACCTCAAGGCAATATCATCATCATGTTTCGGCAAAGACTCAGAACCAAGATCGGACATTCCATCGCTATCTGTCTAGTACTTTCAGTGACGGTTTCACTTGATGCACATACAGCACCGACCCGCCCGCCATACGCCTGCAGTGCCCAACGTCTTTTGGTTTTGGAGGAGGAATCAAGACTTTGATCATCAGCACACGGCACATGACCTAAGGATGTTCAATTCATTACCACTCAGAACATGCAGGATGAGGTGCGGCGCAGGAATGGTCGGTATCAAGCCTGGGAACTGGACATAACAGCCGTTAGATTCGGAGCAGTTCAGCACGAAGCACAAGTGAATATTACTCCTTCTGCAACTACCACCTCCAAGAGCTTTTTCAGCTATGCACCGACCCTCTAGTCGTCTCACCTACAAGACGTATCCAAAGCTCACGCAACTCCACTTCCTCAACGGCCTGGTATCCTCCAAGCTGACAACCCACCACAGGATCTCCTTGGCCCGTTCCACCTCGCCACCCAACTCATGCGCCCTGGCGAGGGCGAACCACGCTTCACTATCATCCCACCCTTCGCCCGTCTTCGTCAACGAGCTGAGCAGCCCATACGCGCGATCCCTCGCAGCCAGGCGGTTCAGATTCTCCGGCGTCTTCTTAAGGTCGTCGTCCGCGAGCTTTTCCGGTGTTGATACAGGAACCCCGTCGACGGTGTTGATGCCGTTGATAGTGGTGATTGACAGTGAGGTCTCGGTCCTCTCGTGCTTGCGCTCGCGCTCGCGCTCTTTCTTTGGCATGTCCTTGGGAATAACAGCTCCAAACTTTCGTAGGACACCCTCATCGTCGTTGCCACCGCGTCCCAGCTCGACCTTGCGCTCATAGTAATCGAGCAAAACGTTACTCAAAACAATGCCAGTGCGAAGATGGGTCTGTTTGTACATGAGCGCCTGTTCCAGCATCTCCACTGCGTCTCTGACGGTCTCATCTCGCTCCGCAGTCGCAGTTGCAGAAGTCTGCGCGGGGTCTGTCACAGAGGAGTCGAATTTCGCTTCTGCGACAGCGAGGAGAAGCTCACCGCGCTCACAGTATACGTCTGCCCAGCACTCATCGCTGCTCTTGCCACCGCTCCCAGAGCTCGAGTCTGCAAATGCGCGCGCGCTGCTCTCCACCGTTGTCGCCACGAGGGCCTCGATCTTGAGAGCAGCCTTGGCGGCCTCGTCCGTGGCCTCGCGACTATCGTCATACATGTTAGCGTGCCGATAGAGACGTGCAATCACAAGCCAGATGGACACTAGTATAGCGAGGGCATGCTTCTTAGCGGCGGCCAAGGGGAAGCGAGGAACGAGGCTAGTAGAAGCGCTTGTGGGTGAAATGGTAGGCATGCGTGTGTCCTGCTCAGGCGGCTGTTCCGAGTGTTGCAATGGAGGCGGGGCCTCGCTGTGAGAGGTGACGTTGTGCGGAATCTCGCCAATCGGCTGCTTGGCGGAGGCTTCAGCATTGTGGGTAGCAGAGGTTGGGGGCTGTGGCGCTGGGACGGTATCAACGGATTGAATAGTCTCAAGATGAGGGCGGGCGGTCTCGACCGAACCTGTTGAGGATGGTTGAGCAGAAACACCAGTCTCAAAAGACTGCCGGGAGCTGGCGATGGTGGAAGGAACCGGTAAAGGTCTGCGTTCTTTGGAATGAGGACGGAGTCGAGATGACAAAGAGGTGCTGTGAGAGTCGGAGGACAGACGACCTTTGCGATTGTGTTCGTGCGAGTGTCGGAACAGACGGTGTTTGTGTGGCGAGGACTTCTCATCTTCGTCGGTGACGTGAATGGTTGGAGCTTCGGTGGCACGGGTAGTAGGGCGTGTCGTATCAGTGTTGATAGAAGCTGCCACCCCATTGGTCCTTACAGATTGAGCCTCGCTCAAGATAATCCGGCTTCGCCTGAAGAGGCTGCCTCTGAAAGACTTGATAGTTCCGGCAGAGGTCTTCGGGACTTCGGATGGTTTTTCGGCAGCCTTCTCTTCGGCAGTGACACCCAAACGGCCGAACAGGCGCGAATAAAGAGCCAGCAGGTCATTGCTGCTATTCACAGCATCCTCAGGGCCCTCGGTCAGATCAGTCAGAGCCAACTCGGTCATTCGGACTTCCAGAATGCGCTGAAGCTCGGCACATTCCATATCATCTACCAAGCCATTTGGCGAGGCATGCTTTTCCTCGTCGATATGCCGGCTCGACCCGAACAAGATCTCGGGGCCGGGAAATTGCTCAAAGGCTGCAATACATGCCTTGCTCGAAGTCTCATAGTCTTGTCGCGAGGTCAATAGGAGCGACAGTAGATGCCAAAGAGGAAGGAATCTGCGTTCTTGCAGATAGAAATCCGACGTCGAGTCAATCCTGTCCGCCAAGGCCTCCTTAACGTAGTCCACAGCCGTGTCGATATCTCGTGTTTCGGCCAGTAACAGACCGAGTGCAAAGAAAGACTGCTGCTTCTGGGACGTGCTCAAAGGCTGCGCGATGGCTGCTTTCAGGTGCGCGACTGCTGACGACTGCAGATTTGTGCGATGCTCGTTGAACGGAGTCCATCTTGCCCAATGTGCTTTGCCTATACCTAGAGCTCGATGTACCGTTTCGATAGTTGTAGGTGGAAGTTCGATGACTTCGTGTACTCTGTGATGAAAGCCATTCAACTCCAGCTGTTGTCCGGGAAGAGTAGACGCCGTAGGGTCACTTTCAGTGAACAGCGACTGGAGTTTCGTGCAGAGGACATGTGCTTTCTCGGCCTCGGCCTGCTGGCCAAAAGAACAGAGACCTAGGACTCCCTCTGAGATGGTAAGAAGCACAGTCTCATCGTTGTCTTGGTCCTGAGGTTCCTGCGTACGGGCAGCACGTTCACGACCCCGATCTATGAGCTCAAGATAGCTATCAAGAGCACGATATGCAAGATCGAACTCAGCGAGTGCTTTATGCGTCTGAAACAGCTTCCGTAAGATCAGTGTCGAGTGGAAGGTTTTCATCGCAGCCCGATAGAGAATGTCAAGAACATTTCGCGTGATCAGGTTTCGCCCTCCCTCTCCAATATCTTGTTCAGACCAGTCGGAACCACAAATTACCTCCCAGTTTGTCGTAGCTTGCTCGACCCATTGCTCGATGACGGCATTGGACGCGCCGGCTTTAGGAAATTGCGTGTTGTTCAGTAGCTCATTCTCGTATGCCGCCTCGACGCGTCGGAGCTCAGTGACCAGCTCATGGCGTGGTAGCTCGTTCGAGCTCGCTTGAATTATGTCTGAAAGGTAAGAGTAGTAGGCATTCCATACGGACAGCCTGCTTCTCTGGGAACCAGGGTTTCCATATGTGCGCGGAGAGTGAGGTCTTCCTTTTAACGATAACAATGACCAACTTCGAAAATACGAGTTTGTAGAGGCGTCTATACTGCCTTTCGAGAGCACGCGGCTTCGGTCGATTGCAACTTCTGCCAGCAGTTGCTCAACCCAATAGGACAGCTGTGCGGTCGCGGTGATGTTCGCTTTATTCGCCTCGATCCATGGAATAGCGGATTGAAAGGCCTGGGCAGCTTCTGCGGGCTTCTCCTTGCTCCGTAGAATGGCTCCTCTCATATATGCCGATTTCGCGATGCAGATATTGGTCCATAACGACCGATCAGATGTATTGGGAGTCTCTGACCAGAGTAAAGAGTCTGAGAGCCCTTGATGCTCAGGTGCCACCCAGTATGCCCAGAGAAGGGCAGCACGCGCTTGTATCGTCTCACTGTTTATCTCCGAGCCGGCCTCGATTTCTTTCTCGACGTCTGTTATACGGGAAGCGAGTGGTGTTCTTGCTGTACTTGCTGTCGTCGGTCGAGATGTAGCCGCGATCTTTGTGTTCACAACCTCGTGTTCGAGAGTAGCGGTGTGAATCAAGCCTTTTTACATCGTCAGAGTGCTCGGCCGGATCAGGATAAGGGCTCACATTTTCGCTGCGGCGCATGCTTCGTGACTTTCCTAATGAGCTCCGGCAGCTCGGACCACTTCGCATCTACGCGAGCATCGTCCAACAAGGCGATATACCGTTGGGCCTTGTCATCGCGGCCCTGGGAGAGGTTAGAGTACTGATCGCGGGTCTGAAGGGAAGTTGCGCACACTCATTCTGGCCGCCAATCACTGTGCGGGCTATGGCAACCTCAAGAGTTCTCATGAAGAAACATGTACAAGACGCATCGCGCTCCGCAGTGCCATAGAAACCCCTCCAACATAGTCTGAAGAGGTACAACACATGGCAGCACCGGGGCATCCAAGTGGACCGCGACTGCCGACTGAACTTCCACTTTCACTTAGAGTTTCGGCCCCAGCGGCGGAGCGGACCTCTGTTTCTCCGTTCCGAGTATATTTCAAAAGTTTTGAGCATCCGCTTCAGTTCTACAGACAGCAGATCAGTGGATGTGGAGAAATGGAGCAGCTGAGTGTGCTGCGATCAACGGCACAGAGGTTGACTGTCACTCCTGTGGAAGATCTTCCTCGCATCGCCGGCTTCCTGGCGGCTTCCCTGTCAGGTTGCTCAAGACTGGGCATTGAAGCCGAGTCTACAAAAGGCGTGGATTTCTCTGGACCGCTTCACAAGCTCCGAACTCGACTGTCGAGTTTGCTACAGGATAGAACCGCGGCAGGCAGATCGACAGCTGCAGTGCTCATCAAATCCTACGTCGAGACTGTCCGTCCAGTCGAGTCTGCACACTGGGAGTCATGGGCACGTGGCCTAATTGCTTGCCTGAACAAAGCCGATCCGTGGGAATGCAAACGGCTATACATCAACACCATCACGCGAATCTTCCTGCTATGTCGAGGTTCCGTCGCCTTCCAGAGAGATGTCACTTCGCCGCTGCTGCCCGCTTTCATCAATGCCGTGCTGAGTTCTCTCAAACCAACAACCATCAAGCAAGGGGATCGGGCCGTCAGTGTTGCCAGCCACTTGCTACATTCAGCTTTGCAATGTATCCGTCATTTACTGCAAGAATTCAGTTCGACTTTCAGGCCATTCGTCACCCGACTAAAGCAGATCTCCTTAGGTGTGCTAGGCGAACACGCGGTTTCCCAACCTCTGCGCAGTGAAGCTACAAGCATTCTGTGTGCACTGCATCTGTGCGCGCCGAAGGCCACCGCAGTGAATGATTGGGACCAGACAATTTCAAACATAGTTGTCGCGTCCCATGAATCTTTAGACCTTCTCTTTCGCGCCGTGATCGAAGATTGGACTTCAAGCAGCACCACTGTCCACGAGTTGTCTACGAAACAACAATTTTCAAAACCACCGGAGCTAGCGAAGCTTGACATTGCTGGACTGGGGCCTTGGAAAGGACTGCATCAAGGATTCGAAAGACTTTCTACTCTGCTGCGTTGGCTCAGACAGGCTATTTCAAGTCGGTCGCAGATATCCAATGTCCCTTTGGGAGCTCTAGTCGATCTCCTTGGACGCATTAGTGGGACAAGCGCGCCATCAGAGACCAATCGGATCAAGACCAGTCCTGAGGTTAGCAAAGACGAGCGTGAAGAGGTGTGGGCCCATCTACCGAAGTTGCACATCGAGGCTCTGGAGCTCTCAGAAGCCCTCATCCGTGGCATTGGAGCAGCTGCTGTCCCCCTTATGGCGACACTCGGATCCCAGATGCTTGAGGTCTTTGAAAGCGAGGCCTGGAATGAAGCCGTTCGAGCTCAGTGCTATAAGACGATGAGCTGTCTTCTCCGTATCAGTGGAAGCACTGTGGCCTCGTTTCCGCAATCTGAACTAGTCGCGCTTCTTAAAGTATGCTGCCGGGACCTCTTGCAGACAGCGGGCTTCTCTCAGAACGGAGGCACATCTCTCTTGAGGACAGATCGCAACGGCACTTCCAGTATCATCTCCAACACACTGCCGAAGCAGAGCACAGCTACAACCATCACGTATCCAACAACGCGGCTGCATCATTCTGCAAAAGAATTAGTCGTCCTTGTGTACGAACATCTACCTCCTTCTGTGGTGGTACACACCTTGCGAACCGAGCTTGATCGAACTGTCATCCTCTGCAACAACCAGGCAGGTATTCTAGCTTCGGCCATGCATCCACCAAGATATAACAGTGGTTCCCGGGTGCAGCCCAGCTTGTTGCCATTCTTATTGCGAGGCACAGGCGCCACGAGTCCAACTGTGGAAGCTCTACTCAGACCACGTTTGTCAGCAATGAGCGAGCACATTGCCGGTATGCAGACTGGGGATATAGCGCCACCCATCGATGACACTGCGCACGGGTATTTGTACTCGTATGGCAATACAGACACTGTTATGACGGATGAGGACCCTGCTTCGCTCTTGGGTTCACCAGAGCCTTCGCAGGAGGTCACGCAAAACTCAAAAGATCAGGGCCAGACCGGCGAAAGAGAAGTCACTATCAAACGAGCCTTTTCAAGCACACTGCAAGCTTCAACGACCATGGACACGGACCCGCTTTTACTCGATCAACCATCCTTGAAGAAACCTCGTATTGATGAGGGCACCGAGCTTGATAAGGAGGATGATCAAGGGCAAGGTTTGGCTCCAAAGGAGGTTTCCGACCTCGCTTTAGATTTGCCCGTGGTGCAAGCCCAGGTTGAGGCCTTTCCAGCTGGCGACTCTGTGGTCATCCATGGATCAGAAGTGCCAATACCGCCAAAAATAGCCGGTTCTGACGCAAGCGATGACGATTCTGACATCCCTGAGATTGACCCTGAGCTCGCTACAGACGACGACGACGACGAAGTAGAAGAAGAAGCCGAGTGACTCGGAAGTCGATTTCAGAAATAAGGGAAGTGATGAACTCGGAAACCCGTACTTGTCACGTGACCACGCGATGCCAAGGCTGTAGTTCTGGCTTTTTCTGGTTAGATCGTGTTCTAAACGACCAACAGTCAAGTAGCAAACATGGTCATCTCATCACCCGTATATGCACGCCACATTGTCTGACCTTGTGTTGAGCATCGCAAATGATGCGTAGCATTTCTTGCGCCTAGTCAAAGCGCTCCTTCGTTGAACATCATATGATCAAAACCACTGCGCTCACCGGGCAGCCTCGTGCTTCTCTCGAGTATTGCGTCTGGTCAAGCTCACGCCAGACGCTAGTATGGGCTCCGGTAAACGAAAACTGGTCGACACAATCGACCTCACCGGAGACGATGATGAAGAGATCGCTCGAAGTTCTTACAAATCTGCTAAGACCAGCGGGGCGCACTCGATTGGACCAGGAGGCCGCCAATATCCCACACCACCCTCTTCCAGCTTCCCATCTCCGAGCCAGAATGGCTACAGGCGTCAGGCGCTGACCAAGTTGCCTCTTAACAGCACACATACTCAGGCGGAACGCGACAACTGGCTAGACTCCACTCAGTATGAAGACGGAGATATTAGCCGGGAGATCGATCTTGAGGCCGATTTTGACGATGATGTGTACGAAAATTATCAGCTCTACGGCATTCTCAATACAAAGATTGTGGGATGTCGCTTCTACGATGGGCGTGCAACCGTTGGAGAGTATGTCAAAGTACGTCGAGAGCCTCGAAATCCTTACGATAGGAACGCCATCCGGATCGACAGCTGTATGGGTCACCAAATTGGTCATATCGGTCGACAGGTTGCTGCAAAGCTAGCACCTTTGATTGACAGTGGGGAGTTGTTGATGGAAGGCGCCTTGACTGGAGAAAAGTCGTTCTATGACTGTCCGATCGGTCTCAAGATGTTTGGAACTAGCGATCCTGTTGCTGCAGCGACGCTGAAGGAGAAGATGCAAAAGCTGCGCCTGCCCGTAACGGAGTTGAACCGTGCGGAGAGAGAACGCAAGCAGCGTGAAAAGGAGCGGGTTGCACGCGAGAAAGCTGCTCAGTTGATGAAGAAAGGTGGCCGTGCCGTCCTGGACGCTGAGGGTCCCAACAAATATGCCAATCTTAATACCGCGAACGGTGACGACGAAACATCTGTCGACCTAGAGGAGATCTTGAGCAACACTGCAACTTTTAACCCTCGCGATGTGCAGGATGCAGTCAACAAGTTCGTCGCCGGCGAGGCCACCCTGAAGAGTATGCCGATGGCGGAGCAGCCCAGTGCACTCTCCACAATACTGTTGCCCTATCAAAGACAAGGCCTACAGTGGATGTTGGAGAAGGAGTCACCAACGCCGCCTGCAACTGATTCGAGCGAGCCCGTGCAGCTCTGGAAAAGGTCGCGCGGTATGTACACGAATATCGCCACCAATTTCTGCGTCAACAGAGCGCCTGAGCTAGCCAGCGGTGGAATCCTAGCCGACGACATGGGTCTCGGCAAGACATTGCAGGTCATCTCACTTGTCATCGCCGACCCTAACAAGACCGACCAGCCTACATTGATCATCTCACCACTATCAGTCATGAGCAATTGGAAGCAGCAGGCAGAGTTTCACGTCGGAGAGAAGCATCGACTCCAGGTTTTGATCTATCATGGTCAGGAAGCCCGAGGACTCTCTCCAGAAGAAATGCAACAGTGCGATATAGTCGTCACCACATATCAAACATTGACAAGCGAGTTATTCACGAGTGGCAAGGAGGAGACACAGACGACACCAAGCAAAAAAGGCCTGTTCTCCCTCGAATGGAGGCGTATCGTACTTGATGAGGGCCACAACATCCGAAATCCTAAGACCAAGATGGCCGTAGCGGCATGTACTGTAACAGCAAGGTCTCGCTGGGTCCTCACAGGAACTCCCTTGATCAACTCTCTGAAGGACCTGTACTCGCTTGTCAAGTTTCTCCGGATGACTGGAGGGCTAGGCGAGTTTGAGATCTTCAATTCGACCCTGATACGGCCTCTGAAGAGGAACGATCCAAATGCTCGGATTCTGCTGCAAGCACTCATGTCGACGGTAGTTCTCCGTCGCCTGAAGAGCATGGAGTACGTCGATCTCAAGCTCCCAGACATCACGTTCCACAAGGTCCCGGTGAGGCTACTTTCGCACGAACAAGAGCAATACGATGCATTCAAGAGCGAAGCCAAGGGTCTGCTTGAGGCTGCAAAGGCGAAGAAAGGTGACAGCAGCACCATGACAAATCTTCTTGAGGTTCTTCTGCGACTTCGGCAAACATGTAACCACTGGAAATTGTGCGGCGAAGCACGAATCAGGAAGGTTCTCGAGCTTGTTGAAGAGAACAAGGCCATTGATGTAACCAACGTGGCCAATCGTAAAGCGCTGCAAGACCTCCTGCAAATCAAGATTGACAGTCAAGAGGAATGCCCCATCTGTATGGACTCGATCAAATCACCCGTGATAACGGCGTGCGCTCATGCGTTTTGCCGCGAGTGTATCGAACGAACAGTTGAGCTGCAGCATAAATGCCCTATGTGCCGCACAGAGCTGCCTTCAGCCGAGCTTCTGGTTGGTCCTGCTGCCAACTTCGGTGAAGGGGAATTGGCGGACGAAATGCAGATCGACGCGGAGGAGACTAGCAGCAAGATCGAGGCTCTGCTCAAGGTGGTCAAAGCTTCGAGCAAGGAATCCAAGGTGGTGGTGTTTAGCCAGTGGACAAGCTTCCTGGATCTGGTGCAGACTCAAATGATCAAGAACCACATCGGCTTCTGTCGGCTTGACGGCAAAATGAGTGCGACTAAGCGCGACGCTGCCATTGACAAGCTCAACAACGAGGCGTCATGCAAGGTTTTGCTGGCCTCATTGTCCGTCTGCTCAGTGGGTCTGAACCTGGTGGCAGCATCGACAGTCGTGCTTTGTGATACCTGGTGGGCGCCTAGTGTCGAGGTAAGTTCCGGTCTCCTTGTGGTAATATTACTTCTGCTCACATTCTCCAGGATCAGGCGGTAGACAGAGTGCATCGACTAGGCCAGCGGCGTAACTGCACCGTGATTAGGCTCGTGGTTGAGCAGAGCGTCGAGGACGAAGTGCTTGAGATCCAAGCAAAGAAGAGGAAGCTTACAAGCCTGGCATTCGGTGAGAAGAGCCAACGCAGCCGTCAAGAGATGCGCGCCGGGACGCTGAGGGACATCGAGAGATTGCTCGGCTGAGGTGTCAATCGCCGTCTGTATAACAGAACAATCTTGTACCACCATCAAGGCTCCAGAATTTCAGCGAGTCGCACAAGTGCAATCTGACACTACCTGATGTTGACTGTATATCAGCTTTTGTATCTACGAAGCCTCGTGCCATTCAAAGTCCTAAGAAATAGGCTCAACTGCGGTTGAAGTGACAGCGCCTCGGCGGACGTTGAAGCTCTCCACCATTTATCACGAGCAAGGGTTCGAGACCGCCACATGCAAGTGCTTATTGAAATTAAATGTCAAGGGTTGAGCTGCATCTCCAAGCAAAGCCTCTCAATAGTTTGTTGCAAGGGCTTTGTGAGCTCCCGGGGAGCATTCTCAACCATTTTTTGACATGTGGGGGCGCGTCTTCTTCCCTTGGGATTTTCTCCTTCTACACCGCCGGCGACAACGACCGTGATAAGCGCGACAGGCACCCCAGAACTACCCCCCAGCATGATCAACACCTGCGTCACATGCCCTCGAGTGGGGACCTAAGCTGGTGGCTTTAATTGGAGCTGCCAGCAAGCTCGGTTGGAGCTTGGGAGCTTGCAAGACGCCATTGTGCAGCGCGTGGTGGCCAAAAGTGTCAACTGCAGTGCGGGGATTCCACGTACAGTACTAGACTCTCGAGTCTCGACCACTTCTCCCGACGACAACTCGTGCATCGTCGGTTTGCTCGCCTTTTGCTGTTTTGAGAGCTGTTGAGCTCGTCCTTTCCTTGTCACATCGTTTTTGGACGCCAAAGCGTTGTTCGCAATCGACATGGCGCCCATTGGCAACGCGGTCTTTGCAACGGTAAACTGCATCCTCTTCGCATGTGAGAGTAACGTGCTAATACACGTCTCAGTTGCTCATGAACGATGCATACCTACCAGGTACCGTCCACGACCTCCGCTCTCACTTGCAGCTAGACTGACTTCTTCGAGGGGCCATGGTGCTGGGGCACTCTCTCCGAGACCGCGGTGCGAAAGCGAAGCTGGTTGTTTTGGTCACTGTCGACAACGTCTCCGCTGGAACTATCACAGAGCTAAAAGTCCGTATACCATACCAGAGCCCGGCATATGCTAATTGTGGGACAGACAGTATTCGACGATATCATTCCTGTGCAGCAGATGCAGAACAAGCAGCCGGCAAATCTTTACGTTATGAATCGCCCCGACCTCATTGCCACTTTTACCAAGATCGAGCTATGGAGACAAACTCAGTACAAGAGGATAGTATATTTCGATGCTGATATGGTATGTCTGAGAGCTCCTCACGAGCTGCTCCGCCTCGATACTGCCTTTGCCGCCGCACCAGATATTGGCTGGCCCGATTGCTTCAACAGTGGTATGATGGTTCTCAATCCGAACATGGGTGATTACTATGCACTGCTCGCTCTCGCCCAGCGTGGCATCAGTTTCGACGGTGCCGATCAAGGCCTCCTAAACATGCACTTCCGAGACTGGGAGCGGGTCAGCTTCGCATACAATTGCACTCCCAGTGCCAACTATCAGTATCTACCTGCCTACCGACATTTCCAGAGCAGCATATCCGCCGTCCACTTCATCGGCAAGGACAAGCCCTGGACCTTGGGAAGAGAAAACAAGCATAATCATGGTGTCTATGGCGAGCTGCTCGGCCGCTGGTGGGCTGTATACGATGCACACTATCGTCCCCAAACATCCGCCTACCACTCTGGTCAGTCGCTCACCGCACCGAAGAAAGTGCAAGACTATGTACGTGGAGAAGAATCGCAATCCGTTCCAGGCTACTCCAGCTATCAGCCCGCAACTTCCGGGCAACAGCAGCAACCACTGTCCTCTGGGCAGAGCCAAATCCCATCGGTCGCTGTCCACCCCCCACCCTACTCCTCTGCTACCAAACCCTTGACAGAGCAGGCCATGGGTGATGCTCCTGACTCCGCTGAGAAGGCTGCCGAGAACGACTTCACGCCAACACCAACTGTAGTGCAGCGAAGGTTCTCTGCCCCCCACGCTGAATGGGAGCCTGCGAGGTACGTATCATGGAATGACTTGGATCTATGCTGACGCATTCAGAGCGCCGCCACCACAGGGTTCAAAGCCTGAAGCCTCGAATTTTCCCCAACACGTGCAGTACGACTTCAACAGTGATAAGGAGCTATTCCAACCCCCAGAAAAGTACCCCGAAGCGCCGAAGGGTATGTGGTATGAGCTTCCTCCAAGGCCAGCAGAGCCACAGAAGCCCAAGCCAATATTTCCATGGGAAAGCAAAGCCCCTAAGGCGACTCGTGTCTTTGCTCAGCCGAAGACTCCCACTCCGCCTTCGGAACCTGAAGTTGAGCCGGAACCAGACCCAGCATCATCAACCGCGACTTCCACGACACTTGATCCGGAGCCAGCGGAGACTCCAACGATGACCTCCCCTGATCCGTGGGCGGGCTTTCAGGCACGAACAAATGCATGGGACGAAATCCCCGAGATCGAAAAATACATGCAGGCTCTGCAGGGCCCAAGGAAGGCTAAGGTACAGGTTTTGCACAACACGGCGACGCCACAGACGCGTTCACCGAAGTCGGAGCGAAGGCAGAGCCTGAGACTAACCGACTTTCCCACAGAGATTGAAAGACCAAGCTTACCAGTGACACCTGCCCCGATCCGGAGGCCATCATTCTGGGGCGAGGAACGAGATGAACAGGGTAACCTCCCAGCGGCGGAAGGCGTTCCAAAGCAAGAGGAATGGGTACGTCGCTTCTCCTCCTATCCAGTACCTGAGTTTACTGCTTTACCACCACTTTTGCGCGAATTGAATGGCGTGTGGGTGATGAGGTGCCAATTTTGTGGAAAACAGAACCCTATCGCCAAGCTCGAAGAACTCCAACGAAGACAGAGTGAGGTCCTGGCCGCTCCCGCTCAACTGGAAGAAGCACCTAGTGTTCCAGCTAGGTCGATGCCAGAGAGCGAATCTAAGGAAGCGGCCATCGAAGCTGCCCAGCAGGCCACGGCGCCACCTGTCCAAGCGCCAAAAGCTCTTAAACCGATTTTAAAGGCACCGTCGTTCGAGGTGCCGCCGAAAGAGAGTGTGGATGCGGATGATCTTGTGTCGCCAACGGAGGTACGCGGTCACGCCGCTGGGAAGCAAGAAACCGCTCCAGAACCAACGGCTGATCCTGTTGGGAGCGGAGGGAAGCATGCAAGATTGAATTCAACTCCAGAGGTTGTCCCTATAGCATGAGTTATGCATTCACAACGAGTATAATGGAAACGGCGGGAGCTAGCACGGACCTGGCGTCTTCTCGGATGCTTGAGTATTTATGGACATGAGAAAGCTTTGTTCTACGGCGATGTAGCATTCATCACTGCGACTTCATTTTTGGGCGTTTCTTGAGCATTTCAGCGAACATAGTATCTGGTTGCAACAGTCAAGCGATATTAATCTCTGCACATAAGATCTATCAAGCCTAGTTCCCCCGAACATGCAGCCCCTTGCCATGGTAGGGAGGATGTGTAGTCCATTGGTGTCTAGTAGTCCTGTCGCAGCCTGACGTTCAGGCAGTGAATATACTTACACCGCTCTGATTGGCTCCTAGCTGACTAATGCTTCCTTTGGACACGTACCACCAGAAAGACATTGATCAGCGTAGCCGGCTCAACTTGTACTTCCAATGCCAGTATAATTGAGTGGCCATCTGATCCGCATTCAACATCTTCGCCAGCCACTTGGTCGGACGGCGCTGTACATCGGCATCATCGTCCCACCAGAATGCTAGGCTACGAATACATCTTCCCCCCTCCCGAAGCCGTCGCCCTCCGCCGCCAGCAACTCGACGCCACGGGTTTCCAAGCATGGCTCTCGCCCTTCGCCCTACTCCTATGCTCTTATCTCCTCCGCCGCCCCAGCTCTTCTTCTTCTTCCACATCACCACCAGCCCCCTCAACCACCGCCAATAAGCCCCCCACCACCCTCCAAATGCAAACCCGCCGCCTCACCTGGCTCCTCCACTCCCCCACGCACCGCGAACTCGGCCCCCTCCTCCTCCCCCTTCTGGTCTTCTTCTACACCCTACACCTCCTCCACCTCGCCACCCGCCACACCTCCCCGGACTACCTGCACCTCACCAAATCCCTCGGGCACGTCGCCGCCTCCCAGCTCCCCTGGCAGTACCTCCTGGCGCTCAAATCCCCCAACTCGCCCGTCACGCTCGCCACGGGCCTGAGCCACGTGCGCCTGAACGCGCTGCACCGCGTGTTTGGGCGCGTCGTGCATGGCTTGTTGGCGGCGCATGCCGTGCTATACCTGCGGTTCTTTGTGGAGGTGGGCGTGCTGGCGAAGAGAGTGGGAGATTGGGATGTTAGGTTGGGGGTGCTGGGGTTTTGGGCGTTTAATGTGCTGGGGGCGTTGGCGTTGCCGGGGATGAGGAGGAGGATGTATTTCAGCGGGTTTTATAGGGCGCATGTGCTGTTAAGTGCGGGGGTGTTGGTGGTGCTGTGGGCGCATGTGGTGCATTCGAGGAGGTATGTGGCGCAGGCGGGGGTGGTGTGGGTGGTAAATGGGTGGTTGAGGTGGAGGGCCGAGAGGGAGGTGGTAGGGGTTGAGGTGAAGGAGGTGGTGGAGCGGGGAGGGGAGTTGGTGAGGGCGAGGCTTGTGTTGGGTGAAGGGAGAGGGCTTGGGGGTTGGGTGCCCGGCCAGCATGTTTACTTGCGGATGGGGGGCTCGCTTGGTCTGCTGGCGAGGAAGAACCCGTTCACGGTTGTGCAGGCTGATGAGCGGAGTGGGCGGATCATGCTCGTTGTTAGGAAGCTGGGGGGCATGACTGCCGCGTTGGGAGACTCGAAGAGCTCGAAAGAGCTGGGAGAGATAAAACTCGAGGGTCCGTACGGCGAGGCGGCCGAATATCTGCCTCCTATACTAAGAGCAGGGAAGGGGGCGGGCCAGGTGCTACTGGTCGCGGGCGGCGTGGGGGCCACTTACACCGTGCCCATCTATCTCGCTCTGCTGCGCGCGAGGGGCGATACATCTGGCGTCAAGATGCTGTGGTTCGTCAAACTGCAGAGCGAAGTCGACTGGGCCCTCGAACTATTTAAAGAAGCTGGGAAAGCGCTTGATATTGATGCATACGTCACGCAAGCGTCCTCAACATCAACGACACAGCCGAGCGCCGCCACCGGCATCAAAGGCCTTTCGATCCAGGCTCTGGGCAAAAGACCAGATATTCAATCTGTCCTCGAGCCGATTATCTCGCCGAAAAGTGATGCAGGGAATGGAGGGCTGGTGAGCGGCAGCGCTGCCAAGCGCAACCCAGAGGCCGTGAAGAAGAGTTATGGAAAACTCACGGTGATGGTATGTGGGCCGCCGTCACTCTCGAAGAGTCTGCGGAGCGAGGTGGGGAAGCATGTGATGGGCTATGGTCGGGAGGTGGCGTGGTATGAGGAGCAGTTTGGCTTTGGTGGTTCCTGATGGCCTCGTCGATTCGAGATTGGCCGTGAATGCCTGTCATTGGTTGTGGCGGAGTAGCGGGTAGCACTCAATGTAGGGGCTTGTGTATAAAGATCTCAGAATGCTGTCCTTACGTTTACATCGTAGCGTATGCAGGCACTACCACACATTGCCGAACGCAGCCAATCACACTCTCCTGGGACACGAACATTGCTGCTCGATCGTTTTACCGATACTATCAGAACTCAGCTATCTAGCATACCCACGCCTTGTGTTGAGACAATGTATGGTACGACAGACTCTGCCACCACAGGAACTAGGTCTCGAGGCGTGCTGGGTAGATTCCGTGCAATATCTGCCGCCCAGGGACGTTTTAGAAGTGCCATCGTGGCCGCTGTGCTTTCTAAATGTAAGGCGCAGGTAGTCTCCACCGACGGCCCTCCCAACACAGACTCAAGCGAGGACTTACCGACTGCGTTGACGGTGCTGGTCTGTGTGGCGGTTGCCGTGACGTTCGTTGGGGGAGCCTTTTGCATGGGATGGCTGTGGTTGAAAGCTCGGCTGGCAAGGGAGAAAGGAGAAGCTCAAAAGATGTGGTGGGAGAGACAGCGGCAGTCGGGGCTGCAAAGGAGAAATGGGGATGGGGGAGACAAGAGCTGTAGGGGGAGCGGGATGGGTGCTGGCGAGGGGATGGGGGAGAACGGGCGTATGTGACGACGCGTTTGGAAGTGTGTTGCGTGTATGATTGTCGAGAATTAGAAGCAGATGTTTGATGAATGTTGCATTCGTGCTGTTTAGAGGTATTCAGGAGCTCTCTTCCTATTAACCACATCGCTTCGATCTGCCCATCCTCTCCAGGTCCACCGAGGGTCGTAGGGCCGCATTCGCAGCAACTGGCGGGCAAGCCAACGCACTCATGTTCGAGTTGCGGCCACACGTCTTGTTGCGACGCAGATCGTGGGTTTGGTGGACAGATGACCTACTAACAAAGCACATTGTAATCAACAAGGCAGACCCACAGACATCGTGTGCTTCAACTCAAAGTAATCCGTTTGTTCTTTGAAGGCTCACAAGGCTTCGAAATAGAATCGCCTCGTGAGACAAAGCATGGCTAGCGTGCCATTTTATCGTGGGCGGAAGGGCCTTCTGTGGTTGCTGTTGCTATAATTGCCAGATTCCGCCCGCGAAATGCCAACGCTTGTGCCAGGAAATTTCTTCTTTGTTTCGTCTTCTTGTAGAAAAGCTTCTCAAAACCCTCGAAAAGGAGAGTACCCTATCGCCAACCAGAGAGTAATATGGCACCTACCAGCAGTACCGACGATGCCATGAGCAGCGTTCCCTTCGGGACTTCGAAGCACACGATTGCTTCCCGCGGAATGGCCATCGCAGGGTTCGCGAAGCGTGCTACTGCGTCTGACAAGAATTCCTTTGCTTACCTGTGGGCGTCTCCGATCTTCAAATGGACGTTCATCTGCATCATTGTCTTGATCGTTTTGGCCGTCATTTTCCTGATTTGGCGGGCAATGAAGCGTAAGGCAGCAGCAGCAGCGGGATACCAGTAAGTCTTCGGTTCTGAAGATGAGGGAGGGGCAATACTTGAACTACATATAATCTTCTGAGGAGGAAGACGTACTTGATAAAGTGCTGTGGTCAGGTATGCATTTCTTGGCAGGAAGGTGGGGCAGATATGCACGGACCAGCATCTTCAGTCCACCAGGCATTCAGCTTTCCACACCCGCACCCTCCCTCTTTGCCTTATCCCTGCCCAGAAAGCAGACATTCATAGCAGATCTTCTCTCCCTGCTCATCACTGCTCCTTCCAGCCCCTCAAATCGGTTGCTGCCCTATGCGCCGTGAAACTCTCCTTAGACCTCGCCATGTGACCTGCCTCGGCCTCGCTGTCATGGGTAAGAGACAAAACCATGCTGCCCTACGAGACCCTACCCCTCCGCATCTCAATGGGTTAATGCACTTGGACCGCCTGCCTCCTCCCGAGACCCGTACTTGAGCAGAGCAAATGAAGCAGGATCCTCGTTTGTGACATGCGTTGCATATATCGCCTATCTCCTGTTTATGCCCCTCCACTTCGCACGTAAGCACACCGACCCACACCTAGCGTGGTCAACACCGCCTATCTCTGTTGCCCTAATGTTGACGACGAGCAACAAGCCAACCCAAAGAATTCCTACCATGGCTCAGAGTGCCTTTCACCGCCTCCTAGGGGGCTTCGCATTTTATTCTGTTGCACTATTCACATACGCCCTACTCTTCTTCTTGTCCATCAGAAATGGTTCATTCTTCAGGGAAGCGTCAGAGAAAGATGAGAACGACCTAGCATTGGGTATGTCAAATACCAACACATGAGTGTAAGCTGACACCAACAGAGCGCGACCGCTACTGGAACCTCAGCAAGCAACCCTTCCCCGGCTTCGATCATCACTTCCATACCCTCCGCAATGGCAGGAAGCTACACTATGTATGCAACAAGGAGCAAAAGCCACAATCAGGCAATCTCATGATACTCATCCATGGCTTCCCCGATTCCTTTGTCCTGTGGAAGGGTCTGTTGCAAGAGCCTGCTGTACCCCTGACAGAGGCAACATGGGTTGCTGTTGATCTACCTGGCTACGGAGGTAGTGACAGCTTCGACAAGTACGACGTTGCAGTACTGGAAGCTTTGGCTGAATTCATCGTGGCCATGAGGGATACGTTTCTCACCATTGACGGCGATGGCGTTCCTCAGGCCAGCACCTACATTGTAGCACATGATTGGGGTGCAGTCTTGTCCTTTCGACTGGCTTCTGAAGCTCCTTCGCTAGCCGATAGGTTCATACTGACCAATGGACCTCACGTGAGTAAACCCTATATGGCCGTGGCTTCTCCTGACAATCATAGGTTGCCCTCAGTTTCGCAAACCGCGACCGCATTGCCCACAGCTCGGAGAAGATCTTCAAACAGTTTCGCCGCTCGCCATGGCAGAACTTTGGCTGTTTGGGGAAGTCTCTCAAGGCTCTGTCTCCGCTGTTCATACAGGCCTTGATGTTTGGCTATATTGCGTCGTTCCACCTTCCGGTGCAGATGGTCAAGTATCTGGGAACCGGTGGAAATCTAGCCTTCATCAGAGGCTGTCATTCTGTACAGCGTGGATCAAAGAAGATCGAACTCTACATTGCAGAGGCACTGGCCGGTACGCTTGGACCTGGACCACAGGAATGCAAGGTCACGTCTGCCCAGGCTACCAATGGCTCCAACCAAGGATATGGTGAAAGCGTTTTGCAGCGAGCCAAATCGCCTGCTATTGCCTTCTGGCACCAGACCTGTTATTACCGGGACGGGGCTTCCTATAAGCCGTGGACCAAGTCACTTGAAACGATTGCCGACCTGTACGCGCTGGATTCTGCAGCTTCTGAATCAAGCTCGCCTGCTAGACGTCGATCATCATCCTCCGCTTCCTCTGGACTGTTCACACCGCAAATCACCGGGCTACTCCATGCTCCAGCTACTGTCCTTTGGGGGCTCAAAGATCGAGCTTGTGGCAAGCAGATCTGCCTTGATGGAATGGGAGATTACCTTGCTAAGGACAGCGAGATTGTGCTACTGCCGAGGAGTGGTCATTGGACTCCGCTGGAGCCAGATTCACGGGTAGCGTTGGCGCGAGTTGTGGGGATGTATGCGGAGAGCCAGGAGAATGCAGTTGCGCGAGCATCGGTTACGAAGTTTGTCGGTGAGGTATATGAAGGAGCCGTGCAGGTGACCAAGAAGTAATGGTGTGAGCGCAGCATCAAAAGTGACATGTGGTTGACTAAGCAGGACTAGCCAAGAAGGCGCGCACCATATACTAGCAGTTTGGTGGATTGTATCAACAGCTGGACTGTAATAGTCCAACAGCAACGGCCTTTATGAACACCATACCATCAAAAGACACTTTTGCTGAATTGCTTCAGCTCCAGTCGCCATGGCTAACATCCCCCAGGGATCCCCATCTGAGCCCCATCCCACCATAGGCCTGCCGCCTTCCCGGACCTTCCCATCTCAACCTCGACAAGCCATTCATTTTCCTTTGCCGGACGTCAGCGCCTCCCCTTCCCACCAAGATGCCGATCCATATTCCCCCAGTAGTACTGCTGCCGCCGCTTCTTCTTGTTGCGGCACTTCCGCACGCAGCAGAAGATGCCCAGCGCCAGGCACGCCGCCACGACGAGCGACGTCACGCCGATGGCGATGATGAGCTTGTTGGAACTTAGGCTCGTGCCTGTGTTGGTATTGGTGTCGTTGGTGTCATCGCGGGCGAGGATTGGGGGGTTGGTGATGACGAGGTTGCTGTGGTCGGCGAGGAGGCTGGGGAGGTCGCTGTCGTTTGGGGTGGGGAGGGAGTCTGGGCCGAGGATGGCGCCTACGGGGTCGGTGAAGGGGAGGCGGTTGAGTTTTGGGGAGGGAGGAGGGAGGTGGTCGAGTTTGGGGCCTGTGTTGGGGTGCTCCTCGATCCCTGGGGGTGGGTGAGGGGTGTGGCGCTTGGTGAGGCGGCGGTGGGTTTGATGGTTGCGCGGAGGTGGCATGTTGTGGGAGGTTTGAAAACGGTGCTAAGATGTTGGAGTGCTGGTATATGAGGGCTGGTCGGCTGGGTTGAATCGCTTGGTCTTCTGGCTTGTGGGACCGGCGGTGTTGCGGGATTGATCATGGTCAAAGGGGAAGGGGTGGGGAAGGGATTTTGTACCATTGTAGCTGTTGGGCAATGAGTCTGCTGTGTGAGCTGGAGCAACGAGAAACGGAGCATGGTCATGAGGTCAGTCATCAGAAAGAGGTGTTGAGGTCTCAGTGGAAAGTGAACGACGTAGGCCATGAGAGGGAGTCTCATGTACGGGTACAAGACCCTGGCACTGAGCAGCCCGTCATTGGACAAGAACATCAGCCAGACGGTCTATATCAAAGGTGCTTTTGTTGCTCACGAGCAAGACAAACCATCAAGGTTGTCGGACGGAGGCAAACGCTGAGAGATATGGCGTTTGACAATGGCACTCGTAACGGCAGAGGTCATAATTCCTGGAAATTTCGCCTTGATTTATTGGGCCGTGGTGACACGTATAGATCTGTCAGTAGCAAACCAATTTGGTGTTTTCCTTGCATGACTTGGTATCGCACCGCTAGCACGAAGCCGTTTCGCGTTTCTTGACCTGCTTTGAACGACGAGTAAGAATAGTTGGGGTAGGTGCTGGAAACCAATGACGATGATGTGTTGGGGGTGCCAAGGCTCTTCTCCGGGCACCTTCCAAGATAAGCTATATCAATTATCATGTGCAAAATTTGGCTCGAATTCAGCCCGCCAATTCCAACAAACGTTGGTACTGGAGTGGGATATGTCTGGATGGTGTAGTTGGTTATCACGGTTAGTCCACTGAGCTCTGAGAATTATCAGAACCAGCTCTCTAACATATCGCGCAGTCGGTCTCATACCTAGTATGAATCCATGCCAAACATGGAGTAATCCGAAGGCCGCGAGTTCGAGTCTCGCTCTGGACAGTCTTCATCGATGTTAAACCTTTCTTTTTTGTTTTTTATTGAGCTGCTGGCTGGCTGTGCCATTGGGGTGTTGCACAGTTGGGTTTTTGCCGCAGAAAGTGGGGGTGAGGAGGGGTAGACGGGTCTCGGCAGTGGGTGGTCAAGGACCACAGATTGACGTCCAGATAGCATATACATTGCCTGTGACTCATCTCTATGAAAATCCAAGCCTACGACGCCAGCCTGGGAGCGGCCATGAGGCACCAGGGTAAACTGAATATAGCTATTTAGCAAGCAAAGCAGCCCACCAAGACCGATTTCCATCTCGACCTCTGACCACGTTCTCACGCATCATTTTGGGGGGATTGGACAAGCTTCCCACGCTCTGTATAATTTGAACGATTTGGGTGTGCGGTCATCCACGTAGAGCAGTCTCGATGACGCCAATCTCATAGTGAAGTACTTGGCTTTACCACCTCCGTCATGTCAATACACAGCAAAGCCCAGTCCTCCGCAGCAAAGGAAGCAATCAACCACTACACTCGCCGGGCGCCACAGTACGACACAGGAAACGGTGGCTGGCACATTACGCTAGGTCAAGCATTCGTCAATGAGGTCGCTCCCCAGCCAGGCGCGCAATGTCTCGACCTCGCCTGCGGCACCGGCTTGGTCACCTTTCCTCTCGCTGCAGCTACCGGAACGAACGGTCAAGTAATCGGTGTGGACATCACCCCGGCCATGCTCGATATCGCCAGAAAGCGAACTCGTGAGCTGGACTGGGCGCCCATCGAATTCATCGAGCACGACGTCGGCGACCTTGACGATGTCGAATCCGTGCAATACGTCCTGTCCAAACATGGCGGCTTCGATATCATCTCTTGCTGCTCAGGACTCGTCCTCCTTGCGGACCCCGCAAGAGCCATCAAGAAATGGGCCGAACTCCTCAGGCCTGGTGGCAAGCTCATCGCTGACGTGCCTACAGAAAACCACACCCTGCAATACATCTTCTCATGGGAGCTACGCGGCGCGCTGAACCTGCGAAGCGACTTCAACCGCTCCTGGGTGCAGGACATCCATTCTCTCGAGGAGCTATATACTGACGCAGGCTTGGCGGTCGAGAGGAGCTGGCGGACGGGAAGTCAGGGCGCCGGGGAGCGCGAATATGGCGTCGAGGAGGGCGAGAGGGTGTTTGAGGAGCAGGTGCGGAAATATCAGGAGTTTATGGACCCCAGAAAGATGGACGAGACGAAGGATGCTTTCCTGAAGATATGGGTTAGGGAGTGTGAGTGCGGTGGTGGGCGCTTCGTGGACGGGCATTGGCTTTATGTGACTATCGCGAGGAAGGCTTGATCTCACTGAGTGGTTGATTGCGCATTGCGGCTTTGATGCAGGCAGGTAATGGCGCGATTGGACCAGTGGCCTCTGTCGTGTTCATGACGGGCTCCGGAACCTACAGCCGAAGGCCGCCTTGAGGACTGTACACAGGTCGTCTCCTCGGGCCCGTCGACAGAGGCTGATAGGTCAAAATCATGTGGGGAGCGAATGACGAAGGTTGACCAAAGTCAAAATGGACTTGAACTCAAGCTGCCCAGACGTACCACGTCGAAATCCTTCACTCAATTCAGCCCGAAGCGGAGGGCAGCGCATGACGGTTGGTCACTTGTGGGATCTTTTCACCAACAGCCTTTATGGACAGCCGATAACTGACCATTGTAGCGAGGGGTCCGATTTTCTGGTAATGGTGGTCACGACTGATCCCTAGTAGCCGCGTATTGGCAACACCTTCTGCGCAGAGATACTCTGTCGGCACAATGGGCACTCGGGCTTCTCTCTGACCCAGTCCATAACGCATTCCCAACAGAAGATATGTCCGCAAGTTGTTACGCTCGGGTCCTTGTAAGGTTCGAGGCAGAGTGTACACTTTCGTTGCTGTTCAGTTTCTGCGGACGAGTCTGCGGATGCTCCGATGTAAGCGAGTGCGGAGGGCTCAGAGAGCTCAATGCGTGGCTCCGCAAGCACAGGCGTTGCGGTGTTCGCGGCTAGCCCTGGTGGAAGCTCTTGTGGCAAAGGAAGAGTTGCTGGATCGGAAGAGCTGCTATTCACGGGCAATTCTATGCCGGGTCCTACCAAGGCAGCGGTGGGTGCGGTCACACTAAGCTGGTCTGACCTAGGGAAGACTGTCTCGCGGACGTGTAGAATCGACTGCACCAAAATCTGCAGCACAAGAAGTACGCCGAGGACCTCATAGCCTTCTCTCTGTTCATTGGGACCAAGCTTCTTGGTGAAAATGTAGCGTAGTGATGTGAGACGTTTTGCGATATGGTAATAACTGCCGGTGAAGTAGAAGGCAGTCAACGAGATAGCGTAGATAGGCGAAAGAGATGTCAGGGTGTCTAGGTGTTTCAATATGTACTCTTTTGTCCGCAACGATGCTGATGGTTTGTCAGACGGCTTGGACCGCGCCTTCTGCCGCCCAATGCCGTACTCAAGCTTGGAGCGAAGACGCCTCCGGAGAGCGGGTAAGGAGTGGGAGAGAGCCCAAGGTGTTAGTGTAACAGAAATGATGTATGATAGTCGTTGCGCGAGACTCGGCAGCTGAAGTGCAGGTGAGGCACTGGAGACCTGAATTACATCGCAATACTCCTCCCCCAGTGTTCGGTTTCCGAGTAGGGTAGTCAGGCACAGGTATGCAAGTTCGGAGAGCGTTGCGGTAGCACCTGAGTACTTATGGGCAAATCGAGCGCCCAGCAAGGCCCGCAGAATGTTCGAAGCATCGACAGACAGTTGTGTGGTCATATAGGCATCTTTCTGGTGAACTCGTAGTATGTCTGGCGACGTCGCAAATGGGTAATTCATCGAATGTCCTATCGACGGCGAGGAGCCCAGTGAGGGCGGTTCTGGTACTGGCTCTGTCATGACTGCAGCGATTGCGAAGAATGCAATTGTCAGCCGTTCGACGGGCTGCAATGAAGTCTTCGTTCAATGAACGGAAGTGATGTATGGGAGCCGAGGCGCGTCGGAAGGTGCGCATTGTGGCCGCAAATCCCACCGTAGGAGAATGAACAGCGTCTACTTCGCTTCCGTCCTTGCCCTGTCCTAACGTCCCCTGCATGGATTAGACACTCCGCTTGCAGTCTTCCGTCGAGCAAACCTCACGTGTTGCTGGAGCATGATTAAGTTGGACAACTTCGACTATGGACGGTGACCCGGGCGTGGAACCGGAGGTCGATGCCTTCAGTCTCGTGCTTCCTCTCCCTTTTCGAGTGGGCATCATTCTGGTGTTAGGTATGCTGGCAGCAGTGAATACAGGCGTCGTACATACTGACGTTGACCAGGAGTATGGGCTTGGGCGTTGAACCTCCACTACCTTCACTTGGTCAAAATTGTAAGATCAGTGGGAGATTGTCCGGGTCAAAACTGACATTTCGCAGGATGTCCCTGCACTGATTCGTTATCCTCATCGTGCCTCACAATACCACGTCTCTCATCATCACTCGACTTACCGCCTGGCGACCTTCCTTACTGTACCGCTGGTGGTGTCGCTCCTCCTCTTCTGGGCTATAACACGGGGGGATCGTGCCACGGTTCTTGGATGGCAGCGGATACCCCAACTATACCTCATCTTCCTCGTTTTGTCCTTTGCCGTTCCTTTACATCGTCTGTCGAAGGGAGGTCGGTCTCGCTTCGTTCAGACCCTTCGCAGAATCAGCATAGGTGGAATTGCAGAAGCACAAGATGGCAAATTTGGTGACATACTGCTTGCGGATGCCCTTACCAGCTATGCGAAGGTTCTGGGCGACTGGTTCGTCTCGACCTGCATGATGTTTTCCGCTACAACTTCCAGCACGGCCAAGCCCAATCGTGGATGCGGCGGCGCCTACATTGTCCCGATCATTATCAGCATCCCCAGTATTATCCGTCTAAGGCAATGCTTGATCGAATACTCCCGAGTCCGCCGTAATCCGACAGCAAGCAGCGGTTGGGGAGGTCAGCATCTTGCCAATGCTCTAAAATATTCGACTGCATTCCCTGTCATATTTCTGAGCGCTCTACAGCGAGGCTACGATCCGACAACGTTCCACGTGACGGAAGCTGGGCTCTTCCGCCTGTGGCTTGTGGCTGTCTTCGTCAACTCTTTTTATTCCTTTTACTGGGATGTCGCCAAAGACTGGGACCTTACTCTATTCTCCTCGGCTCTCGAACGCAATGATCCTGAACATCCTTACGGCCTCAGGCGGCATCGGTACTTTCATTCTAACAACATGTATTATGTGGCCATTGGAGTCGACCTCTGCCTACGCTGCACTTGGAGCTTCAAGCTGTCGCCCCACTTGGACCACTTCAACGACCTGGAGGGTGGTATTTTCCTCATGGAGTTTCTCGAGGTCTGGAGACGCTGGATGTGGATTTTCTTCCGCGTGGAGACGGAATGGGTGCGTACAAGTCGTGGACCAGCTCCGGATGATATATTGCTAGGCGAGTTTGGAAAGATAGACGAGGACTGATCGAGCCATCCTACCCCAGGAGCTCCTAGACTATAGCTTATACGCTTCAAAAGTGGTGCCAGATCCTGTACCTTCTCAAGATTTATATCATGACTTCACAGTGTCATCAAGCAGTGAATTGGTCTTGGCATGTATGCCACCTTCATGCTTCACTCCAACAGCGAATAATGCAGACGTTGAGCACGACAGCCCGAACTTCTGCTCAGCCGTAATTGACTGTAAGTCGACAGTCCCTAGGTCGATTGGAAAACATGCGGATGGTAAGCTACCTCCGGCTGGATTTAGTCAGCGGATCTATATTAGCGTATCTGAAATTTGTGTCTGAAATGACACACAGATTCGTGCGTCGATGGTCTAATGGTTAGGATTGGTGCCTTCCAAGCACTAGGTTCGGGTTCGATTCCCGATCGACGCAGAGGCAGCTCTGCAGCTTGTGTTTTTGCGTCGGAGGTGTCGTCAATACATATGTTGGTACATTGGTGCCAAACACCATTTTGCTCAATGACGAAAAAATGCCGCCAATATTTCCACAAGCGGTGCATTGAGGCTGGTGGCTGTCTTGCAGCTAAGAAGGGAAAGTGTCGCGAGAGCAAAATCCTGCGCCACACACGCGCACAACTGTCATTCTCAGCCGTTGCCGCTTCTATTAATGGAGCGCCTGAATGGACAGCCTTTGGGGCGTCCAGACCTCCAGAGCCTTTCTTTCCCTGCGTCTGCCAGTGGAATGCCCTGACTCCACGGCTATCGCCTACGATGTGTGAGCAGCGAACTGAGCTTATCTTCACGACGGTTTTGCGGCTGACATGAGCATAAGGTACGAGAGAGTCAGTCGCGTCAGTGTGGATGGCAAACTCTGGTTGGCTGCTGCAGGGTGTTTCAGGCCGCGAAAGGCTCTCTTTTTGGATAGTCTTTGGTAGATCCGATGTGGTATTCTGGCGTTTCATTCCCGTTTGAGTGATTAGGTCAGTCAGTCTTATGGGGATGTCCCCGTAGGACCCAAGTAGATATGGTAGTTTGATAATTGGCTCGCAACATTTTGAATGGTATATATGACGAGTGTCCCAAGTGTCAGGACGGCTCTAGGTCATACAGGTGCACGCCGTATGAAGTCAGAGTCACCGTAGCCACGAAGACAGATATACCAAGTTGTACCCTTGAAGTCCCGACCTCTGTCATCAATACTTCAGCAGCAGCCAAGATGAGGTTCTTCTCCCGCCGCACCGATCCCAGCAAGAAGCTGGCAGAGCAAACCCGCAAGAACACCGCTGCCAATGCCAGCCCGGTAGCCAGCACCAAGTCCTCGTTCGACTCCAGCCTATCTCAAGCAGAGACCGTCTCTTCTAAGTCTCCTCGGTCGACGGCCATCCGCTGGTCTACCAACTCGACCAGCTCGACCAGCTCATCAACAAGAACCCACAATCCCCACAAGAAGGAAAACGTCACCAAGACAAAGTCCGTTGACGACAGTATCGCGGACGCTTATCGGCAGGCGAACATGCACCACAGCCCGCCCGTGTTCTGGTCTTGGAGTTGACAAGTGAGAGAGTGGCATTTCTATATGGTTTGAAGACTTTGTGGGTTGGTTCTATATGCATAGACCTGCTGGATAGATCTGTATTTCGAGTATGTACTTTGATATGAACTGGAAGATTACCTAGATGGAGATGAGGTCAGCCTGGTCAGTCTTGGGGCTGGCGTTCCGTCAGATACATCGTCTGAGATATTATAGACGAGAATTTGGGTACCAAACTCTAGCTCTTGGGCACCTCACGATGGTCTTCGTGTTGCTTCGATACCCCTTGTGACTATGATGCATCATCATGCTGGCGATGGTGGAATGGGAGACAGCGCTCCTGATGCGGAGTTTTAAGGGACGAAGCAAACGAGCGCGGAGGGCTAGGGTTAGGGCTTCAAATTGCAGCCTGATACACACGCTTCAGAGAGCAGGCGTCCTGATCAACGCATCATTCCTCCGCTTCGTTCGACTGTCACTCATGAGTGATAGCAGTCACGAAGAGGAAGTAGACTTTGATTAGTGACCAAGGTGCTGCTCGTCAAAGGGCCTGGAAGTCTCTTGAGCAAAGAATCTGCCGATCCATATCCACATTTTCGACAGTCTCAGGAGGCATCCAGCGTCTGTTGCGGTCCGTTGGCAGACCATAACGGAGGGCATTCCACGACTCTGCTGGAAGGAAAAGGCTACCTGTCGATAATCAATGCCGGGGATTGACTATGGAGTCTGATCAATAGGAGGTTTGCCTCATCGACTCCTTCACACTCACGCCAAGACCCACCATGCGTATTGCAACACTTCAATTCAACCCTCAAGTGGGTCAGATCGCGGCCAACTTCAGCCGAGCCGAGAGCTTACTGATGCGGGAAGAGCGCGAAGGCGTTCTACGCGACCTCGATCTGCTCGTATTGCCGGAATTGGCGTTCACAGGTAAACGCCCTCCCCACGCCTTGCGGGCAGATGACCTTGATAGGTCTTGCACCGGGGCCCCACCGGGACCTACCGAGGTGTGGTAGATGCAAGCAGCTGATCCAATAGACAGGGTACAATCATCCCTCGCTTTCGGCGATCGCGCCATACCTGGAGCCGACGGCGGCTGGTCCCTCTACGCGATGGGCGGCGCGCACTGCCTTACGGCTCAAATGCACCGTTGCAGTTGGCTACCCGGAGGCCGCGGAAGAAGGCAACTTCAATACTGCATATGATGCTAAAATCACCGCCGAGGAAGGTACCGTTGCCTACAACGCACTGGTCATTGTGGATTCTACCGGCGAGGTAGTGGCTCACTACCGCAAATCTTTCCTATACTACACAGACGAGACATGGGCACAAGAAGGGCAAGGCTTCTTTGCAGGTGTGCTTCCCATGGGCGCTGCAGGACATCGGATGAAAGCTGTGGCAGGTATCTGCATGGACATTAATCCGTACAAGTTCGAAGCGCCATGGACAGCCTACGAATTCGCGAATCATGCGCGCGAGTCACGAGCCAAGATTGTCATTCTAAGTATGGCATGGCTTACGCATCTAACTGCGGATGACCTCGCCGAGCAGGTCATGTTGCCTGATACGTCTACGGTCGGTTACTGGGCCGAACGGTTCCGCCCGCTAATGAACAGCACCACGGGCGCAGATGACGAAGTCATTATCGTTTGTGCCAATCGGGTTGGTATCGAGGGGACGTGCCCACGGATAGGTCAAGTCAAATACGCTGGCAGCAGCTGCGTCTTCTCAATGATGAAGGGCCAAGATGTCAGAATCTGGGACATCTCTGGTCGATCACAGGAGGGGGTGCTACTCGTTGACACCAACAATCGACCGGGGTTCTCGATCGCACCCCAGGAGAAGGCTGAGACGATCGGAGGGCCTATGGATGGCCAAACTCAAGCTGCAGTCGATCAGGCAGCCGAGCAGAAACCCGCCTCTGACGACTGATAGCCTAGCCATATGCAGCAGGACCGTGTGGACGACTGTGATGTATCATCGACGTGCGTGGCCCTCAACACGTTTCGGGTCGATGCATAACTATCCAGACGTGCTTCTCCAGTTTCCACTGAATGGATGCAAGTCTCCATGCTGAGGCTGGCGACTAGTACAGGCGGAAGTGCGGGTAGCGACAGAAACGCATGCAAGTCCTATGGCGTGTTTGGAGGCGCTTGCAGGGATAACTAGTTCTCGTCCTGCAGATCTCCGAAGTGTCTACTGTTCACATGAACACGGCACGATTGCTTGTACTTTTCGAAGCTCGAGACGTTGCCAGATGGTCAGTGGCAATTCGGAACTTTGTTTGCAGGGCTATCCAGGTCAACAGGAGCCCAAAACTTGATTCACGGATGTCAAAGCCAGACGTGCATGTGGAATATACTGATGGTGGGCGGAGTCGTTGATAGGGTTCCGTGGAGGAACCAATGAGAGTATGACATGGACCAATGCTCAGCTGATCTCTACACCACCACCACCACCTGAGACAAATGTGGGGGAGAAGGCGCCCGGGCGTGACGAGCCATCAGGAATGCGCCTCGGCCCTGGAGCCTTGCATTGATGATTCGTCTCCTCGAGAAGGGTGCTCTAGGTCCAGATTCTTGTCTGCGAAGATGCGACTGTGGGTGAGCACCACAGGTGAGCAGGAGGGGCAACTCGGATAAACAAAGCTCCTTTTCCGTGAACTGCCTTCCACTAAACGCTTCTGGGTATAGCGCTACCTGGCTCATTCGCACGTGACTGACCTCTTGCTTGCCTCTGCTCACACTCGATCACTCCCCAGCAACATCCCAACTCACATTTCTTTGCAAGTTGACCTCTTCTACCGCCCCGTCAGACTGCCTTTCTACTGTTTGTCCACAATATTCCCATCCGCCTCACCAAGGATCAGCCAAGGGCGACTTCCATTCCCAGGTCACCTGATCAATAATCACGTGTAAGTCGCAGGTCCTCCATCGATATCCCACCATAGCTTTCCCAGCACCCTGTCTACGCCCACAGCGCCGTCTGCGCGTCATGCTGGCAGTCATCTGCCACGCTTAAGACGCGCAAAGTCACTCAATTCACTTTGGGTCGACCTTGTCCGCGGTTTCCCTTGGACGCGCCGAGATGCGAACTCCGGCCAGCCTGAGGCTTTCGCGCATGACAGACCCTCATGTGATACTCCGAGGACACCCTCTTTTGCAATAGATCTGCTTTACCTTGCCTTAGACCCCGTCGCTATCAGGAATGCTAACATGTATGCTTCTATAGAGGTGCGAATCGCAGCTGTCCCTCGTCCGTCGATCCCGTCCGGGTGACCTATCCAGCCTCTTGCCGGACTCGACTTCTGCTCGATCCTGTACAGGCATAAAGAACCTCGCGTGCATTAGGTCCGGCTGCCATCTGCAAGATTGTCGTCCCGTCCACCTCCCGGCCTGTACACAGCAGACAGCGAATCGTCCCAAATAGCCTGCAAGCAGGATCGCCCATCACAGCAACGTCGCCAATCCTGTGCCGCCGTACCACTGGGATTTGTATCCGCACCTTTTATGGCCGCTCTTGTACGTTCGTCACCAGTCGACGCAATGGCGCAGCCTTCCAACAAGCGCAAACGTGGGAACGATGATCTCGGTCGCAACGTTAAGGAGAACAAGTCTACAAACCCCGAGGAAGACTTCTCGGCTTCGCTGCTACAGATCGCCTCCGACGACAACCAGCGTACTGCCCAACAAGCTCTGTCTCACCAAGAAGTCCTTGCTCAGAGCGTTTCGTACCCAGATCCTGCCTTTGATGCATCGGGTCTCGATGCCTTCGGCAATACCTCGCCTTCCCAAGCTCTGAGCACCCCACAGAACCACAACCTCTATACTGGCGTAGGCCAGACTTCCAACACTGGCGATGGCGTCAAACCTTCGGTCGGAACACCCGAATGGCACCAGGCCCGTAAGGATAGCCACAAAGAAGGTAAGCGTGCTTCATATTGCTCTAACATTTCCGCTCTAACCTGTGTCTAGTCGAGCGGCGTCGACGTGAAGTCATCAACGAAGGCATCGAGCACCTTGCTAAGATCGTCCCCGGTCCAGACAAGAACAAGGGAGCCATTCTCCAGCGTACGCACAACTGGATTACCGATATGCAGGAGAAGGAGCGCAAGTGGGAAAACGAGCGCCAGATCACCCAACTTGCTCTCGATGAACTTACCAAGCGTAACGAGACCCTCCGCAACTCCAACCGTCAAGCTTGGAATGAGTCGAACAAGTGGCAGCAGCGTTGTCGTGATCTCGGTGGAGAGTTCGATGACTATGACAGTCACGGACCCCAATTTGATGATGCCAACGACCTCGACTCATCTCTGCCAACATCATAGAGCGATGCACTGCAGCCTCGCGATGTTAACGACTTACCGCTTGTCGAGACCAAAGTCGAGAAGGAGGATGGGACAGCCCACATAACTCTCACATTCTCGTTCTCGATCTCGAACGAAGCACAAAACTCTCTATCTTCTTAGAGTCCTCTGAAGCCTCGAGCAGGGGTGGTCCCAGCCCACAGCCGCAATACCTAACCGTGGCCACCCCGAGTCATCAGCACGCAAGCCACACGGGTTGATCACACTCATCACTGCTTTTGAAGGGCATCTTCATTGTTCATCCTTTGTGGGGCCAGGCAATACTCCCACCTATTTCCGGACTTCCACTTCCACTGTTTCCAGCACAGGAAGGTTTTCGATAGACGCACACCACAGCAGAGCACGGCGCAACCAAGGAAGGCAGGCATGGGCGTTGTCGAGACTCTTGATTGATTCTTTTATTGATTGGCAGGAGCAAACACCAGGCATAGATCATTGCATCTTGCACACTCACAGCCGCTGTCTACTGTGATCGCGCGTAATAGTCATCTGGCAAGGTATTGCTCGAGAGCATGTAGCCGAGAGCAGACAGCGATCAAAAGATTGAAGAAAATCGTCTCGTCTCTGCTGCGTACGTGCTCGTGCTACGTATGAACTCGTCCTCTTCATCCCCGCTCATGCTTATCGCCACTCGCCTTCCTCGATATGAAATCAGGAAGACAATTCGCCCGGTATGACTCTACTACGCCAAAAAGCCAGGACTTGCACGATCTACGTACCATAACGCTCAGGAATGTGTGCGAAGGCCAGTAATGCTCTGCTCTGCCGATACAACAATTGCCCACACACCGACTATCGTAGACACATAGAGCATTTTCGACCCAACTGAGGATCGTCACCCCTCTTCTCGATGCCACCCAGCTGGGACGCAGCCTCCTTCCTCACCGCCTGCCTCCCTCCCTCCCCCCCTCAGCACCTCACATCTCCTTAGCTCCCGCCACAACAGCCTCACCCCCTGTTCTCCACCTCCTCCATAAAATACATCCTCCCCGGCATCCCATAAGCCGGCTTCCCCGCCCCCCTCAAGATCTGATAGATCTCAAACCCCTCCACCACCCTCCCCCTCCCCTCCCTCGCCCCCACCTCTTTCCTCCTCAATCTCCCCTCCATCTCTTCCGCCCCGACCAACGTACTCTCCCCTCCCGTGCCTCTGGCCTCCCTCCCCCAAACCTCCGCTCTGAACCCCAGTTCCGCACCCACGACGATCGCCAGTATGACCTTCGTCTCAATGAGCGCCAGCTGCTCGCCGATGCAGGTCCGGGGACCCTTCTCGAAGGCGCGGAACGCGTCTTTGCCTTCCGGCGTGAAGAGTTTGGATTGGGGGAAGGGGAAGGGGGATTGTTCTGGTAGGAAGCGCTCGGGGATGAAGGAGGTGGGGCGGGGGAAGTATTCTTCGTTGCGGTGGATGAGGAGCGCGATGGGCCAGAAGGCGGTGTTGGCGAGTGGCAATTGCGCGCGCTGCTGCCAGGGTGACCCCTTGGGGGAGGGGTTGGGGATCGTGTGTTCTGGGTTGGAGGTTTGGCGCAGCGTGGAGGCTGGGGGGAAGAGGCGGAGGGTTTCTTTGAGGATGGCGGTTAGGTAGGGGAGGGAGTTGATGGTGTAGGGGTCGGATTTAATGAGGGGCGCGAGGGTGGCGGGGGAGAGGTCGGCGCCGTAGACGGCGTGGAGCTCGGTGATGAGTTTGCTGCGCACGGTGGGGTGGTGGTGCAGGAGGTAGAGGCCGTAGGCGATGGTGCTGCTGGTGGTGTCGTGGCCGGCGAAGAGGAAGGTTTTCACGGCGGTGATGGCTTCGGTGCGGAAGGTCGCGTCTGCCTCGCCTGCGGATGGCTTGATCGAGGTGCCCGAGGCGCGGTTCGTGAGTTTTTCCTGCGCGTAGCCGTCGAGGGCAAGGTCGACGGCGGAGCGGCGTCGGTCTTTGAAGGATTTTTGGCTGGCAGTCTGGTTCGACTGTTTGCGCTTGGCGAGCGCGCGGTCGACTTCGACGCCTACGAGGTGGTCGAGGGTTTTGGTGTTTTGATGTAGGCGCCACAGGCGGCGGAATTCCAGGTTGTTGAGGATGCTGAAGGTGCGGGCGCTGTTGTGCATGAAGCTGGCGCGCTCGCGGAAGGCGGTCACCAATGGATGGTCTTGCTGCTGGGAGTTGAGATCCGTGTCGAGGACGACTTTGCCGATGATGTCGATGGTCAGACGGGTAGAAATCTCCTCTAGTTGGAAGAGCTCGTTCGCGCGTGCCTTTGCGCGTAGGATGTCGACGTAGATGAGGGTGCTGTCAACCATGTAAGGGACGAGGGTCATCAGATGAGTGGCGCTGAAGCCTGGATTGTACATAGCCCGAAGAGACTTCCAATGCTGGCCCTCAGAGGTGAGCAGGCTGTCTTTTCCCAGGAAGACGTTGAGATAGTTGGTCGCGGCCGAGGCTTTGGGGAGGCTTTGGCCTGTTGTCTGCGATCCGTCAGTCCATCTTTGTTCCCTGGCTCTGGGGAGAGAGAGTAGAAGAAAAGCCTTCTCTGCTAGAAATGAGAACGTACCGCATACTGCGATGCAATCACCGGATCGTTGGTAAGGACAAAACGATCGCCTACCGGCCACAGGTCCAGGTACCAGACGGACGGCATGTTGTATTTCTGCTGGATATAGTTCACAATGACATGAAAATGGGTGTCCTCAGGAAACAACGGCATCGCTTTGGCCACGATGGGGATGCTTCCCAACAGCCAGTGCATGACGGGTGGCTGTGGACAACCGGCGAGCTCTGCGCGCTTTCGGCGGACTTGGATCAGGCCATAGACGATGCTGGCGCAGAGCAGCGCTGCGACCGCGCGCCACATCATGTTGAGAGCAGACCTCTAGCGGTGGAAATTAGATCGAGGTCCAAGAAGCAAGCCGTGGCGGCTGATAGAGGTCTTCTCTGTGGTGCGTGTTGAAGCTGGGACGAGTGTACCAGCTGAACTCTTAGATGTTGTGCGGTGTATATAACACTATCACCTGGGTTCATATCTCGAGGGACAGGAGTCGGGATCTCATGGGACCGCTTCAAATGAGCCACTGACCTTGGTCGCATCCGGGACTGCCGTGGTCGTGAGTAAGATGACTCTGGGCGGGCACAACTACCAGGTAACAAGACCCCAGCTACTAAACAACCGGGACCGAACAAATGGGACAAATGGCAGTACGACAGACGAGCCTAGAAGCCTTCTCTAGTGTCGTCCGTCACGAGTCCGAACCCGAAACATATCCTTGACCGCCCATTCAGCGGGGAAAGAAACCGAGGGTGGACGGGGTTGTAAGGCGTCCAGTCGTGCTAGTCTCGATGGCGAGCAGTTAGCGGTCGCAACAAGATGCCGTGTCGTGGATAAGATTATGATGGCGACTTGCAGGGTCTATGCGAGCGCTGGTACCCTATGAATTACGAGTCGATGGGACTTCACCTAGTGTAGAACTCGGAAGAAAGATCGTAAAGTGGCATTGTTGAAGACTTCGTGTCATAAAAAGGCTATCCAAACATCACGAATCCCACATAACTTCGCCCAATTGTAGAAGTACATCACCCATGCGTTTGCGCGCCTTGACACTTTCCTCGCGGTCGTCGCCTCGCAATGCTTCGCTAAAGCAAAGCTCGATCAGGGTGCGCAGCTCGTCGTAGCTAAAGCCTACGCCTTTGCCCGATGACTTCGCGTTGCTGACATACTTCATGACCTCGTCGGGCCCCTCCAAGAAGAGCGAGTAGTACGCGTGTGTGTCGGTGAGGATGCCGTCGTCCTCGTTGCCGTCGCCCGATGCAGCGACGATCCCCAGCCCATTCATGTCTGCCGGTGCAGTGGTACCATTCTTGGTCTGACGCACATTGGCAATCATGCCACGCAGATTCTGCTGCACTACCATGGCGTCGACCCGCATTCGCTCCGCACCGTTGACGTTCATGACGAGGACGTTGTCGGCACCCGCGACCATGTATCGGTCGACAAGCCGTCCCAAGCCCGAGGCAATAAATCTGCGTTCCTTGATGCCAAGCTGAGCCGTGATGTTGGCATCGAAGGAAATCAAGTCGCTGTTTAGCCTCAAAACAAGGGGCGAGGCCGAACCCGGCGGACTGCCCAAGACGAATGGATATGCGCCAGACGACAGCGGCGGCAGACCCGCAGAGTCGACTCGTTGAACATTTTGCCCTGGCTCGCCGCCACCCATCGAGCCGGGCAGGTCGGGACCACACAAGATGCGCGAAAATTGGTACATGATGCCACATCGGATATCGAGATGCAGGGTAAGCAGCGACGTCTGAGCGAGATTGCGGAAGGATGTTACTGTAGTATCGAAAGGAATCACAGTCTCGGAGGTCAGAGGTAGATACGTGAGCTTCTCAGGCGAGTCCGTGCTGAGAGGTTTCAGGCTTTTAATCAGCGTCCAGCGACGGGTGTTCTGCCCCTGAGACTTGCTTGAGGGTGTATTGACCACATGCCTGAGTTGAGACAGCGCCGCAGTAAGCCACTGCATGCTGTTGTACAGCAAGGACAGCTGCTGCACAGATTTGGGATCCGAGATGATATCGTATGCTGACACAGGCGATGCCTTGATCGCCTTGAGCAGCGCCTGTACCTCTTCATTCACCAGCTCGGGGTTGTAAGTTCCTGAAGAGCTGGCGTTCCACAGCTGTAGAGCGAGATCGTGTACCTCGCCAGACTCGGCGTATGATGCGGCCGCTTTCAAAGTGAGTGTCTGGGCATTGTGGTTGGTAGGCGACGACACGACCCGGCTCACAATACGCTTGTAAAAGCCAAAGCACTTGTCATAGTAAGTCACGAGCTGATTAATAATCAATTGCGTGAACATCTGATCGTGCGGTATTGATGCCAGCATGGACGAGAATGACCGGATCAAGCCCATAAAGGTGACGGCTCCCTTGAAGATGGGGTGCGGCGAGTGCTTAGACCAACTAGCATCCTCTTCAAAAGCTTCAATGTCGACCAGACAGTGTGTGCAGAGCTCCGTTACAGCTTCTTCCAGCTGCGGATGGAAGATATTGATCAGAAAGTCGTCCAGGAAGGATGTCAATGTACTGATGGGGATGTTCGCAGTCTGTGGCACAACCTCCTTGAGACGTTGCAAGAATGTGAGCGACGGCGTCAGTAGAATCGTCATGTTGAAGACGCCTGGTTCGATCAGCAGCTTGTGCCCAGCAGAAGTGTTGTCAAAGCCGCCTCTCTCTGCGACTTCATTGACACCCTTGTTCTTGGACCTTCTCACAAGACCAGGCACGGAAGACTTCAGGATTTCGTCCAATTCGTCCTCTTCTTCTTTGATGCCGAGAGCTTTCTGATCCATTTCCGACAGTTTGAACATACGCTTTTTCCTGTCCCTCTGCTGCCGAGCAAAGACATCCGCGGCAGTCGCCGCGGTGAGGCCGCCTCTGGAACCTCTGTCGCCGTCTGTGGCCAGGTAGTCATGCAATGTTGAGCGCATCTCCATTTGGTAGAGTTTCCACAGCTCCTTGAAGCTCCCAATCAACTTGTCAGGCTTGGAAATCCCTTCTCGAGCAGCAAGACCCGAAACCACCTCGTGAAGGATTCGAAATCCCTCGGCTACGGCCTCAAACTTGGCATAAAGTGTCCACAGGAAGTCTGAGAGCACCTGGCTTCGACCGTCGTCCACTCTCATCGTCATTGTCGTCCGCTTGTCCTTGTTCAATTGACCGCGAACATGGCTGGGGTAGCGCCCATCGACTTCTGAATTGGTCTTCTCGACGACGCGGTACAGTTCGACGGGCATTCTTTGCTCTAGCCTCAGTACAGCCTCCTCCAAATGGCCAAGTTTGTTCAGCGATTCCAGTATCAAGTGGATATAGTAGAAAGTGTCCGCCTCGGGATTCTTCGACGCGTCCTCTTCCATGACCACTGAGGTATCCAGGTTCGAGAGAAAATGATAGACTGGTCGATCCCAGGAGTTTCCAGTCTCACTCATGCTTGCCACGCCATCAACTTGTTCTCCGTTCGGTTGTTTCTTCTTCCACCGGTCGGCGCAGTATGGACTCTTGAGGTAGAGATGATCGTGCAGCTCTTCCACAAGGATGTCCACAAGACTGCTTTCTTGGGTCGCAAAATATGATCGCATGTCGGATAGCGCAGCGATTTCTTCAAGCTCAGACTTGCGAAGTCCTCTGAGACTCTCCATAAGCAAGTCGACGGCGGACAGGAATCGCTTCTCGCTGATCCGCTCTTCCAGCTTGCCTGGAACGGTCTTGAGATCTTCAATCAAAGAGACGAGCACCACCATGTCATCCAAACTGCCACTCGTTTCGGCCAAGGATCTCAACTCAGGCTTTGTGGTCAACATGCCACCTTTGGTGCTCATAAGCCCACCCTTGAGCATGCGTACGCGATTCTGACTTTCTCGTATGGCGTTCTGGATTTTGTGATAGGTTCCGACTGCTGAATTGAAATCGGCATAATGCTCGTTAACCACGCTCTTCAATGACTTCTGGAGGTCAACATGCGTTTCTGCGAAGTCGGGCTCCTTCTCTGCCAGTCCTAGAGAGCTAGGATCCATCAATTGTAGCGCAATCTTGACAGGCACGCAGTCATCGCCTTCCAGTGTTTTCCAATTGCCCTGAATATGTCGCATAAGCTCATCCATCGACTTCGTAGGTCGACTGGGTGAGTAGTCTTTGTAGCGGGAGGTCGCAGAGGTTGGAGCAGCGTAGCCATTTGCAGCAGCACGTGTTGCACTGGGGATCGGTGGCGGCTGCTGGTATCGTTCCTCAGGTGGTTTCAAGCCTTGACCGCGGTCTCTGCTGCGACTCTCGCCATATCCTCTGTTTCCTTCTCTTGTAGGTGGCCTCCGCTCGGCGGACTGAGGAGCCAACGGTGGTGTCCCATATCTGCCCGAGTCGGGCAATTGGTCTCTAGGCTGTTCTCTCAGCTGATCCCTTGGTTGGTCTCGAGGCTGGGATGGCCGTCTCGGGTTATACTGTTCTTGATCATCTCTCGGCCTCGATGGGGGTCGGCCATAGCCTTGAGGTCGATCTTGAGGGTGTGACGGTCGCCGGTCGCGTGGACCGTCGTAGCTACCGTAGCGATCCGCCGATGCTTGCGGAGGCTGCGGAGGCCCGCCTAAGCCACCATAACCAGCCCCTCTTCTGCCATCTCTCGGCGGGCCAGGACCAGGACCAGGACCAGGACCAGGCTCGGCGCCGTATGGATTTGGCTGAGGCGATCTCCTTCGTTCTCTTCCGGGGTCTCTGGTGTCTCTTGAGCTGTAGCTGTTCACACTGGCGCTCGACTGATTGTTGCCAGCCAGGTACGGGTCTGCATATCCTCCGCCTCCACCTCCTGCACCAGCATATGGATTTGCGATATTGGATCGGGACCCCGAGTACCCGTTCACTGCGTAGGGATTACCTCCGCTCATATTGGGCTGCCGGAGGGCAGGCACTGCGGGACCGAGCTTGGAGGATACCTTTGCTGTCGCGTCGGATTCATAGCTCGTCTAGCAGGATCATTGACGAGTAGAGAAGAAACAGTGGAGTGAAAGCAATGTTGGTAAGGGTGATGCTGAAACGAAACATCGCAGTCGGGGCCACGAAGGCAGTGAACGCGCACGAGTCAGGCTCGACTCCTGGAATTCTATATCTGACTCGGACGATTCTGTCCGCTCACTTAACAACTACATCATCATTGTTCGCCTTGTAGGTCTGATACTGGTCTGAATCTATGTGATGTACTCAAAGTCACTGCCCCGGCAAGCCACCCAGAAATCCCTCACAACCTCATTTGTCTTCCGTGCTCCGCGAAGACCGTCTACTTGAGAAATGAACCTGTCCCGCTGTTCCTGTGTTGTCGCTTGTAAGGCTTTGTCTGTCAGAACACGGTTATCATCTTTCATGGCCTCGCGAGCAATGCTTTTGAAGAGCATAGGCTGGTTATGAACATAGCGACGGATCTGCTCGGAGAATACATCGAGCTCGGATCGGGCACATTCACCCCCAACTAATCGCATGAACGACGCTATGATTCTGGGCTGGTAGCTTTCACCGAGGGCATGCAGGTTTCGTTGCGCAGGACTGTCGTGAGGCACCTTACCAGCCTTGCTGAGCTCGACGAATGCACCGAACAGGTGTGCCGCTGACCGCCGGGGCAGTGTGTCCGGCTCGGCAATGACCAATAGGCCCAGCTCTAAGCACAGTGCGAACGCTTCTTGCGCCTCGTCTAGCTCTAGGAGCGTGTTACCCCATCGTGGCAGCGATCTCGACATGAAATCCAGAGAAGCAGCGGCGTACGTGCTGTCGCGGATGACGGAGATGCGATCGTTCGAGTTCAACAACTGCTGTATTCCCAATAGGATCGGCTGCAGCAAGCGAGGATACTGTGGACCAAATTCCTCCGGTGAAGCTGCCGCGAGGAGGCTTGCAGCAGATCCCATGACAACATCGATGTTCGGGGAGTGGATTGAGACGTTCTGTGTCACCAGATCGACTGATATCGGAGACGTGAACTTGAAAGGCGAGGGATGCATCTCGGTGAAGCCTGATCTCACAAAATCACAGGAGGCCTCGATGAATTCGCTGCTGGCTCTGGAGCCCACTCTTTCGATGACCTGCTTGTAAATCTGAAGAGTCTGGTGCTGCACATTTGAACCCGGCCCATTGATCCAGAAGCCCGAATTGCTGGATACGACATTCTCCAGATCAACTGGTGTATCATCGGGAGCTCTTAGGCCTCTACCAATGGCGGCAAGAGTCTGGAGCAGATCTGTGTTCTGTTCTAAGAAGTTTTCCTCGTCTGCCGAGGTAACGTGGCTGGCTTCAACGTCGCGTGCCAGAAGACCAAGTATCTCCGTGAGTGGCTGGACCTTGGCTGATTCATTGTTGATCGACTGCACTACCGCAGCTACTGCGCCATAGATGCGATGGCGCTCCATGCCTCGGAGATCTTGGATAGTATTGAGGGAAGCGATGAAGCCACCAAGCGCTTCGGTAAGAGATGAGCGCTGTGAGTCGCACAGCGTGTAGATGGCTCGCGACGCTATTGTTGCACTTGCAGGAAGGTGCAGAGACGAGAACAAGAAGCTCAAGATCTCCATCAAGTTCGGATGACGCTTGAAGTAGGATGTCATCTCGGATATGAACTTGATGCACGTCTTTCTTGCCATGTCCGGGACATTCTGGGAATGGACGACCTCACGGAAGTGGGCTCCCTCTAGGATGGACGCAATCAGAGAGTCGTATATCTCGGGTTCTGCGGTCATAGTATCAGCGAATGCCACCAGACAGTAGAGACTTCCCTCGAAGTCGCGCCAGTCTGGCGCAGAAGTTGTTCTTGTGACGATGGCTTGAATCAGTGGAGGCCCAAGGAGGCCAAATGCCGACTGAAGGAAATCTTGGACTTCAAATCGGAAATCTTGGAACTTGGATCGATCGTCTCTGTCCCAAGAGCGAGTCGAGAAGTTCATCTCCTCCTCGGGCATTTTGGCTTTCGCAAGGCACGCCTCGCAAGCCTGTCCCACGAATTGTTTCAGAAAGTTCTCGGCCTCCGGATCCGGGTCCCAATCTGTATGGCCCTCGACAATTGTGTTGATTGTTTCTAGCATCATCTGGCACACCTCATCGTCGACACCAGCTGTTCCCTCACATCTCAGCATTGTAAGAAGCAGATTCATCATGTCGTGATAGCGACCCGAGTGAATGTAGTCTGGCGAAGTTGTATCGACTTGCAGCATGATGGCATCTAGCAGATCCACGAAAGCCATAGCTTCGGTGCTCGGATCTCCATGCACAAGGCTTGAAACCCAACCGCGCGCCACCTCCGAGGTAGCGAATGACTGAGGATATCTAGAGTCGGCTTTAGACAATAGCCTTGGAGAGAGGGTCTGGATCATGACAAGGGCGTGTAGTGCAGGTGTGGCCAGATGATTGTTCTGCAAAGCTTTCAATGCCATGCTTGTACAAAGCACCGCTTGCTTGTTGGCGGACTGGGTCTCGGCTTTTGGCGCATGGGCTTCTTGAAGCTTCAGCAGACCTGTCCAGAGGGGCAGTGCTTCAAGAGCTGATCGCGATAGCATAGTGAAATCAGCTTGTGGGAAATTCAGCTGGGGAGGATTAGAGCTTATGCTTGGATCGATAAATGTCTGACAGTAGCCCGTGAGAACATGACTGAGCAACTCCAAGGTATCGCTGCAGCTGAGGGAGAGTTGTTGCTGGGTTGTGCTTCCTGGAGCCTTTGAATTAACATCTTCCGCCAGAGTGACACTGAGACGCAGGATGCTCGCAATCTGTTTCGCTGACCGCTGTGATGCCAGGCCGAGAAGGCCTGCCATTGGAGGGAGTTGCTCGGAAGGGACATATTGGCCTTGTAAAAGCGAGCCGAAGATGTGGCGCACAGGCGATGGCCACTCGGCTCCAAGCTTCTGGTACAACGTGGCCAAGGTGGACGCCAGCTTCTGTAGCACATAATTTTCGTCTTCAAGCAAGGCTAGTCGTATGTAGCTCGACAGGAGTGCTTCTAGCAGAGAGCTACGTGCATCGGTGTCCTTGCTGAACTTGTCGGTTTTCCTGGACTCGTTAGGCAGAACATCGCAGAGGGGAGCGTTCTCACCAGTCGGCATTGATTTTGATGGTCAAAGTCAGTGCCCCGTAGAATCGAATGAGGGCATCCTGGTTCTGCAGGAAATCGAGGGCTGCCTGCCAGGCCGAAGTTTCTCTCTGCAGGACCTGTAGCTGCTTCTGGATTTGATGTATGTGAGCGGGCGAGCCTTGATTCTTAGGGTCATTCAAGGCGCGAATGAGCGGCTCCATGACTGATCAGTCGAAAGCTCTCGAGACCGCCGGTCCTCCTTAAGGAGGGGAAGTGAGTTGTAGACAGATTTGCAACTGAGGCTGCCGACTGGGGCTTCTGTCACCTAAGATGAAGAGTTGTGGGCGTAGGTGGTTGAACCCCACCTTAGACCATGTGTACTTCACCATCCGCAGCGATAATGCATCACCTTTGTCTTGATCATCATCATAGAATGCACAAGCGCCCTGCGAGTACTCTCGACAACTGAAACAGTCACGCGTGAATAATCCTTAGGACTGGGCCAATATATGTAGCGAAACAAAACAAATCCTTGGTTACCACAGTAGTATAGCGGCCTTGCGCGCTCACGACGAACTCCTGCCCAATCATCCCACGCCTTCTGCTGCACCACCGACAGTGACCTCTTCAAGCCCCGACTACAACATCGCTCTTTGTCAATGCGCTGGCCGCATTTCCGGGTCTTTTCCATCCCACGGAAGCCCTCTCACCTATTCACCGCGCCGTTGTCGCCTACAATCTCAGTCCGCTCCTTCTCCTTCTCCAGCTCTCTCAGAAGCCTCGACATGGAGACCGTTGATACCTCAAAGCGTCTCGCGCACCTGCGCGCCTTGATGAAAAAGCACGCGGTGGATGTGTACATTGTCCCATCGGAGGACAGCCATCAATCTGAGTACATTGCTCCGTGCGATGCGCGGCGAGCGTTTATCTGCGGCTTTTCTGGTTCAGCTGGCACAGCTGTCATCACGCAGGATAAGGCAGCGTTAGCAACAGATGGGAGATACTTTAACCAAGCTTCGAAGCAGCTGGACGCAAACTGGCAGCTATTGAAACAAGGCCTGGAAGATGTACCGACCTGGCAAGAGTGGTATGTGCCCCACTACACATGGACGTAGCCTCGCTAACTGCTGACAGGACGACGGAGCAAGCCGAAGGTGGAAAGACCGTGGGTGTTGACCCGACCGTTATCACAGCGATAGAAGCTCGCAAGCTCAGCGAAACGCTGAAAAAGAAGGCGAATGCCAGCCTGGTGGGAGTGAAGGAAAACCTGGTAGATCACATCTGGACTGAGCGCCCGGCCAGGCCGACGGAGAAGGTTATCGTTCTCTCTGAGAAATATGCTGGCAAGTCATTCAAGGATAAGCTTGCGGAACTGCGAAAGGAGATTGGGAAAAAGAAGGCCGCAGGGATGGTAGTGTCGATGCTGGATGAGATCGCCTGGCTCTTCAACCTTCGAGGCAACGACATTCCCTACAACCCAGTCTTCTTCTCATATGCCGCTGTAACGCCGAAGACTGCTACGCTCTATGTCGACTCGACCAAAATGAGCTCCGAGGCTCTGGACTATCTGGGAGATGCTGTCGCCATCAAGCCGTATGATGCCCTTTTCTCCGACCTCAACGCCATCAGTGAGAACGCTGTTGCCGAAGCTCAAGAGAACGGCGAGACTGAGATCAAGGTGAAACCGAAGAAGCTGTTGCTTTCCAACAAGTCCTCGTGGGCGCTCAGCCTGGGACTCGGGGGTGAGGAGAAAGTCGAGGAATCACGGAGCCCCATCTCTGACGCGAAGGCTATCAAAAATGAGACCGAGCTTGAAGGTATGCGACAATGCCATATTCGAGACGGGGCTGCCTTGATTGAATATTTTGCATGGCTGGAGGATTCGCTTGTGAATCGACAGGCTCAGATTGATGAGGTCCAGGGGGCAGAAAAGCTCGAACAGATACGATCCAAGGGCGAGCATTTCGTTGGTCTCTCATTCGACACCATCTCATCAACTGGTCCCAACGCTGCCGTCATCCACTACAAGCCAGAACCAGGAAACTGTTCCGTGATTGACCCGAAAGCAGTATATTTGTGCGACTCTGGGGCTCAATATTTCGACGGCACAACCGACACCACGCGTACACTTCACTTTGGAACGCCTACACAAATGGAGATCAAGTCTTACACCCTTGTCCTGAAAGGAGTAATTGCACTCGACCGTGCCGTCTTCCCAAAAGGCACGACAGGATTTGCCATTGATGCATTTGCGCGCCAACACCTGTGGCGAGAGGGTCTTGATTATCGGCACGGAACGGGTCACGGCGTCGGATCGTTCTTGAACGTTCATGAAGGTCCTATTGGTATCGGCACAAGGTCCGCCTACTCGGAGGTATCCTTGAGCATCGGCAACGTCATTTCAGACGAGCCCGGATACTACGAAGACGGCAACTTTGGCATTCGGATAGAGAACATGATCATGGCGCAGGAAGCAAAGACCAACCATAAATTTGGCGACAAGCCATGGATCGGATTCGAGCACGTTACGATGGTACCGATGTGCAGGAAGCTCATTGACCCATTGTTGCTCGATCCCGAAGAGCGAGACTGGTTGAACAATTACCATAAAGAGGTGTGGGACAAGACCAGCCCGTTCTTCCAAAACGATGACAGAACCACTACCTGGCTGCAGCGAGAAACAGCCATCATCTGAGGGAGCAGCAACAGAGTGTTGAAGTGAGGGACAATTGGTCTTGATACCCTATAGAGCGCGAGAGCCGTCATCGCCATAGATGTGAGATGTGGATATCAGGCCAACAGCGCTGTCTCAAACAATCCAAGAAACACCTGACCTCCTCTGCTACGTGGTGTATCACTCCCAGATATTTGTTTTGCCGTGTAGAAGGCTGTATTCGGCATTCATATGCCCTAGAACGGGCGAAACTCCGGTCTTTTGGACTCGGGCACAGTCGGCAATATGCCGTCCCTCACGCCTCTCCACATCCACACACATGCCATTGCTGGTCCGCCGCTGTATCACTAACTTAGTGAACCCTGTTAGCGACTAGAGCTTGATCAGAGGCCCCAACTTCGCCCCATGCGGAGAAGCCAAAGGCGGCCGCCGAGAGCTCACCAGCAACAACCAATGCCAAGCATTTGCATTGCTATGTCTCGGGGTATCTCTATCGAGTGTCTGTAGTAGCATCCCAACCAGGGGACAGTAGGTCTACGTTGCCAACTGAGCAGGCAGATCGAGAGTCATACACGCACATGATGAACGGCAGGGAACAGGAGTCTGTTTCGCCCCCGGAGATGGAGGAGACTGGCAGACCGTCGAAGCGGCAGAGGCGTGCAACAGCAGCAGACGAGCTGTCAGGCGACGCCCGTGCAGGTCGTCAAAACAAAGCCTGCTCCAATTGCCGCAAGCTGAAGGTGAAATGCGACCCGGCCACCAACCAAAGCAGCTGCACCAGGTGTACACGACTCGGACTGGTCTGTCTGAGGGAGAAACGGTCGTGGACGACTAATGCCGACGACGATGCCTGGCAGACTCAGCTCACGTTGGTCAAGCTGGAACGCGCTCTCGAAGATGTCCTGGAGAAGCTGCATATGCCCGCCCTTGACCTCTATGTCCAGCCCTCGATCGTCAAGCCTCACCAGGCGCCTCGGTCCACCAGGCACAATTCCGAGGAGCCGGTCGATACCCAGCGAGATGTCTCACCGGCTCCGATGAACAGCCTCATCGAAGCAACACAACTCAACGGCCTACGCAGTCAGATCCGACCTCTGAAACAGAGAAGGAAAGGCGGCGGTCGACGTATGGACTCGGATTTGATCTCGGAGAAGCTTTTGACCCTCCAAGAGGCCGATGAGATGCTCGACCTGTTCAAGAGATCTTTGTCGCCTCATCTCTTTTCTGGTTCTATTCCACGTGATGCAACCATCGAATCGCTACGTCGGTCTTCGACCGTCCTCTTCACGGCTGTCATCCTCGTGAGCGCGCTCCACATGCCCGGCAAAGAAATGCTGCACGAGCTGTGTCACAGGCGCTTCCTCGGCCTCGTTTCATCTATCATGTTCGATCGTTTCCATTCTCTCGACGACATCCGCGGACTCTGCATCGCCGCATTCTGGCAGCCCTACTTAAGCTGGAAGCTGTCTGGACTTAGTATTCGCATGGCCACAGAGCTCAATCTGCACCACGCATTCTATGAAGCCTTCAATGAGCCAAGCATAAGCCCAGACGCCCGCAAAGAAGCGTTGGAAAAGGCACGTCTCTGGTATGTTCTCTATGTTCTTGATCACCAGTCGAGCATCACATACGGTCGACCGTCTATTATGACTGAGCTTCGACCTGTCAAAGATCACCAGATTCTGCTCAACTCTGAGTCATGTACGCCTCCAGATCGGATGCTCATCTCCCAGGTCACCAGCCTGGTTATCCTGAGTAGAGCATTTGATCACTTTGGTCTGGAGCCGAAGCGCACCATGGCTGGTGACGACGCCACGGTCATGGGTCACATGAGGTTCACCGAGGACATGGAGGGATGGCGTGACAAGTTCATGATGCTCGAGGAGCCGGACTCAGAAGCAGCGAGGTCTCTATACAGGAGCGTAGAGCTTCACCATCACTTCAGCAGCTTGGTGTTGAACTCGCTCGTTCTCCGAGGACGTCCGCTAGACAAGCTGTCCGAGCTCCCAGCTAGCTTGCGCCCGCTGGCCCTCAAGGCTGTCGAAGCTGCCCACGCTATACTGCAGCATTTCCTCGATGAGCCTCGATATCGAGATGAGATCGTTGGGATGCCTTTGTACCTCCACTCCATGATCGCCTTTGCCGCCGTGTTCCTCATCAAGTTGTCTCCACGCTGGCATGGGATCGGCATCACCATAGATGCAGCTCAACAGACAATTCCACTGGTTGAAGAAGTCATCAAGCTCCTTCAAGCCTGCAAAGCCGGAGCCAATCACATGGTGTACTCAATGGCAAAGGGATTTGAGCGCATGCTCCGTCAGCTGAGAAGGAGTAATCAAGTCAATGGTCAGCAGCCCTCGCCAGTGCAGACTATGCAATGGCATCAAGGGAACCATTCGAAGGATCACCAGACCGCTGGCATTTCCAACATGATGTACACAGAGCCTATGGGCCCGCATGCCGACTACTACGGCTCAGCAATGGCTGGCACGGCAGGGGAACTGCCACCGAACTATGGCTCACCGAACACGACGACATCCAGGTTGTCCCAGCAGCTTAATTGGGGCTTCCAGGATGAAGAGCTTTGGTCTGTCGGCATGGGCTACGACCTGCTAGAGCCAGGTGGGCAGGGGCTCGCCAGTATGGATTTCCCCTTCCAAATGTCTTCCTACAGTGATACTCTACCGATGCTTTAAGTCCAAAGCTAGGCCAGCGCGGAAAGTGCCATCACTCATGTCCTCATCCTCTCGACGCAGCACTCAATGGTGGCCGTTAACACCATTTGTGACGTTGCCATCCGCTCTGGCGACTAGCACCCCGTTCGGTGGCTTGATGCCTTTGGCCTTCTTCGCGAACTCCTCCCTGAAGATGGCTTCCATCTCTCGCCGGACCTTCACGACTTGGGAGTCCTCGGAGAACTCAACATCGGCCCAGCTGAGCCCTTGGTCTTTCTTGACATCCCTCTTCAGCTTCAAGCCGTGCGCCAGTCCGATAGGCAGCCCCTCGATCTCCAATGATACCTCCGCGGGCATCAGTTTGCCGACGACGGTATGTCCACCCTCGCCGTCGAGCATCTCACCGGCCACTAGGTTCTTCTTGGCAGTAGCAACCACATCGCCCGCAAACGTCTTGGTCGAACCTGTCGGCTCACCTCTGCACATAATATTCGCGATGGACACACCGACCTCCAATCCGATCAGGTGCCAGGGCTTGTACTGCGCTGCAAACCAGCCCGTCTTGTCAGTCTCCATACCATACTGCGCGAACGCCTCCTTCTGATATTCGGACGTCGCTGCCGATTCATTAGCATCTCTTCCAGGCCCTACCGAAAGCGTGCGCTCTTTTTCTCACCTTCTATAACGACAAAAACGCCGTGCCGCGCATGATTCCACACATCCCTGCCATCCCTCTCCAGCGAGCTCACCACCTCCACGTACGCCATCTCCTCTCCACCCCCTCCTCTACTCCTTGGTTTCAAGCACGCCGCCAAATCCTGATAGCCACACGGCCTGAACGTCAGCCCCTCCCTCGCTACCGCTAACCCACACCCATTCGCCACCGCCGCCATCTCCAGCGCCGACTTGGTCCCATCCAAAAAACTGTTATAGATCTGACTATTCAACTTATCTTTCGCCAGCTGCTCCGCACTGAAACCCCAATGGTCCCACACCGTCTCGGGCGTGCTGTAATTGTACTCGGGGAGGTACTTGTTGCCCTTACCAGCGCAGACAACCCGAAAGCCGCTGGTGCGCGCCCAGTCCACCAGTTCCGATATCAGTGCCGGCTGATCGCCGTATGCCATCGAGTAAACGATGCCAGCTTCACGGGCGCGCCGCGCCAAAAGCGGGCCAGCTAGCACGTCGGCTTCGACGTTGATCATGACGATGTGCTTCTTATGCTCGCAGCACAACAGCGTGTGCGCGACGCCGGCGGAGGGGATGCCCGTGCATTCGAGAACTACGTCCAGAGACGGGTGGGCGATCATGTCGGCGGCGGAGGTGGTGAGGATGGTCTTGCGAGAGGCGATGCCGTCGCTGAGGGAGAGCGTGCCGGTCGTGTCCGTCAGGTGGGCTGGGTAATTGGTGCGGCGGAGGGCTTCCCGTGCGATAGAGAGGTCGAGGTCGCAGACGGCGGCGAGGTGTATGCCGGGCGTGGTGTGTGCTTGGGCTATGCTGTAGGTGGTGAGCACATGTCAGCGAATGGTTGAGTCACAATGCTAAAGTCTGCTGCAAGGATTCAGACTTCGGGACCCTCTGCTCGGAAAGGCGCGATATTCTCTGGACAGGATAAGGGGATACTGGTTAGGAGGAGAATACCTACAACATGGATCCAAACTTCCCAGCCCCAATCACGCCGACCTGGATGACCCGACCAGCCACTTCCCTCTCCGCCAGCTTCTCAGAGAGGCAGGACATATCTGGCTTTGAGAACGGCGACAAGTGATTGGAAACTTCTAGTGGCTGCTTGTTCGCGGAATATATAGATGGAACGAGACGCTGCACTGGATAAACGTAGAATTGTCAATGACTTACGCCAGCTCCAACTACAAGACTAGGATAGATATGTGTACTTCTCGACCCAGAGCGAAGCCGTATATCCCCCAGACTATCTATATCCTTATACGATACCACACTGTGCCCAAACGCACTCCACCACCTCTCCGCCAGTAGAGACGCCAACCCGCCGTTCCCCCCCTCCCTTGCCCGCTCTCTCCACCTCCATCGTCCGAAGGTCCCATCTCTCCACACCAACGCACACACGCAGCCGACGCTCCGGTCTTCCAAAGCGATGATCACCCAAACGAACCGCCCGTACGCACGACCCGGCAATTCTCCCCATTGTCCTCCCCCTTACCCCCAAACCCATGCATCCAAACGACAAAAACCCGCGAACTCCGATCCGGCTGTACAGCGACAAGTACCTCCCATCAAAAGGAGAGATCCACACATTCAATCCACTAGTAATCATGCTCCTACAGTACTGCACCCCCACTACAGTACCTCTCTCCGCACGCCGACCGACCTGACACCATACCGCGGAACGGCGAAACGCCGTTTCCCCCCCGCTTCCCGCGGCTCACTCCCACCTCTACTGCCATGTCCACTGCCAGGTCACCACGTAGATCCAAAGCGGCCACTCACCGAAGTGCACACCGACCTGCAGCTCACGCCTTTTGCAGTCACAAGTCACACTTACACTTGCCCGTTGCAGAGCAGTTCGCGATGGGAGTTACAGCTACAGCCACAACCACAGCTACCACCCATCCCACGAGGATCCCCCGCTATGGGCCCGGGGCCGATTTGTGTGCTTGCACCTCCGCTCTGCACTGGCCCCTTCGGAGCAGGAGCTGAACAGCAGGAGCACAACAGCAGGGTAGGGTAGGGTAGGGTAGGTAAGGGGTAGTGTTCCGTGTCTCGGCTGCCACCGCGACTTCCCCCCGACAGAAACGAGCCATGTTGGATGGAGGCTTGGGCTCGGATAGACTCTACTACTTTCCTGCTGGGAGGTTAGATTATCTCATGCGGCAGACCCAGACCGTGGGAGGAGGGAGCGCGCTGGCTCGGTAAGAGGATCTTCCAGTTTGGGGTTCTTTGGGTCGGTATCCACATGGCATGGCATGACACAGAGCAAGATGAACGTCGTTGCCTAGAAGGTGGGTTGAGGGAGGTCACTGCGCGCGGGTGTGTGTGTGTGTGTATAAGACGGCAGCGGGGAGACCGGTTGGTTGACATTATCACTACTGAACGTCCGGCGGATTCTTCCTTACGTATTATAGCTGAGTGAAGAGCTCCGGAGAATGGGCGTGTCGTGATGTTGATGCTATGAAGCAAGAGCAAAGTCATCGGATACAGGCTGTGGTATAGGTACTCTAGGAGCATTGTCCCATTTTTCTGCTTGGTCGGGCGCTGGTCCTTACTTCGATTACCTCTCGATGCCGGTTCGACCATTTCAATCCTCAGGCCCTGTAGCTCGTTACAAGACAGATCACGCGACCCACAGGCTCTTCTCATGGGAGCATATGCTGTCACATGCAGCAGCGTCTCCAGACTCCTCCACGGCTCAAAACTCAAGCCATCCCCGTCCGCCGCTGCTCCTCCCTCTCCTTCCTCAACTGCGCCGCCATGACCGCATCATGATCCGGCTTCTCGGCTGGGAACCTCTTGAACAGGTACGCCGCAACGCACGTTCCCAGCGAAAGCATGCCCATCCAAGTCGTCGTCGTGCTAGACACCATTTCGTCAGTTATCGCGCTCCCCTGCCTCCAGAAAGGATATCTCAGACTTACCCAAAGCCAATCAGATATTGCGGGGCATCCCACTTCGGCCACAAGAACGATCCGTAAATGGAGCTTCCATTGCCAATGCCGTTGATGAGCGCAATGCAGATGGCGCGCTTATCTGCCGGATGGCTGATGACGTGCGAGATCCACGTCTTGACCAGAGGTGAACAGCCGTAGATGGTGCCGAAAGCGAATATGGCGAGGCCGTAGCGCGTCATGCCGTCCTCGACGACGGTAGTAGCCACGAAGAAGATGAAGCCGATGCCGGACAGGCCTGCGAGGACGGGCCAGATAGTCTTGAGCCGGTCAGCAAGGAAACAGGCACCGAGGATGCAGACAACCGCAAAGGCATAAGACGGGATCGTGTAGTCTGTTCGGACGTTTGTGTTAGCAATTGGGAACTCTGAAACAGAGTCAGCGGTCCTTACATTGCGCGGTGTGGCCTTCCCAGCCGAATTCCTTCACCAGCGATGGAACAAAGTACTGCATGGTCTGGGAGCCAGTGCCCAAGACGAAAAGTAAGCACAGCATCCAAGTGCGCCAGTCGGTGCAGGCCATCTTGAACGCCTGCCATTCGCCGACTTTCGTATGGGCACCCTGCGTCAGACCGATGCCGTCGACAGCGAGACGGTTGCAAGCCAGGATTCTTTCCTCTTCGGTCAAGAACTTGGATTTGGTTGACGTCGGGTAGTCTGGCATGACGAAGTAGACGATGACGCCGACCAGCACGGATGCTAGTCCTTCGAGGATCTATGGTGGGTCAGTTGGGATCATTCTGTAAAGGCCAATCCACGACGTACGAAGAGCCACCTCCATCCTCTGATCCCTCCAGCTCCGTCCATATACTCGGTGATAACGCCGGCAAGGAGACCAGATAGCGCTCCCGCCACGGCGACCGAGGTATAAAGCCAGGCGTAGCGTGAGGCGAGCTCATACTTGCGGTACCTAATGCTCATTAGCTTATGTTGCTCAGCGAAAGGTAGCCGTTTCGTACCAGGAGGAGAGATAGAAGGCACAGCCAGGTGCGAAACCCGCCTCGAATAGACCAAGCAGAAACCTCATAGCGATGAGCTGGCCTTGATTCTGAGCGGCTCCCATGCAAGTCGCGACCGCACCCCATAAGACAGCCAGGCTGGGTAGGTAGACTGAAGGCCGTACTCGGTTGAGGATCATATTCGAAGGAACCTAGTCAGATGTTAGCTTCAAGAACACCAGTCATTGCTATGCCTCAACACACCTCGCAAATCATGTAGCTGATAAAGAAAACAAGAACAATTATTGAGTACTGGTTAGACGTAAGGTTGAAGTCATCCTCGAGTCCACCGATTTTGGCATTCCTGAACGCCGGTCAGCTACTGCTAGATACTGGCGGCGGGTATCGCGCACCCGATGTTGCTTCGATCGACATTACTAAGAAGATACAATGTCCAACAGCAAGGGACGAGACGCCAGTCGATCTTCCGGACGAGAGCCTTGTTCTCCGGGCTGTTGGGATCGAAGGCAACGGCGAGCTCGCGGGCACGCTCGTGATCGAGTTGCCCCTTCTCATTCTGAATGTCATCGGACAGACGAGCCTCAGAGACAGCCTCGATATGTCCGTCAGCGGCCTTGTCGTTAGCGGTGACCATGTTGAAAACGAGCTTAGGGTGGCAACTTGAGCGATGTTGGTGGAAGCGAGGAGCGAGGTTAGCTTTTGTATCCGATCACATCTGTTCGAAGTCCATGGTTCCCCAGATCCTCGGCCATTCTGCCGAATGTGTTATTTCGTGTTACACTTCGCTAACACGGCGTCCTTCCTGACCTTTGAGGTTGCAGGTCCTTGGGTTCAGGTTGGGGATGTGGGGAAGACCCAGTAGCTGGGGTGCATAAGGTGGACATTGACAGGGGTATTGCCATCAGCATGCTTGGCCGGTCGGCAAAACGCCGTCTTGTACTAGGCGTTTCTCCGTACCACCTACTAAAGCATGCACTTCGGGTGCTTCAGTGCATCTCAATGGGGAGAGTGGCCGCCTTAATCGAGACGGAATGCTGCCGTGTTGATGATCGGCACCTTGAGCGTGGTGGTCAACCTGATGGTGCCTCCGTCGATCGGATGGCAGGTCGTAGGCTTTGAAAGATCCAGTGCTTGTCAGTTGCCAATTTATAACAATGCTGTCATCCTGCTAGTTGGTTCGTAAAGCGACCAGTCTCATAATAATGGCAGTCTCACAGTTACAACAGACTCGCCGGCCGCGCGTGGCAGTCACTCTGGGGGATGCAGCTGGCATTGGGCCCGAGCTGGTCGCCAAGCTCTTGAGCAACCAGGAAAATCTGAAGAAGGCAGACATCCTAATTCTAGCTGACCGGGGAGAATTCGATGCCGCAAGAGCCGACGCTGGTGGCGTGGACGTTCAGGTAGCCGACGTTGCTGGGCCCGACGGCGTCCAAATACTGCACGACAACAGCTCGCCAAGCCAACCGCTGAGTCGCTCTGAGGTGCACAAAGGGAACGGAGAGAGGTGCATCCACCAGCTGAGGCGGGGACTGGACCTGGCGCGGGCCGGAGCGGTCGATGCGATCGTGTTTGCGCCACTAAACAAGTCCTCGCTCAAGAAGGCCGGCATGACGGAAGAAGACGAGCTGCGGTGGTTCGCGAAACAGCTCGACTTCGCCGGCACGACGAGTGAGATCAATATTGCCGGACCTTTATGGACGGCGCGGGTGACTAGCCACGTTGGTGTCGAGAAGGTTGCGGGGATGGTCACCAAGGAGTCCACGCTCAAAGCCATCGAGCTGCTGAACCGACTAAGGTGAGTGCGGGCGGACGCTGTACCACAGGCAGTGACTAACTGCAGCAGATGGGAGTCAGGCATCGAGGCCCCCAGACTGGGTGTGTGCGCTCTGAATCCACACAACGGCGAGAATGGCAACTTTGGACGCCACGAAATCGACCACATCGCTCCTGCCGTCAAGGAGGCACAGACTTGGGGCATCAACGTGCAGGGGCCCTTCCCCTGCGACACCATCTTCCTGAAGCGCAGCAACTTCGACGGTATCGTCACCATGTACCACGACCAAGGGCAGATCGCCATCAAGTTACTGTCTTTCGAAGGTGGTGTCACGGTCCAGGGCGGCTTGCCTATCGTGATCGCGACGCCCGCTCACGGGACCGCTTTTGATATCGTGGGGAAGAACCAGGCGAGTGTTACTAGCACACAGAACGCGTTTGATGTGGCGGTGACGATGGCGTCGAGGAAAATCACGAAGCAATCGGGGCCAGGATCGGATGAGATTGCGTACGCAAAGACGCTGCAGGTCAATGGGTCAGTGCTGGAGAAGATGCTGCCGAAGGTGTCACAGGTTGAGGTTGCTTCTTGTTGTTAGATAGATGGCGCGGCAGTTGTTCCCGACTCGTGGCTGTTTTCTGAAAGTGTGATTGATCTATGGTGGTTTTGAGTGATACTTATGATCTAGCAAGCGCACCGGAAACCACTGTTCGGAAGAACCTCTGGGTCCTAGGTGTGAAGAATGGACGGTAGTACCTAGACCCTCGGGTCGACGTGGCATATGAGCGATTTGCCCAACTGACTTCGACGGCAAATATCAGTCCAGGTATGGCCATCATTACCAGTCATGCTATCCTACAATCTTGCGTACGTGTCCATCTGCTTCACAAAAGGCTTGCCAAAACCAAACAAATCCATATTCTGCCACCATGGTTCACACAGCGTGTCAAAAGAGGGCTGCGACCTCATACGAGAGACACCCGCGACGAAATCCGCATCTCCACAGTGGCTTGTCGTCTCAGCAGCGAGTCCGACCGCTTGGATAGATGCTGGTAGAAACAGAGTCTAAACACCCGATCAGCTTCTGCTTGTGCTCAGATGTCAATGCCCAGTGCGTAAGCTAGATGACTAGGATAAAGTCAGACTTCGTTGCAATCATCATCTGCCCTCATGATGATTTGAGCAAGAGGCTGTTAAAGGAATGTCAGAACGTATCTCACGGGGTGACACTAGGTCTCGCCTTGTATGCGTCGCGGCCTGCAACATGGCGAGAATACGTGACCTTCACCAGAGTCTTGTCTCTCAGACATGTATTATTGTGTCGACTGACAGCCAAAGCTTTGCGAGTAAGCTGGTGCAAGATTCTGCAGGCTCCGTCTTCGTCGAGGAAAGCGATTTGAATCAAGGAAGCAGCCGAATGCATGAGCTGAGGAATGTCGGTCGGGTCGTCAGGAAGTATTGGGTCTGGGAGCTGTGCATACTGCATGGCTTGGAGCACATAGGCATATTTGTTGCCGCTTTCTTCCCGGTCAGATGCTGTTGGGCTGGGATTGATCCATCCGGCGCAAACCTGATCACTTCAATAACAATTCCAGCGCGAATGATGATCTGCTCTAGCTTGGGACAGTTGCTGACGTTGATTCAATCCACGTATCTCAATTGAAAAACTTTGGATTGAGAGATAGTCAATTCCGTGACGCCCTGAACCATGTATTTGGGGAAGACATCGCACTGCAAAACACCAAAGTCGGCCTCATCGTCGTGGTCGCCATCGCAGAGTTCAAATTGTCGTTTGCCCTCTGGGATGTGTAGCGCAGAATTGCGCCCTAGGATCGGCTGTGCGTGTGTTGCAATGGTCTTGCAAATCAGTGTCATGTTCGGTGCCCATCTAGGAGACCAGTCGAGCTGTGGACGATCTGCGTTGTATTTTGCAAAGCCTGTGAAGCCTTTCGGGAGTACCATGCCAATGTTTTTGTGAAGGATCTCATCCGGCAGATCCAGCAGGAGCTTTGGAGAAGTATTGGTTTTGTTCGGCACCTTTAACATGTAGTCTTAAACAATCGCCATCGTCGTATTGGTGACTACAGGAAGGCTAGAGTTGGAGGGGGACAGGGTTAGAATTTTCGGAAGCCATCTCGTCGGACTTAGGGCTTTGAGATGCACAAAGGCTACGAGCAATAGAAAATGGTAGTAGGACGAGGACTTTGCCAGAAGTATGCAAGTAGCAGAAGTCAATTAGAAGTGGTGCACCCGGTAATGTGTCGCTTCAATGCGCTAATGATCTTGGCATCAGGCGCGAGGCGACGAGGCTGCCATCTACTTTTCACCTCTATCTCTTTGTTCTCTCGAGGGTCTCGTTGCTAAGGAATGCTATGTATTAGCGCGATCTCAGATGCATGCTACTTGTTTCATAATCGCGCGTACTTCCCACGTGTTTATTGAGACCGGAAGACTTCCAGGACGTTCTCTGCATTTGGTTGCTTTCCAGTTGGTCGCTTCGTGTCGATGTTTGCCCAGCTGCAACTTCAAAGCGAACAAGCCAGGCCCCGCAGTAAGCTTTTGACCCACAATCGTGCTTATGATTCGTTAGCCATCAGCCGCCCATTCTATCGTTCCCTCTCGGCCGACGTGGGTGATGTGAACCCTGACTGTGGTTGTCTGCAGCACCCGCCAACACCTTCCCCTCAGCCTTCCCTCTTGCTTCTTCTTCAGTAACCAACGCCACCCTAGCCCCTCCCATCCCGCGATTTCTACCAAAGTGACCATGCTGCACAGAACACTGCTTGCAAAGAACCGCTTAGAGATCTCGACCACGGTGTCCAAGATGTGAAAATGAGATTCAGGCTGGACAAGACGACGGTGCCGTGTAGGAGGTGCGCGCAGGACAGATCCGGCAAAGCAGTTGAGGAAGATCCCCACTTTGGCGCGGGTGGACGGTGTGTCACGGATAAGGGGGTTATTGATGATGGTGTTGGGGTGGGCGACGCAGAGGAAGATCTAGCGCTTGATTAGTGCCCGGGCATGAGAGGTATTTTAGAGTTGTCTTGACTGGATTGGACCGGTTCGGTGTTGGTGTAGTCCAGCAAGGGAACATCGGTCGCTGCGGTGGACGACTTATCATTCTGGTCGACCGGAGTGTGAACAGTCATCAATTTCAAAATACATGATGTACCAGAGTACAGAGTACTCATACCTACTGCTATAACGGAGTCGGGATCATTGTGACGGTGTCCATTACGAAGTCATAAAAGGCAATAGCAACCAATTCCTTCACATCTGCACCAACCCTTACAGATGCTCGCTCCTGGCACGAAAACCTAGGATCCTGGTCACGAAGGACCGGCACAGTACGGGACGCCACCTTCTTCAGCTATCTCTCTGACCTGGTAATGAATGTTTCATCGACAAAGCGACTTCATTTCTGATCCCCAGTCTTTGCCTGCCATGAAAATCAGCGGCACTTCTTCAAAACAAAAGACGGCAACTAACCTGCTGAGTGCCGGATCCAGCTTGTTGGGTTCCTGAAGTTGAGCCTGGCTGAGGAGCCGCTGCCTTGAACTTTTCCTGTCTGCTCGGGCTGTTAGCAGGCAATCTTCTGGCGGCAGAAAAATAGCGCACTCTCGCTTGCGAATATAATTGTCCTCTAGCGCCTTCTCACGCTCATTGAATTTGGGCACGTTCATGGCCGCGGGATTGATGTCTGGTTTGAAGCAAGGACGCTGATGATATTAATAACAGTCAATGGCAGAACAAGACGCGGCGATGAGGATGTTGCCTGTCCTCTCAGTTGTAGGTAGAAATCGGAGAAACTCACTGACGTCACAGCCTCAACTACAACTCAACATGAAACCAGAGGAACAGACGACGCCGCAAACGATCCGAAGGTGTCGACATCCCTATCTTTGGCCTGGCCCGGATTTTGATCAAACTCTTGTACCATCTAGGACTTGAACAGTTCCTGTTTCATTACTCCGCGGCTAGGGCGGCAGCTCTTGCACAGTACATAGTTCATACAGCAGGATGATGACTTTGCCCATCACGCAACAAACAAAGCAGAAGGCCGGCCTCCCAGGTTCTGATTGGTCACGATCTACCCACGACAGTGCCATTTGCAGAGACGCTTTGTCAAATATACAATGTATTGTTTGCCACAAAGATTTGTGAACAACATTGAATCCCGATGTGGGCATCTCGATTGAGGCACCAGCCCGGCATAAGACCACTTTCGAGCTCGCACTGCCACGGGACTTCTCATCATATCCCTTCATCATAATCTCGACTATCAACCTACAGCCACCATGCCATTGCAACAGCGCTCAGACAACGGTGTAGACTCCTTGAGTCCAGCTTCCCGCGGCCTGATGTATGCAGCGATCGTGCTCCTCGCCATCGTCATCATCTTGATGTGCAATAGATTCTTCCTACGCGTCAGAAACGCCCGGACATGGGACGACAAACGCCGAACTCGGCCGCCACCCCAAGATGAGGAGACCGCCACCGTGCCACCGGCCACGCTGCAGCGCCCGGAGCCTGCTTTCTGCCCGCGGTAATGCGATTCATGGTCTTATGCCCAAAGCAGTAATCAGGATAGAAAAGGTAAGAGCAAGAGGGCAGTCAGCTGCTGGACAGCAACCGACAAGCCCCTGCTAGACCACTATCGTCGCACTCAGCTAGCTTGGTGAGTATGACGGACAGGTAATGACATCGTGCGCTCATGTTCGCATTGGAGCATTCCGATAATGGTAATATATAATGACGAAAAGCATGTGCTTTCAGAGGCTTTCACAGGGAGTCTTCGTACAGCGAAGGCAAGGTACGAATCTACAATCATGGACAAATGAAAGAAGCTAAGTTCTCTCTCAACACTACGAGACTGACATGATATGACTGAATGATGCAATGAAATCAATCTACTCTCCTACACCTCTTTGCATACCTGCTCTTCAACCAGCATATTCGCCCCTCCCAAACAAAATGACCCTCCACCCACTCAGAAACCCCCTTTCCCCACCCTGCCTCCCCAGCTTCCTCCCCGCCTCCTCCCTCTCGAAATCAAAAGCCCCCAACGTCTTCTCCTCCCTTGACTTCTCAACTCTCGATACAGATCCCATCTTCCCCACTCCGTTACACCCATCCCTCTCCTCTTCCTCCACCGCCCCCATCCTCCTCTCCACCACCATCCTCGCCCTCTTCCCCCACAAACTCTCGGCCTCCCCTTCTCCTCTCGCCCTCCCAATCTCAACCATCTCCCCTCCCTTTCCCCCAAGGAAAACCACCTCGAAATTCCCATCCCCCTCCCTCCTCAAGCCCTTCCCCACCTTCATCTTCTCTCCCCTCCCACCTATGTCCTTCTCACTCTCACTCTCCACCTCCACTACCTCCACCAAATTCCCCCACTCCGCCCCACTATGCGTCGGACTCCACCCCTCTTCTTTCTTCTTCTTCCTCCTCCTCCCCTTCTCCTTCGGCAACGGCACGCGTTTCCGCTGCGCCGCCAGAGAAGTATGCGGGACGTGCAGTTTATACGTCTGTCCTGGGGGCTTGCAGATGTATTTCTCCTGCTGGTGCTGCCGCTGCTGTTGCAGGTGTTGTTGCGGGCGCGGTTGCAAGGTGGAGGGTGTGTCGGCCGCGTGGAGGAGGGAGGAGATAGTTGTTTTGGAGTTGTGGGAGGGAGAGGGAGAGTGAGTGTTGAAAGAGGAGGAGGGCGAGGAGGACGAGGCGGTGATAGGGACGCGGCTACGGATGCGGTGGCGGAGGGAGAAGAAGAGGGCGAGCGAGATTAGGATGGCGAGGGAGAGGATCACCTGTGCGGAGGACGGGACGTCAGTCTATGTGAGGTTGGGTGGGGTTTTGGACATGGGAGGAGGTGCGTACCAAGAAGGCGGGCAGGAGACTCGACATGGTGCGACGCGGGATGCAAAGGGCGCAGCTCGGTGTTGGATTTGCTGAGATGGGTGAGAGGTGGAGGTCATTGGGGTCTTCGAGGTCTGCGGGGACTGGTAAAGGGACAGGGATGGGCTCAACGAGGAGGGGAGGCTCGGTGAGGGGGCGGGTTGCTGTGGTGTTGGTTGGCGCCAGCGTGTGGATTGGTTCAGTGTATCAGCTGATGAGAGAAGTGGTTTGTTTTCCTGGTGGCAAGAGTAGCTGGTTGTTCAGACTCTCACTCGCTTCAGGTAATTCAGCGATTACTATGCGAATTGTCTCTTCCGCCGTCAACACTATGCTATACTACTTATTCGGCAACAAAGCCGCCCCTTTCGCGGCCGTCATGACCGTTTGCGGTAGGGTACATATCACCGTGGCTCTTTGTCCGTCAGCGCCGCCCAGTACGCCGCTCTGGAAACTTGGCGTATGCGGATGCGAGCGCATACGCTCTGGACTTGACTACGCTTTTAGCACCGATCTCACGGTCCGCCGCGGCGGAGCAGGCGAAGGGTCGTTCAACGGCGCGTCGCGGATAACGTTCAGGAACATCTTATTATTTTCGGCGGCCTGAGCTCGGGCCCGCTGTTTCTTGCGCAGGCCGTGTTTGACCCGGAAATGGTGGAGAGCTATGATTAGCAAAACGATGGTGAAAATTATGGCGGCGATGATGACGACCCAGATGTATGTCGCGACGCTACCGGGTTGAGGGTTGTGGTGGTGGGTCATAGTCTTGTAAGGATTGAAGTGCTGAACGTGGCTGGGGATATCTCGAAGATTTGGTACTCTTTAGAGTCGAAAAGTCGTCAACGGACGCTTGTAGTTCTTGGGAGGAGTACCAGCGCCTCGGTATATAGCCAGAGGCTAGAGATTTGCGAAACATTGGATGAAGGAGACCTACACTCATTTCTGGTGTCTCTTTGTCTCCAATTTCGTACCTATGGGAAGACAAAGGCGCATGGATGATCAGAGGGCACAATGAGATACGAAGGTGTTCTGGATCGCAAACCAAGACGTCGCAATTGTTAGAACCCATGCTTGGTAGTTGGTTTATCTTTGGTGCGGATCCCAGAAACATTGTAGGTCGAGTGCTAGTAGCCGGCATCCTAGCAAAGGTTGCGCCATGTCTGCAGCTGATGCCATGCGACGATACACCATCAGGCGGCAGATGTAAGGGAGATGAGAAATTGAGAGAACTGCGAATGGAGCAGGAGTCCTCACGAACGTTAATGGTTGTTCGTCGAGAGAAGCTTTCGACGACCAGTAAGGAGCGTCTGAAATATGCTACGGCGGCGCTGCCACACAAAAGCGCAAAAAGCGATACAGGCCAGAACTTAACGCGCCCTGAACGCGACGTGCGCAGACAACTTAACCAGGCATCCAAAAAGCACCCCTTCCGCCCTCTGCACCCATTGCAAACAACTCCAAAGCGGTCGCATACACTCCATCTTCTGCCTTCTCCATCAAACCCCAATCCCACCACTCAGAAGAAACACCCACCACAATGTCCTTCCTCCTATCCCCCCTCCGCCGGAGCGCCGCCGCCGCCGCCGCCACCCCCTCCTCCGTGGCCCGTGCCTTCAGCAGCACACGGCCCTCGCAGCTCTCGCGCATGACCATCGTGGGCCGCCTCGGCGCCGACCCGGAGACGCACGAGTCGTCCTCGGGCCGCCAGTACGTGCGCTACGTGATCGGCACCGACTCGGGCGCGCGCGACAACCGCACCACGTCGTGGTTCAGGGTCACGAGCTTCGCCGAGGGCGCTAGTAGGGAGTATATCCAGGGGTTGAAGAAAGGGTGAGTTATTTCTGGCCATGATTGTTACACGCATGCTGGCGTGGGATGTGAGGGGCTTTGCGGCTAATGAGATTTCGATAAATAGGACGCTGGTGTACTTCGAGGGCGATGCGAGCATGAATACCTACGAGGATAAGAATGGGCAGACGCAGAGCGCGCTGAACTTGGTGCAGACCAAGGTTGAGGTGTTGAAGCGGGCGCAGCCAAAGGAGGAGGAGCAGTAGGGGGCTTGCGTCGTGCGCGGGTTGCGGGCAGGCTGACGATTTGCGCTGTGGGACAGTGAGAGAGTTCTTGCTTGAAAACAGCATCGACAAGGAACGAGTTTGTATACCACAGCGGAGAGCTGGTTACGGAGATGGAACGGGCCGATTTCGATTCCTTGTACTACCCTCACCTCACTAAGATGCTGGGTGCGGACCATCGTAAGGGGCTGGTCCGCGGTTCGCGCTCAGTGAAATACTATCAATCTAATGGGCTTTTCTTTCGGGTTCTGCATCTCAAGTGGCCGTTCGCGTGTGCTGGCGAGCAGAGCCGAGATCCCCGTCGTTGTCCGCCAGCCACAGCTCCGTCTCGATGTTGTCCATCCTGCGTGTGCCTGATATGCCGGTCCCCGCGTCAGGGCCAAGTCTAACATGGTCAGTTGCGTTGGGTCTGCCTTCCAGACTCGGCGGCAAGGGATCGTGTTGGGCATTGTGGCCTTGCAACCTCGTCTTTACGCTCCTGGTAACCATCGTGGAATAGAACAAATTAGCCTCCCTGCCAAGTCCAAACAAAGCAAAGACAATAAACCCGAGCACGATCTGGGACCCACGCGTGACGAGTTGTTCAGAGACTCCATCCACTGACATTCTCAGTATCATGTCAGCCCACCAAGGTGGATGTGATTTTCTCCAGCTGATCGCATCGCCGGTAGAGCCAGTGACCCAGAGACCAATTGCCGCCAACAATGGATGTGGCAGTGACAGAGCCAGACCGACTGCCCCTAGCGTAAACAGCCGGATGTATCGATCTGTCCTCATGCCGGACGTCGCCAGCACCCCGGAGATTTGCCGTCGGTGACGCACCACCCGGGCGACAGCGATGGTGCAGTATACGGTCGCGATCAAGGCACTCAGCAGGGCCCATCCGAGCTGCAGAAAATATGCCACCCAGTTGCTTTGTATGCTGGGGGTGCAGCCGATGACTACCACCACGTAGAACCTTCCGTTTGACATGAAGTATTGAGTCGACATGACGATGATGGGGAACAAAACGCAAAGCGACAGATCGAACGTCCACTTCCGGTAACGCTGGCCCTTGGTTGGCACAAGATCAACTCGGTCTGTCCGTACAGCAGCGGCGAGTTGTCGGAACAGCGAGGCATCTGCACCGGCAACAGCTGTGGGTAGTGCTGCGTACAGTCTGATTTCGATGTCACAAAAGATACGTCCTTCCCATGGGTTGTCTCCCCAGCCAGGCCAGATGAAAGCATTCGCGACATTTTGTAGGTTCAATACCGCTATACACGCGATGAGGACGATCGTTGGGAAATTGCGGGCTCGTCCCTGTATGACCAGCGAAGGTACACTGAGGATAAGGGATAACAGGGCAAGAGGGGTGTAGGCAATGCCCAGAACGAATACGTTGATCATCAGTGGATGGGACGAATACCTTCGTCTGATAGATCTTCCTCCGGCCAATACGACTCTAGCTATGGCACAGGGTGCATCTTTCAGAAAAGAGTTCCCAAGTACCTACCTCGGTCCTGCATCCCGCGACCTTTGGTCCATGGCCGCTCTGTGGATGAATTTCGAGACATATTCCCCAAACCAGGTTTGAATAGAGAAGTGCACCAGTAGCCGGGATCTGGGCAGACGAATCCTGCTGGGAGCTTCCGCGTAACCACAGGCCATCGATCCTCGGTCAAATCTTTATCAGAAGGACGCGTTCTCGCCACCAAGTCGTTTGCCTATTACCTTTGTCCGTGTAGAGATAGGTAGAGGTAAACTTTCGGCACTTCATTCCCGCCCTTGCCGCGATGAAGATGGATGTCCCGGCTGACCAATAGGCCATAAGCCGGCGCTCGCGTGGATCAGGTATCAGTGCCATGGTTGACAGACTGCAGTTGGATGCATGTGAAGATGGGAGGACGTCGTCAAGCGAAGAATGGGACCCATCAGGCTTGTCGACAGGGCTGATGGTGATTGGCTGCCGAAACAATGCCCCTGCCGCGGTCCGTGTTTAGATCAGTTCGGACTTCTTGCACCTCGACACCATCCCTCCTTCCATTACCCCCTCCAATGTATCTCACATTCCATCGACTGCCATCGCTCCTGTCGCAGTCCATGACAGGCCTGAGAGGTTTCCCTTCGATACGGCGCATTGTCGATCGGGTCAGAGTGTGGCACAACCACGAATACACGTCATCGTCGAAGCACATCCTTAAGTAGCAGATCACTGCCCAACACAAGCCTCCTTCGTGGCCATTGATCCGAAAAGCCTCCCGTCTTGTACACTCCCCCAGGGTTCGATTTCGACGACGCAATGACTTCTCCCGACAAGGAGGCCGGGGTCTCTTTCGCTGCAGGAAGTTCACGACACCTGAGTCCGCCTCCAGCCGGACTCCGCCAACGTCCACTTCAGCGCGCCGCAACTTTCGCTGAACCGACTCTAAATCGCCGAAGGAGTTCCATCTTCTCGGAATCTTTGTCGGATGCCAAGAGATCCATCAGATCCTCTACCGATGACCTCTTCCTACCACGCGCAACTACGACCACGGACGTCCACGACAATGACGAGAGCTCGCACTGGCATTCACTGCCGTTAGGACTGGCTCTCTTTCCTGCCGTCGGCGGTCTGTTTTTCAAGGATGGAAGTGCCATTATCACAGACGTGACACTTCTGGTGATCGCAGCCGTCTTCATGAATTGGGCTTTGCGAATGCCTTGGGAGTGGTACCGTGCAGCGCAAACCTTGCTGCCCACCGAAACAACATCCTCTTCGCCGCCAACGCCAATCCCAGAGGAGGATGAGTCCGTATTGTCGGATGGTGCACCGGAGACTAGTCCGTCCAGGGCCAAGGTGGACAAGACGGCGGACAGACACACCGAGCCACTTCTGGCAAACAGGACCGCGGCAGAAACCGAGCTCAGACTACATGAACTTGCGGCTCTCTGCTCATGCTTTTTGTGCCCTGCCCTGGCTGCTTGGCTCTTGCATGCCATTAGATCCCAACTATCAAGGCCATCAGAGGGCTTGGTTTCCAACTACAATCTTACTATCTTTCTGCTGGTCGCCGAGATCAGGCCCATGTCCCATCTCATCAAGATGATACAACGAAGAACCCTGTTTCTTCAACGAAGAGTGAACCTGGAAACGCTTCAGGACAGCAGCCATCCTGTTGGTCCACACATGGATAATCTCCTGGACCGCATCGTGGAGCTAGAAGCCCACGTGGCTGATAATATCGCAGCTCAAGAGGCTCCACCAACTCATTCACCAGAGCAAACCGTTGCGAGAGCTTCCGCGCAAGCCATTGCTGATGTCAGGAAGATCGTTCAGCCAGAGCTGGATGCCCTCGGCCGAGCAATGCGCCGCTATGAGAAGAAGTCAACAGTCTCGGCTGTTCAGATTGAAGCACGGTTGCAGGAGCTAGAGGTTCGTGTCGGTGATGTGGTAGTGCTGGCCGCTGCTGCGCAACGCAGTGCGGAGAAGCAGCCCATGAAATACTATCTGGTCGTCGTCAATTGGCTGTGCGCTGCAATCGTCATCCCTCTGGAGGCGGCGAAAGCGGTTCTTCTACTGCCCTCGAGGCTATACTCGCAACTGATTTCTGCAATTTCGCCCTACGTGCCATGGGTAGGTCGACCCAGAAGATCACGCGAAGGGAAAGCGCCCCGGAGAGTCACCAAGGCTCCAAGTCATGATCGAGACAAGAGAGCCAAGCCAGCAGCCTGAGGGCACAGTCTTTACCTCTTTGATGCAGGGCTGGGCTGCTGAATGGTGTGCCTGAGTACAGTTCCTGCATCGCGCTTCTTCGCAATGCCGAACTTCCTATGGTGTTGCACTGAAGGTCTTCTGCTATGAATATACCCGATCATACTGCTAGCGAACTCTTGTCAAGCGGCTCCTCAGCTATGTCTATGGCTTCAGAATATGCAGAGATAGTCCTATGAGAAGAATTCACTCTGCAGCAGGTGCACCATTCTCCTGCAAGGGTGGCTGGGTGTTTGCTGCGTATGGGTGCTCTTATTCATCCTCACAGTGACTGAGCCATTCAATCGAATTCGAACTCATTCCCAGCCCCCTCCAATTGTCGTCGCTATTGAGATGAAAACGGCCTATTCAGCGCATTTACTTGGCAATCATGCTCGAGGTTGCGCAGGAGAAGATGAACATCGACAGACTCTGCCAGCTTCTTCCTCCCTACCATCAGCTTGTTACTATCTTGACCATTTTAAACCTTATTCGATCGTCTGGCACGCCGAACAACGTTCTCTCGCCGTTTCCATACCATCTACAAATCCATCCGCGCTTCTTTAATTCTCACAAGGCCGGGCCCTTGACAGAACATCTCCTTACTTTATACCTACGGCATTGGCCTTCTGAGATCGACTATTTCCACAAGCTTGCGAGCGTTCAAGATCTCAAGCAACTCCTCATATTATCCCATACCATCTGCAGCTTCGTCCTCACGCCATTTTCCTCTACCAAGGCTGGTTCCTTGCCAGAACGTTCCGATAACTCTCCAGCAACGGCCTCATTCTTCCCAAACCGACCACTTCTACAAGCTTAACGATCGTCTGAGACATCGATCCCGTTCTTGCAACCTTTACACTTCCATTCTCACATCCTCTGTTGTCTATCAGGGCCGGTTCCCGGACAGAGCACTCCCCATACATTCTACCACCGACATCATGCCTAAGCGAGCAAGAGAAGACGAGACCACCACCCAGCAGCCGAAGAGAGCCAAGACCGCGGCTTCCAGCAACAGCACTTCGACCAGCAAGGCCCGGTACCAGAAGAAAGGTCACTACTGCCCCGAGTATGTCCCAATTCTCGCCAAAGGCAAAGACATGAACGGCGGCATCGCCCCATTCACCCAATCCACCTTCACCAGCGCCTTCCCCTACGACAGTGAATGGTCCGAGACCAACCTCCCCTCCATTCTCTTCCACATCACCCCTCCTCCCCCTCCACCCAGCAGCAGCGGCGCCTCCGCGCCCCGTCCGACCATTACCCGCTCCGACGGCATCAAGCTCACCGCCTCCACCATCCTTCCCGACCACATCTCCGTCACCACGCCCTCGTGGCTCATCGGCGCCTGGCTCCGCCTCGACCCCACCACCACCCTCTCCGACGTCCTGGCGCGCATGAGCGACGACCCCACCTACCCCGGCGGGCCCATCCGCAAACCAAAGCACAGCGCCATGAACAACCGCCTGTTCCGCCAGTGCGCCAAGCTCTTCGGCCACTATTGTGGTGGTGCTGGGCAGGCCAAGAACAAGAACCAGCGCGAGATCCGCGCGGGCCTCACGGAGAGGATGCTCCAGCTCAATACCACGCTGGAGGAGCGCGTTGTGCCCGCCGCCGGTCCTGGCGGCGAGGTGCGCCTCGTGCGCAAGAAGCTGGTCTCGCGCGAGAAGGGCACCACGAGCGTGCGCGCCGTGAATGTCGAGGTGACGGAGCGGAATTGGCGGGAGACGACGTTCCCGCTTGATTTCTTCGTTTTGAACAAGGAGAACGGTGGGCAAGAGGTGGCGGCGACGCCCTGTCTCAGTGACGGGCCTTCGCCTGCTTCCTCTGGCGGTGAAGAGGCGGCGACGCCTGCTTCTGCTTCTGCTTCTCCACTTCCTGTTGGTCCTCCTCTTGTTGCTGCTCCTGCTGCTGCTCCCGCCAAGCCCGCGCCAGAGCACGAGCTCGTCTTCCCGCCTCTCCCTCCTCTCGCCGGCGCCGGCAGCGGCAGCGACCTCAACTTCAACCTCGATTTCGCTTTGCCCGCGGCCGACTTCGACTTTGACGATTTCTTCGACTTCGAGTCGGCGTCGAGTCGGTCTTGACTCACCCTCAACCTCGACCTCGACCTCAACCTCCCTCCAACAATGTTGGTTCTCTCGCCTCCATGTTTGCGCTTTGCCGTGCTGTCTTTATCTCCGTCAGCACAGCCGCGGGTCGGTTTTGCGGGTGCGGGCCGAGCAGGCCTCCCTGCTGCGCGTGTTTTTATTTCTCCGGCTGGGTCGGAAGAAGGAGCTACGATGGTAATTCATAATTGATAATTGGTAATGATAAACTTATGATTTCTCTGGTGGAGAAACTGAATCATTTCTTCTGATTTTCTATTTGCGGGCTTTCTTGTTTTTGTATATGTAAAGGATCTAATGCAGGTGTTCGTCATCGTAGAGCAAGACTGAGTCCAAGCTGCTGAAGCCCGTGGCCACGCCGCCTTCATCGGAGCCGCTCGCCTTGGTGCGCAACAGGTAGCCGCCCTCCTCGTTATGCAGGATCTCAGGGGTTGATGGGGCCTCGCCCTGTTTCGGTGCATCGGCGTCATGAGGACGCGGTGTTTTCCACAGGCAGGTTCCGAAGGTTCCCAGCTCGGAGATGACGTCTCCGGAGACGACTTCGCCGTCGGAGCGCAGAACGGTGTTGTGCGCTGATGCTGGGGGGTGGATGAGTTCCATGAGGATGTACTGCTTGTAGTCCTTTTCCGGCATGGAGGCGAGGAAGGGCGGGATGTTGTCGCGGTAGATATTGTTTCCGCCGCCTTCGCGTTGGGGCTTCAGCACGTGGTGAGCGGCTGTGTCGGGATTTGTGGCGAGAGCGAGACCTTCGCTGTCAAGGGCGTATTGGGGCGCAAAGGTGGAGCGGAGAGAGTCTAGAGTGGCCGCGGATGCGTTGGGGAGGAAACTGCCTAGATGATCTGGTTCGGTGGAGGTGAGCACTTGTTGTATCTTTTTGCTACCGCTGAGATGCAGCAGGATTGAGGGGCATTTAATCGCGGCGGAGCGCTCGAGGTGGTGCCGTGCCTGCCAGAAAGTCGGGGAAGTATACTCGGACGGTGCATAAAGGGCACGAAAGTAGACTGTCGTCACCTCGTAAGCTGTGCCTGGAGCGGAGGGCGGATGGTATATTAGTGGCCGTGATGGAGAAGAAGTACCGATGGTGGTCTGCTCTAGGACTGAGGTAGTTGGTAGACGGAAGGTGGCGACATTGTGAGACGTGTGCATGCGTGATGATAGGGCCAGCTGGTCGAAGATGTTGCGTTCGCTGGGCTGAACAAGGAATAGTACGCAAAGAGGGAGCGCTGGACTTGATTTGGCAGGACCATAGGCTTTGTGGGCAGAAGCCAGGCCTCTCGCAAGAGTCGGAACAGCTTCGTTTGGTGGCGGATGATTAGGGCGGCCGGAAGTTTTGAATAGAGGATGGGGCGGGTAGGCTAGAGATGTTGCCGGTGCTGGGAAGCTTGCGAGCTCAGTATGCAGTTGAGTTACCAACGACGACAGTCCACCGAAAGAGGAAGAAATGGTGTTGAACTCGACCTGCTTCACGGTATCGGTGGCGGCATCGAGCATAAAATCCGAACGGAACAGTCCTAACGCATGTTCATGGGTGTACCCCTCGGCCTTGACGTCGAGGTGAATCTTCCATAGATTTGAAAGAAAATCATCAACATCTATGAGCCTGGATAAATTGTCAGAATACTGTGGAGAGGAGCGGCTAAGAAGTGAAGCCGTCGACTTACTCCTTCATCACAGATTCCAAGAAGGTCTCGTTACTCGCTATCGCAGCGTACAATTCGTTGTACACAGTCTGAAGGCTTTGCGCCTGCTTGAACAGCTTTCGAGGGAAGGGACTGGGGAAGAGCGAGACTGGAGCGTTGGTCGCCAGGACTGCATTTGGATTGACCTCTTCAGATACCTGTGCCGCCGAAGGTCTGACTGTCAAGCCATGCTGTATGGTCCAGTTTTTCACATAAGTGGAAAGATACACCTGCTGCTGTTCTGATAGAGGTGGGGGGTAATTCTGAAAGATCTGTTGCGCCATGTTTGTCACCGCGGCTACAAAGGAGCAGCGCAGTCTTGCCGATTTCAGCTAGAGAGAGGGATGTGAGTGTTTGGCACACTCCAATACTTCACCACACCCACGTGTATGTCTTCAGACAGGAAGTCTCTGCGTGATCCCGGATCTTAAGTCACCCAGGCTGTTCTTTGCACCATCGGTGTCGGGAGAATATTGGGCCGATACCGGCACTCAACGCGCCCCGCCCCCGACGCGCCTGGCGCGTGTCATTTTCAGGCGGCAAAGGCAAACTTCTGATCCGCCTGTTGCCTTTTGACCTTGATCTGCTCGGCGCTCTTCGATCCCAAAGTCTCTTTCTTGTGGCAGAGCCTCTATCCATCTATGCCTGGGTGAAAGAGGAGACAGCTTCTCATGGTTTCACTCTTGTGTTGCCTGCGGTCGCTCCTTTCAGCTTCTGTGGACGCTTCTTTGGGGGCAGCCACTTATTCACTCTTTTGACCGCACTGCAGATTCAGCAAGTTGAGGTTCTTCGCAGCAATCCACTTGCTGGATGACAGACTTGTCATCTTCAATAACACTTTCATCGAAGATTCCCATCAGTCAAAGACGGCTCTGACATTCAGTACATCGTCGCTAGGTCATCTCGGTGCCATGCCCAAGGAAAGCTCCTTCGTCGAGGTTTCCGAATCTCTATCCGACTGATCAGTCAACATATCCAACATGGATGGGCCTACTCAAGAGGACCCGCATGCGTGGTCGGTCGACCGGCTCGTTGAAGAACTCTGTTACAATGATAATCCGACATGGGTCCGAGCAGGTCTCTCTGACATCCCTGCGAAGCACCAACTGGCCGACACCCTCCAGTCTAACCACATCGATGGTGCAGCTCTTTTCGAGCTCTCGTCGGAAGAGTTGAAGGCTGACCTCAACATCAAGTCTCTTGGTCAACGCAAAGCTCTCGAAAGAGTCATCAGATTCTTGCGAGGTGACGGTGCGCCCTCAGCGACACCCGCTCGGTTTGCTACCAACCGAATGTCAGGTTTTGCAGTCGGAATGCCCAGTCCGTTTTCGCACGAATCTTATCATGACCGTTCTCCTGCTTGGGATGGCCCATATGCCCGCCCTCCCTCAACACTGAGTCGCTCCGAAGCGGGACCTACTGCCAGTGCACAATTCCAACACCCTAGTGGTCTGCTGGTTGGCCACAGCCCTTTACTCGCCCCAAATACGAACCTTCAGCCTACCCCAGCGCCTCCTAATGGCCACTCCTTCACATCAACCCCCCGCGATAGTGCCGCGCCTGCTGTCAAGCCCTCCATCGAAAAGCCTGACGAGATGCCATCCAAATACCGTACCCTGTCTCCTAAGAAGGAGCCGGACGCTGGCAGCGAACTACTTGATAATCTTGAGGCAGCTGTGAACGAGAACTTGCAGCCTACAGTCTCGCAGCAGGACGAGGAAGCTGCAGAATCCGATGCTTCTGAGAAGCCTGGACAGGTCAAACCCAAGGAGAAGCGACGCATTGCCCCAACATTGGTCGGACCAGTCAAGAAGAGCTCGGGATCGGCTACCCAAGATGACATCCCAGACCAGAGATACCTCGGACGTCAAGTCATTCCCATACAAGACACTTTCTACAACGACCTATCGGACGAAGAGAAAGACTTCAAACTCATTGGCCAGAACGAACAGCCCGGTCTCAGCCTCACGTTAGCCCGTCGCATTCGACGGTCCTTGCTGTCCTCTCCGATTTCTGTTCCGAATCTTTCTTACGATGCCCTAGCGAAAATTTATTATTTAGCGCAGCATTGTGCCGATCCCTCCTCGACTGTGTATTTCACACTATTCGCTGAGAATGCTCCTCCGTCGATCCAAGCACTCAAGGACTGGCCTAACCTCCTGGGGTGTAGCCAATCTCAAATCAAAACCAAACACCTTGTTGACAGAGTTGCATCATTCACGAAGGAAGAAATCGCCATCGCTAGACAGCAGACCCGCGAAACCAGCGCCGAATCCGACCTAGGTGAATTTGCTTACCTTCTCGACAAGTATCCTGTTGGTAAGGAAGACTCAGACTTGCTTCCAACCTACGGCGACTCTGGCGACGAGAACGAATACGACGAAGAGACTTGGGCTGAGATCAATGCCGAAAAGGAGGAAGAACATCGATCTGCATCAGCATTCCTTAGCCGTGAGCAGAAGCAAGCTGCTCTCGAGAAAGCGCTAGACGAAATCAAGCAGAAATGGTGCTCCGGTAAGCTACCTAAGGTCCAGCTCAAGGCCTATAGACTATGGATGAGAGTAGCGAGGACCAGGAAACGCCAGAATGACGTTGATAGTAACTATGCTATTCGGAGTCGAAAGACGGCATATCTGGGAAAGCTCAAAGACCAGATCATACGAGATACATGGCGCTCTGCGGACCAGATCAAACAGCAGTGCGAGGCACTAGAGGAGACTGTTCACCAAATACTGGAGGCAGACCACTTCTTAGGTGTTCTTCACCAAAATACGCCGCCAGAGAAGCCAGCACTGCAGAAAACCAGACGCAAGCCTCCTGAGAAACCCCAGATTCCAGAGGACGAGGAGATTCTCCAATCAGACTCTGAACCTGAGTCCGCGTTTGAACCAGATATGAATGATTTCATTCTGGACGATGATAACGATGTTGCAATGGTCAATGACCAAGCCGATCCAGATTTCAATCCGATCATCCCTCGTGGCCTACGACAGCCGACGACTGCCGTCCATGTCGACGATTCATCCACTGGCGCAACGACTGCAGGGGCCCAGGACGAGCAGCTCTCAATAGCAAAGTCATTATCACCGGGCCTGATGCCATCCTCTCCACCAGCAGTCGATACCCCGCCATCGGTCGCCGAATCGCCTGCGGACGATGCCGATGCAGAAAGCGATGCCAACGAAGAAGTGTTTCTCAGCTCTGTGACCAAGCGGCAAGACTCGAAGTTCGCTAGCCCACGAAAAGCTGTGAAACAAAAGAACTGGCCTTCTTCACCAAAGCAGGACCCACCTAAGTCAGATGACGATGACAATTCCGACTTTGATGCACCATCACGGCTTCCCAATTCAAAGTATAAATCTCGAGGCACGACCCGCGAAGCTGCCATCGAACTTCTATCGTCTGATCACCCTCAGCCTGCGGAAGATAGCACAGGAGATAGCTACGAGGTTGCAACGCCACCACTGAACTCTGAAGAGCCTGATGGCGATGGTGTTGCAGGCCCATCGACAGAACGAACACTCAAGTTGAGGTTTACGCGGCGCCCCACAGATGAACCACGATCGACTTCGGAACAAGACACTGTGGATGACGTTCGACGAATGAGGATTGCTGCTCTCGAAACTGCGCTTAGTCATTGCACTGATGATGAGCGAAGCTCTGTCTGGAAACTCGTTCAAAAATCGAAGCCACCTGAGCCGGGAAAGAAAGCGAAACTATTCTCTGTATTGCTCCATGACGGGCTCGCTGCTATGCACCACGATCCAAATGACCCCTCCAGTGTTCGAACATTCCATATCAATGGTTTGCCTAGAGGTGAACTTGAAGCCACAGAAATGCTCACTCATCTCTTTGTGTGCTACGCGAACGCCAGGAACTTCGGTACAGGGTTTGACTATCACGTTGGTGCCCTCAATTTGGCATTTGATAGGCACCAAGCGTATGCAGCGACGTTCGAGACCGACATTGTTACCTCCCTGAACCTCTATGACAAGACCCCTCGGGACCGAAGTCGTAGATCAGTGTTGGGAAGACGGTCTGCTAGAATTGAGATGGAGCCAAGTTCCGGGAAACACAAACGCGGAACAAAGCGCAAGCACGAGATGTTTGCTGACTCAGACGTTGTTGACTCTGGTTTTGATGACAGTGATAATCTTGAGCTGGAATCTGATCTAGAGCCGCAGGAGCGCAACACACCGCACAGCAGCAAGAAGAAGAGGAAAATCACCGTCTCGAAAGAAGTCCGCGATACACAGAAGGACGACCAGGCGCGTGTGAAGGAGCAAGAGTCTCGAAGAGAGAAGCTTGTTCTTAAGATGCGGGACTTCGACACTGACTCCACGGCACGCCATCCTGTAAACTCACAGGAACCTGTCGTCTGGCTTACGAACCACATCGCAACCAAGGTCAAGCCGCATCAAGTGCATGGCATCCAGTTCCTGTGGCGCGAGATTGTGGAAGACCCAAGACACCAGGGTTGCTTGCTGGCGCATACTATGGGTCTCGGCAAGACTATGCAAGTCATCTCACTCCTGGTCACCATCGCGGAGTGCAGACTCAGTTTTGATGCGGCTATTGTAGACCAGATTCCCAAACACCTCCGCTCAAACCGCACCCTCGTGTTGTGCCCGCCGTCGTTGATCGACAACTGGTACGATGAATTGCTGATGTGGACTCCGCCTGATGACCAGCAGTTGCTTGGGACGGTAGTAAAGATCGGCTCAGGACGGACACCAGAGAGCTTCGCACAAATGAAGCACTGGGCTTCGAGTGCTCAAGGAGGGGTCTTGATCATCAGCTACGACACGTTCCGCTCATTGCTCCTCCCTTCTGCCAAAGGAAGCCAAGTGCACAAGGAGCAGGTGCCACAGTACGAGAAATGGCTTCTGGAATTACCGTCTCTTGTTGTCGCTGACGAAGCCCACAAGCTCAAGAATGCCGCATCCAAGATTTCGATGGTCGCAAAACGTTTCAAGACTATGAGTCGTATTGCGCTTACCGGATCGCCATTGAACAATCATCTTGAGGAGTACCACACCATGGTCGAGTGGATTTCCCCCAACTACCTTGGAGACCTAGCTCAATTCCGCTCCAAATATATTGAGCCCATCACGGCTGGCTTGTACGCGGACAGTACAGCCACGGAGCGCCGTACCTGCCTCAGAAAGCTTCACGTGCTGAAAAAGGATCTTGCTCCGAAGGTCAACCGTGCTGACATCACGGCGATTCGCAAAGATATGCCCCCCAAGACGGAGTACATTATCACGATCCCGCTGGCTAAGGAGCAACAGCAGGCGTACGACCTGTATGTCATGGCTTTGCTGAAGCGTCACGAGAATAAGGGGCGAGGCACAAGCAGAAGAAATCTTTTCGCGTGGTTGAACAAAATGATCGTGCTGGCGAACCACCCCAGCTGCTTTGTCAGGCTCTATGAAAAGTACGAGGATATGCTTGAAATTCAGAAGCCCGAGGAAAGTTCAACCGACAACGACGAGCGGCCGGGGGTCCTCAAAGAGCTTGACGAAAATTATGACCCTCTGAACGTGGACAAAGTCTCGAACTTTGATATCGAATCTATGAGAGGTGCCGTTGCGGTCTTTGATGGCTTCAGGAAGATGTCGAGCTCCGAGGATCCCCTTCTGTCGTATCGAACCCTCATGGCGATGAAGATTCTGCAGAAGGCTCAGTCGATTGGCGAAAAAACTCTTGTTTTTAGCCAGAGTATTCCGACACTCGACTATCTTGAGCGCATGCTCCAGCATATTGATCCGAACGTAATGCGAATCGACGGTGCGACGAAGATTACGAAGCGCCAAGAGATGACCAAAGAGTTCAACAAGGCTCACGGCAAAGATGAAGCGAAGATCATTCTGATCTCGACTAAAGCCGGTGGATTGGGCCTCAACCTACAAGGAGCCAGCAGGGTCATCATATTTGATTCCGGCTTCAATCCCATGTGGGAAGAGCAGGCTGTTGGTCGGGCGTACCGATTGGGACAAACTTCGGCCGTGCACGTCTACCGATTTAAATGCGGTGGTACTTTCGAAGAGCCCATCTACAACAAGGCGCTCTTCAAGACACAGCTCTTCCAGCGAGTGGTTGACAAGAAGAACCCCACCAGAGCAGCGGAGAAAGCCGTAAGCGACTATCTATTCCCGAGCAAGCCCATCAAAAGACAAGACTACTCGAATTGTCTTGGTCGAGATCCTGGTGTGCTCGACGAGGTTCTGAAAGAGGTTGATTTCGTCTTCAACCTTGAACTCACGGAAACATTCCAGAAGGACGATGGTGAGGAGTTGAACGAGGAGGAGCTCAAGCTAGCAAACAACGAATACGAAGACGAGCGACTGCGCCGTGAGAACCCTGCCGCCTGGCAAGCAAAGAACATGCCTGGACTTCCTGGTGGCCTTGCTGGAGCTCCACCAGGATCTCAGCCTGGTACGGCTGGCACTGCCAAAACACAAGCAGCCGGTGGCGGCAATAAAGGAGGCTCCGGCCGTCGATCGCCATCAGATACCGTTGCGGCTACGCATGGCACGCAGTGGGTGGACGGTCAAGTTGCCAACCTTGGGTCAAGTGACCCTGGAGTTGCGCTACAAACAAAGAAGGGACTGATCCGTCGGTTTGCCCATGACCCGTACGGCCTGCAGGCTCCAGGGCGTGCCTTCAGAAAACTTCCTGCCCAAGTTTATCCCGCGATCAGTGTATCGGGGTCAGATTCGGAAGGAGTCAATATCGACCAAATCTCATCTCCTAAGGAAGATAGCGGTACGACAGAGGGGTGTAAGCCACAGTGAAAGCCGCAACAGGCGGAGATGAGGTTGGGATTCGTTTCCCCCGGCCTCTGCATCTACAAGTCGACGACATTGATGCATGCGTGATGGAAGAAGCTACGAGTCCAAAGGATACCCATTCAGCGTAACGAAAGGCATGACAGGCGTTTTGATTTTTTGGCTTTGGGGGTTTTCAGTCCCACCAAGACTCTGTCAACGACGGCAGAGACACGGGAGGCGAGGACAGAAGCAAAGGGATTTGTACAAAATGGGTGGCTTGCCCGACACCGAACATAGCAGAGATACCCCAAAGCGAACGGCAAAAGATGCGCATGCAGAAAGAGAGCCGCACAGTGTACAGTAGATAGGCACCAGGTATGATTTACGACCTTGGACTCATGCTTGACCATGTGCCTTGCCTTGCATTGCATTGCCTTGCCAAATTGCCTCCCCCTGTGACAGACACTACGACGCCAAGCAAGACAGGCAGTGAATGAGTGCTTATCGCGCCAAGCCTGACTGATCCACTCAACTCAACTCAACTCAACTCAACTCGACGTGCCTTTTTCGACCTCAGCATCGTTACTTCATCTTGGGAAGCTCTGAATTCTGCATACCCCCCCGGCCCAACATAGACCGAGACACATCTCACTGTCCCACATCCACACGCACAGACGCACAGACGCATCGCTCACCATGGCCAACAGCACCGCCGCCGCCGCAGATCCCCTCCCCCACCACCCCAACTTCCACCCGTCCTTCTCCCCTCCCTCTTCCCCTTCCCAATCCTCCTCCTCGACCCCCTCCTCCGCCGCGGAACTCATCACAGTACTCAACCCCGCCACAGCTGACCCCCTCGCCACCATCTCCGCCACTCCAGCGACCACGATCGCCGCCCTGGTGGCGCACGCCAACGAGCAGTTCCGTCAGGGAGCGTGGGCGCGCGCCGACGCGAGCGAGCGCTTCAGAGTTCTGGCGCGGGCGGGCGTGTTGATCAGGGAGAGGATGGCGGAGTTGGTGGATTTGGAGGTCAAGCAGACGGGGAGGCCGGTTAGGGAGATGACAGCGCAGTTGGGGAGGGTGGGGGAGTGGTTTGACTATTTGTGAGTTTTGCCTCGCGTTGGGTTTTTCGTTTTTTGTGTTTTTGTTGGACCGTCGCTGTAGCTGTGGCTGTGACTGTGGCTTTGATGTCGGGGGCTTTTGAGGGGTCGATGTGTTTGACTGCTGAGGATGGTCCATGTGGAAAGGGCGTGGAAGTGGATGGGGACTCTATATGGAGGAGGAGATGAAGCCAACGAGAAAGGTGATGATGGGCTTTGAGGGAGGCATCAGCTAACGGTTTCCTCACACAACAGCGCCTCCCTAGCCCGCACGCACCAAGACGACTCCACGCCCTTCAAAGGCCCCGTGCTCAACGTGCTCAAATGCCAGCCCCTGGGTGTCTGCGCGCTCATCACGCCCTGGAACCACCCCGTCCTGATCGCGAGCAAGAAACTCGCCGCCGCGCTCGCGGCCGGCAACGTCGTCATCCTCAAACCCTCGGAGCTGGCGCCCCTGTCGGTGCTGAAGCTGGGCGAGATCCTGCGCGAGGCGGGGCTGCCGGACGGGACGCTGTCGATCGTCAATGGCTACGGGCGGGAGACGGGCAAGTTTCTCTGTGAAGCGAAGGGGTTGGCCAAGATTGACCTGACGGGTGGGCTGGCGACGTATGAGGCCGTGGCGCCGACGGCGGCGCGGAATCTGACGGGCTTGACGGCGGAGTTGGGCGGGAAGGCACCCGTCTGTATCTTCCAGAGCGTGGGCGCGGAGAAGGGGGTCAGGGCGGCTTTGTTTGCGTCGTTCATCGCCGCGGGACAGACGTGTGTGACGGGAAGTCGGCTGTTGGTGCACGAGCGGATCTACGACGAGTTCAAGGAGGTGTTGGTGAGGAGGGTGGCGGCGTTGAGGGTGGGCCACCCCCGCGACGAGCACACGCAGGTGGGAGCACTGATCAACGATGCGGCGGTGCAGAGGTGCAGCAGCTTCATCCGCAAGGCGGAGGAGGAGGGCGACGTCATTCTCTGCGGCGGGAAGCCAACCAGCGTAGACGGGCGAGGGTACTTCTTCGAGCCGACCGTCGTGGAAACACAGCGAAAGTCCTTCCTCAGCTGCCACGAGGTCTTTGGCCCAGTCATCGCGCTCATCCGCTGCAAGGACGAAGACGACATCGTCCGCACCGCCAACGACTCCGCATTCGCACTGGGCGCTTCGGTGTGGACCGACGACTTTGCGCAAGCGCACAGGGTGGCGGACAAGATCGACGCGGGCGTCGTGTGGGTGAATGGGCATCACCTCAATGACCCGAGCAGTCCCTGGGGCGGGTGGAAGGAGTCCGGCATGGGCAAGGAGAACGGCGTCGAGGCGTTTGAGAGCTATACCAAGGTGAAGAGTGTGGTGTTCAATTATGGGATTGAGCCGAGTTGGTTCGACGAGGTGGGAGCGGGCACGCGGTATGGCTGAATGGCCCTTAGACGGTGCAAGACAAAACGAGCAACGGGTACGCGATCTACGCATTTCATGACTACGGGGCTGCGCAGGATATTCAGCTAACGTTCTCTGCGGATTGTCATGGGAAACGGGATCGAGGCACCTCACACCAGCACACTCTCCCATGAAGCGCACCCGGCAGCATCATGTTCGTGGTCCGCAGCGTCGTCCCAAAAGCAATCAGCTACATCAGCGCCTTCTTCCGCCAATCGGTCAACCAGATGGGTGCGTAGAGGATGAGGAGGAATATCAGAGGAGGAAGCGCGGATCAAGGCTAGAGGAAATGAGGATTGAAGAGAGAAGAAGACGCGGGCCGATTGAGGTGGTAGGATCTTTCTGAGACATTCGTCAAAAGCCAAGGCGAAAGCTACGCCTCTGAGCTGGTTCACATCGTTCTGCACGTTCGACCGTTCTAGACTTGCTGGATCTACTGGACAGATTTCGAAGCAGACACAGCATCTATACCGACCTGTGGCGCTTTCTCCGCGGCGCCAGTATCCCGAGCTGGTGCCTCATCCGCTTCCACTCGGTGCTGCGCCCGCTCTTTGGTCTGTTTGTCAAGCTATACAATCTGTCAGCGGAGCACTTTCTTCGCTGGTAGCATGATACTTGCCCAAGTCATTAGCCACAAAGACGCAGGAAACAACGACGAGAGCACAATAACCGCAATGGCGCCTTTCTTCCAGTACGGGACATCGGTCGCTGGATACATCACAATGCCCCACCAGGTGTATAGAAGCTGACCACCGGTGTTCATCGTGTACATGACGATGGACCGGGCCGCATCATCCCCGCTGCGCTGCAGCATGATGTTCGCCCAGCCGTAAAGGATCGGGTTGACGATATAGCTCGTGCCGCTCAGATAGAAGGCCGCAAAGACAGCCGGGGGTGGCGAGGAGCGGATTGCGAGTATTATGCCAGTGACCAGTTGCATCAGGGCGGTGAATAGGCCGACCGAGACTCGTTGGTTGGTCGCATCAATGTACACGCCTGCGGCGATCATGGCAACGATGGAGACGGCTTGGATGCCTAGCGGATAAGTGTTGGCGGCGTTAGCGGGATAATCGGCTTTGAAGTGCTTCAACCAAAGCAGGAAGCCACCCTGGAAGGCGAAGGCCTCCAGCGCGCCACAGTGCATGGCGAACATGGTCAAGATGTAGACTGCTGGCTGAGTCAGGACACGGCGGGCTAGGGAGCGCGGCGAGATGTCGTGCGTGTTGTCCACTTTGGGCGGAAGGCGGTCTTTGGCCAATTGAAGTTCGTCTTTGGACAGATACGACACGTTGGTGTCTTCTGGCAGGTTGGGGAAAAAGAATAGACCCCAGAGACCGACTGGAATCCCCATCAAGCCGTCCAGTAGAAAGACCCATTGCCAACCTGCAAGCCCATGCGTCCCGTCCATGGAGTTACGCATTGCCGTCATCATGATGCCGGCAAACATGCTACCCACCTGACCGATTGCGGCAAATAGAGACGTGCGCTTTGCGATTTCCAAGGGTGTGTACCAGGAGCCGATAATGTACATAGTTCCCGACCACAAGCTGTCGTCGGTCAGCTTTCTGGAGTCGTAGAGAATGGTGGAGTCACTAACCTTGCTTCGAAGAAACCCTGAAAGAAGCGCAGTGCAGCCAACTGAGCATAGTTGTTGGCTGCAGCGCAACACATAGTCAAGCCAGACCAAGCAATCAGCGTCGTGGGCAGCCATATCCTGGGTTGAACCTTTTGCAGAATGAGAGCGTGAGGGATCTGGCCGACCAAATTGCCGGCTGTGAACAGGGAGAGCAGAATGCTGTAGTTGTTACCGACCAGGCTCAGGTCTTCCTGGAGTCCCGCTACGTATGCGTTTGCAAACGCAGATCGATCGAGATAATTGAAGAAGTAGCAAGCACAGCAGTACGTCTGAAAGGGGGTTAGAAGAATAAGGAAGTGGATGTCAGCAACTTACCATGATAAAGGTGTCCAGCTTGTATACGAGTATCTTTTCGCGTCGCGTTCTGGGCACGGCCCGTTGCTGGAAGAACTCCAGATAGCCCATCTTGGTGGAGCTAACGCTGATCTGAGGGCGGGAAATGTATCAGGTCACAACCGTGTTTAGGGTTGGAGGTTAGTGGTAGGTAGAAGAGGCAGTCCCGCCTTTATGATCTCTGCAAGCAAGTGGGAGGGTGGAATTTTTCTAATCAGATCATGAAAGGATTCGCTTGGCTGTGTCCTCGAGGGGGTAGTTCGGCAACGTTTCAATGCATGGCGTTCCACACGGTAGTTGATTTGGACAACGAGTTTGACGACAAAGTGTCTATGGCAAAGACATTTCACCTTCATCATGCCGAGACGGAGTATGTGCCTGTTTGGAGAGTTGTAGATCGGAACCATGTCGGGCACCGGTGAAATCCGGCCAATTATCCTGAACTGCCCCGCTCGCTGGAGCTCGCCATTCAGCCAAGTCAAAATTTTTATGTGATTGCCAATAGTTTGGAGATGGCTTATGATCCTCGTGAACTGAGCTTCAGATTTCTGTAGCTCGGTGTAGAACTTCTGTGAGACATCTGATTTCCCACGCTCGGGGTAAGGTGACTAGGTAAGGTGATCTGGTAGCATGCTTGACCTACGACGTTCCACGGTGTCTTTATAGTTCTTCTGCTGGTTGGCTGCATCACCAAGACGGTTTTGGAAGATTTGAATGCCGAAGAAGCGGAGGCGGAGCGGCATACAAGGTTCGCCGTTGCTCATCGATGGGGATGACGGCCTGAAAGCGTGCTCTCCATATCGTATAGATACTCTGCAGCGTCGAGCTTTAGCATGATGTGCTTCGATTGACCGTCTCCCAAATCCATTTCAACACTCGGCAGCCAGGATCTTGTGTCCCTCGCAACTCTGGGGTTCAAGTTGATGGCGGTCTTCCATTACATTACGAAAGGTAGGTACGGTCCGTACAGGAAGACAGAGGAGCATTCACGCCAAGGCTGTAAGCGAACCAGTCGGCGCCTTCCTTGGCATCTCAAGTGGATCCCCCGTTTGCCTTGTCATCCCGGCGGGATTTAGAGCAATGTCCATCTTTACAAATAACTACAGAGACAACAAATAATAATGCCATTGTCTCCTCGCCTCTCAAACGACGTCTTCATCCACGTTCCGCAACATCTCCTCGCTCTGAAGCCTCCAGGAAATAACGACTCCATCCGCGTGATCTTCTACCTCACTGGAAACCCCGGCCTGCTGAGCTACTACCACGAATATCTCGCCCTGCTAGCCTCGAGCGAGGAGGGGAGAGACTATGTCATTGTCGGGTTCAGCCTTGGTGGTTTCGAGGACGTCGAGCTGGACGAGAATGACAATGATCTACTCTTTCCGGACGCCGTTGCCGGAAAGCGCGGCGCCAAGACGCGCGGGGAGGATGCTGAGTGGTGGCGGCTCGAGGAGCAGGTGAATCTGGCTGTTGCACGCATCGATGAAGTCGTGAGGCGGCTGGGGAGAAGTGCAAAGGTCACGCTGATGGGCCACAGCGTGGGGACGTGGCTGGCTCTTGAGGTGGTCAGCTGTGCCGCGGAGCGCAGGGAGCGGATGCATGAGCCGGTCGCGGATGCGAGTGGTGTCTTAGGCGTGGGTGCGAACCCGGCAGAGGTTCTTGATTGGGACATCGAGGCGTGTGTCTTACTGGCACCGACAATTGTTGACCTCGCCAAGTCGCCGTCTGGCATCAAGGCTGCCCCCATCATGGCAAGACTGTCATTCTTGCCGTGGTTACTGCAGCTTATGGCAGCGGGTCTAGCGTGGGCGCTGAGTGAGAGTGCAATACAGTGGTTGATTGGCCGCTTCATGGGGCTAGATGCGAATCTGGAAGGAGTGAGAACGACAGCTCGGTTTTTACAGAGTCCCGGCGGAGTACGGCAAGCCTTAGAGATGGCGAAAGAGGAGCTCGTCAGTATATCCGCCGATGGTTGGGGGCCAGAAGTCTGGGGTGTCGGCGACGCTGTCGAAAGCAGTGCCTGGAACGGACAAGGCGGTCCACTCATGTACTTCCTATTCGCGCAGAAGGACCACTGGATAGGCGACAGGACCAGGAACGACATCATCAGGACGCGAGGTAGGCATGACGGAAGGGGAAGTGTGGTGGTCGACGAGAAGAAGGGTCTAGTACATGCATGGTGTTTGAGGCAGAATCGTGCGGTGAGCGAGTACGTCAAACCGTGGTTAGAAGATGTTAAACGATCATAAGAGTAATGACTAGACGAAAATATTGTCCTCAGGGAACGATAGTATTGTTGTGGCTATTGAGGAGGAAGGCCTGATCGGCGAAACAAGTCTGCTAGCACGTTGGGTTGTTGCTGCACCTGAGCATGCTGAGGGATATGCTGATAGAACTGCTGACCAGCGCTCGCCTGGAAAGCCCCCGCCATGCTGTTTGGCTCTTGCACCTGCCGGTGGTGTCCAGCCGATCGCGGAGCGCCGGCGCCAAGGAACAGGTCCATTAGAGCATTGGTCTGTTGTTGCTGAGATGGAGCTGGTGGCAAAGGCGGATGTATATTCTGCGGAGTCTCGAAACCGCCGGCTTGTGTCGCCTGGCTAGTGGAGCCATCAATGTGATGTGTCCGGACACTGTAGCCAGCATCCCGAGTTCGTTGCTGACCAAAGAGCTGTTGCAAACTAATTTCACGGCCCATTGGTTCGCCACCCATGGTCGGGTCCTGCTCCAATTCGCGCTCGGCTTCCTGTACATGACCATTGGTATGGCGGGCTTGTGCGTCTGCCGCAGAGGCTTCGGCCGCCTTTCTGCTGATACCGGCGGAGTTGGCCAGGGTGATCATGAGCTCGCCGTTGAGGATTCGAGAGTGCTCGGTGGAGGAGCCAGGTCCCTCGCTGAAGATGAAAACGCCATAGATTCTCTGCCTGCCCTCTTCGATGAAGGTTATAATGACATACGGATCATTGATTTCGACGCCGCCATTTTCCACTTCGATCAGTGGTGCGTCAAAATTCTTCAGACCTCGCCGATTGAGCACAATAGCTGCATATCGATCCTCGCCGTAAGATCCAGGCCGAAGTTGGCATATGAAAAGAGAGCCTTCGATGTCTTTCTTCTCCCATACGGGCTCTGGTATCGTTTCGAACTCGTAGATGACAGCGTATGGTGCGATGGAAAGGATGCTCGTGACGTCTGGGTGGTGGCGTTGCACGACGGAGAGATTCAGCTCTTCCGTGGTGCGCTGGGGTGGAGGAGGCTTCATGGGTAGATCTGAGCCGTAGCCGGCGTTTTCTGAGTCGTAGTCTGAAATTTGAGCAAGGGCGCGCTGTCGCTCGTGCGCCGCCTGCGCCTCGGCGTCCATGTGTGTTTGGGGTTGATATTTGGGAATGTCGACGGACGGATTGCGACGGTTGTGGTGGGCAGGCCTCCGTTGCGCCATAGTGACGCGTGAAGGTCAAGGCGTGCAGGCAGGACTAAAATGAGAGCGCATGGATCAACAGCTTGTTCGGACCTACCTTGACAATGGCAGTTACCGAAGCTCGACTGGGGAGCGAGGCAATGTGGGAGGATGCTGTCACTGACGATGCTCGTGAGAGTACATTAGGTACATGCTGAGTATGAGAGTCCCAGGTGCAGGTGTAGGTGCAGGTGTGGTTAAAGTCGTGCCACAGGTACTCCGTATTGCACTCCCATTGGCAGGCGTGGCCAGGCTGACTCTAAGCCCAAACAAGGCAAGCGCAACCCCGTAGTTGGCGATCTGTTCCTGTGCTGCGGTGGAACGAGCCCCTAATTCCTCACTCCATCCCAAAAGTGTTTTCTGCGGACTGCTTCCCCTGCCCTCTTCCTTTGGCCATCTTCGACTCTCGACCACACTGCCCTTCCTTCGGTTCTGCGTCTACATATCATCCAGCTGGACGGGGCTTATCAAAAGCAACTTAGGCCCAGCCTTCTACTCTCGTTTGAGTTCACTAGTCGCACACACCGATACATTCTCGGCCCCTTATCATGTCGTCTCCAATGAATGCGGTATGTCTATCCAAGACTTTACAGCAAGTCGTGCTCGTCCACTCCTCCCCTGTCGCCTTCTGCACGCCCTTAGGCTGGCCTCACCATGTTCTCTTCCGCTGACAACAGCTTGCGCGAACGACAGATGAAGATCCGGAGGAAGAAGAATGTCAAGAAGGGTGTTCTCTTCTCACTGATGGTGTGCGGTGCGAGTGGTACAGGTAAGCTGGAGACAAGTCGTAGAGAGAGCGCAGGCTGACATGTCATCAGGCCGAACAACCTTCGTCAACACCCTCTGCGGAAAGCAGGTCCTGAAGTCTAAAGACTCCGATGATGCGGCCAATGCGCACCTCGAGGAAGGTGTCAGGATCAAGCCTGTCACAGTTGGTAAGAAGCGCAAAGTATGCACACTGCATGGGCGTCGTCTGACAAAAGCCAGAGCTCGAGCTTGATGAAGAAGGCACTCGTGTCTCCCTGACCATCGTCGATACCCCGGGTTTCGGTGACCAGATTGACAATGAATCGGCCTTCGGCGAAATCGTGGGCTATCTCGAGCGCCAATACGATGACATTCTTGCCGAGGAGTCTCGTATCAAGCGTAACCCCCGCTTCCGTGACAATCGTGTCCACGCCCTCCTCTACTTCATTACCCCGACCGGCCACGGCCTCAGAGAACTCGATATTGAGCTTATGAAGCGTCTGTCTCCCCGCGTCAACGTCATCCCTGTCGTTGGCAAGGCCGACTCCCTCACCCCAGCTGAGCTGGCAGAATCGAAGAAGCTGGTCATGGAAGACATTGAACATTACAGAATACCCGTGTATAACTTTCCCTACGATATCGAAGAAGATGATGAGGATACCGTTGAAGAGAACGCGGAGCTCCGGGGACTGATGCCATTTGCTATCGTTGGTTCCGAGGACGTTCTGGAGATTGGTGGCCGCCGAGTGCGGGCTCGGCAATACCCCTGGGGTGTTGTCGAAGTCGAGAACCCAAGACACTCCGACTTCCTGGCCATTCGGAGTGCATTGCTCCACTCCCATCTGGCCGATCTCAAGGAGATCACTCACGACTTCCTGTACGAGAACTACCGTACTGAGAAGCTCTCCAAGAGCGTGGATGGTGGAGTTGGAAAGTATGTTGGCTCTGTTCAACCACGTCAAACAAGTACTAACTTTGCGCCAGTGCACAAGATTCGTCCATCAACCCCGAAGACCTCGCCAACCAGTCTGTTCGGCTCAAGGAAGAACAACTGCGTCGGGAGGAGGAGAAGCTCCGCGAGATCGAGGTCAAGGTACAGCGCGAGATCAACGAGAAGCGACAAGAGCTTTTGGCCCGCGAGAGCCAGCTACGCGAGATCGAAGCCCGCATGCAGCGCGAACAAAGCCATGCCGACGATCTCAACGGCCAGGCCGAGTAGATGATGCTTGGTCGGCTGTCGGTGGTGTCACGATGATACGCGAAGTTGCAAGCGGTGTGTATTCGAAATTTTGGCGACAAATATCCGCGACATGGAGAGTGAGCTTATGCGCCGAGGATGGGTTTGGTTGTATCTTGTCCCAGCCCCATCTCCGTGCGCCATGAGTCGCTGAGGGGGAGGGTGGGAAGCCCGGGACTTCACGCTGCTTGTTGCGGCCTTGATGGCCCGCAGAGCAACAGAAAAGCACGGTTGCTGAAACTTCTCATAATGGCTGCTTGTAATGGCATGGTCGCCACGCCATCCATGAATTCGATAAAGTCGGTAGCGGTTTTTTAATCCTTTTTTCTTCCCATATCTGCAGCATCGCGGATCCTTTGAGCTGCGTGTTCCGAACACAGATTTCTAGTCTGAAATGTATATATATGTACATGAGGAAATCATCAAAACAAGCCTATCACTTTATACTGTACAATACATTCTTTGCCGGCGCAGTACTCTGTACCACGCACAAGCACGTGCGCGTGGCTGGCCGTGGCGTGGCTTCCCGGGATCTACTGCCGTGGCGTGGCATGGCGCCTCAGGGGTATGGGGGTTCGAAGGACGACATCCGCTGAGTGACAGGTACGGGATGCGGAGTACGGAGTACAGAGTACAGGTTAGGAAAGGGGCACGGAGTAAGGCAAAAGGGGGGCGCCGTTGCGCGGCGTGCCGAGTGTTGTTGGGCTTCGGGGGTCGTTTTTCGGGGACGGGGGTACAGAGTACGGAGTACGAAGTACCAAGGGGGGAGGCGCCGGAGCCGGAGCTAGGCGTTCGGCGTTCAGGGGCTGCACGAGGCTGCACGAGGCTCTGGTGGGTCACTATCGACGGGGGTGGATAGCTTCCCATAGGAGGGGCTTGTGCTCTTGGATGTGACAACTACAGACTGTGAAGAGGTTGTTCGCATTGCGAAGCGTCATGTGGCTGCTAGGGAGGAGAGTATGGAAAGTAAGAGACGGAAGGGGTCACTTGTGGTTCATCGTTCGTCTACCTGGCTAAGCACAGTGGCACGCCCTGAGCAGCACCTCGATCAAGTCGAGACGTTCGATTAGCGTCTTGGGAGGCCGCGGACCAGCGTTCACGCCTCTGTCGTGTCGCTGTCTGAGTCCTCGTCTTCATCATCATAGTGACGACGGCCTCGTCCATGGCCGGCACGAGAGGCTTCTGACAACTGACTTGCAGCCTCGCTGTCTCTGGAGGTCGCATAGCTAACATCGGTGTCCGTAAATCGAGAGCGAGTTCCAGTACCCGTAAGTTGCGAGCTCGCCACGCTAGATGACGGGCCCGGTCGAGTGCGTATATTCAAAGCGGCGGATCGGCCCACCGTCGTCCCGGACTCGGCTATGCTGGACTCGTCCGCTGTTGTAGCACTCTCATCGTCGGCACGGCCTTTCTCCTTGCCAGTTCTCTCGTAGAAGTCGTGCTCATTACGTGCCATGAACATCAAGAAGTCATAGTCAGCCCTAACGTTGCCGAGGACAAATGCTGAGACACTGTCGAAGTCGCCCTTCAAGATGCGGTCGGTAATGGTGCAGTTGACTATGTTCCGACATTTCCATTGTCCCTCGACTTTGTACTCAGCCGCACACTGCCGGTCAAACTCGATGTGGGCCTTGTCGAAGGCAGGAATTGCATCTGGGACAGGGTAAGGGTACTTGAGCCGCTGTTGGCGGATATAATCTTCACTTTTCTTCGGCATGTCCGTGCCACCTGTGAGGATGTGCGTAATACTCTTCAGGGGCCGATACTCGCGTCCGCCGGGAGACCACGACCTCTGGGGCTTGGAGCGCCGGTCAGGGAATGGGTTCTCTCGGTACCAAGCATCGGCAGCGGTAGAGTTGGAAGAGATGGAAGAACCGCTACCCCTCTCACCGAACTTGAGAGCCCGCACCGCCAGTGGCTGGGTGAAGTCGCGCAGTCTAACAAAAAACTGTATGTTGCGCTCGTGTCGATCTCGAATGCCTGAAACTTCCTGGCGAATTTCTTTGAGGCGGTTGAGAAAAGCGATAACTGTCGCACCCAAGTACTCGCGCTGTGGGTTCTCAGGCAGGGGTCCCGGGGGTAGCTTATACTCTCCGACGTCTAGATCTCCCCAGGGAAGAGGAGGCTTCCCTAAGACTTCGCGGCGCTCTTCTTGCTGTCTGAGGACCTCGAAGTGATCCTCCCAGCCCAATTGAGCCTTGTATAGCTGGCTACCGAAGTGATCACGGAGAGTTGCCTCTTGATAGGGACGCTGTGACCATCTCGCGTTCACCCTTTCTTGATTGTGCAGTCCCAGAAGCCCTTCCTCTTTCATCGCGAAATATTGACGGAGAGGGTTCCTGAGATGGAGCGGTACATGCTTAGGTTCTTCGATGGCAATGTCCTGCCTCAGGTAGTAGTAGCGATCCTCAGATTGGCATCTCACGCACTCTCGGTCCGAGTCCCACGGGAGTCGATTCTCGATGTAGCCCGCGAAGGGTCCATTCGATTTCCAGTAAGGCACATGGGAAATCTGGAACGGCATGTAGTCTTGATCCGGGTAAATGTCGATGCTTGCCGCATTCCAAAGACATTCCCCTGCAGCTTGGACTGCGAAGTAACAGGGGCCTTGCTCAAGTATCCTGGGGCCATCGTCAAGGGTTTCAATGACGTTTGTCGTGGGTGGTCTCTCGTCAGTGCTTCCCGCTCTTGCAATCCAGCAGCCGAATTCGGGTACTATCTGGATGGACGGGCAGTCGCAGTACCTGTTTGGAAGGAATCAACTTTGGCATCACCCAGACTATCTAATTCCCAACGCCAATCAACCTACCTGCACCAGCCAGCCACTCCTGAGGTAAACCGAATGCCGCACATAATAGCCGTCAGTCGAAGCTGCTTCGATTGGGTAGTTGAGTTCTTCTTGAACCTATCAATGGTTTGAGATTCTCTAAAGGTACGCAAAGTCAGGGTAGAGTATGTTTTAGGAGGTCTATTCTCGAATCAGCTCATCAAAACACCCTTATGTAGATGACATCTCTGTTTGAGGATGCTGACGAGCCATTATGACATTGATCGTATGACAGCTCTCGACGTGCACGATCATGGATAATGTCATCCTTGGTACGAACACTCCGGTGGATCAGTAACACATCTGATTGATCATGCTGACTTGCTTGGAGGGTTATGGCTTGTTCGAAGGTAGACTCTGGCTAATTTCTTCGACTCAGACGCAGGAGCGTTTGACTGTTAACACCCAGTGCTTTCACCGGAAGACAACAAGTAGACCAAGACTGTGACATGGAAGTGAGTATGAACGGAACGTGGAATGTGAGCCATATGACACTCGGGAGGTGTGGACAACAGAGTTGACTCAACCTCTTGCTAGGCCCAGGTGGACTTGTCAAGATGCTCGACTTTGGTCTTGCGTCCTACATCAAGGTCCACAACTCGCACTGGACAAGGCAGCGGTATCGTGTGGCTGGTGCTGGCAATCAAAGCAAGGCACGCTCACGCTCGAGATACAGCTGATGATGAAGTGTGCACTCCGCATGATGCATCCGGATCCTGACCAGGAATTGACAGTCATATCGAGCCTCCGTCTGCGGGAAGCAGCACGAGCTGCGCATTGAAACAATTATTGAGCTGCTATTGTTTGCACAAGAGTAGCGATAGCGTCATGGCGTTGCTCATGATCTCGGTTGAGCCTCCTTCGACGACGGTGTCGACCCGTCCGAATTGGCTTCCTCCTCCGATGACGTGTCAACACTGTCAAACTCACCATTAGCGCGTCGTTCCGCCAGCAACTTCTCCTGCCTTGCCGCTTCAAGTGCCATTCCCGCATCCACTATGTTCTTCTCCCAGCCCAACATCAACAGATACAGGCCAGGATTCCAGAGGACCCCTTGAGCTGTCATCCAACTGCATCGGCCCAACACGAATCGCTCTCCATCACCGCCAATGAATCCCGTCTTCCCCTCACTGGTGCCATACAGCGCGGCTGTCAATCCCTCCAGTAACGCTCGCTTTCCCACTCCGGCCCCGCCATTAGCCACTCTATCTGCTTCTGCTGCCTCTACCGCAACAGTGGGCAGAAAACTGTTCGGCATATCGCACGGGCAACATAGAAGTCCACCAGTGGGCTCACAGGCGACCACGATTCCCAATTTGTTCCGTGGAGGATCGAAGAGGGAGTTCTCGATACTGTCGTCCGCCACCACTGTCGGAATGATGGTTTGAGTGAAGACTTTACGCCAGTAGCCGTCATGCTCCATACGGGATGCACTGGCGGAGGGGCTGTCGGGGGATGCAGCAGCTTCTTTGACGAGCTTTTCCAGCGCTACTGCGAAGGCACGTGCACGAAATTGAGATCTGCCATAGTCTTCAATTGTATCAGGGTTGGCGTCGATCGTGTCTAGGTAGGCTTCCTCCTCTGCATCCTGGTCATCCGTCGCTGGATCAGTGTCGTTGCTGATGGTTTCCGGAGCAGCGTTGACGAGTGAGGCTGCAGCAGCTGTTTGAGGAGTCTCCATAATTGGGTTGAACAGCAAACAGTGTGTGACTGCTGAGCCCTGTGTTTGTCGCGGCCGGGTCGGGGGAATCAAGAGGATTTGGGGGCGGAACTGGTGCCAAGAACCCACAGCCCAACCCTCGGATTCATTCTCTGGCATCAAGTGGGAGACTATTCTAGGACAAAGGCGTCACAGAGGCTCAAAACCAGGCCCGGAGAAGTTGTACCCAATTCCGCACGTTCCATTATCCAGGTACCAGTCCAAGGAGCCCTAGCCTTGCATTACACATCTCCTTAACATCTAGCACTCCGATTGGCTACATCAAGGGCAAAGTGGACCCTCCACACCACTACCTGATGCGGTAATAAGACTTTGTGTACCCGGCACTGCGTACGATTGCTCTTGATATGGACGAATCAGCAGTTTGAATCAAGCTCAAATCAACAGCGGAGCTGCCGAAGCAAGTACCTTCACGCTCAAAATCATGGGACGAAGACCTGACCCACCTTGGCGCAGGGTACACACCGCAGTCGGAATGGACATATAAAAGGGACTGGATGGGTAAATCCTGCCGGTCTTCGATCAACGTCCTGCAGACCTTCCTATACGCTTTCGACAACTCAATCACTCACTCACTGCACAAGTCCTCGACTGCACCTGCTTCTGGCCTTACCTCCAACATGGCCTCCCACGAAGACATCAACCCCGCCATCCTCTACTTCGGCACGCCAACCGCCCTAATCACCACCCTCCACCCCGAGACCAGCGCGCCCAACATCGGACCCATGTCCTCCATCTTCTGGCTTGGCAACCACTGGTAAGCCACACCCTCCCACCCATCTTTCCCGTCTTACCAAAACCTAACCAATAATTCACTGACACATTCCTCGCCAAAAAAGCATGCTCGGTCTCGCCGCCTTTTCCCAGACAACCCTCAATCTCCTCTCCACCGGCACCTGCACCATCTCCCTCCCCTCGGACGCCGAAGCCGCGCACGTCAACCGCATCGCACGCACCACGGGCTCCTGCCCCGTCCCTCCCCCAAAACAGTCCATGGGCTACGTGCACTGCGCCGACAAATTCGCCCTGGGCCGCTTCACGCCTCTCCCTTCCGCCACCGTCCCGCCCCCGGGCCTAGCGGAATGCCCCGTCGTCATGGAAGCCTCGCTCGTCAAGGCGTTTGACTTGTTCTCCGACAGCGCGGACGCCCGGGGGGCCATGAAAGCGGTGGAAGTTAGGATTCAGAGGGTGAGGATTCATCCGGAGTTGAGGCTGGAGGGGTTCGAGAATCGCGTGGATGCGGATCGGTGGCGGCCGCTGATTATGATGTTTAGTCAGTTTTATGGGTTGAGGGAGGGGAGGGTGCGGGGGAGTCGGTTGGCGGAGATTGAGGAGGAGTTGTATCGTATGCCGGGAGAGGAAGAACGGGGAGGGGTTCAGAGGCAGGGGCAGGGCCAGAAGGTGGATGAATGCGGTGGGGGCAAGGTGCCGGGGAGGGGTGACGTCGCTGGGGCGAGATGAAAGGGCCAGAGAGTGTGTGTAGTGTGTATGTGTGTGGTGTGAAGCCGGCGCGGCCATCAAGTTCGGGATACAGATAGACCTCCTCATAGGTTTGGCACCAGAGCTTATCATAGATGGACGACTAGAGAGCAATAGCATCCCCGTCACTCAAGATGGAGCAAAGAGCCGCGAGCGCGCCAAGACTTTCACTGCCTGAGACTATTGCTCTCACTCTTCAAGCTTGCAATCTCCCCCTCAACTAAGCTGCACGACAGCTCACAACGCCCGCCCCTTCTCCTTAATAACAGCCTTATACACGGCCGCCTTCCCCGTCAGCAGCCAAACGCCGTCGTCTTTTCCCCCACGCTGAACCGGCTCCAGGTTGTAAATCACATCATCGCCCACATTGATCTTCCCCAGCAGCACACCCCCCCTCGCGACATCCACGACATCCACACCACCCACCACTGCCACAAACAACAGACCCGACTGCCCGACCCTCACGCCATCCGGCCAGCCACTCTCCACCAGATGCACCACCCGCCCCCCACCACCACCCTTAACCCCAACGCCGCCCGGTGCAGCGTCAAAGTCAAAAGCCCACACGCCCCTCACAGCCGTCTCATCCACCGCGATCGGTCTGCCGTGGATACTGCCACTGTCCGCCACGTACAGCGTCCGCTCGTCCGGACTCAGCGCCAGGCCATTCGGCATCTTCACCGTCCCAACACTCAGCACCGACAGGGCACCCGTCGCGACGCTGTAGCGGTACACGCCATTCGGCAGCTGCGGCGGTCCGACGCCTGGCCAGCCTTGCGCCCAGCCGTAGTCCGGGTCCGTGAAGAGGACGTCGCCTCCGGACGTGAAAATCAGGTCGTTGGGCGAGTTGAGCTTGCGGGAGCGGAAATTGTTGAGCAGTGGTCCGCACTGTAGCGTTGACGTACTGGTGCTGAAGTTTCCGGGGAGCGGGCAGGCGTGGATGCTGGGGGCGTGCCCGCCGTTGGTAGTGAGGTACAGTGTGCACAGGCCGGCGGCGGTGCAGCGCGAAGTGCCGCCGTTGACGTTGCTGAGGGGTGGGGCCGTGGTGATCTTGCGGATCGCGGCCGTGGAGACGTCGAGAGCCCACAGCCAGCCGCTGACCGAGGTGTCGGCGAAGAGCAGCTCGTGGGTTGCGGGCAGGTAGACGGGCGCTTCGTGCACGTGTTGGTCATCGGGGCTGGTGAAGGAGTGGAGGGTGGTGAGTGTGGCGGAGGCGCCGAGAACGGAGGTGAAGAAGGCGGGGTCGAAGGCGATGAAGTGTGCGGAGCGGATGGAGCTGAGGTCTGGCGATGGGGACGCGGATTTGGACGGGGTGAAGGAGTGGAAGGGCGTCAGGAGGCTGTCGTGCGTCCACTCGCCTGGAAGGGCGGAGAAGGCGTGGTTGTTGATGGACACGGCGTTCAGGTGGGAATAGCCAAGAGGCAGTGTTGGATGCGTTAGCGATTGCGGGGGAGCTGTGCTGTTGGCGCCGAAGACGATCTGTTGGCTGGCGAGCTGGCCGCTGCCATCGACAGCACCGCTGACGCCAAAGTACGATGTCAGCTGCTCGAACAGCTGCATGGCGTGGGGCGAGGATACGGTCTGCGAGAGGGGTGGCAAGCTGCGCAGGGGAGGAATGCAGGAGTTTCGTGCTCTATACGTAATTAGGCTTGTTTTGCAGCGCATGAAGACCAAGGCTGAGGGAATTACCCTTCCTTGGGCCGAGCGGTGCCACCCCAGAGATGGGAATAGGATCTGGTAGATGTTCTCTACGACATGAACAGTATACGGGTATCATCTGTCACGAAGCATGTGCACAGCCGGTAGCATCATAGATAAAGAGATCCGTCCGGTATGGTCAGATTCGTCCCGAGAAATAGGAATTGCAGCAGACATAGCATCAGAGCCATCTGGTATCTAGTTGATATCGCTTCCAGCATAGTGGCCATGTCTAGGCCGTTGCAAGGCCTGGGACTCGAACAAACAAGTCCCCCGTCTGTCTTTGGTGTCACCGATTCGGTCTCGATTTGAATCCCCTGCCCGGCACGGCCATTGACTTCAAACAACTGCCGTGCTAGATGCAGAAGCCCATCGAGACCGCCATGTATGCCCTAGCAGTTCGTGCCACTCGTATAGAATGCTCTGAGATCTCTGCGCAGGTGTACCGCAGAATCGACCGCCGCACCCACGTTTGTGAATGCCTGACAGGCTCCAGTTTTGTTGGACTTCATATTCATCGGCTCTAGCGGCTCCTTGATTTATAGCGAGTTGTGCAGCATCTCAGCAGTCACTCACAGCTTGCCTGCTCGAACCAATCCATCATGAAGAGCAATAGCCGCCAAAGTCTTGCCGTCTCGCACTCCCACCTTCCACACGTCCTTCAGCTTCACGAGCTTCAAAGTGATCTTCTCTCCATGATCGCGCAGCCCCGTAAGCTTGCCCTTTAAAATCTCCATCTCCTCCTTGGCCATCTTCTTCCGCGCCAGGTAGATAGGCATGAACTCGTCGCAGCCCCCCGGGCTTGGGTACATGCCCTCCTGAAGATGTGCTTCGACTCCACCCTCTCGATCTAGTTCGGAAGTAACCTCCTTCAGCGTGAGCTGAGTCATGTCGATGAGTTCGTCCTCCTTGATGTCGAGACCAGTCTCTTCCTTGATCTCCTTTGCAGCAGCACCAGTGAACGTGCCGGCGTCGTCAATCATGCCTGCAGGCAACTCGACGAAGCTTAGTGAACCCGCGGCGATACGTGGCTGAACAGTCATGAGCGCATAGTCATCCCCAGCACTGGTGTTGGCCGGTGATAAGACGATAAGCATAGCCACACTTCCACCCCTCATGAAGACCGACCCCGGAAGCGACTCATTCTTCTCATTGGTGATAGACGCTCGCAGTTTCAGGAAGCCAAGGCGTTTCTCTGAGAAGAAGTCCACGCTCTGAATCTCGATCTCGCGGAGATTGTACGGCTCAGAGTGAAAGGGATGTTGAGGGTGATGCTGGAGAGCCAGCGATTTGGAGAGGGCGGATAGCCAGTTGTTGAATGGGCGATACGATAGCAATTGCTCCAGACGGAGGTTGGATGGAAGTTTTACGGTGACGCCTGGGAAATGTCCGCTTGATGGTAGCTTGAGGGTAGACATGGTGCGCTTTGAACGTTGATGATGAGATTGACGAAGAGAGGCACAGGCACGCAGAGGTCTTTGAATATTTGCTCTGATCAAGGAGGTTGTGAACGGAAAGAAGTGATGCATGATTCTCTGGTTTTATATGGACGCATGACTGTGCCTTGTGTCAAGTGAAGGGAGGAACTTTGGTTGGGGAAAACAACGGGCATGTGGCAGTGTCGCGCCAAGAAGGCAACCGCGTCTGCCACAAGGCAGCAACCCTAACCCTATGCAATCTGATTCGCCAACGGCGACATAGCCACAATACAAGCGAGGTTTCACTGCACAGGCGCCAACGAGACGTTGTTGGGTATCGAATCTTGGTGACATTGCTACTACTAGGTACGAAGCTCTGGCTGATGACCGCGCTTCAGTCTCCTGTGTGTTGTCCTCCGCACTTCTTTAGTGTTGGTCTGACTCATAGAAGTATTCTGGTGTCATGTCTGCTGTCGCATTCAAAAATGTGACCTGGCACAGCCCGCACCTTTCATGAGCACACCTGTGACAGGCTGTGTCGACAATCTCAGTCCTGGCTGCGGAAGTAGGCATCAGATAGATGCAGTGGTGACAGAGCCCTACAGATCAGAGTTAGCTTGTTTCAGCATAGCTCCATGGACAGAACACGCAGCCAGAGACTAAAGGCCCTACTGCGCATATCTTGAGTGGTAGGACTCCTGCGCATCCTTAAAAGGGCTGAGATATAGGGCGCTAGCAAAGGCTTACTGCCAAACAGTCAGTACGGCTTCAGTCACAAGCGCAGGCGGAGGAGAGAAAGTAGGCCGACACCGAAGTCTGGTCCCATTAACTTCTCCTTATCCAAGCTCCTCTATGCTCTTTACTTACCATCCATCCGGTGTGGGCACCTTGACGTCGCTGATGGCTGTGTGGTGTGACTTGCCAGACGGGGCCGAATGAATGCACAGGCTGAGGCACCGCATAGGCGTGGCCAAAGCCTGAAAGAAGCTCGGCGTTGTTGAGGAGGTAGTCTGTGACATTATGGGTAGCGCGGCTATCATCAGCCGTACACGTACACGATCACAGCTTGCAGTTGCGATTTTTGAGTGGGGCGATTGTGACGGAGACGATGGAGGCTGGGAAACCCTGCTGAAGGCTACGGGTTTCTTTTTACCAGCACGGCTCAGAAGATGCATCGGGCTCGTTCAGTTGTCCCGTTTCAATCGTCTTCTGTCATGACGCATGTCATACATCGATTGTCGCACCCTCATGGTCAGTCAGGACAGTCAGGCACAGGGCTAACCAACGTGTGCGGATCCTCGCCAGCGGCAGCATATCCGAGGCCACAGCACGAAAGGGTCTTCGACTGTCTTGCCTGAAGCAGCACGTCTGCCTGAATGTGCTTGGCCGTTGGGGTCCCAGGATCAGGAGGGCCGATCCTGATAATTCGGTGCGGCTGGACTCTTTTCAACCCCAGTTGGCACGAAAAGATGGTTCGTCGCCCTGATCTGGGTCAGCGAACGTCATCACAAGCTTTCGTAGTGCTGCAAACGAGCGTCTGGGAAATGCTTGATTGCAACAGGCTCATTCACCGTTGTAGGCGCGGCCTAAGGCGTCCCACTTGCCACTTCCAGTATTCTGTTCTACCCTATGTTTGGGAGCTGGCTCCAGACATCGGCTCTCAAACAGCAGATTCGTTTACAGACACCTAGAATGAGTGCATTGCTGCGCAACGTGACATGTGTGGCTGGAGAGTTGAGAGTTCAACATCGGGCCTGCTGACAGTAAGCCAGGTCTGAGCATGATTGTCGACGTATCCATACATCAGAGACCATGCCACATCGATTCCAACCACCTACCGTTCTTTTGTCTGTAGGAGAACTGGATCTCTCCACCAATATGTCACGTTGGGATAACGCTTTCTTTGCCAAGCCATACGCAGCACACAAATCATAATGGCACGGCGCATGCCTGAACTCGACGATGGAAAAGAGGAAGTCTCGCATTGATACCATGACGACGAGGGTCTAAAAAACGGTCGAGGGATAGAGCATGGACAAGAGCGAGACCAGCCGCGCAGTCGAATGTAAAGATGTATGTGCCTCCCATTTGGTAACCATCTACCTATGAGCATAGGTCTCGTTCCGCCGGGTGATTATTGCCGCCCGGGCCTCTATTAGCCTTTTCGGCCAGCACCATTCGCCAACGCTATGCTATGTTATGCGTTTCCCCAACCGTCTACAGCTTTTTCTGCCAAATTATTGCTTGTCTGGGAAGCCAAAGTTGACTCCGAACTCGGCTTGACAAAGAGTCAGTAAGTACTGCGGACAAAGGGGGTATAAGCCACTTACGATAGACAAAGCGCTTGACGCCATTCTTTGAGATCTCATCTAGAGTCGCAACATCGTCCGAGGAAAGCTGCACGATCTTCTTGTTCTCGTCGATTCGGGAGGGTGTAACCGATTTGGCAAGAACAGCACTGCCGCGCGCGACTGTGGCTGGTCAGACTATGAGTCTCGAATTGATCGGCGCAACTTACTGTGATAGCTCAAGAGGATAGAGCCAGGGCTGGTGCCTTTGTCCTTGGCCAATTTGACAACGTGATCGTCCTGCATCAGCGGACTACCCGTGCTTCCCAACGGGCTGTACGCGGTGATGAGAATGCCCCGTTCCTTGCAGAGATCCACAATCTCCTGCTGAGGGAGCAGAGGGTGGTTCTCGATCTGGTTGGCCGCGGGTACAACGCTGACGTTTGGCAGCAATTCCTCAAGGTATTTCTTGGAATAGTTGCAGACGCCAATGGCTCGGACTTTAGTGCCTTTGAGGAGCTTCTCCATGTCCTTATAAGTGTCGACGTGCTTCCGACCAGGGATCAGGTCTCGTGTTCCATCCGGCAGTTTGGGGAACTTCTCGTGATTACCGTTGGGGTTCATGGCGACTGGCCAGTGCAGGAGGTAGAGATCCACATAGTCTAGACCGAGCAGGGCAAGACTCTTGTCGAGGTTCTCCTCGATGCGGGTATGGTAAGTGCACCACAGCTTTGTCGTGATGAACAGCTCGGATCTGCTGATGCCGGCCGCTTGGAGACCCTCCTTGATGCCCGTTCCTACCTCAGCCTCGTTGCCATATACGTATGCACAGTCGATGTGGCGATAGCCGGCCTTGATGGCATGCGCGACCGCTTTTCTAACTTCGCCCTCAGGAGACTGCCAGGTTCCCAGGCCAAGGGCAGGAATCGAGGCACCGGTGTTGAGCTTGAAGACTGTGTCGGTCATGGTGGCGATCATGAAGATGATCGATTTCGGTGCTATACGAAAACGACTTTGCAACTGCAACGATGATGTTTTTATTCTGCAGACTCTTGATCCGTGTTCAACGGCCAAGTTTGCCGACATGTGAAGTATTCCAGGTGAAGCTCGCGGGGGTGCGCTGCCTGCAACTGCCCCCACGCGCGGGGGCGCGGTCACTATCGATAAGTGAAGTCAATAGCCGAAACATTACCCCGCCTTCCGGCCTTCACGCCTCAAAAAACCTCAACAGGAAGGCTTCTGGAATCAGATCATGCTCAACGTGTAATGAGCTTCCATGCCCCGCAACGGTGAGGTTGCTCAGGGCGCGGAACATCTCCTGCCTGGTCGATTGCTGCTCTCAGTCAGCGAGTCCCGACGCTGTGGCTTGCTGCACCTTGAGCCAGGCTGGCTGGGAGCATGAAAGCTGTTACAACCCCGGCAATAGCAATGGCCCATGCATGGTGGCGCCCAGGCCCTGCACCTCGAATGGCCCTGCTACAGGTGAGATCATCCCGGAGACCAGCTTGGATAGCACTCGGAAAAATCTGATATCACATTCCTCATGGTCCTGAATTGCTGCAACATCGGCTCACTCGGGGTCCACCGTCGAAAGCTTCTTCGAGTCCTATTTTTCCTGTCGCTGAAAGAGGAAATTCCCACCGGGCTCACTCTGCACTCGTCTCAAAACCATCGCGGACGTTCTCTAGGAAACTATCGCAAGAGTGCACACGAATCGGGCTGGCCGTGGGACAAAACATAGCACACACAGTGATGTTTCCGATGCCCCAGGTCTGTGCGTGCGGGTCAGCGAAGTACCTCGCAGCTCATCCCAGTACCAACCTAACAGCCTCAGGTCGCACAGCGTCAACCGGCGTTCCATCCCCGCTTGCGGATGTTCACATCATCGAGCACATTGCAGCCTCGCGTACTGGAAACGTCTTGTTGATGCGACACACCGACTTTGTCCTTGTCCCGAGTTCACCATCGTGAATTCGCCTTCATCCATTACCATCTAAATTGACTCTCGATGCCAACGCTAGTACGACTGTTTCTGGAACCTTAGTTCCCGGCACTCTCCACTCCAGGCTTCTCACTTGCCTCATGGTCTCAAACAGGTAGGATGCTAGTCGAGCTTAACCGGCCCGACTTCGAGATATGCACTGGCTTTTCCACCACGCATCCTCGCCCGTGCCAGGCGTCCGTATGCAGTAAGTTGAGACCATGCCTCTGGATGACGCTGCTACAAATGCCTGGGCCTGAGTGACGGCTGTGGATTGACTGGTCCGTCACCTTTGCTTCACTGCACCATGACACGCAGATCAGGTAGGTGAAAGCCGGCTTCTTGGTGGAGCCATATTCCTATTCACACGTTCTGCCTGCGGCTCTCAAGTATTTCAGTCGGTGGCGCATCTTGAGATTTCTCCTTCTTCCGCACCTTTACACACCTGCGCACAACTGCATACTTTCGACTTTTGCTTTGGCTCGTTGCATTTGCTACCAGAACAACAACAGCAGATTAACGACATCGATCGCCAATATGGTCGGCATTCTTGTTCAAGAGCCAGTCACTGACTTCCCCGAGAAGCGCGACGGCTTGGCTCTAGAGGCTATGGTCGACGAGATCGAGGAGATCAACATCAAGAAGGATCAAGCCCTCAAGCAGCAGAAGGCTGCCGCTCAAGCGCAATTCGAAGCCGACATGAACGCCGCCTCCGAGTTCGATGCCACCAAGGACAAGACTCAGTTCCGTCAGTACGAAGATGCTTCTGACACTGTCAAGAACTTCTATCTCGAACAGCACACCAAGCAGACTGTGGCCTACAACCTCAAGGCTCGCAATGACTTCCATGCCAAGACTCGTGCCGAGATGACCATCTGGGAAGCCATGGAGCGTCTCAACACTCTCATCGATGAGTCCGATCCGGATACCTCGCTCTCTCAGATTGAACACCTCTTGCAGTCCGCCGAGGCTATTCGACGTGACAACAAGCCCCGCTGGATGCAACTCACCGGCTTGATCCACGACCTTGGCAAGCTCCTGTTCTTCTTCGGTGCCGAGGGTCAGTGGGACGTTGTCGGCGACACCTTCCCTGTCGGCTGCGCCTTTGACGACAAGATCATCTACGGCCAGAAGAGCTTCGCCGCCAACCCCGATTCGACCAACGAGATCTACTCCACCAAGCACGGCATCTACACTCCTGGCTGCGGTCTTGACAACGTCATGCTCAGCTGGGGTCACGATGAGTACCTTTATCATGTGGTCAAGGACCAGAGCACCTTGCCAGACGAGGCCCTTGCCATGATCCGCTATCACTCCTTCTACCCCTGGCACCAGATGGGTGCGTACGATTGGATGATGGATGACAAGGACCGCGAGATGTTCAAGGCTGTCAAGGCTTTCAACCCCTACGACCTCTACAGCAAGAACGATGAGAAACCCAAGCTGGAGGATCTGAAGGAGTACTACCTCGAGCTCATTGATGAGTACTTTCCCAACAAGGTCATCAAGTGGTAGACAAGGTCGTCAACTAGATGTGGTCGCACTCCAGTGGGCCTGCAAGCTCCTGGTGACCAGACCGTCGACCTCCATGATTACTGCCTCCTACGATCCGTGTCACTCCGATACCTATCTCTCATCACCGACTTTACCTTCATCTGCATAATCCACAAAGGATACAAAGGCGTTCTGGTGCCGGTTTTTCAACACAAATATTCATCCTATTCCCTACGACTACCACGACACAGGTTGCGAAGTGCTCGGGCCTGCTACGATGAACGCGGTAGTTTCCTTCTTCAGGGCTCAGCGAAAGCAAGCGATAGAGATGAGACGCACACAAAGGTTGCTGTCCATCATCCATAGAACTTAGCATAGCATGACACAGCATCAGCACCGCACAGTGAAAGACACTGTCAAGGTGCCAAAATGACAAAATCAAAAAGACTTCAAGAGACCATGTTCCTGCTCTGACTCAATAACCGGGATATATCTACGTCGAGTCCCGCAGACATTGCCCTTGGGGTGAGAAGCGCCGACGAGGTTCGAATGATGGGAGCACGCTAGGGCGGAAAGAGCCGAAGGTAAAGCTTGTGCCGGCCAGCAAATCGGAGTCGCCGTCATTTCGCCGCAGTTCCTGGATATTTGTCGAACGCGCATGTGCATATCTGGCCTTATTGACTATTGAACGCGACGGTGCAACCAGTCTTCGCTTACTCTTTGTCAAGCAGTGCCCATACACACAACATCCACTATGGTGAAATCTACACAAATCGCGCGGCTGGACGGTCAGTGGCGCGCCGAACTTGGGGCAAGAACGCAGCTGACAGTGGGCAGGTCTAATGCTGGCCGCCAGCGTCGACGATGAACAAGTCGAAACAGAGCTCGCCGAGGTCAAGGGCCAGGCGAAGATGGTCTTCCGCCGCTTAAACCGCAATTCGGAACAACAGGCTTCGATCGAGTCTGGACGCTACACGCTGCACTACATTATTCAAGATTCCGTGTGCTTCTTGTGTATATCCGACCAGTCCTACCCCCGCAAACTTGCCTTTACCTACCTGTCAGACATTGCGCAAGAGTTTACCACGACCTACCCCTCAGGCCAGTATCTGAGCAGCACCCTACGCCCTTACGCGTTTGTCGAGTTCGACACGTACATCCAGCGCACCAAGAAAGTCTACCAGGACAGCAGAGCGAGCGCCAACCTCGACAAGCTCAATGATGAGCTGAAAGATGTGACAAAAGTCATGACCAAGAATATCGAGGACCTGCTCTACCGTGGTGATAGCTTGGAGCGCATGGGGGAAATGAGCGGCCGGCTACGCGAAGACAGCAAGAAATATCGCAAAGCAGCTGTGAGAATCAACTGGGAGCTGATGTTGAAGCAATACGGGCCTTTCGCCGGCCTCGGGCTATTCATACTCATCTTCATCATTTGGCGTTTCTTCTAAAGCCTCAAATCTCATCTTCTTCATCGTCAAAGTCATCCTCGACGCCCATATCGTACAAGATTCTCCCACCCTCGCCTGGTCCTCCGCCACCTTTCTGCGCGTCAAAGTACGGCAACACGACACCTTCTCGTTCCTGTCTTTGTCGTTTGGTGAGACCAAGCTCGAAAGTCATATCTGCAAGGTCTTGATCATCGACGGGTATGTCAACCTGGGTTTTGCGGAAGAGAGGATGGTCGTCCAGTAGCATTGCAACCTCCTTGAAGCTTTGTGGAGTGGGTGTCTCTGTCTGTGCGGAGGACGGCTCCGGGAGGAAATACCACTCATGCACGCCCCGTCCGCTCTTGCGTCTGTGCTCCAACTCAAGCACAACTCCACGCTCACCTGGCCTAAGCTTTTGCAACCCTGGCTTCAGGCCTATGAGCACACCTTCGATGCCTTCTTCAAGACCGAACGAAGGTGCCGCAAGACTCCGGTCTCTGGCGCTCTTCTCTGCCAAGAGATTTGGGAGGGAATGAACATGAATAATGGTGGTCGCGAGATATGCCATCAGTTCAGCAGGTTTGGGAGTGTAAGGAGTTGTTGAAGTCAGAGGCACATCTGCGTGGTAGACCGCCACAAGCGAAATGGCACTTGGTGTCGCTTGCGCCTTTTGCGGTGGTTGAAGTAGCGCAGACAGAAAGCTCGTCAGATTGAAATCTGCGGCAGGATCGACCGACCAGGATGCCAACGCGGAGAGCGAGTCAATGAGGAGAAGGCAACGTCTACCGCCGCCAACCGACGATGCGGCCGTTGCCACAGCCTGGCTGATCTGAAAGGGGGTCTTGTCCCAGCAGCTCACGACAGCATCTACATGCTCGGGCTTCACCAATGTCTCGAAAGCCAGGAAAATGCAGTGGGTTTTCCCAAGCCTTGCTCGCCGTATGTATTCTCGCAAAAGTGGTTTGGCTGGCTGTTCGAGAGTATCGAGGACAAGTGTGAATGGGGAAGCATGGTCTCTTTGGTTCAGCAATTTGCTGATCAGTAAGAGGTTATGCGTCCTGCGGTGGGATAAGCCAGCCATGGCGGAAGTTGATGAGTGGCTGAGGTTTGGTTTTTTGACGATCAGGACATCTTCAGGAATGTCTCGCCAAATCAGGTCTTCAGCCCGTATTCTACGCCATACCTTGCCTCATCTTGCAGTTCCTGCTGTAATGCGTTGGCAATCTTGTCAGCGGTCAAGCAAATAATGGGGTAGTCGTACAAACAAGTCGGTCGAAAAGTTGTTTGGCGTCCAATCCGATGCCTTGGCCTTTTGCCTGATGATCTGCAAATCACGTGAAAATTCCAGCAATGCAACTTTTGTTACCCCAACCTCACAACTTTCTGCCCTCGTCTAGCCCAGCTAGTGGCACTTGATCACACGTCCCACTTCGCTCGAAAAGCTGCCCTCCATGGCCGAGCCTCCCGCGAAACGCGCCAGGCGTACCGACAGCGCCGCCATGTGGGAGAAAGAACACACTGCGTCACCGCGGTCACCACGCCCACACGACTCGCGCAGAGACGAAAAAGACCGGCCGCGGCACGATGACGACAACAGGAGCGGCAAGCCGCGGCGCCATGATGAACGGCGGAGATCGAGGTCACCGAGAGGCGGACGAGACAGAGATCGTGAACGCAGCAGGTCTCGTGAGAGAGGGCCGCCTCGAGACCGCGACCGGCATCGAGACCGAGATAGATATCGCGAGCGGGATGTCAATGGCGGAGACAGAAGAGATAGAGACCGTGATCGAGATCATGGTCGGGACAGGGACCACAAATCATCAAGGCACGAGCGGACAAGATCACGCTCACCAGTTCGCAATGGGGCAGGCCGTGCGGGTCGTGTATCGCCTCCGCGGCCCACGAGGTCGGACCAGGATCGACCGCGTGCGCGTGAACGAGAACGCGACGTGAAGGCTGAGCCTGAGGAGAAAGCCAAGGTCAACGGCACGTCAGAGATGGACATTGATGAGGACGATGAAGAGGCGATGATGCGGAAGGTCATGGGCTTTTCGACCTTCAAGACCACGCAGAACACAAAGGTGCCAGGGAATCAGATCTATGGGGTGCGCAAGGAGAAGAAGACCGTCTATCGTCAGTACATGAACAGAGATGGAGGGTTCAATAGACCGCTCAGTCCTGGAAGGTGAGGGGTGTGCGTTCAAGGGGTTTCGCCATACATTTGACCTGCGCACCCGAAAAGAGACAGCACGCCACGACATCTTTCATGGGGCTTGACCGCGGCTATCGCCTCCATCCCCAAGAGAGTTCTTGACGTTCCAAGCCGGCTTGCCATTATCTCGAGAGCAAGTCAATCTAGCGAAGTATTAGCATCCATCCTCACAACGCGTCGAAAACGAACATGCCTTTCAATAAAGAAGGTTACTAATTTCACCATCTTGTGAATCTTCCTACCATCCCCGGGGAAGACAACGAGGACAACGAGTTGCTGGATCCTTTCGCAAACAACCTCCCGTATCCAGTTCACAAGCACAACACCTGTGTTACGAACCACAGCAGCTCCTCCAGAGGCCAATCTTGAGCAACAATCAATCACTTTGAAGTGTGATATGAGCAATCAGCAAAGTCCGAAGTCGTTAGGGCTCAGCTGGGCAGCAATCAACGAACTCAAGGAGACCTGTTTCTTTTACAAACGCACAGAGAGCTATACGGGCGATGCTGTAGAGATCATCCGCCTCAGCTCCTCCTCCGATCTCACGCGCCAGCTTTGAGACCCAGATACGCGGTCCAGATCCTTATTCTCATGGACTCGATTCGTCCGCAGCTGGCCAACGCCAACACCTAGACATCCAGCCCATCACCAGCAACATCTCGCGACCTGACGGCGCAAACGCCTCTTGTCTTCACGCTGCAGCCCATAAGCAATATAAAACCCATTCCACGAGCTCAACATGACCCTCCTTTCCATGCATCGCCAACCCAGCAGCCCAACAACCACGACTTCAACTCCACTTAGAAATATTTACACGATGCCAACCTTCCAGGAGGATAGACCAAAACGCCACCCCCGCCATGAGCCAAAGCTCGACACCATTACCGAGGGTCGAGCGCACCAATCGCGTACAAGTCACCGACCTCGCGAAAGCTATAGGATGGAGGAGCCCCGTCGCTACGACAAGGCTAAGACGCCAACACCTCGATCGTCAGCGAGCGGTTCGTCGTCGAGAGGCTCTGCTAGCGGGTTGTCAAGAAACGCAGCAGGAGCAGGAGGAGGAGGCGGCTCAGGCAGTGCTTCGGCAAGTGGTTTGTCACGAAGCGCACCAAGAGCCTCAGCCAGTGGCTCCTCCGGTGGCTCGTCAGATCGGCCGGCGACTCGCACTACGAGTCTTTCTTCGAGTCAGTCGTCAACTCGGTCTGCGCCTCGGCAGCAGTATCACTCGGGGCCCCGACAGAAGGGCTTGTGTGGGAGGGGGAGCTGGTGTCGTGATTTCTGGGGTTGTTGATCGGCGGGCATGGGTAAAGAGGGTTGGGAACGGTGGTCTGGGTCTGATTAACATATGGCAAGGTTTCTAAGGCATTGGCCATTCCTGGCGGGTGGCAGCATGCCGCATTCGGGCCCTGGCGGCGTAGCGAATATATCTCGCAGCAAGCATACCGATGGTTCAGATGGACGGACTACTTGAACGTCACAATCCGATATACCTAACTCCGGTGTTGGCTGGCTCATGTCGCCGCTACGTCTATACGGGACAACTTCCCAGGCTCGGCATTCCCCTCCCCCCTGCTCGTCTCTGTTCGCTTATGCTGTTTCCGAACCATTCACAGGCCTCGTACATTTCTTCCGGTAGGGCTAGGGGCTTCAGAAGCGCCTGGCGGACCTTCTTGATCTGGATGAGGCGTTTGTTGTCAAAGAGCGGCAAACCAGAGTCATTGCGGAACGACGGCATAATCCTAGGGCCGTGCATCTTGAGCATGACGGGGTAACGCTGCGTCTCACCTTTGAAGACCTGGGCGCGCTGATGGCCCATTCTTTCGATGATGCGGACTTGAAGCGCAACATTTTCGACTTTAGGATCTTTGGATGCCTGGGTGATGGGCAGAAGCTGCAGGTGGATTCGCTCATCATGTCAATTCCTGCTGCAGTGGTCTTCGCACGGCTTCGCCGATGAGAGAAACTTACTTTGAGTCCATGTGGTTCAAGGTTCTGCGTCGAATACAACAGCATTCTACTTGTCGCAATTGTCTTGGCACGAAGCAGCAGGCTGATCAGAATTGCAATGACTTGGGCTCTAAATCAACAACGCCAGACCAAAACTTGTGAATAGCGCTTACGAATACTAATTCACAGACGAAACAGTATCGGTTCGCATCATCTGATAAGTCGGGAGGCGCAGGTTCTCTACCACTACCACAATGGATTGTAGGTTTCCATGTTCCAAAGAGTCGATCTCGAGCTAAATATTCACAGCCTTTGACGACCTTGAATCCCTCCTTCAGGCACACTGCGGCTGTTCCAACCCCCTGGCAATCTCTCGGAAGAAGGACCTGTAGGATCCGCCGAGTGTTATGCCACCACGCCTGGAAGAGGATCTGCTGAGATCCCGCAAGGCTGATACAACAGATGAGATCCTCGAGGAGCTCAAGGTTTGGGTTGGGAACAACGAATGGCCACAGCAAATTAAAGAGGTTACTAAAGGGCAATTCTGTTACCTAATAAAGCCCGTGTTCCTTACGAGCCTCTCTACCACCGCACTAGTCAACACAGCGATCAAACACTCCCAAGGAGACGGTCGAATAGATTCTCGTCCACTACCTACTACCGAACATCCGGAGATGATCTGTAAAACGTCTATATATGCACTTAGTGTCTTATCTGGGCAGCCTAGCAAGCAACATACAGCCCACCAGCGCCTTCAAGCCACGCATGCGCGTCAATCTTCAGCCTTGTCCGAGGTCTCTAACACTTCTACTACCGGCCTACATACTGCAATCAGCACAAAAACGATACCCTCGACCGACCTGCCCCAATACCGATGCCCTCATAAATTTGGGATCAGGATGAGCTGCGAGTGGTCGCGAGCATGGCGATCAAGGCGGAGAACAAAACATGGCGACGGGTGCACGGAGGAGGAAAATGGCGAGCAAATTGACATTGTTGACCTTCTCCGTACTGTCAATTCTGGCCACCCATCAGCAGCCAAGCCTGGTGCTACGCATTGGACACTTTTTGGTATTTATCAATGATGCTCTTAAGGGTTCATTTACCTACTTTCGATACATCGTGGTGGTTGACATCACGGACAACAGCTTGCCACTTTGGCTGATCTGGGACCCGAGCATTCTCGGTGTTAGTGATGATTGGGATCAGAAGGCCTACAAGAACCGGGCGTACGCAGGTGACTCCAAATATTTGGATGACGCAGAGATGAATACGCGTGTTCGAGTATCGATTGTAAACGAGGGTATGGCCGACGCCTTTCATAAACGAGTTCTGGCCAAGTTTGAGGGCACCGAATGTCGTCTAGTCATCAAGCTGGGTCTGCACTTCGATGAACTTATTCAAGTCGGTCCAGAAGACGTTCTAAGAGGGCTCGAGTCCACGCGACGCCGTGGTGCCTATGAATAAAGCGATCATCAAGTTTGCCAGCACTACTGATATGGCGCAGGCAGAATTGCTTGTCAGCTTCGATGTTTTAGCACTTAGATCGTGATTTAGATACTCTCTACATACGTGATCCTTATCACGAATCCAAATCAGACTTCAGTATCCGAATCACGATCCGCCCATGGGACGCCCTATAGGAAAAACCCTCTAGGAAAGAGCACTACACCCCCAAGGTAAGACAGTCACTCCAACCCTATCTCCCTGACTCGGCCAACCACTTTGTCAGGCGAGATCCTAACCTTTTTGGTTGCATCATCAAAATACTCCATCCATGCTCCAGGCATGAAGGCTTCCGGATTGTCGATGAGGTGCCAGAAATCTCCCACCAGCTCATCGATCGGGTTTGTGGTCCATGCTTGCCAGTCGTCGGGCTCAGGGCCGAACGAGAAACTGATAAGCCTCCATGGAAGCTCTCTGTTACTGACCCACGGCCGTTCGACCCTTTTCGTAGAAGGACCCTTATAGATATCCCATTCGTAGGACAGCAAGCCGCTCCTCAACTTACTCAATAGCCTCTCACCGTATTCGACCAAGTTCACCCCGGCAAATTGAAGCTCGGTAACCCAAAGTCTCAACGCTGGGGTGAAGCTGTATCCGTGCCGTCTCAAGTGGCGAAAACTTTTCTTATACCGCGAGAAGAATGCCCAGAAGGGGTCAGTATTGGGGGACATTGTGCTGGTGCTGGTAGCGTGGAGGTTAGCACCCGCGGTTACGGCATCTCTCAGTAGACGGCGCCATCCCGCTAAGTTCTCTGTTCTGCTCTTCGAGTGCTCGAATCCTAGACAGCGGGCGATGAAGAACAGTAGTGTTTCATTGTCGCTATTCTTCAACCAGTATGCCGCTGGTTCGATTGGGCTGCAACCTAAAGCCGTCTCCAGGAGCTCAGCGGTGGCACCTCGAATAGACCACGTCTCCAATGCCATGGCCCATTTAAATCGCTCTGCAAGGTCGAGGCTAGCATGAGAAACAAAAGCGCAGCGCTGGACAATTTGGAGGCCTTCTGGATCGCCGCAATAACCAATGTCTCCATTGAACAATGAAGCCTCGTAAGCCGTAAACGCTGCCTGATCGTACGTCTTGTGCTCCATTAGCAGTCGGAGCAACTCCTGCATTCGCTTTCTTTTGTCTGGTTTCCACCTAACCCATGCTCTGAACGCTATAGACGCGTGCATCAGAGGCGTTGAACCAATGAAACTCTGCGCGTTGGCCTGAGCACCATTTTGCAAAAGCAATTCGCATGCTTCTAGCTGCCCTTGGAACGCGGCGTAATGCAGGGCTGATCTGCCTTCTTTGTCGACGTCGAAGGGAGACGCTGACCCATTCGAGAAGAGCTCCTTCATCGTTTCGATGTCACCAGCTTTCGCGGCAAGCATAAACCGTGAAGGTTCTCCAACGACATTCAGGATGCGAAAGTTGTAGTTCCATTCAAAGGATGTAGCTCGAGTGATCTGCAGGTCGAGTACTGTTTTAAAAAGCCACGACGGGCTTATTAGTCGCATCGACCATGCTTCGGTGCCTCTTCGATGCTTATAGCGTTGTGATGAAGAATGCAGACAGCTCTCCTTGACCGTCAACGAGGCCTGCTGGCGGGGATCGCTTTGCATTTCAAGATCCCCGAATGCTGGAGGCGCTGACTGCAGTAACTGCATATGGAGAAAATTCAGAACTTCTAGGATCTTTCCTGTATCGTACTGGCGTTGTTCCCTCTCTTGAAGGTTTTGTGCTGCAACCAAGAACCATGTCGCACGTCCGAGTGCCGCCTTATGAGCGGCCAGTGTGGTCTTCGTGGACTCGAATCTCCAATAAGTGCGTTTTTGGTGTTTGAGAAAGCCCTCGTGCAACCCTTTTGCTTCTTCCAGGAGATGTTTGATTTGTCTCTCACACTGTGCTAAACAAATTCGTACAGATTCGTTGGTGTTTTTGGGGTCGACGCCTTGCTGTTGATCGGCTATCGACGAGCAGACCTGATGGAATGCTTGAATCTCATCAACGAAGGCGGCAATTTCAGCTGGAGCACCCTTGATCGATTGCCAAAGACTTTTCAGCTTAATCGTTGTGTCAAGGATCTGCACACAGGCAAATGTAGTACCTACAATATCCGCCATGCTTGTTGTAGTAACCAATTGGCCGCGTGATTAGGTACGACACAGGAGACAACCCTGGCTGTGTTGCTGAGCCAATGTCTATGTGTTCTCCCTCTTGAAAGAGATAATTCGATCTAGAAGACTTGGAAAAATCAGGAGAACGGGGTGAAGTGGGCTTTGAAAGCAGCAAGAGTATGGATGGAAGGGCATGGGGAGGTGAGGAATCGCTCGATAGCGCTGGGAAGGGGCGAGAAGTGGCAGTAAGGCTCGCAACGTCTTTATGTTGCCAAACCCCGCCCTGGGCAACAACGATGAGGCAGTGATCAGCACTTTCAGTAGAGGTGATTTTCAGCCTCATGATTCCCTATTTGAACCTGTTGGCAGGGTCGCAGAAGAACTTCCCGCGGCCAAGTCTCACTCACATCTTCTTGCATGACTTCTAGGTCGCTTTTGATATGGTCGTCGCGGCCTGAGAGGTCGGATATTCAGAACTTTGGTTCTGCTGATATCCGCTAGGTTCAAGGTTGAGGAGGTCGCTTGGACATCGAGTCCCCGCGCCTTGGCTAGTAGGCTTACCAAAGCTTGGATCTAAAAGCACCCCATCTGTGGTTCTAGCATTTTGATTATCGACATTTTAGCTTAAAGGTCCCACTCGTGTGGTATTGTAGAGTCAGGTGGGCCCTACCTGGAGCTTCCATTATCGGTAGCATGAGTGTAAAGTACTATCAGGCTGGGGATTTCAGAAAGTGCCGACATAGCTTTCCACGCTATGCTACACCGCACGCTGCCGGTTGATTTGCAGTCGCCTTATCCACCAACACAATGCGCAGGTCACGCAGGGATGCATGCACACAGCCTCGGCCAAGTCGGGATAACTATGGCACGCTGCAGCCATCAGCACGGCAACACTTACGTGACATTCTTTCCCAGCCTGATGCCCGTTTCTCGCTTTATCAGGTCATGTGCATATTGCAGTCGTGTTGACGAGTCGTCCTGCATGGTTCACCACTCCGCAGTGTATTATATGGGTGAGGTCGAGTGCAACTGAGTTGCAATGGTGACACGAGCGGCTGGAATATAAGAAATGCCAGAGAGGAAGTTTTCAGCAAGCCAGAGGGGCTTTGTTGACCGTTCATGCTGATTGTTATCAGGCGTACACTCAGGCCAGCAGATTTCCCCTAGATTCGGCTCTCTCTTCCTTCGTAGCGTAATATAATTCCCTTCATGGATCGTCAGCACCTTGGCAGAGCTTCTCAAGACCGGTGAACAGAATCTGAAGGGAGAGGGTGATGCTACTGGTTGTGTTCAGGATAGGAGGCCATCGACCTATCAGAAAATCGACTATATAGGCCCTAATATGCATATGGCTAAGAAAGAAGAGCAACTCCGCCTGGGCTGCCAATTATGCTGCACAGAAGGTCTAACCACTAGCAGGGCTACTACTACTCTGTATTGACTCTGTAAAAGCAGCAAAGCAGCAATGCTACCTCGTCCGTGCTCAGCCCCGGTTAGCACCCAACTGTGTTCGGACGATGCCCAACGCCTGCTCTTGGTCACGTTTGCAGCCCATCGCCAAGAATCGAGCCCGATGCGAAACCACATTCTGGCTTTGGCATATGTAGCTCGGGTGAGCGTGGAGACATCGAGCGACTTGTTCATCAGTTAGAGCCTGGCTTTGTGAACTTGATGCATGATCTTCGTCAAGGTCTTCGTTGCCTAGACCTATTGAGGCCTCAGCCGCTACTGGACGGTCGGACCACTTCTTTGTAGCAACGACAATAGTCTTTGAATCTCCGGGGAAACGGCTCCTGTTGTCATGGTGTAACACCGTCTGAGAGACTTGTTGTGGTATGCAGCGCACATCAGATGAGAAATACTCAGGCCTGGAGCAACATGCATGCTTGCTCCTGGGACCCAGTATATGAACAGGCTGATGTAGGCGCTCCGAAGCTCAACAATGATACATAATTGACAGAGCAGGCCCCGGACCTGCTACAATGTGAGTTCTAAGGTTCTCAAGTATGCACATGAACAAGGACCAGCATCAGACGGTATAAGGGGTCACAGGAGCTAGAATCTGCGAGCACAAGGTGTACCTGCCACAGAGACATTCCGGATCGGAAATTTGCTATCTAGCACATTATGGTATCTATACCAATCTAACTATATTGGAATCCAGCAAGCCCGAGTTCAATAGCGTCTTGCCGCCGTGCTGTAGTGGTTTCGCTAGCGAAACCCTCATATCGAGGTGCTGGAGGCAAGAAGAACCTGCATCACCGCAGTGAAGGTCGCGGTGAAGGCCTCTAACAAATGGTAGCATCGCAACCTTCACCTGGTCGGCAGCTATAACCAGAGCTGCAACGTCACAGAACTCTCGCACGGCGCGCGAATCTGGCATTGATCTCGTTACCACTCAATAATTTTGCAGCCTCAATCGTCGGCCACCAAATCTCGCCGATTCCCACGTGTTCGGACCATCGTAGCGGCCGATACCTTGACATGCCCCGCGAGCCGTAGTCTGCGGACCTCTGACGGCTTGCCACTAATAGCGGACGTACTCGTACTTCACGTACCAGCCTGTGGAGAGGGCTGCAAGGCATCGGTCGCCCCTGTGGACATCGAAGCTTGGCATTGGCAGGCCGCCGCATTTGACGTGCGCTGATTGCTCAAACGGTTCTGTCATGAATGCTTAAGGCCGATAACAGAGCTGTGATTGGTGGAATGGCCGCAATCGTGGCGCAGGGGTAAGGCTACAGGGTTTGCGGGCAGAGGGCGTGGCTGTGCGTGTGGAGTGCTTGGGAGGGTGGTGATTGGGAATGATGGGACGGAGAAGGCGATGAACGATTACGTGGCCAGGGCGCGGGCGAAGCTGGAGGGCCTTGGAGGTACAGGCAAATATATACTGGGCCGGTTGGCCGTCGTTGTAGAGTGGCAGTCTTTCAGAACCAGCACAGAGCAACATTACGATTACTACAAAACGCCACTCCGACCAGCAAACAATAAATCGAAGAGCACCCGCCAGACACCACACCCACCCAAAGCCAATATGGTCCTCGACCTCATCGCCATAGGTGTAGGTGTCTACCTCGTCATCAGGCACAAAAAGAACAAGTACGGCTTCCCCCCTTCCCCGCCTTCCAGCCTGCCTGCTTGCGCCCGGAAGCCCTATACTAACACGCCCGCTCCAGGAAAGCTCGTGACGCCGCCTACGCCGCCGGCCAGCCCATCTACAACCGCGACGGTAGCATCACCTACCCGCCCAGTTACAGCGGCTGTCCTACACACGGAGGCGAGGGCGTCGGGGCCCGTCAAAACCCGCCACCCAATGCAAATGGGTACCATGATGAGAAGAGGCAGGTGCCGAACGTGACGGTGAATGAGACGACGGGGTATGGCGAGGCGCCGAGATATATGGAGACTGAGAGCGAGACGTACAAAGGGCCAAGGCAGGAGACTAGGGAGGTGATGAGCGAGAAGGAGGAGTATGTGAAGGTTTGAGTGTAAGAGAAAGGTGGAAGCGTGAGAGCAAGTACGGGGAGCTAGTGGAGAGTTCTGCTTTGATGGATGCTCGAGGCGTTGTGGAGTCATGCATATTTTGCTGTTGGTGCTATTCTGAACACCGCTTAATACGACCTGTGCGAGGGAATAGAACACTCGAGTCTCTTGCTCTGTCCGTCGTCTTATTGGCTTGTGCTTGCTCAAATGAAGCTTTGCCTTATATGGAAGACGCAACCCCGAGACCGACCACGCTGCACTGATAGTCGTTACTCTCGACACAAGTCCCGTTACCGACAGGCTGAACAAATCAGTTCGAATGGTTATAATATGAACTCAATACGGCACTCGGTCTACTCTATGCCTCAGGCTCATATCCCTTGCACCTTGCGATAACTAGGCGGTTTGTATGCCCTTCCGATGAGCTTCCCACCCCACACTGGGACCAGACTAATCGCTGCAACAGCCGCCACTCTCCATGCCCAGCTCCAGCTAGCCACGTACTTCAGGTCAAAGTAGTCGTCAAGAAAAGGGACACTAGCTGCGTAGACCACAGCTGTGCCTAGTATCGAGGCTATCATGACAGGATGCCATGTTGTGACGCTGACGGCGACCATAATCAGCTCGTTGAGCACTAACACCGTGAAGCTGACTGACAACATCTTCTTGCCATCAATGTCTGTCAGCAGTTGGGACAGGCCTTGGATGACAATTCCCTGGTAGACAGACACTAGCACCCAGGTGAAGAAAGACCTGTAGCTCAGGCTTTGGCCGGATTTGAGCTCCTTATAAAGTTCAGGATACAGGTTGGCAAGATGCTCGTCCACATCGCGGTCAAACACAAGGGAGAAAACAGGCGCAGTCGTGTAAATGGTTGCATAACCAACAAGAAGCCAATCTTTGAACAGTCCTATCGGCTCCAACTTGTTGGCTATGTTGTACATGGTCTGACAGACAGCGATGATAAGGCCACGATGAATGATGAACTGTCCGAGCTTCGCACTGCGTTTGTAGCTGTTTCGCCCATGCCAAACGAGCAATTTGGTCAAGTGACAGAATTGCGTGACGGAGAAGTCAGCAGCCAGCGAGGCTTGCCGGCCCTCTTTGCCGACGATACCAATACCTACATCAGCGGCTTGGATCATGGACACGTCGTTACCACCGTCGCCGATACAGCACACCCGTTTTTTGGTGTACTTTCGGATGAGGTTGGCAACGTCAGCTTTTTGTGTAGGTGAGCAGCGGCATGCAATCACGGCCGGTAGCAACACCGCCGTGGTGATAAACTGCGTTCGGAAATGGGCCAGAACGAGGGCAAGAGATTCACCATCGATCAGTAAGCAAGAATCAGTACGGTTGCGGAGCATGTCGAGGGCGTCCTGTGCTTCTGACTTCTGCTTGATCTTTGCCATTGTCTGAATTTGTTGGCCTCTGGCTACCAGCCGAGCCGAAATGGCAACGCAGCGTGCTGTTTCAACCTTGTCGCCCGTCAGCATCCAGATCTTGACGCCAGCGTTGCGCAGAAGCTCGAGAGATGGCTTGACGTCCCGCTGTAGTCGGTCTTCAACGCCTGTTACGCCGAGGAGCTCGAGGTCATGTTCGAGATGTGACTTTATAACGTCGGCGATGCCGGCTTCGCGGTTATGCAATGCCAGCGATGCTTCGTTGTAAGCGGCTGAGAATGTCTCGTACTGCTCATTTGACAGCTTTCGACGGCCTACGACAAGCGTTCGCAGGCCCTCTCGAGCCATGTTCGCTGTCTCCTCGTCAAGCCAGTCGTTGGTGACCACGATCGATGACATGACGGTGTCGGCTCCCTTTTGGAAGAACCACATCTCAGAAGACTGCCCTTCTGCCGTGTCACACGTCATTTGGACGATGATGCCCATACGCTTGCTGTCCGAGGTGAATGGGAAAACGTCTTTGATCTGAGCCCGAATCACGACTTTGCCAGTGTCCACCGACTGTACGGTGATGCTTTCCCTGTCTCTCCGGAGAAGCCGAAGGCCGACGCTCTCGGTAAATTCGACAATTGCGATCTCATCCGGTGAAGATGCTTGGTAAGAGGTGACAGTCTCTCCCTCGACCTCATCGGTGGTGGGTGTAACATTATGACATAGAGACAAGGCAACAACGAGATCTCGCACTCGCACACCTATCTCTCTTCTGGTTTTGGTGTTCGCACCCATTGTGACTTCACTGAGTCCGGCTTGAGTAGCTTGTCCGAAGGCCTGCTGTATATAAGCCACAACTTCTTCCATAGCATCACCAGCGTAAGCTACGGTGCCGACGTGTATCTTTTTGAGCTGCATCTCATTCTGAGTCAAGGTGCCGGTCTTATCCGAAAGCAGGTATTCAATTCGACCAAGATCTTCTGGAATAGTGCTGGTCCGCACCACGGTATCGGGAATGCCCTTATCGCGCTCGATGAAGTAAGAATACACGGTCTTTCCCATGTCCAGATTGACCCGCAAGCTGATGGGAATGATAGTCGAGAATAAGATTAGATATATCGTAATGGCGACATACCAGGGCTTCTGATTTGAAGGCTCGAAGCCTTCGAGAGCCACAAGCACGATAGATAGGGTGAGAGTAAGAATGCATAAAATCTTGGTCAGGTTGTTGATCTCCATTTCCAGTAAGCCTGTCTTAGACCGTGACGGAGAGGTAGAAAGTGCTGATCTGGTCTGCCTGCCAGTGTAGATGACAGCGGCATAGACTGTCGTGTTCGAAGCAATGACCGTGTTGCACCATGCAGTATTGTCGATTGTCAAGGGCGCAGATGTGGATTGACTTTCGATTTCAACTCTTTCGATGTCTTGGACATCAGTTTCACTTCCGGCTTCAGGCTGGTCCCTCGCAAGGTGTGGGTCGTACGCCTCGCGAGGTATGAGCTCCATCGTTCCCACAAAGGAATTGACATCCTTGTCCGGGGCACCGGCTGTGACATTAAGCCTCGTAAGATCTTTGAGGGACAGCTGTTGACTAAGTGGACAGGGCAACCGCAGCTTCCAGTCCGTCTCGCCATCTAGCTGATCTGTTCGGATGAAAGTCTCACTGGCAGACTGAGAGGCGAGCTTTTCGTGTTCCTGCTTGCCAACCACGGCAGTGTCACTGACCTGGCTTTGCAAGATCACAACATCCGCCGGGACGCGTTGGTTCTTATCAAGCTTGAGGACATCTCCCACCTTGATGTCTCGGGACTTTCTCTGCATTTCGAGTCCTGCCGTGCCAGCACGTCTGGTGGCATTAGGAGAGAAGGATACGACCGTGAACAGCTCCGCGTTAGCCTCGGCGTCTCGCCTTCTCCTCCCAATGTCGTCCCAAGCCTCCTTGCCGATGGATATGGCGAGGACGCAAGCCAAGGGCACGATATAAGTCGACATGTATCCAATGCGAAGGAACTCGAAGCTTTGCGACAACGCGACGAGCAGGAAGTATATGTTGAGGAAGAAGCGAAACTCGTTGTAAAGAGTCAATGGTAAGAACGACCAGGCAGTATATTTTGCGTTGGACACGATGTTGGTCGGAAACTTTTTCTTCTGCGGACGGGCAATTTCGACATCGCGCGACTGTAAATGGTCCGCCTTGACATCGTCTCGCATGTCTGCTAATTCCTGCCGGACGAAATCTGGTAATTGCACGCTGGCACGGAAACTTTGAGCCCGGGAATGAGCGGTGCGTGGTCCGGAGGTCTTGTCGCCCGCTCGCTGAGAGGATCTAACGTTCCATCCTCTCTCTTCGTCAGGCCAGTCGCCGGCTTGACTTGCGCGGCCATTCCAGCCTCCCAATAGTCCCTGTTCATCATCTTCATCTTGGTACTGCCTCCGACTGCGGTTGCGGTTGCTAGGCCAGAAACGCCCGGTGCGCGTACCGTTTAACTTTTTCAAAGGTACATCTTGAGCGGCTCCAGAACGGGGATTGCGACTATCAGCAACAGAGGATGCCGCTACCGGGTCTAGCTCATCGAGGTCGAGATCATCGTCGGAAGCGGAGTCTGGATCGAGGGGACGATGGTAATTGTGTGGTTCTGACATGCTCCGTCCCGCTCATCACGGTCTTCAGCCGTACAAGAGACGGAATCGCAGCGCAAGGGTCGCGTGAAGTTGCTGCGTAGGGGCGAGCGCTCTTGAACTGCAGGACCGGCTAGGAAGGAGTCCTGGCGGGTGAGGGTTGTTGAGATCGCGCTAACGCGGAGTTTGAGACGGGTGTCCTGGACAGATCAGGCGTGTTCGTCGTAGATTTCCGGGCTTTGCAAGTTGCGAAGGAGGACATAAGCGTGGTGGGAGGGCATCTCAAATGTGGTTTCATGAAAGATGCCAGTTGCCTGCGGCCGACCCAAAGCGGGAAATAGTGGGTCCGCATGCTCCGCGCTGATCTGGACGGATGAACTTCACTGACAACCTGGACGCGCTGCCACCAACATCTGTCCTTCATTCTTCGTCCCGCAATCACATCATCGTTGGCGCCCGATTCTCTCTGCGCTGACGTATCCACCCCGTTAACAGAATGTATTAGTACCTGCATTGCGCGCCGCTTCCTTTCGTGTACATGTATGGGAGGCCCTGCCCCTTTCGTCATCTAGCGTGACTGACATTCTTCAGTACCGCACCGAGCCACATCCTTTCGAGATGGAAGGACCCAATACCTATAATATTGCCGCACCGCAGGCGCCAGACGAGATTCAAGCAGGTCACTGGCAGCCCGCACTGCGCCCCAATGATCCACCCGGAACGCAGATCTCACAACCCGTGCAGCCCACGCAAGGCGCTGAAGCCCTCGCTGGGTCAAGAGAGGGCTCTGTAGAACGTTTGGACACGCACTGGAGTCAAGAAGCCGCTGCACCACAACAGCTGAGTGCTGCAGAGGACCTGCAGACGAGCTCTCCTGATCCAACCCAAGCAACAGGATTGCACCGTGCAGTGACACAAACCGTGTCGCATACCCAACAGGACATCTCCGCACAAGAGCCGGAGGAACTTGAGGATGACGGTGACGACGAGCGATTAGATCCTGCTTGGAGCATCAAACGCATGAATACTGCCCAGATACTCAGCTCGGTGAATCGGACGGCGTCGTTTCCCACATTCACCTCTATCGATCGGTCCGAGGCACACCCGCCTGCCGCGGAGCAGCCGGAGAATCAAAAGACATCTGTGCAGGAATCAGAGCAACTCTACAATCACGAACAAGCCGATGGTTCAAGGCCATTGGTGCAGTCCAAACCGGAATTTAATTGGGATCAGGAAGCCGATCCTGAAGCAGAACACTACCTACGTCGTTCCGATGTGACACCGCCTCAAGCCCATATTCATGATCCAGAAGAGTCCAGGTTCGAGGAGGGCCTTCCTCTGGTGCAGGCTGTGGACGAAAGTGAGGAGCAGCCCGCCGCTGTAGAAGACTCGACACAGCTTAATGGGTTCGAGACGTCAAGTGATGATCACCAGGATTCATCGTTTTTTTCTGGCTTGAATGAATCGCACCAAACTTTCCCACCAGAGCTGACCCGAAAGTCTACTTCTGCAGTGCTTGGAGCTCTCAACATGACAGAAGAGCCGCATCACGAATTGGACGAAGACCACACCTTTTTCAGCAGCCTCCAATCTGAGCAAACCGAAGCGCCTGCTGTAGTCCCGAAAGACGATGCAGCAAGACCCGCCGAGCCGGCCTCTGACAAAGCGGCCTCTGGCGTAGACGACATATGGAATGCCATGGCCGAGGACGATGAGTTTCTTGTGGAAGACCCGGACGATCTGCTGCCAGATTCGGAGCCATCATCTCCCTCATCATTCACAGCGGCTCTCAAGCAGGACAGCAATTCGATTCCAGATCACGCTTCTCCGCAAAGCGCTGTCCCTCAACGACCCTTACCTCCTCGCCAATCATCAAACCCTTACGCTCCCCATCAGCCGTCCACAGCGGAGTTATCGGAGGTGCCGCCAATGCCCCCTGGTATTGGGTCAATCCGCCCGGGATCTAGCCAGTTTAACTCTTTCCAGTCGCATCAGCAGCACCCGCGACCAGCCATGCCTCAGCCAGCCCAAAGCTTTGTCGATCAGAAGAGCGGCTATCAAAGCCCGTACGACTTGCCTATGGAACTCAGTAAACCGAAAAAAAGGCCAGCAGTCCTTCAACAGGTTTCGTCTACCAGGGGCATCCCACCCCCTCCCCGCAGCAGCAGCATTACCGAAAAGCCTGCGCAATCACCCTTCGGTTTTGGTGCGGCTAACAGCGCACAGCCTTCGCCGGCCTATCCTCCACGAGACATGTCAGGTTCCGTGCCCCCTTCGAGTGGTCCGGCTGCAAAACGTAGCTCTAGTTTCTTCGAAGAGTTGCCAATCTCGTCAAAACCACGGGCAGGCTCAGGCGGCGGTAGGTACACACCACAACAAGGCGCACCTTCGATAGCACCACCTCCCATGGCGAGTCCGCCCCATGCAGCCCCCATGCAGCCTCAGATACAACCGGTTCGTGCTCAATCGTCGGACCCACTTGCTCAATTTCAACTTCGAGCGCCGGCTCCGATAGATCCATTCCCTAACACAACGTTTGTCCCGGGTCCGGCTCCAGCACTAGTACCATCACCTGCTGCTGCTAGTCGCTACTCGCCCGCACCTCCTTCTCTAGCTGCGCCTCGAACCGGCCCTTCACCTCGATACTCTCCCGCTCCACCCCCTCAGGCAGCAGCACCGCCCACCGTCAATCGTTATGCATCTCAACCATCGGTGCCTCAGCTACCTCAGCAGCCCACACATACCAATCGGCATAGCTCACAACCCACGTCTGCTCCATCGCCCCCAGTCGCTCCCCTTCCTTTCCAGCCTCGGACGTCAAGTCCACTAGTTCACCATAAGTCCTCCGTTGATGAATCTCAACAACGGGATTATGCGGCACCCTCACAGCCTGTTCCACCTCATGGGCTCCGTTACGGAGCCAATGGTATAGCTTCGCCTCCGGCGAACGTGCAGTCTGCTCAAACACCTGCTCATGATATCTACTCCTCACCACCAAAGGCAGAGCCACCTCTGCAGCCACCAAAACGATCTCAAACCCAATCTCCAAGTAAACAGCGCCCTCAAGCAACGCCACCAATGTCTCAACGGCACAGCGGATACCGTCCGGCCTCTGCTCATGGCAGTGTGGCACCAATGAGACCACTTGCGCAGGTTGAGAGCGCTCCTTTCACGAGAGCGCATGCCCAAGGACCGTCCTTTGTGGAGCAGGTCGATTTTGTTCAGCCTACGGATGAGTTGAGATTCGATCCGTTAGAACGTTGGAAGGGTGCTCCTGTTCTTCGCTTCGGCTTCGGCGGCGCCATTGTCAGCACTTTCCCGAAGCATGTGCCTCGATATAGTGCGGGCGCCGTGAAGCCACAGATCAAGCCCACTGTTGGGGATGTCTCGGTGCGGGAAAGCAAGAGCGTTCTTCCGGGGTCTCCTCATGTCGCCAGCTTTCCAGGACCGTTGAAGACCAAGTCGAGGAAGAAAGAACTTCTCGTCTGGTTGAGTGGTTACATTACTGAACTTGAGTCGCATGCCTCATTGATCCTGCCAGCGCAGTCGCTTCCTGATCCTCGAAAGCGGCATGAGGAAAAGATCATGCTGTGGAAAATTATCAAGTCTATGGTGGAACATGACGGTGCTCTTGATAGCGGAGAAGCCCTGAAAGCAGTGAATGTGGTCCTGGCGCCTGAGATCCATGCCGTTGACGAATCCACAGCGACGCAGTATGGTCAGGATATCTCGCCTTCTATCTATCGACCCTTGGGTACAAGTGTGAGGCCGGAAAATGTCGATCCTATGGCGGTGGACACGGTCAGAAAGCACCTACTGCGTGGCAACCGTAAAGAAGCTGTCTGGCACGCCGTGGACCACCGACTATGGTCTCACGCATTTTTAATTGGCTCAACGATGCCTCGAGACACGTGGAAGCAGGTTGTGTCGGAGTTTGTCAAGCAGGAAGTCAAGACTGCTGGCACTGGTACTGAGTCGCTCTCCACACTATATGAGATCTTTGGCGGAAACGCTGAAGACTGTGTCGACCAGCTCGTACCACCTTCCGCCCGCGCAGGACTGCAGCTGGTCAGTAAGATTGACAGTGCTGGTCCGACAAAGAATGCCCTGGATGGCCTCGATAAGTGGAGGGAGACTCTCAGCCTGATCATCAACAACCGAAGCCATGCCGACCACCAGGCCTTGGCGAGTTTGGGCCGCCTGCTCTTGGAGTATGGCAGAATTGAAGCTGCTCACGTCTGTTTCTTGTTCTCACGGAGCGCTACAAACCCAACAATAGTAGGAGGCCTTGACGAACCACAAGCGAGCATCGTTTTGCTCGGAGCCGATCATCGTAAACAGCCATTCGATTTTGCCAGAGACCTCGATGCCATATTGCTGACGGAAGTTTACGAGTTTGCTACTCTTGTGCTTACTGGCTCGACAACGGCATTCATGCCCTACTTGTCGACATACAAGCTACGACATGCCTCACTTTTGGCTGAGGAAGGGTCTAGAACAGAAGCGCAGGCGTACTGTGATGCCTTGACGGCCACACTGCGGAACACAAAGGTATCTTCGTACTATGCGCCAGCTTTTCTGGGCGAACTCGAAGACTTTTCGAACCGTCTCAAGCAGGTCCCAATACATTCCAGTTCATGGATGGGCAAGCCGAACCTGGAGAAGGTCTCCGGATCGATTCTATCGAAACTCAGCAACTTCGTTGCGGGCGAGGACAGCGATGCGGAATCCAAGGGCTCGGGCAGGGAAGCCGGCGAGGCTGGACCATTCGCCCATGTGGCGGGCACACCATCACTCAGCCGTACCACGTCCCAGTCTGACATTCAATACGGTTACGCAACGTCGGCCCCGCAGTCTATACCTACGACCATGGCAGGATCCCGATATGCACCGAATGGCTTGAGCTCAGCAAGGTCGTCTTCAGAGCTTACACGCGGCAGACCCTCGCTGGATTCGCAGCGGTCTCCGCCGTCTTCGTCGTACGCTCCTAACGGCCGCCCGTCACCATACGATCCCATCAATATGATGCAGTCGGCGACTCACTCCGCTCCAGTCAATCCGTTTCAGTCGATGTCATCGCCTCCATTGAATCGCTATCAAGCAACGCCACCACACAGTTCGTATGCGCCCAATGCGACGTCGAGCTTTTCTCCGCAAAAGGACGCGGCTTCAGGTCAGAATCCCGATGCTCCGGCATCTCCCCCGGCATTGGAACCGTATATGCCCACGCCACCGGCGGAGCCAATCCACGTCCAATCAGATGAGCCATCACTTGACCTGCACTCGCACTCTTATCAGCCATTGCCTCGTTCACAAGACTCTATGCCTACGATCAGTGAGCAGGCAAACTTTGGCGGGTATGCGCCGCCGGAGCCAACAGATGCATTTGCTCCTAATCAGTCGGAGCCAGCCACTGTCGCTGAACCAGATACTGGGTACGCTCCAGCCGGTCAGTCTTACGGCTATGCGCCTCCAGAAAACACTGGCTATGTGCCCTATACCCCGGATCCTGACTCGCCAGCAGAACAGTCAAAGCCAAGAAAAATGCAATTCGGTGAAGATGACGACAACCTCGGCTCAGGCTCGAAATCGACTGCCCCAGCCGATGATGCTGCCGCTCGCAAAGCAGCCAACGACGCCGCGGCAGATGCAGCTTTCCGCGCAGCTGCTGAAGCTGATGCTGCTCAGCAGAAAGAGAAGACCGTAAAAGCGAAATCATCAGGCTGGTTTGGCGGTTGGCTTGGAGGTGCCAAGAAATCCGAATCGCTTGATGCAGGGTCGAGCTCGAAGAGCGGCAAGGAGTCGACCGTGTACCGCGCGAAATTGGGCGAATCCAAGATGAAGCTCTACTACGATAAAGATCTAAAGAAGTGGGTCAACCCCGACAATCCTGATGCAGGGAAGTCGACGCCAACGCCCCCACCCCCAAGAGCTGCCAGTGGCACACCTGGACCACCCATGGCGGGTGGCATGGCTCCCCCTCCCCCTCGCAGCATTTCTGCCGCCCCTCCCATGGCCTCACCTGGCATCATGACCCCGGGCAGCGGGCCACCCAGTCGCGCAGCCACCCCTGCGAGTGGCAGCAGCGCGCCTGGAATATCAGCAACTTTGCCTCCGAACGTAAACGCTTCGCTGAGTGAAGGTGCTACAGGAGGATTTGGGCTCCCATCAGGTCCACCCAGTAGACCCGGCACGGCCATGAGCAATGCCAGCAGCATTGATGATCTGCTGGGCGGTGGGCCGCCAATGGGGGGAAAGAGGGGCGCGAAGGGCGCAAAGGCCAAGAAGGGCCGGTATGTGGATGTCATGGCGAAGTGATGAGGAAATGCATATGATTTTGTATCAGTATAGAAGCAGAAGGCTAGTGTCACACAAGCAGGAAGGCAACTAGTTGGATCTTGGAAGGCAGGCCTTGGGATTGGAAAAAAGGAGTAATACATAGAGCAGAGGCACGGAGAGTTCACGGTCACGATGAGCTGCATTACGCGGTTATGTGGCTTATGGAGAAACTGCCGTGTTGCACTGTAGAGTGTGCGAAGACGAGATGTAATACGAGCAGCCGATCTTGATCTTCACCGTGCGTTGATTCTTTGATCCTTCTGCTCTGACGGTCTCTATTTTCACATGTCTTGCTAACCGAATGTACTGTAGCGTTCCAACGCTAGACGGGAAGTGTGCGGCTGCTTTCCGCTCGGAGGTGCAGCTGGAAATGGCTACACTTGCGACGAGAGCGGATGGTCTGGTCAAGTGAGCCTCCAACATCAAGAGAGGCAGCGTTTCTTCAATGGAAAAATAGCAGCCGTTAGATTACTAGCCATCAGCACAGAGTCGGCTTCAAGAGAGGCAGCGCAGCGTTCAAGACGCGAAAAGTTGTGTGACGGTTGCCCGCTCTTTTTTTCCCAGGAGGGGGGGGCAGCCTTGTCGTTCAACCTTGGGTTCACCGCATGACCGTTCGGGTGATGGCAGCGGACTTTCCGTCAACGGTATCTCATTATCTTTTATACTTCCCGTAGCCAGTAGAAAATCGCGAGGTCTCTCGTAGTAGGTGAGAAGAGTCGCCGCTCGTTTCGTAAAGCTGGTGCTTTTACGGTGGCGTGTTTGTATGTAGAATGCTTGATGGCCAGCGCGCCGCGAGGCTGGCTCTTGTTGTGTTCTTCGCTGGCTGATCCAGGCTTGCGTGTCGGCCTTCGTTGTCGTTGTCAGGTTAGATGGTGCTTCGAATTCGAGTCTGCTCGGTGTAGGGTGGGTTTGGTGACGAAAATGGCCGTGTACGTGAAGTTTGGCTGCGTCCGGGATGACGGCTTCGTGAGGGTGCTGTTGGCGGCGTTAGCGTAGGTCGGCTGGAGGGATTGATATGAAGTGGTTTTAGAAGACTGACGTGCCTCTGAATTTGCGGTACAGGGATGAAAGATTGGTCTGGTCATGGAATAGTCCGTATGTTGAGCAAAGGGCATGGCTAATTGAAAGCGCTCTTGACCGCGGCCTGTCTTCCGAAGGTGGCCGTTCGTGGCAGGGAAGGGTGAAGGTATCGAGACCTGAGGCCATGCTTGGGGCTGATTAGAAGACGGAATGTAGTGAAGGATGGCTGGCTTGAATCTTGTTGGTATGACCTGGGCCACAAGATCGCCCCAGGTGGAGTGCGTTGAAATGCGTTCATGAGCGACACTTTGTAGGACGCTGAACCTTCAACGAAGAACTTACGGCCGCGTTCAAAGCGAGTCATGAGGCAGATTTGAATGATAGAGCTGCGATGTGGGGTCCGCTACCACTCGGCAGAGAAAGGCGCGGTGTTTGCTACAGACTGCGGTACGTTGACCCTACAGGTGGGAGACATTAGCAAGCACGAATCAGCGTAGGATGTAATACATCACAGCCTACTACAGCTTATTGAGATCAGCACATCGTCGCAACGCGCCACGCATACGGTGCCAGGTCAGTGTCACCTTGTGGTCCCACCTTGGCGGGCTATCACAGCTTCTTCGTAAGCGTCAATACTCGATGGTCATCGATCGATCAGTCTGATTTGGGGCCTAATAGCATGATCACCTCCACGGGTACATATGTAGTGACATGTCTTATGTGAGACTTGTGGATCTGCCAGATGGTGGTTGAGCCGTGATGCGGAGTGGTTCTTCGTACCGCGTCTACCGCAGCCCTCCTACAAGAGCTCGACACTCTACGGCTATAAATGCGAAAGTCATTCAGTTACGACAACAACACTACAATGAACTACAACTTGCTTTCTTCCCCAATGCCTTGTCATAGACAAGATCAATGATGAAAAAGTTTTGAAAAAAATTACAACAACTCTCGAAGGGAGAGAATTTTTGAAACACATTTCTACAAGTCAGGACAGACAATCATCACAGAAGAATCCATAGGCAGCGACTCGAAAGTCACGCTGGATGTTTGAAAGAGTGTGAGATGATTGAGTGAAAACCCATAGGCAGCGACTCGAGAGCCACGCTGGGTGGTAACTTGTGAGGATGAATGATTTGATGGATCATATCATGTATCTGAAGGGGTGAAAGGTGGCGGGGGGCAGATTCGAGGCAGACTTTTGTAGTTAGGAGGCACAAGGCAAACTCGCCAAGAGTTTGTACCTCGCGATAAGGCGGCCGTGTTGCCTTGTTGGGTGATGGGGCCCGTTTGTCATGGGCAGCGATAAGGCGAAAGTGACTCAGGGCTGCCAAGCGCGCTGCTGGACCGTTTGCCTCACTTGCCGAAGTTGAGGAGCGAGGTGTGCCTGGAGACGCTGAACACATCGCTGCTTGGCTACACATATGGTAGACCGTCAGAGACATCTGAAGTATCATTGTAGGAACTCGATAGTCTCAGTTCCTGCTCGCCTATCGTTCCGACAGCATACTACAGGGATCACCTCAAAATTTGACTGCTCTTGCCATCAATGTAGCTTTGCGGATAGCGGTGGTGCATGATTCGACGTGGAATCTTCGATGGACATTTTAACTCTGACTTTTGGATCTCGTTTTCTTCTAATAGAAAAAGTATCAGAACGGCTGATACTGCGACTCTCCTGTACAAGGTGCTGCATGGTGTGCAATAACACTCCACAGGCATCATGAACTCATGTCAAGCTCCGATGTTACCAACAGCTCTTCGCAATATTACAGTAGCCTCCGAGTTGACATCCTCGACCACGTGGTCGGATCCGCAACATCCGAACCTCAACGTATCTCACTCGTTGAGATCTTCGCCCAGTGATAACTCTCACGAGCATCAACGGCTATACTGGCACACTCATCGTCATTGTGCTTTGTAGAGCAATCAGAACAATGGTGCAGGTAGCCCTTGATGTATGTCTTGAGCTCAATCGTTAGTCAAATCAATGACCACACGAGGCTTCTTCGCAGGCGGAGCCACCTCTAAGATCTCATCATCGTCAATGGCAAACTCGGGATGTTTGCGTTCCGCGGATGTAGTGTTGAGAGGCATAATTGCAACACGCATGGCGCTTTCTTGCTTGATGGCAGACACAGCGTGGTTGCGACCGTGATAGGAATCTGGATCCGCCTTGATCGTTGCGGTGCTTGGAATAACTCCTCCATGTAGCTGGACCTAAGAATCGTCAGATGATGTTGCACTTTCATGGAATGTGCCTTACTTCGAGGTCCTTGATCCTACGCCAGGCATCTTCCGCCACAGCTTCAGCTCTCTCCGCACGCAGAAGAGGATCAGGTAGCGGTGAAGGGCTTCTCTCAATGATTCCGAGGTTCTGCAACGCTTCTGATGCTTCTGTCAGTGTGTGAAATAAATAATTCGGAATAGCGCATGACTCACTGCGTGTACGGTACAGGAAGATGAACTCGAGTGCTTTACCATGCCTACCCTTGATAGGAACATAGTCCTCGTAAGACTCTTAGGGAGCCGCAGCTGGCCGACCAGCCACATACCTGTCCTTCAGCAACGGACATGGAAGGAAAGGTTTTCTTACTTTGTATTGGCTTTGATCTCGGAACCCTTCACAGCTTTCTCTGGGACTTCATCGAGCACCTGTGGCAGCGTTCCGTTGTCAAGCCAGGGCTCAGTTTTGACACGCCTGGCTCGGTAAAAGGCGACGCGAATTGAACCGATTCGTGAGACTTGCTCAAGTCCAAGGCCTTTAGGCATCTGGTCATTCTCACCTATACTGGTCAATATATGTAAAACGTAGTGAGATACTTACTGGCTCCAAATGCACCGAAAGTGTAGTTGAAATGTGCCCAGTGGCTTCTCTCACCGTCCCAGGCACGACGCGAACCATTATCTGCTAGAATATGATCTGTTCTGAGGTTTCCTTTGTTGTGGAGGAGGCCGCCCGCAGACAGCCAGGTTTCTCAGATCCCAGGGTCGTCGTCAATTTGAGTCATCGCGCAGAGTGCAGGGGCGTGGCGAAGGTTAAAGTTTTGCAGGACTTGGACTCGGACAGAAAAACGTTGACCAGCCTTGATCTCGACGTATCTGGTGAGTACATTGTCATCGTCTTTATCAGTAACAGGACCTGGAAGCTCTTTTGCTAGTTGGCCATCCAGCCAAAGGCGGACGTCAACCAGTTGCTGCATCGGCATCTTGGCGACAATGGAGTATTGAGCAGCCACTCCGCTGAGAGTGCGACTGCAGATCGATGTCGAAGAACTTGATGCGCGAAGAGCAATACAGAGTAAGACTCTCGAGACGAGAAGGCGGCAGACAAGGAGAGGGGCAAGAAGAAGTTGGAGTCAGATTGTGGTAGGCAAAAGCGCAGGTGATATCTTGGCATGCTAGCAATCGGCCTGTCTTCACCGTTTGACCTTTATCGATACCTGCAACCTGGCCGGATCAAGGCTGTGTTTGCCTAATTCTGCGGTTTGTATGTGGTGCACTTTTGCGAGCAGCAATGGATTTCGAAGAAACATTGCCTTGGACAGACTGTGCTGGTCAACAGGAAGGTGAGGGCTGCGCCACCCCATTGAGCTGTTATATGCAGACTGCATTCAGACATCTTGAGCAAGCGTAACTCTTAAGCGCTGAAGGAGCTGATGTAGTACTATGGCGCGATTAGTAAAATGGCATCGATGTAGCGAATGGACTCACGGTGAGTACAGACTCCTCTTGGGGATTATCTTCATTGGGAAGATAGACGTAAAGTACCAAGCCATGATCCGGTATGAATGTTGCAATGACCCTCGAATTGAGCCGCCCAACACTCAGCACTCTTCCCCAGTCCTTCGCATCTATCCGCACCGAGGTCCATCCTGCCGGATCATCGCCGTTCGGACCACCAAGTTCCTTCTTTCTCGTGCTTGGATCATCTCTTACGCCCTGCGAGCCGTTCTCGAACATACTAGGCTCGAGTTCCGGATGCGTAAGGCCGGTCCATTTGCTGGATATTGACAACGCATCGGTAGTGATCGCAATCTTGAATGTTCCATGCATGCTGGCGCTAAGTTCTAGTCTGGGTGAGGTGCCACTGGAGCCTTTTGAGGCGGCCAAAGACAGTTTCGTGAACCTCTCCGACACGCTCTTTATCTGTCCGAGACTAGGCAGAAAGATGTTGACATCTGAGGGAGGGGTGGCCGGCTCGTGGAGGTGTGCAACGGTCTGTTGTGCAAGGACTTTGACCGGCACATCCTGTGTGATGATCGTCTCGCGCTCTCGTGTCGTCCCAACCGATCCATCGCCGAAGCCACTGCCTTCAATGTCCTCTGAAAAGTCAAAGTCGCCATATTCATCACTAATACGGGCAGACGAAGCAGGTGCAACAACGCCATTACCGCTGCTGATACTGTTGCTCACGATAGTCAAGGAGAGCATGGGTACATTGTCCTTCTTGGTCAGCCGGAGCTGGACGGAGGTGGCGCCAAGAGCAGATTTGAGGGCACGCTGTAGCGCCTGAACCGGGACTTCAAGATTGATAGTGTTCTTCTCCGCGGCTGACTGGATGATATAGCTATCGAAAACCGTCTCGATCTTGAGATTGGACCAGACTTGGCTGCCTTTGTCCGGAATGACTGTGAATTGAACATCCTCGTCGTTGAGCCGACACCACGCGATCTGATCGAGCGAAGCCAACGAGGCGCAGAACTCTGCTGCAATTAGCGAGATATTTCGTCCAAATGGAATCGGCACATACTAGCGAACACGCTTACATTCTTGATCTGCGTCTTGAACCGCATTGCCGCCCATCTCGCGGAGTTATCACGCGTCGGGTGGGAAGGAGCATGGATCGTCGTGTGATCTAGCTTGGTCGACGCCTTGTTCGGGGATTTCAGGCGACGAATCTAAATTCCAGGTGCGTCATTGCAATGTAGGCTGCAGATTTCCCAATAAGGAAGGTCTCGCGGTAGCAACGTTGATCTCGCCAGCACTCTTTGCTCCCTTCGAAGCCCGTCAAGCATAGGATCCTTTCTCCCTGTTGTACAGTATAACGACTTTCGCTTTGGACGTTCCTTTCGCCGCCAGCTCCCACACGGTGGAGTTACAGGCGTCGCTTTCTCTGCAGCTACGACTAACTGCGACCCCCCTCGGCCTCCGTAGCTCGCCAGCCCGCGACGTACCACGCGTTGTGGTCTTTCAATCGCGATCTTCAGCATCCATGATGTGGACTGCGACCGTGCCGGTCCGCATGCTCCTAACGATTGCATCGGGTTGCCAATAAAGTAACTTGTTCCGCCATGGCACCGCCAAATCCTACCGCGCTGACGAATGCGACTCGCTTCCGTCCTAACCACTTCCGCACTCATTCACGGTCGCCTTCAAGGTCGCCTGTGCGAAAAGCCAAGTTCACGGCACAGCATCTCGATCCTCTACTTAACAACCTCTCACCAGACTCCACCTTGAAGGCACTGCGAGCAACAGACACCATACCTGCGAGCGAGTCTGCGGGAGATGTGCTGGCGAAAAGCATCGCAGACGCGACACCTGAAGAACGGGAGATAGGCATAAGAGCAGCTTTCGCAGCGCAGAAGCTGAAAGAATGGCGACTCGAGATCTCAAAATGGTTGTGGCCCGGCCGAAGAGACCAAGGTCTCGGAGTAGGCTTCCTGCCGTCAGCAGATGCAGCTGTACAGGAGGACGGCGAACAGCACATCTATATCGGTTATCTACCACTACGCGTCTTGAACCAATACGGCCAGCGAATCGAAGACATCAAGGATGCGCTAGAAAGCCTGGAAATGGAAGACCTAAAAGACCACGTTCTGACAGCGCATGCCTCCTCGAAACCGCCATCAGCCATTGTCAAAAGCGCCTCGGCTGCTCGTGGAAGTTATGGCCGGATGAGAGATTTTACTGCTCTAATTACAGCAACCGTCATTCAAGCTTTACCCGATCTCGCGACTGTCAATATGCTTATTGATACCTGGGATGTGCGCATAGCGGTTCTCAGAGAGCTTCCCATGGTCCTGGATCTAATGGAGCTGACGAATGAGGGCTTGCGGAAAGCGTCTCGTAGCTATCGCGATCCAACACAGGCGCCACATCTGACTCTAGCAGACTATCACCAAATTCGCGAGGGCCTGGGAGACAAGGTGAAAGACCTCGGCCGTCGCGTTGACAAGATCCTGGATATGCTTGACGGCCACGACGATGCTTTGCCGCAGTCGTGGATCGACTTCCTCGAAAATTTGGAGCTCGAATTCGCAACATGGTGTGCTAAGGCGGAACAGCTCGCCCACGACAACGACGCCAGACAAAACAATGAAGCCAGGAGAGCAACCGCCACCCCAACCCCGGCAGATTTTCCCCAACCCAACCTCGAGCAAACCAGAAATGGTGGTGAAAAGCCACCTCTCAGTCTAAACATTCCCGCTTCTGGTCACAGGCGAGAGAAGTCAGAAGTTTCGATTGCAGACTCTGTGCTGTCTACCGACTCTGCTGGCGAGATTGTGGACGTGCGAAAGTCTCAAGTCCTGTTAAGTCCAAAAGTTAGCGTCATAGAAGGCTCTGGCGGGGGAGCCGTGCCCAGACCACCAACTGTGCAGAGGGCCTCCACAGCTTCCATCGAAGTGATACCGAAGGAGCAGCTAAAGAAGTTGGACGTGCGGCGAAGTATGAGCGCTGATCTTCTTACCAAGCTGAGTTCACAATCCGGCGATACGACACCGACAAGATCGTATAAGGCACTCACAGGAGAGTCTCCGACTCGTGAAACTCCAGTTGCTGAGCTGGAAGATCCTCATTCCACGCCAAAAGTCCACTCGAATGCGACTGCCGTTCTTGGTCAACCCTCTCCTTCACTTATGGTTGAACCTCTTCGTGTTCAAGAGAGACAGGCGCCGTCAGAGCAGCTCCAGACACCAGCTTTACCCAGACGCTCGAGCAAGCGTAATTCCTTGAGCCTTTCCACGACACTCTCTGGCCAAGCAGCATCATCCAACGACCTCGTGAGCCCAGTATCGCCAGAACAAGCTACTCCTCAGTCAAGCCTAGTCTCGCCCATTTCGCCACGAAAAGTGTCGGATGAAAGCGACAGCCTCGACTCCAAAATCAAGGACATCCTGCAGAACTTGCCAACCAAGATTCGCTTGGCAAACAGAGATGGCTCGTTGCCCAACAAGTCCAGCTTATCTGCCACTTCTTCTCGAGCAGCCACCCCAACCCCAGCCCTCATTCCGGAACCGTCCAAGCACAGTCGGAGAAGCTCGACTGCAGAAGCAGGCATAAGAGTATATCATCTTCACCAGAATAGCCAGACTCGAGACACCAAGCCAATCAAGCTGTTTGTCAGAGCTGTTGGAGAAAACGGTGAACGGGTCATGGTGAGGGTCGGAGGTGGCTGGGCCGATCTTGCGGAGTATCTGAGAGAATACAGTGCGCACCATGGCAGACGGAGCACATCCGAAGGTCTAATGGAGGTCGCACAGTACCCAGGCAAGACGGGAAGGGAGAAGAAAGCGTCGTCACAAGTGCTGTCTCCTACGCCTCTCCCCGGTGGCATGACGATGCCGAAGCGGACGCGACCAAGAAGCATGTCAGGTTCATCCTCGGGATCAAGATCTCGGTCACCTAGCCCTCCTCCTGCGACCGATCCCAACCTTACGCCGCCGGTGCCTCCCATCCCAGCCAGCTATACGATGCACACTCCGACCATGTCGGTCACCTCACATCCGAACGGACATACCGATGTGGATTTCCGCGACCCTGACCCAACATCAGAGATGAGTGCAAGAGGGGGCGAAGCAGTAGAGCCAGAGGCAGGGCCGTACAAAAGGACAAGCTCAATGCACGTTCCTGGGGTGACAACTACCACGACTGTGCAATCGCCAGCGGCTCTAAATCCGGTGAAGTATGTCCCGCTAGGAGGCGCAGGCCCGAAGAACAACAATCGCCGCTCCACCACCTACGGAGCAGTGCCAAGAGAACAGAATGACGCTTGGGTTGAGGGAATGGTTGGTAAGGCTCGGGCGGTAAGTGGTGGCTCGCAGACGGTGCACGGGCCAACTACCACTACTACTACAACAGTCGTATCGTCAGTACCCGCCAGCCGACGTGCATCTGAAGCAGTCACGGCTCCGACTGCGACCCCGCCCAAGGATGGCAAAGCGCCAACTTCACCGGCTGATCGTCCAGGTGTCGTTCGGCGGAAGAGTCGGCTTGGGCTTGGCGATGTCAGTGGAATCAAAAGAGTCTTTCTGCGGAGGAAGAGCAGCAAGAGCAGCAACAAGTGAATGCAATGACTGTAATATTTTTGTACATGGCGTTCGGTGGGAAAAGTGGCTTGCATACCATGCAAGCAAGCAGTTTCCGGGACGGAACAACAGTACAGCACGTCGCAATGACATGGGTGGGTCAGGATAGCGTTGGCAGACAATTCTCCTTGGTCTGCGGCCACGACAAGCATGGTGTGTAGCGCGGTATATCACAGCGTATGGTAGAAATCCCAGCGGCTCCCTACAGCTTCGTTATTGCGCCTCCCTCCCTACCCCGGCGCCGAATTCACCACCATCCCGCCATCCACGACCAATTTCTGGCCCGTAATATGCCTCGCCGCCTGACTCGCCAGAAAACACACCGAATACGCCACATCATGACTCTCGCCCATCTTCCCCTGCGGCACGCTCGCATCCCTCTTCCGAATCAACCCCTCCACATCCCCGCCCTCATACTTGTCCGCCAAACTCCCGATCAGCGGCGTGTGGATCAGCCCCGGCACCACGACGTTCAGTCGCACCCCCTTCTTCGCGTACATGATGGCCGTGGCCTTTGTGAATTGGATCACCGCGGCTTTGGTGGCCGAGTAGGCGATCTGCGGCTTGCCGATGTAGCGCAGCGCGGCGATGGAGGCGATGTTGATGATGGCGCCGGAGCCCTGGGATTCCATGAGCGGGAGGACGTGGTGGCATAGGAGGTACACGGATTTGAGGTTCACGTCCATTTGCGCGTCCCAGACGGGTTCGGGCATGCTGGCGGGGGTGCCAGGTTGGGACATGCCGACGTTGCTGTCGGGTGGGGGAGTGTTAGTCTGGAGGGTTGGGGTGGGTAGATGGGTGGTTTAAGGGGTGGGAGAATGGGGGAGGGGGAAACTTGCTTCACGAGCACGTCGATGCGGCCGTATTTCTGTACGGTGGCCTCCACGAGAGCTTTCACTTGGTCAATCTTGGTGACGTCGGCTTGGATGACGGTCATGTCGCCGCCTTGGGCCGCGATTCGCCGCTGTGTGCTCTCCGCGGAGGGGAGGTTGAGGTCGCAGCCGAAGATCTTGCAACCTTGCAAGGCGAACACACTGGCGGTTGCGGCGCCGTTGCCCCACATGTTGGGGTCGCCTTGTTGGCCTACGCCAGTGACTGTAGGGTTCAGTACAGGGTCATTGAATTCGGATCAGATGGTGGGCTTGAGACTTACTCAGGACGACCTTGCCCTTGAGGTCGGGGTATATGGGTGGGTCCTGGAGTGCCATGGTAGCCGGTCAGTTCACTTCTCTCATGAAAGGCCTATACAAGAGATGAAGCAGCGAATACGTATAAGTTGTGACCCCAAGGGTTTCTCCATCGTTGGGGAGATACTCAGCCTCGGCATCACCCATGTCACCGATGATCGCAGTGGTGTACTCGACCCACGAGGAGTTGGAGACTGTCAGACGGGTCCGAATGCGGAGTAGTATCTGCCAAGGAATACTCAGGCAGTGAATTAAAGTTTCCTGGCCAGGCTACGAGGCTGTGGATTTGAGGGAGGTGCAACCACCATGAAAATAATCTGCAACTGCCTAGGATACAGAATCCTAGCTTGAACTTCTTCTGGAGACGACTGCGGCACCTATCCTCCACAAGAGTAATCTCGACTCCTCGACACCGCTTATCTGGCGTTGCTGACTCAAAGACCGCCACCAAGCCTGCCACCTATTTCCGGATCGGGAATCGTGGCTCGTACACAGCCAATACCGTGAGACCAGACGTGCAGGCCGTACAACTACCGAGCAACAACGCAGAATCTGGTGAGAGGTACGCTCCCATACAGTCACAGACCTCAAGAGCATCCACCTTTCTGCATTACGTATATAGTCGCGACACCTATCCAGGGGACGGTTCTCCTTCGCTTGCTCTCGTTCAAACCGCTAACACCATCACAAGCAGATATTTCGACACTCAACTCGATCACCATGCCAATCACATACAAGGCTTTCAAGGATTCAGAGTCTGGGAAAAACACAAAGGTCGAAATATCAAGATGCAGCTTGCAGGCTGGTGAAGTCCTGGTAGAGATTCGTTACAGCGACGTTTGCGGGACCGATGATCACATGCGGTATAAGGACATGGTGTTGGGCCACGAAGGCGTGGAAGAAGTGATTAAAGTCGTTTCCAATGACAATCTCGAATGCCGACTTCAACATCAACGTTCTCACACTTGTCACCAAGGAGATCAGTGTTCACGGTCTATGCGCATCGACATTGACGCAGATCAATGACATGCTAGCCTTTGCAGCTCGCCATCACATCAGACCGATCATTGATATTTTCCCGATGAGCACTAAAAGAATCGAGGAGGCAATGGCCAAGCTAGTTTACGGCAAGATGAGATATCGCGGGGTATTGAAAGCAACGTAATGACTTCAGAGGCTAATAATAAGGCTTCCATTAAGTATAGAGAAGATTCTGCACCATTTCAGTAGAAACTCATGGAGACTGAAGCATCTCAAATCACTGTACTGGCTGATTTGCTCCAGAAATGTAGGCTAACACCAGCAGGGCATATATGATTCTCACCATGATCCATGACTACTACTCACAGATCAAGGACCACATGTCCCGGACTCGGGGGCGCGTCCCCAGTATCCCACGGCGCTGGCTCACTGCCTAGCACGAACTCCAAGCTCCCACCATGCTTGAGATCATCATGGCCCAGCCAGCTCTGGTTCCACGCTTGACCATTCACCGTCAGACTCTGCACGTAGAAGCTGTCGTCGCTCAATCCCTGTGCCGTTACATTCAGCACCTGCCCATCGAGTCCGACCCTCATGCTGTAATCCGAGAACATCGGTGCCAGAATGAGATACACCGGCTGCGCCGCCACCGGATACAATCCCAGCATCTGCCAGATGAGCCAGGCATCCAAAGCGCCGGCGTCCGAGTTGCCCGGCAGGCCCGACGGCCCATCCGAGTAGTACTGATTGACAATCTGCCTGCTTCTCATCACGCTCTTCCACTGCCGCCTTGGTAGGTAATTATACAGAAACGGCGTCGCGAAGCTCGGCTCGTTGCCCGGGTTGAACAGCGTGTCTCCGACACCGTTATTCTCGCCCTCGCCCACACCGCTGCCCTTCAGGCCGGGTGTGAACATGGTGTCGAGGCGCGCCTCCGTCTCCTCCTCTCCGCCCGACCACGCGATCAGCGTCGCCATGTCGTGCGGCACCGTCCACGTGTACTCCCACCCCAGCGCCTCGTACGTGTATCCGCCGTTCTCGCAACCGCCGGCGCACACGGCGGGGTCGTAGACCGGGTCGCGCGTGCCGTTGGCCCATTTGGGCGCGACGAAGCCCGAGTGGTTGAAGCTCGTTAGGTTGGCGTCCCAGATGTGCTGCCAGCCCGCAGAGCGGTTGAGGTATTTGTCGTATTCTTCCGGCGCGATACTTCTGGCGACTTGGGCGAGGGCGAAGTCGTTGGACGCGTACTCGATTGTGCGGCTGACGCTGCGGTCGTAGTCGGGGGTGAGGAAACCATACTGCAGCCAGTCCGGGAGTGCGCTGCGGCCTTCGAGTGTGGAACCGGTGGGGTCGCCCGTGTCAAAGTTGTTCCAGGGGGTGCGTTCCGCGTTGGTGCGCATGGCGGCGAAGCCGTCCGTCCAGTTGATGCTGCCGTCCTGGCCCAGGCCTTTGACGAATGCGTCGGTGAGGACGTTGTCGCTGTTAGAGCCGCCTTGGACTTGGCCGTTGGCGTTGCCGCTTCGACCGTCGGGCATGTATTGCTCGTGACGCCAGATATCGATCAGCGAGCGAATCATGTCGATGGAGCGGGCGGGCGTGAGGAGAGTCCAGAGGCTGTTGAGGCAGCGAAAGGTGTCCCAAAGGGTGTAGAAATCGTCGTAGCTGGGCTCGGTGGTTTCCCAATTAGCATTTTCGCCAGTGCGGTCGGTAGGCATTAGATGTGCATGGTAGAGGGCGGTATAGAACATTGAGAGGCGGGTGGTATTCGTAGTGTCGGTAATAGAGATGGTGGACAAGGTGGATTCCCATGTAGACTGCGCGGCGGTGAGGGTGCTGTTGAATGACCAGTGCGGGACCTCCGCGTCAATGTACGCGCAGGCATTCGCCGAGGATATAAAGGAGATTCCGACTTTGGATTGCAGGGTACTGGTGTTGACCGGGAAGGTGAAGAGGGACCCGACGCGTTGCCCGAAGTTGTAGTAGGGTGGGCCACCCCGGGCATAGGAAGCATTGGAAAGGAAGCTTGGTTGAGCATCTAGGTCCGATGGGTAGAAGTAGTCTGTGTACGGTCCTGTAAAGATCTGGCTTGTGGATGCTGGGGAGCTGAAGCGGCCGCAGAAGAAGACGCTATAATTTGGAATGTGGCTGAAGCCACCACGATACGTGCCGGAACCAGTGTATTGCAGTCCATCCGGCGATACTTGGATCTCGCCGTTACTGTATGCCTGGGCCTGATTGTACCCGCCCGGAAGTGGCAGATAGTGGGAAACGTCGACCAGGACATGGCGTTCGCCACCATGGGGAAACGAGTATTGCATGAAACCGACATGGCTGGTAGCCGTGAGCTCAATTTCGAGCCCGTTCTCAAAAGTTGAACGGTAGTAGCCTACGGAGGCTTGGTCATGGCCTGACCGGGGCTGAGCATATGTGAGGTTGTCCAGTGCGTTGACGCTGTCGAGCGACAGCAGAGGCATCTGAGAAACGACCCCATAGACCGGACCCCCTCCGGTCCCTGATACGTGCGTCAAGGAGAAAGCAGTAATATTGCCATCGGGAAGATAACCAGCGTTAGCATTGATCGAGGTATTGGCGCTGGTAAGATCTGGGCCGAGCTTGACCATCCCAAAAGGCAGTGCAGCTCCAGGAAACGTATTTCCACCATTGTATCCTGTGCCTGGAACAGTTCCTTCAGTTCCAATGAACGGGTCAACATAGTCTATCAACTGTGCGAAAGTGCTCGAGGCTGCGAGGAGAAGCGAAGACAGAAGATGTCGTTGCCGTCCCATCTTGGCGCCAAGATGTCAAGCTTCGAAGTCGCCGGCTTGTTGAGTCTTCGTCTTCTTCTTCCACTTCTTTCTTTTCCTCTACTGTGGCAATAACCGGTTGCTGAAGAGGCCGAATGCGGGCTGTTATACTTCATTGACTGCTGATCATGCCCACTTCCTTTGGCCTTGTGTGAGATGGTACATCTGGGGATGTAACTCTTATGCGGGGTGAGTGGGGATGACGGAGTCCTCGCCCTCGAATCCTCATCCTGTGGACTGACCCACTGATACATACAAAGTGCGTCTATTCCTCATCACAAACACTCGATAAAGATGGGCCTAGGCTAAAACAGGCGCGGTCACAGCCTTCTACGCATATGCATGCACTCTTAGCACGAAGCTTGCTCATGACCTCGGCTCTGGAGCCACCCGCTCAGTCGTCTGGCCCCGTCAGAGGCTGGTATGACATTGGGATGATCCGCGCTGTCAGATCTGGCGGCGGTGTGAAGTCCTTGTCGAAGGGCCACATCGGTCGTCGAATCTTGTTATGTCCGAGCCTTTCCAGGTCTTGATCCACGCCGCCCGGAGTCAGAGCCATCATCCAGCCGACAGCCATGTTGAACAACTCAGGTTCCAAATACCCGATCTTCACAATCACAATGTCCGCCGAGCGTGGCTTGAGGTTCAGGTCGGTGAAGTCATGTTCTTTATGGTACGGTTTCCGCAGCTTGGTAAGGATTGCATAGACGCTGCCCACCTGAAGCACGACCTCAATGACTGCATGCTGATCACCGTGCTTAATGGCATGCACCTTACCGGTCATCGTTATTGGCCCAGAATGGATATTATCCACCTCAGCTCCAGCCGTCACCGTCACCGTGGCCCCCAGCCCAGCCAGAACGGCAGTTTCGACTGCCTTTGGGCCGGGTACGCTGGCGTAGATGACGGTCGGCCCGGTTTGTTCTTTGAATTCAGGACATTCCAACAGTTTGGTCAAGCCCCATGTCATATCTCCGGAGCCTCCTGCCGTTGGGTTGTCACCCGAGTCGGAGATAAAGTACGGACGCTTAGAGGATGCCAGGGCGGTATCCAGACACTCTCGAAAGGACCCTGTGGGCGCCACGAAGCTGAAGTCTTCGTGCGAATTCCAGAATGACTGAGCTAATTTTCCAGCGCCTTTCTTGACCTGCTCTTCTTCCCAGCCGGTAACCATCACAATGGCTCTATTTCGCCACTCATCAGCCCAAGCGTATCCAACCCAAACCGCCGCATCAAGTACGCCATCCTCGGCTTCGACGTCAGGCACAGCTGCGTATATATGTTTGGCGGGCTCGACTCGCGTGGAGGTCTGCTCGCCTGGGAGCAGTACCGGTAGAGGAATCCAAGCCTTGATCGGAAGATGAGAAGCACCATCAGAGTGCTTCTTCAAGACATCCACGAGATTACGGCACGCTCGCTCTTTAGTATCAAGAGCGTCTTCGTGCGGTGCCATCCGATAGCACGTGATAAGATCCGTCTGATGGGCCAGTTCTCTGGAAACATTACCATGAAGGTCCATAGACGCCGACACGACCACAGTCGGACCGATCACTTTCCTCACTCTCCGAAGCAGCTCGGCCTCGATGTCTTGCATTCCGTCCACAGTCATGGCCCCGTGGATATCGAACCATAGCCCGTCAAGCTTGCTCTCCGAAGCAATGACGGTGAGCCGCTCGACTAGCTCACCTGCGAGCTCCTCGAAGGCATCTCGCTCAATGATTCCGCCTGGCAGCGCATGTCCGATAAGGGCACCCTTCCATTCAGCCTGCTCCGCTAACGACGTTCCTGGATGCAAAAAGGCGTACTTCGCAATCACTTCATCGCCTCTCCGAGGATGAAACGCAGGTGCTTTAGTCCGAGAAGGGGTGAATGTGGAATTTTCAGAGGCCAGACCGGCTATCGCAATTACCGGCTTAGACATGTGGTCGGCTCCAGCGTATGCCTAACGGCCGCATGAGTGAGAACGTCTGGAAGACTATCTTCAGGCTCAACTCGCATAGACGCCTCACGAGCGGGTATGCCCGCCGGCAACTCCAAAGCATGTAACCCTAGCCAGCAACTGCCGCGTACTTGTCCGTCGCAATCTATCCCTCTTCGATACAAAGAGTCACAGGGATTAATACCTTGTCAATGCTTGGCTAGCCTGATTCAACTTATCAACTGCAGATCAGCACCGGACCGAGGTCTAGTCCGCCCAACACACAAGGTGCCCCTCCCTCAGACCGTTTCGATAGAGGTAAATCTAATGCCGGGACAACAATTATACGTCCAGCGCTAACTGCTAGTACCTCTCCAGGTTTGTTGTCATGGTAGATTGTTGTACGGCCCTCCGCAGCGTTATCAGCGGGCCGAGAAGGCCACGGCAATGCTAATGCATGACCTCCCTGGGGGGGATCTGTTGTGTTCGTGCCGCAAACCAGGGCTCAGATAAAGTCCAATACACCGCCGGTGTGCACGAGCAGGTCTACCATATCTTTCCTGTCGTTCCTAGCACTCGGTTTCAGCGTACTTGGACCACTGTTTCAATCACAATGCTACACTACTCGCCCTCCGGGACCTGGCTACCCTCCCGGGTGCCAGGTTCGACACTAGTCTTGTCCTGCCTCCTGATGGCGTGCAGCATCGTTCAATCGACCACTGGTGGCTATGACGGCTCCATGCTGAATGGCCTCAAGGTAGGTTCCACAGATTCATATCAGTGTCACCGGGCTATCGTGAAAGGTATCTGATCCAGGCCTCAAAGCCGGACTCGTGGCACGACCGAGAAGGCTGAGTTGTGTTCGGATCTTGCATGAGGTCACTCGTGCTAATACTTGCAATACTACACCTCATCCGTCCAAGGCAAATCCATTACTGACTTGTACGATAGTGAGTAGACCACAACTCCGCGGTTTGCCAGCTTCAGGATATACTGTGTTTTCCACCGCTGTGACTCAAGCTGACACGGTCCTTTATCAGCATCCTACCAGTCTATACCGACTATTTCAATCTCAATCCACATACAATCGGCCTCAATACCGCATCCGTCTTCATAGGCGGTTTCTTGGGACCTCTTGTTTCAGGCGTGATCGCTGATCGAGTCGGCCGACGTCCAGCCATCTTCTGGGGCTCCCTCATCACCATCGTCGGCATTATCCTGCAGGGCGCAGCGCAGAACATCGCCATGTTCGTCCTCGGCCGGATCATTCTCGGCTTAGGCTCCGCCATCCAGGGGATCGCCGCTGGCGTCTACCTCTCGGAGACCTTCCCCAGCCGCTGGCGCTCCTGGGGTGTCGGCCTCCTCAACGACTTCTACTATGTAGGCGCCCTCATCGCCGCAGGTGTGACCCTGGGGACGAGCACGTGGAACTCCACCTGGGCGTGGCGCTGCCCCTCCCTCCTGCAGGGCTTCTGGGCCGTGCTGTGCATCGCCATCCTGCCCTTCGTGCCGGAGAGCCCGCGCTGGTTGGTGCATGAAGGCCACTATGAGGAGGCGCGCATCGTCGTGGCGCAGACGAACGCCAACGGTGACCCGTCCGACCCTGTCGTCATGGCCGTCTACAAGGAGATCATCGACACGCTGACTTGGGAGAAGCAGGAGGGGCGCACCATGTCGCCCAAGGAGATCTTCAAGAGCCGGGTCGCGCGCAAACGGCTGTTGATTGGCGCCTCTGCCGGCCCCTTCTCCTGTATCGCCGGCAACATCATTGCCTCGTACTACCTCGGCGACGAGCTGGCCACCGCCGGCGTCACGGACTCCAACGATCAGCTCAAAGCCAATGTAGTGCTCAATGTCTGGTGTCTGCTGTGCTCGCTCGTCGGGACGCATCTCATCACCCGCTGGGGCAGAAAACCCACCGCCATCATGACAGAGTGTTTGCTTGTGGCGTGTCTCTTCATCATCGGAGGATTGGCCAAGGTGTACGCCGACAACCCGGACGGCGCCAGCCAGAGTCTGGTCTACGGCAACGTGGCAGTCATGTTCCTGTTCCAGGGATTTTACTCCATGGCTTGGACGCCATTGCTGTACCTCTACCCCGGGGAGGTACTGAACTACAGCATTCGAGCCAACGGCGTGGCTTTCTCCAGTTTTTCGCTGAATGCGTTGGCGTAAGTAGATTTGTCCTTGCCCTTCCTTATTTACTCCCTTTCAAACAAACTTACACACGGTGTGCAGGGTCCTTCTTGTCTACGTCATGCCCATCGGCCTACACAACATTGGCTGGAAGATGTACATGATCAATGGCTCATGGGACATCATCGTCGTGGTCCTCATCGTAAGCGGAAATCCAGCCCTCCTCCTTCTCTCCATGTGGCCCACCACCCAAGAATCTCATTCTTACTGACCACCTTTTCACCCCTCCATCAGGCCGTCTACTGGGTCGAAACCAAAGGCAAGACACTCGAAGAAGTCGACGCCATCTTCGAGGGCGAGGTACACTCCACGGTGACGGACGTCGAGAAGGTGCGGAAAGGGGAGGCGCAGCTGGACGTCAAGAATGTGGAAAGCCAGCTCACGGCGGTGGTGGAAACTAGTAAGATAGAGTAGAAAACTGGGCTGCCGCGAAAGGTGCTTCCACCGGTGCGATCAGGTCCATCATGTCCCCTCAATAACAATGTCGACCCGCTATCAAACCATGCGTGAAATGCCGGGGTGGCTACCCATTGTCACTCCCACTTAGCCTCATGAATCTCATCTACATGCTCAGCCTCACCAACGCCGACACTGTCCGAGCGACATTTCCTCCCATCGCCAATCTCAGTAATGTCCGACACACCCACGGCGTCATTCGCCTTAGCCTTGAACTCTTCCACCGCATCCGCACCGTCAAAAGTCTTGCTAATTTCTTCGAGAGTCGCGCCTCGAGTCTCAATGAAGAAGAAGTACACGGTCACAAACTGAATGATCAACCAGCCTTCGAAGAAGAAGTAGAACTTCCAGCTGCCGGCGTCGATGCCAAGAGGGATGGTGTATTGAGACAGGAATAGACAGATGTTTGTGGTGAGACCCTGCAGGAACAGTCCGTTTGCGCGGATTTTGAAGCTGAGGATTTCGAGTGGGTAGGAGATGTTGAGCGAGATCCTGATGAGGAGACAAAGTTAGGAATGCACCACGGCCTTGAATTTGGGGTGGGGGTCGCGAGCAGATCACGTACCATGCAAAGTTGTAGAAGAAGTTGTGGAAGAAAATCATGGCGATTACGCCTTTGCCAAATCCCGTCTGGTCTGGATGCATGAGTTGCTCAGCTGTCAAAGCGATCCAGATGGCGAACGTGCAGCACATTCCACCTGATGCGATTAGGAAGAGTGGACGACGACCAACCCGATCGACCATCAGGGCCCAGAACCATGCCTCGAGCATGTTGACCATGAGAATGAAGCCATTGAGCTTGTTCTGATACTTCGGGTCGGTGATGCCAATGTTCTCCAAGATGTTGTGCAGATAGTATGCGGTGAGACTGGTACCGGAGAATTGTGAGAACACGCCACACGCCAGACAGATAAAGGCACGATAACGGTTACCCTTGGTGTTAAACAATTCGGACCAGCGCCCCTTCTGTTCGCCTTTCCTGATTGTTGCCTGCATCTCGGCATACTCGTACCTGACCAAGGCGTCATTCTCGTCGCCGTTGGCGTGGTATTTGGCGAGTATTTTCAAGGCCTTCTCATCCTTGCCACGAGACATGAGCCAGCGAGGGCTCTCCGGTAGAAGGAAGACCAGGAGCACTTGGACGGCGGAAGGAGCGGATTGAAGTAAACTTGGAAGTTTCCACGCCCAGTTAGACGGTATGTATAGAGTTCCGAAAGTGATCCAACCCCCTAAAAATGCACCCAAGTAGTACTGGGTGTTGTATAAAGCTGAGATCTTTCCGCGTTCGCAAGGATGGGCAAGTTCTGTGATGAGCAAAGGTGAGGCGAGATTAGCAAAACCGGAGCCAAGACCGATGAGAAACCTGGCGGCGGTGAACATGTGGATGTTTATCGCGAAACACTGAACGAGACCAGCTATAACGACGACGCTGCAGCCGAAGAATATGGTCCATTTGCGGCCGCCGTAGTCGGCCGCGTAGGGGGCGGTGAAAAGGCTGACTATGGCGCCAACACTTTGAATGGCGTTCAGCAAGCCTTGCGTCGAGCCATGAGGACGGTTGAAATAGGACTCATAATAAGTTATACTCTGCAAGCCGTTCATTAATGAGCCGTCGTAGCCGTTGGTCGCCGAGGAAAGGAGTGCAATCGCCAAGAGCGCATAGAGCTTTCGTCGACCCGGGTCCTTGTACCATGGCGTAACATTAGCCATAAGCTTTGACATCTCCTCTTGCGTCGTCGCCATCTTGAGAGCGGTTGATAGTGGCAGCGAAGTAAGCTGACGGACCAGACACCACCTCGTGGAGGGTCTACAGGTAATATACAAAGCCGAGTATTGCGCTTGCGGCTCATTACGCCGTGGTATTCGAGAACGCGTGCCGGTTAAATTCACGTACGGATGTTACGCATCCACACGATTGCACAAGCAGTAAGTGGGCTTCCACACGCTGGCCGAAAGTATGGATAATACTCCGCACCGATATTGCCTGTCAAGCATGGTCGCCTCGTATGACCATTTGATTGTTAGCTGTAGATATAGAGAAGAGGCTAATTGCCTCCAGTCTAGATGTGATGAGCGAGGGTACCCCGGATCATCGGGGTCTGCATTCGACCGATCTAGAGCAGGAAAAGCTGGGGATCCCTGTGTCAAGGGAGGAGAAGTATTTAGGATAAATGCGAAGCTTTAGCAAGATGTCATAAGCTCACACACAAGCAATTCCGGCACGGCAATGCCGAAGCTTGTGCTTTTTAGGCTCAGTCCGGTCATAGCTTGATTGTAGTCAACGTACTGTACGCATTCGACTGTCACCATACGTGGGGCTGATGCGGGGCTCGGGATTGGGCCGGTAGAAGTCGCACTCAAGGACCTCTTCTCTCTGAGTCGAGCTCTACAACCGTGTATGCGTTCTTGGATATCCGAGTCCTGTTGTAGATGACTTCAAGTGCCCGGAGTAGGATTGTCTCTCTCGCCGCCACAGTTGCGCCAAGTATTCCTCTGCCTGCATCGCACTGGGCGTGCTATTATCATTCACTGTCTATGACTGCCCGCTATGATCTATACCGTCTTGGTAGCAGCGACCTGGGCCTGCAGCTTCGCCGCCTCTACACTATCCGCCCCATCAGATTTCCGCCTGGCAGCCACATCCTCTCCTTCCACGACGGCCTCCCCGTGCAACTGCCTCGCAAACCTCTCTCGTTTCGGTCGCAGGTACCTCACATCAACAAAGCGTAGCGTGCATGACATGACAATGATAAGCACCCACAGGGCAATACTACTCTGCCAGCCATACTTGTAGTAAGGGGCCTGGCTCGCAGGCCACACGAGGACCTGCGACCACGCGCTGACGCTGTAGTAACCCGCGACCGCGACACCGACGATAAGCGACCTGGCCTCGGGGTCTTGCGGAATCAGGTCGCTGAGCCAAGAGAAGATCAGGGGCGCGGTACCCAGACACAGGTAGGAGATGAAGTAGCTGGCGTAAGCGGTGGACAAGGGCACGCTATCCGGGTGGCTGGTCCAGATCGACATGGCGATGGCGGGAATGAGGCCGATGAGCGACTGCGCCACAATCAGCGTCCAGCGCGTGCGCAGGAAGTCCGAGAGTAGAGCCCAGATCCAGACGAAGACGACGTTGATGGCGCCGCCGCCAATGGGGATCACGTTGACTTCCTCGACGGTCCAGCGCGGAGAGCCGTCCGGGTTCTGAACTGCTTTGAGGAAGAGGGAGAAGTAGTTGTACCCGTAGCTCGCCAGGACGGTGGCTATATAAAGAACAGCAATGAAATATACTGTCCAGCCGCTGAAGCACCGTTTTGCGCTCGCCCAGGTTACCTTTCGAGGCTCGGCGCGGTTGTGTCTGGCCAAGCGCTCCATGGCCAGCTCGGCGTCGATCTTCCTGAACCACCTCGCACGCGGGTTGGGCTTGTTGGGAAGGTCAGGCAGCATGAAGAAGCCCATGGCGCCCCAGCAGACGGTGACTATGCCGTTGATGACAAACAGCCAACGCCAACCCGCGATGCCGTGCGAGTTGTGCATCGTGCGCATAATGGCTGCTTGCATGGCGCCGCTTACCATGTAGCCCATGGCCTGGCAAGAGTGGTAGAAGCCCATTCGCTTGGCGAGTTCCATAGGTGTGTACCAGTGCACTAACAACCAGTCAGTCCGGATGAGCCTGAGGCAATGACAGAAGATGACTTACTGAATAGAGTCATCATGCCAGGCCAGGCTGAGCTCTCGCACAGCCCAAGAAAGACACGCAGCACGTAGACGTGGTTGGCGCTCCTGACCAGCGCCATCAGGCCTGTGATGACGCCCCACGTGACCTCCAAGCCGGACAGCCAGTAGCTGGGGCGCACGTAGGTCAGGATGATTTGCGAGGGAATAAGCATGATACAGTAAGCGACATTGAACCAAGTAGTGAAGTAATTGTATTCGTTCCCGTTGAGGTGAAGGTCTTCTTTCATGCCGGATACGTACTGTTGACATGTTAGCGATGGTGGAGCTGATACCGGACGAGAAGTCTGCATACAGCATTGTTGATGTTCTGCTGGTCAAGGTATTTGATCACTTGCGAGAGGCAACCAAACACCAGGAGAAAGCAGTCCAGGCGGCGAACGAGCGACTTTTCATCAGGCGAGCGGTGCTCTAAGGTCGGCGCCAGGGCGGCCGGGGTGCTCCCCTTGAGTCTGGAGAAGAAGCCCATCGCACCAGCTGCTGAGTTATCTTGGGTTTGAGCAGATGTAGAGCTCTGATAAGATTCTGGGCTATTACGCTCAGTGTGCAGCAGCAGAGGTTCATTTATATCCGCCTCCACGTCGGTGCGTGGCCGGTGATGCGCACGTGCAAAAGCCATCTCTGGACGCCAAGGGGTAGCATCAACCCCTGTGCAGAGGCGGGCAGTATCGAGGCGAGAATTGAGTAACGATACGAAGCAGCGAAGCACACGAAGCCGGATCAAGCCTGTCGTGGCAATCCTTAGATATGTTGGTACGACACTGAACGAACATCTCCGTGCCTACACACGAGGCTGATACCCCTGATTGGTGCGCGACGAAGATCTCTCCCCTCACCGTAGAGCCGATGGAGTATGCCGACGTTGATCAATGCCACGACCCGCGTGGGGATGGGGGTTTGCTGCCTATCAGTGGGGCTATCGTCGTTCTTTCGTCTTTCGCGTCTGTCGAGGGTGAAGGTCGGAGCGATTCCGGGTTGACAGGAAGCTGAAGTCGATGTCTCGTAGGGCGTGACTTATTCGAAAACCCTCGATATCGCTACTGCCCAGATATCAAGCCTTCACTCCGCTTCGCAGGACCGCGCAGTCCTTATCTCGAAGCTCCATCCACTTTTCGCTGTATGACCCAGAATGGCGCCTCATAGCACGAGTCCGCCGCCACAAACGACCTCGGCATCAGCTCCTCCTCACATCGAACCCTCTTTCCCTTTATCGAACTCATCGCTCTCATATTGGCACCGCACCACCCGCGCCTTTAAATACCTGAACGCCAACAGTACTGTTTCCGTTCCCTCCAGCTCCCCCATAGTCATCATCGGCTCCGGCCTGTCTGGCGCACTAACCGCCTTCTCTCTCATCACCACTCATTCCGTCACCGCCTCCGACATACTCATCCTAGAGGCCCGTGAAGCAGTGTCTGGGGCTTCTGGCCGGAACGCCGGGCACGTCCGTCCGGATGCTTTCCGCGGCTTCACCGGATATGCTTCACTGCATGGATCCGAACAGGCGCTGAAGATCATCGCGAACGAGAAGCTAGTATTCGAGCGGGTCGATGCGTTCGTAAAGGAACACGGTGTCCAATGCGACTTCCATCCGACCACGACGTTCGACGTGTGCCTGACCGAGGAGTTTGCAAAGTATGAGAAAGAGGCGTATGATGCTTTCGTGCAAGCTGGTGGGGATGTAGGGCATGTGAAGTTTTGGCAAGGCGAAGAGGCGCGACGGAGGACGAGAGTAGAAGGGACCGTGGCAGCGTACGAGTGGCCGGCAGGAAGCAGCCATCCGGCGAAGCTGTGTCAGTGGCTGTTGAAGACAGTCGTCGAGCAAGGCGCGAAGCTGTGGACGCATTGCCCGGCGCTCGAGTTAAAGGACACAGCAGGTAGGAAGTGGGCTGTCAGCACACCAAGAGGTGTTGTCACAGCTGACAAAGTCGTGCACTGTACGAATGGCTATTCGGCCGCACTGCTTCCACAGTTGAAGAGCTTTGTGACGCCCAACAAGGCCCAGGCTCACGCACTGGTTCCGCAACATGGCTATACAGGTGACCAAGTGTTGGAGAGCACCATGAGCTTGCGCTATAGCATGCATCACTTTTACTCATTGATACAGCGCCAAGGAGATGGGACGCTTGTCCTCGGAGTGTCGAGAGCAAACCCCGAGCTGAGCCAGAGCACCAAAGCACAGGTCGTCAGCTTTGATGACGGCAGTTTCAACTCAGAGGTCGCTGATGATGCCCTGCGGCGCTTCAAGATCATATTTCCGCAAACAGAATCTGAGAAGCAGCGGCATGGGGAAGGACTGGATCATGCCTGGACTGGCGTGATTGGTATGACACCCGATTCGGTGCCCTTGGTAGGACCCATCGATGAGTTGCCAGGGCAGTATATCTGTGCCGGTTTCAATGGTCATGGCATGGCAAGGATCTGGACGTGTGCGCCAGGACTTGCAAGGCTGATGCAAGGTGGTCAATGGGAGGAGACAGGCTTACCAGAATGCTTCCAATATACGGCCGAGAGGCTTTCGAGAACGGCGCAGAAGCGCCAGAAGCCTAGTGTCTGGTAATCAGGAAGGATCTACGCAGACTGATGCCAGTACGATGCGACTAACATCGACATGCCAAGGAAACATGCATGCCTCAAGATGCTTGGTCAAGACAGCTTTCTGCTCCCCGCGATCCCGCCGCAAGCACTTCTTCAACAAGCAAGGTCTCGAGAGCACTACTAGTTTTCCACTCTGAACTCTTGAGACTTCGGGTTCGTGCCGGCTAATCATGACGAATGCTGGCTGCTGGAGCCGGATCTCACCCCAGCTCTTGGAATGCTAGACCACATTCTCTAGAGTATCTACTAGTTCTCGCTGAAGGGCCCTTGCAGCACGGAGCTCGGTCAGCTACGATGGAAAATGAAGAGTATGTTCACCGTCAAGGGACAATTGGGATGCCTTGCAAGAATGCTTCACTCCCACCATTTCGGTCCAGAACCCTGTTGGCGATAGGACTGCTGTTCCCTCAAGCCCTCGAGTGATCATTGATACTGGTTCTTCGAGAATCCCGGCTACTTGAGATTTCCACTTGTTGGAAACCGTTCCGATCGCTCGTTCTCTCCAATCTGTGATGAGGGGCAATTGCGGGGGATTTACAGAGGGGCGTATTGTCCAAACAGCCCGGCTACGACTTGAACGAGTGCCAATGCCGCGGGTTGTTCGCGGCCCATGTAATACTTGGATTCGCCAAATGGTCGCGCCAGTCAGAGATGCGCATTCTTGCCGTTGGGGGTCTTATAGTCTCGCCTATGCTGAAGCTTGTGCATACTCAGGTGAAAACATGCGCAGGTTACTTTCGGGCCGGCACCCGCCATATTCAACAGTTTCTAGATTATGGATGGCCATGTCGCCGTGGCGGGAGCTCGGTTCGAAACTATAAAAGCACCCCTGAGTAGCTGGCCGCCACAATGCCTCTTTCACAGCGTCTCTGTCTCCTTCCCTGCTCGAGTCAAGCTGGGAACAGTACCCACCTCTGGGAAGTAAGATGGGCTCCACTGACGATGGCAGAGTGGCTATCGTGACTGGTGCTGTGGTAGGTTGTCCCACTTGCTTGTGCCTCCCTGGGTAGAATACATGTACTGTGGAACTCGACCCAGCATCTGGAGCTGATGCCACTCATAGTCCGGTATCGGCGAAGCTATCGCAAGACACCTCGTTGGTAGAGGATGGCGCGTAGCAGCTTTCGACATCCAAGATGACCTTGGAAAGACCATCACCGACGACCTCGGTGCCAGCTTCTACTACATCCACTGCGATGTGAGAAGCTACGAAGACCAAGCCGCCGCCTTCCAGAAGACGTTCGACAAGTTCGGCAAAATCGACGCACTCTGCCACAATGCTGGCCTGATTGATCAGTACTCCGTCTACAGGTTTGATTATCGGGGCAAGAAGGGGTATGTTCCCCACCACCCGGTTGGCAATGCGTTGAGCTCATTCCCCTTAGGGTCCCGCCTAAGCCGAATCTCAACTCGACAGAGACTTGTTACCACGGTCTGATCTACGGAACACAGCTCGCGGTGCATTTCATGAGACAGAACCCGATCCCTGGCGGCACCATAGTGGCCACTGGCAGCTCGGTCGGCATTCACCCCATAGGGTCGATGCCAGAGTACTGCGGAGCCAAAGCTGCGGTACGTCATCTCAAAAGCCGTCCCTTGTTGTGACTAAGCCAAAGAATCAGATCAACAACTACGTGCGAGCCACTGCACCGATCCTGAAACTGGTAAGTACCTTCAATCACGTAGTAAGCTACTCTGACAAGATCTAGAAAGAAAAAATCCGCATTAATTGCGTAAACCCGGGCATAGTGGCAACACGCAACATCCCCGAGGTGATGAGGGTGTCGTTTGATGGATAGTGCGTGTTCTCCTCTTGCTTGGGTCGCGCCCCCCTTGAACCCTGGTCTCACCGTATACAGTGTCACTCCTGTCGAAACCATCGTAGCCGGTTACGACAGGGCGCTAAACGACCAGTCCCTAAACGGCGAGCTACTCGAGTGCTCGCTAGATCGCATCCACCTGCTGCCAGTTCCACCATATTCCGACGGGGACGTCTTGAAGAAGACGACTAGCGTCTACGATGGATTGTTTATCGCACTGCATGGAGAACGCTCCGGGCTGCCGGAGGCTGTTCAGTAATGGCCGTGCGGCTGAGTACGATGACCGCATGGACTGTGAATATAGTCACTATTTCAATCTGCATATCTGGGATGCATGCACGACCACTTTTATTCCTGTTTTTACATGCACCCCTGACAGGCTTAACATGCTATCGCGGCTTCGCCTGTCGTCCGCCACTTGCTATGGGTAGGCACGGCATGCTTGGCCGGCTAGGGGCCGTTTTGATCGTCTTGATGCGTCGATCTTGACTACCAAGCAGTAATCATGAGCCTGCCTCGTTGAGGCCACGGTTGAAAGAGGCACCAGTAGGCTTTGACCCCAATGCCGCGCCGCATCGGCTCTGGACGAGGGGCGCCAAGACAATCTCAGGCAGTGAATGGGACCCACTTTTCGAAGTACATTGTAGCTTCGTGCAAACATACAATGATTACCTACAGGTCCGCTTCTATCCTGGGCTAAGTGGGACTTTGTTTTGCTGGTGAATGTGTGGTACTCTGTCTCATATTCACTGAACATTCGTCGAGGCAGGTGGGCCCGTGACAGAAGGTTGAGCGGAGTGAAGCTGGCTGTCCCGCGCTGCTTCAGAGGGATATATTGCGTGATGGTAGGCTTAGGCTTGATTTCAGTTATCACAGTACAATTGAGCCATCCGCGAGAAGGGATACTGAATCAAAGGCTACCCGTGCAGATGCACATCCAAACGTCTAAACGGAGAGGGTTCACCGCAGCGTAGATACTCAGCACAGATGAGAAGCGGTGTACCCACAGCCCTGGCCTCCCGTAAGCTCCCGTACCTTCGATGCTTCCGCCTTTGCAAATCTCTTCAAGCACACAGCCGCCGACTTTCTTCGCGGCGGTGACAACGCCCCCATCGCTGACACCAGGCTCACCTCCAATAACAGAATCTCCGGACTCGTTCTATGTCCCAATCGTTGGGATCCCGCATTGTTTGGCCGCTCGACTGCAGCTTCTCGTTCCACTCGATGTACCTCCTCCGCAACCATTCTTTGCGCCAGGCGAAACACAGCCACATGCTGACTGGCTTGGGCGGCGGCATGCCTGGTAATGCTCTGGACGATCGGGGCTTAATGACGGGGTTGTGATGCCGGTTACAAACGCAATGTTTGTTCCAGCCGTCACCTCTGGCGGTGGAGACAATGTGCTCCTTACTGCACGTATAGCATAGCGGAAGCTTGTGCTCGTTGGTCCAAAACGTGTAATGCTGGTCCCTGCTCTGTGCAAGGGTAGTAAGTCCGGATGGAGACCGACAAATTGCCTCAAAATGAAGGATTAGGCAACGTAAGCCCTTTGGTCATAAAGATACGAGGAGGTTGGATAAATTGACATTGATCGAAGCTACCTGACCATAATTTGTACACTCGCTGAAACCATCTCGCTAAAAAAGTCGTTTCCCCATTAAATCTGATGCGCTGGTTCACAATGTGGTACCAGACGATCGAACCACGACTCACTGGTCAAGCCATGGGTTGCAAGAATCTCTCCTTCAACAGCTCGTCAGCTCCTGGGCGCTTTGTGTGGTCAGCCTCAAATGTCTTGGCTAAGAAGCCCTTGGCCTCCTCGCTGGCTGCTTCCGGAATAGACGGTGTTTCGTTATTGCTGCCAACTGCGAATAGAGTCTGAAGTGTTGTCATGCTGGGAAATGGTCGGCTTCCGGTAAACATCTCCACTATCAGACAGCCGACTGACCAAATGTCAGACTTCAGGCTTTGGCCTGATTGTCTGACCACCTCTGGCGCCATCCAGAAAACACTTCCTTGGAGTGATGTTCGTGTACCTGGCGTGGCGTTCATGCCATTGAAGTTGGTCTTCTTGGACACACCAAAATCCGAGATCTTAACTGCACCTCTGTTATCCACAAGAATATTGGCGCCCTTGATATCGCGATGTATGATGTTCCGCGAATGTAAGTACGACAATCCTTCTAAGATCTGTCGCGTAAAATTCCGTACCAGGGGCTCCTGGAAAGTGTTGTATTGCTTAAGCATCCCAGCGATTGACCCACCAGGTACATACTCGAGGAAAATGTTCAAATGATCTTCGTCCGAGGAGGTGCCCAGATATTGTACGATGTGGGGGTGATGCAAGCCTTGCAAGAGGTCGATCTCTTGCTTGAGCGCGGTGATCATGACATTCTTCTTCTTGTCACCCTCTGTACCTTTGGTGACGTTGGGTAGCTCCACCTGCTTGACAGCCATAAGCTCGCCAGTGACGGCATGGAGCGCCAGGTAAACACTGCCAAAGGAACCTTCGCCAATGAGGTCACCCTTCATCCAATTACCCTTCTCGAAACTGTTGCCTGCAAGGAAGGAATTGAGGGCGACATCCTCCTCTTCACCATCTTCGGCGACCATCATCGATAGACGCCGGTTCATGTCCCCTGCACCACTCGGACTACCGGAATCCATGAAGCTGATTCTGGGCGCATCACTTTGAGTAGCAGAGTCCGACCCGCTGTCAAAAGAGACGTACGACTTCCTGTTGGGCTCACTTGGCGACTCTTCTTGCAATGGCTGCAACGATGATGAAGCGATCGAGTCTCTGAAGGTAGCACTATTGAGTCCAAAACGACTGGACACTGATAGGGGCCTTGATTGGGACGTTTTGGCCAGCTGTCCGCTAGAAGCCAGCCATGCATCGGCGGCACTGGCGAGATTTGGCAGACTGGGGACCGGTGGTGCATCCCTCAAACTTGAAGCCATGCTCACGTTGCTCACCACACTCAACCGGCTAGCGGCACGACTCATGCGCTGACTTCTTCGAACCGACAGGCGCATGGTCTTTTCAATGTCTTCTCTCTGATGCTTGGGGAAGTAGGATGTCAGCTCCTGAGCGATCATCTCACTGGGTGGACGAGCACCGAAGAAAGAGCGTAGCTTGCTGTTTTGGGCTAGTGGGCGTAGATGCTGGGCTTCCTGTCGCTCAAACTCGTCGGCGGTGGCCATAACGTTACGATTGCGATCTGTAGTGGTAACTGGCGACATTGGCACGGCTTGGATCTGGTGCCACGATTCGCCAGTCAATTTCTGCAATTTGATCTGGTTCCGCATGTTGTTTGTGCTCAGCGCATTAGAGTGGAGAACTTGGGATTCGTCAGCCGCAAGTCTAGCAGCTTTTTCGAGCTCTTCCATATCAGGAGGCCCATCGTTGATCTTCCGCAGTATGAGCCGATTCCGTTCTGAGCGGCCAGGATCGTTGCAGATCTGCATCAGTTCATTATCGGATACCCTACGACAGCTCGTAGCTTTCGGCTCTAGACCATTGAGCACGTAAAAGCAGTAGTTGCGGAAATGTGCCTCGTTCAAAGTTGGCACTTTGCGGAGAACCGTTGAGGTCACATCATCGGCGTGCTTGCAGAATTTGATGTTGACCACCTTCGTCTGGCCGCCATTGTGGATGATCTTGATCACTGGTGTGTTTGATGGCAGGCCGCCAGGGGTCAGACCGTCTATACTGGAGTTCTGACGGAGATGGTGGCTTCTTGAATTGGTCGCGAGTTGGGGCGTCTCGGGCCGTCGACCAGATGACGAGTTGGCAGAGTTAGGCTGGCTGAAGTAATTAGCATTCGGGTCTCGTCTGCCACTTTCCATGGGGCTGGCAGCATAACGATGGGCGCGGAGACCAGCGCTATGGACATCGGCCAAAGGTGAACTGGGTCGGGATCCGGTCTTGAAGCCAGTGCCTGCAGAGTTGAAATGCTGCAGTGCCGATGGGTCGAGTTGGCGAGAGAATCGCTTGGCAGATCCCGCCTGTGATCGAGAGGCATGTGTTCGAGGGGAGTCGGAAGCCGACGGTGGAACGCCGTAGTTTTCGAGAGCTGCCAGCGAGTCGCGGTTTCTCTTTGTGCGCAGTAGGGTCGCCTTGTTTCGTAGCTGCTTGATGGCAACATTGATGCGAACCCTGTCACCGATCTTTTTTATGCCCAGTTCAGCCAGGATCTTCTGATCGAATTCCAGCAAAGTCTCGCCTGTGACATTATTGCTCTCAAAGAGTTGCTCGTATTGCCCACATCTTATCGAGTGTAGCCAGTCCACTACTGTCTTCTCATCCCAGTTGCGGATCGAATCTAGACCGTCTGACGCGTCGGAGAATTCGGAATCAGTGGGAGAGGTGAACAGGCCATCTTGTACTGTGGCAGAGGATGAGGCTTGGGTGCCGGTGGAGGATTTGGACGAAAAGTTGCGGCTGGTCATGGACGGCGTGGCCATCGTGTGAGCTGCGACAGGTTTGGCGGAGAGTAAAGCCATGACCGCCGGTAGGAGCTAGGATAATATGCGATGCGCGTGCTGTTAACAGGTTTCTGCTGAGACGAGCATTGTCTGTGCCGGCCCTGCAGAAGAGACGACAAAGGGATCACGGCTATCGTTTTCACGACCCGAGACACTGCCACCCGCTGGCGTTGCCGGGCGTTTTTGGATGGCTACCAGTCTGTATTGACAGCTCGGCCGCTGTCTGATGGCGGAGATGTCGCGGGAATCGCAATAAGGAGGGAAGAAGTATTGACGGCACCTGTTTACGCCTGGGCCCCTTGATCAGCCGATTTTTGGCGGCCACACTTGCAAGGAGGATAAGGTAGCGAACACGTTGCTGACGATGAACCGCGGCCGACAGGGATGGTGAAACGGATGGGAGGGAAGAGTGCGCAACTTGGGAAGCAGTGAAACGCGCAAGACCTCCTGGTGAGCCCTTGCCCCACGCTGAGTGGCTGCGGTTCGCGCCGACTTAGGCCAATCATAGGGGCCGCGCCCCTGGAAGTTGACCCACCTTTTTGCCTTGTCGTCGTCCGCCCGCTGCTGGTCTTTCTATGGCGATCTAAACTTACACGGGATTTCACTCTGACACAAGGCTACCCTGAGTCAGGACTACCGACCGTCTCCACGTCATCCCACCTATCGAGGTGTACTTCGCGCCATTCAAGCGAGGCTCAGATAGGCGAGTTTCATCCATCAGCAGTGAGAATACACCGCCTCAACTCCTCAATGTCCAAACGCTCACGCGAGGCGTCTTTCTCGCCCTCAGCAGACTCGCATTCGACGTCAACCCCAGAAGACGACGAGCACGAGACCCTGCGGCCTGTCAAGATAAGTGCAATGACAGACTTTGAAGCACACAGCCTATCCGCAATGCAATGCAGTCTGCCGCCGCATCGTCAAGCCCTGGATTTTCCTTCCATTAAAGCTTTCGAGCTCCACTACATCAAGGACCACAGCAACAGGTGCTCATCGTGTGACAAGAATTTCCCGTCCGCTCATTTCCTGTCTCTCCACATTGACGAGAGCCATAACTCGTTGCGCGCTGAAATGCAGGCCAAAGGTGAGAAGACATACGCATGCTTTGTCGAAGACTGCGAAAAGAAGTGCTCTACCCCGCAGAAGCGACGTCTACATCTGGTAGACAAGCATCTCTTTCCCAAATCATACAACTTCCGAGTCGTCAACCAGGGTATTGACAAACGAACCTCGATGTTAACCGAGAACAAGCCTCATCGCAGACGAGTGTCGACAGCAGACGCTCCCGCTGACAGAGTGACTCGTCACCGTCGTGCTTCAAGCCAGTTGCTGGAGAACACTACCAAAGATGGAACAGCACAGAGCGCATCACCGGCAGGAGGTTCTCAGATTAGGACCTCGCCCCCTTTGTCTTTGCAGAGTGCCGGTGGTGAGATGGATGGTCTGGCGAATTCTATGTCTTCCCTGAAATTCGTTCCAAACAGTGTTCGGAAACAAGCCGCAAAGAAGAACGGCGCATAGTACCAAGATGTCCCAGCTCCGATACTGATTTCCATCGCTCATGCTACGGTTTGCGTGCTCGCAGTGGCGACTGTGAGAGATGTACGACGGATTATACGAAGGCAATCTAGGGGCGAGTATCGTCGAGATGCTGACTCCAAACAATACATCCGAGCCATGATTACTTCAGCTTTTCGGTAATGAAGGCGCCGTTTCTCCAAGTCTCGCCCTTCTATTGGCCGATAGACCATGAGGCTCAAAGGGCTGGGGTAGTCTCCATTGTTGGGGTCACTTTTTGGGACTGCGGGGAAACGCCCATGCTTCTATTCAAGAGTAGTTCCCCGCCGTCGTTGTGGAAAGATTTCCAATTTACATCTCCGGCAGCGCACTCAGGGTTCTCCGACCATGGCAACAGTTTCTGTCCACGCCCTCAACGCTGGAAGCCTCACGATCCCGGAGAAATTCTTCGTGGTTCCGTCCGATCCAGATGTCAAATTCACGGTGCCCTCCTTGTCCTTCCTCGTACAACACACAACCGGCTCCAAGACCACTCGCCTGGTCTTCGACCTCGGCATCCGCCGCGATACGAGCCTCTACCCCGACGTTCTCCAGGCACACATCAAAAGCCGGGAACCTATCACCACCCAGCCTGATGTGACTGCCTCTCTCGCCGAGGGTGGTCTCAAACCCGACGACATTGACTATGTGATCCTGAGCCACGTCCACTACGACCATGTTGGCTATCCTCCTGATGTGAGTCCATTCGGTCCGGCTCCCACAAAGCTCGTCAGTTCTATCGCTTGCAAGGAATCGCGACTTTGCCGTGCGATGTCCGGAGCCCGGTCCAAAACCTCCCCCCCACCCCCCGTCGTAGTTCCTCCAGACCAACTGACCTAACCCTCCCCAGTTTCCAACCTCCCACTTCCTGATCGGTCCCGGCGCCGCCGCCCTCCTCTCTGGCAACACCACCCTCAACATCGGCTCCCACAGCCACTTCGAGCCCGACCTCCTCCCCTCCGACCGCACCACCGAACTCCCTTCCCCCACCACCTCCTCTTCCTCCACATCGACCCACAAATGGACACCCCTCCCCCCCTTCGCCCACGCCATCGACTTCTTCAACGACGCCAGCCTCTTCATCGTCAACGCCCCCGGCCACCTCCCCGGCCACATCAACCTCCTCTGCCGCGTATCCCCCGACAAATACGTCTATCTCGCCGGCGACGCCTGCCACGACGTGCGCCTCTTCACCGCGGAGCGCGAGATCGCCACGTGGATCGACGGGGACGGGAGACAGTGCTGCATCCACGCGGATCGGGAGCAGACCAAGGAGACGTTGCGGGTGATGCGCGACGCGGTGGAGAAAGGCGTGGAGGTGGGGGGAAGTGGAGAAGGGCGAAAGGGCGAGGTGGAGGTCGTGTTTGCGCATGATTGGGCTTGGGAGCGGGAGGCGAGGGAGAGGGGGGGGTTCTGGCCTGGACGGTTATAGCGGAAAGGCCCCCTCCTTCTCAAGGATATGAGGTGGAGTTGATGTGTGGCATGGGAGACCACTGGTTGTCGATTTGAGAGTACTGCGTTCCAGTTCCAGGAGACGAGAAGTAAGATCTACCCAGGCACGATGAGGTAGATTCACACTAGCAAACCATGTGGCGAACACGAACAGGTTGGGACGGCCGTGGCGCTAGAGTTACATTTCTTGGTCTGACAGTACCACATCAAGAACAATATGAGAGAAATTTATGCACTTGATTTCAGGGAGTATTGGAAGCCCTAGCTAAGCAGTCGTAGTCTGATATACCCCATTCCATGCTTTTCCATCCCGTGCAAGCATACACTGCGAGGTCTAAGCACAGAGGCTCTTCCTCGAGCCCATAGTGACCGCCACCACAGCTCGAGCGCCCATGCATGTGCTTGCTGCTAACTTCTCGTAAAGATCATGCCTCCCAAACAAAATGATTCGCCAGCTGTCAGTCACACCCAGCGATGCTTGCCGGCGGCTTTTCCCTAAATCAATGCTGGATGAATCGAAACCCTTGCACACTCAACGTTGACATCGTCATCCTCTCCGTCTAGAAATAGCCTCACACGGCCCAGCCAATGAAAGGTTCCCAGCCACAAGCACCAGTATCAGCTGCCGTTGATGCCCACCCCAAGATCACCTTCTAACAGCTCAGCATAGATCTCCAGCGCGCCCCCGATCATGTCCACAATAGCCCAACTGGTGTTCCCCTTGAACGTCTTGCTCCATGTTCGGACAACGCTCACGCTCAGTCTCTTCAATCTGTCAGGATCGTTGAGCAATTCCTGCGCCTTGTCTTGAGAAGTGGTCTTGACATCGATTGAATCACCGTTGACCGTCAACGAAGGAGGCTTCTTGTCGTCGCTGTGAGAGGATGTCGTGTCCTTGTCGAGGGCCGGCGTGAAAGACGCGGTTGGTCTGGGAGCACCAGTGAGTGTTTCATGAGGCTCAGACTCTTCCAGAAGCGATCGGACCCAGAGAAGGAGCTTACGCTCATGATCAGACAGCGGCGGACCGCCTTCATGTGTGATTCGAGCAAGGGCGGCAAGCCATTTGCTGAGCAGAAAGGCGCACTCTAAACTGCAAATGCTATGCTGGATTGACCAGAAGAACGTCTGCGTCTTGGCGACGAAATCAATGCCTAGCCTGACTGGTATGGAAAGGGCGTGGGCTGAATGAAGGAGTGCTGGAGTGAGGCGATGGTCGCGTTTGATATCCGGGGTGTTCCTCAATGCATGCGCAATCTGCATCGATTCACGGGTTTCGAGGTGCCGTAGGGGACCCATGTGTGTATGCAGGCGGATATACGCAAGGCCCAGCAGAGCAGTCGAAGTGAAAGCCACAGGGCCGTTAGGGTTCTGAGGATCGAGGCTAGACTCGGGTGCTCGCTTCCAACCCTGCTTCCAGGCCGAGAGCGCACGTTCGAGAACAGTAATGTCTTCTGATCTCAGCATACTGCCCGCCGCGCCCGGCCAGTTCATACTTAGCTGGCGGGCGAAGAAGATCTGTTGTATAAGAGCGTGCACCAGGACGTAGTTGCCCAGCGGCGACACGGGATAACCAGGATTATGCACCGGCTTAGAGAACAGTCGCGCAAAAGCCACTTGAAACGGTAGGGCTGGCGCGGCATTTGCAGCGTGCAGGTCCCGCCATTGCTCGGCGGTCTGCGCCTTCCATTCGTTTGCCGGGTCGGGAAGGTCAAGCTTTATCTCAGAGTTGAGTATCAGAGGTGGAATATCCCAAGTTATGGAATGCAGGTTGAAGAAGCAGTAGACTATGAGCTTCGTTCGCTTGTCGCCTTCGATCCGAATCCATCGCTCCCAAGTCAAGTCGGAGGGGGTGGGAGGCTCCTCGGCACTGGAAAGACCTGAGTCGCGGACTAGTCGGGCGAGAGTCGACTGGAAGGCCAAGGCCTCTTTTAGAAGCTCTTGATGCCGCTCCCAGGTGGCAAATGCTGTCAACAGCAGAAGTGCTTGTATCGAGTCCATGTATTCCTTGGAGTCCGTGGATACAGCTTCTTCCGGAGGTTGAAACTGGAAAGGGCTGCCAGAGTGACTAGAGCTGGCCAAGCCTCCAGCAGGTGACTGTACGAGGCTGCCAGTACGAGGTCTAGTCCAAGATTGTGGCTGGGCAGACCCATCCCGCCGCCTAATTTGTTCGGTGACTACTGCTTTAGCGGCATAAAACAATTCGATACCACGACTGTTCTCAAACCGATACTGTGCTCCAACAGCAGCCAAGGCTAGTACTAGCTCTGGAGCACTGGCAGCGACAGACAGCGTCGGTACATGGATGAAAGGGAGATGCTCGTGGAAGCCGTTGATATAGCCCGCGAGATAGCGGGATAATGAGTGGCGAGAAGGCGGAATAAAGCCTAACGACGGTCAGCAACTGACGGGTCAGGGGGTCGGATAACTGGAGGCCGCCGTACCCTTGGGCATGACACTGTCAAAAGCAGCGAGTTTATTGGCGAAGACTTGTCGATCACTATCTGAGACATCCCAAGTGATCGGTCTGTTCCTCACAGAGTTCTCTTCCAGAACGCTTCGTGGTGGATCGGCTGGCCGCGCATCGGGAGTCCTTGACTCTGGCTGTAGAGAGGGGAGACGTGATCCGAACCTCGAAAAGGTGCTAACTTCTTCTCGCGGAGGCGCCAAGCCTGGGTCAATGTTTGGGTCGACATTTGGCTGCATTGAACGGGGAATGCCGAGATTCTCGGTCTTGAGTTCGGGTGATAGTGTGTCAGCCTGGTCACCGAAGATATTGGTGTGCCAGTCAGAGGATAGACCGACGCTGTCAAGGAAGTGGGTGAAGTCCTGCATTGGGTCACCTATATCAGGAGTCTCGAAAAGATTGGCGCTCCCGTAGCCTTCCGTCAAGATACGGGGTTGATACTGATCGGTAGTTGAAGCCTCGGACACACCTGGCAACATGGATTGCATTGGTTCCTGGGTCACTTGTGGCATACCTGACATCTCATAACCCTGGGCACCCGATGCGACGTGGCTAGCGGCATGGGACAGTAGATTCAGGTCGTAGCCCCAGGATGGGTCGAGCGAGGGTGCGCCTAGCATGGCAGCTTGTTGTGAGGGCATGTTGTCTATGGAGACAACGCCATTGTGAGATGCCATCAGCTGGGGATCAAGCATATCCATCATGGCGCGACCTTCATTGGCAGCAGGCGGCGAGGTGAGAGGGTGATTTTGGACGGGCGAGATGTCCATTGGGTCGGCACCGTTCTGGACTGATCCATCTGAGGACATGAGACGGTTATCGCCAGGTCTGCCGTGCGAGGCATTATGGGCTTGCGAGTTTGTAATGTGTCTATGGTGACCCTTTCTGCTCGAATGCTTCTCCTCTTCGCCGGGATGTACGAGGCGCTCATGCCGAACAAGCAGGTCGCTGCGCGCAAAAGTCTTGCCGCAAAGGTCGCAAACGAAAGGCTTCTCCTTGGTATGTGTGCGAATGTGCCGTTGCAAATGCTCCTGTTTATGATCAGCAACGAGTCGTGGATAGTTGGAGTAGGGCCGGTCGAGTGCCGAGGGTTGATGGCTGAAGCTATGCGAAAGGTGAACTCACGAGTCGCGCGAAGAGGCGCTGGCAATGAGGGCATGGCAAAGTTTTGGACTTGTTGCCCTGTTGCTTGCGCTTTGCGCGGGTGGGTGTTGCGTCCATGGCGCGCAATACTGCTCTCCAGTTGAGGCAGCGATCGAATCTGTGGAGATGTCGAGTTGAGAGAGGAGAGATGCGGGGTTGTAAATCAGAGGGCTGGCGGCTGGCCGACGGCCTTTTCGGTCATTCAAGCTAATTTGCCGAAAAAATGCCAAGGGGATCACGTGCTGCTTACCTATGCCTCTTCCATGTTAGCCAGCTCAAGCGTCGGCCAGCTGCAGTGTGAGCGAGACTACCGGCAGCCAGCCAGGGTTCTGTGGGTGCTCATCTGTTGCCCGTCTTACCTGTTCAGCCTTGCATTGAGATCCAGGCGACATGACTTTTCGGCGATACCACTGGGCGGGGGAATGTCGTTAGAAGTGCGCTCAGTAACGGCGGCGCCCTGCCAGCCAGGCGGGCGACATTCGTAGCGGGCGTTCCTGTCCATGGCTGCCCGGAGATGTATACTCCGTATGGCCTGCGGCAGGAGCCGCGTGAGTTTCGTCGACGAGCGCGCGCCTGTCGATCGATCTGGAGCTCGTTTTCCATGGTAGAGCACCACGCAAAGCGGTTATTGCTGAGCTCAAGGTTAAGAGCTGGTGAGGAGGAATTGGAGGTCGAGGGCGGTGAGCGTCTTTTATCCTTCTTCCCCTCGAACCCCATCTGCAACCTGTTTGGGACGATGGCTGCAACTCCAAAAATAAGCCCAGAGGGACCCCGGGGCTGGACCTGCTTGTGCGGAGACACCACGGTTCGGGGATCCGAGTAGCAGCTGGGATATGGTAGGCATGATGTATTTGATGCTACTCAATGCCGACGCGTTCCTGCCGAGGACCACCGACATCACTTCCTCGTACTTACTACTGTTTGCACTACAATGGCGACCAAACTCCAGCTGCCAGAGTCCAATGCCACTGTGCGCGTCCGGCTCATAGACACAACTACATTGATGACTATCAGGTCTGAATCATTCGTCAAGCCTGTGCAGAAAGGCCACGAACTGATCAACGTCACTGATGTCGCTTTCTTGATCGAACACGAACCCTCAGGCAAGAAAATATTGTTTGACCTGGGCTGTAGGAAGGACTACTGGAATCTGCCTGCTGTTATCCAGAAACGGCTCGGCGATGTTATACCGAGCCTGAGAGTCGACAAGGACGTCAGTGAGATACTGCAAGAGAAGGGTGTGCCACCTGACTCAATATGTAAGCCCGGGCCATGATACCAGCTGCCGTTATCTCATTGCCTTCTCCTGTTAGTCACTCGAGACTCGCCTCCAATTCACTCATTCACCCATACCTAATCTTGACCTCATTTATCTACCTGACTTGCAGCGAATCTGACCCATACTATCTACAGCCGCCATCATCTGGTCCCACTATCATTGGGATCATACCGGCAACGTCGCACAATATCCCCCGTCAACCGAGCTCGTTGTTGGCCCCGGCTTCAAGGCCAATGACTCCCTCCTTCCCGGCTATCCAGCACATACCAAATCCCCCGTCTCCGAAAGCGACTTCGCCAACCGCACTCTGACCGAGATCACCTTTCCTTCCAATGGCCTCCGCATAGGCGACCTTCCAGCCCACGACTTCTTCGGTGACGGCAGCCTCTACCTGCTCGACACGCCAGGACACTGCGTCGGCCACATGTGCGCCCTCGCCCGCACCACCCCTTCTCCTGCCCACTCCTTCGTGTTCCTCGGCGGCGACATCTGCCACTTCCCAGGCGACTACCGGCCCACGCCTGCCTACCCTCTCCCGGACCCCATTCCGTCAGGCGTGCTCGACTCATCGCCCCACTTCCCCATTCCCTGCCCGTGCGCCCTCTTCACCGCACACCACCCACGCGAGTCCGATGAGAACAAAGCCCAAGAGACCCCATGGTACGAGGTCACCGACCATCCACGTGCGGCATACATCGACGTGCCGACCGCGAGGCAAAGCGTGCGGCGAATGCAGACTTTCGACGAGAGCGAGGACGTGCTGGTGTGCATTGCGCACGACGCGGCTATTTTGGACATACTCCCCAAGTTCAACAAGGAAGGTCTAGAAGGTGAGGGCCTAAACGAATGGAAGGACAAGGGATGGAAAGAGAAGTGCCATTGGCGGTGGCTGAACGAGCTGCCCAGGGGCGGAAAGCAGGGGAGGAAGCTGGTGGTGGAGGGCTTCTGGCGAGAGGGAGAGCCGTGGGATCGGAAAAGGGCATTGGAGGAGGGCAGGAGTGAGAAGTTGTAGCCGGGCAGCGGGAGTTGAAATCAGCAAAGACGGCATGCTGGTTCGAATGAGGGTGGAAGAGTGCATGCAATGGGAGGCTGCTTCCGCTTCTTCAACCGACTGGTCAGACTCTCCTGCTAGATCTACAATCTGGATGCTCAAAAGGACCTGTCCGAAATGCTATTATACGTATTGAGGATGTTACGACAGCGGCTCGTTGCGTGGCGTCACCGAGACTGCGACTTTGATGCCATGTCTCGCTCGTCACACGTGCTGCAGGTCCCAGAGCTCTTCAAGTACAGTCTTTGAACCGAACTTAGATTTTGGAAGTGGGCAGCGCTCATAGACAGCGCGCGCTATGACAGGCGTTGGCTATCAACCTTCCCTGACTTATGTTACATGCTGTACACCTATCTCGAGCTTCTGGGCTCGAGGACGCTTCACATCCGTCCCGTTACGCGGTTTCTAGTCTACAATCTTGCCGTAGAATGGGACACCTAGTTGTTGAAGAAGCAATCGGGCGTCCTTGTCGGTGTCCGCACTCGTGTGGATCGTGATGTGCATACCCTAACATTGAAAGTCAGCATCCCGTCATTTCTTTCTGCAAGTAGATCTTCGCTCACCGGTATCATCTTGGGTGGGTACGCGTCGTAGTTTGTCTCTACCTCCGGAAACGCCGCGACCGTCTCCGGCTCCAGCCCAAACGTCAAGTTGCCAGAACTGTCGCCCGTCGTAGCTCTCACACCCCTCCAATCCTTGATTCTCGGTAGCACGACCGTGATCACCTTGCTGAGGAAATGGTACATATCTTCACCCTCCAGATCCACCGTCAAGGAGATGGGCTTGCCAGCGATGAGGGACCATTGAGACACCGACTTCTTGGCACGATGGACTTCCACTCGCTTGTTCGTGATCGACTGCAGCAGCAGACCAGCGGCGTGGAGCGGAGGTGAGCCTTTGGACGCGGCATCTCTTATGAAGGCGTGCACCGTAACACGTTTTAGCTGAGGAATGTTGTTAAATGTAATTGGTTTGCGTAGCAGGCGCAGGACGTCTCCTCCTCTAGGTCCGCGCACTGGACGGTTCTTGAAGTAAGGGCTCTCGCCAATCCACGGCCTCAGTCGCGGACCTTTGGCCGGAGCTCGAAATCCAGGAGGCGTGTGTTGATAGCACATAGTCATGAAGTCCGGGGCGATGATGGAATGATAGGTCTGCTCCAACCGTGGATTGGAGAATGGCCCAGGGACGAACTCGCGGGAGGACGGGTCATGGGGTGGCGGCGGTTGATGTGGGTGCAAAGGTCCGCGATAGTACCGAGGTGAACGGTATTGGTATCTAGAAGAGTGAGCTGCGACTGTGTAGCTTGGGAAACGCGGACATACCTGCTGGGAGGGAGCTGGTATTTTCTGTTTTTGGCATTCTTGACTGGGTCGTAGGAGGATGCGTCGACCGGTGAGGAGCCTCTGACTAGAGATGGATTCTCCTCCATACCATCTATCGAACTCGATGGGGACTGCGTCGATAGGAGCCGTCGAGGAGATTTGGAGCACTGCGAACAGATTGAGTGGCCATTGATGCTGCGCCAGCTCCGCGACAGGCGGACAGCCAGTGGTGAACCTGCCATCCACGCGACTTGTGGATACGAAAATGAAATAAAGCGACCCCTTAAGAAGTGGGCATGAGCTGCCAACTCCAAGCTCGACTGCATATAGAACTGGTAAGAAATCTGGTCCGTAGAAAGTTCAACAAGGCTGAGATCCAGCCTTGCGGGATCTCGCATGCTCCGCTTCAGATACAGTGAATCGATGAGTCCAACTCGGAGGCTTGCCGCTCCACTCACGCCCAACCCGCGTGCTGGCGACCTACTTCTTTCTTCTCTTCGCGCACTCGCACGCCTTCAGTCTTCCGCTTCGTATACCACCTACCTGCCTACCTACGTCGCTTCTGCCCGCTGGTCGCGAGATCTAACCAAACTTCCGTCCTTCACTCTACCCACCGCGGCTCTCGGCTTCTTTAGTCGAGACCATCCACTTCCACCGATGGAGCACGGCCTTCTGCTCTGGTCAACGCCCGCCCGACACTCATCTTGACCAGTATTGGAGGTCGGGATGACCGTGTCGCATTCTCATAATTCAAAATGGAAGAGCACGTCAAGAAGACGTCCCAGTAAGGCATTTTGCGCAACATAACCGAGTCTCATGCTGACCCATGTCCAGGAAAGTAGATCGCGCGGAACGTGATCTCGCTGCACTGACGCAGTCCAAAGACCTTGTATACACAAGTCTTGAACCAACGCTCGCAAAGTGAGTCTATTGAGGTCTATGCGACATGTGCTGATTAGCCAAGGTTTCGCGATGTATCGCTGGATCTGTTCTTTCAGGATATCAAAGTTGCGACATCCAAGGACGTTGAGACCCGCCTGTGGGCTGGTCACGTCAAAGTGAATGTGTCCTTCAGGACCTATCTCGCTTCCCTTCGTCGAGAGGAGAACCGCAAGAAGACTGTAGAACGTCGCAAGGCCGAAAAGATGTACCTTGATTTCATCAAGTCCTCGCAGCGTTTCTACCGCGGCTTTATCCAGCGAATCTGCTCTCATTTCGGGAATCTCGGCGAAATCTACAGCATCGCCAGCAAGATGCACCTCGACATCACCTCCGTCGACGCACCAATCGAAGCCAGCGCTGATCAAAAACGCCAACTTGTGCGCTCATGCCACACTGCCCTCATACAGTGTGGCGACCTGTCGCGCTACCGAGAAATTGAGCTCAATCAAAAGGAGCGCAACTGGGGCCCCGCAAAAGGCTACTATGAGTGCGCCGCCGAGCTCGATCCGACATCTGGTCGTTCGTTCAATCAGTTGTCTGTCATGGCCCTCGCCGACGGCGATCACTTCCGAGCCCTGTTCTACCTCTATCGATGCTTGGCCATGCCTGCGAGCTTTGAAAACGCCCCAGGTAATTTACTCACGGAAGTAAAGAAGCTTCGCAACAAAAGTCTTTCTCCTGCCAGTCTCGAGACGAAGCTTGGAGACAGCGAGATTCCATTTCTTAAGTTCCATGGTCAATGCTATGCAAGCAATGGCTTTCCCAGTTCTGAGGCAGAAGAAGTTGGTTTACTATCCAGATTGTCTCAGGTCGTGACTTCTCAGCCCTGCAACGCCTCATTGAGAAAGCTGTGCCTGATCAATATAGCGGCTAGCAAGCATGCGAGAGAATGTGCTCGAAACCCTCCCTTGCTGAAGGAAACAATAACCCCTGAACAGTACGCCGAAACTTGGAGGCTGCTCCAGTCTCTGAATCTCTCCACGTTCACCACCTTTTTGCGCCTGTTCTCGGATCAGCTCAAGCCCATCGCTTTGGAGGTTGGCCGTCTTCCTGGGCCATCGGAAAGCATTGCTAGGCTAACGCCTGTCTGCCGGCGCCTACTTCCCTGTCTGCGCCTTTACAGTGGTTGGTTACTGGCTGACCTTCCTTTGCTGCTTACATATGAGGCTTCCGGCACCGATGTTGGTCTCAAAGCCTTCTGGCCGGCGTATGCGGATGCATTGAGCTATCTGTCCGAACTCTTCCCAGTCAGCACCTTCTTGAACATCCCATACCTTCTCGAGGAAGAACAAGACACCTTGCACTTCAACCCTTTCGAGGATGTTACTCGGAAGTTCCTTCATATGAATGACCAAGGAGTTTTGAAGCCGTACCGTGGCCAGTGCAATGCGCCGCTCGTCCCTGACGCGCAGAGACCGGATACGGAGATGCTTTTCAGGATCAAAGGTCTGCTCAAGGTGGGTATTCATCTAGTCAAAAATCAGGTGAGTAATTTGGCACCTCATCGAACGCCACTAATATAATCTTTAGCTTGAGTTCGGTCCAAGCCAGGTCCCTCTTATCTTCAAGGATAACCAATTCGAGTACCAGTCGTCTCCAGAAGCTCTCAATACTTCCTCGGATGGCCTTGGTGCTGATACAGCTGGCGCTCAAGTGTATGCGAACGATGCTTTACTTTCGCCCATCAGTAGAGTCGGTCATACAGACCCCGAAAACATCGAGAATATGGTTGATGACCTGGTGGGACCTGAGCCAGCCAGTACTCGCGGGCGACCAGACTCTCGCATGAATAGCTCGGGTATCCTGGACGGATCCAGCAAAGAGAGCTCTAGACCCACCTCTGGCATCCTCACTGCCTCAGACCTCGTGCGCCAGATTTCTCAGGGTTCACCTGCCGGAAATTTCAGCACTCCTGTGCACCAGAGCAGCCACCGGGCGTCTTTCGGGCTTTACCAGACCCCATTCGCGCCAATGCCAGGTGAGTTTGGCAGCTCCGTGACCGGTTCCCGGCCTGGTACTGCACACCAAACAACATCGCCGCGCGTTGGCCACTTTGGGTCTAGCGCCAGCTTCCAGGACGACATCACCAAGCGACAGAAAGCAATTGAGGCGCGGTCTTCGCCCATCATGTCTCTGGAACCTTCAGGAGTTTCAAGTACGCCTACTGGATTTTATACGTTTGCTCAGGATCGCTCTCGAGCATCGCTGCAGCAAGATCAGTGGCCATCGCCCCTCTCTGCCTCAGCTGCCGCCTCTGACTTTGTCGTCAGGAAGGCGCACAGCCCGTCCAAATTTGGAGCTATTGGGGATTCGAGGCCAAAGATGGCAAAGGCACCGAGGAGTGGGCAGCCAGGCTAGGGACGATGAAGAGAAGTAGATTGGTAGGCTCTATCTATCAACTGCACCCTGTGTCACAATTTGAGTGTCTGCTCTATGGCGCAAGGCTATTCACCAGCCCTGCTGATTCTATAGTGTCGTGGAGGACACCGTTGGGGGGTATCATGTCGTATCGTCACACATGCCTGCCGCTTGCCGAAAGGTCTTTTTGTTGAAACAAGACCATGCACTTTTGGACCCTCAAAAACGCCGAGATGATGCTTATCATGGGGGCGGTCCATTCCTTCACCCTGCTGCTAGGAATGTGTTGGTTGATCAGGCGCCGTAGGTCTGTTTGGGGTATGGGTACCTGGAAGTGGATGATCAGCCTGGAATCGGTGACGCTGGGGGATGTATCTGGGAGGTGGGGAGAGCGATAGTGAAGTGCGAGAATGGGAGAGAACGGGCGAATTGGTCTGCGACAGCGTCCATAGGAGGAATCCTGTACTCAAACCGCATCGCACTGCGGTGTGCGAACGACCTGACAAACGAAAAGGGATAGAGCAGCACATACGAGGGTCCCAATTCCTTCAAGCCCAGCCTGGCCAACCAGTGGCCTTGGGCAATGCTCTCCTCGAGGCTCTTGCCCTCCACAATACCGGCGCAGAAGCCTCCCGCAAACGCATCACCAGCGCCGTTCGTATCCACAATGTCTTTCCCGTCAATCGCCGCCACGGGATACTCCTGGACCTGCGCCTCCTTGCCATCCTCTTTGACGGCCACGATGGTCGGATCCGTCCCCTGCGTGATGATGACGACACGGGGTCGCTTCGCATTGACTTTTTCCGTCCCAGCCAGCGCCTTGGCCGCCTCGGGGATGTTGTCCTTGACGCTCTCGAAGCCGTTGTTCTCCGCCCAGGTGGTGGCCTCGTTCTCGTTGCCGAAGACGTAGTCGCAGTACGGCAGTATTTCGGAGAGCGGGTCCTTGAAGAATTGCGGGATGAAGCCGGCGGACAGCGAGAGCATGAAGGTCTTGTTGGTCTCGGCGGCGTGCGTGGCGAGGGCCATGGCCGCGGGTGGGCACACCGTGAGGTGGTAGCCGCCAACATAGTAGACTGGGGTGGAGGTGACGAGGGACCAGATGGAGGGTTGCTGTAGATGGGTGAGTTTGTAGTTGTTGGCGGCCGCGAGGTGCGTCAGCATCGTCCGGTGGTGGTCGGTGATCACGACACCGCATTTGCCGGTAGGGGCGCTGTCGACGTGGTATTCGACGTGCAGGCCTGTCGAGTGTTAGTCTTAGAGACATCGGAAGATGAGCTGGACGTGTTGGTGAAGACAGCCAGGAAGCAGCAGGCAGTGAAATCGTATTCGGTTTTAGTCAGGGACGTACCTTGTTCTGCGCATTTCTCGCGCAGCAACTTGCTGTATTCGTCATCACCAACAGAACCAATGTACCACACCGAGTCCGGTCCAAGCATATACTGGGCCCCACGGGCAGTATTCTGGGCTGCGCCACCAGGGATCAGCTTGGCATTGCGGTTCTTGATCAAGTCGTCGTAAAGTCCCATCTTCTCGGGCTCTTTCTCAGCGTCGACCAACAACGTATCGTCGAGTTTGAGTCCATATTCCTCAAGCATCGCTTGATCACTTTGTTTCGAGTTAGGGACAGCTATAAGAAAGTGGAGAGAGGAGGATGTACCCTTGACCCTGGATGTCGAGGAGAGGGTTCTCCAGACAGAGTAGCTTGAAAGATTTGCCGGCCATCTTGGGTGCTATTCTCGTTGGGTTTTTTGAAGTTTGATGCTTTGTTGCTGTAGTGGAATGAAAAAAGACCAGGTCAGTAAGATGTTTGGCGGTCTTGACCCGGAAAAGAAATCTTTACAATGTCGGCATGTCTGATGGAGGGGCATTGGAGAACGTCAAATTGTGGGGCCGCAATAGGGACTTTTCGTGCTGGATGCACTCCGAGTTCCCATTCTATTCCGACGACGCTGCAGTCCAGCACCTCACCCACCATCTACATCGGCCACCCAGGGATCATTGCCTACCTCAAGTCACGCACGTCTTATCAAGTTCTTCTCGACATCATACGACCCTCGCCGGAAACCGTACAAAGTCTACGCCTCAAGTGCTAAAGACCTCTCTCGAGCTCTAGGTCCCTGCCACATCAACGGCTACCAACCTAGACTCTCCGCGATGGCTTCGAATCCAGCCGCCGAGCTTGCTTCCACCATTCAAGCCGCCCACATCGTACGCAATCCGTCGCCAACGCATGATGTAAATCCCTCCACTGCCGCCTCAGACCTGGTCCCGGCCGACGTCCACTCTCCCGATCTATCAGACGCCGAAGACGATGCCTCCACTATTCCAAGCGACATTGTCCGCCCTACGCCGCGCTCACGCCAGAAGGCTTTCCCGCCTCTCCCTGACATGCGCTTCGAGCAGTCCTACCTCGCGTCCATAGAAAACGCCGAGACCAAAACACAAGTAGCCATCATTACGATACGCGATCAAATATTGCTGCCACTGCTCCAAGGCACATTGTGGAACTTTGTGCTCTTTGGATGGCGACATTGGAACCGGGGTGCAAAGTTCCAGGGCGAGAGCATTGGCGCGAAGGTACGGAAGTGGTGGTGGGGTGTGAATAATTGGAAGGTGCCGAAGCTGAAGAATGGGAAAGCCGAGTTCGCCAAAGGCGCAGAGGACTTTTACGTCGACCGCTTTGGTACCTCCCTTGGCGACTGAGGGTGTTGGAGCAGAGGGTCATCTCATAAAAATGACCATGATTGAAAACGATTGAAAGGCCGGCGCGACGAGTGGTACAGACTACAACATGGCCGTCCAATCAGTAAGCGGAAACTCGAAGGAGGCATATGGTCCGATCCCACTACCACCGAAAATGACTCCCTTTCCTAGAGACGCTTGCTCTCCCTGCTCGACATCCGATATCGTCCGCCATTACTTCGGTCAAGGTTCGATTCAAAGACAAGCGTGACGGAAGTCTAGCAGCTAATTCAACAAAAGATCTGCCACCAAGGATTTAAGCATGCGAACAAGGTGGGATACCTCGATGGCAACCACCTGCCATGGCTTCACCTGGTGCCCGCCTACATCCTCCGATAACTGGCAGATGGATTGGTCATGTCATAGCTGAGAGCAGATATGGTGGGCTACATTGTCCTGGGATTGAATTGCGCAGCATGCTGCGGTGGTCGACTAGCGTTACTACGGTGGTCTTGATCAAACTGTCATCCCTGTCTACCGGGTTGAAGGTAAAAATAGCCCACTGATGGCGTGCTGGGTAGTTTGAAGAGCCCCTCAAGGGCACTTTGTCGATACTATCAACACTAGATGCCACATTGACGAAGGCCTCGTCAAAGCGTAAATCAATTTCACGTTGAAATGCAAGTCAGAACAGAAGCTTGCCACGAGGAAACCCAAACAATCTCCTGCGTGCTCTTCATTATTCTGCCACTGTCATATACAACATAGCAAGTGCTTTCGTGTCTAAGGACTCAGTCTGTAGTGCTACAGAGCGGCAAGGTTGAAGCAGCTCCCCCCTCCCGCGAAGCCGTCTATAGCCATCGCTTCGTTTCATGTCCTTTTACACGACATATTATCGTCATACGATTCGGGATCCTGTTTGACAGTCCCACCACTGCTTGCCTGCGTCTTGATGGACGCTGGCCAGATCCCGCTGCTTTCAAGACACGTCCATAGCATGTGGTTGCGGCTGATACTGTTGCTGATGTTGGGGGGCATCGGACACAGCTTTTGGGGTGCTGGTCAACAGGTCGGGCAAGCCGGTCGCAGGGGCATGGGGTCTCGTTGTATCGCTGGTAAGTTCCGAAGGCTGAAATGGACGTGGCTGCTGTGGCTGCGGCTGTGGCAGTCCATTGACCCGTGCGCCCTCAGACTGATGGCCAGGAATTGAGGTACTCTGCGTTTGTCGCATGCCGCTCGTGTTCTGTTCGTCGTTTGCCTGTGGATCCAGCGCCAGCTCCTGAGCGGGTAGCTGCTCGAGATGCTGTTGCGGATCAGCCGGAATCTGGACGGACTGCTCTCGAACTTGCTCGTTCTCAGCAATACTCGGCCCTTCCGCTCGGGTTTCCTGCCCTCCGAATCCATTTACCATCGGCATCTCAACACCCACATTAGAAGTAGTCCCCAATGGCGTCCTTGCACGACTACTTGGTGGGACCGGCGTTTTCCGTGGTCTATATCGCAGTTGCACCACCAAGCTTTTCTGCATGTCACCTTCATCGACGCTCACTTCATCCTCGCCAATGTCATCATCTCCACTCATCTCGCCTTCGGATTCCTCGTCATCGACTTCATCCTCGTCGCCGCTCCACTCTTCGCCTTCGCTCTGTTGTTCGTCGCTATCGGTATCCATGTCATCGCCGTTGGTGGTCCGCTCGGGAACTTTGTTAGACCTCTGTGCTGGCCGAGCGGCCCTATGCGGTCGGCCTGTTGGTGCGGAAGCGGGCATGCCGTCCTCGCTCTCCTCTCCTTCTGGTTCACCAATTCCGGAGTTGTAGTCGTGTTCCTTCCTCTGATCGGCTGACAAACTCTCACCATACATACCACCAACACGCGATTTCACCTGCCGCCCACTGGCAGTTACAACAGGCCCTGCGTCGATGGGTGAAGCATTGCGCGTAGACCGTCGTGTTCCGTCGGAGATAAATTCATCTTCTTCGTCGAAAGTGTATCTAGCACGTTTGCCACGAGTGCGACCTTCGTAGAGAGAAAAGCCAGGGGCAGGTCGCGCCCAGGCGGCTTTCCGCTGCTGTCGATAGTCGCGACGCTTGCGTTTCTGCATGTGTTAGCAACTTCCGCGAGAAGGTCCGAAGCATGTTTACCTCATCACCCTGCTCGAAGCGGGGGATCGCGGCTCTGAGTTTGTCTGCGTTCATCCTAGCATTTGACGTGCCCTCCTCGGCGAATTTGTCTGCAAGCGAGGCAACATCCTCAATAGAACCCGCCACACTGAACCACGTATTGGTCTTGGATGTCTTACCGTCGTTCTCGCGGTAGACTCGGAAGTGCGAATCTTCTTGACCCTCGATCAGCCAGAAACGGCGGCGGTAGGAGTCTGTGAACCAGGGTTGGACGCTCCGAGGTTGGTTCTTGTCATCGTCCCGACGGGTTTGTTTGTAGGATTCTTTCAGTATCGCTTGCACACCTTCGGACTGGTTGAGGGACCACAGGACGAGGGCGCGTAAGAGATTGAGCTTGAGAGTTTGTCAGACAAATATATGCTGCACAGTTGTAGGAACACTCACCCGCTCTTCCGCGGTCATATTGTGGAAAGACTTGTTGCCGCGCAAAGGGTTTTCTTCCTTCCAGACAGCAGGCCATTGGGCTTTGTTCGTGGAGATTGCATCTTCGAGCGCTCTGTTGTAGTGTCCTCTCCTGTAATGTAGTCAGCGATTGATAACAGGTCTCCAGCGTGAAGTTGCCTACTCGACATCCTTCTTTCTGTTCAAGACCAGACCTAGTAACGCGCATAGATATTTCTCGACGCTCTCATCAGGTAGTTCTCCGGCAACACCCCGCTCGATATCCTGTGGTCCGTAATGCGGTAGCGACTTAGGAAACGCGTCGCCAAAGCGGCTCCTGAACATGACAAGGAATGCAATCGTCTCATTGTCGATCAAGGTGTATTCGTGAGGGGGGGACGGTGCGCGACGAGGAGGCTCAGGAGTGGTCTCTTTGGTCTTGGGTGCCGGTTTGAAATACCGGTCGAGTCCTGTCGGCTTCGACATCTTCAATTCCATAGCCTCGTCATCGGTGCTGGGCGCCGATGACAAGGATGAAGAGTCAGAGTCAGCCATTTGGTGGGTGTGGAAGGCAAGTTGAGACTTGGATGGAAGGAGCGCTTGCACAAGAAGGGCCGCAGCAGTGCTGGAGGTTGGCAAGCGATTATGATTGGAGCTAAAACTGTATAACTTGGCATGGACCGCGATTTGACGCGTAGTTGGACTCTCGAACGCGCTTTCTACTGCCTTGCGCCGGTCGTTCCAGCTGCCTCTGTGCAGGGCCAGCGACCATGAACCGCCAGAGCACCCTTCTCCATGCACCATCATGTAAACCTTGTGCAAATTTCACGTACGCATTCCAACTGTTGGTCGCTGAGCACTGCGTGCCGATTGGAGAAAGCTGCGACTTAGAATATGCCAAGCCCAAGGGAACTAGTTCTCCCTCTGGCGAATTCCACCAAATCCCCCGCTAACATTTGGCCTGTGCAACTCTGGAAGATCGATCTTGAAAATCGTCATTTTCTGTCCATCTTGCGCTGCACTGAACGCTAATCTCGATATCTTGTAGCTTCGAGCGGGCTGCAGGGGCACCAGGGGCCTGAAAAGTTAAAGGCGAGCCCCCTGGACTCACAGCAAGGGCCGGCAATATTGACAGCTGTGCTCCCGGAACTCACAGCAGATAATACCCAAATGCTTCTGCTGTGAATCCAGGGAGCCAACTCCTAATTTTCGTTGATCACCGGCAGAGAGATCTGTCAGTACTCAGACACGAAACCTCAGTGAAAGTATTAATGCGGGACACCCGCATATCAACGGTGTGTGCGCAATGATGTGCTAGCGTTCTGCTGCAATATTCTGTGGCGAGGGTGTTTCCGGTTGTAAATAGGCACCAGACACATAGCTATTACAGGGTCGGAACGCAGACGCTGTTCTGGATATCAAATCCGTCAGACAGCTGGACCACCCATACCATTGCATATTGCTTTGTAACGTGGGTTTCGAGTTTGTTGTCTCAAACGCTGATGGTCTGGAACGCATGGCGAAGCCCCAGACGAGTGCAGATCTTCGCAGCGCAACACTCTCCACGTCCACGAACCATGCTCGTAACGTCAAAATTGGTGCTTGACGACTTCACAAGGAATTTGGTGCCCGGAATGGGAGGCGTTGAGCTCTAGATGCTTCGGTCGAGCTCAGGATCTCATGTACTTACTAGGGACCGCGCTGGACCGGCGACAGTCCTATCACTCTCACTGCAACCTACTGCATAAGTGTATTGATTTTGGAAAGTGACCTCGAACGGGCGAGGGATTGACATGGTACGAAATAAAGGATGCAACAAAGTGAAGTCCAAGCAAGGCTAAACTGCAGCCTGAACGGTCTTGGCGCTGCCGCAACGCCAAGACTTTCCCACAACTTTGCAAAAATAGTCGTGCTGCGTTCCAACACCACGACTTCAGCCGACTCCCACCTTCCCACAACTTCTTGAATTCTTGTTTGGCTCTATCGCACAATGGGTAGAGTCATCCGGAATCAGCGTAAGGGCCGCGGCTCCATCTTCAGTATGCCTCCCACCAGCCTGTCGACTCCAATAACATTCGCTAACAATGAACAGCGGCCAACACCCGCCTGAACAAGGCTCCTGCAAAGTTCAGACAACTCGACTTCTCCGAACGACATGGCTACGTTCGCGGTGTAGTCAAGGAAATCATCCACGACCCCGGCCGTGGCGCTCCTCTCGCGAAGGTCAGCTTCCGAAGCCCATACAAGTTCAAGGACCGAAATGAGGTCTTCATTGCCAACGAGGGCATGTACACTGGCCAATTCATCTACGCCGGCAAGAATGCGAACCTGACAGTCGGCAACGTCCTGCCTCTTGGTGCCGTCCCGGAAGGTACCGTTGTCACCAACGTTGAAGAGAAGACTGGAGACCGTGGTGCGCTCGGCAGAACATCTGGCAACTATGTCACCGTCATTGGCCACAACCCCGACGAGGGCAAGACTCGCGTCAAGCTGCCTTCCGGTGCTAAGAAGGTCGTTCTCAGCTCTGCTCGTGGTATGATTGGCATTGTTGCTGGTGGCGGCCGTACAGACAAGCCAATGCTCAGTATGTCTTAATCCATTCAAGATATGCGAATAACGCTAACAATCCAACAGAGGCTTCGAGAGCAAAGCACAAGTTTGCGGTCAAGCGCAACTCCTGGCCCAAGACTCGTGGTGTTGCTATGAACCCTGTCGATCATCCTCACGGTGGTGGTAACCACCAGCATATCGGTAAAGCTTCTACCATCTCAAGATACGCTGCCCAAGGTCAAAAGGCTGGTCTCATTGCTGCTCGCAGAACTGGTCTGCTCCGTGGTACCCAGAAGACGAAGGACTGAGAGGTTTCATGAAAGAAGGAAGTCATTGTGCGCATTGACGATCAGGGCGAGAGAGGTTGCAGGCTCTTTGCCGAAATCTGAACTGGCGTGGAGGCGCGTGGAGTGTAACGACGTGAACTCAACGAGAGGCGTCATCACCTCTGAAGAAGCGATCGTGTTGCACAGCGAGATCAGTGGTGGCTTCATCACGGAAGCCAAAATCAAATGAAATTCTCAATGCTATTCTCTCTCATGCCATTCTCTGGTTCCACTGTATGCCCATCTACTACCTACTAAACCCCACGTCCACCACTGACGGATCACCACGGGATCTATATGAAGCTTCGGGAAGTCAAGCCGTAAACAGGCATGTCTTGAGGCCTGAAAGCCAAAAGCCGCAAGCCGCAATAGGATGCCGGGCCTCCAAAACTGCCCGAAAACTCGTGGGTCTTGGACGACAGCGAGATGGCACGACCGGCTTCGGGCGGCAACGCAAACACTCCTCCTATTGCGCGTGGTGGCCGTGTCGCCCAGAGACACAACTCGCATACCACCCTCCGCTTCTAAGGTGGTAATAGGTGGTCGAGCATTTGCTTAAATGAAATAATGCCCGAAATTAGTTGGCCTTGCCATGTGTTCTGGGGGTCGAATTAGCGTTATCGTGGCGTCTCCTTGGGGCGACTAACGACCCTGAGGGGAGGGGTGTTTTGTAGTCAGGGGTCTCGAACTTGTTGAATGGCTCATGAGATCCCCTCCTTCTCCGCGCCGCATTCGCTTGATCGCTGTGAAACATACCACGTCAGCTTGCTGCGATTAGAACTGGGACGCCACGGCGCGCATCGCAGCTTCTGTTAACATTCTTTCCTGCTCTTAATTGAGTTGATTTACGAATCTCACGACGTGCAGTGCAGCAGACTTGTCTCATTGCAACACGGCATATTCTCCTTCATTCATTGTCGATCGGTATCTCTTCCCGACAGGCGCACATCCAACTGCGGTCTTTGTCACTTGTGCGCGACAGATCCGCATTCCTCCACGACTCACCCCTACCTGCGCTTGATCGCTCAACCTAAATCTTCTTGCAACTCAGCAAGAGCTTGTGCCTCCTTTATCTACCCATACCGTACTGCGAGTACGATAATTTAGTCAAGATGAATATGAACAAGAAATTCGATCGCTTCAAGCAATGGACGAACGAGCGCATGGGTGGGGAGATCAAGACGGAGAAGTCAAATGACTTCAAAGCGCTCGAAGTTGAGATGGAACTTCGACAGACTGGTATGCCACGCTCTCCGTCTTCTATGGTGTGGACTAACCATAGCAACAGGTCTTGATAAGATGCAAAAGTCCACAAATGCCTACGTCAAAGCCATCTCCAAGCGCTCTGAGCTTGAACCCAAGGAGAAGATCCTACCCATTGCCCACATGGGGGGAACCATGATCACGCATGGTTCTGACTTTGAGTCAGACTCTGAATTCGGGCAATGCTTGAGCCGTAAGGAAATCTTCCTTCCGCCGCTGAGGCAGGACTAACCATAAGCAGTTATGGGCAGGACTGAAGAGCGGCTGGCGCGAACGCAGGAGACTTACATTGAATCCGCAAGTGCTACGTGGCTCGAATCTCTCGAAAGATCGTTAGTCCAGATGAAGGAATTCCAAGCCGCTCGCAAGAAGCTAGAGCAAAGGAGATTGGCCTACGATACAACCCTAGCCAAGATGCAGAAGGCTAAGAAGGAGGATTTCCGCGTGGAAGAAGAGCTCCGGTCTCAGAAGGCCAAGTACGAAGAAGCGGAGGACGATGTCCATCGGCGCATGGAAGATGTTCGTGATAACGACCCGCAGTGTGTCGCGGATATGGGGTTGTTTCTCGAAGCACAACTCGAGTACCACGAGAAGTGCCGCCAGGCACTACTCCAACTCCAGGCTGACTGGCCTGCAAGGTATGCCATGCCAATATTCTTCTAAACTCAACTAACGCACCTAGCACACAACTACCGAGCCGCGGCGGTAGACCAAACCCTCGGTCGCGCTCTAGCACACTCCGCTCTTATACGCAACCTGAACCAGAACCCGAACCAGTTCCCGAGATCCGACCTACAATCAGGTCAAACACCAGCCGAATGGTCTCGAACAGCGCAGCCCGTCCCGCAATTGGTAGATCCACAACGTACGACGTCCCAGCTCAACCGAGAAGGGATCTTTCGCCTGCCGGGTCTGCTCCGTTATCCCGTGTTCCTAGCGACTCTCTGATGATAAAAACTGCTCGCTCGAACCTGCGGAACCATCAGGATCAAGATGTATTTGCGGATGACTCGTCCCCAGATCAGTCGTATGGGGACCGTGCCAGCAGTCCTGCAACGTCCAACGCCAGTAGCTCTGCTGCTCCTTTAACAGGCCGACGTGCTCCGCCACCACCGCCCCCCAGCCGATCCAAGAAACCGCCTCCGCCCATTCCTCAGAAGAGAGCAAGTGTTATTTACTAGAGATCGCAGGCACTCCTTTTGGATTCATCGGTTCAGTGACAATCATGCTGGAAACGACTCGGGGAGTCCGGCTCTAGTGTTTCGGGCTGTTCTTACAGCAAGGGCAGGTTTTCGCCTCCATTAGCAAGCGAGGGGTTGGGTACCAATAGGAACGGCAACAGGATAGACCCATGCAGACTCAGTATTCCTAGCACTGATTCCGTGCTATGTTCCAGCCTCATCAATGATACGGTGCGGTATTAGCGTCTTGTATGTGTACTACTACTGCCTCCTTACGGGCCCGTGCCGCCTATCTGGTGAACACCGGCCTCCAGACCGGACGGGTGAGGTTTTGCCAAGACTAGTAAGTGCCATTTTCAAATCGATGGAAGGTGATGACGAATAGTGTCTAGACGAGCTCAGCGGCTTCGAAAGTGCCGCGCTCCCGCACTGTACGATCTGATCTAGGATGCTGCGTAGTCGAATCTTCAGTGCAAAGACTACCGTGAACTGGTGAGGTTTGATTGCCAAGGCCTAATCTAAAAACAGTTTAGCGTTTTTCTTCTTTGCCGTCTGACTGACTCCTCGCCAGACGCTTGAGTGATCGGAGCGTGTCTGCGAAAGCGAGGGGTCTCCATTGAGAACGTATCGACAACGCGTCGCGATCACCTTTTTCCATCGCTATCAACCACCGCTGGTTCCCTCAACTCCGCAATAGTGCGTCTGAGCGCCTGCGTCAATTCCTTCGGTGCCTCCTCCAGGTTTTGCCTGCCACTCTCCTTCTCAGCTTTACGCATCGACGAGGTGCGCCAAGTCACTGGGGCCATCACAGCAAGCCCAGCAACCCGCGTCGCAAGTCACGACCATCGAAAATCAACGGAAGCCAGGCAGTACTCGGTGTAGAAGCCGGGCAAATATCATCCATATGCAAAACGACCCGCAATAATCGCGATCCCTTCCGCCCTTCCACTTCTCTACCATGGCATCGGTGCAATCTGCGCCCGCCATGCAGGCTGGGCTTCCACCACTACCTCCCAATGTGACTCCACAACAGATACAAGAGGTCTACCAAGTATGTCGCCCATATACACGTACCTCCATATCGCCTATGCGATAGCGCTAGTCCATCGATCAGATCTGCTAACATCGATCTAGAAATTCCAACGCATGAAAGCTTCGAATGTCTCAGAATCAGATCCCGAGTTCCTCAAAGCCCGACAGTTTCTCACTGCGGTGCAGCAGCGGCAGAAGTACCAGCAGGCACTGCAAGCCCAAAAGCAGCAGCAGATGCAGCAGCAGCAAGCCCATCAATCCCAACAGCAACAACAGCAGGGTCAACAAAAACCCCAAGTCAATGGCGCGACGAACGGCGCTGTCAAGAATGGAAATACCAACGTCCCAGCTGATACTTTCAACCCTGTCAATGCCGCCAGCCCCGGCTCCGCGCCCTCCTCGGCTGGTAACGGCGCGCAACCTTCCGGCGCAGCAGGTGCTGTGCAACGTGTCGCAACGCAAGCCAATGGGAGCTTCAGTTCGGAGCAGCTGAGTTTACTGAGGACTCAGATCTACGCGTTCAAGATGTTGTCGAAGAACCTAGTCCTGCCTGGCAAACTACAACAGCAGCTATTTCCGTCACAGAAACAGGCTGTTCAGGCTACATCAGATGCGCTTGTAGCCGCGAGCAAGACACTAGACGACGCGAGCGAATCGAAAGAGACCGCGGATGGGGAAATCCTTCTGGACAAGGCGTTCTTTGAGACCTACGACTCGCCGTTCGAGCTTCTGAGCAAGTACATCAGCTTTGCCGACCATTCCCTGAGAGCTAAGCGCCAGCGCATTCCGAGTCTTTTACCACTTGGTGTTGATCCCGAAGCCGCGCGCGAGGATCAGGAGCGAAGCATTTACAACAGAGTTCGTGCCCGCCAAGCTGAGCTATCAGCACTACCTGTCAATCTAGCGTCATGGGATGCTAAAAGTTCGGCGGAAGCCACGGACAATGACTCACTCAAGCTCAAAGCACTCATCGAATACAAGAAGCTGTCTCTCCTGCAGAAGCAGCGAGATTTTAGGCGCGAAATCCAACAAGAGCTTTTTAGCTACGATAACCTGGCCATGACTGCTAACAGAGCAATGCACCGACGCATGAAGAAGCAGTCGTTGAGGGAGGCCAAAATCACCGAGAAACTTGAGAAGCAACAGAGGGATGCCCGGGAGAATAAGGAGAAGACTCGGCAATCAAACCACCTCAAGGCCATCCTTGATCATGGCCAAGACATTCGCAATAACGCTGCTCAACAGCGTGCTCGCTTCCAGAAATTGGGCAAGATGATGACTGCTCAGCATCAATTCATGGAGAAGGAAGAGCAGAAACGTATCGAACGTACTGCCAAGCAGCGTCTGCAGGCTTTGAAGGCCAACGATGAAGAAACGTACCTTAAGCTCCTCGGTCAAGCCAAGGACTCTCGCATCAGTCATCTACTCAAGCAAACCGATGGTTTCTTGAAGCAGCTGGCTGCATCCGTGCGCCAACAGCAGCGGAAAACGGCCGAGCGTTGGGGTGACGATCATGACATGTCCGAAGAAGAAGTCGGCAGTGATGATGAAGACGGCGAGAGTAAGGTTGATTACTATGCGGTAGCTCATAGAATCAAGGAGGAGGTCAATATCCAGCCCTCGATATTGGTTGGTGGAACCCTGAAAGAGTATCAAATCAAGGGTCTCCAATGGATGATTTCGCTCTACAACAACAACCTCAACGGTATTCTAGCCGATGAAATGGGCTTGGGCAAGACGATCCAAACCATCTCTTTGATCACTCATCTGATCGAGAAGAAGAACAGCCCCGGTCCGTTCCTGGTCATTGTGCCGCTCAGTACGCTCACGAATTGGAACCTGGAATTTGAGAAGTGGGCGCCGTCAATCAATCGGATTGTTTACAAAGGACCTCCGACCAGTCGAAAAGCCCAGCAAATGCGGATTCGCCAGGGTGGCTTCCAAGTCCTCCTCACCACCTATGAATACATCATAAAAGACCGACCGATTCTCAGCAAAATTCGATGGGTCCACATGATCGTCGACGAAGGTCATCGTATGAAGAACGCACAGTCAAAGCTCAGCAGCACTCTTACACAGTACTACACGACCAAGTACCGTCTGATTTTGACCGGTACCCCACTCCAAAACAACCTGCCAGAACTGTGGGCTTTGCTCAACTTTGTGCTGCCAACCATTTTCAAGTCGGTGAAGTCTTTCGATGAGTGGTTCAACACGCCTTTCGCCAACACAGGCGGACAAGACAAGATGGAATTATCAGAAGAAGAATCACTGTTGGTTATTCGTCGCCTCCACAAGGTGCTGCGGCCTTTCCTACTCCGTCGACTCAAGAAGGACGTTGAGAAGGACTTGCCGGACAAGCAAGAGCGTGTCGTCAAGTGTCGTTTCTCCGCACTTCAATCCAAACTCTACCTGCAGCTTTTCCATCACAACAAGCTCGCTGTTGCAGATGGCAAGGGTGGCAAGACAAGTATGCGCGGATTGAGCAACATGATGATGCAATTACGAAAGCTGTGCAACCATCCATACGTCTTCGAGCCTGTGGAAGATCAGATGAACCCCACAAAGGCTACCAATGACTCCATCTGGCGTACTGCCGGCAAGTTTGAACTTCTGGATCGTGTGCTTCCAAAGTTCAAAGCCACGGGACATCGCATTTTGATGTTCTTCCAGATGACACAAATTATGAACATCATGGAGGACTTCTTGCGGTTGCGAGGATTTCAGTACCTCCGACTTGACGGTGGGACAAAGTCTGAGGATCGTAGTGAGCTCCTCAGGCTGTTCAACGCGCCGGGTTCGCCTTATGACATATTCTTACTATCTACGAGAGCTGGTGGTTTGGGCCTCAACCTTCAGACTGCCGACACAGTCATCATCTACGACTCGGACTGGAATCCTCATCAAGATCTGCAGGCGCAGGATCGTGCCCACCGAATCGGTCAAAAGAACGAAGTGCGCATTCTGCGACTGATCAGCTCCAACTCTGTCGAAGAGAAAATTCTGGAGGCTGCCCAATTCAAGCTTGACATGGATGGCAAGGTTATTCAAGCAGGTAAGTTCGACAACAAGTCGACTGCTGAAGAGCGAGACACGTTCCTCAAGACACTGCTCGAAGCGGCCGAGGCAGCGGACCAAGCCGGTGAACAGGAGGAGATGGAAGACGACGATCTCAACATGGTCATGGCGCGTTCAGACGAGGAGATGGCACTCTTCCAACAAATGGACAAGGAGCGTGTCGCAGCTGATCCTTATGGACCGGACAAGGCTCTTCCTCGATTGATGGGAGAATCAGAGCTACCGGAGATTTACATGGCGGAGGACAATCCGGAGCCGCCGGCTACCGAGGAAGAGTATGCCGGTCGTGGTGCTCGTGTCAAGACGCAGGTGCGGTACGACGACGGACTCACTGAGGAGCAGTGGCTGGCGGCTGTGGACGATTCGGACGATTCAATTACAGAGGCGGCGGCGCGGAAACAAGCTCGCATCGACAAGCGGCGTACCAACAAGGCCAAGCGTGAGCGTGGACCGGGTGAAGGATCGTCACCCGAGCCTGAACCCGAGCCCGAGCCAGAACCTGAAAGTGAGGAAGAAGCGCAGCCGAAGAAGCGAGGCCGCAAAAGCGGTGGCAACAAGCGCAAAGCCGAGGAAGAGCTTGTCGAAGAGACGCCACCGGCTAAACGCAAGCGCGGTCGGCAGCCTAAGGTCGTGGACATGCTCAGCGGCAGCGACCGAGCAGCCCTACAAAAGGCGTTGAAGTCAATCTTCGAGGCGCTGAAGAATCTCGAAGTGCCGGATAGTGATCCAGAGCCCCAGTCGGACGACGAAAGCGACGACGGGCCACCAACGCGGCTGATCATCGGCCCGTTCCTGGAGCTACCACCGAAGAAGCTCTACCCCGATTACTACACCTTCATCCAAGAGCCGATCGCCATGGACATGATTGAGAAGAAGATCAACCAGAACCGGTATACGAGCCTGAAGGAGTTCGGTGATGATATTAGTCTGCTGGTTAAGAACGCCAAAACCTACAACGAGGACGGGAGCATGTTGTTCATGGATGCTAATACCATCGAGGTAAGTGACATCGCGGTTAGCATGTAAGTTGTCTTGATACTGACCATTGACAGGTAAGCTGCCATGAAAAGATCAGCAAGCAGCTGCAAGAGCGACCCAATCTTGCAGCGTTGGAGAATGGACAAGATGGGTCAACTGTGGGCGGCTCTGCGGCTGGCACGCCACGAGCTTCGGTCGCTCCATCTGGAGGCACGAAGCTTCGATTGACAATGGGCAACTCGGGGCTGAATGGGAGTGCGCCTGGAAGCGGGGCCGAATAATGTAAGACCACGACAAACACCATGCTTTGGGCGCAGACGGGATTGTGGTTTTATTCATACACAGACAAAGCATCTTGCGGGGGCGCTGGCGGGTGCGCGACTATAGCTTTGACACTTTGTGGAGGAGAATGGACGTGAAGGGACGGGGGTCCAGGGAGACTCTCCAGTTTGTCTTCTCCTCAGCCCTGCCTCATGCGGAGATGCGGAGGGTACTCGGAGGAGTTGTATTAGCCTAGATACCATTCGCAGCAGTCAGCATTAAGCTCTAAGCCGCAAGGAGGCCGCAAATTTAGATGTTCGGTCGATAGACTCTGGGATTGTGTGAGCGGGTGCCTGGCAGCCTTGCATGTGTTCGCGGGAAACGGGAAATTCAAAAGCATAACTACCTGCTATCCCGCCCAGCCTGCACATGCAACGTGACCTGTTCAACAATTCGTCGCGTCTCTCAACTACAACCACCTGCACTATTCAATTTGGCTGTCGCAGGCATCACTACTGGCAGTGCAGATGTCAGCGATGCTACCTCTCCTATTGCGCGACGTATGATCCAGCGTCCTGACACCATGGCGTCGACATTCACCGAGTCTGCCTTCCAGCTGCTACGTACGCTCAACCCCATGATACACATAACGGACAATGCTGACCATACGCGCAGGCCGTGCCGCCGACGACGACATCGACCCTGACGGTGCGCCATAACCATTGCCCCTGTTCGAGTAGCCAAACTGACGCCCGCGTGCAGAGCCGGCCGAAGCGGGACAGAAGGAGATATTCTCGTCATGGGCACTCTTCATATTGATCATGCTGCTGATCGCGGCCCTGTTCACGAGTTATATCCTGCAGCAGAAAAAGATCCAAGCTGTCAATGAGACTGTCATGTCCATATTTGCTGGTCCGACTCCTCCTAGCACCCCCAAACGACCATCATCTGACGAGCGCAGGCATGGTGGTAGGCTTGACCATACGAGTAACTCCAGGCACGGCGATTCAGGACAGCGTCAGTTTCGACTACCAATTCTTCTTCAATCTACTCCTGCCGCCAATCATTCTTGCGTCCGGCTACGAGCTGCACCAGGTAGGGCTTCTGGGGTTGCAAGAGAGTGCATGTTGACACAGACAGGCCAACTTCTTCCGCAACATCGGCAGTATTCTTACCTTCGCTTTCGCTGGCACATTCATATCTGCCATGTCACTCGGTCTCATCTTGTGGGTGTGGACGCGTATTCCCCTTGATGGTCTATCTGTCTCCTTTGTCGAGGCTATCTCGGTGGGAGCCACCCTCTCGGCCACCGACCCCGTTACCATCCTTTCCATCTTCAACCACTATAAAGTCGAGCCGAAGCTGTACACCGTCATCTTCGGCGAATCTATTCTCAACGACGCCATCGCCATCGTCCTCTTCGAGACCGCCCAACGCTACAAACCCGGCGGTGCCGCGGGCAGCAATCTGAGCATCATGTCCCTCTTCGAAGCCATCGGCATCTTCCTGCTCGTCTTCTTTGGCTCCCTCTTGATCGGTGTCCTGGTTGGTATCGGCACCGCACTGGCGCTCAAATACACCCTGGTCCGACGTTTCCCGAAAATCGAATCCTGCCTCGTCGTTCTCATCGCCTACGCCTCCTACTTCTTCTCCAATGGCGTTCACATGTCGGGCATCGTCTCCCTCCTTTTCTGCGGCATCACCTTGAAACATTACGCCTACTACAATATGTCCCGTCGCACACAGCTCACCACCAAATTTATCTTCCAAATCACCGCGCAACTGTCGGAAAATTTCATCTTCATTTACCTAGGCCTCACACTATTCACCGAGACAGACCTCGAGTTTAAACCCCTCTTCATCCTCATCGCCACCATCGGCATCTGCGCCGCTCGCTGGTTGGCCGTTTTCCCCCTGTCGAAGGCCATCAACGCTGTCATTCGACTGCGCGCCCGCCGCCAAGGTCGCCCCGATGTCGCGGATGAGTTGCCCTATAACTATCAAGCCATGCTCTTTTGGGCCGGACTACGTGGAGCTGTTGGCGTCGCGCTCGCCGCCGGTCTGTCGGGCGAGAATGGCCCCGCTTTGCGTGCCACAGTCCTTGTCGTCGTTGTGTTGACTGTCATTATCTTTGGCGGTACCACAGCCCGTATGCTCGAGATTCTAAGTATTCGCACGGGTGTGGTCGAGGAGATTGACAGCGATGACGAGTTCGACATCGAAACCGCCAACGGCGGCACATACTACAAGCGCAACGGCGTGGCCTTTGGGCACAATCCTCGCCACTCCAGTAACATCGGTTTGGAGCACGTCAATAATGACCACGTGACTCCAAAGGGCGCCAACGGGACTGCAAGACGTCCTGGCAGATTGGGGAGTCAGAGCAGGGGTTTCAGCAGCAGCAACAGACACAGTCCGCCAATCAGGCCGGGCACAAGTCCCGCAGGGACGCAAAGGAAAAATAGTAAGGGTAAGATCACCACACAGCGGCAGCGAGAAGAGGAAACACAGCATGGCCTCTTACTCGACTCCGGCAACGCATCGTCCGACGATGAAGGCTTGGACCTAGATCTGCCGCCGAGCGCGCCACGGCACATGAGTCCCATGCCGAGTCTGGGCGACAGAAGTCGCTCTGCACCCGCGGCACACGGCGGTCAGGATGACGGTGATCTCGGCACTGGCGCCGGCCCAAGTGCTGCGGGTGTGGTGGCTGGCGGTGGTGGTGCTGGGGGCGGCGGTGTGGCAGGAGGTATTAGGGATATGCTCCGCAACGCCGCGGCGGACCACACGGCGTGGTTCAAGCAGCTGGATGAAGACTTCATCAAGCCGACGCTGCTGCTGGATCAGCACCAGGGCCAGGGGAGGGGAACGCCGGATGGCACTGGAGGTGGTCATGGGCCCTGAGAGCTGGTGTGTCTTGGTAGTTATTGATCGTGTTTGTACGATATATATCTGCCAGAGCTATAGTAGCTAGAGGGTTCAAAAAGGGACCCCGATGTGTTTGTGATATAGTGGCTTGAGTGCAAGCTGTGAGTGACCCGGAAACGATAAATGCTATATGTGACAATGATATACCGTGGAATGTCCCTGTTTGTTCTTTGAACGCTACGATTGGTAGAGATCGGTGTCCAGTGCAGCGCGCGTGACCTTTGAACAAGCTCGAGCACAGATACAAGCGAGCACGAGCCATCTACCGTAGCTACCTAACTGGAATAGAGTGCCTGATCAATCACTTTCCTCACCACTCTCTTCTCCTCTCTTGCGCTTCGCCTGCTGCTTCCCCTGCTGCTGCTTTTGCCGTCGCTGTTGCCATTGCTGCGTTCCACGCCCAGCCTCCTCACCCTTGACTTCCAACACATAGCAGCGCGCCTCGCGCTCCTCACCCCGCCATTTTCCCCTGCGCTTCCCTTCATCGCTGCGGTCCTTGCCCGTCGTGATGTCGCCCGCGGTGCGCGCGTGCTGGTACCCCGGATACGCCTCCCATGGGAAGCGGAATGATTCCTGCACCTGGAGCCCGCAGTGGCGCGCTAGGTCGCGGATGTTCCAGAGCGTGTAGGGGTGGGATGTGAAGAGCGATACGAGGATTTGAGGGCTTGGAGTCGACGGAGAGGAGTCGGTGGCTTCGTCGTCGGAGGCTTCGGATTCATCGGTGTCGTACCGGTCGCTTTTGGCGGTCGTGGGGGGGCGCTGAGAGGTGATGGAGGGGGTGGTCGTGAGGGAGGCGAGTTGTGGCTTTGCGGCGTCGAAGAACTTGACGAGGAGCTCCTGGTTGGCCCGGACTTGGCGATTGACGTCGGTGGAAAGTCCGCCAACGTGCGGGAAGTTGAAGACAATCTTGGTAAAGGGCCCGAGGGCGCGGAGGGTCTTGCGGTGTATGGTACTCAGGGCGGTGGCATCGATGCCGTAGAGGACGTGGACCCTGGAGTGTGCTGGCGCTGGAGCGGCTTTGCTGCTACCCGAGTTCGGGGAAGAGGGTGGCGAGAAGCCCTCGAAAGATTCTCCATCCTCTGGCTCGTTGACTGCTTGAGAGGCATCCCCATTAAACCCTTCTGGTGCCAGCTTGGAGATTGTCGCGTGAACACCGGGATACTTCTGGACCAGGTCTGCTTCAGTATCGTAGCATGTCGCCGTTACAGCCCCGGGGCGGTAGTTCTTGATCAAAGACAGGGCAAAGGAAAAGTCTCCCTCTCCGATGAGAAGCACGTTGTCCCGTGTGGAGAAGGGGACTTTTGGTTGCTGACTCGCCTGGACCGGGTGCACTTTCGGAGTTTTGCGCTGTTGCAATTGCTTCTGAGGGAGCACCTGGCTGTGTTGTCGACGCTTGATCGCATTCTGGCCTTGCCGTCCAGGGCCATGTTTGTTGCTGGTCTGGGTCTGCTTCTTCACTTTGCCCATGGTCGTTTCCACTGCCTCGCGTGATCCGGCTCCAGAAGTTGGGATGTACTTAGCGGCATCCCTGTAGCATGACCTGTTGAATGAACCCGGATCTGCGTCTTAAACCAACCCTCACAACCATTCTTTGCCTTTTAAATCGCCAGGATAATTGCCGCGTCCTCAGTGGCTGTGGGAAAGGTGAAGACGGGGCTGTATCACAGCCTTGCCAAGCTCTTCTAATCGATAAGGGTGATCGACCGTCTTGCGTGGAGAAAAAGTTTCGACAGTGACAGCCGTAGGCACGGCTTCTCTTCGTTCGCACTGCTCTCCTACAAAAACCTCCAGATCCCTCCGTGCAGCAGACGTCACAGAAGCCATGGCTGCTGATGAGATTGTTTGGCAGGTCATCAACCAGCAATTTTGCTCATTCAAACTAAAGTCAGTCACTTCAACATCCAGCCCGTTCTGTAGCCAACGGTCCCGCTAACTCCCAGCCTACAGACTTTCTACGAAAGAGCAGACCTTCTGCCGTAACGAACATAATGTCACCGGCTTCTGCAATCGACAATCCTGTCCGCTCGCCAACTCCCGGTATGCCACTGTGCGGCCCGATCCCGCCACTGGTGCCCTCTACCTCTACATAAAGACCCCAGAGCGTGTTCACCTGCCGTCACAATGGTGGGAGAAGATTCGTTTACCGCAAAACTATGAGAAGGCACTGGCAATGGTCGACGAGAAATTGCTGTACTGGCCGAAGTTCTACACACACAAGTGCAAACAGCGTCTTACGCGGTTGACGCAGGTGGCGATCCGTACGCGCAGGCTGGCGAAGGAGGAAGAGAGACTGGGAGAGAAGTTGGTGCCGAAGCTGGCTAGTAAAGTGCGGAGGAGAGAGGAGACGAGAGAGCGCAAAGCAGAGAGCGCCGCAAAGGTGGAGCGGGTTGTCGAGAGGGAGCTTATTGAGCGATTACGAAGTGGTGCTTACGGTGAGCGGCCGATCAACGTGGAGGAGGGCGTATGGAAACGGGTGTTGAGGGGGTTGGAGCGTGCAGAGAAAGGAGAAGACTTGGAGGACGAAGAGGATGAAGAGGAGCTCGAAGAGGGCGAGGCTGAGGTGGAGTATGTCAGCGACTTGGAAGAGAGCGAGGACGAACAGGAGATGGAAGACTTTGATGACTGGCTTGGAGGTGAGAGCCCGGATGACAGCGAAGAAGGGAGCGAGGAAGAGGACAGTGACGAGAGCGATGACTCCGAGGAGGATGAGGATGAGGACGCGAAGGCTGGTGCCAAGCGGAAGAGAGGCAAGCCTCAGCCAAAGTCCAGGAAGAAGCCGCCCAGGATGGAGATCGAGTACGAGACTGAACCGCTTCAGAAGGAAGCGCTACTGGCTTGAGTGGGCGCGGTCAGCATGCTCAGGCGCACAGCGACAACTGGTGTAAACAGCGATGGCGTCTTTTGCGTCTCGATCGCGCAAGGAATGAAAAAGCGGTGCCTGTTCTTAGAAATGCACTTCCCGTATCTACCCACAGAGAATCAACAGCTCATGATCCATTTTCAGATCCGACCCCTCTCGGGAGCTCTAACGGCGCTGTGGAACGCTCGGCTAGTCTGACTTGACTTCTCTGGTACGCGAGCCAGATGAATGAACGGGCAACAACGCTCGAGGTGACCTCGATGAGCTGCTCCAACCAACGCACAGTACCTAGTAGTAAATCTACCGCTACGCGCCGCTACACGAGCGGGACCCTGTCCCCTCTGCCCAATTGCCAAAAGCAGCAGCCCTTCGCTGGCCGAAAGCGGCGACGTCCTAGGGCCTTAGGCCAATGGGCGTCTTTGGCGGACGGTGTGTCAGCGTGCGTCGAGCCTGGACGTCAGCGCTCGCTGGTTTTAGGACCACTTGGCAAAGCAGCAGTGGTTTTGCCCCGGGGCACCTCTGCGCTGTGGTAGCAGAGTTGGTGATAAAAAACTCGAGCTATTTGGAAGAATTGAGAGAGTTTAGGATTGTCGTGATGATTCCAGTATGAGATGCGGGCTGATTATTCAGATGGCGTGTCTGAACTATGCGGTCGGGTAATGAATATAAATGCTTCGACTGCGAGGAATTTAGAAGTCGTCAACAACCAACTCAGATAAAGGTCATCTACCAAACAAAAAGACTACCAATCCTTGCTCTTACTTCTACAACAGCTCACACACCACTAAAATCACGATCAAAGCAACCGCTACCATGTCCAACAATACCGTACCACATGTCACCACTGCCCACCAATCCTTACCCAACAGCATCAACGTCTTCTACCGGTCCGCTGGACCGTCAGATGGCCCTGTCATCCTCCTTCTGCACGGCTTTCCAGCCTCTTCGTTCCAGTTCCGCAACCTGATTCCCATCCTCGCTCTCGCCGGTTACAGAGTCATCGCCCCGGACCTACCAGGTTTTGGCTTCACCGAGATTCCCGAGTCGCTAAATTTCCAGTACACCTTCGCAAACATCGCCGAGACCATGGGCTCGTTCCTGGACGCGCTCAAGATCGAGAAGTTTGCCGTTTATGTCTTCGACTATGGCGCCCCCACTGGATTCCGCCTCGCCCTGCAGCGCCCCAAGGCCATCACCGCGGTCGTGAGCCAGAACGGCAACGCCTACGAGGAGGGTCTGGGAGCGTTCTGGGATCCGCTCCGCCAGTTGTGGGCCGCGGCAGAGGGCTCCGCCGAAGAAGAGAAATTGAAAAGCACTATTAAGGGCGCTGTACTAAATCTTGACGCCACGAAATGGCAGTATACCGAGCACGAGCCGCATCCGGAGCTTGTTGACCCGGCGAGCTGGACGCTGGACTGGGCGTTGATGAACCACCCGGCCAACATCCAGGTGCAATTGGGACTGTTCAAGGATTACAGGACTAACGTGACGCTGTATCCTCAATTTCAAAAGTGGCTGAGGGACTCGCAGGTGCCGCTATTGGCCGTGTGGGGTGCTGAGGATGAGATTTTCGTGAAGGCGGGCGCCGAGGCCTTCAAGCGCGACCTACCTGATGCGCAGATTGAGCTGGTGACGGGTGGGCATTTCTTGGAAGAGGCGCAGACGGAGACTGTCGGAAAATTCATGGTGGATTTCCTGAAGAAGAACGGAATTGGTGCTTGAATGTAGTGTTGGCGGAGGGCGGAGTAGTAATCTGGAGACTCTGTGCCCTCGAGTTCAGGTGTCTGTCTGACTGTTAGAGATAGTAATGGAAGCTGCATGCGAATTGACACACGCTTGCAGCTGTTAACATGCTATTGGTGAGCTTCGAGGGGTTTAGTCCCGTACACCAGCCACAATGGCGATGATCCTAAGTCGAAGCGGTGAACTTCGTACCTTGCGTTAGACACCATGTCGCCTGCCTCGCTTATGTAAGGCATCGGTCTGGACCTGAAACTTACATAACCCCAACATTAAGCCTCTAGAAGCACAAGTGTATGTGCAACTGTCGAGCATCAATATTGCAACTGGTGTACGCATTCTGATGGCTTCAAATTGCAGTGCACATCATCTCCGAAATGCTGGCCTCTTTGGGCCTAGGGTTTTTTCCTTCTGACATGGAGAGGTGTCTTCGGTTCTACATCGACGCTCTGGGATTTCAGATGCGGGAACGCAAGGACAATTATGCTTTCTTCGGGGAGAGGATCTTTCTTGCAGCTATCAAAATCGAGAGTGATGAAACGTTGAAGGAGAAGGAACATACCGGAGGCCAACCAAGGCCTTGGAACTTGTAATCGAGGTGGACGATTTGATAGCAGAACGGGACCGGCTTGTGAGCAATGGTTACCAGCCAGAGGACGATATCAAGCTGCAAACTTGGGGCCTCGAAGACTTCCGTTTAGTCGACCCTGACGGATACTGCGAGTTTTGCTGTCACACCCCTTGATCGCATGTAAAACTGCTCGGGTTATCGCGGGTGGTTGGGTCATGGGCATCAACCAATTCATGTGGCACTGATGCATGACAGACCTTGAGATTCACAACTCATGGCCCGAATCATGACAACACCGGACAATGCAAGCCGAGGCATGCCGTGGAACAATAAGCGAGAGGGAAATCGATAGACACTGGCTCAAAAGTGTACCAATGGTCAGGCGTCTTTCTAGCGTCAGACAGAGTTCCTTTGTCTGCATGACAGCATCTTTGGTGGATCTCATGTCACATTTCCATCAGAGTCTAGCCACAGTTCCAAGTTCGTGCTCGGCTACAGTGAAGGCTGACGTAGCGTTGACCCAGTCTGCTGTGTCGTGAGACGCTTTCGAGCTCTTCCGACAGCAAAAGCCGAGAGGCTGTGACATGTGAAACAAGATCACAGATCACCATGACGATGATCGTAGCGCCAGTCAACAATCCCACGCGTTCGCAGGTCAGTTCTGGTGAGTGCAAACACGAACCTGGTAGCGAAGAATGAAAACTCGCCTGAGGCCTTGGGACGACGCACCGAGGTTGCCTCGAACTCGCCTGATTCGCCTCGGATCTGAATCCCGCAGAGAGCTATTACTCTAGAAGTCTAGCGTCAGCCTTAGATGACGTTTGTATGGCGGTGCAACTTGAGGCGCATGCATTTCCCGGCCGCTCGTCATTGACGGATTGATTCAATGCAGGATCAATCGCCCGTGTCGTCATGCATCGTCACTGCACGATACCACCTGACACGCGGGTGCCTGGCTGGACGCGGACAATCGCGGGGCATGTGCAAACGCGTGAAGAAATGGAGGGGCAGGAGTGCTTCCACAAATTATAAGAATCAGCCGTCCACGTAGACTCTTTCTGCTTCATACCACTACTCACGACTTTCGAATCAGTTTCCAAGACTTGAACTCTTCAAACCAAACCAAACCCAATCAATCCACACTACCACAGAAATGGAGTCTGTTAAGGATGCTGCCAACTACGTTGGTGACAAGGCCAGCGAGCTCACCTCCGGCGCTTCCAAGGAGGCCAACAAGAACGTCGCCAAGGACAGTGAGTCTTTTCGAACCCCAGGCCAAAGATGTATTCTTACTAATGTTTTAGGCAACGCCGACGCCAGCACGCGTGCCACTGCAGCCAAGGATGCTCTTGGTGACAAGCTCGACGAGAGCAAGAACTCTGTATGTCAATTCTAGTTCTCTCTCATTCAACATGCTAACAGTTCTTGAGGCTTCCGCCGAGGGCAACAAGCAGAAGGCTACGCACTAAGTGTCTCTGCACTTCTATCACAATCGATCAACCGACTTTCCTCACCGATCCTGAGAATGTATCAGTACAGAACGGTTGATATCGAGATGATGAGCTCCGCGATGTTCTTCAGACGGGCTTCACGGTTCTTATGACTTACGACAATACATCACGTCCCCATGGATTGATGGTTTCGATAGCATAAATGATTAGCACCGCTTACCGGTAGCCCAATCAACCACTTCAGATAAGTCTGTGTCTTTGTGTTTCCGTGAACCTTGTCTTGTGCCCCGCGTAGATCGGAGTTATTCTTCCAGTTGTGCTGACCAGTGATCGTTGCTTTACCTTACATCTCAGTTACGAGAAAACTTGGCGATTCGATTACCTCGTTGTATTATGAAGTTCGTTGATATGGTGATCTGTGTGCTCGTGTAGTAACCTCCTTCCACGCCTTCTTACCCTGAGACTTGCAACATCGAGGTCAAGTGTCAAGAATGGCTACCGGACCTGCTGACTTTGAACCGAAGCACTTCCTTTCGGATGAACAGCTGTAATCTCTACCAGGAAGGCATCAATGCCATTTAATGCTGTGATTGAAATGCCGCTCTGCTCTACAAAGACCACGCCGACTGCGATTCACTCGCGACATGATACAGTGCTGGCTGCTACACAAACAATGCGGACTTCATCAGGCATATTACTCAGGCAGAGGGTAGTCTGAACATATGCCGCATTGCTTTCTAAGGTCCAGCCTGACTGTTATGGTCTCACTTGCATACAGCGCCAAAGCACAACTTTGCCTTCAACCTTGCCGCCAGTCCATTGTGCTGCCGTGAATAAGTATTCTCACATTGCCCTATCCACGGACTTGAGCTAGTCTTTCGTTTGGCATCGAACTCGTTTCCAGGACGATTTTCTGACTTCGCACCCTACAAACTGTGGTTGAAGATGGTGTGTCTCCGCCTCGACACTGTGTAGACATCGGAATTTTCTCCTCGAATCAAACTTGAAAGCGACACTGAACAAAAATAACACAAACAACGCGGAGCCGCCCAACGCCACTACACCTTCACGCGGGTACATGGACGAACACCCTCAGATACTCCGGCAGCAGATTGCCGCTCTCCCCTCCGCGCCTGTGCCGAAGCCTCCCCAGGGTTTCCGCTACGTCCCGCTCTGCCGCCAAGCGGCGTACCACGCCGACGCCGCAACGCAAAGCTTTGTGTAGGAGCTGCAAGCCAAAGAAGATGCACGCATGGGCGGCGTGGTAGGCCTGCAGAAGAGAGGCGAGCTGGCGGAGATGATGGCGTGGTGTGTGTGAGCAAGCGGGCGCCAAACAACGACGACATGAAGGTGATGTGGGAGAAAGATGGCGTGCCGAGGACAGAGGTGGTCAGGATAATCAAGAGGTACGTGCAGGAGACGATGTGGGATTACCTGTTGGAGGATGTGCAGGGGCGGACAGGGGTGGTGATGGGCAGGGCGAGGAGAGGACGCAGGCTCGCTGGGGCGTTGGCTGAGATGTGCGAGTATGTGGTGGCGGGGATTGAGTATGTGGAAGGGCGGTACGTGGCGGATGAGGATGGGTAGTGTGGCGTGAGGAGGACGATGTGGTCGATGGAGGAGTGGATTGAGGGCTTCATGAGAAAGACATAGCCCGGAAAGGAGAGTGGAGCGCGAGGCAACCTGCTGAAAGGGCTGGGGTGAACAGCAAGCTGGGCCTCAGAAGCGGTCCGGAGGGCAGGTCAGACTCTGATACGAGGGAGAGAACTGAGGGAGAGAGTGCCAATTCCATTCGTAGTTGGCCAGATTTTGATCATGCAAGCAACGCAGCAATATGTCACCACAGAATGAGACAGAGCACGTACCGTGCGAGTTGGAATTTCTTTTACGCATTCTTCTCGTTCCACGCAATGCAGTCATCGAACTGTGCGCCGCTACCACCAAAGACATCTAGGGCGCTTCCTATTGTGAGATCGACTTTGCCGCTGCTGGTTTCCTTCACAAGATCGAGATCGGCCACAGTTCTCGCGCCGCCGGCGTAGGTGACGGGAACGCTGCACCACTCTGACAGCCGCTTGACAAGCTCAACGTCGATGCCCTGCTGAAGGCCTTCATTATCGGCGGCGTGAACCAGAAACTCGGAGCAATAGGGCTCCAGCAACTCGATACTTTCTGTCGGACAGTTAGCATGGTAACAGGTCCGCATGACCACCTAACTCACCCTTCGTCACCTCCATCTCCGTAATGGTCTGCCACTTATTCATCGCCACGAACCACGTGCTCCCAGTCCTCCGGCAGCTAAGGTCAATAACCAGCCTCTCCTTGTCGCCCCCCAACGCAGAAAGCACGGCTTGCAGCCGCTCTAACGAGAAACGTCCTTCTGGAAAAAGAAACGATGTGACAATGACCTACTATCATCCGATCAGCCTTCAGCACATATCACGTATCACATGCCACCGTCCATCCCCAGAAGAAGTACAGCAGCACTCACCCTTTCAGCACCCCGCTCGATCCACGTAGCTGCATTCTGGTCATTAATCCCACCACCCACCTGCAACCCGCCGGGCCACTCGCGCAGCGCCTCCTTTGCGGCATCCTCGTTCCCAGGACCTAGCATGATAACGTGCGCCCCTGTCAACTTAGCATCACGGTAGAGGCCGGCGTAGTAGGCCGCGCTGTGCGTAGACACGAAATTGGTCTTGAGGTCCGAGGCCACAGTGCCGAGGGTGCCGCCCACGATCTGCTTCACCTGGCCGGAGTGCAAATCTATGCAGGGGCGGAACTTTGTCATAATTGCCTTGCCGGGATCTCACGATGCTCCGAGGTAATCGAGGAATGCTTCTGCAAGGGTGAGGTGGCACAAAAGAGATTATGAGCTTTTTCTTTATTGTCATTAAAAGGCAAGGGGCAATGGGATGAGAGTTGCACGTTGGGCTTCGCAAGTCCGAAAAGAAACTCAGAAACTCAGAAACTCGGTCGGATCAAGGTTGTAGGGCACTAAACCCAATGAGGAGGAAGAGCTTGGCATTTGCCGCCTGGGAAGTGCTTTGCGCGACCCGGGTTTTCTTTTCTTCTGGCCTTTGGATGCAAATTCCCTGCAGCCTCAAGCAACCATGATTGGAAAGAGGAAGCGAGATGCGGTTGTCGTCCGTCGGGAGAGACAGGACAATGGTAACGATGGCGGTAAGGGCAACAACGATGTGCTCCGCAAGTATTTCGAGAGCGTGTTCGAGCCGCTGCCCGAGTCCGACATCAAAGCCGAAATCGCGGAAGAATCCTCGGAGGAAGGAGGGCCACTGAGCGACGGGGGCTCTGAGTTCTCAGGCTTCTCTGATTCGGAGGACGCACGATCTCCCTCTCCAGTCACCGTCGAGGTCATCTCCCACGGCGGTGAACCCGCACAACATGCCAAGCCCAGCTCCTTGACAGAGTTCAAGGCGTTTATGGTGAGTGCAGCGCCCCTCTTCGCCCCTTCTTTACCCTACCCTACGTCCGGCAGTTGTGCGTGCACGTCAAAGTCAAGGACCCGCAACCCGCGCTGACAGATGTGGTCGCTGGCGATAGAGTTCGAAACCTCCTAAGGAAGTGCCGCAGCAAAGACAAGTGGAGTCCGGGAGCTCAGAGGAGGACGAACTTGAAACACGCAACCTGAAACACGACCTCGACCTGCAGCGCCTCCTCAAAGAGTCGCACCTGTTCGAACGAGGAAGTCAATCCATGCCAGTGGTGGGCAGTGCTACGGGGAAGCAGAGGCATAGGGCTACGGATCTGCGAATGCGTGATTTGGGAGCCGGAACGGGCAGCGGTGGGCGAGAATCAATGCCCATGGCCCACAGGAAGGGTATTGAGGGCAAAAAGAAGGAGAAAGAGGGCAAGAGGAGAGAGGAGGCCAGGGAGCACGGTATCGTGCTGGAGAAGAAGCAGAGGAAGGCTACGAGGGAGGGCAAGAGGGAGAGGGCGGTTGATGCGCCTGGCCTGGGCAGGTTCAGAGGCGGGACGCTGACGTTGAGCAAACGTGATGTGAAAGGTATGCAGGGTCCTGCTCGCTCATCAGGTAGCCGTCGGAGAAAATCGTGATGGGCAGAAGGGCATGCAGGCTTCTGGACTCGGTACATGGTACCTTGCTGATCGAAAGAATCCTTCTGGAACCGGTGGCTCGCTCGCTGCGAGAATTCTCCTGCCTTCGCTTGTGGCGATGATGCTCTGGCCAATGTGCTTGCTGCTTGCCTCTGGCTTGTTGGTCGTCAGGTCTAGGCATACGTGAGGTGGCTCCTGAACTGTCTCGAGATGTCGGCAATGCCTCAGTCCGCCCAGATCGGGCGAGTGACGATGTTCCATTGCCCTGCTTTGGGCGACTTGAGGCAGGTGGCCTTCGCCACAAGCTACGTGTACCTGGTCAGCAATGACGACGACCAAGCGGATGGGCGTTGGCCAGGAGGCGCTGCGATGGCTGCTGGTCCCGGTGGAAGTGTTTGACCATTGTGCTTGCCCTATGTCCCTGCATGGCCATGTTCTTGTGTAGGTACCACAGCGGGGCGGACAGCGAGTCATGGGTGAGGTAGGTCGGAGAACAAGCCGGCCGGGGACTCTGGGACGCCATGCATTAGCCGGAGGGTGTTGCCGTTGACGTAGAGCTTTACAACTCCACAGACAACAACAAGTTCCTCGGAACGCATAAGCCTCACACCTTCGAACCAGGGTCTTCGACACAGCGTGTATCATGATGGCACTAGGCAGGGTTTCCTGGAAGCGATGCAGGCTGCGGACCTCGCGTTGGCGTACTAATGCGCATCCAGAATTGTTCAACAAACCAGCCGGCTTTACTGAAAATGGCCCAATGCGGATTTATTGGGCTGAGACAGTGGGTCTGGCCGTCGGCTTTGCAAACAGTGAAAAAGATGCAAGAGGTATGGTTGTCTTGGGCGGGAGATTGCACGGATTGAAACCTGAACGACCACGGCGCCCGAAGGTCGTACCGAATGACTAGAGCCTAGAGCAGCAGAACGCATGCTGTTAGCGATAAATTGGCAACGGTCAAGAGCCGACGCGAGGGTTGTGCACCTTGGACTGCGGAATTGGCGGTATGGTATCCGTGCAGAGTACCTGTGCGGGGGTGGGTAGCTAGAGATTAGCCGTGAAAGTACGTGGCGAGGTTGACATGGTGTCTATAGCATGGTTTGAATGGATAGGGAGAGAAGCACGGACAGCACGAGCAGATCTTGCGTTCATGCGGTTTCGTTTGGGACGGAGAATTCGCTGTGGTTGACGCACACTGCAGATGCGCAAGTGATGTGCATTCATCTCGTGCAGGCCGGAAACATTCGAGGCCAATTACGCCTGCAGCTGTGAGCAGCAAGCACTGCCAGGCTACCAGATACTGGAGTAAACAAGCGGGCGAACGTGCAAAGTGGCGGCCGAGGCGAGGCATCTTGAAACGTATAGTGTAGTCAGCGCAGTGGGCGGTCGGCTTTAGCTTCTTGGTCTGGATTGCTTGATAGGCGGCGCCTCGCAATAGACGAAATGCGGCGAAAAGTGGAGTGCCGAGATGGCAGGACGGCTTTGTTGTGAGGACCTCTACGTACATCAACGATCAGGGAGAGTGTGACTGTGCCGGCACCGAATGCCTCGACCTGTATTTGTGCCTGGCAGTCTCAAGCATCCGGTCACCCAGTGGATATCGAGTGCATTGCTGTGATGGTGTCTCTCGAGCGAATAACACAAAGGTCTGCTGGCAGAACAAAAGGGAGAGTCTACAGCACGAATACCACCTCGTATCTCGATGCTAGGAGCCTCAGAGCTAAGCCTTGTTTGCCATAGCCAGATGCGGTATATTCCCCGGCCGTGCACTGTTCTACGCTCTGGACAATGTCGCGACATCCGAAGTCTAAAGCAGGTGGGTTGTGCCATTGAACCTTGATACATGCATTGAAGACGCAATCATCGCGACTAGTATTGACATAAAGATTGACAAGATATGAGTGATGATGAGTGGGTCGGTCGTTGTCGGTGTGAGTGCGCGACACAATTGCTCCTTCACGAGGGAAAAGCCGTTACTCACCTCTCCACAAGATAGGTAGTATTCATTGGATCAGCACGGATCAGCGGCGGATGAAGCTGCAAGGTACAAGCCGACATGGACGCAAAATCTACGCGCAGTGAGCTTAGCGCAAGAGGAGAATTAGGCACGCTTATGCAGACGCTGCGTTAGCTGACTGGCCGACTAGGTTGGCATCTGGCCTTGACTAACATCCCTGTCGATGCGATGCTGGGAAAAGGGGTCCGGTAAATCTCCCGCGCGCGGGTTTGCGCCATCGCGATCAACATTCAGTGAGCGGCGTCTCTCGACGGTGGTGTATCTTTTGGGGGTCCATTCGCTGCTGGTCGTCGACAGCGACGACCGAGATGGGATCATCTCATCTCTGATAGGAATGCGGACGCTGGGGCGGTCACTGAGTCTGCCAGGCACACGGCGGCTAATTTCCACCATCTGACACACGGACATGCTTGCTCGGCGTCAGTTTGGAGAGCGTTTCGGATGGCTGAGAGCTTGAGACAGTTGTTGGCCACGGCATGCCCTCTGGGCACCGCATCTTGATTGGCCACGGGCGCCTGCCACCTCTGTTTCAGCATGGATTGCCACAGCTTCCATCCGCGTTCTAGCTCACCATTCGACAGGCATCGCACGGTGACTCGAGGTCTCGTGGGCGAGTCGCTGCCGAGTAGGGTTGCTAAAATAGAATCACCATGGTCAACTGGCTAGCAGCGTGCATTCCTGTCTTCTCACCCTTATCCGCAACATGCAATAGAGGCCAGTAAATTGGTATGCGTGGTTTGGGTGAAGCGTAAATGGCAATCAGCGAGGGTCCGATAGTTGTGCGTCTGACCGCCCCGTAAGCTGTCGGTTATCCATGGCTGTTCTCGTAGCGACACGAGCTGTGTCAGTATGCGAGGCCAGAATGATGATATGCTCGGCCAGATGAGCCACCGCGCCCAGAAACTCTGACAAAAGCCCTACCACTACGGCTGTGATGGAAGAATGCCTACCATGAACACGCTTGGGCGCCGTGGACTCGCAGCTGTGAGAGCACGAAGAAAAAGGGCGGCGCCAGTTTCAAGTGGACCTGTAACACTTTGGACTGAAGCCTCCGAGCCAGCTCCAGCTGGGCCCAGCGCTACTCGGGGCCTGCTAGCGCTAGTAGTCACCCGTACCGTCGCCAAAACTCCACCGTGCTAGCGGACCTGCCAGTGCGAAAAACAGCGATCCCTGATTCCCTGGGCCGGGTCGCTTGCCTGTCCATGTCCATTCCTCCTTGGGCCCTGCCTGTCCCCTCTTAGTCTTAGGGCCGCTTCCGCTGCCCGCTCTCTTCTACCCGTCTTCTCCCCCCCAGCGCCGCGTTTCATCCTGCTTTTTACTTCGACACTATTCTGCCCCCCCATCTTCCTCCCTCCGTTCATCACTTCATACATTTACCTGCGCAGGTATTCCCTTGCTTGAGCCCCTCCCTCCGGCAAGCATACGTTCACTTCGTCCCTTACATTCTCACGAGAGCACCCATCGTCCCAAAACACTGCTCTTGGGAATCTTAAGTCAGAGAGAGCCCAGCCTGCTCTCCATACCCACCCTCGTTTCACCCGCGCTCGCTTCAACTGTTTGAGACAGGAGCTTCACTACGTCTGGATACGTCGCGAGGACCGGTTTCCCGCATTGCACTTGGGCCCTGTTTACATCATTGATAACTTTTCGCCTCGACCAGCTGTCACCACATATCTGTCGCCGAACGAGCTGCTGGTCTGCACGATCCGACACGAAAGCCTTACACCACCTCCTCACCTCAATCTGAGATTGACATCATCGCTATCATCATCATCCAGAAAAACTTGAACGGCAAGCTACACGTCAACACGCAGCTCCCCGCCGTCGCGTCGAGGACTACAGTCCTGCACCGTCGTCAATATGTTTCCCTCCAGTGGAGCTCCCATGGCGCAACCACAGAAGCCAGAGACGTTCATGCTGTCCAACGAAGCACAGCAAAGCCTGCCTCAAGATGCGCAAGTCGCCCTGCAGCAGGTCGACAACCTCAAATACTTTCTCATCTCCGCGCCGGTCGATTGGTCGCCCGAGTCTCTGATCCGACGCTTCCTCCTACCGACCGGCGAGTACGTCTCGTGCGTGCTATGGAACAACCTCTTCCACGTGTCTGGTACGGACATTGTCCGATGTCTGTCCTTTCGCTTCCAGGCCTTTGGCCGTCCTGTTAAGAACCCCAAGAAGTTCGAGGAGGGCATCTTTTCCGATCTAAGGAATCTGAAATCAGGCACTGACGCCTCTCTTGAGGAGCCCAAGAGCCCCTTCCTCGACTTCCTGTACAAGAACAACTGCATCCGCACTCAGAAGAAGCAGAAGGTCTTCTATTGGTATTCCGTCCCCCACGACCGTCTGTTCCTCGATGCTCTCGAGAGAGATTTGAAGAGAGAAAAGATGGGACAGGAAGCTACCACCAAGGCCGTTGCGGAGCCTGCGCTGTCTTTCGAGTTTGACTCATCGCAGTCTCTTTTTGAGCAGCTGACCAAGGCCCAGCAAGCCAGCTCTTCTTCTTTCGCAACTGCCAATGCGGGTGCCGCCTCATACTCTCAGTCAACTTCTCCTATCATGCGTGCTGCGGACTCGATGCCTCCACCACAGATGCTGCCTCAGCAAATGCCCCGATCTGTTGAACAACAGCACCAGAACATGTACGTCCAGACCTCAATGCCTGGCCAAATGCAGAACACCATGGCTGGAGGCATGATGCATCGTGAACCCGAGTACTCTCAGATGGGCCACTACGACCGTACGCACATGCGTCACACTTCCATGCCAGCTTATATGGAATACTCGCCTGCTCCGTCCTTTGTCTCGTCTCATTTCGAGGACTACAGCAACCGAGGAATGTCATACGAACCGATTACTCCTCCACAACAGGCTGTCCCTGTAGGCAGCGAGCCGGCTTACATCGCCAACGAGGACACTGGCCTGTACTCGGCTATCCCTGAAATGCATCCCATGCCATCGTACAATCCAATGTCCCAGATGCCTCCGTCGAGCATGTCTGGCCCCACCACTTACGCCAATACCAGCCGTCCTTTCGCTCCTTCCAACGTCTACTCCGTTATCGAGGGCTCTCCTACCTATAAGGCGCGGAGAAGGCGATCGTCCATCCCATCGTCGATCATGAACGCTGTGGCCGCCAACGCTGTGGCTCAAGTCACTCAGATGAAGCCCCACGCTCCTTCGCGACCAAGCGATCTACGGCGGTCAATGTCAAACTCTGTGCTGCCAATCGCGGAGGGTGACGAGTCCCAAGGGCAGTCACCTCCTGGCCTCACGCACAGCTACCCTTCTTCCGTTGTCAATCGCGAAAACGAATACTCCCGCCACACCACGCCCCTGGCTAGCCTTGAGGAGGATCCCCAGGGCACCCCTCTGGGCAACGCCGGCGAGAGCTTCCCCAGCTTTGGCGAAGATATGCACAGCTCATTCCCAGGCTCCGCAGCCGTCCGGATGGACCGTCCCGGTCCTGTGCGACGAGCACGCAGCGCTACCATGATGGAGCTAGGCATGCCATACAAATCACATTCCTGTCCAATCCCCAGCTGTGGCCGCTTGTTCAAGCGTTTGGAGCATCTCAAACGGTATGTTACTCTCCCGCGTCTTTGTTATGCAACCACATGGGTTGCAGGCAAGGGATCGGCGCTCGGAAATTACTTATGGCGCTTACTAACTCTCGGCGGCTAGACACGTGCGAACACATACCCAAGAACGTCCGTATGTTTGCCGGTACTGCAATAAGGCCTTTTCGCGGTCCGACAACCTTGCTCAGTATGTATCATCCTGGTACTCATCATTCCTCGCTTACTGATTGTTTCATTAGGCACCGCAGAACCCATGAGACCAACCAGGACGGTCAATCACTGGGGCCCACCTCCGAGGAGGATCTCGAGAACGAGGAGAACGATTTCGGATCTCTTGATGATGAACTCTCTTCACCCGAAGATATCAAGGGTCCTGAAGGCATCATTCCCGCCATGTCGACGAGCATGCCCCCGCCGTCGAGCTTAATCATGCAACCCATCCCGCAACCCATGATTACCCCAAGTCAGCTGGTGCAGCCGCAGATGCTGCAACACACGATCTAACAGCACGCATTGCTTACGGCGTTCGTTTTACGGCATTCGTGCTTGTGATTTTCTTTCAGCAACATGGCTTTGCGGGCATGCAGTGAATGAGCTTACGATTTTCCAATTTTCCTGCTTTTGAGGCGCAATCAATGTTTTCATCCCGTCTCTCTTGAGACATGTTGACCATCTCATATTTCTTTGGGGAAAAGTCAAGACACACAGAGCGAGAGATTTGGGTGACCGACCTCTGGCAACGGTCACATCCGAGCATGATGGGAGGAGATCGAGACAAGAGGCACAGACACATCAGTGGACGACATTTCAAGACCTTACGGACTCAATGCATGAGATTCTGGTCGAGATATTTGGGAAGGGTGACAAATTGGACATCCTTTGTTGAGACTTGCGAGTTTCAATACTACGGCACGCCGTTACCTTGTATATATATTAGTTTCCTTGACTCTTGGGGTATCCGGGCATCTGATATTGCGGCTCCAAGCACCTCCGTTGGGTGTTGTTGATAGATACCCGAGCAAGCTGTCTGGCCGGCGGATGAGATCGATCCAGTTGGATCCAAAATATGACTTTTGAACTTCACCTTACGTATCCTTTTCTGGCGTCCTCTGACTTTCCTGCCTACGATCGTTTCGAGCTGTTGACGTTGTAACTTCCTCTAGACTCTTTGTGCTTCGCGACCTCATCGCACCATTCCCGCGGCACATGTCTTGCCCAGGTTCTCCAACCGCCGGCTAGTTAGACATCTAGCAAGCTCGCTTCCCCCGTCCTCACTGCATCGTTCTGTCCCCCTCCCCTCCTTTGAATCTTCGCCAGTCTCGTTCTCTACCACTGGCCTTTGGTAGCCTCCAGGACTGCCTTTCCTTCACTTGTTGGCTGCCAAAGCTATACGAGCTATACGGTTTGGTTTGGTGTGAGCTGGTAGCGCTGAGGCCTTGCGGTGAACAAATGTCTGCACAGTTTCCCCCCCCCCCCCCCCCCCGGCTTCCTGGTGGTTAGCACCGGGCGGCACTTGGGGCCGGGATGTCTTACAGCATGTTCATTCGCAGTACAACTGTATCAGGCCCGGGCGCGGAGAGAGGTACTGAGGCATTACGAAGTCATGATTAAGTCCTTGAAAATGGCTCCTTTGCATGACTAGTGGTGCATGGCGGCGTTTTAGGGCTAGTTCATTCCAAACGTTCACAGGGTGTAAAGTCGGATGGCCTACCAGTGCGACCATCCCACGAAAAGCCATCGTTTCGTAATACATTGTTATAGCTACTTGGCTGGTGCGAAGGCTTTGGGCCGCCTGCTGCATCCACCTGGAGACAACGCTATCGGCTGGCACTGAAGCTTTGCCTCCCCACCGTGACACCTCGGCTGTCATCCTCCTCATCGTCTTCGCTGTCGTCCATGAAACCCGCTTCTAGTTCACGATTCAATCTGCGTTCGGGATGTAATGCGCTGCGTCCTTCCCGGATGCCGTCATCAGCACCGGCCATGCCTCGCGCGAAGGCCATATTGCGCCCAGCAAAGCGCTCCATGTTTTCACGGCGTCGGCGATTGGCCTCGCGAGGATCTGCGGCTGAATCTGTGTCCGCACGGGGAACGTCGAAGCCGATCATCGCCTCGCCTGACTCATCGTCAAGGTCAAAAGAAGAGGTGGAGGTGCGGCGGTGGGTGGTACTGCTGGGGTCGTTGGGGCGGGATGATGTGGAGGGGTCCTGGTATCGGCTGAGGGCCCAGGTGCTGGGAAAGAAGATGCGTAAAACGATGGAGTGCATGCCCCGCGAGAGAGTCTGGGGGTGGAGGAAGGCGGGAAGGCGAGAGGAGATCTGGGAGGAAGTGTGAAGTGGGAGATACTAGAAGGAGTTAGACATGACCCTCAGCGGAACAATGAAAAGCAGTCGGGTGCAATGAACAGTGCTGACTCTAGCGGTCACGCAGTGGTAGAAACAAGGGGAGGAGATGCCACACGTACTTGTCGGTAGCGCTCACGGTGGGCGCGCCATGTTGGTATGAGCAGGTGGAATAATAGCAAGTATACGCCCAATGCGATGGCTATTGGGATCAGGACCGGTAACAGCATGGGTTTTGAGGATGTCTTTTTGGCCATGGTCGAGGTGTTGTCCTGTGCCTCGGTATGGACTGGAGGGGCGCCGTGCGGTGGTATGCCGCCAGGCAGGGAGCGGAGGAGCAGGAAGGACATGCGAGGGCGTGCTTATGCTTGGTGACCGTAAGACCTCATGGCGAGATCGAAAGGTCGTTTGGGTGCAGAGGGCGGATAGAAAAGGTGTTCCTCGGTGAGTTTGGGCCGTAGCGAGGGCAGAGGGCGAAATTGGATGGCGCGCGAGTATGGCGGCACCGCGGCAGAGGGGGAGGTATGGGGATGGAGACTTGTCGCTAAAGTGTCTCTATTCGCCCTTTACTCGCGATGTAAATTCGCCGTCTGGGACGGTAGTTGGACGACCGACACGTGCTTTTTGACGTGCTCCTAACGAAGAATGCAATGCTGGACGTACAATGGTCAAGAAGGAGAGATTCGGGTGGATATGGTTGCGCTTGCATCAAGCTTCCTGGAGATGAAGAACAGGTGCGTGCGACGCCTGATTCGTGAGCCCTGCCGACGATCACGAGCTCTGGTCCCTGGAGGAGGACCCCCAGCGCAAGCGCTAGAGCCTGGTCGGCACTTATGGGGGGTGCCGCTAATCCCAATTGCGGCGTCTGGCCTCGCCAACCGCAACCTGCGCTGCAAACACCGCTTGCAGCCCATGGACGACGACCGCGACTACGCTATCCGCTGCATCCTCGCTGCACCCTTCACTCGCCTCGTGTCGTCCCTCCTTTCCACCGCTGTGAAGTACAGACTCGACCTCCTCTGCGGGAATCAGGGTTGCTGATATCATCCCGATTTTGTTGACCTCCTAACCTGTTTGCGACGCATCCGCAGCCTTGTTTCTCCTGACCCGCACGTGCGATCGAATTCCCGCCTCAAGCAAACCTGAAACCGGCAAGCAGGAGCCTATGCAAGGATAACATACATATCAAACTTCAAGAGCAAAGACTGTCACCTTATCAAGTCCCGGGTGCATCGACACCGGCCTGCACACCCTCACAGCTCCACCTCATCCCTGATATCAAAGGTCTTCAATGACTCTACAGGGCGATACACTGCGCCATTCACCTCGCCCTCAATAATGCCAACGTATCCGCAGCCTGATAGAAACGGCAGACAATCCTCCGGCAAAGGCTTCTTCAGACGAAACAAGGACAAGGATGAGCTGCCCCCAACCCCAAGCCTCAATGGGTCTACCGTTTCTGGACATTCGAAGAGAGGGTCAACAGCAGGATATCAAGATATCGCCAACGTCGGCCTCAGGCCTAGCATCACGTCTGTACCATACTCCTCCACTGCCGACTCGAGTGCTCCTGTGTCGGTAGATTTCCTCCCCCAAGAAGACCAACTTCCCGCTCAACAAACAAGCTCTTTCTCGAGGGGTTCGGACTTTCATCAGTACCCAAGATTCGAAGCCCCATCTCCACAAAATGGTGCCTCACATCCCTCGGGCCCTCGCCCGCCGCCTCATGGCACAGGAATTACAATGGCATCAAGTCAGGGAGGTGACAAGGGTGCAAGGTACCAGCAATGGGGAAAGGTCGGGAGCAGGGATGGCAATTCAGTTTACGACTCCGTATCCACCACCGACAGCTCAAACGGGCCCAGACGGTCCTTCGATGGTGCAAGCATAAAGTCAAGCGCCTCCTCCGCCACACGAGGATCGACCATTTTCTCGTCAGATAATTCGTCACGAACCGCGGTTGCCGCAAGAAATGACACCGACAACTTCTCCATACTGTCACCCTCAGGCTCGCGATTGTCCAAGATGTCAACCATGTCGGGCTGGCCTTCGCAACAGCAGGCCGCATTCAGTTCGACCACCTCTTTCAATCCTGCGGGGTTCTACCTTCCGAAGCCCGATAATGACGAAGACATCGAGAAACTCTTCATCGACTTAATGCACAAAAGAGGATGGCAGAACCTACCTGAGCAGGCTCGGCGGCAAATGCTTGCATATGCTCCAGCTAAGAAATGGACGCTTGTGCATCAAGATAAATTGACAGAATGGCAAGGAGAGCAGAAGCGACGCCAGCAGGCGCGCCAGACCGGCGTCGTCGATGGCGCGATGGCGCGACCGGATCTCGAGGGCAGCCCCGAGTGGTATGTGAAGAAGATCATGGACAATAGCATAACCACAAAGCAACTCCAGAGTCTGAGTGTCAGCTTACGCACGCAGCCCATCTCCTGGGTGAAGACCTTCATCGAAGCACAGGGCCAGATAGCCTTGACCAATGTGCTGATGAAGATCAACCGGAGGCAAGATGGTGGCCCGACTCCAGCATCTACAGCCGCGTCTAGTGAAAAAGACCTGGACAGGGAATACGACATTGTAAAGTGTCTCAAGGCTCTCATGAACAATAAATACGGGGCCGACGATGCGCTCAATCACCCCCAAGTCACTGTCGCGCTGGCAATGTGCCTCATTTCACCTCGGTTGACTACCCGAAGATTGGTATCTGAAGTCATTACCTTCCTCTGCCATTGCGGCGAGGGCCAGGGTCACCTCAAGGTTCTCCAATCGCTAGATCATCTCAAAGGCATGATTAATGAGAATGGGCGCTTCGACGCTTGGATGAGAATTGTCGAGGTCACAATCGATGGCCGCGGTAAGATGGGCAGCTTGGTTGGTGCCAGCGAAGAAGTACGAAGCGGTGGTGTTGGGATGGAGAACCTACTGATGGAGTACGCTGTGGCTACGCTCGTTCTGCTCAACTCAATGATCGATGCGCCTGAGCGAGACCTGCAGCTAAGATGTCACATTCGTGCCCAGTTCATTGCTTGCGGTGTCAAGCGGATCTTGACCAAGATGGAAGGCTTCCAGTACGATGTCATTGACAAACAGATTGAGAGGTTTCGTGAGAATGAAGCCATCGATTACGAGGATATTCTACAGCGCGAGAACAGCAGCATGGTCGACAGCGTCGAGGGCGATGTCAAGGATATGACCGACCCAGTGCAGATCACGGACGCTATCATGAGCAGGATCCAGGGAACGCGGACACAAGACTACTTCATTTCCGCCATGCAGCATCTGCTGATTCTTAGGGAGAACAACTCAGACGATCGACTGCGGATGTTCCAGCTCGTGGACTCGATGCTCAGCTATGTAGCCATGGACAGGCGCCTGCCGGACATGGACCTTAAACAGAGTCTGAACTTCACCGTCCAGAATCTACTCGACAAGTTGTACACCGATTCCGAGGCAAGGATTGCCTTTGATGAAGCCACTGAGTCAAGGCAGATCGCCGAAGCGGCGCTCGCTGAGCGAGATGAGATGGCATCGAAAGTGGCTATGGGTGCCGATGGGCTCGTGGACCGGTTGCAGAAGCACATCGACGAGCAAAGCGAGATCATCGAAATGCAGCGGCGCCAGGCAGAGTCTATGAAGTCCGAAATTGCAGAACTCCACCGACTGCGAAATCAAGAGCTGCAACGCAACGAGCTCGAGACCAGAGAGCTTTATCTCATGCTCAAGGATGCACAGGACGTTGCTGCGTCGCATGCCAAGAACGCGAATGCTGTTGGTCAGGATCCTTCTCAGATGCAGGGTATCCTCGACCGCGAGAAGCTTATGGAGCGCCTCGAACGCAATCTTGAGAGGACCAAGACTCAATTCAAGCTTGAGGGCAAAGTATGGGGCCAATCTGGTCCGTCGGAACGTTTGCGAGAGCTCCGCGAACAGATGGATGACAACCCGAATGAGGCCGACTTCCAGGAGAGAACACAGAGACAACTCACCGCCAGTGTCATGGGCAGCGTCACCCGCAGTAATGCTCATCGCTCCAGGAAACCCGTAGGCGGCAGGCCTGCACTGCCAGAGGAAGATGAGGAGGCTGACGATGAAATTGTGATCGAGAAACCACGCCTCGTGGAGATGAGCAGGCCCAAGATGGACAAGAAGCAGCACGCTAACTTGTTCGGCGAAATGGCAGCCAAAGTCAAGAAGATGGATGCCAGCGACGATGAAGGCGAGGCGGAGGGCGACGGTGTCACAACCGGTCCAACGCACCCAAGCCTTGAGTCGCAGTCGCCAAAGACGCCGCTCGACGAGACTGCCTTAGACGGCAAGTTCTCAGGACCTCCACCTCCACCTCCGCCACCAATGCCAGGCTTTACCGGACCGCCTCCGCCTCCGCCGCCTCCGCCACCTCCTCCTGGACTCGGAACGTCTGCCGGTCCGCCGCCGCCGCCTCCGCCGCCTCCGCCACCTCCACCGATTCCCGGCGCTCCTCCTCTACCTGGTCAGCAGCATGGTCATTTCTTGCCTCAACCACAGTTGTCCTCTGTCCCGATGATGAAGATGCCTTTGATGCGCCCCAAAAAGAAGCTCAAAGCTTTCCACTGGGATAAAGTCGACAGCCCCGAGATCACCGTCTGGGCCGATGCAGCCTCAATAGAAGCCAAAGAAGAGAAGTACCGTGAACTCCAGCGAAGGGGTGTGCTCGATGAAGTCGAGAAGCTGTTCTCCGCAAAAGACGTCAAGATTATTGGTGCTGTCTCTGGCAAAGCCAAGAACGAGAAGAAGCAAATTATCTCTAGCGACATGCGCAAGAATTATCACGTGGCCATGGCCAAGTTCAAGAGTGACACGTCAGACGACATTATCCGCAAGATCATCCATTGTGATCGAGATATACTGGATAACCCAGTTGTGATGGATTTCCTTCAACGAGACGACCAGTGCACAATCCCAGAGAATGTCGCCAAACTTATAGCGCCTTATAGCAAGGACTGGACTGGTCCGGACGCCGCCAGTACTGCTCGTGAGCAGGATCCGAATGAACTTACACGAGAAGACCAGATTTATCTTCAGACCGCCTACGAGCTGCATCATTACTGGAAGGCCAGAATGCGTGCTCTGGCTCTAACTCGCAGCTTTGAGCCTGAGTATGACGATATCTCCAAGAAGCTCAAGGAGGTGGTGAACGTTTCAGAGTCCATCAGAGATTCCACTTCACTCATGAGCGTACTGGCACTCATTTTGGACATTGGCAATTACATGAACGATTCAAACAAGCAGGCGACTGGCTTCAAGCTCAGTTCCCTTGCTCGTCTTGGGATGGTGAAGGATGACAAGAACGAGTCGACCTTTGCCGATCTCATTGAGCGCATCGTTCGAAATCAGTATTCCGAATGGGAAGGCTTTGTCGAGGACATATCGGGCGTTGTTGGTATCGCCAAGCTCAATGTTGACCAGCTGCGCACAGTTGCAAAGAAGTACATCGACAATATTAACAATGTACAATCTTCGCTCGACGCTGGCAACCTAAGCGACCCCAAGAAGTTTCATCCTCAAGATCGGGTGGCTCAAGTTGTGCAGCGATCGATGAAGGACGCCCGCAGAAAGGCCGAGCAACTACAAATCTATCTCGATGAAACGAGTCGGGTCTACGATGATATCATGACATACTTTGGCGAAGATTCACAGGATGAAAATGCCCGTCGTGACTTTTTCAGCAAGCTCTCCGGCTTCCTCGTGGAATGGAAGAAGTCACGAGAGAAGAACATCAGCCTAGAGGAGAGCAAGAGGCGCATCGAAGCATCACTGGCTCGCAAGAAGGCAGCGACTGCTCTTCCGAGCGCCAGCGGCACTGACTCGCCGAATAGTCCCACTGGAAGTGGCGCAATGGACTCTCTTCTCGAGAAGCTTCGAGCTGCTGGAAACCCTGGCAAAGATCAGAGAGATCGAAGACGGCGAAGAATGCTCAAAGAGAAGCACCAAGAGCGGCTGGCTAGCGGCCAGCATATACCTGATCTACCTGTTCGGGATGAGCTTGAGGAAAGCAGAGGCATCGCCAATGGGAAGAGCGAGGGCGAGGACAGCAATATTCCCGAGGGTGACGAAGAAAAGAAAGAAGAAAGTCATGTGAGTGAAAGCGAAGACGTTGCTGATCGCGCTCTTCGTGCCCTGAAGGAGATGAGTACCACGCCAGGCGATGGCGAGCTCGCCGTGAGGCGAAGAAGAGAAGGCGCGGACGAAGAGCGCAAAGCTCGGAGGATGCGGCGCCGGACACAGCAGAACAACAGCATCAGCTCTGCCAGTGGCATCGTAACACCAAGTCCCATGCAGACGGAATTCTCGTCCGACGTGAAAAGCCCAGGGAGTGGCATCTTGGAGAAGGTCGACGAGAACGATAAAGCCTCCGCGGGGATCGTCTCCACACCAACCATTGTTATCAGCCCTGAGATGCCACAGCGCGAGGCAGATGGTGCAGTAAAGGAGGATGACGCGAAGGAAGGTTCAGCTGAGCAGCCTGCGCGGGTTGACGATTGATTTTTCTTTCATTTTTGGAGCGTTCGATGCATTGCAAAGAGATGGGACCGGATTGGTGTTGGGTGTACGAAATGGTTCAAGACGATTAGGTGTACCACGAGCTGCGTTTTGAAGACAGACTGTAGCATTATCAGCGGTCGACTACGTATTGTACAGTTGGGGTGAGCACAGGGATGGATGAGGACAAGGTTGTGGCAGCATGATAATGTTGACGATGTTGGACATCGTGGATCTCGTTGCCCCCGTCGTCTTCTCTTGTTACTTGCTGCGACTTTACGAGAAATTTCGGCCCTCCAACAAGTCGTCAGTAACTCATCCTTGATTTCGACAGTGTGAATACAAGCTAGAGTGGCTGGTCCGGATGATCGAGTCCGTCAGACTCAGCGCCAGCTGACCAGCCACCCTTTTACCAATAGTGGTTTAGCGTCTTCCGAGCCACCTTGTTTTCTTCCATTCTGATTCGTTCGGGGTCTCCACTTCTATACAACGGCCTCGAAATGGGTTTGCGACACATCAATACTCCAGTGGTTGGAGTGTGGCAAGCGAAAGGCAGATGTGCGCGATGGTTGGGGAGACGGGATCCAATGTTATATGTTGTGAGGAGCAGCTGCAGGTCTTCGCTTGAGAAACCGTCGCTTGACATGACTTTGTTGCTCGCTTTCCACCACGACGACAAGTGAAGTAGACCGTTACCTGAATTTCAAACACAGACAATTCTGCAGAGCTGTCGTACTGTTCTCCCATTGAGATTTGCCCTTGATCGATTGCCATCTCGCTCAGTGCTGAGCTTCTGCCCAGACGCCCTTCCGACTCATCTCACACCCAGCTGAGCACCACGTCAAACACCAAAGCCCTCCTCCAACAATGCCTACCGCCCCATCACTTACAGCGCTGCTATTGGCACTGGCACCCCTCGCCCTCTCTCTCCCACAGCAGCAATCCGCGCAGACGGCCCAAGCAGTCAATCCCATCAACGGCCTCGCCATCCCCGCAGCCTCCTCGGCCGCATCAGCAGGCTCGGCCTCGGATTCGGAATCGGACTCGGACGCCACACCCGCCGTCACGGCCCTCTCGCAACCCTCCTCATCCCCTCAAGCCTCTTCCGCCTCCGATTCCGACTCCGAGGACATCAGCACAATCACCGCCCCAGCCTCTCTCCCCTCCGACACCGCCGCCGCCTCCTCATCAGAAGAACCTCCCAACACAGACCCCAACATCCTCATCTGGACGGACACGGCGCAAAACACCGTCGTCACCATGACGCGCTCTACCACCAGCTTCATCCCCATCCCCACGATGCAGGTGCCGCCCGGCTCGAGCGACGTCGACGTCGTGACCGCGACGGTTGAGGGCGCGGATGGGAAACCGACGCCGACGCACGATGTCGATACCTTTGTGCAGGGGTATACGGGGGGCGCGGCGTCGGGGAGATGGAGTTGGGGTGGGGGCGAGGGGAGAGTTTGGTGGATGTTGGGCGTGGCGGCTGTGATGGGGGTTGTGCTGTGAGAAATGGAAGGGGGGGTTGAGGCGATGTGTTGTTGATGATTTCTTGGGTGGACGAACTATTAATGACTTACTCATGGAATTTTTGCGTTATGAGATATGGAATACGCGGAATTGAGGGGGTGGCTACGTGGTAACGATGGCAGGGCGAATGAAGTTACAACTTACGAGATATATGTGCCAAAAGGAGACCAGGGATAATGGGCGACATATATTGGCTGGGGCCCCAGTTGGTTCTCGGGGTTGATTAGATCTTGTATTATATGGACAAAATAGTGAAGCTTCATCGTTTGGCAATTGACACCTCTCATTGAGTGTAGAAAGGATAATGTCGACTAGGATTTGGGTGTGGGCGCGGCTACCCGGTTCTCGTGTATCCCGCTTCCAATATAAATGTTGCGGCCAAATTCAGGTACACAATCTCAGAAGCTTGCTCAACCTGATCTCATACTCACTGGCTCGGTGGCTTGCTATATCAAGGATCATCTCGAGAGCGATGCGCGTCGCTGTCGCTGTTCCGCTTCGCGGTTTTGTTTGTACGGAGTCTCAGTTTGACGAAGCTGTTTTGGGGGCGGGTTTCGCGCAGTCGCCGTTTGCGGCAGAATGGCAGACAAGCTCGAGCTTTGGATTGACTGGTGCGTTCGTAAGCTAGCACGCTAACATACGTGCGGATTTGATGGCGATTAGCGAGTTCCGACCCGTTCACGCTTGCGCAGACGGGGCCTTGGACGCGTTGCGGTTGTCTAGGCAGTAAACCTAGCTGTAAGATCTGTGGTCGCTGTACACAAAATTTACGCCTTGCTCTTTCTACCTTTCACCAAGTGCACGCCAGGAAATATTCTCTTTTGGTGTTTTAACGCCGACATAGACTCTGTCGGTGGTACAATGTGTGCACAGGCTCGCATCAATTCTGGCAGAAGTTCGGATGCCCCAATCCGTACGATGATCGTCGCCAATTGCGAACGATCGCGAGCTGCACTTGATCGTAATCAAAATCGATCGTCAGCGAGCAGTCGACTCCGATTCGTACGATCGGTCGGGCAGAGGCTGCTCTATGGGCTCTTTTCGGTGTCCAACTTACCGTGTTTGTCGTCGGTTACCTGATCAGATCGGGCTCGCGTAAGATGAAGATGTGGCTGCCACAAATCGTCGCATCCCGATGGAAGACGGCTAAAGTCGAACATGGGAGTTGCATAATGCCTTTGACGATTACTATACTACGTCTTGCCGTTGAGAAGCAAGGGCTCCGACGAGAGGCAAATGTAAGATTATAAAGCGCGCGTTTGAAGGCGAAAGCCAGATAAGCGGATACGTACTCCGTAGATACCATGTTGCAACCTGATGCAGTTTAATCAGGCGTTGAGGTCGCGGATATCGGCTTGCCGGGACCGCCGTAAGTGTGGCTTCCGGGCCGGAAAAAAGCTGGCGGGTGCAAAGTCGCTACCCACGGTGTCAATATTTAGCAATTCTGCCGCGCGGTGACTTTATGCTTGGGCGCCGAATGACTGGATATGTCTCACTCTGAACGACAAAGGCACTGTTCATGCTGTCGTATGACGAAACATGGTCACGAAAATAATGGTGGTGGTGTGTGGGTGACAGAGCGCTGGCCCGCTAGGCCGAAACAAGACATTGGGCAGTGCAGTGTTTTGCTGATTTTGAGCTTTTCTGGAACCTGCCCCTGGGATTAACCCTGAACAAACCCGGAAACCCGCTGATCGCTGTCAACATGTCCTAGTTGGTATTCCGGACAATACTGTATGAGTGCCCATTGATTAGAGTTGACCTTGGCCGCGTCACTCCATCAAAAACGACCGAACAAGGAGCGACTTCGTCGATCACTACACAGCGCATTTACTGTACTGCTACTGAGTACTGTCGCGACGCGCCGAGGAAAAGTACGGAGACCCAAGCCCACGTGGCTCTATTGGAATAATTGGGTGGAGATGAAAGGAGCAGGAGCGTGTGGGAGCCGCTGCTGCCGTGACCCAAGCAAGAGAGTGGCTTGCGTAGGACGTCCCCAATGCATTTCGCTCTGCGCATGTGAAGGTCGGCAGGGGTCGCCCTTACAACAACTATCGCACAGGAGCGCCATCCCCTGCGAGGGGTCTCATGTTGCATTCGATTGCTGACAAGCCTCGCTCAAGTGCTTCAGATCGGGAAAGCCGCGCATCGAGCTACATTTGGGGAGGCTCTGCCTGCTCTTAGCGATGGCCAGGCTGATCACGCCGCCAGCTCTCGAATGGCGTGCTGAGTGGTCTATTTGGGCCATGACAGTCGATAGCGTGGCGATGTTCACACGCTTATCTTTAAATGAAAAGTGGCCTAGTTGGAAATGAAGCCGAGGCCCTCGTTGAGCCTGGCGTCAGTTCAAGGATTACTGAGAATATCTGCTCAATGTGCCACCCGAGTAAGGAGCAGTTACTGTGTATAATGATCATGTGGATCGGTGGACCGTTGCTGTTCGGTCATGTTTCGGAACTACGATTTCCCACGCCTGATACACCGTAATCCTGGTGTCTCGCAACTGTTGAGTATTTGCGTCGCCAACGATCAGCGACGTAGGAAACAGGCGTCGGTGAGTGATAATATCTGGTGGGAAGGACAATGGCCTTGGGAACAAGTCCCAGGGAAGGCAGTAAATTTAGCACTGCCTGCCTGTACGTGTTCTCCGTACCAAGATCCTTATCAGTTGACTTGTAGTCTGTTGAACAGCCACGCGTGGATGTGATTGGCAGAGGTTCTGCCGAAAATTTGAACCTGGGATTCGTGGCACTAACATGTGTTTCCGGCTGCCCATCTAGCGATGCCAAAGCTTGACCAAGCCACAAGGCGACCCGGAAGTCTCTGACAAAGGCTCAGATGGAGTTTGCTCCCGGCCCCAGGGAAAAGTCTACGTACCCATGAAACACATGGTTTGGTGCTTAGTGGACTCACCACTTTCATCCTCGACTTCAGGTCGACAACACCGATAATGTATGTAGATAGAAGTGCTCGGGGGACTGTTGTCCGTAATCGCATCGAGTGCCTCAAGGATCCTCGCTTGACAAAGCGCGATTAACGTAGCGAGGCGAGGCGAATTTCTAGCGTCCCTGGCTGGAGCACGGCTAATTATCACCTCAGACGCCGCCCAGATAAGGCGTATGGAGCATGCGCCAGCAAATCCATAGTGCTGGGAGATCTTCCGCCTTCGAACTTTGTCAGGGGCAAGGCTCATATCGGCATCCATGCACATGTCAGGGGGGCGCACAAAGAAACCAAGCCAGGCATTTGTTGTGTTGAGATCTTCAGCCTTACAAACGATGGCGCACAGTGCCGTCCGCGCAGACTTTGTCCTTCCCGTTCCCGCCGGTCTCAGATTTTCTCGGCTCGCCTTGGCCGTAACCCGCATTGGTTAGTCCCTTGGCACGCATCAGACGTCACCTCTTGTGATCTGGCGGCTACCACAAACTCTGGAGGATCCATTGGTTGGCTTCCTCAAACAGCCTGAGTTTTCTGTATGCCGCTGTCGACTCACGCATCCCCTGTACCGTGCTAGGATGTACTTCCCATCGGTCCGGCTACCTGGTCATCATCGAAGCCATGCCCAGCCTTGCCGCCCTCGAGCTAGGATACTCGACCTTCCCGACTTGTGCGGCTGTGGCTGGACCGGTCACATCGGAAATCCATCTTCTCAACACTGCTATCCACATTGGGAGTTGGCTCGACCAAATTGGATCCTTGTGAGACGGTTCGAGCGAAGCAGACCCTTCACGTGGCCATCATCTGCAGGCTACAACGCCACTAGGTGGGTCTCAGGTTTGGCTCTAAACGGTATCGTTCTTTCCACAGTCCTGCTGTCACAGGATTTGGCGCCTCCATATTCAAGTGAAATCTTTTATACTGGTCAAACAGGGTTTCGGAGCCCGTTCCCACCATCTTGGTCCTGGGACTGGCTGAAGGCGACACCCGACCGATACCAGAGCATTGTCTCCTGACGGCTCTGGTGAAGCACTGCCTCCTATTGCTGCTATTGATTCATGGCAGTCTTTAGTGCCCCGGAACCTGACAATCTTTTTACGGCCTGTTATCCGTTCTTGTTACCGATCCCAGCAAAATGCTTTTAGGGCCCCTGCTCTTGCTATGTGGTCATTTGGCCATAGCCCCCGTCCTGTACCAACCTTAGAAATTTCGATGGGTCCTGCAGCAGACGGCCCTCAAGGACCCGCAAATGATCCCTGTTGGCACGTTGGTGTCTGCACACCAGATGTTGGGAGACCCTCCCTGCTTATCGTGGCTCTGCGTGAAACCGCACAGATACTTCGCTACGGAGCAAAATGACCGGCGCCCGCCACTCTCAGGCCTGGAATTGCCGACACAAGCGACCCAGTGCAGATACGAGGGTTCTCGATTCTGCCAACCTGCATGATGGCTGACCCTACTCAGCTACCCGAGTGATTTCCCTCCTCACCCGGTCACTGGGAGTCATCTGGGTGTGGATCATCCTTCTATCAATAGACCCAGGAGCCCAGCTGTCAATGCGCCTCGCCCGCATACTGCTGCACTGTCTTCTCTCTACACTCCAGTTCTTCCCCTCCTCCCCATACTTCCGGATTCTTTCTCTCACGCGTCCACGAGCCCATGTGTTGATCAGTCAATTTACAAGCGGCACTGCAAGGTTGCACACTTTCGTTTTACATCGTCAATCGTTCTGGTCTTTCGTTAACATCTTCCGGCGACCATCGCCGCCCAGAATGGGACCATTCGTTCTGGTATTGTCGGCGTTCCTCTCTCTTTCACATGCCGCGCGGTACGATCCATCGTTGGAGCAGTACAATCTCAATCAGAACAAAACAGCCACCCACCCCCTGGAGTATTGGGGTCAACGAACCATCGATGAGCCGGATCATGTCTATTTCCCTTCACCAGACAACTGGCGGTACGTCATTCCATACCATCCTGCCCCCCCGGGTATTCCTGGGCCTGTAACATCTGGGGTGAAGGTGCCCTGTGTCCTGCTGGTTACCGCCCTCGGAGCACGTGCAACGCCTATCGGTACGATGTGCTCTACCGATATGGTTACCATAGCAGTTGACGCATACAATACTATCTCTCCCAGAGATCCATGACATATCATACCTGATACATCAACTAACTGACTATAGCTTTCCTTTCTACACAATCTTCATCGACCGATGGGTGAACGGCGATCCTACGAATGATAACATTAACGGCACATCCTTTGAACATGATACAAACTCCAACCAGATGCGTCATGGTGGCGACTTACAGGTAAGTGCCGGCCTACACAAGCGAGATCATGGTCGCTGACTAGAATACCACAGGGCCTCATCGACTCGCTCGACTATATGCAAGGCCTTGGCATCAAAGGCCTGTACATCGCTGGCTCCCCTTTCATGAACCAGCCTTGGGGTTATGATCAATACAGCCCGGTCGATCTCAGTCTAATGGACATGCACTTTGGCAACATTGCCATGTGGCGACGCATGATCGATGCCATGCATGCGCGCGACATGTATGTTGTACTAGACAACGTCTTCGCCACCCTGGGTGACTTGATCGGCTTTCAAGGATACCTGAACGAGACTGCGCCGTTCCTTACAGAAGAACACAAGGTCATGTATAAGTCCGACAGACACTATGTAGACTTTGAATTCGGCAACTCCTACAACGAAACCTGCGAGTACCCAAAATTCTGGAACGAGACTGGCTTCCCTGTGGACCAATATGTCGTCGACATGTTCAAAGGATGTTATGACTCCGAGTTCGATCAATTTGGCGACACCGAAGCTTTTGGTGTATTCCCCGACTACCGTCGTCAACTGTCTAAGTTCGCCTCCGTCCAGGACCGCTTGCGCGAGTGGCATACGCCCACGCGAGAGAAGATCCAGAACTTCTATTGTATGGCTATCGCTCAACTGGACTTTGATGGCTATCGGTACGACAAAGCTCAGCAAGCGACTGTCGAAGCTGTTGGCTTCATGAACGAGGCCATGCGAACCTGTGCTCGTCGCTTCGGCAAGCAGAACTTCTTCATCAGCGGTGAGATCACTGGCGGTAACGATTTCGGGTCACTTTACCTAGGTCGTGGTCGTCAACCTGACCAGCGTCCCGAAAACTTGACTCAGGCCGTCACGCTCACGAATGAGTCCTCCGATGACTATTTCCTGCGAACACCTGAGTTAGCCGGACTTGATGCTGGCGCCTTCCATTACAGTTTATACCGTTCGCTCACGCGCTTTCTGGGTATGGACGGTAATCTCGAGGCCGGCTACGATGTACCTCGGAATTGGGTTGACATGCATAATACCTTCATGCTCACGAACGACCTCGTGAATCCCAACACGGGCAAGTTTGACCCACGGCATATGTATGGCGTCACAAATCAAGATGTGTTTCGGTGGCCTGCCATCGCCAATGGCACACAGCGTCAGTTACTCGGTCATTTTATTACGACAATTCATATGCCCGGTATCCCGATGCTATTGTGGGGTGAAGAGCAAGCTTTCTATGTTCTGGATAGCACTGCCAGCAACTATATCTTCGGACGCCAGGCTATGAGTTCAGCTTCGGCATGGCAATCGCATGGTTGCTATTCTCTCGATTCAACACAATACTTCAAAATGCCTTGGGATAAGGCCAGGGATGGTTGCAACGATGACACAGTGAGTTACGACCATCGGGATCCATCTCATCCTATGCACAATATCCTCAAGCATATGCACCAGCTTCGCGAAGCTTTTCCGGTCCTCAACGATGGCTACTGGCTCCAGCAGCTCAGCAACCAAACGGATCAGGTCGTCTATCCTGGTAGTTCTGGAGTCGAGACCGAGACCGGCCTGTGGTCTGTCATGCGATCCCAATTTGAAGGTGTTCAGGACATCGATCCAAACCCGGTATGGCTAGTCTACTCGAACCTCAACGACACTAAGACCTACGAATTCGACTGCAGCAACAACGACACCAACCTGAACATAACCGCGCTGCTTGCACCGTACCCGAGCGGCACGACAGTGAAGAACCTATTCCACCCGTACGACGAGCATACTCTAGAAGACAGTAGTCGATCACTGGGCTTCAACGGGAGCACAAGACCAAATGGCTGCATCCCCAGACTCGAATTGCCTGCATACGGCTGGAAAGCCTATGTGCCAACTGACTCCTGGGTTGGGCCGCGCCCTATGATCACGAGGTTCTCCCCTGGACATGACACACGGCTGCAATCTACCACGGGACCAAACGGCACAGAATCAGTTGATATCGAGCTGCAGTTCTCGACAGAGATGGATTGCGATTCAGTCACAAACAGCATCGTATTCAACTCGACTACCGAGCAAGGTCGTTCTCCCACTATCGATCAAGGCAGCATCCAGTGTAGAAACGTTGATGATGCTGGTGAAGCCAACCTTGTGGGACAGATTCTTTCCGCATGGTCCTGGTCCGCGACACTTAATGATGTTCAGAACGGTGTTCATCGCCTGACAGTTCGCAATGCCAGCTCCGAGAATGGTGACGTTACAAACGCGAACGACCACTTTCTGTTCCGCATTGGCCAGGCCAACAATCCGATCGTTTTCCCCAGATCGGCCAACTACTCCCGCACGCTGCTATCTCAGGACGGCGATCGCCTCATGGTAAATCACTCCGCTGCCGGTGCGGACCTTTGGCGATACTCGACCAATTTTGATACCAGTTTTTCGGAGTGGATGCCTTATGAAGGCGGCATAGTCGAGATCGAGAAGCAGCCCTGGTCCGGCACGAAGCTGCAGGCCTGGGAGGGCGAGCACGTTCGCGTCGAGTACTTCTCCCGACTCGGTGGAAGCAGCGACCATATTCAGCAGGGTGACACCGGTGTCAAGCACGCCAGGAGATTCCCACATGTTTTCTTGAATGGACCGTACAATCAGTATGGCTACGATGCTGGCTTGAACAACGAAATGAAACTCACTGGCGACGCCGAATGGAGCCACCATTGGATGGTTGAATGGAATCCTCATGGCGCTCTAGCTCAGATCAACGTCTGGGGTATCAATCCCGATGGCAAGCCCGACCAGACCTTCGTCATGGGCGACATTGACGGAGATTCCATTCTCGATCGACTTCCTCCGAGCTCGTTGTCAGACCTCGTGCTCAACGTCACTACAGCTCCTCCGAAACCTTACCTTGGCTGGCGTTTCACTGTCCACGATGGTTCGCTCCGTTTCTCTATTCTCCCATCCGGCAACATGTGGTCCCAGCTGATCGTCTATATACTACTGTGGATCGTTCCGGTTCTCACCGCAGCGGTATCTTGCTGGCTCTACATGCAGTCCTTCTATGGCGTCAAATACAATAAAATAGGCGTCAGTGAAAAAGGTGGCCTTATTCCGATGGCTATCAAGAGACCTTTCAAGAGACTTGCCAGCCATGAGCCGGATGAGCAGCCTCGACTCCTGGCCAAACTTAAACGAAAGTCACCGAACTTTCTGCAAACCAAGGACACCGTCCTTGAGACTGGAGGTCGCCGAAGAACTGTGCTTATCGCCACTATGGAATACGACATCGAGGACTGGGCCATCAAGATCAAAATTGGTGGCCTTGGTGTGATGGCTCAACTGATGGGAAAGAACCTGAGCCATCAGGACTTGATCTGGGTTGTACCTTGTGTCGGAGGTGTTGACTACCCCGAGGACACCCGTGCTGACCCAATGACTGTTACTATCATGAATGTGGAGTACGAGGTCAAGGTTCAGTATCATAAGCTCCGGAACATCACTTATGTGCTTCTCGATGCACCTGTTTTCCGCCAGCAGACGAAATCGGAGCCATACCCTGCCCGCATGGACGACATGGAGTCAGCTATCTACTACTCCGCGTGGAACCAGTGCATTGCTCAGGCTCTCAAACGCTTCCCAATCGACCTTTACCACATCAACGATTACCACGGATCTGTTGCGCCTCTTTACCTACTGCCTCGCTCAATTCCGGCTGCGCTATCTCTCCACAACGCCGAGTTCCAGGGTCTCTGGCCTATGCGTAACCGCAAAGAGCGAGAAGAAGTGTGCAGCGTCTTCAATCTCCCTCAAGAGGTAGTCCAGCAGTTCGTTCAATTTGGAGAGGTATTCAATTTGTTGCATGCGGGAGCCTCCTACTTACGAGTCTTCCAAGAAGGTTTCGGCTCCGTCGGTGTATCTAAGAAGTATGGTGCAAGAAGTTTTGCAAGATATCCCATCTTCTGGGGTCTCAAAAAGGTTGGCGCGCTGCCCAACCCAGATCCATCTGATACCGGTGAATGGGACAAGAAGCTGCCCAGGGAGGAAGATATCCGTGTTGATCCCGAATTCGAGGCAGCGAGGCCAGAACTCAAGCGGCAAGCCCAAGAGTGGGCTGGCCTGGAGCAGAACCCCTATGCTGAGCTCTTTGTCTTCGTTGGACGTTGGAGTATGCAAAAGGGTGTTGACCTCATTGCTGACGTTTTCCCGGCCGTCTTGGAATCCAAGCCTAACGTGCAGCTTATTTGTATCGGCCCGGTCATTGATCTCTATGGCAAATTTGCTGCGCTGAAGCTTGCACGGCTGATGAAGCTCTATCCTGGCCGGGTGTACAGTAAGCCTGAGTTCACAGCTCTACCTCCTTACATCTTCTCAGGTGCCGAGTTCGCTCTGATCCCGTCCCGAGATGAGCCTTTTGGCCTTGTTGCTGTTGAGTTCGGTCGCAAGGGTGCACTAGGTGTGGGCGCTCGAGTCGGTGGTCTTGGTCAGATGCCTGGTTGGTGGTACACCATCGAATCCACCACAAGCCAGCACCTTACTAAGCAATTTCAAATGGCCATCGAGGAAGCATTGAGCTCCAAGACTGATGTGAGAGCCATGATGAGAGCACGATCCGCGAAGCAGCGTTTCCCCGTGGCCCAGTGGGTAGAGGACCTGGAAATTCTCCAGTCCACCGCCATCCGAATTCACGACAAGGTCGAGGCCAACAAGAGGCATTCAGCGACGGAAGGCTTCATGTTCCCTCACTCTGGTGCTGCATCACCAGGATATGGACCAAGCGGAGCCAATACGCCAAGTGGTGCGCGGACGCCTGCGCTGCACTCTCGCAACAGCTCTTATTCTGTCAGTCTACACTCTTTGGGTGCAAAGCTGCGAGGTCTGGCGGGCCAGCATACCGAGACTACTCCCGAAAAGCCTGTATCTGGCCTCAAGCGGCAAGTATCCTTGGGATCTCGCCGGGGACCGGGACATATCACAGCTGTCGATAGTCACGATGGACCAGCGGCGAACCACACCGTGCTGCCCACTATTCCAGACTTTGCCGGCGACAATACTGGCCGTCTCGGCCCGACGAGTTACTACGACGACGATGTGAGCGACGCCAGCGACAGGAGTGACGATGACGAGCCGATGAGCATGCCTACCCGCGCCAGGCCTGGGGCCCAACACCGGAATCAGGACTTGGATTTTGGCTTCGGCGGCCCAAGATCGCCGCCTTTGCCGGGTACTCCTGGGAGTCCAGGTTTTCCCGATGCGCATGCCGGACTCCTCGCACCGCCTCCAGCTCTATTCTCGGAGTCGAACAATAACCGCCTGTCTGCGACACCTTCTATGCTCTCTATTGACACGGTCGTGGGCGAAAAGACGGACTACAAGCTGCAGAAAGTTGATCCCTTCTTCACGGATTCCAATGGCAAGTACTACGACGAGTTTGAGAAGAAGCTTGAGGGTCTCTCAGCGAGTAACAGTACCACCGCAGGATTTGCCATCGAGGAGTTCTTGATCAAATCTGAAAAGCATTGGTTTGACGACTACCGCAATGCCAAACTCGGCCGCCACCACATCTACTCGGCACGCAACAGCTTCCAGGCCAGTCGTCCCGGATCCATTGCTCCCACGGACGATCGCGATCAATCGAAGGAGGATATGGCTATTTCAAATTCTCTCAACGACGAGTTTCTCTTGGGCAATGATTATGTTCCTCCCACCGGCCTGCGGAAGTACATGCAGATGAAGATCGGTGACTGGCCTGCCTATGCTTTCCTGATGGCCTTTGGCCAGATCATCTCAGCCAACAGTTACCAAATAACGCTCCTGACGGGCGAGGTCGGTCAACAAGCTTCGAAGCTGTACGTCATTGCCTCGATCTATCTGGCAACATCCATCATGTGGTGGTATCTGTTCCGTCGCCTGCCATCCCTCTACAGCTTGTCGCTGCCGTGGCTTTTCTACGGCCTGGCGTTCATCCTTATTGGCACTGCTCACTATGCTTCCTCGGCGGATCAGCGTGGCTGGATCCAGAATGTTGGTGCAGCTTTCTATGCCACCGCATCTTCCTCGGGCAGCATTTTCTTCGCGCTGAACTTCGGTGACGAAGGTGGTGCTCATGTCAAGTCCTGGGTTTTCCGCGCCTGCACCATTCAAGGCACACAGCAGATCTACATTGTGGCACTCTGGTACTGGGGCAGCATCATCAGCAAGCGGACACAAGACGGCATCTTGGTGGCTGACGACCCGATCTCGTCTACCTGGCGCATCACAGCTATCACTCTCCCGATCGCGATACTCCTCTGGACGGTTGGACTCCTCATGTTTTTCGGGCTACCCAACTACTACCGCCAGACTCCAGGCAAGATGCCCAGCTTCTATAGATCGATGGCACGCCGCAAGATTGTGCTGTGGTTCTTCGTCACCGTGCTCATCCAGAATTTCTTCCTGTCCGCCCCATATGGCCGTAATTGGAGCTTCCTCTTCAGCAGCAATCACGCGCCCACCTACGCCGTCCTACTTCTGGTAGTCCTCTTCTTCATCGGCGTCTGGGCCGGCTTCCTCTGGCTCTTCGGCCACTTGAGTAAGTCGCACTCATGGATCCTGCCTCTTTTCGCCATCGGCCTGGGAGCTCCCAGATGGGCGCAGATCTGGTGGGGTACATCCGGGCTTGGGCTGTGGCTTCCTTGGGCCGGCGGCTATACTTCATCCGCCCTGCTGTCCCGCGCGGTGTGGTTGTGGCTGGGCACGCTCGATGCCATTCAGGGCGTGGGCCTAGGCATGATTCTCCTCGGCACGCTCACTCGCGTGCACGTGGCCTTCACCCTCATCTCGGCCCAGGTCTTGGGCTCCATAGCCACGATCGTGGCACGAGCCTGCGCACCCAACAGGCTCGGTCCCGGCCCTATCAGCCCGGATATCACCGGTGGAGTCAGTGCTCTCTGGCAGGCGTGGTTCTGGATCGGCCTGATCATGAACCTGCTCATCTGTGTAGGGTTCTACAAGTTCTACCGCAAGGAACAGCTGCAGAAGCCGTAAAAGTCTGCGGCTTGAAGAGTCAAGGTCACGACGACTTTTGTTTTATATATCTCTTGTACGAACTGTCTATATTGAAAGCATTCCTGGGATCGAGAAAAACGGCGTTTTCCAAAAGGATGAGAAAAGCATGATTGCTATAGGATATTGGAAATAATGGGGAGCAGATCCCCCTAATGACCGGTAATGATCAGCCTACATAACTTGTGATCCATTCATTCACGAAAGGACAACCGAATGTCACCGAAGCTCAGATAGCATGTTTATATATACTTGGTCTTCGGTTCCGATTACTTCTTCTCGTCAGGCAATGCTGTGACATGTTGGCGTGTCCACACCAGTGAAGACAGGAGTCATCCGATCATACTTTGTGCCAAGACCCAGCGCCAGCAACTCCCTCCTTTGATACTTCTTTTTCCTGCAAATTCTCTCTTGCAACAGTACCACTTTCATCACATCCAAGGATTATCTACAAGATGCGTGTTCGTAACCGTCGGGCAACCCGCCTGATGGACCTCCCTGGCCCATACGTCACCCACGCCCCTACGCGAACATACCAAGACGACGCCCAGACCTAACGACCGTACCGCCCCTCCTCTCGCCGCCTCGGACCCCTGCACAACCGTATCCAAGCATTTCTTCCCTCCAATCTTGAATTGGTGCACGCCCTCAAAACAAGCCACCCTCGCTCCGTCTTCGACTTCTTCCCGTGTCTTGTCTGCCTTGGCTGAGGGGATGAGATCATCGCAAAAGCCTGGTCTGTATCTCGATTGCTGGTACCCATACCAATGCCATGTTGGCACCCTGCTGAATGGCTTCTTCCGGCTTGCTCGTGTGACGCTCGATCAACAGCGATCTTCTGCAGCGCGCGCCCCTAGTCGGCTTCTTTGCCCCCGCATTTTGATGCTGCTGTGCCCGCGTTGCATTCTGGGCTGTCCATATCAGAGGATGAGGTCATTTCTGCCTCATGCAAGAGCGGTGTAATTTTCTTTGGCCTTGCTGGATACATAACATTGAAACACCTCACCCGAGGCCCTCGCTCATTTTTTGAGTTCGCTTTCTTAATTACAGCATCGTCGACAGCCTCGAGCTTTAGCAGCCCGGATTGCCTCTAACATTTACCGAACCCCTCCTTAATTCTCCCCATCAAGCATCTGGACTGGCTCTGATCTTTGCTGACGCCCTCACTAAGGCTGTCGATCGACGGATCATCAAAAGCAAAAACACATAATCGGCCATGGCTGGCTCAACAAGATCATCGACGATTGCCGATAGCGACGAAGCCCGGCACCGCGAGAAAAGCATGGACCAATCGCCTGGCAACAAGCAATCGCTGCTCGGCGTGGACGGGCAGGACACTGCAGCACAGTTCCAAACCACAACCCCCTTCCGTGCCGACGGGAAGCAGGAACTGACCGAAGAGGATGCTTGGGACAAGCTGGGCTACTCTCTGCCCGAGTGGCGTAAATGGTCCATCTTCATTCTCATCCTTTGCATTCAGACCTCGATGAACAGCAACGCTAGCATGTACGGCTTTGCTGTTGAGGGTATTGCCGAGGAGTTTCACGTCTCGGAAACCAAGGCTCGCCTTGGCCAATTCATCTTCTTGGTCTGCTATGCGTTTGGTTGTGAGTTGTGGGCGCCTTGGTCTGAGGAACTCGGCAGGTGGCCAACTCAGCAGATGTCACTGTTCCTGGTCAATATCTGGCAGATATCTTCTGCCCTAGCGCCCAATTTTGGCACCATTATGGTCTCGCGAGCGTTGGGAGGTTTAAGCACGAGCGGTGGCTCGGTCACGCTGGGAGTCATCGCCGACCTCTACGAGCCGGAGGACACAGGTTTCCAGTACGCTGTGGCTTTCGTCATACTGTCATCCGTTGGAGGGGCGCCGCTAGGGGCCGTCATAGGCGGTTTCGTGGGACAATACCGGGAATGGTACTGGGTTTTCTGGGTCCTTCTCATCATGGGTGGAGTGGTCCAAATCCTGCATTTCTTTCTCGTCCCAGAGACCCGCTCCACTATCCTCCTGGACCGAGAGGCAAAGAAGCGGCGCAAGAATGGCGACAGCAATATCTACGGTCCTAACGAACTCAAGACCTTCAAGGAGCGCTTCAGCATGAAAGAGATCGGCAAGATCTGGTGGCGGCCTTGGCTCATGTTCTTCACTGAGCCCATCGTGCTGTTCCTATCCCTTCTCTCAGGATTCGCTGATATGCTGGTCTTTATCTTCCTAGAGGCCTTCACGCCAGTCTTCGAGCAATGGGACTTCGAGACCTGGCAAGTTGGATTGTGCTTCCTCTCGTGAGACGACCGGCCTAAAGTTATTATGCCTTGCTAACTGTGATAGATCGATTGTCGGCTACATTATCTCTTATCTCACCTATCTACCGGTGATATGGCATCACAACAAGACTCGCAAGGTCAATCCAGATCAACTCTCTCCAGAGTCCCGTCTCTGGTGGCTATTATTCCGTATGTCCCTCACCTCATTTTTGCGACCACAACTAACTCAATTCAGTGGCTCCACTTCTGAGCATCGGCCTCTTCATGTTCAGCTGGACCTCTCTCGGCCCACCCCACACGCATTGGATCGCACCCATCATTAGCGCCGCGGTGATCGGAATAGCCAACTACGCTATCTACAAGTCCTCCATAGACTATATGATAGCGGCCTATGGTGTATATGCTGCTTCCGCCACGGGTGGCAACGACCTTGCCCGCGACTTCCTGGCCGGTATCGCTGCGTTATACGCACATCCCTTCTACGAGAATATTGGGCCCGAGAACAGGAAGCTCGTTTACCCGAGTACAATCCTGGCTTGTCTGGCGGTATTGGTCATCATTCCAGTCTACGTGTTTTACTGGAAGGGGGAGCAGATCCGCTTGAAGAGTAGGTTTGCGCAGGAGCTTGAGAAGCAGAGACGAGCCAGACTTGAAAAGAGTGGCAGACGAAGCACGATCGGTCGGCAGGGCGGTCTGGGTGAGAACGGTAGGGCTAGTAACACCGGGGCGGGCGAGAAGAGGGTCGAGCAAGTATGAACGACGGCATGTTGACCTTGACCTTGACGTAGCGGGTTGATTGATGTTCTCTAATCGCTAGGTAGAGAGGGCTCGGGGAGGTACCTAGTGAGGTAAGTGGTGAAGTAACCGTGTGGTCCTGTAGGTCTCTCTCCTCCACCGTAGAGATCGCCTCAAAAAGGCGTCAAAGCAAACTTCATCCGAATTGGGGGTATCGTTCCCTCCCTGAGAGTGCCCATCGTAATACCCAGAGTAGTCGACCGAGGCTGGAGTAGCAGCAAGTTGAATAGATTCGACAGTGGTTGGGGCTGCAAAGTAGCTGTGGACTCATTCGACCGCCTTTTCGACGATCACCAGAACATGCAGGAAATGCCTGGAGTGAGTGCTGGCCCCTACACTACTATTGCGTTCTTCTGGCCGTATCAGACGCCAGAATGCCCAAGCCGAAGACTGGACCACAACGCCTGAAACTCCTCTCACATTCCCGTCCGCCTCTCGCCAACGCAGCCACATCATCCACGACCCAATCCTCGCGAGCCACGCGCGGCACGATCCGCAACTACCACACGGTCCAAAAGCGCCTCGCACACGCCTTGGCCAACGGCGACGATGCTCTCGCCGAGTCACTGCAGTCCCAGCTCTCCGCCTCCGGTGGCCTGCAAGCTTACCAGGCGGCCTCCACGATCGGCCAGTCCGCCCAGCGCGGAGGCGACACTTCCAAAGTCCTGGTCGAATGGCTCTCTCCATCAGCACTGACGTCGGAAAGGAGCGCTGAATCAGACCACCACCACGATTCAGAGACCGCGAAGCAGCGGCCCCTACGCATTCTGGAGGTCGGCGCCCTGAGTACGACGAACGCCATCAACGTGCCCGGCGAGACGGTCGTGCGGCGCATCGACCTCCGTTCCACCGCGCCGGGAATCGAGCAGCAGGACTTCATGACGCTGCCCATCGATGGTGCGCCCTGGCGCGGGAGTGAGAGATACGATGTCCTCAGCCTGAGCTTGGTGGTGAATTTCGTCGGCAATCCCCGAGAACGTGGACGGATGTTGGAGCGTACGACAGAGTTCCTGCAGAGTGGACAGGAGGAGGGGTCGCAGCAACGGCGTCAGAAGAAGTTGTTGCCGGCCTTGTTCCTCGTGCTGCCGCTACCTTGTGTGGACAACTCCCGGTATCTCAATGAGGAGCGACTGACGGCTATCCTTCAGAGTCTGGGGTACGAGGAGCTGCACGTGAAGAGGTCGAGCAAGCTCTACTACTCACTATGGCGCTACGATGCAAACCGACACCACGTGCAGCAGCAAAGAAAAGTCGTCTTCAAGAAGGAGGAGCTGCGGTCAGGTAGAGACCGCAACAACTTCTGCATCACCACGGGATGAGGGTTCGGCGAATTTTCTCGTCTATCTACACCATAAAAGCATCTCTCGCAATATCCGGGACGGCTTCTGCGGCCTCGGAATGGCCACTCAATTGAGGCCTAGTCCAACTTTCTCAAAGATGACGGGATTCCACTCAACTGCAAGCCAACCGATTCCGCAATATACGATCAGCTTTGTCACTACTTCGACATCGTATCTCACCCGAGGCTTCTGAACATTCGCGAACAGCGTGCTGGTCTGCAAGACTTCATCATCGGCATCTTCATCCGGACTGCCAGCTCCAGCTCGGGAGCGCCCTGGTGAATCGACGGCCACAGGCGACAGTGACTCAGCACCCATGCCCATCTGAGCTTTGAACAGCTCCAGGCTTGAGGCTCGTTTTCGATTACCCCGTACTGATTCTCCATTGTCCAACGGGCTGTCGGTGAAGTATCCTGCTTTGGGTGAAGCTGGAGGTGAGGCTTCTACAGGGCTCAGGTGCATGCTATCTCGACGTTGCTTCGCCCGATATGCCAATGCCTCATAAGCGTCAGCTTCTGATTGTGGTCCAATCGAGACGGCTCTCCTGCGTCTAAGAAGACCGGGAATATCTCGGGCAGAAGGGATAACGTTGTCATCGTTGCGTTGTGCTGGCACAGTCTTGTACTGTGAGGCGGGCGTGAAGTACCGCCGAGGAAGTGTGAGGCCATAGTGCTCGATACTCCGGAAGATTGGCGGCAGGATTCTGAGTAACGTTGGCTTTGCCCCCGCCCGCCACACGAAGATGATGACCACACCGAGCGTTATGCGTAATATTGTGATACCCCAGCCCATTTTTTCAAGGTCGAACCGGACAGTGGCTGGGGTAGGGTCATTCAATGCCCACCCAGAGTGCGCATAATGCCAGCTGCCGAAGAAGATCCCGACCACAACGCCTGCAAAGGAGACGCTGTCATCGTAGCAGGGACAATCATCAACTGGCTCTGGATGTATGCGAACAAGTACACACACGACCAGTACAGCAATGATCAGTCTCTGTATGTCACCTTCGTATAAATATAGATCAAAAGCGTCCCCGTACTTGCACTGAAGGAATGCAATGATAGAGCCCAAGACAGTTCCCCACGTGACATCGAAAAAGCCATGCATACCACAGTACAGTCGACCAATGGCTATGGAGAAGAAGTAGAAGTAGGCAAGTCCCTGCAGCGTCGAGTTGAGCGTCGTGCCTGCTGTTTCCCCTGTTCGCAGTAGATGGATGCAGTATATGGCGACCGACACAGCGTTTGCCGAGTGCGTCGACGGGAAGCCGTATTCCAGAGCCACGGATCCAGACATGGTGATCCTCTGCAGGGGCGGCGACAGGGGTCGGGGGAGACACATCAGGTCCTTAGCAAATCCGCTCCAGTAAACGCCGGCAGCCAGTATGTACACCATGCTGCGAACGTCAGAATGGTTCAAGACGGCGAGGATGCTACGAACCCTCTGCCCACATTATTATACCCACACCAGAAGATGATTGGAAGCATGACCATGAAAAACGTATGAGTCCCCAGATTGGCCGTCATGGCAAAGTAGCTGTCGAGGAACGGCGACCGGAGGCTGTTCTGAAGCCACGCTACATAGGGCGTCTCGAAGCGGACGATAGGCAACAAGCGCTCTCGAAGAGCATGCCGCCACCGTGGTAGTCTGGTCTTGTCTATGGCCTGGTCAGCACCACCAGGATCACCACCTCTGGCTGGGAATTCCTACAGTGATTCAGACTCCTCAGCCCCGCGTCAGGATTGTCTTTTTTCTGAACCATTTTGAGCGCCTCTTTCGTTGTAGTGGGTCCATCGAAGGGCGAAGAGAAGTAGTCAGAGGATTTCGAGCACGAATTTACCGCGCTCGCCGGGCTGTGTGGCTGATAAGGCAAGTTGGTAACATGGTGATTCTCGCAGAACGACAAACCGCGGTAAGCTGCGCCAATGGGAGCTAGCGCAGTCTTTCAGTGCACATCTATCATGCTGCGCAACACCCTCGAGTCATGTGCAGCGAAGTATGCGCCTGCATACGAACAGCGATACATATGGAACAACAAGGTTTCTACAAGTACGTCCACAACAGCGTGATGGACTGAACGGGGCCACATGATCCCGGCGGTAGAGGCGGCATGCGCATATGTCTAGGTGGCGGTTGCCCACTGTTGCTGGGTCAACCGTTTCGTCAACAAGCCCTCCTGCGCTGTGGCTCTCCCATCCCACTATTGTACCCTTGTCCTTGCATCACGTCCAACTTTAGGCAGCTTCATTGTACATAATAATAAGCCTCGACATCTGCAACCTCCCGCATCGCTGTTTTGCATCCCAAAAACAAAAACATCAGCTCCTGCTCAGCTCATACTCAACAGAACCTCATTCCGCAAAGCAATACTCATCTGCCGCAGCTGCGGCCTCCACCCAACATGACAGACACCTACGATCACCAGTTTGCCAATCAACCAACTCTCATGTCTGAGAAGTCCGCTTCGTCATACATCAGCCCTCCTTCTCCCCGCCGAAAGCCCACGCACCGTAGAGCAGAGAGCACACGCACATCGAATGCAACTGTGAGCACGAACATGAGCTACGGCAGCAGCATGGGGACACGACTATCAGAAGCCACCAACATTACTCAGCCGCCATCCTACTCGAAGAAGTTTGTCGTTGTAGGAGATGGAGGATGTGGAAAGACGTGCTTGCTGATTAGCTATTCTCAAGGCTATTTCCCAGAGGTGAGACGCTGCCACGAAGGTTGAATGAGGAATGCTGACAATCGCACAGAAATATGTTCCCACTGTCTTCGAAAACTACATTACCCAGACCATGCATCAGCCCTCGGGCAAAACTGTCGAGCTTGCCTTGTGGGACACTGCTGGCCAGGAAGAGTACGACAGGTTGCGACCACTCTCGTACCCAGAGACCGATCTGCTGTTCGTTTGCTTCGCTATCGACTGCCCAAACTCACTCGAGAATGTCATGGACAAGGTAGGTACATCCATGTGTTACTATCTCCGATCTAACAGAGTCTAGTGGTACCCGGAAGTCCTTCATTTCTGCCCGAACACTCCGCTGGTGCTCGTTGGCCTGAAATCCGACCTTCGCTCCAAACGCACCTGCATCGAACTCCTCCGCACACAAGGCCTCACGCCTGTAACTCCCGAGCAGGGCGCCGCGGTGGCAAAGAAAATGGGGGCTCAATACATTGAATGCTCGGCCAAGGAATCCAGAGGAATCAATGAAGTCTTCGAACTTGCCATCAATACAGCTGTTCAGGCCGAGGAAGACAGCTACGAAGAGCAGCCTAGTGCCCGTGGAAACAAGGTGAAGAAGGCCAAGAAGAGGAAGTGCGTGTTCCTATGATGTGGAAACCGATGGACACGTTGGCGCGGCGGTCTCGGGGGGTGGTTGATGTGCATATTAGATGGCGTTGCGACTTGCACGTGGCATTGGCGTAGAGTGTGGCAACGCAACAAGCGCCTGGATACGGCTTTTGATGTCCCTTCAACGATGTGATGAGCGAGGTAGTGATGGTACCACCTCCAGCTCTGTAAGAATACCATGATTCATACATAGTTTTATGTCTCCCTCTTGCGCCTTGTTCGCGGAACCTGTCTCGAAGTCCGGTTTTGTGTTTGGTGTCGCAGACCATAGTTCATGAATTCGCCGCCTGCATGGTCGTGTCGCCCTCCTCTTCTTCCCCCTCCTTGGCTTCTTGACCGTCTTTCCCATTCACCCCCTCGCCTTCGCCCTGGGCCTCATGCCCGCCGCCGCCTTGATTGCCCATGACGCCCTCAAACTGGCTCCACAGCGCTTCCACACTGGCAAACTCGTTGCCGATCTCGATAATGCCTTCCAGCCCGCGATTCAGCGCGTTTATCTGCGTGAGCACCTGTTCTAACGAGTCGCCGATCTCGGTGACCAGTGCGGCGCGGCGCTGTTGGAACTCGGATTGCGCTGGCTGCGGCGCGTCGGCTATCGAGGTCGACATGATGGTGGGGGTCGTGAAGGGGCGCCGGTGGGTGTGGCGCGCTGGGGGGGTTGTCACCAGTCGCGAAACGGGGGGAGGTCCAGCAAAAAGCAACGCGCGGTTGGGGATCTATTGGTGCCGACTTGGGTTGATGCACAGGAATACCTGATGCTGTAGAGCTCAATGTTGATGCGGGCCGAAAGTCGCGTCTCCCCACCAGCAGCAGCCGATTCACTGCCTGAACCCTAGGGATCGGCCAATCAACGCCCTGGACAGCGGAACTAAGTAAGTATACCACAAGTTCAACATTTTCTGCCTCGGTGTATCCACGATCCTCGAAGGCTTCTTGATGTACTGCGTTATGTGTCCTCTTCTTGAATAATGCTCCGGGAACAGTGCCAATCCCAACCAAGGAAGCCCGGATAAACCACTGCAATTGAAGCATTGCTTCCAGCTGATGCTCTCCCTACCACAAGGTTGGGGACTCTTGCAATGACAACCACAGCTCGCACGCCAATCAACACGCCCGAGACCATCATCAGACAATAGCGGCCCGATATAGAAGGTCCTGGCATGCACTCGCGGATGATGGAACCTCAGCCTCGTTTATCTCGCTCGATTTGATAGCCAAGATATGTTTAGTTCAGGTGAGGATCGGAGGCCCTAAGGAACGAGCAACGCAGCAGCGTGACGGAGGCCCACCAGTGATCACGTATTAATACTCGGGCTGGCTGGGGTGGGCGACCGACGCAAGTGTCTCAAAATCCTCTGTCGACTCCTCCGAATACCTTTTGACACTGGCACGCTCGATAATTGCCCAGGATGTCCGACAGTATGGGCGAGGCTACGCCACGATCACTGCTATCAGAGTCAAACGGTATCGCATACTTAGCTGGGGGGTGTATCTTGCTATATACATTGTACAGCATTGCTATTGCCGTCAAAAACGTCTACTTCCACCCACTAAGTCACATTCACGGGCCCAAGCTCTGGATCGCTTTTCCCCTCCTCAAATGGCTGCACGTAATCCGTGGCGACCTCGACGCGAAGATGGTGGAGTGGCACGAGGTCTATGGCCCAACCATCCGCATTGCTGCCAAAGAGCTGTCGTTCACCGGAGCTCAGGCGTGGGCTGACACCTGTGGACCCAAGAACAACCCTGAACTACCCAAGGGCTTCCAGGGGCTGCACGACGGGCGCCCGCGAAGCATGGTCGAAGCGAGCACCGCAGACCACGCTCGGTTCCGCAAAGCACTATCCTATGGCTTTTCTGAGAGGGCCATGCGCGCACAGGAGGGCTTGATTCAGGGGTACATCAACCTGCTTATGAAGAGGTTGCGGGACCGGGCTGACGGCGTCACGCCGGTGGATATTGCTCAATGGTACGACTTCACGACTTTCGACATCATTGGGGATCTTGCTTTCGGGCAGTCGTTCAACGGTCTGCGCGATGCCACTTTGCACACCTGGATAGTCAATCTCTTCAAGATGCTGCAGATGGCGGCCATCGTCCGTGGCACGAGCGAGTACCCGTTCCTGATCTCGCTGGCTCAGCGTATCGTACCTCGTAGCATCCAGAAAGCCGCAGACGAGCATTGGGACTTTGCAGCGCAGTGCATCAAGCGTCGCTTAAAGGACGGCTCCAAACAAGGTCGTCCTGATTTCGTCGATGCCATGAGCAGAAACAAAGGCACCGAAATCGAGATCACGGAGGAGGAAATGGTCAGCAACGCATTCTTGATCCTTGTTGCCGGCTCCGAGACAACCGCCACCTTGCTCAGTGGCGTGACCTACTTCCTCCTGAAGAAACCTTCGATCTTGCAACGCGCTCAGGCTGAGGTGCGCAACACCTTCAAGGACGAAAAGGAGATAACGATGACCTCGGTTTCGGCGAACTTACCATACATGCGCGCGTGTCTGGACGAGGCGCTCCGCTGCTACCCGCCCGCACCCGGAAGTGTTCAGCGGGTGACCGTCTCGCCCAGCACGAGCATCGACGGTACCGTCGTCCCCCCGGGCACGTACGTGTCCGTGCACCAAAGTGCAGCATTTTGGTCGGAACGCAACTTCAAGCGCGCACGTGGGTTTGTGCCCGAGCGCTGGCTCCCTGAGCATCAACGGGAAGGCGGCGAGTTCGCGAACGACGACCGCGCGGTACATCAGCCATTCAGCGTAGGACCGAGGAACTGCATAGGGCAGAATCTTGCAAACGCGGAAATGAGGGTTATACTGGCTAGGGTTCTGTGGAACTTTGAGCTCGTGCTTGCAGGGACAGAAGAAAAGAAGGCAGGGTGGGTAGACCAGAAGACGTTTTTGACCTGGATTAAGAAGCCGTTGATGGTGACGCTGAAGTTGAGGACATGGGATGTGTAGGCGGCTTCGACGTAGCAAATAGGTAAGCTGACGGAACGATGCGGTCTCCTCTAGATGGCAGCGGCTATTGCTGGGTAACGGGGGGTGGTTGTAGAACAGTGTCCTGTGAGGCAAACATGCAGACTGAAATAGTGGATTAGAACCAACATGAGGGGATGTTGTATCGTGCAGACTTATGCAGATAGTCGTAGGGGTTAGATTTCTTGGGCTCATGTAGGGCCCACCATTCATTACGACAGAGGCTCTCAATGGGCAGTATTGGGTTGAGTTTTCACATAGCTTCATGGGTTTCCTACACGATTTTTCTCCATCGAATGGACGCACAGATTTCGCACAAACGAAATCAATCTGTCTTTAACTAGACTGGCCCCGGGAGGATGGCCGAGTGGTTAAGGCGCTGTGTTTAGGTCTTGCTTTTCAGGGAGACTTGGAACGTTACAATGGCAGAAACCGCAGTGGGAAACCTCGTGGGTTCGAATCCCACTCCTCTCATATGCTTTTTTGATATTTTTGGAGCCCTGGACGTCGATGAGGTGGTGTAAACCACGTTGTAGCTCCAGCGAGGTGGTGTAGACGACGTTAAAGCTTTGGTGGTGGAAGGAGTTTCATGTGCGTGGTATAGAATGTAATTTTGCCGACGGACGTGTGAGTAGATCGGTCACGTGGTTGGCTACCAGGAAACCTCAGGACGGTCCACACACCTCCAAAAGTGAGCCAATTCCTTATTACTTATGAGCTTGAACCTTCGCTCGTTGTGTTTGCGGAAACGCAGCAATGGCAACAGCAGAAACAAGTACCGGCGGAAAGGGAGGTGGAAAGCTTGGGAAGAAGTTGAGGTGTTCGTATTGCATTTCATTGCCTTCGATTCCAGATAGTATAGGTCCTCAGATAAATGGTTTTACAATCCAGTTCTAGAATTGTGTTTTGATGCGAAACAAAGGTCAGTGTACTCAGTCTTCGGGTCTAAGGGAAGAAAGTTGTTGGCCTCTCGAGTCAATTCATCCATGTTCAGGGGAAATGCATCTCCACCCCATGCCAAGTCTGGCGTCGCGACACACCCCTCAAAGCCAAAGTCGCGCTGACTTCGCGTCTGACTTCGCGCCTGCAAGCCACCCCGCGCAATGTGCAACCCCTGACGCTGGGACATCCAAACGGCTGGTAGACTTCCGCTTCGGAAGCGCGCTTGAGTGAACGTGGCCAGTTGCGCCGTGCGATCCAGACAGAAACGCATGTCGCATCCGTTATCCGGGCGTGCAGGGATGAAGAGGTCTCGCCAGGCCGTGCCGCGTCTCGCATGAACACTAGCTGTTGTGTAGCGAGACCGCGCGGAAGGGAGATTGGCCGATTATGGGAGCTTTTTCCGTATTCCCAGGAGATTTACCCCAGATATCAGAGTAACATATGTGCGCACCAGATTTGCGGGACGTGAACTGAGGCTCGTTTATCGTGCCAAACTGGTGGATCTGCGATGGCGGAATGTTGAACTGCCAAAGCCTTCGTATTCGATAATGGCAAGGTTCACGGTTGGTTTGGGGCTTTGATGTTTCGGGACTTGGGTGGTGCGTAAGTTCCAAAGAAGAGGCGCGGATGTGGATGGTTTTTTGGAAGCATGCAGGAAAAGCGGTGCATCTCGCGAGCTGAACCTCGACTTGCTCGATGTTCGTTCGAGAAACAGCTCGATCTCTGTTGTCGTAATGAGCCCGTGGCGCGGCGTTTGGCTCGGCGTGCGGTGTGCTGTAGCATAAGTCGTGATCAAAGTATCAGGCAGTGAGTATTCGTAGGCAGCGTCTCGGTCGTAATAGTAAATGTGCTCCAGCCTACTTCTTGATGGACAAGAGGCGCGATAGACGCTGCTTCGTTTTGTTCTCGGTACGCTCGCCACTATTCTGGCGGCTCTCACCAGAAGCATTGCTACTGGTCTCTGAGGGTGTTCGGCCACGGCTATGGGATTCGGTTGCTGCAAGGATGTCCTCCAACCGTACATCCGAATTTGGAGATGTACAGTGGAACTGAGGATCCATGATTTCGGTGAACTTTGAGGCAGACATGTTTATTCGTTCAAGGGCTTGATGTGGCGCGAAATGTACGGCAGCTTATATATATTTGTAGTGGTAGCGAACGAGGTATGAGCGATAGTGAGGTGTGAAGGTAACTGAGGAGGGAGGAAGGAGTGTTACGGTCCCAGGCAGTGGGATATATGGAAAGATTTTTACTGTTCGGCTCTTCGTAAGGGCGGACACGCGACTCGTGTCTATTCTTCAATCTCAGAGAGTTCGTTTCGAAAGGGATTCGCCCTCCGTTTGGCTGTGCCGTGCAAGCCGCCTCGTCACTGGAGGCGAGACTCGCAGGCCGTCTAATGGTCTGAATTGGAGGTGGGACCAGGGTCCTTCAGGGCCCTTGCGATCGGCGGGTAGGCCACAGAGCGGTGCACATCGGCTCCAGACTTTGCTCGCCCCAGACCGGGCTCTGGACCGACCAATCTGCGGAACCGGTGGCGTCTACGCCAGGCCTCTCCAGGCGTAGACTTATGGCGCTATTAGGGCCGTGTCAACGCAACTTCTGCACGCGGAGGACTTTTTTCGGGTGTAATATGGTCGTGTGCCTCGGGGCATACACATGACCTGGGGATTTCTATTCGAGTGTGTCAGCAGTGCTGCCCCCTAGGGTATGGACGAAGACGGTTGCCATGCATGGACAACCGAACCCAGGGATGTGCCAGAACACCCTGGTCCTGGGAAGGCAATTTTTACCTGGTGGGGCGCTTGGGCAACAATTGACGACCCTATGAGTTAGTTAGCGGCGCGTCTCGACCGCCGAATATGCACTGGGGTTACAGATTTCCTAGTTTCGGTATTGCGCTATGAGCAATGCATGTCTGAGAACTAACGCCGTACATTTGGTAAATCGGCATTCAATAGTTATTCAAGGTGGGGAGTAGCTGGGTGGGAAGCAATTGCTGGCGAGGGGCGACTGTGGCCACAAACGTCGCACGTGTGGCTATGCTCACTGATCGGCACGATACATGTGCTGTTCGGCGCGGCTGCTTCGTCACTTCCAACCACCGCCGTGTTTGTCTTGCGCAACGTGCTTGCTCATCTGCCCACTCATACACGGAGTGTCCATCCGTTACGCAGCCCGCACATCAATTCAGGCATCGGTCGATATCTTTGCGAGCCTCACACCTCAGAACACTGCCATGCTGGCAACAGATTTGCCTCTTCCGCAGACTTCCGATAATATAGCACGCGGCGTGCCTTCTTGCGCTGGACGTCATATGTCATTGCTGACATGGCCGCGCGAACAAGCCGAGCGTTGACTTTCGCGTGGGTTCCGCGAAGGAGAGTCGATGTTGGTTGTTTTGGTCGCTCACAAAGAGTGCTGTAGCACTCAACCCTCCATCTTCACGTCCGACGCATCTCCGTTCATTTCCACCCCTTTAGCCGCGGAAATCCATAGGACATTGTTACACCTGCTTGACATTAGTGTCTGTCGGTCCTGGCGCGTAAGGATGACACAATCGTACCGAATAAGGACCTGGCCCAATGTACCGGTATGTTTGCGGTTTATGTATTCTTCAGTGCCTGATAGCTGAATGTTCATATACGAGTCGACGCTTATCAGTCTGCCTTTATATTCGGTCTGACCCCATTTGAGGCGGATTATGACATCCTCGTTGATGCTGCCGCAGATACGTCAGAAATGAGCTCCTACCCTGGGTCTAATTTGCAATCGCTGCGTGCGTCCGGTGGACGGATACTCGATCGGATTTCGCAAGCAGCGTAGGCCGGAAGGAATGCTAACTTACAGCGACTGCAGCATCGGCCGAGGGTTGACAGGCGCAAACTGGTCTATATTAGCAGGTGTTTCGCACGTTTCGGGAAGGAGACGCACACTCATGCTGACTTGCCGCCTGTAGATGTCAAGCTTGTCGGAAATAAATCGTGAGAAACCGGTTCAGAGTTTCCTTGTGCATGCAACAAGCGATTAGATCCTCAACGCGAGCCTGAGCTTGAAGCCATCAGATTGAACTGCGCTCCGCAGAAAAGTGAACATGCTAGTCTTGGCGTTGCGGGCAAGGCTCAATAGGGTTTAGGGCTCGATGTGAACGGATGCATCGACTCGTTCCTCTACTCTACCTTCATCTTCGTTTCAGCACTCCAACAAGACCCATTGATCATGCTTGCCCTGGAGTTGACCGCAGAGTTGAATGGGTAACGACTCATGTTCGGCATATATCGCGAGCTCCGCTGACCATCCCAGGGTCACTGATTTGCGTCCTACTGACACAGTGGAAACCCCATACTGGTATACGTTCAAAGTCCAATGCACGTCATGTCGTGAGACCCATGCGAATTGGGTTGGTGTGAACCGCCATGTAGGTCCGAAAGTCTCCCAGCCAGGCCTTTGAGGCTGTCATGTCGTTTCCGCACCACCTCTTCGTCGGACGAGAAGCCGGTCCATTACGTACCCATCATTATTGACTTCTTATGGTTTGTACCACATTTATGATTGCGGAAGCCTGACATTGGGGGACAGGAGATGAGTGAGCAATCGGGCTCGCGAGGGGAAGCCAATTTCGTCTGGAAGTGCAAGAATTGCAAGGTATGGGTCATGACTACTAGCGAGGTCGTAAGACGAGGCAGCTGATCAGTTGCGGACAGCGCGAATCAAGTGCCACTATCAAATCAGCGCCTGCGACCTACGAACAGACAGAGCCACCTAAAGCCAAGAATCTGATCGATATTGACTGCAGGGGCCTCGAGTTCACCGAATTCAAGCCGGATGTATGAACCCGCGCATGTGTAAGCACGGAAAGGACGCTGATCATATCCAGGGAGAGTGGGAAGCTAAAGGCGTGGAATCGGGTACGCTTTTCACGGGAATAGACCTGAGTGAAGGTGAATGGTTCGATTACGACGAAAAAGCCGGCGACGAAGTTAGTATCAAAGACATCAGCTGGGCGATCAGAAGGGCGTGAGCCTGGGCAGGAACAGGCCACGCAAGACATGGCAAATCCAGACGTCTCGGAATGTCGATACTAGCCAGGGAAAGCATAGTTGCACGATGACAGTGAGTGGCCATGATGCCGCGATAGAAGAACTTCTTCGATTCCGCTGCACCCACCACTAGCTTCACCGGATGCAATTCGGAGAGACCATCATAGGGTCGGTGCTGGCTCCGTCAGAACGATGGTTATTGAACCCAGATATTCGACCCGTCCCGAGACAGAGCATTGGGGTATCATCCGCGCAACAATGATAGTCTGTGAACAGACACAACCCACGTACGGTATAGAACGCGTGGGCATAATGGAGATAATACGGAGCACCTGCAGCAGATCGTGAATCCACCCATCCCATTCGCTGGCCCATGGCGACGGCTGGCATATCATTTGGGCTAAAGCCAGAACCACTCATGTGTCTGGAACACCACTGAGTCGCCATTAAGGTAGGCATGCGAGGAGATCGTGCAGGCAGTACTTGAGTACAAGCAACAGTCCACCGAGTAAACTCGGGTGCGCCAACGCAACTCAGCAGCCTCTAAGAAAAATAGTGCAGCCAGATGCTGGGAGTCATCGGTTGTGGCTGATCTCAAGCACCAACTCTGGAAGCGCCAAGGCCCTCAATCTGGCTTCATAACTTGAGGGTTCGTCTCAGTGGGATACCAATCAGACTGTTTTCGAATCGCTTCAAATGTAGAGAACATTTCGACCGCTTACCCTGGCTGTCGTCTAGATATGAATAGATGCAAGGCTGACGGGTTAGCTGAAGAAGGCAGGGATTTGCGCCCTGGAGCTTGTGCTTATCACGCCCGAGGGTCCCGGAAGCGAGTGCATTCCTTGCGCAACCGACTTCGACAGCGAAATGGCCGCCACCCCTTCCAATTTCTCTGCAATTTCCACCACCAATCAGCCCTTTTCACTGGCTTCTTCTTAGCCCGGCAAAGGCACGGCTTCTCGGTACCTCCCTTGTTGTCCTTTGCACGATGTCCCGCGGTTTCTCGTTTCTTGTGGGCTCTGGAGAACACCCTGGTTTGGGAAACCAGCCGGACCTTACCCTCTCGACCTTTAGGCACGCCACGGCTATTCCTATATCGTGCGCTGACCTATCCTATCAGTCTGCTGTCCGTATTTTCTGCGGAGGCCTTTGCCGTGGCACTCCTCGTGGTCCACTCACACCTCGCGCCTGCCATTGTAAGCCTGAAGCTGAAACGCCGCTCTGACTACACCAACCTGTACAACCAGTCCGCAAAAGGTGACAGCCTCAGCTAATCATTTCTCCCAAGGAACTCCTGTTCGCTCTTGTTCCCTGATATCTGTACCTGCTGGTCACTATCTGTGCGACCCTTTTCGCGACCGCAGTAGATGCTGCTTTGGCTCCGCCAACTTCTCCTTGCATGTACTTTCTCATTCCCTGTTTAATAGCGTCAATCCAGTGTTTTGCGCCACTTTTCTGGGAGGCAGGAACGCATTGAGTGCTGACTGCAACCCGCCCTTCTGTGTCGATCTCATCGCCAACCTCGAGCACTGTCATCGTCACCTCGACCTCCATCCAAAATACAATTGCGTCGTCGGAACCACCGCTATGACCATGATCGCCATTATCAAGAATAAAACGGGCCTGGCCCTCGACACCACCCCCAAAATACACAAGAAGTACCTCGGAGAACCAGACGACCCGCACTTTATTCCCGACAGCCCACTGATAGAACGCGCTCAATTTACCGAGCAGGAAGAAGGCGAACTGAAGAGACTATGCGCACTGGCTCTCGCCCATGTTCCGCATTCTGACGAACCAGATCCGGCACCTCCGCGACAGCCTCAGCCTCAGGCCCCTCGAAAATACAAAACTGCTGCGCGAGAGGATGTAAAGCCACCGCAGCCACAGTATGCAGAGACTCGGACGCCGTCAGAAGCTTCTAAGAGGGACACTGTCGGCACAGCCACCGACTATTCAACTCCCCTGACCAGTGCTGGCATCACTCCCGGCGAAACTGTGAAGCGCAACTCCGACAACAACAACAAAGCTTCATCAAGCTCAAAAGGTATCACTGCTAGCAACCTGCGCTTCGACTCATGGCAACAAGCTTACCAGCGGGCAAAAGCTCATTCGCATCCTCCACCATCCAAGGCATTGCAACCAGTCGATCCACGCAAGGTATTAGACGCGCGGAAATCGTCGGCCTCTGCCCCGGTAGGCACAGAACGTGCTCTGCGCTTCGCCACAGAATCACCGCGTGGCTCAACTAGCAGTCAACCAAATCCTGCTCGTTCGACAGAATTCCCACGCTCCAATCGTTACTCTCAGGCCGAGCTCAATAAGAAGCTCCCACCTTTGCCCAAAGAGGCTTCTGGGGATGATCCACAGAAGTCTGCCTCACTATCACGTATGTTCAAGACCATCAGCCGGAAGAAGAGCACAATTCACGGCGATGACGAAGAAGACTGCGAGCCGCTGACTGGCTCAGACGGCCGAATCTCAACCCCCGTCAAACATGTCAAGAGCGCACCTGTGAGCCCAGCCGTGGGAGCTGACAGCAAAAAAAAGCTTGCAAGTAAGCTTAAGATCTTTGGCCGCAAAGAGCGGCCAGAGATCTCGACGAGAGGCATAACTGTCTCATAGTCATATTTCCAACTCGTCTCTTACCAAACTTCTCCTTTCGTCGGCGGAATCATGGCGGTGAATCACTCTTTTTACAATCTCAGCGATGGCGTTTGCACGGCGTTCACGACTCTTACGATAGCATTATTCGGACATCTCAAAACCTGCTCGGCGGTCTAATCTATAACCACTTTGGACCGGACTATCAGGAGACTCGTATATATTGGGGGCGATTCTCATTGCGGACCAGGATATCAGACCATCGCACAGGGAGCTTTCCATTAGCGTGTCTCACAAGGTCGTCGCACGATACCCTACAATACTTTTCCTAACTGACATTGCTCTGCATATTTTGCAAATATACCTTCACTTCGACAATCTGTATATATCCTACAATGAACTGGTGCAGGGGAGGGGGGATGAAGGGGGAATATGAGCCACGAATGTAACGGCGACGGGCCAAGTGACGGGGTCTCAGGCTGGGGGGCAAGCTGGCTGCGCTGGCTAGCCGCCGGAGCAAATGGGCTTTCCATGAATTGATCAATACTACACCCCCTTTCCACCTTCATTCTTTCGCGATTTTTGGGGTGAAGTAGTGTAATAGCCATCGAGTGTTGTCCCCTCACCGCTTCACACAGCTCTGTCTGCACATCGCGCACCGCTCTTGTCAAAGACAATGTCAGCGGGCGCAGCCGTTCGTGAGAGTCGCGTTCAACAAAATGATGAGATTGAAGGAGACGGAGGTACTGAGCAAATCGGTGGGGCATGGCAGATGTTTGTTCTGGCTCTTGAAGCTTTATTTTATCTAATTGCATTTCAGCAGGTCAGCCGAACAGGGGCGCCGAGTTGCTTGACCAGCCGACGGTCGAAGCACTCGCCATTGAAGCTCTGTCTGGCTGGGCTGTCTACCTGACTGTCCGTCCAGGTGTGTCCCATGCTCTCTCTAGTAACGCCGTCGCTATGCCACTTTCTTGCACGCTTTGCATGCCGTACCATGATTTCATCCGGTCGGGGTTTCCTCTAGGGGGTATCATGTCTTCATTTCATTCCGTTCCATTCGTGCGCAGTCCTCGAGAAACAGCACCCGCGCTCCATGTTCGAGCACATCGTGCCGGTCAAATTGCCTGGGTGACGCCACCCGGTAGGCACAGCCCCTCCTACACAAGCAGGCTTCGACCCCCAGGACCCTGGTACCCGCCGAAGTCCGGCAGATTACCCACGTCGAACGGTCCACCGCCCGCCTTACGCTTGCTCGATCGCGTCTGCTCGACGCCTGCGAACGTCTTGCCCAATTCCTGTAGGCCCTGCACATCCTTGCTCAGCGTGCTCAGGAGCTGCGTCAATGAAACGTCATTCTTCTGCGCTTTGGCGGCGGCTTCAAGCTCGTTTTCGGTACCATCGGCGGACTCGGGTGGTGTAAGCAGCGAGAGCCGGGTGAGAAGAGCTTGAATGCTGCGGAGATGTGGCAGGAGCTCCGGGTCTGGAGATTCGCCGGTAATTGGTAGGGAGGAGTCGGAGAGGTAAGAGGGGGGCAGCGCGGAGACAAAGGTCTTGATCTGGGCTATGCGCGATTCAAGCATCCTTATGGAATTGAGACGGGTGGTGAGACTGGCGATCTGATCTTGCTCCTCCGAGGAAAGGACTTCGAGATCGGTAGGAGTGTGGAGTTTGGTTTCGCTGGCTTCTGGAGAGGCACGCTTCTTCCCCTTACGGTCCTCGGGGGGAGGTTGAGCAACGGCTGTAGCGCTCGCCGCGGAGTCAGCGACCGCAGCTGCACTACCGGCACCCTTGGAAACAAAGTTGATGGCGATCATCTCGGTCTCATCGGTTTCGATTGTGTACGGGACGGGTCGGAACTTGAGGTCGGAGCTTTCCTCACCGTCAATTTGCATGGAGCCTTCATCTTTTGCACCATCTGACTCGAGGACGCTCTCGTAGATTGTGACGGGAAGCTTCTGGTCGGCTGACTCGGAGCGCTCGAATGCGGTTGGGTGGATTGCTAATAGGACATTGGTCTCGTTGAGGCTGGTGATATAACGCTGGAATTGGACAAGCTCAGGTAGCGGGCCAGAGGTCGGGACAAGAGTGAACCAGCCTACGACATCAAGAGCAGGAGCCTTGTGGACGTCGCGATCTGCGGAACGGTCAGTCAGGACGCAGGACAGGGGATTGGGAGAGCTTACATTGCTGGGTTCTCTGATCGAGCCATGGTTGCTTGAAACTGTACCTGCCGGACTCATCTTTGTCGAGTGCAGCAGCGAAAGCGTGTTCTGCAGTGATCTCACGGCCTTTCTGTTGGCCGAGCAGAATGCCAATTATAGGCTGCGACTCGCCGCGGACGCGGTGTCGGGTAATCTGATCCGACGCTGTAAGGAGCACAAGAGGATGAAGAGACACAGAGGTGCCTGAGTCTGAAGGCTTGACTGAAAGCAGCGGGTTCTCTGAAGTCTGCTCCATAGTATCAGATCAACTGAACGCGTATGAGAAAGTACTAGAATTGCCTGTTACCGCATCTTCAGGATTGCGGAACTAACTGCTGCGGGGGAATCAGGCTGCACGACTGCGCGAGGCTGACAATTTGACATGCCAAGGAGAAACAAGGCAACCTTTCAGTCACCAGAGTCCTGGAGCCGATGGTTTTATCACTCATCGCAGGGGGATCACATGGCTCTCTCATCGTGGCATTGTGTCATGTGTTGATATGTATCCTCAATTTGGAAAGTATGATCATCGGGAAAGTTACTATCGCAGTCTATACGATCTTAGAACGCTGTCAGAGCCACGGCAACCACGAGAGCAACCAGGCCAGCACTCATGCTGGTAAGGCGTGGTGCAGCGTCTTCCTGACCGTCTTCCTGACCATCGGCTCCTTGCTCAGCCTCCTCGCTTCCAGAGTTGCTGGTACCGTTCCCGCCCGACGGGGAGCCAGGCTCTGCATCGCTCTCCACGATACGACCTTCCAGCTCAATACTGACAGGGCTCTGAGACTCGATGTACATCACAAGCACTTCGTCTTGTGTATCAAGTGAGACGAAGTCAGTTGTAGGCTGGAAGAAATTGTCGCCTCCACCAGCAAGGAAGTCGAGAGTCACAATGGTGTACTCTTCCTCTGAGTCGAGCAGCTCTCCCCCAATTTCAACACTTACTAGCCTTGAGCCGCTCTCGCCCTCAGGGTTATAAGTAACAACGATGCCGCGGCTGACCTGAAAAAAGCTTGTGACCTCATCATCGTTCTCCTGGTTGACGCCTGAGACTATGCCCTCGAGCACGTTCCAGACCTCCTCGCCACTTAGCGTAATCTCGACGATCGAGTTGCCGAAAGGGAATGAGGTCAGGACCTCCCCACGAGTAATATCACCTTCATCGATAGTAGCACGAATACCGCCAGCGTTGATGAGGGCGAAGTCCGCCTCATCAGACTGGTTCTGACGGTACACGAGCATGGCATCGGCCATGAAATTACCAAGTAGACACTCCTGCTCTTGGCAGGTCGTCTGGTCAAGTTCGACGCTAGAGACACCAAGGACTTCGGCAGCAAAGGCTTCGAAGGGCTCGGCGAGCTCCTCGATTTGGGCTTGGAGATCGGAATCCTGCTCGGTGGTGTTGGTGACATGGACTGGACCACCATGATACTCGAGGATCTTGCCCTCATCATCGTACAGAACATCAATGTAGCCCAGATACTCGCCCCATCGGTAGGCTGTGACAATGAAAACCTCATCGCCATCCATGTTTTCGACAATTGTGGGATAAGGACCCTCGGCGTCCTCGAAGTCTCCGAGTGGAGTGTGACTGTGACCACCCATGATCAAGTATAGACCTGTGGTTTCCTCTGCCAGCCTCTGGTCTTCCTCATAGCCAATATGGGTCAAGGCTGCAATTCGAGTGATGTTGGTAGTGCTGCGGATCTCGTCGATCGCACGCTGTACGGCCTCAACGACGTCGCCAAAGACAGTGCCCTCGCCAGGACTCGAGATACCTGGGGTGTCTGGGGTGGTAACACCAATGACGGCAAGATCGTACTCCTCGTAGATGTGGTAAGGCTGAAGGGTTTCGTTGAGGACGGGGTGATCGGACTGGATGTTTGCGCTGATGATGGGAAAGGTGAGATTCTCCAGGAAGGCACCCAACTCATCGTCACCGCCGTCGAATTCGTGGTTGCCAAGGGTCATGCCATCGAAGCCCAGCTGCTCGAGAACTTCGCCAATTGCGAAACCTCCCCAGTAGGTATAGTATAGCGTGCCCTGAAATTCATCGCCAGCATTTAGGAAGAGACTATCACCAACGGTCGGTCTCCGCTCATCGACGATAGTCTTGATTCGAGCATAGCCTCCGTAACAACCGCTTGACGGGTCTTCGCAGTCAGTGCCGGAAGAACGAAACTCGTCCAGATGGGAGTGAACATCGTTGACATGGAAGAAGGACATATTGTACAGGCCCTCGCTATTGAGTTGTCTTTTCTCAAGAGCGCGCTTACTCACTAGGACATCTTCGCCCACGGCCAGACTAGCCGTCATGGCGAGCCCGGCGGCCAAGGTCAAAGTCTTGGAGAAGCCCATAGTGTCGCTGAAGATTTGTTGTGCGTGGAAGAAAGCAAAGCCCTTCTTCGCAACACAGGCAGCTTCCTGGTTTTATCTGCCTCAGCCAAAAATGGCTTATCCCCCGGACCTCGAAATCCCTTGGTCGCGCGCGAGACCTTGCAGAGCAGATCACCGCATAAGCACCTAGAAAAGCTTGGAAGGACGGCTGAAGCACCTATGAGGGCTTCTGCTCGGCCAGCTGGGTGAGGCACTAACAGCAAAAAGGCAGGCACTTGCCCCGGAGGCGAACCGCCAAGGAGGCGGCGGGCTTGGTCTGCAACCTCGCTATCGTCTGGTCCTCCACAAGCTCGGGCGTCGCCGAAGGGCTTCGGTAACACGTGGGGAGGGTACAGGTTCCTGCATATTGAGCAGAGGTCTGGGCGAATTTTGTTTTTGGGAGCTGGACGGAGCCTATGGCACTGGATAGCGGGTCAGAGGCCGAATGCAAAGGCTTCCTGACGGCCGCCAAAGCCGCTCGAAGCGAAGACGGATCCCTGGACAGGAGCCATGCATGTCATGCCGCTCCAGAAATCGATCGCGCGCAGGTCAAGAGGTGGTGAGGCGTCCTGAAAGGCATCTGGCTATTTCAGCGCTTTCAAAACGTCGTCCGAAAGCGATGATGCTCTCAGGGCAGGATGCGCAAGCGGAAAAGCCCACAAGGTCCAGGGGCTCCTGCTGACTAAAGAGGGGCTCATTTGAGCAATTGTCAAGGATTGGTTCAATGGAAATGCGATCCCATCGGCAAATCTGGCCCGAAGCATTACTCTTATACAACCTAGAACATTTCTGGCCTCCTCCCTTGAAGCCGCATCTCACCCGCGCAGTTGTGTAAATGCTGGGACCACGCCAAGCACTGAGCAGGGTACGGCCATACAGACTTTCGCGGCTTGCCGCTACTAACACCAGCTGGCAGCTTCTGTCCTTGCAGTCGTTCTTCCCGAGCTCGATACGCTTCGCAACAAACAGCACCCTACAGGCGACAATGGAAAACCCTGACATTGCTCGAATACACGACTTTTGGTACTCACGGCCGCCTGTTGAATGGTTTATGCCCCCTGAAGGCTTCGACAGCGCGTGCGCGACACAATTTGGTGGCCTGGTCCAGGATGCGCGTGACGGCAATTTGGACCAGTGGACGTCGGATAGGAACGGCAGTCTGGCCATTATCATCCTGCTCGATCAATTCTCGCGCAACATTCATCGTGATACACCTAATGCCTTCAGCGCGGATCCAAAGGCGCTGGACATTGCCATTCGAGCCATTGCCAAAGGGTGGGATGGGGAAGTGCCCATGGCCCAGGCTGTCACTTTCGTAAGTGAGAGCCCGAGTGAGCGAGCCTTGATGTACATTAACGCCCAAGCAGTACTTACCACTGATGCACAACGAAAGCTTGCTGGCCCAGATAGCGTGCTTAGCATTTTTAGAGAAACGCAGGATGCAGAGCGAGCCCGGCAGCGAAGATTGGAAGTTTCTGTCTGGGTCTATAAAAGCGTCGAAGAGTCATCTAGAGGCAATCGAGAGATTTGGTCGGTTTCCTACCAGGAACAAGATACTCGGGAGGGAGAGCACGCCTGAGGAACTGGAGTTCGTTGAGAAGCAATCACGCGTCACTGAGGCACCGGAAGCATCTGGATCTTAGTCAAAGCATCGAGAGACAGGCCACCGGGAGTGTGGTTTGCAGGCTGTCCACTGGTGACTTTGGTCGTGTAGACGCTCACGAAAGTTGAGTCGAGAAATGCTATAGCGAGACTGCTGCCCAATGAAGCTGCAGAGCAACGCCCGGACCATTGTTGTGCTTCGATTGCCAACCTGTATGCATGTATTCGAGTGTTTTGTCAGAGCTGCGAAAAGTCCATCGAGACCGGTTTAGATCGGTCTGTGTCACAAACCCTAGTAGGGATGTGCTATTGATAGCAAGCCGAGTTCCGAAGTCGTGGGGAGCTTAACGCCCCCATTCCCGCCATCCTACACATCAACACTTGAGATTCTACACCATACGTCGATGCAGAAATTGTTCTATGGTCTAGCTAGAGTGACAAGTCCACTTTTCAAGGTATTCTCGGCGGGAGCCCGTGTACTAGTAAGCGCCTGCCTTAGGCCATGGGCACAAGGCCGTTATGACCGTCCTTGACCGCGATACGGTTCGCATCTCCTCTCCAACATCCGGCAGATATAACACTTCTTATTGTTCAGCATCCAGCCTCACTCTCTTGACATGACCCTGCCGCCTATGCTAAGACACGGTATTGGTCTCGTGGAGTCTTGCGCAGGGCCCTACGGACGCCATGCTTCGCCAAGTGCAGCTCCGGGATCCGACATGACGCGTCACTGGGTCCAGCAGAACTGTTGAGGCATTCATATCTGCAGCTTCAAGACTTCGTGTCAGCCTCGTTGCTGCATGTCCCCGCTTGTTTCTGCATCACGCAGATACCCGCTCATTTCGTTCGTTCCCCTCTTCTTGTTCACATCCTCTTCGTGCTCATCGTTGTGGCCCCCTCACCCTGTGCTCGCAGTCTTCTCGCAGAGGCTTTGGACAACGATTGGATAGTCCTTCAGGACATGACCGAGAAGACCGTCGGCAACGATAACTCCCAGCTGGTCCTCTCGTTGGACGAGGCGACGGGCCAAAATGACGACGTCTATGTTGTCCATTACGACCTGAGTGACATTGGTGAGGAATCTTGAAACCGTCTCTCGCCATTCTCTTCAGTCTGACCAAAGAAAGATACGAAGAAAGCCAAGGATGAAGTCGAGCGACTGATTCAGGACTGCACGAAAGCCGGCCTGCAGTCTGCCGTCCGTGTGGGACCTGAATGCTCCCTTCTCATCATTTTGAAGGCTCCAAGGGACTTGCTTGGTAATGCGGTCCATCGATCAAGGTACAAAGCCGTCGTGAGAGTCCTTTCCCAACGATTGACCGTATCAGGATCAAGGACTGGCTATACGGAATCATCGATGCGCGGCCCAAAGGCTCCTACGATACCGTCGTCGACGGGGAGACCGAAACAGAAAACCTCCGGAGCATGTTTCACCTGGTCACCTGGAAGAAGGAACTCGGTGGCGCCGGCATCATGCCCGGATACCGGCAGTGGAAGCAAGTGAGATCCGTCTTCCCTGTTCACAATAGAGCCCGTAACAGGGCTTTACTGTCCAAATTCAGCCGGCAAGCGACCCTGAATCGAAGTGATTTGGACGAAATCCGTGCAGTCTATGGCGAGAAAGTGAGTATAGTGTCTGGTAAATGGCAATCTGACTGACGGCTCGAAGGTTGCATTCTACTTCTGTTTCCTGCAAAGTAAGTCAGAATCAGCACCGGAAGAAAGTCGTCAAAGACCGTCCTTCCCAAGCCACGTCCCAATCTTATCGAGTCGACCATGGCGAACACAGTTGCTGACCAGAGCTCACCTTCTAGGCTACATCATCGCCCTCGTATTTCCCTCGATCTCGGGCATCCTGGCTTATTTCTTCCTACATCGTGTTTCACTTCTATACGCCATCTCGACCGTGATATGGTGTGTTGTTTTCCTAGAATATTGGAGAATGGAAGAAATCTCCTTGAGCTTACGCTGGAACGTCCAGGGCGTGGGCAGCTTGAAGGTAAGTGTCATTTACATAACGAAGCACCTGCAACCCGGACGTGTCAATCGCTGACCAGAGATTCTCAAGGTCAACCGACGTGAATACGTTTACGAAAAAGAAATTCAAGACCCGATCACTGGAGAGAAGCAACAGTACTTTCCTAAGCGGAAGCAGGTTGCCCGCCAGCTGATCAGTATCCCCTTTGCCCTCGCTGCACTAGCAGTGCTTGGAACTGTAACGACAGGCGTCTTCGGCATTGAAGTCTTCATTTCACACATCTACGATGGCAAATACAAGGCCTGGCTGGTGGGTCCTAGTCCCAAGCTGACCGGTCTCATGCTGACGGCGCTCAGGAATACATGCCCACCGTTATCCTAGCTCTGTGCCTGCCCTATATTCGCGATTTCCTCGAAGGTCTTGCCACGCAACTGACAGAATACGAGAACTGGCGGACACAGGACCGCCACGAGATGTCGCAGACCCAGAAGGTCTTTATCCTCACATTCATCACGTCCTATCTACCTGTCCTTCTCAGCGCCTTCGTTTACATTCCCTTCGGCGACGGAATCATAAACTGGGCTCGGGTGTACTTCAGCTCATCTCCGGGCTGGGAGAAGCTACTCGCACCTGACATCCACGTCGACACGTCACGGCTACAAAGCGAGGTTATCGCTTTGACTGTCACAGAGCAGATCTCGGGATTTGGTGAAGAGCTCATTCTTCCTCTGATCAAGCTCCGAGCACAGACGTGGTACAGCAACTGGAGGGGCACCAATCGCGGCTTCAATTACAGCCGCTCCACCGGCGCTTACGAGAGTGCTGCAGAGGTAAAGCTTCTACGGCAGGTCCGGGATGAGTCTCAGCGCGAGCCGTACTCCGTCCACGAAGACATCCAGCAGATGGTCACACAATTCGGGTATCTGGCCCTGTTCAGCCCCGTCTGGCCATTGGTGCCGATCGGTTTCCTGATCAACAACTGGGTTGAGCTGCGTTCAGACCTGCTGAAGATTTCCATTGACCATCAGCGACCAGATCCAGTCCGCACCGATGGCATTGGCGCGTGGATCGACTCGCTAAACTTCCTCACCTGGCTCGGCAGCATTGTCACGGCGGCTATAGTACATCTCTTCCATGACACCGAGAAGCTCAACGATCCAAAGACATGGTGGACACTGCCAATCACCATATTCATGGCTGAGCATGTCTACCTGGGCACGAAATATTTGGTCCGGCTCGCCTTGGAACAACTAGGTTCTGCGGAGCTTCGGCAGAAAAAATTGCACGGTAAGCTTTGCGTTGCTCTGCCAGCCTTGATATCTCCCTGTGGCCATTTACTGACGCGCTGCAGAGTACGCGCACCGCAAGACAGTCTTCAAAGAATACATCAATGACGACACCGCGGGGACGGTCGGCACACACGCAAACATCGAGAAGATCAAGCAGGAATCGAGCAAGCTGGCTGAGAAGCCGCCCGAGAGATTGCGAGATATCGATGCCATGATAGAGTACTTGAAAGGAGACTCGGCGTCAAAGTCGTAGATGTCAGGACAGCACGAAAGACTTTCCCAATGCTTTCCACTCGCCTTTTCGTCTTCAGCAACCTACCATGCGGGCTCGTCTTGGGCAGAACATCATGGCTGATTCGTCTGAGTATTTTGGTCCAACGCCTTCACAACATTTTCCGCTCAAAGCGCGGCCGAGCAAGCGGAGCAGATCTAAAGCGATACGCCGCGAACAAGACTCCCACCTCAGGCCCCATGCGGCTAAGATGCACCTCAACTCCAGGGCACAGTCCTCCCCTCCTTCCAGCTCTGCCTCGCCAGCTCCATAACCCGAATACCATCCCTCGACTGCTCCGGCTTGACCTGCAACTCTGCCTCCCCCCTGATAGCCGCCACCACATTCTCATACAACCCCCGCCAATACCCCGTCTTTGTCGGATAGCGCCCAATCCATTTCCCCGTCTTCTCATCCTTGGTCTGACAATTGTCCACCTTCTCATTCGTCGTCAACTCCCCCCAGCACGGTTCCTCATCCCGCCCAAACCCGTCATCCGTAGCCTTCATCCCCTTCAACGAATGCTCCTCCTGCCGACACTCGCCGAACTTGACAAACGTGCCCTCCCTGCCACGCACAAAATACTTCAACGGGTCCCGCATCACGTTGACCACCGTCGTCTTGACCGTACACATGACGGGCCTCCCCTCATACTCGAGCACCACGGTAAACGTATCGTCCACTTCACTCTCCACCCCTCTCAGACTCCGGATCCAGCCCGTCACGCGGCTCGGCCGTCCCAGCAGCAGCAGCGCCTGGTCGATACTGTGGCTGCCTAGCCCAAACATCATGCCCTCCCCCTCGCTATACTGCGGGTCCGTCCAGCCCTGGATCCACGCCGGAAACGGCACGTCGTAGTGGATCTGCACGTCGGTGAGCTCGCCCAGCGCCTTTTTCTCTTGCACCAGGTGCGACAGCGTCAGGAACTCGCTGTCCCAGCGCCGGTTCTGGTAGACGGTGAGCACGAGGTTCTTGGATTTGGCGAGCGCGATCAGCTGGTTGGCTGAGGCGGACGAGGTCGTGAACGGCTTCTCCACCAGGACGTGCTTGCCGGCGTGGAGGGCTGCTTCGGCGACGGGGGCGTGTGAGGAGGTGCTGGTCGTGACGACTACGAGGTCTATGGCGGGGTCGGCGAGGAACTGGGGAAGGGTTCTTTCTGTCAGTGTTGTAGTCGGCGGGTTGTTGGGCGTGGGGTGAAGAGAGGAGAGGGGGCCAAGGTCAGGGGCCTGCTGGCGTGGACTATGTGTGTGCAGGCCATGATGAGGCTGGCGAGACACTCGACGAGAGTCACTCTCGTTGATCAGGCAGGTTTAGTTGCCCAGCAAGCCTCCTCGCTAGAGACGATTCCTCGCCGCCCCGACAGTCCCCATGAGGCTCCATTTCCTTCGCCCCCTACATCCTCGCGTCGACTAAACAAAATGGGGGAGGGGAAGCCCTACCTCATCCTCCTTTGCGTACCACTTCGCATCTGGAAACTTCTCTGTGCAGTGGCCGAAGCGTCCCAACTTCGGATCGCCGGGCGATTTACGCTGCAGGAACGCGTATACCTCAATGTCCGGGTTCGGCAAGATGTAGGGCAGGTTCTGTGAAATATCATATGAGTCAACGAGCTTTAGAAAACCTGCGAGGTGGGAAGGCCAAGGGTCGTCTTGATGGAGAGCTTGCTGCCATTAATGAATACGTGTGGCGGTGGGCATTGGGGTTTTGTGGCGTCCTGTTCTGCTTGACGGAATCGATTACACGGTCTCTTGGTGAATGGCTGGGGATCGGGGCAGGGGGAGAACGTTGCCTCACATATACATTGGCACTGCCGCCGAAGCCGACGATGCCAATCTTGAGTTTTGGGGTCATTATCTGTGGTGGCGAGCAATGCCTATAGCGGCTGTTGCAGTTGCGGGGGGTGAGGTGGTGACTGTAGAAGGAGTAACTCTATGTAGTGCGTATTGCGGTACCCAAAACGGTGATGGCCTCGCAGCCCGATATGGGCAAGGATAACTTCAAGTAATGTCAAAGGTCAACAGCAGGCAGTCAATCCTTGGTGTGAAGTCGTCCGCTGTATATATATTCTCCAATGGCGCGGGGGATGCAATCATCCATCTACTCATTCCCCACGGAAGGATGTGCGGATATTAGGCTAAGCTGTTTAGTGGGTTAATATGCCTTTCGATACGACTCGTAAGGTTGCACCATCGGCAGTAAGAGCCTACCAATCTGAGCCCTGTCAATCAGAAGTTGTCAGACAGCCCGGCGCTGCGGACGCCTTCAGGCTTGATATGGAGTCGTCGACGTATGCAAGGCGAACACTACTGGAGGGCCAAGAGGTTCAGGCGAGGCGAACCCGTTTGTTATGCTCATCTCCTATCATTGTTGTCCAACGCGGTCTACTAAAGTAATAATGTCTTGCATGTTGTCATGGACAGGTACTGTCCGCTTGCACACAAATCCAAGCTCCCCCTTCTCAACAGACCCTGCACGCGCGAGTGTCCACCGGCGCGATCGTGTCTGAAATATGTGTTGCGCCATAACTATGCATACTCGCGAACGCCTAGAGTCTGGTGAATGCACCGTCACATTTGTTACTCGTCGTTGATGTCGATATTCGTACAGTAAGTAGTAAGTCGGTTCCAGAATTAAGCCCTGTGGAATATTGGGCTTGAAATCATCGGCCAGGTCAGAGATAAGAACGTGCCGTTTGCTAAGGTATGCGGTGCGAGCTGCTCCGAAGCAAAGATCAGCCAGCGAGTCTTTGCATCATCAGTATTTTGTGCCGCAGCACGTTCAAATGGCGACGTTCTTCATCTCGTCCTCGACCGTATCGACCCCTAGGCCCTTGACGTCTCCGACCTTATCAGTAACTGGACTTTTATTGTTCTCCTTGTTATCGTCCTCAGTTGAGACTCGGCTCAGTTTTGAGGATGGAAAGTCCCTCTTGCCTTCGCTTTTCGCGGTTGTGGGGGTAGGGACATCAACCAGCTTCTCCTTCTTGGGAGGCATTGTCATCTGCTGCGATGTGTCGAGGGGTGAAGGTGTTGGGGCATCGACAAGCTTCTCAGGCTTCTGGTTTGCCGTACTATTACTCTGCGAAGAGTCAGACTCTGGAACAGCAAAGTCCCTGACAACATCACCACCAGTCCTTACGGAAAGAGGCTGAGAAGATTCCTCCTGAACGCGCGCAAGAGGGCTTCCAACCGTGGGTCTGGGGCTACCAGTACCCGCACGGGAGAATCGTTGAGGTGATCTCCCGCGGTCATCATTTTCGCCGGGGACGGGGCTGCCGTACGGTGAGCCTCTGCTATTAACAGGCTTGACATTGGTGTTGAGTCCGTATGCCCGGCTGTTTCGATTATTGGCCTTCCGACCGTACTTCTGATCGCACCGCCATCGCAGAATGTCCATGTAAGGCGGCTCCACGGTTTCGGTTTTGAACTCTCTCAGCTTCATCTCTCCGCTGTCCTCGTCTACGAAGACCCGATCGCTGGACATATCGTCCGCGACGATCGCCAGGAAATGAGACCACGATCGCGCAATAACGTACTTGGTGTCGTAATCGCGGCCGAAGAGGATGATCTGACCCCATTTGCCCAGCGGTCCTGGCGCAAGGTCGACGGCGATGTTGTTGCCGCCCCAATCGCGTGCTAAAGGGATCCAGCTAGGGTGTGCATATGCTTTCTGAATTGCTTTGGGTGGCTGTGAGTCTTGCCTGTCGATCAAATCTTGCCTCCAGAGCTTATTGCCAGGCGGAGTTGACGACGAACTTGATGACGAAGCAGCGGTGTTCAGGCTCTTGAGAGGATAATGAGGAACAGGCTTTTTGGCACCGGAGAGATATTCTTCGTTGACGGTTTTCCAGTTGTTCCATTCCTGGACAATTTCCTCGCAGTCAAGAAGCATGCACCCAAAAATGATCCCACTGGGTCGACCACCACGCTCCTGCCCATCGTGAATACCAAGGGATTCCCTGACATCTTGAGGAAGTGTCATGTCCAACTCGTGCTCGAGCTCATTGATATCGTTCTGGGTGCAGCCTTCGCAAAGATTATCGAAAAGCTCCTCGTAATTCTTCTCGGCCCACCGATCTATCTTCTTCCAGGAATGTGAGGGTGGAGGCGGCGGCGGAGCGCCGTCGGCGAAGCTCTGCATTTGAATTTCACCTGGGGACACAGGGGTTTCTTCGGTCTGAGGAACTTTCGGCGAAGATACTGAGCGCATACCGGGGGAATAAGGTCTGTTTGGAGAGGGCATTGCAATTTGTGTGGAAGAAATGGATGGGCGTTTCGCGTCACCATGATCGGTCAGGTCGTGCTGGGAATCGGTGGCAGCAGTGGCAATTGACGTCAGGGGAGCGTGCCGACTCTGGCTCACGGGCATATGTGAGCCTGTCCGATAGGGAGAGTCATGGCTGGCGTGTCGGTCATTAGAGGTCATAGTATGCCAGAACGAGCGGAAGGCAGTAGCAAAGCTGGGCCCGGAGTCAGTTGGGCGCTTCGAATATGGGAAGGAAGTTGGCGGCTTACCTGTTTGCTGCCATGGCTGGCGATTGTTGTGCTGTAGCGGCGGCCAGATTGTCGACTGAGACAGGACAGAAGGAAGATCAGGTTGTGAACAAGTGCGGTCGCAGTTGCGGCGCGAATGCAACAAAGGAGTGTCGGTGGTTGGGGTCAGGGTGCAATTTGTTGTCTGTCCGGATGCGTCGAGCAGGCCAGACACAGTTGACTTGGTAGAATCGATTAGCAAAGCGAGTGTATGTTGGCGGGCGTTTCAGAGTAGTGAGCGAGAGGAGAAGACTCGTAAGGCCGGGGATAATCACGATAAAGGGTGCGCGGTGGGTTGGGAAGTAATTGCGGGCAGGGAAGTTGCCCTTTAGACTTTTGGCAGAGCAGACGCGGGTAGCCTGTCCGTCACGCTTGCCCTCGAAGGAAGCCCCCTGGCGCCAAGTGCTTAATGGTTTTTTCCAGCCTTCCGGGTGCTGGAGCAGCGCCTACAAGATCTTTGCTGCACCACTTAAGCGACAATACAGTCAAGACACACATGCAAGCTGTTTGGATAGCCGTTGTAGTGCAAGCGGCGCAGCATCAGGCCAGTTTTTGGCATTCCTGCGGGCCACCGACCAAGTTTCTCGCCCCTTCTGGGCCTTGTCCCCTTCTCCGCATGCGGCGCCACACCTTCCCGGCCTCGTGCTGCTTCTGCTGCAGAGATTGTACTGAGCACCAGACTACGTCTGTGGCAACGGTGTAGCAAGCATCGCAGACAGCGGAGGGCTGCATCCAGCGCTTCTGCATATCGCTGAACCGACGCCCCTTTCTCGGATCTGCCCAATCATCAAGCGTGTTTCCGCGCGTTTTCCATCAGCCGCGGTGGCTTGTGGCGCAACTAAGCATTGGACCTGCGTCTAAAATGAAGGCGGGGTCCAGCCGAGCCCCTTATCGTCAGATCATGATTAAAGGAGATTTTCATCCTCGCCGACCAATTTTGCTGTCGGCCAGCAAGAGTTTTTGCAGCGGGAGCAACCTTGGGTCATGTGAATCCGACACCGTAGAAGCGAAGCTGCATCTGCTGGTTGCTGGCTATGGACGATCCTTCGGTGGCTCGGGCTCCCAGGACACAGATCTACAGTACGCATAAGAATAGCACCATGGTAGAGACATGATATCTTTGACTCTGCTGATCATCCGCTGTTTCCAGAACACTTGGCGTGGAAGTAGGACTTGGGATCGTCGCGTGCCTGCAACATGACCAGTCAGCGTCTGCGTACCCCAACAGGCAGTCTTGCGAGAGGCGACGATTGCCGGCATTGGTTTTAGAAAACCGTTTACGGGCCCATGCCGGGCAACGGGACCATGAGCCTGACCAAAGTGGTATCATTTTCATGGTCAAATGTCGAGACCTCGCTACGAGCATTTCCCAACTCCAGACGCCTTGCTCAGATACCCAAAATACCATGCTGCTCGCTGGGACTCCGATCGCTTGCTTCATCTCTCGTGGACCGGATCATGTCAAAATCTGTGATCTTGCTTCATCTCTCGTCACGTTCAGCAAAACGTAGCTCCCTTCTCAATGTTTACCATCTGATCTCATCTCGTCATCATGAACACGCCCCAATTCAGATGTTGGGCCTTGTTCGCATTCACTGCGCAGCCGATAGACACCCGGTGAATACACACGATGCCGTGCGCTTCTGAGTGCGCTTCTGCTCCCACTCTGTCCAGATTTGCTGCCGTTCAAGTTGGCGGCAGTTCGCTCTTTTTTTTTTTTTTTTTAGCAAGGAGTGAACTTATCGAATACTGCCCCAGTCATTGAGCTTCCCACCACCAAGGCTCAGTCCGTCCACGGGACCGATCTTCTCACCACCCTTCTTACCAAAGACACGCCAGAATCGAAGAGTCTCGTCGCCCGCGCCAGTAACAACGGTGGTGCCGTCCGGAGAGCTGCTCAAATAAAGCACCCTATAAGTGTGGCCTGTCAAACTCACAACCTGCTCCATTTTGGGATACTTCCAGACTACAATCTGGTTTTGGCTGTAGCCATGGGTCGAAACGATTTCGTCGGAGTTCTTCGACCAAGCAAGATTGCAAACCTGACTGCCAGTATCAACTTCCTTGATCAATGAGCCTGTTGACGTGTTCCAGAATTTGATAGAGCGATCAGCGGTACCACCACCTGACGCCAACAAATGATGTTGGTGAGGCGACCAAGTGATGGCCTTGACAGCTGCCACATGATTGGAAAATCGATACAACGGTGTCTCTGTGAGCTTATCCCAGACACACAATTTGTTGTCATTGCCTCCGGAAGCTAGCTGGCCATCTTCGGTGTTCCATCGAAGACCACAAACTTCTTGCTTGTGTCCAGCAAGACGACGAAGATACTGGTCGGGAGATCGCACATCGCGATGGAAGATGAGTCGATCTCGTGATCCAGAAGTGAGAACATGGTCATTCCAAGCCAAAGCACCCACTCGGGCAGTGTGGCCCGTCATCGTTCGTAGTCTCCTCGACTTCTCGGCATCGTAAATCTGAACGAAGCCTTTATGGGTGCCGATCGCTAGGTGAGAACCCCGTTGAATCCAAGCGACTGATGTCACGAGATCGTTGTCTGGCAATTTGCACAGCTGCGTCACCTTGCCCGTCGTGGAGTTCCACATATAGACACAAGATCCGAGGCCAACACCGAGGATGTTGGCGGATCCCCAGTCCACGAGGTTGAGGTAGAAGTCGTCAGCTAGTTCGGGTGCATCAAGCACTTTGTAAGGTACCTTGGCAATATGTCGGGGCTGCTTCTTAGGAGTTTGGAGGATAGCTTGCGAAGAATAGTTGAGTGGAGAAACAGAGTAGAGGTCCGATCGAGCGTTGAGGTTGATGATGCCCGCGTGCTTGTTTCTCGACGAAGGCGTCGGGTGACCAGAGCCGATTTTCTTGTGGGGCGACATGTACGAGAACATGTTCTTGTGTGGAGTAGTTGGCGTAATCGATGCCGGTGGTAGCGATGAAGCGGCTTGAATTGGTGGTGTGTGTCTAGAGCCAAAGAGACCGTCCGGTGACATGGAGCGATTGTCCTGCGGTACCGAGTCCCCCATCAGCTCATTCCGTAAAACTTTAGAGTAAGTGCGGTTGGCTTCTTCCGTCTTCTGGAAGTGCAGCTCTCCATGAGGCGTCTTCTTCTTGGACCTTGAGGGTGTTGCAGGTGAACCGTCGTCATGTAGCAAACTGTAGCTGGCCTGGAGATCCTGACCATCTCGATTTGGGATAAAGCGGTCACCGTAGGTTCGCTGACGTTTTCGGCTTGGACTTCGGCCGGGAGTCCTCTCACGCTGTCGCCCGGCGTTCTCGAAATCCTTCATCTTGCGTAGCATAGCCTCCGACTCTTCAGGCATGCCAACTTGACCTGACATTGATGCGCGTGAGACGTGTCTTGTGGAAACAGTGGGAGGAGTTCGAGGGCGATTTATGGATTCAAGAGGAGGCGTCTGAGGCCGCTTTGAGGAATTGGTGACGGCAGCATTGTCTTGATGCATCTCGTCCTCCATGATGCCCGCAGTCGCAGGCTATCACTGAGGGCGCAACAAAGTATTGGTAGCAACGTGGACGCAGGAGCAGGCAGCAGCTTTTCAGGTTTTAGATGACAAGTGTCGCCCACTGAGCGCGCCTGGGATAGGATGACTCGATTGACCAAGCAGTAAGTGAAGATGTACAACTTCCACGGTTGGGGACGCTCGTTGAATTCGGAAGCGGTCGGCGAAGAGTATTGCTCTAATGTTATGTACTCGAAAGGGAGGATCGATGTTTTTGCGAGGGGCAACGACTGTTTGTATCGTATATTGTTTCGAAGTGAAGTATAGATCTCAGTAATTGAGGTCCAAGTGACTTGCAATCGGAAGAAGGCTGGTGATGGCAGTTGCTTCAGGGCGCTTCCCAAAGAGGAAAGGCTAGCGCGGAACGGCTGCGGTCTGCTAACATCGATATCCGTGACTGGCGCTCATTCAGCGTCGATTTGAACAATAGCAATATGGATCTGTAGCTGAAAGCTAAGTAACACTACAGCTGTATAATTCTGCAATTCGTCAATGGCATTGACAGTCACCATTAGAGGTCAGCATCATGAATGTTTAGCTTGGCGCGACCATAGTCCAACCCGGTAGAGCACAACACAGCGCGTCTGTGTTGTGGTACAAAGCAACTCGGCGCTCAATTTGGGTTGTTTTGCTGCCCAGGCGTGTACAGGTACCATCTGGAGACGACACGCGACGCCGTGGAACGATAGGACAGCAGCCTGTGTTTCAGCCAGCGGCTGCCCTGCAGAACGCTTGGGCCACCCGCAAGTCAAGACCTAAGCGTGGCGTCGGCTCGGCTGCTCCCTATACCTACCTCGGAATTCTGTCGTGACCTCGCATCAGCAAGGGCATTGTTGCGACAACAATAGACTCACGTTTCATGCAAGGAGTAGCTATTTCGCCATTGCTCGTTCCTACATGACATCAAGGTTGTTAGCCATTTCTCAACAGGTTGCTACCAGAGCATACTCCACCATGCCTCCTACCGTGACCACCAAGATGGCGGCCAATGATTTCTTGAGCTTCGTCAATGCTTCACCGACTCCGTTCCATGCTGTTAGATCTGTCAAGGAGAAGCTGACCAAGGCTGGTTTCACAGAGATCAAGGTAAGCTCTCGCGGCACGATTGATGTCCCGGCATTAATCCGGCGCAGGAGAAGGAATCATGGTCATCAACTTGCCAGCCTGGTGGCAGGTATTATCTGACTCGAAATGGCTCGACCATCGTAGCGTTCGCAATCGGCAATAAGTGGCGGCCTGGAAATGCCATATCCATGATCGGTGCCCACACTGACTCGCCCTGCCTGCGCATCAAGCCGGTTAGCAAGAAGCAAGGAGACGGCTTCATCCAGGTGGGAGTGGAGACTTACGGCGGCGGGCTGTGGCATACGTGGTTCGACCGCGATCTTGGTATCGCAGGGCGAGCAATGGTAAGAGATGGTAACGGCAGTGTTGTGCAGAAGCTGGTTCGCGTCGATAGACCCAGTATGGATCCCTTTGTATTGCACGAGCCTTTCTGACGTCTGCAGTCCTCCGCATACCCACTCTTGCCATTCACCTTGATCGCCAAGAGAAGTTCGAGTTCAACAAGGAGACTCAGCTCTTCCCCATTGCCGGCCTGGTCGCCGCTGAGTTGAAAAGACAAGAGAAGAACAAGACTGGCGATGAAAAAGAGGGCGATGATACCGAGGACAAGCCTTTCAGTCCGCTTAAGACAATCACGACGAGACACCACTCGCTTATTGTCGAGTTGATCGCTGCGGAAGCTGGCGTGGATGCTGAGGATGTCGTGGATTTCGAGGTCGTGCTCTATGATACCCAAAAAGCCTGCCTTGGTGGGTTGACCGAAGAGTTTATCTTCTCGGCAAGACTTGACAATCTCAACCAGACCTACTGTGCTACGCAAGGCTTGATCGAGTCGCTGAAGGCCGAGGACGCCCTCGACGAAGAGTCATCGATCCGTCTAATTGCCTGCTTCGACCACGAAGAGATCGGCAGCATGACTGCCCAGGGCGCCTTCTCCATGATGCTTCCTGGAATTCTGCGAAGGCTTTCAGTTCTCCCGGCCTCGTCGTTTGCAGATGAAGCATCCGAGAAATCTTACGACAAGACCACGGAGCCCGACTTGTCTACTGCCTACGAGCAGACAATGTCAAGCTCTTTTCTATTGTCCGCCGACATGGCACATTCAGTCAATCCAAACTATGGAGGCAAGTACGAGTCGGATCATCGCCCAGAGATGAACCAGGGTCCCGTGATCAAGATCAATGCAAATGCCCGATATGCAACCAACTCTCCGGGTATCGTGCTCCTCCAAGAAGTCGCTCGAAAAGCTGCCAAGATCACCAATGATGATGCTGAGGGTGTACCGCTCCAGCTCTTTGTCGTCCGAAACGATTCTAGTTGCGGGAGCACAATTGGACCCATGCTATCAGCTCATCTCGGCGCCAGAACACTCGACTTGGGAAATCCTCAACTCTCAATGCACAGTTGCCGCGAGACTGGCGGTACAGATGACGTCCATCACGCCGTGAGATTGTTCAGCAGTTTCTTCCAACACTACTCCGCTCTGGAGAAGACCATACTTGTTGACTGAGTCGAGGTTTTGAAACAACACCAGCAGCGTTCTGCGCTGTACGGAACCGTCCTCGCCAATTAAACACACAATGTCTGAGAAGTGCACCAGCCGCGTTTCGCCGGAGGAAACGCTAGACGGAAGATTTTGTGCAAGCCTTGAGTGAGGTCTATGCAATACTCCTGCGAATTTTAGTGAGGTGATACCCTTTGACTACAAGATGAGATACAAGATGAAGGATGCAGGAGATCTGGAGCGGTGTTCAGAATATCATGCAGACGGCTTTCAATGCGTACTACCAGTGCCCAAAACTGGCACTTACAGCTATGCCATGGTCCAGCTTTCGACAGGATTGATGGCAGGGCTCACCAAATTCCCCATGAGTTACACGTCAAGTCCATGCCATGAGTCTGGACAGCCCTCCCGTCAATTCTGGTGGTGATGGGAACGTGCTGGTTGCCTCTTAAGGTATCCCGCAGGCCGGCGTGTGGGCCAAGAGCTCTGCCGGATCGCGGCGAGGGGGCGCGAATGACGCATCGCTGAGTTGACGGACCTCCAATTTTGGAGATTCTTCAACAATCTATCTGTCTGCCCCACGTGGGACGCCGGCACGACAGTTCTAAAGCTGAAGCTCATCATTCCGGGTCCTCGTCGCTGCTATGGCGGCTCCAAAATACCTCACCGGTGACAAAGACGCCATCAAGAGCTTCGTTGACAAGTACGATGTATGAATGACACTACTCTCATTGAACCGATATGCATATGCGGCTCTTCTCAATGTGCTCCGAATCTCCTGACTTGTGCTTTAGGTCTTTCTCTTCGATTGCGATGGCGTTCTCTGGTCCGGCGACGACCTCTTCCCCGGCACCGTCCCGACGCTCGAGTTTCTGCGCAGCAAGAACAAGCAAGTTGTTTTCGTGACCAACAATTCGACCAAGTCGCGACAGGATTACAAGAAAAAGCTCGAGAGTATGGGCATCCCAGCTACCGCTGAAGAGGTTTTCGGGTCCTCGTACTCCGCCAGTATCTACATCTCTCGGATTCTGCCCAAAGAGCATCCCCAATTGAAAGAAAAGAACAAGGTCTTTGTTATCGGCGAGGCAGGTATCGAAGCAGAACTCGACTCCGAGGGAGTGCCTCACATCGGAGGCACAGACCCAGCCTTCAGGCGCGACATTCGGCCAGAGGACTACAAATTAATGGCTAATGGCGATCCTTCGCTCATCGATCCTCAGGTTGGGGTCGTTCTTGTTGGTCTAGACTTCCACTACAACTACTTCAAGATGTGCTTAGCCATGCAATACATTCGACGGGGCGCTCTGTTTCTGGCCACGAACATTGACTCGACGCTACCTTCTGCTGGCTCGTTGTTCCCGGGCGCTGGCAGCATGAGTGCTGCTCTGAGCCTGGCCTTTCAGCGTGAACCGATCACTTTCGGCAAGCCAAGTCAAGCTATGATGGATGCAATCGAAGGAAAGTTCCAGTTTGATCGCTCGAAGGCTGTCATGGTAGGGGATCGGGCCAACACAGATATCCGTTTTGGTCTCGAGGGCAAGCTAGGTGGCACCCTGGGCGTTCTGACCGGAGTGAGTACCAGAGAGGAGTTCCTGGATGGAGATTCACGGCCAGCGTTCTATGTTGATAAGTTGGGTGACCTCCTCGAAAGCTGATCCTGATTTGGCGCGCGATTGAAGCATAGAATTTAGACAAACTTATGCCAGCATCCTATACTGTCCGGACGTACATAGAGCTACACGAATGGAAGAAGAGAGTCACAGAACTATCGGATTGTTATTTTCCATACACAAGATAACCCTGTGCATCTCCATCCCTTCTCTCCAAGTTGGTCCTTCGGCTACCTGGCTCTTTCCCTGACATATGGGTCAACCACTAACCCTTTCTTGTAACAGGGCCCATGCATATATATTCTATCGAGTCTGCTTGATGCACACCCGAGACTCGCGCACTACAGGACGATATGCGAAAGGAGCGTGCCGTATTTCGCTGACCAGGGCGCCATCCGCACTCGTACTCTCCACCTATCACCATAACTGCATTCCTTCACAGGTCACTGTAAAGTTTGCCCACGGTCGTTAACCTCCTCCCTCCATCCATATCTTCACAGAAATCGTTCCTTGGTCCAACCCAACTTCCTACAGTCCCCCCTTGACCGTTGCCAAAGTACGCATACCTCTCGACAAACTCACACTCCTCCAGCCACCTCACCGCCTCTGTCATAAAATCCTTTACCTCAGCCTCCGTCGTCTCTCCATCCGCCATAGCACTGCAAGCAAATTCATTGACCCACAACGCATGCCCCCATCTCCGCCGACATTCCTCCAGAAACCACCGCATATCCGTCCAGCGCCGTCCATACCAATGCACAACAACGAAATCCGGCTTCTCGCCCTCCTCCAACTGGCCCAGGAACCTATCCAGCCACGGCCCCGACCTCCCCAGATCGCTTGACATGCCAGGGCTCCCCAGCCTCAGACCCCACCTCTGGCGGGCCGGTAGACACACCTCCCGCCACAGCCGCAGCGCGTCTTCCACGCTGAGGTTCGCCTGGTCCGGGATCTCGGGCTCGTTGAAGCCCAGCAGGGCGGTGACGCGCTGGTGCTTGTTGTCGACGATGTCGGTGAGGAAGGGGACCACATCTTTGGCATTAGCGGCGGTGCGGACACAAGGTACCCATTCTATGGTTTTTGGCAGGCCGGCGGGCGACCACAGCTCCCAGTTGAAGAGCCAGGCGACTTTGTTGGCGGCGATGGCGGGTTCGTAGAGGGCGAAGCCTGGAATTTGAAAGGGGTTAGGCTGAAGAAGGCAAGATTGAGTGCACGAGAGAGGCCTCGACGAAACCGGTGGGCGAGCTCCTGGGGCTCACGGCAGATCGAAGTAGAGGTATAGGATGTGAGTCCCGGAACGCCGCCCGTCGAGTTCGTCGACCGCTGGCGGGTTTGGGAAGGAATCTGGGAAAGGCGCTAGGGCGACGAATCGACTCAATTGACGGGAGTACTCCTGGGAGTCACAGCAGAGGCTTTCATGTATGACTGGCTGTGAGTCTGGGAAGCTCCCCCATCAATGTTGTCAACCCCTCGTGGAGAGAAGCCCGGGGGGGGGGGGGGGGGGTTGTGGGGGGGGGAGGCGCGGGTGAGTGCGTACGGAGATGTTTAGATCGCTGGGGGGGGGGGGGGGGGGGGGGGCTTACGTTCAGCAGGATAGTCCCAAGGCCATCCAAGACCCCGCTTTTGGGTTCGCACGACTGAGGACGCATTTGTGAAGGAAGCATTAGAAGCAGTGTTGGTGAGGTGTTTTGGCTTGTTGGGTAGTGGGGGAGGAGGTTTCTGTGACATGTTGGTGGTCAAAAGCGCAACGGCCCGAAGAAGCGGAAAGGACCTTGTTCATAAGTGTGAAGCGACCTCGTTGCGTCTCTACACAACGTGAAAGCGTGCGGTGACCGGTAAGAGTCAAGTATAGACCTGAATCATAATTCCCTGTCAAAGGGGAGCATATCAAGCGAACGCCTTGGTGTCATTGACGTCACCTTACATATCAGGCAGTAAATGCAACAAGAATCATGTCGTTTGGATAATGGTCTCATTCATTTCTTGCCTTAGCGTCAAAGGTTTCTGTTACAAGCTGAGCATCGGCTGCTCAGGATACCACAAATCCCACCACACTTCAAATCTATCATCAACCTCGATGGCTTCGTCTGCCACCCGTTCGGTATACTCATACAAAAGGCCAGGTGTCGGCACTGCCAGACCAGACTAGCGGCCACCGCGCCAGCTATCGCCATCCCTCCTTCCTGGCGGAGGAGCATCCCAATCCTGGTATCCTCCGCTCGGACCTCGTGGAGGGCGTCCCATACCTCCTCCGCCACGACCGCGGAATCCGCCGCCGCCGCCTCTACCGCCTCTGTCACCCATAAGTCTCTCGCGGCCCTTCCTCCCAAAGCCAAATTCCGGCCCTTTGTCGACCCATTCTACTCTTCCGCGATCCCATTCAAACGAGTAGCGCTTCATGCCCTCGTCGCCACTCCGTCCCATGTCATTGTGACCCACGCGCATGTCCTTCATCATCTCCAATCTCCGGTCGACAACTTCGGGCGCAACGGGCTTGTAGTACAGCTTCGGCTTTGTTCTCTCTGTCGATGAGAAGAGCTCGTCAAGCGCGGCGAAATTGCGCTCCGCGTGCTTCGGCTGCCTCGGTGGTAGGGGCCGGTCGTCGTAAGGCTTAGAGCCTCTACGAGCATCGGCTCGTGGGACGTACGCAGCACGATCTGGGTGCACGCCGGGCATCAGGTCTTGCTGGAGGTGTATTGAAGGTTTGCCAGGCTGCGAAAAGCTAGACCGTTGCTGCCGAGGACCTCTTCGGGCCTCATTCGCGTCTTGTAGACGTGCTTCGACGCCATTCGAGCCATCTTGATACACGACTTCCCACCGCTTGCCACCGCCGCCGCGACCTCCAAAGCCACTCCCTGCGCTTGCGTCGGCTTCTTGATTAGCCCAGGTTTCAGCTTTGTCGTCAGGGATGAAATCGACCCATAAGAGCTCGCGATTCGGTTCGTCCGGCCATCGAGTACCATGTAGAGCAGAGCGCACTCGCGATGCCGAGACTATAGATTGGAGGCGAACAAAGGCGTGGGTGCGGATGACATCGAGGTAGAAGAATTTGATCGGGTTCGAGTCAGGCTCATCCCTGCTCGCGCGTGCGAGTGATGCGATGTGCGCTTGGAGATCGGGCTGACGTAGCGGACGTTTGAAATTGCGGATGTACAACGTCGAGGTCGCAGGATGCAAGGCCGGGACCACTGGGTGGTCACTGACAGGTGAAGCCGAACGCTCCAGAGAAGCTTTATCACCCTGTTGCGAAAGCGGCCCTGATTGAAGCTCGACTTCTGCGACAGGCTGATCCTTGGCCAGTGGACCAGCGTCTGCATCTACACCAGCTTCATCAATAGCTTTTTGCTCTGCTATCGCTTCCTCCTGGGCACGGAGTAGTGGAGAGCCATCGTTGGCTTTGATGCGCTTTAATGCGACCTCCTCTGCTTTGGGCGTGGGCGTCACGCTTCTGCGCTTGCGCTTTCGAGCGTCTTCCATCACTTCGACTGGCGGCGCCCCTGACGAGCTACGTGTCGTATCACCCGTCGGCGGTATGGACGCGGACACACCAAGAGGTGTTTCGTCAAGGATCGGAGCTGGCGCGGGTTGTTGGAAGTCTGATGTTGGAGCCTCGGTCGACCCAGCAGTTGCATCTTCTCTATCTGTATGCTCTGCAACTGACACAGCCGGCTGCTCAATATTGGTTTCGGCCGGCGCTTCACGCTCGGTAGCGGCCTGCTGTTCTTCAAGAAGAGGTGCAACCTGCTCGCTATTAATTTGCTCGGTCTCTTGCGTGGGTGCGGCCTGCTCTTGAAGATTTGGCGGAGCATCGCTATTCTGGGTCTCTTTGATCTCGGCTTGCGGCTGCAGATCGCCGCTGGCAGGCGCTTCGTCGATGATCTGAGTCTTCTGTCCATCGTCGGCTTGTGCAATACTTTGGGTTTCTTGCGCCGTCTGCTGCTCAACTTCTGGCTGTGTTATTGAGGGTTCGCCGTTCGCCAACGCCGGCGATTGTTTCACTGCGTCTGTCTCTTGTCCTTGACCTTGAGCAGCTTCCCATTCCTCAAGCTTGTCGATATATTGCTGCTTGAGTTTCAGGCCCGTCAGCGGAATCTCGCGTTGGGCGCATTCAGCCTTCAGGTCAACGACCTTCAATTTCGACCAATTAGTCATGGCGGGCGGTAAATGTCGCGATTGATGTGAGCGCAATGTGAGCGCAATGAGATTCAAGCGCGGTGTCTGCGACAGCGCATGGTTATCACAACAAAGGTGTGGCTAGGAAAGAATGTGGTCCAAGTGCTGTTGGATGAGGCTGCGAACTTGAACTTCGCGCGCAGAATCGCGGAACACTGGCCGACGTCATTTCTTGGCACTCCTTTGCTCGCTCAGCCTTGTCATTGCAGGCGGAATTTCGAGGAGAGAAGGCAATAGTGTTGACCAGGTTCTCGTTACCAAACCCTGGTGTACTGTTAAGAGCCTAGCACAATTTGAAGCGACTCTCGAGCGAAGGTCCAGTGAATACAGATCAGTATATTGCATGTTAGGGGTATTGTGAATGCGGCGCGTCTCGCAACCGGCGACAATGTACATCCAAAACTCCTAAGAGGGGCATCAGATCCAGAGTTGAACTGGTCCAAGCCATATGATACCGGCTGGTACACCACTTGTCGACAAAATTGACGGGAGGGCTCCACAAACTCACACCAGAGGCCTTTTGGATGTGATTCAATGGGAAGCCCTTCTATCGATTATGTCGATCCGTGGTGATCTAGTGTTTTACCAGGCGGTCAAGTCCTCCACCTCAGCCTCGCCAAAAGTGCTGCTCTTGGTGATTTTTCCGACTCCATCTTGACCATCTCCTTCGATACCCTCGAGCTGTATCCCGGGCCGCTCCATGAGATCCGGTAGATGCTCCCGGAAGAAGTCGAGGAGATATCTGTTCACGGCCTCAAACTGGAGTAGGAACGCATCGTGTCCTTCGGGGCTGTCTATCTTACCGAGTATCGCATTGGGTATAGAGTCGGCGATTTCCTGCTGCTCTTGAATGGTGAACAAGCCGTCACTCTCGATTCCCAGCACTATTGCAGGTTGCTCAATCAGTGCCAATGCTTCCCGAACGCTGGAGGCTCTGTCCCGCGACACATCGTGAGTATCGAGCTTTCTGGTTATGGCGATGTAGCAGTTTGCGTCAAAACGACCAACAAACTTGTTGCCTTGATAACGCAAATATGACTGGGCTGAGAAATAGTGGCTGGTGGAATTGTTGGTTTTCTTGTTCACCACGGGTACTGGTACCTGATATTCGGTCGTGCCGCTGAACTGAGGGTCGTTGAATATGGCCACAGGCGGGTCCGTGTCCTCACGCTTGTCTTCGGCTGTGCCATTCCGGGAGGGAGGCCTCGAGCTTTTGGCACGAGTGTGGCCATGATTGTGGATTTCCCAGTGCTCATTGTGAGATCTGCTCGGGCTGCCGTTTGCCTGATTGATATTTGGTCTCTTGGAGAGGTCCGGAGTGTTCCGTCCAAAACGCGACTCGAATGAATCACGACTTCTGTAGGTAAGAAGAGCAGACATGCGAGCGGCGCCAAGTCCGGCAGATGGAGGGTCGTCAAACGAGTAATAGCCGTCTTCGTACTTTGGGTCGGAATATATCGCCTGTCTTTGTGCCTCGCCCCAACTGATGCCCCAAGCACTGTGTGTGGCTGAAGTTGCAATTGGTGCGATTGTCCGAACATAGTCTTTGCCAAAGTAAGCATATTCAAGGACGAGCATACCTCCCATTGATCCGCCAACCACGCAGGCGATTTGTTTTACGCCTAGGAAGTCTAGAATGAGCTTGTGGATTCTGCCGCTGAATTAGTGCCTCTTTCCTCAAATTGGCGTATGACACTCACCTGACATCGTCCCGGATGGTTGTGAGAGGAAATTCCGGTCCATATCGCTCATTCTTTAAGTCGCCATCTTTGCATGTGACGGGGCTGGCGCTCCCATATGGACTGCCTAAGCTGTTCAGGCAGATGACAAAGAATCGGGACATGTCAAACGCCCGTCCAGGACCTCCCAGTAGGGGACCCCACCAATCGGCAACGTCTGCGCTCCCACTGAGCGCATGGCATATGACCAAAGCATTGTCGGCCTTTTCTGACAGTCGTCCACGGACGGTATAGGCGACTGGAACGTTCTTGATGGTCGCACCCGATTCTAGCTCAAAGGAAGGTATAGTCGATATTCGCTGCTCAGTGACCAGCTGCGCGAACGGGTTTTCAGGTTGGGAGGTGACAGTCTCTACGGGATTTAGCATGCTGCAGCTTGTAGGAGCGAAAGGTGTTTGGGATGGACAGGTGCGACTGACGTAGCGGTACGGGCGCGTGGCCGTTGGTCTCTGATGTACTCATTATATCGAGCAACTGTAGGGGTCCAGATTCCGTCGAGGGCCGTTGCGGAGTAGAGGCGGCCGATGCAAGATGACTCGAGCTGGACTGCTGCTTCTGGAGTGCGATTAAGAGCCAGTCGCAAACAATCTATACGCAAAGAATATGACTGGTCTAGCAGTCATAATGGCCTTGGATTTTCGCCCAGAGGCAGTGGTTGCAGCCGACAGCGGACTCAATGGATTGCACCATCACCGGCAAATCAGTCCTACACTCCACCAAAAAGTTTCTAGCAAGACTACGGCGGGGCTCCCGAACCCTAACCCTAAGAGGGGCGGAAGGCGACGAGCTGCCCCTGCCAAGGCTTGGTGCCAGTGCAGCTCAACGAGCTCGAATCCGAAGGTCCAGTTGTTCGGAGCCCATCACATCATCATACAGAAGACGCTGGTCGTCTCGAGCGGCTACTGGACCCCGATTGACGTACGCCTCAGGTCCCCTCGTCCACTTCACAACATCACCGCAATGTCTTAGTGAAAAGGGCGATTACTACTAATCATACATTCCATGCAGTCAAGCTCTCTAGCATGGCCAGAAAGCAGAGGCAAAGACAGACGCCGGCGAAGCAGGGAGAGGGACCCAACACAGCCATCAGCGAGACGACTGCTGCCCCAGCACCAACACGAGAGCAAGCAATCAAGTACCCCAAGACCGCGTTTCAGTACATCAAGAATCTCAACGTGCAGCGCGGTTTGCAATTGGTAGTTGTAGCTGCTATCTCGTCGACTATCTCCCAAGCTAACCTCGCTCCCGTCTACGGATCAATACCATCAGCTGTCTACCACAGGTATGGGTCAATCGCAAGCATCTTCCTGGCATTTGCTGTAAGACGTCGCCTTCCAGCTTGGGTACAACGAATGGTCCCGACATGGGCGTTCTGGATACCGACGATCCAATTCGGTTTGACTGGTTTCAGTGCGCAGCTCGGCAGTCCACTGGGTCCCCTGATAACGGAGATCTTGACGTACTATCCTTTGCTTGTGCTATCATTCTACGTGGCATTGGATCTTTTTCACGAACTGCAAGACCCTGAAGGAAGCCCATCACCACTAGCAGATGCCACACCCGCTTGTGTGCTGTTCGCGATCTTCTCCTTCGTCCAAAGGAGCTCTCGGGACTGGTTTGTTCGATGGGTCGGAACCAATATCCTCTTCACCCGGATAGGCCTGCAAATTGGCGCCGGGCTGCTCTATTGCATGATCCTCCCGCACAGCATGTTCTGGCCAGCATTTCCGTCGGTTGTGTTCACATTCCTAGGCAACTCTCACACACCTCTTCTTCGCACAACGGATGTCTTGAACAACACGCTCTCTCTCTACGATTATACGCTCGTTGAGCGACGGGAGTCTTTGTCTGGGTATATTTCAGTGTTGGATTCGAATAAAGACGGTTTTCGCGTCATGCGATGTGACCACTCGCTGCTCGGAGGAGAATGGCTCAATCCTCCTCCGCCGAAGAAGGGTGATCCTCCTCGACTCGTGGCCGAGCCCATCTATGCCGTGTTCACCATGCTGGAGTCGATCCGCCTTGTTGACCCACCCCCATCGACGCCCATGGGAGAACAGAGAGCTCTCAACATTGGCCTAGGTATCGGCACCGCCCCATCAGCACTAATTCATCACGGAATCAAGACCACCATCCTTGAGCTCGATCCCGTCGTCCACGAATTTGCCGTCAAATACTTCAATTTGCCGCATAACCATTCCTACGCCCATGGCGATGCAGCAGCGTGGGTATATCGGCGGAAGGAGCAGCGAGCACGACAGTTTGACTACATCATCCACGATGTTTTCACGGGTGGCGCGGAGCCGGTGCCTCTATTCACATCAGATTTTCTGTCCGGTCTGCATATGCTGCTTGCAGACGATGGGGTCATCGCCATCAACTATGCTGGAGATCTCAGAACACCCAGTGCATCGCTGATCTATCGTACAATAACATCAGTTTTCGGAGCATGTCGTATCTTTCGCGAAGAGCCGGCACCGAATAAGGAGAGCGATGGTGACTTTACGAACATGGTCTTCTTTTGTCGGAAGCCTTCTACGCAGCCCGTCAAATTTCGGAATCCGGTTAATGCTGATTTCTTGGGCTCCGGTCTACGCAAAGCGTACATGTTTCCGCAGCATGAGATTGACGCGGAAGAATTCGTTCGCGAGGGCGAGGTGCTGACTGCGAAGAATGCAGCGAAGTTGGAAAAGTACCAGACCAGAAGTGCCATAGGCCATTGGAAAGTCATGCGCACTGTTCTGCCGGATGGAGTGTGGGAGAATTGGTGAATGGTCCATACATCACCCATTCTGAGCGATACAATAACGTGTAGAACAAAAGCATTTCTATGCCTCGATGGACACTAGTCAACAGGTGCTCACACCTCCCAAATCCCCTCAAGAGCTTCCTGTGCTCCAGACTTGGATGAGGAATACCGACATATGCTAAAGTGCAAGTTACATTTCAGTTGTGCTAGTTGTTCAGGCCTAGTTTCCTCTTCATTGGCCAATCATAAACCGAGACTCTCGGACCACGCATGCCAAGGATTGCCTGGCGAGGCGTCGTTTGCTCACCTCCTGCTTCCTTTCTATTATTCGCATCAGTCATATTCCCTGTCATAGACAAATTGGCTGTAGTCCAACACGATCGTTTGACGCCAAAGCCAAGCCGTCAATGAACCACCAGTGCCCAAACCATAATTCCCTAGACCTCGGGACAGACTGACCCTTCAAAATGGATGTCCCGTCGGAGGACAAGGATGCATTGTTCACCGAGGTTTTCCAGCACTTGGGTGAACTCCAGCAACAATCGACCACTCCACTCAACGAAGAGCTCTTCCGACGCGCGGAACGAGCTCTCGATGTCAGTACACCACGCGACCTGCTTTGGCGACTGCTCCAAATAGGCGAAGGTCTGCTTCAAGCAATGCTGGAAGATCCCCGACCCCTAACGCGCCTACTCGAGAGAGTGGTTCTCCTGATTCCGTTCGACGAGCTGAAGTCGGTCATATCCTCCGAAAAGCTCGAGGAGGGGCTCAAGTCGGCCTCTGTATCAATTCAACTTCTATGTCTGGCCTACCTCGCCAAAGCTTCCGACACCCCCAGTGGCGCTTCTTTCGTTGCAGCAAGCTCCAACCTTGTACAGCGTCTCGTCACAGTCTGGCTGTCGGTGGAAAGCACAGAAGTCTCGGAGCGAGCTTTAGAGTGTCTCGTCTCATTGCTGGCAGTTGATAACCCGGACACTACGACCGTACTTGCTGCTGAGAACCGTATCGGTGAAGCCCAAGGGCAAGGCCTGATGTGGAGACGTCTCTTCCACGACGTCCAGGTCTACAAGCTCTTCTTTCTCTGGACTTCCTTGAGCAAGTCGAACCACGACCTCAAATCCAAGAAAGGTCAACAGCAGGTCACCATCTCCCAGGCAAGATTATTTGACTTTGTAGCTCGGACGTTCGTGCTTGACTGGACCGCCATCACCACATCCACTCTTCCCGAGGTTGAGGCCGACTTCGTGAAAAGCGAGACGCCAAGTCAACCGTATGGAGGCTTGTTGAGGTATGCCGCGTCGAACATGATCGACTCAAACGACTTTCTCATGGATGTGCTACGCCAAGACTTCTTCACGAAGCTGTTGAATGTGGTCCAAGAAGAAAATACCAGGCTCGTGCCGCCGAGACTGCTTGAGGCCATCCAAGAAGAGGCTGGAGTCGATCCGTCAAGCGACCAGGGCGGCGCAGGCGTTCGCCTCTAGTCCACCATCGAGACTACGCCTATAACACACACCTAGGCGGAGGCTGACCAGCCCACAAGTTTCAGAAAGCGGTACAGGAAGGTCACATGCTGCAGAAGATTAAATACACTAACAGCGAGATGAGAGGCAAGGTCTCATAGTAGCACCAGCCTTCCAGGTACCGATAGCTGCCCCATTCTCTGGCTGGCCAATAGTCTTTATCTTCTCTCTACTGCCACCCTTCTCCCTCTTAACACCAGTTTGACCGGTTCTGAGCTATTCCCAACTAAGTTGGAGCCACTTGCTGTGAGACTATTTACTGGCTTGTATCAAATAAAACTGAGCTTTGAAGCACGCAACAATGGTGCCTGACAACACAGTGTGAAGGTCTCAAGTACAAACATGTGCCCTTTTTCTCCACCGGAACCCTCTCTCTGTTCGGTCTGCCACCACCACCTCCTTTACACAATTTCCGAAAGCCCCGAGGCCGATTCTCGCTGCTCTACAGATTCGAGCTCAACTCCCGCAGTTCGACATCGAGGTCCATCTACGAGGCCTGCTTGCGTTGATCAACCAGGGGGGGGGTTAGACGTCAGAGTCGGATGAGTGTTGTGCTCGGAGGGCCTGATGGGATTTCCAGAGGCTAGAGATGAACTGGTTGGGATGCTAAGGCGCTGAAAATTCACGGGACGCGAGTTGGAGGAGGTATGGGAAGATGATTGAAGCTACTTGTGGTAGACAATGCAGAGGACTATCATCGACGATGATCAAATGCTTATGCGACTGCAGGATAGAAAAGTCCCACTTGGCTAATCGCTATCGTACTTCTGCTACATTATTTCGATTGAGCCTTCATCGCAGTCCAACGCCTGGGACCCTTACTCAAGATCGCCTTCAGCGAAAGCTGACACGTGGTGAGGCAGGGTTTCGTCGTAGTCCTCATCGTGCCGCGAGCGCTTATGCGCAGAGACTGTCAAGCTCATCCTGTTTTCTTTCTCATCGTCTAGATCGAAAACGGAGTCTCGTCGTCTCTTTGAAGGTGTCGCAAGCAGTGCTGGTAATTGTCTGTCTTCTGCCGGACTAGAACGCCTTCTAAGCTTGGGAACACGAGCATGAGAACCGACTGTTTCGGTCGTAGGCGAAGGTGAATGGGATCTTGGACTTGAAGTCTCAATCGCACTCCTTGAGAACCTGTTGGGTTTGGCAAGGCGCAAAGGCACTGTCACTCTGGATAGTTTGCTAGTCAGCCTATTGGCCGGAGGCGGGAGTTGTTGTGCCGTCGAAGTGCAGTGTAAGGGCTGCGGGTCTGCAGACGGGAACGACGACCGCCGCTTCAACTTCGCCTCTGACAGGGGATCCGCGCCGCTCTTCTCAGTGATCGTTCTGATTGGGAAGGGCCAGTTTGCTTCAATTGCAGCCTTGGTTTCCGGCGCGATGTAAGAGGCAGAAGGACGCCTTCTCGGCCAGATCGACGTGTGCATCTGCCGTGGAAAAGGCTTGTAGTGTGATTCCACGATCTGCCCAGGCCTTGGGCCCTGGTTGCGTGGTTTCCTTGGGGCTAAAACACCCTCTGTGCGAGCCACCTTCCGGGCATCGTAAGCCCCAGAGAACTCGAAAAGGTCCGCTCGAGTTGGCCGGGGCCGCCAATGCCTGATCGCCCGCTGGTAGAGCTCTTCAAAATTTGTCTTATGAAGATCATTCGAGAACCATCCGTGCTCAAGAGCTTGTGTTGCAGTCATCCGATCATCATCTGTCAGCACGAGCAGCCTTTCGACAAAGTCCTTCGGTCGAGGACGGACGTTCTGCCATATGGTAGACTGTCGAAGGAAGTGCAGACTACACTTCTTGGCGAGGGCCGGCGAGTGTTGCCTGGTCTCGGGGTCGGTGAATGCTGAAGCTCCAGTCAGCAGTATGGCGGCAACACATCCCAAAGACCAAAGATCAACAGCCTTTGTGTAGCCCGATTTGGTCGAGCCGTTGGCAGTCACCTCACTACATTCGTTAGCAAGATGAAATGGCCTTCATTGATTCGGACCTATGCATCAGGAGAGGCGACGGTGATGTTGGGCCGCGGCCGTGTTGACGGGATGTGGTCGAGTCACTTACGGGGCAGCATATTCATCAGTTCCAGCCATGGACAGCATGCGATGTCGCGGACCGTCTAACCGTCTGGCCGCTCCAAAGTCGGTCAAGAGCACCCGACAGCCAGTTGAAAGACTCGTCATGAGAATGTTATCTGGCTTGAGGTCTCTGTGGACGATGTTCTTCTCGTGTAAGAAGCAGAGCGCAACGACAATTTGACGGATAATCACGGCTGCTTCCACCTCTGACAGCTTGCTGTTCTTCGACTCGAGATATGAAAACAAGTCGCCGCCCGTAACGAGATCTTCGAACATGTAGATCGTGTTGTCTGTGACGAAGACCTTCTCCAGGCCGATGATGTTGGGATGTCGTATAGATGCAAGGATATCTGCTTCACGATAATAGATCTTGAGCTTTTCCTCAAGCTTATTTTCTCTCTTTTGCTGATCGGCCCATTTCTTGACTTTCCGTAGCTGGTCGCTACAATCCACCTCGTTTGCGGGAAGTGGTTCTTCTTTGCGACCGAAGCGACTGGCCGGTCGTAGACGCCGCAGGTCCACGACCTTGCACGCCAGCTGAGTACGAGTGGCCTGCTCTATTGCCATGAACACTTTTCCGAAAGCACCAGAGCCGAGAAGTCTATCGGTGACGATATAAGAGTCGCGAAACTTCTGTAGGGATGAGAATCATCTGACAAAAGTGTGAGCTACGGACTTACTTGCATCTCGTTCTCCTGAATTAGATCAAATTGTGAGACATCGTTCGCTTCACCGCTGTTCTTGAAGAGAAAAGAGACATGGGCAGAGAGCTTGAGCACGTCGCCTGGGCTGAGAAGGAAGCCGCCATTGCCGCGTCCTATGAAGGAGCCATTCCAAAACGTGCCGTGTCGAGATAAGTCTTCAGCATAAACGAGCGTATCAATCTCGGTTGCATCGCTATCATCGTAGACGATGCTGTAGACTCGCAGATGCTTTGCCGATACGTAAGGGTCGTCGATGAAGACCTGACTACACAACAATTAGTCTAATGAAATGTTAGGAACGAGGTATTCTATACCATTTTGAGCGATCTCGACCGATCAGAAGCTCTTTGCCAGGTAGAATCTGCTTGACTATCAAGGATAGTATCAGACCTCGTAAGGAGTAGTTGCTTGGTTACCTGACACAAGCCGGCCATCAGCACCGATCTCCTCTAGAACGCCGACAACGCGACATTGCGACGGCAAACTGCGAGAACGAGAAGACGTTCGGCCAGTGGCCGATGACGATGGCATGTTAGTAATCTTGAATCATGGCTCACGTTCATTAATTAGTGAATGATGGGCATCGAGACATAGCACGGCGACAAATCACCAAAATCGGAGCGAGTCGGCCAGATCATCGAGTCACTCGTACCTCACCTTTGTCAACATCATGTGACTCTAGCCTTCCTGCTTTACAGGTAGACGTGGGTGAGAGGAAGGTGAGGGTGAAGTGAAGGAGCATAGCTGTGCCAAGTTATCAATGGCTGCTTTAGGGCTCGCCAGATTTCACGCTTGCCTACTTCGGGACAAGCGTAACATACGTCTGCCAAGGCTGGCCGCACAGTACAAAACTTCCGCCCCGCAGCTTCATCTTCGACCTCTTCCACCACTTTCATCGACACTCGTCCCTCAACGTAAAGATGAGAGCCAAGTGGAGAAAGAAGCGCGTTCGACGCCTCAAGCGTAAGAGAAGAAAGGTTCGCGGTATGTGCTCCTTTTTCCTTTGCATCCAACCCGTTCTAACGACTTTCAGCCCGCAGCAAGTAAACGATTCGACTTCTTCATCTCACCGGCGCTCTCGACCAATGTCAACACCTCGAGATCAATCCCAGACACGACTCAAGTGAGCGAAACGACATCGAAACTTCGAAGTTGGGAAAGTCACGCGACACCATTCGTCTGGAAATGTTATGCTACGTTCGCAAACAATCATCGAGAATGGCCTCTGGACTGGACACATGTTTGTGTGTCACGTCCATGGGAGGAGCAAAGGTGGTCAACTACATATGAAGCTGTTGACGGGTTACTTACGAGGTCTCTGGCGGTTCCTAATGTACTCCACGCGACCCATTGGAGTTTCGACAATACCGCAACGTCAGAAGATACCTCCCCCAAACAAATCAATGAGAAAAGGCCTTTGACCACTCTTAGAGTACTCGTGATATGTCTCGATCCCTGCATGCTTCCCACGATCTGTAGACTCGATCATTCAGAGTATTTCAACACCCTCACTAACTTGTAGCTAAAGTTGCGTTACAGCTGCTCAGTACCTCGCTGCGTGTTAATTCCCCACGCTTAAGAGGTAGAGAGTGTTTCTTATTCTGCACGTGAACATCGTTGAGACCAAGGGTAATGCATGGTTTCTTCACTGGTTGTGAACTTGGTGCTAAAAACAGTAGCTTCAAGACATAGAGATCCATCCATCCTAAGCTGCCTTCGCTTAGCCACCAGAGGACCTCACTATATTCAAGACAAGCACGAAGTCTCTACCTATTCCTCTCCTGCTGCAATATTGAAGCTCTGTGCGCTGATATGCCCTTGGCTATCACCGACTTGTGACCAGTGCTTCTGCCAGTGAGGCCCAGTGACGTGCGGGGCCCGCTTTCCTCATACCAAATTATTTTCATTTTTGGAGAACGTCCGACGACTTGCGCCAAAGCTATTCAATCAAACTGGAGTAGTCTTTTAAGCCGTCCTTAAGACCACGGAAAAGATCGTGCGCAATGTCCGACAGGAAAAGAAAGGCTGGCTCTCAAGGCAACCCGCGGCCGAGCAAGAAGCCTCAGACTGGGACGATGGTCAAAGTCACGCACCATAAGGGCCCCAACATTGCGAGGCCTACTATAGGTAAGTCTACTTTCGATAGTGTTCCTGGTCGATGTCTAACAGTACCAGCAAGCTGTCCAGGTAGCAGCTTGCCTTCAAACATCAAGTTCGAAACCTATGCCACGAGATCCGATCCACGGGTACTCCTCCATTCATCAGATCACGATACGATCGACTTCACCGCCGTTGAGACTCGGACTACCAGCTCGACGGAGTCTCACATGAAGCATTATGTCGCTGTATATGATCCGACTACAAGCCATCTCACGGTTATGGAGGCAAGAAAGGTAGCAGCCCGCGCACAAGTCAGGCAGTTCGAGAAACAGACGGACGACGACCATGAAGAAAATGCGGCCGCTCCAACACCCGGCTATGCTTCGCGGGCTGCTCTCACAGAAGCTTTCGGCACGAAGAAGTCCAAGAAGGCCGTTCAGTCAATAGCAGAGAACCGTCTCTTTGCTCTTGGTGGTAGCGATGCCGATCCGCTGTCACACGCAATCCATTCCACTGTTGCGATCGATGATGATGGCGATATCGATACCCAAGAGCCTGTGCGGTCCAACAAACCTCTGCCCACGGCAAACCTAAACACCGAAGATATCAGAGAAGTCTACCCCGTATCCTCACTTGTATTCCCTTCCGGCTTGGTCACGCTAGAGTCGATGCCCATCGCCTACTGGCGCGACCGCGCAAGCAATAATAAGGCCATTAAGGGGCTTTCGAACTTTGTCGTCAACCGCATTGTGCCCCTCCTACACGTGCAAAAGACAACCGCACCATCGGAGACTCAGGCACATGCACGCATTACACAGCAGATCCAACTTTTGCGATACCTCGAATTGCTTCTCCAGATGCACGTGTACCTAGCCCGGCAGTCTCCGCGCAAGCGCTTCCCTCCCGCCCACCAGTGGCCCGAGGGCACCGTCCAGAGAGAGTTCGATATGTCGATTCTGAAAGGTGTGCTTGACCATTTCTTCCCCGAGCGGACCGCAAACGCGAATGCCCTGACCCTCCTCCGAAGCACCATCCTCGCGATCAGTCTGCACATTCCCCCAGCTGGGCGTACACCGGACACCAATACGCTCGTGGCCGAGCCCACAGATATTGCAAGAGATCTTGCACTGGATCGCGAAGTCGTCACCAAACTGTATCGGGAAGTGGGCTGTCGCATTGCGCCGTTGAGTGACACCGATATGAAGGTGTTCAACCTCGACAAGCTCAAAGGCAGAACAGATGGAGATGGAGAGCCCTTGAACTTCAAGAAGGTCAAGTTTGCGAAGCTCAAATTTCCGGTGGAGTTTCCGAAGGTGAGCCAGGGCAGGAGAGAGCGGCGGAGATAAGGTGCGATCTTTGGCAGTACGAGGTTTTCGAACTGCATTGCAACGATGCTACGGGCTACGGATGCCACATATACAGTCTGTGTGGCAGACACGGTTTTCCCCTAATCGAGTTGGGTGGAAGGGGTTCTCACATGCTGCCAATGCTGCGCGAGACCAAGTCAGTCTGTGTGCTATCTTGCCAGTACCGGAAGGCTGCCGCAGTCAAGCCAGGACCGGTGATGACCAAGATATCCAAAATGACCCAGCGCAACCTGTGATGGCACAGCCAAGGCACACTGAAGATTATGAGGTAGCATGGACGGACGCGCGCGCAGTGATATTTGGAAAATACCCGCTGCTCAAAAGCAGTGAGCAAACGAAAGAGACCTGGCCACCACAGTCGCCAGCAGCCCATGGGCTTCGAGATTTGCTGGTTTGAGAAGGCCCTTTCTCATAAAGCTGTCTAATGTAATACTGTCACAGTCCGTCAGCGTCGTCCCACGGCCGCTGAAGAGGCCCCGCGTCCCGCGTCTATAATTCATACAATATTGGTCAGTCCGATCGACGTGTACCGTTTTCGCTCGCTGCAGCCGTACCCAATGCACCACGCACGAAACGTTCACCATACCTTTAATCCCGCCCGTAGTAATGCGCCATCTCCAAGCCCGCCCGCTTAAAGCCACACTTGACATAGAACCCCTCGTTGGCCTCACTGCAGTCCAATATACACTTGTAGCATCCCACCTTCTCAGCCACGTAGTCCAGCGCCTGGATGATCCGCAGGCCCAGCTTCTTGCCCTGCTGGTTCTTCGCCACGGCGATGTCCTCGATGTGCCCCACCAGGCCCATGTTGTGTATGAACTTGCGCTCGACGATCACGGCGCCCGTGCCGACTATTTGGTCGGAGGAGTCTAGAATGACGAGGATGTGGTATGTCGAGGGTATCGAAGCCATTAGGGCGAAGTGGTCTGAGAAGGTGCTGAAGGAGGGGCTGCCGACCGTTGTGAGGACGCGAAGGGTGTCGAGGAAACCTATGGGGGAGATGTCAGTGGGCGGGATGGTGGGGGATAGGCGGGGGCAGGTGTACCTCTGTTGTAATCGCTACGCCGCAGCGGTCGCATAGTATATCCCTCTGGAAGAATGGCAGAGACCTCGGGAGAGATGAGCGTAGGAGAGAAGAGGGGAATTTCTGTGTCGTCCTCGGTGGTCGCGGAGGTGCCATTAACGGAAACGCCGTTGGTGCCATTGGGCTCACCAGTCGTCGTCTGGACTGGTGCAGGCTGGGCAGCGGTGCTTTTATCTTGTGTAGGAGCTGAGGTGCCATTGAGCGTCTCCTCTGTGGTCACTTGTGTTGCGTTGTCCTTGACTGGCGCAGCTACAAGCGCATCTTGGATCGGTGCGGCTTCGGGTACGGGAGTAACGCCATTGGTATGGAGCGGCTCTGCCTTTTCGACTGCTACGACCTCTGAGGGAGCATCCTTGAGTGACGCTGGTGCAGTTTCGAAGACAGTCTTTTCAGTTGCTGACTGCTCGGGTATTGATTCGGCCATGGGGTGGATGGTGAGTGAATGAACACAGGGTGGGTAACGCTAGGTATGCTGAGGCAGGTTATACTGTTGAGGATAGATTCAGGAGAAACAAAAGAGGGTGGTATTGGAGGAACGAGTGACGTTGCACAGGTCAGCAAGAATCTGAGCACGAACCAGGTCGTGTCTGTTTCAGGAGACCTGAAAGGATGCGAGACACTTTTTGACCGGGGTCGCAGATCGGCTGCACTGCTCAGCCTCGGGGGTGCTAAATAGAGCCTACGATTTACCCGTGCAGGTCATCGGATGCCGCCTATTGGTTGATCTCAACAGGGTGGGTATGATCGCCCTGGTTCAGGCGGGCCTCGACGCCCGGAAACATTAAACTTGGGGGGGTGATGAAGTTCTTGTATTTCTATCACTGATGGAGGAAAGTGATTCTAGAAGCAGCTCCTGCTGGCAGCCCGCACACTTCGGGGAATTCACCGTACTCGGTCAACTTGAACTCAACAAACTTCCAGAAATCTTTGACCGGGACGCCGTAGGGTACAATCGGCGACGTGGTGAGGCCTGGAATGCTGACGATACCATCGTTGATAGATAGTCGCATGAATCTTTGGAGGCTGTCTTGCTCATGACCACAGGCAATGCGCTCGAACAAGACTCGTCCTCCCATCGGTACGACATCACTCGTTTTCCAGCGTCTGCCCGCTGACCGGCGGTCTGTCGGCAGCTCCTGCTTGCCATCTTCATCAAGAATTCGCAGGGCTGCCAGAAGTGGCACGATATCTCCGTCGTGCACAAAGCTCAGATATACGTCTTTCGACAACGGTTGCATCAATAGATCGGCCGTGGCGTTGAGATAAAGCCAACCCATTGTCCGTGAGAATTCGTTCCCAGGTCCAGCCCGATAGAAATGTAGCAGGTCCCGAGCGTACTCGAATTGGAGCCATTCCTCACGTGTGAAGATTTCGCACCAGGGACTGCTTCCTCGTGCAAGAATCTCGAACCCGCACATCTCCATCATGCTGTAGACATCCAGGTGACTGAACTCCAAGCCGGGAGCGGCCTTCGAAAGATTCGTGATAATGGGTGCAGTGAAGTGCTTTTGATAGGCCTCGAGCTTGCCATAACCTTGGTCATGGCCATGCACAAGATCGTCCACATACCGGAGACATGTATCTCCTGGAGTGAGAGTATCCCCTCCTCGATCAGCATCCTCTGGAATGATCTCTAGCTCGGCTACACCTTTACTTTCCCAATCCGAGCCGAAGAAGCCGTCTGCAAAATACCGGGCTGTTTCTACATCGCGTCCAGAATCGCAAGACCAGAATCGCACCCTCTTTTCTGCTGATACAAGGTGGTCGTAGCGTTCACGAAGCTTGCGGCCCGTGTCTCGTGCTTGTTTTGTACCGGCGTAGGGCCCTTCAGCAGTGAGATTCTCGAACGCAGGATCTTGTTGGCTGGTGAAATAAGTCCAATGATTGAGAAACTCGAGTGCTCCTTGTAAGGAAACATCGGGCGCCTTGAGCCTGTCCAGAAGCTGGAGATGGCGGCTGCCGGCATTTCTTGTTGGATATCGCTCCCCGTGCCGAGACATCATGTGCACCTGGTCGACCATGCAGCCATCCGGTAAGGCATCATCTGGGGTACCTCCCCGGGTATGCTTTGGGATCCACGGGCCATTGCCACCGAGGTGATAGAAGAGGTTCCAGTTGTGAGCTTCTTCAGAGGTAGGTGGAGACGGCACGGCGCTTGAAGCGAGAGATAGTAGTTGGAATAGACGGTCCCCGAGCAGGAAGAGAAATGAAACAGCCAGGACGATGTACGCCCAAGTGGTCCTGCGGCGCAGCAATCTCAACACCGACATCATGGAAGAGCCTTCATCACTCTGAGGCGGAGCAGTGCGCGGCGCATTGTTATCCCTCATCGAGGCCACGGGGGTAGACACGGTCGACGCGAACAGAAAGACGAGACACAGAAATGGCGGTGATCGGGAAGCGCCCCACTAACACGCCAAGAATAGACATTGCTAGGCACCTTACCGTTCCTGCCCAGAGACCTGTGGAAAGTCCCGCATTGCCTTACACGCAAGGCAATCAGGCGGGCAAACAGGTAAGGCGGGCAGAGGCGGCATCATCGGAAAAAATTAGGGCTTAAAGTCTGTGCCGCTGGCTTTTCCGACCGGTCAGGATTCCGGTGGAATCGGCTCGGAGCATGCAGAGTGGGGTGAAGAGGGGAAGTTGGGGGCAGGACGACGACAAAGATGAAAATGCGCACGTCCTCTGGCGGCAGTTGTCCGACATATAGACTCGCATCACGCTCCTCAGCCGGTCTACGAATACCGAGCTGCTCGTCGCAACGGTCCCAACCATCGTAGAATCGGCTTTGCTTCATTCGTCCTCAGCAGCATCAAGCGGTGGATTTGGAGACGCCTCTTCCGAGCTAGAATATCGGCACGTCCGCCCTTAGACAATCGGGATCGCTAGCCGACTTTCAAGTCGGCCCTGACAGTCGTATATCGAACAGCAAATATTTGTTCGCGATCAGTGAAAAGTCTTCAAATATACCACACGTCTGTAAGTAAACGAGACCTGCTGCCCTCAATGCCTAATGTCTCTACACTCAAGTTAGCTAATTGTAGAACGCAGAAAGTATTCAGTCACCTCACCATGGGCTCAGTCACAGCAAGCACGGGCACGCATGCATATCCAGTCCCGTCGCCGGGCATCTATCCTCCTGCAGTCACCTTCTTCGATCCCGAAAAGGACTGCCTGCTTCCAGAGCAGCAGTCTCAATACTACAAATACCTTGCATCGACCGGTCTGACAGGACTGGTCATCCTGGGCACGAATGCAGAGACCTTCATGCTGACGCGTGAAGAGCGTGCGACGCTGTTGAAGATTGCTCGCAAGTCCGTGCCAGAAGGTTATCCTATCATTGCCGGCGTCGGCGGACACTCGACAGCACAGGTACTCGAATTCATCAATGACGCCTATGAGGCAGGTGCCAACTACGTCCTCGTCTTACCGTGTGCATACTTCGGCAAGCAGACCACCCCGCAAGTGGTCAATAACTTCTATAACGCCGTTGCTAAGGCGTCGCCGTTGCCGATCCTGATCTATAACTTCCCGGCCGTTTGCAACGGCCTCGATCTGGACTCGGATCAGATTACAGCGCTGGCAGAGGCGAATCCAAACATTGTCGGTGTTAAGCTGACTTGTGCATCCGTCGGCAAGATCACTCGGCTCGCGGCGACGTTCACGCCGGAACGCTTTGCCGTCTTCGGGGGACAATCTGACTTCTTGGTTGGCGGTTTGGCAGCTGGCAGTGTGGGCTGCATTGCTGCATTTGCGAACATCTTCCCCAAAACTTTGGTCAAGATCTTCAATTTGTACAAGATGGGGAAGCACGATCAGGCGTTGGCGCTGCAAAAGATCTCGGCACATGCGGAGAATCCGACCAAGGCGGGGATCGCAACCACCAAGTATGCGGTCAGTCAGTTCAGCGCTGTGGCTGCAGGCATCGAAGGTGGTGATAAGGCTGTTCTGGAGAGACTGCTGCGGCCACGACGGCCGTATGAAGAGCCTGCGGAACCCGTTAAGGCGAAGATCCGGGACGTGATGAAGGCGATCAATGACATTGAATTGACGCTCTGAGGCTGGGCTTCTCGGTAAGTCGTCTGCTAGATATTAGAAGATGAACATAGCGCGTATTTGAACGTTGGAATTATATAGCTAGATCTGGCTGTGTATGATCGGCGTCTTTGGCGGATAAGCGTAGCCGCAATCCGCTTACAAGATTTCTCGAATGAGATGACACGGCCTCTTTTTGGTTGCACTGTAAGCAAGACATCTGTTTGCCCAAGCCGCTGCGGGCGCGTCTGTACAGACAGCGACGAACGGGGCTGGGAGCAATTGGTGGAGAAGATGAGTGTCTTAAAAAGCAGCTGTAAGGGAGGAAGCTCCACGCCCCACACACACAAGCTCAATGCCAATTACCAATGACCGCAGAGACTCTTCACGTCACTTCCATGCAAGAGATTGTCGACCATTCACATGTCGCCATTGTTTGTTTTCTTGTCGAAAGGAATGATATCTTGCAACGAAATGCGCAGGGCGGGACCGACGACATCAACGCCGCAGCTGAACCCTTGTTCACAGGTACCATGCACAGACGACGGACGTCCGTACATTGGGAACATGTCAGCTAAGGTTAACCGAGAGAGAGACTTTGCAGACCAGCATGAGGCAGGCCCCGAAACCCCGACGTTGCAGGCTCTTGCTGGTTCCGCAGTGGCCGCCCACCACTGGCTGCAGGCAGCTCGAGAGCACAAATTAGGCATGAGGTGGGTCACTTTAACCGGCAGCTACAGCTAGCCTGGCTAGTTTCTAGCTTCCTTCGTCTTCCCGCCATCCCAGAACTAAGCAAACCCCATGCAACGCGATCCGTTGCTTCCACTGTCCCATGCGCTGCTTCCCTGTTATCTGCGCCCGCTCGGTCCTTCCTGCCTTCATCCCGGTGCACCTCCACGCAACGGCTGGCAACGTACGTTCTTTACTTACTGTGTACGGAGTACAACGATACCTAGTCTCACCATCGTTCCTGGTGACCGCCGCTCACAGTCGCTATCACTAACACAAAGCCCTCGAACAACCCTCCTCACCCCAACCCTCCTCACCCCAACCCTCCTCACCCCAACCCTCCCACCACCGACTGCGGTCTCAAGCCAGACTTCTACCATAGTACCAACACTCTCGAGAATGCTGGACTATCAGCCAGTCAATATGCTCGTCCGCTAGTCGTGCGAGGCTGAACCCTCCTCTATTTGAGAAGCCGTCAAGGGCCTTGCTGTTGCGTTCCAGAGCTGCGCAGTCCCAGCCCCGACATATACGTCTTCAAGAACAGCAGGAGCCATTCAGAGCAACATGGCGTACTTTGTCACTCGCTCATGGTTCCATTGCTGGACCTTGTTGGTCTCGCTTTCGTTACTGGTGACCTTCGTAAATGCCCAGGCCCAGCCCACCGTGGTGAACGGCCATCTCATGATCCCGTACACCGGCGATGACGGAACGCAATGGTTTATGGACGATAGAAGACCTTCGCTGTACACCCAGACGTTCGGAGACTGCCAGGGCGATTCTCTGCTGAACGTCAGTCGCTTCGATGCTGCCTACTACAAGGACAACATGACCGTCCTCTTCCATCTAGAGGGAAGTTCAGCACTGGCAAACGAGAGCGTCATTCGTAAGTCCGCGTGGACGATTGCACATCTGCCTTGCTAACGTGAAGTAGTTTACATTGGAGTTTATGCGTACGGAGAACCTAGGTTCAACCTGACTTTTGACCCATGTTTCGCCAACATTCATAGCCTCTGTCCTATGAATGCTTCTGTACCAATTCAGGCCAACGGCATCATCCCGGTAGCCCCTGCGGACGTTGCAAATATACCCCCGATTGCGCTGTCCATTCCAGACTTTGAAGGGCAGGCGATCTTGCGTGTGTTTGCCAATTCTACTCAATCACAGATTGGGTGTTTCTCAGCGGTCATCACCAACGGTTCATCCTTCTCGCATCCCTCTGCCATTGGTACGGTTCTGGGCCTCTTCGCCCTCATAGCGATGTTCTCCTCGGCTATTGTCGCAAGTTTCGGAGCTAGCGTCACCGACACAAGGCAACACTTTGCTCACTCGCTCTCCGTGTCTGTAGTATTCGCTGTGTTTCACCACATCTATTTTACAGGCGCACTTTCGATGAACTGGCCTAGCGTCTTGGTTGCCTTCTGGAGCAACTACGCTTGGTCTGCTGGAATGATCCACAGTGAATCCATGCAGAATAGCATCAACAGTTTCATCGGCAGCAACAGTGGTAACATCAGTATGGTCGGCTCGGCACCCGCTGGTCAGAACAACCCTGGACTCGGGGGAGGTTTCCAGATTACGCAGATCTACAAGCGTGCACTGGGTCTGACCGAAGTACTCTCAGGGGCATCTGCTAACCTGTTTTCGAAGCGTGACGACACCGAACCCGTATCTCAATCTTCATGGTATGGTCAACCCGTCCGCCCCGGACTACCGCTTCCTGGGAACTACTCTGGTTTTGCTGGAACACTGGCACCCCACAATATTCCGGCCTCGAATGCGTTCCTTACTGGCTTGCTGTGGTTCCTCATCTTGCTCGTCATCGTTGCGGGAGCTACGGTTCTCCTGAAATGGTCGATCGAAGCTCTGGTGAAGATTAAGATTATCAGAACCCGCAATCTCGACAGCTTTCGGAATAACTGGTTGAAATACACGGGAATTGCACTGCTAAGAACCTGTTACATCGCTTTCTTTCTGATGCTGTTCTTAGCCCTGTTCCAATTCACCCTGGGAGGCTCCGCTGGCGTCATCGCGTTGGCCGCAGTCGTCTTTACCCTCTTCGTTGTTGGTATGCTGGGAACCGCTGCATATGCGCTCTATTACAGACTCCGCCATCAACGCTTCGTGGCCCGATCTGCGAGACTCAGTCTTGAGCACGGACCAACAGAAAGCGCTTCATCGGTCGAGTCCAAGCCCGGCCGTCCTCGTATCTCAATACCCTTCCGGCGGTTTCAATTCACCGACGTAGACTCTAATCTTCCTCATGTGCATGATGATCCGGACTTTACGAGCAGGTTTGGCTGGTTATCAGCACGGTTCAGGCGGAGTAAATGGTGGTTCTTTGCTTTCTGGCTCGTGTACGAGCTTGTTAGAGCATGCTTGTTCGGAGGAGCTGCAGGTCACGCTCAGACACAAGTCTTTGGTCTCTTGGCTTGGGAGATCATCTCACTTGTGGCTATCGTCTGGATGCGACCTTTCGAAAGCAACCGGCTCAATTTCCTTATGGTCTACTTCTTGGGATTCAGCAAAGTTGTGACTGTCGCCCTCTCATCGGCCTTTGACCCTCGATTCGGCCTAGGACGGATTCTTACCACCGTGATCGGTGTCATCATCATTGTGATTCAGGGCCTCTTAACGATCGTGTTGATGATCTTTGTCGTGCTTGGGGCCATTTCAAGCTACATGTCTGTCATGCGCTATCGTCAGGAGATTCGCCCCCGTTCATGGAACAAGCCACGAGAGCGGTATTTTGAGCATGTTGCATTCAAAGCAACTGACAAACCACGCCCGCCACCGCCACCGCCACCACCAGCCCCCGAATATCCGAAGGAGCCTTACTTTTCTGTAACAGCAGTCCGACGTGAGCCGAAGATTGATGAAAACGATGCCGATATTCAGGACGGCGAGGCCAATGTCAGAGCATCCACAGACGATAAAGGAGGAATCCAAGCGCCTTCGAGAGCAATGTCGATGCGATCCAGTCACTCGAATTTGCCGTATGGTGCCCGAGGGCCTAGAAACAGCTGGTCCACGAGAGATTTCGTTGAGCATGAGCAAGACCATCAGCCGCCCCCGGAGCTGCACCAACGCATGAGTCAGGAAGTCGTTCGTGATGTAATCCAACGACACCGTGCAGCAAGTCTTCGAGGGCCACATAGGGCTGGCGTCGATGCCGCAGCAGGGTTCGCAGCCACTGCTCACAGAGCCACGGAAGGTAGGACGGGGCACCGTCGCACCGTGTCCAACCCGCTTCAGCCGAAACGGAACAGCTCAATTGTTTTGGAGGGAGATGAGTACGCGACTCCTCTCCATAGAGAAGCTTGAGAGCAATGCATGAACACAGGGGTTCCACGAGGTGAACCACCCAGCAACCCTGTCCGCGCTGTTAGACGGTTCACTGAATCTGGCCACTTATGACATTCGCATGTTTCGCATGAGCCCTGCAGCTCAGTCGACACGTGCGCGAACAGTTACGAAGACACTTTTACATGATGGCACGATACTCGCATGAGCCGGCGCGCCTGCGAAATGGATGTCGTGCTAGGAATCGGGGAGGTTGCGTCGCTGCCAGCTCTGTACAGATGAGCTTTCGTGGATTCACGAGCACACGTATTCTTCAGATAATGTACATACTTTAAGCGAACATAGTCAGCTTAATAGAGCGAGATGATTACGAACCGATTGAGCACGGGTATCGAACGGGCGACTCGCTTCCAAGGCACGCAATATTCCCCACGAAAGGAACGTCGGAATACCGGGCCGGCATCTAACGAGGACTATGTACAACGTGGGAACAGGCGATCTAAAACCCAGATGGTGAGGTAGAAGTGCTTCATTTCGCCTACGCTGCTTAGCTACGGCTAGCCTCGACCCCCGAACGGTCTGTGTCACCATAAACGCAAGTGTCGATGTATCGGGCATTGGCAAAGTCAGAACGCCCATAGATATTTCCGAGCTGCCCGAGCTGCTCCGGGCCAACAACGTTTAACGGGACAGAGAAGAGGGGAATTTCGCGGTGCCGCGCGGTGCCGAGGCATTGCAGAACGTGGCATCGTGAACGTGGGGATCTTCAGTGCTTCTCCGAAACCGACAGCTGCAAGCAAATCTTGCTCTTGGACAGACATGCCTGTCTGAAGACTTCATGACTTGAGAAGGAGCCTTGTGATGACGACTTGTGTATGGCCACATCCCCACTCAGGACTCCCAGTCGAGCGTTGGGCTGTTCCGGATCTGTGCCAAGTGCTCAAGCGGTCAAAAATCGGTGCGTCGTTAGCTTGAGGCGACAAGGGTGGGATCCGGGGCTGTCGGGTGATCTTTGACCTTCGCCGGCGTAGTGGGTGATCACGGCGCGAATCCTCCTCGCTGATTGATGCGCCGAAGGTATCGACGTTGAAGCCCTGGCCTAGCGCTCCCAGCACGTCCTCACACGCCTGTCCGCCACTCGTACCCCTACATCTGGAGTTTGCCAGCTCTTTGGGATACTTGAAAATCTGCACACCTCCATGCTGTCTCGTAGAGAGCAGCCGTCCGAAACCTTCCCGTTCTGTTCACATCGGGGTTTTTGGGCCGTAAAATCCAGCCCAGTCTTCTGGAAGCTGGGTATGGCAGCGCTTGCTCCACTGGGATAGCCTTTGCCACGTGGAGCATACCTCAAGACGGATCTGCACCGGGGTCGCAAGTCGACAGTGACTGCTCGGGCTCTCACGATTGGAGTGAGGCGCCGACGGACCAAATTCTCTAACGGCAACGGGTGATAGCGGCGCAAACTCGGTGGCACCACCAAGTATTATTTCCAAAGCCGGAGCTATCACTACTCTTACTATGTTCCTGTCACCCTGAATGCGACATGAATCGCTTACCGAGCCGCAATAGCAACAATCTCAGCACAGCCCCGATTCATGGCCGAAGCTCTATCCAGTCTGCTTCTCAGCAACCATGGGCTTACAGCACCCAAACTGAACCGAGAGATGATGAGGAAGACGCAATCGGGGAGAGTGATGATGCTGGTGGACCAAGTAGCGCGCAGAACTCGACAAAGCAAGAAGGTCAAGGTACTGGCTCCACGGCCGGGACAGCTCCTAAGCGAAAACGACCGCTTAAGCTGACTGCTTCGCAACGCGAGAGGAAACGCGCCATTGACCGTGAGGCGCAGCGTAGCATTCGAATAAAGACCAAAAATTATATCGCCCATCTCGAATCCCTGGTCAAAGCCATGGAGCAGAATGACGCCGGCGGTCCAGATGGAGAGAACCATCAAACACGAGAACTAATGAACCAGCTACGCCAAAGCCAGGAAGAGGTACGGCGCTTACGAGAAGCCATGCTAGGAGTGCAGCGGGTGTTGGGTGGCGCACTAGGAGACTCTTTCAAGCTGGCCAGCAGCGGCGAAGCTCAGGAACAGAGGCAGCTGTCTTCCTCGGCTTCTCCACCATCGGGCAGCGAGCAGCCTCCAACTCTCGGTCGCAGCTTCAGTGCTTCAAGGCAGCCCAATACCGATGCAAGTGCCCCCTTCTGGCTCCCGTCTGCAGACAGCACACAACCGTCCACCTCGACGGCCGTGGCATCGAGTCACACGAGCCCGCCAGGTATGCATCCTGCGCGGCCCGCCAAGGATCCCTCGCAGCGATTCGAAGGTGAGATGTTCTACTACGCCGAATATCACCTGTCACGGGTCTACAACTCCCCTGGTCCTGGCGCTTTCTCTAACCGCCCTTTCGACGAAGATATTATCGTGCGTGCTGTGGTCGAAGGGTGGGCCGCGGTGGAAGAGCGTCACCACCTCGACCTCGGGTGGCAGGTCCTGCAGGAGATCGACCAGGTCATCTTTGGCGACTGTGGCGTTGTCGAGCGTATGGCTGCGTTGCGGCTCCTACGCATGAAGTTACTACATACCGCAAACATCAAGGCCGGCAGTTCCATCCCCCCACCGCAGGACATCCCGCAATATATGACCAATGAAGTGATTCAGCACGACAACCGCGCCAACGTGGTGGACAACTTTGTGTGGCCGGGTTTTCGCAAGTTACTCCTTGACACACCGCAACGATACATCACCAACGAACTTAACGAGAGCTTCAGGCACAACTTGAAGTTTTTATGGCCGTTCGACGCCGCAGATACATACACCAAAGACCCTGTCACCTCATTGTATTGCTCGACTCCTGAGTTCATGCGGCGCCAAGCGGATATTCGGTGCTGGACAATGAAGCGGGTGTTCTTCAATGGACATGAGGAGCTATGGGAGACAATTCCTGCATATGAGGCCGACATTCAGAAGTCGTTGCCGGCACCCCCGCTGAATGTCTCGGTGGGCATGCAAGGGCAGGGCACGGTCATGGTAGACGAGCATGATGTGGACGATGGCGACATAGCTAGTAGCGCAGGCCCCGGGCCTGCTGTACTGCCAAGCCATGGCCCGTCGTCGTGGGTAGGACATGGCGCCGTACAGTCACTTCCACATGTAAGCCACGGACTACCCATGCCAGGTTATTGGGCTGGTCCAATGGACCCAGGTATGGGCCAGGGCTTTGCGGCGCCCGGGCATGGCATGCCACCGCCTAGGGGTCCGCAAACCCATCACGGCTATCCGCCGTGAGCACTGGAGGAACCAGTGAAGGGCAAGTCCAAAACAGCGCGTCGCAGGCTCGACGGCAGACGTGCCCGGAAACAGCCATGCCTTGTCTTGATGCTCACGAAGGCGACTGGGGTGCAGAGTTTTGGGCTGTTGCCAAAAAGTCTCAGGCCGTGAAATATACATATCACTTAATTCTTTGGTTGCAGCACGATGAGATCATTTTTCCTGGCACGCATCTCCCCTCATGTGGTCTTGCGAGCACATGCTAGCTGACTTACATAACTCCAGCTGGACCAGGTCCGACCCCTCGCTTCACTTTGTTACACGCTCAGTCAGCAGACTGCGGCAAATTTGATTGATGAACAGCGCTGCATGCGACGAGCACACTGTAAGGGAATGAGCTGCGCCAGCGACCGCCGGCCCCTCCTCTCATAAGCAGCCCCGATACTTCGACTCCCACCTCTCCCTGGCCTCCACAGGTTTCCAACGCTCAACCTTACCAACGCGACACGGTAACATGCCCCTCTTTCACCACAAATCTACCAGCGATAAATCCTCTGACGGCGGCGCCGAACCCGAATCTAAGCACACTAGTCTTCTCCGCCGCCTCTCAAGCTCGAGCCGCAAATCCTCGAGTCAAAGCATTGTGAGCGACCATTCTCGTAGAAAGTACGCCAAACCTTGTCCTTCTTACATGATTCTATAGGAAAAGCATGGCGACGGCGAATCAGCGAAGCCGGCGGATCCGCCGCCACATAGTGTGGTTGCCTCGTCGGGAAAGGTACAGACAGGGTGGACGCCTTGTTCCCTACTGGGGCATGGCATGCTGGAACGTACATGCTGACATGGGTATTAGAGCACCTCGGGTGATGCTGCATTGGCAACAAAGACTCCGACTGGCGAGAGTACCCCTTCCTCCGAGCAACAGCAACAACGCTCGTCTAGGTCAGGAGAGCGACAGTCAGATCCGAACAAGTCCTCTAGCTCGCATTCACGCCACCAGTCATCCTCGAGACCACCTTCCGACAACGGCAACCTTACCATGAGCGAGGCAACCGCCCGTCCTGTTGACTCTGACGCCCTCTCCAGAGATGACGTCCAGACTCTATTCCATGGAGCACCGCATGTATTTGGCCCTCCCCTTGTCTACCGGTAGCTGTGTCCAGGCCACTGACGGCGCTTCTACTATAGTTCTTGCTAGAGAAAGGTCGTCGCGGCCGGTTTTTCCCACAAGCCTTCTTCCCCTATTCTTCACCACTCGACATTACAGACCTCCAGGACCGTCGATACCTCAAGCACGAATCCTTTGCCCTATTCACCCTCCACTCGCACCTCCCCGTTCCACACGAGGCCGCCTGGAAGCCTGGTGCCCCAGTACCAACTGGTGGACTCCTTCCATCATCCTCCACCCTCGCCGCGCCGCCGTCTCCCTCGCCCTTGTCAGCCACCAGCACACCCGCTACCGAAGCCCCTCCATCTCCAAGTCCAGCAACACCAACCTCTTCTCTGGTATCCTCCTCGCTCCCCACAGGTGCCGTAACCCGCACTACAAGTACCTCCAGCGCCGCCTCGACTCTCGCCGGCGTCGCTCGTCTCGCAACCAACAGGCGGCCCATGTTCGACCTCGGCATCTACGAGCGCCCCAACATGCTCTCGCTCCACGGCATCGAGCGCGGCACCTTCGGCATGCGCGCCTTCCTCGAGCGGCCGGTCGCCGACGGCCTCGTCGACGAGAAACACGAGCACTCATCGTCTGACCCCGAGCCGACAAACACGACTTGTGAAGCGGGCAAGAACTCGGCGTCGCTGACGGAACACTTGTCTACGTCCGAGGCGCTCAAGGCTCTCGCGCACGACGAAGGCTCCGTGCACGTGGGCAAGCATGCGCCGCCGATCGACCGGGTGGCGCTCCTGCGCGACGGGCCCAAGGCGTGGAAGCGCGTGGGCGTCCGCGACATGTCGCTGCGCACCGTCACGGAACGGTTGGAGCTCATCAGCAAGTTGCGGGACGACGTGGTGAAACGGGGCTGGCGGTACACGGTGCTGCAGGTGTGGACGGAGGAGGAGATGGGGGACTGGCTTTTTGGTGAGTTGCTTTATCCGCCGGAAAAGAGGGCGGGGAGAGGAGGGGGTGGTGGTGTGGAGGCCGGCAGTAAAGGGCATGAGCTGAAGGTGCAGATTGAGGCGCTGGTCAAGGTATTGACAACGAGGGGCGCGTGGTTGGACTTCAGTCTGCCGAGGGAGAGGCTGTTGTTCAGCCAGAATTTGTACGCGAAGGAGGCGGCGAGTGATGGAAGCGGCGTGGATGCGATGGGTTTGAGGCCCGAGATCAAGAGGAGATGGGGCCTGATTCAGCTGTTGTTGTCGGTGGAACTGGTGTTGAGGTTGGACGCGGCCTTGAGGCTGGGCGTTGCGAGTCACAGTGAGAAGGTGGAAGTCAGCAGTGTGGAGATCCACCATTTCAACCGGTTGAGGAACCTGAAGGTTGATTGGGACTTCGTGGTGGCGAGGAGATGGTTGGATCTGTGCTATGTGAGGAAAGTGCCCAAGAATGAGGTCGGCGGTGCGCCGCCGGCGGTGGAGACGCCAGCGGACGCGTCGCCGCCCCCCAAAAGTCACCACGGGCAGAAGGAGGGGGGCTTCTTTGGGAGGTTCAAGGAGACGTTGCACATTCGAGACAAAGAGAAGGAGGAGGATAGCTGGCCGTACGACTGCGCGGTGCTGCCTCGGCAGCCGAGCGTCATGGCCGACGGGCTTCTACGCTTTGCGGAGGACATTGGCTGGGACGCCGACGCGGTAGAGCATATAAGGAGACAACTAGCGGAGAAGTTGTGTGACAAGACGCTGGAGCAGAGGGAGGAGATGCTCGCTCGTGGGACCGAGGCGCTCGACCACCCTCACGTCGCGCAACACCACAAGGACAAGAGCAAGGTGGAGCTCAAGGCCGCGGGAGAGCATACCCTGGGCGGGCCGTTGACTCATACGTGGCTAGGGGGTTTGATCATACCGGGCTACTTCGCGTGCGATTTGCTCATGTGCGCGCTACTGGAGAGTGATACCAAGCAAATGGCGGTGGAGAAACTGGGTAACATGGCACATCCCAGATCTGGGTTCGTCCTCAACAGCAGAAGCTGGTGGAGCAAATTGTGCGTCGTGGGGGTGGTCCTCGCTGACGCGGACAATGCGGTGGAAAGAATGGGCTGGATCGGTCTACCGACGCCGCTGAGCCCGCACGATCATGAGACAGGGCAGGCTTTGGGCGATGGATGGTGGTTGATAGTGTCTAAGGATGTGCCGAGATTGAGGAATGGCGAACGCATCCTCGATGGAGACGATATGGCCAAAGAGAGCAGTACGTTGGGAGTTGGGAAAGGCCACATCATGGCGAGCGAGTTTGGCATGCTCACCGACCATGCTTTCAACGGCATGGAGAGGATGGAGGTGACAAACCTGCGGTTGATTCTGAAGTGGCTGCCGCAGCCGCAGCAGCAGCAGCCGGGCGACCGTGACCAGCCATACGAGGCAGCCGTCAGTGCGAGCGTGGCGCGCGAAGGCGCAGGTGAGCATGCTCGGAAGCACAAGCTGCTGCCGCTGAGATATAGTGTGCGCTTCGTTGGGGGCCATCCGTGCCGACCTCCTCACGGGCACGCGAAGCAAGCGAAGCAAGCCTCACCACAGGACTCGGGCGACAAGTTACAACCTCTGGCGGCGCCCAAGCACCTGGAGCACCTTCCGGCGCACCCACTGCACAAGTCATACAAGTACTCACTACGTTCGATCGAAGAGGTCATCGATCTGGGTCCCGGCGACGAGCTCACGCTGCCCAACCCCACGGACAAGGAGGCGAGCCCGGTATGGGTGATTGATGCCCGAGGAGGCTGGCAACGGGAAACTTTGGTGAGGGCCTGGTGTGCGAGTGTTGGGAGGCACGCTATCGTTAGCCGGGTGGGAGTAGGATGCATTGCTTGTGCTGTCAGAGAGGCGCGTGCACTCGAGATTGGTGTCATTATCAGGGTTGAAGCATGAGGCTGCTGCGTCTGATCATCGGACTGCTTGAGGGCTAGTATGCAAGATGATCTGGCGCACGGGATCAGCGGTGAGGCAGAGGTGTGCAGAGAGCGTACTGAAGGGAGTACTTCGCATGTGGAATGCCAATTGCCTTGTTTCTGCAAGCCTCGATTCCCCGTGACATGCGAATTTGGCCCCTGCGCAGTGTGCAGTTGGAGGCCTGGCGACTACTGTATCGATGGTTCCGTGATGTAAGAATAGTGTCTGCCTATGCTGAGGAGGGATCTGCATCTGGCACGTTAGACAGAACGCGTCGATCTGGGAAAAGAGCATCACGTTTTCTAACAGATGAGGCGTGGAGCTGGACTGGTCGAGGCCCAGGGGCGCGATCCGGTCAATTACACCCTGACGGACGATCATCATCGGACCACACCTGGGACATGCTCCGTACTCGTGAAGCCGAACAAAGATCCACACAGTGACAAGGTGGCGCGTGCAAGATGTTGCGCGAGTTCCAAGGAGGTAGTGGCCTGGAGCACTGGGGTTCGATGTGCTAGGTGGCAACTACTCCTTCTGAGGGGAGGGGCCCCCAAGGTTTGGGGGGCATACGCAGGAAGCGATTGGACCGATGGATACTGTTGCAAAAGGTCCAGCGGATTGGTGTGGAAAACTTAGACACAATAGCCGGCATGGTCAATCGTGGGGCATCCAAGGAGTCGGTAGTACCGCCAGAAGAACGGTTGTTGCTTGCAGATATCGATGATGGTGAGGCGTTGGCTGAAGCCTGAGAAAGAGGGGGTTCCGGGGGCTGATCTGCGGCAAGATCGACATTGACTTACCGGAAGAGACAATGTGGTCCGATCTCTTTCAGCTGCGGTGGTGCCTAGGCATAAAATAGTGTAGAGAATGGCATAAAAGTCACAAAGAACAGCCTCTGGTCGCGGCGTGCTGTAGCGAGACTGGTGATGATGATGGTGGTGGCAAGCATTGATTGATGGGTTACACGCGAAACGCGACGGGGACGGTATTCTGTTTTGGCTTCGGATAATTATTTCCGGGGGCTATAGCTTGGACCCCCGAGATCTCCAGCACGTGCGGCAAGCATAAGCATATCGCCTAGGCTGCCTGGTACAAACTGTCGGCCTGACATTGTTCGTGATCGGGGAAAATATCAGCTGGAACTTCTGACATTGATGGCGCAGATTTACTTTCTTTGCTTCACATCGTTGCTTCCCTAACCCCCTCTGCGATTGACGCCTTGGGTTACGACAGAGATGATCTCTGGTGTCCACCGCCAGGGGCACTAGTCTTGTTTGCCAGGGACTGAGGCCTCACGTAACCAGAGGCTTCACGCTCGCATCTCGGCTGCTGGACCTTTCAACCGGCTCGGCGTATCCCCGATATTATTTTTATACAAGCCAGGCTTTCTCGGTTACTGGGCACTTGGTAAGCGCCAGAGTACGGTACGGAGTACGGAGTAGGTATCGGTTACGAACGGACATGGACAGATGGTTGGTCAAGAGAGTGGATAGGCGCCAGAGGTTGCATTCCTATCACTACATGCATGCCTAGTGCTGGCAGCTCCCCTGCGTGGGCACCCAGGCCAAGCTGCACCATGCTAACAATATAGCTGTGCATTCTGCAGGTTGACTAAAGTCGGCATGCTGTTTGTCCACTACCATGTATTTACCGTTGTGATGGGTCCACCAGTCCATCCTGGCATTGTTCAGGACCCTGGGTTCCTGGCATCTCTTCTCTGTTGAGAGTACATACTCCATGCAGCCATGCAGCCTGCGGTCGGCAGGTTGCTTTCCATAGCAGAATTGGCTGCCCTTATTTCGCGAAAGTACATTTTAACCTCCCCCCGAGCACTTCCTAGAAGGTTTTCCAAGACCAGCCTTCCCTTCTTCACTTCCAATCAGCTACCATCTACCGGACGCTGGCGCTGCAGATCCTTGCATCGACTGCCAGATAGCCCAGGTTTCAAGCCAGACCCGCCAATGTCCCAAGGTTCAGCCGAACGCATGGAGCTCGATGTCTTCGGCCATCCTGTCCAGTCTCGACCATACAGCAGCGCCCTGACTGGACGGCCTAGCCCTCCGAACAAACGTGCACGTGCAAAGGCACGCGTACGCCCAAACCTCAGGCTTAGGCCCCGTCCTAGGATCTCTGACCTTGCTGCAGGGCCGATGCAAGATCAATTGTCATCGTGTCTCTGAAGGGCAAAATGGCTGCGGTTACACACCGCATTGTCGGGTTTCTGGCGATGAGACTAACATGCCCGTTGAATGCAACTATCGGCTTTCCATGACCCGCTCCGTTGCTTCTCATGTTCCCAGAGTTACTCGGAGAGAGCTAGCCGAGAACTGCACGGGTACTGATGAGCAGAGGCCAGATTCCATGTGCTTTGACTTTCGGAGGGGGTCGTTGTTCGCGTCTTCCAAGGGCCGATCGTATGCTATCGAACAGGCTCCGACCAATGAACACCGCGTATACCCGATGATATCTTCACACGGCGAACCCTGCCTGGTCAGAGCTTAAGTCGAGTGCACCGCAGCAGATCTGCTACTACTGATGGTTTCCCGGCTCCAGCTTGAACGTCGTTCTCGCTAGATGCCACGCATGTGGGTTTCCGGACGAGTCCTGGCTTCTACCCTTCAATTTAGCGCCTCAGTGACGGTATGGTACTAGGCTCGTCCCCCCTTGTCGCCAACTTGCAGTGACTAACCAGGTGGGCGGCCCCAATTCGTGGACTGATGACGGTTCCACCACTGTATATGCTTCATTCGCAAACACTAGAACCAGCAGGTCCAAATAGCCCTAACTGCTTCCATCCAACCAGGCCATCTCCGATCTGCTGTGACCCAAGCTCTTCCCAAGGCTGGCCCCATCATGGTGGCTGTGGACACCGGACAGATCTCCCTGAGCACACCCTGCACAGGTGATTGCTTTGGACTTAAGCCTGTCTGGGCCCGAGGTGTTGGTTAACCATTTGCGCCACTGTGCCTGGGGGGTATCATGCAAAGATGGGGCATACAGTGCTTGCCCAACAGCATCTAGCGAATTGTGTGCCAGGGTCCCCGTCCATAGTTTTTGATTCCGACATTTTTTGGGACCCTACATATGCCAGCACTCGGGGAAACATGGCGCCATCTCCTGCTCTTATTCCTTCTCCTTCAACCTCCGTTGACCTTGTGCGATTGCCGACTGCAATCGACCGCCACATCTGTTCACCATTGCGCAGCATTCAAAGGACTGATCTCACTTCACGCCTCTGACCGCTCAGACCCTTGTTCTCGTCGCCACTCAGTACACATTATTCGCCGCCGGAAATTGAGCGCCTGGCGCCTCCCCCCCGAGGGTCGTTCATCAGAAGACGCTGCAGATAAAGGATCTTGCGAGGCGTCGCACCTGCTGCCGGTGCTCCATTGACGTTGACGTTTCTCTTATTGCCGAGAAACACCTCCTGCCGCAAGGCCAGCATCGCGACGATTAGCTATTTCACATTGCTCTGGTATCGCTGGCTATACTATTGCGATAAGGCTGGTGTACGGCGAGGGCAGACTATGGCATTGCCCATTTGATGGCGCAGAATGTCTGTCCGCAAGGCTGCTCTTTTCATCCATACATCGAGCTCACCAGTTGATCAAGAGCCATCATGGGTTACAATCTTCCCCACAGCGAGATAGGCTCCTTATCTGAGCACGTCCTTATGTCTAATGTAATGGAGCCAGAGATGGTGATGCCGGATTCTGACGAAGACACTCCGGGGTCGCCTTCGACACCTGGAAGCAAGCGAAGATCCGCCGCGGGCGGGCCAGGGATCTTGAAAAGAGCCGTATCATCACCCAATGTTCGTGACTCGGGTGGTGATGGTATGGTCATGAGCGCCGCGGACAAGAAGCGAAACAAGCTCGGCTACCACCGGACTGCCGTTGCATGTGGTACGCAGTCCAAGTTCAAGCTCTGTCTCCGAAGGTATTGGCTGACAACAGTCTAGGACATTGCAGGAGACGCAAGATACGATGCATTGCGGCTCTTGACGACACAACAGGCCGATGCCAGAATTGCATTCGCCTGAAGAAAGAGTGTCATTTCTTTCCCGTGGACCAACATAATGCTCCTGCTGGACGCCGAGGGAGGTCAGGTTCGAAGGTCGAGGGTTCCCAACCTGAGGAAGACACCAGAGCCTCGTCGCCCGAATCAGGCGTACCTTCCACTCTCAAAAGCTCGTCGCTCGACGAACAATTAAGTCATACGAACGGACACGGCGGTACGCCAATATCACCTGAAGAACATGCCGCTCACCACCATTTAAGTACGTCAATCTCATGTGCCGAGCGTCTCGCTAACGTTACATTTCTAGACTACCCTCATGCACACGAATACGACGCCGTGGGATCGAACCTCGAACCATCTCGCAGTCTACCACACCTTTCGGCACCTCCACCTCTGTTCCGACCGAGCCCTTATTATGCCACGAACGAGACTCACGGCCTACACAATCCCTACCCAACTACGTATGGGCCGTCGATGTTGAGCTCGACGCTGACCTCATCGTCGCCATCAGCAATGTTCTCGCCGCAGCAGCGCCCTGGCTCGGGTGTTGATCTCGCCTGGTCCGGTCAAGTGGGAGGCAGGTCTATCTCTGCTGCAGATCCGGATGAGACCTATGCCGCTTTTCCGGGGCATCGAGCATACTCTTATCCTAGCATAGATCGAAATCTGGGTACGCCACACGATATCTCACTTTCTAGTGCGCCCAACGCCCATGCGTACCCGATGAGCACCGAATATCAGCAGCAGGGTGCTGGCCGGGAGTACACGGATCCATCGCAATTTGCAAATATGGGCTGGCTGCCTCATCCCGCAGCTCGAGGATCACAGATGTCTCCAGTGACCACAGCGGGCTATCCACAATCCTGGTACACTGCACCCCTACCTTATGTCCGTGAAGAAGAAGATCCGTCACAAGCATCACAGATGCAGGGACATAGCCACCAGTCATACCATCTAGGGCGATAAGTAACAAGGAAGACACGTAAACACCGCAGCCTTCGCCACAAATATCAATAATACAGGTCTATCTGACCAGTTAATGACCGATCTCTCTTACATCAAACGTTATGGCATATCATGGCCTCGATGTGACAGAAGCCTATGAGAAATGGATAAGGGATACCACAGCGACTATGCTCACAGAGTGTAGTCCTTATTTCCAGCCTTTGCGAAGGCCCAGCAATCTGTCGCGCCTTGGAACCTCTCATTGCCATTCCACCGCCATAAGCACCAAGAAGAGGGCGCGAGAGTCGTGCGAATGGCACACTGCAAAAGATTCCGACCAGAAGGAGCAAGATCGTTCAAATTATTGGCTGATGGTGAGTTTATCCAAAGAGCAAAAGGCAGGATTGCAAATGAATCGGCAATCCCCCCACATCCGACGAATGCACGACCTTCCTACCGGCTAGGGGAGTACGCTTCTGGGCTTGCAACTCAATCGTCCAATGCAAGTTCTGACTGCTCTGGATACGGTTACCTGCTCATCAGGTCAATGACGTGCAAAATATTGCAAAATATTCGGGCTGCAGAAGCTGCTGAAAGAAGCCACTCCCCCTCACGCGACTTTCAAAAGGCAGATTGGGTGTTGTAGATGACAAACGGTCTATGGCTCAAGTTGGTTTCGCAGACCGACTGCATGCTCTCAAAGGGTTTTCTTCGACGAATCGACCCATTATTTCCATCTCAGGAAAAGGAAGCTTACTCTGATCAGCTGGTTGGCTTCGTGATCTGACGACACAGAAGTCATTGACCGAAGACCATGAGTTTGTTTCGCATGGTCAGCCTCGCATAAAACGACCGAGCTTCGCAGCCCAACAGTCTGGGCACAGTTGTCTGAACAACAGATGGCGAGCGCTGGGTGAGAGCAGGTCTCGAACGCCTGTTGAAGTTTCGCTTAGATGGATGCAGATTATGCCAAAATGACTTTGTGGTGCTTGCAAAGGCGAGCACCAGTGTTTCGGAAGCGATGCCACAGCCGATGCAAAACTACACGTTATGAAAATGCCAACATTACTACTGCCAGCAGCTATGGCGAATTCTTCACAATGCCATGGCCATGACCTCGAAAGCGGGCCACCAGCCAGGACAAGTGGAGGAAGTCTAGAGGAACCAGACCGTCTGCCCAGCTCAGTAGGGCGAGCAGTGTCGCGCGATGCTTCAGACCCTAGATTAGACCTTGTGGGAGGCCTGATCACTACCCCGACAAGCAGCCTTGTGCGACCTTCGCAGACCGAGAAAGACCAGGGCTTTGCTACTCCGTATCCACGACCAAGTTGCAATGTCGTAGCGAGTCTACAGCTGATGAGGCTCTGTGCTCAGTAGTGACAGTGTCGGCGCCTCCATACTCTCGATGTAAGCAACATTTTGCCTGAGTGCGCCGAGTCAATGCTCGATTCAACTTCAACCAGGTTCTTGCAGTGTTAGGAAGCTGCTGCAAAGGGAAAGCACCGACTTGCGAACCCACCAACTGACAACTGACGCGGTCCCACCACATGCATGCACAGCTTGTGATCCACATGCCCACACCGCTGCGCTGCACAAACCCAAGATCCACAGACCCGCGCGTGGCCCAGCGGCTTCAGCTCCACGCGGCACCAGTCCCGCTGGTCCCAGAGTTTACGTGGAAGCTACTATAGATCAGGTAAGCAGCATTAAGCGAGGAACCCGCCCAGAGTCTACCACAATGCCAACTAGGGTGGAGATGATTGGAGAGACGATCCACGATTCGAGACGGGTGGCGTCGGATGGCTGGATACAGAATTGATACAGGCGTGTGTAATTTACAGTCTCAATCAGTAGAAATTGCTGGACAATGAGCTTGTCACATTGTTCCCAACAATCAAAGTTCCCCTCCCCCCCCCCCCCCTATCTTCGCTTCCTGCAGCACCACAGACGCCCTACTCGTATTCGGATGTGGAGCCGAAGACTCCAGGCCTCTGACCCGACCGCCCCCCGCGGGTTCTCGTGTCCCCAGCTAGGGCTGACTCGCGGCGGCCGTTCTCTCCCCGGGGGCCTCCCTGAAATCTTCAGCCTCGTCGACCTACACACTCTGCTGTAGCGAACAAGCGGTACTCCGTATAGACCTCACATGCCGGGACCTGAGCAATGAGAAGCGATGGTTTCAACATTGTAGATAAGCTATCCGTCACTGTGGCGATCTGGGCGGCTACTGCTATGCCCACACTGCACCCTCCTCCACAAAGAGATACGAGGCGAAGGTGTCCGGGCTGGCCAATAGCATCAATCAGCAGTTCATCAATCATTCAACTGAACATGCTGTCTCCAGCTCCTCCTGCGGTTGCTAGTGTCCAGCAAGCATTGCACAACGGACGGCCTTCCAGCTCTTCCAGAGCCGCTCTCTGCGTATGGTTGATTGCCCAGCACCGCTGACAGCGCCCTTTGCGTCCAAGCACCACGGTGCCCTCATCCCTCGCTTCTTCAAGCACGCCCCTCGTCCCGGTCTCGATTACCACCCTCTTTCCTGATATCTCGAGCATGTCCTGCACTTCCTTCCGCGCCTTCAACTTCCCCTGGAAGCAGTCATCGCACAGCTTGGTGCCAAATTCCTCCCTCGCCACCGGCGTCGGCCCCCCTAACACTCCTAGGTTCGGTGACAACCTAGCGTGCGCCTTGAAGCCCAAGCACGCCTCACAAACCACGAATTCGCTACCGCGAGCCCCGATGCGGGTTCCCACCGTCCAGATGCCCCGGTGAATGGCGCAGTCGATGCAGAACCGCTGGGCGCAGTCTGCGCGGCCGAGCGCGCGTGTGTTGCTGATCTGGCGGGTGTAGAAATGCGAGACGGGGAGCAAGACGAGACAGCTGTAGCAGGGGTGCAACGTGGCCGCGGTGGAGAGCGTGTGCGGATGCGTGCCTAGCGGTAGGGTACGAGGAGTGACGCGCGTGGGCCGCTTGGAGTGGTAAGCTGTTGGGGTGGGGTAGGCGTAGCAGCTGAGAGTGCATGTCTCTAGGGAGAGGCCGCTGGAGGGGGCGGAGATGAGGTCGAGGTATGCGTTGGTGTGCCTCAAGGCGTCGGCTGGGAAGCTGAGGCCGTGTCTCTCGCTGTGGGCCAGGCTGGCGCGGAGGTGGTCGCGGGCGGTAGCAAGGTGAGAAGTGGAGATGAGGGTCGCGAAGGTACGGTGCGCGAACCGGAGGGCCCGGAGGCCGTTGTACGGCGTGTGCGCGGCGATTAGTTGCTGGATCTCGGTGGGAAGAGAAAGGAGATGAGGCGGGTGTTGCATGGCGAGGGTATCCGGCGCAGTGGCAGCATCGTCGGTATCAGTTAGGTGGCCGGTGTGAGCTAGTGTGCGGACAGTAAACCGTCTCATGTCCCATTTGAGAATAAGTATGCGAAAAGGACTCGAAGCTGAAACAAAGTAAAGTCAGATGCGGGGTTTGCATCTGCGGCTTGCCGCTTGGACAATCAGGCAACTCAATCAGGCAACCATGTGGTGCGTGCGCTCATTTGTTTGTGTAAACCAAGCTTCAAATCGATATAATGGCTTGTAACTAGCGCTTCGGGTGGTGTGCTGCTGCTGCTGCCTGTGGCTTTCAACGATGCTATGAAATGCAATTACGACTGGCTTGTCTCTCGAGCAAGCAGAACCCAGCCCCCCTCTGGTCCGGTAGAGTGCAGGAACAATATAAACGCACTGCCTGCGCAGAGACGGTTGGCTTCTTGAGAGTCAAACATTGGACACACACGCTCTATTCCACTGGCAATGGATGCCATGCTCAGAGTGGAACAGAGCAATGGTCAACAACCTGGGCCGCCGATGAGGTAAGCTGCATGCCCGAGACGTATTGCAAACGCAGGCTGTCTATCTGAAGTTGGTCGAGGCAAAAATTGTAGTCAACACTATTGTCTATACGAAGCACGTGCCGTCATACACGAAAACCTGATCCAGGTGCATGGAAATGACTTATTCGATGCCATCTTCGATACTGCAGGACATGCAGCGCTTCATAAGAACTGCCCAGAATACCTCAAAAGAGGCCAGGGTCTTCATTCTGCTCGGCATGGTGAACGAGATGAGGAACCCTTCGGTGAATGTGCTTTCCAAGCGCAGTGATGCCGACAAGACTGAAAAAGATTCAGGCCTGTGCTCCTGGGCGGAATTCCAAGGAAGCACTACATGAGGAACGACGCAGCAATCAATGGCAGGCTTCAGAGAGCTGCTACGCTGGCCGAGCGAGGGAAGCGGAAGGTTGTAATCGACAGTGTAAGGGCCATGAAGGCACGTAAAAGAGGGAAAGTCACTGAGCTCTGACCAGTTGACTACGTGACGCTGAGATGGGAACGAGGCGTTGGAGAAGGTATCGACGCTGCAGTATTGAGGGAGGCTGGTCGTAAACATTGCGTGATCAGGTCTGGAAGGCGGAGAGCCAGAGAAGGATGCTTGCAAAGTTCTCAGGTTTTCGAGTTTGGACAGGCTTTCAAGCGTCGGCTGTTAGACTCAACCGTCCTGGACGTCTCATGTTGACCTTCCACGGACGTCAGATGTGTTCCTGTTCATAGTGACAGTATCTGAGCTCGAAAGTCTGGTCGTGTTTTCCGAATCACTTCAGGCTGTCTGTGGGTTAATTGCACCAGCGCGGGTTGTCGACACATGTCCAAAAGCCGTGATACTAGACATTTCTTTCCCAAGACGAATCCTTGCCCACTTGGCCCATCACCGCGGGTCGCATAATGTTTGGTGTCGTATCGTTTTGCTCGGGGGCAACGTTTCATCGTGGCTCAAAGGTTCGAAAACCTAACCAGTGCGGGATGTTCTCCAGTCAACTACCCATCCCTGCCTCGTACGCTATCCTCGCCCAAAACACGCGCACTCCCCATAAACAATGCCCCGACATATCCACCCAAGAATCTCATGTCTTGCGCCTGAGCGGCCGTCGCACGAACCAGGTTCTCCGTATCCGCGAGATGCGCGTTTAGTTGCGCTAGCTGCGCGTGGAGGTGCGCATATTGCCTGTTCTTGTTCGTCGCGCTACTCGAGGAGGCATTGGAGTGGTTCATGGTTGCCTGCGAGGAGGGACGTGGTGGTGGATTCTGCGATGGAGGGAATCGCGTGGTTTGATTTGTGGACATTATGGCAGGAGAGGCGGCCGGCTTGTTGTGTCGCGTCTACCAGACCTGTTCTTACCAATGCGTTTTGCTAGAGAGGAGGTATGATCGAGGCTGGTCAGTGCTGAGCACTCGGCGCGCCCCGCGTTTGCGCGCGTGTCGTCTGCCTTTCTTGGCGGAATCTGGTGGTCAAGGCTTGTACGAGGCTCCAACACTCGACGCGGCGTTTATGTACGAGCTGACTGGATGCTCCTCACACTTTCTATCAATTCATCACGAAAGCATCTACAAACGGTAAAAGGGAAAGGCTATTAGTTGCCAACAAGATTTTGACATTGGCATTGACTGTTCCTCTACCTACGGAGCGGCGCTCCTCCGGCCCTGGCGTGTGCTATTCTCCGTGTTGCATGTCTACGCAAAGTATACTGGCTCTCGGCCTTCCTTGACCAACCTGATTATTGAAATGTTGTGCCTTCTCCGTTGCTAATATATGCATATTTGTGATACAAGGCCGCAGGCGGATGCGGGATCAAAATGTGCAATGCAAAATCCCAACCGAGGAACGCCAGAATATGCCTTCGTGCTATCCTCAGCCCGTCCTCATGTGCAAAACTCCCCCTAATTCTGTATGTATCCGAAGTGCCAAGTGAACCGTGTCCCCTCCATTGTCTTGTTTTCCTGTCTTGGTGCTGAATCCTGCATAATGCTGGTTTCGGCCGACCGCGCGGGTCGTCATGTCGTAACATATTGTAAGGTATCATTATATTGTGTTCGAAACAGGGTAGGCGTCCGGCCGAGTAGCATGGTACAGTACACCAGCGAGGCCGGAGTCGGTGGTCTCGGTCCCGAAAATTGAAGCGAAGTCCATGTGGGAGGTGCACATAACCAAACGGCACGCTCAACTGACTGTCGCATTAGCGTGCCGCAGTCATGACCGCTCGTGGCGCGAAGCTGCTCTGACTGCTGTGTGCAGAAGGTTCGGATTCGATATTCGCGCTGCCACTATCACCACTCCCCGCGCTAGCACTCGCACTTCCAGTCAGACTTTTTGGAGGGGCTTTAGGTGGGTATGGCTTGCTCACCCCGACTTGTTGTTCGACTTGATGAGGATGGACAGCGTTTCCGTGTCCTGGAGGATATCTTGGTGTCGGAGCAGGCATTGCGCCTGGTGGCGAAGGGCGTCCGTTACGTGGAGGGCCATTCTGCATGTACGGGTCGTGAGGAGGGGACGGTCGGCCCATTGGGCGACCCACAGGTCCAAGAGGATTGCCAGGCGAGCGACTTGTCCGGCGGCTCGGGGGTGCAGGTGAAGGTCCTGGATAAGGTCCTCCACCCCCACCCATTTCGTGGAGACGAGCGGCGGTAAGCGAATTGGTTCGGGACTCGTTATGCATCTCCCCCCGATCAACAGTTCCGTATCGATTGGATGAGAAGCCCATCATGGGATTATCAAGTATGTTCTCTCCCAAGGCAGGCATATCAGACATGAGTTGAGCGCTCGTGCGGTTTCTGCTCATGTAAGGGCGACTGTTGTAGCCTCCGCGCATAGGCGGACCGCCACCAAACATGTCCCTGCGCATCTGGCCTTGACTCGGGTGCCGTTTCGTGCGACGCGACGTGACACTCATCATGTCGATGTTATCGTCGATCGGAGGCTGACCAAAGCGAGGCTGCATGGGGTCAACGAAATCGTCATCCTCGTCGTCGTCGTCAAAATCCTGCGGACGCATTGGAGGTTTACGCCCAGCGCCACGACCTCGCATCGCCATCTCTTGCTGCTTGAGATGTATCTCCTTTTCCCGCAGCATTAACTCTCTCTCTCGCACTGAGAGGCCGCCAAGATGAAGGCCATCACCCGCGACATCGCCCTCGGGAAGATCATCGTACAGTACCACGTGACTGAATTCGTCCAGACCGTTCTCATCGAACGAAGGCCGTCGTTGCATCCCATTTTCGCGAGGGAAACCACGAAAGCCATTGACGGGCGGAGGACCACGTCGGCCAGGTCCCATAGGCCCTGGAGGTCCTGAAGGCCCACCGGGACCACGCGGTGGACGTGGCCCGCCGGCCATCGACCCATTAGGCATCCTTGGGGGAGGTTGCATAGATGCAGTCCTGGGTGGTGGTTGGACGGACTGGGCAACTGCTGGTGATGGTGGAGGCGGTGAACGATCCTTGTTCGAGGTGTTGACATGCCTCATCATAGTGTACAACGTCTCGAGGCGAGGGACACTAATGCCAGAAGCTTTTGCGAGCTTTACAGGCGAGCCAAGATATGTCTCGACCTCCATTGGTCTTCTCGAGGAAAAATCTTGATACATGGTACTAGGCTCCGCACGAGCTGTCATGGTGCGGATGACGCTGGATGCGAAGTCGGAGGGAAACTCGCATTCGTAAACGGCTGCAAGGGTGACAAGCTCTTGAATGATGTCCTTCACTAAGTCTTCGACTCCAGGTTTCTGTAGTAGCTCCGTGTGGTTCGGAGTCTCGAAAATGACACTTGCTGGATGAAAGGCTATAGGGCTGCCAAAGTTAGTCCAAGTACACAGGAGACAGAGCGCTCTGCTTACCCAATCATGCGCTCAAATTGCTGTTGCCGAATGTTAGGCGCGACTTTGCAGTCGACTTGTCCTGTGGTCAGTGTCATGGCGAGAGCTTCGGCCATGTCTTTTTGAATTTCTTCCGGGATCGCAGAATTGACGTTGGCCGGTCCTACCCACATCTCGGTTGAGCCGCTGTGTTCGAATTCGCTGGAGCCCAGCTGCGTCAGATCCGCCCCGGAGACGAGGGACAGGACTACGTTGGTGGGGAAACGCTCTTCCAGCTCCTTCTCAACACCCAACGTGTTCGTTGTATTGACGAGAATGCAAGTATGCTGCTTCGTTACGACGGACTGAATGATGTCTGCAAGGTTGTACACGTCGGGGAGGGCCTTGACACAGAGGATGACATAGTCGAAAGCAACATTCTGGTGGGCCGCGTCATCAGGATTTTGCACAACTATCAAGACTGTTAGCTGCCATTCGGCTGCTGCGTGGAATAGATCGTACCATATCGTGGTTTGAAGCGTTCATTGCCGAATTTGTCTGATCTTTGCTGGGTCAGCACACAATTGGGAGACTTCAGGCGAGGGTTACTAACTTGAATGACACGCCGTACTGCGCCACAGTCTGATAATTTGCTTTCCAGACAAGCGTCACATCACACGCGTTGGTTGCTTGTAACCTCCAGGAGAGAAATGCCGAGATGGCGTTTCCGCCCACTGTGCACACGCGTCTTAGTTCTGTGCTCATTGTGAAAGTGTAACGTCTCGGCTCTTGCGAGAACGCCTGCGGCGAGTGATTAACATACCTGACAGGATTTTGAGACGCGGCGGAGAAGGAGCCATCGTGCGCAGGATGGATCGAATATGGTCTTTTTATGTGAAGCCGGCTTTTGTCTGGAGCGCGATCGCCTCGATTCCCCTTAGATAAGACTCGCTACTTTCGTCCCGTTCTGTCCAGTTCCGCAACAGAGATTATCGGGTGAGGGTGATTATTCCGCAACTGCAGGAAAGAATGTGATGGATGTATGGTGGTCAAATCGAATGGTTTGACATTAGATCGAAGCGAGAGGACTGATCGGAATTATGAATCAAGAGATGCGTCCAAAATGGTGGTCTTGACCTGCTCTTTTCGCGCTCGTAGGGAGGAACGAGCGTTGGAGGCCTGGAGATGGCGAGACTTCTTTGCCGTGAAGATGTCCGTGCTTTTGATGGTTCGGCGCAGACCAGACCAGGCTTGGAAACGAGCGGCGGGTATCAAGGAGAAAGGGGTGATATTAAGGGCGACCAGAATGTGCAAAAGAGCACCGCAGGTTAAATGCAGCAGAGACAACAACAATGGCTGATGGAAGAGAAAGGGGACTCGTGCCAAAACGCAGTACGGAGGTTGGACTTGAGGTGCGAGGAGGTGAGGGTCTTGCTACAGTGCGGATTTGCTTGCTGCAGATGCCGACACGCGCTACTGGGCTTGCGAATATTCGACGAGCGTTTTTTAGGCGGCACAGGGTGGGTTCTCGCTATCGGAGCGCGGGAACAGGTGAGCGTTACGGGCTCCAAGGCAAACGCTTAGAACCAAGGTTTTAAGCTGCGTTGGTGCCACTGCCAGGGGAGCTGTACCTTAATTCCTCCTCCCCCAATCATCGTAGCCCACCTATCGGCCAGGAACATCTTGACCCTGCACAGATGTACAAATACAGACCTTGTCTTCCAGATGGACGAACATCATCGCAGCTATAGCGTCAAGCCTACCTCGATGAGACTGGTGCTCTAACGTAGCTGCGAGACACTGTCTTTCTATTGTGTGGTGATCGCGAATCGACAACGAGAATTGCACTAGCCGAGACTTCATTCGCCTCCTACTGCCTGCCTTTGCACCCATCTTCGATCTTGATCTTGCCCCAGTCGCACCACTCTCGGGCAATACAGCTCCAACTCCAAAGTCAATCTGTACTCGGCTTTTGAGGAATTTGCGATGCCAACTCATGACAACTGTCGTGCGCATACGTTACGGTGATGCTAGTCAAGAGGCTTGTCAAACCATTAAAAGCATGGCGAGCAGGGTTCTCTTACAAACGATGCGGCAGATGGCCATGTGCGATATCATTGCAGCCCAATCTGCTTGCAGCGCCAACGATGGTGAATGTGCAACGGAGATCATTGGTCTCTTGGCTGGGGAACTGGGAATGCTGGCGTAGCTAGCCTTGCACAACGAGTTATTTTTGACCCTACTAACGAGCGCCGTCGAGGCCAAGGTTATCACAATCTCAGGGACACTGTCGGGATAGGCCCCTCGCGTCCCTATCCAGCGATCTGAACATAGGTGTATCTCGCTTAATCCGTGCTACCGCTGGGTTTCGATATCGCTAAACAACTTTTCCATGTTTCTATCGTCGTATCCCATACCCAGCGGAGATCATCATAAGGTGCATCCGTGCCGAAATGAACGCGTCTGAAGGACGGGTGCAGAAGTGGCATTCTGCTACAGTGGCTCAGATGGGGATGGTTCTGCAAGCTTGAAACCCAGCAACAGGCCAGTGCGGTCCGGGCCTGGCTACAGCAGTAAGCAGCTGCCATGATTCAGAGACTGGTCCAAAGACTGGCGAGAAAAATCGTGTAGTCGTTGCACACGTCTACATAATCCCCACCCCCGACTCCAATGGGGACCAGTATCTATGAGCCTAATCCCTGCAACGTGTGCGGCTAGTGTGAGACTTGCATGATTCTTATTTCTGCCAATGCTTCAGTGGTGACGGAGCAAGATGCGCAAAGAAACGCCCGCCAGGGGCTTCAACGGTCCGGAGGTACTGCTTGTGCTGTACCACTCCTATATACTCCGTAACGGATGCAGGCAAGAACATCTCCCAACTGACTGGCATGTAACAAGCTTCGTCCTCTGAACTGCATTTCCTCGAGCATCCCACCCTCCCAGTAAAGCTCGGGATTTGAAAACTTTCCGGTACACCTCTTTGCAAGCGTTTCGGCTCCGTTCTCTCGACACTAGCCGATCTCGTCAACGGCCGTTACCTTCGAAGATTTATCTTTCGCTTCAGATGGCGAACCCGGGCCCTGATGCTTGGGTTCCGGGCTAAACAAGCTTCGTGGAAGGCATCTTGATCCTTTACGCATACGAGGCAACGATCTTGAGAATGTATACTTCATGTCAAGCAGGACCAAGATCCTCTTCCCACGTGGGATTGTTCTCCATCCCTAAGTGAGTACACATCACCACTTGCAACAAGCTGAAAGCGTTCTGCCCGGCCAGAAATTATTGGCCAGGCAGTAAACTACATCCAATTACAGACTGGTGCCCCGGATGGTCCGGAAGTTGTGAAGAGCAACTTGAGCGGAAACAGTCCTCTAGGCCCGAGGCAGATACGACTTGTTCGTAGCATAACTAGGCGCATTTTTATTCCTCTATTGGGATGTTGTCATCTGCCCAAGGACACCTGCTGCTGTTCCATAACTTCGTGCGAACCACACATCGATTCGTAGCAACCATGTCGACTCAAATGGCTGATGCACAGCCACGGTGTACGAGAGGTGTTTTGAGCTATGCGCTCGCTGATCTTACGACCTAGTTTGCCTAACTTGGTTGATGATGGCGCAGAAAGACGTGGTCTTCGGCGTCGTCCGCGAGCTCGACATAAATTTGTAAAGCCGCGCAGACTTGAGGGAAGTTCTCAAAACGTGTTTATCTGGAAGCCATATGTGTTGTACTATCATGCAGGGTCTTCCATGTGGAGGTCCCAGCCGCAGCGTGACCTCAGCACTTGTCGTTATTGGTAATCAACTTTAACACGCCTCATGTTGGCTGCTGTCCGCCCTTGTCGTTGAACGTGTGTAGCTAAGTCATTCGAGCACGTTGGGATCATCTTCCTGAGTGCAACAGATGCAAATGCAACTGCGTAGGTCGTAGACTTATTCTAGGGTCTCTCCAGGACACTGTTGCAATAGACTGCCAAAGTTACTGAGAGCACTCCTTACGGGTCGGAGATAATTCTAAGGCTGTCCATTAATCAGCACCGCAGCCCGCCGATGCCACAGTGGCTCATTCTTCATTACCAACTGCGCCGTGAGAGCTCAGGGGACGATACGGCCCGTGGTGTCGACAACATTGGAGCGTTTGACTTAGAAGCAACAATGGAAATTCTCAGAAAACATTTCCTTGCAGTGAAGGGACTCGTCCCAGCTGCCGAAAGTAGAATCTCGAGCTGCAGCGGTGTACAGTCATGAGCCTCACGCTGACCTGCTGGGCCACGAGCGCATAAAGATGAATAACCCTAGGGCCTAAACCTGAAACGCATCAAGGCGTGCTCCCACCATTCCGAATAGCGATTAGCCAACCGTAGCCAAGAGATGTGCGGTATGGCACCTCGCTCAATAGGAGGTGCACAAGGGATCAGCCCTTGCGAGCACAGCCAGTCCGAAGCGCGGCCCAGCATTCTCGCCTGGCGGGTCTTCGCGTCTCATTCACGAGCGAAGCCGGTACCCATTTGGCAGCAGCGCCCCTGCCTTGGATCTGTATACACCTCATTATTTTCCAGATGACATTCTCTTCTGTTCTGATAACCTGAGAGCTGTTGATCACTGGTCTCCGACCACAGCTTTTTGGGACTGTTTTCGCACTGCCTTCTACTCGTTCCGTTCCCCACACCGGCGGCGACATTCGGGCACACGGTACCCGCGTCCTCATACTCGGACCCTTCGCATTGGGAACTTTCTTTCCGCCGTCCTCCGCCCTGATAATTCCATCATCATACCGCTTTCCCACCACTGCAAGCGCTTTCTTGTCGCCCTCCCTAACTCATCGTCCCTGCCTCGTCCGCTGCCGACACGATTATGTACTGTGCAGCCAATTGCTGACGTGAGCCATCTCTTCCGGGGAGCCCGCAATTCCTAGTGTTGCCTCACGACACAGCCCCAGTCGATCACTCTTGACAGGTTTTCTGTACAGAAATAGTTCTCGGCTTCCAATTTGGGCCTTGGAAACATCTCACAATTGCGGCTGCTGAGATATACCCTGCTCCCAGCCCTGACGGGCGCGTTGGCATTCGTTGGCATCTCATACCATGGCCAAGATACATTTCAGCGACGGCGACCAGCCTCCAAAGCCATCAGGCGACGTGTCGAAACCGGTCAAAAGACAGCGATGGGCTACCATCCGCCACTCACATACCGACGGCTCTCGCAAGAGGCGGTCAATATTGAACCGCGTGCCAGGAATAAATATCTCCAGCTATGAAGAAAAGCCCGGACCAGACGGGAAGTCCAACCACGGCAATATAACTGAGGCAAGCCCTATGGGCCAGCAGCAAGATGATCCTGGTCAGCAGTCTCGAAATATTTACGTTAGTATTCCCCTGCCAGACGAAGACAAGGACGAGCATGGCCACAACATCCACCAATACCCTCGGAACAAGATTCGGACCGCGAAGTACACCCCTCTCAGCTTCATCCCGAAGAACTTGTATTTTCAATTTCATAATGTCGCCAACATATACTTCCTGTTCATCGTCATTCTTTCGGTAAGTGACATGATGGTTGCTTCAGGAATCATGCTGAGAGAATGCCTTTAGATCTTTTCCATATTCGGCGCTTCTAATCCAGGCCTGAACGCCGTCCCTCTCATCTTCATCCTGACAGTTACTGCAATCAAAGACGCCGTCGAAGATTGGCGGCGTACCGTACTTGATACCGAGCTCAATAACTCCCCAGTCTACCGACTGGTAGGATGGGCAAACGTTAATATTTCCACCGATGATATCAGTGTTTGGCGACGGATCAAGAAGTCTTGCACGAGGACTGTTGTTGCAACCTATCGGAAGTTGAAAGGATTGGGCAAGAAAAAACAAAGTTCTGAAAAGGATGCGGAAACGGGAGGCGTCGACCGTCGTCCTTCAATCGCACCGACAGTCCGCGACTCGATTTATACAGAGCGAACATCCTTCCATTCCACTCGAGAGCAGCAGGGTGATGAGATCGCGATGACTCCTGTCCCGTCCCCCAGTATGCGGCCAACTTCTCCGAGCGGCGGCCAACTTGCGCCTCCAGGAGAGCCACCTCACAGTGCGCTTTCTTACGAGACTGCAAACGAGGCAAACAAGCGTGCTTCAGGGGCGAGCTCCTCCAAGTTGAACAACCGCTCCTCGCAGCGGAAAAGTCAATTAGCGCCCGCGAAAGATTTTGGCAATGTCATCAATCCATATCGACATGCTACGGAAGAAGCACGATTCAAGAAAGACTTTTGGAAAAACGTACAGGTGGGCGACTTTGTGCGCATCTACAATGACGATCAAGTTCCGGCAGACATTGTGGTTCTCTCGACTTCAGACCCTGATGGTGCGTGTTACGTGGAGACGAAGAACTTGGATGGGGAGACCAATCTGAAGGTTCGACAGGCCCTGCAGGCCACCCGTAAAGTCCGCCACGCACGCGATTGCGAGAAATCTGAGTTCTGGATCGAAAGCGAAGGTCCCAACCCGAATCTTTACAATTATAACGCTGTGCTCAGATTCAACCAACGCGATCCCAAAGACCCGGACGCGCCTCCACGTGTGAGAGGAGAGCCGATCGGCATCAACAACCTCCTTCTCCGTGGTTGCAGCATCAAGAACACCGAATGGGCTTTGGGTGTTGTCGTCTTCACCGGCCAAGAAAGCAAGATCATGCTGAATTCAGGAATCACGCCTAGCAAGCGCGCACAGTTGGCTAAGGATATGAACTGGAACGTCATCTACAACTTCATCATTCTCTTTTTCATGTGCCTCATTTCCGGTCTGGTTCAGGGCATCACTTGGTCCAACGGAGGCAACACGGCCAGATTTTTCGAGTTTGGCTCAGTTGGCGGCACCCCAGCTTTGGATGGATTCGTCACGTTCTGGTCCGCAATCATTCTGTTCCAGAACTTGGTGCCCATTTCGCTCTACATAACGCTCGAAATCATTCGTTCGTTGCAGGCCTTCTTCATCTACTCGGACATTTTCATGTATTATGACAAGCTCGACTACCCATGCACACCCAAGAGCTGGAACATTTCAGATGATCTGGGTCAGATTGAGTATATCTTCTCCGACAAGACTGGAACATTGACTCAGAACGTCATGGAGTTCAAAAAGTGCACCATCAACGGTGTTGCATACGGAGAAGCGTACACAGAAGCCGAAGCCGGTATGCGACGGAGACAGGGTGTTGACGTAGAAGCCGAGGCTGCGCAGGTACGAGCACAGATCGCAGAGGCCCGCACAGAGATGTTGCGAAATCTCCGCAAGACTCATGACAATCCATACCTCCACGACGAAGACCTGACTTTCATCGCGCCCGATTTCGTCACTGATCTCAACGGTCGGTCAGGCGAGCAACAGGCACAGTTCAACGAGGATTTCATGGTTGCTTTGGCTCTGTGCCACACTGTCATTACAGAGACCACTCCTGGTGATCCACCAAAGATTGAATTCAAGGCGCAGTCGCCAGATGAAGCTGCCCTGGTGGCCACTGCCCGAGACTGCGGCTTCACCGTGCTAGGCCGATCGAACGAAGATCTGCACGTCAATGTCCTCGGTGAAGAGCGCACCTACCGCATACTGAACACCTTGGAATTCAACTCGACCAGAAAGCGCATGAGTGCTATCGTGAGAATGCCGGACGGCAACATCAAACTCTTCTGCAAAGGCGCCGACAGTATGATCTATTCCCGATTGGCCAAAGGTTACCAGCAAGAGCTGCGAAAGGCTACAGCCGAGAACCTCGAAATGTTTGCTCGCGAGGGCCTTCGAACGCTTTGTGTGGCCCAGCGAGACGTCGATGAGGAATACTATCAAGAATGGAGCAAGGACCATGATTTCGCTGCCCAAGCCATGCAGGACCGCGATGATCGTTTGGAAGAAGTCGCAGACCGCATCGAGCGAGATCTGATGCTGATTGGAGGTACGGCCATCGAGGATCGTCTGCAAGATGGTGTTCCCGACACTATTGCCCTTCTAGGTCAAGCTGGAATCAAGCTGTGGGTGTTGACTGGAGACAAAGTCGAGACTGCTATCAACATCGGCTTTTCATGCAATCTTCTGACCAACGAAATGGATCTAATTTTGTTTGACCTGCCGGAAGGCTCCGTCGATGATGCCAGCAATCTGCTCGACAAGCATTTGCAACAGTTTGGGTTGGCTGGGTCCGACGAGGAGCTGGCAGCAGCCAGAATCAATCACGAACCACCGGCGCCGACGCATGCGTTGATCATTGACGGCGAATCGCTCAAGCTGGTCCTTTCCGATGACCTCAGGCAACGCTTTCTCCTGCTTTGCAAGCAGTGCAAGTCTGTTTTGTGCTGCAGAGTCAGCCCAGCGCAGAAAGCAGCAGTTGTCTCGCTCGTTCGAAACGGTCTTAACATTATGGCGCTCTCCATCGGAGATGGTGCGAATGACGTCGCCATGATACAGGAAGCCGATGTTGGTGTTGGTATTGCTGGTGAGGAAGGTCGTCAAGCAGTCATGTCGTCAGACTACGCCATTGGCCAGTTCAGGTTCTTGCAGAGACTAGTTCTGGTTCACGGACGATGGGATTACCGCCGCATGGCTGAGACAACTGCCAACTTCTTCTACAAGAACATCATCTGGACTTTCGCGCTGTTTTGGTACCAGATCTACACCAACTTCGACATCACCTATCTTTACGACTACACTTACATTCTACTCGTCAATTTAGTCTTCACATCTCTCCCTGTCGGTCTGATGGGTGTCCTGGATCAAGACGTCAGCGACAAAGTCTCCTTGGCTGTTCCACAATTGTACCGCCGCGGCATCGAGCGGAAGGAATGGACACAGCTTAAGTTCTGGTAGATCCCACCCCAAGCCCCTTGCTTACGAATTGACTAACCATTGCGCGTAGGCTCTATATGTTTGACGGCCTCTACCAGTCGGTCATTTGTTACTTTTTCACGCATCTCCTCTTCGCTCCAGCTACTTTCGAGACCGAGAGCGGCCGAGGAGTTGCAGACAGAAGTCGCATGGGTGTCTACGCAGCTTGTGTGTCCATCGCAGTCATCAACTCATACATCCTGCTCAACACCTATAAGTGGGATTGGATCATCACCCTAGTCGCCGCAATCAGCACACTTGCCATCTGGTTCTGGACTGGAGTCTACTCGTCCTTTACAGGCTCTTTCCAATTCTATCGAGCTGGCCAAGAGGTTTACGGTGCATTGACATTCTGGTGTCTGAGTTTACTCATCTGGGTCGCATGCTTGCTTCCTCGTTTCTCGGTCAAGTTCTTTCAGAAGAATTATCGACCTTACGATATCGATGTCATCCGTGAGCAAGTACGACAGGGCAAATTCGACTACCTCGACAATTATGAAGCATATGTGCCTCCAAAAGTCGTGTCAAACGGCAACTCGTCAGATCACACCGGAGAAGTGCCCGTACCACAGGATTCTCGGCGTCTGAGTATGACTGAGTCCCAACGACCAATCTATCCTCCGTCGGAAGCCCCGACATATCAGACAAAGCCGCCCCACAGCCAGACTGGCAGCGATGGCACTGACAGGACGAAGCCTTCATTTGACCTGCGGATGACGGTACCTGAAAACCGCCAGGCGCCAGCGGATGCACCGATCGAGACACCCGCCGACCGTGTTCGCAATCAGGATAGTAAGCGTCCGTCATTAGAGAGGGTGCGATCGTCGTTCGAGAGATCTCGCCGTTCCTATGAGAAATCTCGCTCAAGCTTTGAAGCCAGCAGAGACTTCACGTCTGCGGCTCTACTCACGAGAATGGAGTCGTCGTACTCTCACGGGTCTCCACTGACTCCAACCGCAACTGCATCAAGGAGAAGAGATGACATTACGTCTGATCTGAAGTAATGTTTCAGTGGAGTATAATATGGTGTAACGAGGTTATGTCAAGTCCTGATAAGGATACGGTGTTCTTTGATGGTTATGAGAGCGTTCAAAAGAAGCATTTGGATCTTCACATGATCTAGTCTGTATATAAGATCTTCGAAGCTGTCAGACCAGGCGTTAGGAGCTGGTCATGGAGGCGTTTTCCCAACCCGGGAACTAAAGAGCTAGATTGTTGGACAGCAGCAGAGAGCAGCGCCTTCAAACACGTTTAACCAACATCATGGTACTGTGCCTATTGCATCTCGTCTCACCGCCACCTCAGTATTCCCTTGTCTGAATACTCGATTAAGGTAGTGACGGGAATCAGAGCGCCAAGATAGTGAGGTCATTCCGGTCGACGCGCGAAGTCGCGTCGAATTTTAGCGGCGTGCCACTCACGACTCCATCACTCGATAACTCCGCTCATTGTCCCTTCCATCAGCCTTTTGCAAAGCAAGTGAGTGCATTTGCACTGGATGCACTGGCAAAGTCACTGTAGTGTGTCCCTGTGCTGTGCATTCACTTTCATACCGTTCGTGCAACTTCCTTTACTGCCCTGCTTTCCACACTGTTCTCTCTACTACTTATTTTCTTCATGACATGGCCAGACTTGCAGGCCGAAGCCATTGCCGCCACACTCGTTTACTAAATGTTTCTTTGGTCTTTTGATCCTTGGCGCATCAACTGAGTAGAGATGTCTCACTTGATCCCTCCACTCCTCGAGCTGCGAGCCCTACCCCCCAGCGTTCACATTCTCTGCCCCCGCCAGAACGATGACGATCAGGATCGATATGATGAAGACATTCAAGGTGGTCCTTTGCGCGGCGAACAGAATGATGTCCGGACGAAGACAATCACGGAAGCGAGAGAGAGAAGAGACAAATTCATGTCCTGCCTACAACTCCTCGCCTATGATGGTGAGGAGACTGAGAAGTACCAGCGGATGATCTGGGACACCTTGGACAATACTCTTGGTAAATGCGATATCTGCATCCGGAACTACTACGTCGAGAAACTGCGCTTTCTTGCACGGCTGCGCGAGGAGTACGAAGAGCCGGATGTTCAGCAATTCTTCGGTCTGATCGATCGACGAGATACTGCCCGTATCACCAAGGGGCTTGACGCTGCCGAAAGAGTCTTGAAATCACTTCCGGAAGCCAAGCGAGGCACTGCCGCACTCGAGCCTGCACAATTGCACGCTCTCTTCGAAGCACTGCTCTGCGACGCTTTTCTCCAGGATGAGAACCTCCTGGCTCAACACTTCGACGAGCCGTTTCGGCTTATTCAGACGAAAAAGCAGCTGAAGATCCGCGAGATCCTTCCCTCCACCGTTCGCTTCTTGTTCAGTTCCAACCACAGACGGCTGAATTGGGCAACCGCTACATGGGGTCGTCTCGGCCGCGCACCTACTGATCTTGAATGGACTTGGTCTATCAAGAGTCAATTACAAGATCGTCTACAGAAGGCCACGGATGCCGCATCAATATCACGCTTCTGGAGTGGGGCTATGATCATCGCGAAGACGCTACCAGAAGATCTCATTAGCCACAAGCTCTTGGATATGCAACCCAACCTCTGCATGGCTGCTCTAGACCATTTACACCAGCCGACGCCGGCCGTCTCGTTTATCACTCAAACTCTTAAAATCATTCTGACCAAAGCTCCCAAAGCTTTCTGGCAGACTATGGGAACCATTTCTTCGCCTACTGTCATCGAGCAGGTTTTCGCGAGTCCGAGGTTCATTAAGTGTCTCAACGATTCAGCAATCGCCGAAAATAAAGAAGAATTCGATGTCTTGCGATGGGGGCCAGCTCTCGTGAAATCTTTAGACCTGAATAACCAGGCAGCTGCATGTCAAGCTCTTGCCACACAACTTTTCCAAAAGCTCCATGTTCTTGAGACCTCTCAGCGTGCGAAGACGCTCTGCTTCGAGGTCGCGGCGCAGGTCATGATGCAGACAACCAAGAACTTTGCAGTTCATCAAGAAAAACATGTCTCGGAACGCATCGTACTTCTGGACGTTATGAAGACTGTCAACGACCACATTAGTGACCTGTTGAACCCTCACCAAGTTGGTCTGACAGGTGACTTGGGCAAGACTGCACGTGCTTGCGTACTCTCGCTGGTCAAGAACGGCATTGCTATCGACTGCTACAACCTCAGAAACGATTTTGCATCACTCAAGGAATCCAATACCGGCCTTAAACATGATCCAAGTTGCTATTCGAAACCTCTCTGGGATACAGCCGTGCGTGCTTTAGACAACACTGACACTGCTCTGTCTGGAGAAGTGCTTCAAGGCACAGTGGCGTTGCCAGGTTTGGAGAGGTTTCGACTGAAAGCTGGTGACCCTCTCTCTAAGCAGAAAGGCATATACAACTCAACATTCGATCAAGTCAACGCTGCTTACAGTAGACTATTGGGGAAGATCGCGGACTTTGATCCGGAACACCTCGACATGCTCTACAAGCAAATGCCTACTTGCATGCACTTGGTCGCAGCTCTTCTCTCATCGAATGATGACGTATATCAGGCCGCAATCGAATTGATCAAGAACATTAGCGGCCAAGGAAGTCGCAAAGACGCTTTGGCACACTTGATTGACGCTTTCTCCGAGACCACGATTTTCAGTCTCTCCTGGACTTTCCGCCGGATTGCTACCATGCAGACATTCGCTTCGGTGCCGCGGATGGTCAAGTCTGGCATGGAAATCCTTGATGTCCTCTGCAGTCCGAGTGACGGCAGGCTCAGAAAACAAAGCAAGATTGAGAGTCACGATTATAAGCCGGTGTACAAGTTCTGGTCATATCAGTGGATCGCCTTACGTACAATCTTCCAACATATGGAGTCGTGGTCTATAGAGCTACACGATAAGCCTCTCATGACAGAAGTTTGTCGAGACACTATGCAGTATGCCCAAGATCTCTTCGAACAGTACCATACCTTTGCCAGATACCTGACAAAGGCGAAGCCGAGCGCTGAGGAGGACATCCCAAGAAGCCTACTGAACCCAAGCGAACCGGAGCTGGGATCTCCACTGAAAGTCTTAGGATCAATGGCCAAATGGTTGCGACTGCGGGATCAGTTCTTAGCAGACACGCAGGTCAAGCTGATCACTAACATGCTCAATCAGCTGAAGATGCACGATGTCACGGGCGACTTTGATGGCCTCAAATACGTCAAGGACGTCGCTACCACACCAAACATCAAGACAATTCTATCAGACACTCAGAAAGCCACCCTGGTGCGTGCATTAGAAAATTACACCGGGCAGCAAATCGCAAAACCCCTGAAGAAGAAACAATCGACACTGCAGATGGATACCTGGTCGCGCTCGGCTGAGAAGCGATCAAGCTTGGGACGAAAAGAGAGCTCTGATGAGTATGACGAGATTCCGCAGGTAGAGTGGGCCAACGTTATCAAGCAGGTCAAATCCGAGTCGTCGAAACCTGCTCCTACCAAATCAATCCCTCCCCAGCAGTCGCTTCCTCTGCAAAAGAAGTCAGATGCTCTCGCTGCAAAGCTTGCCGCAAAGAAAGAAAGCGAAAGCAAAGCTTTCATTGCAGACCGTAAACGTGAGCAGGAGCTCCGTAAGCAGCGCGACAGGGAATTTGCAGCGAAGGCCAGAGGCAAGTCTACCCTCGGCGAGGGCTTCGGGGTCCTAGGGAAAGACCATACGAAGCCTGCAGAACCGGGCATGATGGTCTCTAGCGGTTCCGAGTCCGAGGACTCCGACGATGCTCTGTTTGGGAAAGTCCAGCGCGTGCACCCGATTACCAAGACTCATGCCCATACTCGGCAGCCTGTAGCAGCAGGGCCCGTACGCAAAATCAAGCAAGTGCGATCTCAGAAGGATATGAGAGCTCGACTCGCGCCAGATCTGACCAATTTACACAAGACGATCCTTGCATGGGACTTCTTTGCTGACACAGACCTGCCTCCTAATTCTGCCAAGGACGACTATACCTTGGTCACAAACGAGTTCCAAAGCGTTCAGGATTACCAGAAAACCTTTGAACCACTCTTGATTCTTGAAAGCTGGCAGAGCTTTCGAGCTGCTCGAGAAGATGGCACCTTCAAAGCCCAGGAGCTCAAGATCTCCAATTCGTTACTCGTTGACAGCTTCTTTGAATTGAATGTGACTATGTCGTATCAACAAGGTCAGGATTTGGGTTGGGGAACAACGGATGTGGTTATTCTTTCGAGGTCGAGTCGGCCGACAACCGATTCGAGCGAACCTCATTGCCTTGCCCGTATCAAAGAGGTGAGCCGGAAGAAGGGCGAAGTTCAGATTGTGCTTCGAATAAATGCTGCTGGAAACCCAATGAGACCCTTCTTGAACGACAAGGCCACGATCTGGGCTTCGCAAATTCTCTCTCTTACGACTTTGGAACGCGAATTTGGCGCCCTGATGGCTCTTCCCTATTATGACCTCAGCGAAGAGATCATCGCAGCAAAGCCATCTCGACTGATGGACTATCCCGACCACGAGCTTGCTACATTCGTCCAAACGTACGATGTCAACGAGGCCCAAGCAAGAGCAGTCAAATCAGCGTTAGATAACGATGCTTTCACATTGATACAAGGTCCGCCAGGGTCAGGCAAGACTAAGACAATTTGCGCACTTGTAGGTGCTGCGATGACCGGCTTCTTGCCCAAGCACAACGACAAGGGTCCGCGCTTGAATGCTGCCAGTGGCGTGGTCAGTGCTCCGAAGGCAGCGAAAAAGATTCTTGTATGCGCGCCCAGCAATGCCGCTGTGGACGAGCTTGTCATGCGCTTCAAGACTGGTCTGAAGCTGATGGACGGTTCAAGCGAGAAAATCAACGTGGTCCGCCTTGGCCGCAGCGATGCCATCAACACCAATGTCAAGGACGTCACTCTCGATGAACTTGTCAATGCCAAGCTGGATGTCGGGCCAAAGGATCAGAAGGAAGACATCCATGCCATCATGATGCAGCACAAAAGTGTCTCGAATGAGATGATCGAACTGCGAGACGGTATAAGTGCCAAGCGCCAGAAAGGCGAAGCTATTCCAGTTGCTGACGAAAACGCGCTGGATGGCCTCAAGCGTAAGAAGACTTCGCTCAGCAACAAGATTGATGCTGTCCGGGAAAAGCAGAACTCCGAGTCACGCAATGCTGATCTCAACCGGAAACGAGTGCAGCAAGAAATCCTGGACACCGCTCACGTACTTTGCGCCACCCTGAGCGGAAGTGGTCACGAAATCTTTCAAGGCCTTAACGTCGAATTTGAGACGGTCATTATCGACGAGGCTGCTCAGTCGATCGAGTTGTCGGCTCTCATTCCTCTCAAATATGGATGCACCAAATGTATTCTTGTTGGCGATCCAAAGCAATTACCGCCTACTGTCCTGTCACGCGAGGCTGCCAGATTTCAGTACGAGCAGAGCTTGTTTGCGAGAATGGAAAAGAATCACAAGAAGCACATTCATCTCCTGGACACTCAATATCGTATGCACCCCGAGATCAGTTTGTTTCCCAGTCGAACCTTCTACGATTCCCGTCTCAAGGATGGTGCTGGCATGGCTAAGCTACGTTCCCGACCATGGCATCATAGCCCGGTTCTTGCACCGTATCGCTTTTTCGATGTGCAAGGCATGAGCCAATCGGCAACTAAAGGCCACTCGCTCATCAACATAGCAGAGATCGATATTGCTATGGCCTTGTACGACCGTCTCATTACGGACGTGAAGAAGTACAGCTTCAGAGGAAAAGTGGGCATAATCACACCCTACAAGGGTCAGCTGAGGGAGCTAAAGACACGTTTTCGCGGACGCTACGGTGAGGACATCACCTCGGCTGTTGAGTTCAACACAACCGACGCTTTCCAAGGCAGAGAGAGCGAGATCATAATCTTCTCGTGTGTGCGTGCGTCGACGAAGGGTATTGGCTTCCTGAACGACATTAGACGCATGAATGTTGGTCTCACTCGTGCCAAGTGCTCGTTGTGGGTGCTCGGCAATACCGAAGCGCTCAATCAAGGCGAATTCTGGCGTGGCCTAATCTCCGACGCGAAAACGAGACAGCTATACACTGATGGTAACATCAAAGCGCTCCTCAGTCGCCCGCTATTGACGGAGGATATGATGAAGGATGACATCGAGATGGTAGAATCGAGCACGCCTGAGCCTCAGCAGCCGGACAAGCCGCAATCAGTCAATCGCAATGCCCGGGTGGATCCATCAAATAGTGGAACACCGGCATCGTCTCGCCCGGCGAGCGTTCTATCGAGGAATTCCTCGTCTTCGTCAGTCGCGGGCATCATCAGACAGGAACCCCTGCGACGCGACTCGACCAAGGCTTTGACCAAAAGTGTGGCTGCAGCTGAGTCGGGAAAACAGATTTCTTCGCCTTCACTGCCTCCAGCTACTCGCCCTACGCACATGCCTGAGCGGAGAAACTCCAACTCTGCCTTTGGACCGTCCGGTGGCCGCTTTGGTCTCAACGACTTAGCTAACTGTGTTATTTGTGGCTCGAACGAGCACTTCAGCTTTAATTGCAATGATCTGGCAGCCAGGGACTCACAGATGGGCAAGTGCAAGCGGTGCTGGCAAGCCGGTCACGGCATATTGAACTGCAATGAGCCTCGTTGTGTGGGTTGTGGTGAGGTGGGCCATGGTAGAGACGAATGCAGAGCTCCCATGCAGATGCGCCTCAAGAAAGACCAACAAGACGAGGTCATCTTGCAGGAAGAGCGATACAAAAAACAGCGAGAGAAGGATATCGCAAAACGTGCTGCGCGTCAGCTCGGCGATCACAACGCCATCATCCCTGAGGTAAAGAGCACCGCGCCTTCTGGGGAGCCCAAGCGCAAGCGAGACGAGCATGAGATCTCGATCACAGGCACGCAGAAGGCTCCTAGAATTGATGGCAATGGCGTACCGCGAGGTCCTGCGGTAAAAAGTGCAATGTCGAGCATGGGTGGAGCACCGCCCCTCGTCCGGAAGAAGAAAGCGAATCCGGATGACATATTCATGAAGCGAAAGTGAGAAGCACATCGGCACACTACCGGATTTCAATCGCATAGCGAGGCGCGAAGGATATGGAGACGACCGAACTTTTTTGAATCCGCTCCATGTTTTAGTATGAGTAGAATAGTGGCCCCCGCTTTGACGGGCAAAGGGCCTTCGTCATGCCGGAGAGCATGCAAACACGCTCACCTCTCATGCAGGGCCATTAGATAAGGGATCCAATCAAGGTGGGAAGACCCGTAATCGACGTAGTGGCTCTCACATGAGGATTCATAACCGGGCTCACTCTCACGCCCGCATCGACCACGATGTTAGCGACCATTTCGACAGCGGCGACTGGCTGGCTATGGTTAAAGACCGTATCTTTCTGTGGTGTGAATTGCCCTTGTCGTGACTGTTCGTAAGCCTGTTTAAGTAAAAAAGTATTTATATCCGGTAGTCGATACCTGCTGCGTGCTATAGTGAGAAGCCATCGGCGGCGATCTTCGACTCTGGCTCTCAGCTCCACTATAGATGCACGAGCAGATGGCACCACATAGCAGAAGTATATACTCTGGTTGGATTTGCGCGGTCGTGGTGTGTGTGGAGGTGTGGAGGTGTGGGGTGGTTGCCTCGCCGCCTTGTGTCTCTCCCTAGTGCGCCGCGCCACGCCGTTGCTCTTGGCGCGCGGTGCCCTATTTGGAGGTCCCTCCCGCCCGGTGTTTCTCGATCCTCGGCTTTCCTTTCACTGAGTTTTCCGAAGCCCTTGAATTCAGCTTCAAGATCCAGTAGATACGAAGCTACAGTAGAGACGGCACCGGTGATTTCAACGGCGGGTGAACGACCAGCCGAAGCACCTTCCATTACGCTGTCCTCGGATACTCTGCTATCTCGTTGGTCGCCACCTACGAAGGCCAACATCGCGGGAACTGTCTTAGTTCTTGGAAGATATGAACACATTACTGCCTTCATACATGATACCCGAAATTTTATAGTCATGCTGCGCTTTCGTGAATGGCATACCATCCAGCAGCCGCAGCCAGATCCAGATCCACATCCGACCAGCTATTGACACCCACCTCCCTGCCCCGGTGACAAGGAACTGAATCCAGACATCTACCCCAGCAAACTAATGGCATTCAGCATACGATCCATCTCCTCCGTCCGTGTCAGCACGTGATTCACACTGAGTCTCTTTTCCTCTGGCGAAGAGTCCCCCGATGCAGCAGACGCCGACCTGGGCACTGCAAGCGCAGATTCCATGGCAGCCGACCGTTTCGCAACGGTCGTGTTTGAGAATCTTCCTTGGCTATCGTCTTCTTCTTCTTCTTCCTCACTCAACGCACCTCTTGGAATATTGACCGCTACAGGCGGTGGATGGTGTAGCGGGACAGCATCTCTGGACTTAGCGAGGCTGACCTTTGCCGTGCCTCTACTCTGAGGTCGGCCAGTGTAATCAGGTGTCTCGCTGCCTCCCTTCTCGCGGATGCCTGGCCCATGATCCTTCATAAGAGTGGCTGCTTCAAGGGCCTTCGCAGGCCCCACATCGTATTCGTACGGATCCGTCATGCTGCCTTCCGCCGCGCTGTTTTCTTTGCTGCTGCCGCTGCCGCGGCTGAGGTCAGTCGTTGCCGACGCTGACGATATGTTGCTGACTGGACGAGCCTTGATGACAGTATCCAGCGCATCACTCGCAGCATCAAGACGTGCCTCGCTAAGAGACTTGTTAACATGCTTCCCCTTACGTGCTGGGCTAGCAAGGCGGACAGCGCTGGTGTTAGACATTACGCTGGGTGCTTGCCCACCTCTCGTAACATTGCGTGCAATGTTGGGTGTATGGAGGCTCCGAGTGTCGTCGAGAAGCGTGACGTTCTGGTCAGCGAAGTCGAGTCTTTCAGCAGGGAACATCACGCCTCGTAAGCCATGCCCACGTGATGACGCCGCAAAGACGCGGATCATCCTCTGAATCTCATCCCTTTGCTGTTGTACCTCTCGTTCTTTTTGCATAAGCGATTCGTAGATATCTTCGAAATCGTTGTACATCATCTGCACTGTGCGGATGTCGTTGCTGTTCCACCGGCGTCGGAGCTTCCTTTTACCGTTCTTGCCAACACTGAAGGGCATCACATCTTCATCATCGCTTGATTCCAAGTGACTGACATCGGAGGATGGACGCCGTGCTGATTGACGACTACCAGTCATCGAGTGCCGTCCGGAGACGGCACTTGTATGCGAGCGAAGACTTCGCGTACTTGTTTTCTTCCGAGGCGACACATCGTTCACCTGCTCGTTCTCATCAATGCGGCTAGGAAGCTTAGCAGGACGTATCGTGCGCAGAGTCGACGGCTTGATTGGAGTGTGTTCAGGGCTGTGTGCCTCACGAATCGGACTTGGTTCTGGGGTCATGGCACCAGCACGAAAGTTACCAGTGACAGGGTCAGTGTCGACGAGAACCTTAATCTGGCTAGTTGCAAGAATCTGCCCGCCCTGTCCACGAGGTATGGCGTGACGATAGCTGTAGCGGGACGATGCTTTGGAAGATTGACGGACGTGACTACGTGTGCGACTATGAGGTCGGTGAATCGTTGCACTGTTATGGGATGTACGACTGGCTGGCCGGGAGGCTGGGACAGGAGGGAACTGATCGAGTTGGTCGAGCGACGATTGCTCTTTGAGCGCAGACGGAAATGGTAGTGGAGGATCCAATCCGATGTTTACAGGATTGTGTTCTTCTCGCCCCGGGCGTTCGCTCTCCTCGCTGATACGCTGTTCTCGATCCCTGTCAGCTTGGATACGTCGCCTAACCTCTGTTATGCGTGCAGCTCGGAAGACGCTCTTGTCGTGTCTGACGAATTTATGTTTTGTGGACTGTCCAGACACTTGCGAAGTTTGGCTGTAGATCGAGCTCGGACTGGTTGGTGCTGGGTCTCCCACTCTATCCTCATCGAGATGCTTAATCGCAAGGCCTTTCGGCAAGATGGGGATTGAGCCCTGACAGGAGCCGACATCGACGGCGGTTGTCGATCGATTGCGCTCAGGTTCAGACAAGGGTGAGAGCAATGACCGCCGGGTGCTACCTATCGATAGTACTGAGGACGCTCTCACTGGAAGGCTAGAGGGGGAGGTGGGTCTGGTCGTAGGCAAGTCTGGCAGTGGCCTTTCCGGTGGCGTACCTGCTGGGCCAAGTTTTTTATGATGGGGCAACCCAGCTTCGAATTTCTGATCCATTTGGCCATCGCGTGAGAAGTTGACAGGGTCGCGAATTTGAGCCTCGATCAACGCGAGGGTATCGGTGCTCTTCGCAGCTCTGGCCCTGTTGGTCTTTTTGGTATCGGTGGATTCCGCAGAAGCCATGCGGCAAGGTATTTGGCTATGCTGGGACTGAGTTATCGCTCTTTGACCTGCTGACTGATTGCTTGAGACGTCGGAAACGACAAGCGCATCGCCTGTCGAGCTTGTCACGGCCGGTGTGCCTAGTATTTTGGTCATATGGACCATGGTAGCGAGTCTCGCATCTCCTTTGCTTGAGGTCCGTACAGGAGGGTGCGGAGCTGCTAGCAGACTGCTTGAAGGCGAACATTGGGCGGGTTTCGCCTCCCCAACAACATCTTCTTTTGTCTGTTTCGACGTATTTTGAGCGACGGCAGCTTCGCGTGAGGCCGAGGTGGCATTTCCTATAGAAGCTGCCGGTGGTGACAAAAAGTCCTTTTCGAAATCCTTGTTTGTCAACAAAGCTTCGCATTCCTCGCTGAACCTTTTGGCCTTTTCCGGATCGTGGAGTGACGGCACAGGTGATGATGATCGCCTGCCAGTCTTCAAGGGTCCAGGGAAAGCTCCGTCCAGGTTCACGACAGGGCTCGAAACGTTGCGTTTGTGGCCCGTGCCTGCCCTTCTCCTCAAGTCGGAGACAGCTCTTTTGCGGCCCATTTGAGACGATCGTGACAGACGAGGCAATGGCTTCTCCACGCTCTGACGTTTGGAATGCTTTGGCGACGCGCCACTGCGGTGCATAGTGAGCTTGCGGAAGACACTATTAGTTGACTGGCTGCTCCCCCGCGTACCTCTTGCCATACGCACCAGCTGCCATGTTGGCAGCGAGATAGGCCGACACAGACCTTCTGTTGAAGCGACAGACTCGTTCTCATTCACACTTTGAGGTGTATCGACTGGCAAGTGGCGTTTCGGGGCCGCGCGCTGTTGTTCGAAGGACACTTCGCGTAGTGTCATGGTTCGGGTCTCTTCGGAGACGGCGCGATCATGGGCAGACGTCTGAGGGCGTGCTGTCTCACACATGGCTGCCCACCGGCGAGATTGCATGAAAGGTGGGAGCTTGGGTGGAGGCCGAGGCTGCTCGGCGACAGACGAAGGACTAGGGGCGGTCTTTGGTCGAGGTGGTGGGCGAGGAGTCGTCAGTCGGACGGGTTCATTCAGATCGATGGACGACAATGTAGGAATCGTCGGTAGGAGTAGTTGGCTGACGCTACTGGTCGCAAGCGGGTGATAGCCATGAGCGACGGCACCTTGGACATATGATCGAGGCCCTGCTGGGGGCCCGTTGTCGGATTTAGACGACAGAGGGGTCGCCGGCTTGACTTCGAGAGTTCTCGTGACTGTTATGCTTTGTTGTTCGATAGCTGGGCTTGGTGGTTTCGCCTCGACGGCCTTGCCGTGCCGGAGCTCAGCTTCATCTGACTCTGAGACCCGCATGTCGGTGGTTTCAGCCTGCGGCCTCAGTACTGACGATGATGATCAGGAAATGGGTTGCTGCATGTACGGATGATGATGAGGAATGCTAGAGGTCTCACAGACGATCAGGTCTGGGCTTCACTGCTGGGGGGGCACGGTGCTTCTGGTGCATTCCTGAGACGAAGCTTGCCTGGGGAAACAAAAGTCGGACACATGGTCCTATAACGGGGAAGAGGCAGATATCGGGAGCCGGCTGGAGACCCCTTTGGACACTGCTATGCGTCAACCCCGCCTTGTTGCAGCATATTGCGCAGTAAGGGAGTGGGGCAAAGAGGTGCCCCGGTCTGATAGAGGATGATATACAGCCATACTATCCATGTTTGCTGTGGGGATCGGGGTTCGTAAAAACACCCTTGCTGTGTCGATAAGCGAGCGGACATATCCTGGCAGAAATTCAACGCCGTTTGAGGCCATCTTGGCTGGTCAGCGCAGGTCGCATGGTGTACAATCCATCCGAAGTCCCCATCTAGATTGCCGGAAAGGTAAAGCAAGGGGTGGAAGCACGCTAGATGGGTACTAGGGAGCCGAGCCTATTGGTGGATGGACGGTTGAGAAAACGCTGAAGTTAATGTATGTCATCGATCCTCATCCGAGGAGGCTGGTGATGAGCAGCGTCTTGTTCCAGACAATCTGTCAATTGTCAAGCATGGCCAGTAACGAGGTGTTGTGGATGATGCCACGTTGGATGATCTGCTCACGGTCTGTGTCTCCATGCGATGCGCATTCTGAGTCTCAAACACAATCGAGACATGCACGTCTGTATCACCGTGAGCCCGAATCTCGGATCTTGTCGAGCCTGGCAGAGTCAGCAAGGGCAGTACGGGGTGGAGAGAGGAGTGGCGCAAGGGCGGTTCGGCGAGGAAGGTTCCATCGCGGTGCCGCACGGACCGCTAAGAGGAAAAGACCACCGTCAGACGGCAGTCTCGCACTTTCTACGGTGAATTCAGTCCGTCTGACAGTGTGTCTGATGTCAAACTTTACGCAGACTTCGCACCCCTGCTCCATAACATGCATAAACTAGCATCTGTCTTTTCGGAAGCGAAGCTGGTGATGGAGTGGCGGACATTTACAACTCGGCTGGGAACAGGCTGACTCGTCTTTCGCACCCCCCTTGATTGCTACTTCAAAGATAACACTTGCAGTCATTCGTCCGTCATAGGCCCAGTCGTCGTTGCGCACAGATTTCGATTCCCCGTCATCCCCCAGCCTGCTGAATTTCATCCTTACCATATACAACGTAGGCGGTGGCTGCTTGCCCGTGATTGCCAGTGGCCGGCCCGCGGAGTTGCTCGTGTCCGTGCAGATTGTACCCGCGGTCAGAACGTTGATTCTGCATGGTGGCTGTATCATAGAAATGAACATATGCACGGTGACCGACAACCAATACCGGACGGCAAGGTACAATAGTCCGCGAATGTGAACGGTAGAACGGATATTGGAGTACCTGTCATTGTTGTCGGCATCCGTTCCCGGAGCCCTGAAGGGGGTCTCTCACGTGTTGATCCATGTCTAAATCGACTACCTACGTGAGATAGCCGTCTTGCCTGGCGAACCAAAATAGCTCGATGAAACTGTTGACATTGATTGCCGTTGGATGAAGCCAATTTCAGGAAGCAATTTCAGGGGCGGACCCCAATAGCGGCGCGCATAACGTATGATAGCTGCCAAAGCGTAGCGCATGAGGACAAGCTTCTCCGGCTTGCCGGCAGACGTGGTATACTCACCAGATTCAAGCAGCTTGGCAAGTCACTCGAGGTCATCGACGTGGATGTTGACTTTCAGGCTGTCGCCTTGGACCTTCTGCGAGGTCCGGTGCCTAGGTTGGTCGTGCAAGAAAACAGAACAGTCGTCACGGATAGCATACTATACCAAGCTGCATTCCTTTGAGTCGGCGTGATGAGTTTCAGTGCGATCATGCTTGACCTAGGCCGTTCGACGCAAGGATAGCCGCCTTGTCTGTGGTGCCCTTCGACGAACAGAAGGTTGCGGCAATGTTAGAGACGAATTTCTCGATCGAGCTATCCAACACTGAGAATTGGTGTGAAGGATCCGATGTGCTGTTGCTACCGGCCAGAAGTCCACCTTCTGATCATTGCTGCTCCATTTAGGAAAAGCCAAATTCCACCTCACCTGCCCATCCAACGCAGCAACCGTCACCTCAACACACACGGCACATACAGACCGCCTGTACGGAGGTACTAGTACTGCTGCGGCTGGAGTGAGGAGAGTTCCAAGACAATTAGAGGCCACGAAAAGACGCCATAGCCTTTTCTCCGTAGTATGAAGAGGCATGCGGAAGCAAACCCTGCAAGTGGTTCACATGGATGTTGTCCGGGCATGTTCAGTGCCATTCCCAAACATCTCATTGCTCCGTATGTTAGTCTTGCTACGGAGACATGCGTCCTGTCGCAGGTCGAGGTCACTGTCACCCTGGGGGATCACCAGATTATGGAAACCATCGGTAGGAGCTGAAGACCACGCTCAGCAATCGCGTCGCACGCACCCAACTCGAGCCAGGCTGAATCGTTTCCTAGCAATCCTAAGGGAGCATTGCCTGCTGGGTGCCAGGAAACATGATACTGATCGGTGCAGGAGGCTCTCATTAGTGGTCGATCAGCATGCCCAACCATACGGAGAACAGACCGGCTCCGCGGGTCAACTGGGATTATCCACTCTTATAGCTATGAGGAAGCTTAGGGGCCGAAATGGCTTGCGCTCAAGATGCATATCCCGCGGCGTTATCGGGAAACAGCCCACAGGCCCAACAGTCCACCCGCAACATGATTGGTGACTTGACGCTTCTGCCCTGAGCATCACTTGCTGAAGACAGCGATCGACCATGATGACCCCGGCCTGGGCCCACACGTCTTCACCCAGCCCTACAGACTACGCCCGATTGAAGAAGGAGAATGCGAGGTGCATATTGCCAAGGCCGGGTTGAATCGCCAATGGCAAAGAAGATCTTGTCGCCTGGTCTCATGAGGCAATTCAGGAGGGAGCCGAGGCATCAACAATGCTGGAACTTTGCGTCGCTGAGGCCCAAACCGTCGGTACAGGCCCGTCCAAATATGGTGAATTTGATAGCCAAACAACAATGGCAGGGGATACAGCCTATGAGCTGATAGGACGTTCGCTTCGCCGAAAGCCGAAGAGCTGAAAGACGCAACAGCGGTGAGATGATTCAATACAAAAAGGCAGAAGGCATCTGTCTACTCAACCCGAAAGACAGAGAGCGAGGTGTGAATACTTTGCTGTACTGCGCGAAAGATGGTCGGTGTTCCTGGCAGGAGCAAAGGCTGCTCAACGTGCCTTAGACGCAAGGTCAAATGTGGTGCGTAAACCTCGAAACCCCTCCTATCGCGACGAATACTCACGCGACGTGACCATATTCAGATGAAACTAGGCCGACCTGCACCAGATGCCAAAAAGCCGGCTTCAAATGCGGAGGATATGAGCGAGCGCTCGAGATACGCAGCCACAGCTTCACAACGGACGCTAAGATGCTCACAACCAGACCGGAAAAGGCTAAACCTAGAGCCCGGCACCAGATGGTTGAGCTGATCCTGAATGACCAGAGTCAAGGACCTAGCACTGCGACTCGGGAAGTACCTCAGTCGTTGAGCCTCGTGGCCTTCAAGGATAGCATCGAGTTCAGTGAGTCTTCGTAGATCTGAGCTTATTCAATCTCTGGCGGCCCGGCTTGTTGCAGACTCCCAGGCGTGCCTCGAACTTACTGACACGTTCGGAACCCTTAGGTTACCTAATCGACAACTTCGTATGGAGGACCTATGGCACACCCTGGCTGGAGATGTCGTGCAGCGGCAAGCTAGGCCAACTCTCGCTAAACGCGGCGAGGGCCTTTGCGCAAACCGTCTTCGGCAGGCATCACCACCAACGGGCGATCGAGCTGCAAGGGCAAGCCATCTACGGAGACACCATACGAACCCTGTCGCAGGAGCTCAACCACGTGGCTCAACCCGGAAGCGAGTACCTCATCGTGCCCGTCCTCTTGCTGCTTATGCACGCCGTAAGGTGCCCCCCCAATGCCTGGTCCGTTGACGGTCCGAACCTGACATTAGGGCTTAGTCTACCGTCGCCGATCGACAGGCATCACTTTTCCACGTGACTGGCCTCAACAGGGTCATCCAGTCATGCGAGCCGGCAAGATTTGCAACCATGCCATTGAGGCTGGCTTTTGAGTCTGCGAGATCGACCTTGGTGAGTCTCTTGTGACTGATGTGGAGTTCCAAAATATGCTCATGAGGTGCCTCCCACAGTTCACCGTCGGCCTGGTTGCCAAGAAGCGGATCTTTCTGGAGCAAGCAATCTGGAAGACAGCACCTTGGCAGGGTTCAGGACTGCCGCCCAAAACTGCGCAGAACGAGCTCGTCGACATCATGGTTGGAATCCCAGGATACATGCAGGACACTGTGGAGATTCAGCAAGGAGGTGCGAAAGACAAACAGAAGAAGGCTCTGTTGCTAGCTCGTCTCAAGGCCGACCTGTCCACTTTATTCGACTGGCGATGGAAATGGGAAGCGCACAATCCCAACGCAGCGATCGAGATGGAGCCAGGCGCATTGCCTGTGGGAAGACGCGTATGTGACTTTCGATTGTTTCGCAAGGTCCTGTGGTTCCGCAACTTCACCCAGGCAACGGAGATTCTGCTGTATAATGCGGTGCTCCTCTGTCTCTTGGGCGCACTGTGGCAATTCGATCCTCCAGCCGAAGTCGAGGTACCGGCACCCACAAACTCGATACTGAAACGGCCAGACGAGATCTTTTCCTTGCTGGAGCCAGCCGAAGAAATATGTCGTGGCTTCGAGTACCAGCTATTGAACATCGACAATAGTCAGGACTCGACACTGTTCTGGTTACTCCCGCTTGGCGTTGCGTCCAAGGTCCTCGAAGCTGAGCCAGAGTATGGGCGTTGGATCCAGAGCATGTTAGATACCTCGCGGGTGACTAGGGGCTATGGCTCCGGTATGAGCGAATTTGCGTTTGGGCATTACCAGTTCCCGCACATTGGGCACGCTAGAAAGAGGCGAATGAGGGATCGGTAGAAGCTCTGAGTAAGAGGTAGTTTGCTAGCAAAAGTGCGCTACTCCATCATCACAGCCATTCCCGAAACTCAAGAACCAAATCACCGTGCCAGGCTCCGCATTCTGTAATCATCTACCGCCCGATGTCTGTTCGTTGTGCTTAAGCTGCACCCGCCGCGTAGAATTGCTGGGGCTGTTGTTGAGTAGCATTGAGAGCCATCATATTCTGAATGCCTTGCGTAGGATCCACGCCAACCCGCTCTTTGGCCAGAAGGTCGACAAGCAGAGGGGAAGGGATGCTGTCACGCTGCGGCTGGCCGGTAAGCTGACCTTCCTTGTACTTCTGAATGTTCTCCAGATACATGTCGAACAGATAAGAAGAGTCCAAGGGTCCACCTTTGGCTTCGGGGTGGAACTGCGTAGAAAAGATTGGACGAGTCTTATGGATCAGGCCTGATAACTTGTTAACATCCTTGCACCAAACTCACTTGCCGCTTTGGACTTACCCTCATTGGAATTGTCGTTCAGATTAATGAAATAAGGCGCCCAGTCCGAAGGCAGCGTTGCAGCGTCAACAGCGTAGCCGTGATTCTGGCTAGTGATATGGCATCTCCCAGTCGTGAGGTCGAGTGCGGGGATGTTATGTGCTCGGTTGCCATACTTCAGCTTGACGGTCTTTGCGCCAGCAGCTAGGGCCAGCAGCTGATGTCCGAGGCAGATGCCGAAGATAGGCAATTGGTGATTTTCCATGAGCTTTCGCAGATGATAGACGGCATCCTGGCAATGAGTGGGATCACCTGGGCCATTCGAAATGAAAACACCATCGAAATGGTGAGCGACCTTGTGGATAGGATAGTCGAAAGGGAATACAGTGGCGCTGGCCCCGCGGCTCACAAGGCTTCGCAAGATGTTCTCTTTGACTCCACAATCCAGGACTGCAACATGTGCGATGGGAGAAGGTGCACTAACGTGGAATGGGGCCTTCGTACTGACTTTCCGAACGAGGTTGATCTGCTCCGGGTCGACATATGCTTCATCTTCGTCCTGATCGTATTCCTCGCCGACAGTCAGCCGAGCAAGAGTGGAGCCTTGCTCTCGGAGGTACGTGACAATGGCTCGTGTATCCACGCCACTGATTGCCGGAACACCTTCCCTTGCGCACCATTCGCCCAAGCTCTCGACTGCAGTCCAGTGGGAATACCTCTCGGCGACATCTGCCACGACGACACCGCAGGCTTGAATGTTGGGGCTCTCGAAGTATTTGTATAGACCGAAGTCATCTTTCACACCAGCAGGCACGCCATAGTTTCCAATTAATGGCTGCGTGAAAACCAGAATCTGGCCTCGGTACGAGGGATCTGTAAGAGATTCCGGATATCCGACAAGGGAAGTGGTGAAGACTGCTTCGCCAGAGATGTTGCTTCGAGCACCGAAGGATGTGCCATGGAAGATCGGCCCATTGCGGAGGGTGAAGGTAGCTCGTTCTTTAGGAACAGGAGTGTGCTTCAAGGCCTTGCGCAATGGCAGATCCTGCTGTCGCGGAGTGTTCTCTGCAATAGTGGCCAGCGCTCGTGCTTGCAGGCTCGTGACCAGCTTAGGGCCTTTGAAAGACGGCCGAAGTAGACGGCCGAACATTGCTGTGTTTGCTTGTTACTGGTATCTCGGAGGGCTTCTAGTTCGCCTGGGCTTTCCACAAATGATCTAGGAGCTGTCAGAGACGTGTGGGAGCACGGAGGGGATATAATCTACCACTGATGTAATCCTACACAGCGTCAATTAGTATTGTGCTTATCAAGGCTTTCCACTACTGGGAAGGGAGGGGCATAACTCACTTGGTTGGTAAATAGAGATGGAAAGCACATGAACGCGATTTATGACTTCGACCAGTACCGTGGGACTGATTGGGAACAACTGAGAGTCATAAAAATGGTCGCCGTCAGAGCCTGAGCGGGATAGGTATGCAGTAAAATCTTGCAGAGCGGTCTCGGGGCGAGGTGTTGAAGCCGGCGGTGAAAGGTGGATGCGCAGCTGCGCTGTGAGGAAAATTCCAAATGGCGGGATTGGTCAGAAGGGTACGACTAGTAAAAAGCCTCCTTCTGTTCAGCAACTCCGTGGCTTGGCCGATAAGCATTATGACATACGACTCGAGGTTCCATTTATTGTTAGTCGTGTCGCTCTGTCACCTTGAATTAGAGAGAAATAACTACTAGATAAAAAGCTGGGGGTATTGTGGGCAGCTGAAACCTAAGATGACCTCCGAATACCTCCCTGCCTCTCCTACCATACGCCTCGCTTAGTCTATTCGTGAGCCGGTTCTCGCATCATAACATCATGAACAGCATTCAGAACCAGTAGCTTTGGGTTCGTTAGCCTGCAGCTCCAGCAAGACCATGACCTCTGGTAGGGGTCGTTGCGGCCAGGCTGCGCTCCAAGTCTCTTACTCTTTGCCGCAGGGTCTCGTTTTCCTTTCTGACGGCCTCCAATTCAGCCCTATGTAGCTGTGCCTCCTCGTAACGTGCCGCTGCTCCCGCCGAACTGAAACCGGGGCTTCGCGGATTGGACGCGGCCTCGCTATAATTGGTGTTGGACGATACAGAGGCGCGGTGGTACCCAACTTGTGATAGACGGGGTGAGGCATGAATAGAGCTGCTGCGATATACCCCAGCGCTCGTTGAGTTCTGTCGGCTCATCTCAGGCCTGAGGGTTTCCATGTTCCCCGCTTGCACGGTCTGATCTCGAGGGGCTGCAACCCCAGAGACACTCGTGGAGGCAGCGCTCGTTAAATTCTCTCGTATCGACCTGGAGGACCTTGCTGATAGGTTCGATGAAGATCGATGTCGGCGGGCAGAAGTTGGGATGATGGTAGCTCCGGTGCCGAACTGGTCGTTACTGAAGAAATGGTCTGAGGTAGAGGATGTAGTGGACGCGACCGAAGCCGTCTGAGCCCGCAATGCAGATAGTTCTCTTGTTAGGCGATTGACCATGTTTTCCTGCTCCTTTTCCAGTTCGAGGTGCAACTCAGCTGCGCTAACAGGTCGTGGGTGACGGATCGGTCCTGTACAGGTCAGCTTTATCAGACACGGGAGATTTGGGCGACTTTACCTGGCCCGATTCCCACGCCAGTGTTGTCCATTTGCGGCGAACTTGGTAGACTGTCCGTACGAGGAGGCGGCGGTGGAGGTGGCGGCATCTGTGTGTTACTTCCAGCTGCGGTAGGCATAGTTGCAGAAGAGTTTCGAATGCTATTGAGATCTGGTGCCATTCCCATGCAAATCCTCCTGCCGCATTACACTCTGTCGAGGGCAGACTTCGATGGGTACGCGTGCGTGCGAAGGACAGGAAAGATTGAAGGGGCTTTGATTATGGTAAAGATCTGATTGTGCACAATCTCCTAATTGATTGCTCATAAGACCGTGCTCGGTGACTGGCGAGTTGGCGGTCACAAAAGGTACAGGAACGCGAGTCGTGGAAGGCGCCTGATTTCCTGAAGGATGACCGCGATGCGGGCCATGCCGCCAATCAAGGGAGGAGACTGCCCCCAGACTCCAAGTGAAGCACACAATTTCTGTTGCAGGATTTCGGTTGAAATGTTCTAGGTCTAGATTGTCATAACTTGCTATTTACAGGGGGTTGAGCCATCCGTCGTCTATCATCATGGTCCTGGCAAGACTCGCATGCATAATCAACCATTGAAGGCTAAAATCGTTTGAGACCGGGATCACTCTCACACATCCTGGTTCATACCTGCAGATATCGTCGAAGTCCAGCTACAGTTCTTGCCGTGTCAATTCATTGCGATCCTCAAACTCGACCGTAGCAGGAATGGGATTCTTCTCCTTTTGCACACTCTCTCCGGGCTTCGCGAGCTGCTTCAATGCAGAAGCATCAGACTGAGCCACGGTCTCGGAAGCTGAAGCACGCTCGCCGTTTCGGCTCTCTGGTCTTCCCAGAGCTAACGCCGTTCCATTCGGCACAGCGTGCTCTACATGAGTCGAGGCATCGGCTTTGTCATCTTCGTCGATCATGGCAGCAAGGCTTTGGAAGTTGAACATCGGTTCTGGCGGAGTGGATCCTGTAGGCACAGAGCCGGAGGGCCCAATTTCTGCGATGGAGGATGCCGCTGAAGAAGCGTTTGACATGTGTCGTAGGTGCGACGGCCTTAAAGGCTCCCCAGAACCCGGTATAGGAATACTGGGGGCAAGAGACTCTTGACTGGTACCGGATAAGGAGAGTTCTGGGAAGCGTGACATTCGCAAGCCCTCGCCGGCTCTCGAATCGCCGTCTTCTTCCAACGGCGACTCTCCTCTCTCGATGCCTTTGCCCTTACCGATCTCATGGTCTTCGTCAGGGACCGAGGAGAGGTTACTGCGAGAACGTTCCATTAAGCTGCTCGCGCCATCTCCAATGCTGGTGTTGGAATACGTAGGAAAGAGGGTACTCTTTCGCGCAGCCTTTTCTTCTTTTTTCTGCTCTTTGGCTTTCTTCTTGGCCTCTTTTTTGGCCTCTTTCTCTTCTTTCTTTCGCCGTTCATCTTCCGACGCGAGACTGAGGCGTATAGCTTCCATCATCATCATGTCTTCTAGATCATCCATGCGACTGCGGCGGTTGCTGCTGGCGCGCGGAGGAGCCAGAAACGGATTTGCCCGTCCTTGTCCCTCTTCTTGTTGCCTTCCAGCATGCCTCTCAGCAAGCATGGATAATGCGCTCAGATGCGGGCTCTGTCCGTCGGGGTTATCGCCTGTAGGCCGACGAAGAACGCTGCGTCGGCCGAACGGGCCGAAAGCTCTGGGATCTGCTTGACCGTTCATCATATATGCAGCCGTGTGGAGCGCGGTTGCTGCAGCTGACCTGCGGGCGGCATGAGCCCTCGCCGTTGCAAGTTTGTTTGCCCAATCTGGGCGAACTTTATCAGTGGTGATGACCTCCGGAGCAGTGGCCGAGAGAGACGTTCCCCTACGTCGTCCCGACGGCGACATTCCGGAGGAAGAGATAGAAGTTTGCGAAGACATGGCTGACCTGATCTGATAAGGCTGGGAGCTAGAGCCGTAGGTGAGGCCCCGCCGAAAAGGAGGAGGTGGGTAAGTGATACCAAACTCCGGTTGCTTGCAGTATGGGCATGTTGCAACCTCTGAGACAAGTAGACCTTCCTGCTGGGCCTGACGATCCTCTTCCGACAACGGTGGAGCGTTGGGATCAGGCGTCTCGTGTTCCGGAGGGTGTGGGTCGGGGCGCTTGATCTGTACGAAACACTCCGAGCAGATAGGCTGCTCACAGCATCTTGTAGTGTTGAGGTAGGGAGGATAGTAGAGGAAGCAAATGGGACATTCCGATGCGTCTTTGTAAAGGTAGACTTCGATGGGCTGTCCGTTCACGAAGGGATCCGGAGGTAGCTGGAATTCTCGTGGCGTCATATCCGCCTGGCTATTGTTGCGAGAAGACGTTGTTAGGGAGGCTAGAGTCTTTGCTCTCGCTCGAAAAAGCGGTGTTCCTGGGGACGACGATGGTAGCGGTGATGTTGGGGAAGACACTGGTAATGAATTGTTCATCGGTGAGATGGGCCCGGAAGTATCGGATTGATATGATTGTGAACGACCACCGATGGGCAGTGTCAGGCTCTTGATAGACTTGTCCTTCGAATCTGTCGTGGGCTTCTTGGAAAGTCGGTATTCCAGTTCCGGGGGTACTTCGTCGGCCGGAGGGATTTCCATGCCGCGGGCAGCTGCCATAAGCTGATGTTCTGCCCATGACTCCGAAAAGTCGTTCAGACCCCTCCAGAACGGCGCAAGACGCCTCTCGATCTAGACCAGCGTTAGCGGTGGTGCGTTACGAGCTTTCCCTTGACTTACCATCAACTGCCTAACGATGGCCTTGTTGTAGTCTTCCACCCCAACATAGACACCTTGGGTCACAAGATACCCTCCATCGATATTCTCTTCCCTCATGCTGCGCTCTCGCTCTTTGAGTCGGGCCTGGCGTTCTTTATCGGCCTTGCGCGCTTCGCGCTCGACCTTGTTCTCACGGCGCTGCTCCAACGAAAGAACATCTTGGTCGCCGTTCCCGCCGATGCCGAGGAACGAGAAATCTGGCCGGCTATTTCCCCGCTGGCGAGAGGAAAGAAGGCTTCTGGTGCTTGGCTCTGGGGTGGGAATGGTGGGATCTTGTCTTTGAGTAGGGCTGCTACTGCCGCTGACCCGGGAGGCAGGGTGGCCGCGTGCTTCCTTGGTCTGCGAGTTTCCCATGTTGGTGAACACGGATATATTTCTGGGCGGTCGCGATCGCAATCAGGTCAGATTACGCATCCTAGTGCAGTTCTCGCCGGATAGAGCACATCTTTGTCCGCGACTCTGAGCTGCAAGAGAGGATATGGTCCAAACGACGGACCTGCCGGGATGGAGGTGGTGGGGTGCAGAGAACGTGAATCAACAGCAGTCAACGATTACCGGAAATGGAGCAAACGCGGATGTGGTCAAGACGACGATAATGCGGAAAAAAATAGCAAGCCCTGAGATAGTGATGTGGTCCAAATGGACTGGCAGATCTGGGGTGCAAATAGTCCTGAGAGCAACACGCACTGCCAGGAGATGCAGCGACAGCAGAAGTTGGAGGAGTGAGATCACTGCGCGCTGCCGTGCGATTCCTGCCTATCCGTAGATCGACCCTTGTTTGCATCCGGTTCTGACGCGGCCACCTCGCCCAATTTTCGGAGTCTATCAATGCTTCATTTATTCAAAGATCATGCTTCCTGCAGGGTCATGTCAAACTAGAGTTAATTGCGTGTGTTTAGGTACCGGTCGACCTGAACGCAGCTGCAGCCATTATATCCATCTTGTCTGCCTGGAATATAGTAGGCCAGCGAAAAAGACCTGATTACAATCCCAAGTCCAGAGAGCACCTAGTGACCCCCGCACCAGGCAGACTAAGCATTGTGGCCAGCACGGCGCCCAAGAAGTTTAGCAAAGATAATGCAAGGTACCAACCGGGCACTGCAGCTCACAAAGTTGACTTAAAAGCCCACTTCTCTCAGGCTGGCAGCCTCGTGATGTTGTTCAGAGCCCGTTCCTGATAGCCGCCGAATTGCCCTTCAATTTTGACAATTTGCCAATCCGCCACAATAATACAATAATGCGCTCGCCTGTTCGACGACCATGACCCTTGATACTACGCGACTGCACGTATCACCTCTGACGCCTGATCTCCTCCCGGTTGTGCTGGGTTCAACGTTCAAGAGTGCTGCACAGAATATATCATATCACGAGCTCCAGACGTACCCCGAAAAGAACTACGGTTTCATCGAATTGCCTACGGCGGATGCCGCGCAATTCAAGAAGAAACTGAGTGGCGCCATTTTGAAAGGCACCAAGATGAAGGTAGAAGAAGCAAGACCAAAGAAGTCGTCAAGGCGAACAGTGCAAGACACGGAGCCTGCGCGAGGCGCAGACTCTAGCCTCAAAACGAAACGGAAGCGCAAGGTCGCGGATGACGATGTTATGACTGGTCATCTGCTGTCGCCCGAGCGCAAAGTACAACGCGGATGGACCGAGGCGCGTAAAGAGAAGAGGGGGAAGAAAGATGATGCGAAGACTGAAAGGCAACATTCCAAATACACAGACAAGGATGAGCTTTTGTTCAGGACAAGGGTACCTCCGAATAAAAGCAATCTGGTATTGAAGAAGTCCAAACAGGCGAGAAAGGCTAGGCATGGAGCGGAAGAGCATACTGTGCATGAGTTCGAGAAAACCACGTCGGAACCATCTTTTCTAAAGCATGAGCAAGCCCACAACAAGACCAGCCTGGAGTATGTCGACGGCAAAGGCTGGGTTGACGAACATGGCAATGTGGTGGAAGGAGAGCCTTCATCAGTCAAGCGGAAACGGACGCAATCCAAGCGTACCGTAACAACCGGCCCGAGCTCGAAGAAAGCGCAGAAGCCACCCACGGAGGGGAAAGGTCACCTAGCCGTTGACCGGGACGCCGACACAGACTCGCCTTCCATGGACAGTTCTTCATCGGACGATAATGCCGAACAGGATTCGGGGTCCACTGGTTCTTCGTCAAGATTGAGTACACCAAAGCATACACTGAATGCCGCAGGCAACGCCAATGTCGAGCCTCTTAAGGCCCATCCGCTGGAGACAATATTCAAGAAGCCGCAGAAGCCTGTATCGCAAGATGTCGCCAAACCCTCGCTAGAAGTATCCACGGCATTCTCATTTTTTGGCGGTGGAACGGATGACATTGAAGATGAGCCGGAGATCCCCTTGACTCCATTTACTTCTCAAGAGATGAGGAATCGTGGTCTACGAAGTGCCGCCCCAACGCCCGACACCGCCTATCCCAGCCGCTTCAATAGCTACGACAGTGCTGGCTTAACAGAAGGCGAGCTGTCAGAAGAAGATGGGGATGAGTCTGAGGCAAAAGGTGGTGGCCCGAGAGAGCCGTCACCCAAGCAGCTGAGGAGCGCGAGCAAACATCCTTCTGGCACTAGCAACTTCGAGAAAATGTTCTGGGACAAGCGAGGAGATAACAACCGGGCTTGGAAAGCTAGGCGGAGAGCTGTACTGAAGGACAAGCGACATCGAGAGAATCGGGCACGACGGCCAAAAACTTGGTAGCGGGCTGGATAATCGAAGGTGCGCCCAACCAGCACTTTGTTGTCCCCCAAGTGATCGCGCGGACCTTACCGTACCACATAATTATAATGAAGTCGGTCGAACAGGGCAGTGGTCGCCTCGTGTCATACTCACTGGGGACGAAAGCGGTCTCAGACTCATGTGAACACGTCGACCCGTATCTGCTGCGTAGGTCAAGACTTCCCGAGTCACAAAGATTTGTGCGTACTACGCAGACCCTCGCGCTGCCTGGAGTATCAGTGAGTGGGCTTACTCTTCGCACGAGAACCAGATCATTGTACTGTGTAGTCCGTAGCCCCAAAAGGCAAACGCTTTACTCGGCCTAGACGAAGCCCTACGCGTTGCTGATCAGTAAACCGAGTTCGCGCAAGCGGTGCATACAGTCCCGCGTTGCCCGGTGCCAAGCCTTCCGTTAGTTTTGCTCTAAGCACGCTTCGCCGATGTCTAAATCGGCCGCCCGGCCCTGGCCCTTAGGCAACAAGATTGTGGAAGCACCGGGATTGGGACTCTGAGCCACCTGGCCTCAACTCTACTAAGCCACTCGGAGTCTCCTGTATCTCGTCCGTTGGGGTGCTGCGAGTTGTGCGCATAACGTGGTTGAGCTCGGCGCCGGTATAAAGAGGTCTCCCAGCTGTTCTCGCGTAGTGGCATCCACATGATGCGCGTCAAGCGCGAGGAGTACGGTTGCATACAATAATTCCAGACAATCACCAATGCCGCCAAAACACCAGCGGAGAAGCCATACGAAGAGCAAGAGTGGCTGTTCTCAATGCAAACAGAGGCGTATCAAGGTATCTCAATGTGCTGCCTTGTTGCCTAGAAGGCTCCACTCACACCAGACAGTGTAATGAGGTGCATCCCGTCTGCTATAACTGCGAGCGAAGACAGATAACATGCGACTTCTCTTTGACACCGCCAGAAACAAGCACATCGCCACAGTGGACCAACAGTACTGATGGAAAGGCGACTAACGGCGATGCGTCGCAGCAGCTAACTCTCCGATCACCAGGTGCTCTGGCCACGCCGCAACAGCTGCCACTCAACCCTTTTGATGCACCGGACCTGATCAGCTCGAGACCGACAACAGATCTTGACGTGGTGGACCTAAGACTTCTTCACCATTTCACCACGGTCGTTGCGGTGGAGTTGGCATCTCCGGTAGAGAAACATCCGGATACGCTGCTGTTATGGCAGGAGCATCTCGTTAAGCTTGGTTTCAAGCACGAGTTTCTTCTCCGCGGCATCCTCGCGGTGGCTGCGTACCACATCGCCTATGCCTCCCCCGAACGAAGCGAGGAGTACGGCTTGATAGCTTCGAGGCATCAAAGCTTGGCTTTGAATCAATTCCAAGAAGTGCTCGCTCGGGTTGACGACTCTAATTGCCACGCACTCTTCGGATTCTCGTGCCTGATCATCATTCTAACCTTCGCCAGCAGCCCCAAGAGCCAACCGGCGGACTTCAATGCAGATGTGCTGCAGTGGTTCCACATGCTAAGAGGTGGCAAGATCGTCCTTGACATGTTCCCAGAAGCCATCAAGTGCAGCTTTTTGAAGCCACTCCTGGATGAGATGGCATATACGGAGAACACAGCGACCTACAGCATTCCAGGCGCAGACCGGATCACTGATCTATTTCGCATCTGCAATATCTCAAGCCATGAGCGCGAAACGTCGCAAGCATATACGATGGCGATTCATACGCTGCTCAGTGTATTCACCCAGACGAGCATCTGCCGGACTCGAGGTCACGACGGACTGCTTGCATCTCTGGTTTGGCCCGTTCACCTCCCGCCCAAATTCGTTGACCTCCTGAGTGAGAAGCAACCAGAAGCACTGGTCATCCTGGCTCACTACTGCGTGCTGATCTCATGGGGTGAGACGAAAGACAACTGGTTCATCAGTGGGTGGGGTCGGTAGTAAGTCTCCTGTCAGCTTTGGTCGGTGGAGTTGAACTGACGAAGTTTCTAGTATGATGGAGACTATCAAGGAGAGCGTCCCTGACACCTGGCACGAGCATTTGAAGTGGCCCGAGGAAATGCTTTCGACATAAAATCGGCCAAAAGGTACCTGCGAGCGGCTGCAGGCTCTCGGGGATCGTTAAGTCGAGTCGGCGCACATAACTATATGACCATCGATGACGCTTCAAATGGCTATGCGACAGCTATGAATGGACGAATGTATCATTCTTACGGGTGAGGTGGTAACGAACGAGGATATAATAAGGTACTTGGCAATGAGAGCGGCTCAAGTGGCTGTGGCTGTGGCTGCGGAAATCATCCCCGGCGCAAGCCATGGCAGTTTGTAATTGGCCTCGGCGCCTGATGGGCGTTTTGATGGCTTCACTCATTTCCGCCTGTGCCATCATCGAACACGGCTTAACAACCTCGCCTTAAAATAACGTTGCGACCTCTGCAACTCTACCTGATATTCGCGCGAAGCAATCATGTTCGCGCGTAGCGGTGGCATGATTCCAATGCGACGCTTCGCGTCTCAAATCAGCCTTGGTGCACGCGAGCTTGGCCCCCTGAAACGGCAATTAAGCGCCCCTTGTCGCAGGTAGGCCAGAGACTTTGCACCAACCACCACCACTCCTTCACCCTTCTTCCCCTCGCTCATCTTGCTTGCAAATCTCTGCTTGTCGCATTGCTCTCACTCTTTTGATCTTTCGGCATTCGTTGCTGTTCACACTCACTACAGTTGCACCGTTTTTTTCGTAGGTTCGAGCCGGCCTCCCTACGTGCGACCATCTAAGAACATCTCAATCGCTACCTACTTCCCACCGGTGCAGGACAACCGTAAGCCATGAACGGCGGCAACAAGATTCTCTGGGCCTTCATCGGCTTCGAGACTCTCTACTTAGGCTGCGCCATCCTCCACCTCGTGATTCCTCTCACTACACACGCCTCGCTGGGACGAGCACCCAACCGCGATAATGTTGCAGGTGATCTACTGCTCGACCACTGCCCTCTCACAGGTATGGACATTGTGCAACAACAGACGTGCTTTTGCTAACAACGTGACCAGCATCCCTCGTCAATTCGATCCTCATGTTCGTCGTCTTCCTCATGTCCCTCCCAGCGATGTTCATCAAAACCAACCGCAAATGGCTCATTGTCCACGCGTGGGGCATTGTGATCACTGCCTTCGTCTCCCTCGGGATCGGTCTTCGAATCTGGTTTGACACTCTCGAGACGCACAAGAATCTTGAACCCATCTGGAACAGCCAGGAAGAGTTTGTGCAGTCACTCTTGCAGTCCCGCTTCGAATGCTGCGGCTACAACAACCCCAGCTTGTTTATCCGCGACCAGACTTGCCCCACGGCCGCCGTCGCCGCCCAACTCGGATCCTGCACGGTTCCCTTTGGAAGTTTTGCCAACCAGTTCTTGGACGTCGTCTTCACCGGCTTCTTCGGCTTCTGCGCCGTCGACATGCTCCTTTTGCTTGCTACGATGTGTTTAATCAAGGACCGCAAAGAGCGGGAACGCTTCAGGAAGATTGACATGAAGCTCGGTGGCATGCAGGTTCTGTAAATTCGAAGGGCGATGATGCGGACCCATTTAGCGCTTTATTTCGAATTTGCAAGATTTATAGAAAGATCCAACACCACCTACGACACCCAGGCATCTAGCGAAGGCGTACTCGAATCTATAGTGCAGGTTGAGCAGTGATCGTGACCACTGCACATTATATTTATAGCTCCAAAAGAAATCTATCGATCGCACTACCTTTTAACTCATAGCCAACAGCCTTTGCCATGAATCCGAGCCAGTCGTCCAATGCTGCGCCGTAGGTCTCGTCCAGATATCTGACTACAGCCGTGCATTCACGAACGGCTCTCGACCGGCACCACCAATGGTTGGTGTATGTGAGTATTGCCATGAACCAGCCATATACGACCAGTGCCTTGGCATCTCGAGCCTCCAACCGACAAATGAACTGTAGCAAGTCAGCAGCTTTCCAGAAACAGTAGAATGTCAACAGGTCCGCATGGGCAGGGTGGCGAGTATGGCATCTAGATGTCACCTCAAGCTCAAGCTCGTTCCGCGGCTACTTTGTACAAACGCGCCTCGCTTTGGTGCTCAACACCAAAAAGCAGGGAACGAATCGTGTACTTACCGCCTCATCAACCCCCTGCATAAACTGCAAGTATTGCAAGCACCTCCCGTCATGCGTGGCGCCGTTCCCAGCCTCCACGGATTCCCACACCGCCAATATCGACACTAACCTCCGCACCACTCTCAGATATCGGTGTCCGTCGATTCCGTCATCGTCGCGAATGGCCCAGAAGGCACACCACGCCTCCGGCACGCCTTCTGTGCCATCCCTTTCGTCATAGAGCACGTTGTGGTCCAACCCTTCGAAGAATGCCAGCCATGCACTGCCCCGCTTCGCCTTGATGCTCAGTCCGCCCATCAGGGGTGCGAACCCGAGCTGGATCCGCAACCAGTGCAGCGGCTGCTCGCCGCCGTAGCCGAGAAACGGCCAGCGGCGGACGTCGTCTTCGGCCTCGGGAAGGCCGGCAAAGGACAGCATGTTCAAGAGCATGCAGGTCGTCAGCAACGGGTCGATCTGGGTCGTTTCAGACAGCGACGAGAGGGCGGTGCGGAAGCCGGCGGTGGCGGAGAGGTGGTGGCCGGCTTCGACGACGGCAAAGTCGTCGTTTGTGCTGGCTAGGGCGGCCGTCAGGGTCCGGGGTGGGGGTTGCGTTAGCGATGGGTTGCTCCGGAAGCGGATGTGCAGGGCGGACGCGGCGAGGAGCGCGTGCATGACGTGAACATGCGACTGAGCGATGGACAGGACGTCGATATGAAAGTTACGTTGTGATTCGGCGAACTAGAAAAAGTGTCAGGTCCTCGCACGTGTGCATCGCTAAGCGCAGTTGAGGTGGGAAATGCTGCTTTACCAAGGACGGCCCAACCATTCCGTGCGCCAACCAGTCCAGCATGGTCAGATCGTAGCGTGAACAGAAGGCGCCAGACTCGCTCAAGATCGAAGGCGAAGTCTTCCCGGGCCATAAGGTCGGCCAGAGGATGCTAGAGGGATCACGTCGCCGCTGAACGTGACAGGAATTCGGGACAAGGGAGGTGCGCGAACGTGTTGTATCGCGGGTTTCCCTGCTCAAAGCGCGCCTCGACTTGAGCTGACTACTGCCGGTGTAGGGACAGTCCATACCCCGCCGGCTGCAAGGTCCGCATACTGGCCGTTCTTCATCACACTACAGCAGCATCACGTTAGTGCCAAGAGGCAGTTAACTCCAAGAGTGGCACACGCATTGGTATTCGTGCAATACCATCGTCGATACTGGAGCAAACAACATAACCGAAACCGCATTGACTTACCTTGACGCGTCTCTCCTTGCAGTTTCGACACCCAGCTCGGCTTTTCGTGTGCGACTTGCGAACCTTGTAGGCCCTGACAGACTCGGAAGGGTCTCGAGGATCAAAGACGAAGACTTTACCAGACATTGATGCGGCTCGGTCACGACAACACAAAGGGTTTGGAGTTGAATATGCTCGCTGCAAGTGGTAAACGAGGTGTCGCAGCAAGTGCAGGTCTGATCGTGGTTCCGCCAGGCGCAAGGAAACGTCCGAGCCTGGGTTCACTGGGGCCGGGGCATCACGAGAAGTGTTTGCTCACATACGCCGAGCACAGACGTTCGAGGCTCAGCTGTGCTTGCTCTAGCTGCGAGGCAGAATTAGCCGTACGACTGAGTGACGAGAACAGATCGATCTAAAACACATGGTAAGTAGTAGGCTACACTGGACATGGGGCGGTGGAGAAAACCTATTGGACGCAGTACCCCCGCGAAGTCTTAGCGATCTCTCGTTTTCTATGTTGGGACTAGAGCCAACCCCACCTCCAGCCACTGCTCCCCGAATACGTGGACGAGGACCATGATGTCGGAGTTGGACTTTGTAAACATAGCCACGAGTCTGCTCTTGAGAAGTCTATGCATTGCCAGCGGCGCGCTGTTCCGCCTCCTTTTGTGCATTTATCATCTTGAGTAACGGACCGGCCGGCGCGTCCTCACGGTCCATAAAGATCTCCACCATTCGTAACCCTTTGCTCGTGACGAGTCGCTCGTCAACCAAAACTTTCTCTAGATCGCCCCATGTCTTGGCGGTTGCCGTAAATGTGTCGTCCCTGGCTCCAAAAGCGGCAGGAGTTAGCAAGTAATTCCAGCGGGCGACGTCATTGTAGCCTTGGTTGAGACCGTGGATGCACCGTTCAATAGTGTACCCGTCATTATTGATCAGGAATAAGACGAGGTTCAGGTTTTCCTTGATGATGGTGGACAGCTCCTGCGCTGTCATCTGGAAGCTTCCATCGCCGATAAGGAGGATAGTCCTAGCATCTTTGAGGTCATGATACCTGGACTTGGCAATGAGTTCTCGCTGTGCCAAAGCAGCACCCTGAGAAGCAGGTAGCATGTAACCTATCGACAACCAGGTAACGGGAGTGAACAGGCGTGTGTTTTTCGGCAGAGGCATTACGCGGCTTCCGTAGCCAGCTGTGCCCGTCTCACCAAAGACAATGTCTCCAGGCTCCAGGAAGTTGGATAAAAGGCCCCAGAGCTTGTCCTGTGAGATAGCCCCATCGCTGTGAACCGACGAGAATTGAACGGCCGCAGGTCGGAAGAGTGTAGGATATGGGCTGTAGGACTTGATCTTCGACAATTCGAGCTGCTTGAGGAAAAGGGCTACAGCGTGCTTGGCGGGGATATCACGGAACACTTCGTTCCCCAGTTTGATTTCGGTGTCGGAGAAAGAGATTGTCAGCTCTGCTTTTGGAATACTCGTGTACGAGTACGAGTTCGTGCTGCTGAAATGAGGGCCAAAGCAGATGACGAGGTCGGAACCATTGAAAAAGTCTTGTGCCTCCTGGCTATCGAAGGTGCCTTGGTAGATGCCATGAACGTTGGGAAGCGTTTCGTCCAACAGGCCTTTGGCGAATGTGGTGGTCCACGTGGGCCACTTGGTGGCCTCGACCACCTGCTGCACCTCTTCGACGATATTCAGGGCCCTGCTCTCACCGTCGACAAGAATGATAGGTTGTTTTGCAGCATAAACTCTGTCAAAGACCTTCTGCAGCGCTTGGTCATGTGCAGGAGTGTGAATGGCATTGGGTATCTGAAGAGGCGTCGAGAGGCTGTCTTCTGCAACTGATGCACCGACTAGATCAACAGGCACCTCGATGTACACTGGACGGCTGTGAATAATACATTGCTGCAAGACGTGGTCGATCTGCGCTGGGGTGGTCCGAGGGTCTCTCAGGCTTGTCTGAGCAATAGTCACATGTGCGTGCATTTGCCCGAATCTGCGGTACTCGCCATCATTGAAGGTGTGGTGGATGAGCAGACGGTTGTCCTGGGATGCGCGGGCCGGGGTACCGACTATGTGCACGACTGCTGCGCGTTCCGTATACGCGCCTGCGATCGCGTTGATGGCTGACAACTCGCCGACTCCAAATGTCGTGATGAGTGCCCCAATACCGTTGATTCGGGCGTACCCATCCGCAGCGTAGCCGGCGTTGAGCTCGTTACAGTTGCCAACCCAGTGGATCCCTGCAGGTTCGACATAGTCGAGGAGTGTCAAATTATAGTCACCAGGAACGCCATGGATCGACCCCACTCCTAATTGCTTGAGACGCTTGAACAAGTATTCTGCTAGCTTAATTGTCTGGGTCATACTGGGCGAACCGGTTGTACACAAGATTCAACACAAAGATGGCTCAGGGGATAATACATCAAAGAGGGAGGTCTCGGTCCTTTATTGACCACCGATATGCGTGGCTACCCGGTCTTTGGGCGAGTCTGCCAAACGCGCGCCCGATGATCAGCTCGGACAGCCTCGGCAGGCGCGATAACGTTCGTGGGTTACGCCGCACCTACTCCGGACAACTTGACCCGCTTCGCTTCCAAGCTCCGGAGTCCATAATGATCCGGTCCGAAACACGTTTTCCTGCATATCTCATCGAACTTCCACCAACTTGCATCTTCCCCTTCTACGGTGACAGCCTCGCCTCTCCAGGTGATCTCAGATGGAGAGCTTGACCGAGGAAACTTGGGATCTGGTCATATCCGGAACCAGCCTTCAGCAGTCCTTACTTGCACTGTCAGTACGATTCTCGCATGCTTGTCAGTACGCGTCTGACTGACTCAAGCTCTTGGGAAAAGGTCGCTATCTCGATCAGGTAAAAAGATACTACACGTTGACCGTAATGGATACTATGGTGGAAGTGATGCGGGCTTCAGCTTGCAGGAAGTCGACACCTGGGTGAAAGATTTGCAAAAAGGCAAGAATTCCTCGCAGCCTTTCGACAACATACTGACTTTTGTAGGTAGTAGCCAGGTATTCTCCGAACCTCAACTAGCACACATTGAAGTGTCTACCGACGACGACGGCCCTCGATTGGGACCTTCAAGGGCCTACACACTGAGCCTGAATCCTCAGATTGTGTATGCCCGATCTGACTTCCTTCCCACACTTGTATCTTCACAAATACACGCGCAGCTTGAGTTTCTTGCTGTTGGATCCTGGTGGGTACTGCGAAACAACGAGTTGCGCAAGATTCCAAGCACAAGAGAAGATGTGTTCAATGATGACACCTTATCGGTCCGTGACAAGAGGAGTTTAATGAAGTTTCTGCGCTTCGTACTCCAGGACGAGGATCATTCGCCTATCGAAAGCATTGATAGTCCAGAAACTACCCTAAAGCAGACACTCGAGGGCTTCAAGATTCCCGAATCCTTGCATTCGCCGATCCTTGCATTAGCATTATCGACGCAGCCGTCCACCCTTACCAATTCTGACCACGCAATCCGCCGGATCAGACGGCACTTGCAGTCAGTTGGATACTTTGGACCGGGCTTCGGAGCTGTGATTGCGAAATACGGCGGCAACTCTGAAATAGCACAAGTTGCTTGCAGAGCACAAGCTGTGGGAGGCGGAGTTTATCTGCTAGGCTCTGGTATTCATAATATCGACCATGTTAATCAAGAGGAACCCGAAGGCTCTCAACAACCGCCACTCCGTGTCACACTAACGGATGGCACAATTGTGCGAGCACATCGCGTGGTGGGAGGTATAGACGATGTACCAATACCTACACCAGTGCCCTTTTCTGCTGAAGGCGAAGCTACTATGCTCCAGAGCATAAGCATCATCTCAGATCCCCTGAGCGACTTGCTCTCACCAACCTCCGACAACGGACCAGTACCTGCTGCTGCCATCATCCTCGTGGAGCGCGCCAATGGCTCTGGACAGCCTCCCATCTATTTGCAGGTTCACTCTGAGGATACTGGCGAATGCCCTGCTAATCAAAGTAAGTCTGTCGTCTTTTGTCTTCTATCCTGTGATGATTTGTAACATTACTTATCTACATTGCCTGAGGCTTTTGCCTGTGCTGAGATATACACCTCTGACAACCTGATTGGGACTCTTTGGCGAACTTTTGATGCGAATTCCGTCTCTCAATCACGTTACTGATCTGGCATCGACTCTCAGGTGTTGTCTACGCATGTATGCATTCCAACTCCCAGGAAAATAATGCCGTCCTGTACGATGCTGTTTCAGAACTCATTGGCGCCGTTGGTCAGATGAACACGAAGCGAAATCCCAAGATACTGTGGCATCTATCATATCGGACTCGGCTACATTCCACTGAGATGGCCCTTACAAGCGAGCCGCTGTATAGTAATAGCAACGTTGGTATAGTATCGCGCCGCTTCGATCTCGCCGTGGAGGACGAGATCACAAAGCCCATACGTTCGCTCTGGGACGACATCATTGGTGCCGAAGCACTCAACCATCCGTTTCTACTGTTCGAAGAGCGCGGACAGAGCCTTGAAGATGACAACGACTGAGGTCTCTACATCATGGCTGAAGAAGTGGATGTCTTCCGCAATGCTCGTTTGGTCTTCCACACTTAATGCCAACGGCTCCTGCCATATCCACGAATGCCCGCCGAGTACTTAGTCGATGTTCCAGATGTCGCCCGCCCGCCAAAACTTCCATACATCTCATCAGCACTGCGAAGACCACATGCTCACGAGACTACTGCCGTGTAGTCTTCACGAACTCGGTCTTGTTGCTAGCAAGGCTTCGGGGTGTGGTACCTAGAGACCCCAGTCCACATTGCAGGCAAGGAAGTCACAGGCTAAGGCTTTCACAATATTGCTTACCCACCTCTGTATCCAGAGATGGTACCTGGATCCTGGAATTCCGGATTCCAAGATCTCTTCTGACCACTGTGAGGGTGCGGCGTGACTGTCAGACTGCGACAAATGTCTGTGTTCGAGAGATAGCAGGGTATTGAAGAACGTAATTGCACTCTTGCTCCTGGTAAGATCGTCAAGCTCATTTCAATGCTGAAAAGCTTGTGGTGAGCACAACATCTTACTTGTTTAATACCATTCGTAAATGGGCCACCGTACTAGCGGGCCCAGGAACATCCCCTCTATCTTCGACCGTACCCAGCTTGAGCTTGACTTCGTCATATTAGTCAATTTGCCATGGCCTTGCTTCCTTAGTGATACCATCTTGCCGAAGGGCATCGAAACCGCATCCTGAGTTGACCGCATACTGAGTAGTACGCATGGCTATTGGCTGACCTCGGTGCTTGAGTCCTGTACACCCTCGCCAAGTTTGCTTCAACAACTCAAGCAGCGAGTGGGAACCAAAGACGGCACAACGGTCAGAAATCTTGGCACGCATCTGCAACTCCCTCACCTAACCCTTTCCGAGATTCACCAAGTCTAGAAACCCAGCAGTTCCCATTGTGGGATGGTCCAAGTGAGAGGCGAAGGCAGAAGTGATGAAGCTGTTCCCCGCTCTCCGCGCAGAAGGAAGGCGCATCGTCGTTCACCATGGGCGTGCGATGAATGCAGGTTACGGAAGAGAAAATGTGATGGCTCACAACCATGCCAGCCCTGCAAGACGTCCGACTTAGGTCCGCTCCACATTCGCCTTGTTGCTGTTGCCTCATTTCACAACTAGCAACTATCAAGGAGGTCATTGGCTGATCTACGCAGATTGTGATTATCGCTTTCGTCGACCTGCTCTTGCACCTACACAACGCATACGGCTACTCGAATCGCATCTCCGTCATGCTGTGTCCTTCCTACAGGACCTAGACAGGCGATTGCCACCAGAAACAAACATCAATGTGAAGCCGGTGCTCGATACTCTGAATTTCTGGTCATACGGTAGGTCCAACCTCAAGAATGACTCATGACTCGGCAACTCTTTGATGTGCATTTGCTCCGACTGCTGGGCTCATGGTCTTGAGACCTCGCTTGGAAGGACAAGCCGTACTCTTTGGGCGTGTTAGCGAGCTGTGGCTGATCAGTGAATAGAACCAACATCTCCGACAGCCGCAAGTGGCGATGATGAAGCCCAACGGGCACAGCTAACCAGCATGCTAGTCGGATGCCAGCGGCTGATCAGCCCAGCTCCGTGGAGTTCGTCATTCTATGGCGCAATGTCTGAAGTCTCATTCATTCTGCGCACACTCGAGCTTTTCGATCTTGGTGCATATTCACCGCAGCAGAGTCTCGGGCCGGTGACAGAAGTATTCAACTTACCATTACCTCCTGATACCATGGTCCGACAGCCGTCAATCATTCGAGTAGACCGCCAGTCTACAAGCGCGCTGCCGGAAAAGGCGACTACACTTCGAGTAGTTGGCTCAGTATTTGCACGCGATCATCCTTTCCTGGATTTTCTGCACCCTCAACACTTTCGAGACATGGTTGAGATCATATACGAGGAGCGGGGTACAAGAGACGAGGCCTACGTTCGCTTTCTTCCTCTCCTCCACCATGTTCTAGCCCTCGGATATCTGTTCTGTCGCAAAGAGCACGAAACTCGCGGCTGTTCGCAAGCCATCGACACTGCGATGAAGCACTTTGCTCACAGCCAACAACTCCTGAACGTCATCAGATGTGATGATCTCCTATCTATGCAGACTCTTCTATGTGGAGCAGTTTTTCTCATGTCTACCTCTCGAATCGCGACCGGACATGCACTTATTGGACTCGCAGCTTCGTCGGCTATGCGTCTAGGACTCCCTTGCGAAGCCAATAACACCGCACCCATGCTGCAAGACGAGCGGCAGATGAGGGATTTGGTTTTCGCCAGCCTTCTGAGAATGGACATGTATACAAGTCTCATCCTGGATCTGCCGCGCTTCATTCAAGACGACCTGGTTGATTTGAGTCTTAACAGCCTCTACGCAAGGTTATCAGAAGAAGAGAAGATCGAATTCCGCACAGAAGCTTCCATAAAGCACCTCGAACTCCTCCGCCTCACCTGCAACGCTCGACGTGCAGTCTATGTGAACCCAATGACAGGTGAGCGCATCGAGACGATCGACCTGAACCAGTTGAGCAGCGTTGAAGGTGAGCTTCATCGCTGGACAGAAGAAGTCTCCGTACTATTTTCACGAGTACCCAAGAGCGTGGACTTGGCCATGTGAGTCTCTGCGCCTTTTCCCACTCGTCCTCTTCTCCGGCGGCTTATATCGTACTTCGTGCTGACAACATTCACCGCATATGTAGGCAAAAACACTTCTTGGAAACTGCATCGAATTTCTCCCAGCTGATTCTCTACCGGCCGTTCTTGCATTATCTTCGGCACATGGCTGACAACAAGGCTCCTATACCTCGCTCGCAATCTCGTCACGCCCTTGCCTGTGTAAAGCTTGCATCCAATACCATTCTGCGTACACAGCTCGTCCTCGGCACTGATACGCCTGTCCCACTATCCTGGGACACTATCTACACGCTGTTCCTCGCCGTTATGTGCTTGGTTTTCCTAATTTCGGCGCACAATGGCACCTCACTTCCGAGTGAGGCTTGGAAACGCGCAAGCATCGGAATTGGTATCCTTTACGCGAACGCCTGCGTGGACAATGGCGCGAGCATGTGCTTAAGGGTCTTACGGACCGTGGTTCAGCAGCTAAACCACACAGTCGACTTTGATTTTGAAGAGATCGAACAGAGGACGCGGAAGGTGTGTGCTGGAGAAAGAACGGCTGATATGCTGAGGAAAGTAGCTACAGAGAGGCCGCCCCCCGGTCCAGCGAAGGTATCGAAGCCGTTCTCCACATCGACGTCCACCTCAACAGGTCGGTTCGCAGATGCGGATGGAATGCTTGCACACGCCGAGGATCTGCCGCTGGGATTTGGTTTCACGGAGGTTTTGAACATGGATAGCGAGGAAGACGAGCACACCACGTACACCTCGGACCACCGATGACATGTCTATGAGCGATATATCGGTGGCGAAGTCTTGGTCAATCATACACTACCGCTCTACAGTGGTAAAGATCTCTATGCAACCAATCATGGTTAATTAAGCAAACAATACGCCTAGAAGCAGAAGGATGAGGAGGTGGTGGAGTCAGGTGTCTTAAGAGAACCAGATTTTGCCAAGCCAAACCGCCGAACGCCTTGCGCGACGCGCGCCCGCGTCGTTGGCCCCACAGTGACGCTAGCCGTAACTTGCGACAGACGTTGCGTATAACCTCGACTTATACCTGCAATACTCTCCTGCCGGCTTCGGTAGCGGCCATTATGGCCCCGAGCCAGCAGAAACGTGATCTTGCGGACTTTTTCAAACCCTACGCCCGCGCCAGGTTTCTCACAAAGCAGACGATACCTCAGAAGCGCTCCTCACCACAGCCTAACGAGCAGGTCGATGGTGCCAGCGACCCGCAGCGCATCTCTCCTCCGCGCCCGTCTACGCCTCCGAGGAGGCGACCGCAAAAAGCAGTCTCCACGCCAAAGTCACCATCACACAGCTCAATAACCACACCCCGCTCCGAAACCCTTGCTATTCGGACGCCTCAGAGCAGCAGGATACTTCCTGGGCTTGCGCTTGCGCCTCCTCCAACCGATAACCGCAATCTAGAGGGTGCGCCTCCACCTGAATACGACGCTACAGCATATTCATCGGCTGGATCGCCATCGCCAACGCCAGCGAATCAGAGGAATGAGAGCACGGTGAATCCCACCATTTTACCGGCCTCGACGCAGACCATAGTGAAGGAAGGCAAAGTCATAGCAGTGAGAGACTCGGATTCGGATGACAATGAGTCTCTAACGTCTCTCACCGACATCTTTGGATGGAGAAAAGATGATGATGAGACTTCTGCTTCATCGCCGCCCGAGCTCGAAGAGAAGAACCGTGAGGCGGAGAGGATCAGTACCCTACGATTGTTCACAAATGGCCGGTCCGACCCAATAGTAGGCAAACAAAAGATCCGAGAGATCCTAGCGATGAAAGCGTCGAGAAATATGAGCAAATACATGACACAACAAGAAGCTCATGTCAAAGCAGCTGGTGAGATCAAAGAAGCACGGGAAAGATACGAAAGCCACTTGCGGGAGCTTGATCAGGAAGCGTCCACGGGTGATCTCGTATCTAAGCTGCAAGAGTATGTGGGTGCCGATGAGGGAGAGGCTGACCGGCTGATGGGTGCTGTTCGTCGCACAGAGGCGCTATCCGAGGAACCGTCTTTCTCCTTCTTCGGGCCCAAGGGAATGATAGACTGGGCTCTTGAATCTTCTGCCGAAGTCGATTTTCCGGCTGGATCCGTGCCTCTCAACCTCTTCCGTAGTTATGACGATGACGGCCGCTCTCGCGCTTTCATGTCCGGCTTCATATCCGAGTTGGCCAATGAAGGAGTGCTTGACGATCAGACGCTCACTTGGGCTTTCAATGCGCTGCCAACAGAGCCGAACTACAGTTTACGCTACGCCTATCTCGAATCCTTAGAGCAAGGAGCCCGGAGTTGGGCTCGAACCAACATCACGGCAACCGATGTTCAAGCCTGTTTCAGGGCAATAGGTGCACACTCATCAAGTATTGATTCGAGTACGCACCTCGAAGCCAGACAACATCCCCGTCAACGCCCACCCCTGATGCCCAGAGAGCTTATTTCTGTGCTGGAGGTCTTTATCAGGATGTCTCCTCATATGGGCTTTGAAGCCCTGAGTATGCTGTCTTCAATACTGTGTCGGATCGCTATCGACGCCTACGTTATGGCTGACTCACGAATCGCAGCAAAGGTTGAATTGCTCTTTCAAGGCCTTTTAGGTGGCAACCTAGCGACAGAAGCAGCACTCCATGTGGCGTCGCATATGTTCACCGATATGGTCGCAAACCTGATGGATCCGACACTACAGGCGCTTCTTCTTGAGCACATCCCCCCGGGAACTCCTCTGCAATGCAACGTCCGCATGAACTTAGCGCATGCATTCCTGCTCGGTGTTACCAGCAGCAGCAACAGCAGCCTCTCTTTCGCACAGCCCGCCAAAGTTGACTTGCCTGCGCTTACTACTCTGATCAGTACGTCCGACGACTATGCTACCGCCAAGCACCGTACCACACTGAATTACACGCAACTCCGCGCCCGCATCACTATTCTAGACATAGCCGTCTCCAACGGTGGCATCCCCGATGCTTTTCCGACACCACAGTTCGCAAGCGTCAAAGACTTCAATCGCGAGGTTGATGGGTTGGCGGCCGCTCTTCGCAGAACCACCACTGCCATTGCCGACACGGGCGCGACCCACATGAAGCGCACAGAAGCAAAGGAGAAGTTGGAGGGTGTGTATCGCCGATTACTCTACGCGGTGAGGACGGAACCGCCTCCGAAAAAGCACATCTTTGATCAAGTGACGGGCAAGTACGGGGACGGAGACGAGGTGAGAGCCGTCGGGCGAGGCAGGGCGATCATGCAGGGATTTCTGGCCAAGGTCAAGGAAGACCAGGTTGAGGGCAAGATCAAAGAGGAGAAATTCTGGACCCCGAGCTCAGGGAGTACGCAGGTCTTTGAAGAGGCCTCCGAGAGGCTGTCTGAAGATCCGACCTAATGATTGGTGGGGTACGACATGTCATTGCAGCGAACCATAATATAGAGAAGTACGCTTGTCCTAAGCTGTAGAGTACAACCCGTCGCTAGAGCAGTAATAGAGCAAGAACACGCAGCCTTCTCGCCGCTGCCAACGTACTAAGTCAACCGCCACGCTATGGTGTTGATGTCCGTCTGCCATGATACTCGTGCTAGTCGCCAAAATCAAGAGAGTCCGGGGGCTTCTATGAGGTCCGTATCGCGTGCGCCCGCCGACAAATCTTTGCAGGGTGTGAGACCAGCCTAATCGCGGAAATGACGGTTCTCGTTCTCCCCGAAGAGGGTCGCCCGCATCGTCGGTAGTGCCTCCGTCTCCAGCATACGTAGCCGCTCCTCGAATGTGTTGTTGAGTTCGATCTTGCCGCTGCCACTGAGGACGAAGACGCCGCCAGGCCTGCCAACTGTTAGTCCTCATCCTCATACAATCAGTTGCTGGGAAACTTGCGAGCTTTCTGGCAACCAGTTCTTCTCATCAATCACTGCTTCAATCTCGCCGCCCATGTTCTTCTTGTACTCCTCGCCAGCTTTCTTCGACGCAGACTCGACCTTGCCCTTGTCGGCCTTTCTGCATCTGAGACCAATCTTCTTCTCGCCCATCATATACATGCACTCGAGGATTAGGTCCTTGAGCGTATCGTCGTACTGCTTCCCCTTGCTCGCGTCACCCAGCTTGCCCCTCGCCTTCTCGAATAGTTCGTCGAGCAGCTCCTGCCTCGCAGACAGTACACGTAGTCGCGTCTTGTTGGCTTGTGTAGAGCGGGTGATTTGCTGCGACATGGAGGCCTGCTTGAACTTCTTCTCGTACTCGGCGTCAATGTCGGCCGTGGATTCACGGACAAGCTTCGATTTCTCGATTGCAAATTCCTCGTCGGCTTTGAGTTGGATCTCACGGGACTTCTCGAGTGCTTCTTGCCGAATGAAGGCCGTCATCTTCTTGAGCTCATTTGCGACCTGGTGGGGGCATTAGCATGCTGCTTAGGTCTTGCGAGGAGAGGACGCACCTGATCGTCGGAGAGAGCGTGGTTGGACGACATGATGCTGAAGGAGCCGCAGGGGCGGCGGTTAGACTGCTGAGAAGCGACGAAAGGTACCACCTGCGCGGAGTTGGTTTGGCTGGTAATAGAGGTAGGTAGCTCTCAGGTTAAAACGATAATGTATCGACACGAGCAGATCAGAGCTCTGAGCAGATGTGCTGGCCGCCGCGGTGACTATGTGCAGGGCAGTGGTTGCAAGAGACGTGTATAGCAGAAGCAGGTGCTTTTACAGGATAGATATTGCTTGCTGCAGTCAATTCACCAGCAGCAGGCTCCCCCAAATGCAGGAACGTTCAGCCGGCGTCGATGAGACTGGTATGGAGCCCAAGCTCTGGGATCCGACCAATTACACGTCGTATGGGCCTATGACTTCACCTCCGGCGCAGGTGACACTTTGTTGTCGACCGCCTCTTTGCGGGCAGCAACTCATTCCTCATCTCCTTTTCACTTTCTCCAACATCATCCCACCGAACCGCCACTGTTTCCAGAGACTATGCTGGTTTGTCTTGAGAAGCACGATCGTTGAGGTGCCTCCAACATGCGTCCGCAGCCTACGTTGCACTCTCCTTCACCTCTCAGGCTAAGCATCCGACAAGATGGGCCAGCTCGGTGACCTGTCGCCTCAGGCGGGCATCGCTGTAAGAGAATTGATATGAATCTATACATATTATGCTAACAGATCTAGGTTGGAATCATTGTCGGACTCCTCTCCACTTCCATTCAGAGCCTGGGCTTGACCTTGCAACGAAAATCGCATTTGGTTGAGGACGCCAAAGATCCTGCTGAGACCCGTCGACCGGCTTATAAGCGACGAAAATGGCAACTCGGAATGTTCATGTTTGTCATTTCGAATCTTGTGGGCAGTACCATCCAGATCACAACGCTTCCATTGCCTGTGCTCTCCACACTGCAGGCTTCCGGTCTTGTCTTCAACACAGGCTTTGCCACGCTGCTTCTCGGAGAGCCCTTCACACGGTACTCTATAATTGGAACAATTCTCACATGCGGTGGTGCCGCGCTCATTGCGACGTTTGGTGCCATTGGGGAGCCGGCGCATAGTTTGACACAACTGCTGGAGTTGATGAGGAGATGGAACTTCATCGTCTGGATGGCTGGAACATTGATAGTCGTGGTAGGCACCATTCTCATTGCGCACTTTCTCAAGATATGGTCATCTCACCGACATATCGAGAATCATTTCCTCAAAACCGAGCGCCCTCGCTCCGCTTCCATCTCGAGTATAGGTGCAACAGGACTCAAACGCTCATTCACAAGCTCGCTACCAATACCGCTACAAATACGAGTGAACCGACTTCGCCTCGCTCGAGGTCTGGCCTATGGGTTGGTATCTGGCATTCTCTCCGCCCACTCCTTGCTGGTTGCCAAATCAGCAGTGGAGCTCCTGGTCCGAACAATCGTTGACCGGAATAACCAGTTCAATCAGTTTCAATCTTGGTTGATTCTCATTGCTCTCCTTTTCTTTGCCCTGACTCAGCTTTATTACCTGCATCTTGGTTTGCGCCTCTGCAGTACAAGCGTGCTATACCCTTTCGTCTTTTGCGTCTACAACATAATTGCGATCCTAGACGGTCTCATATATTTCCACCAAGCTTCGAAGCTGAGCGCGCTACATGGTGGCCTCGTGGCTATGGGTACCTTTATTCTCCTTGTGGGCGTCTTTGCTCTATCTTGCCGTCTAGAGGAAGTTCCTTCCGAAGAGCCGGCGCCCGCAACACTGGATCCCTCCACACCCCTCACTCCCGGCATGGGCATGATGCGCACATCCGAAGACGAATCGCGCGAGTCTCTTCTTCGCACACGCTCTCGCTCCTCTACCAACGCCTCACGCTCCAGCCTGAACGAGCAAACGCCACTTCTGGTCGGTCGCCGCCGCTCTCGGCCACCGACACTTTCCATACACCCAGCGGACCCCGAAGCAGCCATCTCCCGCGATATTTGGGCCGAGCTCGATGATGATGGCCCATACGAGAACTCCGACTTCCTTGCTTCTCTACCAGGAGCCTCTCCTTTCCTTACGCACAAGGCGCTCCGCAAAACACGCAGACGAGGGGACTCGGCTTCCTCGCAGGCTGTCAGCACCACGACGGACCATAGCTCCAATAGCGTGCACATCAAGGAGCAAGAGAGGACCAGTGCGAGTGTTAGTCCCACGGGCATCCGGAAGCAAAGCGGAGAGCATAGGAGGCAGCGGAGCGCAAGCGTTAGATTTGCGGATGCACCGAGCCCGAGTCGATGGGATGCGAGGCGCGGCGAGGAGCTGCGAGAGGAGGAGCAGAATATGGCGAACGAGGCCCGCGAACGTGATGATCGCGCGGACGAGGGGTAGGAGCCGCAATTATATGAGCAAACAGCGAAACTTCAGCCCCAGAGGAACTATTATTAACGAGCCTTGTCCTCGTAAGTCATGCTTTCTTTTATGTGTGTTTTGCGCGCACCAGATAGACGGGTAACTTCCGAGCACAGGGAAGGGTAGCACATGATCGGAAGTAAACCGTGATGCTTGGTACACACGAAGTAGACACAGGCCACCATCTTAGTGACCGTTTAGGGATCTTGGTCTGGAGATTCGCGGTTATGGCCCAAAGCTTATGACTTGAGCGGAGGCAAGATGGTGATGTCAAAGTTACCGAATTGGAATATAATTGTTTACCCAAATAAATATGTGAGAACGGTTCCTTCCAATCTGCAACCCGCCGTAAACTAGGCGCAGCCTTGCTTCAAAGCCCCAAGTACTATTGTTCCTGCTACTGCGAGGTTCTTCGTCCGAGATGATGGCTGCATAAAGGCTACTGCGGGAATGTGCTAAGCGAGCTGCGAGTTCATGCACCGATAGTTGTGCCGCAAGCTCTAAGTGGTACGGAGTAGCTGCTAGGAGCTCGAAAACGGAACGGCAAAGTCAAACTTCAGTCAATTCGTCGTTTTTACGGTGTTTCCGGCGTGGTCGACTTTTGTCTATCAACATCAAGCTGAGGAGTGGAGGGGGCTGAGGTCCGTGTTAACCTTCACATCACCTCATCTCGGAGTAAAGGGAGAAAGACCAGCGACGATGGCATGGATCCTGGTCACGCCCTCGTCGCGCGGCATCGGCGCAGCCCTCACGCGGCATCTTCTACGCACGACACCCGCCGGCGTGCCCGTCGTCGCCACCGCGCGCTCCGATCCAGACGGCACCGCCGAGAGACTTCTCGCGTCTCTTGATGTTTCCGACGCCCAGCGGAAGCGTCTGGAGGTGCGGACGTGCGACCTGCTGCAGGAGTCCTCGATTGCGGACCTGGCGGGCTACTGCAAGGAGCGGTACGGCAACAAGCAGAAAGACAAGAACGCGCATTTACGGCTGGGGCTGGCAATTCCAGGCATGCTGATTCCGGAGAAGGCGCCGGATAAGATCGAGTTCGAGGGAGCCTTGGAGACGCTCAAGCTGAATCTGCTGGCGCCTATGATGCTGGCAAAGCATTTCACTGGGCTGTTGCCGCGGAAGGCGACCACGCTGGAAGCCATCCAGGGACTACCAGGGCAAGCGGTGCTTGGGTTCATGAGCGCACGGGTAGGGTCGATCGGGGACAATAGGATGGGCGGCTGGTATAGTTACCGCTCAAGCAAGGCTGGGGTCAACCAGCTAGCCCGGTCGGTGGACATTTATCTGCAAATGCAAAGTGGAAAGAATGCGATGTGCGTCAGTTTGCATCCAGGAACGGTGAAGACGAGCTTGAGTGAGGAGTTCTGGAAAAGCACGCCCAAGGAGAAACTGTTTAGCCCCGGGTTTAGTGCTGAGCATCTAGTGGAGGTTGTGAAGGGACTCGGAGATGGAGATCGTGGCCAGTGTTGGGATTGGCAGGGAAAGGCGATACCGCCTTAGTGTGTGTGAGAGTGCAGGAGGAGGTTGGGGAAGCGGTGTGGGTAGTGCTGCACGAACAACGCGGCACCCAAAGGTACCCAAGCTACGGAGTAGGGACAGATGAATGGCGTGGGCGGCGGCTTATGTGGGATGGCCCCTTTGCTGACACGAGGTGGCATGGTTACACAGAGCGTAGGGCTTTGCAGTCGAGGGCGATCTTAGACACGCCCGCCCCCAAGGCGAACCGTTCCGGCAAGAGCCGGATGGAAAGAGTAATTACTTTGCCTGTTCCTGAGTGCAGGCGCTGGGGGGTATTAATTGGACGCGCGCGCTATTCCAATAATGACGTGCCGCATACGGAGGCCGTAGGTGTGTGGGAGCCTCGGGATTAAAGCAGAGTTGCATGGCGTCGCTTTCAAGAGGTGACTGGGGGCGGCAGAGCAAGATGCACGGAGGGTGGGAAGACCGCCTGGAGATGGCGAGCTGGGGAGCAGGCAGTACGTGATGATTCAGCCGGAAGACGCTAGCTGCCTGGAGTGCCACGCTAGTGTGCCTCAAGGTGCCGATCGTGGCGAGGGCCAGACTCTAAGCATGTGGTTGGGACAATAGAGGCAGAAAGTAGCACGGTTGATGCCAAAGACATGTTGATATGGCTCAAAGCGGTATACACGGCTTTTCGCACTTTGATCATCCATCTGCTTGGAAAATCTGGAGAAGCATGGCAAAGAGGAAAAGCGGCCAGCGAAAAACCGGCGCGGCGAGAGGAGTGACGGGGAAAACTTGATCCGCCTGGTATCAGCAAATAGCAACAAATGACATGAGGCACGGTGGAGGCGTGGTGGAGGTGGATGGCGCCAATGACAGTGCCAGCATGAGGCCTCCAATCTACATAAGGGAAGTGAGGGAGCACTATTCCCCTTCTGTTTCTTTCTCTTCTCGTCTCCTCCCAGCGTCTTCGATCACCCAAAGGCACGCCTTGCACCACCTTCTGTTCGACAACTCGAATTGGCACCCTCGTACGGCAACGCATCCGGCGTGTTCTTCGACACCTCTAACTCTGTTGCGGGCAGCACAGCCGCGTGGCAAAAGGTACGTGCCAACACTTCAAGTCGTGTTGTCCATTCCCAATCAATCGAAAGCGTGGATCTACTTCCCATTCGAGAGACGCGCCTTCCCTTGTTGCGCTGCGGGCTGGAGTATGACTTTCGTGCCATAACGATCCTCCTGAACCCTGCACGACTGCCTCAAAACCACCCAGCATGCACCTCTGAGATGACCCCATGTCGACATCACCGCCGTAGTGATGGCTGTTGACTGTCGCACCATGGCTCATCGGGTGCTCGAGGGGCTGGTTATAGGCCCGGACTTTAGGGCTGAAAGTTCAGGTTGGGCGCCCAGCGCGCCAAGCTTTGACGCGCCTGCCCTGCCCTGCCCTGCCCTGCCCTGCCCCGCGTCTTCACGCCGAAGCCGAAGTGGCAGCCGCCCAAGGCCTGCCCCGACCCTCTCCTTCCATTCCTCTTTCTACTCTTTGCCATCCAAAGCGGTTTACCGTCCTGCATCGTCAATCCACTCACGATTCTGCTTTCCAGTTTCTTAACTCTTGCAAATTATTTTGGTCATCAAAGCCGAAAGCTTGTGTATGTTTCCCCCAGATTTTCATTCCTCTTGCCTTGTCGCGTCGTCAACCTCATCGCGCGTTAGGCGTCGAGCCCGAGCGCGCACGCAACTGCTACTTGACCATTGACGCGTTTTCTTCCATCTTTACTGTGGCTTCGCTCAAGCTGTGTCATCTCATTACTGACTTGACTTGACTATAGGTCCTAGACTGCTCATCGGCAAATACTGTCGACATCTTTCCATCGCTTCACCTCTCGCCCAAACCAGGTTAGTGCCACGATCCATTCCTAACAAGGCAATCAGCTTTCCACAATCAATCATGCTGATACCCTTTCTAGAAGTCCTTGTCTAACCTGTCTTGACAATGGCCGATATCACTGACCCTTCCGCCGGTCTCGACCAGCCATCGCCTGGTGATGACCTTGCTGGCAATGGTGGCGACACCCGTGGTCAGAAGCGCAACAACAGAGCTTCCATGGCCGGTGAGGATGATGACGACGATGACGAGAAAGGTGGCCGTGAGCGGAGAAAGATTGAGATCAAGTTTATCCAGGACAAGTCTCGCCGGCATATCACCTTCTCCAAGAGGAAAGCCGGAATCATGAAGAAGGTTTGTCTCGCTTACTCCCTGTGCACAAGACCTCACTGACCGAATCCAGGCGTACGAGCTTTCGGTCCTCACCGGCACCCAAGTGCTGCTTCTAGTCGTCTCCGAGACTGGCCTCGTCTACACCTTTACCACACCCAAACTCCAGCCTCTCGTCACCAAGGCTGAGGGCAAGAATCTGATTCAAGCCTGCTTGAACGCCCCAGAGCCCAGCAGCGATAACGGTGTTGATGGTGCTGATGATGTTGCCTCCCCCGATGACGTTTCGAGCATGCCTCAACCTCCTCCAGCCATGCCTCGCGCCCCTGCTCACAATGCTGGCTACATGACACAAGAACAACAGCAACAGGCTCTGTATTACCAGCAGCTGCAGCAACAGCAGAACCAGGGTGGCCAATATGCCGGTATGCCTCAGATGCCCCAGCATCAGCGTGCTTAGGATGCACCACCGCTGCCAGAGTTGCCGCCCAGCACTCCAACTCCACCAGCTCACGACTTCTCCATCCGTGCCCGACGCCGCGACATGTAACTGACTTTAGTCGCACTTTTGGGAGGGGGAGATGAGCTTGCAATAATGTCGGCGACTCAAGATACGACAACGTCTTAGCCACATGACCTTATCACCGACTATCGTTGCCGTTGTCCAGTGATAGTGTACTTGTTCATAGGCAGGAGTTCATTGGTACGTTCTCATGACAACGGTGGGATGGCCTAAATGGACAGCAAGCACCTGCGAACGGATCACAGGGATCACAGGGATCAGTCGAATTATCTTTTTAGTCTCGTCTCATAGGGGTATTCAAAATTATCTCTGAACTCATTGGTCATTGTAGAGTCTCTTCTCCCATTCTCCAGGCATTGTTGTTTGCATCGCTCAGGCCTTGTCCAGAGTCCTCTGATCGAAGTCGCCCTCCCCGAGCACATGATATCCATCTTCTGGCACCCACGCTTCCCAAGTCTTCACCTCAGTTGCCTCATCGCCGTTCCCTGCGACCCCCATCTCCGTCCGAGCACTCCAGTCATACCACTCGTCACACCGCTTATAGAAAAGTGTCAGTAAGATTTGCATCGAGAGCATTTCCGGATAACGAGATGACGATGCCCCGGCCATGCTGGGATGGTAAAAAGCATACCACTTACACTCTCCCAATACAGGGTCTCCCAAGTAGAGCAGGAGGGAGAGAGGACTCACCTCGATCGTCCCATGCCGCACCACGAGGTCCAACGCCCCACTTCCGGCCCGTGGCCTTATTCCGCGGCAGATCGTGCGTAAACGTCCCCCTTGTTGATCGTCCGGAAACTCACTCTGCCGCTGCTCGTGGCGGATGCGTCCCCCGTCGGAGGTGGCGTGGTAGTAGATGGGGGAGGCCGGGTCGAGAGACATGGCGAAGTCCGGGTGCGCCGTCTGCTGGATCTTGAAGTGGTTGGCGAGGTGCGAGGGGCTGGAGCGGCGGATGCGGAAGCCGTGGTCCGTGTAGGTGCCGCCGGTGCTGGGGCTGGTGGGGTGGAAGAGTGGAGGCGAAGTGGGTGGCGTTGTGGTCGGTGAGGGGGGCGGACCAGGCTGTGCAGAAGAGGGTGGGGAGGGTGGAGAGGGATAGGGGGTGGGAAGTCATTGTTGGAGGCATGTACCGCTGCGGGGAGGTAATAGGTTGCCGTAAGACTTTAGGGTGTGCGTGGTGACGGGGGGCGCGATCTAGAAAGTCCGGGGAGATGGAGTTTGTCGAGAGGAGTGGGTGGCCGGACTGTGCGTGTTGGTTAGAAGATGATGGAAACAGGTAAATTGCGTCAAGGTTGGTGAACGATACCAAAGGGAATAGGATAGCTGCTTTATATCAGATGGGATTGTGTCGCTTTCGAGTCTTGTCAATCAAGCAATTGACGTATAAGCAGAATTCAGGCTGGGGAGACTGCTCGTTCAGGGCAGAGCATGGCCTAAGGCCACGTACGGCGACGTACGGCCGAAAGTCAGCAGAGCCAAACCACAGCTGGAGGGGGTTTGCATAAGCTGAGGGAGCACGTCTTCGTATGCATGTTGCCTGGGTTTCGTAGTATGTACAAAGTTGATGTCGGGCAGCTACGAGCTGTGCTGTCGAGGTCATCAAGACCTAGGGACAGTCATGAGGTCAAGGAGTCGATCGTATGACTTACAATAGGGCAGACATGATGGATGAAGCGGATACGACAGGATCGTTTGATGGCTTCCATTGTCATGCGATCTATCTAAATGTAGGACAGTCCTAAGACCGTCGACCACTCTGAGCATATGGAGGTCTGCTCTCCCCTCGAGGCTGATCCTGAGGTTCGACAAGCTCAACCCCTGACCATGTATGAAAGCCAGGCATCATTGATCGAACAATCAAAGAAGTCTTGTCTATCCGTGCAGAATGTCGAATCTTCTGTGTGATCGAACTGAAGAAAGATTAAAATCATGCTTTCGTGTAAGCCCGCTGTACTTTTGAATATGGAATTCGTCCTTGTGGTAATCATCGCTCATGTTCACATTCCATCTTGATAGCCGACACCTCGACAATATTATGGACCTGTGGGTACCATGTCAAGTTGAGCTGAGCTAGCCCTGAACCTTCTTGACGCGCTCGAGGACCTTGCTGTACAAGGGGTGAGATGACTCGAGGCCGGTGAGCTTGGTGGTAGCATCCTCAGCAGAGTTTTCCTTGAGAATGGTGGCGAGCTCCTTAGACTCGTCGTCACCTTCGACGTTCTGGAATCGAAGAGCCATCTCGACACCACCGAGGAGAGCCTTGACGTCGTAGCCCTGCTCGGCGAGCTGAGCAGCAGGACCAATGAATCGCTCCTTGCGGCCGAGCTTGCGGAGAGGGGCGCGACCGACGCGGACAGGAACATCCTCAAGGTGAGGATTGGAGATACGCTTGACAATGGTGTCAACGTATTTCTGCTGTTCCTCCTTGCTGATGCCGTGCTTGTTGACAATCAGGTGAGCAGTCTCCTTGAGAGCCTCGTTGACCTCGTTCTTGATATCCTCGTCGGCCATAGCCTCGTGGATAGTCTTCTTGCCTTTCTGGTAGCCAAAGTAGGCGGCAGTAGCGTGGGAGGTGTTGACAGTAAAGAGCTTGCGCTCGATGAACGGCTCGAGGTCCTCGACCCAGTGGATACCGTTGACCTTGGGAATACCAGATTTGAAGCCAGTGCTCTGGACGCACCACTCGTAGAAGGACTCGATGAGGACATCGAGGTTGGCACCGGCGGGCTGAGTGGGGACGATGCGGTCGATGGCTGAGTTGCCATACTCGGCCTTGGAAGTGATCTTGTCCTGGTCGGGTTTAGGAGTCTTTGCAATGATGTGCTCACGCAGAGCATCAGTGGCATTAATCATGTTCTCGCAGGCAATGACAGCAAGAGGCTTCTCCTCAGTACGCTGGATGATGGCCTTGGAGATGGGCTCAGCGATGAACTTGAGGATGGTAGGACCAACGGCACAGGTGACGATAGCGGCCTTGCTGATGGTATCGATGGCATCTTGCAAGTTGTGCTTGGAGTTGATGGCACGGTAGTTGGTGATGGTCTTGGTCTTAGTGCCCTCAGCACCAACTTCGGTGATCTTGTACGACTTGGTGTTGTTAATGTTGTTGACGAGATCATCGACAACATCGACAAAGACGACCTCATAACCAGACTCGTGGAGGAGCTCGGCAATGAAGCCACGACCAATGTTGCCGCCGCCAAAGTGCACAGCGATGGGAGCCATGGTTTTGAGTTGGGAAGAGTTTGGTAGGTTTGGAGACTGCGGTGATCGAGCGGTCAGTTCAGGTTCAAGCTAAAGTTTGCCCACTGCGTGAGCTACTTACAGTTGGTGAGACTCAGATAGCTGAAGCAGAGACGCGGCGAACGCAGTGGTGTGATGAGGAGCAGGAAGTTCTCGAAGTAGCACAATGTGCGGTGTGAGTTAAATGACACTTTTGGGTGGGATGAAGGTCAAGAAGCAACTTTCTGGCGGGGTGTCCTCGAGTGCGTTTGACCTTATGTCATAAGGGTTGGCGCTAGGGGATAATATAGCTCTATATCCGTCTTGTGAAGGGCAACCGCAGCCGGCCCGAGCATTGTCCCGTGTAGGAGACAGCCTGGCACATGGCTTCACTCACAGCGCGGAGAGGTTGTCACACTCCGGTCAGACTCAGGTGACAGTTTCACCGTGATGCCTAATAGCCGAAGCATCGCCTTTTCCCGGAGCAAAGGACCCGGTAATAAGCAACGTCGTATGACCTTCACAAGCAACTCTTTCTTGACTTCAGCCACAGGAGCTGTGGAAAGTAGCAAGTATGACGGTAGCCATGAGTGACATAGTCGAATAGCTGAAAGCTGCTCATCCGCAAGTTTCATATCAAGCAGATTTGCTACCGAGCCAACTGATTGTCAATCAGTGACCAAAATGTTTGCACCAGCCATTTCTTCGACTCGAACATCGGGTAGGATGCGCTCCCAGGATGATCAAACCAGCCTCAAATAAGACTCAAGCGGCAGTGAAAAACAGCTGCAAGTTTCAATTGCGGGAGAATCCATCGCCGACAGCATGCTTGCTAGCTCGATAATGGGCTCCGCTTTGCACGCCCTCTGCAGGCGATAGACTGGGCAAGGTCTCCCTTTACCGACTTCTCCTGGCTTGCTTACCCACAGCCGGATATATACGTTTGTACGCGTTGCCCATGGAGCTGAATTGTCTTTGCCATCAGTCCAGCCTGCTTGTCAGTGCCGTCGAGCCTGATCTAGCAATTGGAGTTTGCCAGATATTGCTTGATATAGCCAGGGTCTTTGGACGAGTCTCATCTTGCGATGAGAAAATATTGAGAGTGTTCGAAAAGGAGGCTCGGCCCTGAAGCTGGACTTGCGTTCGGCGTCAAGACGAGGATCATGAGCCGCAAGACCTCGACAAGCCGCGAGACTATCTTCAGACACGGTTCCTGAGGTGCGGTGGAGTTGAGAGATTGCAACGAAAAGATGCCGCTTTCCAGAGAGACATGGTAGATTCTTCCACCTTGCAAAATGAGCCACGAATGGTCGGATCGCGGCCAGCAGATCACGCACCCGGCGTCACATAGCCACAATTGAGGGTACTACGAAACTTGCCCATCCATTTTTGGCAGTTCAAAAGACTCATATCATTACATACTTCTCGTTCTGCCACCATCTAGTGCACAAACCCTCGCTAAAATACAGCGCTAAAATTCACACCCAGGAGTCCCTTTGCGACAACTCTCATGCTCGCCGCTCAGATCTTGCTCGACTTGAAACCCTTGTCTCGCCGACCGCCACAGACCTGCGCAATAGAAAGAATGGTAGCCACCAGCATAGCCGCTGTGGCGCCCCAGGACATGCCGAGGAACTCTGTGCCCTTGGTGGCGGAGACGCCAATGTCTTGGCCGTACTTGTTGATGGCGTCGGTTGCTTTGGCCATGACAGCCGTCGCGATGGCGGAGGCTATGCCGAGGGAAAGGAACGAGATCTTTGCAACTAGTTAGCGCGTGGCAACAAGAAATTTGGTAACAAGGTACGTACGAATGAGACAACGAAGACACCACAAGGGGTGCCTCGTCCGGAACTGAAGATGCTGACCGCGGAACCGATGATGGCGAAGCCAGCGAAGCCGATGCCAACACACCAGAAGACGAACATGGCAATGCTCGCGGCACGGATGGCATCCACAGCTCTGTCGATGTCTTCAGGCCAGTTCAAGTCCTCCAGAGTGATACCGCTAGGTAAGTGCTCCTCGATGATCTCGGAGGGATTGAAGTGGAAAAGGGCATTGCGCTCGGAGCAGTTGGTAGTATTCTTCTTGGCGTTGTCGGCGGTGCCATTGGGTTCAAACATGCCCTCGCAGTAGTTCATGACGTGCACGGCGTAAAAGTCGGAGATATTGAGACGCTCGGTGATGGCATCGGCAGCATCGCCGATGAGATCGTTGGCGACGTCCTGGGCAGAATTGACGAGATCATCTAGGAAGTTGTCGTCAGGGTCGGAAGTCGTGTTGAATATCTCACCCTGGCCGATCTGAGATACGTTCAGGGTCATGACATCGGCGCTCTGCAGGAAGGATCGGCTGGAGCCTGCGAACAAGCATAGTAACGAGAGGACCAGGGCCGCTATCGAGCAGGTGAGCGTGAGAATCGAGGTCAGCCGCATTGTCGGTGTGTCGGCGTGTCGGTGATCCAAATGATCGAGTACGTTGAGAACAATCTTGGGGTGAGAATGAAATAGGTCAGCGAGAAGGTGGAAGGCGCAACGCTGGTTTAGAGCCTTTGCAAGGGAGATATGCAAAGGATGGATAGAAGGAGGAAGATGGGGCTGTGTTACAAGCTTATACTCGTGGCAGGAGCCGGCGCCAGGAACAATGCAGGATTGCTGTCAACCAGTGATGTCTGAAGCAAACATGGTTCGAGGGTCTTGGATTTTGCGTCTGTCTTGAAGTTGTCTGAGAGTCGCGTAGCCAGGAATCTCAGCCACTGCGATCGACGTGCTGGACATTGCGGAGCGACGTCATTCTGGTGATTTGTGCCCAGCCTTCGGCCTTGATGTGGTTAGGCAGTGTTTTTGGCAAGGCCGGCGGTGCTGGGCCAACACAGGCCCGTGCGGCAGCAAGCGCCAGCCCGCGCCTAGCCGAATCCAACTTTTGCCCAGTTTTCCCGTTTTCGTGCCTGGGGCCCAGTCATTTGCCGCTTTCGCTAACGGCGGTGACCTCGCCGGTGCCTTCGTAGCCAGTGACTGTTTCTGAGGACCTGGTTTCTCAGGCACCTGGAAAACGGTGCGCAAATAGAAACTGCGCTAGCACGTGGTTTTGCGTTGCGCGTTGCTCATTGCCTGGGGGAATGTTGCGGATAGAAAGCAAACCTCCTGTTCGTTGAGTTGCATTGTAGCAGACAAACGCACCGATGGCCCCAACTCGGTGGTGCTGCTACGCTGTAGATCGAGTCGGGTAGGATGTGCTTGTTCTTGACATTGAACGTCTGCTGAATCTCCGCCCATCCTCAATCATTCTGACTTGACATGCCGGATTCAGGCTGAGTTTCGACTCTCTCACGCCGGAGTTGATTGATAGCGTTCTGCCAATGTCAACAGATGAGCACACACTCGGGCTCAGTCCAGACTCACAGCAAGTGCCTCCGGATTTACCCCATTTTCCATCAGCGAGACACATAATGAGAGCTGAGTGCGATCAAGCTGGGTGTTCTGTATCTCTTGTCAGCCGTGTGGACCTCCCCTTGTTTTGGCGTGCGACACGGACTAAGAGGACCGAGATCTCTTGCAAAATGTCGATGACTTCGCGAGCCTTCTCCTTCTTTGACTCTTTAGTTGACATGTTTGTTGACAGTAGTTTCGATATCACTTTCAGACCTGGGCCGGTGAGCAAGATGGAAAGAAGAAGGGGAGCTGCGAAGGGCTTCAGCAAGAAGCGCGCCAAGAAATGGTAAACGCGCTAAAACGCCAGAGCCGTGCCTCCCTGCGCACGTATAAGTAGTACCCCGGATACATAGTCTGTACGTTGTAGTGATTTCATGATATATCTCACCTATACCTTAGCAATGGAGAAGAGCTGTAGTATGAATTAGATGTCTATCTCGGACCTATCCGCTGCACCGTACACTCTGGGTCTTTCAGAACCATGTCCTTTCGAATAAGCAGGTATTCAAGCTGTGCATTATCAAGGGTTATCAATGGTTAACAAAAGGAAATGAATCCCATCCAGCCGAGAACAACGAAGTATCAGATGAACCGCAGGCTCCCCTTGTGACTTTTCTCCCTTCCGCCCCAGGGTAGCTCGTTCTCAGACCCACCTCCACTGTCAGGACGACTGCTGTCACCATTCCCACGCAGACTCTGTGGCCCGTCACCCTTATTATCAACACTGACGACGCGTTTCCGATTGTCCCCGAGCCTCAAACCTCCAAATCCTCCTCCACTCGCTCTCGCTCGGCCTAGCATCCTCCCCACCGCCCGACCAACAAAGCCTTCACTCTCCGTCCCTGTCCCCGTCTCCGTTTCTCCCTCGTCGCCTGTCGTCTCCCTGCCTCCACTAAATGGCATTGGTGGCCACCCTCCCAGACGCGGGCTCGCTACCGCGCTGTTGCCCCCAAAGCTGCTCGCCGTGTCCCGTAGTCGCTCCCCCCTTTCATCCATGCCCAGCTCGTATAGCATTTTGTCCGTCTGTTCCTCGATGCTAGCTCCTGCCTTTCCGCCTCGGTCCATCTCTTTATCGACGCCCGCGCCTATGCCCAAACCGCCGTAGCCGTGGACATAACCACTGCTCCTGCCACTATTTCGGGCCTTTGATGAGGCGCGTCCTGCACTGGGCGAACGCCTGCTTGGCGGCCTCATCCTTGACGCCGCCGTCGTCTGCGGCAGTGACCGGAGTGGTATGCGTTTGGGTACCGTCACAACAGCTGGGGGTGTATGCATTTGCGTCGGCATGTGTCTCTGCACAGCAAGCGATTCGCGCGGTTCCATGTCCTCCCACTGCGAGGTGGAGCTGGAGGACACTGCGCTGGAAAACTGCCCGCTGGAGATGGACACCGTACGGATAAGCTCATGTCTACTAGGGTCTTGCCGCTGCGGCAGTGGGGTATCATAGTCTGGCTGATCTGAAGAAGGCGCAGCCCGGATGCCCCATGGTCCAAAGGCAGCGGCCGACGAGGACGCCGGCATCAAGCGCTTCCAGTTCGCAGAAGAAGGCGGCTCACGAGTCCGCTGGCTCGGTGATGGGGGCGAAGAGGGCATATAGATGTTTCCTGCAGGAGTGCTGAGACCCTCCATCATGCCGTCTTCGTTCGCCTCGAAAATTGGGAAGGTGCCGCTTCGGGTGCTTGAGAATGGGTAGCCAGGGCTGAAGGATCTGCTGGAGGGCCGGATGGCCGACGTCCCAGGTTTGAAGCGGCTGATCGATGGCGTGCGGCTGCCGGAATTCGAGAAATGCGACAGGCCTTCGAGCTCGGCGCGAGCGCGCTCATTGTACCAGTCTTTTCGCGCCTGGTAGAAGGCTTCGGTATCTTGTGGTCCAGGCAGGTTGTATGGATGGTCTTGAGGAGTGTGGACAGCACGAACTGATCGGCTTTTGGCGGGCTTGTTGGCGATCTTAGAATCCGAGCGCTGTGCCATGGAACCGTATGGTCCATGGAGCCCGTCATCACTTTGATCGTCAGGGAGTCCTTCCCCATGGGCCGAAGTCGACGGCGGAAGAGGGAAGAGATCAAGATTTGTGGTTGCGATAGAGGGGCGAGCATTGTCTCTGCCGTTCAGGGTTCCATACGTTGTAGCCCAGGATGAGCGGGTGGGAGCTTGCGAAATACGAAATGGATTGTCCGATTTCAAGGAAGAAGGTGAGCGAATGATGGAGCCGTGGCCAACGCCAACAATCGCGGATAGACGGGATGGTAATCCAGAACGTAGGCTGGTTGCCTGTGAATTGGTACGTTCAGGGTATGCCGCTGCGGGCTCTCTGCTGACCCTTTTTCTCTGGAACAGCGCAGGTCCATCATTCCGCTTCCGCTTCGGCGACGTTGAGGGCTCATCAACAGGCAGTGTGAGGAGATCAGCTGAAGCTGGCTCAGCGGCCAGGCTAGGGGATCCTTTCTGCCCAGCAGGAGTGAGCATCAAGTCGCCCCAGTTTGAATCAAAAGACTCGTGGGCTTGAGGCTTCTGGCGCTTCTGCAGTCTTGTTCTAGCCCGCTTCAGCGAATCCGGCGCCCATGGTAGCTCAACCTGCGGCGGTTTTACGGGGGTTTGCAGCATTTCTCTGGCGCTGCTCCGGTTCGATGTCTTGTTGACCACAGCCGGAGGTTCGGCATCGTCAATCCCATCGTACGGGGTGGCTTGAAACTCTGAACTCGCGGCACTGTTGCGAGACGTTGCTTGCTCATCGTCTGACACCTCTTTGTCCTTTTGTTTCTTGTTCTTGCGCTTCCGCCAACACAAACACAGCAGAATTATTAGTACAACTCCGAGTACACAAAAGACCGTAGTCAGGACAATCGCTAAGATATGTCGCCGGTTGACGCGCGGGCTGTTGTCGGCTTGATTACCCCCGGCAGGTGTAGACGTAGCTATATCAGAAGATCCTGTAGATGATGGACCAGGCCGAGTTGGTGTAGACCCAATGGCGGCTCCCACGAGTATCTGGACTGGATACGTAGTCCGTGAGACACCTTTCACCACCGTTAATGACGAGCTCAACACGCGCTGGCCCAAATCGTTTGGCACTTGGCCATGGAATGTCAAGTTATCGCTTGAGAAGACTAGCCAAGGTGCCGCAGTGTTTATACTGGCCGTCACCTCGTCTGCTGCGTCGGTAATCGATTCCGGGATCTCGTAGTCGAGGTACTCTCCCGGATATGCCGTAATGTTGAGAGCGACTTCTGGTGTACCGGTAGAAGCTGGCTGTATGGTCACGGCCAAAGTTGCCTCATCGTTCGACCTATCTTGCGCGGTAATCGTGACAGTCTGTGCCGAAAAGTCCTCTGGAACTGTTCCACTGAGAATAATGCTCTCTTCATCCAACTTCATCCAGGACGGTAAGCTCGCTTGAGCGCCCAGAAAGTCTGCTGAGCTGATTGGCTTCCCGTCAAGATACAAGATATCACGAAATGTGTCGGATTGAAATTCTTGGCCGCTCGTCACATTCACGGTTTCTGAGGCTGACTGGAAAGCGAATATCCTGTTAGCGACAATGATATTGAATACAACGGCAGCCTCGGCAAAGCCTGGGACATTACTGGCCACGAGCTTGACGCCGTAGCTTTGCTGCTGCGCACTTGCATTTATGATTGGGGGCGTGGAACCAGATACACGCAATACCTGCGCATCGAATTGAATCCATGGTGGAAGAGGCGAGTCATCTTCTGTGACTGCGTAGTAGACTGTTGACGACGAGGTGCCGGCAAATAGCTGTGGCGGAAATAGAATGGCGAACGATGTCAATGGATTGAGGTAGAGTGTTGAAGGTTCCTGTACTTGACCAGCAGCGCGTAAAGAGGATGTAATCGACACGCCCGTGCTGAGACTTGAGCCGTCTGCTACCACAAGTGTGACACTTGCGGATGTCTGGCCAGTATTATCGCTCGCGGTGACTTGGAAAGTAACGGCGCCGACATCTGAAGTTCCCGGGGTACCTTCGAGCGTTCGTGTATTCGGGTCGAGAGACAGCCATTCTGGTGCGCTGCCAATGTTGTATGATATCGACGAGCTGTCTGAATGGAACGTGGTATCCGCAAACGAGAATTGATATGGTCGGGAAGCGTAAGCTACGGGAGGCACCTGGGCGTTGATCGGGAACACAAGCTGAGGCGCAGAGCTCGCATGTCGCACAAGCAAAAGTGTGCTTGCGAGGCAGGCTCCTAAGGAAGTAGGCCGGCGCATTCACGCTGAGTTCGTCTCACCGGCTTCTGGCGGTCTGTCAAGTACATCGATTGGGCTCTAGAGGCAATGAGTAGCAGTGAATCGTTAACACAGTGAGTAAGACGCGCTGAAACATTGACAGTAGGAAAATCATCGCATGAGCTTGAGCGCAGCGAGGGTTGGGGGTGGTGGGCGGTGCACCAGTTCATCCTGCAAGGGATGAACATGATTCCCAGCCACGCGCACGCGCCGTGAGAATGCAACGGACGCGCAAGTGGTTCAAGGGATTAATTGACAGCTTCGAGAGTTAGAGACATTGAAATACCACATCAAATGAGCTGCCTTCCGTCCTTCCCAAGGGACTCATGCCGCGAAAGTCGCAAAGCGAGGCATTTTGCACTTGACGACCTCCGTGTGAGCAGCTTACATGACAGGTGGCTCTGGATCTGACTCAATAGTAGATTCAAATCACAGACTCAAGCGTCTTCGTAGAGACGGTGCAATTGATTTCGAGATTTGGGAAGTCCATGGCATAGATGATGAGACAAGCTGATCTTGGTACGAGTGGTTAGGTTGGATAGGAAGCTCATGTATAATGTACCATTGACATCAGCTGGAACATCTTGGCATTGGAATTGGTGGAGACTCCACAGTCTGACTCAGTACTGGTAGTAGTGTATATCGTATGTAGGCTCGAACATCATTTCTGCGTACAAGGTCTCTTTACGAATCGATCTAAGTTTCTCAGGACAGGCGCCTTCCCTTTGGGTAAGCTCTCTCCTGGATCAGTGCCTACCAGTGAAAATCCGAAACTCGCCACAAAGAAGAAGCATTTCACACAAGTCGTCCGGCGCTCCCGCAAAACCAAGCCGTGGTCGAGCGCTCAAAACTTCCGAAAGGCAGCATGGATATTGATCTGGTGCCAGTGACGGACCGAGACGACATTGAAACACTGGTGGATATAAAACCATAATGCAATGGTTCCCGACCCTCTCTACCGTTGGATGGCCTTGTACACAGAAGAGAACGAAGACGATGGAACAAGGTCAGCACTAATAAGCGCACTTGATGACCCTCATCATACAATGATCAAGGCCGTGGCCAAGGAATCTGTTGCAGAGGGAGGTAGCGTGGTGGTTGGGTTTGTCCAATATTTCCGTGGCTTCATCCAAATCCCCAGCGGGAAAAACACCAAGGGTGATTTTCAGAAGCAAGCCAAAAGCAATGCACCAGAGACCACTGTTGATCAGGCGTATGCGGCAAGACTCAGGGTGGGTGATGCAATCTATACTCACTCACGAAACTGGTACATCGGCACGGTGCGGTCGCGGAAGCATCTGTGTGCGTTGATTCCCTCACCCGCGAAGGGGCCATGGCTGATACAGACCTGTGCGCTAGTCATTCGTCGTCTGATGGTGGATCCCAAACACCAGCGTAAGGGAATCGCTGGCAAGCTCATGCAGCATGTTACCGAGGAAGCGGATGACATGCGTGTACCTATATGGTTATTTGCCCGACCAGCAGGCCTGCCGTTGTACTACAAGGTTGGATTCATCCAAGTAGGTGAAACTGAGTTGGATGTTCCAGAGCTGAAAGTGAGTAAAAACCTATGTGCGAGTAAGAGCATCGAGAGTCTGGTAGTAGTTGACGCCAATAGGTGCCTGTCTCGACGGCTATGGTGAGGTGGCCGAGCACGCATGCAGAGGATTGGTGAAGACTGCCTGGCGAAGAGAATTGATAAGGTACGGTTGCTCATGCAGTCGGACCGGCGTCTGACCTAGTCCCCGGGCATGATATGGCTGGCTCCTCTCCACGAGTACTATGCTGACTGGGAGGTAGCGGGTAGCGTGGGTATAAAACATGGGCAGGATGGTTTACAATGTGAAAGAACTCATGTTGGATATAGAACAACTCATATTGATGAATAGAAAAACAACAGCAGTACTGATGGGAGACATATGGCGAGCTGGAGAACCACTGAATGCCTGTCAAGGTCGGTCTGGAAGCGTGTTGGAAGCCAGAGGCGCCCGGCTCATGGCTTGGCGTTGGAACTGCAGCTCCTCCACCGTTCGCACCCTGTTCGTGTCTTTTGGCATCTTTGCTGCTGTCGTCATTTTACGCAGCAACATCCTATTCCTGCCGCTCATCGTCCGCACTGCAAGTCGCGTTTCCGTGCGCCTTCTCTTGTTAGGCTCGAGATCCAATTTCTTCGTCCCCGCCGCCCCCGTATCGCCACCAGCAGACCCTGCGAACGCCGCCCCACCAAGCTAGTGTGAAGTCTGCCACGTCCGTGCCTCGTGCCTCGTGCCTCTTCCATCCGCCTTCAATCACGATCTTCGAAAAGCAGGACCCAAGTATATGAACACTCACCAAACTCTACGTTCATCATCAAGTGACAATCAGTCACCATGGGTCAGACCTTGTCAGAGCCTGTTGTAGAAAAGGTGAATAACCGCACGCACTCGTCCGCTTACATCACGACAATATTCTCGTGCCCCATGGCTTTTGGACAAATGTTGGCGGATTGCCATACTCGTGGTTCAAAAGCTCAGCGCTGATATCTACTCTAGATCTCCCACGAGGGTGCTGATGACTGCGTCGTGTTCGGCCTATCGGCCATGCAGGGATGGCGTATAAGCATGGAAGATGCACATGCAGCGATCCTCGATCTACAAACCGAGAAAGAGGGCAAGCAACAACAAGCCGCCCCACCCGACAAAAGACTGTCGTTCTTTGGTGTCTACGATGGCCATGGCGGAGAAAAGGTAGCCCAGTTCGCGGGCGAGAACATCCATAAGATCGTGGCCAAGCAAGAAGCCTATTCGAAAGGTGATATTGAACAGGCCTTGAAAGATGGGTTTCTCGCTACAGACCGGGCTATTCTCAATGGTGATCGAGCCGTACACCAGACTACCGGGCACGGTTACTGACCGGCTACAGATACGAGATACGAGGACGAGGTTTCTGGTTGCACTGCATCGGTTGGCATAATCTCTAAGGACAAGATTTGGGTGGTATGCTGAAAATTAGTCGCATTCGTCTCAGAACATTCACTAACACGTCTAGGCGAATGCTGGAGATTCGAGATCAGTGCTCGGTGTCAAAGGCCGGGCGAAGCCTCTGTCATTCGACCACAAACCTCAGAATGAAGGTAGGTTCGCTCACCGTTCCGGAGATATTTGTCCAGACGTTCACGCGCTGTAGGCGAGAAAGCTCGTATTAGCGCCGCCGGTGGCTTCGTTGACTTCGGTCGAGTCAATGGCAATCTCGCTCTGTCGCGTGCCATCGGCGACTTTGAATTTAAGAAGAGTGCCGACCTTTCACCCGAGCAACAAATTGTGACGGCCTTCCCCGATGTGATTTCGCACGAGGTCTCAGACGATGATGAGTTTCTCGTCATTGCTTGTGATGGTAGGCCCACATGGTCCCAAGAACGGCTCAATACTAATCGAGTCAGGAATTTGGGATTGCCAGTCCTCTCAAGCCGTCGTGGAGTTCGTCAGAAGAGGTATTGCAGCGAAGCAGGACCTGCAATCGATCTGCGAGAATATGATGGACAATTGTCTGGCCTCAAACAGCGAGACCGGCGGTGTTGGCTGTGATAACATGACCATGATCGTGGTCGGTCTGCTGCACGGCCGTACCAAGGAAGAATGGTACGAATTAATAGCCAAGCGCGTGGCAGATGGGGATGGCCCTTGTGCGCCGCCCGAGTACGGCAAGTCAGTCCTAGTTCCTGACCTCGAGTCTGTATACTAACGCAACACAGCTGAGTTCCGGGGTCCCGGTGTGCGACATCAGTACGGTCACGAAAGCCCTGATGAGTATGAATTGGACCTCGATCAGAGGAACAGAAGTGGGTTCGGCAGCCGTGGTAGAATCATCCTCCTGGGAGACGGCACTGAAGTTCTGACAGACTCTGACGACGCAGACATGTTTGACCATACCGAGGAGGACAAAGACACCGAGAACCAAATCAAGAAAACCAACCCCGATACGTCCGATGTTGACCCAATCAGAAGCGAGCGTGAGGGGACTCCAGGACCGCAGGAGCAACAAAAGACGGCGGATGGCAACGATACCGCAACCATCAAGGCGGTTGCTGACGAAGGGGACAGCAAGAAGGAGACTTAGACATCTTTTTGACCACGCACCTTGCCTTGGACTACGGTGACGAGCATTCTCACGAAGGACGATACCCCCATTCATCGAATAAAGAAGATGCAAGCAGTGTGGCAGCCTAGATAGTCCGTTGCAGGGCTGGCAGCGCAACGATACGAGTCTGATGCATGCATGAATGTTGATGTGCACACGCTTGGGACGGGAAATGGAAGATGGAAGACCTTATCTTGCTGGCTGGCAGCACGTGTGGCGTAGGAAGGCAAGCCTCCAGACTCTGTTTTTCGCAGATGCCTGTGGCTGGCACGAGTGGGTGCTTGTTCATAGGCCCAAAATATTGCACTCATGCCATCTTTTCCACCACCCTTTCTGATCCCTAGAAGTAGTGACAGACATTGCAGGGATATCGCTTTCGCCTCCCAAGCTGTGGCTGAGCAAACCCGGCTCGAAGTGGCTCAAATCAATTAGTGGTCTTGTAACGCAAGATGACGTTTAAAAGCGCCCAAAAAGTTGTTTTTTTTGGCGGAAGCACAGCTAATGTGTCTCTCGTCTCTCGACGTCCGTGACGTGTCTGCGTCGATATCCCGCGCCTGTCAAGAGACGCGGACAACCCCTCCCCACAAACTCAGCTTGCAAGTTACCAGATAGCATCGATTCAAGGTCTTGATACTGCCCCCATCTATCGATGTTCTTCGTATAAGCCAATCTCCTGTTTACTGGTTAAACGTCAGGGCCTCCCAAAACTTGGCAGGCACGTGTAGCATCTGGTCAATCTGGTGCGGCCTCAGGCCCTGGACTCCGGTACCACACCCCTTTCCGAGACCGTAAGATCGCCCACTTCCGCTTCTGTATATCTTCTTCAGCAAGCTCCATTCTACCAGTCCCGACAGATGTCGTCTCCTTCTTCCACAGGGTCCGCGAAGCGCAAGCGAACAGCTGCCTCCGAGCTCGCAAAGTCCTCTACTGCAGACATGCTGCAACCGTCCTCGCGTGATGCCTCTGGCGAAGAGCTGGCCGAATCACCCTCGCACAACACGCGACGAAAGCATGCTACAAGCAACTCCGTCGACAGCGCCGGTGTGCCCCCTAATAAGCGGGCACGCACAAAGTCGAACGCCACGGACGCAGCGATGAACGGCATGGACACGTCGCATGACGCCGAGATCGCGCACCATGACCCTGGCGAGCCCAGCAGCACCACGGAAGATAGTCAGGACATAGAATCGAAGACAAAGAGGAAGACGCGTGCTACCAGCAATGCTAAGAGCATCAACGTCGACAATTCCGAGGAGGACCGTGCCATGGAGCAGCCGCCGAAGGAACTCGTTCATCCTGCTGGCGGCTACAAGACAAATTCCCCGCCGGCAGGCCGTCCCGTGCGCGTCTATGCTGACGGAGTCTTCGACCTCTTCCATCTCGGGTACGCACCTCCCATTCCCATAGACCCCATCTTTCATGCTTACTGACAATCCAACCTCAGCCACATGCGCCAACTCGAGCAAGCCAAGACCATTTTCCCTAACACCTATCTCATCGTTGGCGTAACAGGCGACGCAGAGACACTGCGCCGCAAGGGTCTCACCGTGCTCTCCGGTGCCGAGCGTGCCGAAACCGTACGTCACTGCAAGTGGGTAGACGAGGTGCTGCCCAATTGCCCGTGGGTCGTGACCGCCGAATTCCTTGCCGAGCACAGAATCGACTATGTCGCGCATGATGACGATCCTTACGGTGCGGCCGAGGGAGATGATATCTACGCGCCGATCAAGAAGCAGGGCAAGTTTCTGGTAACCCAACGTACGGAGGGTGTCAGTACCACCGGCATCATCACAAAGATTGTGAGGGATTACGAAAAATACATTAGCCGGCAGTTGAAGAGAGGCACGACCAGGCAAGAGCTCAATGTCAGTTGGTTAAAAAAGAACGAGCTGGACATCAAACGACACGTGTCAGAGCTGAGAGACTCCATCAAAACCAACTGGACGGCAGCTGGTGGAGAGGTAGGCCGAGACCTGAGGTCTTTCTGGCTTGGTGGCAACAGCAGGCCCAGCAGTCCGGCACCCTTCTTAAGGCGGATGAAGAGCGACGATGGCCTTAGCAGCACTACCTTGAAGAGTCCGACAGGCACGGAGCATCTCAAGCACCTAGAGGTCCCGGGCAGTGCCGGCAGTGCCAGAGGTGATAGTCCAGGCAGATTGCAGCTGGGTCTGAGCAAGAGCGAGGAATTTGCTCAAGGATATGCGCTAGGTCTGATTGGAGGTGTGAAGAGCTGGGTAAGTTGCATCAGACATAGCCCAAGTCAAACGCGAGATGCTGACCAGGAGTAGATGATGAAGGGCCGTGGACCTAGGGATTCCCAGCCCCCGAGTCCAAGCGCGAGTGATGAAGATGATGAAGCTAGAAGTCCTATTAGCGATGAGCAGAAGAGCCCCACGGGCACTGAGAGGGGGCGAAAAGGACGCAAGGGATTGACTGTCCTGAACGATGAGTTGAAGAGGGATCCGCTTGATATTGTGCACTGATCGGGTTTGAGGCTTATGGAGGTGCCACTGACTTTGTCGCAGCGATGGTTGAATGTGAGGTTTACGTCGGTCTGCCCTTATAGGGTGGACGAATTGTCAAAAAGTACATGCCTATTTGTGGTGGTTTCAGCGGGTGTTTGGCAATAGACGGCTTCAGGCGTTCATAGTAATAAGAATGGTTCCGTCTTCGCCAGGGTTCACCGTTGTTTGTTCTGAGAACGCCTCCCCAAGGCATGGATGCCATAGCGACAGTTAAGTTAGGACCTGGAGTCTGATGTGGGTTGAAATTGTTTTCATTTGAGGCTGAGCACGATGGCCTTCACGACCATTCGGCCTGCAACCCCTCGTAGGCGCTGCGGAAGTCCTTATTGCTTGCAGCATTGTCTTTTGGCGAGCCGTCACATCAAAAGTGCGGCCGTTTGGGCCCCTTCATCTAAGACCCACTGCCCCATGCATGAGATTGTATCGCCTCAAGATTGGAATTCCTGAGAGCGTACACGTTGTCGATTCTCCATCACGATTTCGCCGCTTACGATCTGGGCTTCTCCTTCTTCTCCTTCCATAGAGCGCTCAGACCGACACCAGACACCTTGACGACCTTGAATCGCACACCGGGAATATCACCCTTGGCCTTGCCCTTACGACCGAAACCGGCGAGCAGGACCTCGTCGTTCTCGTCAACGAAGTTGAGGCAACCGTCATTGGGCACTAGTCCTCGCCGTTAGCAATCACGCTCCCACCAAACTCTTCTTCCATACTCTTGGGGGTGCTGAGACGTACCGAAAGCGGTGACCTTCTTGCCGTTCTTGATCAACTGGACACGCACACACTTGCGGATGGCAGAGTTGGGCTGCTTGGCCTCGACGCCGACCTTCTCGAGCACGATGCCCTTGGCGTGAGAGGAACCTCCGAAGGGCGAGGACTTGTAGGCGGTGCCGAGCAGGCGCTTCTTGTAGTGCAGGTCGGCCCAACGACCGTCCTTGCGGGCTTGTACGAGCTTGCGGGCGGCGTTGAGACCGCGGGGCTTGCCTCTGTTGGTCATCTCTGTAGAATGTGTGTCAGTCTTTTTGCTTGTGCGGCGATTTTGGGAATGGCGGGCGCAGGCCTGTTTGCGGGACTCTGCGCAGAGGCTGGAGCGGGACAACGGATATAGGGTCGTGGGAAAGACCAGTGCGCGTGGCAGAGATCGAGTAGGAGGGCTTACTGGCGACGTTGATGGACAGAGATCGATCGGAGGAGGTGGTGTCGAAGAGTAGTGAGGTCGCTGGCGATTAGATGCAGTCCTGAGAAAAGCCAAGCTTCGGATTTCAGTGTGCGTTTTGGCCAAGATTACAGTGTCACGTGAAGATCTGCTCCGGCGGCCAGCAGCGAGTTTTGCGCAATCCGGTGGATCTTCTGACACGAGTTGCCGTCTACTATAAGCTCTGGGAGGCTGTCTCGACTTCACTCCTGCCTCTACTTTGGTCAATGCAATAATAACGGAGGCAAACAAACGATTGGTGAGAGCACCAGCTCTCTGCCATTATCAGGATGGCGGGCTCATCGCGAAATATTCCGCAGCTCGAGACACCGATTGGAGATGGCCACTCTCCGCCAACGGCGAGACCCAAGCTGGCAGGCCAGAACAGAACAACTACAGCTCGGCTGCCTCCACCAACGTTGTTCAAGGGCCCACCGTCCAAAAATGCATCGCACATCTCGTTGGTTCTCCCAGACGAGAGTCAGCGAAGAGATCAAGACTCTACTAATCGGAGTCGTGGGTTGCCTCGACCGTCCAAAATACCGCCGGCTACTTCTTTCTCTGGGAGTTCATTTCGCCACCCATCCATTCGTGTCGATGAGTTCAGGGCAGAAAGCCATTGGGCAGAGATGCAGAAGACGCTGGCGGACGTCGAACTGTCCGCTATGAATCCGTCGCATGTATTTGGCGCAGACCATGCCAAGGCGCTCGAGGATTTGAGGACTGCACAATTATCGTTGGCTCAAGCCTGGGCGAAGAGTGAAGCTGACGAGATCACGGACCATGAGAATGTCGATGCTGAAGGAGGCGATGTCAGTGCAGGCACCAATTTTGGCCTCCCAAGCAGCAAGCGTGGCAGTCGCAGCAACAGCGCGTCTGGGGACAGAACGTTGGAGCAAGAAACCGAAAGGGATATTCAACTTGCTAGACGACGAAGGGAGGCCAACGATCGTTATTTCCAACAAGTAAATCGTGGCGTGTTGGATGTGGTGCTGCGGCTGGACGAGGTTGCAAGCGCAATGAGACGTGTTGAGCGCGAGAGCAGAGAAATCTGGAATGACGATGACAGTGCTCTGAGCGCGGGCGATGCAGAGCTTACCGGCACCGAAAGTGGCGATTTTGTCGAAACTCCAACTGATGCCAGCGCGAGCGTGTTGGCAGACAGTCCTATGAGCCACAGGACGTGAGACGAGAAGGGGAAATGCTGACTAGATTATTTCTAGGGTGGCCTTCGAGGGACAACCACTCTCTAATAGCCACTATAACTCGCAGCCAGGTCAGATGCAGCAGTATGAATCGGAAGGGCCCAGTGGTAGAGACAGCTTTTGTCCACTGAACAGGACCTGCTCACTTTGAGAGCGGGCATCCTTCGATCCGATCAACAGCCATCGCACTGACGTATGGCTCGCTCCTATCTCACACTAGCACCAGGGTGCCCGTTGAACATGTCCAAGGTCGACAAGAGCGCCCTCTCCCGAGCATTGTGAGCTCACCAATGCAAATTGCAGAAACCATAGCGGGTCACGGCCGACGAACTACGGTCTGTACACAAATGATTCTGAGAATTCGGGAAGGGTCCATGGAGCTCGGGTCAATTACGCCTGTGACGGCTACAAGCAGTGAAACCGAGATGTGTTGGAGTAGTAATGGGCGTGTGTTCTTGCAAGGTAATGAATATAGATGCCTCCCCACTACTGGCAGAGGTTTCCTTTATGCCTGGTATCCATGTGCCATGGAATTTGTATCAACACAAAAGAGGATACTGCTATCACTACGTGCTCATCGCCAGCCACACTCTTCGATTTTCCTCTGCGGATCGTGTACTATGTGATATCGGCCAGACAGTAGATGTGAGAACAATAATGCCACGCTCAATGGTATACTAGAGGCAGCCTTACGGGCAGTTATTGGGGAAGTGGGGCCCGCTGCCTCTGCTGTGTCAGTGAGCAACAAGCGGGTGTAGCGCATCCGCGCCGAAACCCCTCGTTGCTTCAGACGAACCCTCTCTGTACGCACCAACTGCTCACGTCCTCACCATTGTCGAAGCGCAGAGACCTTGTTCCTATTGCAGCGGAAATGGCGTCGTATCTCTCGTACTTCACGTCCAGCAACTCTACGACTTCAACGCCGCCATACGGCGCACCCACTCCGCCCCCGAACGCGGCAAGTTCGACTTGGTCAAGCACATTCTCATCGCGCATTGCCACACTTCGGAAAGCTTTGACAAAGGACGCGGAGGAGGACGACCCGGACTATGAAGACTGTTCACACGTTTCCAACGTGCTCCGTGCATATTACACAGAGAAAGGTCGGACATTTCCTGAGTGGCTTCCACCAGATCCGAAGAAGCCAGCGCCCGCTCCGGTAGTGCAACAAAATATTTACAGTCAGTATAGCGGCGGATATGGCTCGCAATACGGTAGTCAACCGGACTTTGGAAGAAACAGCTCAGCTGGACAAGGAGGACTTTCAGACCTATGGGACTCGTCGCCTGCGCCAGCGGCGGCAGCGGCACCACAACCCCAGAGCCTTCGAGCACCCCGTCCAACACCACAGTCTCTGCGGTCGCATGACGGTTCCATGAGCCAGCAGGCAGGCGCGGTTCCATCTTATGCTCAACAGTCCTCGGCCGCCAGACCCCTCCCAAGTCAGCGGGCAGGCAGTTTTCAGAACACAGCTTCGGCAACCCCAGCTGCGATGGGATCACGAGATCGTCTCCGTGCGCGACTACAGGGTGGAAGTAGCGGGAGAAGCTCTCCTGCGCCCCAAGGCCAGTCGTCTTTTTCTGGATCGGCAAATAGCTACGATTCAGGGAGCGGGGGTTCGCCTTACGTGTCTGCTTCTGACCCGTGGGCCAGTGGCGGAGGCAACCCATACTCCGGTTCGGGGACTCCAAATTCCTACGGTACAGCTCCTCCTCCCCGACAGCGTCCAGGTGGTCTTCCTTCGGGCCCACGTGGTCCACGATGAACGAGCCTCAAGAAAACAAGTCTGCTGACTGATGCGTCTTTACATGGAATGAAACATCCTTGGAGCTGAGGCTGCATATTCACTGCCTGGAGATGCACAGTAAGCTAGCTGTGGCGGGCAACTGAAGCAAATGAGCATACAAAGGCGATGGCATCTCCTTGGTATGGCCTATGGGCGCCTGTGGATGGTGAGCGCGACGTTGACGCTTGTCGTACAAGGTCTTCTCAGAAGCCTCTGATTGCACGGCTTCGCAACGACTAGGTGCCGACAATGTGGTGCGCTACTGCATGTATGGGGCTTTCAGCTTGGGCCGCCCTACCAGAAGTCTGCTAGGATCTTGCAAATGATCCGAATCAGTTAGTCTCACCAGGATGGAAGTCCCCTTCTAATGCAGGGCTGTGGTACGGATACTGATGCTCGTGCTGGCCTGAATCTTGCTCGGCGGGCCGTTGCAGGCCGGAGACCGGGTAACTGGTAGACGATGCACAGCCTCGTACACACCTCTCATGCTGAGTGGGCCGCATACAACAGTGTATCGTTTCCGATCGAACAACTAGCTTCTACAGAGACTCGGCTGTCGGAACTTCCTACCAGTCTCGAGTCACCGTCAAGGCTCTGGCATAAGCACCAGCCCCGGATCAGGATTCTTCGGGCCAAAAGATTACCAGTTTCTCGAACCACGCTCAGCTTCTACCCGATTGGGCAACGTGGGGTCCAAGACATATCAGAATCAAGCCATCTCACTAATCTTGGCGGCACCATCAGCCACAGCTTTGTCCCAAAGCGTCTGTCCTGCACGTTCTCGCGTCTCCCTTGCCACTCTTCGGCAAGGCTATGATCCGCCACCATCATCGCAGCTTCTCGATTGACCCCCATTGAAGCTTCCAATCGTTCCATGACGTGATGCTTAGTCGCCAACGATGACCTAAGTTCTGACTAGATGCTCCCCCAGAGTGTATACAGCCCTAGGAGCTGAATACTGCCCCTGATCTTGCCCACTTGACCACTTGGCCACGATCTCAGCCACTAGCCATTTTGCGGTTGTCGCCCGTAGGGCTGATGAATAGCACGACAAGTACTATGTCATTAACGCCAGCAGGGGGTCTCAGAGTGCCTTGGACCTTTTGCTTGCCTGTCAGAGTGGTAACGAACTGACCCGGCAATATGATGCTCACGCCCAGAAAGGCACTTGGCTACGAGAGGTTCTTCCGCCTGTCAATTGACCTCTTTGACCGCAGGTTCGCTGCCCTCATACCATAAGAGGGCCCTGTGCGCCTCTCTCGGGGTGGGAAAAGCATGCTGCACAATCGTTCATCGGACATAGAAGGACAAAAGCAAACGCCCGTCTCTTCGTCATCTACATTACTGGTCTTGGAAAGTGTACTGCTCTAGTCCAGCCTTGACCTCAAGAACGATTCTCCGCCTTGGGCACTACGATTCCTTGCCCGAGCTGCTGCACCCTGACTAATTTTTTCACCACACCCTCTACCTTAAGTGTTTTGGTTTCGACGTATGCTGCAGGCGCGTATTCGACTATCTTAGCTCCTCAGCCGTTACATACCAAAACATTATTCCGACGTCAAACCTGCAGTATTGACGGGAAAGTGCGTGTATGGAGGACAGCCCCGAGCTTTCAGGCAAGCTTCCAAGACCTTATACTATATCTACAGCCCATTCTCACAGATATCGCAGATACTGATCAGCCCGCGACCTCTTCTGGACAGCAGGACAGGCAGCCTTCTACTCAGCAGGTCGATCCGATCGACGTACCCGCCTCCGAACCAACATTCGCTGGACTACACGCAGCAGAGATCGACGCCACGATGTCACGACATTCGCCCACGTCCACGTCAGGACGCTCACCCCGGCAGTATCAGCTTGTGTCCCCGGGTACGCCAGTCGACCCTCGGGCGATGAGCCAAGTTAGTCCCGGCTTCATTTTTGTAAATTCCTTTGTCCATGCGTGTGATTTTGATCCCACCCCTTTCATTTGTCTTTCCTATAAATTCCATTTGTGTGTATCTCTCCTTGCTTCGGTCTTGCTTCGCATCGCGCACTCAAGTTCGGGGCTCAGCTCACTGACATGGCTGCAGAACAACAAAGATCAGCTGATCCAATCCTTGAGGACGCACCGGGTCAACACGATTACGGAACTGCGTCGCATCGAGAAGATCTTTGCGTACCTTGACTCGGCCGAGGTCACAGAGCCCATGACCAGCGCGTGGCGCCACTACGTCAACTCGAATAACCTGCTGAACGAACTTCGTGGACTGACCAAGCGCATACCTTTCAGCTCCGAGTGCCTGGACGAGGCCAAGCAGCTCGTGGTCAACGATCCGAACAGCGTCCGCAGCTGGAACTTTTGCTGGTTGGTGCTTGTCAAGATGGAACGAGAGTACGTTGGGTGAATGTTCAGTCTACCCTGCAACCCGATCTAACTCTTTGCTTAGGAATCTTGTGGCGAAACATGCACGGGTCCTTGCAGCGAAACCACATACCTGGGGTGGCAAGAAGCCAACCAAAGCCGAATTCGACCGCCTTGTCGAAGCCACCAAGACCGAGTGGACAACGGCTCTCAGGCAGATGCTCAAGCACTGGGATGGTAAGCCGCCTAGCACGACCGGCCGCTGATTGCCTTTGTGCACGACAAATCAAGAAGGTGGTCCATGTCGCCACGGGCAGGCACCAAGACAGGCACCAGAGCATCCACGTGGGACCCAGCGATCCGGACAGCGCGATGGTGTGCAGCGAAAGAACTGGGAGACGTGCCGCTGATGATGCAGGAGGAAGGATGAAGCGAAATGCTCCAGGAGCGCCGCATTAGCTGCTGGCAGTGTACGATACTGTGCTCATTCGTTCTATTGTGTTGTCACGAGGCTACCGGGGTGGCCACTGGCCATCGCAAAGGGCCATTGACAGCAGCTTATCTAAAGAATTTGCCCCTTAGAATTCAGCCTTTATAATTCCACCAGTCTCGCTTACCGCAGTCTCTCGCCACCTCGCTCTGACTACATCTGCATATCGTTAGCTTCGTGCAACCACGCGAAAGGCAGCAGTCTAGCCCCGGAGCAGCGGACGAGCTCACTGTCTCTCGAACGTCATTGAAGCAGTGCACAACATATGTGGCATCTAGGCGAAGAAGCTGAACGAGGCATTTTGGGGGATACGATACGCCCGAGAGCCGAGTAGAGGTAGGGCTTCGTCATTTGGACAAGCCACCAGAGCCACTTCCAGCCTCGGCGACTAGAGCCAACAGGGCGCAAGCTTCCGATCGATTACCACGGACACGCATGTAGTGTTCAAGACGGTCTGAAATGATTGACAATTCGGTATAGGGATGCATCTATCTGACAAATGCTATCTATCAAGCGAGGTGTTGCTGCTCGGGACTGATCGACGATTCTGCACACCACGAGTTAGGAGAGAGGATCGAGTATTCCATGCCATTCGAATCGAGTTTAGTAGTGGATCGATCGTCTAACATCGACCGGCATGGCAAGCGGTTCTCGAAGGATACAATACAATTGTCACGCACTTTAGCCCTGCCTACTTGAGTAATTATCGATCAATCCGGTAGCTATTGACAAAGTCGCGTGTTGCTGACTAGTACTGTAGGATGGCCAGCTGTACCTGCCTTGTGTCTACTGCGCGGGAGCTCCAAAGGACGAAACAGTGAGATGACGGCATTCCAGAAGACAGCGCCTCATACGGATGCTGTGTTTCCCCTGTCGCTCATAGATTCGCCCAGCCGGATCGCAGGCCCAACAAGAAGGGAAGCCGGTCTTAGTAATCTGGACGGGCTTGGAAGGTGTACCAAGACCAATTCCACATCATGTTTTCTGCGACCTTCTATCAACACACCCCGATCCCTGGTGCCTACCTATAGCCGTTTTCAGGGAACTCAACGCATTACGGCCATAGACAAGAACGGTAATTAATCTGTACATTGATCGGGCAAGTCGATCCAAGCCGGGGTATCGAGAATGTCGATCCGAAGCTCTGATTGGTTCGTACCCGTCCCTTCGGAAGGCGTGCTTTTGCCGTGGTCGCCTTCTCCTTCTCACTTCCACAACCTTTGCCGCAACAGTATCGCTTCTGCGACGTCCTCATTCGTCTAACGTATTTGACAGCAAGCGGCGCTCTTGCAAATCGATACGGTGGCGACATCATGCAACCTCTCCCACGGTTCCACGCCCCGCCAGTCCTCACCACGACCGATCCTGGCCGCCTCGCACCTGTCGTGACTTCTTACCCCCTTCAGACTCGTCGTTACAACTTTGCACTTCTCTGAATCGGGCAATTGCCTCGTACAAAAGAGTTCAGCCACTATAAAGCCTTCCGAGTGACCCAACACAGCCTTCTGCAGCGCTGCCGTGGGTAGGCTGTCCTTTGCAATGCTGCTGGGAGCCAGGTCGCTATCGAATTGTCCCTGCGCTTACCACGCTACCTCTGTGGCAAGAAATCGCTGCCCGCTTTTGGTAGCCCGGTGGAGCGAGCTAAGCACCTACATGAAGCCCCTTTCTTCAGCCAGTGTCGCCACCAGAAGGTGCCAATGTGGTTCCAACCATGTAACGACACCAGCCAAGAACCGCACCACTTCATCATGAGAGGTGATTCAGGGCTCATGGGACTTTGGATGAGCGTCGAATAAGCACTAATCCGATGAGATTCTCCGTGCGAACCACTCTTGGTGCATAAGATGACCTACTAACTCTATAGCACAGGCGTCTGCCCACAATGTCATTGGCTGACGTTTCGAAGGCTCAGGCCCGCGACATATCGATGACTATCTCAACGCCCCACTGTATGAATCAAACTAGCCTCAGTCCACAGGTGCGGCTGTTGCAACGGTTGACCGTGCTGGCAGTGCTGGACACTGTCAATACCTCCCGGCATACGCCGACCTGCGAGGTCCTGCAACGAGCCGAACCCTGATGTGCGAGAGAACCAATACCGTCGACTAGCTGAGCGGCCGCGCGGCAAGTTGGACAGCCTATATCAGCGTAGTTCCGGACGAACCCAGACAAAGGACTTCACTATCATCATTCCGCTGACTGAGCAGTGCTTCCTTAGCAGGAAACACTTGACTCAGCAGCAAAAGAACCCACAAAGAGGCAGGGGCCACAATAAATTGCCCAGAATTGTAGGGATGTCCGCGACAGGACCCGCTTGCTCGGGCTGAAGCAAGCCGGCAACCCCCAACAGGCCCGGAGACTGGTCCCTGACCCATGGTTCAGCACACCGCCGAATCTCGCATTTGATGACTTTGCACCAACTGAAAGTCCTGCTGCATCCATGCTTTGCGGTGCTCCACGTGTGCGAGCGGGACCCACTACTAGGTCGACAATGAAGTGTCATCACTTTGGGCCCCTTTGCAAGATCACCGAGCTAAGTTTTACCACCGACGCCTCGACAATGGTGATAGATCCTACAGTATTGCAACCACCCGAGGACTTGTCCGCATTGTTTTAGTCGCTGCTCCAAGTGAAGCCGACATACGGGGGTCTCTGTCCATGCTTGCCACGACTGCATGGCCACCGTCCCAGAACTGTTCTGCAGGCTACGAGACGCTTTTGCCACATATGTGTGAGGGAGTCTGGATGCACAAGGTGGCGCACTCGCTTTTTTGAAGGACGGTCTGGTAACCCTCGCGCCCATATGAGTATTGGTATCAAAAGCAGCCTCTCCATCATCCCACCCGAAACGGCTCACGTCACGGGTCCTAACCTCGTGGATTTCATGGCCGCCTTTCGCCTTCGGCTCCAACGACTCTCCGCAACCGGTCAATGTCTGATGGGCCTCGCTGCCCACATTGGCTCTGCAACGATCCACACTCCTTCAGCTAGCTCGGCTAGGCCATTCCTTGGACTTGACGCGGTCACGATTTCTTGCAGATCTGCAACGATTTACTCCTTGGTGATCACGTCTTCCGGCTAGCATTTGGCATTTTTTGCTTCTCATCGCCGATGACCACGAGACCTCAAGAACACTGCCGAACAAAGCATCCCATGTTGGTGATATTTGCAAGCCAGAATTCAATGCCGCAGCATGCTTGTCAAGAACGATCTAGTCGCGCCCCGGTCAACTGAGCATAAACCGGAATAATTCTGTTATATAGTCGTTTCGGCTGAACATTCGACCAAGCCTACAGCGTGCGCAAAGAGAGCCGCATTCGAAAAGGAGTTGACTGTGTTTCCGTACATGCGTTTCACTGAACACGCCAGCCATAGGTATTGTCACTCTATCCCAGATTTTGGAGTACGGCACTGCACGATTTTCTCGAATTAGATGGATGGGAGGAGCACTTTACGAGACCCACCTATTCACAGCCAATCTGCAACCGCGACTCACGACCAGCGTTGTGCTTCGAGGAATATTCGCTACACAAGCCCTGCCCGGCACGTGCCTTCAACTGTCTACCAAACACTTTCTCCGGTTGGCTGGAACTGGGGAACAGTTTCAGAAGTCGTGGTCCGACTATGATCGGTCATGCAGACTATCGAGCCGAGCACCTTGCAGCCTGCATGACACGGGAACCCGGCTTGCCAGACCGGTAATGAACGGCCCTGCAGGACTTTTGGGCTCCAGGCTCGCTCTCCTGAGCACGTTCACTCCTGGGACCCGAAGTTTCGTTGCCCCTCACCTCGTCACCCTCGGGAGATATTGATGTTGGTGCTGGTGCTAGTTCTAGGTGGGGCCTGTTTCCCCTCCTCGACTGGCTAATCGGGGGTTGGGGGTGGTGCAAGTACTCAGCACATATTGGGGGTTTCTGCGGTAAGTGACCGTCACATGTATTAATGTTGACAGGACGTTACAGGTTCGCACCGTACGAGGACATGTACTAGACGGATTCGCGCAAAGTAATTGCAGTATAATCGTTTCTTGAGGCTGTTCTCTCGCGGTCACCGCAATGTTTCTGCCGGGCACAGAGAATTCAACATCGTTGACCATATTTACTAGGCGAGTACAGTAAAGACTTCGATCGTGAGATATTCACATATTAGAAGGGGCGCGAAGAACAAGAACCACGTAGGAACAGCTAGTGGTTATGGCTGCTGTTGTGTAACGACAGGCTGGAAGGCTGGCTATATGTTAAACTACCTTGACTATATCCGAATATCCTCATTATCTATTGGGACTCAGAGTTGTGGTCTAGAGACTTAGTCCTTGCTCAATCTACCAAGACTTCTACAGCGGTTACGAAGTTACGACCAGACTTCAACTTCGACGAAATGGCGGCCAGAGGACCGCCATCTTGATCTGTAGTGTTCAGCATGAAGCAAATACACAATAATGCCTCAAAGCCGGCAAAGACGCCCGCTGATCGCAGTGTAGACTGTAGTAGACGACGAGGCCGTCTTCCATCCGCCACCATCAAGAACACTAGCTACCCCGCTCACATACGATCAAAATCAATCGTGCATGGCGTCTCTGGAATCGTCAGTCGTTATCAGTCTTCGTCGCTCAGGCCGGTCTCGTGCTCCGTGTTTTCTCTGACTTATGAATGTTGGAGAATGTCATCATCTCTCTCAGTCTACCGTCCTGTATCCACCTGTACATACAGCGAGGAGATTCTGAAGGAGGGGAATTGGCTGTAATGCGACCCGTTGAAATACCCCACCAAAGAGCTCTCGACACCGTATATGTCTGTCTGCGTTGTCTGTTCTTTCTTCCCTTTCTTCCCGATGCGTCTCCATTGATTCTTTTGTCACCGTCTTTTTTCTACCCGAGTTGGATGCGTCATTGTTGGCTAAAACCTTATGAATGGGGAGATTTGGGTGGACGTCGGGATGGAGGTGAGAGGGTCGACAGAGGAGACTTGAGATTTCGAAGGGGGAAGGTGGTTGGGTGGGCAACGAAAGGAGAAATAAAGGAAAGGGAAGAGAGAGTAAAAGAGAAAGAACCGTGGAGAGGGAGCGAAAGGGCCCGGTGGGCGTACGTGTACTTTGCTGCAATGCAAGTGGTGGTAAAGTGTCCCCCTATTCGGAAATGGAGGGGTTTTTCTGATGCTGCGTGTGGTGACAGTTAGATAGACAGAAGGCAGGACTTGGTCAGCAGGAGTCGGTGCATGAAGCGATGGACCGCTGTTGGGGCAAGAAGGTGAGTTAAAAAGCAAGAGGCCGAAAAACCAGAACGAGTTTGTGACGCACAGTTAGGGGGAAGGGGTGTCGCGAGGAACGGCAGGGAACGGGCATACGGGAGGTGATGATTGCGCCTAGAGATCCACGGAGAGACAAAGTCGCAGAGGGCAATCATGGGCGTCAGATAGGGGCAGGATAAGACCCATCGAGGCCTGTATTACAGTGGCGTTGGGGAGGGCTTCTTTCTGCGGGACCGGTCATCAGGGGGGGGGGCCACAGGCTTGCTAAGGGAGACAGGGACCGCCCGGGGAGCGGAAGAAGGGCTCCAGGCAGCATGCGTAGACGAGGGGAGAGACTGCTGATGCGGTGAGGGATACATTTCGCGGGTGGCTAGAAGCCAAGGTGCACTTCGGGTGCTGGATAGCCGTTGTGTTCGATGATTCGCATCTAACTTTGTCTACCTGTGTAGGTCGCATGACACCGCGTACTTCTGCCGGCATCTCAGCCCACAGTTCGCTCGTGCTGGAGCCTGAGCCTCGTGTACGTTGATTTGGGTACTTCGGGCGTTGGGAGCGGCGCCGCTCTTGAGCTGGTGCCTTATCTCGATCTCAATTACCTTTCCGCCGCCACCGCCACCGACAACAACTAAACATGCAGTCATGTCTGCAGTAGAAGTATAGCTGCAGCTGCAAGCGCGGTCGACACTCGACGTCTAATTGCGCGACTCTGATTCGGGATCTCCGATATCCAGGGGCACCGCAGCCTCGCCACTGTGAGGCTGAGCGGAGGGGCTTGGCATGCTGACTGCTTCGTGGCAAAAGATACGGCCAAAATTGAAGCCGTGTCCGACACCTTGAAGCTTGAAAATTCCAAGTTCAGACCGTTTGCTGCCGAGTACGATCGACCCTCGCCAACATCGCGGTGTGCATTGAGATTTTGTGCTCCTCCCCGGGACTGCGAGCCGCTGGTAAGCCGGGGCCCGAGGGATAACGAGCACACCCAAATGTCTCTCTACATTTCTTCCGCAAGAGAATACTCAAGAATTGCTCAGAGAATTCGCTACCGTCTTGTAAGCGCTCTCCTCTCTGCTTAAGATCCACATGAAGAACATCTGGATCAGGAAAGCATAGATGGCCAGGAAATAAGTTCGTCGGTTCTTCTGTGCGCGATGTGTGGTGTAAGAAGCGCCTGCGCGAATGCCGGGCTCGTTACTGCTGTCGGGAAGAAGAACGTACTTCAGCGAACGAAGCTACATGTTGTAAGCATAACGATAAAGCTAAGAGCAGAGAGGCACAACGGAGCGAGACATAAACTTACCAAGAAGAAGGCGTTGGCGTACCAAGTGTACAGAAAGAAAGTCCATCCTGCCCAGTTGTTTGTACCTTGCCCAGCGGTGAGGATCTCGGAGAGAAAGAGCGTGATGATCACGCCGACGAATTTGTAACCGCTGTAAGCTACCAAGTCAAGTAGCTGGCTGTCGTTGTTGATGCTGAGGAGGTACATGGCCATTTTAAGGACGACAATCTCGAAAAGAACCACTCCCAAGGCTGTGGAGGTGGTGCTGCCGAGTAGTTCGGGGTGGAAGCTGCCGCGCATACCGGCCAGGACGGTCGACAGCAGAATGTACGTGATGAAGGCCATGATCGGGATGTACATGTCTGGCGAATTGAGATCATCTCGCGGCGGCAGGTAATTGAATGTTTGTGGCGCGCTGTTCATCTGAGCGCTGGCTGAATCCCCACTGCGCGCCGACTGCCGTGTCCAAGGCTTGTGCCGCCAGGGGAATAGTACGAGGAGCAGTTTTCGCACCACATAGCTGTTTGACACGTTGAAGTAATGTTTGAGCGCTGGGACCGAGATGTAGCGGTTCAAGTTCTGGTCGATATATTTCTGGCCGGCTGCTACAGCGTGCTGGCCGACCTGGAAGCCCATCTGCGCCGTCGGATCGTTGACGAAGCCGCCAAAATTATTTTGTTGGAAGCCATTTGGCGGCGATTGTTGGTAGGGGTTACCCCAGGCATTTGCTTGCGGCTGAACCTGTGGCTGGGACTGCGACTGCGATGGGACGGGTGGTGGAGGAGAGCGTAGATGAGGGACTTGTGAGATGTGCTGCGGTCGTGGGTGGAAGAGCTCGGGGGACTGAGCCGGCGGTGCAAACGGCTGGCGCTGCATCTTGGGCGAGTACTGTGGCTGCAGAAGACGTGAGAAACAGGAGATGTCGACGAGAGTATAAGGCGTTGTCGACGATGCCAGTTGTCAAAAAGGCGGCCGCATGCTACACTTTTACGCCACGTGTGGCTGAATGGCTGAGGCTGAAAGGTCCACTTTACGCGTGCCAGTGGGCTGTATTTCAACCCCAGATTTGCAACCAGAACATCCATGTTGTTGGAAGGGCTTTCCTACACTCTCTCTGATCGAAGGTCGATCTTTCTTTACTGTTGTCATCTCCTCACATGTCTGTAAGGATCTCCACAAGGCACCGCCGATATATCAACACCTCAAGCCGGCTCCTACTCTCCATGGACATTCGTGCTCGTAGTCGGTCCATCTTCCCATTGATATCCCATCTGCCTCTTAAGCTGCTGATTGCACAGACCAGACCCGCATTGTCGATACCCATGCCATTCGTCGGCTACACAAACGCTCCAATGATTGCAGCTAGAAAGCCCAGAACGCTATCAATCTCATAAAGGCCACTCGTACGCATTTGTGTCTCCGCTTCGTACAGACTTGAGAGCACCAACTTGACGCTGCTTTCGTGGATGTGAATGAGTATTTCTGAGCCTGCCATGCTTGGCCTGGGCGGGTTCACCGTGTCAGGGGTGGTGCAGAAGTAGATATGGGTACGACGCAAGACCGTGGCGGAGAAGTTGAGCGGAGGACGGATGAGCTGCGTGTCATTGGTAAAACCTGTGTCGACAGGAACGGAGTCTGAAGTGGAGTGGTGTGCGGTCAGTTGATCGGAGCCGAGTCGTTTCTTGCTGACAGTGTCTGGCGGTTTCTCGGGCGGACTGTGGGCTTTGCGCTTTCTGGGATCAGACTCGGCGACCACGGTGACATTGCTCTCCATATGTGAATCCTTGAGACGTTTGGTGTAGAGATTTTGTAGGTTATCAGAACCTTCAACGGAGGCTTTGCACTTGAGGCTGGCCATATCAAAGCAATGGCTGAGTTACATCCGCCCCGAGGTCTGCATATGCATAGATAGTATCTGGTCAAGACCAGGATCACTTTATGGCGCAGATACTGAGCTGTCTGTCTTTTAGATGCTCTGGAGGTGGCTGAGGGACAGCTTTGACAAAGTGTTCAGCTGTCGCGAGGCTGCAGCAGAATTTTTGAATGAAAAGCAACGGCAGGATCCTGAAGCAAAATGAAGAGAAGACACTTACACTGCAGGATTTTAGCATCCAGATGGTGGTGCATCCTTTTCGATGTTTACAATGTGGGTTGTTGCCGGCATCGGCTGATGAACGAGCGGAGTATCCAAGTCTGCTTTTGGTCTTCAGTGATCCTATTGCATAACAGGCGCCCACCAACAACCGTGTCAGACGTGGCTCTTCCACAAATAACACAACCTCTCGGACAGTCGACGATCTGATGTTTGCTTCTCGCTGGTGGTAAGTAACCAGGAACGGCAGAGGACGTCCATGCTGCATCGCTACACTCTCAGTGTCTCCCAGTTTGGAACATCTAGGGGAAACTGCCAGGTTAGACTTTCTACATTGGATCGTGATCTTGCTGAGGAGAATGAACAACTGGACTGCCTCGATCATGAGCAAAGTTTTAGAAGACAAATTCCGAACCAATGTACATGGATTTTGGTATTGTGTCAAGGCCAGGCTTACTCCTCATGTCACTCACCTCATCAACTGACGCAGAGAATGCGATTACTAGTATTGAGATGATTGCCCTTGCGCTCTAATGGATCGAAGGCAGATGTGAAGCTGGGTCAAGTGCTGAAGCAGTCGTGGCAGTTCTGGGCCCGCTCCGGAAAGTCCTTGGCAGGCGTCACCGCGGAACCGATCTTCATCTTCGAGGCGCGGCGGGACGACAATGTCGCGCACGCTGTCCACACTCTTTGTGGCAATTATTGACTGTCGCCGTCACAATGCTTGACGCGTTCGAAGTCCTCACGACATCTGGGGTGGTGTTATGGTCTCGAAGCACCTCTGGCATTGGTGCGACTGCCGTCAACAGTCTAATCAACGATGTCTTGATCGAAGAGAAAGTACGGCCAAATACCAACGCCGCAGGCAACCCCACCTACAAGTACGACAAGTACACTCTGAAATACACACTCGTGAAGGACCTTGGCTTGATCTTTGTCGTAAGTGTACAAGATCAATGCGCAGCCGCACCTCAGACTGACACCTCTCTAGGCAGTCTACCAGTCGTTACTGCACCTCACTTGGGTCGACAAGCTCCTCGACGACGTCCGAACCATCTTCGTTACAGTGTACAAGGATCAATTGCAAAGGCCTAACGCGACTGCAACCAAGTACACCTTCGACTCATATTTCGATCGAGAACTGCAGCGTCTGGATCAGAGCACAGGAGGGGCAGCTACCGCAGAACCACCGCGAGTAGAAGCACAGGAGAAGAAAATAAGTCCAGAAGAGAGAGACGACGGAGGACCTCCGCCCCCGGAAGAACCTGCTCTACTCAAGGTGCAGTCGCGTACTGCACCTATAAATGGAGATTCCAGTTTGAACACGCCCGTGGACACGCCCGATACTTCTCGGCCCACCACTCCGCTTCCGCCGCACCTGCTCGGCGAGAAGCAACGCCCTGGCAGCCGCGGCTCACGGCGAGCAAGGAAAGCTGCTAATGCGGCGGCCAGTTATACGTCATCTGGTGACGAATCGAAGCGACTGGCCGAGCCGAAGGCCAAAGCCAAGAAGGGCAGAGTTTGGGGACCAGATGGCATGGCGGACGAAGATGATGGTGCGACTCTCGACTATTCGGCTGTTGACGAGGGTCTAGATGCTGGCGACGAGACCAAATCTCCTCCTCCTGAAGCCATAAGTCAAGATAGTTGGGGCACCAAGACGAAGAAGGGTCAATTCGTGCTGAAGGATCTGGAGGACGAAGTCGACGACATTCTGCGAAACGCCGAGAACGACAAAGCGAATGGCGCTGATGGTGCCTCTGGCTCGCGCTTTGGAGCAATATCTGGCTACTTCCGCAACATTGTCGGAGGGAAGACAATGACTAAGGACGATCTTGAAAAGCCGCTGAAATCAATGGAGGAGCATCTCATCAACAAAAACGTTGCGAGGGATGCTGCGATTCGTCTCTGCGACGGCGTTCGGACAGAGATGGTGGGCAAGAAAACTGCAGCGTTTGAGTCTGTTGACACAGCTCTTCGTCCCGCCCTTGAGAATTCCCTTCGCAAGATCATGACACCTAAGGGCTCCCTGGATCTTCTGCAGCAGATCGAATCGGTTACTCAGCCAGCGAGCTCCAACGTCAAGCCTCGCCCGTTTGTCATCACCATTCTGGGTGTCAACGGCGTCGGCAAGTCAACGAATCTGTCCAAGTTGTGCTACTTTCTCCTGCAAAACAATTATCGAGTGTTAATCGCTGCTGGCGATACTTTCAGATCCGGTGCGGTCGAGCAGCTCAACCTCCACGTACGCAATCTGAAAGAACTAACTGCACGTGAGCAACTTGGTGCTGTGGACATATACGAGAAGGGCTATGGCAAGGATGCCGCCAATGTGGCCAAGGACGCTGTTTCTTACGCCGCAGCCAACGACTATCAAATCGTGCTGATCGACACTGCTGGTCGGGCACATACCAATACTCAGCTTATGGCTGCATTGGAGAAACTCGTTGATTTTGCAAAACCTGATCTCATCCTGCAAGTTGCGGAGGCACTGGTCGGCAACGACTCGGTGGGTCAGGCACAGAATTTTACGAGAGCTCTAGGGAAAGGGCGGAGGCTGGATGGGTTCATCGTTTCCAAGATTGATACGATTGGAGATGCATGCGGCACGATTGTCAGCTTGGTGCATGCGACAGGCGTGCCCGTGCAGTTCATCGGCGTGGGACAGCACTACGGCGACTTGAGGCAGCTGTCGGTGCCGTGGGCGGTGAAGATGTTGACCAGCTAGCGCTGTGAGCTACCTAGAATAAAAGTCAATGACTCCCCGGCGATACCGAAACAGATACCGACACCGCGTAGGTGCCTCGACGCCTTACAGACGCCTTGTTCGGACTTTCGGCGTGGTCTACGCCCGCCCGAGCAGGTTTCATTTTCCGCATCTTGGCGCCAACCCGCATCGAGCGCTGATTGGCTCCACCCGGCCAAAAACATCTGCTCCCCCGAGGCCTCAACATCTCCGGATCGTACCACTGTGAAGGTTTACTGCTCATCATTGCATTTACATTCATTTGGATTTCTTTCGTCTTTCCTTCAAAAGCTTCATACTATAGGGGCCTGTCCTTTTCTTTCATCTGGCTGATCAAGCACGATGAGTGCTCAATCCCGCCCCTTCCCGCCCCTTCTCGTTCTCGCCGCCTTGCTACTTCCCCTGTTCTATTTTCTCGACCAGAACATCCACACTCAGTACGTCTTCGACCATGTCAAGCTGCAGGAGATCTCGCAGGCCGCCATCGCCAAGCACGGCAATGACACCGAGTCCCTCATGCGCCAGGTCCACCAGGGTTTGCGCGCCGAGTACGGCGATGCCATCGTCGCCGACTACAGCAAGGAGGACTGGTTCTGGAACAACGCCGGTGGTGCAATGGTAATTAATATCATTACCCCTCCCCTTTATCCCTGGTATGCTCCCGGAACTCGCGTGGCTCATGAATGTCGCAGGGCACGATGGTGATTCTCCACGCCTCCATCTCCGAGTATCTGATCTTCTTTGGCACGCCGCTACAGACCGAAGGCCACTCAGGCGTGCACACGGCCGACGACTACTTCACCATCCTGGTTGGCGAGCAGTATGTTGCCGCCGCGGGAGATCTCAAGCCCAAGATCTACCGCCCTGGGGACCAGAACTTGATGAAGCGTGGCACCGTCACCCAGTATGCCATGCCCAGGGAATGCTTTGCTCTCGAGTTGGCGCAGGGTTGGATCCCGCCTATGCTTCCTTTTGGTGAGTTTTTCGTCTTCCCCAGCAGGCGAGAGCCTGGCGTTGCGGTGAATGGTTGTGGCTGACGAGGCATTGTAGGATTCGCTGATACTTTCACGAGCACGCTTGACTTTGGGAACTTGTGGAAGACTATCTACTACACGGCGTGGCACATGGGCGGCCAGGCTCTCAGGCTGAAGTTCTAGGATGAGATCGTTCTCCGTTGCTTGTGCAGAGAGAATGCCTTGTATCGCCCGTGATTTCTGCCCAGCGCGGCGTTTGTAATTTACCTTTGGTTTGTAATAAGGACAAAAGTCCGTGTACAGTTCATCATATCCTTCTCTAGGATTATGAGCACAGCTCAGCGGGTTCATCACAGAGCGCGTCCACACCCACCGTGGTCCAAGTCGTTCCTTTCCCAGGTGCAAACATCCGCGCAAGATGAGCAGCCCGGCATAAACCGCCTCCGCCCTGTTCGCTAACCACGCGTAATTTCAACAAGGTACTTCCCCTTTTTCAGATGACCTTCGTCTTGCTACTATCACTCTTCGCAATCTCCGCCACCATGACGGGCGCCTCACGATACGGCAGCAATAGCTTGCCCAGCGCTCCCAGCGCACATGTTACCTGTAATCACCCCCATCAGCTGATACTGCCTTTCGTGGGGAGCAATCTCACAAGCAGCAAAATTCCAGGACTCACCCAATAGTCCAACCACTTCCAACCGCCTGGCAGCGCCACGTAGGTATCGCCATCAGCGAACGTCCGCATCGCATGCAGCACGCCGGGCTCACCCGCGGCGAAAAGATCTTGGAAGAACCTACATGGGGGGGAGAGAAATCGTAACTGTTAGCATCTTCACGCCGTTTGATGCCGAGCACGGAAGTTCTCCATGCCGGCCAGAGAGAAGGGCTTTATGTAGTTCGCGGGGTCTCCGCTGGGGTGATCAAAGACTCACGCTCCCTTAAACGGCCCCTGCGGCACGGTCCTCTCTCGAAACTCAGCGGCCTCGCCTCTCAGCACGGTGAAACCGTGCACGGTGCCGCGCTTGATCTGCGCCTCGTTGGTCTCGCAGCCTTCGCCGTGGCCGAGCATCACGTCCTGGCCGCCAATGGAGAACTTCATGCGCCCGGAGGTGACGGTCATGATCTCGTCGTGGTGGGCGTGCCAGTGCGGTGGGATGGAGAGGAGGGGATGGGTGGCGTGGTCGGGCGACTCGGTGGGTGGGGGGTGGTAGGCAGTTTGGACCCAGGAGAGCGGGGGAGAGGTGGGTGGCGTGCATTGGTAGATGGACATGGTGGCCGTGAGGGAGAGTTGGAGGGTGGCGGTTAGGGTTGTGTGCTCTGCGGGAGGCTCGAAGGACGGGATGGAAACCGTGCTGGCAGACATGCTGGTGCTTGGTCCGCGTGAGGCTGAGGCTGGTTGCAGCCAGTGCGTTGTCTGGGTGTCCGCGGCAGAGGGTGTAGAAATGATCTATATCGTATAGGTACACGGAACTGCTTGTATCTACGTCTTGTAAGCCGATGGATGATTCTGCTCGCAGCTCACAGGTGAGTTGAGGCCTTCACCGAAGATCAGGCTGGAATCATATGAGAAGAACTAGGTCAGCCACAAGGCCTGCGAAAGTGTTTCGTATTCCGTGCGGTTGAATTGGCTGGCACTTAAGCGATAAGCGAGGCCATGAAGGGATAGTATTCGTTGGCCTTACCACAAGGCGTAGTCGAGGCGGGCAGTTCGTATTGTGATGTCTCCGCAGCGTAATCGTATCGCCGCTATGGCGCTTGTAATTCGAGGGCGAGGCTCAAGGCCTTTCAAGTCTGGTGGCGTAGCCCGCAGTCGAGTCACTTGTTGATGGCTAATGGGTGGAATGCGTACGGTATGGAATTGTTAGACATCCCAAACTCAGGCTGTTCTGCTACATAGGTGTTGCTTGGCAACTAAGATGGGCATATAGACGTGACAATGTGTATACTAGGCTGGGCTCAAGGCATAGAGCAACGAAGCTCAATCATCCGAGACTCCAGTCAGCTTGCAGCTTTCTTCCCACAACTTCTTTGCAGATTCGGCATCAAACGCCCATGAAGCATATCCAGGGTCAGCGAGCTCCGCGCCCTCCTTTGCTGGCCCGCCGACCATACAGTCCTCGAGATACATAGCCCCTGTACCCTCCAGATCCTTCTCTACCGCAGCCCAGACGGTAGTGGCGGCCCCCTGCTCGGGTGACTTCTCCACCTTCTTGACCTCGGGCATTTCCCACATAGCTGCGAACTCGGGAACGTGGACCTGGAGGCCGGATCGAATGCCACCTGGGTTGACAGACCAGCCGTGAATGGCCTTGCCACTCGCCTTTGCGGTGTCGTTGCCATACCGGTGCTCGATTTCGTTGGCCATCCAGATAAGCGCACTCTTGGAGTGGCCGTAAGCGCCCCATTGGTGGTACACGCCAGGCTTGGCGAGGTTTAGATCATCCAGGACCGCTGGACTGTAGCGGTGGCCAACAGAGGTGAGATTGACGACGCGCGAGTTGAACTCGAGTGTCGAAGCGGCCAGAAGCTGCGGCTTGAGAAGTTGAAACAGCAGGAAATGGCCGATGTGGTTGGTGCCGATCTGGGTCTCGAAGCCGTCTTCAGTTTCCGTACGTTCAGGTATAGCCATAACACCGGCGTTGTTGATGAGGATGTTAAGCTTATTCTCCTTGCTCTGAAAAGACGCAGCGCATGCGCGGACACTTGCAAGTGAGTCTAACCTGAGTTCAAGCAGTTCAGCCCGGCCAGGCTCCAGGATATCCTGCAATGCTTCTTTGCCTTTGTCGAGATTGCGTCCCGTCATGTAGACTCTCGCGCCTGTGGCTTTCATTGCGCGAGCAGTCTCGATGCCAATGCCGCTCGTGCAACCTGTGATGAGGACAACCTTGTCGCTCCATTTTCCGACAATACCTTGGTCTTCCACAATCTGTAAGGCGGTGCGGCGGTGGTCGCCTGGGCCCGCATTATTTTCGAACTTGTGCAATTCGACATATCGGTCATACATCTTGCTTGACTGTAAAGTTGGATCGAATATTGACCGTTTGCTCTCTAGATGTATGATCGTTGAGGTGTTGATGTTCTCGTTGGCAACACGGTATCCGTGGCTGGCAACGAGTCTCTTTATACTGGCTACGCCATCTTTGCGGGCATGATACGCACATTGCGACGAAGATGGTCCAGCACGGAGATAGACTGAGCAGTGTCCTTCCTCCAGGTCGTTGGTCAGCATGATATGTAAAGAGTCCGGGTGCAGTCGGACTTTGACGAGATGCCGAAAGTCCGCAGCCAATCAACGATTGTCATGGTTTCGGGCCCCAAGATTGGTGCACCACCTCGCGTCGCTTCAGATTGGCATCGCTCCACGGTACGGCCGTGAGTCGTAAATTCGCCTGCAAGTCCTCGTTGACCCGGCATTGAGAACTTTTCGTGGCTCACAGGCGCGCCAAGCAGGTTGAATCTGGTGCCATGGCACCCTAGCTGTTCTTAGGCTCTCTTTTGGAAGCAGACAGATGTAACGCCTTGTCCTTTACGACCCCCGAATTCAAATACCTTGTACTTGATCTTGTCAAAGACATCGAACACTCCTTGAATACTTTTTGTTGTGGTGAACCATCTCACGATTTCATCCTCGGTCCAGTTACAGCTGGTGATCAGAAAGAAGCCATTGGGCTTGATCATTGCAGCGATTTTGGCCGGGTAGACTTGGTTCAAATGTTGCTGGGCACCATGTACGTCAGGCACAGTGTCGTAAGACAAGGAAATGGCATCGAACGTGCCCTTGTCCAGGACCAAGTCAAAGCCAGTCCCATCCTTTGGCCACCAGGGCATCTTTTCAGGACTTTCCTTGATCAGATCAAACACATCAAATGTCATATCGCGAACAGCGATGTGTCGCTCATCTTCGGGGTCATTGGCAAAGTGAATCTTTAGTCGGTTCGCAAGCTGAATGCCTTGGTCGGAATAGTCAATCCCCACAAGTGGTCCAGTGTAGCCACCCTCTTGGCGGAGCGAGAACAGAGCACTACCATTCCCCGTTCCGAGGTCTAGAACCGAGGCCTTCTGCTTATACTGCGACAAGGGGAACGAATCCGATGTCAAGTATTCGAGGACTTTGGCCGGAGCACCTACATCCTCAAACCAGGATTCTAGATTAGACGAATTGACCGAGTCATCTTGATTCATCTGGTTGATGATTTCGTTATGGTAGTACTGGTCCCAGCTTACAGTCGTCAGCGATAGCCACCAGCCTATCTGCCTTAGTATACAGGCGATTTGACTCACTATACACGGGTTCCGAGTTTGCTGGGTTCTAGGTGAGGGAGACTCGCGGTCCCGGTCTCGCTCACCTCTGGACCCGGATACGGTTCCATGGTCTGGAATGACAGCTCAGAGTCCTACAGTACAGATACACTTGCACAAGATTCAATTGACCGACAACTTTGAAGCGGAAAGATTTCCCTGTTGCAAAAAGTCTGAGCCAATGACGTTGTTCGGCACCCCGCCGACGAGGCTACAAGGCTTCGTCACAAATTAGTGGGACAGGCCATTATTGAATTTCTAAGCCAGCAACATAGAAGCCACCCGACTTTGTACATAAGCCTCGTTGCCTCCTTGCGCTACTTAGCCTTCTTACATCCTCCTCAACTTTCTCTTGCGCATAGATCACTCCCTCAAGCACAATGGCGAGCCGGGAGAACGACCCTGTTCACGACTCGGACATGCAAGACGAAGACCTTCTCGATGCGGACGAGGCAGCAGAAGAGATACAGCAAGATGATGACCAACCCATGGATGATGAGGACGAAGAGGAAGAGATCCAACTGCAAAATGATTCTGCGGCTTATTTCGACTCCCATGCAGACAGCATATTCTGTATAGCGCAGCACCCTACCAACCCTGGTATAGTGGCTACTGGAGGTGGTGATGATGTCGCGTACGTCTTTGATACCACGCTAGCTCCTGGACCTGTTCTGCCTAGCTCCTATGAGAGCGAACCAAAACCTCAAGGGGAACGAGCGGGTCTGCCCGCCCTCCAGAAGCTCGAGGGCCATAAAGACTCCGTGAACGCAATTGCTTTTACACTACCAAAAGGCGACTATCTGGTGACTGCCGGACTCGACGGCCAATTGAGGGCCCATCAGAGCGACAAATCAGCAACACAGTACAAATTCTTCGCCGAAGCATCAGAAGTGCAAGAGATCAACTGGGTGAAACCATGCCCAAACCCTGATCAGCCCAATGTAATTGCGCTGGGAGCCAACGATGGTTCTGTATGGGTATACCAAATCAATCACACGGATACCTCGAGCCCTCTTACGATCGTTCAAGCCTTCTACCTCCATACCGCATCATGCACCGCTGGCGCGTGGACACCTGACGGTAAGCTACTGGCTACAGTCTCTGAAGATGGAAGTCTGTATGTCTGGGACGTGTTTGAGACTGGCCAAGCACTAGTCAGTCAGACTGCCGCAGATCAGCGCTTCGAGATCGATGGTGGTCTGTACAGTGTTGCTTGTACGTCGAGCATCGTTGCGGTTGGTGGTGCTACCGGCATGATCAAGGTTGTTGGACTTCCCCAGCCGGCAGACCAATCGAAAAAGACCAAGGCGGGAAAGGGCTCGAATCCGACCGCAGCATCAGCTGGACAGATACTGGCCTCTCTACACCCTCAGAACGAGAGCATCGAGACACTGTCGTTCTCTTCAGCGCCTCTTAACATCCTCGCCGCCGGCAGTGTTGATGGTTCGATTGTACTGTTCGATACAGCTCACCGCTTTGCTGTCCGACGGCATATCAAAGAAGCACATGAAGAGCATGCCGTTGTCAAGCTTGACTTCGTCAGAAATCCGCAAAAGGGTGCCCATATCCTCACGAGTGCTGGCATGGATGGCGTTATCCGAAGGTGGGATGTCAGAGGCGGCACGACTGCTGCCGGACAAGGGTTCATCCAGGAGTGGCGGGGTCATAGGGGAGATGGCGAAGGCGGCGGGGTTCTAGACTTCGTGCAGGGCGGTGGCGGTAATGTCACTGTCAGTGCTGGAGATGATGGTGTTTCACTTGTCTTCAAAACAGAGATTGCCTGAAAGCGAAAGCTTACTTCATGGCAACAGTCATGTTGAACGGCAGAAATCGCAGCGACCGCAGATTTTACGCTCTTACCATTTGCCCAACGTGCAGCGGACGGTCGCGATGAACGATACTCAAAACGCCACCGTAGTCCTCAACTGATGGCTGCTCCAGAGGACCACAGCTTATCTGCACACCACAGGGAACATGAACTACCCGACAAAGCCTGCCGAATTGCACTGCGGCTCTCCCATGCTCAACAAAAATGGAGTTCACCTAACAACAGCACCTATCAATGCTGTTCCCGACCTTCTCCAAGAATGCCTCGTCCATTTGTCCGCGAGGTTCAGTCAGTATGAACGCCGAGGTTTGGCCTGCAATTTCAACTCTGCGAGCGGATTCAGTCCTGGCAGCAAGTTACAAGATCATGACTACATCCTTGGGAACTTCACATCGTCACGAACCGTCTGGCTCGACCGCATAGGCACGGCCACTGCCGAATACGTACCTGACGAGAAACCCCTGAAAGTCGAAATCAAAGCGAATAGTATGGTCAATTACAAGCGACACTGTCCTGCGAGGCGTGCTCCACCCTCGTCAAAAGGTCGGCTGGAAGGCTTAGGATGAGCCTGATGAACCTGCCGGTCTGTATCCAACTGATCTCTCGACGTTTTGAACAGCGAGAGCGACCTCCCAGAGAGACAACAGCGGGCATGAGAAGCCAACATAATGGCATAGACCTCGAGGATGTGGCGATGTGGAATAGCCTCTAGGAGCTGGGAAAAGTGATGGGCTGGCTCGGACCCGAATTCTCAGCAAAGCACATTTGGTTTGTCGAACTTCGGTAAATACCTGGTCGCCTTGTTGCCTGACGCCACCCTGTGATGTTCCTGAGCCACACGTTAGCAGACACCGTCCCTTGTGCTATGGAGATCTCCCAACCAAGGGTCCCAATTCAAAGCCATAGACCAAGGATCTTCGGTTCACTTTGTGTTTTTATGCTTTGACACCGCGTGTTGATGTTCGAATATTTCTGCTTGAGCGGACTTCGCATACGGGTCATTCCCGGGGCGATAATTGATATCTTGCCCCGCCACAATACGATGCCTCGAACTAAGGAGCAGTAATTCTTTCATGGCCCAGAAATTCAAACCTCTGATCTGCCCAGGTAGACCTAGCATTGCTTGCACCAGCCAGGGAGCTTGAGCTGCATGCTCTTTGATGGTCCAAGCCTGTCGATCGCTGTACCTGTTACCACCCATAATACCTGCATCAGACTTGTCCCGATACACGCCTAGGGTTCCAAACCGAAGATGTTCGTCACGATCAGTTTTCTCTCATTGTTGCTACCCCTGTCTATGCAGTGCATATCTCGCGATCTTGCGCCTTCTCCGCGCCAATGAACTCGGTCACGAGGCCATGCGGCTGGGACGTCATCGCTTAATTTTCGATCTTGGTTCTACTTCCCATCGAGCTGGGTCTTCGGTAGCGGCGTGGATTCCTGTACATATCGCCGACCGCAGTCGTCATGAAAAAACTTGAAAGAAAACCGTCTCGCGCTCCCCACCTGTGCCCGGAATTTCGTGTCAACCTCAGGCTCTTTTTTTTGCTGGAACGAGGTCCTATCTAGCAAGAACAAGTTCCTGGCTGGGAGGCGCAACTGATTGGTCCACGGCGGTTTAGCAGCGACTGGAACTTCCCATAATCGAACTACAGTTATTGTTGTAGCAGATCCCATCCTTGTGCCTGGAAAACAGTCGCTCGCTACCACCAACATGGCGCCCATCAAGCTGTCCAAGATCTTGGACAAGGAAGGGCAGGTGGTCTTCTTTTCTGCCACAGCTATTGCGCTGTATGGGTACGATCAAGGTACAGAGAATCACCTATATGCACTCCCACAGAACCCAGTGTCATCTTCCCATGCCCAGGCCCGTCCTATGTCCCCGTGTTCTAACCCCTCCAATATAGGCATGATGTCGCTCATCAACACCAATAAGAACTACCTCAGCACCATGGGCATCCCCGGTGACGACCCCCTTGTGGGCATCATCGTTTCCGTATACTATCTGGGGTGCGCCTTTGGTGCCATCCTCGCCTCATGGGTAAGTTTCTCTCCACCGCCGCACCGTCGGCCGCTGTCCGTTGACACCGATCCAGTTCTCCGACCGCTTCGGCCGCAAACCCTCCATCCTGGCCTGTCTCCTCACTGCTTCCCTCGGCAATCTGATCATGTTCGTCGCCGGCATTCATGGCACGGCCTACGGCCGCGAAGTCATGCTCATTGGGCGCATCGTCATGGGCCTTGGCGTCGGAGGCATTGACGCCGTTGTGCCAGTCTACAGCGCAGAGCTCAGCACCGACGAGGCGCGCGGCACTGCGCTGGCACAGGAGTTCCAGGCCAACATCCTGGGCCTCAACATGGCTTTCGTTATCAACATGGCATTGACGCACAATCTGGGCAAGTACAGCCAGTGGGCGTGGCGCTCCCCAATCATCATCATGCAGATCTTCCCCATCACCATGCTGGCCGTGACGGGCCTGCTGCCGGAAACGCCTCGCTGGTATATCCTGCATGACAAGCCCAAGCAGGCGGAAAAAGCCATCGCCAAGGTGTGGGGACAGGATGCCGTTGAGGGGCGGATCACCGCTCTGAAGGAAGCGCACAAGACGGAGCAGGAGGACGGCATGGTGGGCTATGCCGACATGCTATGGCCGACGGGCACGCAGTTCCATCCGACAGTCGTGACGGTCATGGGGCAGGTCAACCAGGCGCTGACGGGCTATGGCGCCGTGAGCGTCTACGGCCCGCAGATCTTTGAACTTCTGGGCTTCGGCGTCACCGAAGCCGAGTACCTGACCATGGGCAACTATCTATTCTACCTGGGCATGATGACGTTCGCGTGGATTCTGATCGACCGCAAGGGCCGGCGCTGGCTGATGGTGCGTGGTGCGTTCTGGCTGGCCGTATCCTTCGCCCTATTGGCCGTGCTTGGTGGGCTGGCCTACAACCGGCAGAAGTTGGGGATACCGCTGCTGGCGACCGGGGTGCCGGGCATTGTCACGCTGTACATGGCGACGGCGGTCTTTGGCATAGGATGGCTCGTGCCGCCTTGGCTCGTCCCCGTCGAGATATACCCCAGCACCGCACGAGCGCAGGGGTCGGCGGTCAGTGTCGTGATCTGGGGCTTGGCCAACTTCGCCGTGACGTTGCTGACTCCGATCGGCTTCAACGATCTGGAGTACTATCTATTTGTTGTGTTTTGTGGGACGAATGCGGTCGCGGGCATTTGGACTTGGCTGTACTGCCCTGAAACTGGCAATCGAAGCTTTGAGGAGAACCAAGACTTCTTCAAGGAGGCGGCGGACATTGGAGAGTGGGCCGTGGTGAAGGTGAAGAACGGAGAGTATAAGAGATTACCTGGAGAGAAAGGAAGTGACGATGGGGAGGGTGGCGCTGGTGCAAAGAAGAAAGATGATGGAGAAAGGGAACCTTTACTAGGAAGGAGAGATAGCTGAGAAGAAGCGTCTATCTTGCAGTTTATAGTTGATGACGTCGGTACATACAGTAACAAGGCACACTCGCAACGTGGTGTAGGAGCGCCCGCTATGATTACCCGGTGCATTGTAGATTCAGTGTAGTACGAAACCCATCCAATGCGCCCACCCCGACCATCAGATGCAATGCATTCCGCGTCCCGCCGAAATCTAGCCTTCACAAGCAGTGGTGACTTACGCCTCATCGATGAGGTGCTCAAGCTTCTTGGTGATCTCGAGGAGCTCCTCCTTGATGTCAGACTTGATGTCCGCAGCCTTGTCCTCGACGGCCACGAGCTTGTCGGTGATGTAATCCTCAGCAGAGAAGTGGGAGACTTGGTAGCCTCCATCGGAGACGATCTCGCTATAGTTGGTCTTACCGCCACCGTTCCATGCGAGAATGTTGGCAGTGTCCGGACCAACGTCAGACAAAGCACCCTTGGTCGCAATGCCAATGATGTCGGCCTTGAGTTTCTTCGGGCTGATCTCAGCAACGGCATAGGCAGAGTCGGAGCTTGGCTGGAGAGACAAGAGATAGGCCAAGAGACCACAAACATGAGGAGAGGCCATCGAGGTACCAGAGATGATGTTGGTGGCATACTTGCTTCCGACCCAGGTAGAGAGAATGTTCAGTCCAGGAGCGAAGATGTCGTTGCACTTGCCGTAGTTGGAGAAGTAGGCACGCTCATCGGCAAGGGTAGAAGCACCGACAGTGACAGCGTTCTCAGCAGCGGCAGGCGAGTAGTTGCAGGAGTCCGCATTGTCGTTGCCAGCAGCGACAGCAAAGTGCAGACCCGCATCAACCGCAGCATTGACAGCAAGATCCAGAGTGCGGGACTTGCCGCCACCCAAGCTCATGTTGGCGACAGAGCCCTTGAAGCCCTTCTTCTTGCCCTTCTTTGCAGCGCTAATGGACTCAGTGTGCGAGGTAGCAGCCCACTCAACACCCTTGACGACATCAGACATGGTGCCGGAACCGTTAGACTTCAGAACCTTGACAGCGTAGACGTTGGCCTTCTTGGCGACGCCGAACTTCTTGCCAGCAACGGTGCCGGAGCAGTGGGTGCCGTGGCCGTTGCCATCAACATCCTCGTCACCGGTAGGGATGGTCTTGCCCCAGCTGGCGCGACCTTCGAAGTCCACGTGCTCAATGTTTGTACCGGTGTCGATGATGTAGGCATCGACACCCTCGCCGGCGTTTTCAGTGTAGAGGTACTTGTTAAAGGTATCGAAGCCGAGGCTGTCGCGGTGGGAAATACGAGCGAGACCCCATGGGGCATTCTTCTCGAGTTCAGGCGACTCCTTCATCGTGTGAACTTCAGAGTCCATCTCCACGTATTCGACCTGCGTTGCACGTGAGCATCAATTTCCATCGATAACATGCGATAGGGTCGGGACTCGAATATGCAACTTCAGCACATCGCATCATAGCGCTAGCTATTGCGTCGGAAGGCCTTCGAGGCTTATCGAGCCAGGATCGAATGAGATAAGGGAGTCAACTTACATCTGGGTGCATGCGCACCTTCTCGATCACATCCTCGTCAAAGTGACCAGAGTAACCCAGAAGCTTGCCAGGGATGTGGTATGTGTGCTTCAAGCCCGAGAATACGGATTCTTGGTCTGAGTTGATACCGCGCTTGCGGAGCTCCATGCGCTCGGTGTGGGAGTCATCATGGACGCCTTGGACCCAGAGCTGGTGAGCTGCGGCGGCATCCTTGCTGACGTGGTCCTTGAAGACGACGATATAGGAGTCAGGAACGTGCTTGGAGTTGACAGATGAAACAATGGGTGCAGCTCCGTTGTGGATGGTGTCAATGAACAATGGCGAGCCAGCCGCCAGGACAGGCAGAGCTGCCAGACCGAGGAAGCCTCTCATGGTAGCGAGGACGAGCCGAGGGGACGTTGGGTGGCACTCAAAAGCTAGCAATATGTCCCGTCAAGTATCCAGACGGAAGATTGAACAAGAGAAAGAGATGGATATGATTGATGGTGCGGGTGAGAGGGAGAGGGAGATAAGAGGTCAGTCAGAAGCAGAGAGTGTCCTGGAGCCTGTTAGAGACGGAGGCGATGCTCCCGCGTGGATGACGCATGTGACCCAGCCAGCCGCCGAGAAGGCACCGCCCCGGGCAACGCAAGCTGGCCCGGCGATGTGGGGTTGCGGCTCGTGAGCGGTGGTCTCAGCCGCATGATTTGGGGCTAGTCCAGCCTTAGCACCCCTCTTGACAAGGCTGCAAGTGACAGGGCCCTTACGCGCAGGCACCGCGGAACACTAGCAAAGACGTCGACTTGATGCAATAATTGCAATTGTATAGGCCATACAAAGATCGTTTCAAGCGTCTTGTCTCTAACTTTTTCTGGACCGATCCCAACGATAGCTCGGTTTTTGGCGGTTGTGAGCTCTCATACGCCACACAGCCAACCCGCCTATCTTAGTACTTGCGGCCCAGCATCAGCTCATCACTCAATGCTGACTGTATAAAACGCCTTGACGCGGCATAGCAGCCGGATGCAGATACAGCATCCCCAAATGATTCCAGACCAGACAATACCCTGATGACCCTCTTCTCAGCACCGCTGGTGAAGTGGCCGCAGAAGAGGCTCCGCTGCCACCATGAGCCTTGCCGTCAGCACTCAAGGCCGCTCGCGCGCGATATCGACCGCTATCGTCCCCGAACCTAGAGATGGCGACATTTCGGGTCTTGTCGACGTCCTCCGAGTTATAGACAGATCCTCCTACTCGGCGCTGGCGCATGCGTTGGAAGATTCTACAGTGCTGCAGCAATTGAGACATATTTTGAAGGATGACAATGACCTGCACGGTTCTAAAGGGGGCTTCCGACGCGTTGGAGGCCACCGCGTGCTGTTGACGTCGTTGAAAGCCCTGACCGATCTTTTTACCTCGCAGGAGGTGTCTCCCTCGGAGAACAAGCGACTGCTACAGAATCTTAGCCAACTGCTTGGAGTTCTTAGTGCTTCCCTTGAAGGTCATGCAGGCAACCAGCGTTTCTTCAGAACGGGACCAAATGGCAACGGCTGGGATGAAATCGAATCCTTGGCTACAGTCCTTGTGAAGAAGATTGAGCAATCTACGCACCAGGACCTCGCAGTGGAATCATTCCTCGGCCTGTTGCTCGTGGCCGCAACAGGCGAGGAAACTGTCACTGATACATACACTTCAATCACGAAATCACAGCCAGTCCAAGGACTCGAGTCTATCACGGAGGACACAATTGCTGAGATTGAAGACCGCGTTAAAGCTGCGCTTGCTGGCGCAACCGATTTGGTCCTTCCAGAGTTTCTGACAATTCAAGTGTCTGCTTGGAGAGCGTCCCAACGAGCCGCCCCCTCCATGGTGCACTTTTCATTGCCTCTGAGTCTGAAAGCGCTCATTTCGACCACCAGACATAATCTGGTGAATGCTCATCTCGTTGGCCTTTCTTCGACACTGCTGCCGCTACTCTTCAGCAATGATCTGCCTGCCCAACAAAGAAAGCTCTGGAAGGATGTGGCTCTTTTGCTTTATCAGGAAGGCGCTTCCAGTCTCAAAGAAGCTGGCCAGCTGTTCAGCAGTGCTCGATCAAAGACAGATGCTTCCCTTTTTCTGCTGGATGCGATCAAGAACTCCCGCCGACCTTCGAGCATCCAATTCGACTTGTCTACATCTGGATATTCGTCTGTTGAATTGGCGACTTTAGGTGCATCGTTCCCTCCTACCGAAGCTGCCGGCTATACTCTGAGTGTCTGGGCACGGTTCGACGAGTTTGACTCAACCGCACATACAACCTTATTTGGTGCCTTCGACCGCTCGCAGAGCTGCTTTGTGCTCATCTATCTTGAGAAAGATACCCATCACTTGATCCTGCAGTCTTCAATTCGTGGATCGCGGCCAAGCGTCCGTTTCAAGGCAATCGTCTTTGAGCCTGGACGATGGTATCACATAGGCCTCGTCCACAGGCGGCCACGGGCAACAAGCTCATCCAAGGCTTTTCTGTTCGTGGATGGTGAGTTTGTCGAACAACAAAAGGCCAGCTACCCTTCCATACCGCCTTCGGATCGTGGCCAGCGGCTTAAAGTGCAAGCATTTTTCGGCACACCACACGATCTTTCGCCTGCTTCTTCGGGCGGCCAGTGCACTTCCAAGTGGTCACTCGCATCTGCTCACCTGATCTCGGATGCCCTCAGCGACGATCTGATTGCAGTCTTCTACAACCTAGGCCCGCAGTATCATGGCAACTTCCAGGACTGTCTGGGAGGTTTTCAAACATACAAAGCTTCTGCTGCTTTGAATCTACGTAATGAAATGCTTCATCCCGGAAAAGAGGACAATTCAGAGCTCATTCTGGCCATCAGACAGAAAGCCAGCGATCTGATAGCCGAAGGCCGTGTCCTGCTGTCCATCTCGCCGGCATCAGTCTTAGACTCGGACGATCGAAATCATATCGATGAATCGCAGCTGGTCAAATCGTTGTCAAAGCTCGCCGCAAAAAATTTAGTCGCTTACACTCGGTCAGGCTCTAACGCTGTGGCGATCAACGGAGCCGTGCCTTCCATCAACGATGCACTGACACAGGCTCGTGGAGTCGCAATGCTGATGGGCGAGCCGACGGTAGCAGTCCCGCAGCCCTTGGAAGATGCCGCATGGCGTCTGGGAGGATGTGCACCAGTTGGCCTTGGCCTAGTTGCACAGGCTACGACCACCGAAGACCTCGCAGTCGCTGTTGATATTTTATTCGAGACTATACGGTCAAGCTGGCGAAATAGCGACGTCATGGAACGCGAAAGGGGCTACGAGATCCTTGCAATGCTTCTCGGGGGAAAGTTGTCTCTCAACACCGACGCCACGAAGCCAGTGGCCATCCTTCCAACGTCAGCCTTGGATCGACCCGGCGTCTTCCTGAAGGTTCTTGGTTCCGTTCTGGATTTCGTTGGATACGACTCGCATCAGAAAGATCAGTCAGTGATCAATAACCCCATGGCGTACAAGACGCTACTTGTGGACTGCAGCATATGGCGGTGTGGTCCACAAGCCGTACAAGAGCTGTACTTCGAGCAGTTCCAGATTTTTGCAGCCACAAGTATCCATGCGCGTTTCAATTTGAAGCGCCTGGCGCGTATGAGAGTTTTACGCAGGCTACTTGAGGCACTAAAATCCGAGCCTGTCTCACAGACTGCTGTGCAAGCGTACATGGAGACCTTCAGAGTCTTGCTTCCACAAGCAGTCTCCGCTGAACTCCTGCGATCGATGGCCTTGTTTGTGACCTACGCGGTCAGCAAGCGTCACCAGGATCTACCGACGCGCCGCGGAACACGGCGTTCTACACGGCCTCGACAGTCCTCCAACCCAAGTCCGTCCCGACATGGTGAAGAGCCTGGTACTTCCCTGACTCACTTTGAGATTGGCATGGAAGTCCTGCGGCTCTACTCCGATGTCTTATGCAAGGATAGCGATGATTTCTTGATTAAACGCTTCGCCAAAACTGTCACCAACAAATGGGTCCTCTATCTTATGGCTGAGACATCTCCCGAGATCGTGGTGTTATCAATGAGGATCATGGCTCGATTGATGGTAGTTCACGGTGATGCTTACGTCAAGAAACTGAAGGATCGAAGCGGTGGATTTGAGATCCTGGCGCACAGGCTGAAGCGTTGGTGGCATCTACCCGCCCTATGGCCATGCTGCTTCGCAATTTTATTCGGTGTTGACGTGGCCAAGCTCGACTTGAATCGTCCCTTTGATCTTTTTGGTCTTGTGGAATTGTTCAATGGTCGAAAAGAGCTGTCTGTGGTGTATCCCGAGATGTTTCGAGTTATCACAAGCATGCTTCAGAGCGGGCTCAAAGCAATTGTTTCGTCCAAGCAACACGAAAAACCAACACTTTCCGTTCCGCAAGAGCCAGTTTCTGGGGCTTCAACGCCGCAGCGCCTTTCAATGTCGACAATGGCGCCTCCAAACCCCTTACTGACTATCGTCACAAGTCAACATGTGGACACATTCGGTATCGTTCTTAGTTTCCTGTCTGACCTCCATGCACGGTCTGCAAAGTTTCGCGAGTTTGCTGCAAGCTCATCGTACGTACAAGACCTTCTGGGAGTACTTTTTCCTGTGGTTGTCGGCAGCGACATCGTCGATGCAAGCACAGAGCTCAACGCAAGAGACTCTACTTTGACATTCGATGGAAGCGATGTCGTTGTGCAGCCACTCTCTTCCGCCCCTCCAATTGTCCGAACGTCCAATGTGGAGGCTCCCCAGGTAAACTCTAGAGGCAAAGCATTACGGAGAGGCTCATCTTTCGTTCTGGTCACAAAGGAAGTTGGACGTCAGAATGGCTCTCAGTCGAGCTTGACACAGACTGTCACCCCAGCATCGCCCATGGCTGAACCACCTGAGCTCAACGACGGTTCTGCTATCGTTCAGAATCTTCTCGAAATCATTGTGGCGGTGTTCATCGACCAGATCGTGGCGAGGAAGGATTTCCCCGGTTTAGGTCTGTTCCTGAAAACTCCACCGGGCTTCGTGGAGCATCAATCATACTTCGAGTCATGGATTCTCCGCAATGCCGTGTCGCAGTTGTCGAATTATCTCAGCTTAAATCAGCAGATATTAGCAGAACCGAAGGTGTTGACGAATCTCGCCCGATTATTCTCACATTTTGGTGAAGCTCTATTCGAAGGATGGTTCATTGGTGGGGCCGAATGCCTTCTTGACTTGTCCGGCTCGATTCTGGAGCATCTCCAGCGCCCCGATATTGCTGCTCTGAAGAGCGTCAGGCTTTGTTCTCAGGCCATTGGGGTGATTAGGGCAGTCGTCTTTCGCACCGTCCTACTGAGCCTTTCTCAACTCCAAGACGAGGATTCATTTGCTTTCCTTGAAAAGCTCAGTTACTGGCAAACTGTGCTGTTATCCGCAGAGGAGACACAATCAACGCATTTGCAGCTGGTCTGCTACTTGCTCTACGCCAGCTTGGTTTCGCCACGGGAGACCGTTAGAAACGCCGCAGCCAATCTTTGGCGCATAATCTTGGTCCAAAAACCAGCGGAAGCGGCTGCAATTCTTGGTTATGCAAACACAGCAGAGCAGAAGCGGCTGGTAGCAAGCTTCGAAAAGCTTGTTGAATTGGACAACGAAACGTTCCTCTATTGGATAGATGAGCATCGGGACGAGCTTGATCTTCTGTTCTTCGATACTCTATCCAAAACATGGGATCACTTCGTTGCCGAGGAGAATAAGCGAACAGAAGAGGGCGCGCGAAGTCGGATTTCCAGGCGAAGAGAGAAGTTGAAAATGTGGGCACGCGAGGAAGCCGATGAGGCTGAGCTCATCAGACGCCACGAAACTACATTTGAGCATTGGACCGCCAACATCTACTCGGCAGAGCATCTGAAACACCAGAGACTCTTACAAGACCATCAGGACGATCTTCATTTTGCCGAAACCTCCTTTGCAAAGATGCAGAGGGACACGGCTCGATCATCAGGCGTTTTCCCCGAAGAAAAGCCTCGCAAATGGAGGCTCGATCAGACAGAAGGCCGCAACAGGATGCGCATGCGACTACACGAAGATCACAGCAAAGCGCAGCAGGATCAGCAGCCCAAGCGGAAAGGCACAGATACTCCAGCACTCCAGCTTGACACTAAAAACGTGAAGATGAGCAGTCTGGAGGCAGTTGCTGCGACTCCGGCTCCTCAATCTGCTGTCGACTCTGATGTAGACGGAGTCCGTGAAGCCTTTCCAGATGCACCGACCAATGGTGATGGGTCAAAGCCAAATGATGTCGATGATAGCTTTGAGCTTATTGAGGATCCAAACGAGGGTCAGGAGGATGCAGAGGATAAGAATCGCAAAGTTATGCGCAGCCTCGAGAGAGGTGACCAAGTCAAGCACGTCGCCAATATTTCTCGCATACTTGGACTGGAAGCAGTTGAAGGCCTGCTCATATTGGGCAAGGATCATGTGTACTTGATGGACAATTTTTTCCAACGTGCGGATGGAGAGATTGTCAACGTGTGGCAAGCACCTCAAGAAGAACGGGACTCTTACATTCGAATGATTTCGGGCCGAGATGTTACGGTGCGCAAAGCAACGGCACGTGATAACGAACACGAAGTCAGGAGTTGGAAGTGGTCTGAAGTTATCAGTGTCTCGAAACGACGATTCTTATTCCGAGATGTTGCTATCGAGATTTTCTTTGGTGACGGACGCAGCTACCTACTTACTGTCGTTTCGCCACAAGCCCGGAATGATCTGCATTCGCTCATCAGTGCCAGGGCACCGTCTTTTGGATCCCCAGACAGCCCCCAGTCGGAGTTCGCCTGGCGATACGAAACGCTCAAGTCTGTGGATGACGAGCCACAAGGCTTCGGTTCTCGCTTCGCACACGTCTTCAGTCAAACAGCAGCAATGACTGCTACAAAGAAGTGGCAGAAGGGTGAGCTGTCGAACTTCCACTATCTCATGCTTGTCAATACTCTCGCGGGTCGGACTTATAATGATTTAACGCAATACCCGGTCTTCCCGTGGGTGATTGCTGACTACACAAGTGCCGAACTCGACCTGAACGACCCACAAACCTTCAGAGATCTGTCGAAACCTATGGGCTGTCAGACATCAACCCGGGAAGCCGAGTTCCGCGATCGATACAAGACATTCGCAGAGATGTCTGACGAGAATACTCCGCCTTTTCACTACGGCACGCACTATTCGTCGGCCATGATTGTCACATCGTACCTTATCCGGCTACAGCCATTCGTCAAGTCGTATTTACTTCTGCAGGGGGGCACATTCGATCATCCAGACCGCATGTTTTTCTCCATCGAGGGAACATGGAAATCGGCTTCAAGAATGAACATGACGGACGTGCGCGAGTTGACGCCCGAGTTCTTCTACCTACCGGAGTTTCTTGAAAACCTGAACGATTTCGATTTTGGAACCCGACAAAATTCCAGTAAATCCATCAGCTCCGTCGAGCTTCCGCCGTGGGCGAAAGGCGACCCGAAAATCTTCATCTCGAAGAATCGAGAAGCCCTGGAAAGCCCATATGTGAGCAAGCGTCTGCATCAATGGATCGACCTCGTCTTTGGGTTCAAGCAAAAAGGTGAAGCCGCCATCGAGGCAGCCAATGTGTTTCATCATCTATCATATCAAGGGGCAAAGGATCTGGATGCGATCACGGACCCTGTGGAACGGCTGGCGACTATTGGCATTATTCACAATTTTGGACAGACACCTTACCAAGTTTTTCAGCGTGCACATCCTGCCCGCGAGCAGAGCCGGCACAAGTACAAACGGCTAGATACGGCAGCTGAGTCGCTGACGAGGCTCCCTTCCACACTCCTGGACAGTGAGGAGCGCGTGGCCTCGTTGTGCTATGCATGGAAAGCGGACAAGCTCTTATGTTCGGGTCCTTTCCGGATCAATATGCCGCCGCATTACGAGACCTACATGGAGTGGGGGTTCTCCGATAACAGTGTCCGCTTCTACTCAGCGGATAGCGGCAAGCAGATCGGCTTATTCGAACATCTGCACATCGGACAACTATCGTGTGCGATCTTTGCCGACTCCAAAACATTGATCACCGCCGGCACTGACTCCACCGTGGCTGTGTGGGAGATCCATCATCATGGAAAAGTGCTGAACCTGCTCCCCAAAGCCACGCTGTTTGGGCACCGAGAACCGGCTACTGTGCTGGCTATGTCGCGATCTTTCAATGCGCTGCTTTCAGCATCGAAGGCTGGGGAGCTAATGCTCTGGGACCTGAATCGCTGCGAATTCGTTCGCAGGATCGACGGGAACATGGAAATTCAATGCGCTTGCGTCAACGACGTGACTGGCAACATTGTCTTGTGCCATGGCTCCCAGATCAGCGTCTATACGATCAACGGCGATTTGCTGGTGCGGCAAGAGTCCGGCGACAGGAGTGGGGAGCATATCGTCTCATGTGCCTGCTACGAAGGAGCGGGTAATGAATGGCTGGAGCGCGACATCATATTCACGGGTCATAAGTGGGGAGTCGTAAGGATATGGAACAAGGTGATTCATGACGGACGGTTTGAGCTTGAGCTCATTCGACAGCTCAATCACGTCGACAGTAGTCGCGGAGATGGCGCTAACGTCAGCTCTGCTATAAGCTGCATCTTGCCAATGCCGCAGATGGTGTACACGGGAGACGAAGATGGCCGAGTGGTGAGTTTAGCTGACGTTTACCGAAGCATACCGCTGACATGTGGAACAGTGCGAATGGAATTGCGTGCAGAGACAGTAGAGATGGCGGCAGCCCGTGAGGTTTCTTTTTGCATAGCGAGGCGCAAGCTGGAAAGACTAAAAGCGCAAGGGCTAACATTTGGCCAAACAATATTGGACGATGATGATGATGATGATAGACAAAAGCTTGAGATGGCCGCACATGTAGAGTCGATTCAAGCAGGGACCGACCGTGTAAGGATGTAAGTGGTAGATCCAGGCGCGGATGCACCGAATACGATGATGAATGGGCCGAATAATCCTGGCCCTCACTGAAGCTCTGCAGGGACTGTGCAGCATCATGCACGCCAAGGAGGGACGAGGCAGCTGAAGGCGACCAGCCCAAGCACCACGAGTCCCGCGAAATCGGGTTTGGGCCACTGCACGCACATGCGTCAAGGATGCGAGATTTGGGTTGAGTGGGTAAGACAACGCCAATGATTGTGCTACACGACTTCAGGCAGGTTGTAGGCCGCAGTCAACTTTGATCCGCCTGTCGAGGCAGCCCTGGTTGCACAGAGCATGCACCGCGGCCGAGTCTTCTCTGATGTCGTTTCTGTACATAGCGAACGGCCTTGGAGAGTCCTGGACGGCAATAGTAGCGGAAGCCACAGGGGAGAAACCCAAGTGAAATGGAGGATTGACGTGAAACAAGCGAAGAGGCTAGAGCGAAAAGAGGTTGCTGAGGGGAGCGGTTGCCTCGACGACCATGTGTTTGCCAAGGCTGCGTCAACGTGTCGCTCGACGACCCAGGCTAAAAACCGAAGCCCAAGCTCCTCCTGACCACTCCTTTCTCTCTCTCACTCACATTCCACACTCTGCTCAACAGTCAGTGCGTACAATCTTATTCATCCACGTTGCAAGTTGATCACCAATCAGCCTGCTTCGGTCTGTGCAGCAGTGTGCCCTGAACTCCACGGCACTGCTCACCATTCTCCCCATTTCAAGAACGACTTGTCCCCCCAAGTCAGTCTTGACTCTCGACTGCCGAAAGGGAGAAGAGAGTTGAGGCGCTCCAAAGGCCGACAATCTGGACTTTGACGCTCGAGTCCCCATTCCGATTAGTGTCTTCCCGTCGACGTACCGGAGTGACGCTACTTCCGAAGACTCTACCACGACCAAGGTAGAAGGGGAAGTTCAAGTTCAGGGTCGCCCCTCGCGCGGACGGGAAGATACTCGGATCTCCAAGGAGCAGCTCGATATCAACATCAAGGACGACCGCCGCAAGGATCGCGACGACGTTCATATCTACGAGAAGACTGACCGCATCATCCGTGACGATCGGTACCCCGAGGTAGAGCTCACCAGAGAGAAGTAAGTCAGCCACCTTCACCGCTGAGGCCTACCATCTAACAATTGCAGATACAGAGCACCTGATCAGTACTACAAGGACGCCAAGGTTGACATCGAAGTCGACCGCAAAGACTCCCGCGAACACTACGACGTCGAGTACGACCGACGTCAGACCTACGACCGCGAAGCTCGTAATCAGTTAGACGAGACCGAGCGAGACTACCGCCGCCGCACCAACACCTACGACGTCGAGTACGAGCGCCGCCGCCCTACTACAGACGTCCGCGTCGAAGAGAGCATCAAGCTCGACAAGCACAAGCGTGATATGGGCTATTACGACGACGAGGGTCACTACCACAGCTTCCGCCGTGGTCTCGAACGTGCCGCTGACCGCCTAGTCCACCCATTCTCTCATCGTCACCACCACCATCACCACCACGCCACCGAGGTCTCTGACGACCGCCGTCCCGAAGCCGTTGAGGAGGTTGCCGGTCCAAGCCGCGTTAGAGACGGAGCTCGTGATCAAGTCCGCTTTGTTGAGCCCCGCCGCGCCATGTCTCGCTTCGACACAGTAACCATCCCCTGCCACTTTATCCGCGTCGGCGACCTTGTGATTCTGCAGGGCCGTCCTTGCGAGGTCATCCGTATCAGCTTGTCTTCCCAGACTGGTCAGTACCGCTACCTCGGCGTGGACCTCTTCACCAAGAAGCTGCAAGAGGAGTCGAGCTTCAACACCAACCCCGAGCCATCTGTCTATGTGCAGAGCATGCTCGGCCCCGTCTTCAAGCAATACCGCATCCTTGACATCCGTGACGACGGCCTCCTCGTCTGCATGACCGAGACCGGCGACATCAAGCAAGGCCTCTCCGTCATCGACAACAACGGCCTCTTCAGCAAAATCGAGGGCTCCTTTAACGATGGTCGTGGCTCCGTCCGTGCCCTTGTCATCAACGACGGCGGTCGTGAGCTGGTCGTTGACTACAAGGTCATCCACGGCTCTCGCCTGTAAAGACACGTCTAAACATTCTCTGTCTTGGGATTGGGGGGCCAGGTAACGGGGCTAGGTAAAAGACAACCGGGACACAAGATTGTATGAACGTCCATTTAATGACCGCTGTCTCAACTTCGATGATGCTGCTGCCGCTGTGGTATGAACGGAACCCTTCACTGGACGACCAAACATTGATGAATCTCACCTTGTGCATACATAACGACAACGTCCTTACCTGGTCAAGCATGCCGCGGAGCATCTGGTGCCGTTGCTGTTGCTGCGTCAGCAGCGAAGCCTCTGTTGCTTCCGTTGTGGCATGCGCTGTACATGGGAATTTGGGGGAATGGCGGGCGCAGATAGTTTGCCTTTTTGCAAATGAGAAATTGTTTCATACCCTAATTTGCCATTATATTTCTCTTCTTCTTTTTTCCTTTCATCAAAGCAATCTGCTTCTGCTATTCCTGACAAGTCGAGGTGTTGGTTGCCACCGCTCGTCGTGGTTGGTGGTTGGTGTGTTGCGTCGCGCGTGGATTATAAATGCCGGCGGAGCCCACCTGGGAACACCTCCTATACACACACTCACCCGCAAACAAACAGACTACTAAACCCACACTGCCATTCGAAATACCCCGTATACCCATTCGAGTACGTCGCAATCCGTCGGGCCGCCCGAAGTGTACCCTGGGTGAACCTCGTGGTCCCCGTCACATGCGGTGGAGATGGCTTCTAATGAATTGAGCCTTACTTACGCTTAGAGGTCGGCGCTGCTGCATTATATCATCACGTGGTATCGGTTGAGTTTCATGACGCCCAACTCTCTGCTTTCCGTTGGAAGCTCGAGCAGATCTATTTAAAACGTGTGAAGGAAGCCATTCGGGTCATCATTTGGATTGATACCGGGGCTTAGTCTCCCCTTCATGCAGTAAATAGGTAGTAGTAATACATTCCCCCCAAAGCCATGAAAGGTTCTCATACGCCTCGCGTGTGGTCCTAGAAAAATTCTATCTTTTTTCTCGAAAATGTCTCAAACCGACTCAAAAGGCTTGCCACTCAAGAACGCCGTTCTGTCCGTTTCTGGCGGGTGCCCAGCCGCGCGGTTGTATATTACGCCGGGACATTGTTTCAGTCGTGGAGGAATCTAGACGATAGTCTGTGTATTACGTCTGAGCTGGTCCCGCTACTGTGGGTAGAGCTGTTGAACACGATGCGTAGACGTAATCTCGAGTCGGAGCCACTGGACCCAGAAGAAGAGCAGGCACAAAATCGCAGGCTGGGAAGACGAGGACTCCTCGAACCAGAGTGACCTTTCATCCCTTCAAGCTGTCTCTGCTGCTCTGGCTGCTAGCGCTGACCACGCCCTTGGAAGTTGGCAGCACGCTTCCGGTCGCCTTTCGTGCACCCTCGCGCACCTTCGCTACGGCGTACACGATGCCGCTGACGAAGCCAATGGCGATGGCAGTAACGCTAGGCAGCGTGACGGGCGCATCGAAGAACACGAGACCGGAGATGGCGATAGGCAGCTTGTTGAGCGCACCGACCATGCTGTAGGTAGTTGAGGAGGTGGCGCGCACGCACCACGCGGAGGTGTAGCTGATGAAGATGGAGGCCATGCCGGTGAAGATCATGGCGGAGATGATGGCGTTGCGTGAGGTCAGGGGAAAATTTCGCGCCATGTTGGCTGAGGACCAGTCTTCCATGGTAAGACTGCACACGAGGAGGATGGGGATCGTGAGTAGATTGTTATAGAACATTGCTGGAGAACGAGGTTAGCAGAGTCCTTTGGCATGGTGAGGAAGAAAGATCCGCGGTATCGTAGAGGTACTTACTGTCGAAGTCCTTAAAGTTTGTGATCTTGATGCGCTTGCGCATACCCAACACATAAGCCGCAGTAGACAGGCAGTTGACCAACATCCACATGTATCCCGCGTTCAACGTCGCCAACTGCTCAGAACTCGCTCCGGTTGAAGTGCCGTGTGACTCGAGCGCGTGCCTGATATCGGCCCAAGCGGCGACCACCGAAGACAAAACCATCAGACCAAACGAAAGCAAAGCCATAGAAGAGACAGAGCCGCCAAACCATAGAACTTCACCGTAGGCGATCAGGATGATTGTCAAGTTCTTGAAGATGGTGTACACGGGAATGGAGAGGAAGCGGAGGGCCTTGGTGGAGGTATAGATCATGCCGATGAGCAGCAGAGATATAGGAAACCATTTTTTCGCTTCGTCGCTTTTGAAATCCCGGTAGGTGATGATGCCGGCGGCTTTGCAAGAAGAGATCGCAACGACGCAGACTATTGCCTAGAACATGTTAGTGAGCGGGGTCAAGGAAGAAGGATTTCCAGTACCTGCACAGCCAAAAGGAAGAAGTTGAGGTTGTATTCAGGGAAAGAGAGGATGTATTTATTGGCGACGGTCATAAGGATGGAGGAGCCGCAATAGCTGAGAACGGGGAGAATTGGGTTGTTCTGCAGATTGCCTGTTGAGGGAGAATAACGAGGCGCTGGCGTGGGTCTGCTGGGTGGACTGAAACGGCCTTGCTTCTCGCCTAGTTCGAGGTCGTTGCCCTCGAGCATTCTCTTCTTCTCTTCTTCGGCCATAGTTGCTGGAGGAGGGGAGACCGGTCCAAAGGGGGGAGGTGCCGGGGGAGATTAGCGGAACACACTGCGGTGTAAGCGGGTAGTTTGAGAAGGGGAACGATGCGAGGTGAAGCGCAATAAATTAAAGTTTGGAATAGCAAGAGACGAAGAGGAAAGTGAAGAGCACAGTTTCAACGATGAAAAGGAGACTGGGGGATCGCGTTGACTTGCGGCAAGGCGAGGACAAATTATGGTGGCTCAGCTGTACCAAACGGGTTAGCGGGAAGGCCTTTAAGTAAGCCTCTACAAGCATTGATCCTCTGTCCACTAAAATTACAACCTAACGAGCAACGTGGTCTCGACTATCTCAGGCTGCAGGTAATTGTTGCATCCAAGGGGTTCCGAATATTGTGACCGCGGGTTCATGTTGTCTGCGAGCCTGGCCGATGGAAAAGGAGGGGCGCACGCTTGTGCTCGTGGTCTTAGGAGGTCGAACCGGCTTTGAGATTCCGTGGATCATGGCTGACCGCGATTGGCGAAGCTGAGAGTATCGTCATTGAGATTGGCCAGATAGACATGGCCAACGTCCAATGTTCTCATGCAATAACGCAGCCTTGGTGGTGGTAGCGGCGGGAGCTGCACCTCGTTCAGTCCCAGTCGTCGTCTTCGTCAGCCACCTCCTGCTTTCGGCCTTTGATGCCTCGTCTCTGATATTCCGACTTATCTGGCTTCTCCGGTTCTTCCTCCTCATCGACCTCCTCCAGAAGCCTTCTCTTGAGCACCGTCCAATCGGCAAGCTTTCCTTCCAGGATCGACGTGACTGCAGTACCCTCCTCACTACCTCCCCAAGTGATCCCTTCAAATCCTGTCACCCGACCCTTAATAATGCCCTTGACGAAGCCGAGGACGGCTGGCAATACCCTGATGTTCAACTTCTCAACCACAAAAGGCGCATTCCGCACATCAATTCTGCCGAACGCCACATCTGCATCGCCAAATTCGCCGTGCTTTTTCGCGATCTCCTGGCAGTGTCCATCCATCACACTGCATCTCGCAAAATCTGGATGGAAGAAATGGACCACCGCTCGCTCATGCTCCGTCGTAAACTGTAGACACTCATCGTCACCCCCTAGGGTCTTGAAAGTTGCTTGACCCGAAGTAGTTGAGGGAGGCTGGAGTTCCTTAGCTTCTGATTTCAATTCCTCAAGCCTCTGAGCCCGATAGGAGGCATCGTCCTCTGCCTCCAGCTCGGCGAGAATGTCATCCGGATCTTGTTCGGTCTCGGGAGTCATGTTAGTAGGCTTGCCAGCCATCTTCGTATATTAGTCGATCTGTGTGCACGCAAATGAGCATCCTCAAGCGCCGGAGGGTACGCAGCGAAAGCGACTAGTATTGTACAGAGTCCAACGACTCCAGATTCGGTCGCCGTGTCTGCTGTGAAAAGACAAGGTGCTTGCACTGAGGCAGCCTTGTAGCCTTGCCGCCTTCTTGGCGACCGGGAAATCTTGGCGCACTAAAGAAAAAGACCACAGACCTTTTTGGCGCAGTCTCCGACCTCCGCTGCATCGACCACTCCTCTCTCTTTCGACAAGTTTGCGAATAATCTCTCGTTCGACAACTTTCGCAATGGCTCCTCCTACTCAGAAGCCCAAGGGTACGTTCACTCCGCTGTCGTCCCATGACAGTCGCGCACCTCTTCAGGACCATGGCACTAATTCACCACCACAGGCGGCTCGAAGAAGCCATCCGCTAAGGCGAATCAAGCCGCAAAGGCCACCCTCCGTGGTGTAAGTCTCCTTTGCGACCGTTGAGCCGGTATCAAGAAGAACCACAACTCACACAATACTCCCAGGTCAATGCCAACAAGGCGCGCAAGATCCGCACATCCACCACATTCCACCGCCCCAAGACTCTGCAGCTATCGCGCTCGCCCAAGTACCCACGCAAGTCTGTTCCTCATGAGCCTCGCCTCGACCACCACAAGGTCATCGTCCACCCGCTCAACACCGAGTCGGCCATGAAGAAGATCGAGGAACATAACACTCTCGTGTTCGTTGTGGACGTCAAGGCAAACAAGAGACAGATCAAGGCTGCGTTGAAGAAGCTGTACGATGTGGATTGCATCAAAATCAACACCCTCATTCGTCCAGATGGTACCAAGAAGGCGTTCGCCCGGTTGACGGCTGATGTTGATGCGCTGGACATTGCGGCTACGAAGCTGTCTATCGTCTAAGCGTTGTCTGAAATGAGAGATGGAGACCACAGCTGCAGAGGGCAGCTTAAGACTCGAGTCCGGGGGTGTAGGAAAGATCAAGATACCAAAAATCCACTCAATAGTGGTCAGCTATGCCAAGGATTGTGCATCCATGTGAGCTGGAGTTGAATGAATATGATTCAACGATTTCATTAATCGTCCACCGACATCTCGTTTGTAGTTGTACATCGCCCATCCTGATGCTTTTCGCAGCGAACGTCCTCCCCTCTTTCCAGGTGTTGTTACACGATGCTGTCCCCGGTGTAGGTCATTCCAGCGGTGCAGATGCTATGGCGCCGTTACTTGTAATACTAACACTCCGAGTGTATGCTGCACGTTGTCTCTGCACAGACAAATCGAGTATCATATACGCCAAGTTCACTGGCTTGCGCGCAATTGTTCCAAGTGCTTCAACACAGCTAGATTGGAGTCCATGAATCGATCGACGCAACTCTGCATGCAGCCTTGTTCTTTGGTGACCAGGCCGCCCCCCGATATGGAAGTAACGCACTTCTTGAAGCACATATTTGTGAGGCGGTGGACATCTGAATGAGCATTGTCAGCATACCATCGGGTTGACAGGAAGTGTGCGGTCGGTGCGCGACAAGCAACGACCAGGGAAGTCGAACAGCGGATCTGCCAAATGGAAAAACATACCAGCTTGCACCTGATTCTTTTGGTTCTCAGCCTGAATGAATTCTTGGAGGCCGCGCTGGTCGGCAGGCGAAAGGCGGCTGATGGTTTCCTGGGAAATGGAGTAGGAGTCTTCACCTTCCATTATTGCGGTTGCAGGCGATGTTGGATGGCTTCGGAGGCTCGGTCGGGATGCGGGTTGAGTAGCTCAATGCGACAGAGCGTGGACAAGTCGACGTGAACAGATTTGAGAGTTGAATAGTCGATAACGAGCCTGCAGATTCGTGCTACCTCTTCGTGAGAGACTGATAATCGATGGAGAAACCTTGTTCCGGCACCCGGGCATCGTTACAGATGTCTCCACCTAAAAGTCGCTCCCCTCGTTGCCTGTCTCTTCATTGCGCGCAACACTCACCACAAACCGCGCTGCCACATTCCACCACGACTGGTGAACCGTTCTTCCCCCCCGTACAGACCACAACACTTCAACAACGCCTGTCGCACCTGTGAACCTCGCCTCAAGCTGGTTCGGGACCTCCAACTCAGATCCACCCTGCCTCCCCACCTCGCTATGCCTCCCGTGCGCAGTGGAAAGAACAAGAAAGCCCCACCGGCAGGCTTCACCGATATTGAAGACACTCTGCTTGGGTACACGAATCGCATGCGCGACGCGCAAAATGCCAGCACCGAGGGCAAGCGCAAGCATGAGGCGTTGTGGCCAATCTTCCAGATCAGTCACGCGCGCTCACGATACATCTACGACCTGTACTACGAGCGCGAGGCGATCTCCAAGGAGTTGTACGAGTGGCTGCTAAAAAACAAGTACGCAGACAAAGAGCTCATCGCGAAGTGGAAGAAGCAAGGGTACGAGAAGCTGTGCTGTTTGAGATGCGTGCAGACCAAGGAGACGAATTTCGGAGGTAGTTGTGTATGCAGGGTGCCGAGGGCGCAGATGAAGAGACAGGAGGAGGGAGATGGGAAGGATACGGGCGCCGGGGGCGTTCAGTGTGTCAATTGTGGGTGTCGTGGGTGCGCAAGCTCCGACTGAGTGACGAGCCATACGACGGGCGAGGTGCCAAACGAGTATCGCACTCGGTAGATCACGACTTCGACTTGTGATTATTGACGATTACATCCGCGTCTTTATACTGTACTGGAAGGCCATGTGCTGCCCCCCCAGCAGAGGAGCCTGACCTGCTCAACGACTCGCCTCCGCGATCTTACAACATCTCGATCCGTCGGTGAAGCCGACGCTGGCAAGTTTCACTGGAGACTTAGTCTCCGAACCAAACCCATATACATGCCCAGCAAAGGTACTCACACCTGGCTACAGCCTTCCAGCTCGATTACTTTGACAGCATCCCCGGTAAAAGGTACATTCAAGCTAGGCGATGCGGGCTGCTGAGCCAAGAACGCCGCGCTTCTCTGTTCTGGCACAAACCTACACCGATACCCTTTCGCAAACACGAGTATATTCGGCGGGGTCAGCATAGGACACGGAATGCCAAACTAATCAACGTTTATGATGGTATGAGATGCAAATTGGGTGGCAACCGTACTGAGGTGCGGAATCTCAGACTCAGCAGCCACGAGATCGCTGACTTACTGCGGCCGTTGCGCACGGTGAATGCCGTTCGAGTCTCTGTGGTCTACGAGAGAAATATTGCATGAGGGATTGTCAGCACAGACGAGCTCGAGGTGTCGAGCCGCTGGACCAGACAATCTTCATACTTTGGTCAGGAGGGCCTACTGCACCACAGCAGAGTGCTGGTTTGTTGATCTGAAATGGTCATTATTCGCGTGAATCTGGCGTGACATGAGTTAGACGAGGCAGAACATTGAGCTTGAGACCGATTCAAAAGCGGCAGAATGGTTGAGGAGCAAGCTTGATTATCAGTATATCTACCAATGGCCGAGACGGCCTTGAGCTGCTGCATCTTCTTACAATTCAGCACCACCATAGATACGCAACTTCCAAGCTCCTGGTCCTCTTTTTCTTCGACATGTGAAATCCCCCTCAAGCGAGTGTCCTTCACTTTATTTCAACGGTGACCCTCCGATGGTCTTGTAGTGTGAACGCAAAGTTTGCTGCTGCCGTCAGGTCCAGCTGTTGGTAGCTTCATTCAATGAAGACGCACGCTTGTTTCGACATGATGCCGGTGCAATGAGATCATCCGTTACTGGCAACATTGAGGTTGAGTACCCTCCTAAGATCGTCTTCCAGCTGTTGTGCGCTCGGTTTGCTGCGATGACCTTGCCGAGGGGACGGCTGCGTTGGTGCGCTTGGCGGCGGACCATATGGATTGTACATTGGTGCCTGTTGGTGGCCAAGGCCGGGTGGCGGGCGATTTTGCTGATGATATACCTGGTGTTGGTGAATTGGTAGGGTGTGGTTCGCCTGACGGCGGCTAGTAGAGATGCGAGATGGGGACATCGCGCTGTCGGACGACAGCTCAGCTGGCTCTGGCTCAGATGCGGCTTCATAACGAAGATGTGAGGGCGGACGAGCCGGCATATTGTTGAGCGTGTACTGCTTGTTTGGTGTGTCGTTCATATTGAAATATTGATTGGCTTGACTATTGTGATTTGGGTATCCTACTGGAGTAGGAGGCCCAGAATGTTGACGTGGTTGTGCAGGCCGAGCGTTAAATGGATTGCTGGGGTCAAGCGCCTGAGGACTCGTATGAGGGCTTTGATGCATGAGCAGCTTCTTGAGAGCATCTGACTTAGCTCTGCGCTCACCTTCGTCCATGTCTCTCACACCGTCCGAAGTTGACCGGGTGGATTTTACAGAGGCCATGCGGTCTCTGTAAGTTGACGTGATCTTAGGGCCGTCTTCGCCGGCTGCGGAGGCGCCATCCAGCTCGAATGGAAACACCGACTCTGGCTCACGAGGAACTGGAGACCTGCCAGCAGGACTATGAGATGGAATGGAATGATTGCCAGAGCGCGCAGCAGGGCTCTCACCACGCGGTGTGCCGCGAGCCTGACGGGCAGCATCGAAAAGGAAGTCAAGAGGCGTTGATTCTCGCTTCGTAGGGGTGCCCTCGTCCGATGGGGTGATGTCGGCGGATTCAGCTGGATCTTCAGCTATAGGCATGCGTGCTTGCGCTGGCACGGATCTAGAGTAAAAGCTCGGCAAAGGCAGCGCTGATGCTGCGGGTGACTGGTGGAAAGTAGGTCCAGCATACGCTTGTTTGATCGGAGTAGCCTGTGTTTTGCTAGGCTGGGGGTTATCCGAGACATGGCCACTGGTTTGCGCCTTGTTGTGCGCTTGAGACTTCCGGCGACCCTTCTGATTGCCTCCAGCTTGTTCAGTGCCACTGACATGGGCTTGACTTAGGGAGGCTTCATTGTCTGACATGACAGCTCGATGGGTGCCATTTGGAGTAGATTGGCCTTTGTTCTTCCTCCCGGAACGGCGCGGAGGTTTGGGGATTGGTTGTTGTTGTTGAGGTGTAGACATCTTTTGATGTTTGGGGCTTGATAAAATCGGCAGCCCTGGACCTGTTGTAGAGGACAAAGAAACACGTAAACCGCGCGAACCGCAAGATTAGACAACAGAAATGCAAGATGAGTCGGATATCGACGACGACGATATTATCTTGAGCGCTTTGACTGAGGTAAACAGAGCAATGTATGATGATGTTGTCGTGAATGTATTGAGGATGTAGTCCTTGCGGTGGTGTATGTGTTCATCGTTGGTGGGGTTGAAAGACGTGCGCGAATCCGTTGTCTATGGCTCTGCACTAAGCGGTAGCGATAGACAATGGTGATGAGGACGAGGTCGAAAATAGAAGTGAGAAAGGCGAAATTTAGAGCGTCAATATGTCCGTCGGGAGGGTAGGGAGTGAAGTTCAGATGAGCCTGGCGCAACCAGCTGAGAGGAGCGAGGCGCAGGTGATGGTATGAAGTGATGGCTGGACAACGGCGGCCCCGGCTTGGGCAGCGGGTGTTCTGGGCATGCGTCAGGCAGTGCTTCGGCGCCCGGAGCGATAGGCGATAATGCGAAGCTGACTTCAGCATGTACTTTACTTCACCGCCTTCTTAGGTAAGCTGGCAGAATGCAGTCGCTGCCTGCGCGGGCGTTATTCTCTTTCACTTGTGACACTCGTTGCATGGGCACCTCGTTGTGCCTTAGACCCAAGCGTCCTCTATCCATCTAGCGGGCGTTAGTTTTTGACTCTTGATACAGTCCTACGGTCTGTATCTGGGTTGCACCACCCGCCGCACCATCGAGCTCCCGAGCGGCGAATCTTTCCCCACCTGACCAGAACTTCGACTCACGCCTTGCACACCTTCCACACCTTCCACAAATATGGCGGATGTTGAGATGGCGGACGCGGCGCCCGCTGGGGACAATGGCAAGACCGCCGTCAAACCTGTCGCCAAATCTGCTCCTGCCGACGGCGCGAGTGACAACAAGAAGAAGTTCGAGGTGAAGAAGGTAGATCTACACTGTTGTCCTGCGCCAACGGGCATTATACTGATAGGCTACAGTGGAATGCTGTCGCTCTTTGGGCTTGGGACATTGTCGTTGACAACTGTGCCATCTGTCGCAACCACATCATGGATCTGTGTAAGTCAAACAATCGTTAGCATGAGTAAGCGTGGGCTAAACGCTTTCCAGGTATTGAATGCCAGGCAAATCAAGGAGCTCAGACTACAGAAGAATGTACCGTCGCCTGGGGTATCTGTAACCACGCCTTCCACTTCCATTGCATTTCAAGATGGCTCAAGACCCGGCAAGTTTGCCCGCTCGACAATCGTGACTGGGAGTTCCAGAAGTACGGTCGCTAAGGACAGTGGAGATACGAAGACAACCATACTGCAGTTTCGCTGCAATAGATAATCGCCAGAGGTACTGATACGTGCGAAGATCTAGGATCCAGAAACTGTGGATAGAAACACCAAAGCAAAGCCTAAAGGTTTCGCGGTCGCGAGTAGGCGATGAATCGGCCACGACGGGGCGGGGAAGTATGCAGACCAGAACGCCGCAAGGTCCATATGAATACGTTATGAGCAGAATGAAATACATGAGCCTATTGAATCATCTTCCCTCCTACGACTATTCCTCCTGCTGGAAGCACAGATGAACCCAGCCATCTCACAGGGTGCTTGTTGAAGATCGGCCAGGCCGGGACGACGAGCAGCATGACCAGGAGCGTCAGGCCGAGGCCCGTCCAAAGCGTGATATAAATGTCGTTATTGACGAATCCGGCGACAAGAGCAATCATCTGGCACATGTCAGCTATCACTCGGCGTGAAACAGGACCTACATACCATGGAAAGGTATAGCAAAAACGTGGAGAGTTCCTCTGCAAACACCTGACCCTTGAAGTCCTAGCATCCGTCAGTAGCCGACTCCCTGAGAGCGTAGGCCGCGTACCGTTGTGCCCTCAAACCAATCGCGGATCGGGTCCAGTATAGCGTCCATTGTGACGATTGTGGCGATGGTATGTCTGGACGCTAGCTATTGGAAGTAACTAGGTGTGCGGCTCGCTAAGTCACGAGGTAGAATGTTGGCCACTTAATGAACACCTGGCGAAACTTGGGGGCCTTTCGTAGCAAGAAAGCTTGGCCTTTGGATCTTTGGACTCGGCAATACCAGGATCGAGAAAATGACCAGGTTGCCACCTTAAGCGTCTGAACCAGAAGCCACCGTCGTCCAATAAGTTGACGAGAATCTATGCCAAACACGCCGCGTGACTTGAAGGTGAAGCGGCAGTGACGCCACGACAAGGCTGGGCAAGGCTGACATGCCAGAGACCCGCTTTTCTGGACTTTAATTGAACCTTTGTCGGCTGGGGGAAACGAGATCAGTCAAATCCCGCATTGACGACAACAGAGTTTTTCTCTTCTACAACATCCCTTCAAAGGACTTACCTCCTGCTTTCACACGCATCTAAACACCACTGCCCCAATTGCAACGTTCTAATATCTCACATAGCTTTACGGGTGGTCTTTGCCTTACTACTACGATCGCAAACCGGGCCCCTTTGCCCTTGACTCGTCACCGACAACACCACCAAACGTAGGAAGACTGGTCTCAGTCTTTCTATCGATCGCATACCACTCATTCTGGCTAATACCGACGATCCCTCTATACCTTCGCTCCTCAACGTGGCGACCTCTCAGCTCATCCCGTCGACCCTTATTCGCCCTCTGCTAGGAACTGCATTCATGGTCTTCTACGCCGGAGCAAACACCCGACCCCCATAATTTGACTCCCGGTCCAGCATTAGATCTGTCCATTCACCATTGTTTTTGGAAGACACAACGACACAAGTCGTACTAAAAAAAGAGAAGATCAAAGCGTTCCCAAACATCCGTTCCTAGCACGGCAAGATGTCCTACTCCGGTTCCAACCATTCCGGCGACAAGCTCGACACTCGCTACAGCACGCCAGCTCCTGAGCTGGACGACCATCGCCGACGCCGAGCGACAAACCTCAATCCGCAGTCCCCCGAAATTCCAGCCCTCGCGGTTCAGCACCCAACCCCTAGACCGAGTGTGGCCGAGGGGAGCGAGATTACTGCCAGACTTGACGAAGCCTTGAAAAACGCCGCCATTGGCAGCCCAAGTCCGGTCAACGCGCGAGACTTTGAGCAAGCCATCGAAGATGGCGACGATGAGATTGACGTGGTGTCGCCTATCAACAGGCCAGGAAAGCCACGCCAGTTTACCAATCGTGCTGGCCGTCCGATCAACATGGGCCGCCATGACCGCTCAAGGGACAGCTCCTCTTCGCGCTCTTCATCTCCGGCAAACTCGATCGAGGCCTTTGCTGAGCCACGCCGTCGCGCAAGGGCGAACACAATCGACAGCCGCGCCTCCTCTCCAAGCTTCAAAGCTCGTACCTTCTCTGACCATCAATCGCGGCGCCCCACCTTGAGCCAAATCAGCGCTCCAGCCAATGTAACTCAGCGGACTGACCGCGATGCCGACGAGCGCATGTCCTTCGTCGATGATGAACCAGGCAAGACACTGAAGATTGACTATGAGGAACTTGAGGAATTCGTTGCACTTTGCAATCAAGGCAAAATCCCCGATGACGATCCGACCACCCAATCCGAGTCTGGCAGCAATGAAGGTTCGCCCAAAGTCTTTGAGGACATACGGCCTATGCAGGCCAGCGCTTCTGCACCCAATGTTGCTCTCAACGGAGAGACCTTCTACGAGAAGCCCCTAACCAACCTGTCCAGCAACATGACTAGAGTCGAGCGCATTACAACTCGTGATGATGTCGTGCCCACCAACAGATTCACATTCTTCTCTTCGGATGTGCGTACTCCGGTCAAAGCTCCTAAGCTTGGTGGCCTTCTCTCAGGAGACAATACGTTCCGCGACCTCTTCGAGGTCGGCGCTGAAGGTGGTGTCTGGTGGCTCGACGTTTCGAACCCGACTCGCCACGAGCTTGAGGCCATCTCAAAGGCTTTCAAGATCCATCGCCTCACCCGGGAGGATATTGAAATGCAAGAGCCTCGCGAGAAAGTTGAGCTGTTCCCACAGTACTACTTTGTCTGTTTTCGATCGTTCAATATGGACAAACACTCGGAGGACTTCCTGGACCCGATTCATGTGTACATCATTGTCTGCCAGGATGGCGTGCTATCTTTCAGCTATACGCCCAACCCGCACGCTAAGAATGTGCGCCGCCGAATCAACAAGCTGGGCGATTTCGTCTCGCTCGGTCCTGACTATATCTGCTATGCGATGATAGATGACATTGTGGATTGCTTCGCGCCTGTCATTCGCGATGCCGAGCAAGAGTCCGAGGATATTGAGGATCAGGTCTTCATCGCCCGCGAAGATGACCTTAGTGCGCTGCTCAAGCAGATTGGTACGTGCCGCAAGCGCGTGCTTAACATGATGCGCTTGCTCGGTGGAAAGGCAGACGTCATCAAGGGCTTTGCGAAGAGATGCAACGAGAGCTACGACATGACACCCCGTGGTGACATCGGGCTGTACCTAGGTGATATCCAGGATCACGTCGTCACTATGATGAGCAACCTTGGCCACGTCGAGAAGATGCTTTCACGAAGCCATGGCAACTATTTGGCGCAACTCAATGTTGACAGCATCATGAAGGGCAACGGTGTTAACAAGTCGCTCACGAAGATCACAATCGTGGCGACGGTGCTTGTGCCGCTCAATCTCATCACCGGCCTCTTCGGCATGAACGTCCACGTCCCAGGCCAGGACATCGGCGGGTACGGATGGTTCTTTGGCATCTTGGGTTTCATTGCGCTGTTTGTCACGACTGCACTAGGTGTGGCGAAAGCTCGGAGAATGATCTGAGACAGCCTTGTGGAGGTGAAGCGACGATACTGCGGAAAAGATTGGACTGGCAGTGAGTTGCATGTTCTGGGATTGGTTTGTCCCATTGAAGTCGGAAATGACCCATGCAGTAATGAGGATGGGCACGAAGAAGATGCGAAATATACGGCCGGGTGGTGGAAAGGCTTGTACTGTTTGATTTTCGGTTTTTGCCTATACACTGACTGTTCGTGGACTTTGACACGGCCACACGCGTGGTAGATGTGCTAGAGCACATCTCGTTGTGCTCCCCCTAATTAGTTATGTCTCCTTGCGCATGTTAGCTGTGTAGCTTATATGAATACAAAGCTCGCTCTCTCTCACCTAAAGTCCTCTGTCATCTCGCGCTGAATGAAGCCAATTGCTTCTCATCTTCTACATTCCATCTTCCACGCACTTTCTTCGGCGATGGCGCGGTCCTCTCAACATAGTAGGATAGATCGGGCGCTCCGAACTTTTCAGGTAGAAGCAAACAAAGCACGAGTCCAAGCAGCCAGAGATCGGAGGATAGAAACAGGGGGAAGGGGGGCACCACAGCGGCTTTTGCTACTCGCACAGTATGAAGACTACTTACACAGAAGCACCTGCCCCAATCACCACGACTCTTTGCTCCTGCTCAGAATCTGGAAAAAGATTCTACTTTCATTAAACTCCCGCTCCACAAACAGCCCGGCTTATAGTACTAGCCTTCCGGGCTCGATCTGCAGCACGGTCTTGACCCGCTCCAAGAATGTCCGCGCCCTCTTCTCCTCGCCTACTGGGACGGTGACTGAGAAGACGTTCATGGCGCCACCTGTCGTCATTATGCTGCCGCCTAGAGGGCTGCTGAGCGTGGCGGAGCTCGATATGCGCCTGTTTGTGGGCCTGGTGTTACCAGCGAGGATGTCGATGATGTCAGGCTTCTTCACCGCTCGCGGTGGAGCGGCGCGTGTAAAGGATGTGGGAGGAAGGGCGCTGATCTGTGGAAGGTAGCTGCCCGTGGAGGTGGTAGGGATAGAGTCCAGACCAAGGACGGCGTTGAAGAGCTCGTCGCTGCTAGGCTTCGTGCCTCTAGGACGCGGAAGATCGTCGTTGGCCAGGTCGACCGCTCTCGCGAGAAAGGTGCTGAGTGGAATGGTGACGCCCAACGTGTCGGCCATTTTCTGCTGGACCTTGAGGACTTCGGAGAGGGAGATGGGGAGGGTTATTGAAGTCGTGGGCTGGGGTTGGGGTGGACGTTCTGCGGCTGCTGATGACTTGGACGGGGCGGGCTTTTGCTCGAGGAGCTTGATGTTGGAAAGATCGAGGTGGGCTAGGTGGGTGATGCGTTTGGATTGTTCTTGTGGATATGTGGAAGAGATGCTGCCTAGGTAGGCGAGGACGTCACCTTTCAGCAAGCGGTTGTTGGGACCAGTGGCGGGGATTTTGGGTATGTCACTGTCGGAGATGTGGTTTTCGTGTAGGAGGGCAATGACAGACGGGTATAGTGGGTATTTCGGATTCTGGCCAGGGCCAGCAGGCGGCTTCTCGGAGCATTTGGAGGGTGCCTTCTTCGGTGGCTCTTTGGCTTGCTTCTCCGGCGGAGGTGCGGCATCGGAAGCCTCTGCATCCTTGCTGCTCTCGGATTCGATGGGCTTTGAGTCATCGGGAGGAATCTCGAGTGAGGAGACATCATCGCCGGCGTCACCGAGCACTGCTATGCGCGTGCCGACCTTGACACCTTTTGCGCCGTCCTGTGCGAAGATCTTGGCCATGACCCCATCATCCTGAGCCTCGACGTCGATGGTGGCTTTGTCTGTCTCAATTTCCAGCAAGATGTCGCCAACGGAGAAGGAGTCGCCTTCTTTGACCTTCCAGCTCGCTACATTGCCCTCGGTCATGGTGGGTGACATGGCAGGCATTGTCATATTGTGCGCTGCTAGATTCGAGGACGCAGTGGAAAACGAGCGGACTGCGCATGGTTGAGCTCGGAGCTGGCGAACCAGCAGACGAGCAGACTGTCGGCCAGCCATGCTAGTATTGGCGATTAGGCAGACCTTGAAGTCTTTAGAGGCACAAATGAGCTCTGGAGAGGTGCCTCTACAAGGTCGTGTCCAGAGCGCGTGAACAGTGCGATAATGTTGGGGATGGGGGAAGCTCTCACGGAACAAGGATAAACTAGCGCATCGGATGCCAAGAGTTGATAAGGCTACAAGGCTGCGTAGCTGTGGCTCACCAACAGTGGCGAGTGGGAATCCCTGGCACTGGAACCCCGTAAAATCAACGGTGTGGCTTAATCGGCAGACGACGGGAGGGTTTCCCTTGGATTGTTGCAATGTGTTACATAAGTCGTAGACAGTAGTACTATACATGCAATGACCATAGTTGTAACTTGATCGGACTCTTGAAATTCCCCAAGTCCGGCAGCAGGGGAACGGCGGCCTGGGTGGGGTCTACTCAAGTACCCCGATGCTGAACCCCTGGGCGTGCTTGGACCCTTCTCGATGGCCTAGATCCAACTGATGCTCGATAAGGTTCACTCTTGTCTAGTTCTCGGCCGCCGCAAGGACAAGATTTGGCATGGCAGCACCAGTGACCCTCCTCGGCCAGTACAGATGAATTGCATCTCCGAATTTGCATGTCGACCATCGATTTTCCCATCAGCGTCTTGTCACCTGGTCAGTTGGTCGACATTGAGGACGAAGGCTAGAGAGACTACATCCGACGCTCGATCCCATCCGCCGAGTCGGTTGCCACGACTCCCTTGGCTGCCGCCTGTCCATTACGGGCGGGTTCCATTGCCATTGCACAACTGTAATGGAATCGCCCAAGGACCGCAGAGCGCGCTTACGTTTACGAGAGCTGTCCAGGTATTATTGTGCAACTGCACATCTGCCTCAACCAGATCTCAAGTATGATGGAAGGCCTGGACTTGACGCGGCTTTCGTCCCTGCCAAACCCGCCTTGTCTACAGATCACCTCCTTACCGGCCTGGCTCAACTGGCGGCGCTTCGCCTCAAGTGCGATAGAGCGTTCATCAGCATCATCGATGAACACAACCAGCACATAATTGCAGAAGCAACCCGCACCATTTCACCCTTTGATCAGAACGATCATGAGCCTGGTGATGCCATCATCGTTGGCGCACAGACAGTCCCCCTCTCTTCTGGCTTGTGCCCACCATCCCTAGCTATATTTTCCGGTTTCGGCCAGCCCGCGTTCCAGAGCTCAGCCGCCCAAGCAGATGAGAATCATGTATGCATTCCTGATTTGCTGCACGAACCACGAATCAGCTCCGCGTCGGCATCGCGAATGTTCCCGTTGATGCTACGATATTACCTTGAGGTGCCCCTTCGATCAGTGTCCGGCTACGCTGTAGGCTCAATATGCGTCGCCGATTCAACAGTCCGCGCCCCAAACACCAAGGACATTGCGGCTCTTCAGCGCATGTCTGATCTTGTTGTACAACACTTGGGGCGCATTCGCTTGAAAGAAGACCATGGGCGAGCTGAACGTATATTGGAAGGCCTGGGACATTTTATTCAAGGAAAGAATAGTCTCTCAGCTTGGTCCAAGGAAACGGCTGGTCAAGACGACATCCCGGATGCCTACCGAATGTCTTCACAGCTCGCCTCGATCGACTTTATGCGCGATGTCGCCAATAGCGAATCTAGCCCCGGAACTGCTACCTCGGAGATACTTGCCACAGCATCTCCTTCGGCGCCTCAATTGACACCATCCGTAAGCTCGGTATCTGCTGTAACAACACCTGCCACTTCGACCGGACCGTCGTTGACTGAGGCGCCGCGAAAGCTGGCCTTAGGCGTCGATCCTACAGATTTTCATGTGGGTTATGATCAAGAACCCGCGAATGATAAGAGACGGTCCGCTACTGCCTCCTTCAAGGTCAGCCAAACATTCTCGAGAGCGGCAAATCTTCTCAGGGAAAGCATGGATCTGGACGCAACTTCATTTCTGGAGATACCGCAGAATGAACGCTTCAGAAACAATAGGCGGTCGAAACCTTCTCCCAAGCGAGATGCAGACAAACCTTCCTCCATGTCGTCACCCGTTACCTCGGGAGATACGGACCAGTCGACCGACACATCGGGGGACGCAGCTCTAGATCCTCAGACTACAGCTGGGAGAGTCTCTACTCCTTATGCAGCGGATGCAGACTGCCGCCGGCTGGGCTACGCCTCACGAACGAGTTCCAGCCTTGCGGGCAGCGAAACGTCACACGGCTTCCTGACCATTCCTGCATCTCTGTTGGCTCGTTTAAGCACAAAATACCCTCGGGGCCATATTTTCACTTTCGACAGCCTCGGGGCCATCTCGTCCGAGGAAGAAAGGCGAGAAGGTAGTACAGAAGCTTCTCAAAACTCGGCACGCCCAAACAGTCTGTCTACGAAGCTGTACAAACTTTTCCCGTCCGCTGCGAGCATGATCTTTTTACCGTTGTACGACAACGAGAGACAGCAGGTCTACGCCGGCTTCCTGGGATGGACAACCGATCCATCTCGTGGCCTCCTTAAAAACGAGAAGGTGTTCGTCTCCGGATTTGCCGACAGCGTCATGTGCGAGGTCATGCGTCTTGAAGCGTTAGCGACAGACAAAGCAAAGTCCGATTTCATCTCATCTATCAGCCATGAGCTCCGTTCGCCGCTGCATGGTGTCCTTGCTGCTAGCCAGCTTCTCAGTGAAGCTCCTACGTCTCCCAAGCAAATGGAATTCCTGCAGATGATAGATACCTGTGCCCGAACGTTATTGGACACCATGAATCACCTCCTTGATCATGCCAAAATCAACAATCTCACACAAGAACGCGTCCGCCGGCATCGACGGGCAGTACCCAAAGCAATCGATTCAAAGGACCTGTCTGAGATTACACGACTGAATCTACTATCAGTGGTGGAGGAAACAGTTGTTAGCATGGCAGCAAGCAGCAAGCAGTTACTCCGGAAACACGGACGCACTGATTCGGGCTTGTCACCTTTGCACGACCGCAGTGCCTCCCTGGATCAAGACGACACCTTGTCTATTCCCATCATCCTCAACATTACCAAGCAAGATTGGTGGACTATTCAGTCTGAGCCTGGCTCTTGGAGACGCATCATCATGAATTTGATTGGAAACTCTCTCAAATATACTCAGACCGGACATGTCAGTGTGAGCCTAGCCTGTCGAGATGCGCGCAAGTCTGGAGGAAGAGGCGTCGCCGAATTGAAAGTATCCGACACTGGACAGGGTATATCGGAAGAATACCTCAAACATCGTCTCTTCACTCCTTTCGCACAGGAGAACAACTTGTCCGTTGGCGCAGGATTGGGCTTAAGCCTAGTCCAAAAGATCGTGTCGTCCCTCGGGGGCCAGATCGAGGTTCACAGCGAAGTTGGCACGGGAACCGAGATACTCGTCAAGGTGCCACTCGATATCTCCGACCATGCGCAACGGGTCGAGAATCTGGGAATGGCCGATAACGAAGAATTGCTCGCGCGGACGCGCGGGCGGACCTTCCAATTCCTAGGCTTTGATGACCGTCCGTCTCTACACGAGCAGTCGACAGGGATACCAAGCCCGAGGACCAGGGCTTTGATTGAGATGCAAGCATCACTGACCAATACATTGACGACCTGGTTCGGAATGCGTGCCGCGGCCACAGAGGCGGAGATCTGCATCATTGAAGAACGGCTACTAAGAAGCGAATTGGACACATATGACCACAAGAATCATCGCCTTCTCGTCGTTGGTCTCGATGGACGAAACAACATCGTTGATAGACTGCAGCAGGCTAGTTCGGCTTACCTCCTCCCTCCAGCTGGCCCGAACCGGATCGCTCAAGTACTTCTGGAGCTTCTGAATTTCAATGAGCAGTTGCAGGGAAAGGTCGATATCCAGGATTCGCCGATGCAAAGCGTGCCCGCTCGACCAAAGCTTTCGTCTGCTATCTCGAACGGCAGTGGCGACTCCTTTTTCCCCACAATAAATCCACTGACCGGTTCGTGGGAGTCACTCCAGACCGATTCGGTAGCCACCCTCACGCCTGCAGGCTACCAGACTCCAGCGACCCCGGCCACAGAAGCTGTCTTGCTGGTTGATGATAACGACATCAATCTCCGCATACTAGTGGCTTCGGTGTCAAAGCTAGGTCTTGAAAAGCGTGGCATCTCCTGTCTGACAGCTGTCAACGGTAAGGAAGCGCTCGATAAATACATTGCGGCAGTCTCGGCGGGTACCCGAATCAGCATGATCTTTATGGATATCTCAATGCCAGTCATGGACGGTTTCACCGCAACGCGTCGGATTCGTGAGTACGAGAAAAGCAGAGGGATGAGGCGCGAGTGGCGCAGCAAAATCATCGCCTTGACAGGGTTGGCAAGTGCCGAGGCGCAAAGTGAAGTTGAAGGCGCTGGTTTCAACCTCTACCTACGCAAGCCAGCCACTATAGCGAGGATCAGGGCCATTCTTGAAGACGACGGGGTCAGAGACATGCCAGATCAAAAGTATGTTGGCTCTCCGGCCATAACCCCTGAAGTATGAAAGCGGAGGCCATGTTTTTGAACCCAGGAAGATGTTTAGCCCATTGAGGGTTGTGCATGCGCATGACTTTGGAGGAGTGGAAAATTTCCTCTAACAGCGATGTTTGGGGGACAACTCTGGTCTATATACGTATTCCAGCGAAGGAGTTCTGCAAGCAATACGGCGATACCCCTAAAGATAGCGATGTTCTCACTGAGAGTGGGAGGTGATGAAACGATCCCCCAGTACCAACATGGCAACGATTTATGTCCAATTTATAACAGCTGTATCACTGTTTGAACCTAAGTGTTGCAAAAGAACAGGAGGCACGTTGCTCGTCGCGTGCGACACGCCTCGTCCAGTCAAGATATGGACGCAATGGGCCGTTCCAAACGCAGTTAGTCCGCTAACCCGCCAAGACGTTCACTGCCTGATCCGCCATCTACCCGTTAATCAATCCTCGACCCAGACACGCAGAGGAGCTAAGTAATTGGCATCATGACGGCCGAAACACAGGGGAAACAAAAGTCGAGCTGTAATGCAACCCCGTGTTCTTGCACATCGGAATGAACACGACCTGTATGACCTTGGCCGTCATGTAGCGCAGCGTGAAACTCGTCCGCGTCAATGAGATACTGACAACTAAAGCTGAAAACGCCGTGTACGTCGAAGCCGAACATGCCATAACAGCCAACGTTCATGCCGATGAAGCATAAGCCAAAGTGACCCTGCGAAGGGGTTGTATGCTCGATCGGAAACAAGGTCGTACGGCATACCCGACCAGAAAGCCACATAGGGTGAGTGGCTGGTGATGGTAAGCTGAATTAATATAGCCATGATAACTTGCACGAAGCGTCTGCAAAGATCGGTTACGGTGAACCTTGTCACCATTCCACGTGTTCTAGGGAGCTCCGTGCAGACTGCCCACGTGAAATGTCGTTCGTGAAGGAGATCGTTGAGCGGTCCTGAGGTGTCAGAAGCGTTGAATCAGAATGAGAAGTAGTCCTGAAGAAGGCCAGGCGTGTGTGTGAAGCAGTCAGTAGACACGAATGCGATTGGCCCCATCATCAAGCGGTCCGTCCCCATTATCGGTCCCAGTAGAATATCATGCCGTACAACAACTCAGGCACCTCCTGGTGTTCAGGCAGACTTCCGTTAAATTGCGCTCGCACATAATCCTTTGTCTGGTCACGGAGTTTCTGAACTTCTTCTTGGTGCTGTGGTCCTTGTTCCTCGAGCACGGCGGCCAGCGACCATATGGTCCGGGCGTGGTTTCCATGGTAGATGGTGGCATCCTGGTCGCCCCTGGCGGCTAGATTCTTCCAGATGCTGCACGCTTGTCGGTAGCATTGTCTGCATGCGGTCAAAACAAAGTCTGTGGTTGAAGGGTGGGAATGTGACTTACTCTGCTTCTGACAGATCCCGGCCTGAGTAATCACTTGTCGCAAAGAGACAGCCAACCCTGCGCCATGAGTTTGCGGTGACGGGGTGCGTGGGGCCAAGTAGATTGATGTAGTCTGTCAAGACCCGTTTGTGAAGATCAAGCGACTCTCTGATCCGGCCTTGCTTCCACAGGATCGTGCCCAATGTGAAATTTGCGGCCATGGGAGTAGAGTTGGGCTCTGTCAAAGCCCGACGGACGACCTCCTCAGCCTTCTCCAGCTCTCCCTTCCATAGATAGGTTCCAGCGAGATTCTGCGTCAGATTGCCAAGACTGGACTCCTTCTGCATGCCGCAGTTGATGCAAGTCTCGATTGCGAGGTGGTGCCATTTCAGTGCCTCATCCCAGTTTCCGGCGTCCGTATGGAGAATCCCAAGATTGGTTAGAATGCGAAGATACTGACCCGTTTTGAGGAGATCTGGTCGATCCTGTGCTGCTATCATGACGTGTTTCTCTGCATTTATCGCCGCAATCAAACCTTCTTTGCTGTTACACATTTCGGCGCAGAGTCTTGCATAGATGGAATACATGAGGGAAAGTGCGGGGTGAGCCGGCGAGGACATGGACACTGTCAGCTCTATCGCTGCCTTGTAGGCCCATACTCCGAGCACATATTGGCCTGATTCATACGCATAGCTTCTTCGATTAGCAGTCTACCCAAACAAAGTTTCTTTGAAAACTTTTTGACATACCAGATGGACTTGGTCAGGCAAACCAACAGCTTCTGACTTGCTGATTCGGTGAGCGCATCTTTACATTTGCCATAAACACTTTGAATATGGCTGAGTGAGTGCTCAACGTACTTCCAGTTTTGAGGATGGCGTACTGAAGTAAAGCCAAACTCCGGAATATACGCACTTAGAAGATGTAAGGATAAATCCGTGACCTGGCGGAATCGGGTTTTATTTTTGACAAGTCGCGAGAGAGTAATGTGTTGCAAGTGTCGGTGTACACTCATGCTCCTACTGCTGTGATCATAGTCGACCAGTGATTGCTGAGTCAGGCCTTCTTGTGCGTTTGCAACAGCTAGCGGGTCATCCAAGAACATTGCAAATGCGTGATGGGTTTCAGTCGAGTCGAAGAGCTCAGCTGGAATAGAATCAGGATCGAGTAAGGAGAAAGCGTCCAGAAGAACTAGGGAGGCTTCTGAGAGAGCGCTGGTGGAGACAGTCCATGTTGTTGCGACTGTCCTGCTATAGCCCTCGACCTGGTAGCTATCGATGACCTCGGATCGCTGATCATAGAGACGGAGGAATTTGACGGGGCTGCAGTTTTTATTCGTCATGAAAGATGCAGCTGTTCTGAGCGCCAATGGTAAGCCTCCAAATCGTTGCGTTAACTGCTCGAGAGCCTTAATGTCATCTTCATCTGCTTGAAAACCAGAGGGTAGCCCCTGTCTCAGAAAGTCGATTCCATCTTGGTCGCCAAAGGCCCTCAATGGGAGGCCAACGAAGGCTAGACCTTCATTTTGGACCTTGAGATTTCGACTGGTGACAAGTACCGAACCGCGAACAGTATTCGGCCAGTAAGGCTTGAGGAATCCCGGATCGTCGGCATTGTCGAATACAAACAGAAACTCCCTGTCTACATACTCAGATGAGGATAAGCTCGATAGGGTAGGAAACTTACCAAAGTTGTTGATCCAGTTGAGAACAGCGTGCCTTGACTCTGGCTCAGAGACTTGTATTCCTAGAGCTCTCGCAAGTCCAATGAATTGCGTCTCCAATTTGTCCTTCGAGTCAGCATATAGCCAGATGATTACTTCGTATTTTCCCGCTCTGTATTCGCGATACATGTACTCTTTTGCAACAGAAGATTTGCCACACCCGCCCAGTCCGTGTATGACCAGGCTTCGCATACGTGGCACGCCTCTTCGAGGGCCGGGGTCTAGATGCTGCTCGATGTCACATAGAGCGTTGCCCCTTCCGAAGAAGTTATCGTTGCGCGGTACATTTTGGACGAATCGAAAGGGAAATGTGATCTTGACCATGCTTTGCTGGCTCGATATGTTCTTCGTCAATAGCGCCATCATACTGTCGTCTCGCTTCTTAGAATCTTCAAACCCTGCAGTGTTGACCTGGAGTTTGACATGCCCGGTGTGCCACTCAATTCGGTCCTTACATGCGAGAAATCTCTTCTCAAAGTTAGGGCGAAACAACATCTTAAGCCAATGAACTGCGCCGCTATTCAGCAAGACGGCGCATAATTGTAGCAGTGATCCGACACTCACGTGGCGCTGGCTTTCGGAAAAATTGAATCGATTCAACAATAAAAGCCAAAAATTCTGTACAAGTATTTTTGATGGATGCGGTGAGGTCGCTGTGGTCAGTTGCACTGAAAAGTTTCAACCATCTTTCAAATAGAGGGAGATAGCTAGACAGATTTTGTAGCTGATCGACAATGATGCCATGCAAAGCGGTTGTGCGTGCTGATACCTATTGACCCTTCATGTCAGCGATCCTAGACAAGAGCAGACGCTGCAGTGCGCCTTCACATATTTCGGACTAGTTACCTCCAAAAGTATTCGAACGCCTCCCCATATAACACCTGTAGTCAGGTCTCCGCCGCCAACAGACACATCAATCGCTCTACCGAAGGATAAGATATGCTGGGATATGAGACCGACTTTGTCAAGGAATCTGTTAAACGCCCCTGCATCGTATCTCGGGCGGACTGTACTCAGCATAGCCTCTAATGAACGCTTGTCCATGGCAACGTGACACGAAATTGCGGTGCAATGCTTCTGGTCTTCATAGCTGAAATTGGCCACATGTTCTCTCAACACCTCCCGCCAGATCGCTGATATAGGACTGGAATCCTGAGGACCAGCCGCTGAATTTTCAATGACAATGTTCGTAGCGTTGGATCTTCGTTTAATCTTTGCTGCATTGCTAGCATTTGGTGCGATTGTAATAGTGTTCGACGCGGGGTTCTGCGGAGTGCCACCGGGAACAGACACAATGCTGGCTGCCATGGTAAATTCGATGTCCCGAAAGGTAGGGACGGTCTCCAGCAGAAAAGAACAATTTGTGCAGCTCGAGTAATACCAGATGATTCGTAGCTCTGCAAGACTTAATTGGATCAGGATCAGGCATTGATATTTGCAAGGCAATGTGCTGGTGCTGCTGGCGGACAGGGATTCGCCTTGCACAGGCTGTCCTTCCTGGCTCACAAAGGACTTTCGAAGGGACCAACGATTGCCCCTGTTGTAGGCTTCTTAAAGCAGAGTGGGCCCTACTGCTCACTCTTTCTGGTGTCATATCCGATAGGCCTGGGGTAGTGGTCTTTTCTTTTGTCCACAGCCCTGCCACACAAAAGTGTACAAGGCCAGGACTCGGCGATCCTAACAGGAATCAGCCAACACTGGCTCTTTGGGAGGTCACAAAAGCTCGCCACTCTGCTGAGAGGCGTACTGACTCGTTCTCAGCTACACGTAGCATCTCGTATGATATTTGTCCACCGGCAGAGGAATCTTGTTTTCTGATAGGTGCCCGCCTCAGGCTAGATGCAAGGCAGACTGTGCCCATCAGAGGCGACATGGGACGGCATGGGTCGCAATTGCAGGGATAGGGGTCTCATTGACGCCCCAAATGCAGGCGCTACCACTTTGATCACCATCTACTTTTCCTTTCGTCTTGATGAAGAACAGAGAGAATCTTGTCAGGCTGACGCGCAATTATGTGCCTTGTGGAACGTGATCTAGATCGCTGAAGACTGTGATGTGCGGAAGATTCAGGGCTGGTTTGGCGTATGCGAGGCTCTTCACTAAGTACTTCGCTTCACGTATGTGCGTAGCCGGAAATGAGACACCTTCCTTCCGTCATGGGAACAAGACCAACACAGTGGTTCTGTAAGCTCTTGGGCAGAGCAATACCCTTGTTCGGACAGTGTCCTGACAAAAAAGTCGTCTATCAGGAGCACCGCCTGAGAGCGGGTCCTGGCTCGTACTTACTGTTGCGATGTCGGCATTTGACCTGAGGGCTATGCCTTCATACAAGGCTTTCTCGTAATGGAGATTCACCGTTAGTCGTCCACAGGTCTATTGTTTTCGATTTGCTGTGTTTTCTGCTGAGCCAACTGGCAAGATTTAGAGATATGATGCAACTCCTGGGAGGCCCAAGCTCGAGATGTCCACAGACAGAGGTTGTCCCAGGATCAACTCGCTTGCTAGCTTCCCACTGCCTAGACTAAGGGCAACTCCATCGCTAGAATGTCCTGTATTGATGTAGAGTCCTCCCGGGTCCGCTGTCACGGAGGCATCGACACTGGGTCTGTCGAACAGCAAGTCAAACGGGACCCTGGTAATGATGGGACGGTTTGGAACGGCCGTGGGTCGATAGCAGCGCCCTGCGTCGTGATATTCCAGATCCTTGTCCTTAGGTACTTTCACATAATGCTTCGTGGCAGTGATCATTTTTTCGATCTCTGCTGGCTGAGGCAGCACTTGAGTTGCCAAAGGTGGGAGCTCCTCTGCAACAGCGCCCCAGCCTCCAATGTACAGATCGCCATTGGGAAACGACGTAACATCGAATCTACTCCCATCCGGGGTCACGTTGGTAAAATACACCTGCACGCTATCCTCGCCGTGGCCAGACGGACTTCTGATACGTGCGTGGTTTCCTGCCGCTCCTCTTGAGTCCATCGGGAGCTTGACTTGAGCGCTTGGGAAAAGGGTAGCAAACACTCGATCAGACCACGGACCTGCCGCTATCACCACGGAGTCGGCAGGTATCGACTGGCTCAAACCGCTACTCGTTCGGACGTGTAACGCCGAAAAAGCGGATCCGGCTGGATCGAGCTGGATCGATGTAGCTGTAGCACTTGTTTCGATTCTTACACCAAGTTCTTTGACTCGTTTCGTAAGAAATTCGCAAAAGCGTCTCGGATCCCTTATACCGTTAATTAGTCGGGGAGGCGATTCAACATGTCATTACATACAGATGCGCCGCATTCGGGGGAGAAGAAACTCTGTAAGCGTCCCAATCGTCTCTCACTCGGACCCAGGCTGGGAGGTCAGAGAGTGGCACCGAGACAGGCGGCCCTTTAGAGCCCGAACCACCGCCGGGGCTGGAGCTATCCGAGGAACCTTTCTTCTGGAGACGATATATTGTCTAGTAAGGATGAGCATCAAACGGTGGAAAGAGCTTGCAAGATAGATCTTGTGCTTACTTGATCACTCCATCCGTATTCATCTTTGCCATTGTATTGCTCTGCAAGTCTGACTTGGAGGCGATACGAGAGGCAGACAAGGCCAGCTCGGCCTGTCTTGCTCTCTTTCCTTTGGGAAGAACCAAGGCTACCGGTTGCCTGACTGGATGCAGCAGGGCACAGGCGATCGGACGATTCGATAATGGTGATCTGCGGCCTCTGGTTGCCCGGTGCGGACGAAGTAAGGCGTGCATCTTCGCGATGAGACAAGGCAAGGAAATAGGCAGTTGATAGGCCGATCACCCCGCCGCCAATTATGGCCACGCCACGCGGCGGTTTCCTCGCCTTTTCAGCCTCGGTGGTGCTGTGGTACGAATGTTCGGCAGTCCCCATGTCGCTTTTTTGCTCTTCAGCTATGTTAGATGCGTTGTTGATTTGATCAAGCATTGAGGAGGAGATCGAGACTGCTTCTGCTGTCGTGGGGCGAGAGATTGATGAAGGCCGCGGTAAAGACGTTGAGTCATGATTCGTGCTTCACTCAGCACCCGTTTCTCTGGACGGATCAGGCCTAGCCTACGAAAACGCGGAATGTCAAGCAGGCTGATCCTGACCCAAAACCACGATGCACAATAGGTATCTGCAAATGACATGCGAGGCGCATCCGCCTGATGCGCGATAGCATTGGGGGATGCAGCAACATGATTTCCGATTCGCAGCAAGACAAGAGGTCAGGTTTAGCTTTCTTGCACATGCCTGAACTGACTCTGGACTTGAACCCCGATCTCGGTAAAGCTTTTCCGACGCTGGGCTACTGTAGAGTTTGGCGTGATGTGGAGAATGATCCCCAGACAGACCACACTTGGAAGCCGAGCCAGAGGACGGTCTTACCCTTAAACTTCCGGAAACGGTACCGGCATCTCCCGTTTCCCAATGACGCTAGAAAGCTTACATCTGGCGTCATGCTAAAGCCATGCACGCTTGTACGATGACCCATGATCGTTCTTCTGATCGAGTCTGGATGGCTCGATCACAGATACAATGAAAATGCAACTGATACAGCATAAAGCCCCTGTTTGCTATTAGCCTGGGTTCTCCACCTCAGCGAAGACTTACCGAAGCAAATACGAACGGTATGCCCCACCACCCACTGGATTTTGTAAGCCCAGCGCTGAGAAGCTGCTGCATTATCGGCTCGGCCACCAACAAGGTAATGTTCTCGATCATCTGAATCAGCCCGTAGAGATCCTCCCGCGATGCTTCCGGGACCGATAGCGTAGCAATGGCGACAAGCGGCGGTCGAGTAATTTGAGATATTGTGAACAGGGCGGTTCCTTTACGATTAGTCGCGATAAATAGGCTTGGCGTTGAGGCTTACCTATACACAGGAGGATTGTAGAGGGGGAAATGCCTATCAGTAAGCACCCAAAGCCTGTAGATATCAGGCTGCACCGCACCATCATGACCTGGATGCCCAGTTCCTTGGTGATGTCCTTTGAGCGAAGCCACCGCAAGCAACCAGGCACAATGACCAGAAAGATAACGAGGTTCATTACTGCTGTGGCTGTGAAAAGCTCTGTGACCTGCAAGAATGTCCAATCGAAACGAATCCTAGGGAACTGCATCATGACACTGATAATAGCCATGCGGAACATGCCAACGAAGAATATCGGCAGTGTAAGCATGCCAATACGACTCCGCAGGACTGGCTGTAGACTCTGGATATAGGTGTGGAACGATGGGAATAGCGAGTCTGACCTGGCGCGAGTAAGAACGTCTTCGTCTTCTCCGCTAGAGCCATTGGAAGGCTGATCAGGTATCGCGAGGGCAAGGAGAGCGCCGATTCCGAGGTAGGCCCAGGCAAGTGTAAACGAAAGGGTCAGCGATATCCTCATACTCCAATTGGCCATGGCTGGAGCGAACAACTCAACGAACATATAGGCGACGTTGATGAGGTAGAAGGCGTTGCCTCTACGTTATGCGATTAATGTCGACCTTTTCACCGGCTCTGCGTACTCACACGTTGTCCTCTCCTGCATGTCTGCTTGCGAGTAGATGCACCATTGCTGCGACTGACATTGTTCCGCCGCCACACAAAAAGAAGATGGACGATATCCAGACTAGGCGGACAGCGAATCTGTTGGGGTAGGAGCCTTCATTTGGTCAATAGGGAGGACGGTCGGCCGATGTGCGGTAAGATACTCACAAATGATATACACCCAGAAAGTCTGCATTCCAAGCCCAGATAGACCGAGGATAAGAACTCTTGTCGGACCGATTTTTCTTGCCAGTCTGGCGAGAGGGGCGGCCACAATGAAGACTGCCCGATGTAAGCGTGCGAGAAGACTTGCGAGAAGCAAATGAGCTCGACAGACCCGGTATGCAATCGATCATCGCCTTCCATGCTTTGATTGTAGCGAGCTCTGTTTGCACTTCAGGTACTTTGCAGCTTTGTTCCGACACCGAGCCGCGTGCATCAATGATCGATGGGTTGACCTCAAAATAGTAGGTGAGACATATGGCCCGTTCCAGGATCGCCGTGACAGGAGCGAAGAGGCTCAGTTCGAACAGCTCAGCAAAGAAGAATACCACGGCGCACAGTATGATATTGCATTGGAAGGTGGATTGTGTTGATTGTGCATGATGATCCTCGCCCCTTGAGTTTGAGTCAGAAAGGGTTCCGAGCAAATTGTCGTCCTCTCGAGAACAGTGCTCTTGTTCAGAATGCTCTTGAGAGATCTCTTGGTCCTCCTCAGATAGGGTCGTGTATGCCACCATCCCGTATATGGGCTATTGGTGAGTGCTGTCGTCGATGTCAATACACTTCGGATCTCTGGGATGGTTGTGCTTCATTTCGCAATGGTGTGCGGGGTTCTAAACAGGTCAAGTGCCAAGCCTGGTCACCCAAGGACCCTCGTATGGCTGTCACCGGGAGCTTTAGCGGGCTCGGGGGCACAAGTGCACCTATACTCGATGCGGGGGAGAATGGGCCGCTCAGGAAAGACTTAAAAGGCAAGAAAGCCTATTTTGCCTTGATCAGAGCCTCTACGTCCGCCTTCGCTGTTTTGGTGATTTTGAATGATATCTGGCCAAGTTATAACTTGAAATCATGTTCTTCGTACAGAAGACACTACGATCAAGTAGCCGGCTAATCGACATAGCCCCTTCTTTTGGCCGCACTGGTTCTCGAGTCTTTATGCAGGTGAGTTCTTTGGTTCATGCATATAAGTATAGAGGCTGAGAAAGCACCAAGAGGGCAAGTTCACTAACGACACCGACTACATCTGCAACGCTCTACTACCTTTCGCGTCTTGAACTCTATAAACATGAGAAGCCATATCACATCAATGTGCCGCCTTCTGCGCTTCCTCCCGGGATGCAATCAACTGAGAAATCTGAGGGTTACGATGGAATCACCGTCAACAACCTGCGAGGCCGAGAGCACGAGTTCAGCCTGGATAACAGCGGCTTTCAAGTATTTCGAGACGAGGAGAAGACATTCTCTCTTGCCTCCGCGTTGAAATATGACGAGTATGCGGATTTTCAAACAGTCAAGTCGCGGTACAGAGCAGCAGTCAGTCAGTTCCTCGTGGAACGGCTCGGTGCAGAAGCTGTCTTTCCTTTTACTCACGAGGTCTGTTTACATGCGCTATTATGAATAGAGGAAGCTTATGCACATCAGGTTCGAAGGAGAGCTTCTGTGTTCCCAAGACTTCCACGAGGTACGGGAGAAGCGCCACAGCCTGTGCAAGGAGTACACGTTGGTATTACGACCCGCCTCTCTGGACGACTCTCGCTAACGTAGTAAGACTTCACTCCACGCTGGGCTGTGGAAAGAACGCGCATGGCTTTCGGCGAAGCCGTCGTTGATTATCTCATGACACGCCGGTGGCAAGTCCTTAAGTACGATAAAGACACCATACTAATACGTCCATTGCTAACCCCAGTTAGTATCTGGCGCCCCTTGTTTGGGCCATTATATGACTGGCCGCTTGCGGTTTGCGACTGGCGCTCCATTGACCCTTCTCAGGATCTGGTGGCTAGCGACAATGTTTATACACATACAGCTGCCGAGACGTACAATCTCTACCACAGTCCCTCGCACAAATGGTACTTTTTACAAGGCATGAGACCGGAAGAAACTCTAGTCTTCAAAAGTCACGACTCGCGAAAAACAAACGGAACTGCGCGGGGTACGTACAAAGACACAGGTGCATTGCTATTGCTTACGATATGCAATTATAGTCTGTCCTCATGCTGCTTTCAGAGATCCGCTTGCTCCAGCAGATGCAAGACCGAGAGAGAGTGTGGAATGTTTGGCGATCGTGGTATATCCACCATCGCACCTCGAAGATGTCCAGGATGTCCAAGCAGAGGTGAGCAGATTCGTACCGCCATTGTTACAGGACTGACGAGGCTAGACATTGCCGTAGATGGAATAACGGAGAGCCTTCCTACTCATGAGCAGCTGGCTTGGGGGAGTGAATGTTTCTGTCCTTTTCCTGCACACGTCAGCCTTACCGCACTGAAACCGCAGCAAGAGACTTGTTTCTGGTAGATCTTCCCAGAGTAGCCTCCTGTGCACAACGAGAATTTCAAGAACATTGTGAGTAGCAACGAGATCGACGATGACCTTGAGGCTCAACTAGGTTGAATTATGCAGATCCCCAGTGCAGTTCCTTTTTCTTCCACTAGCAGCGCCCGACGGATGAACACTCGTATATCTGCATATGTATAGTATACAACTGACCAATGTCTCAATGTGCTCGATGCTACCAGCCTTTGAGAGGTCCAGAAGGGCGGGGTAACTGAGAAGTATGGATCGTGGCTTCTGCACGTTGACTGCAAGACTACTCCAAACACATCACGATAAGAGGAAAATCAGCCATTCGCCAGTCTTTTACTACCGCCGCCGAGACTTGCTCGGTCGATACGTAGTCTGGATTGGCCGCGCCATTCGTCAGGCTTGAGCGGGGAACGTTGCAGTACAAATATCCTTGAAAGCCAGCCCGAGGGACTCGGGAGTCAAAGGCAAACACTGCAAAGCGACTTCACCAATCTCAACAGCAGTCACCGTATCAGACGCGCCTCAATAATGTCTCAAGTTTGCAAACAAGCGTGAGTAGACCGTGTCCAGGTGAAGATGTGGCAACCCCTCTGACAAGCAAGGCTTCGGACCTACCACTCGACAGGGCTCAAGGCTGCGTCAACTACGGCGAGGGCCCAGCCTTGGAAATCGTTCTGGCCGCCCAACAAGGAGAACTACACGGCAGAGCAGCAGAAGGAGATGCCGTGGTTGACCTGGAAACCCGACCCCAAGAGACCTGACGACAAACCGTGGCGTCAGTGGATGCTGGAAGGGCAGAGCGCTGTTGCTCGCCGGGGCTCTTCGTGGTAGATATCAGACATGGAAGACGTCGAGACCGGTGAGTCTGAGCTTGTCTGAAGGATAACGATTTGTATGTCGGGTTTCATTTCACAAGGGATATGTTACATGTGTGCATCAAAAGACAGTCGTTACTATGTTTCTGGTTCTACATAAAACCAAGTCCGCATGATGAAGTCTAAGCCTCCCCCAGAATGTGTACTCTTTTCTTGAGCAGGGTACATCAAAGGAGCAACTCAAGGATCTTACCCATGAACGGGCTGTTCCGGCCAATTTCAGCCCAATCTCCCTTGTCAGCGTGCAACATCATCAGCGCGCCCTCCTTCGCCACAGCCCGCTTGACGCCGTCGTGGTCGTTCCAGTCCATAAACTGTAGGAAGCAGGCCGCGTGACCGCCTACGTAGCATGCCAGTCGTCGAGGGTCGACAGACCCACCTGACCGAATGTAGGATTGGAAGGTCGAGATTGCGGCTTCCTGGTTCACGGCCGCTGCCGGACCCGGACCAGGGAAGAAGCGGTCTTGCAGCCATATTTCCGAGAGGTAATGAGCGAGGTCGACATAGCACGGCGCACACGCGGCGAACTCCCAATCGATGATGCTGATGCTCTCGAGCGTCTTCTCACCACCGTTACCGTTCAGCTTGAGGATGATGTTGCCAAAACTATGTAAAGACAGGCATTTTCATCAGTACGTTCATTTTGGAAAAGCAGGGGACGGGCAGGCGGAGATGTGGAGCGTACAATGTATCCCCCATGATCACACTCTCTGGTGTGTTCATGTAGTCCTTGTCCAGATCGGCGATGATGTCGGCAAGTTTGTTGTGGTCGTCGGCAGAGAGACGAATGCCATATTGCGCCAACTTGGCGGGGACATCTCGGAAGCAGGTCTGTACGTCGATCTCCTTGCTCATGGAGTTGGGCAGGAAAAGTACGCGCAGATCCCGCGAGGCAGGCTCTGACGCACCCCTCGTTAGCGAGTGTAACCGGTACAGATATCTTCCCAGCTGATCCCCGAGCAGGCGCATGAGCTCCAAGGCGTTTTCGCCCACAGGACTCTGACACATGTTTTCCAGTGAAATGTACAGGGGGCCTGCACCGGACGCGCTCAGCGATGGGGGAGGGCTGATGTCTTCCATGATCATGACGTGGCTTGCGTCGTCGTAGTAGTAAAGCTCGGGCGCCCGGACGATACACTCTTCGCCCTCGTACTGGGCGTTCAAGGCATCGGCTAGCTCGCGCATTGCGTGCGCCTCGTAGCGCTGTCGCTCCGACGAGAAAGGCGTGAAAGGGTCATTGGTCGCATACTCGGCGGCGAATTTCAGGACTGCTGATACGACCGACCGTTGACCCTTTTCTGGCGAGTATAATAGCCTGTAGGTGTAGTTGGTCGTTCCGCCTTTGATAGCTTCGACATGCTGCGGATGTGCGAAGTCGTACTTGCAGGTCGAGAAGTCTTGGGTGTTCAGGTAGGCTTCGACGCGGGGTTCTGTATCCATGGTGGGTTGGAGATCTCGCGAAGGAGGTGCTGGGTGATGTTCGAAGAGGCAAGAGATCGAATAACTCTGTCCCCCTGTGATGGACCACAGAACGTGCCTCACGGTGCATTAGTTGAGTTGCTCGCTTCCAACGCAGCATGATCGAAGTCGAATTGATGAGAGATCTACAGTACTTCTGCCCAGTCTACTCCACCAATGAGAGCGGTCGCTAGCGATAACCGGTGTGCCAGTCTAGGCCAAAAGAGGCAGCAGACTAGTACTAATGCAGTGTACTTTTGTGACTACTTCGACGCCATGCAGAAGGATTTCTTTGGTTCTTGTCGGGCGCAGGACAGTTGCCTGGAACGCTGAAGCATTGACCAGGTGCACCTGAAAAGGCAGCCATTGACAATCCGAATCCCCCATCCATCAAGGGCTGCCCTTGCAAAGGACCTCTGCAAGCTTGAATGTGTCACTAGCAATGCACCTGACACGGCCCGCCTCGGGATCGACGCACGGGATAGTACAGCGCGACAACTTAATCCCGCCGCTACATGAGGGTGGTCCAAGATCAGTCGTGCAGTTGATTCAACCGTGCAACCGCGCGTTCAAAAGTGCAGCATGCTTGCTGTCTTCGAGACGAGATTGAGCTGCAGATCCATGGTGAAAGTCTGCCTCGCTGCGGCCGCCCTCGGAGTAGGCGTGGGCCTTGCCGCGAGTGATGCAACGGCTGAGTCGCTTGATCAGAAGTGGGGATCAGACGTGAGTCCTTAGACACTCCTGAGGGGAACCGTTGGCAAATTGACGACGACTGGGATTTGACTGACCATCCTGTATATTCCTCCCTGTCCAGTGGCCCTTCTCTGGCATTGCGACATTCGCACACCTCGATCATGTCAAATGCCTCGTGAATCCAGACGCGCCGTTCGATATTGGCGTCATTGGCGCCCCTTTTGACACGACGACCAGCTACCGCCCGGGTAAGTTGAGGCGCGTCCCTTTTGCTTTCCCCTCAGTCTACGGAAATAAAGACTAAAACGGGGCAATAGGTGCACGTTTCGGACCCCGCGCCATCCGCGTCAGCTCAGCGCGCCAGAGTTCCATTAGAAGCTTCAATTACAGGGCGGGCATCAACCCGTACCGATCATGGGCGCGGGTCCTCGACTGCGGGGACATACCCATCACATCATGGGACAACGCCCTGGCCCTGCGCCAAATGACCGACGCTTTTTTCGAGCTCGGGAGCAGACAGACCCCGAACGGGAGGCTGTCGGTGCGGGAATACCGGAGGAAGCCGAAACTCATGACCATGGGGGGCGACCACAGCATCCTGCTGCCAATCCTTCGTGCACTTCACGCTATATACGGCCGGCCGCTGTCGGTGCTGCACTTCGACGCGCACATGGATACGCGCAACCCTGCCAAATACATCAAGGCGTGGGTTGACGCAGATGACCTCAGCACGCAGAGCTTCTTCAACCATGGGAGCATGCTGTGGCTGGCGTCCAAGGAGGGGCTGGTAGCAAACGCATCTTCCGTCCATGCCGGTCTAAGGGCGCGTATCAACGATTACACCGATTTCGACGACGATACAGACCAAGGTTGGCACAGGATTTTTGTTGACGACATCGACGACATGGGCGTGTCCGGCGTGATTGAGTCCATTCTGAATAGGGTTGGTTCGCAGAATCCCGTGTACATCTCCGTCGATATAGATGTGATTGATCCCGGCTCGGCTCCCGGGACGGGCACCCCAGAGCCTGGGGGCTGGACGACTAGAGAACTGATCAGGATTCTCAGGGGTCTTGAGAACCTCAATATTGTAGGTGCTGACGTGGTCGAGGTCAGCCCGAGCTATGATGCGGGAGAGATTACTTCGCTGGCTGCAGCTCAGATCATGTTCGAACTCATCACCAACATGGTCAAAAGAGGCACAGTGGACGTCCCGAAATATTCTTCGTCTGGTGTGAACATAAACAGAGATGAGCTATGATTATAGGCGTTAGCTATGAGGAATTCATGCACATAATGTTTGGAATTCAGAGAGATCAAATGTGCTGAAACTTCAGTTGCACTCCATTCTTCAATCTCGTAATCAAGCAGCGTTGAACATGACTATCAAGTCTGAGGATTAATCTCGTCCAGAGGAGGAGATTGACGAGCAGGGAAGGTAGCTTCCCACGCGCTCTGAGCCTGGACTAACATCGCCTCTTGATGTGCTTTGGCTAGCATCTGCAGTCCAAATGGCCTGCCGTTGTAGTCCAAATATCCCAGGGGAAGGGAGGCAGTTGGGTAGCCTGAAAACTGGTCAGTCGGACGATCAAAACTGGAGGTACTTTATGGGGCGAGGTTCCTGACCTGCTGCAGCCGGGATCTCGAACATGAGTGATTCTCCCGGCGCCATGATGATGTCGATCGCATTCTCCTCCAGCACTCTGTCGATGCCAGCTTTGTTGACTTCTCTGGCAGTGCGGACTATCCTATCGTACTCTTCGTCTGTCATGTCATAGTTGAGCATTCTTTCCAGTCCAGCCTGGTTGCTTGCGGCTGTGCCACTCGTCAGCTTGCTGCCGAGCCTGCGGATGATATTGCGTACCGATGGGTAGCTCTAGATCGGGATGTGCCTTGTTGAACTCGATCAGATCAGCTAGAGAATGAATCTTTGATTCATCGAGACCCGATAGGTAACCTCTAAGATCACCTTCAAATGATTTGACTTCTGGGATTAGCAGAGGTTCTTGAAGTTGCGAATCCAGTCTTACGAAAAGCTTTTCCGATATCAGTCTTCCCATACTCAGTCGATTCTTCAAGTGTCATCATTTCGATGGGTTTGACGACTTTGACGACTGTTTTGAGCTTTTCGTATGCCAGCTCGAACTCCCGAAACTGAAGGTGTGAGCGTCAGACAGGCCACCGTTTTGGGAGGAATACCATTTGATTGGATGCTTCCTTCACGTATTTCACTATTCTGTGAGGGAAAATCCATGTCTCGGAGTCGACATAGCCGATTCTGATGTCGCCCCAGTCTCCAGTGACCGCAGATCTATAGCCTCCATTTGGTATAGTTGTCTTGCTCGGATCGACAAGGATATCCAGCAGGTCTGCAACGTCCAGTGATGTCTTGGCTATCGGGCCAACTGAGTCTGCCACGTACGATGCAGGGATGACTCCTGCTTGAGAGATAATCTTGACGGTCGGTTTGATAGTGTACAGGGCGGCACGATCGCTAGGCATGATGAGGGAGCCTCTGGTTTCAGTGCCGAGGGAGATAGGAGCAAAGCCCGCTGCCACACCAGTAGCAGAACCGGTGGAAGATCCTCCAGCACTCTAGTAATCATCAGTCTCAACGACAACTCGTAAACACCAGCAAAGACTCACACTGTGACCACTGTACGAGTCGGTGTCGCGTTGAAACCCACCTCGAACATACGGCGATTGCGCTTGACCGCCGACAGCGGACCAACCTTGGTCGGCTCGATCGGATCTGCTCTCGGAATCAGCATGTCAGTGAGAGCCAAAAGTCATTTTTGGCACATACCTGCACCACATCCACTCCTAGATCAGATGCAGCGTCAGCTTCGAGGGTTCTCACAGACATTGATGTAGGTTTTCATACCGACAAATTGGCTTTGCCCAGCACGATGGCTCCAGCTGCTATGAGCTGTGAACATGTCAGTACTCTGCGTGATGGTACTTTTGAGCACATACCCGATCAATTGCGACGGCGTTCTTTCGAGGCTTGGAGCCTTCTAGCGCGTAGCTCCCACACGTGGTTTGCAGACCTAATTCGGGCACCGTAGCGATGTTGTCCTTTAGTATACGTAAGTTCTGTGCAAGCAGCCTTGAAGATTTAGGACATGGGTACTGTGTATACCTTGACGATCAGGGGAATACCATGGAGTGGACTCCGAAGGTGCCCTTGTTGGCGCTCATTATCAAGTTCTGTAGCTTTTGCATAGAGTAGAGACTCTGGTGCGGTCTCGATCACAGCCTTCAGATAGCCATTGTGACGAGCTAATTGGCCTAGGTAGACATCAATCAATTGCTTACTTGTAATGGTCCCTGCGGTCAACTTCGTCTGAAGGCTTGACGCTGTCTCGGTGAGGGGATCGATGGACATGATTGAGGTGATTGCAGATATTGCCAGGCAGTAGGCGCTTTGTCCCCTGGCAGCGAAACGTGTGCTTTTATAATGTCTGGCAAGGCAGAACCACTGCTATGCCAGTCTAGTGGGGCGTCCAGCGGGGTGGGGTTAGGCACTACTTCTGCATGCACATCCACTGCTTCCCTGTCGTCACGAGCTGATGATCGCTGTGTAAATGTCATATTGATTTTGCCATTGACATGCCTACTCATAACCCGAAAAATGAGATAAGAAACCATAGTCGCGGTAGAAATCATACGAGAAAACAGCGGCATGAGCACTGAGCGGCCAGAATATACCCGCTGCCGGGACTATCTCGTCCAAAAAGCGAGACTGGTCGCATTGACGACCAACTCCAGGGTACCACATACAAGTACGGTCTGAGAGGCTTTTTCATCAACGCCAGGAGGGGGGCCGGGAATCGAGTTCTGACACCAGGGCCTTTGGGCGCACTGACGGGCCTGCCGAGCCCATGTCTAAACCGAGACCACTGCTGCTCAGGCTGATAAGTGCGACAAACAGGCCAGGAAACTCGCTCTATTGCGGTGTGTCCTCTCTAAAACCGACATAGGAAGTGCTGGGCCAGGTAGATGTACCTGTCCTTATGCACACACTTTACAGTTGAAACCGGCGATACTACGCTAACCGCTCTCAGCAAGTGGGCTCGTGCAAAATCGGGTTAGGCTTGTTGAGTTATCGATAGGAACCCATGAATTCCTCACGCAGCCGAAGCACTGCAAGCGACGCGCTCGCGCACCTGCATCTGCTACTGCTCCGGTGACCGCCAATTCCGCGTTGGCATTATTTCACGCAGCGAAGGTGCACGGAGGGGTGGAGGAGAGACTTTCGATCAACGAAGAGTTGCGCCATGCTTTTACCACGTGCGACTTCGCTGCGCTTTGCTCGACAGTCCAGCCGAGCCACAAGCTGCCTTCGATCAGTGGCAACGGCCAGCGCGAAAGCGAAGCGAACTCGTACGACCGCTCTGCCACAATCCGGCCTCAGACAAAATGGAGGTAGTACTGCCGCAAGGCCAGGACAACAGATAACACATGCAAGCTTAAAAGCGAAGAGAGCACGGCAACTCTATGATCAGGGCGTAAGACTTGTCTACGAAGCTCCTGCATTTTCGGGAAGGATTCTCGGTGCCTGGTTCATCGGTGCTTGCTTTGTCGGGTATGCGGTCAACCTGGTTTCGCTTCGTCACTGGGACATGTCCACACTTCACGGAATGGGTTCGTGGCAGAAGAATTTCATTGCGGGAGGGAACCGAGTGTCGATGTTCTTTCTTACCTTCATGGGAGGGTTCGCCATCTTCAGATACTGCGGCTTCATCAGATCTATCCGTCTCGTGGACCTCGGTGCTGGCAACATCAAGTTGGGTGTCCACGTCAGACGAAGAATGCCCTGGAGCGAGACAAGGTTCACCGTGGCTGCCGGCGAGCTTTCCTTGCCGCACCGGTGGCAGCAACGGTTAAATCCGTCCACAGAGACCACCGCTAGCCGCAACCTGACGGCCATGCTAAGCCTGCCATACACATGGTTGAAGTCCTGGCTGTTGATGGATGGGGTCATAGCCCCCGTTACCGTCGGCACAGGAGCTATTGGACAACTCGACAGTGCCGGGAAATTCGAAGTGAGTCTTGCCGACTTCAACGCGATCACAACCGAGAGGAGTCCTACCTGAAGGAAGTTTTCGGGGACTGCTGCTTTCACATAGCTACATTGCGGAGGGCATCTGTAGTATACCACGTGGTGGCCGATACCTAACATAAGACTGTACAATAGATCAGACGTCCGTCAGCACGATGATGAGGCACTTCGATGCGCTAGTAATCTTGACCAAATTTAGCCGCCTTGGGTGCCACAGTGTCACCTAGCTTCTCTGGTGAGACTAGCGCAGTTGCCTGGCGGCTGTTGCCTGAATTTCCCCGCGCTTGCTTCAACCTCCCACCCTCCTACTCTGCTTATCTTCTCTATCGTCATCTGTACTCCCTCGCAACGTGACCACTGCAACATATCGCTATGTCACATCGACTGCGATACGGCGAGCCCGACTGGGACGCGCCGCCCACCAATCTCCTCAATGGCGAAATCACTCAACGCCCGCTGTCGAACAAAAGCTACGAAGAATTGCGCTACGAGCAGCTGCTGGCAATGGGTTCTGTAAAACCCAACAACACCAACATCAGCTCTTTCGGCCAAATGAAAGACCTCCGCAGTCTGAGGGGTCAGAATATCATTTCGATCATCGTTGGCGAGAGCCACACCCAAGCATACTGGAAGATCCACGATGACCTCCTCACTTCGAGCTCCAGGTTCATGGCAGCAGCTACGAAGCATCAATTCATCGAAAGAAGCACAAGAACCGTTCGTCTACCTGATGAAGCACCGGAACTTTTTGACCATTATGTCACCTGGCTTTACTCGGGCCAGATCGTTACTCTCACCTTAGACATGATCTTGGGTCTATACAAACTTGGCGAACGCATCATGGACGACAAGTTTCAAACTCAGTGTTACGACCAGATCAAAGCTTCATGGTCACCTTACACTGTCCGGCAGATTGTATTCATTCTGGAGCAGTCTCACGGACCCTCGGATCGCCTGCGGCAGCTGTGTATGAATGAGGTTGGTCGAGGTATCTTGACTGGAAGATACGCATTCACATCTGAAGAACTCGAGAAGCTCAAACAATGGTTGCCCGAAATCATGGGCGCTGTCATCAACGCAGTCGCGGCGAAGCCGGTCGGTTTCGGGCCTTCAGCCGCCGCTTTCAAGGCAGCGAACCCCCAAACCACTCACTCGCTATTTGGTAACTTTGGTAGCGATGTAACCCACGACCGGGACCGGGTACCTCCTCCTGGAGCCACGCACTATACCCCAAACATTGGTTGGCACTTTGGTTCGTCACCTTCAAATCCAACCCCGAGCTCTGCTTATCGTGGAGGCCTCTTCTCACAGCGAGAATCAACTCCTGGCCCTACCACCAGCTTTGGACCATTTCCAGCGGGCCAACCTACGACAAGCCACCTATTTGGCCAATCGACCGTCAATCAAGCGCAGTCCAGCGCAGCGGCTGGGACTTCGCAAACATCATCTCTGTTCGGTCCCAAATGGCCGGAGCTTCAACCTGGTGTTGGACCGCCCAGTACAACCTCCAGGACAGCACAGCAGCCTTACGCGCCACCAAGCTTCAACGATTTCGAGTCGTCAGCACGGGCGTTTATTCGCGCAACGGCTGCGCAGGTGGGCGGCGATACCAGCAGAAGTGCTTCTGGAGCGCGCGCACCCCACCAAACGAGGAATCTATTTGGGTCTGGCCATGTTGACATCAGTCCTTGGGCTACCTCGCATCAGACCAACAACGTTTTCGGTAGCTCCAACAATCCGACCTACAAGCATACCGTCATGAACAATGACAAGGGAAAACAGAAGGAGACCCAGTTGGAAGATGGGGACAGTGATGACACCTCTGATGACCCTGTCCTCACGCCGCCGTCGTCTTCTTCCGGTCTCACACAGCAAAATAGCCCGGAAGTCCACACGTCAAGGTCACTTGCTCCAAGCAAAGCTGAGACCTCCACCGAAACAGAAGAAACCATTGCTGCGCGTGCAGAGGAGGAGAAATACGCCAGCGACCTCCCAAAGAGTTCTCATTCCCTTTTAGGCTACAAGAAGATGAAAGGTGCAATGGAATCGGTGCTACTCGAACAAAAGCAAACGAAGCGGCTGTTTCAACAAATGATGGACTCATTAACGTCCGCGGAGTCAACGGTGTCTGCTTCATTCGAGAAAGTACCGTCTGCGGAAGACCTGCAACCGCCGGAATCTCCTCGTGTTATTGGACGTTGCAACTATGAGTTGGCAGACTACAAGCTGCAGCTGTTGTGCTTGAAACATCGGAACTTGCAACAGCACGCAAACAAGCTGATGGATATGGCGACTGACATCGAAGCAGAGGCGTCCTGTATGGCTAAGTCAATGCCGTCTGCGGCCGGCGTGGCACCTTCAGTTATCGACGCTCCTACAGCTGAGAGCCAGTCTGTTCCCAGGCATGGTGAGACAGTGACTCGTCGGAAGGAATCAGAAGGGCCGCCACCGCCCAATACGGAACTCACCGCGGCGCACCGTTCCGAGGCCAGAACACAAGAAACGCAACGGAAGCGAGAGAAAGGTTTTGGCAAATACGCCGACACCACTCAATCCGGGTTCGCAAAGGTAGTTGAAGGAGGGAATCACGCAAGCAGTGCGAATGGAGCCAACCCCTTCAGGACCGCCTCCTCACCATTCGGCGATGGCTCTGCGTTCTCGACCCAGTCGATCCTGACCGGCGCAAGTGTCGCTGGCAATGGCCCTGCTCGCCCACACGTCCCGGTATTTGGTACGCCGACACCACTTGCGGCACCTAGTTCACTGGGTGTCGTCAACGTTCAGGGGCTGGGACGAGTTCCGGGCGCGGCTGGTGTGCGGCCTCACTCGCATGAGCATCAGCATCAGCATCAGGCGATCATGAACGAGGCGAAATCTCAGGAGCACCGCGCCGAGTGATCAGGAAGGGGGTTGGGGAGGCGGCTTAGCGAAGCCTTGCTTGAGGCATGGTTTTGGAGCAGCGGATTGGGGGGAGAATGGGAAGGTATGTGTGAAAGGAAATGGCTGCGTTAGGGGGCCGGATGGATTCATGGAGCATCAGAATGCCAGGGACAATGACCGAAATTTGTGAAGCAATGATCGGGAGATGGACGTTTGACTGAATTGAGACGATGACTCAAAAGACCTCTTGGGCGAACATGTCTCCCTTGTTACAGCAGACGATACGACGGCCAGGAGGGAATCTATTCTCTTGCATTCTGCTTTTTATTCCATAGTTTTCCAAACCGTAGCTCTGTCGGTGGATTTGATGAGCTATGCTCAAGCCTACGATACGATGAGAATGACAGCATCCTAGAATACGCCCTGTTTTTTTGCTTTTCGAGGTCTCTTATCGTTTCTTTGAGGTCATCGTAAAAAGCGTGACACGGGATCTTTGCTCGCAGCTCCGTGTTAAGAGGCTGAAATCTGAAGCTGTGCAGCATCTCCAGGCCTCGAGCTTTGCGGATGCAAGAGTGGTGCCATCCCTGCTTGTGGACGTGTGGCATATCTCAACCACTCCTTCCCGTGGTATTGTTTTGCATTGCAGCCAGCTGTCGCGACAGCGAAGAAGGCGGATTTCTTTGTAGACGGTGCAGCTATGTTGGGAAAGGCAACTGGCGTTGGGACCGACTGGCCAGAAAAGGGCCTCTGTGAGGGCGGCCATCATACCGTGAAGTAGCGGTCTCCGAAATCACCCAGGCCGGGCACGATGAATCTGTCTTGCGCGTTAGCAACTACTCTTCTGTATTGGCATGTTCGATCCCGTAGTGACCAGCTCTGGCCCGAGCGAGCAAGAGCAAGGGCGTCCGAAATAAATTCGAAGAAGAACCAAACTTACAGCTTCTCATTCAAGCCCTGGTCCACAAACGCCGTGATGACCCTGACCTTGGGGACCTCCTCGTTGAAGCGCCTGACGCCCTCGGGACTCGCGATGAGGTTCAAAAACAGAATCCTCTCCTCCGGCACGCCTTTGCTCTTCAACACCTCGACGGCCATGATCGCCGAGCCGCCCGTGGCAAGCATGGGATCCAACAGCAACACCCAGCGGTCCTTGATGTCAGGCGGCAGCTTATCGTAGAAGAGTTTGGGCTTGCCCGTCTCGTCGTTGCGCTGGATGAGGATCTTGCCGATGCGCACGCTACGGCAGCACTCGCGGAGCGCCGTTTCCATAGACTCGCCCGCGCGCATGATGCTGACGCCACAGATCTGGCCCTGGAACGCCACGCCCACGTAGTCCTTGCCTACGGGGGAGGTGACGGTGTGCGTGTTGACGGGGAGGTGGTTGAGCCCTTCCTCTACCAGCAGGCGCATGATGCGGTTGCTGTAGAAGATGAAGTCGGCCCGCGCGGTGTTCTTGTCGCGGATCATGGTTAGCAGCGCGATGAGCTGCGGCGTCTGGGGGAGGATGTGCACGTTGGGGCTTTCGGCTGGCCGCGATACCGTCGCCGTGGGCTTCTCCGACGAGGGTCGGTAGGCTGGGCCCAGGTTCAAAGCTGGTGAGGCCGCGCGATCGGGGTCTTCTTCTTTGCCCCGCGTGCCTGGCGAGGCGGGACTGGCGAATGTGGTGCCCGCTGCTACGCCGGAGGCGTTGCTGAGGGAGGCGCGGAGGGCGGGTGAGGAGGTCATGACGGCGGCGGCGGGTAGGCTTGAGGGAGGAATGGATGTTACCACCCGGAGGTGCAGGTCGTGTGACCTGGACAGCACTCGGCAAGCACGAAGGGCGAGCGCGGGGAGGTCGTGATCAACAAAGGGCGATAGGTCCAGGACAGCAAGGACAGCAAGGACAGCTCGAATCTTTCACAGAGAAACGAATGTGTAGTACTCAGGTGTCATCGGAGCTCGCCGTGCGTGAGAGCTCGCAGGCCAAAACGAGGCGAGCTCATTAGGGTTCTGCAGCGGGCAGACACGGCGGGGGGAGAGGAGTCGGCGAGCGGAGCTGCGTTGCTTGGCAGGAGATAAAGAAAAATGCACCAGGCAGTGAATCGGGCAAGTGACAGTCCGAGTGACCAAGTGCAGAGTATCGATTTGGAGATTATGCAGGTTCCCATTATAGAAAGCCCTTGTCTTCGTTCTCTCAAGATCCTTGCCATCCGATCTCTGAGCCATGTTCCACATTCCCACGTTGCATGGGTGGGAGGCCATATAGAAAGGACGATAGAAGTGAATATTCAAACAAGAGACGACCACCAGCCCAGTTCAGCCGTTCCAGCTTTCTTTCCTCATTGTCTGATTAGGATTCCTTCGTTCGCAAAAACTGTTCAAAGCGTAATCGTCCGTGTCCCACAACCAGACTCCTAGCATCACTTCGGATTCCATCAAATCATGCAAACGCCTTCCAATCCCGATTGGTTCTGTTTTCCGTCCCGGTACCACAGTTGGAAAGCAGTTGCAGTATCGACACATGCTTCATCACGAGTGAAATAAATCCCAGGCTCGTGAGCACAAGGACAAAAATTCATCTTTCTTCGCTTTTTGCGTGGCCGGACTGTCACGACCCTCGCCAAAAGGTCCAAGCCTGGGCTCACGCCCATGGCCGAGTGGGGGGCTGCTGTCAGCCTCATATTCATTCCTACTTCGTCTCTGGCCAGCCACGGGCGGAGCAGGCTGATATTTGTGGGGGGTGAGATTGTGCCGGTGGCTTGGTGAAGGGGGCGTCGGAGGCTGGTGGCCACCATAGTGGACTAATCTGGGCTGGAGGTCCTCGCGACCACCTGTCATTTCGTGCACAGCATCCTCGGCGGACCGGTACTCTCGTGGCCGTTCGTAGGCGGACGCATGTTGAGACATTGGGTGAGCAGTCTGGGGTGGAAAGCTTGGCGACGGCAATGGCGGACCATGCGAGTGAGCGGGCGTTGAATTAGCATGTAAGAACGGAGGCCGCGTCTGGCCGGGGTGTAGCTCATTCGCGCCAAAGACGTCGGATATGGGAGGGAGTCGATTTGAGGTCTGGATGGCGGGGATTTGTTGGATGGTGGTGCCGTGCGCCGGATTTTGCCCTGACACTTGGCGAGGTGGTGGTGGGTCATTGCGGCCTGTGAATGTCTGGTTGAGGGGAGCGGACTGGATGACTCGCTCGTTGGCAAAACGTTCAGCTGCAGGCGGAACGATAGACAAGCCAGGAGGAGGGCGCTTTTTAGTGCTTGGGCCTTGCTTTCCTGTTGTGGGAGTCTCTCCAGGCCTGGAGACATCGTGCGCATCGCCCTTGGCAGATTTGAGTAGACGCTGCTCGATGATGGAGCGCTGCTGGTCCCGGACGGAGAGACTTCTCTGCAGTTGTTCGCGCATAGTAGGGTCATGAGTCTGAAAACCGGGGGAGAGACAGGCCAGACCAACGTCGTGGAGCGAATTGAGGGCATCCCTGCCAGTCCCAGGAGCACTCCCGTTAGGTCTGGCAGTGGCAGGTCCGTTTGTAACACTTGAGGTATTCAAATCTAGTTTCCGCGGCCTGTGTCTGGCGGCTGGCTGGATAGGTGAAGAAGGGGGCTCTTTCTTGACAATGATCTTTGGATTCCCGGCACTTCTCAAACTGCGCAGATTAGTGTGCAATCCCCTGGGAGGAAACTAGACTGAGGACTCACGATCTGGGAGAGTTGGTTCCAGCCTCGGGAGGTGTCCTTTCGGCGGATCTTGACATGTCATGTATGTGGTGGACCTCCTGGTGTCTATCGATGGGAGCAGAGGTGGAGGGTGCCAGTGGGGGATAGCTTCGCGGGCTTGGATTGTGGTCCAAGGGAGGCAGGGAAGCCATCGTGGGAGGTGCAACGGCGGTCGACATCGGCGAGGCTGAGGGTGAAGCTTGGGCAAGATTCGGTCGTGAAGTCACCCTTGACAGTCACCAAGTCGACGGTGAAGTTGGACTTTTCGGAACCTAGGCAGCAGCGCAATTGGCAGCTTGCTGTAACGAGCGGAAAGGCCTTGCTCCAGAGCAGTATTGGACTTTTTACAAGGAGCGCGGCAAAGAGCGAGGGAGGGACTTGGACTGCGCGGCAAAAAATTGGGGCGGCGGCAGGACAGGACGAACAACGAGCGACTGGGTCGTGTATAGGCAGGGCTCGCAATGCTTGCAAGCACAGTCAAATAGCAAACGACAGAGCAAGAGGCTGTTGGAGGGAGGGGAGCGGATGTGATGGGATGGGGGGATTGAGAAAAAGAGGAGAGCGAGGGAGGACAAAGGGCGAAAAGGATGCAGGCATGCAGAGCGGGCGCGAAACGGACGACGCTCACTTGAAGGCGACGCAGGTAGAGGCCGAGGAGACCCCTCTGAAGGGTGCAGCAGGCCCAGCCCTGGTTCGTGCCTTGCCTATTTTGTGCCTAGGACGGCTGCTTTTGCTTATTCTGGGCAGCGTCAGGGCGGCTGTTTCGTCTGAAACCCTCAGCCCGGGCAGCGTGGGCCAATGGTTGCCGGCGTTTGCCTGGCCTCGAGCCTCCTGATCTCCATCTGCGCCTTGCAATTCCCTCCCGCTCTGAGACAGACACCAGACAGCAGGCTACGTTGCGGCGAGCCGCTCAGCTGGTGCACCCGTGCCACAAAGACACTGACTGCGACCCCGATTTGTGCTACCTCCTATGAAGATGCAACAACAACGGTCGTCTATTTAGCCGTTGCTTCTCGCGGTATGCTTTGTGGCAGGAGGGGAGAAGAGGAGCATGGGGCTACCGAGCCTGGCACTAACACTGCGAGCTGATGCTTGTATCTGTTACGGTGCAGGGATACCCGGCTCGTTTACCCGTACCCGACACGTTGTGCCCCGGTGTATGGCCTGTGGCTATTACGGAGTACTGTGTACTACAATGGTGCAGCGTCGTGTCGACTGCCGGAAGTCAAGGCCGGCAGAGTTTGAGCGCGTCGACCTTTGACAGCTGGCTAGCATAATCCTCAAACGCTTCCTGTCGGACAGTCACGCAGCACCAGACAGCCACTGTCCCTTGAATCATTACCAAGAATCTCCCTCCACCACATCGCGTGACTCAGTGGGACAAGAATAATATACTGACCACACCACATGGGTCTCACTTCGGCATATTTTTTTTCTCGCTGGGCTGGGCTCGCATGGCTGCCACGAACGTCGCGAAACGATAGTCGCAAAAGTCGCCATCCAGGGTTGCGTTGCTTGCCGAGGTGGACGCCAATCAGCCAACAGCCCGAGCGAATAGTAAGCCGTGGTGAAACGCGTATTGCAGGGGCCAGTTTCGCACTATCGATACGCTCCGAGCTTCGATCGGGGCCAGTGCGTCAGGGCTTCTAGAAGCGTTCCTACCGACGGTGCGGCTCATCAAATAATCATCAATATTGATTCTATTATGGGCCATCCATCTTCACCGCCGCTGCTGGGAACACCTCCTTAGTCTCAACCTGAGCTCCACTGGTCTTCGGCTCGGCTGCTTCGAGTTTCTCAGCATCCCAGCTCGTGGTCGAATCAGCCAAAAAGGCCTGCCCCTTAGCCAGCACTCGCGCATTCTCCTCGCCGAGCCACTGTGGCTCCAACGCCTGAATACGATCTTCGATTTCGTAACACTGACCGCCAGCCACCCATACGATCTTGCCGATAAACGGCAAGGCCGCATTGTCGTGCGATGGCGCATCAGCTCCAGCTCCACCCCCTTGGTTCGAGGTTGCGCAAATGACCATCGCCCGCGCGACATCTGCAGCCGTGTTCTCTGGCAACCCCAGCTTCGCCCAGCCCATCTCAATTCCGGTTACCATTCGCGTTTCTGACAATCAGGGTCAGTCCCCTTACTTTAACAAGCGAGCTCCCCGACCCTTCGAAACGAGCATCTCAAGGGACAGAAACAGCAACAGCAGACAAGGGACAGGGATACGGAGTACTCACTCGTCATCCAGGGACAAATCACGTTGACCGAAATCCCCTCGGTCCACGCCTGCTGATAGAGCCCTCTAACAATGCCGATGACGGCATGCTTGCTCGCCGTGTAGGTCACGAGATGCGAGCACTCCTTCCAGCCAGCAATGCTGCTCGTCAACACGATGTCCCCTCCCCCGTACTTCCGCAGGATGCCCATTCCTATCCGCGCGCTGAACAAACATCCCTTCGTATTGACATCCACCTCAATCATGCTCGGCTCCACTCGCCAATCCGCGTCCGGTGCAAAAATGTCCTTGTGCACGACCACCCCGGCATTCGCGCACACGACGTCCACCCGGCCGAAAGCCCGCTCAGCCTCGTCAAAGAGAGCAAGCTGGTCCGCGTAGTTGCTCGCATCGCAGTGCCGGTAGCGCACCGACGGGCCCATCTCTGCCGCCAAGGCCTCGGCAACAGAGTCATTCACGTCGCCAAAGACCACTTTCGCGCCGTAGCCTGAATAATGGTGATCTCGGCATCAGCACTTTCTGAAACATTCGGCAAGGCAAGGCAAGGCAAGGAAAGAGCTGGAGGTCCGAGTACGGTATGCTTTTGCTCGCATCTCAAACTGCAACTGCACTCACCGACAAACATCTCCACAGCCGCACGCCCAATGCCAGTCGATCCGCCCGTCAGCACCACCACCTTGTCCTGCAGCTTCCGCGCCAGCTCGTCGTTGAGAATGAGTTGAGTCATGATGTCGCCGTTTCAGCAGCCGCAAAGCTTTTCGACCTCCCACAAACGATTCGTAAGTGCCGGCGTGTGTGGTGCGACTTGCAAACTTGTAGGCTATCCGGCAGATCTTTCGTTGCGCTACCGCCCCAATGGTCCCGCTCAACGATTTCCGTACCCAGCACGACGTCCCCAGTCGCGTGCGGCCGTAGCCAACATATCATATAGTGTATTGGGTCCCCCGGAAAGCCCCACATGTTCCAGTGGGAGGACACTCAAGAGACAAAAAATATGTGGGGTGTGGGCTGCGAAAGATGGGCATTTACCGTGCACCCCCCGTGGTTGTCGTGGGCCGGGGCGAGGGGAGGGGGCCGCTTTTTGTTTTGCCTTTTCGGCTGCGTTTATAGTATGCTGCAAGAGGTGGAAAGAAAGCTACTTTGATCCCACTGGTAAGCAGGCGCGGGTGAGATTTAGATTTTATTCTAGACGTGTTCTTGGGGCGGGCCGGTATTCGTAGGTTCTGGCCGCTCTTGCAAGAGCCTGGCTCCAGCGGTGCGTGTTCCGAGATGAGGGTTTCTTCTACGACCACGGCCCATGGCCTGGAGCTAGAATCGTGTCAGGTGTTTGTATTATATTGTAATAGTAGTGTGTGTGCAGGTATTATATACATGATCTTACTCCGGATCAGCGACGTGACGAATGCTGCTGTATGCCGCTTGAACTGCCCCCGAAATCCCACAACTCTACAACAAGATCCAAAACAACCATGTGTCGCCTCACTCGGCTGGTTTTTACGGCGCAATCCTCCCGCGACCTTGTCCCTGCCCCTGTGCCGCCGCAGCATCCTCCTCGCCAGCGTCATCCAGACTGATTAAACGCGTGAGCTCATCAGCTCCCTCCTCAATATCCGCATCATTCTCGCTCTCGTCAATCCCATCCCGCTCATCGGCGCTGACCTCCGACGCACTGGGCGTCGTCGCCTCTTCCCCACGCTGCTGCTTGTCACTGGTGCGCAGCTGCCAATCGCGAATCCTCCTGTTTCCCGGCTCGGCTGTATCCTCTGGTTCGTCCCTCTCCGTGACTGTCCGTAGATTCGCTCCCAAGGCCTGTCTGCTGCGCCTGATCCGGAGGCTGCCTACTGGCGTGATGTCGTCTTCCGCACCTGCATCGGAGCCTGCTGGGGCGAGGCCGGCGCCAATGCTGCCGTAGTTGTAGAAGAGGCTCGCGTTAATGTTGGGGATGCTACCATATTGGCCGTCTTGCGGGCGGAGGCGGGGGCTGGTGAGGTCGATACGACGTTTCCGTGGTGTGGTACTTTGGCGGTTGTCGTAGAGGCTGACGCTGAGAAGGCTCCGGCGCTCATCGTCCTGGTCCATGTTTCCGGCGTTGGCAACGAGAAACTGGTATTGATTATGCCGGATCTCCTTGGCTTTGTTGTCGATGTACATGACCAGAGCGACACCGATGATGAGGCCCGCGCTTGCAAGGTAGAGATTGACAGGTCCTGGGTCTTCATAAAAGACGTCATGTACCAGAGCCTGTAGAGCGGGTTGGGAGAAGATCGACAGACCAGAGACACAAATCATGGTCCCATAGACAGTCCCGAAAGTGGCAAAACCAAAGATTTTGGCGGCGTAGTCCGACATGGCGCTGTAATAGAGGGGACGGAAGATGCAGAATAGCACCACATTGATGTACGCGGCTGTGGTATTCGGTATGGCACCCATGATTCCGTTGATGGTGGAAAGAAGTACCAGCAGCGCAAGAACGGTAACAGTTGAGGTCTTGTCAAGTAGAAGGCCAATGAATGGGACTGTTGCAACGCCACCGATCGGAAGAACTAGGTCAAAGAACTCGTTGAGCTCGGTCGCGCGACTTGGAGAATCGAGCAGGTAGTTGTACTGAGTCCAAATAGTGGAGATGAAGAAATTGAAGCGTGTCATCTGTAGAACCGTGAAGAGGCATATGAGAATGAACCAGGGAGTCATCAGCTGCTGACCAGCTGGCATACCGTGGAGGACGCCCCATACACCCGAGGCGATCTTCTTTGTGTCTTGATCGATCTCGTGCTGGATCTGCGTGTTCTGATCACCGATCAGGCCTTCGATTTGAGCGACATCTTTTGCTCTCTCCGCTGCTCTCCTGGAACGGATGCGATAGACTTCTGCCGTTGTTTCGAGGTCTTCATCCGAGTCGTGAACATCGAGGGTATTATCAGCCACGCGCTCCATCTGGGTCTCAAGTTCGGCTCTGGTCTCGTAAGACTGCTTTGGCATGAGGAAAAGCGTAGCAACAAGCATGAGAGCTGGTACGGTCAGGTACAGCCGGAAAAAATCTGCTATACCAAAAGAACCATTGGTTGCTTGGTATAGCACGCGAAAACCGAGGAATACGGCGGCAGAGGCATCAAAGGCGCCGGTGATCAAAGATAGGATCAGACCTTGCAATTGCGGGAAGGCATTCGCAAGGTGAAAAGAAGGGACGAAGGTGAAGGTGCCGCCCAGAGCGAGCAGAAAATAGCCTACCACATAGCCATCAAAAGGCAGTGAGGCTGCCAGAGACATGCAGATTGATCCCAAAGAAAGGATAGCACAGCTGGCTAGGGCGCATGGAAATGGTCCGTACCGATCTAGAATGCTGCCAACGAGCAGGGCAGAGAGATTGGTTGTGACTGAACCGAGAATAAAAATCAGGTTCAACCTGTGCAGTCTTAGTTGACGCTCTCAAGTCTGGGTTGGCCCGTACCTTTGGTCTTGTAGGTAGCAAAGCGTCTCACCACGGTCGAGCTCTTCGCGGGTACATAGATCGCGATAAACAGACTCCTCAACAAGGATCTGCTTCAGTGCTGCGAACCCGAAGATGATTCCTGAGGCAAGGATACATATTATAACGCCGACAGTAACTTGTGCTATACGAAATCAATCATTGTCTTGCGGCGGGGAGAAGGATTCTTACCAGTCCTTTTGAGAGTTGAAACTTTGTAAGCACCAACGGGCTCCGGTTTCTCCGTCGTCTGGGCGTCTGTTCTGGGCAGAGGATCGTAGCTCAAGGTCAAGCTGAGCCTCCTTCCGAGCTGTAGACTGGCGTTGTCCGGCGCGTCGTACAGACTGGCGAGATCGACGCGATCTGGGCCTTCAACGCTGGAAACATGCTGTGCAAGAGACATGGCGCGACAGTAGCGACGTTAAAACCGGCCACAGAGCAGATCTATGATAAGTGAAGCTTCATGCTTACCCACATGCACCGCGCTATAAACCAAATGGAAGAATATTGGAGGAGGAGAGGTAAGAAAGGTGGTGGCGGATAACGATTCCGAGGGTTCAAAAAGCTGGCAGACCACACATCGAGATTCAGCGCTAAGGTGGAGCACTGATACCAGCCTGGACTTGGCGAAGCAATCTCGGTCGAGTGCCTTAGCTGTATAGCTCTCGCATCTTTCGGCACTGTCTATAAGTACGGCAGGTGTGTATAGAGATGGTTGAGGTGTTGTTGGCATCGGTGAGTTCTAGCACGTGAGATGTCCGCAGCTAACGAGAAGCCAAAAGGCACTTGCCACGGGGCTACAATTACGTAATCACAAGGCTGCAAAGTCCCAGCCTGTGATTGGGCGTGGACATGTCTAGGTAACGTGCCCTCCTCCGCACCCTCATATCACGGTGGTTACCAACTCCTACCTCGTTCTCATGTCGCGCGTCAGAGCCTGAGTGCAAGCTAAGCCATGGAGCGCTTGATTGAGCCCGTGGCTCTCCGCTAAGCATAGCTCAAGGCGGCCTGTAGCTTGACTCGATTGAGCTGAGGTACATGGTTCGCATAGCCATGCGGTGCTACCTCCATTGCTGCGATGCTGCTCCATTGTCCGTCCAGCCAGACCGCCTCGGAGAGTTGTGAGATGCGACTGCAGTCGGACAAATAATCCTGATCGGCATGGAAAGCAGATCTCAGAAGCACATTCCCCGCCCATCTGCATCTGCACGTCGAGCGACTCGCCCCTTTTCATTGGTCAATTACACCTATCTGGTGCTTCGACTATGCCTGCAATGCAACGCGGCTGGCCGGCCGATCCTGGGGCCAGAGGGCCATCTCCACTGAGGCCAACTACTGGATACCTCCCAGCGCAACCGTGCTCTGGGTCCTGCATTGAACTAATCCGACCCCTCCTGCTGTGCCTGCTCAATCTGCCGTCTGCTCGTGCTCTCGCGTCGTTGTTTCAATTTCCATGTTCTATCCTCTTGGTCAGGAGCAACTCTCAACTACACCTTCATCATGAACAACCAGATCGATGAAGGTTCTAAAGAGACCTTCGTCGCCGTCGCAGAATCCCCAACTTCTGTCGGCGGTGCCGTCAATGCCTACCCTGGCGCCCGGACTGATCAGACCCGGAATGTCGGCTTGCGAGTTCGAAGGCTGTTCAGCTTTACGCAAATCTTCTTCTTTGCGCTGACCTTCATGTCGAGCTGGGAGGTCATGGCATTAAATCTGCAAGCCGTCTTCTACAATGGGGGACCGAATGCACTGGTATGGGGAGCTCTTGTCGTTATTTCTGGGGCTCTGGCTCAGTCAGCCTCGCTAGCCGAGCTATCGTCTCTACAGCCCATCGCCGGCGCCCAATATCACTGGACTCATTTCCTTGCCCCTCAATCCCAACGACGCTTTATTACATGGATGCAGGGTTGGATAACTTGGTTCGGCTGGGTATCGCTCCTTGCTGGGGTGGCCAATACCACCTGCTATATGCTCCAATCTCTCGTGGCTGTCAACTACGAGACCTACAGTCCGGAGCGCTGGCACGTCACGCTCCTAATCTTCGCCCTGCTGATCCTGCAAGGTTTGATCAACATGTACACCTTCTTTTTAATCCCTTGGATCGAGGTCGTCGCCGGAGTCCTCCACATAGTCATGTTCATCATCTTTGTCAGCGCCCTCCTAGCAACCGCGTCTAAGCACACAGCGGATTTCGTCTTCACCTCGCGAGTACCATCCTCCTCTTCAGGCTGGAACAACTACTTTGTGAGCTGGAACATCGGCCTTCTCACGCCTACTTGGGGTTTCGTGGGGTTTGACGGTGCGGTCCATATGTCCGAAGAAGTGAGAAGCGCAAGACTAGCAGTGCCACGAGCAATGTTTTGGACTATCGCCCTGAACTCCGTGCTCGCCTGGGCCATCATCCTCGTTATCCTTTTCAGCATGGGGGACCTGGACGCTGCGCTCAATGCTCCGTTCCCTATCATCGAAATCTGCACGCAAGCCGTTGGCTCCGTCCGAGCTGCTACCGCGATGGTCTGTGGGCTGCTGGTCATATCTCTCGCCGTCAATCTCAGCAGTATCGCCTCTGCCTCTCGTCTCACCTGGGCGTGGGCTCGCGACGGTGGGCTGCCCTCCTACTTTGCACACATTTCTCCACGCCACCGGGTGCCCGTACGCTCGATCTGGCTGCCCGTAGTGATTGTCATGTGCCTCGCCTGCTTGAACATAGGCAATTACGCCGCTTTCGGCGCCTTCATCGCCCTCTCTTCCTTTTCCCTGTTCTAGTCATACTGGTAAGTCCAACAAGATCCAATGGCCCTCGCGATTCTGTATCGAATGGTAGGTTTCGGAGACGCTGTCTCAGAATCCTGCTCACGGCACCATGCCTGTTATCCCAGCCAACCCGTTACTACCCAACAAGGCCTAGTAGCGCGAACAGCCGGGCGCGGCCTGTCCACTGATCCCCACCACACAATACACCCGCTGCCTTTTACTGATTTGTGCTGCAGTGAGTACATCACGACACATAACCTCATCCTCCCCCCAGGCTAAGCCTCCCAATCCTTGACTCCCTAACACACGCTAACCACACCCGTCTCAAAACCAGTCATCGCCATCGCCTGCATGCTCACCGCCCGCCTCCGCAACCCCACTCTCGTAGCAGATACGCCCAACACCTGGAGTCTAGGGCGCTTCGGCCCGGTCATCAATGCCTACGCGCTCGTCTACACCGCCTACGTGGGCCTATTCACGCTGCTCCCGTCCACGCTGCCGGTCGCGTGGGAGAACATGAACTACGAGGGACCGATCTTTGGGCTAGTGGTGGTGCTAGCGCTGGCGCTGTGGGTGGTGTGGGCCAGGAAGGGGTGGCGCGGGTTGAATAAAGAGGTCATTGATGCGGTTGTGGCAGATGCGGATCGGAGGAGCAGGGACTGAGATTGAATGTGTCTCGCCGTAGAGCGCTGGAGAAGGAAGTATCGTGCTGCGGAGAGTTGGTTCAAAAAACACTACCAATAAAGTATTTTAGAAGCTCTTCTCGACATTTGTCCGTTGTGCCCGCTCTGCTCCGCTCTCAAGATCCTCCACCTCGCCCACATCAGTCTTCCCACCAGTAGCCAGGACTTCTCCTCCGTCCCCCTTTACCTCCGCCCGAGCCCTCTGCCTCCCAATCTCCGCCAAGCTGACACCCTGCTTCCGCAGCGCCTCCAAATCATCCGCACTCGCAGCATACTCGGCCCTCTCGGCCTCCGACATCTCCGGCCCCACGAACAGCAACACAATCTGCCCAGCCCAGATGGCACCCATGAATATCGCAATCACCTTCCCATAGTCGAAGCGCTCGACGCCATTGTGCGGCGGGAGCGGGTACCGCTCGCCAATGACGGCCTGGATGGTCGCGGACGCCGAACTGGCAAGGTTGCCGAGCTGGTACGTGAGGCCCACGGCCGTGGTGCGCAGTGCTGGCGGGGAGAGCTCGGTCAGATGGATGGGGATGACGCCCCAGACGCCGCCGACGAAGAATTGGAGGAAGAAGGCGCTGGCGACGAGGGCCATCGAGTGCGGGAGGGTGTAGGCGGGCACCAAGGCGCCGCCGATGATGCAGCCGACGATCATGGTGAGGCGGCGGCCGGTGAAGGTGCTGAGGTAGCCTAGGATGGTCCCACCGATGAGAGCGCCGATTTGGCCCACGACGGAGATCACGGTGACTTGGGTCGGCCCCATCTCTACTTGATTCTTGAGATATGTCGGATAATAGTCTTGTGATCCATGACTGCAGCTGTTGAAGAACGACATCAGGAGGACCATGTATACGACTAGGAGTTGAATTAGCGTTAGGATGATCCAAGGAGGGGGCCGAAGCCGTACAAAGCACCCAATTCGCCTTGATAGCCACCCAAACGTCTCGGAACCACGCTCTTGCGCCTGTGGCTTTGATACTGTGTTGTCCGTTGCCGCTTTGCTTCTCGACGAGTAGACGTGCTTCGCGTTCGGCCTTCATTACCTGGAAGGTGTTCGTTTCGGGTAGCCACCAGCGGAACGCAATAATGAGGACGGGCGGTGCTGCTCCAAACCAGAAAAGCGAGCGCCAACCGTGGGTGGTGGTGGGAACGAGCTAGAGTTAGTTGTCAGTGGGTGAAAAGGTGGAAAATGAGGAGAGAAACCATACCGCCCGGTAGAAGACTGATGCGAGCAGATAGCCCATCGCGTAACCTTGCTCAAAGAGACCGGAGAGGAGTCCACGGGCATCGTATGGGAGGTCTTCGAGGGCGGTGGCAGCGGCTGGTCCAAAAAGGCCGCCCATGGCTATCCCATACAAGGACCGTACACCCAAGAATTGGGGCAGTGTATTGCAGAAACCAGATGCAAGCTCGAAGATGATAAAGAGAAAAAGGTTGATGATCATCGGCCACTTGCGTCCATACCGATCGCTCAGAGCCCCGAAGACGAGTGCACCGACTGAGCGGAGCATGAGTGTGAGCGTCAGGCCCTAGACGTCTGTTAGCTCCCGTCATTGCTTACCATGGGATTGCGACTGACCCAAGTCACAGCACTGTTCTTGACTTCAAAGTCTTCCGCAATCTCAGTGACAGTCAAGCTGACGGTAAAGAAGTCAAAGGCGTCCCATGTCCACCCAAGGAACCCAGCAAGGAACATCAGCCATTGGTGTCTATCAAGTTCCTTGAGCACGGCGACTGGGTTGCGTAGCTTCGTTCGCGGCGGCTTCAGGCTTGTTGGGCGGGTCAAGACGTATCTGCCAATCTGTGAGGGGCTGTAAAACCAGCCAAGTGCCATGTAATTCCTCATGTTCACGATGACAGAAGTAGCCAAGTAGAAGAGTAGCGATTGTCAATGGGGACACAAAAGACTTCCCAGGGAACACATTGGAGCGCACTACTTATCTTTGGAGTGCCACTGAGCTTTGCCGACTTACCGTGCTTCATCATCGTCATCGTTGCCGTGATGTTCGTGATTACACGGCCGGCAATGCCAAACCACGCCCGAGGAAACCACAATGGTAGCGAAGCCAAGGCGCGGGGAACCCTGCGACAGCCGAAAGGAACGTGCCATTGGTGTCTGATCGTCCGGGTACAGATAACACTATCTGGCGGGTAGTTCGGGACGTGAGGAACTATTCTCCAAGATCTTGCACGGCAACAATGTACGACTTGCAGCGTAGTGGCTGTGTCGATGTTTCGGGACACATGCGGACAGGCGCTCATGGCGGCAGCGATAGTCTCAGAAAACAGTCCAACCATCTATGGGCATCTCGTATCATCGTGTCTCGGGGAGCCTCCAGATTATATAGAACAAAAAACCCGACGTCTCCATGAAGGATTGAGGTTATGGCCAAGTAAGGACAAGCAGTCTTGATGGAAAGAAGCTCTTTCCGCCCATCCAACATTCCTGGCCAATCACAGGCTGCTTCCAGAGAAATTCTTGGCATCAAACTTCTTCTCGTGCATCAGTCCGCCTCTGTTTCCCATACACGCATTTTCAAGCCTAGACTCGTTGAAGCGGTTTTCAGAATGTCCGAAACCAACACTGGCGAAGACGTCGGCGCCGAGGCTGCGCACGACTTGCTTCTCGACGGCGAGAAAAAGTTGAGAATTGTAAGTACATCTACATTCATATCAATCGATTTGAGACAGTGGGATCTGTATCGTCATTCTGCGATAAAACTGCGCCGGGCAGATTCTCGGTGATGGTGTGGATCCCTGAAAGAATGGCTGACCGGTCTCTCTCAGTTACCAGGAGCATCATCGCACGCTGCGTCGTTCCAGATCGAGAAGGAAGACCACACTCTGGGTAACGCGCTACGGTACTTCATCAATAAGAAGTGAGTCAGAGCTACAACGTCTCCTCCCTCCTGTGCCGAGATCGGCGAGGGTGCTGACTCCTCAACCACAGCCCTGATGTCGAATTTTGCGGCTACACGATCCCGCATCCCAGCGAGACCAAGATGCATATTAGGATACAGACTTGGGGTGAGTTTCCCGTTTGCGTACGGATGAAGAATTCCATGAAACTGCAAGCCTGAACATCGCCCCACGTATACACGGTGTTCGGAAACTGCCATCTTCAGACTAACCTCTATCACAGAAGACACATCAACGACAGCTTACGAAGCTCTCCGGAAAGGCCTACTAGATATGGTAGAGGCGTGCGATGTTGTGACGGAGAAGTTTGAGAGCGCACGAGATGAGTTTAACGCATCTCATGCGAATGGCAATTAAGCCGTGATAATCCCGTTTTTGTGATGGACCAAACGGAACGAATCATGGTTTTTGGATATCTTTCATTCATGCATTGCGCGGCGCAACACGGGTCCTCTACCATCTGTACAGCATCGACCACGCCTGGAGGAATAGATCTCGTGCTCTTGACGCCTTCTAATTTCGACCCTGTCATTTGTTAGCCCCAATTCCACCACATAGTACACGTTGAACTCACCTCCAGGAAACCTTGCATGAAGTTCTTGGGCAGCCTCGCCGTCGGATCCTCCTCCTTGCGGAAATATTTCATGACTTGCGACAGCTGCTTCCAGAAGTTTAACGTCTCCTGAAACTCCATATGGCTCTGGCTGATCAGGACATCGACGGCCTGGATGTTGTTGACGTAGCGGTGCTTCTCGAACTCTTCGCGGACCTTGGCGCGCACGGTAGCCACCGGCATGTTGAGGGAGTACATCTGCTGGATCTCAGGGCCCTGCATGAGGTTTGTACATTAGCTGCTGCACTTCATCCTGTCCTTTTTCCAGCGGGCTCGGGGATCATCGTCCAAATGCCAACGGAGGGCACATACAGCTCGTAGCCATTCTCGGTAGGACTTGAGGACTCGTCGCTGGGCGTCGGCCCAATTGATCGCTATACACAATCAGTCTTGAAGGGATCCTTGTTGTGCGGTGCACGGCAGCTCACAGGAGCGCGTCCTCTGCGCGAGATAGGTCGGACTGATGGGCATGACGGCAATCACAGAGGTCACATATGCGCCCTAGTGGCCCTCTGGTAGATGTGGAGGGGTTTCGGTCAATTTTAGTAAGAGGTGAGGTGCAGTTTGAGCTGTAGTGGAGCTTGGATTGAGAGCAGAGCCGGTGGAGATCCTTTCCGCCCCGAAGCTGCAGGTCCCGCCCGCCGCAGCGATGACGGAGCTCGAACGTCCCTCAAAATACTTTTTTCGCTTCGAGCCAACTAAACAAGATCTATTACACACGTCCCTTAATCGAGCATCTATCGAATCTCTTGAATACTACAGTACGACAGCGCCGCAGTCATGGGTTCCGCAGGGCCCCCTCCGTCGCGGCGCACCGCCACCATCTCCCGCATCACCAACGAGACCAAAATCCAATGCTCTCTCTCCCTGGACGGCGGCGCCCTCGAAGCGTTCGAAAACTCGGATCATTTCTCTTCTGATATCCCTTCCGCACAGAAATCCAAGCATCCAGACGTACTATTTCCTCTCCCACCCACCCACCATGCCACCCAAATCACCGCAACGCAACAAATATCCCTAAGCACCGGCATCGGTTTCCTCGACCACATGCTCCACGCCCTTTCCAAGCACGCGGGCTGGTCCCTCGCCATCCGCGCCAGCGGCGACCTCTTCATCGACGACCACCACACCACCGAAGACGTCTTCCTCGCGCTAGGCACTGCCTTCAACAAAGCCCTGGGCGCGCGTGCCTCTCTTGTACGCTTCGGCCGCGGCGACGCACCCCTAGACGAGGCTCTGTCGGGGGCGGTCATTGACCTCTCCAACCGCCCGTACGCGGTCATCGATCTGGGCTTCACGCGGGAAAAGATCGGCGACCTGAGCACCGAGATGATTACCCACGGCTTTGAGAGTTTCGCGCAGGCGGCGAGTGTGACGTTGCATGTCAAGTGCGTATACGGCCACAACAATCACCATCGGGCGGAGAGCGCGTTCAAGGCTCTGGCGGTGGCGTGCCGGACGGCGTGTTCCAGGCTAGGAGTGGGAAGTGCCGGATGGGGAGATGTTACGAGTACGAAGGGTGTGCTGGGGAGCAGTGTCAATGAGTAGGACTCGGATGTAGGGGACCGGGAGAGCCGTCTCTTTGACAGCGCGAAGGAGCGGCCGAGGCGTTGGCGCTCAAGGTACAGGCTTGAAAGGAAAATGTACTGGACTTGGTAAAAGGTTTCAGAAACATCGATGCTGGCCCTCTGCCGGCCCTTCGCTACCTCATGTTGCGTCTCTTCTCTCAAGTGCATGCTCTTCTCTGGCTTCATACGCTTCCTCGGTCTTCAATACTCTCAATGCCATACGTCACCGGACGCGGCTTCTGGTGCCTAATTGTCTAGCACCTCTCCTCGACTGCACGAATGCCATGCCCCCCAAGAGACTGGCTATACCGCACAACATGCCAACCGCAGTGATGAGGCAGACTCCCGCTAATGGCACAAAACGTAAACCACGCGGTCCTCGTCCCTTCTTAACAGAGCTGGAATCCCACATTTGATGCTGCTGAGACAGCGATTGTAGCATAAAGTGATTTACACGTCCCAGTGGACGCGTCTGCTGGGGATTTTCACCCCAAGCCGCCCCAAGCACCCCTCAATCTCCTGGCTAGTTGAATGTCCTTCTGCATGATAGTCACGCGCTTGGCGTGTATGGCGCACAGATTCGTGTCCTCAAACAGATGCACCAGAAAAGCCTCGGTCGCTTCTTGTAGCGCCATAATGGCCTGGCTCTGCCACCTGAACTCCTCGGACCCTCTAGGCAGGATATCATTCGCGACCTCACGGACGAGACGCGCAAAAGGCAGCTTGAGCAGCAAAAGATCTGTTGATTGCTGGTATCGACGGATTTCGCGAAGGGCAATCGTGCCAGGCTTGAAGCGATGAGGTTTCTTTGCGCGACTGGGGGTAGGATCACCTGCTGCAGCAGTCGTTAGAATGTGAGAGGAGCAAAGTGAGGATGCTCCCGCACGGAAGAGACCTACGTTGTATGCGCGAACGACCGCGTCCCGCTGTTGTCTTGCCCGCGCCGCTGGTACGGCGTGTGGCAGATCCTGGAGCTGTCTTGCCGCCCGTCGAGGCCCTTTTCTTGCCTGCTGCCACCGACTTGCGCTTTTGCGCCATCATGGGCGATATTTTCAGAAGTGCGCTAACAGAGAGGGTGAATAAATTGTACCAGACAAATTTTGTTGCGCCGATGCTGAGTGCGGGTTGGTTTTGGGGAAAGCGCCGCGGTGCGACTGCGTGCGATACCCTGGTACAGGCCGACGACAAAAGAGGTGGCTGGGACGCGTCGAGATAGGCGCAAAGCAGTTTGGCGCAGGCGATTACAAAAGCGGAGATTCAAGTGAAGGGTGACAGGCGCGTCGTGAAGCAGTCGTAAAATGGGAGTCCGAAGATGGGATGAGCTCAATGTCGATGTTTACGTTGCCACGACACGCGCAGACCGCGAACGAGCAGCTCAGAACGGCCACCAAACGGCCCCTGCTCGAATTCTTGGGCGGCCGCTCTTTCCCCCACTTGTCGGCTGCTGGTTGCTCGCCTACCACCCCAAGATGCGGCTTAGTTTTAAGCCTTGTATCGCATCATTCCGCGGCGACGAGGCTCCGAACTGCGCCTGCTCGCTCCTCCGTCCGCGGCAAGAGAACCTTCTGTCATCTTCGGCCCTGTCACTAATTGCAGGTCCATGACCCTATACACTTCTAGCCTCACTCGTTCCTGCATTGGTGACGACCGCACCTGAAGAAGCCACGTATGACTATACGATCTAGACCAGCAATCATCTCTGCATCTTGTTAGACAATCACACCACCGCACCCCTCATGCGCCGCCGTTCCTAACTTTCCCTCCATTCTATACCAACTGGGACGCATCTAAGCAGGACCACAAACACCCGCCATGGCAGATCTGTTCAACAACGGCGCCGCCCAGATGGGCCAGTTCCCTCTTGAGCAGTGGTTCTACGAAATGCCTCCCTGCACTCGCTACTGGACGACCGCCACCGTCATCGCCTCCGTCCTCGTGCAATGCAAAGTCCTGACCCCCTTCCAACTCTTCTATACCTTCCGCGCCGTCTACTACAAGTCCCAAGTACGTACTCCCCCACATCCAAACCCCTGCGCCCACCGACCACGTGCTGACCCCACACTCTCACAGTACTGGCGCATCCTCACCACCTTCATCTATTTCGGCCCCCCAAGCCTAGACCTCCTCTTCCACGTCTTCTTCATGACGCGCTACTCACGTCTACTGGAATCCAGCTCCGCCTCTCCCGCAACCTTCAGCTGGCTCCTCCTCTACGCCACCACCACGCTCCTGACCCTCACCTCCCTACCTCTACCCTTCAAGCTCTCCTTCCAGCCCGGCTTCCTCGGAACCGCCCTCTCCTCCACCCTGGTCTACATCTGGTCACGCCGAAATCCAGAGACTCGCCTGAGCTTTCTCGGGCTGCTTGTCTTCACCGCGCCGTACTTACCTTGGGTCCTCATCGGCTTCAGCCTCTTCATGCACGGCCAGGTGCCCAAGGACGAGGTGCTGGGCGTCGTGGTGGGGCATGTCTACTATTTCCTGGCAGACGTGTGGCCTGGTCTCGGCGAGGGAAATGCGAGAGTAATGGAGCCGCCGGAGTGGTGGGTCCGACTGTGGGAGGGCCGCGCACGGCGAGAGGCTGGCAATACGGAAGCCAGAGGCATAGATGGGGACGTTGCTGCGGCGGCAACGAGACCAGGAGAGGTACGGTGAGAGATATCGGCATTGATAGGGTCGAGTAGAGTTGCAAGCGTGGAGTTGCATGGTTCTTGGTTCACTTTTTGGGTAGACGCTGGGTCGCGTTGATCAACGACTTATGAGCGTTTAAGCAGTGCATTTGCGCGCGGGAAATGAAGCAGACTCAGATCCATGTACTCAGGAACAAGAGCACGTGCTGTCTGCGCACAGGTCACCGCAATGAAGACTTCCTCCAGTCGTAAAAGCCGGGGATAAAGAATACTGGCCAGACAATACATCTCCCTCCTCAAACTCTTCGTCCATTTTTGACATACTTTTCTCGAACACCTAGCGCTCACCACGCACATAATTAACGGGCGGCTGGTCACCATGCTCGAGTTGACAACAGCTCCACACTGAACGCGAACACAACAATCGTCCACCACAGCCACTGATTGACCCCAGTTGCCTGCATGGCAGCTCCGATGAAAGTCGCTCCTTCCTTCCCGTTGCGGCAACTGACCTGCTTCAATGATATGGTGGTGGACAAATACAGCCTTACCCAATTCTCGGGTCTCAGGCACCTGTAAACATGAAGAAGTGATGGTGTGCCGAAAACGTCATAAACTTCCCCTGCACCGCCGATGAGAGTTGAGACCGGTCCCTGTGAGGCAGTTTGATTACTGCAATCAGAGCATGATTGCCTGGACTCAGAACGCTCCACGCCTTTTGAATAGTACCAACAATGCCCCCAAAACTTTGGTTGATTCTTATGAGTGGACTCGTGGAGGCACATATTGAATTCCAAAAACACAGCCACAGCATCTTTCTGATGATGGCGTGGCCGTCGACCCCTCTCAGCTGCATATTTTCCCGATGAAAGCTGACTTTCTTTCCCCATGCGGCATCCTAGCTGCTGAAGCGTGTTCGTCAACCAGCGCCCAGTCAAGTCCTTGTCTCGCACATGGAGTGATCTGTAACGCATCTGATCTGCCCCAAGATGTCGCACTTGAGCCACTCGGTATCGTGCTCGACGTCTAACAACTGGACTCTTCGCATCGAATACTGATTTTGTCCTGCTTAAGGAAGGATAGCTGCCGAATATGGTCGCTGTCCGTCCCAACTAGACTCAGGGAGTCCAAAATTCGGATTGCCCGGTTTGATCCTGGCATCAATTTTATGCCGGTTCCGAGCTATTCGTCGACCCCCATTAAGGCAAGATGGAGGCTAAACGCAGTGACCAAGTTGCTGTAATGCGGTGGGTAGCTGCACCGCACTGCGTTAGACGGCATCGTGCTGCTGTTTTGCCACCGTCTTCACCTTGGGCATCATACGCCAGTCGACGCTTTTCCTTATGCCTTCAGGCAATTTCTCCCAGCTACATCTGGCAGCTTCGAGTTTCTGCGCAGACTCATCGAACTGTCCCATGAATTGTAGGCTCTCAGCTTGAATGCCCTCGGTCACATGCATCCAGGTCGGACTCCGCCAGCTTTTCATCTGCACCGCAACAGCATTGACACACTTCTGCGCATGTGCATCAGTCGCTCCCAGGAAGAAGGCCTGTTGCATTACTACTAGGACCAGAGCTGTGATCTGCTGATTCATAATCTCCTTTGCAACGCCTAAGGCCTTGACGAGTGCCTCTTTTGAAACCCAAATGCCACTATTCGTGAGAAGCGAATGCACAAGCGTGTGAGCTGCTGAGATGTTGCGATCTTGCGAGGATTTGACGAATGTATCCAGGACTACCAGAAGATCCGCCTTTTCGCGATGTCTGGGGTGGGAACCATCATCAATGATGAATAATCGGTTCATGCACGCCAGAATGCAAAGGTTGCGCCGAACCTCGGTATCCAGATCTTGATGCCGTCGAAGTATTCGAGGCTGATTTGGTATCGGACGCTGTAAGAAGTTCTTGAGGTCAAATATAGGCGATTGCCATATCTGAAGAGCACGTTCCAGATTGCCTAAGCCTTGATGGATGGTGCCATTAAGATACTGCAGAGCGGAGATCATACTTTTCGGATAGTGATCTTCGTGCCCTTTCATGGTGCTGGCAGCTTCTGTAACAAGCTTTTTGGCGTGCGTCCATTGGCTCTTCAAGCATTGGAGGTATGCGGAATCAATGAGGAACCGGCATTCCAACATCTGTCGATTCAGTACCGTAGCACCGGTGGCGTCCCTAATACGCGCAAGTCCCTCGTCAAGGAACTGCTGCGCCTTTCCTCCGTCCGAACTATTCTTGTGCGCTTTGCTACTGGCGCAAAGTAAGAAAGCGACTGCTTCAAATTCGTCTCGATTGCACCAGGAGAAGGGTAACACATATTTGCCATCTCGCTTCACTACCAATCCACCGGACTGAAGAGCGTATTCGTGGAGTGAGTTGTCGTTCAGGGGGATGTAGACGACGTTACCACCATCACGCCAAGCCGCATCATTAACTATACGGCCCCATGTGTCTTGCATGCGCTTTCTTTTTTCATCGCCTTGTTGGTGATTGCACTGTCGTATGCTACAGCACAAGTCGACGTACTCGGCAAGCATTCTGAGTTGTGGAAGGGCCGCTACCTGTGGGTCGAACTGCATAGATCTAAGCCGTGCAATGGCTTGCTGTGCGTCAGAAATAGCATCTGCCTGACATGTCTGAAGAAGCAGGAGTCCTAGCATAGCTGCAGCAAACGCCACCATGGCCTTGTCATGGTGTTTGTCCGCAAGACTCTCCAGGCGTCCAAGTTGGAAAATGGCGCTCTGAATGTCCCGTAGATTTGGCGAGAGGTTCAGTATTGCGAGCTCGTAGCGAAAGGCATATTCCCATGCAGTATGCTTGTAAGCCTCCATATCTGCGAGGTAGCCTTGTATGGCCTTGACTGCGGCCTTGGGCTTGGTCTGAAATAGGACTCGGACAGAGAGGAGCATCAATGAGTACTTGAGGTCTAGGTAGTTGTTTCTTTCGCACAGCTCGACGGCTTTTGTCAGAACTTTCTCGGCTTCGTCGTAGTTCTCGGTTTCCTCGTACAAGATTTGAGCATAGGTGAGCGAAACTTGGGCTTCGCGCAGAGGAGACAACTGGAAGTTATTCAGCGCCGACTCCATGCATCCCAGAGCGAAAGAGACGAGCCGAAAATGCTCCTCTGAGTCTTCCCCAGCCCGGTTCGCAGCCTGGATATATTCATCGGCGAGAACTAGCAAGATCCGTGCATAATCGTGTTGAGGCGGGGGTGTTGACGTTGCAGGTGGCGGAACAGGAGCTGGTGCCATGGTTGGACTCTCTTGTTTCGGTACACCGTTGTGTAAAGGCCTTTGCGGAGGTTGGACCGCGAGCGCAGGGTAGCCGTTCATAGTACCATCGAACTGAGGTGGCTGCTGATACATCTGGTGGTATTGGACGGGCTGAGGCGCATACTGTTGATTGTGGTAGTATGAGGGTTGAGAGTTTGACGGCTGGTACTGCATTTGGGGCGGTCTGGAAGGGACTACTACTTCGATCTGTGGATAGGCGGCAGGCTGTGATTGTGGTGGGTAGTATTGCTGCTGTTGGTAGGACTGCGAGTACTGAAACACTTGAGGTTGTTGCCTAGCGTGTTGTTGGAGCTGTTGAAGGTAGTCGGTTTCGTCGTTGGTGGCGAAGCCATAGCCAGACCATTTGTTGTTATAGCCATCCATGGTGGAAGAGGCAGGCAGGTTCTTGCCTACCTTGCACCTGCCCGGCGGTTGGTCACTGAATTTCCACGCGTCTACCTATTTTCGACCCTTGGTCAACAGTGCTGCGAGGCTCTCCTTCGACGCTCGGCAAGCCTTCTACTGTTCCGAAACGCCAGAGTTGAGGGACAAGCGGTTGTTGTTCTCTCGAAGCAATATTATACGATGGCGATAAAATGGTAATCGACAGGTCGCCCAGCTTTGCAAGAACGCCCAGCAATGACCATTTTGAAAAGAAGAGAATGAAAGGCCGGATGAGAATTGGATGGTCTCAGATGACAGAAGGACAGAGCGTCGTTTGCACGTCGTGAGGCTACACGCAGGTGATTGGTGACGCCTAACACGCGACGCCCCGCAGCTCCGCCTGTTTCTGCTATCGATAAGAAATTTCGCGTTTTGCGGTCCAGCCTCTTTCGCCGGACTCCCGCAGTCTCTGACCGCTGTGCACACTTTCGACTCACTTTGACAGCTTTCCTGGGGATATGGCGCCAACAAAGAGCGCAAAAGGCCCTAAAAAGCCGCTGCCGTCGCTCAAAGCCTCGGCGAAAGCGAAGCCTCTCGCCCGCAAGTCATCGACTGCTTCAAGCTCAAAATCCAAGGTCACTCGACCGCCTCCAAAGCAGCAAAAGACGAAGCCTGGTGCGCACGGTCAGAAACCTGCCAAGAAGAAGGCACCGACATATACAGACAAGCAATTGGGCCTGCCGTCGCTCAACTCCATTGTGCCTATCTCGCATCCCAGCAAGGCCGCTTCTGGCAAAGGAACAGGCAAGAAGAAAGGCAAGGTTTTCGTTGACGATGTCGAGGCCATGCAGACCATCATGAGCATTGTGAATGCGGAAAAAGATGGCGTTATCGAGAGCAAGATGATCAAGATGCGCCGGCTTGAAGAAATAAGAGAAGCCAGACAGAAGGAGCAAGAGAAACGGGATGCCCAGAAGAAGGGCGAGCTACAAGGCAAGATGGAGGAGGTGAAAGGCAAAAGAAAGAGGAAGAGAGGCCTCGACGAGGTCAGCAAGGCAGCGAACGAGAACGGCGAGAGGGAGCTCAAGCCTAAGAAGAAGAAGAGTGTGGCATTTGCTTGAAGGCCGCAACATCAGATTGGATCAGGATTCTGTATCCTCTCAGAGGGCTCCGAGAGGAAGATTTTGGACTGTGCGAGACAAGGACTGTTTGGAGGTGATGACGAGATCACTGATCCACGGGCAGATGCAGCTTTCGCCTGACGGGGTCGAATACCGGCCGGAGCGGTGCTCGCTTATCGCGCTTCACGTATCCCTCAAGGGGCCCGAGCTCATCTCGCGAGATCTTGTCAAGTTGGACATCCTTGTACATTTTGTCGAGGAAACTAGTCGACTACAGCATGTCAGCAGAGATATCGATGCGAGCAGGGATAGGGCCATACCGGCTTCACGAACCACCGCCCGCCACCGTTTTCGAACCAACCAAGATGACCTCCGAGAGTCGTGCTACACAGAACCACGTACGGGGTGACCTGCACCTCCTGGACAGGCAGCACCTCACTGCAACAGACCGGGTCATCTTCAGCATGGATTGCCAATAGCGGTATCCTGATGCCGAGCATTGCATCAATGCTGCTCGCGTCCCGATAATATGCGCCCTCAGATGGGTATCCCCAGGTCGGTCCCTGGACGTATCTGTCAAACTCGAACAAGTACGTGATATTGCGTACTTTGTCGACATTAATCCCTGGGATCTTGGAGATCTGATCCACATGCCGCTCAAAAAGCTTCTTCATATTCGTCCCCAGCGCGCGATTGTAAACTTCCTTGTGCCACCACGTCCGCTGCAGGGCTTTGGCCGCGACCTCCATGTTCCACACGGAACTAAAAACCACAGCGGCTTGCAACTCGCACTTTTCACCCTCCTCGCCGAGGTAGTTGGTCAAGATATTCCCGCCTAACGAGAAACCCGCGCCGAACAGGGGTCGGTTAGGGAACTTCTTCCGCAGCCACTTGACGGTCTGGCGGACGTCCCACGTCGCACGGGCGTTGTACAGAATCGTGCTGCTGATGGTCGTCATGGAGCAACCGCGTGAGATGACGACGCACGCTTCCCACCCGCCGCCTTGAGGGTTGTGCTCGCTGGCTACCAGAGGTTCCAGGAAGGCACGGAGATACATCTCGTGAGAGCCACCGCTGAGACCGTGCAGGACGACGAGCATGGGTTTTGTGTCGTCGCTACCGATATTGGCGAACTCGTCCTCGCTGTAGTAGGTCGTCCGGGGTGGTAACTTATCATCGTGGTCTTTGCTCGGTGGTGCGACGAAATCCACTGCGAAGTGGCCTAGGTATGCGGGATCATCGGCTTCGAAGATGCGGCGTTTGTAGTGGATCTTGACCGGCATGGACTTGACGAGCGTAGCCACGGTCTGGGCATCACCGTTGAAGATGAATGGATTTAGCCAACAGGACGGAGTCAGCGGCTTAATTAGATCGGCGAGGGCGACGCTGCCTCCGGACTTGAGTGGAAGGCATAACGTCGTCTGGGCGTGGTGGAATGAAACCTTTGCTTTGCCAAAGAGGCGGCTCATGTTGAAGACGATGTAGAGCACCGGGAGCGACAGAAGGGCTGTCGCGACAGGAGCGGCCGTCGCGCAGTCTATTAGCTTCGTCAAGCCGTCTAGCAGTCTATCATAATCAGAAGCGATACTTGACGCCATCACTTTGTAATGCAGTTACTGCGTCGTGTCCGTTATCGATACCGGTCTCCTATGCCATAGAGTGATGTCCCTTGTGGTCAGATCTCTCCTATATATGCTCAGCCCCTGATGCGCGCTGCAAAGTCCCCAGCCCAACAGTAAACAAACACCGAGAACTCTTGCGAGAGCAAATCAACAAAGAGAAGAAGAAGGTCTATTCGCGCCAGTTATGGAAGCTCATTGGCGCGGAGGGAGGAAATGAAAAAAGTTCACCGATATATGGAAAAAACGGTTCCCGGAAAAAAATGCCGAGGTTTCCCGCGTCTGCAGAAAAATGGATGCCTGGTCATTTACGCGCGCAATGGCATACACCGGTGGGATTATGATCCGTGGCAGACTCACCAAGGTCGCCGCGAGGCATGAGCATGGTAATGAAGCGGTACTGTGCATTAGTTTGGAGGTTTCCGAGCTTGCGATGTTGTATCATGCGATTTGCGGTCAATCTCACATGTCACTCCCGTGATCGAAAAGAGTCACTCCCGTTGTTGTTGTGATAGCTAATGGTATATAGCTGTAGTTGGGGCAGTTTTTTGGAAGAATGATAACTTGACCTTGAGACTATGGATGGTTTAGGTTTATCTGGAGCATACGGAGCCGGACGCCTTCCAGTAGAATCCCGGGTGCGAAGCCCAATGCTTCGGGGGCCAACTCGACAACGATCCTCCTACGACTTAGCCACCTCAGTTCCATAAGCCTCAGAGACGGCTTTCTCGACCCCATAACTCTTCAGCTCCGCCGTCACCCTCGGCATGCCCGCCGCATCAGCAAGCAACTTCTGCGCCACTCCATTCGGCAACCAAGTAACAAACCACATCAACCAGGGAAAGCCGCCCTCCCACACCTGCGCGTTGGGTTTTCTCTTCTGTAACTGCTTTGCAACCCTCTTTCCCCACTCCTCCGTGCCCATCGCCCCCTTCATAAACGGCTCGCCAGTGTACAGCTCATTCAGCCAGTCTCTTGCAGCCCAGTATAGACTGCCCTTCGGCACCGCCGGGGCCCCCACGACCTGGTTGCCATTCAAGTTGCTGAAGGTAGACGAGGTCTTGAGGTCAACGACGTTGATACCGAACGGGCTCAGCTCATGGCGCAGAGCGTCTGTCATGATGGCCAGCGCGGCTTTGCTCGCCGCGTACATGGCTGTAAAGGGCGGAGCGACGAGGGAGGACGTGGAGGTGTGATTGACGATGATGGCACCACCGTCGCGCTTCGAAGCCAATAGCAGCGGTAGGAATGCCTGTGTTACGGACAGTTGTGCCCAGACGTTGAGGTCGAAGAGTTCCTTGGCTTTGCTGGTGTCGATGTCGGCTAGAGCGGTGAAGTAGGTGCTGCCGGCGTTGTTCACGAGCATGTCGAGAGAGCCGCCAGTCAGATGGCTTATGGATGATACGCATTCGGTGATGGAGGTGGATGAGAGTACATCGAGGGTTAGGATATCGACTCCGGCCGACTGCGTGGTGATGAGCTTGTTGGGATCGCGGGCTGTGGCGAAGACACGGTGCGTCGACGACAGAGCAATCGCGAGTGCAGCGCCGAGAGAACCATCAGAGCAACCTGTTATGAGGACGGTGGGTTTGCGAGAGGCAGCGGAGGGAGACATTGTAAGCACGGTCGTCGTGTGTTGGCCCGTCAAGCTAGGAGAGGCTGTGTCGGCATGAAGCTAAAGAGCAGAGGAGAGTCGATTGCCAAGTCTAGATTCAATGACTCTGCACAGAACTGGTGCCTCACATAGTATTTATGGCTGCTCCGACGACTTACGCCGAGCGTGCAGTCTCCTTTCCTGTATTATGCCGGGACTCCAGCCGGAAGAACTCATCTGTCCGCCATTCAAAGTTCGACGCGAGCTCGTCAACTCATCTTGCACCATCTTCGGAGGATTCAAACCATGGGAAGAGATTCAGCCGAATCATGCTCTGGCGTCTGGTCAGAGATGTCAGAAGGTGTTGTTTTGCGGACGAGGCTGAAATTTGAGAAGTCATAATGCCAAGCAATGCTGTCAGAAAGTGTCAGAAAGCCCTGGGTCGGAGCTACCACTTCACCGATATTACTGGCCATCAAGGAACTTGGTCTGAGCAATGACCAGCGATGTTCTCGATTGAACGGGACGGGGGTATTTTGTCCCTCGTCGTTGCAGCGACCAAGGTTGACACAAATGTTTATCTAGCTTCGTCAAACTATAGCGATACGGATCGACCCTATACAGCTATACCGTGGAACTGCAGTCTACATCTTGCTCGTTATTATCCTCCTCAGTCTCGTCGTGAACGATGCCTGCCGCTGCAAGTGCTGCTGCCTCAATTGCTTCCGCTTCCCTTTCCCCCTCCTCAATTTGATCCAGTAATCTCCGACGGTAGATCCTCACCTCTTCTGAGCGATCATGATTCTCGAGGTATGTATAGCACATCTCTAGAATAGTGACAGTCTTGATGACATGTGCCGAAATTTCGCCAAATAGCTCGATATGCAGAGGCAGCAAGTGCTTTTCGATAACTTCCGCAGCTTCAGCGTATCTACCCACGGTGTAATACATCGATTCAGTGCGGATCCACATCATCATCTCCCAACTTGAACGTTTTCGCCCATATTCTAGCCGCTGAATACGTAGTTGAAGCTTTTCAAGCACGTGCTCCATCCTCGCCCATTCCTCTGGAAGGCGCAGTAGCCCTAGAAGCGCGCCGTAGCAAAACCTCGACTGCCAACTTCCTTGGCCGAAAAGAGCGTCACAGTCCGACAACAGCGCGAGAACTTCTGCCGTGTTCGTAGACGACTTCTTTGAGCCAGAAATGTCAGCCTTGATGTCTACGATCCGAAACAAGAGGCTCTCCATATGATATGTTCCCAGAGCAACATCCAGACAGCCCTGGATCACGCACTGCGCTGCAACAAATGCCAATTGGAATTGCTCCCCACCAAAATACTGTAACGTACTTCTGATGATCGTCGTCACCGGGTGCCTTCTTCCGTGTACAGCTTCCGCCATTTTGTAGAAGTGTTGAATAACCTTTTCAACCGATTTCCGCACAAGCATTTCGCTTGTGCCACCGAGGAGTGCAATGCGTAGCATATCTTGAATCAAGTACATGGGCTCACTCCGAGTAAGACTGCGCGCAAATCGGCAGGCACGCGAGAGGTGCAATCCGGCCGGCTTATACTCACCTTGTCGCAAGAGATCCACGGCTTGCTGCACTGTCATTGTCAAATAGAATCCCTCACAATCGCTGCTGAGCTTGGTATGGATGCATGGCTCGTCGCTGTTCCTTGAAACCCAAGTCTTTGCCTCAAATGAGCCGGTGAAGTAAGTACGGATGGCGATCAAGAAGGTGTCGAGAGCAGCCGTGGATGGATACTGCGAGGGCGCATGATAGACTGTCCCAGACGTTGCGGCAACAAGGGCTTGCGGACTTAGAGAGTTGGCTTTGGTCTTCCCTTTCCTCTGATGCCTATTCAGCTCTGAGCGTGAAGCAAATCGTTGTCCGCAAGCGCAGTCAGACGCGTTGCGACTGTCTCGCACGCACGCGAAGCGTCGAATCCCTTCATGGACACGCGATCGATGTTGGCGCAAATCGTTCTTGCGCTGAAACTTCTGTGGGCAATCCGGACAGAAATGCCTCACTTGCTCGTGCTTTGCTTCGACGTGGTTCTTTAAGATGAATGCTCGAGTGAAAGCCTTGTCACACCCGGGATGTGTGCAGATGAATGGCCTGTCGAGAACAGATTCTCGAGAGTCCATGGCAAGGTTCATAGCCGGTGTAAATGGCCCGCGTACTCAGGTAACGTTGACTCTGGCCAACTCCAAAGCAAGGAGAGGCACGAAGCCGTGCAGGTGGGCGATCTCGTCCATTATAACCTGACGGGGTGCACCAGTGCAAAGAAGCAAGCGCTCCGTCCTCAGATGCGTCGCCACATGGGCTCAACCAAAGTTAGGCTCACAGGAGCAGCCGGCGGCAGTAGCAGGCTGGACGTCTCGCCAGGCAGCCGAGCTGGGGCCACACCCGTCCAATCAGGTATGCAGGTCTGCACTGGTACAAAAGCGAGGCGTATCGTATTCATGCGTCCCAAAGAGGGCCGGAACGTGCAGACGAGTTCAGAGTCTGATCTGCTCACTGGCATCCCAGTTTACATTTCAGCCATGACCAAGGCAAAAATTCTGCCCCCCCCTGGCAAAGGGATGCGTTGTAGCGATGGCAACAGGCAAGGGTCGACCGCTGTTACACGTAGTCGAATTATACACATTCTTTGATGCGGGTGGCTGATCGCTCTTGATTTTCCCTGCTACAACGAGCATACATCGAGACTTCTCGTTCTTAAGGCTATCCTGGCAAGCAGCCATACATCATCCGAAGCAGCCTTCATATGCTGCGACAGCTCTAGTCCGTTCATGTCTTTTCGCCGCCAAATGCAAATTTCCCACTCCTAGGCTGGATGCGACGCTCTGGCTTTTCCTTTGTGCAGTAAATTTCACCCCACGCTTCAGTGATGCTTCTGTCAGACCTGCGAGCGATGCAAAACACATCATATGTGACCAGGCATATCGCCGCCCCACGCACTGCCAAAATTGGTACTCTTCTTGATTTTCAGGTGAGGAAAGTCGTCTTGTTTCTGTTCCGGCTTTTCGTCTTGACCATCTACATTTGCTGGCGACGGCTCGCTGTTTGCCGCATCAGATACCTCATAGGCAGCAGCTTCTTTCAGCTTAGCATCGACCTGTTCCAGAAAGACATTTGCAGCCTGTGATTTGGCGGATGGATCCAGCATCAACGGCCCCTTCAAGGCAGGATCCTCGTCTGGCTCAAATAGCGGCTCGTCTTCAACAGCTTCCTCGGCGATGGTATCTGACTGAACATCGAGCTTACCAGGCTGTCCCACAAACGAGAAATATGAATCTGAATTCTCTGAGGGCCTTATAGACGGGCGCGTCGTGGGCGCCGGATCAGGAGGGTCTTCCTGCCTCGGTGAAGGAACGGTATTCGTGGTCTGTTCAGTCGATAGCGTTCCGTCAAAAGCCATAGGGGTGTGGCCGGCATGCCGCTTTAGCTTCTCGTCCAACGGCGACACTAGCCTTTGCATATCCACCCGGAGACCACCATTCGTCGATTGTTCAGGAGAAGGAGAACGGCCAGGTGAGACGATTGGCGGAGAGTGGATTTTGACAAAGGATGAAGTGACCGCGGGGCCAGTGGATTTCAGCGTGATGCCATCGAGTTCTTTGTCGATTTGTCCTATCGGTATAGAACGAGCCTCTTCTTTATGGATTGGAGAAATTTGTTTGGATAAGAAAGGTAGAGAATCATCCTCGGAGATACTGGGCAGATGGCTGACATCGTCATCGTGAGAGAAGACTCGGGTCACTGGCGGTGTTGACTCTGGGCCATGCCAAACTGGCGGGTGAAAGGGCAAGACAGAATCCGATCCTTTCCTGACTCCGGTGCTATTGCTGAAGGAGAACTGAGGCGGGACAACATCGGCACGTAAGGACTGAGCACTGGTGAGCGAAAGGTCGTTACTCGACCTTCGCTTGGGATCTCTGGCTCTATTCAACCTGAACTCCAAATCGGCTATCCGGGCCAGAAGAGCAGACCTTTCTATCTCCCAAGCTCTTCTGTCGTTGTCATGAATCTTTCTGAGATGTTCGGCGGTATTCTTGTGGTATTCGATCGCGGCATTGAGGTCAATGTTGGGCATCGGGTGTGTGGAGCGAGCGGCAGAGTGCGGCATTTGGCTTGCTGATGGCACAGACTGCAATAGTGGAACGTGTGAGGTCGCGATAGAATGCCGTGTGACGGGTGCGGTGGTGGGCTGATCGGAGAAATGGACCGCCCTGCCGCTGTTGTCATTGGAGTTTTGATGTGAGAGATAGTTCAGTGGGGAGTAGTTGTGCGGGTGTTGTTCAAGAGCGCCAGACGGTAGCTCGTATGTGGGCGATCGCGGAGCCATGGTGAAGCACTTGACGGCATGCGGGTGGTTACGATGACTGCAGACAGGAAATCGAGGTGAGGTGTGGTAAAAGAACGCTTGAACGGATGAAGAGGCCCGAGGTTCAATCGAACCAATGGAAATCGCTTGGGTTGCAACGCGACGAGTGCGGTCAAACGAGGCGACGACAACGAGAATGCGGCAGAAGGGGTTGATTATCGCTCAGACAGCAGATCAGAAATGTATGCAAAAGAAACGAAGCACGTGAGAAGACCGTGGTGTTTGCTCCCAACGAATCCAGCAGGTAGTCGGCAAGCGTCATGGTTGCCGCCTTCATGGTACGGTAAACGTGGTTCAGCGGTGGTGGTGGAGTTTTTTTGAGTTAGGGATGACTTCATGCCAGGGGCACGCACTCCCGCCGCGAAACAAGGGTCCAGCGCACCCATTTCACTCCAGAAGCCTTCCCAATATGCTCATCCGGCCGGGCGATGTCTGACGGAACCAGGTCCCCGTAGCATTTTCTCAGCCACCCCCTGCAGGGGGGGGGGGCAAACATCCGCAGCCTCTCCTCCATCCACACGTGGTGTTCCGGTGCGAAAACAAACCTTGAAAACGGGAAGCGCTGCACAAATATGGATACGAGTCCAGGAAAATTCTTCTGGAAGGACAGGAAATTCTCCTCGTCACATGGCATTGGAATGCCACATTTGATATCTGTGCCACATGGCCGTGTAATCGGAGCTGTGACGGTGCAAGTGCCACACCGTCGGAGGATTCTTCTCCCACCGCCATTCCAGCTCCCTCGCATTGCATATTCGATACTCACAGCAGCGTTACAAGCGTTTTCGCAAGCTTGAAAATCACTTGCTTCGACGAGCCTATCAGCTGGCTGGAGTGCTTGCTGACTGTCGCGCATGCGAGGCTTTTACCCAGGTGCGTATGTGAGTCGGTGGATCACCTACCTTAACTGGCCTTGAAACTGGACAACTAAGAGAACCTTTGATCGCTACGATGGCAGATACATGCCGGACGTGCCGACCCAAATGTTACGGCCATTCAGATTCTCCTGAAGATGTGGGCATGTTGAACGGCAAGCTCTGATCAAAACAATAGACCTTCTCTTGGCCTCCACGATTACTAGAAGGCCTGCTGCCGACGATATGGAGTCTCCTGCACTCCTACGATAGCTACTGACGGCGAGTTGTATGGATAGTCGATACGACGTGGCAAGGGGTCCGGGACGAACGCTCAGCTTCGTTCAGTGTTGCCGACTCTGTGTGACTATACGCGCCGACCCCGGATCTTGTCCCACTTCGCACTTGGAATTAGATCCTATCCGGGCGTCTTACGCAGCCTCCAATACTGACATCCTAGGCCCTTGTCAGTCCCTTTGACAAGCAGGAAGAGTCCATACCCTCGGAGGAGCGAAACTGCTTGGGAGCCAATTGGACTACAGAAAGCCAGACACTATGTAGTGTTTGCTACTGGGGTAAACAGAAAGTCGGATCAGTCTAGCATCACTAACCAATAACAGACTGAAAAGTCTTGATGGATGCTGTCGTACAAAGTCAGGACGTGAAAGCTGTCAAGCCCAATTTAAACTCATGAATTGCAGAGCCAGGCCTTGCACAGCGTACCGCATTACTAACTGCACAAGCTCGAGTGAACTCGGACTACCAGACAGACCTCACCTGACTCGCCACCGTATCTCCCGACGACCAACACGGCCGTGGGTCACAGCCTCTTGATTTCAGCACTTGCAGACTTGTTCTCAACTTCTTGGGCCGTGCCTTCCTCGGCCAGGACGCCCTTCGTCTCAGCCTGTGTGATGCCCACAACGTCGGCCTTGTCGCCGTCGAAGTACCGAGCGATTTCTTCCATAGGCACATAACGAGTCTCGACGACAAAGAAATAGATGAACCACAGCTCGAAGCCGAGGAAGCAGCAGTAGCAAATGTAGTATCTCCAAGCAATGGCGTCCATGGCGATGGGATTGATGTATTGGTTGAAGAAGACGGCAATCATGGTGCAGAGACCGCCGATCACGGCTGCCTTGGCTCGAAGACCGTAGGGCATGATCCTGATGATGTCGTCAGTAGTGGCCGCAGATAAATGCGGTTGGGGTAAAGAGTACTTACTCAGTGGTGTAGGTCAAAGGGAGACCGGTCTTGAGGTTGTAGCAGAAATTGTATAAATAAATGATAGCGACGACCGCTCGTCCCATAGATGCGGGCCTGTTCTCCTCCGGGAGAATGTTGTAACGTGCGGTGACGATTGTTAGCAGGGTGAAAAAGAGTGTCATGCCCACTGTCGAGTAAAACAGAATAGGCCGTCTTCCGAAGCGGTCGATGAAGAACGCCACACCCAAGTTGACCAGGAGCGACATAGTCTTGGACCCTCCATTGATGCCGAGCTGCTGGTTTGGTGAAGTGATGCCAATCTGTTCAAGCACAAGTTTAAGATAGTATGCGAGGATACCGTTGCCAGACCATTGTCCGAAGATCGCAATAGCGATGACCAAGCTGATGCGATGACGATTTCCCTTGGTCTTGACAAAGTCCGCCCATCGGGAGTTGGTCTTATACTCTTTGTCTAGGAGGAAAGCAGTCTTGATCTCAGTGAACTCAAGCTGAACGAATGGGTCGTTCTCATCGCCCTCGCCATGGTAGTAGGCCAGTGTCTTGAGTGCAGCGTCGTAGTTGTCCTTGTTCATGTGGAAACGTGGAGACTCCGGGATCCAATAGATCACGCTGAGGACCACGATACTGGCCCAGCATTGCAGAAGGGAAGGTGTACGCCAGGCCCAGTTGTTAGGAATTTCCAAGGTACCGAGGGTGATCCAGGAAGCGAGGAACGATCCCACCGAGTAAGAACAACCCATGAAGGTTGTAAGGATTGCGCGATCCTGCGGGTGAGCAATCTCGGCGCAAAGTAGTGGACCTCCGCTCGTGGCTAGGACCATGCCGATGCCCAGAACTATCCGTCCGCCGAAGAACATCGCAAAGTTGGCGGCTCCAGCCTGCAGGCCCGTACCCAGAATGAGGATCAAGGAACCAATGATGACGGCCCATCTTCGACCGAGATGGTCGCAGATGTATGGGACAACCGGGAATCCAATGATAGAGCCAAGACTCATTGCTGCACCAAACAGTCCCAGGGTGGATTTCGTTGGGTAATTGAAGTAGTCTTGCCACAGATCAAGGCTCTGCAGCGAATTCATCATCGAGCCATCAAATCCGTTGGCTATATTGACGAAGATCAGGATGACTAGAAGACTGTTACTTTCCGCCGGTAGCATTGTAAGGGAAACTGAGGTAGAGGGGGCACTGGGGTCCGAAGACCGCATTTGAGCTAGACCGCGGTGACATATCAAGCTTCCGGGCCATGAAAATGCCTCTGCCAACAGGCTTAAGGCCACAAGGAGACTCACCACAGTAGAAGTAGAGCTTTCGGAGATTCGGCTTGTGCCACCAAGCCACGCGAGGATGGGCCTGCCCAGCGAAGAAGAAATGCCCCTTGGGTGGCTTCTCCAGCCTGGTGGCACGCTCGGCCTTCAAATGCCTCACCATGATATCTGTAGAAGGGACGAGAGATAAGAACAGTTGCTGAATCTCACTATCCACAGGCTCGGGTGAAGTTGGACATAACTGCGAGTCCCAGAGTGGGGAAACCATGTTCCATATAAGTTCTCCCTCGAAGGAGCCTGCATTTAGGCAGATACTGATGGGCCAAGGCGTTGCAAAGGTATGCCATGGAACTAGAGCGAGATTCGGGACAGCCACGGGGCATTAGACAGGTGCCGAAGACTGCCATCAAGGTCGAGAAGGTAGACTCTCCGGTGGGAGAGCGGAACCCCTTCCCCATCCCCCGCACTCCGGATCTTGGCAGACAGGGATGTCCACAGCTCACTCCACCTACGTCGGCGGCAAGGGACGTCCAAGCTCGGTAAAAGACAGACGACAGCACCTTGGCAGAACCGGCGAGTCGTTGCGGTTCTTGGTAGAGCCGGCCGGTCTGCTAAGGGGACTAGGCTACTACTATTCAGGCTGATTGGGAGTCTTAATTACTGTGTACCGACGTTAAGCCATTCCTTGGGTGTGACCATTTTCGCCGGCGGCTGTTGAGCGCAAGCGAGGTACGCTCGTTGCTTCCCACAATATCCAGTATTTACCCGAAGCCTTGAGACCAGGAGTATGAAGCGATACTTACTCACTCGTTGACACAGTCCGAAGACTGGAAGACATCAACTGCACGCGATATAAATTGCAATTAACTGGGCACCAGGCGTTGGTTACAGCCCGAGCGCATCTTCAAAAGGTAGCAGGGTTGCAGCAAGAACTGCAGTAGGGTGACCTTAGAAGCGACAGCGCGCAGCATTGTGTCCTCGACTCTCACGTGGTTACTGAAATGGGCACCCAGTTGGGGAAAGGGAAAAGGCTGATGTGGGGAGCAGGGGCAGATGGGGTGGGCAATCCATTCGGTCCACTTCCAGACCATCCTTGGGGTAGGCCACGTTTAGATTCTTACTTAGCCTGCTTACCTTCCGCTGGAAGTCTATCTTGGCATCACGACCAAGATCAAGTCTCTCTTTGTGGAAGATAAAGGTCAGAAGTCCGCATGAGAAAGGACCCCATGTGTCTTGCTCTCAATGCGGGCTCGTATTTCTTAGCCATGCACTTCTTGACCCTGAACAGATCATTCAGGGCGTAGACTGGGGAGTAGGGCCGCGTACAAGGGCTTGTACAGGATTTTAATCTGAAGTCAACATGGTATTAGATTTCAAAAGCGGCCAAGGAACACGATCCCGGAGAAAACAACATCACCGTCCCAAGAAATACTTGTGAGGGCCATAGGCAACATACTGTTGGCACGAGTCTTGCCCACCGGTACACAGAGGCAGATGTTCAGGCTTGGACATGTACTCGGGCTAGTGCCCTCCAGCGTCTTCCTTTGAAATTCCTAAGACATGGTCTCATACATAGCAGCAGAAAGTTGACCTATCCTGTACTATTACAAGGTACAACAGGTGAACTTTCCATGGTAGACGTTAAAGACATCAAAGGGCAAAGAACGCACAGCCTACATCATTACAGAATGCTCCCCAGAGCATTGCCGGTCATGCATCTGGTCCAGCCATAGCTAAGTCAATGGATATGCCGTGGTGACATCAATGTGGCACGGAGAGCGATGTGCCAATGTAATTGTTTATCGGCCTATAGATGTTGGCTTACGTGCTTTTTTCAACTTTACATGTATACCTTACATACTGAAGCTTTCTTCGTCTCTTCTTTTGCACCGCACAATCTCTCAATGAGGGGACGCCATTGCCAAATGAATGATTTGACCTGTGGATAGAAGTGCGGCACTACAGCTCGATCCAACCCACCGCCTTCACTAGTAGTAAATTGACAGGGTTCCGCTGTGGGGGAGGCCATGCTGACTTCAAACGTTACTATTGCAGAAGGAACGAAGGACTTTCTCGCACGGTCGTTCAATCTGAGCTTCTGGAGTGATGCTTGATGCCAGATAACGTGCTACAAGTGATTGAACGAGTGGGCAATAATTGCATTAGGTCGACTATGGCGGGCAGCGTCCGCCTTGACTGAACCCTAACAGGTTTTAGCCCACTGGCCTAGTCCAACTATAGGCGGCAGAGCCCAAAAGCTTACCCAAGATTTTCCGTTTCATCATCAACCTCAGCTTGCATTTCCATTCTGCGTTCAGTCTCTATGGTAAATCATGGCCCATCTCGAGGATGCGCGTTCTGCCGCAAGAGTCGAATAAGATGTGACCTCGAGCGGCCCTCCTGTCGAAACTGCGTGAAGAGGAAGATTATCTGCTCAGGTGTCCGACGTGGACCGCTCGACTATGAATTCAGGCAGGAAAATCCTGGTCAATCACAGACCATGCACGAGAAAGGGTCGCTCTTAGTGAAGCGCCCAATATCTTCATATGGCACCACTCATTATCCACAGAAGAACTACACCGTTGTCCCAGGAGCCCATGCGGCATCACGGCTCATACAGATCGTCCAGACGCCTCTTGGAAGCGGCTACGATCCCTTTGGAGCCTTCTCGATCCGTATTGACTCTCATGTCAGTGAACTGCTCAAGTTCTGGCGTTATTATCTGAACCGCCCATCCGTGCAACGAGACAGAGCAATACAGCATCTCTTTAATAGTGCATGGCAATTGGCGATGCGATGTCTTTGGACTCCGTGTGATGGCTACTCATTTCTCGCAGCTGCCGCCGACTTCTACACCGCTTCCACCCAGTCCAATCAGATGATGGTACTTGCGGCACAATGGCGCCTGCAAGCCATTGCACTTCTGCGGGCGCAGATCGCGTCTCGTGGTCTGTCACCTCGTGATTCTGGCTGTATAATGAGGCTTTTGGCTGGCGACCTGGCTGTAGGGAACTTTGCTGCCGCACTGAGCCATGCAAAAATATTGTCTTCAATTTTTAATCCCCAAAATCCAGCATATGAGGCTATACCAAGTGCCGCGAAACACGCGTTTCTCTGGCAAGAAACTCACAGAGCCACTGCGACCTTGTCACGGCCTCTGATAGAGCTGAGTCATCGAACAACAGACATAAATTTTGCTCTTCTGGACAGCCGTTTACGCATCCCCGAGGTCGAGATAGACCTGGAGGCACTGGATGATGTCCGTCTTGTGTCTCTTTACACACAGCTGAGATCATACCTCGACGTTCTAGCTCAGCTGTCCGACAGAAACATTCAACTCTCTCGCCATGCTTCCATTGAGCTGTCATCCAACTTACTCGTGCTTGGAGGGAAATTGCTCGATCATGGCATCCTCTGCACAGATAATGCTCGTCACACTGATGATGCTCTGGAGATGCTCCGGCTCTCTCAGTTCGCCGCTGCGAGTCTAGCGGCATTGTACTGGCTCCGCCTGATGACTCGAATGGAAACGGATGGCGATGATGTTAATGGTCCCGGCATCATGGTCGCTACCTGGCCCCAAGGTCCACGGATTGCGGAGAGAATGAGAAGCTTGCTTGAGACGTCAGAAAGCGTCGTCACACTACTACTTCCACCATCGTCCGGCGTGTCTGTGTCAGAGCGCTTACGGCCGGAACTGCGTCTGCGGGTGTTCCTTCTTGAGGTTGGGTCCTTTCTCGAAGAGACCGCGATGAGACGCGCAGGAGATCGCTGTTTCTACTACCAAGAACAGCAACAGCAACTCTTGCTTCGCACCGGACTGAGTGAGAAACCTGCCGCATACGAGGCAATTCTGAAAGGATTTATACCAACCAATACGCCAAGGGTTTACGCGCCCGCCTGGTTTACTCCTTCCATCAGAACTTGGGGCTTGAGTTGATGAAGCGGAGACACGACTATGAATTCGTCGACAGCACACTGTATATGCATCCTGCTTGCATCGACTGCCAGTGATGACATAATGGGACTCATGCCTATCCAGCGCGTATGAGTAAACAGTTTTGAGTTCCGCAAAGTTATCAGAATACGGCAAAGCGCATCACCTCACCCCTGTCCCGACCAATCAACTTCCATGTAACGACAATGCTCCGTATCTACGGCCGAGACTGGTGTAACGTGTGTCCGACAACTATGGGCCTCTCTCAGCGGCGCCTGGTTCAACGAAGTATAAAGCAAGACGCATCTAGCCAGACCCCGTCTCTCATCGTCGCCTTTTGTCATTCTTGAATTCTTCGGAAAAGTTAGCAAAACAATGGCAAGCGGCAAGCTTTCCCTGCTTGAAATTCTGGACATTCCTGTGGGCTTCGTCCACGCCAGTGAGCATTTACTCGCCCGCCCGGTCTACAGCCAGCTAATATTGCTCTACAGTATTTGGGACCTTGTTAGCAGCGGCATTTTCGCCGTTTCGAGGCCCGAATACACCAAAGACTCTGAAGCGTCACCTTCTCTTGACAGTGACCAGAAAGGTCTTTACACGTTTGTCGCCCGAGCAATTACAGTAGGTCGCCCCCGCCGCCTGCACGGCTTTTTGACTCTCCTCTGGGTATCTTGCAGGAACCACCGAGTCAAATTACCTCGCATGGACCAAGAAAGAGCACTTGAGCCCCGGCAGTGTGTCCTTATCGTGTGCCAACACGAAAGCCTTCTGGTTCGGTGATCAGAAAGCCGACAATATCGTCTTATACTATCATGGCGGTGGCTTTGGCATGCCGGGAGGGGATGGCCATTTCACCTTCATCAATTCGCTGATCATGAAAGCCGCGACCGCGGGAAAATCAGTTGGCGTGCTGATGCTTCAGTACGACCTTGCCCCGGGCGGGCAATACCCACGACAGCTCGAGCAAGCCGTTGAACTCTTACGCTATGCGATAGTCAATTTGCACAAATCTCCCGAACATATCTCTCTCATGGGCGATTCGGCCGGCGGCAATCTGATCTTCGGCATACTTTCCCACCTAATGCATCCGCATCCCTCCATCGAGCCCGTCAAGCTATCGACACCACTAAAGACTGCATTGATCAGCAGCCCTGTCACTGTTCTCAACGCAAAGAACGACAGGTTCCACACTCACGAAGGTCAGGATCCAGCATCAGCGGCCACGATCGAGGTGTGGCTGCAGAACATGCTGGGTCCAAGCAAGGCAGACGCATGGAATGAGCCGCTCAGCGCTGACGCGGAGTGGTGGACTGGATTGGATAACGTGGTGAAGGAAGTGTTAGTAACGGTGTCAAAGGTTGAGATGATGGCAGCGGAAACGAGTGCGTGTGCGGCGAAGATTCAGACGGTATACAGCGGTCTTACGCTTTTCGAATCCGAAGTCGACTTCCATGCGGAGCCGGCGATTGGCCCTGCGCTCGGCATGGAAGAAGGAGAGACTGCGAAGCTCATGATTGAATGGGCTTTGGCGCGAGTTTGATTCCTTGGTAACAGCATGGGGTTTTGGAAACGTGTCGATGCTACAGCAGAAGAGGTTGCAATGGGATGTTGCAGAAGAGGACATCAACGCCATTATCTGCTTTGACGTGATGTGGAAAGCGATAAGACGGATGGAATGCCTGTATCGTGAAAACAGCCACTGTGAGGGTAGTGGGGGTGAGCGGGGCAACCCCCACCGCCTGATACTGTGATAGCCCACTCTTCCCCGCATGACCGAGCGTCGACCGCATTCAGATTTACCTACCGAGCAGAACCCTCAGACAAGATCGGCTGTTACAGATGATTACAGTCATGAGCATGCTATCAACGTTGTCCTCTGTGGACTGCTCACAGAACCGTCGGAATCCTGACGTGTAGCGCGTCTAATCCGCCACAAACTGCTATACCGCCGCACTGCTGGTGATGTCCGAAGCGAACTGCTATCAGGTACGACCATGCATTGTCGATCCCGCTTGTCTAATTCGGTCGACCGGTGCTCTACGCGCAGTGAATTCTGACTGCTCCGTCACCAGTGCCTCCTTGGCAATGCTACTTCACTGGCTACGTTGCAGCCGGGGTAACGATGTCTCGAGCCATGCCTAAGCCAATTTACAGAGCTATATTTCTGATGCTGTGCAGCCGCACGGTTCATAATTCTCGCATACGCAGAAGCTGACCCCAACAGCATGGTGCTTGCTGTACTGCTGTTCGCCGTGGGCGCGGCTGCTCTGCAGGCACTGCCGCCGCTACCAGTCAGACCGCCGGGCCACCAGGAGGGAGGCTTCGACTTCAGACAGGTGCCAAGAACAGTCTACGTCTCTAACGACATCGCCTCCGTGCGAGACACAGACGGCCTGACCCTTATACCTCCGTCAGGTGCAGAATTTGCGGTGACTTTCGCAGAAGACCTCAGCGGTGCCACAGAAGAAGAATGGACTGTCGAGGTGGTTGAAGATCTGCCTGACATCTCTGGTATCTTCCTGACCCGCTACTCGGGCAACGACACAGAGCTTGCATACGAGAATGGAACGCCTACAAGCGAGGGTTATCAGCTGGAAGTTGGCGACGGGAAGGTCACCATCAGCGGCGTGGGCTCTCGTGGCTTGTGGTGGGGGACTCGTACCGTCCTGCAACATCTATATCAGTCCAATTTTACGTCGATTCCCTCGATATCTGTGGCTGATGCTCCTGCATACGTCACAAGAGGCTACATGCTCGACGCTGGCCGCAAATGGTACTCGCCCTCGGTCTTGAAGGACCTATGCACGTACGCAAGCTTCTTCAAGATGTCCGAATTCCACTACCATGTCTCCGACAACTATCCACTCAACCGTGGCCATAACGAGACCTGGCAAGATATCTACTCCCAGTTCTCCCTTCAGCCAACAGATCCAGAGCTGCTTTCCGGCCTGATCGAACGCGTCAATGAGACCCTCACGCAAGCCGACTATGCAGACCTCGAATCCCACTGCGCCGCACGCGGGATTGCCGTGATACCTGAGATCGAAGCACCAGGCCACTGCCTGACTATCACAAAGTGGAGACCGGATCTCGCGCTCGAGAAGAAGGACCTTCTAAACCTTTCCCATCCAGACGCCATACCCACAGTGCAACGCATCTGGTCCGAATTCCTGCCCTGGTTCAACGTTAAGGAAGTCCACATCGGCGCCGACGAGTACAACGCCTCTCTCGCAGATGTCTACATCACGTTCGTCAATGAGATGGCCACCTTTGTCAATGACACTACGGGTAAACGTGTTCGAGCTTGGGGCACACCCTTCGACGAGCCCACACAGGACATCCGCATCGACCCGGATGTTATCATACAGCACTGGCAGTACGGGCAATCCGACCCAATCCAGCTCGAAGCCGATGGTCATGAAATCATCAACTCGCAGGATTGGTGGGCGTACGTCTCGGTCAAGAACGACCACATGCCGATCCTACCAGCGCGCTACCCCCAGTTCTTCAACAACACCCGCGTCCTCAACTTCGCAGACCAAACCGGCTGGCAGTGGGACCCGCACCTCTTCAACCAAGTCAACACATCGGCCGAGTACCAGCTCTCGCCCTCCAGCCGGGCCAACAAGGGCGCCATCATGGCCTCTTGGAACGACAACGGCCCAGACGCCAGCACTCAACTCGAAGCATATTACATATGGCGCCTCGGCCTCCCGCTCGTCGCCGCCCGCGCCTGGTCTGGCACTCGCGGCCCCGAGCTCGACAGATCCAGCATCGACGACAGCATCCGCTTCCTCGCCTCGCGCGCCCCAGGCCAGAATCTAGACCGTGCCCTACCCAGTTCACACCCCAGCGGCGACACCTCCGCACCGCTTTTCACCTGGTCAGGCGACGCCACCGACGGGCCCGTGACACTAGGCAAGCCCTCCAAAGGCATGAACCACACCCTCCACATCCGCACCACCGGACCCTTCAACCTCTCGTCCCCCACCGACGCCATCAACCTGTCCCTCGACGCCGCCTCCGGCACCCTGACCTACACCACCGACGGCACGCTCTACCCGCTCCGCAGCGTCTCGGAGCACGACGGCTTCGACCCCGGCCACCCCGGCCGCATCTGGAGCAACGTCTCCACCTCCAGCCACGAGGTCGTCATGCTCTCTTCCCCTGTAGCCAGCGAAGAAGCGGCAATGGACATCGTCATCACCACCACCGCCATCGACGGCTCGCGCGTCTGGGTCAACGGCGCGTGGGCCGGCCGCTTCGAGGTGTTCGTCTTTGGCGGGCGCAACACGCTGTTCAGCTGGAGTCAGATGGCGTTTGTGGCGCCGTTGGAGCTCGTGGAGGGCGCGGTGGAGGAGCTGGCCGTCTATGATGGCGTGAAGACCGTCGAAGAGTTGTCTGGCGCGGGTGGTGGTGCGGGCCAGCCGCAGCCGTACACGCCGGGAGATGGGACTTGGGGTGGCAGGGTGGTGCCGATTGTGTTGTCGGTGGTGGTGGCCGTGTTGGGGGCTGGATGCGCGATTGTATCTTGAGGGGCAGCAATGAGATGAAGCGATACTAGTAGCAATGCGGTATTCATGTAGCCTCTGCCTGATGTTTGCCTCTATGCTCCGTCGATGTGAAGATCTAGCGGCGCTCCTACTAACCCTCCATTTGAAACCGTTCATGTTCGAACACACGTGTATCGAGATATGTTCAAGCAGATGCTAGACAGCAGAAAGTTGGTCGGTCAAGTGGCCTCATCTGCCCCTGTCGGCCACACCAGGCTGGAACTCGGACACAAGTACACCAGCACAGCCGCGGACTGGGGCGGACGTCCAAAGATCGCACTGACCATCCAAATTCTATGATGCAAACCGGAAATCCAGCCTCTTGTTCCCCTTCTCCTTGCTGGTCTCCAGGTACCGCGCCCTCTGACTGTCCGTCATCCTCCTCCATCGCTTCTCCTTGTGCCGATTCCGCATGGTATAGTACGCCTTGGTAGAGATATAAAGCACGATGTTAACACAGCACAGTATCAACAGAACGCGATTGCCGCGGATGTACCGCGGCCTGTCGTCTTCTCGGTAGATGTTGCTGGCGATAATGCCTGAGGTCTGCACCGCCATGTTGTAGAGCGCCGCACTGACAGTTCTGCTCCTGACCGAATTGGAGTTCCTGGAGTTCCATCCTACCTGGATGGCGTGGATGTTGGGACATGCCAGCAGCACCGTGAGTATTGCCCACGCGTGCCACCGGTTCATAGCATTGAGGTCGTACGTGTAGATGACCGCCACGAGCGGCAGTAGCCAGAATTGGGCGAGGAGTCCAAATAGCCAGAGCTGGCCGACCACTTCGGCCAAGTAAGCGAACAGCAGCATGGTGATGATGTGTCCGACCTGTGCGGGGACAACGAGGAGGTTCGTGGTGAGTGTGCTGAAGCCGAAGCCCCGCAGAATCAGCGTCAAGTATTGCTGCGGCGTTGTCATGGGTGTTTCAAAGTTGAGGCCCAGCAGGTAGAGCGGCCAGAGATCGTAGTCGGTTATGCTCTGCCAGAGTAGCTTAGGCGTAATTGGCTCGCGATTGTGCATACCGGCTTTGCTGGGGTCTTCCCTCAGTATGCGATTTGTCATGATGACCTCTTCACGCTCCGTGAACCAGCCTTGGGCACCACGGAACCAGCCCGCCGTTTCGCAAGGCCCCGGAGGCATCAGGGGAAACGCCAAGAAACCGATTGATAGCGTGATCAGCCCTTCTATCAGGAAGAGCCATCGCCAGCCTGCAAGACCGCCGACTCCTCGGAGGCGCAGTAAGCCGGCACCGAGGAAGCTGGCGATGATGTCCGCCACAGATCCCGCAGTCCAGAAGAATCCAAGACGAATAGACAATTCTGCATGGGTGTAAAAGTACGACAAATAGAGGACGATGTCGGCTATGAAGCCGCCCTGCATCATCCCCAGCAATCCGCGCGTGAGGAGGAAAGAGCCGCGGCCAGATAGCCAGAATTGGCTGCAGGCAATGAGGCTCCAGAGCACCATTTGCGTTGGGATCCATCGATCTGGACCCAACCACTTCGAAATCAGCTGAGAGGGCAGCTCGGCGCAGAGGAAGCTGAACCTGAAAATCGTGTTGCCCCAGTTATAGTCTACCGGTCGTTAGCGAAAGCTGCTCGCGGAAGATAGGAGGGCATCCATGCCATTCGTATCCAACCCGAGATCATCCAAGAAGTTGTCGGTGACGGCCTGCGTCAGATTGGCTCGGTCGAGTTCCAGCACCATGAACATCAAGCAGGTAAACGCCATGATCTTGTAGTCTATTTTGCGAACGATGGTATACTCCTCACTCCAACTCCACCTTGCAGTCGGATCGAAGCGATGTATATTCTCCCAGTCTGGTCGTGGCTGGTGGTGCTTTGCAGTTTCTGGGTCATCGAACACCGAAGGCTGGGTAGCAATGGCATCGAGATGGGGTTTGCGGCGCTTTCGAAACCACGAACCTGGCCCAGATGCGACGGCTAGAGACTTATCAACAGACAGATGCCCTGAAAGTAGAGGTATCTCCGCAGACATGCGTACAGAGCTGCTCGGATCTTCCATCATGTCGTGGCTCGCGTCAGGATTGTGCGTCGACTGCGAAGAAGTGTCGCGGGCGGCAAGGGGCGCCATCTCGTCAAATTCATGCCATTCAGAATCTATATCTGTCTCGGTACCCCGCGGAAGACGCGAAGATCGAGGGGCTGGCATCCCACATCGCTGTGATGAAGAGCGTCTAGAAAGGTATCATTGCGGCCAGTAATGTCCTAAGCCGTGGGGTACGGCGGCCAAGGTGCAAACAACGTGGAGCTTCAGGGTCAGGTGCGAAGAGTGAACGATGACTCAGTGGACATTTTGATGAATTGTGTCTCGCGTTAGACGACCGTAATGCGGCGTCCCGATGCGGCGGAAATGGCATGTCGATTGCGACAGGTCTCGGCACGATGGTGTGCTCAGGGCCTAGCAAGGGTCCCCGAGCACGTGGTCAGCGGCGTATGAGCATCGGAGCGGCGGTGTATAGACTGGTAGGAATGAATGTCCATCTTGCCTAGTATATCCTACAAGATGCATTACAAGAGGAAGAACGGGACGAAGTAGATGGAGAAGAGTCGAGGTTAAGCTGCTCCGGTGGCTGCATTTCGTGGTGGGTCCGGGCAAACGAGGCTGGGCGAGGCTGCCACCAGAAAGGAGCTCTTCTGTAGGTACGGCGGTAGGTAGAGAGCTGCGTATACTAAGCACTGCAGAGTCTTCCAGTTCATCCTATGTCCTAGCCTCGAGTGATCACTGGCAAATACCATGACCACGATACCTCCAGTCAGGCCAGAATATCGATCACATTCACCGAAGTCCTCCTCCGCTGGATGTTCTGTCAGCCTCGATCCGCTCTTAACACTGCTCTCTCGGCAACATGAACTCTCGACTCACCCGCCCTCCTCCCACTGACACCCCTCTCTCCTCGGCTTTCAAAGAGGGGTTCCGAAAGGTAATGCCAAGACTTATACTGCCTGCAGTCCACCTCTTGCGGACATTCAGGTTCATGGCCACCCACACGTCCAAGACGAGCTGAAGCAACGCTCAACTAACCACCAAACCAGGCCATCCCAATTACAGTACCGGAGCTTCAGGCCTCCACCTTCCAACGCCAGTGGCGTCTGGGACTCGACTATCCCGCGTCGGAAGGTCACTCGCACTAGTCCTCCGGGCCGGAACTTGCGGGGCACTTTTCGAGGAAACAACAGCCAAGACCGTGTCATTGTCATTGTGCTCTGGAAGCCGGAAAGCAGCGCTGGTGGAAGTTTGTATAGGTGATGTGCGCCCGGTAAGTGACGAGATGACACAGGGAGTAGCATCCGATGGCATGCCTTTCACTTTGCACCCACCTCCGGGGTAGTTACTGCGGGGCAGGGGGTAGCATGATGGGAAGGAGACAGATCGATCAGTTCAGCTCAGGTTTTTATAAACAGAGCTGCTGTGTTTCGCTGGATGCATGTAGTGGCAGATTTCATCCAGAGTCACTAGAGCACCCTCACTCTTCCAGCTCCAGCATTGTACTGAGTTCCCCCCTGACGGTCCCTCCTCCGATCCTTTGCACCATGACACAGCACGAGGGCCTCCTGTCCTACCTCCTGGCTCAAACACAACGACAATCTCTTCCCGCACTCGTCCTGGGCTCCATCGCCCTATACTGTTGCAGCTGGGCCGTCTACGCCCGGTACCTGCACCCCTTCCACGACATCCCCGGACCCTTCCTGGCCTCCATCTCACGGCTCTGGATGGGCGCCAGCGTGCTCAGCGGCAGGGCCGAACACACACAGCGCGCACTGCATCAGAAGTACGGGCCGCTGGTGCGTATCGCCCCCAACGAAGTGTCCGTCGCGGATCCCGAGGCCATCAAAGTGATCTACAACATTAAGAGTGGTTTCACAAAGACTGATTTCTATCCTCCCTTCGCGCCTAATATCAGCCCCCATGGAGACCACTTCTCGCAATTGGACGAGAAGAAGCACGCAGAGCGCAGGCGGTACGTCAACGCGACGTACTCGATGTCGACCATTCTGGAGAGCGAGCAGTATATCGATGCATGCAGTGACGTGTTTATGAAAAAGATGGCTCGCTTCGCAGAGAGCGGTCAAGCGGTTGACTTTGGAGAATGGATTCAGTGGTGAGCGGCCTATTGACGTCTTTCTTTGCGCGTGCCTGGGTTGAAACTATGCTGAATGTCGAGTGCTCAACCTCCAGGTATACCTTTGATGTTGTGGGCGAGCTTTTCTTTGGCCGTCAATTTGGCTTCATGCGAGACGAGCACGACTTCGGTCGGTATATCGAGTCCCTGGACACGCTGCTGCCCGGTATCGCATTGTCATGCGTGTTGCCATCGTATGTGCGCACGCTCAACACCAGTCTGGGCATGGTCTTCCCCGCGGTGAGGGCCTCGGTCAAAGGATTCGACGAGATTCGAGCCGCCGGTCGGTATTGGACCGCTCAGCGTCAAGAAGAGCTCTCCACAGGCAAGGTCAATAGAGTTGATTTGCTCAACAAGTTCTTCCGCATTCGAGACGAGAAGGAGGGCTGGGATATTCCGGACATTGCAAACGAAGCTTGCGTTGCCATGTGCGTGTTACCCACCACCCTGCTTTGAAGCCGGAGGTCTTCTAACCGACGTCAATGCATCAGATTCGCCGGCAGCGACACCACCGCTGTAGCTATACGCTCGATCTTCTACCACCTCATGAAGACCCCTGACGCCATGAAAAAACTCGTTGCGGAAGTTGACGATTTTTATTTCCAGGGGAGGGTCACAGGCGCACATATAGCCTACAACGAGGCCATAAAGATGCCGTATCTGGTGGCGTGCTGCAAAGAAGGTATGCGCTTGCACCCCAGTGTCGGCCTTGGAATGCCTCGCCATGTGCCTGCAGGTGGTGCAACAATCGCTGGCCGAACCTTTGCCGCAGGCGAGCGAGTCAGTATCAATGCGGCTGTGGTACACTATGACAAGACAGTCTTCGGACCGGATGCAGATTCCTTCAATCCCGATCGTTGGCTGACAGGTGATGGCGCCATGATGGACCGTCATATGCTCCATTTCGGCGGCGGCTCCCGGACCTGCATAGGCAAGAATGTGAGCATGGCTGCATGGCTGTAAGCGCACTTTTCAATGCTGACATTATGTGCAGATATCGCTTGCGGAAATGCATAAGCTGATCCCCGAGTTCCTGCGCAAATTCGAGGTCCACCTGGTCGATCCGAACAAGGAGTGGGAAACCCATAACTACTGGTTCAACAAGCAGTTGGGTATCAACGTTGAGATCAGGGCTAGGAAGTGCCCTTCGTAGTCTGCCGGCGGCTTTCTCTTTAGTAGTCACTGTATCCAGACATGGCATGAGCTCTGTGGCGTCCGTTCAGCTTTTGGCTTCTCTGGAACGTGCAATCGATGTCTACACGCCTGCAAGCGCTGCATGGCACATGGTCATCACATTTGACTTTCTGCAATGCACATGCGTCACAGGCGGCGACGGTACGGGCTGGAAGATGAGAGGCTGTCGAATCTGACCGAGAGTTTACCGGGAATTGGTTGCCTGGTCCTTCACTTGGATGCAGGGGTAGTGCCTGTTTCCCATCCAACGGCATTGCCGATGGTTCGCGCAACGAGGTCTTAAGGCCACCCTTGCTCTGGTTGCAGCCGGCCTCCAAATCTTCGCGTCTGGCGTGGGCGGCAACATGTCGATTGAGGACATCGCGGCGACCGAAAGACGACAAACACAGTGGGCACGTGAATGGTCTCTCGGGACTGTGGGACTTGATGTGACGTTGGAGGTGGAAGTTTCGCGTGAAGACTCGAGAGCAAAGGGGACAGTGGTACTTGGCTTTGTTCGAGGGCATATCAAGTCTTCCGGTCTAAAGCGGGATGTGGTCTCAGAGAGGTTGTCGTGCAAACCGACTCGAAGCCAAGTTGATAGTCTGGGCTCAGCTTACTGCATCCAAGCCCCCCGACTTCCCCGCAGCATGGCATACGTCCAAGATTGGGGTTCGGCTACCTGACTGTCATCAATGATCACTGTAATCATTGCTGGCGGAAGTCAAAGAGGAGTGCCCCGCAGTTGCCGGTAACAAGGTATAGCGTCTGCCGAAGCGGAGGACCACCCATAAACACGTCGCGGGGATTGACTTCAAGTCTGCTTCAGTATCACAATCAAGAGAAACAATGACTGATGTCACCGGCTGGCCGATCATGTCTTGCAACTGCAGTGCAGCACAGATTGCACAACTGTCTGCAGGGAACTTGCGATTGCGATGTCAAGTGCAGTCGCTCGAGCGGCAGCTGCAGCGAATACCACCTGGGGCAAGCATACCAAACGCGGTTTTCCGTCGTGAAACATCACCGACCGTAGAGCAGGTTCAACCGTCATCCATGAGAACAAACTTTGCAAAAGGCACCGCAGTGATCTCCCCGTTCCATGACCATGGTGGCAGCTTTGAAACCCTCCCCAACATCACACCAGCATCCCAACCGGCCTTCTATCTACCATGCTGGCCTGAGCCCATGCAAGGCGGCCAGCAAGGCGCCTCCCCAGAGTACGACCCGCTCCAATTTGCCTCCGAGCTGGACACAAGTTCCGCCACCTTGCATCGGTCCTTGAGTGAGGCCACTCAGACGAGCGAAGACGATGACCAGAGGTTGGCAGAATACGACGACCTCCTCGTCCTAAACACCGAGTTTAATGATGACCTGCCCGAGCCGGATATGCCTGCGCTCGCGCCACCAACGGAGCTGCCCATTCCTCTCCACCTTACAGCAGGGTGCGCCGGCAAACCCACTCAAGGAGTGTTAGACGGCTACATCATGGCCTTAGGATCCATCCTCAAAAACGCCGTCAACCAGCTCGCGATCAACGTGACGCTCTGCAGCAAACTCAGCGCCCACGGAGTCCTGTGGGCCGTCCAAGAGGCCTGGCCACAAGCCGAGCACTACTGGAAGGTAACGGCGTCCCTGCAGGGCTTCTTCGAGGTCGAGATGTGGCGTAACTTCCCATGCGCGCAGACCTTCGGCGCCTTGCACCCGGCCTACCGTCCCACGCGGCTACAGCTCTGCACGCCGCACCCACCCATCATCGACTGGCTCCCCTGGCCCGATCTGCGCGACAAGCTCATCGAGCAACAGCACCAGTTTCCCGACGTCGACATGGTCTGCCGAACCGCCATCCACAACGTCGTAGCACACCGCCGCACACCTGCAGCGCGTACGCCAGCCGCCGACTCCGACACCACCGCTATCGCTGGCACATCCTTCCGCGTCTGGGATCTCTGCACGCTCGAAGAGCAAGCCGGCTTCTCTTCCCGCCCCGCCTCCAACCCCTCCACCACCACCACCACCTCCCAATCCCCCTTCACCCAGCCGAGCCTAGTCTACAAGCCGCGCTCCGCGCCCGTCACAGCCCTGGCGCGCGCCTACCAACTCGAATACGACGAGTTGAGCACGCAGAAGCTGCACGGCGTCTTCTTCGACACATACCCTTCACTGTACTGCGAGAGCATTGTCTCGCGCTATCAGGTCCGCCACCTGCCGGCCGTCGCGATCCAGCATGAGCCGGTGCTGGGCCGCCCGAAGGCGCTGGGTCCGGGTGCTATGGCTCGTTTGAGAGCTGTGCTGGAGGAGGAGTTGTTGCTGGCTTCTCCTTGATACTAGTACAGTGTACGGG